CTCGGCTGGTATAATCGTAGCCGCGGCACTACTTGCTCTTATAGACGGTGCGGGAGCCGATCACTCCTGGTGCCTACCGGTTGGATGTTACTTCATAACCACAACATCTGCACACCATCGGACTTGGCCACTATATAATCATCATGGAGGTATCTCTCGCTTTTGCCATATATAGGGGGTACAGCTCCTGATGATTCCTCACCCACCGGCCAAGGAAACTAGTTCGGCGACGCGGTAGATCTCTGAGGTCACTATCTGGGCAATCGGTTTTACGACTTAGTCACACACAGAAAACCGAAAGCGTGCTGTCTCATGTGCTTTTCACGATCGCTGAGATTCTTGTTCTTGCCAGAGCATTTGTCATCGTTACCCTGTCGACTGTAAGTCACCTGCTCGTCTTTAAACTTCGCTCATCTTCCGCTAACAGCTCACACGTACTAGTTCTGCGTCGACCAGTCATTATATACTTAGGCTTGACTTTTGTCTCCTGGTGAGACTAGCTCATCCTTTACACCATACAAGGTTGGGGAGATGACTGGAACATCTAAGATAGCCATCCGGCCAATAGCTTCATTTGCAGGAGCCCTCGGCTTAGCCAGAGCTGGTCCTTGCTAAGCAGAGACTGCACATCCAGATGGAGCCCAGCTTCCGACACCAAGAGCCCGCTTCGGGACAGATCATAATTGACTGTCATATCGTCGTCGTCGATGAGTGATTAGTTTATGAGTTGCTCCTCTGTTCACATTATACAAGCGGTCTCACTCAAGAGCTGCCTAGGAATCGCTAGTGACGAGTCGCCAGCTGAGAGAATTGTGAGTGGGCAATTGATTTGAACTTTCCAGAGAAATAGCACCGACTAACTTTGACTCCCAGAGCCCTGAAGTTGAGATTCCCATATATGAGGCGCGGAGAGCTCTCTCCTAAACACTTCCTTGATTGGACAACAGACCTCCTTGTCAGTGAAAAGCAAGGGCTGGAGGGGCTCAGAAAGATGTTTAAACCTCAAGGTAAGTTCAGTTTCACATTTCTAATTCGTGTCCCTCACGCGGTGCAACCACTTACACCCTTCTAGTTATAATTATAATACTTTTTGTTTTTTTATAAAAGTGGATTGTATGCCGATGCATGCCAAGCGATGGGAGATACATGTTCACTGGGTTTCTCTACTACGACTTGTGAACGAAGCCAGTGTGGGAGGGTTCAAAACTCTGCACTGAGCATTTCATAGTGTGGACGACATACCTCCTTGTCACTGACAAGGAAGTGATGGAGGAGCTCAGAGATCTGTTCAAACATCAAGGCAAGTTGGATTTCACATTTCTAATTCGGGTCCCCGCGCGACAATCTCACTTACACTTTTGCTGTTATAAGCCATCACGCGTGTCTATAGTTTCTCTTCACCATTTTCAGGTTATCTCCGCGTTGCATCTGCTCTATTACTTCGGCACTGCTTTCACACAAGCGCAGCGTGTGAGACACGAGCCGAAACTCGTGTGGTTCTCCAATAGCCTGCACGATCTAAAGATCAGTCGGCCGACTCCTCAGTGGGCTTCAATTCTTAGGATCTGGAGAACAAGAGTCACGAAAGCAGGCCAGTCCTGCTGTATATCGCCATGCAGCTCACGGTATATAATGCGTTTGACAAACTCTCGTCTGGTCGTTGAGCTGGGAGGCCGCAGCAGAGTCCGTTCCCACTCTGCAGCTTCGTCTCTGTTTACCAAAGGCTGAAAATCTGTCCTGTGAGTGATCTCCTGCATTCTCTGGGACAGCCTTCACAGATTCTTGAGGGCCTATACTCATCTTACACAGTTCGTGGTGGCCTGTTCGTCACACGGTCTAGCAGAATGGGTGCACAGTACTCGAAATGAGAGAGGATGGCACTGTACAAAACCCCTCAGAGAGATACACGACAAGTGGTTTCTTACAAGGACAGAACCGGGGTATCTGAGTTGGAACCAGAGATTGTTATACAGTTGAAGAAAATGACGGATGGATGGCTCGACCTTGTTCTCTCCTTTATCGGATGGGTTTCAGACACGAATTTATGGACCTTGGGCATACCACTGCTCGGCAATTCCTGGCCCTGTATGCCTGTTCCTCTGCGTCCCTTTACCTGCTCTGATCAAATGAGCCTGTATTGTACCCGACTGTGAGTTGACATCGATTCTATATGACCTCCCCCTAGCCTGGAAACAAAGCAGTGCTGACAAGTTTATTTTTCAGGATCATCAGCGTTCAGAATCGGGAGCCAGTGCTCAGGATAAAAGTCGTCTAGCATTGCAGCTAAACGTCAGAACATGGCCAAACTCCACGATGAGGTTTAGAGGCTGATGTCCTCTCTCGAAGACAATGATTTTTTCTTCGAGGCTGCATCTTATATGTGAGGATCTCCCTTCAGTGCAGGGTGTCCCGGGACAGGAAAGCTAGCAATGTGAGCAGTCGCGAATGCTGGAGTAGCAGGCTTACATGGAAGGTCTCTCGAGTCTCATGGGCATCCTGTGTGAGATATGCTGGGTGTAAGGCTCGGCTTCACCGACCTGATACTTTGTATGACGCTTTCCTTCCAGGATAAACTGCAATTTAAGCAGATGGGGAGGAATGGGCTGCGCAGAGAGAAGCCCTGTTATTTAGGGTTAAATTTGTTCGTGGAGGGGGATTCTCTTGTGGGCAGTTGCAAGATTGGGAATACGTGGACCCCTGGAGACACTTCTTCCAAATGGAGGTTTTGATTGGCTTATTCGCCTATGACCTGTATTGGGAAGATCTAATAAGACTACAAGCCGTCTGCAGGCCCCGGACCCCGTTCCGGGTTGGTCTCGCAGAATAATTGCGTCGCGTAGTGGCTTAATCTTATTCATTAAACGACCCCCCTAAAACCCCCCGATCACGCTGGTCGCTTTGCTTTCGCTTTGCTTTCGCTTAGTAGTTGAAGTAGTTAAAGTAGGAGGGGTAGTAGTAACCAATGTACCAACTAATGTACCAACTAATGTACCAACTAATCTACTAACTAATCTACTAACTAATCTACTCACAATGGAGCTAGTAGAGATAGTAGAGATATCTTAATAATACCTAAAATCTAGGCTTCTCAAAAATACTAGTGAGTATATATCTCACGTGACCTCCGGTAGTATGTTGATGTCTGAATTTTGAACTTCTCAAAAATAGAAGACGGATCACGTGAGGTCACCTGCTGCTAAAACGGAACCGACCAATCATATCGAATCAAGCGTCAAGTTTGACGCTCTGCTTCGCTCCGCAATGATCAGTTAGCTTCTTCAGTCACCGATGTTTCCTTATTCCACAAGATGTGTAACAATAAATGGAGCAGCAAGTCGCAGCTTCCGAGAAAAACGACACTACCAATTCCATCATTCCAATCTACCCTACACAGTCTTTAAAAACCAATCAAACTTAACTTACACTACAAAAGTAAAGTATATACCTACGGAAGACCGTGCAATGTGCATAACTCCTTCCCACACAAAGTGCCCCAAGTGGGCGCCTAATCTCCACAGTTTGCGCTAAACCCACCACCTCCTTCAGCCCCAATCCAACGACCGGATTAACCGGCAAGCCACAGCCACATTGCTCTATTAAGGCAAGTGTCGCGCCCCGTTCGGACACTATCTACGATCCATCGATTCCATTGTATCCATTCTAAGGGCCTTGGGTGCATAAATCGGGTATGGTTCAGCCACTACCGACCCCCGTCTATGCTCCTTCGGCGCATTTACAGTGATATCCAATGGATGAGAGGGAAATTGCGCTGCCTGGTAGGGTGGTAAAGATGGAGTTTTCGGATCTCCCGGCTGCATGTCTTTAAATGCCCCGTTTGGGATTGTTCGCCCACCTAGGGACTTTGTGTTTGGTTCTTGGGCGGAGCCCTGTTGGAAGGGTTGTGGTAATCTTGGGTGGATCGGCGGTCGGGCTGGGTGATGGGCAGATGGAATCAAGGGGATGAATAACTACATTCAAAGACGTCGTTGATAGATCTCTGATCGTGGGTATTTTGTTGCACTCGCGATAGTCAAATTCTAATGCAATTTAATTATTTTGGCGCCATGGTAATCTATTACTCAAAGACTCCGTAACAGTAGTTCGGCAGCGCAGTATACGGGATACGAGATACGAAGACTACGAAGGTACGAGATGAAAACTGGAAATGCAGTAGCCTGGCTAACTGATTGATAAGGAATACGGATCTGACCTGGGACGTACAAGAGCCATCATAAGTAGATTCTTATTCCAATGGATTTTTAGTGCGAAGGCGCAAGATCGAGGGCTTCTTTTTGAGGGTCTTTCGCGAACCTTTACTCCGTAGTTATGCCCCAATCTATGAACCCCAGGGTCAATTCGCGACTTCAATACAATTATCAGCCCCCAGATTTATGTACTCCTTCAAGATGGATGATCGACAAGTCGATCCCCGCTGACTATCACGGGCGATGACGTTTCATGCAGAAAAACACGAGGGCCGAGAGCAGACAAGCATCACAATAATAATGATATTATGATACATTATCATACAACATCAAGCGTGGCACAGGCTCACCTCAGCTCAGCCCTGTAGGGATGAAAAATCCCAAAATAAAATCAATCATTTCAGCTGGAATAATACCTAGTTATGCACCAGCGTATACACCGCCGATTCTCTCGAGGAAATTAATTTCGGGGGCCGGAAGGGTTCGTTCCAATTGTTTTTTGACATCACCAGCTCCACTCGCTACTCATCCACTCGCTGCGCCATGATTGACGGTTCCCCGGGAACGATCTGAGTCCGTTCAATTTTTTGCACATTATTTGCCAAGATGGGAATGAGACCCTAACGAAAGGGAGATGAGCTCCAGCTCCGAGGCTTGGCTAAGCTTCCGGCGTCCCCGGCCTGCATAAATATCAATCCAGGCACCCCCTCGCTGCGACTGCCATTCTCCCCGGATTGTGAAGTACCCCTTCCTTTCCTTTTTCAATCTCAGTGAAGAAGAGGTTGTTAAACCATCATGAAAGTCGCTGGACTCTTCTCCAGCCTTGCGCTGGCCCTTTCTGGTACGTTGTTACTCTCGGTCGGGTCTTGGGCCTTGGGCCTCCTTCGGTCCTGCAAGGTCCCGTGAACCTCGAACCTCGCCAGTTTGTGCGATCACAAGCCATTTTGTTAACATGTCGATGATCATTCAGGTGCCCTCGCAGCTCCGAGTGCTATCGACCCCGAAGAGTTCTCGCTTGCTCTTGCCGGCAGAGCCCTACCTAATGCGCCCGATGGATATACCCCGACCAACGTGAGCTGCCCAGCCAGTCGCCCAACGGTACGCAGTGCCGCCAAGCTTTCCCCGAATGAGACTTCATGGCTGGAGACTCGTCGCAATAAGACCCTGTCGGCTATGAAGGATTTCTTCGGTCATGTCAAGGTCGGCGATTTCGATGTGACCTCGTATCTGGATAAGCACGCGAGCAATTCCTCCAATCTGCCTAACATTGGTATTGCCGTGTCTGGTGGTGGTTACCGCGCGTTGATGAACGGTGCTGGTGCTATCAAGGCCTTTGATAGTCGCACGAATAATGCAACTACCAGTGGTCATTTGGGTGGCTTGCTGCAGTCGGCTACTTATCTGTCCGGTCTGAGTGGTGGTAGCTGGCTGCTGGGCTCGATCTATATTAACAACTTCACCACCATCTCGTCGCTGCAGACACACACGGATGGTGCTGTGTGGCAGTTTGGTAACTCTATCCTCGAGGGACCGGATACTGGCGGTGTTCAGATCCTGGATTCGGCTAGTTATTACAAGGACATAGCTACCGCTGTGGAGGATAAGAAGGATGCCGGATTTGATACCTCAATCACTGATATCTGGTATGTAAAGCTCCATTGTCAATTTGGATCATTAGGATAAACATCACTAACATTGTTACTATAGGGGTCGAGCTCTCTCTTATCAGATGTTCAACGCAAGCAATGGCGGTATTCAATATACCTGGTCGTCCATTGGCGAGACCCAAGACTTCATCGATGGCAACTACCCCCTGCCTCTCGTCGTTGCAGACGGCCGTAACCCCGGCGAGTCGGTAGTCGGTAGTAACTCGACCGTGTACGAGTTCAACCCTTGGGAGTTCGGCACCTGGGACCCGACAATTTACGGCTTCGTTCCTCTCAAGTATCTTGGATCAAGATTCGTAGGCGGCTCCCTCCCCAGCAACGAGACCTGCGTCAACGGATTCGACAGCGCTGGCTTCATCATTGGAACTTCGTCCACCCTGTTCAACCAATTCCTCCTCCAAATCAACACTACCTCACTCCCCACCTGGGTGAAGAACATCTTCACCGATATCCTGGAGAAGCTAGACAAGGCCGACGACGATATCGCCGCCTACGATCCCAACCCTTTCTACCACTACAACAACGACTCATCCCCCTATGCAGCCCAAACCGAGCTCGACGTCGTCGACGGCGGTGAAGATCTCCAAAACGTTCCTCTCCACCCGCTCATCCAACCCGAGCGCCACGTCGACGTAATCTTCGCCGTTGACTCCTCCGCCGATACAACCTACAGCTGGCCCAACGGCACAGCTCTAGTCGCTACCTACGAGCGCAGTCTGAACAGCACCGGCATCGGCAACGGCACCGCCTTCCCCGCCATCCCAGACCAAAACACCTTCGTCAACCTGGGCCTAAACACTCGCCCTACCTTCTTCGGCTGCAACAGCTCCAACCTCACTGGTCCAGCACCCCTGGTCGTCTACGTCCCCAACTACCCGTACTCAGCCATGTCCAACGTCTCCACCTTCACCCTGTCGTACAACGATACCCAGCGCGACGATATCATCCTGAACGGCTACGAAGTCGCGACTATGGCTAACAGCACTCGGGACGGAAACTGGACTGCCTGCGTGGGTTGTGCCATTCTCGCCCGCTCCTTTGAGCGTACTGGTACCACTCTCCCGAGTATCTGTACCCAGTGTTTCTCAAACTACTGCTGGAATGGTACCACTAATTCAACCACGCCGACTGGTTTCGAGCCTACGGCTTTGTTGGGTGTTAAGTCGAGTGGGGCGGGTGCTTTGATGCCGACTTTGTTGTCCGCTATTCTGGCATCTGGTGTTGCCTTGTTTGCGTTGGTTTAGTTAGGTAGGATGCATAGTAAATGGGGTTTAGCTTTTCCCTGAGGGTTGCTTTACCTTTTCTGTTTCTCCTCCTTTTTTGACGCTTTTATGACGTTACTAAGAGCTGTTTATGACCTATTACATTTTTATTCTAGACGCTGGTTGTATTGTACTCGGGGTTGCATGATAGGTATCAAAATCTACCGCGTTCTGTTCTGATTACTTTGGGACTTGGGAAGTAGAAGTAGAAGTAGATGAGTCAAGTAGATTCAATTAGCAGATGATGTTCCCAAATAACGGGGCTACTTCCTATCTCATGAGCTGGCTCCGAAGAGGTAGGTAACGAGCAAAATCGAAGCGGTAGATGTCAACTCGTGGGAAGATTCTTGATAGCGCGTGTTAACCACTTGCCGGGCGTGACTGTGAAGTGTACAAGGTGCCTCATGGTAGCGCCTCAGATTAAGAACCAAGCGCCTGTCATCATGTCTCAAAATGCGGAGCTGGACATACCAGACCACTCCAAGCGGTATCAAATTCCTAAACAGACAGAAAAGAAATCCCTCTCCAAAAGAAGCCTGTCTATTGCCCACGTGCATCTCTACCCAATTCCCAGAGCCAAATGCGAAAGAACCATATCTGCAAGACAATGAAGACCGAGGAGGACAAAATGAGAAGGAAAAAAAAGGTAAAAAAGAACTCAAGGCTTACATAGCCCCGAATGCGGGTTCAGAATAGATAATACAGAAGAGAAGGCAAAAGGTGCAACAAAAGGGAAATATCAAGAGACATCAACAAAGAAAATTCGTCAAGGCGGCACGGCCCGAGCCAGGACGCGAATATTATCCACGAAGCCCTTTACCAATTCTTCATATTGGTTTGACGGATCGCCCGCCACGGCGAGAAGGCCCTGACGTCGGATTTCGTCAGCAGAGACTTCGACTTCAAGCTCGTGGTCAAAATCGTTTTTCGTCGGCGCCTGTTGACAAAAAGTCAGAAGATTGGTTCATAGTTACACAGGTAGCTGATCAGGGGGGAAGATGCGGGGGAAACTTACTTCGACCGTTGCCACTTGTGTCAGGTCGATTTGGTAGGCCAAGTGTCGGTAGCTCATGCGGTCTTTGTTGCGCTCGCCGCGGCCACCCTTGGAGGCGTCCACCATGGGGAGGTGGGTGACATCGCCATCGTACTCCATTTCAAGGTTGACAGAAACGCGCCAATCGACGTTTGTGCGGGGACTGTACACGTCAATGTCTGCGACGCGACATTTGACAATCTTTGCGATGATTTCACCGGTCTTTGCATCGGTGGTCACACGGACTTTGGGTTTGTGGCGAGGGTTAAGGTTCTGCCGGATCACTGGTGGTAGTTCCTGGGGCGAGATCTCGTAGAATGTATCGCGCTCCTTCTTATGAGCGTACGAGATTGGAATGCGAGATGACTCGTTGGCCATCGATGCTTTGACTTGCTCATTGAGAAAGTTATTCATGGCTCGATGTTGCTCCTGCAAAAAGTTGACGGTTAGTCCTCTTCCGCAATGCGAATAGATATCAATACACCAGAACATATGGTTACTTACAACAGTCATGTTACTTTCAAATGAAGTGCGCAACCGGGACTCTCGATTGATGACGCCCTCGGTGAGAATTGGCAGCACTAGTCTCTCTCGGCGATCCATGTCCATGACATGACCCAACTTTGCTTCAATTTCGATGAGGGCACCTTGTCCTACAGCAGCCGAGCCCGCAGCACCAGTCCCTACGTCGGTCCTCATCACCACATGCTGGAACAGGAAATCGCAAAGCTGCTTAGTGATTTCCTCGAATGGGATGAGCCCTGTAATTGAAGGCTCCCACGGACCAAGCGAGCCCTGTTGCTGCGCGCGAGGAGCAGCAGCGACAGCAGGAGGTGGAGGGGGGCCATTTGTGCTGGGTGGAGGCACCGCTGGCCCAGGTGTCCGAGCAGTGCGTGCGGTTGTCGTAGAGCCAGCAGTCGATGCTAATGACTGCCTGCGAGAGGCCCACGGATCCTGGCCGGAGCCTCGTGCATGTTTTGGAATCGGCGCCTGCGGGTTGGGAATCACGGGACATCTGCCCTTGGTTCGTACTGATCGCTGAGCATAGATCGGAGGTTCATTGTACCGTCTCCTCTTGGGCTTGGGTTGTTGAATCTCGCTGCGATCTGTGGCCCCTGGATCCACCTCCATTTTAAGGGGATGGGAACTGCTTCTTGAGGCGGATGGGGAGCTGGTGATCTGTGTCTGTGTGGTAGCAATGGGTGAGGCGCGCCTATCTGACCCTGGGCCCGATGGGAATGCTGCCGTGGGGCTCTCGTTCCACTTTTGATCTTCAGACGAACGGCGAGGAGCTGTACCAGCAGTATCAGACGCAGTTGCGGTGCTGTTCTGTCGGGAGGTAACCTTCGGACTGGAGATCTCGGAGGGCTCCTGTTTGACGGTAGGAGGAAAGTGAGGAGCCGATTCGGAGTGGCGAGAGGAAGGTGAGATCTGTCGTGAAGTTGAGGGAGATTGGGTCTGCTTCGCATTCCGTCCTTGAGATTCATGCACGGTGTAGGGACTAGACAAATTGTTCCGCGGAGAGTCGCGACCGGATGACCGTGGGCGTGCGGAGGAAGGGGATTGACGAGAGGAGATAGTGGGAGGAGGACCCAGGGGGGTTCCTGGAATTGAACGATGTGTGGAGGGAGAGAATTGATGAGAGGGAGGCGGGTGCGAGGCAGACGGGGGGCTATCTCGAGGGCGGAAGGTTTCACCCGCCCCAAGCGGGTTCGTCATCACGGATTGCAACGAGTTTGACCGCTGTTGCGCAAAATAAGACTGTTGCTCGGAATGCTGAGGACCAGCACTCATGGGCTGCTGCGGCGTGTACGGGGAGGCCAAGGGGCCCGCGGGAGCCTGGGGGTGCGAATTGTAGCCCGACGTGCCGTACGGATCACGCGCACCGGAACCGTATGGGGTCGACACCTGCTGCGGACTTTGACTTGGATGCGATTGAACGGCCGTATTCAGAGGCGGCGGTGCTGGGGTGAACTGCTGGTAGGGCGACTGAGCAGGACCGAAGGACGCGGATCGACCGGGCGAGGCGTGTTGGGCGTGTTGGGCGTGTTGCAAGGGCTGTGAGGAACGGTTCGAGTATTCGGCGTACTGCGACTGTTGCTGTTGTTGCGACGGATGTTGAAGAGATGAATCAGGCGCGCCCGAAGATTGACTGGCTTGCGGGGCCTTGGAGGCAGCGCCGCCGTCGGTGTTCATGATCGTGCGCAAATCCATCGCGACAGCTTGCCCACTTTTTTTTTGGTCGGGTCGGGGACCACCACGATCACCAGCGCAAGTGCCTAGAATATTATAAAGAAAGATTGGCAACTGGCGATCGCGACATCCAGACCTTAGCAGGGTCGCGATGCTGGCGGAGGAGTGGACAATGACTGAAGGACAAAGAAGGAAGGAGAAGTTCTCGGGATAGCGCGAATTAGGGAGCTTGGGAGGATCATCGCCGCTTCGGGGAAGGGGGCGAGCGAAAAAGGCCACGATTACGAATTACAAGGTAGATATATGGGAAGATTCATGAGATAATCTTCAGATGGAGGGGGTATGGATATTGGTTTGATTTTATCAGATGTTGTTTCAAGGGATCTATTCAATACAGTACTCCAGGTGCTCGACACTATCGAAGCTCAATCCCAAAAGGGGAGAGCTAGTGCAAGCTTCCAGAGCTATTTACTACTTATCGGCTCTGATAGTTTCCTGGATGTGTGGCACATACTAAACTTGAATATTCTATGCAATGTAAGCAGATCAGACTATTTACTCCCACTATAGACAACTTTAAGTGCTCTAAGGATGAAGCAGTCGATGACCAGACGAGTGTTTCTCGGAAGGCCAAGTGGAATCTTCGATATCATCACGTGTGTTTGATCTCATGTCACGTGATTCGACTGACTAGTATAGAGCAACATGCTGTAAGCATTGCAGAGCAACGATTCGTCGATATCGTCTAGAAATATAAAGTAAATTATGTAATAATCCGATAATTTGGACCCTCTTCTATGTTAATTAACAGGCATGCGCCTCCTTAATGTCCATAGTGCGCTTTGATTGATCATTTCCGCTGTATGACGCGTCACCGACGGAGTATAACAGGATCTACAGAGTCCGGAGTGTTTTCAAGCGTCACAATTGAACAGATCACTCGGTTCGTAGGTTATCTTGATACGAGCATAACAGATCAATAGTCACGAGCTATTCCTTCTATGATCCATAGATCCTTGTGAGTTGAGTAATTCTTGATTTATAGAACAGCTCAATCGCCGAGCAGACTAGTCCACCTGCCGCAATCGGGAGAGTCCGCAAATGGCATTAGATCAACGGTCTCGTTAGGTCTACTCCTCTCTTCCCGCTTCTTGACACTTTCCAACTATCCCGGGCTTTTAATCTCTGCAGCTGTACATTGTTTGCCAGCCTTGCCATTGTGTATGGATTCGGCCTGCCAAGAAGACAACCCTGAACTAAGAAACGCCATCCCGCTGACATATTTCTTCCGGGGCTTCGGGGTATTTTCGACCGCGTTCTGGCTCCTCTGATCTCAACACTACGACCACCTTGAACATCTCCCAAGCTGCACTCCCCGAACCACGAGGCTAAACCCATAGCTGGGAGTCAAGTTTATCTCACCCATCGACAATAACATACTCCTATCCAATTTCAATGCCCGATTCGATTTAACCAACCCCCGTGCTAGGCTGCCGCCGCACCTCTCCCTCCAAACCCCTCGACCGTCGACACCATGGCTCCACCAGCCCAATATCGAGCATCGACGTCGGCTTCAGATATCCCTCTCGCTGACCTCGAATCCGGCCCTCGAGCAACCTCTCAGTTGAATGACACCTCCCGCTGGAACGGCTTCTCCCAATTCCACCCGTCCAATATCCTCGCGAACCCCAATGGGCTGGCACCAAAAGTGTCGCAGGAAGATTGGCTGGCCTATACCGAAGACCTAGGTCATAGATTGACAGTCGCGTTGACCCCAAGTTTCCTACAACGATATGTGGGTGGTGGCGCACCCCATCCTACCAAGCTGCATGCCATCGCAGCACTCGATGGACTGCGCGGTTGGGCCTGTCTCCTGGTCTTCAACTTCCACTTCCTCTTCACATACACTTGGAAGGTTGCGATCGGATGGGGATTTGCAGGGGAGAATTTTGGAATTCATCAGCTACCTTTCCTACACATGTTGATCTCGGGCCACATCATGGTGGCCATCTTTTTCGTCATCTCCGGCTATGTGCTCTCCTACAAGCCCTTGAAAACCATTCGATCCCGGTCGTTCGAGGAGACCTTTACGGTTTTGGCCTCTTCGACCTTCCGACGGGCACTGCGCCTCTATATTCCTTCCATCGTCGGTCTCACATGCGTCTTTGTGGCTGTCCGTCTCGGTCTGTACAACTACTCGTGGGGCGTCATCAAAGAAGGCCATACCATTGTTGGCACAAATGAACAACACCCGCCCATATACCGCTCCTTCATTAAGCAGTTCTGGGACTTTTATTACACCGTCGCCCACCTGCTGAACCCATTCGATTGGGGTCTCTACTACAACAACTACAACCCGCACCTATGGACCATCCCCGTAGAGTTTCGGTGTTCCCTCGTCCTTTTCATCACGACTCTGGCTACCTCCCGTCTGATGTCGGTCATCCGGATGCCTCTCGTAGCAAGTCTCATCTGGTTCTGCATGCGTTATGGTCGGTGGGATGTCGTTCTGTTCCTGTGCGGCATGCTGATGGCCGAGATCGATCTCGTCAACGGAACGTGGGAGCGACCTGCGAACTCTGCAGCAGCTAGGGACGATAGGAAACACATTCGCTTCCGTCCCGGCGGCAAGATCATAGCTACCGTCTCCCGCCGACGCCTATGGATTGGCATATTTGTGTTGGGTCTGTACATCGGATCGACCCCAAATCTTGGATTCAAGTGGACACCCGGGTACATGTGGCTCTGGAAAATCACACCATGGACATATCCCGAGCCACATCGATTCCCACAGACTATCGGCGCGACTTTGATCGTCTTTAGTATCAATCACTCTCCCGATATTCAGAAGCTCTTCACCAATCCGTTGTCTCAGTATCTGGGCAAGATCTCGTTCGCCTTTTATATTGTCCACGGTCCTATTCTGCATTCCCTTGGCTACTCAATCATGCCTAGTATATGGGCTATGACGGGCAAGGAGACCAATTTCCAGTACTGCCTTGGATTCTTCATTGGCTGGTCTATCTGTCTACCTATCGCTATCTGGGCGGGCGATGTCTTCTGGCGCGCCGTCGATGTGCCCAGTGTCAAGTTTGCCCGCTGGATCGAGAGTCAAGTTATCGCTAAAGGTTCACCTGCGACTGGGACGCCGAGTTTGTCAACTCCAAGAGCACAAACTCCACGGAACCAGTGAGTTTGAAACTATGCAATGACTACCACTCCTTTGTGGGAAATCATTCTTGCTAGAGTATATGTCCCTCGTTGCGGAGTATTACTTCCTACATTTTCTCTTCCTTTTGTGATACCACCTCGCTGGACGAGTTCCCGATTCCTTTTTTTTCTGACTCGCATACCTCGAACCTGGTTTCAGCCCATGTAAATATAGATTCCAATACACTTGCAGATAGAAGATCCGGGATGGATTTTAGGCCTCTTTCAGCATATCCTCTTCCACTATTTCCAACCGATCATAAGACCAGATTGAATAACAGTTCATCTACAAGGGGGCAGAAAGGGCATCACGACCAAGTGCGATATATCGTATCATTCATTCATCACTCGTACCAAAATCAAAAGTAGATCACGATGCTACCATCCACCACTTTACCCAATCAACCTCCAAAGCCCTAGTCAAGAAGCCCCACGCAAGCAACTCAATGGGGGGAAGGTATGTAGCCAAACACAATCTGCTCTCACATAGCCTGATGCACAATATGCAAGAGAACGGACAAATCCACCAATCTAGCAGCAGGGGAGAGATAGGAGACGGGAGGAAAAAGTAAAGCGGAGCAAGATTGATGGGGTGATCGGAGGGCAAATCAAACCATCTAATGCAATCAAGTCAGGGAGAAAAACGTTGGATCCTCGCTCGTAAGATAAAGCTTAAACAAGAGGGAAGGAAATAGCATGGCAAGAAACAGAATGCAAAAAAAGACATGGTCCCCCGCCCTCGTATGCTTCCTTTTTTAATTCTTCCCTAGCCTTATAATGAGACACCCCATATTCCTCGTCCACCGCAGACGCCAAGCCATTCACGCGGTTGGCCGGCGTGGTTGGGTCCGCCTTGTGGGGACCAGCTGATATTTGAGACTTCGTAGTCACATTGCCATGCGGCAGCGGGACCGCGCTCGGAAGTCGTGGCTTGGGCGGGAGTGCCGGGAGCTTGAGGTGGAGACAAAGGCACGGCGTTATGTTGGTTAATGAGATCCCAAATCAGGACGAGGCTGTCGTCACCTCCAGAGGCGAGGACACCGCGTCGGTTGGGAGACCATTCGACACAGTTCAGGGAGGCAGAGTGGCCCTTGAGCTCGAGGAGGGCCTGTCCAGGTTGGCGTACGTCGAGCACGCGAACGACGTTGGAATCCTGGGAGAATGTGGCCAGGAGATGAGCGTCGTGGGGGGATGCTATTGCGAGGTCAATTGGTGCTCTTCTTAAGCTGGGGAATAAGGGGGCATCTCCATACCTGCAATTCTCAACAGTGGCGGGGGCCAGAGGCCGGATTGCGATGGACCGGATGGGCTGGAGTTGCCAGGGCTCATCACTGCTGTAGGCAGAGTTAGCATTGATCCCCACACCAGTTCCATAAATCAAACGCGGCACTTACGCTTCTCAGTCTTTTCTGATGGCTCGTAAATGATAGTGCTGTGCTCCAGGCTTCGCAAGTCAAACATGCGCACACTTCCATCAGCGCCGCAGCTGACGAAGACGTCCACGCTGTTAGCACAGAAGCGAACATCATAGACTTCCTTGTCGTGAGCGATAAGCTGCGTCTTGGCCGTCAGCGTCGGAATATCCCAAATAGTGCAAGTTGTGTCGATGCTAGATGTAATAATAAGACTCGGGGAAATGGTGTTCCAGTCAAGCGAGGTGATAGGGGCAGTATGCTCGGGAGATTTAGAGTTGGATAGGAGCGCCAATGGAGAGAGCTTGGCAGGAGGAGCGTCTCTTTGGGTCGAAGGTCGGGTGATCGAGTTCGAGCTCTGCAAGGGTTGGGTATTGGGGAGGGACCACAATCGCAAATGATCGCCCGATGTCGCCAGCAAATCAGTAGACTGCTTCTGAGATGATGGGGGTTCCCAGAGAATGCGAGTAACAGGATAAGAGTGTGTCGCCTCGGCGGTCTTGACATAGTCCAGCTTGATCTCCCCCGCTGCGGCGTCTGGGGTATCCGGGTCAGGTTGCGTCCAGTGTGTATCGATAATTTGAATCTGAAATTGTGGGTTAGAAGGACACGCAAAGATAGGACAGTGTTTTTCTGCGGACGGAGATGGATCTCACATAGTTGTGGTTATCTTCTAGATAGCTCCCAAGGGCCAACTTGCCCCCAAACGAGCTCGAACTTCCCGAAATGGGCCATTTACACCAATCAACGGCATATATAGGCCACGGTGCCACGTAGTTACTGTTTGTAGGTATCTGAGTATCTCCATTGTAAGGAAGCGACCCGGGACTCATGAGCGATTCACCCAGAATATGGTCGCCAGGGGGTCGAATGTCTGCCAGTCCCAGCGGGGAGTACTTGGAGCCCTGCGGGGTGTGTGGTGGGAACCCAGCCCCCGGAGAAGCGGGATACTTGGATGCTTCCGATGCCCCATGTTGTTTGTACAGAGGGGATTGATCGAAACCCGCGGGACTGGACCGTGAATGGCCGTGGGAATTGATCATACTTGTGCGATGGCTGGTCTGCTGTGGTGTCGACTGCGGCATGGAGGGAATCCCGGACGGAGCTGTGTTGACCGAAACAGCAGGCGGACGATGCTGACCTCCGGGGGTCAGCGATCCAGGCAGAGTAGCGCTGCTGTGTCCACCGGAACTCCCACTGGGCGCATACTGCATGGAGGCTGCGGCGCTGGAGTGGACGTTGATCGCGGGGACTTGGGTCGAAGCGCCCGCGTCGGGCGTTGTGGGGTAGTCGTGGGCTGACTGCTGACGAGAGGCAAGATTGGGATTGATCAGTCCCGTTGAAGGAATATGCAGCTCCTCAGGCTGGCGCCCGAATACGGTCGACCGTCGATGAGAGTCGAAGGACTGGACGGGATTCGACATGGTGCGGAGGTGCCAACCGGGCAGCTGGCTGGGTCTAAGGGAGGAGAAGGGTCGGGGTCTCTCTCTCTCTCTCTCTCTCTCTTCGTAAGCTCCACTCCCCCTAAGGATGAGAACAACGAGTGGGAGAGGGGCTCCGAATTGAAAAAGCGGACGAGCTGCGAACGAGCTCTAGGACTTTCCGGACGAGGACAGCGATTCAAGTCCAGCTGGGGATTCGACTGGAGGCGCAGCTTCGCAAGTCGAGGGCAGCTGGTCCCGCGCTGACTCAGCCAACCCCGGCCTCGGGCAGATCGCTATCGAATTTACTTTAAGTGGAGCATCTTTACATCCATCATCGATTCAAATAATGAAACATGAGATATAGTCGCAATGGTATATCACGCCTATGAAAACCTATCCACCGATCTCAAGAGAACAGCTAGTTCAACAATCCCCAGAGTCGTCATTATCGGCGGTGGTGTCAAGCAAGAGGGATAGGATCGATGAATAGACACTCCAGACGTGAGAGGAGATCGTGACTAGTGAATCCCGGTAGGTAAAGCGCTTCAAGATTAGTAACCATGCGCCTCGTATGGAATATAATGGGATCCAGTAAATAAGACTCCAGAAATGTATCTCTCGATGTCGGGTTCTCTGCTAGGGACCAGGCCCTTTGCCCATGGTGCTATCCTCCACGCATATTGTTCTTGTTCGACTGATATTGGGGATTGAACGACGCAAATCACGCAGATTGTACGGGCGTATTTGAGATGTGAATGTCCTCGGTCATCTCGGAGCCAAGAGTCTTGAGCATGCCATCGACAAGCGATGACTGGACAGTCTTCCTACATGGAGACATATTTGAGTTCTTGTATGGTCTTATCAGGAGGAAGGTTATAGGTATATAGGTTAGAGCGTACCTCTTCCTTTCTAAGATGCCGCCGCTTTTAAGGGATTTTGCTATTCGCACAACGCATTTTCTCGATTTCACTAGCGTACCGAACAGTAATCCAACCGGCAGGATCCGATCAGGCAAAAAGCATCTCTCTTTGGGTTCTCTTCCACGTTCTTACTGGGTTCGAGATCGTCTTCTCCGCGAGGCTCTAGAAGGGTATACAGTACTAGCCTGTTTTAGGCCAGCCGGAATTATACTAGTAGTGCTGAACTTGCTTCACGATGATACTATACGATTACCACAGCAGACTGCTTCACGGACACTGCCTTCTGGAAACTGCCGCCGGGGAGCTCACTCAGTAGTTAGTAGCACTTAGTGACTAACTTACTTAGCGCGCACTTCTAGCACGTCTTGCAAGATACTCGATAAGACCCGAGTCCGAGTAAGGCTTAGTATAGCAACGGTACGGTTACGTGATACTCTTAGGATCCGTAGTGGAACTAGGCAAGTATAATCCAAAGGAACTCTACTCACAGTGACCAGTTGGCACCGTGTAATACCCTGGAGCGATGTTCGTAGACCAAAATGCTTAGTCTAAAAGAGATAGTGATTACTAGCATAGAAAAACCGGCCGGTAGCCCTAGGTAGAGACGGCTGTGCCTAGGCTGACTAAGTACTGCGGGGACGGGAATCTTGGATATTTTGGTGGTTCGGCATCGGACCTTTATTACTTCAACCCTTCAAACCCTCCTGTGGTTTCTGCAATCGCGAGTTCTCTGTCTATCTCTTTAATTGTACAAGCTTCAGCCCTCCATTTCTTTGACTTCTCCCTTTTTCCTGGCTAGCGCTGTGCTTTTGTTTCATGGCATCCGGTCCCCCCACATCGGCCGCGGCTCTTTTGCTGCTTCCCCCGCCGCCATCCTTCGCGTTCAAACCAGTCAAGGATGTATTCGAAAGACCCCTTGCCGATATTCTGGTCAAGCTTGTTAAATCTCTCAATGGGTCCAGTTCCATTGCTACTCTCGATATAGTCTTGCAAGTTCCGGATTTGCTCTCGCCATCCACGAGGCCACAAGCCAAGATCTTTGCTCCGCTGCAGCACTATCTCACCAGCATTTATACTCTCGTCGGAGCTGTCGCTGCCGCACACAATATCGAATTGGACTCCCCCGGTGGCATTGATGCCCGAGCATTATTTACTGGGGACTCTTCTTCCAGCCCGTCTGTTTCTTCCGGCTTGAGCTTCGGGCCTATTGTCGACTTGCAATCTCTCGTGACCTCGGGCCGACGGTGGAACCATGTGTTCTACCTTGACAACGAGGCCGGCAGCAAGCTATTCCAGGATTTCACTCGCACAAGCGAGGCCCATAACGTCCATACCGTGATCAATGGACAAGTCATCTCTAATATCTCCGATTGGAGCATTCCGGCGTCTCTTTTACTTTCAGAGGGCCATGAAGGCGCCTCATTGCAGCCCCACTACTCCGTGATTGTCGGTGGTACCTTCGACCATCTTCACTTGGGCCACAAGCTTCTCCTCACGGCGCTGGCACTCACGCTAGAGCTACCCAGTGAAGCTGACCAGGGCCAGGAAAGGTTGCTGACCGTCGGAGTCACGGGCGATGCGCTTTTGAAGAACAAAAAGTATGCAGAGTTCCTCGAAAGCTGGGATGCCCGTTTCCAGAGCACTGCTGCCTTCCTCCGTGCGGTAATGGACTTTTCCCCCAATAATGCTCCCCGCACCGAGCGCACTACTGCACCCGGCCCCAATGGCAACTTTGTGGTGATGAGGATTCAGCCCAATCTGACGTTCAAGTTTGTGGAGATCTGGGATCCCTATGGGCCAACCATCACCGAGGAGAGTCTCACTGCGCTGGTTGTATCGAAGGAAACTGCCTCTGGAGGAGCCGCGGTCAATGACGAGCGGGCGAAGAAAGGATGGAAGAGCTTGGCTATCTTCGAAGTGGACGTGCTGCAGACTGGGGAGGCCACGGACGTTGCGGATGCCAATAACTTCGAGTCGAAGATCAGCAGCACGGACATTCGGCGACGTCGGATGAACTTGGCCAAGGTGTGAAGAGCTTGCTAGGAAATCAATTGGAGAGGAAGAGCAGAGAGAAGAAGATGGTGTTGTTCAGGAGGTGTTCCTAGCAGGGGCCCCTTTCTGCAGAGAAGAGAAATCAGCATGTTGCAGGAGTTGTTTTCTGTTGGAATTGTACATAGTTTGTTTTGCATGAGCCATTGGTCGTTGTTAGACCCGGTAAATGGGATTTGCATCGTCTCGCGATAGCCTATAGTTCGGTGCTGGCGGTTCGTCTGTCAGATACCATCACCATCACCAACACATCACCATCAACGATCTAAATTCCCCAAGGCCGTTTCGATTTCGGCCAAATTCCCTCCAATCCCATGACAATCCTTTTCGTCTCATCCCGTGTCCACCAACGCGAGTGCTCGTCACTCTGCAGATGTGACAAGAGGAGCGGGGGCCTGCATTGGCCTGTTCTTCATCGACGACTTCCAACCACTCAAACTTCTCAAACCACCGGCACTTTCCCCCCCCCACCATCATCCTCATCCCTCCGCTTCTCCTTCCCTGTCATCCAACCACTCCCCTCCCTCTGCATCCATCCACATCATCCACATCATCCACACCACCCCCCGGTCAACCCCCATCCAACCGACTCGCTGCTTTACCTTCTCCTGCTGCAGGTTCGCGCTGGTTGCGCTGACTGGCCGCAGCCCCGTTTAATCATGTGATTTGCAACGAGTGCCTCGTCGCCAATGGAACAGTTAAGATCGTGATGCAAAGGCCCGACCGGGAGAGCGCCAAAGCGCGCTAAACCAGGGTCTTGATGATCATCCCGGTCGCGGTGAGGCATCCTGAGGTCGAGAACTCTCGCCCTGCGGCTATGGTGAGACAAGGCTTCGGGGTTGCGACAAGTCCACTCGAGCTTCAGACGGTTTGCTTTTTTTTTTTTCTTCTTAGCTTCGATTCTCGACTGCCAGTCGGGGTTTTTTCATGGCCATGACTTGCGACTCGAATTTTTGTCCGTTATTCTTTTTCTTTCTTACTTGGCATGCTAGCTTGGTTTGTTTTCTATTGTCTGTCGCTGTTCATCCATTGCCTGTTCGCTTTCTGCATCTTGTCTTATAATCAGCGCCAATCCCACCGGTCGTGCGCCCCCAAATTTACGCTGTCATCTCTCTTTTATCTTCCTGACCTCCCTGCACGGCGGTCTTGTAAGACCCAGGCTGCCTGCGAGCGCCCGTCTCCGTCGACTCGCTCTTTCGCATTTCCATGTTGCTGCTACTCGTCCAAGCAGCCGAGTTGTCGGCTGCAGCACGCCCCGATCATGACCCATCCACGTCACATTCAAGACCTCGCCGACGAGTTGCTGAGCGAGATCTTGTCCTTCCTACTAGAGCAGCCTGCAATCCGAGCACTCAATGGTAATGCTGGCCGGAACGGGCACAATGGTCATTACGCGGGGGAATACGACGACCACCGGAGTGCCTATGGCGAGGCATCCGAGCTAGATCGCTTTCGACTCGTCTGTAAACGATTCATGCGCATCGGCACACCCCGCAAGTTCTCACGATTTAACCTACGTTTCTCCGAGAATGGCTTCCGCCGCCTGGACGATCTACTGAAGATGCAGCTGGCCTGTTATGTGAAAACGGTGACATATCTCGTGCGACCCTTCTATCAAGGCAGCGGTACCCAACGATTCTCACACCCTATCCACAAAACAAGAACTAAAAGAGCCAGCGGGGAAAGCTAATACGTGCGACTTTTCTAGACTGGGTACCGGCACTTCGCACGCTCGGCACCGAAGATCCTATACTCGCGCAATTGCATAGCCGCCGACTGCGCGAACAAACCACCCTGGTCAGCACCAACTATGACCTAACGCAGCTGCGTGCTGCAATCGCGGCATTCTCGGCACTCCAAGAAATCAAGCTTCTTCGTTTACAAGATGAAGCTGACGAACAGCTTCTCGATTTCATTCGCGACCAAGCCATCGGCCATGCCACATCCGACACCCATTTTGACTGGGAATCTGCATGCTCGCGCGCCGTCACAAATTTAGGAATCGCCCTGCTCGATTCACAACGCACCTCAATCCGCTTCATTGGGCCACAAATCAGCCCCGAAGCCACCCTCCAACTCCTCGAGGCGCCCTCGACTACCCTCGCTGCAATGGGTAGCCGCCTAACCAGCCTGGACATCAACTTCCATGCTCACGTCGACATTACCGCAACCATGTCCGACTTATCACCCGTCTTCCATCGCTTCTTCACCGAAGCCAAAAACCTAGTCGCCATCCACATTGGTTTTCCTGCTAAAACTCCACTCGACCTCAACCTTGAAACGATCTTCCACGGCATCCGCTGGAAGACTCTACGCACGCTGAGCTTACAGGGCTGGCGTCTCAGCGCAGACGAAATGATTACCCTCGCGCGCCGGCATCGCCATCAACTACGCGAGTTCCGGCTTTATGCCGTATACCTCCGCGAGGGCAGCCGCTGGAGTGACGTGCTATGCATGCTTCGCGCAGAAATGGAACGCCTATCACGGCTAGATCTGCGCGAGATTGACTACGCCACGAATTTTGACGCCCTAGCCATTGACAGCGGCGTGGAAATCTTCGATCCGCAACCAATAGGCCCGATATCCTCATCCGTATCCGTGGCAGCGGGGACATCTCTGCCAGAGACACCCTTGCTTCCTGCGTTCGGAACGAACGGACATCATCCTGCATTAGTTTCGGGGAGCAGACTTTCGAGACGACGATCGTTGGAGAAAGTTCGGGGCTTGGCGGTAGAGGAATTAGGCGATGATGGAATCCGTGTTCACAGGGATCAGGCGCATCTTTGGGAAGCGTGGGTTTTATCTGGGTTGAGGGGGGATGTGCAGAATGGGAATTTGCATTTTTGTCCATAGTTGCACCGTTGCTTGTTGTTGATTTTGCATTTGCATGGATTGGGTGATTGGTGATTGAGCCCTTGGATATCGGACGAATCAGGAAAATTATGACAGTGAAAGGTTGAGATGAAGAGGATGTTAGTGGGAGGGGATGTGGATAGGTTATCATACCAGGAGTTGGTGGCTGTTTGAAAATTGAATGCTCTTGAAGAGATTTGGTTGTATCCGTCTACATCATAGTTACTACAACTCTGTATTGCACGTTAAGTCGTGTTCTATTGGTCACTATTGAAATGGATGTTACCCACATAAGAGGTTTAAGGTTTTATCATAGCCTTTTGTCATATTCTTAACTGGATTGGTATCTCAAAATAAGTGGAATGTGGTCTCTCAGAGCCCACAACCCAGTGAGGAAAGTAATAATATGTGCTCAACATGCCTGATGGAAGACAGTCGCAATGAAATACGGGGCCAATCAACCCGAGAACCATGAAAAAAAGAAGAAAAGAAAACGAGACCGAGTCGCTTCATCTCGAGCCCATTCGCATGCACTTTCGCTCGCTAGCTTGCTTACGAAGTATAACAACTCGCCCAGTCGCCACCACTCCGTGCAAAGCTCAGCGCCTTCACGAAATCGCTACGCCGACAACGACCCAGCTTATCGGCATTACAGCCATGCAGCGGGACGACCCGATCGTTCACCAGAACCCGGACCAACGGCTCAGCCGAACCCGAGCACTTCATCATCTCGATGTACGCGCGCGCAGCGAACGGCACTGTCCACGCCGCGGAATATCCATCTGCCTGCGCCGCAGACTGGATATGATCCGTCGGCAACGTGGCAGTACCATTGTACAGACCCAACGCGAAGAAGATAGGGATCATGCCGTTGTCGTGTGTGAAATCCGCGTATAAAGTGCGGTTAACGGGGAACGTGGCCGCGCCGGGGGGCGTCCAGGGTGTGGTTTGTCGTTGTATCGTCTTGCACGGCGGTATGCGTCATGCGGGCGATTAGCTCGTTGACGAAGCCGACGCCCTGGGTTGGGCCGAGGGGGTTACCCGCGCCGTAGCCGTAGTATTTACCCAGGGATTGGAGGTAGTTGTACTGTGACCACTCGGCTTCGGTGAAGAGGGCGCAGAAGGAGGAGACCTGACTGGCGTCTGCGGTGGTGGAGATGGTGTCGTAGGCGCACATGTCCATGAGGTAGATGACCTCGTCGTTGGAGAGGGTGACTCCTGGTAGATCGGATTGGATGCGCTTTGCCATGGATGGGGCAATGATTGAGGTGTAGTTTTCTGAGACGTCGTCGCCTAGCGTGCTAGCCTCGAATGCGGGGCAGGTGTTGTGGTTGAGGGTGTTGTTGGCACCGGTGTCTTCGGAGATGACCACGTTGATTGTGGCGTTTGCTTGGCTATGGTCTGCGGCACGGTCTTGCAGTTTGGACTGTTGGAGGCCCTGGATGAAGAAGCGGCCGGACTCGACGACGCGAGAGGAGTCTGATGAGCGGATGAAGGGGACGTGGTCCCGAGTCAGGGCTTCGTAGCGCTGGTAGAACTTGACGCCGGAGCTGACCATTTGGCGCTCGCCAAAGGTGGTCAGGTCATCACTTCCCAGCGTGTAGTTGTACGTGCGCAAGAAAGCCGTCTTGCCATTGAATGCAGTAGCATTGGCCTGGATCGTCTGGATCAGGGACTTGTACTTTTTGCTCTTCGATGCCGTTGGATACCGTGCACCGTGGCGGGACAGAACCTGGACGAAAGTCACGTCGCACTTCTCCGGCACGGTATTTGAGACACCGGCATCTGCAAGAGAGAAGTAGGGCGAATATTGACCCCAGCGGTGAGAGATCTCCGAAAAGCATTGATAACCGCCGTCGACACTGTTGCAAGCCCGCGGAAGAATGGGAATCTTGTGTGGTTTGCTAGACGGTGCGCTCACCACCTCCGAGTCAGGACGTGCTCTGTCGATCACAGTCACATCACGCGAGGGTTCATACCCAGTCACCACGTACCCGGCAGCCACCGAAGCCACGCCCAGGAGGGCGACGATGCTCAGGATAGTCCAACGACGCGATTTCGCAGCTAGAGATGAGGTGCCAGAGCTCCGTGGATCAACATCATTGCCCAAGAGGCTCTCCTCTTCACGTGGATCTCTAGTTCCATACCCCGCCATTGTGAACTGGACTTGGCAGCTTTAGCTGTTGATTGGGCTCCGCGTGTCCGGGAGAGGTTCCACGAGTCCAGGAGAGGGCATCGTGGAAGAAAGAAAAAAAAAAAGTCAGGGGAACACAAGTTGTTATACAAAGAAAAACTGAGGATCAACCATGCAGTAGGGGCCGCGTTGTCGTTGCCATTTCGTCCGTCTTGGCCTGAGAGTTGAGGCTCGCATAACTACATTCTTCACCCCGTGAGGCATTCTAGGCTTCTGATTGGCTACTGCTCCGCCTTACGGCACGTGGGGCAGGTTTATAGTGGGAAATGGCTCGCAACATGAAAGTACTTCAACCTTCATACATTTTCCTATGGACAATCAAGTACTCTCAAGTACTCCAGCATCGTCGTTTCACAATACGATTATCCGGTTCCTCAGATCTGTTTATCTCCGACGCCAATTGCCTGTTTGAACTTAGTTTTTTTACAGGTATATCCACTCTAAGCACAAGACAGACGAAGGAATGGCCCCTTTGTCTGTAGAACATCTTTTACTAAAATAACTAGCAACTCTCTCGATCACGCTAGAACCCGGAATCTCCCTTCGTCTCCCCGGCCGAAAGCCAGTGTCGCTTATGCGCAACACTTCGGAATGAACTTTATTAGCCCTATGCACATATTCAACCATCCCCTACATAGATTCAAGATAGATCCACCATAATCCCTCTCAGAAATTCTCGCTTAACGTCATTCTAAGTCTTAACTCTCTGCCCAACGGCCCACATATTGGCAAAACATGCAGCATGCAGATATGACCCAACACCGAGACTAATCACCCGCGCGAGCTGTCAAATCTGTCACATGCGGGCCGGGTCGACACCTTCTTTTGCGCAAGGGGGCTGCGAGCTGTACAGTATCAGGCTCAGAAACTGCGCAGAGGCAGACCCATCATACTGGATCATTCAGGGCTACATACATGATGCATTTGACAAGGAAAGTCGATTCAATCGATTTCCAAAATCCTGTGCTTCTTAACAAAAATACCACGCAGTAGAGACCCGCTTGAAGATTGAAGCAAGCTACTGCGGGACTAGTGCAAGTGCGTTTAACGATTATCCTTGTTGGGTTGTAAGTGTTAGCTCGGATGGAGACGGCCGAAGTTGAGATATCCAGTTTTACCTGTCAACTGTCAACGGTCGCCCCGGGGAGCCGGGAAGATCCAAGGATGAGAGTGCTGCAGATTACTATCCCATGCAGGGAGTGTGGAGTAGTACATAGCTTGTACAGCGTATGTACTATGTACATTGATGGGCCCCCGATCTATGGACTTCGATCGAGAGCGTTGATAAGATGGTTACCCAGGCGATGCATATGTGTAGATACCTCAGAGTCGTGTACAGCGTCACTCAATGCGTGAATGGGGACGAGGATATTGGAATGAAGTCTTTATTGTACGAATCAGCTCTATATTCCAGGTCATATGATTAGACCACCAAGTGAAACGGGAGTGCTCGCAGGAACGAGCGCAGCTCTAGTAGATAGACAGGCAACAAGAATAAAAAGACCCAAAAATATCAAATGAGAATAGTACTCAATATCGCCAATGGAGGTATCACCGCTGTGCAAACCAGACAGACACCGAATGAGTAGGGCTTCTCTTCCCTGTAAACCAGAGTGTATAGGAGATAGCTTTTTGTAGATCAAATGAAATGCACATCAGAGAAACTCCCGAATAGCCCAGACAGCAAAGAACAGAAACCAATAGATGTCGAGATCATTCAGTATCAATATGTCCGTACCAATATCCAAAATGAAGGTACCCAAGAACCAAGATATACTGTGATCATACACCATGCCAAAAGGTCAAGGCGTATGTACAAGGAAAAGGGATGGGTGAGAAGGTCTCTAATGCTGGGCGAGTCGGGATGCAGTCATGCCAGTGACTGCTTGCCCTTGATGAGGAGGGAGGGAAAAGGTATTAATAGAGCACATAGGAAATGCACAACATAAGAGAACAGAGGAAGGTTTCATGTACCCTCCCGCCTTTCAATATCATGATCGTGACCAAGATCCTTGAAACGGTGGCAGAGACACACCAGCTACTGGCTGCGAGCCTGGATGGGGCGGCAAACTCCGTCCTGCCGATGGCACAGGGGAGTAGGAGGCCGGGCTACCAGCCCCAGACCAACTAGCCGGTGGTCTCGCCGAGTCCACCACCCGACTCGACGCTGCCTGACCCGACCCCGCCGCAGAACTCTGTGCAGTCCCCGAAGTAGGCGTATCTAACACCGGGACTAGACTCGACTGCGAAGGTCGTGGAGAAGGAGGCCTCGGCTTCGGATAGATCGCAGTCCCCGAGCGATCAAGTGTATCACGGAAGAAGTTCCGTTCAGACCGGTAATGATCTCTCTGCAGAGCGAGGAAATGGATCTCCTCGCTCTGGCGCCGGATAGTCTCCGCATGGCGCTGGATCTCATCCTGTTGCGCACTGAGTCGCTGCTCGAGCTGCATCTCGTTGCGCTTGCGGTTGCGAAATCGCCGTGACGCATCGCTGTTGGCCTTGCGTTTCTCTGCTTGTGTTGAGGAACCGGATTTCAGATCCAGCACGCATGGTATCATCCCCGCTCCCCCGGTCATATCTTCTGGGACGCTGCGTGGGCCGGCCGTGGCTGGAATTCCCCGATTCAACGACTCGACTGTCATGTAAGGCGCTGGTGCTGGGTATGCGCTAGGTGGGATGGATACATTTGCGACGGCTGGTGAAGCTCGGCCGTAATGGCTAAATGTCGAATGCGGTGTGGATGGACTTGTTTCCTGCGAGTTCGGATTCGTAAGTAGCCCTGGGCCGGTGCTGGTACGTCTTGAGTGGATGCTCGGCGTTGAGTGTATGGATGCAGAGGTTGGAGGCTGCGTGCCCGGTAGTGATGCAATAGGCCGAAGTGTAGTATCAAGTGGGAGAGGTGAGCTGACAGGTGGTTGGCGCGGACCCAGAGGTGGTTCATGAGGAACCAGCGGAGAATGAGCCACGCTCGACTGGCCGGATGTCCTCCCACTGCTGCCGACGAACCGTGCAGAGGGTGAACCCGGGTTTATTAGAGACCGCGGAAGAGATCTCGGGGACAATGGCTGTTGAGAAAGCGGATACCCCGAGCGAGGTGCTGGAGACGAACCCTGCCGTGGTCTAGGCGAAGATGATAGTCCCGGCCGAGTTAACTTCTCACGAACAGAACTGCTCTCTAGGTCTGGCGTGCCCTGTGCTGGATGGTTCAAAATAGCATGGACACCGATGGGTCGTGCCAATGAAGCTTCCAATGGTGGTTCAACCGGCCCGTATGGATGCCATGACTGTGGCCGCGCGCGCAGCGGCGGCCGACGAGCCGATTGACGATTGCCGGGCGTCAAGTCATCAATCATACTGCGGTCATCAGAGGAAGAGTGAGTCGCATCGTCGGACAATGGACCAGCGCGCAGAGTCTCCTGCGACATGGACGGAAGTGCTTGGATGAGCGTGGGATTAGGGCATGACCGAGTCCCCCTCTCTCTGTATCACCAGGGGTCCCACCGAGGGTATGAGAGAGGGAGGATGCCGGATAACGGGAGTCTTCTGGAGAATGCGACAGCTTTGGCAAATGGAGCGGCCTCGAGTAAGGCGCAGTCAACACGCTGAGGCCAATGGTCGCCACGGTGAAGTAGTGGGCCGAACGCGGGGGGATAGAGAGAGCTTGGCTTTGAGGAAAAGGCAGGAATTCGTGTATTCTAGTGCCTTTCCTGTTTGATTTCCGGTCTTTCTTTTCGTTTGTTTCGCTTCCTCTTCTTCGCTCAAGCCTTGTTCTGTATAGGTAGAGGAAGAAGTATGTAGTGCTCGGCACCGATTGTAATGACGATGTTGGGTATAGTGTAGTATAAAGAAGAGAAGTCGAGATGATGCGAGATTTGCAGGAAGAAAGATCCCCAGCTTATCACAGTGCCTCTAGACCCGATGAGAACGGGGTCCAAATGAAAAAAAATGCTAATTGCAGTGCGATCAGATCAAACATGTGCATGCACGGCGGAAGCGATCCGAGGCCCCATCAAGGTGAGGGGGTCCAAGCTAAAGGAGGAGGTGGGCAGAGAAGATGATATATAGAAAAGTATTGAAAAATGCAAGAAATATAGGTCCAATAAGGGACAATGGCTGAATAACTAGGGTCTGAATGGAAGGAAGTATGGCAAGTGCAAGGTACGAGACGGAGAGGAAGAAGAGAGGAAGAAGAATAAGAAATTAGAATGTTAACAGTAGAAGGAATCTGTCATGAGGTAATGGTAGAAATAATTCAAAATAAATTCAAATAAAAGGCCGTTGAGAAACGCAGCGGTGAGAAGTGGAAAAGAGGAACGAGAAGGACAAGGCAAGAAGACGAATCCCGACCCCGAAAATGTGCTAAACTACTTGTGCTTCAGTCTGGGAGGGGCATTGATTCATCACCTTTTTTTTATTTTTTTTTATTTTTGGTTTCTGTCCGAACCAAACTGTCGGATTTAGTGTTGGGCATTGGGCAGGGACAGGCCTCACCTCTTCTCCTAATTCTTACCCAGACTTATACTTCGTACTTTGGGACGCTGCTATACTCCGCCCCCAAACATTCTTACATACTCGTGACGTTCTAAATCACAAATCCACGATGGCCATAGAAAGAATAGTCAGGTTTCTCAGGCCTAGAGCTAGGTCATATCTGCTATCATATACGCTCTGAAACGGCAAGGCCAAGCTATCCTCGATCTCATGTTTCTATAGAACATTCTATGACAGACGACAGTTATATACAGAACTAACAATTTATCGCCATTGCTGAATTGGCGCCCTGCCCGCCTCAGCCTCGATGGGGCGAAAGGGTTTGACTCTCTCTAGTCCAATGCCCCAATGCCCAACCTCGTGGCCTTCAAGACCAAACCAGACCAGACCTAGCGCCAGGCGCCTGGACCCGGGAGACTGGCGGGGGGACAGAAGATTAGCGGTCTTGAGTTGTGTGATGGGACAAATGGCCAATTCTCCACTGCCATGCCTTCTCGACCCTCTTTTCATCCACTATTACCCACAATTATTAGCTGCCCGGAAAACCAGCCAACGATCGTAGGGATGCAAACCGCCAATCGCCACTGCTCAAATGGGTGGGGAGGGCACCTGCGAGTGTGCAGGCGCCGTCACCATGGACATGGACAAGGGACGGGTGGAGTCTTCCTACAGAAGGTTGTCGAGCTCTTGGATTGTTGGGCTAAATTATTCTTTATTTTCTCGTCTGCTTGCTTTTGAAGACCCTAGTCATCTATCTATTTACCGCCACCTTTTGGTCGATGACGATGAACAGTGGATAGTGGTGATGTTCGTGGCCCAACGAGAAAGAAGGAGTATGGAGCTGTTAGCGGCTTATTGGTCTCAACTCATCTTGATATACGTTGCTATCTGTCTTGTTTTTGTTTCTTGTCCGCCCTCTGCTTTTTTTGCTATGATGGTGATTCTTTTACTTTTTGTCTTTATCTGTGTAGGCGCGCATTCAGCGGAAAGGACAAAAATCTAGGCAAGATAAGCGATCAAAAGGAAAGACTCTGACAGGACAATCATCAAAGTCTCGGAGCTTTCCAGCCTCTCCGAAGGTCAATGTCAACTTCTTCCAAAGAATAATTAATGTGGCGAGCTTGGCAACCTCGATGGGCGATTTTAGGGGGTGTGGGCCATTCGTTCGATCTGTGACGCAAAACACCGATGACGGTGGAGGAACGAGAATTATAATTCAATGTCTATGCCGGCATGCCTCTGATCCATACTTGACAGGGTTTAGTGTATGCTCATGGAGGCAATGGTAACCATCCCTTTAACCCGAAATAGTATCCGTGATTCGGCCGGTGCTGTCATTTTCCGAGGAACAAGAGAGAGACTAGTCTCGAAGGATGAAAGGGAACATCGAAATGAAATTAAAAGCCATAAATTGACATTTATTCAGGGTAAGTCCCACATGGCAACTGGGGGGGGAAGCGACCACAGAGAAATAGTCGAGAACTAGGCGACACGTTCGTTGTACAGACCACATCTTGGGAAAAAATAATTAATATTAAGCTAGACCTACATGCAAGGAATTGCGAACTGACATAAGTACTATATGAGCGTCGAAAAGAAAACAAGCAAGCGATAGGGGGGTGAAGAAAAAAAAAAGGCAAAAAAGGAAAAGAAAGGAAAAGGAAAAGTAAAAAAAAAAAAAAAAAAAAAAAGGGAAGCACACATTACCTGATGTGCACAAGCCTGTCGATATACAAAGGGCATCGCTCAAACCTTAACGAGTCGTTGGTTTGGTTTGAATGATGTGCATGCATCACCAGCGTTCCCCATGTCCCGGTAAAGGGGGGGCCGTTGGTGGCCGTTAGGGATTAACTCGGTGGGGAGCTTAAACTACACTCCGCGGGAAGGGGGCAAGAGCATCCACTTTTGGAGGTCCCAGCGGCCCAACGCTATTGGAAAAACCCCCTTCACCGTTCCTTCGGTCCATCAGTTCCGCTTAGGTCGATTGTGGAGCCAGGAGGAATCAGAGAAGGAAGATGGAGGCAAAAGTGTACTAAATAATCTGTCCTGAGAGCAGAACTAACCTGAACTAAACTAGCAACCTCTGTACAAGTACCCGAGACCAGCGAGAGCCGTTAGTTCGGAGAACTGCTCCGTTTGATTTAGAGTGGTGTGATAGTCGGTTATATTATTCAAGAGGTTGGGGTCAACCTCGCAGCCCCGTGCTCTACATCACTAGGTAGGGAGTCGAAGGTACCCATGCCTCTACTGAAAAGAAAGCACGGACACTATATAATGGTCATTGACTCTGAACATTATGACCCAGCTCGTGTCGAGGTGATCTACGAGGCAGACGAGTGCATTAGCAGAACCTAAAAGCATCAAGCTTACAATAGATTGCTAGGAAATGGCTCCGACAAGAATATACAGCTATTCCAACGAACAGGATCCGGCCGAAACCAAGCCCGTAATAAGCTCATTGCTGTAATTAGCAAGGATGGCCGGCACAGCAACTTGTAGCGGCTGTAGCCTTGCAGCTTCACAACGCCATTGACGATAAATCGACCCGAGTCCACGGCCGCGAGATTCCGAGTAAGAGCTTCCCCCGAAGCTTTTCCGGTCTTGCATGACATGGCGTATGCATAAACGAACCGGAGCGAGCAGAAGAAACAAAGGAAAAAAGAAAAGTGGGTAACTCATCTTCCCCGTCCAACAACCATAACAACAATGGAAGCAAGTCAGTCAGCCCTCTCCATCTCGACCCAGCAAGAGTATCCACAATGCGACCCCTTAGCGCGGAAGAGAGCTTCCGCGTGACCGGGTCGAATGATAAACGATGATCAAAACTAGCGCGAAGGCGGCTGCAGGCGAAAAGTGGACGTCAGAGTTCTTCGAGAGCATTCATGATTCAATTGTGTGTCGGTTCAAGCAGAGCCGCCTGTACAGACAATAATGGTGGGAGAGAATTGAACAATCTCTATCGAGATAGAATTTTCCTTAGCTAGGCCAACAGTACGGAGAACAAGAATTGAGTACCCAAATCTAATTTGCGCGCTGGATGTGTTTTTCAACTGAGGATTCTGGTTTGCTCTAACAATCTAACTTCTAAGAGGCTAGTTTCATTTAGTTTCATGGGACTACTGTAGTCCGGGGCGGAGTCGCGATCCTATGGTTTCTCCCCCGATCGAGCCACAATTATCGGTGTGCCACGCGAGATCAGCGGTCTGACAGCTTAAGAGGCTAGACGTGGTAGCCTGGTAAGAGGGGACGAACAAAGTACATCGTGCTACTAATACTACTTGGGAAAACGGTGACATTACTAGACTCGACGAGGTCGCTGGAGAGTGATGCACTCTGTAGACGAGTCTCCCAAAGTTAAGAAAATGCCGTCTTTTCTGCCCGGGAAGCTTAGCTTGGAGTTTCTACTATATCATCAACTATGATAGAGCACACGAAACTCGTACTGTCGTCAGAGTAACGGATAAGCTGGAGCTGTCATGAAGGGCGTGGTTTAGGTTTCACAATTGTCTTTTGCAACTCGAGCAATCGCTAGCCGCCATTTTGGCAGTGCGACGAATCAGCTTGCGTTGCCGGGTGACAATTGCGGTCTGATAGATCCAGCGACTTTAACTGGTCTGTGGCCTCTCACATTTTCCCCAGTCACATCGATCCGATTGGATTATTCGAATTAGTCTGGGGTGCGAGACATGCAGGCAGGCAGCATGCAGCGGTATTGTCGAAAGAAGAAAAGATAATCGGGAAGAAGATGGAAAAAAAAATAAACCTTGCAATTTTGAGTATCATCATCATCATCACCAAGGATGGTTTATACTTGTGTTACACAACTTTCTGCCTCGTGGCTTTTGGCTCGCTAGTACTTTAGCTCGCTAACTAGCGAGTCAGCTGGTTCTTGAATCCTTCACTCCAGTGCCGAGTCCCGAAATGAGATATTTCCCATCGACCGGTCTGGTACGGTCTGCCTATCTCAAGCCGGCCGTGGTGGCTTGCAATCTCAAACCACCGTTCCCAGAATCCCGGGTCGCCAATGGTCAACACACTAAACATAGTCAAGCCACTGGGCACGTAATCCAGCCTAGGCAGGTGACTATCGAATCTCCGAGACCCCGGTTCGCGCGATGCGTGTCATAGTCATAGCTCCGTTTCCTTTCCTTTTTTTCTGCGAATGATGCAAGGCGTGGGTCAGGGGGGCGGAAGGGCGAAACAGAGTCAGACCGGGGTTGTGTTTGGTCGAGGGGTTTTGGTCCCAGGTATGTGGTACGTGGGTACCTTGTACCAAGGTTGAGGACGATAGGTACCAGTGACTGGAAATTGTTTAAACTACGATAGGAGCTAATATCTACATAGCCAGTCTCCGAGGCTCACATACTGAAAACCGAGTATCTAGAATTCTGAAGAAAAGAAATCTCATATCTGACAATCGTCTTTTGTTGATGACTTTGCGACCAGTGGATCCTATGCCTAGATCGAAACACACTTGCTTTTTCCTCTCAGAACTTGCCCCCAACTCTACCAAGGTTTTCCCTTGACTCTGTGCTCACCCCTTCCTCGAGCGACCAACGGAGTCCTTAGGCCTATCCACTCGCACACAATCGATCAACCCATTATCTGGTGTCCGCTGCAACCGCGAGTTCGCGACCGGCCAAGCAAAAGCAAAAATAGCAGAACACAAGATGCCCCTCGTAGTAATTCCCGATCGCTGAGGCCTAGGCTGCGGATTTGATTTCCGATGGCTCGTATCGTGGTGCTGCGAGTCATGGCAGCAGATATATCAGGTTATACAGTAGCTGTACTCCGTACTTATGTAGCAGTATGTGTTCCATACAAAAGACCACGATTGAGAGCGCATACTGCACAGGTCACGTCTATACTCAAGGACCAAAAGAAGTCAATGCACCGCAGACCTGACAAATCCCTTTTCACCGAGCACTCTCCGAAGTACATCCTAAAAGTGCAATGTGTACCCGTGCAAGCTTGTCATAGACTAGCACATGCTCTTGAAGACACGACAGTTTCCAAGACTAGTTTTCCCCCAAGAACACAGAACCATAAACCCTCAATACCACCGTGCCTGCATTTTTGCCCTGCAGGGCAGACCCGCATAAGGAGTGGCTGTGCCCACGCACAGTCATACACCGCAGAGACACAAAATTAAAGCAGGCGATCGGCCGCATTGCGAACCTGACTGACTGGGATGCGCACTGCACCTGCACTGCACGCACAGCACGTACAGCTAAGCTACCAGCTAGTAAGCTACAGGTACAGCACATAGTTACCTCTACCGACAAAGCAATTCTGAGGCTTTCTTTCCCGGCCCCCTCGGTCCCCCCTATCCGGCCCCTTAGTTGCAGTGTAACTTTTCTGCATGTAAGCCAGATCTGTTGATGACGGCATCACTGCCTCCCTGGTACTGTATGAAGCACATTGTACTTCGTGCAGTTCTCTGTAGTCTGGACAGCACTCGACGTGTCGCCCTCTCTCCGGACCTCGGCCATGGTCTTGCTTACTAGAAGCTCAAGTTTGGCCCACTGTGGAGGATACCCTGGCGATCATTTTCGCCCCTTGCGGCTTGCAGAGGTTAGACTTGAATTTGGACTACGGGCTTGACAGCGAGCCGGTCCGTCATCTTTTTTTCGTCGGCCGTTTAGTGATCGACAGTCTCCACTTTGGTAGTTTTTACTGAGGCAAATGGGCCGCGGATCTATCAAGTCTCGTGTTGTTGAGAGGTATCTGAAATTTTTAGCCTACCAATTTTTCGACGTACTTTGGTCTCCAGTGATTTGCAGGGAGGATCATAGCGAGGAGCCTCAATCTCAAATTCTAGTGCTCTCCACAGACTTCTCCAGTATGTGGCTGGTAGGCTGCTGTATGGGGAAAAGTACTTTGCAGTAGGAAGAGAGCTGCATAGTCGATCGCTTTAGATACATCTTTAGATACATTTCAAGCACGGCGTACTCCAAGTAGATCTATGTTATGTATGTATGAATATTTATACGCATAATCGACTGGACGGTCACAAGTGAGTACAGCAGAGCTCGACCGAACAAGTTCTTGTTCGAGGTCCACCGCTACTACAGTACTGACACCTCATAATTGAACCGAACCCTCAGGACTCACCCACAGGCCCATCCTTACTGCTGAAACCGAAACTCATTCTTCGGCTTTCCCCGAACACCAACATCAACCCTAAACAACCGACCTCCATACCGCACCGACTGCGGCAACTTCTCATCATCACGATCATCCTTGGCCGAAGTAATGAACAACTCCGTCCCCACGAAAGCTGGACACGTCGGATTGCGCGTAGGCAGGTCAATCTGACCGATAACTTGACCCTCAGGCGAAATACGCAGAACCTTACCGCCCCCATAAATGGCAGTCCAGATGCAGCCCTCGACATCGATAGCAAAACCATCTGGCTCCAATGAGTTGCCGATATCAAAGTGCACGCGGCGGTTACTAATAGAGCCAGTAGCGGCGTCAAAGTCAAAGGCGAAGATCTTGCCGGTCGGCGAGTCGGTCCAGTACATGGTGTCGTCGGCGGCGTTCCAGCCCATTCCGTTGGGGATGGTTACTGGGGCCAGCATCTCGTGCAGGGTGAGGTCGGGGTCAAGACGGAAAAGCGTGCCTTCGGGTTGCGGCGATTGGACCTTGGGGTCGTTCATGGCGCCGGCCCAGAAGCGGCCGTGGCTGTCGACGGCGCCGTCGTTGAAGCGCATTCTATGACGGGCATGCTTTGTGAGTGGATGGGAACGGAACGGGAATGGCCGTGAAGCTGATGCTGGGAATTTGGTGGGTCTCTCTGCTGTTCGAGATATTGGGGGCTATGGAATTGAAGCCACCAATTGACGTCTTGGAGTACCTTTACCTCTCCACCTTCCCAGCATCGGGTCTCGCTGGGTGGATATTCATCAAATGCAAATCACCAGGGCCAAACTTACAACTTCTGCTTTGATGCATCCTTCTCCCAGGGCTGGGCGATGTAGGATAGTTTCCCGGTGGTCTGGTTCAGCCGGGCAAATCCATGCTTGGCCCCGACAATCAGCTGATCCTTCTCGGCCTCGCCCGCGATGTTGGCGGTGACGCTAAAGTTTTCATAGTCAGTCTATGAGAGTAGTACAAGAATGAACCCTATCGTATAAGAGATGGAGGCATGGAGGCAGTGCGCAGTAAGACAGAACCTACCCGATTGATGCATCCGTATCGATTACCGTCAACGAGTCAGGGCCCTTGGCTAGGTCGAGCCGATAAAGTTTGTGGTCCCAGATATCAACAAAGCGGAACTCGTTGGTGGCGACATCGTGGAATGGGCCCTCGAGCAGCGTTCCCGCTATGTCGAGATAGGGCTAAGGGAGATTCGTTAGTACTGGAGTGTTAAGTGTTGGCATAATAAATGCTGAATGGTGTCATTTCTTTTGGGTTTGAAGCAGCGAATTTTGTGATTGGACAATGGGCAAGAAATTGTCTTTGGTCCTTTTCGTCTCTTTGCTTTTTTTTCATTTGCCCTGGTCCTTGGTCTTTTTGAAGATTGGGGGCCAACAGCAGGACCATGTCCTGCTTGACCGACAAATTGAATCCACAGAGAAAAATGTGGGAAGAAAAAGATGAGAAAGAAAAAAGAGAGAACCAGCGAATCATGACCGAGGAAAATAAATGAGATTCAACAAAAAACAAATAATAAAAAGGGAATATCCCGGAAGACTGCAGAAAAAAAAGCACGAAAAGCATGAACCAACCTCATTGACCGTCCATCTTTGAATTTCAGACATGTCGATCTTTCGGCACAATTTGACCAGAGAGAATGGAGCAAAAAGAGCGAAGTGCCAATATTGCTTTAGTGCTAACGTGTCAGGATGGGGTGGGAAGCGGGGGAGTAGGAGGGGGAGGTCAAGGGAATAAGGACAGGATAGGATGATGATAGACACCGCTATTTGGAGGCTTTGAATTCTCGGGAGAATGGGGGAGACTCTCCGGGGAACGGGGGGGAAGTTGGAAATGTGGACGAGAAAGGACAGACTAAGTCGAATGGAGTTAGTAGGAGGCGGAATCGGAGCACCGAAAGGCTGAAAGAGGAAGATGGAAGATGTCCGTAATCCCATCAGCCATCGTTCCACGACAGAGGTGATTCCTTCAAGCCACCGTCAGAGCACCCCTGTTCGAGTGTCTGCGAACTGTAAATTTGAAGTTGAAGCTAAGCCGGGGTCTGAGACGTTGGGATTTTTCATAGATTTGGAGATTTCGGAGATAGTTTACTCCGTACTAAACTGCTACACTGCAAGACCCCCAAACTTGTCTAAACTCAAAGACTTGCTGGCAGCGCTGATCACAAAAGTTATATTCAAGAATCGCCAGTGGGGAAGATCTTCAAAACAAGGTAACAACTTGTACTATGCTAGTTGACTCGATTCTTGTAGAAACAAGAGGAAAAGAAGCGGTGGGATAAACAGGAACTGCTTCTGCCAAGCGGCCACCCCCACACTTCCGGCTCCGTCGGACTGCTATCATCCTCCGGATTAGCACTACAGTAGTCACTCCAACTGTCTGGATTCTAATAATCTGACTCGTTGGGCCAATTTAAGCCCTGCAAATGAGAATGCTCTTATAAGAATAGGGTGCAGCTTAAGGCAAGCTCATCACACTGGCACATGGTCACCGTTTCACATTCGACTCGGCACTGCAGGGGTTGAGTCTGTGGTTGGAGAACTCGTGAAAAGAGGAGATGGTGTAGATTACCTATTCATATACACATAATATAGTAAGTAATCTAGCTATCATAATAAATTATACCCTCGGATATTTTCATGTCACGACCGTTGATTCCCCAAAAGTACACTCCGTAGACATCCTCAATGTACATAGCCTATGAATTCATCTTCCACCATCCACGCTCTTCCCAAACAAGTCCAAGTGCCCACATGACCGCTTCTGCATGCAATCTGCAAGAGATTCATGTACGTATGTGCTGGATGCTTGGCCGGGCGCTAACAAAAAAACCCACTGCCCCCCTCCAACCCAATGACTCCGAATTTCATGCCTAACCTTACACCAACATGAGAAATAATCCAAAATCGAGGATTGGGCATGAAAGCACAGCTAACCGTCCAATTGGAGGTGCTGGTCGCGGAATTTACAGGAAAAAGTAAGTAGTGAACCAGGGTCGGAAAGTCAATTTGCAATTTGAATTAGGTTCGTGAAGACGGTGTTCCGGAGTGCAGAGTATGTGTGAATACTTACTTGATACGAGGGTATACCAAGGCATGGCATGTCGCTTCGACGGGGTCTATGCCACAAGAACCTGGATTTCTGGAAGAATCAAAGTGTAGTAATCGAGCATTGACATTGAAGAACCCATTAGACCAACGACAACGACGCAATTTTACAGCTACGGACATGGGTTATAGTTACAAAGACACTCGCAAAGAATCCAACAGTACGCACCGCACGAGCTCCCTAGTCGCCACCCGAGAATTTCCACCGTAGGCCCCAGCACCAACACCACCGTTGCCACTGGCACTCTATGAAACTCTCTCCTGCGGGTGCGTGTCTCATATTGACAGCCGTCAGAGCCACAACGAGGAGCCGTCAGAGCCACAACGAGGGAAACTCGGTCCGGGCCTAACCTTGGACCCCGTACTACAAAGTATATTTTATCCTGTCGATAGATATACTGCTATATCCATGTCTATATATATGGGGTTATATAGAGAATAGCACGCGGGGTGTCTATCCCCGCAAACGCCAGCATACGTACATGCCAACCATCCAAGAAAACGAGTAGACAAAATGGTATACGACAATACCCTAACGAGTACGACTGTAAGCCACCACATAACCCAGGCCCCAATCCTACCCATACAATTCCTAGGCACCTCAGGGAATAAGGTCTATCCCCCAACCCAAACCCACCATCTGGCACACACCTACATACAAACCCTACCAACCCCGACACTTATGGAACCCATCCGATACCCCCCTTAGGTAAACCAACCACCCAATCACATCCAAAGTGGAACACCGTACCAGCGGGATAATTCGCAATGCAATGCATCTCATTGCTGTTCAATGAACCACCGTTGAGTTCCCGGGAACCTCCCAGGAACTTGGAAAGGTAAGGCTTGCTTGCATGCATGGTGTATGTAAGAAAGTTTGGTTGTCCTGCCTGGTCCGGTTAGTAGTTCTAAGAATACGGGGCTGTGTTGGCAGGAATCTAGTTAGGGGGTAGGTATGAGTTGATTTGAAATCAGGTTTTGGTTAGATGGTTGATTACTGCTGATACGTGGTATGTGGTCGAGGCTTGGATTCGATCATTCACAGGTATGTGTGTGCATGTATATGCTGGTAGATACATCAATGCATATCAATGTACAGAGTGGAGGAATATATGCCAGGATTGAACCAAAACTTGCAATACTAAATATCCCGCTAGGACCCGTTATGCATCCTAAAGAAATATTTGTTCGTAGTGACTGCGGCAGTGTTCGTGGATTTTGCGTCTAGGTGGAGAATTGGGCATCCATCAAAGCGAAACGATGTTGGAAAGACGTGCAGGTGTACCCAGCGCGTCTAATATCGTGGAGGTGGCCTGCAGCCATGACTTCTGTCCTATTTTGAATATCACACGCAGATTGAAATGTTCATCAAGACTGTACCCGTACTAAGACATCGTCTATTGGACCAGACTTAATGCACCAGCATCCAATCTAATCCAATAAGAAAAAGTGAGTCCAAAGTGAGAAATAGTTGGATATTTGGTTGGGTCATCAAAACATAAAAAGTTGTCTAGTTACAAACAGTTACAAACAGAAAGAAACCAAGCTCAAGTCTTCCCACATATCAACAGATATACATCCCAATTCACGCTATCCAATTCTTTACAGACGGCTGCCCATGTTAACGTGGATCGCCTTAACCTGCGAGTAAGCGTCGAGGCCAGCCTCGCCCAGCTCGCGGCCAATACCGCTCTGCTTGACACCACCGAACGGCACACGGAAGTCGCTGTCGTTGCTGCTGTTGATCCAGACCATACCGGCCTCGATGTCCGAGGCAACGCGGTGGGCGCGCTCGATGTCGCGCGTGAACAGCGCAGCACCGAGACCGTAGGTAGTGTCGTTGGCACGAGTGACGGCCTCGTCCTCAGTAGTGAAGCTGGCAATGACGACGAAGGGACCAAACACCTCCTCGCGGTAGATACGCATGTTGTCCTTGACGTTGGTGAAGATAGTGGGGGCGATGAAGAAACCGCGGCCGTCACCGACGTTCTTGTATGGCTCGCCACCGGCAGTGAGGGTTGCACCCTCGGACTTACCAGCCTCGATGTATGAGAGCACACGCTCGTACTGGGCCTTGGTGACCTGCGGGCCCTGGAAGGTCTCGTCCTCGAAGGGGTCACCGACCTTACTCTCGGTCTTAACGACCTCCTTGAAGAGCTCGACGAACTTGTCGTACACGGACTCGTGGACGAGGATACGCGAGGTCGAAGTGCAGACCTGGCCCTGGTTGTACATAATACCGATGTGTGCCCACTTGGCGGCCTGCTCGAGGTCGGCGTCCTCGAACACCAACAGTGGGGACTTACCACCGGTCTCGAGGGTGATGTTCTTCAGGGTACCGGCAGCCATCTTCATAATCTCGCGACCGGTGGCGGTAGAGCCGGTGAAGGCGACCTTGGCCACATCGGGGTGCTGCACCAGGGCAGCGCCGGCCACGCGGCCGTGGCCGTTGATAATGTTAATAACACCGGGAGGGAAACCGGCCTCCTTGATCAGAGAAGCCAGGTAGAGAATGCTCAGAGGAGTCTGCTCAGCAGCCTTCATAACGATAGTGTTACCGCAGGCGAGAGCGGGGCCAAGCTTCCAGGCGGCCATGGCCAGAGGGAAGTTCCAGGGGATGATCTGGCCAACGACACCAATGGGCTGGCGCAGAGTATAGGCGAACTTCTGGGGGGTGGTGCCAATGGTCTGGCCATGGACCTTGTCGGCCCAGCCGGCATAATAGCGGAGGGTGTTGAGGACCTCGCCAAGATCGTCGTTGAGCGAGACCTGGTAAGGCTTGCCTGTATCAAAGTGTGTCAGTCACGCTTCCCGTATTTCTTCTGCTGTTGCCAAAATCGCTACTGACCGTTGTCCCAAGTCTCGATAGTAGCGAGAGTCTCTCTGTGCTGCTCGATCAGATCGGCGAGCTTCAACATCAAATGACCGCGGTCGGTGGCCGGCAGCAGCTTCCAGGAAGGGTCCTTCAGGGCCTTGCGGGCAGCCTCGACGGCAGCATTCACATCCTCCTCACCGGCGGCATAGACCGAGGTAATTTCGGTTTCGTTACTGCCAGCGGGTTAGCTTCCAGTGTCGCGTGCGGACAGATTCACAGGCTCCAAAGAGAGTGGAAGGACTGCATCGGGAACATACGAAGGGTTGATCGAGGCAATCTTCTCGCCGGACTTGGACGGCACAAACTCGTTGTTAATGAAGAGGCCAATGGGCTGGGTGTAGGCGCGTCCGTTAGGAGCAGTCAATTGCACGGAGAGGTCGGACATGATGGCGGAGTGATGGAAACGGCGAGACGAGGTGAAAAGACCACTCGACAAGGGAGTGAAGGAAGAAGGAATAGAAAGGCAGCGCAAAGGCCGAAGAGTGAACAATGCAAGCATCCCCGAATTCTGGGGAGGGGAAGGTGTCGACTTTAAGGGAAGCTTTTCCAGTCTGGCTCCCCGCCCGATAACGATAGCGATCAATTGATAATCGGGGGGGGGGGGATCCACCGTGGTCTTTTTTCGGTCGCAGGTTGCTTTCGGGTCTGGTTTAGTCGGGTGCACTTACTCTTCGTGGGTAACCAGATGAGCTCGATAGCCAACGAGAACTCACGGGGGCCAACCTGCTCCATTCGTCTGCTCTTGGAGGCCCCGCCATCCACTGGTTGGCTGCATACGCCGCCATTATTCTAAGTTGCTAACCCCTCCCCGTCAATTATCCCGAGGTTCTCGACTTCTTGAGGACCTCCACAATATCGCCGACGGCCATTATCAATAGAAATATAGCCCGATTCTCCAGATGCATGCGCACTGAAGGGGAAAGCCAGTCCTTGTCAGTTGTGCCTTCATACATATCTTCTGCACGTCCCTGCGGATCAACGAGGGGATGGAGGGGCATAGCTAACGCCTACACTACGACGGAAAAGGAAAGAAAATCGTCCAGGCCAGTAAAGTAACCGAATTTGGTATTGATGCGTTTAAATTTCACCCGCAACGCCTCCTCTTCCGAGAGAACTAAAAAAAAGGTAAAAAGTCAAATAGATCCTGTCGAATGGTGGTTGTCTCACTGTCATTGCCTTTATCGGGACGCTTAAGCATTCGCTTGTGGATCCTCCCCGGCTAGTTCGAGAATGTACTTCCACTGTGCAGGAGTCACCGAGGATACGCTGAGCCTTGATTGCTTGAGAGTCTGAAGGTTCTCGAGGCCCTTGCCCGGCTGGGCGTGAGTCTTGAGGTCGCTCAACGTGACCTGCTTGTCGAACTTGCGGCGAAACTCGACATGTACCACAACCCACTTGGGGGCATCGCGACTGGACTTGGCATCGTAGTAAGGGTGCTTGGGATTGAATGCGGATTCTGCAACGCAGATAGAAAAGGCGAATGTTAGCAGACTGTGTGGGCGAGTAACAAAAGAAGAATGGGTTATCGAACCATCAACCGAGTGTTCCTTCACGATTTCCATCACTCCAACCACTCCGGGGACCTTGCAGTTAGAGTGGTAGAAGAATGCATAATCTCCTTGCTTCATCTCCTTCATGATATTTCGTGCTGATTTCCATCGTTAGCCAGATGGATCGTATCGCGACATCATCCCGAGTCAACCTTACCAACAGCGTTGCGAACTCCTATAGGCATTCGTTAGTATTTGTGCAATGCTGTTATTAATATATCAGACCAAACATACCATCCCAGGGCTCGGGCTCCTCCGCAGCAGCCAGATCATCAATCGAGAATTTGACATCAACTCCCTTCTCCATGCGCGACTCCGGCTCCGCCTTCATCAGCCAGTACGAACGACCACTGTCGTTCCAGGTTGCGTTATCAGTCTTAGAGTCAGGGATCGTCTTAGGATTCTCCGTAGCAATGGGCTCCTCGATCTTGGGCTCGACGACACTTGTAGTGCCATTGGCAGGCAAGCTCTTGCGCGGCCGTCCGCGACCATCCTTCTTCGTGGTGACTGCTGGGCTCGTGGGTGCAGATGCTACCGAAAGATTAGACAACTACTGGTCAGCAGCCGGGTATGCATGTAGCTCGAGGATGAACACTTACCAGGCACCTTACGGGGACGCCCACGACCATCCTTCCTCTTAGGTGCTGTAGACGGAGTAGCTGTTGCGTTACCTGGAAGGAGGGAAGACCCAACAGTTAGCGATCTAGTTCGAAACAGTTCTCCGGCGTAACCTACTAGGCTCCTTGCGGGGACGGCCACGACCATCCTTCTTGGGTGTGGTAGAAGGCGTCACTTTCGTCGTACCTAGAGTACAAGAAAATGAGCATTCAGCAACTTATCATTGGCATTCCCAGAGCGTCACATACCGGGCTCCTTGCGTGGACGTCCACGGCCTCTCTTTGAAGCTGGCGAAGCTGCAGCTGCAGCTGCCGCCGCAAGATCTGCTTCGGAGAGAACCTTCCGAGGACGTCCTCGTCCGCGCTTAGGTTCATCGGATGTCTTAGGGATTGATTCCTCCGGTGTCTTGCGTGGACGACCCCGCTTTCTCTTCTCGCCAGTCTGGGGTGTGTCATCGATCTGTTTGAGAACAATTAGGTCAGCGACGCCGGTGGATCTGGGGTGGATTGACGAGCGGGTTGACTCGTGACGATCAAGCCCCTGCATGACGCGCTCACCGAGGAGGCCACTTTGTCTGAAGCCATAGCTTTGGTGGCAGCGTTGCGAAAACGCTTGGAGGGTGTGTTGGCACGTTCGTCTGTAATTGTGGTTCCTTCGGATTTGCGCTTTGGTGGTATGGAGTTTGGGTGATGGGCGGCCGGCGCGGCTAGAGAGAAAGTAAACAGACGCAGGATGTGCAGGGTCTTTCAACACCGCAAAGCTTGAGAACAAGCGGATCAGCCTGCTTTATCAGAGCCTCCGGTCAATTTCCACGCTGAGAGGATTGGCGGGATAGAATGTAAGGATTAATTTCTGGGGGAAGCTATCACCTGCTGGGCTCGAGCTCGACGCGACGGTGGATCCTTTGGTTCTCCACGTGACACGAGCTTGATTGTCAGATAAGTCTGATGACATGCAATCTGTCAGGAATTCAGCTTGATGAGAATGATAGGTGAAATGTTTTTGATCAGTCATTTATTTTGAAGAGAGATTTATGCAGTACCTGTAATCTTACATCTACAGGTATTGTGGTCTGAAGGGCAACATTGTGACGAAATATATTGCTACGACATTTAGATCTAGTTACCTGAGTCAAATTTTCACCTAATGAGTATGATTAATTTCATATAGACACGAGGATAGGTTTGCATCCGGATAAGGTATGTTTTGATTCAAGCCATCAACATCATTTTCTCTCTAGCACATGACCCCAAGTTAAAGTCTATTGTACCATCAGGACCCGAAAAAGAAGTTATCCCCAAGCAGTCACGATGAGACTAGCTATAGCATGTGGTAGACCTTCAGTCAAAAGGATCTATTTTCAGACTATCAATAAATAGTGTCTCCAATCTACCCAAACCCTTTAGAGCAGGACTTTGTTATCAAATAGATCATCCTAGAACTCAGGAATCATAACTACGGAATCAGAATTGTGGAACCCTACAGATTCAAATGGCCTTGCAGTCTTCACTCGATCTTTCTTGTATTGCTGGCGGCAATCGAAGAAATAAATAGCTTGGAAATATTAAACTAGTGAGATCAAACAGCTCTCGTAGTAGCCGCTTGTAGCCTTGGCCATCAGGCCATCCAATTTAGCCAAAATCTCCGAGTTATTCTCCTCTGGTGAGTCTACGGGCAAGATTATCTTGTAGGAAATACAAGCTGGCATACAGTCTATATTTACGTCCGTACTCAACAACGCTCGTATCTAATATCTAGCGTGATCATCAAGCTTTGACCATCTATGTTAAGACATTGCGAATCCAGTTGCTGACTGGACTCTACGTATCTAAGTAGGCGTGACGTTGTCCTGTACGTGTATAAAAATAGAGGCCAACACATCACAGATCTTGAGTGACAACTGCTTCGAGCAAATAATCTCCGGAATAGTGTTCCGCAGGGGTTATAAGGTTATACAAGGCTCCCGTCGAAGCACCGAAGAAGACCATCGAAACCTGCCCCACTCGGTGGGTCCCCGGCAGCTGGTCCCCAGCATCATCGAGCATCTAATAAACCAGCTTACAGAGATGGACGGAAAAGTTGAACACTGCACCTGGAGCATGGGAATTGCCATTGGGTCTGCTCAATAGGACGTATTATCTACATCCCACCAAGGATCGACATGTTCTTGAGAGATGATTAATGCTAGACCATGATGGTGTATACAATTGCGCCATCGAGCTGACTCTCCATTGGCCCCAGGTGGGGGAATAGCTTGCCGACTCAAACCTGGACAAGTACCGCTCGGCCGATAACTTCAAGAATGAAGCTGGCTAGCTGGTAATATGAGTACGGTAGTAATAGAGATCTGTCCCGACAAAGATTAACGGAGTATTAGAACTGGCATAGGAGCAGATGCATGATTGTGTACAATAAATGGATAGACTGGGGTCAGTAAAGTTGGGGAGGAAACCGTGATGGAGGGGTCAGGCCAAAGCACAACATCCCGCGCTAAGCACGCTCCCTGGAATGGTTCCTCCGACCACTATTGTTGTCTACCGGATTCTGCCCCTCCTTCTTCCCCTGCAATACAAATCCGGTTGGGCCGAATCAACCATTCAAAGCAGCTGAACGAGCTGAACCTGGCCAAATGGGACCAGGAACACTAAACAGCCCACTTCTTCCGATGACCAATCAATGTGGTTCTGCCTGTGGGCGGTGAATAATTGCGTGATAGACAACCGCCGGATGAGGTAAGTCGATCACCGATGAGGGAGGTGTATTCCCATCGCAAGCAGGCGGGGTGACAACTATTTGAACCGCCATCTCTCCCTGCTTCCTTCCTCTTTCTTTCTGATTATCAAAACTCCCTCTTTCCTATTTACCCATCACCACCATCTCCTCCCACATCACTCACAATGGCTGCTGAGCGTTCTCCTCCGTATGTACCCCTCCATCTATACAAACACTTCCCCCCTCTTTCATCTTCCAGAAAGCTGACCAATGCTCCCATTACAGTCTCCGTCTGGGCTCCACTGCCCCTAACTTCGATGCCGAGACCTCCAACGGTCCCATCAACTTCCACAACTTCATTGGTGACAAGTGGACCATCCTCTTCTCCCACCCCGATGACTTCACCCCCATCTGCACCACCGAGCTCGGTGCCTTCGCCAAGCTCGAGCCCGAGTTCACTGCTCGTGGTGTCCAGCTCATCGGTCTGAGCGCCAACAACGTTGAGTCTCACCACCGCTGGATCAAGGATATCGATGAGGTCTCCGGCTCCCAGCTGAAGTTCCCCATCATCTCCGACCCCGAGCGCAAGGTTGCCTACCTGTACGACATGGTCGACTACCAGGACACCACCAACGTCGACTCCAAGGGTATGGCTCTGACCATCCGCTCCGTCTTCATCATCGACCCCTCCAAGAAGATCCGCCTCTCCCTCACCTACCCCGCCTCCACTGGCCGTAACACCGCCGAGGTCCTCCGTGTCATCGATGCTCTCTTGACCACCGAGAAGCACGGCGTCACCACCCCCATCAACTGGCTCCCCGGTGATGACGTTGTCATCCCTCCCCCCGTCTCTACCGCCGATGCCAAGGCCAAGTTCGGTGAGATCCGTGAGGTCAAGCCCTACCTCCGCTTCACCAAGGACCCCAACGCCTAAATGGGTTCTCTCCACGTCTCTCCCTGACTACGATATATGAAATGAGCAAGATGATTTCTTCTGAAAATGCTTTCTGAATGCTAGCTTCTTTAATTGGCCGGAATAGCCGACTTGATACCAAATATGAAATGACTTCTCCGCCATTTTTGTTTTATGTCTGTTAGTTGTAACTGTGTTTGTTTCCTTTGGGAGTTTGAGCGAGTTTTGTTTTATGGTCTTGACGCTAAACGATGGTTTGACTGGGAATATGAATTGCTGCAAATATTCTATCAGATTGACATGCAGACTACATCATTATTACCCCTCGCACGTCTTACTAGGATGCAGTGTAAATGGCTCGAGACAGGCTGGTGGACCCGCGCGGATACGAGGCCCGTCACCTCCAGCCATCTGGACAACTCCATTGGCTCTCCTGGACAACTCCATTGGCTCTCCTGAACAAGGATTCGATACTTGTGCATTTTCTAGAACAATCAAAGAACATGATCACAATTTAAACCAACATAATCTACTAAATCTCCCCCGTACTATTCCATCCAATCGTATCAGCCAAACTACCGAGAACTGTCAATTCAATCTATTTTCTTCGGGGTTGTTGCCCAACGTGTATAAGAGCGGGCGCGGTCGTATCCGCTTCCCCCCAAGCCCGTCTGGGAAAAAAGGGTTGAGACCGCCTTTTTTTTAATGCCGATCCAACGTTCGACGGGATGACACTTTTCCTCTCCACTTTGAAGTCTCGCCTCCTTGCGTCGCTCTGTTTTTGCTGACAGACTCTCGGCTTCCCTCTACGCCCTCGAAACGGCGGGCTTCGAAGCGGCGGGGAAATTCCACCCACACGTCCTCCCTTTCCAACCCCACAGAGCCACACTTCAAGCCCGCTCCGGATCCTGTCAGCGTGACTGTCCGATCGTTACACACTCTCGAGGCCCACCGACAAAGGGGTGTCACTCGTTATATGCGTGCTGTCTGACGACCATATATATATACAACCGGGCGGACTGACCGAGAAAAAAAAAGGGGGGTTGACAGAGCGAGAAACTACCCGCCTGTAATCGCATTCCTCAGTGGGGAACCACACCCAATTCACCACACGATGATGTCCAGAAGCCAGTCGAGTCTGGGATACTTGGATGCTGCCCAGGATCCCTCGGCGCAAGGCATCTCCCCGTCTTTCCAGCAGCAATCCTCCTCAGGCCCGATCAACCTGTCTGGTCTGGTGTGTAATGTGCGCCGAACAACCGGCAAGGAGCCTCACCCCCTGGTGGGCGCGACCACAACTATCTTGGGCGACAAATTATACGTTTTTGGAGGCCGGATTCTCTCTCGCAGTCGCCCACAACTCACATCCGATCTGTACGAACTGGACTTGATTCGACGACACTGGACTAAGATCGAGCCGACCGGTGATGTCCCTCCAGCACGGTATTTCCATAGTGTATGTGCGCTGGGTGATAATAAGCTGGTCTGCTATGGAGGCATGTCGCCTGCGCCGAGTACGCCCAAGGATCCATCCAATCCTGGCGCTTCTGGGTCGGAATCCCAGTCCGAAGTGGTGGTTATGTCAGATATTCATATCTTCGACGTCCCTTCGCGGACATGGACTCGGGTCGCGGCTCACGAGTCGCCGCAAGGACGATATGCACACTGCGCTACGATCCTACCATCTACGGCCTCGTTTACTTCGGCTAGTGCGCCGTTGTCAGCTATCCACCACAACCCAGAGTCTACTACGCCGCACCAAGGCAGCATTGGAGTCGATATTGATGGGTTCGGTGGAGCGGAGATGGTCGTTGTCGGTGGCCAAGACAGTTCCAACCATTATATTGAACAGATTAGTGTGTTCAATCTTCGCAGTCTCAAGTGGACCAACACTAGTCCACTGGGACGCAGCTGTGGCGCATATCGTAGCGTGGTTGCACCCCTAGTTGGCATGGACGTCTCGGAGGTAGGCTCAGCTGCGCCTGACCGTGAGACTCACGAGCCGATCGAGGTAACCGAGTCACCTGGCTGTCCTATGCTGATCTACTCCAACTACAACTTCCTTGATGTCAAATTGGAGCTGCAGGTGCGCCTGCCGGACGGGCGCCTTGTCGAGCGACCGATGCAGAGCCAGGCTTCTCCCCCGGGCTGCGCTTCCCCAACGGTGGCATTATTAACGGCCACTTTGTTGTTAGCGGAACCTACCTGACATCCTCGAAGCAGGAATACGCACTCTGGGCTCTGGACCTCAAGACCTTGACCTGGGGACGTATCGATGCCGGTGGATCAGTCTTTGGCCATGGTAGCTGGAATCGCGGTATTCTCTGGCCACGCCGCAGCGCCTTTGTCATTCTCGGACATCGGAAGCGAAGCCTCGTCGATGACTATAATCACCGGCGAATCAACTTCTCGCACATTTGCTTGGTTGAACTCGAGGCCTTTGGGCTGTATAACAATCCCTCACGGACTGCGTCTACGTCAGGATATAAATCTTATAGTTCCCCCTCAGTTCCTGCATCTTTACAACAGAAGCTATCCCAATTGACGACTAGTGGCCGGCCTCTGTCCGCAACGTCGGATGAATTAGGCAAGCTGGCACTTTCATTACATGAAATGTCAGATATGGAGCTACAGGCCGTGGGCGGAGAACGTATTCCCGTGAACTCCCGTGTCCTGGCTCGCCGTTGGGGTCCATACTTTATCCAACTCCTTCGCGAGTCTTCTGATGGCGGTGTTGCAGAGGCCGCCACCCTTCGTCCGGCTCTAATGCATCCTAGTCGAAACTCAAGCATCACCATTACCCCTTCAGTTGGACACAACAGCACCTACTCCAATGCGACGACATTAGTCAACCCTACTGTCCCCTCCAAAGCACTTCTCGAGAACTTGGAGGCTCCCTCTGCCCATAGCCTCGCGCCAACCTCGCGGCCGCGTGTGCTCTACCTTCCCCACACTATCCTTACCCTCCAAGTGCTAGTCCAGTACCTCTATACCTCAGCCCTCCCTCCCCCGGGCTCCTCCCTATGCACTCCCCAAATTCTCTGCTCCCTCCTCCAACTCGCTCGCCCATACCAGATAGACGGTCTACTGGAAGCGACTGTGGAACGTCTGCACCAAGTCCTTGACGGACGCAATGCCGCAGCTGTCTTCAACGCTGCCGCCATGGCCGCAGGCGGAGGTCGTGGCACTGGCTTCACCGGCGGTCTAGGTGGCACGCTGGAAGCCCTGAACGGAGCTCACAGCACCCGCAACGGCACTATCCCCGGGATGTCAGAGGGCGGCACAAACTCCCAACAGAGCGTGCTCCTAGCCTCCGATTCCTCTGATACAGAGCACGGTGGTATCACCGCCCCATCAGCTTCCAGCAGCGCCAACGACCTGACAAATCCCTCTCGCGGGCTGCCAGCACTGCGCATCGACACAAACCTGTCGCAGCCACGCAACCGCCAGCGTGGCCACCGCGATCGCGAAGATTCGATCAGCAACCCTAGCACGGCAACGTCCGCGTCCAGCGCTAGCTTCAGCCAATCCGACTCGGAGTTCGTCAGTGACAGCGAGAGCCGATCAGCGTCCCGCGCACACCACCGCCGCGACACGGATGCGGAGCTCCGTCCACAGCGCGAGATTTGGACCGGCGATTTGAGCAGCGTTATCGGTTTGCAGAAGCGTGGCTTGCGCGGTCTGATGGAGGGGCGGAGGATGCGTGAGCGTAGCGCGAAACCGCCCAGCATTAGCAGTGGTTCGACATCCGTGCCTCCGTCCGCGGGGTCAGATCACCATCTGCCCATGCAGGGGGTAGCTGGTTGAAGGCGTATCTAATTCCATTTGATTGTGCTGATGGATAATGCGAGTTGGCCCTAGGATTTTCATATTGTGATGGATCTGTCTTACCCCTACGTTGATATTTTCTTGGCATGATCTCGAGACCTTTGGAGGTTCTCTTTGGATATGAATATCTGGTCCATGTATATTTCTTTTTTCATGCTTCCACCCCCGCAGGCTGGCGAGGTGGGGACTCGTTTCATATTTGATTATTTACTCCGCGAATACCGTAAGGGAGGAGTGGTAAAAATGGGATTGACTTTTTCAAGGATTTTGGATTTCGATTCATCGCCTGCTTTTCGGTAGTATTCTTTACTTTACGTACTAGGTTTTCGGGGTAGGTTGGATGGGATGGGTAAATGGAACAGTCTTGAATATATTGAGCTAGCTTTGGGAGAAAGCGTCTGGTTCCAATGTGCCCATGATGCGGCTTGAGATGACAGTTTGATTGTATTACAGTATGTACATAATATGGATATCCCTCAATCACAGGAGAGGAAAATGACTCTCTATGAAGAAGGAGATGAGGAAGAAGCAGACGGAGACGACTCCTGTGGCGGCTGCTGTGGCGTCAACCTCCTTGGGCTCTTATTCCCGTAAACTAGAAGCGCAAATTGTCAGCAAAGAGCGAGGAAATAGACACACAAGCAACTTGCAGGGCCCTTCCAAGGAATCGGAGTACTAGTGAGGAAACTTACTACGCTCATAGAGAATCCAAGAAGTGTACATCACAATCGGCAACGCCACGATAGTGGACAACCATCTAATCAAACACACATCAGCAACCTTTTGATCCCTAAGAACTCAACCCTATACAAGCAAAGCAAGGCACGAAGCACAATCTTATACCAAAACAAGTCCATAAACCATCAAAACAAAAAGAAAATCAATTGAAATACTCACCGTCGCGCAGCAACCTTATACTCCTTGGTCTTCCGGATATCCGCCGGATTCACTGGCCGGGGCGCTGGCTTGGGTAGTGGTGATGGCCTGACAGCATGGACACCTGGTTTCTGCACGGGCCGTAGATTTGAGGGGGCTTTTGGAGGCATGTTTAATGGAGGGTTGATGTATTTGATGTGGTGGAGGAGGGTGGGTTTTTGGTATGTCGAGGAAAAGACTGTCGATTGGAAGGGGGAGTGGAGTGGAGTGGGATTTGGTGCCTGAGGCCGAAATTATGTATGGGGTCTGATATTGGACTTTGGAGTCTGTCTGGTTTCTCTAGGTTTGGCAATGGGGGTATTCTATGATTGCCAGCGTAGCTTATTCGTTATGAAGATGAACAATTTTGTATTAACAATATGTGCTGTGTATGTGCGTATCTCCCAGATCAAGCAATTTATGCTGGAGAATCAGATATGGAATCATACAAGGTGCCATGCCCACTTATGCAGAAACGCTGGAAGAAAGAGACTCGGGCAAACGAAAAGAATACATGTCATGAAAAACGATAAGAAATGATCAAACACCGCGCTATGATCCCATGCCGATTTTTGTTGGTCGCAATAAAAACAAAAAATCAATCCCAGATTCCTATCACCATCCACCCAAAACGCCGTCATAATCACATCAAATTGAATTCATCTCTCGAATGAAAACAGCTCAGAACGAAATCACCATAGACAAAAAACTGACACAGACATGAACAAAGAGAAAAAGAAAAGCAAAACAGGAGCCGAGGGAAACGAAACGGCCAGAAGAGAACGGAGCGGGAAGGGCTCTTCCTACTTACCCTCGTCCTCTACCACGCTTTCCTCCCCGAGTTGGGGGCTTCCCCCGAGAGCTGGAGGCACCCCGGCCTCGACCTCCACCCCGACCGGAACCACGACCACGCTTTACAGCGTGGCCACGGCCCCGCGGGGCGGCAGCATCGGCAGTACCGACCTGAGAGTCAGCAGCCCGTGCCCGCTTGGCAGGCGACGTTGACCTTTCGGCCACCTCATCATTAGAGATGAGGGCTGCTGCTCTCTTCTTGCCCTTGGAGATGGCGGGCCTCTGGGTCGTCTCGACCTCAGTGGCGAGGTCGGCTGCTTGCTGGCGGCTGTGGCCTGCCGCAGGTCGAGCTAGGGTGGAGTCCTCCTCCTCCCCGGACGCACTATCCTCCTCCTGCATCTCCGCCGCGGTGGGAGGCTTCACCGTAATCCGAAGGCGCTGCACCGTCTGTGATGGTGCTTCCTCCTCCACGGGAGAAGGAGACGGCGCCTTCGTCTTAGGCTCAGCCTTTGCCGACCGCGGAGCGAGCGTCTTGCGCGGGGCCTGCTTAGACGATGCAGGCTGGGAGACCGTCTCCCCGCGACGTCGCTTCTGTGCCCGTGCACCCTTTTCAGGAGTGGAGGGAGCAGACGAAGATGCAGAAATCTCGGCGATTTCGGCTCCAGGCAGGCGACGCTTTCTGCCACCCTTCTGAGATGGCTCAGCGGGTGCGGCAGCCTTTTTCTTGCGTGCCTGTACCTGGGCCTGCTCCTCGGTGACGTCCTCAGCTTGGAAGTCGGACTGTTCACCGAACGGGACGTTTCTGTCACCGAGGAGAGGCGGGAAGCCGAGGCCATCGTTGGCCATCGCCTGATCGTCCGGTCGAGTTCGGACGGGAGGATAGGGCAAAGCCTCGTCCCCATAGTTATGAGGGGCTCGATCGAGGCTGTAACCCGGAGGCGTCAGCATCACCTCTTCGCCGTGACTGTTGACACGGCCCGTGTGAGTCCAATTATCCTGGTCCACGTGGGGCACGGCGGAGAACTTGAAGGTGAGCATGATTTTGCGCTCAGGGTTGTCCGGGGGGATGCTCTCGGCATCATCTGCCACTGCAGGGACATCGGCATCGTCGTCGTCGTGATGCGCGTCGCTGTCAGCAGCATCCTCTTCCACGTCAACCGCCGACTGGGCGGCTCGCAGATCCTGAATGAACTGTTCGGGATCGGACGGAGCGAGGAAGTCGGTGCCCAGGGCCATGGTGGCCAGCTCGTAGAGCTTTTGGCCAGCGCGACCAACGGTGAGTTGAATGCGGTGGAGAGAGGACTTCAAGGCGTTTTTGCCTTTCCTGCCTTTGCGAGTGTTGGCCCGAGGAGATGGCTTGGCGGCTGACTTGAAAATCAGCTTGGGACCGGTCTTTGGCCGGGACTCGGGAGTGGAGCTTGACGCACTCGCAGGCTCGGAGGTAGGCTTGAAAACGTTCTTGAAGGTGATTTTGGGGAAGCGTTTGGGTGCAGTGGTAGGGGCAGGGGCAGAAGGAGAGGCAGGGGAAGTAGTGGGAGCGGGGTCGGGGCCGGAGGTGGAGGCGCCGACAGAGGAATCAGGGACGGTGGGGGCGTCTTTCTGCAGACGGCGAGGCTTCTTCTGAGACTGCATTACCTCGAGCGCCTTGGCGGTTGGCTTGCGAAGGCGGGTCGAAGCCCGAGTCCCCATAGAAGAGACGCTGGGGGAGGGACGGGAATCCATCGTTCCGTCCATGCCGAGGCCACTGTATTGGCCGTAGGTCCAGCCGGTCGAGCCCAGGGCGTCAGACATGTCGTGGTCTGAGAAAGAGGTTTGAGGAGTTTCGAGAGCAGCCGTGCGACGAGTGCGGCGGCTGCTGTGAGCAGAAGTGGGACTCTCCACTGCCGGGGTGTAAACAGAGGAGAGGCGAGAGGGGCGAGCTTGGAAGGTGCTTCGACGTGTCAAGGGCACGTCGGGAGAGGCGTTTCTTGATGGAGAGTTGTTGGAAGGTGTCTTTGGAGTGTAGAAACGGATGTTGAAAGAGTTGTCGGGAGTGGTGGAGGAGGGCAGAGGGAGAGTCTTGGAGGACTGAGGAGATGTATTTAAGCGTTTCTCCGGGGCAGGCACTCGTGGAGAACGCCGGGAAGGCACCAGGAGAGAAGCCTCATTGTTGACTCGTGCAGGCATCGACTTGCGAGATCCCTTTTTGGGTGGCATCGTGGGTGGTTACCTGATGAGTCGAACCCCCAATTCGGGTGTCAGTCGATCTGTGAATGAAGACAATGGGAAGGCAACGAAAGTGATCAGGCAGTAAGAGTAAACGATATGAGTATAGGCAGCAAAAGGGATACAGTCAGAGCTCATTTGCGCTCGAGGCAAATAAGCTATCCAATACAGGTAGAGGCAACGATGGTGGGCAGTCGACGTCAGAAGATCTTCAAATGTCGGGGAAGGGCAGAAACCGCGGAGTTGGGGTTTAGGGCCTAGTTTTAGGCCAAAAGGCAGCAAAGACTCACTAGTTAGGGTTCACTCATCCAGCAGATATTGATCCCAGGAGTACAAGATGTATTTTGATTAGACTGGAGCCGTTCTTCCCATGAAGATCAGGCCGACAGGGCGACGCAGACTTGAGGGGACGTGAAGTCGGGGCAGAAAAGAAATTAGGGCTAAGGTTGATCGGCGCTTATCGGCCTCAATCATCCTTTCCGCCTTATTCTGCTACTTCTACAAACCACCTATCCACTCCCTTCTTGTCTTAACACTCTTGATTTGTTTTTCTCCGTTTATTTCACAATGCATCTGTGGCAGGCCACTCTTCCATTCTGTCTGCTGGCTTCAGCTGCCCTGCCCGCGGCGGCTGCATCAGCTTGGGGCTTTGCTGATGCCACCGTGGCAGTTCAACCTAAGGGCGCTGGGATCAATGGCGGATTCAAGGAACAGTAAGAATCCATTGGAATTGTCCAAATAATACTGGAATGGGAACTGGAGCTAATACACAATTGCAATTAGGTTCACTTCCTCCAAGCCATTGTCCAAACCCGTTGTTTTCGCCGGTGCCGACACATTGCGCGTCATCTTGACTGCTCAGGAAGGCAGCTCCGCAAAGAGACCACACCAGGCATTCCTCCTGCTGAAGGATACCCAGAGTGGTCTGGACGTCTCCTATCCATTCAGTGTCAAGGAGAATGGAAAATCTCGAGTTGAATTGGTATGCGACAAGACAATCAAGCTCTGGAATCGACATCAAGCTAACACCAGTTCCATCTAGACCCAGAAGGAGCTGCCAGTCCAATTCCTCTCCCTCACTGAACCCATCGATGCCCGTGTTGTCATTGGATCTTTTGGTAGCTCTGAGGCCTACGATAGCTCCGTCTTCAAGCTGGCTATCGAGCGCGACCCCAACGTGCCCGTCCCTACTGTAGAGACCGCGCGTTACGGCAAGCTGCCTGAGATCCACCACATCTTCAAGGACTCCCCCTCCAACCCACCTATCATCATCACCCTCGCTTTCGTGGCCGCCGTTGGTGCTACTCTTCCGGTTCTTGCTGGCCTGGTAAGTTGATCGTTGCCCGCATTGGCATCTACCTAGCTAACCACAGCTCTTCTTCTGCTAGTGGCTCTTCCTCGGCGCCAACCTCAGCCACCTCCCCGCTGCGTTCAAGTCCGCTCCTCTGCCCCACGCCATTTTTGTTGGATCCTTGATCGCATTCGAGGGCCTCTTCTTCCTCTACTACACTTCTTGGAACTTGTTCCAGCTCCTGCCGGCTGCGGGTGTTGTTGGTGCGGTCGCATTCGTGAGCGGTAGCCGCGCCTTGGGTGAGGTGCAGGGTCGTCGCCTGGCTGGCCTCCGGTAAGCGTCTTGAGTGATGCTGGATTGCGATAAGCTTGCCCTCTAGACCTAGCTCTATATCTTTTGAAAAGGTGGCCACTTGAGCTCTACGGGAGCTGTGTCTTAGCTGTGATGATATCCTTTCTGTTTCAATTGAACCAGCCTATGCGAATGAAACTTGCTGCTGCGCATGTATATCTCTTTTTTCAATGAGTTTTTGGAAGTATGTAAATAAATCTTGACTGCGTGTTGTTACAGAGCTCGACGTTCTTCTAGTACTTGAGAGGTACCCACTCTGGTACAACGATGCATTTATACAGTGAACGTACCAATTGGACAATAACTGTCCTATTCTCTACTATGCTTCAACTGCGAAATAGACTATTCATCAACCAGATTATGAAGGAATCTAGATGCAGAACTTCCAGATAATGCGCTTTTCATTGATTATATTTTGACGTCACTTGAGTGGCTACACTACAATAGCGAACGCCAAGGCGGACCTCCGCGTTTCTCCCCGATCTCCGCTGCAAAATCACCAAAGCTTCAGCACCTCACCCCTCCCGACCTTAACCCTCGACAACCCCACACAGAGCACAATGGGCTCTGCTGCATCTAAGCCAGTAAAGTCTGCCGCTGGCGCAGCTGCGCGCCGCCAGTACCCAAAACAAGCCGCTGTCCCGCCGAGGGTACCACCGAGTGGTCCCAAGCCATCACAAACGCAGCAACCTGCTCCTCCTACGCCTACACCAGCGCCGAGTCAGGCCCCAGGTCCTGTCTCGCAGGGACCGAAATATCACTCCAAGGAGCAACCTTCTGGCACCAGGTCAAATGGTACGCGCCCATCGCTTTGCGCCCAAGAACAAACAGAAACCTCATATCAAATCCTTTGAGCCTCCACGTTTCCCTCGCGCTAACATTCTGTCTATCTAGCAATTGACCTCGACGGCCGCGACCCCGACTTCGCAGCCTCCCTCCGCCACATCGGCCCCGTAAACCCCTTCCCAACCCTCTCCAACTCCAGCACCGTCAACCACGGCTACATGCAGACTGTCTTCCCAACAGCCTCAAACCCAGCCTTACTCGCCGTAACGGCCCGCACGAGAATTGGAAAGGCTGCACAAGAAGAGCTCGAAGCCCTTGGACGTGGGGACTTTGTCGGAAGACAATTCCTTGACGCGTTCACTATCTCGCAGGCGCTTACTATGCGGGACCAACAGAAGATGCCGAAGCGGGAGATTGAGAGGTTGTTGAGGATGAAGGAAGGTGTTATGGATCGGTTAGGGAAGGATGGGGTTGTTTCGAGGGTTTCTGTCCAAGCTTGATACTGAGGTCTGGATCTCGTTCATCTGAAGGTGTTTTGGTGTCGTTGGCTTTTTGGAGATTGGAGTTGATAGGCTCATCCTTCGTGTGTATATTTTCTGTACAATATTCTACTTGGTGGTTATCATGTAGCCACTACAATATCATCCCTTCTCATGATGAGGCTTTGGTCTGGGCAATGAGCCTATTGTAAGGTCTCGGGAGTGCCTGGTAGCACCTGTACAACCGGCTTTCGTTGTGTCACGCAGGCAGATAGCGAATGGTTCACGTCGGAGATGTCGGGTTGATCTTGGAAGGGCTGGCGAGTTCTAACAACTCGCAATTTATTTGCTTTGTTTGAGGAAGTTCCTGCACACATGAATACAAGCTTCACCTTTTGAATTGGCGCTGGTACTCCCGGACTCTTTATCATTTACAGTCTTGATAGGCACGACTTCTAGAAAACTTCCTGGAATGTTATATATGTCTATCTGGATTGACTCGCCCTATCAGCCCAGAGAGCTTGACTCTGTCTTGATTCAATAGTTCGAGGTGGGTTAATGACTGCTCGTCTTTGTATAAAGACAGGTAGGTGATAGTCTGATCAGATAAGTAGATACACTGTTAGAAAAATGCTCCAATATACATCCAGTCCAGTACTTCACAAGGATAAAATAATTGGAGTCGCAGTCAATACTTATCTTGACTATGTTGTACATTCAGTTGATCTATCTAGGTGTATCTCCATCTCGTGTATCTATTTGGAGCTTCAAGTTAGCATTTTAGCCTCAGCGAGCTTTAATTAGCCCACAGTATACGTCTTTAAAGCCCATGCCGAAGGTCAGATCTCTGCACGGCAATAATGCATGCATGACAAGCCTCTGGGCATCTTAAGGAGGGCCATAGAATATACCGCACGGGCAATTATTCAACTTAGCCACATCCTATCCTCGATGTCTCACGCTCCAATGACATTGGGGGTGGGGTCCAGTGGCGAGGGCAGTGCTAGAGGGAGAGTTCTTCAATGATTTGCGGAATTAAAGTGATTAGATTAGATTGTTGATCCAGCGAAGTCCTAGTTATAGATTTTGGGCTGTGTCACGGCCAATGAACCGTCGAGGTGACTCGACATGGCCGAAGGATCCGTCGTGGGGGATTGGGGTCCTGTCAGATATAACGGTATACGTTGTATAATGTTGGTAAGAAGAAACGAGATAATAGGGCATATCAATCATCCTCACTGCCATGTAGTTCATAAACAGTAATGCACACGACCAGTTTCTCGATTAGAGCTGACGATGAAGCTGACAAGGAATGTTTGGGGGCTAGGGCTGAGTGTGAGAATGGGGGCGAGGAGATGGGTTCTAGCATTCAAGGGGAAAATTCTAGAATTGACATCACCAAAATATGACAAATTGACAACTTCTTCAAAAAGGACCTGTGAGGTATACGATAGTTTATCGAGTTCAGGGCATTTGACTGTTATACAACTTAAAATTGACGCGGGGAACCCTGGAAAAGCGAACCTTAACCGAGCTAATAGTGCCAAGCCACTTGACTCTTGAAAGAAGCAATTGGGAAATTATTGTTACCGTATGGACGATGGAGCACAGTACATGAAATAGGTACCGTATTATCCTTGGCACAGCTTAGCTCTACAAAGGTCTCACCTTAGCGCACCCATGACCAAAATGAGGCGCAAAAAGAAAGGGTCCAGCTCGGGCTCAAAGAAAGTTCGAGGCTAACCTACTTTGGGAAATTGAGCACGCTAGCTTCTCACCAGAAGCCTCGGAAGTCAGCTCGGAAAACTTGGACCCCCTTCTGACTTGGCCATTTCAAGGTCAGCCCATCGCCACAAGATCTGACGTATGGAGTCGGTCCTGGCGAATCGGGCTTCTGGGTGCCCCATGAGGTTGGCCTGAGAGCCACTAAATTTAACTTGTTTGAATCAGGGTCTCGCATCAGACTTTGGTCGTGCGCTTTCCATTGTTGATACTTTATAAGAGCGGAGGAGTTCGTGTTCGTAATGGATAATACGGAGTACTGTACGTCGAGTATGCAAATACTGTATACGGGACATCGAGTCTACACATCTCTTCGCCGTTCGGACAGGATCGTCGAAGGTCCACAAGGCTGATCAGATGGTGTTTGTCCCGAGGCAGATCACGTCAAATAGATGACGATCTGTGATGGAGGCCAGCCCCCTAACCATTTCATATGCCAAAAAGCAGGGGTAATTTGGCGGCCTCAAAGCATGAAAGTGATAAATAGCCCCTGTGAGGTATCAGGATGCGGCTGGACAGGGTATCAAGACGAGTAGTACAACGTCGGACGCTCAGTGCCAAGTTCGTGGGGTTAGGAACGGCATCTCGGTAGCAAAATGGACTCCGACGACAACACAGAGTCACATCGGCCTGTGAGATTGGATGTACACGGCTTCGGGTCGCCAGGATTCTGATTCCCCAGAGTCTCCGAGTTTGGGGGTTGCTGCAGCTTTGAGCCTTGGAGGATCAATAATAACACGAGGATGGGCGAAAACGGGGCACTTGTCGCGTGCATCATAGCCCCTTTCAGGCCTTTTAAGTACCAGAGCTGAAGCTTGTCTGATGCGTCTCCGACCGTTGGAGTACCGCCTGGACATTCATCATCCTTTGCCAGTGGCCCGTCGCGGCTCCGGAGGATCAGGTCAAAAGGGGCTGTAAGATTGGAAAACAAGAGAATCGTGATTGGGGCGGTGGACTATTGGAGCCAGGCGGCAGGGAGTGTTCCACCGATGAGGTGATGAAGAGAATGATGTCTCAGCCCGACGAATCAGACGCGCTAAACTCAGGCAACCATCGAAGGCGCGCGCTGCAGGGTCCACCCGGTGGTGAACGCCTCAGGTCCGGATCTGCGTATGATTCTGCGTATTATTCTGTGTAACGCAGAGCCCAACTCTCAGAGGTTGTGTGCATAGGCCCCGACCCGAGAAGGTATCTGAAAGGATACATCGCTACTGCATTGTTAGTGCATAGTACAGCGATAAAAGTATATCCGACGGGAGGGAGATTCTGTAGTATCCGAGCAGAACGAGGAACACATCTGGGGATCCACTTGGGTAGCACGGATGCCCGGAGCAAACCGATCAAGAGGAGGTTCGAATGTCTTGGACCTTGAAAAGGGTCGAAATTGTGGGTTTTGGAGTTGGGCTCAGAGTGGTTCAGGAGGAGCGAAAGAGGGTCCTGGTGTCAGTCGATCCCAAGCTTTTGTCGCGTGCCTCGAGTCCCCATTGGAGCCCACATCTTGGGGTCTTTTTTTATTTAGTTACATTATGGACTTATACGGGGCGATGTGATTTGTTAGATTTTCATTTGCTTATAATTATCGCATTAGAATTATTCGATTTCTTTTTGTATTGTATTCTCTTGTCTTGTCTAGGCTCAGTCTTACTGTACTGAAAAGAATACTTGACCCTACAGTCGTGCATCCAAGAATATCCCTTCCTTTTCTATTTCTCTTCTCTCTTGAGGACCCTTCGTTTTTTTCAACTGCTTTTGCTTATTCGCTTACTCTAAACCTGTGCGCTTTATTCCATCTACCGTTCTTCTTTCTCTCGCTCTCTTTTTCTCTGCACATACTCGAAACATTCCGGGGTGCTTTGTCCCCATTCCAGTCCTTCACGGCCAGCCATTCCACGACATCCCTCTCCCACCTCCATCTTGACTTTTTTTCTTAACTCACCTCTTGTAACGACAAACCATGCTATGATCTCACCATGAAGCTCTTCGCCTATCTCCCCCCGCTGCCGCCCTTCTTGTTCGCGGCCTTGGTCGTCGGTGGTCTCGCCTCCAAGGCCTTGCACATCGCTCTACATATCCACTCGCTTCCGTTCCTCTATTTCGTCCTCTACTCGCCCACTCTTATAATACCAGACCTACTCGTTATTGCATTTGTACGAGTTTTATTGCATACGCCCTCCCCGGAAACGAAGTTGCAATGGGTTACGACAGCCTTGGGGGGATTGCTCTCGTATGTTCCCCATCCTTGGAAGAGATTAAGATGATCGGGATTGGCGTAATTGGAGAATATGCGCACAGAGAACTAATTGAAATTTAGCCTGATCGTATGGGGCGCATCATCCATTCAATTCGGCTTCTTCATGCAGACTGGCGCCGAGGTCGCCTGGGCCGCCAGCAATAGTTTCCTCAGCGATCCCGCCGCCATGAAGATCTTATTGAGCGGCATCTCGACTGTTTCCGCCGCCGCGACAGTTCTTGGCCTGATCGCCTGGCTAGTTCATGCGAAAATTTACCACTGGACCGGTCTCGGGTTGCAGGCGATCCGAGATCTGTTAAGCGGCAGCTACAGAGCCAGATATACGTTACTCGGAGTCCCCAGCAAGTCATGGATGACGACAATGGATCTTCGAACCGTGCGCCGTATCGCTATTACCGTCTCCATCTGTTCGTCTTTATTATTCCTGGAACTTACCCGACCATCGGTCCCATATGATCACCTCTCGGGCGCGTTGCCGTTGACATTGTTGGATGCGTTCACGAAAAAATCGAGTACCACCGAAGGGTGTCGCCAATCTCCGATGAAATTCCCTCTCTGGACGGACGTGAAGACTGGATTTATGGCCAATAGCTGGTCGCGCCCTTCCTGGCTTCCGCAGAACCCGCCTCCCGGATTTAGTCGTTACGAACATAGCCCCGATGAGCGCGCTGAGAAGGATAACCCTTCGTGGTACTTGTGCAACGACAACGAACCCGGCTTCTACAACCCCAAGACGGACCCGCTCAAGATTTCCAATCTTGGCGGCGACATTTACGGCCCTTTGAAGGCTGCTTTCGATGCACACTCTGTGGAAATTGACCATGTTATCCTGCTGACCCTCGAAAGTGGGCGCAAGGAGCTCTTCCCCATGCAGCAAGGGACTCCAATGTTCGATGCTTTGCTCGAGTCGCACGCCAAGGAGGATCGTGAGGAGGCGATCGACCGTCTTGTCACGATGACTCCTGTGTCGCAGATGCTGACAGGCGAATATGCCACCGATAGCAAGGGCGAGAAGGTCAATTTGACTAGTGCGAACTGGCAGGACCCAGCGGAGGAGGGAATGGGTGGACTGAACGTTCGTGGTGCACTTACTGGCAGCTCTTTAACCTTTAAGAGTATTCTGGGAAGTCACTGTGGCGTACATCCACTCCCCGTAGATCTTTTAGAGGAGACCGGCCTCGAAATCTATCAGCCATGTCTACCTCAGCTCTTCGAACTCTTCAACACGGTCAAGAACCCGAACCCGACTCCAGAGATCCTAGAGCGTGATGATTCGGCCTCGGAGGCTCTGAAGAACCCCTGGAAGTCTGTCTTCATGCAGTCAATTACCGACGACTACGATCGCCAAGATGTCCTGAACGAGAACATGGGATTTAAGCACAAGGTTGTTAAGAGCACCCTGACGTCGCGAAAATCAAAATACCGGGCTAAGGGACAGGAAATCAACTATTTCGGATTTGCCGAGACCGAACTGAAGCCCTACGTTCGTGATCTATTCGAAGAAGCTGCCAATAACAAGACCCGCATGTTCCTCTCTCACGTTACCAGCACAACTCACCACCCATGGAACACCCCCGACGACTTCGCGATCGAGCACTACATGGGCAGCCAAGGCAGCATCAACCACAACCTAATGAACAACTACCTCAACTCGGCCCGCTTCGTGGACAACTGGCTCGGCGATATCATGACCATGCTCGATGAAACCGGTATCGCCAACTCGACCCTGGTTGTCATCGTTGGCGACCACGGCCAGGCTTTCGGTGAAGATAATAAGGATATGACCGGTACCTATGAGAACGGACATATCAGCAACTACCGCGTCCCAATCGTCTTCCGACACCCGCACATGCCCCGTATCAACATCGACGCTAACGCCACATCTATCTCCATCATCACAACTATCCTCGACCTCCTCGTTCAATCACACTCCTTGGACGCTCGCGACTCTGAGATGGCCTCATCCTTGCTCCCTGACTACCAGGGCCAATCACTCATCCGTCCTTTCATCCCTTACATCAAAGATGGCCATGACACCCCGACCGAAAATGACAGCGATGTCGAAGCTCGCTCTCCACGCAAGAAGTCTCACCACAAGGGGGGCCACCACCACACCCGATACAATTGGAATTTCGGTATCGTGAACGCCGGCGGCTCCATGGTCTCAATCACGGCCGCTGGGCTACCCTACCGACTTGTTCTGCCTCTCAAGGAGGGCTTTGAGTATGCCTTCAGCGACTTGAACAAAGACCCTGGCGAGCTGCACCTTGTCAAGTCTTGGACAATGGCTGATCTCGTTGATGATGTTTTGTCCAAGCATGGCCAGTCAGCTGCCGAGTGGCTCGAAGATGCAGAGCAGGTTGGTAAGTGGTGGGTGAACGAGCAAAGGCGTATTTGGGGATACCGTGAGGCATAGTCCTTTCAGGTGTTCTACCAATCGCCTTTGACATTTTTGCACGATCTTGAAGTCTATATGTTCTCCTTTTTGTTTTACCTATGATCCTTTTGGCCATCACCACCGTCATTTCCCTCATACCTTTCACTGTCTATTGTCACGATTCCATCTTCCGAAAACTTACCCTGCGATGGTGTTACGGGCTCGCATTGTTCCCATATCTGGGCCGCATATTTTCCTTGTTCTTTTCCTGCTTACCGGACATTTGGATATCTGGTTTTCTTGGGCTGTACTATACGCCTCTGCCGCTTTTGCGGATTCTTTGTGGGGAGCCTGAATCATAATTGGTTGATCAGGCCCTCTTGTACATAAATCACATATTGGGCGGACTACTTGTTGATGAGATATGGGTTTGTCTAATAATTCAATCGAAAAGATTCTTCTCAGCTTCAAAATATTCCATGAGTTTCAGTTGGATAGGGCTCTCTCATCTGGGGTCTGGGCTGTACAATCCCCCACTTCGTCAAGGCTTAGATCGAACGAGCGGTGGACTACTGATGCTCAGCCGCACTCACCCCTGTCGTAGACTGCCAATCGTGGCTGCATGTTAATCGCCTGCTCATGCAGCTGCGCTTCGTTCTGAGCGAGGTTTGGAGTGCCAACACAGCCATGATGAGGCAAACGCCCGGGCGCTCCTGCTCCCTGACCAGGTTCATTTCCTCTTCTATGATCGCACCGCCGACATTGATTACTACCAACTATCTACAATTGTACCACCCCACCTCCGACTGTCTAACAGAATAACACCATGGAAGGGCTAAGTGCCGGTGCGAGCGTGCTAGCAGTGATCTCACTAGCCGCCCAAGTAGGCGCAGGCGCCCACACTCTAATCAAATTCCTCCAAACCGTCTCAGACGCACCAACCGAGATCCAACGCCTCGAAAGCCTCCTCGACCAGATCTACGCGATCGCATCATGTGTCCGGAACGCCCTCGAACACCAGCGCAAACTCCACGGCGACAAACATATCCTAGCAGATGATATCCACACATCTCTGCTCAATTGTCAAAAGAAAGTTCAGAGGATTGAACGGATCGTGGATCGCTTCAAAGAGACTGAGAATGGGAGGAGTGTGGTTAGTCGGAGATGGGCTTCTTTCAAGTTAGCGCTGAAGAAGGAGGATGTGCTTGAACTTGAGAGGCAGCTTGGTCAGGCTATTCAGATACTGGATATTGCGATTACGACGCATTCTCTGTGAGTAGGGGCTGGATTTTGAGGTGTTGAGTATGATACTAATATAATGCCAGAGCATCGCAAAGTCGAAATACGCTCCTTTTGGTTCAGAAGCTGGACTCGCTGCCATCCACAGATAATCAGTCTGAAGTGGCTCATCTCGAGTCATCTTTGGCATTTACCAAGGACAATATATATGCTCCACAGCGTTACGACCAAACCATGTCAAAGTCGTCTCGGAACGCGTTCACACGCACGCATGAATATCATGTGTCTAGACACAACTTTGGCATTCTCCGCCTTGGAATTGTGAAGTCTAAAAATATAGACAGCAGACACTATCGGGGCTCTCAATATCAATCAACAACAACAAAGACGAGCTATCGCATCTCTACATCGTTCTTGTCGTGAGCGGTGGAAGCCATGGTTTTTGGGTCTGGACCGTCGATTTCAAACATCAGCCTCAAAACCATGCCAAGGATGTCGTGGGAAATGGAAACAAAAATAGAGGAATACATTTCGAAAGGCGATATAACGGGAATTCAATCTCTCCTCACTGCCGGTAAGATCTCAATATACACTGAAGATCTATTTGCTGTAAGTCAAAGAGCTATGTGTAGCTACACTCTGCTTACCGATTTATAGCAGGCGGCTTTCAATGTCTACAAATCTTCAAGCGATGCAACGGATATTCTCCTGTTCCTCATACATCAGGGATGTCAATTAAATATATCAGCCCCACAAATGATGTAAGTTTCTTGAGCCCTTCTAGCTTTGAATGATCACTCCACCGATACAAAGTAATCCGTCTCACAGCTTGGCACTCTTTTATCTTTACCCGCGAATGAATCAAACTGATGGCTTATTTCAAATTTTCAAGCTGGTCTGCTCCAAAGTCGAATATGCAGAAGAGCCCGTGGACGAACTATGTAAAGCGCTTCAACAGCTCTCTGGAGACGCAGACGTGGTCCTTGAAAGCCTTGAAATTCTTGATTGGCTAGCTTTCACTGGGGCACAAATTACGACCCTGCCATCTGAATTTTATCTGGGTTCAGCACTGTCATTCATGTTCAAGTTGTGGGCTAGGCCACTGGGCATCGAGCGGTTGAAAACCCACCGTGAGCTTGCCAGAAAGCTTGTTACAGCTGGTGCCGACCTGCACTATAGGAATCAGTACGGAGACACATTGCTTCAGCATCTTTTGTCATCCTCCCCGCTACAGATGCATGATGATCTGATTCCCGAGTGGCTGCAGTTGCTTGCGGGCTGTGGCATTGATGTGGAAAATTATGCTTTGCAAGAAATCCACTTCTCTGACGGAGAGCCGTTCGAACTCGAAACCTGGAGTACTATTACTCTTACAAATCGCAAGATATTCCTTCCAGCGAGTCCTTACACTTGCATTAGAATACGTGCCCTTAAATTTACATTCGACGATACAGGCTATCTGAACCCAAAAATCTTGCGGTGGGTGGACCCTGAAAGTCCCGCAGCTTTGGTTCTAGAGGAATTCGACTTTTGTCAAGATTTGATATCCATCTGCGGTCATAACTGCGAAGATTTCAGGCAGTGGGCCCCTCTTTGGGAAAGAAGTCCTCAGGACCTGAGAGACATACCGATTGCTGCATTATATATGTTGGCCGAAATGGGGTGGGACTTTCAGAAACATTGGGCGGGGATATCAATCTTGCCTGCTGATCAAGACGCTATCTGGCTTATCGATGAAGACTCTGATGGGTTCCCGGAAGAATTCTTGCAAAGGCTGAACACAATGCCTGAGATAAGAGTCTCGACTGATCCGAAACAGGTTCAACGCGGACTCGGCCGGTTATCGGAAAGCATTGACCCCACCGAGATCTTTATTGGAACGAGTGTCGCAAAAGACACCGAGTTGAGAAGAGCCTTCAAAATTTCTTATGGAACCTTCTGTCGGGAAGTTAGTTTCTGTCACTGCGATATTTTCGACAAATACCTGGATCTCTGGCCCTTTCATGGCAGCACACATACCCTTTGTCGGACTGGAAACAAACTGGACGAGCCTTGTCTTGGATCTATAGACCCGTGGTGGTGTGAGGTGCACAAATGCAGATTCAACCATGCGAGATTTGAGAGGAAACAGGCCAAACGGATTGCCAAGAGGCGCAAGCGTGAGGGGAATAAGTTGGTTACGTGTTCTATGCCAGGCTCTTGGCCAGGCTGATTAGTTCTCGAGTGAAAGATGACTGCATGAATGTAATTAATAGATAATGCTACGCACTTTTCTTTGAATGCTACAAATACGCAATAAAGTATAGAATTAATATATGATTGGCTATAAACTGCTTTTCTACCACAACTTCCACCGTCTATTGACTAGCGAGTCGATCCCAGCCAGTCCCCTTCGCCAAGCCTTGCCATCATCCAGTTGAAGTATCATGTTCATCCGAGTATAGTTCCGAACGTCTTGATCTTCGCTCTCAGTCTTCAACTCGGCCTTGCTATTCTGTCCCCAGACCATCCAAGATGATGAATCGTCTGCCCTCCAAGGCTCGAATCCGTTCGCAAACTTAATCCAAGCCGTGGAAAATTCCCGTGCCATCTGCTTTTCATCGTCATTCATCTCTCTTTCCAGGTTCCCAAACAGGTACAACAACTCATATGCATGATATGCTGTCCCCTCCAGAGTGTTGGGAAGGCGAGACCGTTGGTCGAAATGATACAAGAAAGGGGCACTTCCAGCTGGCGCTGCCTGTTTGGCGCACTCCTTTGCCAAGACATAATTGGGAATCTTGAAGATGAAGTCACCACACATGTGTTCGACTCTGTCGAGAAGTTCTGGGTGTGGAAGGTCGGCAGTGATTTCATAGGCGTCCAGGATCTGATCAGTCCAGGACCCATCCTCGATATGAGCATTGAGGACACGCCGAATTGAGTGATAATCATCCTCTAGCAGGTTCACATGGAAAATGATGCCCTCGTGGTAGACATCACCAAACATATATTCTTTCAGCCACGAGGGAGGCGCAGTGATACCCCGGGGTCCCGCACCAGGAAGATAAAACCAGCCATCAAGACACGGATTTCCAGTTCCCGCGGGGACACCCTGAATCTCGGGAGTTGCGTCCGCAAGATCCTGCTGAGGTATAGTACGTAATTGATCCAGTACATCGGAAGTTTCTGGGTCGATCTTGAAATGACGACATACAGCGGCAAAGAAGATATTATGCTGCTGCATGGTCCATGGTGGTATAGCAGCAGATAATCCAGACATGCACACAGCGCGGTGAAAGACGGCAGGGTCCGCTGCTTGGAGATGATTACTGATAGAAATGCCTCCAGCGGACTCGCCCACTGCAGTCACCTTTTCAGCATCACCGCCAAGATACCCAATATACTTTTGGACCCAGTCAAAAGCGACCTTTTGATCTGTGAAGCCAAAGTTGCCACTACCTGCATAGCCATCCTGTTTCAGTTCACGCGCAACAGCTTCGCCGGCTAGGAATCCGCCGATACCGATTCGATAGTTGAAGTTGACGCATATAATGGGAAGCCCGATCTCGATACTTCGTGACACTAGGTTGACGGCATCGAATATTGGAAGATTTGCACCGCCGTACAGCAGAGAGCCACCATGTACATAGACGAAGACAGGGAGAAGCTTGCTAGTTGTGTCGAAGGCTCGCGGGATAACGATATTCATGACCAACCCGGAAAGCTCGTCTACAGCGGGAGGCCAGGGCAGATGAGAAGCAGGAGGGACGGGAACAAGTTCATTAGAGTTGTCGCCGTCGATCAAACCTGGCATTGGGCAGTCGTTGCTGGTAAATGTCAGAGGGCTTCCTTGTTCAATTGACACAGGAGAGTACAGTACCCTAACTTTGTTCCATCGTGATGGCTATTGTTCCAAAACGTTTTCAACGTTGATCGTGTCCAGCGCTTTGGTAAACTCGCATAAGGAATACCGCAGAATTGTTGTACGCCATTTGCGTACTCCAAACCATCCAGTGTCCCCAACCCTGGAATGGTAGTTTTGCATTTGGAGATAGGGGTTTGGAAAGACATTGAGAGATAAGATCACAGAACAACAAGCCTACCACAAGACTGTCATTTACAAGGATTTGAAATTGTCGCTGGCGGGGCATGTCCATGCGTGGAGGATATATGGTTGACTATATTTTGAGTATATTTTAACTTTACGTGCTTATCTTCCCAATTCGGCAGTTCGACCCGATATCTGCTGGTTATCAGCGCAGTGCCACTTCCCCCGCATTTCTTATAATGCCTGGCGTATTTCGCCCGCCCGCACGTCGTGCTCAATTAATTCCTCCCTGTATCCGGTATGTCGACCCGCAGTTATCAAGGGTGCTGGACCTGCAAGCGCCGTCGGCGACGCTGCGACAATGCCCGTCCAACATGTCGAAATTGTGCACAGCGAGGAGTGGATTGTGAGGGCTACGAGGTACGACTGCGCTGGGGTAGCGGCATTGCCTCGCGTGGCCGATTTACCGGCGCAGATAAGCCATTGGAAGAGAATGTACCGCCGAGGCCAAAGGGAAGACGGAGAGATTTGAGTAGGGAAAGGAAGAGGCTTGAGGCTCAGACTCAGGCCCAGAGAGATGTTGGTGAGTTCTTGATACCTGGGGCAATTTATGATGGACCTGACAAGTCGCCAGCAAAATTTCATGACATGGTCGCTCAATTGGATGAGGATGTCTCTCCAAAGATAGATCGGTCAGAACAAGATGAGTTTCTTTTCAATGAATGTGAGTTTTGAGATGAAATAAAATGATATGGTCTCACATTGTACTGAACATTTAAATCTACAAGTTTTGACAAGTGGAATCAACATTCTACATTCCACTACAGCCCCTAAGAGCATGTTACAACCTAGACTTCCCGAATTGTGTCAAGAGTCCAGCGCCTTGTATAATATCTGCCTTACATTTCAACTCTCTCTATCTGCTACTCACACAACTCAATTTTTCGAATACCTTGATACTTCACTACGGGAGTTTCGTTCCGAACTAGCCCGCTCCACGACGCTCTCAGACGGCACACTGACCGCGGGGCTTCTAATGTGCAGTATTGGTGTGAGTGACCCGTTTCATGAACTATTTGGGCTCGAAAGGCTGACCCCATCTTCTCCACTCGCGCAGTTGATGCACGGACTGCCGTGGACAATGCACATAGAAGGCATGCACAACATCTTGCAAAGCTGCCTTCCGGATAGTCCACGTGGTATAGCTACCCCAACTCCATTTCGAACCCACCTCCTTGAGGTTATGGGAGTCATGGACCTGCCCTGCCTCACGATAGGGCGTCAGACACCTCCGATCGGCATTTGGCGCCGCTTCTGCCAACCGACAGGGCCGAGGCACGGCATCGAGCCGGTGACTGGAATACCGCGCTCTCTCTTGGACCTACTCGCAGGGATTAACCTAGATACAACAGAGCAAAGTTTCTGGGATTGGCCTGGTGAAGCGGGGAGCTTCTTGCAGTGCTATCTATGGGAAGCCTACAGACTAGCGGGAATTCTGACCATCCGCCAATCCGAACGCCTGCGAAAACCGTCTTCGGGGAGTCCTCGGAACCTGTCAATGTGGCGACAACCGAATTCGTGCCCGGTGGACTCGAGCATTCTAGTAGGTCGTATTCTGGCCAATGTGGATGCTCTTCGCTTGGGATGCCTAGAGCGCCCGGACGAGGACCCTTTTATCAAGAACTCAATTCTTTTCCCGAATGTGGTTGCCGGGATGGAGGCAGACGTTATGCGTCAGAATCCACGGCTGCAAAAAGTTATTCGCGAATGCTCTTTGGGATCGCGTCAAGATGATATTCTCCTTGACCTTCTGGAAGAAGTATGGCGCCAGGGCGACTCTACACTTGATATCAATGACCTCGCCCGAGCAAAGGGTGTTGAAATGGGTCTGCTTTGAGGATACTTTGAACTGCAACACGTATATTCTGTGCGTTTTATATTTATATTTTTTTTATTTTGCATTTCATGAATATGGGAGGCGGCGTTCAGATTCTGTGATATTGTTCCTTTCTATGCTGTAGATTCAAACATCGCTATGTACTATCTGTCTCTCGAATCATCACCCAGTACTTGAGTTTTCCATTCTCCTCCTCGTGCGCTGGCGTATCTGTGAGCTCAACTTCCTCTATCGTCTTGAAGCCGAATCCCTCATAAAAGCCGACATTCTCCTGCTTGGTGCATTCCAGGAAGATCGGATTGCCCGCAACTTTCTCGAGGATAGACTTCATCACGCCGCCCCCCAGTCCGCGTGACTGCAGTGATGGGTGTACAGCAATGACTTCAAGATACCACAGGCCAGGGTACCGTGCCTGGAGAGCCTTTTTACCGGATGTGTGTTTCTCCATGAGTATCTCCACTCGCTATCGGGAAGCTTGAATCAACCCCAGTATTCTAGCTTATAAAAGGATAAGTGTTTCTTACCTTATCTCTGCACGATTCGTCTTTGACTGGATTGAAAAGTTCCAAAAGCCACAGCTTACAAGCGAGCCAAATTGAGGACACCGACCGAGGAAGGTGTCCATTTGGAGGGAACAAGAACACGACAGCGCCAGCATCGTCCTTTTGGTTAGCAGGAATATCTGTGTTTTCCGAAACTGACACTCGAGTTGTCTTCTCAGGTGTAATGGCAGCCTCTGAAGGCTCGATTGGTTTGTTGCGCCGTGGATATTCGTGGGCCATCTGATTGACGCTGGCTGATTGAAGAACAATGCCTTCTGAAATCACATTCTGCACCCTTCTATATTGCCATCTCCGTGCAGTTGCATCTTGATAAGCCCACGGCGTCGCGCTCGGTCGCAGCCATTGTATCAAGGGATCGGATGAGAAGGCTGCGTTGACTGTTCTCGCGACGGCGGAAATTGATCGATCTGAATTGTTGCAAGTAAGTCAGGCTTTGCTTCAGAGAAAATATTCTGTAGAAGGGATGGCAGACCACTCTGAACAGGGAAGAGATTGACTGTCACTTTTTGTTTCGACATGGTCTTAGGGCAGGGTAGAGCTGTTTCGCTGCTCGAGAAGAGATGATAGGTAGTAGATAGCACGAAGCGCCATAGTTTCTATACTCGTGGGCATACCGCGAGGCTAATGTAAGTTTGTCCGCACAAAAGATTCTACAGCTAAAACTAGCCCAGGTGGAACTATCAAGGCTTCCATCTTTCTCTATCGCGTCGGCATCCTGCACTTGGCGATCGTCCGAAACCCAGGGGCCCAAGAGCGAAGGAGCGTCTGCCTTCTATATTGAGTCAGGGACCCACCGGCCTAAAATCGCTTATAGATTGCTAGGCACTATGATAGGGCCCAAACAGCAAGCCTCGTAATTTAAACGTGTGCCAACGCCAAGTGCCCCTTATCTTGGTATGATCTATGCCGGATTAAGAAGGCGGACCCTCCCAGGACTCTAAAATGAAGTGGCGTCGGAACGCCCACTTGGATGGAACTTGAACTCTCTCCGCACTTTCAAAGCCGAGATGAACTGCCATTGTCAAACTCGCTCGACTTACTGCTTTATCAGGATTGTCAGTGTGCTGTGTCCTTGTCACGGTGGCGCGTAGCGATATCAACATCCGTCATGTGGACCAATCTGAGCGGAGTCTGAAATCTGGGGAAGACAATTAAATATCCCTCTGTATCGCCGTCGTATCCCTTGCCCGCCCAAGTTGAGCACATTCAATTCTGGAACAATGGCTGCTACTCGTGTCAATATTGATGGATCGTCCTTTGAAGGAGGGGGATTGCTTCCTCCTGGAACTTTCCGTCTGATTCAAGGTAAAGTTGAATGGGTCCCGAGTGTGGGAATATATCACTGACTCGGCTCCACAGAAGATGGATCAGAGCTCCACGGCCAGCGAGCTGTTATGCTCGACCCAGTACCTTCCAATGATCCTAATGAACCCTTGGTCAGTCTTTCGTGTGCATATTTTTGGCAATTGATCTGAAACTTATGCTTATCAATTGTAGAACTGGAGTGCAACCCGCAAGGCTGTGAACTTTACTATTGTGCTGGGAATGACTGTTATCATCTTTACAGCGTAAGCCGCGCGGACATGTCTTCTTTCGGGCTGCACTCACAATATTTATTATTTCCAGGCTTTCGATCCAAGCAATCTTCTGGCAACAAATGGTTCTTGACCTCAATGTTACTTATTCACAGCTTAACCAAGCCATGTCGGTAAACTTTGTTGGATTAGCAACTGGCTGCGTGCTATTCATTCCTTTGGCTAAGAAGTTTGGCCGGCGACCGGTATATATCGTGTCAACTGCTTTAATGCTAGCCACCTCGTTTTGGACATCCAGACTTGAGAGTCTTGCAGAGCTCTACGTCACAAATCTGCTGCAGGGATTGGCTGGTGCAACCAATGAGACCATTGCCGAGATCACTGTATGAATAAACTACTCAATTCGGACGCGCCAAATATTGACCCAGGACTTGCAGATTTCTGATTTATTCTTTGTCCACCATCGAGGAAGTATGAACGGTCTCTACATGACGATGGTTATGATTGGGGTAAGTCTTTCGTCCCGCTAAAGTGTAAGGCTACTAACATCCCCTGTAGAGCTTCTTGACACCCATGGCTGCTGGAACTCAAGCCACCAGACAAGGATGGCGTTGGTCCTATCAAACAATGGGCATTTTCAACGCCATCTTCCTCCTACTTTTCCTCTTCTGCTACGAAGAGACCAAATATGTCCCTCTACTGAACGGGCAAGCTCGAACCGGTCCTGATACTGAAGAGGACCTTTCTGGTCCTGTCGATCCGGATCATAAATCAGCGGTGCAGTCAGATACAAAGGCCGCACTTCCAGTCGAGCCAAGCAGCCTTCACCATGAATTGGATCTCACTATCCCAATTCATTCCTGGCGCAAGCGTCTCGCCTTCTGGACTCCCACCCCAGAGCCTATCTGGCCTTATTTCTACCGCCCCTTCTACGTGTTGTTCAGCTTCCCAACCGTGTTCTTTACCGGACTCCAATATGCCTCTGGCGTAGTCTGGCTGACCGTTGCTTCGAACGTGCTGTCTCTTGTCTTCCCACTGCCCCCCTACAACTTCACACCTGAGCAGATTGGTTTTATGAGTCTTGGTCCATTCATTGGAAATCTTATCGGCGCCTTTTACGGTGGACTGATTGGAGACCGCTCTATCCTTTATTTCTCTCGGAGGAACAAGGGTTTCTATGAGCCCGAGATGCGGTTATATATTTTGCATCTCCCTGCCCTCTTTATGGCTGGAGGTTTGATGATGTTCGGCATTACTATGTCGCGGGTAAGGATATCCCCTAGCCTCCGGTCTCCCGTGCAACTCATGCAGAATGCAAAGACTAATCTGTCGTTCCTAGGGCATGCATTGGATCTATCCTAGCATTGGCGGAGCCTTTTTCGGATTTGGCCTGGGTAGCATAGGCGATGCCACTTTGACTCTGGTCATTGACAGTTACCGTGATGTAGGTCACATTTGATCCAGTATTATCGTGTTGATCGGCTGATCTAATTGTTTCCTCCTGTCAGATCACTGGTGACGCATTCACGGGAATAGCATTCCTCCGCAATGCCATCAGCATTGGGATCCCCTTTGCTATTTCTCCATGGATTGAGCGCGACGGTCTGCAGAACATGTTCATTGCCTGTGGATTCATCAGCTTGGGTATCTCGCTGCTCATTATTCCTATGGTGTTCTACGGTAAGCGGTCTCGTCGTGGTTTGGCGGCACGCTATTATCGCCTTGTTGAGCAGCAGGGTCACAATCATGGTGGGTGACGATGTTTCGTGCTTATCACGGAAACGAAGAATTGGATGTTATGGGAAATATCCAGGCATTGGACCAGATGCTGGGATCATTTATGTAAAGCTTAGTACCCAGAAAGAACGAGCGAATAAGATGATGTTAATCATAACAAAGGGATATTCCACTAGCAGATTTATTGGACAGCCGAGGAGAACAGCGTATACTAAATGATAAGCGTGAATAAGAGCGGTGCGGGATACACTTCTCGTGTACTCCACAGGTTGGAAGTCATGCGTCTTTTTTACGATACGGATATATCCCACTTCAGCAGATTTCGAAGCCTAAATTGGACCTTGGAATGTAAATAAGTGATTAATGAGGACAGAATCTTCACCAAAGGGGCTTTCTCTATTGATTCGAGCTCTTCTAGAGTTATACTGATCTGTCAGCAACAATGTGCATGACCCAAAACACCCTGGTGACATTCAACCTCTCCAATTACAGATTAGACTGACGTCCAGTTTCAGACATACTCCTCGGCATCTCTGCTTCAGAGATTCGCTTCTCCGAAACAAGCAACTGCTCAGGGAACCAAGTCAAATCCGGATCCGCAGTTGGGACGAGCTGATCATCTTGCTTCAGAATCATCATGCCCAACGCCTTTCCACAACGCCAGGCTTGAACCATACCCTCACCCCCAAAGGCAGCACATACCCACTCTGAGCCAGTATTCTCGCCGACTGGCTCAGATCGACCTGTTGCAGAGGTAGACAACCGTCCTACCCAGGGGAATCCATCCGTGCTGAATGACATGTTACCGGTCCACATCGCCTGAATAGGGTTACCCTGCACCGGACCCCAGGACTCATGTCCGAAGACTGCACTCAACGCGCCGGACAGATGAATGTCAAGGTAGACACTCATATCATTGTCTTTTGAGATACCCAGATCGGCCACACCACCTCCTTCACCATTGGCGAAACCACCGCCGAACATCATTTGGCCAGTGGGTAGCTGGGTGAGGTAATCGAACCCGCGGTCATAGTTGAAGAGCCACGAGTGTTTCGTAGCTTGAAGCGGGAACTTGTCACCGGGTGTTTGTGCAGACATTTGGCCGCGAACGGGGAAGATGCGGCCTCGGAGTCCGGGGACGAGATGGCCAACGTGTGCGTTTGTGCAGTGAATAACGTGTTTAGCGGAGATTGTTCCACGACATGTTTCAATTTTGTAAGGGTTATTTGAATCATTACCGGAATGGATTGCCTGCACCGCAGTGTGGCCTGCGACATGGAAGTCTTCTGGATAATCAGAGAGAAGACGGGAGAGAACACCCGTGACGAATTTATATGGCCAGAGGGCTCCAGCTGGGCCTGCGACAACACCCGTTGCACGGGATAGTTTGAACTCCTATAATGGTCAAGTTAGTATATCTATCTTCCCATTTTTTGTGCGGTTGATCTCAACAAACCTCTGGAATCGAGCTCCCCTCGTACGAAACCCACTCAGCCGACTCCTCGGGCATGCCCTCCTTAAACCGACGCAGTCTTTCCACCGCAGCTTTCCAAGGCTCCTCGCCAAAGTAAGCACTGAGGAACTGCACTTTCCTTGCCTGTGTCGCCTCCGTCAGCCCCAACTCCTCTGCGACACTCAAAGTCTCACGCAGATGAGCCAGTCTGAAACGGAGGATCTTGCGCGCCGACTCCTCACCAAATGCATCTGCGAATTCGGCATACTCGTCAGCTGTCTCGAGTATATGGCCGCCATTACGGCCTGTAGCACCGCTACAAATATCGCGAGCCTCTAGCATGACCACCGCGGGATGGGATGAAGTGGACGATGACTTGGCGCGATTTTGAAGCAGGGTGCGTGCGATAGACGCGCCAGTGATTCCGGACCCGATAATCACGACATCTGCCTCGGTGGGTAGAGGTTTTGAGGATTTTTGGGCAAAGTCGGGGTGTGGAGTTTGAAGCCAGAAGGAGGAAGTAGTAGCATCGCTTGGGATACCGGGATCGGAATGGATTCGATCCAGAGCACGTTGACGCTCAGTGGGCGAGACCGCGGCACTGGTTAACATAGAAAGTACAACGGACATTTTGATAAGCCAAACCAAAAAGTAGATAGATTAATCTCTTTAGAAGAGAATAAATGAACGAGGGAATAGTGGTGGAGAAAGAGTGTGCAGGGTAGTACATAGTTGGAGGAGCTATCAGCTCAAATAGGGCCGCCATATGAGCAGGAGATAGATCGCCGAGGGCGCAACTCACAAATCGGATGCAGCCTGTTGTACCTACCTCTTTGGACTGAAAATAATCAGTCATACCACTTTGGGCCGATTGGGTTGAACGTGTATTAGTCGATCTTACAGCTCGATAAGGCGGGGGGACAACCTACCTATTTGGAGCATCTCCACTGCGGGGAAAGAATTTGGGTTTCACGAGAAGCTCGCCGAACTAAGAATAATATCATCCATGTTGTAGATAATTTTGAGATCTAGTGAACGATAAAAGCCGCGGGTTCCTACAATAAGTCTATGTTAGAACTCGAGTTCATTTTCAATTTGCACTGAAATCAACCCACCACTTCAATTCTTCAATATCACCATGTCGCCCGCTCCATCGCCCGGAAACGATGTCTTCCCTGACGGTCCGACTATGCGACAACCCGCCTTGTCCTGGCTGTACAGACTGGAATGCGACATCGACAAGGAAGAAATAAATATTGGTGCTCCTCATGACGCGGGAATTATCCGCAGCGTCGCCAATATTGTTCGCGGAAGCATCAAAGGACCTGGCATTGAAGCAACGGTCCTGCCGTTGGGAGGAGCCGACTGGGCCACGGTGATCAAGGGAACCCACGTATGATCAGAATGAAATAGCCCATGGGACTGAATATTTAAATTGCTGACGAGTTTCTCCAGTCAATGAAGCTCGATGCGCGGTATACTGCGCGCACCTCCGACGGCCACCATCTCTACATCCGCGCCCACGGGCTGTATCGCCCTGGACCAGGAACCGAGTACGCGAAAGAAGTCGAGCAGGACTGGACACAAGCCCCCAAGACTGTAGTGACCCAAGACGATGTGGAATTCTTTTCGCATTTGCGATTGGAGGCGGGACCGGGACCGTACAATTGGTTGAATGGACTGGTGTGCCTCGGCGTGATGGTTTGCGAAGGCGAGAAGATTTGGATCGATGCGTATCATCTCACGAACTTCCCGGGTGTTAAGCCGGAAGATGTAGTTGCCAAGGCATAAGGAATATGAGAAACCATGAGAAAACTATATAGATTCCGGCAGTTAGAAAGGGGTACAAGCCGATAGCAACCAATGAGAATGGGCCAGACTGCTGCCACCCCCTAAATTTCCCGCGCGCACCCCTGGGGTCTTAGAATTCTGCCTGAGATGGCAACACGTAGTATACTAGTTATGTTAGTGGACTTTTATGGTCGGTTCAGAATATTGACTAAACTTCAAAATCATCTGATTAGCTATATTTTGAAAGACACCGTACCTAGTTTCCTAGTTACCTGGTTAAATCGAGAGGTATCGTGTGGGCTATCCCGAAAGATATCCCAAAAGACCTTCCAGAAGATATACAACTCATGGTCATGACCGGCTTAGCGAGATTTAGCCCGTCAGGCAGAGATCTAAGGCCCCTGGGGTGCGCGCGGGAAATCGAGGGGGTGGCAGCAGTCTCGCCCATGAGAATTCGTCGGTTGTCCAAGCCGATACGACTATACCCGATTAGGGAGGCAGACGCACCCTCGCATCCAACGAATCAACAGCGGAGAAGCCAACAAAGAGGCTGTAGCTCTCACGCGTCCGCGGGGTCCGGTGGGAAATGTGGGGGGATAAGGAGATGCCGATTATACTGGACCTGGAGGGGCAAGCTAGGATCATGTAGGTCGGAAGGTACATAAACACGGCCGTGGAACCAAAAAGGAGAAATATCATCCACGACTCAAAGCAGCATCTCCGGTCTCATGGCGACCGAAGCCCCTCAAGCTGTTCAACCCACCGACTGGCAGGAGTTGGTCGCTCGCAAGCGTCACGAATGCCAGGACAAAATTCCCCGTGAATGGACGCTGAGCGAAGATATTTTGAAAGAACTGCCCACTAATCTACTGGAATATGATCTGCCACGTCGCAGTGGCCTCCTTTCTGATCTCGAGCTCGATGTCACCGAAAACTATACCGCAACCGAGCTATTGATCAAGTTGGCCTCCGGCCAGGTTAGTTCACTGGCGGTTACGACGGCGTTTTCAAAGCGTGCAGCCATTGCACAGCAGGCGGTAAGTACCATTGTCAATGCATATTGGATTTTTGTTATATCTTTGTGCCATCTAACGATCATTTACTCCTGGTATAGACTTCATGTCTCACGGAGACCTTTTTCTCGGAAGCTTTGGAGCGAGCTCGCTTCCTGGATGAATACCTCCAGCGAGAAGGAAAGCCAATTGGCCCACTCCATGGATTGCCCATCAGTCTCAAGGATAGCTTCTGCGTAGAGGGCCTCCAGTCGACAGTGGGATACGTTGCCTGCCTGAACAAACCCCCAGCAACGACAAATTCAGCACTGGTGACGATGCTCCTCGAATTAGGAGCCGTGCTATACGTGAAGACTAATATCCCTCAAACGATGATGGTAAGTACGGATGCGAAGTACCAACTCCAATCAACATTTGCGTCCGAGATTTTGATTATAACTAATACCTTGCCAATCAGACCGCAGACTCGGAAAACAACATCTTCGGCCGCACCCTCAACCCACACAACACCTCCTTGACTGCAGGCGGATCCAGCGGCGGCGAAGGCTCTCTAGTAGCATTCCGAGGCTCAATCCTCGGTGTTGGCACCGACATCGCAGGTTCGATTCGTATTCCAGCTCTTTGCTGCGGCGTTTACGGATTCAAGCCAACCACTGCCCGTGTTCCCTTCGGCGGCCAATTCTCCGGTGCAATGGAGGGCTTGCCTGGACTTATTCCTTCTGCGGGTCCCCTTGGCCATAGCCTTGCAGATTTGAAGCTGTTTATGGAAACCATCATCGGAAAAGGAAATGCATGGGAATATGACCATACAGCTGCCGCTGTGCCGTGGAACAAGACTGCGAGGGTCGGTAGCGACCGTAATGGAAGTCTGACCATCGGCGTGTTGTCTGAAGACAAGCAATTCCCCCTCCATCCTCCTGTGAAACGCGCTCTGGATTGTGCAGTCGAGGCTTTGACTAAGGCGGGTCACCGGATTGTCCGGATTGAAAATAATACCAAGGAGGATCTTTCGGTGGCCTATGCCTCGCGATTGGCATTCCAGTATTTCACCTACGGCCCTCATGTGGATAATATTGGGCCCAGTGGTGAGCCATTGGTGGCTTCAGTGGCCAAGTTTGCTTCACCAATGTTCTCGGGCTCTTGGCCCGTGGAGCAGGAGCAGGAACCTCTTTACAAGGTAAATCAGTTGCATGTGGCTCGGGGTAAGGTGTCTGATGCCTGGCGTCAAGAATGGGTTGAGAAGCAGCTGGATGTTATTTTGGCTCCCGGTTCGCAGAATACGGCAGTCGGTTTTGATACTTATGGTTGGCCGCCGTATACATTGATGTGGAACTTACTGGATGTGAGTTTTCTCCGTTTCTGATGCGATTTGGTTCGCTGGTGGCTGACTTGAATCTCAGTACCCAGCTTGCATTATTCCGTTCGGAGAGGCATCCAAGGGGTTGGACCCTGACGAGATGAAGACTGGAGATGATGTACAGCCTGATTGTGAGTGATGGTACTTCCATTCTTATCCATTCATAGATCACTAACGTATTACCAGACCACCCGGAAGAAGTTGACGGAGCACCATGTGCTATTCAAGTCATTACGCCCCGCTTCCAAGACGAAAAGTGTCTTGCTGCCGCTGAACTCATCGAGCGGGCAATCCGAGCCTAGCTCGTACCCAGGCATCCTGTAAAGAAATTGGGAAATATAGATAGAAATAAACAGTTTCATTGCAAATACCATGTATGTACATTATTTACTTGGTCCATCGCTGCATCCAGGATTCAATATATCTGTGTATCAAACCCTCGGCAACGGGATCCTTCACAAGACCCAAGGACGGACAGTCTTGAACAGTGCGATCAGTCTCAAAGTCAAGACCCGCCGGTTTCTGCGGTTGAGCAGAGCCATTAATTTGCGCTTGACTAAGTCCTCCATACTTGCCACGCCAGAAGTCAATAAGCTTGATACTCGGGTTCTTCTCTGGATCTTGCTCGCTGGAAGCTAATCGCTGAAGCCACTCCTGTGGCGAAACAACCTCAAACTCAGGTAGAGCTGAGCCCTTCTTCAATGCGGGAAGCAAGTCGTCCTTCCAACTGAAGGACTTAGGATTGACTAAGTGGTACACCAAGTCCAACTCCTGGCTTGCGGCCGCTCCCTTCATAGCGAGGTCCGCAACAGCCTGCGCACATTGGTCAACCGGCAGCCAGGTCGGGCTCTCTGGGAGTTCAGGGAGAGCACCCGTCGTCAAAGCACTGCGGAACATGAGAGCGACGGCCTCGGTATCGTTCCACTGAGCGCTGATGGTATCGCCGCCAAGTTGTCCAATTCTAAGAACTCTCGATTGCATGCCAGTTTGCCGCATGGCGTTCCGGGTGATGTGCTCGGTGACCAGCTTTGAGCGGCCATAGCCCATTTTCTGTGCATGGTTCAAGTTTTCAATTGCAGTCTCGGCAATTGAGGCGGGCTTGGGGGTACCGCTGGCTGTGCTGACACTCGAGCAGAAGAAGAATTGAGCTGGGTTTGGTAGCTTGGATCGGAGACAAAAGTTGATGAGGTTATATGTTCCGCGGATGTGTTGCTGCTCGAATGATCGTACGCCAAGGTTGAAGTTGACGGCCCAGGCACTGTGAATCACACATGTCAATGATGACAGCAGGTGCTCGAGGACATAATTATCCAGGCCTAGATTGGCTTGCGAGAGATTGCTGGGGATAGCGCGAAGTTTAGCGGCCTCATCATCGGTGAGACTGATTTTACGGTCAGCCAATGCTTTCCAGAGACGAGCACCTGCTGCTGCTTGTCCAGAAGCTCGTACGAGAGCCCAAACTTCGGAAACGTTGGGTCGCTTCAGGACTTCAGCGACGATGAAAGCTCCAAGGTTGCCAGTCGCACCTGTAACGATCACGACCTCCTTTTCGGGTTGCTGAGAGATAGTGGGGTGATGTTGAGTAAAGTGCGAGTATTTCTCGATCATTTCCTCCATGATTTGCACCTCATCTTCGGCCTCGAACTCCTGTCCAGTGCGCATCTGGTAGAGGTGCTTTGCGAGAGCACTGACTGTGCCCTTCTCGAAAACAATGTTTTGACTCAATTCGTCTTCACTCTCTCCAAGATCTAGATCACGTACAATGTATCTCCAGATCTGGGTCGTCTGCAAACTGTCGACGCCGGCAGAGAAAATGTCGGAATCTGCACTTGACAACGTAACATCAAGATCCTCGCGGAATCGTGCCAGCAGCCAATCCTCCAACTCGCGGACACTTAGCGCGAGCTCGCCCTTCTTCCCATTTCCACCAAAGTTGGCATAGGCCGTCTCAATATCCTGGGCAAATTGCTGATAAACTTGAGCCCGGATAAAGGTTCCTTTGTCTGTCCCGGCGTAGGGGACATCGGCACCCTTGACCACGATCAACTCCCTTGGGATGCGAGAGAAAGTCTCGGCCCTGGAATTTGCTGCCTCCACAGCAGGCCAAATGGCATCCAAAAATTCCTCATCGTTCAGTTCGGTTGCCTTGTCTGCCGCACGGAAGATCAGAGCTCCAGGTACAGTTCGTTGAAAACCGAAGACAACACATTCTCGCACAAGCGCCTCCTCTCGAATACGACCCTCGATAGGAATAGGCAGCACTTTCTCGCCATTGACAAGGGTGATTCGGTCGTCCAGTCGAGAAAGGTACTTGTAGTAGTTGCTCTTCTCAGGATCGGGATGCCGAGTGAATAGATCGGCTGTCCGGAAACTATTCTCGGGGTTCTTTTCACTGAACGGCGGCTTCGAGTTCGAGGGTCCCTTGCTGGGTAATCCGTTCAGCGCAACACACTCGAAGACTCCTGGCGAGATCTCGTCCATTAGTGTGAAGTCAGTCACAGGACGATGGAGTCTCATATATTGCCATTCATTATCGCCTGGAGATCGGAAGGAGGTCATAATCTGACCGGTTTCGGTGGCTCCGTAATTTGCCACCAAATTGACGCCTTGAGCGACGAGGCGATCACCCAGATCGTCTGGACAGCTCGATCCTCCAAATAGGACGATCTGAGGCTTGGCTAGCACTTTGATGCCCTCGGGCTTCTCAGCCAGCAGTTTGATGACATATGGGACGGCGCTGAACTGCTCAGGCTGTGCCACCTGAAGAGCATCATACAGATTTTGATATGTGGTGGGAAGCGAATGATTGCCGAAATATGTCGTTGCTCGAGTATAAAATGCACGACCAAGCTCCATGAGAGCAAAAGAATGGAACAGGGGGCTAGCCGTGAAGAACCGGAAACCAAAGCTCTTCCGCCAATTGGCTAGGGTCTGGAGGTTGGTGAGGAAGATTGGCTTGGGGTGACCGGTGCTGCCAGAGGAGTGGAGAATCCAGGCAATCTTCTTTCCCTCTCGAGATGGATCGACATTAGCTCGTGCAAAACGTGGCGAGCTAGGTTGACGGTTGAACCAGTCTCCTCGCTGGAGGATGTGGTAGCTGCTGCAGCCAGGTCGCTCCTGGCAGATATCCTGTACTGTCTGCTCAAACTGTTTGGCAATGACCAATTGTTTGCAGTTTGCCATCTCAAGCAAACGTACATATGCTGGTGCTGTGAGGCGTGTTGATAGGAAGAGCACAGCATATCCGAGACGGTTCAATGCGAACATAGTGAGAATTACCTCGAAGCTGGAACCAACAAGGATCGCAACAACGGGTGCCTCTTCCAGATTGGGATCCTATACATTGTTAATCTTCCAACTCAAGATGATATCGGGCTATCGGAATGCTTACAGCAGGTCGAAGACCCCGTTCCATATAATATCGAGCAACGACATCGGTATACCGGTCAATATCGCCAGCCGTGTGTTCTTCAAAGTCAGCGGCACCCCGGATCGGATAGCAGATCAGTGGGACCTTTGATTCATCAGGCTGAGCAGCATGCGACTTGACCAGGCCATCAATAGTTGCGAATTGTTCAAACGGAGGGTGGCTTGCATGAAAAGTGCCATTCAACAGGCGAGTCGCGATATCTTGGTTTTGCGACAACTGAACGTCCACACTTGTGGTTGTTTCTGTGATAGTCGCCATGTTTGTGTTACTAGATTGGTCCGTCATCTTGCTAGAGAATTCAAGATGTCTTTATATTGCACAGCAGACAAAAACCCCGCGATAGTCCATCCCACGTCCCGAGGGTGGGCATTCTCCGGATACATTTCCGAGGCTAGTTTCCCGCACTGCACCCCGGAAAATGACACGATGATCGGCTCGCACATCATGGTTTCTTGGCTTATCCAACCACATCGTGTTGATTTTGCGGAGCATGATGAGATAATAGCCTCACCTGGAGATATTTCCGAATGACCATTCTCGGTAGTATGGGATTCAGTTGGTCCATACGATAGCTTTATGATGAAACTCTTGGGGCCGGATAAGGTCCTCACTGGAAAGCCGACTGGAAACGGGCCGTTTCTTAGTAATCAGCGTCCTGATTCTATGGCCAATCAGCAGTTCCAGTCTAGAAACAGGAAGAGTAGGGTAAAGACAACCTTTATTTACAACTAGAATATAGGGACTGATGAAAACAACGCCGAAAATGACAACCTCTGGCGCTAGGAACGACAGGGTTTCCACACATAAGTAACTTTGGTCAGGGAGCCGCCGCTTGCCCGCTGCTCGATATCCCCCTGTTGCACTCATCCTGTTGTTAACGCTCGACTTCAACGATGGTTCCCTCCCTTTTCCACTGGCGACTAAAACGACGCCTTAAAAGGCTCCCTTCTGCATCTAAACCTAGGGTCCCGTACCTTTTACCTAGCCTAGTAGGCGGAGATAAGATGGTTTGTCCGCCCTCTCCCCTAAGGATTTTTTCACATCCTTCTTATTTTAACTCTGCTGGCTCCATCGACCTCGATATAGTTTGTTATCCATACATAAAATATCCATGAATCTGATGCAGCCTAGGGTGACTGACCTTGCCCGTTATTAGTAATATTAAAACTTAGGTCAAAATCTCGAGTCAAATAGCCTTTTTACGGAGACAAGAGTGTTACGATTGGCTACAGTGCATAGGAATTTAGTAGCTACTCGCTGGCGAGCATGCTGAGCCGGTAAAATATCTGCGGGGAATCCGTGAAGAATCTCCACTTCCCCGCCTCCACACTCTTTGGCAAACTATTATGTACTAGCTGCCACTCCCTTTGCACAGCTACCCTTCTTGTACCCAACTGCCCTTCTTTTACCCAACCGAACTTCTTTTACCCAACTGCAGTCCTTTTAGCCGACTGCGGTCTTTCTAAAGAACCACAGTACCGAGACCAGTAGCTGCACCGAAAACCCAAAATTAAAGAGCAGCCCCTGGAAACAGGCTGAAAACAAGCTCCGCTCGTTCAGCCACCAAAGGTCACGCGGTAAAATGTATATATCCGAACCGCTTCGTCTTGCAGGGGAAAGGGATAAATGGTCATTTCGCAGAATATAAATAGAGGTAGAGCGGCATCACAGCAACATTAACCAGCGCAGGCTTCTCTCCAGGTACCCACATCCATTTACCAGCATTCAATTCTCTTTGATCGTCATGAAGATCACTGTAGCTTTCGCAGGCCTTTTGGCCACGTCGCTTGCCGCCCCTTCTACCGGACCTGTTCTGGTATCACGAAGTGCTGGAATTAACTACGTTCAGAACTATAACGGTAACCTTGGTGACTTTACCTACGACGAGAGTGCTGGAACATATTCTATGTACTGGGAGGATGGTGTAAGCTCTGATTTCGTCGTTGGTTTAGGCTGGACCACTGGTTCCTCCAAGTAGGTGACTATTTTCTCTACTATAAGCATAGGGTCTAACGTTTATTAGCTCCATCACCTACTCTGCTGATTACAGCGCCGCTGGCTCTGGCTCCTACCTCTCTGTGTACGGCTGGGTCAACTCTCCTCAGGCTGAATACTACATCGTCGAGGATTACGGCGATTACAACCCTTGTAGCTCAAGCTCAGCCACAAGCCTTGGTACCGTGTCCTCTGATGGGGGCACCTACCAAGTCTGCACCGACACTCAGACCAACCAGCCATCAATCACGGGAACGAGCACGTTCACGCAGTTCTTCTCCGTTCGAGAGAGCACACGCACATCTGGAACAGTAACTGTTGCCAACCATTTCAGCTTCTGGGCGGAGCATGGGTTCGGCAACAGCGACTTTAACTATCAAGTCGTGGCAGTGGAGGCATGGAGTGAGTGCTGGCAGCGCCAGTGTCACGATCTCTTCTTAAGAGATAAGGAGCTCTGTAGTCAAAAGACTTGAATGCCGAGTTTCTCTTTCAGATGGTTTGATGACCGAACTGGGGTTTTTGGCAATTGCAAATGTCGAGACCGTAGTGTGGCGGGGCGGAGCTGTCGGCGACTGCACTTTTAACTCGAACAGACAATTATCTATAGTTTTCTCCCTCTTGCCTTTTCTCTCTGCTTACTCTATATCCCGAGAATATGCCGTAATTCCCAGGCGAGTGGTCAAACCGGGCGAAGTTTCAACTCCTACCCAAACTAGCAAATATAAGCACAAAACCACATGAACCATTATGTGGGTAGGAGAGATCAATATGTATTATCCAAAGGTCCATGACATGATTCTTTCATGGCCTGATCTATGCGGAACATTCCTCCAGCCTCGGCTCGATGCCAACTCTTTGACTCAACTCGAATATTTGATAGTTTTGCCAGTCAAATGCATCCAGGAATTTCATGTCATAGGTGCCTCTATTTCTCAATGCTCGCATCCTACTATCATTATTCACAATTTTGCGTTTGCAACTATTTCGCCTTTACCCATTGACTTTCCCGGGCACAAGTTTCGACAATCTCCGTATCCTCGGCCCATATTTCATAAACAAAAACGGAATCGGCAGCAACACAACAGCGACAGCGCCGATGATCGAAACACCCGGACCAACGCCCAAAGCACCGATCATAGGCTTAGCTGCCAAAGGCAGACCGGCCGCCATAATGCTTCGAAGGAAAGTAACTGCAGCCGTAGAACTAGCAGCATAGATTCCGTAAACATCAACAAGGAAGTTCAAACACTGTTGGAAAATGCAGTTGAAACCAACGCCGATAAACAATGCTGCAAGACAAGGTAGAATCCAGTGGTGAGGAGGTTCAGCCGTCCAAGCGAACCAAAATGCACCGATAACGAAGAATACTGCGCCAAAGGCCATGGGCGGCAAGCGAGCTTCGGGGACAGCCTGGCCGTTGGCGGCTTTGGCGATTCGGTTATAGCGGTATTGGTTCCAGATGTTGAGGCCGACTGAGGAAATGACGCCGATCAATAGTGCTAGGAAGGGCAGAGACCCAATAAGAGGGGTCCACCCGCGAATTTCCTGGAAAACGATAGGAAACACTTCCAACGTAAGATACATCACGCCGTAGACAAAAGAAGCATATATCGCGATGCATGATACGATAGGCTCAGTGAAAAGCATCTTCATTGGCCGAGAGAGCTGTTTTGTCACGATGGAGTGGACATCCAGTTGAATATGCTCATGTGGATGAAAGTATCGTGAATCATTCCTCTCCTTTCGAAGAGATTGTGCCTTCCTCTTCAACAGCACCGGTGGATACATCTCCGGTAGAAAGAAGTAGGCCATGATGAACGTGACAAATACCCAGATAGCCAAGATGTAACTGCACCAACGCCAGTCAAGACGAGGGTTCAGAATAATCGCAGCGCCAATGATGGGTCCTATTGCCGGACCACCATTCACGGCAACTGCGTACAAACTGACGGCTACACCTCGTGTCTCTCTGCTCCAGATGTCACCGAGTGCGGCGATGACATTACTGATAGGGGCAGAGCCGAAGAAACCAGTGAAGAAGCGGGTACAATATACAGAAGCTGCAGTTGTGCTTCGTGCTGTACCTATGGCAAGAATAGCCTGGCAGAAGACTGGGGGGAGAATGCTCACTCTGCGACCCCAGATCTCGGAAACTGGCGCCCAGATGATAGGGCCAAAGATGAATCCAACGCTGGAAAAGATGTTAGCTTCTTCCTCCTTGGAGAAAAATCGACTCACTCACAGGTATAACGAGACATCTAACACCGCTACCTCGCTACTCACACCAACATACTCGGCGATGATATTATCGGCAGGCGTGATGATACTTGAACCAAGACTCCCAGCCAAAGCAAGCATACCCAGCTGAAACGTCACCCACCACTTGAAGGGAACAGGCCAATTTTGAGGATTCAACGGATCATTGACATCCCATTTGACCATGTACTCAGGGTCAAGCGAAGCTCCACTTTTCTCGCCGGAAGCCTGCTTCTCGCCAGCATCGCGAGACCGAGACCAGAAGCGCCACATAGTATCAATCGGTCATTCCCAAGACGTCCAGCCCTCCTCTTACCACAGACACACGAGGTCGAATTTTCATGACGAAGAAAAAAAAAGACTAGGCTCTGAACTGAGGGGTTTGGTGACCGGATCTAAGCTCGGCATTTGTTCTGTTTAGCCGAGAATTTGGGGTATGGCGGCCGGTCCCGACTTCGGAAATTCGGCGTTGGAGATTGCGACGAGCACAAATTTGCGACTAGCGCCGAATGGGCGACTTCGGCCGAGAAGCTATGGTGAGACTGTTAGTAATGCTAGTAAGGATTGATAACGTTAGTGTATAGTTGAATGATGCAAGATATGATCACAAAGATCAGTCCGTCAAGGAGATACACAATCCGAGTCGTCACTGGCAGGGCTACAAATTCAAAGATCCATGAAAATTCGCAATGGGACTCTCCCCAGTGAATTGTCATTTGTGGCTGTTCTGAAGAAATTACATCCGGGGTTCGAAATAGAATACATATGTGAAGCCAATCCCACGCCCATCCGATATCTAAATCCATGCTGTGTTGAGTAGACGAGCTTTTTTCAGTGTGTTGGGACGGTATAAGACTGGAAAAGATGAGAGGACATTTAGGGGCTAGGAGTGCCTTCGTCATAGCGGGGACCACCATCGTCGTCACCATAGCCCGCACCGGGGGTAGCAGCAATGCCGCCCATCGCAGGAGTTGGGGCGTCAAACGCCGCAGGGGTCGGGGCATCGTAGCCTCCACGCTTGGGCAATCCTCCAGGGGTGGGAGCACTGAAAGCTCCGCCAGGCGTAGGAGCACTTTCGGCCCACGCGCCAGGTGTCGGCGCAGAAGCACCAGGAGTAGGAGCACCGTAGGCGCCCGGAGTAGGAGCAGAGTAGTTTCCTCCTGGTGTTGGGGCATCGTCGAAATCACGCTGGTCTCGGCTGTTGGGCAAGCCACCCCAGGCAGGGGTGCGGTTACCAGCACCTGCGTTGCCCCATGCTGGAGTTCGCGATCCGGAAGCGAAGGCATCGTAGCCAGAGCCAGAATCGTGCGGGGTGCGAGATCCAGAGTTCCAGGCTGGCGTACGGTTGCCCAACCCACCATAGGCTGTACGATTTCCTTCCGCATAGGGATTGGAGGTACGCGATCCATCGTTCTTCCAAGCAGGGGTACGAGATCCGCTCAAACCTCCCCAAGCAGGAGCTACAGAATTTGTTAGAATGGTGAACAAACGAGAATAGTGCGAGATCTTAAACTTACTTCGTGATGAGGAGCCACCCCAGGCCGGAGTCCTGGAAGAATCGCCCGCGGCCATGGGAGTACGGCCGCCTTGCCAACCACCTCCCTGAGCCCCAGAACCCGAGTAGGACGGGACACGCGAACCTGGTCTTCCACCACCAATATCCAGCGTTTGCTTAGAGATGGGACTGCAGGACTAGTTAGTGATTGAAGAGCCAACGATGGATGGGGGAAAACATACTCTTTGGGAACAAGAATATCTCGCGATATTAGAACTGGCTTGTTGGCTGTGTACAGTTCAACGGTAGCGGTGGTATCATCTGCATTACGGACGATACCAACGAGACCCTTGTAACGGCCCTTGCGAACAGCCACGGTCTTTCCAATCAGTCGATCCCGGCCAGCGCGACGCGGAGGCGGCATGTTGGGATTACCACCACCCGGGGCCTGCATGGCCATCGCGGGGTTCATCTTGGTCAAGTCAGGACCGGTAGGACGGCCACCCCTGGCAGAAACGGTCACAACATTAGTTGTTCGCACGACAGAGATACCGGCATTCTCGGTCTGGGCTTTGTTATGCAAGAAGAGGAAAGAGCGGTAGATGTGAGTAATCACTCCGCTTCGCTGCTCTCCATAAACCTCGCGGACAGTATCACCATTTCGGATCTCTGCACCATTGCGGTCAGTTGCAACAGCATCTCGGCGAGGAGCAAGCTTGTTGGCAATCTGAGTGGGCAAGACATTTCGAAGGGAACCGTTCTGATCCACGACGCGCAGGGATTCACGGTCAACCTTGATCACGCATGCAACAGTTGCAGCACTATACCAGGTTAGCACTATTCATGGTATAAAAAGCTCGTAGGTACTTACTCAAGTTGAACAAGATCATGCACATCGTAAATGCCAAGTTGGCCATCGGCAGCCATCTCAGCAGAAAGGCGGAGATCCTTGCTGAAAACTGTGATCTCCTGCATGCTCATATCACTGAGCAGGGTAACAGTGTCGTCCTTGACCTGGACAACCATACCAAGTTCATTTTGATAACGGCTGCCTCCGATAACCTTGACGTGGTCACCCTCACGGAAACGCTTGCGAAGGGTGCGAATAGGAGCGTCGATGGTCTGGCCAGCCAGATCACCCTCAGTGACTTGCAGTGAGACGATATCACCGCGGGTCGAGACTGTTCGGCCAATCAAGCCCTGCTGTTCACCACGGTACACCTCGACAGGATCACCAGGTTGGTAGGAATCCTCAGCAGTGGAGTTCTTCAGCGTCTCGGCGAGGGATGCCAAGTCCAAGTTGGCAGTGCCGTCCTCTCCTCCCCGAGCGAACATAGTCACTTCCTCCAACCGGGGGTTGACATTCTTGGTGATCAAGTGCTGGACACGCATATCCTTGATGAGGAACCCATCGATGTAGGTTTCGTTGAGGTAGCTCCATGACTTGCCACCCAATCCAGAAGTAGCAGAAAGGTACTTGGCATGCTTCTTCTTGGCCTCTGCTTCACTAAACGGGCGTTGCGGAGGTCGAACTTTGTTCACAGTAGCACGCTTGCGCTTGCCATCAGGGCCGAGCATAGCGGCGTTATCATCGTTCATACCATAGTCGAGACGGGGGACCAGTCGAACGGTGACGTTCAAGCCGTTGGTCTCGACTTCTTCGATCTGGGCAAGGTCACCCTGGTATGCACCTCGCTTGATACGGACCCAGCCACCCGGCATGAGCTCCTCCGACTTCTGGACGCGGAGCAGGTCGGGCATCTCCTTGACGGGAACCAATGTCATCTTCTGAGAAGGATAGTAGAACGCAATGCCTTCCAGAGCATCGGTGACGTCGGCTTGTCTGCGCGCCTCGCAGTAGAACCAACCCTGCATGATGTTTCCACGCTCGAATGCAGAGATGAGTCGGATTGGGTTACGAGAATTGGCGGGTCGCTCTTCCATGCGCTTCTGGATGGAATAGATGACCTCCTTCTCCTTGCCAGGCTTGCAGCGGCAGCCCCAAATGCTGGGGTCTTCCACACTAGGAAGCAGTAGTCGCTTGGGGATCACTAGGGCATCCGTCGCGGCGGCACGGTTTCGGCCATAGCGCTCCTTGAGCATCTGTGCCTGCTTCTCTGCGTCCATTGTAGCGTCCAGCTCACGCTGGCGATCCAGCTGTCGGTGACGGCGGTCATCGGTCTCAGCGCCGGCAGGCAGAGCATCGAGATCATCGGGGTGCATCTCGGTACCGAATTCGGCGAGCTCATCCTCCTCGTCTTCGGCTTCGTCTTCTTCTTCATCGACACCAGCCTCCTCTTCGAAGAAGGAGTGGACGCCACCTCTCCGGCGCTTGCGAGGACGTTCCTAGAAACGAAGAATCATGGGTTAACACAAATGGTTTCGCTGGTTGGGGCCAGCTAGGAGGTACAAACCACGGCCTGCTCATCGTCTTCGTCATCATCCTCGTCGTCGTCTCCGTTCTCGTCGCCATCTTCGGCACCTTCATCGGCATCATCGTCTTTCGCATCGTCATCTTCAGCATCATCGCGGTCGTATTTCACGTCATCCGCGGCATCTTCAGGGCTCGCGCGTCTTTTCGCTGGCTGTCCATTGTACCTATGTCAGTGGCATCCCTCAATTCTATTGGATACACTCGGTCACTGACCTTGGCATCCTCGACGTCAGAGTCCTCCGCAGGGGCGGGGTTGAAGTCATCGTCCTCCTCGTCCGATCCAAAGTCCTGGTTGAGAAAGTTCGACATGTTGCCTTGAGATGTCTAGGCGTGTCTGAGAGGGGTTGCTCGTGTCGTATTAGGAGATGGTTTCAGCCTCGGAATCAATGTGTCGCAAATATGACCTGGTCGCTCAGACAGGTCAGTACGAGGAGATGGTGCGCAGGCGCAAGAGTGTGAGATGGGAAGGTCCGGCGTACCCAAACCGTACGTACGGGTCGTAGCTTCGGAGACACAGGTGCGAGCGGCAGAGGATTGATTGGCCTGCGAATGGCAATGTTGAAGATCGGCTTTCAATCCAACTGGATGAATGACGGTCGGGCGAGGGGAAAGGGGAGTTTGAGCAGCCACCAGGCCTGGGTTGGATTCAATGCAGTCCGGCGGGCTTTGCGGGCTTGTCACCGGGCGACCGCCTGCTGGAAGCACGGGCGCAACCCTGGATTTGTGAAAGAAAAGGATGAGGAAGAAGAGATTTGAGACACAGCACACAGGGAGACAAAGGGTTCTTATACCCTGAGAGACTGTCAGCAGGATGCGGGATTGGGAGAAATCGAGGAGCTGGCCGTCAGTTCGCGGCGAACTTGGGGCGGGAGGATGCGCAGTTGGTCTTTATGCCTCTCCCTATCAACTCTGTTTACCTTCACAGGTAACTCTCGCTCTGCCTGCCTACACACATCGGCCAGCTTTCAGTTTTAGTGTTTTCAAATTTACTGTGTTTCTGATTAAAAACGTTCCTTATAAACCAATCTAAAAGTAGATCAATCTACATTTACTGAGATCAATACCTGGACCCTCGGGATCAACTTCTCCAAATTCGAGTGGAACTTCTAGACGGTATGCTGGTAGCTTTTACGGCCAAGACAGAAGAGTGATACTGGCAAGTAACGTTTTTCTTAATTGGAAGAAATTCATTTTTATTTTATCTACAACATAGCTTAACATCCCTCCAAAAAGGCATCTTGAACAACCTTATATTCTGATCTCATTGTAGAAGTGAAACGCCAATATATATGGCAGCAGATGGTAGTACAAGGCAAAATCATAACTCAAGGAAAATGCGTCACACCGGACGGGATATCTAGCCAAAAACAAGGTCCCTCACATCAAAAGGGACGGGACATGAAAAAAGAACTCGTCCAGCAACGGACAGAAAGAGAAAATGGTCTAATCACGGCCAATCTCTAATGCAAAAGCAAAGGCTGGATTTAAAGCTTCATGCCAAACATCTGGTGCACACGCAGACTCTGACGCATGCTCAGATCAAGCATGATCTCCTCGCTTCCACCGGGGATAGCGTAGGCACGGACATCACGGTACAGACGCTCGATCTTACCACCCTGGCCGCCACGGCTGTAGCTGAGACCACCGAAGATCTGACTGGCCTCGCGGGCGCAGAACTCGAAGGTCTGGGTAGACTGGGCCTTGAGTCCGGCAATGGCACCACCAAGCTTGAGCATGGCTTCGGTCTCCTCCATGCACTGGCACTGGAAGATGATGTTCTCCAGCCAGTTGTATGTGGCCTCGATCTGGCGGGCCATGTGGGCCAGCTTCATGCGGATGACGGGGTGGTCGATCAGCTTCTTGCCGAAGGTGCGGCGCTTGTGGGCGTACTTCATGGACTCCTCGTAGCAGACACGGGCGAAGCGGACACACTGGATGACAATGCCGATACGCTCGTGGTTGAAGTTGGTCATGATGACTGCGACAGAGTTAGTAAATCGCTCACTACGGTGTCTAGGTTATTCACGCATTTCAACTCACCCTTGAAGCCCTGGTTCTCCTTGCCAATCAGGTTCTCGACGGGGACCTTGACATCCTCAAAGGTCACGTAGGTGGTACCACTGCTCCAGACACCCTGGCAGTCCATGCGACGAGTGCTGACACCGCCAGCCTCGCGCTCAATCAGCAGAACGCTGAGACCTTCCATGCCGGGCTTGCCAGTGCGGACAGCAGTGGTAAAGTAATCAGCCCAAACACCGTTGGTGATCCACTTCTTCTCACCGTTGACAATGTAGTGCTTGCCATCCTCGGAGAGCTTAGCCTCGCAGCCAAGGTTTGCGACATCACTGCCCGCATCGGGCTCGGTGATAGCCAAGCAAATACGCTTGTCACCAGCCAGAATGCCGGGCAGGATACGGTCGACGAGCTCCTTCTTACCAAACTTGACCAGGGGCGGGCAGCCAATGCCGTAGCCACCGATCAAGTTCCAGACCAGACCACCGCTACCAGAGCGCGACAACTCGTCGGTCAACAGCATCTCGTGGAACAGATCCCAGCGCTCGGGAGCTACAGACTTGACTCGGTATGGAGTGTGCTTCTCAGGGTACTTGACACCCAGCAGACCGGCCAAGTAGCCGCGCTCACCCATTTGCTTGTAGATGCTGTCCGGAACCTTCTTGCCCTCATCCCACTCGGTAACGTACGGCTCGATCTCGGTGTCGACCCATTCGCGGATTTCCTCGCGGAGAGCGGCGTGAGAATCGTTGAAGTAAGGGGAGGAATACTATCAAAAAAATGAACCAACACGTTAGTGCTTCTATTACAACACAGAGAAAGGCAAATAGAACAAAACTTACACCCTGGTACCATGAGGGATCGGCGAACGGAATCAAATCACCATAGGGATCTTGAGGCTCAGCAGTCGCCGGGGGCTTGTAGTCAGCAGGGGCTGCTGGGGCTGCTGGGGCGGCCTTCGTGGGCGCCGGGGCGGGAGCCGGTGTGGGCTCTTCGACCTTCTTTGTGTTCAATGAGCCGATCTGCAGCTGGCCCTTGTACTTCTTCAGAATTCCCTCGTTGTGGTACTTCCAGAACTGCTTCGAGGCATCCTTTCCGGCGACTCGCTGGAGAACTGTTCACATGTTAATTTTGAACTCTCGGCGACATTTCAGCACTGGGCTATGACGTACTCTTCTTTCCACCTATTTTACACATTCTGGTCAGCACATGTGATACTCCAAGGTGGGCCCCGCGCTAGGCCCCGTCGCATGAACTTTTTTTTCTTGAACGGCTCTTATCGACGAGAAAGAACTTACCAGGATGCTCATCTTGGAACTTGGTAACATCGTAGACGTCCTCGTCAATCACAATCCACAGGCTGTTGCCCTTGCTATGCGACGCTACGTCGTCCTTGCTGAAGGTCTTTGACATGGTGATGTGTGCGGGTTGAAGGAAGGTAGGGAAAAGAGAAGAGGTTGCTTAAGGGTATATAGCACAGCGACTAAGAGAATCCGATATGGTGCAGGAGAGAGGTTCGTGGGGAAAAGAAAAAAAAATAGTGTCAACTCCGGGGTAGATGGAGCACGCGCGCTATATAGGACCGGAGAACGGCGCCCGATTCAGCCAGTTCCGTGTCCAGCACGATACGACTCCAGTTTTGGGATGCCTCGGAGCATCCACCTCGTGCTGTTCAACGTGATTTTGGGTCTTCAGCTGCTTTCCTCGGCCGCCACAGTCGCTGATCGGGGCGGTCATCGCCGTACATGTGGCCGGTGATTGGCTCCCACCGCGTCATCGCAGTGATAAAATGCCGAGGCGTCCTGCTTAGCTAATAGGCGCATGTGAACATGTGAAAATGTGGGAGCCATCGGCGCATTTGCGATTCGTGGATATACACTGTACGGGGTGATGATCCTTGGTTCAATAATGATCTGAGAAATTGATGGTTTTGATCTTAAATCGGTTGAGCTAGAAACAGAAGTGGTCGAACAGCCCTGTAGATATTCATGGTATTCGCGGTTACATATATTGCAGCGACGAAGATATACTTAGATTGGTATAGGTAGGGCGCCCCGCCACGTGTTAACTGTCCCTTAATCATGTAACTACCCATCAACAATGACTATAACGGTCTTTCTGACCTTGCGGTAGATTTAAATTAACTGTAATTTTGTCGTTCCAAGGTTTTCGATACGGACTTCAGAGGATCGATAGGAGACACCAACAAAACAACAGAGCACGTGACTTTGTGTTTGGGGTAAAAGGAAGAGACCTAGGGCTCAAGAGGCCTCATAATGACACCCAGGAAGAATGGGGACTCCAATACGTGGTTCTGTGACGCAGGATATCCAACCAAGGCTGAGATAGCCAAGCTTTACGTTGTTTAATAAGAGTTTACTAGTCACTGAAGCTGCAGAGAATCATGGATTTTTCCACAACCACATTTTCAAAACAATCTATTTACGCATGGCAATTTTGGAAGCATATTGTCCGATTCTTAAATGACAAGCAAATATAGAACATCATTGATTTTGGCCAGGTCGGTATGTATGAAGCAGGTGTATATGAAGGTTCATATGAAGATGAGATTTGAAACGGACATGTATGAGGAGCGAAGACAAGTCTGTCGAGAGGTGGCAAGGCACGCTTAAACTTTCGTCCATTGGTGGGAATTGTGTTTCCTGAGGTTGGACGTCAATAAACTGTATCAATAGTGGTGCCGGAAGTGTGACAACTTACCAGTCTCCAAGAGGAGGTAACGAGACAGGGATTGAGGATCAATGTGTCGAGTAGATGTTGGTTGCATAGAGGCGAGATGACCCGGTAGGAAACAGAAATGACGGTGATTGAAGGTCAATGTGTCATGTAGATGTAGATTTGGAGGAGGGGGACCCCAGTGGAGGTGGTGACAGTGATTGAAGATCAATGTGTCAAGTAGTTGATATGACTGAGATCCTCTTTGGATTTGTCCTGACACGCAAACTGGGTAGTACCAGCTACGTGATGCCTGTTCACAAAAGAATGAAGCCAAGCCGAGAGAGCGATAGAAGGGATAGCAACTGCGGGACGGATGGATAGATCGATGGGGCGGGCAGGGAGGTAGGAATTGGTTGATCGGAATGGCAGAGTCCTTTCTGAATTTGTCCTGACATGCAAACTGGACGATACCAGCTACATGATGCCTTTTCAGAAAAGACTGAAGCCAAGCCGTTGGCGGAAGAGCGAGAAAACGGAAGGTAACGATGATCGTTCGAAGAGATAACGCGGTGGAAGGAGAAGTAGGAATCGGTTGATCGGAATGACAAGATACCCTTTGAATTTGTCCTGACACGCAAACTGGGTGGTACCAGCTACGTGACGCCTGTTCAAAAGGGATCAAGCCAAGCCGTGAGTGGAAGGACGATAATACGGGAAGCGAGGACGATGGTTCGAAGGAAAAACAATAATGGCGGAGAGGTATCGGTTGATCGGAATGGTAAGTCCCCAACTTGAATTTGTCCTGACACGTAAACTGGGTGGCACCAGCTACGTGACGCCTGTTCAGGAAGGAAGCTAACCAAACCGGTGGAAATATAACGGAAATTGCAAGAAGATGAAAGTAATTGAAGACCGATGTGGTGAGTGGAAGTAGGTAGAGAGAGGTATTGCGGGACAGAAGACAGTGATTGAAGGTCAATGTGTCAATGCCCGAGTGGAAGGTTGACTCAGCCCCAACTTGGATTTGTCCTGACATGCAAACTGGGTAGTACCAGCTACATGACGCCTGTTCAAGAAGACGCCAAGTCAAACCTTGAAGGGTTGATGGCCCAAGAATATCAAGAGAATGTTGATGTTCACGACGTCGATGGGTGGTCAGTGGTCTGATGGTGGAAGACCATGAAGGTATGTTGAGGTGTTGACGTGTCATGAGGTGGAAGGACTTGATGGACCATGAAGGTTGATGACCATGGAGTTGAATGACCATGGAGTTGAATGACCATGGATGGGTGAGATCATGTAGACATGTTAAGGTGTGGACATGTCTAAGATGGAAAGGTCATAAGTCAAAATAAGATAAGAGTGGGTGGGGATGTGGACTTACCATGAGGGTGGATGGTCAAAGGGATGTCAAGCCATGTGGACGTGTCAAGGTGTTGACGTGACGTGATATGGGGATAAACCAAGGTGATGACAGTGATTGAAGGTCAATGTGTCAAGGGCCATGAAGGATGGAGGTTGGGTATGGCAGGCCTTGGTCAAGGACAAGAGAGACAAAGACTTGAAGGAGTCTTGAAGAAGGATAAAGGTCAAGTGGGGTGGGTGGGATTGACCAGATCTTGAATGGAGGGTGGAGGATGGAGATTGGAGAGAAGAGGGAGGAGGAGGGTTGGGGAGTTTACGAAGGAAGAAATCTTGGGAGACCCTCCTGGGTGAGGAGGAGATATTTATACCTTCTAGGGTCTGGGGGTAATCAGCCCTAACGTTCTGGTTCCCAAACGGGGTGTTTGCTTGTCATTAATGGAAACAGCAACTATCGTGCCTTCCTTAAATGGAAATATAGGCAACTCCAGGGCTGGAGGGGCATGTGGTAATGGGAGGCAGCAACAGAACCCTGGTCTCCCAACCTCGTACACAGAGTTGTTTCCCAGGGAACAATACACGATAGTTCCAATCAAGGAACAACTAGTAGATATTCTATATAACAATGTTCATTCTGGATTCAAAATCTCCAACATTATACTCTGATAATGGCCCCTGTTTAACAATGCGGCTCTCCTGCAGGTTGCCGCGCTGCCACAAGGTTCGGCCCGGCCCCACCACCCCACGATCTACCCCAGGATTCATCCTAGGCTAGGATTGGCCATTAACCATGTTATAATATCAAGGTATCGTGTAGTAAATCAAAAGAGGCGCCAACTCTTTGGTCTTTGTTTGCCTGTTTCTTCTCTCATAAACTCGATGTTGACAATGCCCTGAATGGTGGTCTTGGCCAACACCCATACATTCCACTTGAAGCTACTGTCTTGACTCCGTGTTTTCCATCATCAGGCTGCTACAGCTGTCTTGTCACGTAATATCCGTCACTTCCACTGGGAAGGGTTTGGACACTCAAAGCTCTTACGGCCTGGGTGAGAGATCTTGGGAACTTCCGGGCTACAAGGTGCGTCCAACCTCCAACCTCTATCTTTCATCTTCCATCTTCCACCCTCCAGCATCCATCCCTCCTACTTAAAGCTCACATCTTGTTCTTCACAGACCCCATCGTAATGACAACGCCACGCCCTTTGACCAATATGGCAACCAACCCCGATCACGTCATCTTCGTCGCCAGAAGCTCGATCGACCGAAACCAGATGACCAGCCAGAGAAGAGAGAGCGACGCCGACCTACGCATCAGCCTCGAATACACCAGAGCATGTTTCGAACAGGCTTACGGGCCCATCAGGGGAATCTGCGAATTCCACACCTTTGCCTGGCCTTCCTACCTCGAGCTCCCCCCATCCAGCGAAACCGTTCGCTTCTTCGCCCGCCGTACCGCCGCCCTGAATATCATGAATCGAAATATGATGGTCGTACTCAACGGCTGGGACGGGCTTACCTCTTGCGGGCCAACCTTCACTACGTTGTTCAGAGAGCATGCTTCTCGAATCACGATTCGCGTCTTCGCTGATCAACCGCGGTCGTTCTACCAGGTTAACGTGGCGCAGATCTTTGAGCTGTTCGATGGCAATATCCTCATCAATCCGTACCTCGAAGGCATGAGCCATGATCTTGATGACGGGGTACTGAGTATTCTGGCCAACATGGAGGCCCAGCTGGAATACTCCACGGCGTTGTTCTATCGCTACTTCAGGGCATTCGGAGTGCTTCAACTCAACTAATCCTCGCCCCGGTGGTTCCCTACATCGCAAGTTTCGAACGACCTGTACAGATACACCTTGCATATGATGGAGAGCATACAAATGGAAATACGGCGGGAAAAAGATACCGAAGGATTCTAATGAGAAGCAAGGTCCAAATCAATGCGACACGATGCCATCCTAGGCGAAGGTACAGGACAGCCTGATGTGGATGGAAGTGGAATCTTGGGCTTCAAAGGAATACGTTGCAAATGCTTTTGAAACTGGAGGTTAGGGAAACATGGCCTTTGTTGAGATACCACACAATCTGCTCTTAGATCGAGACTCTGATACTGCTGTGGCCATATCCAATGTTATTTTGATAACTACATACAGTAATGCCCCAAAAGGTCATAAATGAGAGCCTGGGCCGTTTCCATGACCCTTAGGTGCTTACCAGCGGCAGTGTGCTCTACCTAAGTGCTTTTAGGCCATGCCATCCTAATCAAGATCTTGAAGCATGGATATCGAGAGGTGAGATAGCTGGACAGCGAGACGCGAGTATGTAGCATCAGCCCGTAGCCCTCCCAATATTCCCATTTAACAACGTCCAAGCTTGGCTATCTCAAATATCAGCAAACCGTGCAATACTAAGGCAGTAAATCAAAAAGAGGAGAGATAACATACCCAGCGTGCAAGAGCTGTCAGTATAGTGCCCACTGACATAGCACCTATCCTCCTCAAAATAATCCCAGCCACTAAAAGGGTTAGAGAATCTACCCGTCCACATAATAACCACGCAGATTATTCTGTTGCTTACCAGTTAACAGCGCCGTTCAACGTAATACACTCCCCCGATTTCACACAGGTGAAGTAATACCCGCGTGTCCAAGACGAGGATAGTCCAACTTTGACATCATAGTTTGTGCCGGGGCCATAGCGACAGTTGACATGCTCGCTGAGCACTCGACACAACTGACCTGATCGCTCAAAGATCTTTTTTCCGTCGATGACCTCGCTCTGTCCAGCTTCGTCTGCGACGGGGGCGGCGTGGAGGCCCAAGGCAAACAGAGTGCTGAGGAGGAGAGCAGAGAGCTGCATGGTCGATGCAAATGGCGGAGATTGATACTGCTGAGGACAGAGTATCCACTGTCAGACTAGACTCAGGGCACAAAGGCTTGAAGGGGATATTCTAACTCTTTATAGACGTTCCCTGGAGGAACCCTGAGCTAGAGGGACCCAGCAATGCGCTAAGACATCACCATCTTTCAGTTGGCAATTATCCGACACTTCTCAGGTGCAACTGGCATTGCGCTGCGGAGGTGAACGGCCTCCCCGCTGGCACTTGAAGAGAATACGGACCCTTGGCATCTTGGCGACGAGGCTTTGGGACCAGAGAATCGAACCAAAACAACCAAGTGTGGGTCGAATACGAGGTTTCATGCCGCAAAAACTAGACTACATGCAGCGATTGAGCCGTCCGCTCCCAAGCTAGCGTCTAGCAGTTTTGGCATGAGGCACGTCTTGTCGCAATGCCCGGTTACATTAAAGTCTACAAGCTACAAAAATGGCAAATCAGATAGAGATGTAGACAAATGCTTCATATGACAAGCGGAAATATGGAGTTCCCAAGACATCAGGTTGTGATAGAGCCTGATGAGTCTAGTAATACATCCAGCGTCGGAAATAGTTTACGCTGCACACCACCTCTACTCTTCCTCTGCATCCGTCTCGTACGTGAACTCATCTGGCACGGGGGCATCTTCCACTCCCTCCTCATCTTCATCCACGGCAGTCAAAACACCTGCAGCGGCGGCAGCACCGCCGAGGGAGGCGTAATCAGACAGCGCGGCACGAGCAGCGGCCCGTTGAGGGGTCTGCAGAGCGGCCGCGCCAATAGCAGCCTGAAGTCGGTCCTGAAGAGTCTCGCCTGAGGGTGCAGGGGCTTGAGGCTTCTTGCGGCTTGCCTCAAGCTCAATGGTTTCGCGAGGCTCATCGGGCTGGTTATCAAGGACAACAACGACACCACCGGTAGGCTGGAAGAAAGAATTAGTATTGGCTTCGATGGCGACAGAATCGTAAAAACATACCCTCTTAACAGGCTCGTATCGTGGGTCGGGGAAGGTCAGGTACTTGAGTTGGGCAGGCAAAACTCTTGACAGGTTATCCAACTCGTAGCCAACCTTCTCCCGCTCGGCCTTCTTCTTCTGACCCTCAGCGGCGATCTTCTCGGCGTCCTTGGCCTCTTCGCCTTCGGCAGCAGCCGCCTCCTCGACATCCATCTTCTCTGGGAGCTGGTCTGAAACCTTAGGTGTAGTCGGCGTCTGGTCGATATCCATACTCTCCCTACGAGCTTGCTTCTCCCGACGCTGGGCCCGACGCTTGGCCTGAGCGGTGGTGGAAAGGACGGCAGTCTTGACCTTTTCAGGAGCCTCCTCAGCCTTCACCTGCTGTTCTGGAGGATAGTCGAAGAGGCTGGGGCGAGTGTTGCTGTGGAACTTGAACTTGGGAGCCTCCAGCTTCTGGTCCACACCGATCACGGCCGTGGGGGCGAAGCTGAGAGACAGGAAGTGGGAAAGAGGGAACCAGTACCAGTACTGCACGAAGACAGCGGCACCGACAATGCCGGGCATGTTCAGGTTGCCTGTCTGAGTCTGCAGGCTGATGGTGCAGTTGCGGCCACCAGCGTCGATGATACCCAGAGCAACAGCGCAACCGAACTTGGCCATGGCATCTTCATGGCGATCACCAACCATCTTCAACATAGCCTTGCGAAGACTGGTGACGCGGGGGTTCATGGCCTCATTCTGCTGAACGAGAACCATGGACAGGGCAATCAGGGCACCCTGGCGCACAAAGTCGGTGGAATCCTTGAGCATTGGCTCGAGAAGGTCGATCGCCTCGTCCAATCCAGTTCCAGCACAGGAGATACCCAGCGCCATAGCAGCACCGTACCGAACGTGAGGGTTGTAGGACTCTGAGAGAAGCTCCACCATGCGAGGCACACTCTGGTGCTTCCTGAACAGGATGAAACCCAAGCTCAGAACAGCAACACGGCGCACATCATCGTTAACATCGCTGACAGCAACGTGAAGGAGCTTTCGAACAGCCTTGTTGCTACCACTGCCACAGTAGGCCAAGGCAATCGTCATGATACCACCATAGCGGAGGGTGGGATCGGGGTCGCCAAGGAGACCATTGATAAGCTCATCAGCAGCCTCCTGACGTCCGTACATGATCAGAGCCATACCCATAGCCAGACCACGGACGATCTTCTCGTGCTGAGTGTCGTGGGCATACTGAATCATGTCCTCCAAGGCCTTCATGTTGCCAGTTCCCAGCATGACCAGACCCATAGCAAGACCAACGGCCTCACCGTTGAGAGCGGAGTCGGTGTAGAGAACATTGCGGAGATCCTCGTAAATGCCCTCGTCACCAGTAGCCATACCCGCAACACCCAGACCCAAAGCACCACCGTGCTGAACAACTTCTTCCGTAGCCTTTTTGAAGTAGTCACGGATGATGTCGACAGCCATGCCGCCGTGGTTGGCATAGATGAGACCGTAGGCGTACAGAGAACCACCCTGGCTGTAGACTGAGTTCGAGCTACCGCCAACACCAGCAATCTGATCCTTAGGGAGGTAAGGCTCCAGGAGAGTCTGACCCTGGTTCAGGTTGCCCCGGTGGATCACACCCAGTGCAGCGGTGGCCGTGAACTTGGACCAGTTCACAGCCTTACCGAGCCACTCTAAGTTGTCGCGGAAGAACTTGTCGCGGGTCGTTCCAGCGTGCATGAAGGCATTCGAGATTGTAACTGCAGTGTGGAAGATTGAGTTGCGAGCTTCCAGACTGTCACGGACCTTGTCCAGAATGGCCATATCCGTCCGGTTGTTCTGATACAGGAATTCTAGATTCAATTCGATCGTTTTGAGACCATCAAGAATCTTGAGAATATTCTTGAAAGCCGAGGTTGCTTCGCTTGAAAGCTTGCTATGCTCTCCCGATGGCCGAGATGAGCTTGATTGGTCGTCAAGGAGTCGGTCAGACTCCTTAGGCTCGTCATTCTCATCCTTCGGCTTCTCGGCCTCGGCTTCTGGCACCAACTCAGCGATCTCTTGGTGAACCTTTTGCAGGAACTCCTGGGTGCTGTTATCGTAGAGGTCGAAAGAAATCTGGTAGGCAACGGCGAGAGAGCGTGAGTCGCCCTTCTCGACCAGCTGCTGGAGGATGTTGGAAGCCATTGAGTGCTCGTTGAGGTAGACAACGCATTTCGCGATCGAGAAGTAGTCTGGGGCGGGGATCTCATTAAGGAGGTCGAGGATGAGTTTCAAGATCTGTACAATAAGACTGTGTTAGTGCTACCACCAAATTGAAGACGACCGGGTTAATAGACGAACCTCGTTGCGGAAAGCCCGCTCTTGGACGATCCCCATGCAGATATCCAAAACATACTCCATAAGCTCCTCGCTACGGCGGAACTCGCCTTGCTGCTGCTTCTTCTCATCGTCGCTGGCTCGGAGAATGGCCATGCGAAGGACCTCCAGGTTCTTTGCCTCAATAGCAATACCAATGACTTGACGGTAACGCTTCTGACGGAAGCACTCCTCGAAAAGTCGCTCAATCACAGCCTGCAATTGTCTCTGAACACCGCGCTTCAAGACCAGCGATGTCTCCTCGTGTTGAACACTGGCGTCATCGCCGCCAGGGTGGGCAGCATCGATACCAGGAACCTCCTGGCGCGAGAGCAAAGACTTGGAGGGAAGTGCAGACTTGGAGAAAGGTGTGATTGGGGAGGTCAAGCTGGCAGACGTACTCGTAGCGCCATCGCCGGATGCTGGGAAGGAGTTGTTCAAGTTGGCGGATTGATCACCGGAGCTGCGTCGCTGGGCAGCGGATAGAGAGATGAAGGTATCAACGCATTTGGCTATAAAAGTACACCGAGTAATTAGCAGGCCGATCACACAGTCTGTGGATGATACCACGCAACTTACCGATAATGGTCTCCTCGTACTCGCCGCCACTGTCCAGCTTGAACAGCTTGCCCGCACCCAGTGCCAACACCATACTCTCATTATATTCCTGCAAGTGATAGTATACCTTTGAGGCAACTAGGGCGGCCAGCTCGCGTTCTGGGAAAGATTCATCTTCGTAAAGAGCCTCACTGGATGGAGATGGTTAGCCCAAGCCCGAGGAACTGGACGATCTGCTGTGACGACTAATCCGCGCGATAGAATCGGCATCGCGTCGCAAAAAGCTCACAGAGTCACTATACTTACATCTCCGGAACGGCATTCACAACCTCTGTCCATAGAAGGTCGATCTGCGAATCTAATGACTTCAAGGCAAAGACCTTGAGCTCTGGGTCAGGCTCCGAGAGGAAGCCGACCAAACCGGCGGCCGAAACGACTCCGACCATCTTTATGAAAGTAGACGTCTAACGTCGAGATTCACTGAGAGGAGCTCAGGCTCAAAGGATGACGTTGTTGTTGGGGTGATGAAGCAACGTCGACGGGAGGGAGCTCGGGGGAAACAGCGAAAGAGCCCCCAGAGCAGCGATGGCGTAGAATGGAACAAGTGGTCCTAGATCGGATGACGGCAGGTAACACAAAAGACAAATTAAAAGGAAATGGACGAGATGAGATGAAGTGGACGTGGGAATGGAAGCTGGAAGCAGACAACGGAAGCTTTGCAGGCGCGAGTCAACGTCAACGGAGGAGCTGACTGTTCTGGTCACGTGAGCCAATGACGCCCATGCGATCCGAGAGCGTCGGGCGTCAGCTGGTGAGGTCCAGCGGACATTCGAGACTTTACAAACGGGCGATGTTGATGGCCTATTAAATAGGTGTTCATCGCCCAGTATCACCCTCCAGAGCTTCAGCACTGCTTCTACTTCCCTACCTAAAGCTCGGTTTCCCCGTTCACTCGCCATGTCAACATTTCTCCCGTTTCGAGACAAGCGGCTACCACCCGTACCAGCTGCAACTTCGATGTACCACCATGATCCCCTCCTACAAGTTGAGCGCCAGACAAAATACATTCAGCGCAATCTTCAGATTCTGATCGATGCCCAAAGTGAGGGTCTTCTGGCGGGTCTCGCGAGATCTCAGCCAGAAAACACATCGGACGGCAGCTTTACCCCGACATCCTCGGTAGCTGGTCGAGCTCGGTCTCCGTCGACTACGCCCGCTCGGCAAACTCCAGTAAAGAAGATTGGGCTTCGCGCCGCACGACAGGGTATATTCCAGTCGATCTATGATCTATTAAAGCTGCGAGAAGAGGAACGGGACATCCTGTCGTCGCAAACGGACGAACGAGACAATGCGCTCCGAGAAATCCAAGGGTTCAACTCAAGAAGAAATGGCCTGGAAGAGGCCATATCAGCTATACATAATGACCAAGAGAATCAAGAAGCTAGACGGTTGCAAGAAGAGGCACGCGGTCTCGAGACTGACATTCACGAACTGGAAACCAAGCTGTACGAGATGAAGGCCCAGCATCGAAATCTGATCAGCAAGATATCGCACATCGAGAACTCTGTCGATGCAAAGCTGTCATCCTACAACGAGTCCCTATCCCTCCTTCAGTCCGATATCCAAAGCTATCTTCGTGACCCCCCAGTCCAGCCACTCTCGCAACGATCTACCGAGTCTTCATTCTACTCCCTAAATCCCAAACGACGTACCCTCGACATGGCAGAGGAACATTGGAAGTTGGAACAAGATCGTCTACATAAGAGACAACACGAGGTGGATGCTGAAATTATGGCTCTAGAGGAGGGAGGCGGAGTCTGGAAACAAGCTATCGCGGACGTGTCAGGCTTTGAGAAGCGCCTCCGGGCCAATATGCGACACTATATTGAGATTCAGTCTTCCGCGACCGATTCCAACCATACGCAAGTGTCAGAAACGATGGGGGAAGTCGCGGCAAATGTCTCGGAGGACTTGGACAAGACCGTCCAGAGGCTTGAAACACATTTGGATCTTGCCGAGAAGAAAGATTGGAAACTTCTCGTTTGCTGCATTGCTGCAGAGCTCGAGGCACTCGGCGAAGCGCGCGGAATGCTTCTTCCAGCCTTTGGGCTGCCGGTACATGAAGATGTGCTCACCTCCCAATCACCGTCATCGGAGGAACAACTTTCAGAGGGGCCCCCAGATACGCATGAGAACTTATCCGATAGTGATGACTCTGAGCCTCCGACGGATCTATTAAAAGAAGGTCCGGTTCAGCACACAGATAATGCAGATACTGCGTCAAGATCCGACGACGAGCCAGACCCAGCTTGGCTCTGATTGCATGAAATAGGAACATATGAACACTGAAATATACAATAAATGAAGAATTATATACACATACTATTTGAAGCTAATCTATTTTGCAACTGCGTAGTTGGACCTATCTGTAGTTCTCCTAGTGCTTCCATATTTGTAGTCCTGGCGGCGGGCATTGGGGCACGGGCGGGAAGGCTTCTCATCTGAGCATGCAGCTCCCACATCAACCTCACACCAGCTCTTTTCATGAACAACAAACCATCCGGTATTGACTTTTTCGGGGAGCGTGGAGGAATTTCTGAAACATGGACCTTCCTGCCCCGACATTCTCTTTTCACCTTCCCTCGGTCCATGATGATTGCCAGCTGGAATGTCGACTGTATCTCCCGCGCCAGCACCAAAATATAGAATCGGCATCAAACTCTTCCATTCGAGGTGCCATTGTCGCCCATCCTTACGCGCCGCTCGGTGGGTGCTATGATGATCCCATTGTAGCGTTTGTCGGTGGGGAGCTTTTACAAGCAGGGTATATCGTGGTGACATTCAACTTCCGGTACAACACTGCACTCCCGCCCAGGGTTGAAGATTCTCAAAGTGGCTGATATGACTACAGAGGAGCTGGAAGTTCTGAAGGGCGGACCAGCTGGACTGGGAAGCCCGAACTGGGAGACTATGTATCCGTGTATGGGTTCATGCTGAATTATCTACAAGAGTTGCATTCAACACTCGCATCCAGTCAGAATATCGCCCCCAGCGAGGCCATCCACCTCGTAATCGGTGGATATTCATTCGGGTCCCTAATCGCCTCGCATGTCCCAACCCTCGATGTCATGCTCGACCTATTCTGCAACGGCCCAACAACCCCGACAACACCGATCTACACGATTATCCAAGCAGCCCGAAAGATCGCTACGCAGTCCACACAGCATCTACCCCCAGCCAAGCAGAATCCGGAAACCAACCAGGCTGACCAACCCGCGCCCCGCGCGGCGACTACGATCTCCTACCTCCTCGTGTCACCGTTGCTGCCACCCGTGAGCCAGCTTCTGACTGCTTTCTCCGCCCTATCAGTAAACGTGGGGGGCAAAGCGTCAGCTCAGGCCCGACCCGCCGGTCGACCAACCGACCAGCTGAGTGCGCACCGGACGCTGGCGCTATTTGGGGATCAGGATACTTTTACGTCTGCCCGGAAATTGCAGCGGTGGTCAGCCGAGATAGGCCGCATGCCGCAGACCGGATTCCGGGGATGCGAGATTGAGGGCGCGGGGCATTTTTGGCGGGAGAATGGGGTGGAGACTCGGGCGAGACGGACTTTACAAGAATGGCTTCGATCTTGAGCGGTTGAGGAGGGGATGTGCGGAGTGTTTGGTGGCGAAACGGAGCGACTACAGTAGAATGATGGATGTTGTTGTATTGTATTGATGGGTTTGAACTACATGGTAAAAATAAAGATGACTACTATACTATAACTAGGTATCACTGTACATATTGACCGATATCGCTCATCCCACCATCCCCCATCCCACCATCCCCCATCCCACTGTTAAGCTACTTTGAGCGTGGCGCATAGCAAGCGTGTCTCACATGCAGAAACGCATGTGAGCCGCTGCCAGGCTCCAAGACTGTCCAGGGACGCGATGCCCCGCCGGGGACCCCGTCCAGATGATCGTAGTGGAGTAAGATCACCGGGATGGCAGGGTTAAAGTCAAGTCAAGGTATCTGCAGGATGTCAGCCAGATCATCGATCGAGGATCGATGCAGACATTGCATACGGGCCATGCAATAAAGTGAGAAGCTGAGCCAGAATAATAAAAGGGGGGCAACCAGAAATTAAAGTGGCTCGTCATAATTGATACCGAAAGTTAGTCTCCCAGTTAGTAGGTTAACACTAACTTAGTGTTCCCAGTCCGCAAAAAGTCATCGTCGGGCCGCTGGGGAAAAAGTTGGGGTTGGGTCATCCGGCGGGTTTCCATTGGCCCTCGTGACGTTTGTCCTCCTTCAGACCGCCAGAACTGGCTCTCTACACATACCCGTGGTCTTCTCTATTTCCTTATTCTCATTCTCATACTCACTCTTCTCTCATTCACCATCCTCGTCGGCATCCTCCCTCCCTTCGCAACTTAAGGTTATCCGAAGCGATCGCCCCCCTGTTCTCCGAGTGGGCCATAGACCCCGGCTGGATGGCTTGCTCCCGATGCACAGGCCTGCGATGTCGATGTTCGGCGACTCCACAATAGCCCATTCGCAATGCCATAAACGTGATTCGGATAGCCTGGTCTCCCTGCCTCCGCCGCCGCGTCGGTCCTTGCGCAAGGCCATCTCCATCCCGGCCGTCTCGTCGATCGTTAAGGATTCGTTGAATTGGGCTGGCGAGACCTTGCATACCTACCGCGATGGGCTCTCCACTGAGCAGCGCAGGCAGAAAGCAGATATTGAGGACCGGAAGCAAATACTATACCTGAAAATCAAGAATGTGAGTCAAAAATGAGGGCGGCTGACCGTGTCCCTGACGGGCAGTCGCATCTGTAGAGTGACCCGGCTGATCGCGACTTGCGTAACAGGCCGTGTCGTACGAGGAGTGGTGTACATGCGCCAATGAATTGGACGTGTTGGAGGACAATGTATCTTGGAAGCGCACCATCGAATGCTCAGAGTACCACCCGGAGTTGGTCCAGGAACGGTTGCGACAGCTGGAGGAGGCGCGCATTAGCTGCGACGTGAGTCGCATGCTGTATCTTGTTCGCACCGCCCTTAGTCGCGACCTGGGGAAGATGAGCAACTCGTCCTTATATCGACATTCGCATACTGGGACAAAAGATTTGATCGATCGGTATATCACGACTGCGCTCGAGACCATCAATACATTGGTAGATCTGTCAGTACATAATCGCTGCGATGGGTTGGAGCTCAAGTACATACTGGACCAGCTGCTGGCAGCGCGACAGGCATTTGGCCGAAGTGCGCTTCTATTCTCGGGAGGTGCCACGTTTGGCATGAACCACATTGGGGTTCTCAAGGCCCTCTATGAATCGAAGCTCATCCCGCGCATCATCTCTGGAGCCTCGGCAGGTAGTATCGTGTGTGCGGTATTTTGTACCCGCACCGATGATGAACTGCCAGCCCTGCTGGAGACCTATGCGCATGGAGACTTTGCAGTCTTCAACGAGCAAGGCCAAGAAGAGAACATTTTCCAGAAGACGGCACGATTTTTGAAGTTTGGATCCTTCCTGGACATAACTCATTTGGCAAATACGATGCAGGCATGGCTGGGAGACATGACATTTCAAGAGGCGTATAACCGAACTCGCAGGATTTTGAATATCTGCGTGTCGAGTGCCGGCATGTATGAGCTACCTCGGCTGCTCAATTACATCTCTGCACCCAACGTATTGATCTGGTCGGCAGTGTAAGTCCTTGTCTTCTGTATCCCTGTGAACCACTTCTAATGTATCTGCAGAGCGGTGTCTTGCTCCGTGCCATTGGTCTTCAGGCCGTTCACCCTCATGGCCAAAGACCCGTTGACAGGAGAGGCGACTCCTTGGAATGACCTTCACAAGCAGTATATCGATGGCTCGGTGGATGGCGATCTTCCCATGACACGACTATCAGAAATGTTCAACGTCAATCACTTCATCGTCTCCCAAGTCAACCCACACGTTGCACCTTTCTTACCAAAAGAAGATGGCCCAACAAACCACCCCGAGCTGGGCTCATCTTTCATTCCTCGCTGGATGAATACAATGACTCACCTTGCGAAAGACGAGGTCCTTCACCGAATGACTGTCCTCTCAGAACTTGGGGTCTTCCCCACCTCCATGACTAAAGCTGCTTCAATCATGAACCAGAAATACAGCGGCGACATCAACATCTACCCGGAATTGATCTCATCAAACTTCCCACGGATCCTTGAAAATCCAACAACCGAATTCATGCTGCAGGCTTGTTTGAGTGGAGAACGCGCGACATGGCCCCGGTTAAGCCGGATTAGGAATGCCTGTGCCATTGAATTGGCACTCGATCGCGCCGTTCAGCAGATGCGAGCGCGGGTCGCCTTGAGTCCTGGCCAATTGGAGTTACGCATGCCAGGCTCCCTTCATCATTCCACAGAGTCTATAGAAAGCGGTATGGGACGAGGGCGTATCCGAAACCGCCGGCGCGGCTCACACAGTCATGAACTGGAAAGGAGACGCTCGAGAGCCCTTTCCCGCAGCATTACTGTCCAGGGACTGCGAAAAGCACGCAGTACCCTTTCCCTCGAACACCCATCCTTCACCACATCGAATGATCTTGTCTCCGTCCCAACCCGGCCAAAGGCCCACCGCCGTCGATCGTCCATGACCTTCGGCACGGGTGTCTTCTCAATTGAATCCGACAGCGACGATGAAGATGATTTTGTTGCATCCCACTCTATCAACGCTCGGAAATCTCATCACCGAGGCTCTTGGGATTTCTCTTCACACGCAGATGAATTGAATCATGGCATGCATAGTCCTGTCCGATCTCGGCGATCTTCATTCTCGTCGGGAAGACGGCAACGCTCTGGTTCAGACCATCGAGGTTCACCAAAACAGGTCTATGCTGCTTCGGCTAGAGAGATCTCCATGGCCTTGTCGCCCTCGTCTCGTCATTTGCTTAGTATGACGCCGACGGTGCATCCGACTTCTCCTGACTCGTTCACCCACAAAGCACGGTCATGAACGCAGTCAGAGAGGAGCGGAATTTTCAACTAGAGTTCCGCCAATATGAGAGTAGTCTGCGAGACGGTCTCTCCTCGTCCAGTGGGCCACTCTCGGAAGGGAAGTCGCTTCCCGCGGAACAAGAACAATACCCATTTCATACATTTCCGATTTTCCTATCTACCTGTTCACCATACCCTACCCCGTATATTCTATCTACTACACTGGTTTTGATATTATTGCACGATATCATTGTCTTTCGGAATTGTCCATTGTCTAGACCGGCTCGGCGCTATGCCTTTCGGGAGAAAATTTAGGTTTTTTTAACCTTTTAACTCTTTTTTAGGGGCTTGAACTGGGGTTAGATAGAGCTGGGATCTCATTGTCACCAATCTATAACAGGCGTGTGGCGGTTTCATGTTGATATACTGCAGATGAGGCTGCGTGGACGTGAAGATAAATGCATTCGATACATTACAGTGGCTGCAAAGATACAATTGGTGTTAGGGGGACAGTACTGTACCTACTTGTACACTTTGAGACTAACAATCGCAAGGTTCCTAGCTTTCTATTCCAAGTTTGATTTGTAGGAGGGGGATGGGCGGGATTTGATCGGCGCTCCCATTGCAGTTAAGAATACGGAGAACGAATCTCCGCGCTTGGCGTGACTGATCCTTTCTTGTCGCAAGTGCCGAGACAGACTCAGCCAACATTGCTGTGAGTGCCTTACCTGTGATATCAAGGGAGCTTGAAAGTCCGAGGCGGCAGTCTAGATGGGCAATGCGTGGGAGCCATGACTAGGTGTCCATCCTGGTTCTTGTTGTGAGTACCCCTTAAGACGGGGAATTGTCGGCGGGGATTAGAAAGGGCTATGTGTACAGCGTCATCGGCTGAACGATTCCTTTCTCCTTCTTCCGTCACTCTTCAATGACTATCGCTGCTGCCCCCCTCAGAAGAAAGGTGGACCGTCGATCCCTGAAGTCATGGCTCCACCAAGCAGGCTAAAAGGCACCTTGATCCAGTTTAGACTGCCAGGTCCCGCCCACACTAAACCGCAAACAACTCAGGGCTGACGACGACGCAGTGGACTCGACTCAACTTTACTCACTCAGAAACCCTGCAGCGGAAGAAGTAGGCCTGGACTGTGCACTTGCCGTCTCGCCCTCATCTTGAAACACTTCTTGCTGCGACCAGTGTTCCATACGTTCTGGACCGTGGTGCCTGAATCACCAAGGACATTCCGCAACATGAAGATAATATTCGCAAAATTTGCCAGACAGAGGGCTTCTCGCGACAGTAGAAGGGTCTACGTCGTGATACATGACTACAAGAACATGGCACTGAATTATTCTGCCCGTTGAACAACCGTTCAACCTCCGAAACCACAATCCAGCCGAGCTGGCCCACTTGCCGATCGAATGCTGGCCATTGGCTAGACGTTTATCAATCAGTAGGGATCGTCCATCGTTCCCTTTACTGAAAGGGGCAAGAACAACATGGGAAACAAAAAGGAGTCCACTTGGTCCAACCCCCCAGCCCACAAGAACCACCATTCTGATACATGCCCTGTATCAGCTACGCTTGATACCCGCCATGTGGCAAACAGATACGGCGAGAAGAGGCAAGCTACACTGATTATTCAGCAACAGGGATCGTGCAGGATGTCCCAAACCATCGTTAAACCTTGTTGACACCTCAAATATTCGGATATGCCGACAGATGCACTGGAAATTAAGCCAAGAATACGTTACTAACGAAATTGAGTCTGCGGGCAGGCATCTTCTACGTCTCGGAATTAAGCTTCCCGGTCATATTTCCTAGATTCGTTGGTATCCCTCGCCGGTCTATCAAAGCCGTTGATCCACTTCTTAGAGCTGACAGGGTCATCTCGAAGTGTTGAGCATGCTGATAGATCAGACCACCACGGGGTTCTGATATACACGGAGCAGGATCGTCGCACTATTGTTTGGGTCTTCTGGATACCCTACCCTTCCAAGCCGTCCAAGCTTGAAGCGAATGTCGATACTTACCCCGTTGTGTCCCTGCAGAGCCACTTTTCTCCGAACCTCTCTAGTACCACTGTGAGCTGGCTAGTAGGTAGCATGCTCTCCACTTGTCAGTGGAAAATGTCGCAGCCCTGAACTTGGATTGCCGAGTTTATGGAAACGTCCCTGTGCTTGACAGTCCTGGCCCAAGCTATCCCATTATGGATCCGGTCTGAGGACCCCCATCCCGTCCCTCAGTTCTGGCTGAGATCGACAATCCCGCCTTCAAGATTGTTCCACTCATAGATTATGGCCCAGCCTGGACGGTGCTGAGTTCCTGAGATCCTTTTCCGACCACGGAGTGCTTTATCATGGAAGAGATGTGGAGGGATGGACCCAGCAGCCCGGAGCCAAGATGGCTGGTGCGTTTTGGGCCTTTGGGCAATCCTATAAAGATATCCCCAATCCACCGTGTCGTTCTGTCTCCGGCCTTGTTTATTTGTACTATCAAGATTCCCCAATAGAGTGTGGTCGCCATTTTGAATACCGTCCACTCCTTTCTCAATCGCACCGCTTAAATCCGTCTACTCTCCCTTCACACAACAACACAATGAAGTTCACCAGCTTCGCCGCTATGGGCTTGATGGGCTGTGCCCTCGCCCTGCCCCATGGCCCTCACCATGGTGACTCTCAGCCAAATGACCACCCCACGCCTACCGGCTCTCCTCCCACCGGTTTCCCGACTCCTTCGGGTCTGTCTAGCACCGACGACTTCGACAAGCGTCAGTTCGGTTCCTCCCCAGAGCCCTCTGGTGACTTCGGCTTCCACAACGGCCCTCCTCCTTCCGGCACTCCTTCAGCCTTCCCAGAGCCCTCTGGTAGCTTCGGCGGTTTCGAGCGTCGCCAGGACTTTGGAATCCCTAGCGGCTTGCCCTCCTTCTCTATTCCCTCTGGCGTCCCCACCGGTCTGCCATCTGGCTTCCCCGGCTTCGGTGGCTTTGAAGGACTCGGCAAGCGTCAGTTTGCTGAGACTAGTGGTCCTGCTCCCTCGGGCCCCGCCCCCTCTGTTACCCCTACTGGCTTCCCCCAGCCCAGTGGTAGCTTCCCCAGTGCTTCAGGTGTTCCAGTCGGCTTCCCGCCGTCTGGACATTCTTTCGCTGAGCGTGACCATGGACACGATTCTTTCCCTAAGCCTAGTCGCCCTGCCCCGTCGGGTCCTGCTCATTCGGGCCCACCTCCCTCTGGGTCCGCTCCCTCAGGCCCTGTCCCAACTGGTCGCGTTTAAGGGATATTAGCTCATTACGTCTTGATTGAAGGACTCTCGGCGACGAGTTGACCTACAGAGACTTGATAGGGAAGAAGAATAGAGGGAGTACTACACAGTTCTGATGACCATGAGACATGTACATGGGAACTCAAACCAGGCCCAGTCAGCAGACTGTCTTGCCATTTTCTGCTTCTTGGGGCTTGAATGTACGATCTACGGATATGGGAGAGGAAAGTCTGAAAGTACAAGAGCTGGTAGGCAGTATATTTAGCCTTAATTGTTTATTGTGCTTCAGTCATGCTCAGGTTCAATACAAATTGTCAGCATGCCAATATACACTCGTTTGACTTCCATTGGCACCAGAGTCTTTCCCTTGTCCTCGAGTATACCGAATCTATCTCGGCCGGTCGGTCTTCCGCGGAGTTACCAATTGACATTGACATTGTACAAATGCCCGGCCGAGAACTAAGTTATCGCGCGCTACACTGCAGGAGTACTACATAAGGGACTAATTATGCAGCAAAAGGCATGCTGACTTAAGTCCCTAACTGGGATAAATTTCTAAAAATATTCCGCTAATTTGGCTGCATTAAAGCAGGGTAGGTTTAGGAGGGAGGGTTACACGACCAGGATGAGTAAATTGCCACTAATTAACTTCTATTTTTGGGCAGCTTACCTCTTAGCCAAGTTAGCTTACAGTCTTACAGAAAGTGTGCTAATTTAGGGAACGCCGTGTGTCCCCCTCAGTCCGTCAGCCCGGCCGATCTCTCCGCACTCCTGCAGCTGTCCCGGCGCCAATTCCTTCCTTCCATTGGCTTCATCCACTACCCGGCTGCATTGGTGCTGCGCTTCCCGCAGCTCGTGCAGCTCTCCCGATGCTTCACGTCATGCACGTCGGACGGACTAAGAGATGCACGGTTTGGCGATCAAGCTTTATATCTGGGCGCCTCCCGTTATGCTCATGAAGCTCAGACGAATCCTGCGCTGGCCTGGTAGCCTTGCCTATTGTTCGGTCCTGGCTGGTATCAGGAGAGAGGAATCTCTGGGATTTTTTACGCGGTCGCCACTCCGTTTGACTGTCTCGTGCCTTGTTTTTCCTTGCTCATCTACAGCTGAGCTGTATCGGGGTGGCCACGGTTATTGGTCGCTGACCCCTCCACACACCCTCGAGACCCTTGTTCGCCTCGATTCTGCTCTCGTCCAATCCGAGCGGGCCTTGCTCGTTTGTGTTGGTTGGTCTTGTGCCCTACATGCAAGCCATCGGCAGATCGCTTGACGTGAAAAAAGCCCAGGATCTATCCGTTCCTCAGCCTTGGTGGTTTTTGGAGGTACCAGTTTGCGTCAGCGCAGCCGGGGGTTGTGCCGCATTACTAGAAGAGATACGTTCGCACTTCTAGAGATTCTGACCGAGTTGGATTCCTCTGTCTTTGAATTCTACCCCGCTACAATCGAATGTCCGCTGTCACCCCCACCCACAGTCTTGTACACCACCGGGAATTCTATAGTCAGCATGGCGGGTATTGTCAATAAGCCTCTAAGCATTTTCCGCCGCCCAGAATCCCCCAAGCCTCTCCACAATAGATGGGGAGACGTGGATATCTCGGTGCCCACAGATGGCTCATGGAACCAATATGATAACCCTCATCGACCACCCCCAGAGAGACAGTCCTATGGGCCTGGGTTCGTACCGGATTGTTCACCGTCAGAACGAGTCCACGGCACCGCAGGCAGCAATGCTACGAGAGAAAGCGTGCTGCGGAGCGGGGACGCTGACGAAGACAACAAAAGTACCGCAACAAATCGAACCTCGATCATGTCTCTATCGAGGCAAAACTCGCTTTCCCTTGGAGGGTTACGACCTTCAAGACTTTCTGTTCGGCTAGCATCTCGGCCGAAGCACCTAAGAGGCGAATCGTCCCTGGACAGAGCAAGCCACGATGTCGAGCACAAGAAGGCGGAGTTTGCCTACAAACCAATCCACCAAGACTACCCTGCCGAGATATCTGACAAGGGTGAGCGATCAACCCACCGCTATCGCTACATCCCCACAAATGGACGATATCTTGAGGATATCCCTTCCCCTCGAAGTCCACGGAGCCAATCAGCCACATCCTTCCGTGGCTTACATACTCGTCGAGACTCATTCTCCGAGTCACCAGAAAATCAGGAACGAGAACGTGGCCGTGACCAGACGAGGCTCAATTCGCGACTGAGTTACTACCCAGACGATGACCGCCAAAGTGTGCGGTCTAGTATCGCCGGTAGCTCTGATAGTTCTGGGTCTGGGTCTGGGTCTAGAATGAGCTTTGCATTACCGCCGAGACGTAGGACTTCGCCATTTGTTGCGGCTGATCGGAAGAGGTCGTCGTCCCTGAGACCGATGACTTTGGCAATGGTACCTGATCCGGAGGACCTTTATGAATGATGGATAATTGATTTCAACAATTAATGACCTGGTTTGGGCAGAGTTTCCTTATGCGATCTCAAGGCTGCTTAATCATTACGCGGAGTTTATAATTGGCATTCAAGGCGTTTGGAACATGGATGGTGTTGGCGGTATATCTTACATTATTATCTACGACAGAATGCAACCAATATTTCTTTCATACTATGCAGTATAAAAGTATTCAAATCGTAGATAAGCTAATAAGAGCGCTATCAAAAGATATACTACCGCCGTTTCTCAGCTGTAAGACGGAGTCGAATGCAAACATGCTTGGCAGTTGACGTCAGTCTGATTCATGTCCCAGCTGTGAACTTAAATCGAAGAGTAATTTTACAATTCTATGCCAAAGTCAATTGGTGGGCTGTAACTCCATATGCGCTATAAGTTTGTCAAAAGAGGATATGTTCTTGTACCCGCCGCCTTTTTGACGGAAAGATCTATCCCGAGCTTGCTCACGATGACGGCATTGACGGGGTCTATTGAAGATACATTGCTAGAACCTGCTTTCTTTTTTGTATTCTACAACATAATCAAAATCGATTTTTCAATTCAAGACAGTTTCGATTTTGCCCTCGGCGACTACACATTGCACTTCGTTCACCGTTACTCTACATTAACACTTTTACATTGATCATGGCTGACGTGGTAGTCCAATTACGGTGTGGTGTCAAGGTATGATGATTTTCATTGGAATTGAGTTCTGGGCTCAGTGCTGACCTTGATTATGCAGAATGACGACTGGGGAAAGAAAGGAAAACAGTCGATCGTGGCTCAACTATGGTCTAAAACGCCCGGATGTGATGCAATCGATGAGTCCAAGCACTACTCTGAGGTAGGTTTCGCTGTCCATAGTTCATGATAGAATAAGAAGGCTGATAAACATTATAGATGTGGATGGGCACTTATCCATCGAATCCATCCTACTTATTGTCCTCGGGAGAACATCTGGGGTGTTACCTGAAAAATAACCCGCAACTGGTGGGCAAGTCCGTACTGGACCGATTTGGACCTGAGATCCCATTCTTGCCCAAGGTAAGGACACAGAATTCTAGACGAAAACTAATTTCAACTAACAAGCTGTCTAGATCCTCTCCTTCTCCAAAGCACTTCCCCTTCAGATCCACCCAGACCTAAAGCTCGCCGCGAAATTGCACAAGCAAGACCCAAAGAAATACGGCGACACCAACCACAAGCCCGAGATTGCAGTAGCCCTCTCCAAATTCGAGCTCTTCGCCGGCTGGAAACCACTCAAAGATATCCAGGCCCTCTTCAAACTAAAGCCCCTAGAATCATTCATGCCCGATAAATCAACCACCTTCGACGACGAGACTCTACGAAAAGTATGCATGTCTCTACTCAGCGCCCCTCCCACCGAAGTCTCCACCACAATCAAAGAACTCCAAAGCCTCCCAGAGTCCCAATTCGGCACAGAGCCCTATATACCAGGTCTACTGGACCGTCTGAACAAACAATACACCGACACGGACAATGGCAACCTCGTCGCTGCCCTGTTAATGAACTACATCACCCTGGGCCCGGGCGACTCCGTCTTCGTGCCCGCGGATAGTATCCACGCCTACTTGGAAGGCGACATTGTCGAATGCATGGCCCGATCAGACAACGTCATCAACACGGGTTTTTGTCCCGTCGCCATGCGCGACTCTGTCGAGCTATTCGGTCAAGCGCTAACGTTTGTCCCGCATGATGTCCAGGGGGCGCTGTTACCCCGGCGCAAGAGTGATAAGGGGATGCAGGGCCGGACGGATGTGTATGCGCCGCCGATTAGTGAGTTTTCGGTGCTTGTGACGACGCTTGGGGCTGGGGAGACGGAGACGCATAAGGCGATTTTGGGTCCGAGTTTGTTGATCGTTACTAAGGGGTGTGGGGAGATGAAGGTTCCTGGGGATAGGACGGTGGAGTTGAAGGAGGGGTTTGTTTTCTTTGTTGGGCAGGGGGTTGCGTTGGATTTTGGGACGGAGAAGGGGTTGGCGGTTTACCGCGCGTATGCGGAGTAGGAGGAGGGGGTTTGAAATTTACTGTATGCTATGGTTTTTGATAGGGGTTTGGACAGTGATAGATGGATTCAAGGTAGCAGGGACTGCCGTCTTGGTCTCGTTCTTGTTTGGCTTGTGGCGTGTTGTAGAAGGGTTAGATCCATGAAGTACTAGACAACGGGGGTTAAGGTACGTTGGAAAAATTAAGATATTACAGCCGAATTCACCGTTCAATTTAATACATAGCAACCACTGGCAACTAATAAATCTACACTATAGTAGTAACCATCTCTATAGTCCACCGACACTCTATCGTCTCCTTCCGATAAGAGCCAAGGACGGATGCAAGCCAAACAAAGGTTGATTGCCGATCTCTTCTGCATTTGAAATCAAATAGTACAAAGTACATATTATCCAGTACACAATTCATCAAAGAATGCCCAACTGTTGGTATTAGTGTTGGTTTCTTTAAAATAATGATTTGCCCGTTCCTCAAAGGCGCTTATGACCAGCCACTCACAGGCCCGTCGGAGTGTTGGTTCTGCAAGGCGCATCAATGTGATTCGACCTGCTGCAGCTCGGGCGCTTTCTCTTTCCCATTCTCATTTCCTCTCGGTTCTGGCCAGGGCCTCGAAAAAGCTAAGCGGACTAGTGTAATGCACTTAGCTGCGAGCGATGAGCTGGCACCCCATCTGGACGAATTGTGGGCTAATTATGGTACATTATGGGCCCTTGGGGACTTTCGGCTTTCACGATTCTATCTATAGTCCATTAATTAGATTGAATCGATACTATCTTTACCTCTAATTCCCGGGCTAACTCTGTTAAACTTTGCTATCTTTACCGTTTGAGCGGGGTTAAGTCGACTCGTCTCAAAATATCTCACCTGAAACAGGGTCCCTGTGTCAGGATCAAAGCTTCGCGCTTGAAGGAGGCTCTACTGAAAGAGCGCCTTGCGGGCTTACAAAGGCTTATAAGACTTAGAGGTGCGCTGGGAATCTGATATTCTACTCTTCGTCTCCGAAGGGGTTTGGGGTTTCAACCTTTCTTGGTCCACTATATCGGGGCCCAACTCGAGTCAAGTCCTGGTGGACATGGAGATTCGAACGATTTCGTATTAATTTTCTTTTTGGGACTTTTACCTTGAGTCTCCGAATTCCCGCCCCCCGGTAGCCAACTGTGACTACCATCTGCATTGAACTGGTCCACTAGCTTCATTTTCCTTTTGGGAGGGGTTTATTGTATATTGATTTTGGGTTGTCGCCCTCGACTCGCCAACGGACCGGGATATGAGTGAAAGTTCCGACTCTCATCACACGATCTGCCGACCAACGTCTCCTCCAGAAGGACTCTAATTGGGCGTGTTTGCTGCGAGAATCTCAAATCCTTGCCAGTAGGTTCGCCCGCAGATTGAATCTAGCGGCCAGGGGTGCATTTAGGGGGGGGGGGAAGGTCGAGGTACAAGAAGTCAATCACGCTAACCATCGCAACCCAACCCCACAGTGACGGGCGGTCTTTTACACCTCTTCTCTCGCAAGGAGAGAGCGAAGCGAAAGCAACAGTCCCAGCAAGCCGAGCAACTAGCGCCGCTCCAAGTGCCTCCAGCGTATAAATCGGACTTTTATGAACCGCTGAATGGGCCCCGCTCTGCATATCCCCGGCCGCTATCCTCCTTCGCTCCGGAGTTCAGTCGCCAGGCCCACTCCTCGGCCCAGAATCAGCACCATAATGTCCATGGGGGTTACTATCCCCACCAGTCTGGCAGTACCAGTCATGCCAATCAATACGGTCAATATAGCCACCAGCAACAAGCATACCAATATCACAATCAGATCCCGCAGTACCACCACCAACAACTCCCACGCGCATCCTTCGATGTACCTCGATACCCGGCCCTCCCAACCTACGACCCATCCAAGTACCAACCCATTCAACCATCCCTGACACCTACCGCCGATCGATTCGCCTTCCACTACCCTAATGCCAGGGGTCAAACCTCCCGTCTGAGCGAGGTACACTATAATGATTCGCGACCCTCGTCGATCTACGTTCCGCCCCAAGCAGCTCCGGACTTATCCTCCGCACCACCAATGCCCCAGCGGAGAATGGCCGCGCACGCTCGAACTCAGTCTATCATCCCATCTTCCGGCGCTTCGGCCGGACAGGGCTCGTCCAGATCGGGGGATGGGAGGGAGCGGAGTGTCTCTGAACCAATGCCCGCGGGTGATGGACAGGGGAGTCGGGGGCCACGACGCCCTAAACCGGTGCTTTCACGGCTGATTACCAACTTCGGCTAAAGAGGGGATGGGAAGAAAAGAGAAAAAAAAGAGAGAGAAAAGAGAAGGGGATTGCTTGAATTATTGGAAGATCTTTTTCTTTTTTTTCGGGGTTCTTTTTTTCCTCGTTTTATTATTTTTTTTTTCTTATTGATCCTTGTGAAAGGATGAGGATTGAGCTTGGCTGCTTGAGGCAGCTTCTCGATTCGGTTATGACTGTGATGAACAGCGAGGCGCACGGCGTTTTCTTTTAGGCCGTTGGCTTAATGAACTAGTTGGTCAGGAATTTTGAATTAAATTCTCTTGACTGGACATCAAGATAGGAAAATTAAGAAATGATTTGGAATGTCCGAGGAACTGTCTTTCGTAGGCGCGGAATAAAGTCAACGCGATGTAACCTGTATACTTCCTAAAATTTATAGTTTTGCTCGATCTCCGAGAGATTTCCGTGCTTGTGTAGACAGAACTCAAAAATGAATGAAAAAAATGAAAAAAAAATCTATACTATGAATGTGAATATTCTATGGGAATGATTCCCCGTGACAAATCCCCTCTCATATCGTAGTGGAGCACGAAGCCAACGGAGATCGAGACTCGGCGTGGCCTGTGCCTTCCCGTCGATCTTGCGCGGTCAAACTTGTCTCTCCAATCCAGGAATCACGGCCCCGATTAATCATTATTCACCGGTGGGGTTTGGTGGCTGAACCGCTCGCAGAGTGCCTTGCCCCGCTTTGTCTCTGCTATGATCCCCGTGCTTGTCTTTCTGCTCCAGTACTACTGTACTACTGTACAGACTACTGCTAACTGCTGTCTCTGGCGCCTACAGATAAGCTCGGGGGATGATGTACTCCCGCCACGAGGGTCAACGGGTCGATCAACCTTGTTGTATTCCGAACCAAGGTCCATGGTCAAATCCACTCCATACACGAGCCACCCCCAAGGCTCTCCGACTCTCAGGTACAACGCCCAATCGTCAGGATTTTACCTGGATTTTCTTCACTTTAGCAGCACTCGCCGTGCTCCCCGTCTCTGCACACGTATTCCTCAACCCCATCATGATATCCACTCACGGGTTCGAAATCCACTCCGATGCAGGGATCGGAATGCGTCATAGTGAAACCGCGTACCCTTTTTTCGTCTACTTTGACGATGGAGGGGGCCATCCACCCCCTCTTTTTGACCCCTGCTGCTCTTAGTGGATTTTCCCTGCCTGCTCCTACCAGAGAGAGAGAGGATTACTGGGAAATGCACAAAAGAGTGACGGGCCGAGAGTCAGGCGGGGGGAGCCTCCCTGTCAAAAAAAACACTCGACAGGGCTTCATCAGATTGTGGTTGCACCAACATCCCCAGCAAGACAGGGGGTTGAACAGGCAATAACGGCGAATCTTTTCTTTTCTTTTTTTCCTCGATCGATCCACTGGCACATCTGCGAGCAGTAGTGGCCTAATACCTCTCTCCGTTTGACTTGCCCAATTCAGGCAGATCCCAGAACAAGCGCCATGCCAAGACGACGGCGGACGATGGTGCATCGATACTATGTGCAACCTATGACTCGCCATCAACTCTGTCCAGGTCTGCAAGGCCTGCGCCGCAAAAGTTGCAACTGACTTGTTCCCTACCATGCTCACACGAACCCGACCTAGTAGACCAGGGTGCCCTATTGGGGGTTTTGCTGCATGTCCCTTTGGCCCCCATCCCCTCCGTAAATTTCTTTTCCCAAATTCCCACTCGTTTTTGTCATCTCGAGTTTAGTTGGAACTTTTTACCCCTCTTAGGCCTGCAACTGTGTTCTGTACCAACACCCTGCAAGTCCCTCGGAGAATCCCTCTCCAAAACAAACCTGGCTCGTAGACTAGGCCTTTTCGACCCGCTCGAGTTTTTCGCGCTTGCGGTTCGTTCGTTTGCTGTTGCTTGCTGCTCGTTGAAGCGCTGTTGACTGTGCTGGACTCGCATCGTCTTCGTTCCCAAGTGGCGCCCCCGGGGCCACCGCCAGAGGGGTTGACCCAGTGTGTCGGGCCCCCAACTCGAAAGTCTGCCTCATCGCGGATGGTTTTCAAATTTCCAACATCAACCGTCAAGCTCTTCCAGAAGATCTTTTCCCTTTCTTGATGAATGTACAGACATGCAGTGGGGGCATAGTCTCTCTCCACGGTCTTGGTCTTTACTGATATAACGTCGACTCATGTGTGCGAGACCTCGTTGAATTTGGTTCTGTTGCTTATTCTCCACCCTCCTGGTACTGATTTAGGTCTGCCATTTTTGAGGCCAGACTATTGCAGACTCCCAGGAGCTGAATCGGCCTTGAGATGAGCACCGGATTAGGGAGTGGTCAGTCCTCCCCGTGAACTCTTCACCATCGACTCGAAAATCAAAACCGAGCCACCAAACGGCTCTACAATCCTGGGCATCCTTTCGATGGTTAGCCCATTCAAGGCCATGGTGAACCTCATCAAGAGATTCAGGAGGAAGCGCAGGCTTTCATCTGAGCTTGATACCCGCTGGGGCGATCCATCTATAAGCTATCCGAACCAAGGATCATGGAACCAGTGGGACCAACCGTCTGGATTCGTCGCAAATGCGTCGATAGGGTCTCCTCGCGATATACAGACGGTAGAGACGCGGCAATATGTGCCATTGGAGTTAACTTCATCTCAAAATCCTGGAACTTCAAGCGACTCGGGCTATCAAAGCTTCAGTGCCCGAGAGGATCATGCTCATGAAGCCTCGGTCATCCCCAAGGGATACTTCAACGAGAATATACGGCACCGAACCGGCAAAAGCCAAAGGCCAGCCGCTAAAGGGCTTGGTATCGACGGCACTACACACGAAATGGACGGCTCGAATGGACACACACCCCCGGATGATTCATGTGACGACGACGAGGAAGAAGAAGGACGAGATACTCTGGGTGATCCAGGAGGGTCTATGGTCTTGCGCAGTCCTCTGACGGGAGACCCGCTACGGTATTCCCCACGGGACGATCAGGACCCTTATTTTGACCGCGCCTCCAAATCACCACCGTTATCAGTTACTCAACGCATGCGCCGCTTCAGCCAACAAAGTTCATCGACCGACCCAACATCGTCCGTTGCGGGAGCTAGCTCTCGACGGACCAGCTATACTACTGCTGCATCTTCAGTGTCAGCACCATCTCTACCTCCTGATACGCCGCACTTTGCATTCAACACTGGCCATGCCGCACACGAGAGACGATCTGCTCCCCGTCCGAAGCGCCGGGAGCCTGAACCCACGGCTCGGCAGCAGATGGTCCCGTCCTACGATGAACTCTATGGGTGATGGCCCTTTCCTTTGCATTATAATTTTTCTTGTTTCATTGGCGATTTAGAGATTGTTTATATTTTGGATGTGGGAGGTCTTATGTGATTTTTGTTGTTTGAGTTTTGATCTTGTCTGGGGGAGTGTGGGCATCTACGACTTCTTTGGATGACACTGTATTTTCTCCGATCATTTGGTGTGGACTCCTCGCTTTCAGTACTTGTTCCAGTATCCCTAAACTCAATATTTTTCTTCTCATAGCATTATTCAATTCAATATATTCAGGCATAAAGGTACAACAACTCGTTCCCTGGTAAGGTAGCGTTGGCGCCGCTTGCCGTTACTCCACTTTACTTCCAGTCGACACTCCACTCTACGAACTATACCGAGGACTTTGTACAAGCCAACTACGTTAGTACTTTCTCTACACCTCTTATCCCTGCAATATTGAATGAAATCACAAAGAATGCACCACATTTGCCCGAGTTCCGCCCCAAAAACAGTCTAGCAGGCCACCAATCCTACTGGATCCAGCCCTAGCGAACACCCGCTCGGTCTGTGCAGATTATGCACACCGAGTCACAATCACAAACCGCCTATCACCAATCACCCTCCATCTCTCATCACACTCGTCACCTCTCGGCAAGCTCCACCCTGCAAGCCAGGATGTGCGATCCTGCATCCTCCACCAACCATTCCTCTATGCCGAGTGGCTCATCCCCCAACCTCTCGCTGATGAGCTCTAACCGCCCGTAACTGGTCACCCTGGCTGGTCGGTGCTTGATTCGACAGGCACATCTCTTCCCCCCTCTTCTGCTTCTCCTCCCCACCCTAAAGCTAAAGTGCTAAGGTGCCGGTGCTCTTCCCCGTCTGCATATTTTTTTCTCGCGCTACGTGCTCCCGTACTTTGTCTTCCTTGAGCGGTTCCCTCGAACATCCCACCCCGGTGACGGCGCGGAGAGTGAAGTTGCTGGACACTGAAAAAAGAGAAACTTCCCCTTTAGAACTGGACTTCCCCCCTGTATTGTTCCTGTGCGATCCTGCGTCCAACACTCGTTTGCTTTCCCATGAGAGCTTGATCGCCATCGCCCGGCGCTAGGCCTGAATTCCTTCTCTTGCCCCTCATCATCCCGATCATCCTCTTGTCTGGAGAACCAAAGTTGTCGGCTGTACACTGTACAGTGCCCACGTCTCATCCATAATGCCTGGGTCGTGGGGTCACAGTCTGCCATCGCCTGGGAAGCTGGCGATTGCTCTGCTTACCGTACTCGTCAGCAATCCGGTGCCAGTTGCCCTGGGACTGAAGACGACCGGAGGATCACCATGCGCCAGTGTCTGCAATAAAGTATCCACCAACACGACCGCTTCGGAGGTTGTCTGTCTGGACAATCACTATGACGATACCAAGGGGAAGACCTTTGAAGACTGCATCAGCTGTCAGTTGAAGAGTACCTATGTAGATCGGTCGAGTGGCGAGACGGATGTAAACTGGGGTCTCTGTAAGTCGATCGCAAGGAGTTGTCGAGGTTTGCGCTCAAACGACTAATCCAGATCCATGCCCACAGATAACCTGCGCTATGCGTTTACAAGTTGTGTTTTCGGATACCCGGAGTCGGCGGCGAATATCTCCACCCCGTGCACTGTTGGCTGTGCCAGCATTCAAAGTGCCGTAGAAGTCGATATTGTCGACCCCGGTGCGAACAACTTTAATGACTGGTGCTCGGCAACTGGCTTTGCCGATAATGTCATTAATGATTGCGAGTTCTGCTACAACCTGACCTACCAGCAGGTGAATCCGCAAGTGTATATGGCGAACTGTGCGTATATCCCAAGTTCCAGCGGCGTTCATAGAAAGGCGAAAAGAAAAACTGACCACCCTCCAAAAATTTCAGTCCTCGAATCCATCCGGTATAATTGTCACTACAGAGCCACAGTCGGCCTTGCCTTTGACATCGCTCCATCCCGAATCTTCACAGAAACCCTCCTCCCGTCGAGCATGTCCCTCTCCACCTCGACTTCATCCAGCGGCTCGGGCATAAATCTGGGCCTTGTAATCGCCCTGCCCATCGTGGGCTTCATCATCATCCTCTGCAGTCTGGGCGTCTGCTGCTTCTGCTTCATCCGCTGGCGACGCAAGAGCGTCGGTCGGGGTCGGTACCAAGATCATCTGTATGCCCGCTGGCACGATACCTCCATCAGCACGCCCCAGCAGGTCCAGGGTGGCTGGGGCTCCCCGCAACAGATGCACGCCGCTGGATACGGCACGTATGACCCCGGGTATGGCCCCGGTTTTGGCTTTACCGACAACGATGGTCAGAGCCATGCGGTTGGGTATGGACATGATTATTCAAAGACTCAGTATTCGTATGAGCTCACCGAGACGTCGCCGTCCAATTACCATGCCACGCCGCAGATGGGCGGGCTTGGCTTTGAGTTGGATCGCAAAGATCCGTACTCGGATCAGATCACGCAGTCACCGCCGCCACCGGCACCGTATGTCTCCCCGCATATGGGATATGGTGGCTTTGAACCGGATAAGAAGCACCCTCTGTGATGGAGTGTTGTGTTTTGTTCTGTTCCGGCTAGACTGAAAAGTGTTCTGTGTCTTTGGTCAGCGAGTTTGTTTGTAAGCTCGCGGGACATGTTCGATATACCACACCACGTAATGTTATGATTGCAATGGTTTTGAGTTTTGGCTTGGGGGAGTTTGTACTTACCCACATCTGACGGCGTTATCTGTGTTTGTTTCCTTGAGTGGACTACCGTTATATCCTCTCCACGTTGCGATTTGCGATACCATTTCCATATACCTCACTCCTTTTTGAATAGTTCAGCGAAAGAGAAACATTTTTACCTCAAGAGCAGTCCTTGCAAACAAGTAGTCGAATTCAAATTTCAGAAGAGGAGAAAGTGCAAATCTTCCAGCAGGATTCTGGGCGGCAACTCGAAACTATTTATCCCAACCTCCTACACCCCCTCACCACGCCCCGTATACATGAAAAGTCCAAGAATAGATATGTTAGATTAAGTATCCCAAAATAAACCCAGGAGATCGGCTATCTTTACGCGTGGGACTTGTGGGATAAGGGACTCCGGCATGCAGGTAAGCATGTTATTGGTTACTCGTGCGGGCAGTCCCGTTTCAGTAAGCACTGCCAAGGAAGGATCGGAGGGGTCTAAGGGTTCAGGGTCGTGATTTAACTCGTGGAGATGGGAAGGTTATTTTTGGGGGCGGGATGGGTGGGGGAATTGGGTATCATTTTTATACCTATGCATTGGGGTGGTGAATCCTTTATTGATGGTTTGGTTTGTGGAGTGTGGTGAAGGGGTTGAGTAGTTATGTACTAGGTCTGAAGGGCGAGGATCTATACCCCGTCGGGCTAACCTATCTATTGGAGCAGACTTCTTGGGTTGTCTGCTAGGAGAAATTTGACGAAGAATTGTCCTTGACTTGGTCAAGGCATATGTTCTTGGAGACAAGCTGCTCGACTCAGGCTACCAAAATGCGGCAATCGAAGGCCTCTTCAAACGGGCATCCACATTTGACTGGGATATGCCGGAATTTCAGATCCCTCCTAGCTCTGTGGACCTGGTGTCCTACGTGTACGCCAACACTATGGAAGGATCCCGGCTCCGTGCTGCTATCGTTGATATCTGGGTTTGGAAAGGGAACGATAAGTGGCTGATGCAGAGTCCCGCTCGTGATTACCAACACGATTTTCTCCACGCTCTAGTCGTGAGGGCCTTCTCCACAAGAGTCCAGCTCTATCCTAGGGATATTGAGGCCGCTGACTACTGTGTTTAAGTGGTGGTCCTTTGTCGTCCTCCTTTTCTTTTCCTGCTATCCGACTAAAACTTATCGTTACCAGTCTGGTGGGGGAGAGTCGATGACTCTTATAGACTGAAAATACGACTACATCCTTCTGGTCAGTCTGGAAGCCCTAGTTCGATATTATGACTCCTATAACCTTGATATCGCTAGGTATGTAGTTTGTGAAGCTACGTAAGCTATAAACACCATATCTAGTTACAAGAAGCTTAAAATCTCGCTCCTTAATAGTCTGCACATTCGGCCATCTTCTAACTCTCCAGAGCCTTCCCTGGCCGTACCCCCCAATTACACTTTAAATTTCACTGTTCCCTTAGCTTAACCTCAATCTATTTTATCTTATATCATCACTCGCTGTTATCACTTTCACTTTCACTTTCCCTCTCCCTTCCCCTCCTAGTCCCTTCGGTATCCCACTAAGGAGCCACAACTCATAGTGCTCCAGATCCAGCAGTATCAGCAGCAAGTATCTCCTCACATATCGGCTTTGAAACTACATCTACCTCCGGTAGTACGATTCGAGCCCCATCGGGTTTTCATACCGTCCTGATTCGCCCACAATGGCCACTGAGATATCCCAAAGATCCGCAAAGAGGGTCCGGCTATCGGCTAACGAGGCGAAGGGGTAAGTGGCGTACGAGCATTAGTGCCACCACTATGCTAACATGAGCCAAAGCATCTTCAGCGAAACGGTTACGATAGTCGTTGGGCCACAGGGAAATGTCTTCCATGTTCACGAAGACCTTCTCAGGGAATCGTCCCAATTTTTTGATAAGGCCATGGGGGCAGGTTGGAAAGAATCTCAGGACAGAAAGATTACGCTCCCGAGTGACGAGCCGGCAATCGTGGCGTTATATGTGTATTGGCTCTACTACGGTGCTATCCCTATGTCCCCTGAAGTGACTTTCAAATCCGCCAAGTTGGACGATCTCCGCCACGTTAAGGCCTGGATTCTTGTTGACAAGCTTATCGACACCAAGTTCCAAAACGCAGTGATCCACGCAATCCTCGAGAGGGTGAACACACCGACGAAGAACGGGACACCCATAAACGTCTCGCGCGGCGCAGTCAACTACGCATTTGAGAATACTATGAAAGGGGCGTCTATTCGTCGCCTCTTCGTAGATTCATATTGCTGGAATACAGAGAGAGATGTGACTTCATTCTGGAAAACAGAAGAAGATATCCCCCATGATTTCCTTGTGCAGGCTGTCAAGGTTCTAGTCAAGCCGCCCTTCTTAACCGCGAAGCTACAGGCGTCGAATTACTACGTCCAGAATCAGGAGGAGAAAGCCAAAGGATGAAAATGCAGTACTTTATCAAGTTTACTAATTCGCACAGTCTTTTAATGCATATCACACAATCATTGATTTCTTTTTAATTAGTTTTAGGGCCATAGGTTTGGACGTCGCTAACATCACTTCGTAGTAGTATATATCGCATCTTAGTCTAGATTGTATGTCACTCACCAAACATCCGATGTAACTTCAAATCAGTGAATAGGCCATCGTATTTTATCATCCTCTACATAATCCATACTGCAACAAAACTAAAATGGGGGTTGTCCTATTACCATGAGAACCTTACCTAAGTTCTTGAACTACCTCCTGACCAGCTTAGTAGCGTGATATAGTGTCCTCATTTATAGGGCTTCGGTTCATTGTGGCCTCGAGCTTGTGCCTGAGAGCTATTTTAAATGATATGTCGAATCAAATTACAAAATCTCACGAAGGCTACTAAAGAAGGTTTATTCACTTACAGTGCGACGGAGACAGATGTTCCAGTGTGTACAGTGCGGGTCGAAGCTTGGCCCGCCTTTTTCTTATCGCCCGCTCAAGCTCTCAGACTCCGCGCGCCGCGCATTATTCATTCATCTTCAACATCACTTCCACCCACTCCGTCATGGCTCCCCTCACTTCAGAAGAGTACAAGGTGCTTGAACAGTCGCGACAACGCCTTGTTCAATTAACCCGTTCTCTGGGCTCTCTAGTATCCAGTCTAGAACAAGGCGATCCCCTTCCGCCATGGTATGCAGCTTCTCCAAACCCCCGGTCTTCTCCCAATGATCTCCGAATAACACTCAAACTAGGTCCTCGCTGCAATCCCAAGCGAGCATTATATCAAACAACCTCATCAGCGTCACTGAGCACCTCTCCGATCACCGCGACCTTCTATCCTCTATCGTCGCATACCCCGGTCCCGAGTACCCCGGCCGCACGCAAGAGGCCATGCTCCAACAACTTCTGCGCACAAAACTCGATCCTCGAGTAGAAGATTGGGTTGCACGCGGTCGTACTGCAGGCACCGAATCTTCCCACCCTGCCCTCGATTTCTCGCGCACGATACCGAATCCCAGCACTGCCGCAAATACTACTGCGAAACAGCTCAGCGAGTCGGAGCTGAAAGACCTCTGGGAGTGGGCACCTATCGAGGCGAACCAGGAAGCTCGACAACGAAATTGGGGTGGCAATTACACGTTAGAAGAGCGCGAGGCTGGGATACAGAACGTTGTTACGGGCTTACGGAGACAACTGGAAGATGACGATGCCAGCGAGGATGAGGAAGAAGACGAGGAGGATGACGGTGAGGACGAGATGGAGATTGTGGGCGTGCATCGCAAATCTGGGGGTGGTCTCGAGTTTGACATCGCACCGCATCACGCTCGTGCGGTCCACCCCGTTGTACCACTGGACAAGATTCTTCGATACATGACAACGGGACACATGCCGTGATGGAATCGCGACTTTTGATATTGGCATGGCGTTTATGGTGATTTACCAGGGTTTAAGCTACTTCATTCAGTGAGCATGGACGGGTCGGATACGGCCTCCACGAGCCAACTGCATGGATTTCAAAGTGCATTATTAGGAGTTTTATAGCGAATTTTAAAAGAAAGAAGCAACTTTGAGCCCCAAGGCACACACGTCCTCTAACCCCGTCGTCGCGTGGTGGGAGTCTTGGAGCCTGGTCTGGGCGATGCTCCAGAGCTTTCGGCAGAGACCGGCTTCTCCGCGACCTTTGCGCGGGGCGCCTTCTTCTTGGGCGCGGGGCTGTTCCAATAGTACACCATCTGTGCGGCGAGGATCAAGTTGAGGGAAAAGCCAGCGACAAAGCCGTAGAGAATGAGCTTGTCCTCGACTTCTTGGAGAGTGGTGAAGATGCGGGAGAGGGATCCGAAGAGGTAGTTGAAGACCTGGTGGAGCGCACAAGTTAGTTGGAGCCCTCGAGCAGAAAGGAAGTTGCGAACATACCGCGAAAGCACTAAGCTGGCCAGTACCACCCTCGCTCCAAATAGCATAAATCTGAGGCAACTTGCTGGCAACACCAAGAGCGCCAGCACCGGTCTGCAGATAGGCCATGGTGTTCCCGTCAATGAGAGTCTGGTCGAAGAGCAGCGCATACACGGAAGCCGCCACGACGGCAACGAAAGTGGCAGCGGCCGCGGAACGACCAGCAAAGGTCAGGACAAGGATACCGATCGCAACATCCTGAATGGCGATAAGAGCACTCTCGCCGAACGTGCTGAAGGGGAACTCGTTCCGCACGCTGTAGGACAGAGTGATGAGCAGACTAGCGGTTTCGAGCGCATAGGACACAAAGGAGACACCGGCCGAGGAGCGCGAGTTGATGAGCTTCAGGATCTGGGGGACCTTGACGACAGCACTGGCGCCGACGATGGCAATACCGAGGGCCTTGGAGATAGCCAGGGATGTACAGGTCGGATCTTCGACCAAGCTCAAGTCGAGGAGCAGGGCGGCGTGGCATGGTGCCGTGATCAGCGAGATGATCGCATCGTGCACAGGCTGAGGAAGAGCCTCGACGATAGGCTTCAAAAGCGGCTGGAGCGGGTCCACAACGGTCTTCTGGAGAACATCCATGATGGTGTATGTGAGTTGTTCAATAAATGATGGAGAAGCTGCAATGTGTTAGTGTTGACATTCCGCGAACTAAATTGCGGCACCTGGTCCGTGCGTCCCCGGGGAAATTGTTGGTTCTTCCACTTTTCTTCCTTTCCTTCCTGTCTCGAGGTCCTCCACTCGACGCGCCATGCTCCCACTAAGATCCGCCATCTTGAGGCCGGGGCCGTCTCAAGAGGCGATTCTGTGTTCACGATGTCTGGTCCGATCACGACCGCACCCCCCGTCTGCGGCCCGGAGCTTCTGGTCCTCCTCGCATCGCCGAATGGGCATTACGGCCAACCAGACTACCTCCGCCTTCCACAAGACCTACTTCTCGGCCAATCGCCTCTATGATGCCACAGGACTGAAGGGAGGATTCATATCTTCCTTTGCTTCGACGAATTCCGACAATGCATCGGCTCCTCGCAGCTCCAAACCCGCCAACGATACATCAGCTAACTCGCCCGATCCGTCCGAAGTAGCACCGTCTGGGCCAATTGGTGCAGATGCTAGCCAGAGTGAACTCCCACATCGACGAAGGAAGCGTTTGAAGGAACAAGCTTCACAGAATGGCTCAGCCGAGCCTGCGATGCCACTGGATGCCTCCGCGCAATTGTCCAACTTCTCGTCCTCCCTCCCCACCACCTCCATCCGCCGCAAACTCGCCGCCTTCCTTGCTCTCACGAAACCCCGACTATCCTTCCTAATTCTCCTTACCACCACCTCTGCCTATGGCATGTACCCGATCTCGTCGTTACTCGCCCTTGACCCGGCCATGACCCCACTCCCAACCCTCTCAACCTCCACCCTCACCTTCATATATTTGACAACGGGCACATTCCTATCATGTTGCAGTGCGAACACAATCAACATGATGCTTGAACCCAAGTACGATGCATTGATGTCACGTACGCGGAATCGCCCGCTGGTCCGAGGGCTGGTCTCTCGCCGGGGAGCAATGCTCTTTGCCATCGCCACGGCAGCGGCTGGTCTCGGGTTACTTTACGTTGGTACTAACCCGACGACCACGGCGCTTTCCGCGGCGAACATTGTCCTTTACGGATTTATCTATACCCCATTGAAGCGAATCAGTGTGATCAACACTTGGGTTGGTGCCATAGTGGGCGGTATCCCACCCTTGATGGGATGGGTTGCGGCTGCAGGACAGACAGCAACGACTGGTCATGACACTTGGCGCGACATGCTTTTCAGTGAGGATAGTGTCGGTGGGTGGCTATTGGCGGGCATTCTCTTTGCTTGGCAGTTCCCCCATTTCAATGCTCTCTCGCATCTTATCCGCGACGAGTATAAAGCCGCCGGGTATCGGATGCTGTGCTGGGTGAATCCGGCCCGGAATGCTCGTGTTGCCTTGCGCTACTCCGTGATGATGTTCCCGATCTCCATCGGCCTCTGGTGGGTTGGCGTAGTTGGTCACGGGTTCTTAGTTGGAAGCACCGTTGCCAACGGCTGGCTTGTTCGTGAGGCCTATCGATTCTGGCAACACCAGGGTGCTCAGGGCTCTGCCCGTGGCCTATTCTGGGCTAGTATCTGGCAACTGCCCATTCTCCTTGTCGGCGGTCTCGTTACCAAGAAGGGGCTCTGGGATGGCGTCTGGAGGAACATTTTCGGACAACCGGAGGAAGAGGAAGACGACTACCTGTATTATGATGATGAGGAGGAAGCTGAAGATGGCTCGATCCTTGTTGAAGGAGAGAATTCATCCCCTCCCTCAAAACGGGCTAGTGTTTTGTCAACTGCATGAGACGTTGGAAGTGGTTGAGAGAAGACTTTAGGTGGTTTTGAACCGTCAAAGCTGGTCCGGCGTCTTGTACTCTTGCTCATCTCGTCTCTTTTATCTTCTTCTGGTCTTGTTTTATACAGCGGTTAAAGCGGCGTTCTTTGCTTTGTTTTTCATTTATCCTGTATAACACTGTCCATATGAGGCCATCTATGGTTCATCTCAGCAGAAATCTTTATATTCACATCCTTCAGGGACACTGGTCATATGTACATGTTTCCTCCTTTTTCTTCTCTTTCCTCCGGCCTTGAGCACGCACGCCGTTGATGTGTGACGCCAGGTCAGTTAATTACTCTGGTTCCTCTGGGTGTGATTTCGGGCTCGATTTTCATCTAAAGGCATGGCGCCTGCGTCTAGCAATAGTCTTGCCATAGTCTTGTTGCCATTAACCTTCGCATATTCCAGAGCAGTACGTCCTTTCTTATCCGTCGCATCGGTATTGGCCCCAGCGTCAATAAGTCTCCTCACCGTCGTTATTTCCGCGGCCGCAACAGCACAGTGCAGTGCAGTGAGCCCGTTGGGGTTTCTCATTTCAATTTCAGCCCAGCCTCGCTCCAACATCAGCGAAACGATGTTAGCGCAACCCCAGGCCGCCGCGGTGAAGAAAAGATGACCACGGCGCTCGTCCTTGCTCTGCAACTTAATATCAGCACCCAGCTCGACAAGGGCTGCAAATGCGCCTTCCGAATCAGTATCCAGAGCAGATATGAGATAGTTGCGCCCGCCATCACCGACGGAGTTAGGATCCATTCCCCAGCGGACCAACTCGCGCACTGTGGCTATGTGATCCGCCTCGATGGCACAATGTAACGCGTCGCCATACCAATTGCGCAGGCGTGGATTAGCCCCGTGGGCCAACAAGTTCCGAGTCGTCAGTACATGGCCATCGGCAGCCGCCATGATGGCAGGAGTGGCGCCCATCCGTGTCAGCTCGTTGACGCTGAAGGTGTCACTGTTTAACAGCTGGTTTACTGCTCGCTGGAGCCCTTCACGCGACGCATGATGGAGGGCTGTGAAGCTTCTGCATTCGCTCGCATTCCAGTAATCCTGGATCATAGACATCGAGTACTGTCGCACTTGGTTGGTCATGGCCGTGGCGAAAGGGGAGGAGAAAAAATTGAACAGTGCAGACCACACCTCGGCGTCAGTCTCAGTCTGCCGCGTGAATTGCCCCCAATACCTGGCAGCCCAGGTGAGAAAAGGATACGCCGCCATAATAGACTCAATCTCACGCTCGGCTGCCCAAGGCCCATCCTGGAAGTTCTCGAAGACAAGGTAGCGGAGACAAGTTACGGCAATTGTGGCTTCAGCTCGCGGGAAGAGATCTTCCGAATTATCTGTCAAGTACTCCTGAATGGCGTAATGGGCAAGCCGTACATGACGTTCTGCGTCCACCGTCGCGAGCCCCTGGCAGCATTCGAGAATAGTCTTTGTCGTGGGTCGATACTTTGCATTGACTGCGTTTTGCTTGCTGTGGATGGCCAATGCATCGCTAAGCTCTGATTCTGTCATTGCACGGGTTGTATGTGTCAACCATTTGAGTGCATCCATTCCGAGTCTGCTGCGACTTTCGGGTAGCCGTTGTATACGAGATATGGTATCCGCAAATGCATCGTTGAGACTATGCGAAAGGTCTGCCATTCTGTCCTCCATCTCGCCCAGAGTAGGCTCTTTGAGGATGGTGCGGAGCCGTAGCACTGGGAGGAGAAACCTATCATGAAGAGTACATGTGTTAGAAATTTCGTGATCTCCAGAGACGAGCGCAAACATGACAATCAGGGGAAGGAGAGTGTAGAAAGACATACATTCCATCTGCCCCTTTGGTCAATTTCCGAACCAATCTGTTCACAAAGCTTCGATCCGCGATATCATATATTCCACCTTGTTCTAGCTCCTGGTAGAGATAACTCTTGAGGTCTTCCTCGTGAGCCTCTATCATAAGGTTCGGATGCTTTTGGAATAAATCTCTGATATCTGGAATATGCGGTCGACTGGTAACCAACAAACGGACGTGTTGACTTTGAGCGATGTTCAATATGCTCTGAAGAAAAGGTCTCCGATGTGTCGACTCATCAAGGCCGTCAAACACTAGATATACACATCTCAAGTCCAAAGCCAGTTCTGTGAGTAGTCGCTGGCACTCGTCAAGAGTTATTGATCCTTTGTGGCTGCTTTTCTCGTATAGTTCGGCGACAGGACTTGGAATCATTGGTAGCTGCTCAAGAAGCTGTTTGAGGATACAGGATAGCACTGCCGATGTACTTTGAGATGATTGATCCTGGTGATCAAAGTAGAAGTACCCAACAGGCGATTCCTCGCTGGAACTTGTCTCGAGAAGCTCATCGATGATAATCGAGCTGAAAGGTTAGCCAGGGCCACAACAGCACTAATGAAGTTGTCTTACGCGAGGTTGGTCTTGCCGGAGCCTTGAATGCCGTGGCAGACGAGCACATTTGAAGTAGATTTCTCATCTCGCCATTGTATAAATTCCTCTCTGCGGAGAATCCAAGCACCAGTATTCTGTGCCCTCGACGCTTGAACAAGCCGGTGTTTCTGATAGTGCTTCGAGGTGGATATCCAGTTCAAAATGCTCTTTCTTGTTTCTTTCTCCATATTATTCTCAATAACCCGCTTTTGATCGGTAACAACATCCAAGATTCGCAGAGTATCTGCTTCGAGTGCCTGTATGGCGCTGAATTGTTCCAGCTGTTGCGCCATCAACTTCAAGACGTCGTCCGAAGTCTTGGATAATAATCGGCACCCATCGACTGACAAGGCAAATTGCATCCAGCTGCTAAAATGGCGTAATTCCTGGATGGTTTTCTGGTAATCCTTCTCGGTAAAAGGCCATAACAAGCGACTTCGTTTGCCTTTTCCTTCCTGGCTTAGCTTCTTGCAGAGCTCCCTCAACTTTGCCTCGCAAGCAGCGGAGCAGGTTAGAAGGACGGAGCTCTTCTGGAATCGAACATTATCATTCAGGAGATCACCCTTTAGAAGCTCGTGCAGATTTGTCACGTTGGCTTGCAGAGCTTCAAGTTCGGTTATCAAAGTCGCGATTGATTGCCTCGCTGACCTCACATTGTCAATGTACTCTTTAGTGGTGGTGATTGCAGTGGCAATGACCGGCAGGATGCCCGCTATTCCAACTGAGAGGGAGAAAGGGTCCATTGCTTATCAATCGGGGGGTTCGGATACGTCCAAACTCTTATTTGTGAGGCTGACAGAATTATCGAGTGCTAGAAAGTTGAAGTGATGGATACGAGCCCCGCGTTAGGGACTAGTGCCCAACTCATATACTAGCACAGCCACATCCTCCTCCAAGTGCCTCATCAAAGAAAATAAGCATCTTTACCGAGCTAGATGTACTATTTAATAGCTGCAGTATAAGCATAGCGAGATTTGGCGTCTAAGCGAGAGGATTGGCAGCTCGACGACCAGGTGGGGTAAATAACGAGGGCAGAGCGGCTGATCGCCAGAAAGCAGCTGATGGTTGCCCGGGCGCACGAGACGGCTCACCATCACTGATACATAAGCTTTTCACAGGAACTCGTTCTCGGACCTCGTGTTTCTTCCTATCTTTCACTTCCTCGTTGATGATAGAAAAGCCGAGACTGAGTGGTCTCCGTACTTGAATATGTGTATGTGAATCTCCCGAGTCACGCTAGCCGCTACTTTGTTTACAATTTCCCTAAACGCCGTGCTGATATGGTCTAGATAATGTTCGACGCCGAGCAAGAGACTTGGCATGGAATGGTCAGGATGGCCATATGTCTTCTCGTTACAATCGATTCAAAACGATGCATCGAAATTCCAGGCGACCTGGCTCTTCCTATCAACTGGAGGTACCTTTAGAGACGGTGCCATCAAGGGCCAGCGAGATGGAGTCACAGCCACCCGGTCCAGTTCCAGAGATCATTGAGGAGCAACCTGAACTTGCCCATAGGCTTTCACATACGTCTGGGGAATTTCCAGCAAAGTATGCGTCCGGGGAATTCGGACCAAATTTGCGGCGCACAGCCCTCCGACCAGATTCGCCGACTGCCTCTGCAAATACACAAGTTATACAAATTATGCAAGGCGATCATGCAATCACTTCGGCCAGGGCCAACAGAAGAGGGATTGGACGTCTCTTGTGCGCCCCTTTTATCCTCTTGTGCCTCCCTATCATCGGACTCTGGAGTCTCATCCCCAAGCTTGGTCTGGTATTATTGCGATAGCTCAGAAATTCAGGCGAATGCTTACCAGTTGTGGTTCTAGACGTCCGAGGGCCTATCACTGTGGTGCCAAATTGCCTACATCTTCCTGGGCGATTACTTGAATCTGCTCCTCCTCGCGGTTCCTGCTGGAATCGCTGTCAATTACACGCCTGTGCCGCAAATTGCAGTCTTCTTTGTTAATTTTGTTGCAATCATTCCATCGTCAAGAATCCTGGGATTAGCCATGGACGAGTTGGAATTACATTTACAGGGAAACACGGTTCTTATTGGCCTGATAACCTGTACTTTTGGGTGCGTACTAGCTGGTGCTGACAGAGATCGAAATGGAGCTAATGCTAATTGACCCAGGAATGCCGTCCAGTTGATCCAATCTGTTTTGCTATTGAAGAACAGACAACTGGATGTGCTACGTGTTTCTCTTCTCGGAACTATATTGACCAACCTGTTACTTCTGACAGGACTTAGCTTTCTCATTGGTGGTATCAGGTACCATGAACAAGGTTTCGATAAAAGCTTGACCCAGACAATCACCATGCTTTTGTTCCTGGCCATTCTCTCCCTGGTTGTTCCTACGGCATCCCATTATCTATCCAATATTGATGATGCGGGCATCCTGGCCCAATCTCGTGGAACAGCCGTTGTTATCATAATCTCCTATGGTCTATGGCTTATTTTCGATCTGAAAACCCACAGACCTATTGAGACTTTGTATCAGAATACTGTGCTCCAGGAAAAAAGGAAGGCGAGAAATCGGGTACTTTGTGACGAACAAATACAAGAGGACGCGAGATCCAACCCAGCCTCGATTGAAGCCACCGCTCCATTGCCAGAAGAAGGTCCCGCAGACGATGATGTGGACACAGAGCACAGGCTCACAGTTCCCGTTGCTATAATTACCATCCTGGCAGCAACCGCTCTACTCGCCCTCAACACAGAGTTCGCCACAGACAGCGTGCAGAGCTTGACTGAGAAATCCGTTTCACCGTCATTTGTCGGTTTAGTCATTCTACCCATTATTTCCCTTGATACAGGTGCAATTAAATGCGCCCTCCATAACAGCATGGACTTGGCGATAGCGCTGAGTTTGGGTCGCTGCATGCAAAACGCCTTGATGGTTGTCCCTCTTACCGTGCTACTTGCTTGGTGGATGAATATAGACGATATGTCGCTGCAGTTTGATGCATTTACCATCACAACATTGTTTATTTCGATGGTCATTCTAGGCTATGTAGTTCAAGAGGGAAAGAGCAACTGGTGAGTGATCCTCGATATGGACTCGCATTTGAAAAACGCTTACAGAATTTACAGGCTTACTGGAGCTCTCTTGGTCAAAATTTTTGTCATAATCGCTCTTGCCTCTTGGTGGATGCCTTGATTGTGATTGCAGATTCCATGTATATTAATGTAATTACTAGAAAACCTGAAACAAAATCATAGAGATTTCGGCCACGCCATAACAGCCTGTTTGCCTTAACGTCCCTCGTCAGGATTCTGACAGTGACTCCAGAATCTTGCCGACACCCATGGGCCCAAGTTCCTCAATGGTCTCCTTCCAGAGTCGTTCCATGACCTCTCGTCCCTCACTCGTGTACTCAAAAGGAGCGTACCTGTTGTATGATTAGTGATAATCCTGCTAAAATCGAAATCTTTAGGTGCAACTTACGGTGCTATCTCCCAATTTGTGAGAATACTTCCATGGGAGTCCTTGCCCTTGACGATCGCAGCATCAATATAGGTCGACACTGCAAGCTTGACATCCCTGGCTGACACAGCTTTCAGTAGATTCAGAGCAGCTTTGACGGCAAATGGGGCGTCTCGCTGGAGCTCTGTGCCCTTAGTAAAGCCGGGTTCAACCATGTTGATGATCACATCATCACTTGATACCAGGTCTGTCAATTTCCAGAGAGACAGTTGGCCCAGAAATTTCGTCTTCGGATAATTATCCGTCGAATCGAAGTTCTTCTTCTCGTCGAACGAAGGCAATAGTGGGTTGGCGTTCTTATTCGCGAATTTCGCTATAATTGAGAGCATGGATGTGACGATCGTCAATCTTCCGGGTTGGCCAGGTTCTAACTTTGCTTTCAAGACAGGAAGAAGGAGGATGGTGAGAAGCATGGTTGACAAGTAATTGACCTGCATAGCCTCCTCATGCCCCGTCTCAGGAACAATCTTGAATTCAGACCCAGCGATTCCAGCGTTCAAGATGGCGATATCCAGTCTGGAAAGCTCTTTCTCTGCCTTTCTTGCAATAGCTTGGATGGACTCGTATGAACTCATGTCCAGGAGCCATACGTCAACGGTGGCCTGGGGATACTGGGTTCGCAGCTTGGTCGCTGCATATTCGCCCTTCGCTGCAGTACGGACGGCAAGAATCAATCGAGAAAGTTTGTAAGAAAGGAGCTGTCTAGCACATTCGAATCCCAACCCAGTATTGGAGCCTGTCACGATGGCAACCTTCCCTGAGAGATCAGTATCTCCAGGCGGATACTGAGGTTTGGAGCAGAATTGATTTTTGATGAACTGGTTGGGAAAGAACGGAGCCGTTGAAGGCGCTAATTCCTTGGATGAAGGCATCGCAATATGAGATGTTCCAGATGTAAAATAAAAAAGACTCAAATCAAAGTGATGTTTGTGGGAAAAGGAAAGAATCTTGAGCTATGCTGGGTATGGATGTCCTTGAAATATATATATGCGAATGTTTCGACTAATAAGCAAAGTTCATGACGGAGTTAGGATAAGAAATCAATATAGGTCCACCAATAAACAGAATACTACAGAACAAATGTATCGTGATTTTCACGAAACTCCGGATTCAGCCATTGTCGTCGAGAATTCATGATGTCGCTCCCGTTGAAGCTTGGACGAGATCCGCACAAATGCCCCACCCATAACATATGTGCACCAATTATATGCCATTATAGACACACCTTACCGTAATAGGAAGTCAATCTGCTGCATTAGCGCCAGCCGTGAACCAAACATGAAGGGAAGCTTTCGGTCCGGACTTAGCGGAGGAACTGCTCTGCTCATTCATGTGGCGAACCTCCTGAGATATGCTAGCCACCATATTGGAACTTCAACGAAACAATCTTGACATGACCCTTATCTTCAACGTATCGATAGCTGAGAAAGATGCCTCAACAAGGGACTGGTAAGTCATGACTCGGGAATTAACGCCAAACTTAGTATGCTAGTGAAACTAGCCGGCTGATACATTGCGAACCAGCAGGGAAACCCGTCCTGTTTATAGATGGCTTGAACAAGCCCGAGGCAAATAAGCGAAAACAAATCAGAAAATATGTTATGCTCGGCAAAAACCGCGGCAAGACTCGGAAACCCCAACCTGTTTCCCCAGATGAATCTCACACAGGCTTAGTGCATTCTGACTTGGTAGTTGAGATGCACTATCCTGCGGTACCTAACAAAGTCGGCGACGAGCTATCTTTCACACGATTCGCCGCGCCCGTGGCACCGCAGCTAATGCGGGACATTCTAAAATGTAAGTCACATCTCGCAACATTCTTGGCTGGATTGATCATATAGTTGATTCTGACCGGAGTCGATCTATAGTCTCATTGATGGCAAAGAAAGTCATGTACCCATTAGAACCTTGCATCGAGTTCCATCGAAAAGATAGAATTGATACCTTCTACTTTGAACTGATGACCTACGACGCGACATATCTACACGCCGTGGCATTCTCATGCCAGGCCTTTTTCAACCGAGCATCGTCCCGAGAAACCGCCGAACTAACTCGAAGGAGTGTTTTCCATCATTCAGCAGCACTGAAGCAACTTCGAGAGAGACTCTCCAATCAAGGGGAGCAGATCAAATTCTCAGATTCTACTATTCTCGTCATTCTATCCTTAGCAATGCAGGCCCATCTCACAGACGATTTTGATACCGCGAAACAACACATGGAAGGGCTACGCAGAATTGTCGATATGAGAGGCGGCTTGGGCGCTTTCGGTTATAACTCGAAACTTACCATGGAAATGTTAAAGTGAGAGTCCCCGATATCCCTCGAAAATGGCAGTGTGAATCTAACATTACTCAAGATGTGATTTGGGAATCGCACTGTTCAACGGGTCAGAGCCATTCTTCTTTAGGGATCCGTCTTTAGAACCCATGATTCCCTATGAACTGGGGTCCTTCACGGTCCAACCGTCGGATATACACCAATCCGAATCTTGGACTCCGGCACAGTGGAATCTCAACGCCGACCTAATACGTGCCTGGACAGTGATGGAAAGGTTCTGCTCAACGATAAACTCCGCAATCAATCGGAATCGCCGACTCCAAAAGGAAATCTTGCTGAATACCATGGCTTCAGTCATGTACCGTCTGCTTGATATGAAAGACTTTGATCCGAATTCTCTAAACGAAGCAATTTGTTTGGGTCTGCTTGCTTTCACTTCGCATACATTCCTTCAGTTCCAAAATATGAAGCCGCCACAGGCAGAGTTTCCCCGAAAATATCGAGACTGTCTTCAAACCATCGAGTGCTCGGCAACAACGGCGTCAGCGATGCTGTGGCTGCTTACCATTGGGGCGATTGCAGTTTTCACACCCACTGATGACTCTTGGTTGAAGCCTTTGCTGCGAGATCAAATGAGGCATTGCCGATTTTCTGGGTGGGATGATTTGGAAAATCATTTGACCAAATTCCTCTGGATCAAATTATTGCATGATGGGCCTGGAGAAAGGGTTTTTAACACAGTGGCCCTTGAGCCGTGACACATTTTCGCAGTATCTGCAATATCCCCCAGCGAGGCAAATTTAACACTAGGGGAATCGGAGGCGTATCCTGCTCTCGTTTTCATCAATCAGCATATTTATTGAAAGGAGATTGTGAATGGGTATCTTAATCTATGATATACACAAGCTATCGTACAGTACATATTTTCCACCGGCTGGAGACTACTCTCCCTTCCTCAACTGCAGATGGTACGTTTCCAAGGATGCTTCAGTCATAGGACTCGGCGCGCGCACCATAGCATCATCGCCACCCTTGCCAGTCTTCGGGAAAGCAATAACATCCCGCACAGACTCCTTGCCCAGCATGACGGCAACTAGTCGATCAAAGCCTAGTGCCAGACCTGCGTGGGGCGGACAGCCTGCGCGAAGAGCGTCGAGGAGATGGGAGAAGTCTGCTAGGCGCTCAGCTGGCATCTTCAGGATGTCGCGGAAGATGAACTCCTGCACGGCAGCGTCGTGAATACGACGGCTACCACCGCCGAGTTCGACGCCGTTTACGACGAGATCGTAGTGATCTGCCACGGCTTTTGTGGGATCGGTGAGGAGCAGTTCCACGTCGGCGGCAGTCTTGGGTGCCGTGAACGGGTGGTGGGTGGAGGAGATGCCTGCTGCGCCGCCCTGGCCGGGTTCCGACTCGGTAGAGGGGGAGAAGAGTGGGAAGTCAACGACCCACATGAAGTCGAAGCCAGTAGGAGCTTCCTGGAAGCCGGTGGAGACGGCATGAGAGTGCAGGGCCCGACGAAGATCGCCAATTGGTGTCGAACCTCCGGCGAAGGGGGCGCGAGGGCGAGCTTGAAGGATAATCAGGTCGCCATGATCAGGGTCTAGAAGCTCTTCAACCTGCTCGGCAGCCTCGAAACCAAATGGCTGCAGACCGGAAAGAGGCTGTTTCCCGTTGAACACGAAGACACCCGGACCTCCATCGGGGTTGTTGTTGAACGGAGCACCAGCAGGCGAATCGAGGAACTCGGTGATGAATTTGAGTGTTTCAGCCGGGTCATTGTTGGCATTCTCAAGCTTGAAAGCCTCAACAATAGGATCCTCGAGCGGCGAGATCTTCATAACCAGATCAACGGGCAGCACATGATCAAGCCGCATAATTTCCATGCCGTATCTTGTGTCTGGCTTGTCGGAGCCATACTTCGCCATGACCTCCTGGTACGGGACGCGACGGAAAGGACCCTCAGGTGCCGGATCTTTCATCAAAGTAGACCACAGACGACGGATGACTCCCTCAACGGTGCGCATCACAGCGTCACCAGTAGCGAAGGACATCTCTAGATCTAGCTGGGTAAACTCCGGCTGCCGATCGGCACGAAGATCTTCGTCCCGGAAGCAACGCGCAAATTGGTAATACCGGGGCAAACCACTGGCCATGAGGATTTGCTTGTATTGCTGCGGGCTCTGAGGCAAAGCATACGCCAGTCCCGGCCGACGAGTCGGCACCAAGAACTCACGTGCACCTTCCGGCGTCGACTTGAACAGCAGGGGAGTCTCAATCTCCACAAAGGCCGGCTGGTTGCTCTCTTCCAGTTCCTTCTTGCAGGTATTCCGGACCTCCGCACGGAACCGCAGCGCTTCACGTAGCTCGGCATCGGACCGAAGTTGGAGGTATCGCTGCTCTGGCGCAAACACCGTCTCGGGAGTCATGATGATATCCTTTGGGAAGCCATTGAGCAGAGTAATATCCTCCAATGCCAACTCCCAAGAATCCTCCGGTTTAGCCTCGCCTTCGGAGGCCTTTTTCTTCTTTTGTTGCACCGTTCCTCGTACCGCGACGGGGCTGTTGGCATTGATAGTCTTGAGCTTTTCGAAAGCGTCATTCTTGGCAAATCCTACTACTTGTAGGCTGTGCTTCATTGTTGGGTCTGTGAGACGGACGAATGACAGCTTCTTCGAGAGGTCTGCGCGCTGGCCTAGGTAGCCATGTAGAACGACTTCGGTATTGGGCTCCGCCTGCGAGAGGAAGGTTTCAAAGTCATGGGTGGCAGGAGGGAATTCCACTAGAGAAAACAACAAACTATGTTAGCAATTGAATTTGCCTACATTGCTTCAATGTTCGCAAGCTACTTACCGGCCTTCTTGTATGCCTCCAAGAAGCTAGGAAGCTCGACCTGCTCACGGAGGCACGCCGGGCGATGGAACCGCCTGGCCATGGAAGCCTGACCCTGCCATATCCGAGAAGAAAGCGATTTAGAGCTCGCAAAGCTCGAACGAAGCCGTAAAGGCAATCGTACACCGGGTGAGCGTATCATGATTGACAACTGAAAGTTCCCCAGGCCGATCGCGCGAGTCCAAAAAAAGCAGCCGGCTTCCGCCCGCCCAAAGGAGACTAGCGCGGGCCTTTTATTAGCGCGAATCTTTCCGCAACTTTTTTCTTTTCTTCTTCATCCTTCCAAGTTTTATACTTGTGAGTCTACCTGCTCTGCTGCGGCATTTCTACCCTTGAGAACTTGTTTTACTGACTATTTTCGATAGATGATGAAAGCCTAGTGTGTTCCATATGATAATCTCTCCTCCCTGAGACTCGTGGCTCTCCTTCTTCGGGGGGCTTAAGGGCTGCTTGACTCGGGATGGAGGGAGATTGAAATATGCGTTCGGCACACCAACCTTGTTAATTCACGGACGCGATGAAGGCATCTCTGACCCATTTTCAACTTGAAGGTGTTTCCCACTGGCTGGACCGTGGGCATTATAATATTCCGAGGGTGGGAGCTGGGTCGTGGAATGGCGGTTGTCCGAGTCTCCAGTCTACTGGCAGACTCAACATATATGCCTTGATGACACGCCCCTCTCTCATTCTCTATACCAAGTCCTTATTCATAGCACGATAATTCAAATACTTCATTCAATTTATGATTCCTCCAATGTGACCAAGACTCAACCTGCCCACACAATCTTTATATCGTCCTGGTATTTTCCCAACATCTCAAAATATCATCACACTTGTGTATGTCTTCTATACAATCTGAACGTGAAAAAAAGTAGACGAAACCCGCAATGAGGAAACAAAAAAGGTGGAAAAATAAACAAACATCGCTTTTACTGCTCACCAAAAATCATTTTCTCCAAAACAGCCTTCTCTCCACTGTTATCCACCAAATTTTTAAACACACCATTCTCAATCCCCATAAGATCCTTAGGGGGTCCAAACTCAACCGCCTTGCCAGCATCCATGACCAAAATACGGTCAAAGTCAGCAATAGTGCTCAAACGATGAGCAATAACGAGCAGAGTAGTCGCGTTACGACCGAATTCCGCGCGGATAGACTGCTGGATCAGCGCGTCGGTCTCCATGTCCACTGCAGAAGTGGCCTCGTCCAGCACCATGATCTTGGGCCGGGAGACGATAGCACGAGCGAGGCAGAGGAGTTGCCGTTGTCCCTGAGAGAGATTGAGACCACCCTCTGAGATGGGAGCGGATAGGGAGGTAAATATGTTCGTGTTAGCTTGCTGTGCGGTCGCTGTATCAGGCGTTGTTGCGCCGGTGATGGTGGACTGCGGCGGTGTCGCGGCTTGAGAGGTCAGTGTTGCCTCATCGTCCGAGACGGTGCTAGAGATTAGATGCACGCGAGCCAATGCATCTTTCAACTCTGTGTCGCTGTACTCATCGAAGGGGTCGAGGTTGGTCCGGACGGTACCGGAGAAGAGGACGGGATCTTGGGGGATAATTGCTAGACGACTCCGGAGATCGTGGAGTGTGATCTTTGAAACATCGAGACCGTCGATGAGAATCTGACCTTCGCGTGCTTCCAGGAATCGGAAGAGAGCAAGAGTCAAGGACGACTTGCCCGCTCCGGTACGGCCCACGACGCCGACACGCTGGTTCTTCTCAACGGTGAAGCTGAGACCCTTGAGGACCGGCGGGAGATCTGGTGCATATCCAACCACCAGGTCGTTAACTTCCAAGCGACCCTCCGTGGGCCAAGCAGCGGGTGCATCAACACCTCCCTGGTTCTCGAGCTCAATCTTGGAATATTCGATGACACGCTCTGTAGCATTCATGTTGAGTTCGATGTTAGCGTACTGTCGTAGAACGAAAGCGATGGCAGTATTGCACTGCAGCGCAAAGCTGAGCGCAAATCCAGCAAGCGAAGCCGAAATTCCAGGCAGAGAAACCACGAGAGCAGCTGTCAGAGTCGAAAAGATCGCGCCCACGAGGTTCATGCGAATGCCCAACCACCGGTTGAAGAGCCACATCGTCCACCATGCTTGAGCATGGGCATTGATCTTACTATAGATAATCTCGATGAAGGTTTCGCTCTTGCTGAATGCACGGATGGTGATCAAACCAGCCAGACTGGATCCAAACTGTTCGAATACAGGACTCTTCGCAGTACTCTCTAGACGCTTGATCTCTCGCGCACCTGCTAGATATGTCATGGAAAGCTTCATGCAAATCACAAACAGGATACCCGCTAGAACAAGGACTAATGGAGAGACCACGACTCCAGCAACAAGAATGCCGCACACTTCCAGCACCTGGGAACAGAAAAAGCCGAGCTCGTATCCGATTCGCGAGTCGATCATGTGGAAATCAGATGTGAATCGGTTCAGGATACGTCCGAGAGGGACGGTATCCAGCCATCGTAGAGGCGCACGCAGGATCGCAAAGGTGAGGCTGTTGAAGAGATTTCTCGATGCACGCACGCTGGCGGAGAGAATAAAATAGAAACGAGCCGTTCCAATCATACAAGCAAGGACTGAAATTCCAACGTAAATGCCGAGATACCATTGTAAGTTATCATCCTCTGTACTCGACTGCGCAGACTGCGTAGACATAGTATGTTGTAGCAGGGCAGAAAATTGTTCAGGATGCACCTGTGTGCTGGACGATGAGCCTGTCCAGACATTGATCCACCAAGACTGTGGTACGAAATTAGCAAAAGATTCACCAGCCAAAGTGCCACGAGAAGACTGAGACTTACACGTCCAACCATCAGACTGGAATAGCAGAGATACACAAATATCGTAAGAAGCCAGAGGACGATATGCCCACCCATCGAAAAGTAACTGGCATAAACTGAAAGCCGGACAGAGCCAACCTCTCGCTGCTCATCCTCGATGAACTTCTTAGGTGACGCACCCTTCGGCGCAGTGTCGTTCTGTGAGTGACTTGGTCGGCGACGTGATGTATTCGAGATGACTTTCTGGAGAGTACTCTCTTCGGGGCCAAGAGCCGCCGATTCCTCGTTGAGTGTGCTTTGGTCTTCCTCTGTTGCCTCGTGCTCTTCCTGGAGAATATCATTCAAATGATTTTCCTTGCGGAGATCATCAATGGTTCCCGCGTACTTGACGCATCCGTTTTCTAGAAGAACAGAGTAATCAGTCTTCGGGAGACACAGTGCAACATGGTGCGTGACAAGAATCCGAGTTCGGCCTTGGCCGAGCTCGCCCGTTAGAGCATTTTCAAAGACATGGCGACCAGTGTGTGCGTCAAGGGCACTGAAGATGTCGTCCATAACCAGGATACCGGCTCTGGAGTACAACGCACGAGCGAAGGATACTCGCCATCTCTGGCCACCACTCAAGTTTACGCCGTTGGCACCGATATCAGTTAGTTCGCCGTCAGGCATCATCTCCAAATCCTTCTGCAGCGCACATGCGAAAAGTGTCTTTCGATAGCGCTCTTCATTGTAAGGCAGACCAAACAGAATGTTATCTTTGATTGTGGCATTCTCAATCCATGGAATTTGTGCAACATATGCAATGGCCGAGTCGATATTCCAGTTCGCACTCGTAGCCAGGTGATCAAAACGATCCTTGATAGGAGGCGGAACGGGGACTTTGATGGTTCCTTGGAGGACATCACATTCACCCAGAATCGATGCGAGAAGCAGACTCTTGCCAGACCCTGTTCGTCCGGAGACAACACTGAGGCCCTTCTTGGGGAAAGCCAGATTCAACTCCCGCAGGAGGAATCGATCTTCGTCCTCTTCTTCGTCATCTGCCTTATCCGCTGGCCAGCCTACGGAGACATTCTCGAAAGCAATACTGTCAGACGCAACGGTGTTGACAATCTTCTCCGCCGACTGCATGTAAACATCAATGCGATCCGCACTGACCTTTGCCTCGAGGCCGTTGGAAATGATTTCAGGTAGAATAGCAAGAGACATTTCCAGAGCACCAAAGACGGCCATTGCAGTGAAGGCAACAGATGCACTTAGTCCTCCATGAATCAAGGCGTAAACGGCAAGCGAGATAGCAGAAAGACCGATGGGACCGAGGATCCAGATTCCCAAGAGAACAATATCATACAAGAACGAGATCCACAAGGCTCCCAGCTCTGCATCTCGCGCCTGGCAAATCTTCTTCTGCCACTGTTCCTCCAAGGCGGAGAACTTGATTTGACGGATTCCTTGAAGGACCTCAGTGACAATAGCCATTTTCTGGTCTCGGAGCTTCATGAGCTTGTCCTGTGAAGCGGTATATTTCTTCGCGGCGAAAATGTTTAGTGGAGTGACGAGCAGCGACACGGCAATTCCAGCAAAAGCACTGCGCCAGCCGAGAATTTTGACTAGGAAGCTGCAGCCAATAAAGACTTTCAGCATTGCAAGTGGAATCAGATAAGAGTAAGAAGTAAAGTCCGAAATACGTCTCGCATCCACGGCTGCAAGATTAATAATGCTTTGTCGGTTCTTCTTAAGCGAGGCCTCGTCGTCTTCATCTTCCTCCCCATCTTGTTCCTTAAGCAATGCCTTGGCAGATGCCTCTGGATCATCCTTGTTCTTGGACTTTTTGGTATTCTTAGCATCTTTCCGGCGCATAGACTTGGCGAAAACGACGGCCGAGAGCTCAGCGTAGATTGGGACGAAAAGCTTCGAGCAGACAGCCCAGAATAGCCACGCTTCAAAGCTCGAATAAAGTAACATCAAGCCACCAAGCGCAAGAACCCAAAGGGAGGTTTGAAGCGGATCAAATGAGTCGGTTCCACGGGTCTCCAGCGACTTAAGGATATTAAACAAGGCCATCTGTGGTCCAAAACTCAGGACGCTAATGACCATAGTCAGGAAAAGTTGGAAAAGCAGCGTATCCCAGTGCGCAAAGATGAGAGCTTTCCAAATCTTTCGCGATCCTCTAGCCTGTTCGAAATGCGCGCGAAGGCTTTCCGCCCTCTTTGCCGACCGAAGCTTGGGCAAGTCAGTAAGCGCAAGTGTTCTGTTCTTAACGGCATAGCCGAGAATCGATCCAGCCCAGGAGAATGTATAACGGCCAAAAGCAGTTACTGTAAGCTCCCTGTCAACGATCTGGCCATCGAAGTAGACGTTGGGTCGGCGTGGGAGAAGAATACTGAATAGCGCGCGCAGGAGCGCACTGGCAAGTTGTACGGAGACCAGAACAATCCATGGCTGCTCATGAAGGAAGACATTTTCAGAGTCCCATGCTAGTCGAATGTGAATACCGCTAATCGCGAGGGCAGTCAAACTGCCACCGAAAGCAAATTGACCTAGCTCGAAACGACTCGTTGGACGAGGTTCGGTGAAGAACGCAATAGCTTGAACGGAAAGGAAGGCCTATATTTAGAGTCTCGTGTCAATCGAATTTTTACAAAAAGTATTTGAGACTAAATCCCATTTCGCCATCTTTGCTGTCGCACATACCCAAATTCCAAGTTCAAGCCAAGCTAGAACTAAATAATCTGTATCGTATCTCAACGTGGTAAGAACGGCCAAAGCGAGAGTGACGAGGAATCCACTGCCGGAGAAAACCGCAATCGCGACTCGTTGCCACCAATCTGAAAATGCCTTTAGAGATTCCGTTGTCGCCTCGCCGTCTTCATCACGATAGGCGGTTTTGGCTAAACTGGCCTCATCCTGGGGAGCTGATCTGTGCGCGATTCGATCGGCGATACTTTTGATAGCGGGGATACTGTCGAGGCCCGCTAGAAACAAGGCGACGGACCCGGCCGCTAGAGACGCAACCTGGACGTTAGGAGGCATATCCTCATGTCACCGCGCTAGAGGGGGACGATGAAGAAAGAGGAAAAAAGAAAAAGGAAAAGAATAGAAAAGGGGTGGTGGATATAGGTTGAGGGCATATTACGCGCCAGGCTTATCGTTAGATTATCGTCAGTAGTCATCATCCTAGTCCCAGAAAGGGAGTTCATAATCGGAGTCATATGTAGCGAGTCTTCGATCTTTACTTCTTAGTGCACACTCCATAAGTTCCAAGGTAACATCCACGCGTGGAGCGGGGAAGGCTTCGCCCCCCCCTAGTTCGGAGTCCGCTCTCGAAGCTGGAGGCTGATTTGCTGGTCCTCGTTGAACGGTGTGAGTCAAGGTCCAGATTTCGCAGCCTCGTATCGCCCATATTGTAGACTCGACGTAGAGGAGTCGTTATGTACATATTATTGACTTTTTTTTTCAACTTCCCCAAAAGCATGAACTGCACTCCTTCAATGCAGCTCGCGGCACCACCCCCTTCACCGCGAGTGGCTTCCAAGCCACCCGACAACTCGGCGGTCTAAGAGTCGAAAAGGTACTCGAACAATCGGTGAAGAGCAATTGGGAAAGTCGCCATTGGCAGGGAAAATGACTGAACGTGACTCACGGGTCTAACGGGATGCATAAGGTCGCAGATTCCCAGTCGGAGTCCCGATAGGCGGGCACCATTTCAGGCGACTCGCGAGCCCGTGAGGGGGAAAAGCCGTGGTCAAGTGGCGCCCATGCGTCGTGGATTATGGGGGCTGGGCCTGAGTCTTAGTGGAGTGGAGTCCGAAGTGGGACAAATGGTGTGGATTGAAGGATTCTGCCGTAAAGCTTGCGAGGCATCTGTGGGTGGAGTCAGATCGAGGTACAATGCATATGATCGATGTAGAGGCGGAGGTGAAGAACTTGAGAGTGGATAGTGAAGAAGCGAAAGTTGGAAACGAAATACCTGAAGATGTTCGAAGTTGTTGTCGTTTGTTTTGTCTGCCCGGTCGCCTTAGGCCACCACATGACTACCACCGAGCTTGAGAACTATAGATACCCTACCCTCTTTTTGGTAAGTTTCACAATACTCCGAAGGTCAAAGCCCAAGGCAAAGATCCTAGCAAAACGTTTCTGCTTATCTATCTTATCTATGGAAGATCTCCCTGTCAGCCTAAGTACAACTTCACCGTAAAACAGCCCTCCACCCTTTCCGAGCAATAAACCCTTCCACCTCTTCATCCTCAAGAACATCCTGTCCTCGACGACCAGTGACAACACTCCTCTCAACTTCAGGTCCACGCACATAAAATGGCTCAAATCCTTTTGACCCTGTAGGTGAACCATCGCCAGACTGAACCCAAATTCTTTTCGATCTCCCTTCTCCAATAGAGATCTTTCTGGGTTCGAATCCTGAGCTCTCACGGTCCATGCTGAGATACCATCTCCGTTGGTGGATGGAGCCTATCGTGTTAGAAGACCCTGGGTATGCATTGTTTTTCCGGATTTGGTAGTCGATATCATCGTCGGAATGGTTTGCATGATCTGCTTCGGATTTGCACTCTTGCAATGATAACTGGTCATCGGTAACATCTTGCTTCTGTGTCTCGTCAGGTGGTGGGGGAGATGGAGACTCAGAACTAGAGGTAGCTGGCGGCGGCGGTGCTGTCGCGGACTGTGGAGCACGTCTCCGTCGTTTAGGCCCTTTTCGTGCTGGACGGGCGTAGTCGGTAGACTTGTCCATACGCAAGAGTAAGGTATAGCCTGGCGGTAGACGGGTACCATGCAGGCGAAGACGGATTTTGCGCTGTAGGAGTTGATATTAGCGGATTGATACGTATCGATATGTCAATATATTGGTTGAGCTTACACTTTTGAAAGCCTCTTGCAGTTTTGCACTATCCGAAATCGACTCTTGACGTGCAACTTCACCATCAGAAGAATCCGCTTGAGACTCATCGGTCTCTGGACACGACGTATCCTTGTTATAAGGCAAGACCTCATACTCTCCGGTATCCCAGATAATCAAGCTCCCAGTCTTAGCCGACGCAGTTTCAATAAGATGATTCTGTATCCCCTGGATTAGCATTCACATATCCCAGCGTCACGAATATATCTCCCGGATATACCATCATACCCAAAGACAATGGATACGAGTCTCCGTCGCATTCCTATTCAACCTTTCACTATTCGGATCTCCCGGTAATCCGTACATGATAGACCAACTCACAGAACTCGTCTCAGAGAACTGAAGTCGAAGATCATAGTGCGGTCCCGCAATAGGATGATCATGTTGATGGATGACAAAGTGGCGACCCGTGGGATGACTGTTACGTCGATAAAGATTGACATAGTCATTGATCGCCAAGCGCGGTGCTGCTTGCGAGATACTTTGAGGTCGAGCGCATTGGCTGAGCTTGGTTGAGAATATCCCCAGATGATCTGTGACTTCGACTTCTCCTGCTTCGATAGAGGCAAGCTCATGGCTTTCTGGATTGGAGACTAGTTTTCGCTTGGGTGGTGGTGAAACTGATGTCTTTAAGCTTGAGATGAGCGGTGGTGTACGCCGTCTTGCTGGCCGTTCGTTGAAGCCGAGCTCCTGCTCCTGGCTGGCTGTGCTCCAGGAACGTTTCATTTTGAATACAACCTGATTCCATCTGGGGATTCAATTGCGGGTGTACGAGGTCAATCAGAGAAGTGAGTTCAAATGAGATTGTTAAAAAAACAGTTGATGGAACAAGACATAGATAAGTATAGAATCCAGAGAGAGGCAAGTCCCGTCCCGTTTAGGTTCCGTTTATGCCGCTTACTACTCATTTCTAACGCCACCGGACTACGCATACCAGGAACAAATAGAGCCAGAAAATGAAATGAAGTAAAAGTAGTTTTGTACTAAAACTTTTGAGTGATCAATGCCCTCCTTTATTCATGCCAAGGGGTATCAAATGCTGAGAAAATGGCTGTAGACGCAAAACCCTCCAAAAATACCAAATATCAATGCCAAAGGCTGTTGACGTCATTCGTCTCGCCTGTCACCACTTCATCGTCCAATAGTACCTCGTTATCAATGCACTCTAAAAATGGTCTTAGCCGACTTGAACACTTTGAGGATTGTGGAAAATATCCATCGGGTCAATTTGCGCTTTGATGCTCCGTAATCTTGGAAGATTCGATCCCCAATAGGCTTCCTGGGCATTTTCGAGCGAGGGGTCGACATAGCCGGGATACGCGCCATAGACAGCACCTGGGCGGGAGGCAGAGATCAAATTATTGATGCCATTCAGGAAATCCTTGGTTGTCTTTGAGACTGGACCCAGGAGGCTGACTGCATAGGATTGCATCCACATGATTGTCTCGCGATGCGCGTAAGCTGTGGCATTCACTGGTACGTCGTTTGTGGCACCCGCCTCCAGATCGAAGATGATGAACCAGGCAAGTGTGCCCTTCATGGTAGACTCAAGGTAATTAAACAGAGAGTCTATACCTTCGTCCGGAATTTTGTCCTTAAAGGACATCGACTTGGCATAGAATGAGCATGGGATACCTCCAACGACCTGAAAGATGAGTTCCTCGGCTTGACTCGTGACCATACCCAGCCAGTCCGTTAGAATGATCACGCTTCCTTTATCTGCAGCCGGGAAATCCAGCTCTTTTTCCAAGCTCTTCCATTCATCGGGCGACCCAAAGAACGTCCCTGAGAGCAAGATCCCCGACTCGAACACAACGAGCTCACTCGAGACCTGACGGGTGAGGTTCTTGGTAAATATGAACCGCTGCCAATCTTTGACGAGCTGAGCGCGCTCTGCAGTGGTGCCCAAATTAAGTGTGTATGAGTACTGCACGGCTTGTGTCGGTGCGGGATGAGTGTTCAACTTGAACTTGGTGACAATGCCAAAGCTCGCAGCGGCACCCTTGATGGCGAACAGGACATCCTGATTTTCGGAGTCAGAGGCATTGACAATAGTCCCATTCGCAAGCACCACTTCGACTTCTCTGATATGATCGAGAGCCATCCCCCATTGCCGTGACATCGTGCCGAGTCCACCAATTGTAAAGTGACCACCCGTGCCGACACTTAGACAAGCTCCATGCGCCACGGCTCTATGGCCAGCATTGTAGAGTCGCGAGTGAAGATCTCCCAGCAAGGTACCCGATCCAACGGTAGCGACGTGGCTGGAGGGATCCATTGAGAAATCCTGAAGATTCTTCAGGTCAACGACCACTTCGCCATTGACTCCTCCCAGACCTAGGATATCACGACTGATCAGATTATGCGACGTTGACTCGGGGTTGACGGGTCACATACCATAGTTTCCGTAACTGTGCCCTCCACTGCGCGCCTGGACTTTGTAACCATTATTTGCCGCGCATTGCACGATGCTGGCGACCTGCTCGGAATTTTCTGGAAAGGTAACGGCAATTGGAGTAACTGGACGGTCAAGATTGTAAACAGACGGCGTTCGCAAGTGAAAGAAGGCGTCGCCTTGGAAAACCACGAGGCTCGGGTTGTGACCGACTGCGGCGAGGAGGCAGTCCTGGCCGGGGATGCTATGAGCGACTCCCATTTTGAGCGCACACCCCGTAGCCTCGAGGCCGTTGGTGGCTTCAAATTTGGGTTCTCAGATGGTGAGGTTTTTCTGAACGCGAAGGGCTGAAGGGAGAAGGGTGAAAGGCACGACGCCTGCACCTTCCGCCCCTGCGAGGAATGCAACAACCCTGACTACCCTGGATGCATTTCATATTCCAAGTCAATCAAATGACAATAATGCCGATAGTGAACTGTCTTGGCTATGGCCCATACTCCCCAACTAAACCTATATACTGGAAAGTCTGGAGAATTTCTCCGCCCTTTTCCCCCTCGTATACTTCCCCATATTTCCGGTGGCTTATTCAGGAACACACATGGCCCAGTATGACAAGAACGACAAACTCATAAGGTTCAAATAACGACTATCAAACAGTACTATATTTCCACTCTTCTATCTTCTCTCTATAGGCATCTCTTGCAGATCCACTTCCTCCCAAATTCGGGGAGTTTGCGCGGCCTCGGGGACCAAACCCGCGCGGATGTGGTCCCCGAATTTCATTTCAAGATTGCGTGAATGTGCAAAGTCTATTTGCAATCGGCGACGGGGAACTCATGGAGGGCTCTTGGGCGACTCGGGCTTCTTAGAAAATGCCATTTCTTTGTTCATATATCTATCTAGGCTACGATATCCCATCCCGGTGCTTAAATCCCTTCTATCATCAAGCAACCACGACAACCCCCTTGAACTATATGGCTTGCATGACATCGATCTCTTCAAATATCCGTTCTTCATAAAGTTTATCCGCTCACGAGAGCTCAACATCACCCGTCGCAATCATGTTCACCCCCGTTCACACCTCCCTCGGTGCCCTGTTACTCTTCCAGGGCTCATCGGGGCTACTCGTCCATAACGGAGCGGTCTTTGGAATTTCCTCACTCCTTTCCGGTTCGGTTTTCAATCCAAATCAAGATAATGTTCCCATTATCGCGGGTTTGGTCTCCAGCGTTCTGCCGGTGTACTTCCTGGCGCCGTCCTTGATCCCGAGCTACCCTGCTGCTCCGCATACTTTGGCCTCCGTCGCGGCAACGCTGGGTGTGGGTATCCTACTAGGATGGGGAACGAAGGTAGGAAGAACCAGTTCAATATATTATTAAAGAAGAAGTAAAAAAAGCTGACCCGTTCCTCGCTATGGTTCTAGAATGGTCGCGGCTGCACTTCGGGCCATATGCTGTGTGGTCTTTCCCGTCTCTCGCCACGCTCGTTGATTTCGACAGCTCTCTTCTTTACTACCGCCCTAATCACAGCAAATGTCGTCTCCGGTGGTAACAATATCCCGTCTTGTGGTGATCTCCCTTGCTACACGCCAGTATACCCATCATCGCCAGAGATGGCCTTCATGGCTGGGTCACTGCTTCTATCAACCATCACAAACTTCATCGTCGTACCAAAGGCGCTGCAGCGATCAGAGGAAAACAAGACTCTCTTCGCATATCTGGCAGGACTGGAGTTTGGCCTCGGTCTGTTGATCTCCGGCATGGCGGACTCCGCCAAGGTTCTGCGTTTCTTCGCTATCCTAAGTGATCCTTCCCGCTGGGATCCATCATTGGCACTGATCATTCTTTTCGGAATCGGTCCATCGCTAGTCACTTTCTTGACTCATAAGCCGGGCCAGACAGCCGAGAAAGAACATGAACCGACAAAGCCTACGTTGGCCGAGAAATGGCGACTGCCCACCGCTACTGTGTCCGATATTGACTGGCGTTTCGTGGCTGGTTCGATCGCCTTTGGTGTTGCTTGGGGTCTGCAAGGAGTGTGTCCCGGTCCATCAATTCTTCGCTCGGTTCTCCAACCAACCTGGGGACTGGCGACGATGACTGGATACATGTTGGGCAATTTGTTCTAGATAGATCGCGGCAGATACACGAGTCACAACCCATAGAAAGTTGTATTGTAAATATATAATAGAACGCCACCCAGTGGCACTGTGTTTAAAATAATGACGATGATTTATACACTATTTCCCAAAACCAGATCAGCATAGGTTCTCGACGTTGGAGACTGATATATGAATCCAACATGAAACTCAGGAATACTAAATTTCCAAACATGAATTGGGTATATAATATGCAATGCATGCACGAAGCAAGTGCGTGTATGAACCGAAATAAAACATCAAAAGGAAACAGAAAAGGATAGAGTAGCTTACAACTCGGTCTTTTTGTTTAATCGGATAGCCTCCGACTCATCAAGGTCCTCTTCACGCCGCACCTTATCCCCGTGGTCAAGGAACCCGTCTAGCTCCATCCACTCTGCGGCGAATGCAGTCATTAGAACACTCCAATCTTTCACTGTATCCATGTCCAGGTGCTCAGCATCGTCGTCCGCCGTGTGCCATACTGATGGGAAGCCCTTAAAGGGTGCAAAGTCGATGAGGTGAAGAATTTCCACTCCTCTCGCCAGAAAAGGTAGATGGTCATCTTGAATTCCGCCGAATGCCATGACTTGATGTGAGTCCTTTGATGTATCAATAAACCATGGGTCGGTGGAGGTGGACTTCAGATGTCCAAGAGATCGGAGTCGCTTCTCGAGGGCGCCGAGGCTTTGATAAGCCCAGTGGGTCGTTGGGTAATAGGACTGAATATTAGGACTCTTTGCACCGAGAAGGTCAAGTAGCACAAAGAGAGATATAGATGATAGAGGTGTTTTGAACGTCGACATGGCAGGGTTCATCTGAGTCTCCCAGTGTTCAGCGAGAGAACGCGCACCGTATAATGAATCAGTAGACGTCCACTCCTTGAAAGCCTCTTCACCATCAAGGAAGAGGACCTGTATTCCATGGTGCTCGTCCAAGAGATCCATGCCTTCAGCTTCCATCGCCGCCCATTTCTTGTCCAAGGCAGAATCAATGCTGCGCATAGCATGCATAATCATGGCACATGGCGCAGCGCTATCGATAGCTCCAATAAAGCCCTCCGGTTCCAGTTTGCTGTCATAATGGGCAACTAATGTCAATCGGCCCACATCTCCCTTTGCGGTCCCCGGTGGATCTCGGTATGCAATAAAGTTGACAAAGGGGACGTCTTTCCCATGGGATACTGGAGTCTTTGAGGTCGAATTCTGGAAGTCAATCTGCCATTCTGGCAGTGTTGTTCGGAAGAAGGTTGCGAAGTGTTCGAGGACCGCCGTATGGCCAGGGGTGCCAGGGACGCGAGGTTGTAGGATTGGCGAAAACAAAGCACCGGTGTGAATGTCAAAGTCTTGACTTGGCCGTGGCAGTGCTTTCAGTGTATCCTCCGAAAGCTTCTCGTAGGCTTCTCCGGGGATCAAAAGGAGCAGTAAGCCGAGGTATAGATAGAGGAAGTGGCCACGGAGGCAGCGGAGGTCGCAATAAGCCGTAGACATGGCGTTGTAGCGAGTGACTAGCGGTTCATGACTTTTCAAGCCGCATCAATGATGAACTTGACGCCCAGGCCAGCTAGGCACGCTAGGGTATCTCCAAAGGATTGAGTGTAGTTGTCAATGTAACGAGTCCCTGTCTCCAAACAAAGCGGACCTTCCAAGGCGGTCACGGCGGGCGGTTTTGACGCAACTTTCGGAGAAGCTTGAAACCTCCGCAACGCCGACATTTGCGACAATCATGCGAATCCTCTTCCACCCTCAATTGCGCACTGCGCTTCCAAAGTCTGTCCAAAGAGATCTTTGTGCTCGAGTATGGACCCGTTTCAAATCACAGGCTCCGCGACCATCCCGTCGTCAGGAAGCAGCTTCGCCCGCACCTAAAGACTTGAGCGCCGCGACAACACGAACTTCCTCTCCTGCAGGCGCTGCCGCTAAGATAAGCATCAGGAGAGGTATTGAACCCCAAATTATTTGAATTGCCATGTACTAATTAAAGTATAGGACCCCCGGAGCGCATTTTGGTCTACTATGGAGGAACGGGCCGGTCCATGTTCCTAGGCATACTGCGGGTGACGACAATTCTTCTCTTTGGTGGAGCTTGCTTGATCATTGCTCCCTCTTGTTACAATGCCGACAATGCATGGTACATTACACCATTGGGTATGTCCCCTTTGCTGATTCCATTCTCTGGAAATATCCCATTATTGACATCTTCCCTTCTACAGTGATTGCTGGCGGCGCATTGCCAATGTTCTTTGTCGCTTATACATCAGCACCCTACGTCAGCTTCATTCACCTCGCACTCCCCGCATTCGCAAGGAAATCCCGCGAGACGGCTATCCAATACGCAAAAGACCTACCACCCACAACTACATTGATTCTCACAACGACGAGGTTCAATGCAATTCCCCGACAGACGGCGGTCCGTCTAGGAGATATTATGCCCGATAAAAGTCCATTTCGTCCTGTGACTTTCCGAAACGTGAATCCCGCTCCCCGGTCTTGGTGGATGGGCAGGCCTACCACGCAATTCTTTGCGGCTGATCACAGTCAGCCTGGCAGACAATCAACGGCATTCTATCCTGAGCTGTGGCCGGATATCTACAAGAGGATACAAAGCCAAGTGGCGCAGCGGCGATGAGAGGATTGCGTTGTTGAATTTATTTACCTTCTGTATTATAGCGATCATCTTCTACTGACAAATGTCTGGATACAGTGGATGCTCAAGGAAATGAAGCCACCATTCTCACAAAGATCCAGCTTTTATATTTTTCAGCTTCCATTATTCTAAAACCCTTCTCATGACAGATCCGATAGTCTCTTGAAAATGCTAATGCCTCAAGGTCGATATCTTTCGACCTACGCTTACGTCTACGGTTTTAACTGCCAGCCGAGGTTAACGCATCAAAAAGCCCCTGTGGGACATCATGCGTTGCTGTCACCTCGAAACTAGAATGCAGCCCATTTATGCTTAAATGGTAAATACAACGCCACAAAGCCCATTCCCTAGTTCACCGGGCATGGAAGGGCAACATCAGGCCAGCATCCGCATAAGTACCTGGCTAAATGCTGCACAGGCTATTTGTGCTGGAGATGCAGATCAAAAAAGCGGAATCTCATATCCTGTAGCACTAGAAATGGGAGAAACATCAAGCCGGCATCAGCACAAAGACTTGACTGGATGCTGTGCTGGAAAGGCAGCTCAGACCACAAGAAAGCCGATTCACGATAGCATCAGCAACGGAGAGACAATCAAGTCACCACCAGCCTGACGACTTGGCTAGACGCTGTGCAGGCCATGTCGAAAACAAAAAGAGGGAAAAAACAAGCAAAAAAAGGGGGAAGGAGAGATAACGCAAGGGGGCGAAGCGTATGGGAAAAACGGAAAAAAACGCTCAAATCCTTCCAGCGTACCGCGTGACGGTCACATCTCATCCTCGGCCAACTCGAAACCCTCGTCCTCAAACTGCATACCCGGCAGACACCCAAACACCGTGGCTGGGTTCACCATGGCGTGGGCTCCGGTGGTAGGGGCAGCAGTGGTCTGCGGCACGCTGGCCTGTGTTGTGGCGGTCTGCGCTCCAGCGTCCATGGCTACGGTGGCCTGGGGCTGCGCGGTCTCTGCATCGGAAGCCTGAGACTTGCGAGGACGACCACGGCGGCGGCGAGCAGGCGCGGCAGCCGCGGGGCTTGCGCCAGAGGAAGGGCCAGCATCGTCACCGTCGCCGTTGCCGGGGGCGGGCTCGGGATTCTTTCTCGCGAGCTTCTGGAGGGAACCCCGGTACATGGTTTTGGCCGAGGCGATGGTGATATCGGCCCGGGCTGCAAGCTTCTCGAAGTCCACCTATAAGAGTGAAAGAAGGGAGTGAAATTAGCCAATCGCCCTTTGAAGGTGTAATGATACGATATCAAATTCGGGTGAGATGGGAGTACAAACCTTGCCAGAGTCCTTGTCAAAGCAGAGGTGAGCAAACAGCAGGATGCGGATCTCACTGGGAGTCATGCCGAGCATGTGCTCCCCATAGCGCGAAGCGGGGGTGGTCTTGGAAGGCGGCATGGTTGGGGAGCGGGAGGAGAGTGTGAGAGTAGCTGGGAGAGTAGCTAGGAGAGTGTGAAAGTAGGTAGGAGAATGGGAGAGTGTGGGAGTAGTTGTGCGTTGGAGAAGTGAGGTTTGATGTGTTGAAAAAGTTGTACGTTTGAGTGAACCAGTTGCGATTCAGAGAAGAGCAGTTTCCTTTTCTCCAGTCGCAGTAGTTGAGAGATAGAAGGATGAAGAAAGTTGAAGCGAAGAAAAAAGATTAATAAATGAGTTGAAAATGTCGAGAATAGAAATTTAATATTCCGGAAAAAAGAAAGAGTTCGTATACTTCGGCTCATGAAGATGACTCCTAAGACTGCTAGGCTCACGAAAAACCTATTACGACCGAGCTTCTATACATATAGTACCACACTTTTATATAGGGAAACCGTAATTAGGCTATAACCATAGCTCCTATATTACTCTAGATACTACGTATATCTTATTTAGAAAGTCGACATAGTTATCTGTCCTTCTGCTCATTATAGAGTAATTTCATATATGATGCTTCCTATATTTCGCCTACAATTCCGCTTTCTTTATATATTACTCGATATCTATCATTAAGTGGAAAGTAATACGAATGTGAGAGTTATAAACATCAATTAGGTAATTAATATCTTAAGACTAGCGCCGATGAACCAACACTGAGATTGCATCGCCAACGAGGACTGTATGATACTCTCCACTTCCGAAGATGACCGGAAATATCTATAGAACTTTAGAAGACTCAATGGAACCAAAATCTTTACAAACACCCGTTCTGGAATAGTATATAGGTATCGATCTAAGTTGCAGACTATCTACAACCCTGGCAGAATAAGCATACTTCCCGCTCTATATGAAGCCCCTTGGGTATGTACAGAAGTGTCCAGTTTTCCGAGGTCCTGCAGGTAGAGCTTTGGTACTTGGAGATATTAGATACGAAAGCACGTTACTAGAAAGTTCATCAGGGCTGGGGGCAAGAAATTCATCCTATCCGATTAAATTGTCTACGCTGCTTAACAAGGGCTTACCCGGAATGAAGGTCGAATACCGTGGCATTTAGGGGGGAAACAGAGAGCTAGGAGCATAACGAATGGTGTAGGGTAGGATGACCAAAATCAACTGTTATGGTCTTCTTTGAGCATCAGTGTGAAAATGGAACTATGGGCGAACACAGGTATGCCGTTTCCTGCCGGAAATTACTACCTAAACAAAGCTCCAGCATCATCATCATCATCATCATCGAGTTTAAGACTCAAAGGATGCACTAGACGGGCGAGAAATCAATACCCAAAGCCTCTTGGCATATGATTAGCGACCCCGAAGAAGGGCTTCAGGGCGTATGAAAGTGGCCGGACAAGGCTTTGGCATGATGCTTGAAATGAAGATTCAAAGGACAGGCAGGAAAACAATACGCCAACCTTTTGGGCAAATGATTTAGGAGACATTTAAAAAGACGTCTCGAAAGAGGGGAGCTGGGTTGTATGTAGCAGCAATCTCGTCAGAGCTCCAGCTTCCATTCTATGCACAACCACTGTACATTCTCTCAAAATTTCGGAGGGAAGAGTACGATACCTGGGTAAAGATAACGTGATAAAGTCCAGCCGAAAATTCAGAGGATGAACCGGCGTTGAAAAGACAAGTTTGAAGTCTGGGTTGCTTGGATACGTGGGCTCCGACATGAACCGTAATGAGCAGAGAAGGCGAGTTAGAGGGAAACATGAACAAAGGAAATTATTCCTGAAATAAAATGATATTTTGAGACAGAGAAATCCAAAAGTAGCACTGCCCATATTAGTGTTGGAGATAGCCCCAGAACACCTCTTGGCCCGAGATATAAAAAAACAAAGTAAAACATGACAAGTAGTACAAGCTGACACGCACACATCAAGAAATCACATAGCTATACCAACCTAGTATATCCCTACAGAGCTTCAATGGCCTTGCGCAAGACCTCCAGTCCCAGGTCAGTGACAGCACCGCCTTCCTCATCATCTTCCGCAGTCGCCTCACGCAGTGCCCAGGCGACATCACTCCACCAACCCAGTCCAATAAAGCTGCCACCCTTGCGACGCTCAAGGCTCTCCTTGAGTCGACTAGTGTGCTCCCACTGTTGAGCGGCAACCTCTGCGCGTTCAATGACCTTGTTCGAGATGCCACACATAGATGCACAGTGCATACCGAAACTGCCCTCTGCGACGCCACTCTCCAGTTTATAGAGGAAGGTGACACGGCGCTCGGCATCGTCGACATGAATCGCCATACGTTTGGGGGCGATCTCGGGGTGATGCTCGAATTCTGCGGCCAGAGAATGGTAGTGTGTAGCGAAGAAACCCATAGCACCAATGTGTGTAGCAATATGGTGCAAAACGGCCTGCGCGACGGCGACACCATCGTACGAGCTAGTTCCACGGCCCAGTTCATCCAGAATCACGAGCGAACGGGGGGTAGCTTCGGACAGGATCTTCTTCGTCTCGGACAGTTCAACGAAGAAGGTTGATTGCGCGGCGAAAATGTTGTCATTTGCTCCCAAACGGGACATAATGCGGTCGACTGGGGTCAGGCGGGCAGACTTGCAAGGGAGATAGCAGCCAATTTGGGCCATAATTACCGCGACACAGGTCTGGGGATTGTTAGTAATAGTTCTTAAAATCAAAATTTGGGGGAGATACATACCATGCGAAGAAGGGTAGATTTACCAGCGGCGTTAGCACCTGTGAGCAAATCGATGTTTGCATTCTTGCCACCGAGCTGGACATCGTTGGGAATAAAGTCCTCCACGGACGAAAGAAGACAGGGATGCCGCAGTTCTTCAAACTCGAGAACACTCCGCTCATCATCCACGAAGACAGGGCGGCAGCTAGGCTGGCCCAGCGAAGCAGATGCCTTGGCCAGACTAATCAAGCAATCCAGCTGGGAGACAATCCGAACGGCAGCAAGCCATGTACCATAATGCTCATCGAATCTGGCATGGAATCTACCGGCAACTTCCTTCACGATTTGGCCGTGGGTCTCCTGGGCTTCTTGCAGTTTGCGGATCAGACTGCGCAGTTCGGGGAAGTAGTAGCGCTTCACCTGCTTCGTGGCGGACATCTGATCCCAGTTCTTTGGGATATTCTTGACCTTGACGGGGACCTCGAGCTGGTAAATCTCCTTTCCGTTGTCACGGTAGCAGATCGCAGTCGAGCCTAGGTCTCGGCGCGCCTTTTTCAGAACGCTGTCGAGTTCCTTGTGCAGCTGTTCAATAGTATCCTGGGAGTTGTCAAAATCGGCCTCAACGCCGGTCTCTGGAACCAAGATTCCATTCTCCTTCGCCTTGGACCGATCGAATGCAGTCTTCCAGTATGAGAGCAGCGGGGTCAGATCGGGCATCCCCTCAATAAGTTGTCCAATGACACCGTCGCCAGCACCACTATCATTGAGAAGGCCCATGGTGTATTCGATCTGTTCAAATCCTTCAAGGACACGAACAAAGTCCTGAGCCTTGCAGACTCCTGCATGAACTCGTGAGATAAGTCGTTCCAGGTCGGGCATCTTGGTCAACTGTGAAGAGAACTGATCGCGAGTGCCAGGGTCAGCATTCAAGGCATCAACGGCGTCAAGCCTAGCATTGATGCGCTTAGCGTCCATCAATGGGTGGCAGACCCATTGCTTGAAGGTTCGCTTTCCGAACGGCGTAATACACCGGTTCAACAGTTGGAACAGGGTACCATCTTGACCACCATCGAAAGAGTTTGCAAAGATTTCCATGTTGATCAGGGTCTGGCCGTCCAAAACCAGGCTAGAAGCCTTCTTGATAGGGTCGTACCACGTAAAGTTGCCGATGGTAATTAGGTCTCGCTCGATCTTCAGAACACGCAGGTATTGTGTCAGAGCGCCAAAGGCAGACATAAGCAACTCTTTATCCCGTGCCTGACGAAGGACCTCAGGCCAGGCCTTGACATTATCATCATCCGCAGAGACGAAATATTCACTGGCATCAAGTTCCTTCACAGTGATGTCTGCTTCCCAGAATTCCTTGCCCGGCTTGAGATAGTTCCAGATAGTTGTAGGCCCAGTGTTGTTCTTGAGAATACGCATGACCTTTTGCGAGACACATCCCTTCTCGAGCAGCATCTCCTGGGGGCGAGTTTGAGCGACAAATGTCTCAAACTTTGTCATATCCGCATCGTCCACAAACTCTGAAACGAAAAATTGGCCCGTGGCCGTATCAACAAAGGCGAGACCGAATGCGGGGCGGTCATCCTCAATGGCTTCCTTAATAGCAACACAGTACGTCGACATATCATCCTGCAGCATTGAACCCTCAACAAGAGTACCAGCAGTAAGGACGCACGCGAGTTCACGCTTGATAATCTTGTCCTCCTTTCCACCTTTTTTAGCGTCTCGCTCGCGCATTTCCTTGCCAAGAGCGGACTCGGATTGGTCAACGCGAGCAATCTTGAAGCCCTTGGCAACAAATTGATTTGCCCAATGAGGCAGACTCATTTCTGGAACACCAACCATGCGCATATTCACTCTGTCAGTGAGTTTGAGGTCGAACAGCTGGTGGCCGATGGTGGCATCGTTCTCGTAGAGCTCATAAAACTTGCCCTTCTTGAAGAAAACCACCGTATCCCAGAATTTCTGCTTGATCTCCCAATATTGCTTCTCGAAAGGTGAGAACTTGGACCAGGCCAAAGGCGGAATGTAGATGGTGCGTGGGTCATGGTCAGGATGGCCCGGGGGATTCCCGTCAATATCCTTGATGTTTGCAAGCCAGGGGTATCGCTCTTCGGGCTCTCTGGTGTGGGCCTTCTCCTTCTTTGCGCTAGCTGGTGTCTTTCTCGTGGCTTGTACCACACGCTCCTTGCGAGGTTTAGTGCTTTCCGGGTCAAACTTCCACTTAAGAGCAGTCCCAGCTGAGCCCTCGGGGATATCCAAATCGAGGTCTTCGTCGGTAGGAGGGGGTGGGGTTACAGAAGCGGCGCGATTTGAGTTCTTTCGCGAAGGTGTGGTAGCCGGTCGCTTGCGTTTCTTTGGTGCAGCGACTTCGTCATCAGAATCATCGGCAACAACAAAGTCGTCCATTTCTACACTCGGTCAGAAATGCTCCGGGGCGTACAAAAATTATTTGACATACCATCATCCGAGTATGCGGCCTCCCCCGCTTCTTGGAACTCATCCTCGCTGTCAGGAGAGGTCTTCCTACGCTTGGCGGCGCGTCCATTGGCATTGTTTTTGCGACTCGGGCGGAAGATGACATCGTCATCATCCTCACCCTCCGAGTCAGACTCCTTGTAACTGACTTGCTTTTTCTTGGCCTGGACGAAGGAAAATAAGTTTCATATACCGATGTGAAAAGGGATGTGTGCAGTTGACATACTCGGCGCGAAGGAGACATCGCGGTGTCCTGGATTTCGTCGCGTCCTGACTGGAGAGGAGAGGGAAAGGTTAGCAGGGGAAGAGGTTGGGAAGAGAAGAGGAATCAGACGTACTTTTACCTTGTCTCCGTTTTCCTCATCCTCCTCTGGGATGGGAAGATCACTACTCGGCACAGGAGTCAAGTCCTGAGCAAAGCTGGAGAAATTCCTCTTCGGGGTAGGTTTCACAGCACTGACTCCTCGTTGCTCGCCGGCTCTCTGGGCTGGGGACGACGCGGGTTCGCGGGGCTTGTCATTCGACGGAGCTGCAGGTGAGGATTTCTGGAAGAATCCCAGGATTGACTTTTGGTTCTTCATATTCTGCGTGCTCGAGGTCGTCCGCTTCAGAGCTGCTTGGGGTGGGGTCGCAGTCGGCGATGAGGCGGAACCCTTCGCCATTGTCGATGATCCTATTTACCACGATACTTGGAAGATCAATGGAAGTGCAATATAGTGTTGATATTCCAACAATCACGGTAGATCTGTAGGTGTGACAGGGAGATCGGATGACAGGGGAGAGGATGAGACATGAGACGATTGCCGATAAGGCGCGGATCGCGTCGACGCGTTGAGTGGTTCCCAAGTCTTGGCGTCTCCACGTTCATACTCGACAGGTCAATTTAGAGATTTAGTAGTCATTGACCAAAGTCTGGGTTCGATTATAGCAAGATTTGGAAGGCTTCAATGCATATTGTACAATAGATCATGCTACACCAGGTTTAAAAATACAAGTAGAGATATCATCCGTCATCTTTACAAACACCGTTGGAATCATTCCTTCGACTCGGTCGATTCCGCCTCCTCCCATCCAGGAGCAGTCAGCCCCTTAGCACGGAAGTCCTCGTCGCTAATGATCTCAATCATCTTAAACTTCCACTTTCCGAGCTTCAGCATCAGAAGGTTGTCGCCAATGATGTACTCCTGAGTCTTCTCGGCAGGCCAAGGGCGGATAGGAGTAAACGCAAGATCATCGGACATAGGCCCGCTGTCACCGGGACGGCTACCCACGTAGGCGCCGTTGTTCACAATAACACGGTGGCCCTCGCCCTTAGAAGCTACTAGACCAGCAGACCAAAGAATCTTGTTGAAGGATTGGTTGTGAACCAAGGACTTAGGAAGAGTGACCCGAGCATTGGGCATGTTGGCAAAGTTGGTCTGAGACGCATACTGGTTTCCAGACTGGGGAGTCACGAAGCCTGAGGTAGAAGATTGGGCATGGCTGGCGGGAGGAGTCGTGGTCCGAGGCATAGGAGAGGGCTCGCTGGTTGACGACCGGGGCCGGAACAGCTGGCGATGCTGAAGCGAAACGGCATCGGCTTCCTCTTTACCGTGAATCAGCTCGACAAATTCATAGGCCAGTTTGTGCTGGGCTACCCGCTTCGAAGCATCCTTGTTTTGCTCTTCCATGATGGAGGCAATCTCGGGCAGCGGGATGAAGGTAAACAGCTTGAGATATTTCTCGATGGTATCATCAGGTGTACGGACAAAGAACTGGTAATCGTTAGTCACGGATCAAATGATGAGTATGGCAATCCTAACTCACCTGGTAGAGTTCAAAAGTGGAAGTCATGTCCTTGTCCAGCCAGATCGCATTACCCGCGGACTTTCCGAACTTTTCTCCGGATGGCGCGGTCAGAAGAGGAGTGGTGAATCCGATGGGCCGGTCCAGCTCCGACTCCAGAGGATTGCGAAGCTGTTCGTCGGCGGTGTTGCGGCTGATCGCCTTCACGGCATCCATTCCAAACAAGATATTGCCATATTGGTCGGATCCTCCAACTTGCACCTGGGTACCCTTCTGGAACATGGTCCACCAATCCCATGCCTGGAGGAGGGGGTAAGAGAACTCGGCGAAGGACATGCCGTCACCCTGGCTCAGTCGGTTCTTGACACTGTCCATGTTTGTCAGAAAATCACTCAATGGCCAGAAGCATTTATGCAGACTTACGTGTCTCGCCCCAGCATAGGGCCAAGTCGCATGTATGCTCCCAAATCCCGCAGAACTTGAATAAAAGGCATCGAGTTCCACCAAGTGTTGTTGTTGAGCAGCGCCCGTTTCCAAATAGGTTTCCTCTCATAGCCGTGTCGTCGACCATACTGCTCGATGCTTGTGCCCAACTTCTTCAATTGCATGTGCATGCTAGCCATATTCGCTTTGCGAATAGAGGAATGGACTTGCTCGCGTCCCTTCAATCGCCCTGTTGGGTCACCCACTCGAGAAGTGGCACCACCCAGCTTTATGATGATCAGTCCCGAGTCTTTCTAGATTAAACAAGCTGAATAGACTCACCAGGAAGGTCACTGGTAATCCCCAAACATATCCCCAAGCCAATACCATGAAAGGCAGCATATGTCCAACGTGCATCGAAGGTGCCGTGGGGTCGATTCCGACGTAGATACCAGCTCTCTTCTCGGTGAACACTTTGTGTAGTAGATCGCGCTCTCTGTAACCCAAAGCAAAATATTAGTCTTCGCTAACAAAATAGACCAGCCTCAAGCAACCCCAGGCTAAAAGAATAGCATTCGTACCCAACAACATCATGAATCAATCCTCGCTCCTCCAGGTGGGCCGCGAAGTTCTTCCGCTTCCCTGCCTTGATCTCCTCTGCATGTCGAGCCCATTCCTCCCTTCCTTCCTGCATGCGCTGAAGATACTTCTGTGTAATAAATCTCCTTTGTTGCGTCGGGCCGGATTGGTGTGAAGAAAGAAGCGGACGACGGATTTCGCATCGTAGCGGATTTGTTTGCGCCGTAACGCCAAAGCTACGCGCTCCGCATGGTGCCCTCGGGGGAAGACGAGGGTTGCGACAAGTCGCTCGGGGGAGCGGTGCCGTCCGTGGCCACATTGGACCGGTTTGTAAAAGCAATTTAGAGCAACGAAGCTCACAACGAATTGCAATGCGATTCGAGTTGTTCCGCAACAGCTCCGAGATTCTTTCGATAAGAGGCCGGATTATCGTTGATGCGGATGCCTTGTCTCTCCCAACTGCTTGAACTACTGGAGCTCATCTTGTTACAAACCTCATGCTTGAGGTTTGAGGCTTGAAAATATCAAGAAATATAATTTGATTTGAACTAACAGTCTATATGGTCTTCAAAATCACACTATGCCATGAAAATCTGAACAAAGGCTTCGTTACTCCATCCGCTGTTGAGCTTCATCGCCTTCCAAGCGGCGAGAACATCAATAACCAACACATTAGCTTTCTCTCCGCCCTGCTTCCAAACGGTCTTCTGTGGCACTGGCTGCCCAAGTATCATTACCATGAAATCTTCGGCAATGCTACGGTTCTGTAGGTCTGAGATATAGATTCCAAGCATGCCCAGTGCCTTCAAATGAACATCGCAACGCAAGCGCCCATTCTCGACAACAGAGAGGTCCGAAGAAACGATTGCTGCAGCTCCAGTCATCTTTCCGAGAAGCCCAAAAACGGCTACATGGGTGAGGGCTTCGTCGAGGCCACTAATACCGCGGTTTCCCTTCAATGCGAATGAACGAGTCGGGTAAGCAGTGAGGATCTCCCATCCTTTCTGCTCTAAAACCAGAGACACTAGAGAATCTTGAGCTAGAGGCTTCAAACGATCTGTGACCTTGCCGCTAGTATGGGCGCGGATCACATATTCGCCTTCAGAATCTTCTTGAATCCCTGGGAAGTCTGTCAAGGAGACGATGCACGACGCCGCTGTAGAGTGGATGTTGAAAAGCCCCAAAATGCCGCTCCCCGTCTTTGCCCATCCGGTATAGCTCCCCACCCGCAGGACATGTCCCTCCTTGTAATCATGGTAGACGTCAATGGTGCGGCCAATGACACTTGGGCGCAAGATGACAGTAGTATCTTGAACGGTTGATGCCGTCATCTGATCAATGACTTCAAGATCATGCTTTCCAGGTTCATCCGTGATATAAATAGGTCCACCAGAGATGCAACGAGCTGCAGCGTGGAAAGAAGCGTATGGATGACTGGTCTGGAACATATCCCAGTCCGGCAAGACATTGAGGTACCGAGTGAGCAGGGCATTGTGCGCATTGCAGAACACATGCCAAGGGTGAGATGACGGGATCTCGGGGAAGAAGTCATCTGAATTCCGTAGGGTAATTGATGGCTTGTTCGTTGGCAATTGCGAATGGAAGATCATTTGTGGAATCAACGACATGCACGAAATGGCCCGGCTGCTGAAGTGTTTCAATATCCCGAGTGTCCAGGCATCTTGATAAGATGTCATAAACCTCTTTCGATCTTCGGGATCTTCGAAAAGATCAATGAAAAACTGGGCATCAGCTTTGACAGAGTCCACTCCGAGGGATGCAAGGTAGGAATAGAATTCGTCGTAGAACCGCTGGACATCATCGGGGTCAATGGCGAGGATTTTCCCATCTTTGATGTTTTGCGCGATAGGACCTCCGGCAGCAGGATCTTTAATCTTGACTTCCTTGGTCTTGTATCTCTGAGCAAGGTCGCCGTCCGGACATATACCTCCCCAATAGCCTAGCAAAGCATGCCAAACTGCGATATGTCCAATATTGGGGTGAGATCGCCGGATTTTCTCCACCGTTTGCTTGAGACCACGCGGGAATGCCTTGGGATTTGCCTCGAATTGCTTCCAGCGACGCTTGAACTGGGACTCGCCTTCATTGTCGAGACTCTGCCAGTTGTCGTCTATGATCAAATTTACAACATGAATACCATGCGCTTTCAAGGTGTCGAGTGCGTGGATAATCTTTTCCTCGGTCAGGTCCTGGCCAAGACCGTTCCAAGTGCAGTACGTCAAGCCGTCGAACCAGTCCGCGAGCCATTGGATTTTCGGGTCTTTCTCCAAAACAACCACATCATCCCCTGGAGGCGATAATGGTGGCTGCTCCACAGATTCATTCGCGAGAGACCCGTATGGTCTGACTACTTTCCTGGACTCATATATCACAGCCGACATGGCGACCTCAAAGTTCTCTGCTACCGCAGCCAGGACATGGAACCCGGCGGTCTCGGTATTGTCACTTCTGGCTTTTATCACCACCTCTCCGTTGTCCCCAGATTGAAAAACGGTCAGGACATCGTCGATTCCAGAAATAGCCAGAAGCACAAGATTTGTACCATCTTTTCGAAGGAAAGAGCACAGGATCGCGTCCTCTGTCAATCTGAACTTGTCTTTGCCATGTCGAGGGCCCAGCCATGGACTCCAAATTCGTACCAATGAGAAATACCTGATCATTGATGAAGGCGTACCAAGTGCGAATCTCTTGATTCCAGAGGCTCCTCCCTTCGCTGGATCCACATCCCCACGAATTCCCCAGAGAGCAGAACCCGGCGCCTCTGTACGTAGTGATTCAATCTGTACATTGGGGGATAGGTTATCGATATGCTTGGCAAGCTCTGCCTTTGCATCGTCTGGGATTGTATCAGGCGATAAGTGCAGTCCTGAAATTGCACTCTTGGGACCAAACACAAGCTCTCCGTCATTTATTGTTTGCTGCTGATTGGCCCACTGCCATTCGGTATCTGGGCTGGTTCGAAATCGCACAGTGAATTGTGCATGTCCAGCAGACGTCGGTAGATTAACTTGTTCTGAGAATACATAGCGGTGATAATTGTATTCGTCATCTTCTCCATTCAACAATGGCGCAAGGGATGGGTCGCATTTTGAAAGTGGAAGAGCGGTCCATTCGGAGCTGGTGATGTTGTGCCAGATCTGGGCTTCCCATAATTGAGTCGGAAGTGACGTGCTGGACTCAATGACGACTGTAAATCGAACCTATCATGAAGGTCAGACACACCTTTCAATTTGAATAGCACTATCCTGGCTGCATACCGTATCATCTTCCTCGGGTTTCAATGTGCTCTGCCTCTGCAAGTTGGTAACTTGTCCCAACGGTGGGTAGGACGTCACTCGAGCAAACAGACTCATCTGGGCTGGACGAATAAACGTTGTCTGACGTTTCTTTTGGTTCGCCCCCGGTCCGATGATTGGGAGGGTGGAAGCTGTATTTCTAGTGCCCTGCATCTGGACTGTGAGGGGTAGCTCCTCAGCTCCTGTTCAGAGTTATCGGCAGAGAGGCGATATGTCAAGCAGTCCGGCTAGCTCGAATAGGCTTGGAGCTATGTAATTTGTAATTTCCAAGAGATGAAACAATTTAGTCAGGGAAAGACGTCTCCAGGAGAATATGGGACAAGTAGCTTGTCGGTGAGTGGGGGCTATGATGATGGCATATACGAGAAGGCGGGGAAGCTCTGGTTAACCTTGTTTGTTATCTCTAATTGGCACTCTACCATCTCCCTCCCGTTTTCTCGAGATCACCAAAAATCTACAGAAAATGTCTCGGTATCTTTTGGTGGTTATTGAGGCACTGCATGGGAATTATCTATACGGACTATATAAATACCCCATCTAGCCAGTCTCCCTGTCTAACGCGAAAAGCGACGAGTTCCAACCGCGGTTTAGTTGATCTTAATGGTCAACTTTCCAAAATGTTTTTGTGCCCACTATGCCATTCGGTTAAATATGATAAGGAAAGAAGTGCCATCAATCTTACTTACCATATACTCATAGGCCTTCCGGGCCTGCGCAAGAGTGAAAACCTTCTCATCCACAACTGGGTGGATATCGTTGGCCTCGATCGCGCGAATCATTTCTTGCATAAGGGCCTTGCTACCCACATATACACCACGGACTATGCAAAGGTTGCTCAGCGTGTCCAAGATGGCAGGTTGGTCTTGGGCCTTGACGCCTGCCAAAAACCCAATCACGCTGATGACACCCTCATACTTGATGCAGTTGAAGCTCTGGCGCATGGTTCCAGGTCCACCAACTTCAATAATATGATCCACTCCCACGCTATCCGGGGTGAGCTTGCGAGCGGTTTCGCCCCAGTTGGGGTCGGTCTTATAATTGATAACATGGTCGGCACCGAGCTTTTTGAGCTTCTCGCCCTTCTGGTCGGAGGATGTGGTCGCGATCACGGTTGCACCGGCTGCTTTCGCAAACTATCACACAGGCAGTGGTTAGAAATAGGGCTATATTCATAACCTGTCAACATCGTACCTGCAAGCCGAATATGCTGACACCGCCGGTTCCTTGGACAAGGACAGTCTGACCAGGCTTCAATGGCTTCAGACCGTATAAAGCATTCCAACTCGTGAGAGCAGCACAAGATAGAGTGCTATTTTCTTGAGGGGTGAGGTTCCTGGCAGCCTTCACGAGACCCTTTTCGTTAAAGACGCCATATTCACGCAGAGCACCATTAATCTCCCCACCCAAGCTAGTGTGTGTCGCGGGAATATCAATCTCACCGTACTGGTGTCCCTGATTGAACAGAGTCGCCACCTTATCTCCCTTCTTGAACTCGGTAACATTAGAACCGACCTCGACAACCTCTCCAGCTCCGTCGGAAGCAGGGACAATGGGGAAGTTACACGGTAACAAGTATTTGCCCTATTATACAGCAATTGGACGTCAGAACAGGGTTCCTTTTCGGTAGTGTGATCACGTATCGCAATTGAGCAGATCTTGTACCTTTGGAATGACCAAGTCACGGTAGTTTAGCGACACAGCTTGAAGCTTCACCAGCACCTCGCTCTCGCCGACTCTCGGCACCGGCGCATCCTGATAGACCAGGCCGTCGAAGTCCTTGTCCTTTCCCTCGACAATCCATTGCTTCATGGTCGACATTGCGAAGCTGTGACTTGAGCTTATTTACAACACTATAGCCCTTGTTAACATTCTTGATAGTCCATGAAAGTCGTAGAATGGTGGGGCACTTTATATGATCGTCGCATCTTGACGTAGAAACCCTGTCGACTCCACATTTCATGACGGCACGAAAAAGAACAAATCACGAAACGAGTCGCCGTTTGGCCCCTGTCCCTGCTGTCGGTCGGGGTTGGTTAGATCCCCTGTTCGGAGACAAATGGACACTACACAGGAGCTGACAAATAGGCCTTTCCAACGATTTGAAGGCCAAGAATTGATGTTACGAAAAAAAAAAAAGAGTGAATCGGTTGAATCTGCGTTCCAAGCCCCGAAACTGACCAGTACTTCTAGAGAGAGTACATTCTCAAAGTTCGAATCAATTCTATCCACAAGAAATTGAAGAGTAGTGTTCCAGTTAAACTTATTAAGCTTTGGAATTAGGCCCGTGAGACGATTGGTTGTTGTGGTTAAATAAAGACGTCGAGTCAGTCAAGCCACATTCCGTAAGTGGCAGTTCGGATATTTGAATCAACAAACTCGAGAAACGGTCCATCAATGTATGTTTCTCTTCCTTTGCCATGAAAGTCCAGTTTGGATTTAATTCAGATTCTTTTCTCAGGGACCATTCTTCATTTAATTGTTCAACTCGTTGCTGACGAGATGATTTTGAAGTTTGTTCTCTGGGTTTCAAACCTGTGGAGCCCCGCTGCACTGTGTACCTTGAGTCAAGTCAGGATCGCAGAACAATTACAGGAGCAAGTTCACGAATATAGGAACCTTGTAAATGTGCGGGTAAATCTCCCATCTTTATACTTAAAATAGAAATTAAAAATTGTTAAAGTACCTTTTCATGCGCAACTTTAATCAAGTTCCGTTCCTAGTCCTGTGGGCCCGGCAATTATGCCATCCAAAGCTAATATCGCTCATCCTCCCAAGCATCCACTAGACCCATGACTACCAAGGACGGATTCATGGTAAGCACGAGATCGGTGCACTGCGTGGCAGTCTGTGTCTTGCGCAATGCGATCTCCGATTAGCGTGGAGGGGGAGGGGTAAAGTCACAGCGTGAGGGGAGCAATAAATAGGCCCCTGGTCTCTGTTTACATTTTGTCTTTTGAATTATAACCTCAAACTTGTCACACTTGATTCACTCTTAAACTCTTTGAATATTGAATATGTCTCTTGGACGCACTTTCAAGCTGAACTCGGGCTACGAGATTCCCGCTGTTGGTCTCGGCACTTGGGTAGGTGATCCTTCTCCCCGGCTACGAACTCTTGAACTAAGAACTATATGCGCCATAGCTGTCCAAGCCTCACGAAGTCGAGAACGCGGTCGAGGTTGCTCTTCGCAAGGGCTACCGTCATATAGACGCTGCGGCATGTTACCAGAATGAAAACGAAGTAGGAAATGGATGGAAGAAATCGGGTGTGCCCCGCGAAGAGATCTTTGTACGTTGGTACTTGTAATTTTGAAGACAACGCAGAATTTCTAGATCGCTAATCGCTATTACGGTCATGTATAGATCACCAGCAAGCTCTGGAACACCCATCACCACCCAGACCACATTGAAGAAGCCCTCAACAAGACACTGAGTGACCTCCAGACCGACTATCTTGACCTTTACCTGGTATATTTGCAGATCGGATTCAACCGTTCGGGCTGTCGGCTAACTACTTCTTTCAGATCCACTGGCCCGTCGCTTTCGATCATACCAACGAGACCCTCACCCCGATCGACCCGGTGACGAAGCGATTCCGTATTGCCGATATCCCGGTCGCCGATACGTGGGCCGTGCTGGAGAAATTTGTCGAGGCTGGTAAGATCCGCAGCATCGGAATCAGCAATTTCACCGTCGAGGCGACGCAGGCGTTGCTCAAGACAGCCAAGATTCCTCCTGCGGCAAACCAGATCGAGGCCCACCCTTATCTACTGCAGCCTCAATTGTTTGACTTTTTGAAGGAGAACGTAAGGCTATTATATCTCGTTCTGCGCTTCGTGAGGGATTACTGACTCATTATCTATCTATAGAACATTCTTCCTATTGCTTACAGCCCACTTGGAAACAACATCTACAACTTGCCACGGTACGAATGCTGTCCCTCTGGAATCACCTTCGTTTCATGCTAATCTTTCTGGATCGACAGTGTTGTCGATGACCCGACCGTGGTGGAAATCGCTAAAAAGCTAAACAAAGACCCTGCCATGCTACTAGTCTCATGGGCTGTCCAGCGAGGCTCTGCGGTTCTGCCCAAGAGTGTTACACCTTCTCGGATTGAGAGTAACTTCCAGGGTAAGTCATTTCAAAGAACCAATCGGGCCAAGTCAAGAATTTCAGTAAATAACATGCTTATTCCAGATTTCGTTATCCCGGATGCTGAATTTGACGCCCTCAACAAGCTGGACCGCAACGAGCGGTACAACTATCCCTTCCGCTGGGGTGTGGACGTCTTTGGCGAGTTGGGAGCTGCTGAAGCTGAGCGACGTGCTGAGGAGCATGCTGCAAAGTTGCGTGAGAGCTCGTAAGATAGGCCGTTTTACGATAATGAAATCTTTGAGCCAAAGATGGAAATCAATAGTCCTTCCATGTCGTACACTAGCCAGAATAGATGGTATATATAGCCGCACTATTCCTTCCACAGGGACATTCCAAGGTTGGAGTACCTATCTGGAATCAAAGGCAACCAATGAACTTAATCATAATGTCACAGGAGAAATTGGTCAGTTGATACAGGTCACAAAAGGAAGGCTTGCGCGAGTAAATATAGTCCAGGATCTCACGTAACTATAGATACATCCAGCCGTAGGAACGGAAATGGGCGTACACCTCCAAACTCTAACCTGACCCGCGTTGATTCCTCCTCCATACTTCCCATTGGGACAATCCTGCTCCTCGAGAAATACAACTATACCGGAGTCATCGGTTCTTGTACGATTATATCTTCACCTTTCGATCATGCCGGCAACGAAAGAGGGCCGAATCACCAAGGTCAAGAAGGCACGTCGGTCACTGGAAACCCCCACCGGACGCGTCTCGGCTGCCGCCAAAAGTAAGTAAATAGTAGTTCTACGCTCTGAAACGTTCGGATAGATATTCATCGTCACACTATCTTCTAATGAGATGAACCCTCTCTACCCTCCGAATCCGTTGACCCGATTTATCAATCCGACGCGTGCTAATCCGAAATCCGCGTAGGCTTACCGCTGGTTGAGCGTACCAACGCACTCACCATCGAAGAATTCACTTCACGCTACGTGTCGCCGCTCGCCACAGCGACCCAGCAAGATGGCGAAACTGCAGCACCTGAGAAGAAGACATCTCCCGCAGCTGAAACACAGCTAGACGTGTATTCCGCAGCAACAATCTCCCGCGATGATCTGGACGCATGTCTGGATCTAGTGGAATTCACCTCTGGCGCGGACTACGCTGCCTCAGGCGCAGGCTGGTCCCGTCCCAAGAAGCGCAAAGAAATGAAACTCCCCGACATGAAGTATCTTATTCTGCGGGGTGACGCGGGACTCACATCGGATGCGTCGCAACGCGATGACCCTGCCGAATCCGACAAGCCGAGCTCGCTATCGGGACTCGGGGAGAACCCGAATGTACTCGGGTTCTTGTCGTTTATGGTCACTTACGAGGATGGGAAAGAGGTGGTTTATTGCTACGAGATTCATTTGTCGCCGAGGGCTCGGGGCCGGGGCCTTGGCGTGTTGTTGATGACCCGGATGGAGGAGATTGGTCGGCTGGTCGGGTTGGAGAAGGCGATGTTGACGGTTTTCAAGTGCAATACGATGGCTAGGAGGTTTTATGAAAAGGGTGGTTATGAGGTGGATGAGTATTCGCCGCAACCGCGGAGGTTGAGGAATGGGACGATCAAGGAGTTTGATTATTTGATTTTGTCCAAGCGTTTGAAGGATTGAGAATCTGGTTATTATGTCTTTTTTGCTGTTTCTAGAAAAGAAGGAAACTCATGCAGTGATGAAAATGCTATGATCAATATACATTAGACTTGTTTTACTTCCTGGCCCTTGCGTTCGGGGTGATCTTGCTCCCACTCGTCTCTGAGTGCAGCAAAGATGCTATCCGCCAGAAGGATGGATAGTCCTAGACTCCACACGAGAGTAATGGCGTAGAAAAAGTTGGCGTTGCCGGATCCAGCGTAGATCCAGAGGTGGTAGAAGGCAGGTCCCAAAAGACTCGAGTATAGAAGAGCCGAAATGGCAAAGAAAGTGTACCGCATCACTATTTAAGAGTTAGGAGGGCTGCGTTAGAGGTTGTTCGCGATACTTGGATACTCACATGGGAAAAGATGCCGATATAATGGCAGCAACGCAAAATAGAGCGAAGCATCTGAGATGCTGGGGTAGGGCTTGAACACGGCAAAGACACCCAGGAGCGAGGTGATAATGAAGAGCGGTTGTCGCCGGAGCCTCGCCGTCAATCCGCCAACATAGCTGGCCAGGTGAAGCCAGAATACCCCAAGGAAGAACTCGCGGAATGAGTCGAACATCTCGATGAAAAAGTACCACCACAGGCCGACGTTGGGGGTCAAGTCAGGGACCAGCAGGTGGAAGCCATAGGTGGCCGACATGAATTCCCAGAAGTTGCCAGTGATGAGGATGGAGAGTCCGAGTAGTCCAGCAATGCTACCAGACAGAATGGCGCCGTGCTGCAAGATGAACAGCCCAGAACTGGGCGCCTGGGCGGACTTTTGGGCTCGCTGATCGTAGCAGAGCAGGGCTAGCGGGACGAACAACAGAGCGGGATACATGGAAAGATAGGATGCCAAGCCGAGAGCAAGCATCGCGTTCAAAGTATTACCACTGACGGCATTCGAGACCGCGAGCAGGATTCCCGACGTGGTAAACACGCTGGTTGACCGCGCCAAGCATGTTGCAATCGTGAAAGGGTTGAACAAAAACCTAAATTGACAGTCAGTAATATGTCTATATCGGGGGGTTATTCAAGTACTCCATACCATGCTGCCACTGAAGTCCCGTCCCACCGAATATGCTTCCGCATGGCAGAGTGTAATCGGCTCTGGACCGACTGGCCCGACTCGGAGATGGTCGCCAGTGCATGCGCGTTCACTAGATCGACAAGGAAATAGAATATAGCCGTAGGGATCGGATTGCTATTGACGTCGGGCAGGAGGGAGAAAAGAGGGAGGAGGAGGGGTGCCTAGACAGCCGGTGGTTAATCGAGGGGTCCGGCGTAGATGGATCGATGTTGATCTGCTCACTTGGTGGAAGACACCGCCATCGTACGGTGATACATTGCGCGTATAGAGGTACAGGCCTTCTTGTACTACGATATAGGATTAGCTCATGTGAACATAGCACAATTGGACCATTCCATATCACATACGTCGCTTGAAGCTGTTGACCGGGGTGGACACCTCGACTCGGCCAGTAAGTAAGTCGGGCAAAGATGGGAAGAGACAAATGAGAAGCAGTCGCAGCACAAAGGCCGCCCCAAAGACAGCTACCTTCCGTCGGTCCACCGCCATGATAGAAAGGCGGGTGGAATCGAGCTGCTGGCAATGCTGTATGTTCAATCTGTTGTTTCTAATGTTCCAGCTGTCCCTTAAAGCCGCCGACGAAAGGCGGAGCAACCACGGACGGCCGTCGTGCACGGGCCACCCGGCTTGGTCTTGTCGAAAAAAAGTTATCGAGAAATTTTCTTCTTCTTATCAGCGACTGTTTGGCTTTCCCGTTATAGGACTCCAACAGATTTCACCATGGCGAAGATTAAGAAGAAGGGTATGCTTTGGGAATTGCTGGATCGACTGAAAATTTGCTAATTCTCTTTTAACCAGGCACCTCTGGCCAGGCCAAAAACTATATCACCCGTACCCAGGCCGTGCGCAAACTTCAGATTTCTCTGCCTGATTTCCGTCGCCTTTGCATTTTCAAGGGTAAGACCATTCTTTAATCCTTCTCGGATGTTCTGCGATCCTAATCGTGTGCGCAATCAATAGGAATCTATCCCCGTGAGCCCCGCAACAAGAAGAAGGCCTCCAAGACTTCCACCCCCAACACCACCTTCTACTACACCAAGGACATCCAGTATCTGCTCCACGAGCCCCTGCTCAACAAGTTCCGTGACCAGAAGGCTCTTGCCAAGAAGATCGCTCGTTCCCTGGGTCGTGGTGAAGTCAGCGATGCTGCGCGCCTCGAGAAGAACCACGCTCCTAAACTCACCCTTGACCATGTCATCAAGGAGCGCTACCCGACTTTCATCGACGCTCTTCGCGACCTCGACGATGCCCTGTCTTTGCTCTTCCTGTTTGCCACCCTCCCCTCCACCGACCATGTCCCCCACAAGACCATTGCGCTCTGCCAACGCCTCTGCCACGAGTTCCAGCACTACCTGATTACCACCAACTCGCTGCGCAAGACTTTCCTTTCCATCAAGGGTATCTACTACCAGGCCACCATCCAGGGCCAAGATATCATGTGGCTGGTGCCCTACCGGTTCGTTCAGCGTGTCAATGGCGACGTTGACTACCGTATCATGGCCACCTTTGTCGATTTCTATACCACCCTGCTGGGCTTCGTCAACTTCCGCCTGTACTCCTCGATCGGATTGAGATACCCCCCGAAGTTCGACACCCGGAGTGACGAGAACGGCGCTGAGCTGGCTGCCTTCACCCTCGAGGGTCGCAACTTGACTGAGGCCCCCAAGGCGATCGAGTCCAGCAAGCCCAAGGCCATTGAAAGTTCTAACAAGGAGGTTTCGAAGGAGGTCCAAGCCAAGGTGGACAAGGTTATCAAGTCCGCTGGCCTGGATCAGACGACAGATGAGCCGATGGCAGACACCACCGAGGAGTCGACCGATGCCATTGACCGTTTCGAACCCGCCGCCCCCGAGGCCGACACCCTGCCCCAGCCCGACATGAGCGGCAACGAGGCCGGTGCTCTCTTCGCCCCCTTCACCTTCTACATCTCCCGTGAGGCCCCCAAGGCTCCTCTCGAGTTCATTCTGCGCGCTTTCGGCTGCAAGCGTGTTGGTTGGGACGCCGTGCTTGGTGACGGTGCTTTCACTCACGACGAGACCGACCCGCGCATCACTCACCAGATCGTCGATCGTCCCCAGCTTCCCGAGGGCTCTCTTCCCGCCATTCCCGCCGCGGCCGAGGGTACTACTCCCAAGGTCAAGCCTGGCACTCGGATTCCCGGACGCACATACGTTCAGCCCCAGTGGGTCTGGGACTGTGTCAACGACGGCAAGCTGCTCCGTGCCGATCTTTACGGCCCCGGCGCCACTCTCCCCCCTCACTTAAGCCCCTGGGTCAAGGCTTCTCGCGGTGGTTACGACCCGCGTGCCAGCTTGGCTGAGCAGGAAGAGGAGGGTGAGGCTGAGATGGCCGAGGATGACGACGAAGCCGAGGACAGCGACGAGGAGATGGAGGATGAGCCCGCCGCTGTTGCGAAGCCCACCGCTGCCGCCGAGGAGTCCGAGGACGAGTCTGTCGATGGTGGCATGGACGTCGCTGGAACCGATGACGATGAAAGCGAGAGTGAAGAGGAAGATGAAGAGGAGGAGTTCCCCGGCGTCGAGGACGAGGCCGCTTCCGAGTCTGACGATGACGACGAGGCTGCTCGCAACCAGCACCAGCGCGAGCTTGAGGCTGAGGCTGCTGGTCTGCCCTTCACTTCCGCCGGTGCTGCTGACGAGTCCGCCAAGAAGAAGTCTGCCAAGTCCAAGAAGCTGGCTGCTAAGAAGCGCCAGGAGGACGAGGAGCTCGAGCGCCAGAAGATGATGATGAGTCGCAAGAAGCGCAAGCTGCTGGAGAAGATGATGTACTCGAACAAGAAGACGTCGGACGAGGCTGCCAAGCTCCGCTCGAAGCGTCGCAAGCTCGAGAAGGGTGAGAAGAACGGCCAAAAATAGAGCTGAGCCAGGCCGTGTCAAAACTGTGAAGAGTCTTTCTTTTTCTCGGCGTTTGCGGATGGGATAGTCCCCTGTATATGCATGTCTAAAAATTTATGTCATCGAATTTAATCGTTTCATCACAATATTCTCCTGGCCGTAGTCATTCAATCGGTATCAAATCATAAATGATGTTTCATTGTAATAGTTGTCTCTGTCTGATATCTCAAAAGTTCAATATCACGTGACATAATGGTGTTGCTCCGCTCGGCCAAATTTTTGATGCCTTCATGCCTCAAGTCATCAGCAAACTCAGACACAAATGATCCGATTTTCATATTATAACAGAAGGAGCGATATAACGTGATGCTTGATTATTTTCAACATCCCAGAAAGCAATATCTGAACTGGAAAACACTCTCAACGTGATATGAACAGGCTCCGACCCTGGTGTATCATACAAAACCCATCGAAGTTTCCGAGGCATGTCCTCATTTTCAGATAATCAGCAACCGTCATCATCTCAGTTCTACCCACCACAATCAGCACAGCCATATAACTCAATATTTGGCGGCCCTAGCAGCGATGCTGATCCACCGCCATCTTCTCTGCCGGAGCCTATCCGGAGGTCTCGAGGATCACTATTCGGTGGTCCGAGCGGACTGGATGTCATTACCGAGCAGGAAAATGTCTCTAGCTCCATGAATGTGGGTGAGGTCGAGAGTGAAGAAGATGACTTTGGCGTGATCTTGCGCGAGAGACCGTTGGACGCCTATTACGGATCTGATGGAGACAGCTTTCGAGGAGACGACAGAGGCAAGGATGAAGATGGTGGCCAGAGACAGCCGGAATCAGACTCCGGTCCCCAGTGGAAGGGCAAACAGCCGATGTTGCCATCCTCGCCTGTGGAGATAAGATCTGCACCAGTGGCTACGACATATGTACTTGATCGTGGCCTTGATCTGCCTGCTCACGCGGAGCGTCCGAATCGCTGGGATGGGCCCCGGTCTACGTACAGACGGCTTACTGCAGATGAACGGGGAGCCTATGAAGGAATAGTCACCAACCGAGCTAGAGACCTCGCGGCTCATCTATACAATGCTTATACCACTCGCACTCAACGCAATCAGGCTCAGGGCGCGCCTCAAGATCCCCAGGGACCTGATGGGCAAGAGCGAATCTTCCCTCCCAGACGCTGGGTTGCTTGGCCGAGGCCTGCTACTTATGTACCGCGCCCGGATGAGACAATCCACCGGCAGCTTGATGGACCTGATTCAATACGGATGCCGCCTGATTTGCGTCCTAGCTCAGCTCTTGAAGAGTCTATCATTGCAACTATGATGAAACATGCCAAGGAAACTTTTATGGCACGCGAACGGGACCTGGAAGAGGTGAAGAGCAATCGTGTGAGGAGGGAGGATGACCCCGACGGTATGAAAGATGAAGATATGAAGGATTACGACGACGAGAAGGATGAAGATCCTCGTCCAGATGCAGTGCCGCTTCAACCAGTTGTCCAAGCCGATGACGGTGCATCGAGACAACAACTACGTCCGCTATCTCGAAATGTTATCACAGAGGTGGACCGCCTTTTAATGGGACTGCATCATTCTGTGAAGAGTCGCTTCCACGACGACGACTCCGGCAGCGACTCCGAAGGCGAAATAGACGATACGGACTACGACGAGACATCCCGATCGCGATCCAGACCAGCGAGTGGGAGCAGAAGCCGGTCACGCGGCCGTAAACGGGTTCGTCGGCATTCAACTCATTCACAAACGTCAAGCCATCGCTCTAGAAGCATGCGATCGTCTACTGCAGCAAGTACTCAGGAGGGAAATGTGCGCAGTACTTCTCGATCTAGGGGACGGTCTCGTACCTCTCGAGGCAGCAGTGATCTTTCCATGAAATACAGGCTCGGTCTGCGCGACTGGAGCGAGGTCATGGGCCTTGCTGCTATGATGGGACTCCCAGATTCAGCGGTGATGCGTGCTTCGAAACGATGTGCCGACCTCTTTGAACAAGACATGACATTCCGGACCTTCCACGAGGGCCGATTCCAAAAAATCCCTCGTCTGCAGGAATCCTCTCGATCTGGCTTGGAATGGGAGTACTGTGAAAGCGAATCCGACGCAGAGATCCTGCCTGAACCAGAGCGGCTGAGCCCACCACCAGGCCCAGCTCCTGTTCCAGGACCATCACCTCGTAAGCGCAAATCCAAACCTAGGGTACGGTCACGGTCGCAATCTCAATCACGACGACATCGCTCTACTTCGGCTGCCGCTCCGATAGCCTCGACTGTCGCGGTCGAGATACCAAACTCTGTTCCTGTTCCTACTCTTGAGAATCATGTTGATTCCGAGAGCCAACCCCCGCCACCTCAAGCATCACAAGCGCAACAATTGCTACAAGCGCCCAGAGGCAAAGGCGAACATCGTAAAGCCGATCTTGTCTGCCCTATCAAACGATGTTCGCGGCATACGAATGGGTTCTCGCGGACGTGGAATCTAAATTTGCATATGAAACGGGTGCATCCTGGGTATACACCGAGTGATCGTGAGCGATCTCGATCTCAGAGTACGGCTGGAGGGGTTGAATTGATTGAGATTGACTAGCGATGATATATTTTCTTGTATTTAATTATGATATCCAATATTGATTCTCTAAGGCTCAGACATTTGCTGTGTTCGAGATGTGTTCTCGGTTCTGAATATTCACCAACTCCACTTCGGCTGGTCCTTCCTAGCTGGATGTATACACAGTAGTTTCTCCATACTAAGGGTGTGTTGGAGAAAATAACGGTATTATCGTTACACTATCTGAAGCCGGGGGACTCTCTGCCATATCTGATTGGTGTATAATACCGAGATTGTATCGATAAAAGCTACCTATTGGTCCATAATACCGGCTGGGGTAATTTATGAAATTCCATTGCCAAAAAGTGGAGAGCTTTCCGGCGAACTTCGAGACTATACAGGCCATTAAGTCAATTGATCAGATCAAAAAGAACATATAAATGAGATACAAAAATGCAAATATTAAGAAAAAAAAAAAGGGAGAATTGAGAATCTCGAAAACAGTCTAGTTAGCATCATCGGTTTACAAAAGGGAAGGAAACCAGTTCGCCTCAGGAATGACATCAACCGTCAATTCTCCCAAATCCGCAATCAGCCCCCCCGCTTAGCATCCAGCTTCCCTTCTGAGCTCCCCCAAGTTCAATTCTTGACACATCGGTGTGAACTCCATCCTCGGTGCTTCTCGGGCCCAAAGAGCAATCACCGTCAAGCGCCACAGCTTCCAGCACGAGAACAATCCCTCCGCGAACGACCGAGCTCCTTTAAAGCCTTCTCCAAATCCCCCTCCCCGCACATCTGACCGATCTGCTCCGCGGCTTCTTCTCGTCTTGTACTATTAGTCCTGTCCCTCTTTATCCCCGCGGCCCTCGGATCCCCTTCATAATGGACCGCATCGTCCATCCTGTCGCTCGCCAATTGCTGCGACCCCGTCCGCGATACCCTTTTGCCATTCCTTCCGCGCCCGCTGCGAAGAGACTATACACTATGGGACACAACCGCCCTGAGGTACGTTGCTTGTTATATTTGGAGGTGTCAGACACGTTTGTGATAGGCTCTAACTTTTTTTGGTTGTAGTTGAAAGATAAATCTCTCTTCATTGAGAAATGTTATATCAATGGCGAGTGGGTTGGTGCCCAGTCGGGCCAGACCTTCGAGGTTCACGGTGAGGACCGAATCAATGGGAAGACTGGCAACAAGTCATGGATGCTGATATCTTTTCTCTTTGTGCAGACCCTGCCACTGGTGAGCTCATTGGAACTTGCCCTGAGCTCGATACCGCCGACGTTGAGAAGGCCATCCAGGCCGCTTCCGAGGCGTTCCCTTCTTTCCGCACAACCCTGGCCCGCGAGCGTGCGCGCATGTTGCGCCGGTGGTACCAGCTCATGGTGGATAATGCAGAGGACTTGGCCAAGTTGATCACTTGGGAGAACGGCAAGCCATTCGCCGACGCCAAGGGTGAGGTCAACTATGCCGCCAGCTTCTTTGAGTGGTTCAGCGAGGAGGCGCCTCGTACCTACGGTGATACTATTCCGGCCACAGTACCGGGCAACCGGGTGATGACCCTTAAGCAGCCCGTTGGTGTCTGCGGTCTGATTACCCCGTGGAACTTCCCTGCTGCGATGATCACCCGCAAGATCGGCCCGGCCCTGGCGGCTGGCTGCACTGTTGTCGCCAAGTCTCCTTGCGAGACCCCCTTTACTGCCAACGCTCTGGCTGAGCTCGCCCACCGTGCGGGTATCCCCAAGGGTGTTGTTAACATTGTCACTGCCTCCAAGAACACTCCCGCGGTCGGTGAGCTTATTACTACCCACCCGGAGGTTCGCAAGGTCTCCTTCACTGGCTCGACGAACGTCGGCCGTCTGCTCATGAAGCAGTGTTCCTCTACCATTAAGAAGGTGTCCTGGGAGCTGGGCGGTAACGCTCCTTTCATCGTCTTCGACGACGTCGAGGATCTCGATGCTGCCGTGAACGGCGCTATCGCCTCCAAGTTCCGTAGCTCCGGTCAGACTTGTGTCTGCGCGAACCGGATCTACGTGCAGAAGGGCGTCTACGATGAATTTGCCAAGCGCTTCGTCGCCAAGGTCAAGGACTTCAAGCTCGGAGCTGGCTTCGGGGAGGGCATCACCCACGGTCCCGTCATTCACGAGCGTGCGGCCGCCAAGGCCCACGAGCACGTTCAAGACGCAACCTCCAAGGGCGCCAAGGTCGTCATTGGTGGCCAGAAGGCGTCCGCTCTGGGCCCCAACTTCTACGAGCCTACCGTTTTGACCGGTATGAGCAAGGATATGCTCATCGCCTCGGAGGAGACCTTCGGTCCCGTGGCCGGTCTCTTCCCCTTCGAGACCGAGAAGGAGGTTGTTGAGCTTGCTAACAAGGCCGAGGTTGGTCTGGCTGGCTACTTCTTCAGTGGTAACGTGCGCCGTATCTTCCGCATTGCCGAAGCCCTGGAGGTTGGCATGGTTGGTGTCAACACCGGCCTGATCAGTGATGTTGCCTCGCCGTTCGGTGGTGTCAAACAGAGTGGTTTCGGTCGTGAGGGCAGCAAGTATGGTATTGATGAGTTTATGACCATTAAGAGCGTCACTTTTGGCGGTATGGGGGAGCCTCTGCAGGCATAAGCTTCCCTCGTGTATTGTGATGGATTGGACTTGAAATTTGGGAAATATCCAGCGAAAATGGACTGATATACAAAAATATAACGAATTTTTCTTACATCTTAAATCTTACTGCAATTTAACTACTTTTCAATCACCATGCCCAATAGTTAATTTTCGACTCTTCTCTTTGCCACTCCCCATAAGAGTCACGTGACCGTATAATATCGGACGTGAGAGACGCTCAGACTCGACCGCCTTCATTGACATACAAGCCTCGCGCATACATCAGATGTACATCTAGTCCTTCGAAGGGCTCGCATCACCTGGAACCGTCTGACATGATATAACCTTACCGTCATGCGCCAATCACTGAGCCTCCTTGCGGCCATTTCCCGCACCCAGCCCTCAAAACTGAAGAAGCCAGCAGTCAGTCTAGATCATGTAAGTAGAACGTGATACATTGCCGCAGCGAGTGGCAATTGAGGCTAAGAACCGGTACAGTTTATCCAAAGGCAAAGGGTACTATCACTATGGCGTGAGATTGTGAGAGCATTGCACAGTATGATGGCCCCCAACTTGGTACCCTTTCACCCTAACCAGCGTATCTGATTCTGATTATACAATTAGAAGCCCCGCCTTCTCCGACAAGAGATGAGCTGCGCTCATATGCTCGGCACGAATTCGAGCGGAATCGTGATGTTTCGGATTTAGTAGGTAGCCCTAGCCCCTAGCTTCCGGGATAAACGAGTGCTAACGCAGACCTTGGTAGTCTCACATACGCTATCTAATCTCGGTATGTCTACTTTGCTCCAGAATTCCATATTAATGTGATGCTTACTTCTAGAAGACAGGGAAATCTGAATTCGAGACTATGAGACGCTACATCGACGAGCAGATTGCTAGGTGATTCTTGTCATTTCAAACGCTTAATATCCATGTTAGACTATTGTACATTATCATAGAAAACTGCTTCACATCTATCAAAACCAGGGTATCAAAATCATCACTCATTCCTCTCAAATCTAGCACGCGACCTCGTCATATTCTAGCTGCGCGATGGCTTTCACAGACGGAACCTGTGGTCCACGCCTGCCTCATGAATCGGCCGCGATCCAGCCCCCAAGAGCTCTTGAGAAGGATCCCTGACCATTGGTCTTGACTCCACATCCAAGGAGTTCGTGTAGGGATTCTGGTATGTTGTCGTAGGGTAGACTCTGGGTGTCTGGATGTCAAAGCCGTCGACCCCCTCGAGACTGGCTAGCTGTTTGCAGCTCAAAAGCATCCCGAGATAAATGACCACCATGCAAAGATATGGGAAGACGATCTGGAAGTAGTAGATCCATCGCGGGTGTGTTCTGATGTATCCCAGATATACGATGATGTCCCATTGAATAGTGATAATCGCCCACATCACGTTCATGGCGAAAAAGCCGAAGCTCGCAAGGAGAAAGACTAGCGCGGTTGGCTAATATAGAAGAAACGGATTAGCCGGGTCACAACTAGACGATGAGCTGGGAGTTTGACATACCTTTGCCTGCCTGTCATTCCTGGATGTTCGAACCACCAAGCAGAAAGCCCAGATCACAATTTCTAACGACGCGACGAAGAATGCGAGTCGTCGAGTACATTGGACCCAGTGCCAGGGTACTGACCACTTTGAATATTCGTATGTCGTCACGGTGTAACCGATATATAACGCGAGTTCCACGACACAAATAACGCCCAGCAGGCCGAAGATTATCCCGTGGAATAGGTGCAAGCCGTCTGACACTCGACCGGTGGACCGCATTTGGAAGTGGTTGATTATCCAGTAAAGGAGGTACATTATCGTGCATAGTGCAAAGAGGTCTGTAAAATCTTCTAGAATGAAGACGAGCTCGATGGCTAGTTTGACCGTTGCGTCGGTGAGGTAAATGCAATCGATGATGGCGGAGAAGAAATTGGATCTAAACAATGACGAGTTCATGAGCATCGAACTGGTCAAAATGGTGGGTGGGGATGGCTTGTTCCTGGATTAACTCACAGTGTGTATGCTATAAGAGACATAACCAGTGGTACGAAAAGAACGATGCCGCGTTTCATTCCACGTTTACGAATCAAGATCGCAGCGATGAGGAATCCTAGCAAGACGATGACTAGGAGAAAATCGAATGCAGCCCTGACTTCGTAAAGAGATCTCCATTCCCCCAGAGATCCAGCACGGTACGTCTCACTCCAGTCTACCGTTTTGCTGTATCGTTTTGTGAACATCTTCGATGTGCAAATCCAATAGCGTGGTCCAAGTACAGACCACACTATTCGTCGATGAAGGGGTTTTGAATAGTAATCGGATGTTGAGCGTTGACTGTAAAGGCACGCTCTAGTAAGATAGGTTTGAAAACGAGGAATAAGTGAATCAGTCGAAGAAAGGAAATTAGCTGTTAAATATTTGATTGTTGGCCATGTCTTCGATTTCTATGATTGATCCTGGGGCTCATATCGTGAGGCTGATATCTGTGGGGGCGGAATCTTAGCCTACTAGTTAACCATATCTGATCGGGAATAAGAGTACCTATCAAACGAAATAGCAGTAGTCTTTGTGGCTGTTCACAAGCTGGCTATGTAATTAGTCGAGCCACGATAATCCCCGGGCGCTGTTAATCCCCCACTTGTGAGCCTTACGGGGAGTTCATCCACTAAACACGATACGTGCCGCCATGCACGCCCGCTGCGCCTCGTAGCTAGTGCCTCGCGTGTCTGCGCCAAGATTCAACTGCCGGGCAAAGAGAGGCGCATTTTTGCCCTAGGCCCCTTTTCCGTATCAATATCTATTTTGAGGACGTGCTTGGGCCTCGGAGCGTCAAAGTCAAGAATACAGTTATGTTTCTACAATGATGATGAGAGGGGCTGAAATTTCCCATATTGCAATCGAATTTGTTCTATATCTAATTACATGATTGGATCTTCACAGACAGAAGATTTGGAGCTGAGTGCCCGACAAAAAACTCCTTTCATAGTCCCATCTTCGACATGTTGATTTTATCCACCTGGAAAATAACAGATCAAGGCTCCATCGGCGGCTTAGAACCCTCCGGCTTCATCAACTTGAAATTCTCAATGAGGGCTTGGGCTGCGTTCTCGCCGAAGAACATGTTCTCCACATTCATGCCATCCTCAATATGGTCGCGACCGCGAGGGAGCATCTCAGCCTCGTAGGTAGCGATCGCTCGGTCCAGCGCCGCAGCATCGGCTATTTCGTCAAACTCCCCTTCCTGCTTGTCACCTATCTCAGCAGATATACTCTCAAACAATTGCAATGCATCATACATGGCTTGATTGACGCCCTCGCCATTGGGCGAGGCAGCATGCGCAGCATCTCCCATGATCGCAACACCCGGAGAGCGCTTCCATGCATCTTGGTTCTGGGTGCCATCGTGAGAAGCATCGTCAGCCTTTGGCAACAGCAATTCCGGCTTGAGTCTGCACCAAGGCCAAACGCGCCAGGGGCCCTCCGCATGGGCGACAAAGTCACGGAGGTGCTCTGCCCAGCCATCATAGAAGCCAGTAGATGCAAGGAGCGCGGCACGAGTCTTTTCAATGTTCGCTACATCCAGCTCACCACCGGATCGAGTGAGCTCTTGCGGGCCCTTAATACCCATGTAGACACGGTATGAGCGGTCGGACATTTGCTGCACGCAAAGAATGGCGTTGGCGCTCATAGCGATGGAGTTTCCTGCGCCGACCGTCTCGCGTGCAGCATGGTACCGTGGATTGTCGAGGGATAGTCGGCCCTCGATGAACATGATTCCTGCATATTCAGGAGTTGCAGGCGTGATCTTGATACAATTAGCATTCGTCTTAAAGAGATCATGGCAAGGTTTCTACTTACCAGTTGTCGCACTTTACTCAAAGCGCCATCGGCACCGACAACAAGCCGGAATCCAGTCTCTGTCGAGCCATCTGCAAAGCGCAGGACGACGTCTTTGGCGCTCAACTCTTCTTGGTGCGTGTCACGCTCAATGGAAGATAGCGCCTTGCCCCAGCGAACCCGATGCGATGGGAGAGAGTCCAGGAGTATCTGCCGCAACTGGAGGCGATCGATCTCAGGCGCATCGCGTTTTTCGCCAAATTTCATGCAGAAATCACCCTTGTAGTTTTGGACAAGCATACTCGTCGCATCACGTCGAGCAAGCCTTTCGAATTCGTCGTGTAGACCAGCGCGTCGCAGTGCTTCCTGTCCTGTTTGACCATGGATGTCCAGGGTGCCACCCTGAAAGCCCGGCTCTGGGACTGACGACGCATCCCGCTCAAATACGACGTAGTCTATGCCCGCGCATTCTAGGAGGCGCGCAAATGTAAGTCCGCAGGGGCCACCGCCAATGATGGCGATCGGTGCAGGCTTTGAACTGGACATAGGATGGCTATATGGCTTTCACGGGTTTGGAACACTTTCAATAGTAAATCTTCAAGGGCTATAAAGAATAGCCAGTCCAGCAACGTATATATTTCAAGAAAGATTCAATAAAAGATGAAGGATATAGCCGGGAATCATCGACTTACACACCGCGGTATCGAGGCTTTTTATACTCACCATCGGGTTTAGGCTTTTACCTCTTCGCCCCTTTTGCGGATTTTGACGATGATCCATAATGAACTCTTTTTGGGGCTCAATTGCACCCATCATGGCTCATCCCCATACAGATATTGATGCTCGGGTGGTAGTAAAATCCGACGCAAGCACAAAGCGATTGTAGATCAGGTAATCTCTCGGGGATTAGAAATCCCCGAGACCCCGAGACCAGTTGGTTGAACACCAAACGAAAATGTGGCTAGAAAGAAGATGAAATCAACCCAAACTTCAATTTGTAAAGGCGGGAGACTTTAGTTGTTTTTTTTTACTCACAGTCGCACCTGGATACCCCGTTGTATATTCCTAGGGTCCTGCTCTAGCGAAGGGTATCCCCGTCCATTGACCAGAATCCACATACCTCAGTTTAGCCCGGAAATTTCAACATTCGAATGTGATAGGTATCAACTTCCCTCTAACCTCTTTGTTAGGACCGGGATTTTTCTGCTCGCCGGCTGAAAATTCCGAGTCATGCATGGAAGATCACCTTCGTTCTAGGGTAAGCGATCCTTCATAGTTTGTCCCTGATACGATCAATGGAGCTTTGATCTCTATGGTCCTAGCATGGGGATACGATCACAAACAAGTCTCGATCCTTGCTCCTAGAGCTCAATATGGACGTATCCTTTATATGTATCCTATACTACTGGGATGATTGTTCCCGTGCCTTATCAAAAATGTATGCACCTGACGGGATTTAGTTTGCCACCCAGCAGTACTCGTAATCCCCGACCAGGAGACCAACTCTCTGCCGTGACTTCCCCGCGCCCGGTACCTTGAAGGGTCTGCCAATGAGATACCGATTCGTGATTGTGTCAGGTACCTTTGTAGATTCAAGCCCATGGGATCATTGGTCCTGGAACGAGTTACAAATATATTCCTAGCACGGTCTTCTTTAGCAAAAGAACCTAAACACGTACTTTGGACCAGATGCCGCTTAAAATTCCCGCCAGTCAGGATAATGGCTGAGCGCGAACGGATCGGAAGATCCCTTTCATCATAAATCCTGATTGGGTTTGGGTTTCAAACGGCTGAGGCATCCGCTGCTACAGCGGGTGGAAGTGGGGTGGCAAGACCCTGGCATTCGTTTGCCAATTTATGCTTCAAATCAAGCCAGCCTCGTCCATAACGTGCCTTGGCTATGGATAATAATCGTCATACACAGGAACGATCGTCTCCGCTATCCGCGTGTCATGGTGTCTCGTTGTATTTCATCTACTTTAACATCCTGGACATATATAAAAGAATACAAAGTCCTAGACTCTTCCTTGTCTTTTGGAACCTCTCTCCTTGTCCTATAGCTTGGATCTCGACAGATTATATCTACCATCAGCTGTCTACCAGAAATGGCAACATTACTCTACCCTTCCAATTCCGGCATTGCCCTGGATGGGTCTATCAACCGTTCTCCGCTACAAACACTGCAGCCAACTACACCGAGTACGGAACTACCATGGCTGTCCCCTTTCACTCCGTCGCAATATGAGAAGGATGGTCTCCTTAGAACCCCATTTGAAAAACAGCTTCCCAAGATGTCCAATATTCCAGCTCCAAACCTAGAGCCCGCACAACCAGCACAGCCAGTTCAGCGAACTCGTCGGTCCTCGACGAAGTCCAGAAAACAAAATGAGGACATCAGCCCAGAAAGAGCCAAGCACCTTGAGCGGAATCGCATTTCCGCCAACAAATGCCGAATGAAGAAGAAGAAAGAGCACGCAAGGATGGAGAGCCTGTTGAGCACCGAAACAGCGAAACGCGATTCCTTGCTATCTGAAGTGGGTCTATTGAAGGATGAACTGTGGTACCTCAAAAACATGATCTTTGAACACGCCCAATGCGAACATCAAAGCATCAACAACCAGCTGGTAAAAATGACGCAGGCCGTCCTTGAAAGCAGCTCAGGGCAGTTGAAATGCCCCTCGCCGGCCTTTTCATCAAGTACGTGGTCCGACGGGTCGGTCCTGGAGGAACCAGGGCAGCCGGAACACCCAGTTACACTTCCAGCAGGTGTTATTGGATATGGGGAATGTCCTGACACGATGTTTGAGAGTTTTCTTGATCTGCCGGCCTTATAGCTAGTCCATCTCTAGGCTCATGTACATGTACCTCATGCCGACTATGTATTAAGGCGAGCTTTATCGAATCCATGATGAACGTGACACGACTGCGTTGATGTCATACTTTCCTCAAAGCTATAGCAACCTACTACGAGTACCTTGAATTGGATTCAAACTTCCACGCATGATGCAGCTCAAACCAAACATCGCATTCTAAATCCGCGGAGTTTCCAACAGGGTCGTGGAACATCAGGCATCTTTCAATTATCCCGGGTCAATGTGCCCACCAATCAAAAAGGTAGCCTTATGACTCAGTTGGCCTGACGGTCGAAATGGGAAACCCCGCAAACGAAAGCGACAGCCGCGTCATCATTGGCGCTATGGCTAACCTCCAATCATGGCGCTCGGAGGAAGCTATCTCCATCTCCGGACTCTATCGGGTTGGACAGAAACTATGGATGGAGACTGCGGCTCGTCGATTGTATGGAAGAAACGGCCGACCAATCGCATCACAATGATCGGCCAATCATGTGGGGCCGGAGAACTCAAGCTTGAGAGGATTTATTAATAATTTAGAGCTTCTGAACTGTGCTATCATTCTGGTCTCCCATGTACCAGCCACTGATGTCACATAGAGGCCTTGCCACAAGCCATAAGCCACAGGTAGAATGTAGATGCCATGGATCTATGCATATGCATCTTTGATATAACAGCGTCATATCCCCTACTCTATCCTTTTTTTTAATGCTTAAACATCGAAGCAGAACACTAGCCACACTTACAACTCTATAGTTACGATAGGAAGAGTTATTCATTTCCCGAATGTCCTCGACATTTATCATGTCTAAATCATTATGCAACACACCTGCCCCTGGGCAAGAGATGGCCCAATTCACCCAGAGGAACATAATGGGTACTCTGTTTGAGACAACAGAAAGGTATGATCAATTCTACGAATTCAACTTGGGTTAATTCTAAAATTTTTGCCGCAGATATCAACATCTGGAGCCTGTCGGAATGGGTATCTCTGGACTTGTCTGGTATGGTGGTCACCTCAACTGAATTACTGTCTGATACTAATTGCTCGGTTTAGCTCCGCAAGAGACCAGATTAAACACCAGACCGTCGCTGTAAAGAAGCTCTGCGAGCCATTCAAGACAGACAACATTGCAAAACATATGTTCCGCGAGGTCAAACTATTGAAACAACTCCAGCATGATAACGTGTGTCACTCAGTAGCTTTCCTAGATAATCGAATATTGACAGGTATCCAGATCATTCACTTAAACGACATTTTTATTTCTCCATCTGAAGAAATGTAAGCATAATCTGACCTTCTTTCTAAGGAATCGATCTAATAGCTTAAAAGTTATCTCGTCACCGATCTCATGGCGACAGATCTGCACACTCTCTTGAAAACGAAAAAGGTTGGCAATCAATTTACGCAATACTTTTTATATCAAATCATGGTAATTATTCACTACCCCCTATACACTCAATTACCATGACTAAGCTTTAATAGCGAGGCCTCAAATATGTACATTCCGCCGGTGTAGTCCACCGCGATCTCAAACCAAGCAACATCCTAGTCAACGAAAATTGCGATCTAAAAATCTGTGACTTTGGCTTAGCCCGCGTGCAAGAATTACAGATGACAGGTTACGTCTCAACTAGATACTACCGAGCACCAGAGATCATGCTCACGTGGAGACGATACAACGAGAAAGTGGATATCTGGAGTGCTGGGTGTATCTTTGCCGAAATGATGATGGGTCGACCGCTCTTCTTGGGGAAAAACCATATCGATCAGTTCTGTGTTATTACGCAGCTTCTGGGAAATCCACCAGATAACGTCGTTGCAAACGTGACGAGTCAAAATGTGAGTGATCCTACCTTCATCTTTATCGAAAATTGTTTGTTGACTTGTTTCCCCATCAGACTTTGAATTTTATCAGGTCCCTTCCGAAGCGGTCTCGGAAATCGTTGGCTACGCTTATCCCTACCGCGAGTAGAAAAGGTATTCATCCATTCCTGTTTCCTTTTACTCTTATGGGTAATTGCTAATTCCCATCCATTAGCCATCAGCCTGTTGGATAAACTACTCCAATTCGATCCAGAGAAACGCTGTTCCGCGGTCGACGCTTTGGAATCCCCATATCTTGCTCCATACCATGACCCGGATGACGAACCCGAGGCTCCACAATCATTTGACTGGTCATTCCTTGAAGCAGATCTTCCAGCCGATGTATGGAAGACTATTATGTACGCAGAGGTTTTGGGGTACCATGAGCAGGCAGGGGGGCCCTTCCAGTTGACTGGAGAATTTGATGGCATGGACCTAGGTTGATCAACCTTTGTATTGTGGGGGTTGAAGGTTATTTTTCTTTTGTTCTCTCCTTTCTAAGCTCTGCATTTCCCTGTCTTGTTCGGACCTCTCCTTTCTTCTTTATGATTTGGGAGGGGTGTTTCTGTCCTTTGGAGGCATTTTGCTTTTGTTTGCGGCGACTCGTTTGTCATATGGGCGGCCATTGTTGAAAATTTTGAGTGAATGAAACATTCTGACAAGCTGATTTGGTATTAGACAGTCTTGAAGCAGCCTCGAAGGGAAACACTTAAGAGGTGCGCGAGTCTGTATGCAGAAAGTTGTACTCCCATGAGCATGTAGCGAGGCAACTAACGTAGAGATGAGGAATCATTAAAAGTATCATTATTGAATTATCAAGGTACGATGATATATGGTATCCGTGGGTAAGCCCATCGCATCAGGCTAGAAAAACACGTCATAAAACAACACCACGCCGATGATCAATGGTCAAATTCTCCGTAGATCCACCCGTGTGTATTCGTAGATTCGTTTTGACCCATGCGTCGATATGTATTATTTGAACATTAAAGTTGTGGAGTCAGCCGATCCAATGCATGGTTGGCATATGATAAGATGCGAACTATGATTGCCTCGGTCTGGGGTCGTACTGCAAGTCGTTGTCTTCGCTCTAGACGCTCTCGGGGGCAGTCACTTCGGAGACGGCCGGTTGTTGCTGCTCATGGTTGTGGCGGTTGCGGCGAGAGTTGGCGACGTCCATGAAAGCGTAGACATTGGTGAAAGCGAAGAGTGCCCTATTTTTGCTGTTAGACTCACTATTTTTTGGATATTTCCAGGGACCGGATGCATGGGTAACTTACCACTCAACTGCGGCAACGACAATGGTCGCCTGGAGACCGTGACAGCTGGCATAGCTGCAAGAGTTGGGCTTGGGGATCATAACTGCCAAAGCAATCCAGCCACTGAGCCAGAGGGCCATAGTAATGAACTCCATAGCGGGGATCACGACTTCATGCGAGAAGCGCGGGAGCCAGATAGGGGCGAGGCCCAAGTAGGGCACGGCGACAACGAGAGTCCAACAGCCATTGAAGAGCATGTAATAGATGACATTGGAGAAGGACCATTCATCGTACAGGGATGCAATGACTATGTCGAAATTGTCAGTAGAGTCTTTCACGTGTCAATCGCGTGGTGGGCACCAACCGTATGCAGTCAAGCCAATAGTAGCCAGGGCAAAGACAGCCTGAATCAGGCGGATAGGATAGACCCAAGCCAACATGATGGGTATAGATGTGACAATTGCTGTTTTCAAAACTCAGTTATATAGGAGATCGAAAACGTGAAAGAGACTCTGTCTTGGTCGTGTTTCGGATTGTACGTTGCACTGTGATGAAGAAAAGAATAAGATCCACTTTCGCCTCGCCGGGTGTCCACTGGGTTATATACTGGGGGAAGTCAAACTTCAGAGCTAGCATAAAATTGAGAAAAAAATCCAATCCAGGTTAAGACCGAGGCGTTCCTGAGTATGGCCAGACGTCATGGGACGGAACATGCCTCGGAGTCGGGGAGACCCTGCAGGGCAAGCACTAAGGCCAGTAACTTCAGTAGTTGAAAGAAGGCGCCGAGCTGGGCCTCCGGGAACAACCCGATGAAAAGGTTGGACCACGGCAGGGGTTCATAGAAATTTTTGCTGGGGCTCTTACTTGAAAAAGCTTTAGGGCAATAAACTATGGAAAATGCAGGTCCCTTGGCCCCCGGAAAGGAACCACGCCTCGGCACGCCGAGAAGCAGCAGCCCGGTTGGGTTCCGTGCCTCTTCCCCAGATTCTTTAAACCTTTAAACTTATAACCTATTATCTCGCAGTTTATGAAGAACAGAATACGACCCAGTTCATTATTGTTGGATATTCAATTTCTCATGACTGAAATTTCGGTGTACTTTTGACGCTACATCGTATTAGCAAAACTCTGCCGAGTCTATGACGCTGAGTTTGTCGATCTCACATGAAAAGGAACCGAGGCAGCCCCGAAGAGGATGCCACCACGGGCGATCTTTCATCGGATCCTCCGATTCTCGACCGTCTGGCCAGAATAAAAAGTAAGAATTTGTCAAAAAAGGAAGAAGCTTTTAGCCAACCGGTGCCTTATGATCAGTCGGCACTATTTCCGCCAACTATGCGTGCTATACGGAGTACTTTTTGACTATACATAGGTAGCCCTATTAGGTAGTTGAAGGATTCACAAGTCTACCTTATCTTCCCGATAAACCATGCCACGGACAGACTGTCTTTCCGGTTTACTACGAGCATTGCGAGCATAACCTGACCGCCATATGCATCATGAAGTAATATCTGACTCACTGGATTTCCGATCCTTCTATCAGATGATACTATCATGATTTCAGAATGAAAATCAACACAAGCATAACCATGTATGGTGGAGATGAGAGCACCTATATACAAAATCATACACTACTACAAGACCTATCCCGTTTATTTTACACGTGCCATGATCGACCCAAGTATAGCCTGGTACATACTACTCTGTACCTCGTACTTAGCTGGCTCTTGACAGCAAGGCCCGCACGGCATCCATCACCCCGATCGACTTTTCATCCGCCGGCTCAATAGCTGACCGAGCGGCATCCGGCTCCTGTGAAGACGGCCTCTGTCCTGCCTCCTTCGCCGCCGCCTCAATAGCCGCATGACGCTCTCGCCACTCGCGGTCCTCCTTGTCACGGATTTCCAGCTCCCGAAGCCATGCGTCGCGCTTCTCTTGTGCCTTGCGCTCTTCCACCGCCTGCTCGAATTCCCGACGCTGCTGGCGCTCCGTCTTGAAGTACATTCCTCCCGCGACGAGGGCGACTAGTGTGAAGGCTTGGGCGTAGATACGGGCGCGGAACATGCGGTTCATTTCGGCAGAGTCGCCAGCTCGCATGGATCGGTAGGCTCGGTAGAGGGCGTAACATGTTGCGGCGCATCCTGCAGAGAGGGAGATGTTTAGTATGCCGTGGCTGGGATATTCTGTATGTTGGTAGCATAGAACGCACCAAGTGGAATCAGAGGCTCTTCCTTCAGGCGTCTGGTAAATTTCTGGGCGCCAGTCTCCTCCTTGAATTGACTGTCATGGAGGGAGCAATGTCAGCGCACAAGTTGTCTCGGTCGCAAGTAACCTTCCATCTAGCATTCATTGCAGCGCAGGTCATTGTAGGTATTGAGTGACATACGGGTTGTCCTCAAAGGACGAGGGAACAGGTTCGCGGTTCATGATGTGAGGGGGTCGTGGAGCTCTCGTGAGCTGATGTGGTTTGCGTGTAGGTCGCGATCGGACGACTCGGGTGGGCAAGGAACGAGGGCTGCGAACGTATATGCACACTGGTTGGAATTGTCCCTTCAGCTGTCAAGGCCGGCTAGATTGCTTAGCGTCGGTTTAGGGCTGGAGTTGAAGATTGCTGGTGGTATGCAAGGGTTGTTCGGAGCATGACGTCGCGAATTCGCCAAGAAGTTTTCCTGAACTGCAGAGCATACGAGGATGGGCGGTAAAACTACGAGTCCCCATTTCTTATTATTTGATGTTATCGCTTTGGCCAGGCTGTGTTGAATCAATAAAAGACACGACGCAAAATCATCTCAAATTATTTATTATTTAATCCTTCAGTACAAAGCAAATCCGAATCTACCTAATTTGCTCTGAAAGGAAGTCACGCCATTCAAATCAACTGGCGAGGTGACTAAGTTAAGGTTGACCGCCATTAGCTTATGTAAGATATCAAGTCGCACTTCTCTTGCCATTCTATTCACATTCATTGGCCTCCCATTGGAGAAAAAGTACTAATCTATACTATGGACAAACAAATCAAGTCTATACTTACGTATCATATATCAAGTTATTCCCTAGGATATCCGTATTAAGTATGGTAGGTAGGGCATCCACGTTGATGACATAAGTCTCCGGCTCCGATCGCGGGCCCGCCTCCGCAAGAAAAAAGAGTCAGAGGGGCAAGAATTTCCTCATTGGCCCTTCGTTTCCTCTCCCAAGCCATTGAACTTTTTTGATTTCACCTTTTCGGGTGAATTTAAATCTGTCAAAATCGTCATGTCTGAAGAGCCCACCACAAACGGGGTCGCGTCGCCCGTCACTCCCAAGATGAGTGGCTTGGCTTTGACTGAATATACCGCCGCTCCGACTCCCCCTCTGAGCGCGCTGAACGTATTCCTGGTGTGCCTCCCAACTGGGGCATTCCTAATGCTTTCCTGCTGCCCAACGGATACCCCGATGTAAGAAAAAAGCTTGTGCCTTCATATTCAATTGATCAATTCTAACCAGCCGTCAATGGGTTATCTAGTATCTGCGATTGATCCTAACATCCCGAGTCTACGATGTTATCGACGAGAGCCCTCTTCACCATGCCGTCAACCTCAGCAACCGGCTCGAGAGCCGAGTCCTTCTCAAGCGAGAGGATTTGCTGCCCGTCTTCAGCTTCAAGCTTCGTGGCGCTTACAACAAGATGGCCCATCTGAACCCGGAGCAGCGGTGGAAGGGTGTCATCGCTTGCTCTGCTGGCAACCACGCACAGGGTGTCGCTTATTCTGCTCGCAAGCTGAGAATCCCCGCTACCATCGTTATGCCCTCCGGTACTCCCGCCATTAAGCACCTGAACGTTGCCCGTCTGGGAGGTAGCGTTGTTCTCCACGGAAATGACTTTGATGCCGCCAAGGACGAGGCCCACCGGTTGGAGAAGCAGCATGGTCTGACCAACATCCCGCCATTCGATGACCCGTACGTCATTGCTGGTCAAGGTACCATCGGTATGGAGCTGTTGCGCCAGGCGAACTTGGACAAGCTGGAGGCAGTATTCTGCGGCGTGGGTGGTGGCGGTCTGATTGCTGGTATTGGTGTGTACCTCAAGCGCATTGCACCTCACGTCAAGGTCATTGGTGTTGAGGCTCACGACGCCAATGCCATGGCCCAGTCACTGGATGAAGGTGAACGTGTCTTCCTCAAGGAGGTCGGTCTCTTCGCGGATGGTGCAGCTGTCAAGTCTGTTGGTGAGGAGACCTGGCGGGTCAGCCGAGAGGTCATCGATGAGATCATCCAGGTCTCTACCGATGAGATCTGCGCTGCCATCAAGGATGTCTTTGAGGATACCCGCTCCGTCATCGAGCCCGCTGGCGCGCTCAGTCTTGCCGGTCTGAAGAAGTACATCTCCAAGAACCCCAGCCCCGACACCGGCCGTGAGCTGATTGCCATCACCTCTGGTGCGAACATGGACTTTGACCGTCTCCGCTTCGTTGCTGAGAGGGCTGCTCTCGGGGAGAAGAAGGAGGCTCTCCTCAGCGTCAAGATCCCCGAGAAGCCCGGTGCATTCGCCAAGCTCGTCGAAGTCATCCTTCCCCACGCCGTGACCGCTTTCAGCTACCGCTATGCTCACGACGACACGGCCGATGTTCTCATGGGCATCTCTCTGTCTGCTCAGACCGGCCGCGACGACCTCTCCAAGATCATGGAGGAACTGGAGAACGCTGGTATGACTACCCGTGACCTGAGCGAGGATGAGCTCGCCAAGCGCCATGTGCGTTTCATGGTCGGTGGTCGCGCTGACGTTGCCGACGAGCGTCTGTTCATGTTCGAGTTCCCCGAGCGACCGGGTGCGCTGGCCAAGTTCCTGACTACCCTCCGCCCCAACCAGAACATCTCTCTGTTCCACTACCGCAACTATGGGGGTGACGTGGGCAAGGTTCTTGCAGCGATCCAGTGCCCAGCTGATGAGAAGGATGATCTCGAGTCTTTCCTCAAGGATTTGGGCTATCCTTTCAGTGAGCACACCGATTCGCCTACCTACCAGACCTTCCTTCGTCCTTAATAATGTGCTTGCTTTTTGTTGCATATGCCCATGTCCATAGTGCAGATATCCAGATGGGGGTTTTGGTTGATGATCATGTTGTTTTGTTTTATTTTTCATTATTTTAGCGGTCTAAAAGTGCAACTCTTTTCTGATGTGCTTTCATTCCCCCAATTTCGGCGTTTGGTTTCAAATTCAGAATAGACTATTGGGAAATCGGTTCCATCTTTACTATAGCTTTTGTATATCAATATAAATCATATTCTACACATGCCTGTCGAGCTGCTCAATAGACAGCCTTTCAATATAACAAACAGAATGCCCAAGAAATGCATTGAAAATAAAGAATTCAAGAGAGCTATGTAGTAAAATACAATACTCACGAGTTCTATGTATGAGACCCACTCCTGCAATGCGGGCTCGGTGACTCGGCAATACAAAAGCTCCGGGCAACAATCTTCCCATCGCGAGAACCCGCGGAGCACGGCATCAACGACGAGCCCTACACCTCAATCGCTCGGCCCAGAACGAAAGATCACCGAGGCACCGCGCCTCATTACCCTCACTCCCTCGTTCTCGACACAATCGCAATCATGTTTTCGCTCCGCACCGTCCTCGGAGCGCCCAGCGCCCTCCGCCAGCTGCTCCCCTCCGTGTCTCGCCGATCAATTCCTGGCGCTATGTCTCTTCGTCCTTTCTCGCATATGATTCGGAACAGCTTGACGAGGCTGCGGGCTACTTCTTCAGGGACTGGTAGTGCCGTTGCTGTGGCTGTGGGTGCGACTCGGCAGATTGAGCAGGTTCGCGGCATGAAGACTCGCTCTTCCGTTAAGCGGCTGTGTGATGGATGCAAGGTATGATCTGTTCTGATATGGATTCTCTTGTTGGATGTGTTCTTGGGTTGGAATTGCAGTCTTGGATACTAACTCGGTGCTCTAGCCTGTCCGCCGAAAGAACCGTGTGTATATCATTTGGTGAGTTCTGGACCAGCCCAATCATTGCTGTTGGAGTCCAACAAGCGTGGAAAGATGCGTTTACTAATTCAATTACTTCTTTTTAGCTCGAAGAACCCCAAGCACAAGCAACGACAAGGCAAATAGAGGGGTTACCAACAACCTTCCTCTCTGCTTTTTGTTTCGATGGCATGCACGATTTTGATACCTCCAACCCGGCCCGACTCGACAGTCTCAACATACGTGATATACGTGATATCTCGAATGTTTTTGATATGATTGGCATATCCTGTTGTCCTGATTGTGTCCGATCTGTCCGATCCGGCCGGATACGCGGGATTTCGTCTCGACTCTTCAATTGGTGGCATACACCTTGCATACTTGTTTCCAACCCATAAATACTTTGGGATATCGCGGCGCTTGGGTCTTTATACTTGTACATTAGCTTTAGGACTAGAATCGCTGGTCTTCAATGTTTCATTCAATTCAAGGAATCTCCAAAATCTGAACTATAGCCCACATCCTCGATTTGGCAGGGTACCCCGAGTATCAGATGAAGCATCTCGTTCAAACCAGCGAGCATAGCCATACGAATGAATTAATCAACCATTGAGACTAGCGATCTATATTTGAAGGGTATATTAAGTACTTGTAATGCGCCGTTCCTGAGAGGCCGGTAATCACGTGATGCGTTCCTGGCTTCCCCGAACTTTTTTTCCGCGAAAACAAGCGCGCATTCAACTCGAGTTGATTCGACCAATCTTGGTAAGAGTTGATCGTCGTTATGAGGACTCCTACTCTTGCACGGTTGCCGTACCGTGCGGTGTCTGGCTTGACCAGCACTACCCGTTTCCAGTCCCAGACCTTCCTGCGTTTGCGATGCGCATCCACGGCCGCTTTGCGGCCCTCCGGTGTCGCGCCGGCTTATCAGTCGGTCATGAGGCAATGGGAGCAGCGACGCAATGCTGCCTCTGCTGCTGCTTCTGCAGTGTGAGTTTGAAAATATGACGAAATCCTCTTTGTTCAATGCTAATTTACTGTGGTTTTAGTCTCGAGGCCGCTGCGGCCAGCCCGGACAGTCTGTCGCAGGCCGCGATTATCGACAACCTTGACCCCATTGAGGCTGCCCGTTTGGACAAAGTTCGGAACATCGGTATTGCGGTATATATCACCATGGAAACTGTATATGGTCTATCATGGAAGTTCTAACGGTTCCCCTCTACAATAGGCCCATATCGACAGTGGTAAGACCACTTGTACCGAACGAGTCCTCTTCTACACTGGTCGAATCAAGGCTATCCACGAGGTCCGCGGTCGTGATGCTGTCGGTGCCAAGATGGACTCTATGGATTTGGAGCGTGAGAAGGGTATTACCATTCAATCTGCTGCCACCTTCTGTGACTGGGTCAAGAAGGATAAGGAGGGCGTTGACCAGAAGTACCACATCAACTTGATTGACACCCCCGGTCACATTGATTTCACCATCGAGGTCGAGAGAGCGCTGCGCGTTCTTGACGGAGCCGTTATGATCCTGTGTGCCGTGTCCGGTGTTCAGTCCCAGACCATTACCGTCGACCGTCAAATGCGCCGTTACAACGTTCCCCGTATCTCCTTCGTCAACAAGATGGATCGTATGGGTGCCAACCCGTTCAAGGCCATTGAGCAGATCAACACCAAGCTGAAGATGCCCGCCGCCGCCGTTCAGGTTCCCATCGGTGCCGAGGACGAGTTCGAGGGCGTTGTTGATCTGATCCGCATGAAGGCTCTCTACAACAAGGGCGAGAGTGGTGAGGAGATCTTTGAGACCGATGAAATTCCCGACAAGGTCAAGGAGATCGCACAGGAGCGCCGGGCTATGCTCATCGAGACCCTTGCCGATGTCGATGATGAGATTGCTGAGATCTTCCTGGACGAGGCTGAGCCTACCGAAGACCAGCTGCGTGCTGCTATTCGCCGCGCCACCGTTGCCCTGAAGTTCACTCCCGTCTTCATGGGTTCCGCTCTGGCCAACAAGTCTGTTCAGCCCATGCTTGACGGTGTCGTTGACTTCCTGCCCAACCCCGCCGAGGTTGAGAACCTTGCTCTTGACCAGAAGCGCAACGAGGCTTCCGTGAAGCTTGTCCCTTACAACTCTCTTCCCTTCGTCGGCTTGGCTTTCAAGCTGGAGGAGAGCAACTTCGGTCAGCTGACCTACATTCGCGTGTACCAGGGTACCCTCCGCAAGGGTTCCAACGTGTTCAACGCCCGCAACAACAAGAAGGTTAAGGTCCCCCGTATTGTGCGTATGCACTCCAACGAGATGGAGGAGGTCAGTGAGATCGGTGCCGGTGAAATTTGCGCCGTGTTCGGTGTTGAGTGTGCCTCCGGTGATACCTTCACCGACGGACAGCTTGGTTACAGCATGTCTTCCATGTTCGTTCCCGAGCCTGTCATCTCGCTTTCCATCAAGCCCAAGCAGACCAAGGATGCCGCCAACTTCTCCAAGGCCATGGCCCGTTTCCAGCGTGAGGACCCGACCTTCCGTGTGACCTACGACAGCGAGAGTGAGCAGACCATTATCTCCGGTATGGGTGAGCTGCACCTTGACATCTACGTCGAGCGTATGCGCCGTGAGTACCGTGTCGACTGTGAGACTGGTCAGCCCCAGGTTGCCTACCGTGAGACCATCGGCAGGCGTGTCGACTTCGACCACTTGCTCAAGAAGCAGACTGGTGGTGCTGGTGACTATGCCCGTGTCATGGGATGGATGGAGCCTACCGGCGCTCTCGAGGACAACAAGTTCGAGCAGCAAATTGTCGGTGGCAGTATTTCCGAGAAGTTCTTGTACGCTTGTGAGAAGGGTTTCAACCTCTCTTGCGAGAAGGGTCCTCTTATCGGCCACAAGGTTCTCGGTACCTCTATGGTCATTAACGATGGTGCCACTCACATGACTGATTCGTCCGAAATGGCCTTCAAGAACGCTACTCAGCAGGCCTTCCGTAAGGCTTTCGTGGAGAGCAACCCTGCCGTCCTGGAGCCCTTGATGAAGACTGTTGTTACTGCCCCGTCTGAGTTCCAGGGTGACGTGATTGCCCTGCTGAACAAGCGTGGTGCTACCATCAACGACACTGAGACTGGTGTTGATGAGTTCACCATCTATGCCGACTGCAGTTTGAACGGCATGTTCGGCTTCAGCTCCAACCTTCGCGCTGCCACCCAGGGCAAGGGTGAATACACCATGGAGTTCAGCCACTACGAGAAGGCTCCCCCACAAGTCCAGTACGTTTTTTTCACCAACATCTTGATACATCGTTCACATGCTAACCATTTTTCTCCCTTATAGGAAGGAGCTCATTGCCAAGTACCAGAAGGCTCAGGCCGACCGGAACAAGAAATAAGCTTGCTCAACAACCCACCCAGACCCTGCCTGAAATTCCCACCCTGGCCATCTTCCCTACACACCTTGTAAAACTACCACTATATTTCTCCCATTCGACTTCTTCCTCGGCCCAGGCAGGATCTGGGCTCTGTTCCACCTCTAAAACAGCGCAAATCATCTTTCTTATAGAGAAGACAAGATCTAGCTCACGGTGCTACTGTGGCGGACTCGAGGCGCTCTTCTACTTTCCTGCGTCATGGCATTATATCATCTTGCGTCTTTCTTTGCCGGGACATGTACTTTAAAATTTGGGATATTACCTTTCTACTCTGCTGTCTGAACAATACATCTGAAGAATACATAGAGCTTCGCACCATCAACCCATTGAGCATTCTTTCTCAGATCACTCATTAATACGTATCACTTTTCTACTTGAACATTATCGTGGAGCAAAGTGTGAACCCAATAATATTTCCAGGTGGGTGTAAAGTATATGACAGAAGGTTTCATTAAGACATGTATGTTGACATCCATAAAAAAGCACAACAAGAGCCAGTAACACCGAGATAAAGGGTATATGCGCGCTATGAGCGGAAGAACGAAGCCACGGGCCGATAACAGAAGTAAAAGTAAGATATAGATCGGGGTTGAGCCAGGCCTTTCGTCGACGAATGGTCTCAAGAGCTCATAGTAGCTGGCTTAGAGCCAGAGAACCCACCGCGCACCGGATATGGCTCCACGGAAGACGCCACGTACAAGTTTGAAAGCCATGACAATGAGCCAGACCCACCAAAGCATGCCGACAAGAGCCCATTCTAGCACGACGAACCCTGCGCGTCGAACCCAACGCAGTCGTCGGCGACGCTTCCGAATACCTCGGTCGAGGGCATCACTGAGAGATTTCACGGCGAGAGTACTGGTGGTATTAAGTTGGACACATAGGTCCTCGGCACTGTCGGCAGTGGCTCGAACACGGGGTGTAAGGGTTTGATTGACAAGGATTTCCAGGTCCCTTAACTGCGAGCGGAGAGGGGATGAGGTAGAAGTGGAGAAATGATGCATCGATTGTTGAAATGAGTATTGGGTCATTTCAAACCTGCGCAAGAAACCCTGGGCGGCGGTATCGAATTCACTAATTCGAGTGACTCGAGGAACGGAAGAACTGTTGCCCATGGAGTTTGCCAGCCAGTGAGGGGGATCCCGCGAGCTGTTGGCTCGGCGGGTAATTTCCCGAGCTTTGATGCCGGATGCTAGTAGTAGGGTACGAGTACGTTCAATCTCGGTCTTGCCCGGAACGCCAGAGTCGTTCAATGAGTGAAGACTGCGGCCTGAAATACTCCAGGCCCGACCTGCACCTGACAATCCAGCAGGCCTCCTACCAGGCCCTGGGGATGCTCGCGCTCGAGCGAGTCCAGTCACCGGGGGCTGGGTAAGGCTGAAAGGATTAGAAGGATCTTTGATCGCATTCGATGATTTCATGCGACCACGGGCGGATTGAAGGGCTGGGCCAAAGTCGAGCGTTTTACTGCGAGACAGAGCCATCCTCTTGGGCCCTTCCTGCTCTTCAGGTCGCGGTGATGCGACTGAGCGCTCACGAGTACTGCCAAGCTCAATGGCATCGCTCGATCCTCCACTCTTGTCATCTTGTCGTAGCGGGGACGTGAAGGTTGGTAGGGAAGGTTTGAAGCTTCTAGAAGATATGATTTTCTCGGATTCCCGACGTATGAGGCGACCAGGCTCGTCTGTAAGATTGGGCAGGCGCCGTAGTAGTCCCTGTGGCCCAGAGCGTTTGTCTGTTCTCCTTTCATCTTCGTCCGAGTCACTGTCATCCGAAGCGACTGTAGTCCCGGGTGATGATTTGCGGGAATCAGGAAGTGTATCCTTCTTCAGAATCAAGTCTCCAACCTTAGAGACCTCGTTGCCAACAATCTCAGCAATCCGGCCGGGGCCTTTGAAGATTCCTCGCAGCTTAGACTCCGGCAAATGCTGTCCCTTTCGCCCTCTGTAGCCATCAGCGCGACCTTCGGAAACTCCTTGGTCATCGAAATAAGATGTGGATACAATATCCGGAAGAGGACTGGGTTGAAGCTTGGACGGTCGCTCAGACTGCTCCTGGGACGGCAAAGAAGGCTGAGAAGCGACTGCAGCAAGGCTCTCGTCTTCGTGCTCACGAGAGTCCCGGTAGCCTTGCTTGCTCTTACTCCGCTCGTGACGAGAAACAATCTTGTGACGAAGTCCCTTCTTAGCTGGTGAAGGGGACCGGCTTGAAGCTGGAGACAACTTGACTGCTATGCTAGGGAAATAGCCCGCGTGCGCAGGAGAATTTGGTGCGGTGCTATCCATTGCCTCAAAAGACATTCTTGGATTGTATTTATTGTCCAAGCTGCCAGTTGATGAAAACGAGGCTTGTCGGCCCACTTGACTCGCCTTGGTACTGAGCGGTGGAAGTTCAGACATTTGACGTCTGGTCGTGTCGTTGACAGCAGCGGGAGCTTTGGAGCGTCGTGACTCGGAAAGATTGGAGGCTTCCTTACGCATGAGAGCCTCGGATTTAATTCGCGAGTGTCCCCATGCTCGACGGCTTCGGTCTGAAGACTTACGCCGCTCTGGACTAGAATCACTAGACACGCTTCCAGCACGCATCTTAACTTTGTCCCAACGCGAGCGCTTTCCCGAACTAGAGGCACTTTGACTTCGTGCGTGGGAATGGCTCTGAAACCTGTGTTTGTGCCGGCCTCGACCAACACTCTTGAATTCGGGTTCCAGGGCCGGGCGAGCACTGGACAAAGATATGTTGCGGGAAAGCAACTCCTCTTGGTTGGGATATGCCATCTCAACCGACAAACGTGGTATCTGCTGGGGGTACTCCACGCTGCTATCCATCAAGACCAGCTCTGTTGGATCGGGGTAGAGTTTATTGCCATCTCTATCGACGATCTTGGCTCTGTTAGAACTATCCTCGAGCCATGCGACATCAGCTAGTAGTTCTGCTGGTGAGCTCGCCCAGTCGAGACGTGGGCGAGTTGTTTTGACGCTATTAGTACGACTGACACGCCTCAAGCTGCCAGGGGGCGAGACAGTCGTGTCGAAATCCTGCGAATCTCCATGAGGTGTATGATGTTGACCTTGCTGAAAAGACGGCAGTTTAATTATTTGCATCTCATCGTGGGTCCTGTCGCTATACCGATTCTGGATGGAGTTGACCCAGTCATGGACTTTGTCGACGTCATGCCAGCCACCAGCTTCTGGGTCAATTGGGCATTTCTCTCGATACCTAATCTTTCGATTCCGAATCATCTGAAGGGGATTGTAGCTTCGGCTTGTTGATGCGACGACAGGTGGGACATCCGAAGAATCAGAATCATCGGTGACCTGGGGTTTTCGCAACGGGGGCAGCGAGGGGAGAAGTCGCAGGTACTCTTGGAAAAGCTCAAAATGCCGACGAGCTCGATCTGCACGGGCGAGGGTCCTTTCAGAGAACTCGTACAATCGGTTGTCGTTCGCAACAGTAGATGGTAGGAAATCCACCACCGGAGATTTTGCGGTTGACTGTGGTCCTTCGAGGGAGCCATCGCCAGGGATCTGAGTGTAATCACGATACGAAGAATCGCGCTGTGCATTCTTCCCCGTAGGCGCTGGTGGGAGAAGCTCCAATGGTGCAGCGGCAGGTTGCGACACAGATAGAGGTCTCCGCACGTTCGGACCAGGGACAAGTCCGGAGGCAGTCCTCCTCCGAGACTCATTCAAATTCAAAGCCAGATTCACGATCTGAAGAGAGTCCCTATCCATACCGGGCGCAGCAGCCTGGTGATCGCCATGTGTTCCAGAGGTCGCGCGGGACGGGGTTTTGGTTTGTTCTACATCGGGGGGTGGCGTCGGGGCTTGATCAGCGGCGATTGGGCTTGACTCAGAAGCCGCTCGAGCTGATTCAGATGCCGAAGTCCTATGGCGACTCCATGGAAAGCGCGATCGTTTCTTAGATACCACGATATCACCGTCGGGGGCACTGCGTTTCTCTACCGGTGGCTCTGAAGGGCGAGCTCGGTGCGAGCCGATTCTCAGGCTTGACGAGCGTGGTAAGGAGTCTAACAGAAACCCGCTAGAACTCTGTGTCCTGCGCTGACCCGGTGTCCTTCGTTCACCATCACGAGAGCTGCTCCCCAGTGTACTCCCCTCGAGCTCCCCGCTCGCTCGGCCGTCGCTCGTGGGGACAGCTTGCCGCCGAGATGAACCTGCATCGGATCGCTGTGGAAGCGGCCGACTTTCTTGCGACGCATCGTGACTATTTCCATCGGTTGGAGGCATTGAATTTCGCTCGCTCGGGGTATTGCGTCGTTGCGACATCGATTAGCCGATGGAAGGGCGAGGGAGCTGGATTGCCTCGCCTTGAGGAAAGGCAACGAGCATCGCCTGTCAAACCTGTGCAACCATGAGTGCAGTAAGAATCAAGGGGTCGATTTCGGGTGCAGGGGAAAAAAATAACCGCGGGAGTAACTCGAGTATCTGCACAAGTCATGCGCCGTCGATCTACAATGTTGGAGTTGCGCGTCGGACAGGCCGATTATCTAAGCATATCTACAGGAATGACCTCACAGGGTCTATCAAAGGGGTGAAAGTACGCATAACAATTTTTGACAGTAGTTTAGTACAACATATAGATTGTTGAATAGAAGATCGGCCAATCCATAACACAAAGGAAAAGTTCTAGCATTTGGTCTAACGCAAAAGTACAACTAAAGGTACAGTTCCTGTAGACATGACGAAGATATACAGGATAAATTGGAATCAAGAACGCTCATTTTACTCCACCCGCAAGCACTGGAGGCGAGCCTCGGTCTCGATAACCTAGTAGGAGAACAGGTGTTAGCAAAGGCTTCGCCTAAAAAACAAAATACAACGATGGGGGAAAAAGCTTACCTCGAGAGCCTGCTTAACCTCAAGAACCCGGCGGACATCGCCCAGCCAATCCTTGCTCAGGATCTTGGCCCAACCCTGGAGGGTGTTCATCTCACGGGCAGCTGCATCAAGGTTGCCCTCCTCGAGCAAGTTCTCAGTACGGAGGAGAATGCTCTCAACGTCATCTCCGTCAGCAAGACCATCCTTCTTGAACATGACCTTGCTCAAAACCAGGCTAGCAGCGTGGCTGGCAATACCAGCATCCTCGGGCAGAAGACTGGCCTTGCGGACCTCACCCGCGACACGACGGAAGCGCTCAATGATCTGAGTGGGGGAGGGGATACCGCGCTGGTAAGCAGTGGGGTTGATGGAAGCGATAGCAGCCTCAACAACGGGGTCGTCAGCGGCCAGCTCCTTGACGGCAACGAGCTCACGGACGAAAGGACGAGAGGACTCCGAACGCTCAACAACGGAGCGCACAGCGTCGACGGCGACCTGAAGCTGCTGGGTCTTGAGGTTGGTGTCAATGACGTTGCTCCAGCCAGTAGTCAGGCTTTCGAGCTCGGAGATGTTAGCGGTAAGCTCGTTCAGCTTGCTGAGACGGCCCTCGCGCTCACGCTCAACCAGATCCTTGACCTCGTGGATATATTTCCGGTTCAGCTCGATGGCCTGTTCCACAAGCTCGTTCTTCAAGCGCTGCTCTGCAAGGTCCTGGGCACGCTGAAGCTCAACCTTGATCTTGTCCTGATAAGCAAGGGCAAGCTTCTCACGCTCAGCCTCAAACTCCTCACGGAACTGGGCAACCTCAGCAGCGCGCATGTCCTCGAAACGACGAATCAACTCGCGGGCAGACTCGTCGAACGTAGCGTGTGCCTTGTTGATCTCTTCTTGGGCAGCCTGCTTGGCCTCATCCCTCAATGCCGCAATGGTCTCGCCAATCTTCAGAAGCTCCTCCTTGGCCTTTGCGACAGGAGCAGAGTACTTGCTAGAGTTCTCATCGGCGCTAATCACGGTGACAATGTCGTTGAAGGTCTTAACCAGCTGCTGCACAACGGGCTCGTCGCCCTCCTTGGTCTGGAGCAACTCAATGGTGCTGGCAGCAACTGCGGGCTCGCGAGGCGCATCGAGAGAGACGGGCTTCTTCTCCTCCTCCTTGGGGGCGGGCTTCTCCTCCTTCTTAGCCGACTTGGCCGACTTGTCTTCCTTGGCCTCCAGGACAGCGGCGTTGCGATCCTCGGGCTTGGCCGCCTCGGTCTTCGTCTGAGCGTCGTGAACCTTAGCACTGTTGTAAGGACCACTCTTGGAAACATCACTTGCGGGCTCCTCCTTAGCGACCTTCCAAGAGAGACCGCTGTTGCTGGGGATTGTGACCGCCTTGCCCTCCTCGCGAGGAGCAACTTGGATGCGGTTCGAGTGTCTCGAAGCATTAGGGAATCGGCGATAGAAGTCGCGCTCCTCGAAGTACAAAACACATTCCTCGCCGTAAGGGACGTACTCGGTGAAGAAATCGTGGAAGTTGTCAGACTTCAGAGCCATAAAAACGCCGCCGCCATAAGCGATACCGGAGGTCAGGATCAAATAGAGCAGGAATCGGCGGAAACGACCAGTCTTGCGAGGCGCAGCTGGGGGAACTTCAGCTTCTGCAGATTAAGTCAGCGTACAGGTGGATTAACCATCGGCGGCATGAAGTTGACTAGTGGTGGTACCTTGCTCCGTGGGCTTGGTCGGAATTTGTGGAGGAACGACCGATTGAGAGGAAGGAGTAGCGGGAGTTGGAGCATCGGTGGTTGGCAGCTTAGAATCAGCGAAGAAACGCTGTGTTCAAATGATTGTCAGTGGTATGTTTGGTGGGCACATGAGCAGGGTAATAGGTTCTCGTACCTGAGCCGGGAGCCGGCTGCTAGCACCGGCTTTAGACAGCCATTGCGACGGGATCCGTTGGCGAGCAGGAGACGACAGCAGCTGCCGACCCGGAGCAATTGAAGAGCGCAGCATGACGAGCCGCACAATCGCCAGGAGAGGTGGGGAGGGATGTGATAGCCTGGATGAGTAGGAAAACTGGAAGTCGATGGTCAGTCGCGATCCGCCCCGATGATCCTGCGGGCGGTCAGCCCGTTACACCCATCAATCCCGCACTCTGGAGACTCTAGACGCTTTGACGATAGAAGTACATGATGAAGTTCGGTGGTTTATTCTAAAAAGGGCACCTGGTCGCCCCATTAGCTGCGCTTTGAAAGACTAATAATAATAGTAGTAGAATAGTTTCTGTTTCATCCTCTAAGGGATACGTAGCTTCCAACGGTTCCCAAAAGTGCTAGGACCCTAATCTGCCGGAATATATCTAGACATGCAGCAGGACCTGCGAGTCAGCCCAAATAGACACAGCGCATACAAATCATTGCTATGCGTCGTAACATGCACAAGATAGACAAAAGACGAAATTTTCTATGTTTTGAAGATACAAAATTTACGACAACGTTAAACAGCCTCTTGAAGCAAAGAGCCGGACAAGCGGTCCAGAATTCACAAGACTATTCTAAACAAATTACTAGCTTACAAATGAAAGGAGCCTTTAAATAGGTACAGTCTGAAGAAAATGTATTATCTGGGCATAACATACTAAGAAGGGGTCTGGGGGAAAGGACAAGGGGAAATAGTAACATGAGTAACTCAGCCCAATAGACAAAGGAAAAGAGTAGATGCAGGACGCCGGGTAAAAAGGTACCAGAAGTACAAAGGAAGCAGAAGCAGGTAGAATTGAATCCTGCTCCAGAATGTCTAAAGCCAACTTCCAGATGCGTCCGTGGATGAAGTCGAAATTCTTCAGTCGGCGCTAGACTCGGCAGAGTCCTCCCGGAAAGCAGTAAGCAAAAGATCAATTAACCAGAAGGCAACCGAGACGGGTAAGAGGACAAGGAACTGAGAGTTTGCGTCTCATATCGAAAAGAGGTGGTGAGGGAGAGGCCATAAGGTGAGTGATTCCGATACCGCGATCGTGAGTTTGAACAAGACGGCCGTCGGCGCCGGGGAGGGGATCGCAAAAGCTAGCTGCGAAGGGAGATATATCGCTCTCAAGGGCTTTAACAGCTGCATGGAGGAGCACCTTGGGTGCCGGGGGCCTCAGGCCGCAGGTCGACTCCGGGGCGTGGGTTTGTCCGCAGGTTCCGGGGGCCGGCCTGGTCGAGTGGCAGCTTCTTCGCGATGGCCGTGAACAATTCTCGCACATTCGTCGAGGACTTGGCAGAGGTTTCGAAAAAGAGGAGGCCAGCCTCACGAGCGTAGGCCTCGGCATCGGCAGTCTGAATGGCACGCTTATCTGGGCTTTCGGTGACAAGATCCAGCTTGTTGCCAGCCAGGGCGATCACAATGTTCTCGTTCGCTTGACGCTGAAGTTCCTTCACCCAGGACTTGGCCTTATCCAAGGATGACTATAGAAATGGACGAACAGAGGCGATGGTCAGCAAAAGTAATGCAAATCAAAGATGTTGAAACTGGCGAACATACGGCTTGGGTGATGTCATAGACCACGACAGCGCAGTTGGCATTCCGATAGTACATCGGAGCCAACGACTTGTATCTCTCCTGACCGGCAGTATCCCAAATTTCAAACTTGACCGTGGTGCTCTCGTCGAGGGAGATGGTTTGCGTCAAAAAGGCGGCGCCGATTGTCGACTCCCGATAATCATCGAATTGGTCCTAATCCGGCTGATTAGTTACAATCTCTTCCAGCACTACTTGCCTACAGCTCGAGGCCAGAGCTGGCAGAGGAACGAGAAAAAAGGTCGCCGCCGTCTCACCTTAACAAATCTCAACACCAGCGAACTCTGGAAGATAACGTAGATGTTAGCGACCCGATAGAGAAAGCTATGTAATGTAAGCGGGACGCCGAACCTTTCCGACAGCGGATTCTCCTATAAACAAAAACCAAGATATGTTAGCACTCGATCGCTAGACCTCCGAGTCGTCGATAGAGAGCACCTACCAAGCAACACAAGCTTGAACTGAGCGAATTTCGCCCCGGGGCGGGCGCCTGCTGCAGGTCGGGAGGCCATGGCCAGTGGTCAGGGGAAGAAGCGACCGGGTGGAGGAAGGCGATACGAAGGATAGAGAGGTGTGTAAAAGCAGTCGACTAGGTCGGATTCAATATGCGATCGAAGGCCCTAGTCTCTCTCGGGTCTCGTCGTTCGTCGTTGGATGGAGAAGAGAAGGGTAAGGCAGCCTACGGAGTGGATGACGGAAGGGCCAGCCACATGAGCAGCGGGGCGGTGTGGCGGTACGCTGCAGTACAGGCGGTTAACTACTGGGCGGTGGACTGAGGCACTGAGGCATTGAGGCAGCGCTGGGCAAGGGGGGGCTGACCCCCCCGAGTTGATTAGGTGGCCCGCCCCTGCCCCCCGTGCCCGAGACCTGCCCGTGCTTCCGTTTGTCCTCTACGCCGCGGCTGATCATGTGTTCCTGATTATCTTGTCTCCCTCGACGGAGTTAGTCTTCCCCACCAACCTCTCTCCCCTAGCTCATATTATTCAAATCCGAGACTACTACCCTGCGTCTCATTGTTTTGGCTGCCCGTCATGGCACCTCCGGTTCTCCCTTTTAGGGATGTCAATTTACACGCTTCGCCCTCCCACTATGCCTTTACCTCGCCTTCATCGCCCCAGGCACCAACGCTTGTGGTAGATCGGCCGACGGGCGACATTCGTCTGAACGATGGCCCTCTATCGGGTGCTAAGCGTATCTCGAGCATTGCAGGAATTCTGGGAATCGTTAAGCTCAAGCTAGGTAATTGGCGATTGCAATGAAACCTGGTCAAGGGGGCTGCGCTAACCTCCCCTCATAGACAAGTACATTATCGTCATCACCAAAGCCCAGCCTATGGGACGACTTCGCGGCCACATGGTGTACAAAGTTGCCTCCACCGAGTTCCTTCCGATGCGCGAGCGCCCGCTCCACGATAAAGATGAAGATACCTATTTGACCCTGATCAAGGACCTGCTTCGCACCGGCCCCATGTACTTCTCCTACTCCCTGGACCTCACCAACAGTTTCCAGAGACAATCGCAAAGCTCGCCAGAGATCCCCATGTGGAAGCGCGCCGACGATCGTTTCTTTTGGAACCGGTTCATTCAGTCCGACCTGATCGATTTCAGCTTGGGAGAAAATAATACAAATGGCATCCGGTACGGGCCCCAACCGGGCGCTGACCCTTACATCCTCCCAGTGATGTTTGGCATGCTGCGCATCACTCCGGCTCGAGTCAAGGGAACTTCCTTCACATTTGCTCTCATTACACGACGATCCCGACACCGCGCTGGCACGAGGTACTTCTCGCGCGGCATTGACGAGCAAGGCCATGTCTCGAACTACAACGAAACAGAGCAGATTGTGATCTTGAATGACTCTGCTGGGGGCTTGTCAGGCTATGCACCCGGTCAATCAATGACAAACGGCAAGACGGGCCAGGATCTCCAAGTGTACTCTTTTGTCCAGACCCGCGGCAGTGTCCCAGTCTTCTGGGCTGAAGTCAATGACCTCAAATACACGCCCAAGCTGCAAGTTCGCGGCGTCGAGACCGCCGTCGAAGCTGCGCGCAAGCATTTCGCAGAGCAGATTCGCCTATATGGAGAGAATTACATGGTGAATCTAGTTAACCAAAAAGGCCGAGAGGAGCGCGTGAAGAATGCATACGAGCAGCTGATTCGCATTCTTATTTCTTCTTCTACCGAGACGAGAGAAGCGGATGATAAGACTCCGGAAAAGATCCACGTTCTTGAACCAGGTCTGAAGCAGAAGGAGATGGATCGTCTGCATTACGTTTACTTCGACTTCCACAACGAGACAAAGGGCCTCAAGTGGCACCGTGCTGAGCTACTGATGGGTCGCTTGAATGATGGCTTGACCCAAGGTGGCTATTTCCGTGGTGTGGAGGGCCCCGGCGACTCTGGCGGCCCGCTCGAAATCCGGTCGACGCAAACGAGCGTGGTACGAACCAATTGTATGGACTGTCTCGACCGAACCAACGTTGTCCAAAGCATGCTCGGCCGCTGGGCGGTGACTCGACAGCTTATGGATGCTGGAGTGCTCCGCCCCGGTGAGAATGCCAACGATGATCGAGAATTTGAGGATATGTTCCGGAACATCTGGGCGGACAATGCCGATGTTGTTTCCAAGTCCTATTCTGGCACGGGTGCCTTGAAGACCGATTTCACTCGGACGGGCAAGCGAACTCGGGCTGGTGCTCTCCAGGATTTAAACAACTCGATTACGCGCTACGTGCGCAACAACTTCATGGATGGACCCCGACAGGATGGGTTTGATGTGTTCTTGGGCACCTACCTCCCCTCGGATACAAGCTTCGCGAACATCCAGCTGTTTATTGATCGGCGACCACTTGCCGTCCAGGCCATTCCTTATATCTTCGCGGCCAGCTTGTTCATGGTTCTGATTGCTACTTTCACGAGGCAAATGCCGGACGCAGCGGTCTGGCCGCTCCGTCTTTTCATGATCTTCTGGATCATCATCGGTGCCTACTCCTTCCGGTTCATCCATGGCCATGGCATGCTCTACGTACGTGAATTTTTCCCCTACGAATATCGATTACGTGACTAACTAGATCTCAGGTGAACTGGCCAAAGCTCAACGCCCCCGTCGCCGGCGCCGAGGGATACCAGGATGCTCTCATTAAGGCTCGTACTGACCCCATCATTGGCCAATGGCTTCCTTCCAGACGACACCAGCGTGGCATCAGCAACGCCCGTCTCGTCTTCCTCGAGGAGGGCAAGACCAGGATTGAGTAAATCCACTCATACTTTCTACGCACCCTTGCGAGATCTCCCACTTCAATCAATCAGGGACCCTGTCTTCATCTTGTACACTTCACGGCTTGTATGATTTACTATCATTACTTTCTCACTCTGGCGGGTTGTCTTGTACCTTTCTTCTCATTTGTCTTTTTCGTTGGCGCCAAGCCCCCGTTTTTGCCTGACCCATAGAGGCTTTCTTTCTTCTAGATGGCTCCAACACTTCATATCATGATGCTGTCATTCTACCTTGCTAATATGGCAACCCGTTTTCTCTTTTTATTCTCTCTCTTTTCTTTTGGCGCCTCAAGAGGTAGACGATTCTAAGGTGGGTTAGGGATCACATCCAACCGTGCTAATTGATTCATTGTTCCGTTTCATTTGTAGTACAGACAACCATGGCGATGTGGTTTCAACCTTTCTTCCGTACTGCAGTACTTTATCTCAGACCAACCTATCACAGCTCGATTGTTCTTGGACCGATAAGCAGATTTAGATCACGTGACATTCCCGACATCATGACTACCGGTTTCCCGAGGAGAGGCTATCGGAACCAGAACCACATAATCTTTCGAGCTGCTGGGGTTTCTTGTCGAGAAACACCCCGCCTGCTCACCTGAAATTGCAGGCAAGGGAATCACTTGTTCATGAGAGGGATCTGGAGGTCTCTTCGCTGGTCTGCCCCGCAACGGCGAGTCTCGACTCACTCGCCCATTATGACTCGCTCATATGAGGTATGTCCGGATTCCCCGCATCGACGGTCCTGCAGCTCAGTACAGAGCTGAGTGATAAAAGTCGACAATTTTCCGATCATAGAAACTGACATGAATGGTGTCTAGGCTGCAATTGCAGCTCTCAATTCCTTACAAACGAATTTTGCGATCGTGGAGGAGCTTAAGAAATCGACCTCGCGGGAGGATCTTAATAAGCGCTCTCTCCCAGAGACGGTTGAATGGCTTCGTCGTATTGGATATAAGGTGCGCAAATGCATATACAGCATTGATATGAGACCGTGGTAATATGGTGCTGACATTGGACACATTTTTCTTCAGCCCTCCGATCTAGACCGATTGAACCTTGTCCACGTTGCAGGCACTAAAGGCAAAGGCTCAACCTCCGCATTCATTTCAACCATTCTCTCTCAGTACACCAAGGCAGAGCCGGGTCAATCCTCACCGCGCCTCCACAAAGTCGGACTCTATACCTCCCCCCACCTCCGGTTCGCCCGCGAGCGCATCAAGATTGATAATGCCCCGCTTTCGGAGGAGCAATTCGCTCGTTACTTCTTCGAAGTGTGGGACCGTCTGGATGATGCAGCCAAGGCTGCTGGCGAGGATCCTGCTTCGCTGAGCACGAAGCCGCAATACTTCCGTTATCTTACGCTGATGGCATTCCACACATATTTGAGCGAGGGTGTCGATGCGGCGGTAATTGAGTGCGGTATCGGAGGAGAGTACGATTGTACCAATGTGATTGAGCAGCCCAAGGTCGCTGCTATCACTAGTCTGGGAATTGATCACACTGCCATGCTGGGTACTACGATTGACAAAATTGCATGGCACAAGGGTGGTATTATCAAGTCCGGAGCTAAGGCCTTCACGGCGCCTCAACCTTCAAGTGCGGAGCAAGTGTTGGCCGAGCGTGCCGCTGCCAAGGGCACTCAGTTGAATGTGGTGTCTGAACATCCTGAACTCCGTGCTGGAGCCAGTCAAGTAAAGCTGGGACTGGCAGGTGACTTCCAGTATACCAATGCCTCCGTTGCAGTTGCATCGGCTGCCGAGTTCTTGAGGAAGACTGGCGTGGCGGACATTTCCGAGAACGTCATGTCTGAGCCTCTCCCTGCCAAATTTAAGACTGGGCTGGAGGAGACTCGCTTGGGTGGCCGCTGTGAGACTCGTTTTGAGAAGAATGTGGCTTGGTATATCGATGGAGGGCACACGCTTGAGAGCATCCGCCTGGCTGGCCAGTGGTTTGCCTCGCGGATCCAAGCCGATTCGTCTAGCGACATTGCTTCCAAGAAGCCGCGAATCTTGATTTTCAACCAGCAGACCCGGGACAGCACAGCTCTGGCTCGTGCCCTCCACGAGACTCTTTCTGCTGCATTGGAATCCGGCACGCCGTTCACACATGCTCTGTTCTGCACAAACATCACATACAAGCAGGCTGGCTTCCGTCCTGACTTGGTGAGTATGAACACGAATGCCGACGACCTTGAGTTGCTCCGCATCCAGAAGTCTCTTGCAGCTGCCTGGAATGAAATTGATCCCAACGCCCAGACTCGAGTGTTCGGAACCATCGAAGAGGCTGTTGACTTTGCACGGGAGGTGGCTGCCGAGGAACGCAAGGTCATTCAGAAGGACGAGGCACCCGTCATGACCTTTGTCACTGGCAGTATCCATTTGGTGGGTGGCTTCCTCGATGTGATCGAGACAAAGCCATACACGGAAGATGCTTGATTTCTGATTGATTCCCTTCTTTAATAAGTCGGTGGAAGTTAAATTGATGGGCAGCCTGGAGCTTCTTGCCCGTTCTAGTTCTTGTATCAACACTTGACATATAATTAACGACATAGCGAGATGATGGTGGCTATAGAGGTGTTTTTCTTTTTTGTGGATTTCAACAATTCGAGATTTCCATGCAATGCATTTACTTAAAACAAAGGTCCTGTCAAAATCAAGCTCGAACAGACTGTAGATTGTTGCACTCGGTTTAAAATGCCGAGGTCCGTAGGTATTCTGCAGGTATTAGTAGGAGCAATACAAAATACAGTGACCAGCTGAACGGGTAAGTACGTCAAGTACAGACATCCATGTTTATAATAATAATGCGATATATACAGATCCCCGTTTCGAGTTCGTTCTCGTGCGATACTTCACACTGCCAAGCTTACCGCGTATAAAGACGGGGCAAGACCAAATTACCCCTCGGCACCCCACCGATCCGCGTTTCATGCGCTTAACGTGGGGCCCTCAACGAAATTCCTCCTCTTTCCCACCTACGACCGCTTCAAGCTCTCCCCGCAAACTCCCTAGACAGCGGCTATGTCGGACTCCAAGGATAAGGGCAAGGCTCCTAAGCCTCATGATGATAAACCTGAAGAGAGCGGCGCCGACGCAGGCTCAGAGGCTAGCAAGGGTACCCAGTCTCCGCCCTATGGCCATACCAGAACCTTTGCTGAATTTATGAATGATGATATAGCTACCTCCTCCAGCGGCACTACGAAGAAAATCCCCGCGAAGCTCCTGGAGGCAGTCATCGAGTCGAACCCGTCTCTGAAGAACGAACTCGCTGGCATGGACCAGGATGAGGCTGCGAAGACGCTCGCTAACATCGACATCTCGCAATTGCTGACTGGCCTTTCGATGGGCAATGGGAAGAACCAGAAGGATATGGCCTCTTACAAGTTCTGGCAGACACAGCCCGTTCCGCGTTTCGATGATCAAGCGAACCCGACCCCCGTTACTCAAGGACCGATCAAGATGATTGACCCGGAGAAAGTCTCGAAAACGCCCGATCCGCTACTTGAAGGCTTTGAGTGGTGCACACTTGATTTAACAAACGAGGAGGAGCTCCGGGAACTCTACGAGTTGCTGAATAACCACTATGTGGAGGATGATAATGCCATGTTCCGATTCGCCTACTCGCAGTCGTTCTTGCACTGGTACGAAACCTCTATTCTGCCGTTTGGCATGTAAAAATTACTGACCGTGAAATTGTTCTGCTCCAACAGGGCCCTGATGTCCCCTGGCTGGAAGAAGGAATGGCACGTCGGTGTCCGGGCGACCAAGTCTCGTAAATTGGTTGCGTCGATCTGCGGTGTCCCGACGGAAATCCGTGTCCGCGGAGAGCGGATCAAGGTGACCGAAATTAACTTCCTTTGCATCCACAAGAAGCTCCGCTCCAAGCGGTTGGCTCCCGTTCTCATCAAGGAGATTACTCGTCGCTGCTATGTCAACGGCATCTTCCAGGCTATCTACACCGGTGGTGTCATCCTCCCCACCCCCGTCAGCTCCTGCCGGTACTACCATCGTGCTCTGGACTGGCTGAAGCTGTATGAGGTAGGCTTCTCGCCTCTTCCTCATGGCTCGACCAAGGCCCGCCAGATCACCAAGAACCATCTTCCTTCGACTACCTCGACTCCCGGCCTGCGGCCAATGGAGTCCAAAGACATTGATGCGGTCCTCGATCTTCTGGAGCGGTATCTGCTCCGCTTCGACATGAACCAAGCTTTTACCCGCGAAGAGATTGACCATTGGCTGGTATACAAGCCTCAGCCTGGTAAGGAGCAGGTCGTCTGGGCATATGTGGTGGAGGACCCGGAAACCAAGAAGATCACTGATTTCGTCTCCTTCTACAACCTGGAGTCGACTGTGATTAATAACGACAAGCACGAGCTTGTTCGGGCCGCTTACCTTTACTACTACGCCTCCGAGACCGCTTTCAATGACAACGCGAAGGCGCTCAAGGCACGCCTCCAGGTGCTGATGAATGATGCGCTGATTTGCGCCCGTCAGGTATGCAATGCTCTGCTTTATATCACTCAAAGATCCACCCCCTTCTCACATCATGATAGGCCAAGTTCGATGTCTTCAATGCACTTACCTCCCACGACAACCCCATGTTCCTTGAGCATCTCAAGTTCGGTGCTGGTGATGGTCAACTTCACTTCTACCTGTATAACTACCGCACGGCCGCCATCCCCGGAGGTATCAACGACAAGAATCTGCCCGATGAGAAGAAGATGGGTGGTGTGGGAATTGTTATGCTGTAGGCCGAAGTGCGTGTTAACTAGTGGCTCTCAAAAGTATTCTTGGGTATCCATACAACGAATCTCTTTGTGTTACATTGAAAATAAAACCCCAAAAATACAATTTAAGACTTAAATGAACCAAAAACCTAAAGTACCTTCTTGCATGGCCTGACATGCCACTTTATCATCTGGATGGGTCCGGCCTAATGAGACAAGGTCTAGCCCGCCATCACTGACACCTGAGGCATCAATATCTGACGTCGCCTAAAGCAACGTCGCCATCATTTCCATCTTCCTTTCATACCACTCTTAATATCAGAATTCTTCCGGGCCATCGCTCCGAGATCACTCGTAAGAGAGTATTTGGTTGCTGTTTATTGACAGCCACTCGGGAAGCTTGTACCATAATTGAAGCAGCGGGGTTGCTCCCCGCATTTACAGCAACAATGGGTGCGGGCCAGTCGACTGATTATAGTGGAGCGTCTCCAGGTCAGTTCTTCAACCGAGTTTTTCATCCGTTCAACATGATATTCGGGCTTTAGATGTCGAGGCTTCGTTGAATCGCCACTTTTGTCACTTACCCATGGACGACTCCAAGCTAACTTCCGGATAGAGGAGCTGAGCTACATGCTAGCGGAACGCTTTGCAACAAAATGCTTCTCGCCATTGGAACTTACACACTTCAAAGACAACTTCTTCTCTCGAGCTGCAGAGCAAGGAGGCATCCGCTACTGGAATGAGAAAACACTGTCGGACTTCCTTGGTGTCCCGGATGGCAGCTTCTCCGGTGCAGATGAGGCTCCGCTAGACGCCGGACCTGTTCTTTTCCGCATGGTTTCTTACCTCGGTGCATTTCCCTTCCAAAGTACCTTGGCGCCGAGCGTTTTGACGTTTGAGGCTATGGTCAAGGTGGTGGTGCTATTAACCGAGCGCTACGGCAAAGTCCTCCGGCGAGGCCGGAAAGATCGAATTAAGTTGCTCTTTGGTAGCCTTGCTGATGTCGGGAGAAAGGATATTGGCCAGCCTTCCAATAAGGATTCTGAGAATAAAGAATCGGAGTCTGAGGAAAATCCTGAGCCCTGTCCTGCCAAGTCCCACGCGCCTGGATTTTCTGTGGATGAGCCTGCCAATGACGAGTATGACGAGGACGAAGATGATGATCTTGCTCTTGCGGCATTGGAATCTCTCGATGCTATTGAGGTGTTCAAACATGACCACCGTGTGGACCGGACAGTCTATGAAACGCGCATTTCGGTCGATACTTTCCGCCGACTGCTCATGCTGTTGCTCGGCATTGCGCCTTTAAAGCCACTTGAACCTGTCAAGACGTATACGTCCGACCTCGGCTCTGAGCGTATTGATGCAATCCGCAAAGAGGCCGACAGCATCATTGCTGCGTTCCGGCCAGAGGAAAGCGATGGTGGAATAACGTACCGAGCATTTGCCCGTACAATCTCAACATCCTTACCATATCTGTTCGATCCTCTGACAGCATTATTCGAGCACATGCTGTTCAGTAAGAACTTGAATCTTTCTCAAAGACGACCGAGCGAAGCTACACCCGAGGAAGAAGCAAACGAAAAGCCAGAGGAAGCATCCGTGGCAAAGCCGATACTCCTCCCGGGAAGCTTTGAATCCTCAATCCTCAACCCAACAATCCTTTCCCACCTGTCATTTTTCCTCCCCTCAAAGGCGCAATCCACGAACCTCTTCAAAGGCGGCGTTCGTCTTCATCCCGTTTTCTCCACGGCCGCTCACGGCTCCTCATTAACATCCTTCTCCCACAACGTTCTCACCTGGCAATCAGCCAATCTTCTCATCCTACAAGGCGAACCAGACGGAAACAGCGAGGAAACAGTTACAATCGGCGCTTACCTCCCCCAACCCTGGAGATCCTCTTCATCAAACGGCTCATCCTCCAGCTCCGACCCACTCCCTTGCCTCTTCCAACTCTCCCCCAAACACCAAGTCCTCCCTGGAAACCCATCCCCGTCAGTCCAGAAACAAGCCAATCTCCCAGCAGCCTGGTTCTCAACACACACAGGCATCGCAATAGGCTGTCAAATCCCACCAGCTTCACGAAGCCACCACACCCCTCCAACTCCCCATGGAGCCGCAAGTCTGACTATCGACGTGAATCTCGAATCCGCCGAGCTCCGCGTCGAACCAGTCGGTCATGACGGTGTCTTCCTTCCGTCCGGAAACTCATCCATGGAGGATACTTCTGTAAAGACCCGTCTCGATCTATATTCTTTGGAGATTTGGGGCATTGTCCCAGATCCTGAACTAGCCGCTTCTTCGGAGGCAAATGCGAGTGCCGTTGAAGTTCAGCGGGCGAAGTGGGAATTTGAGGCTCGCGAGGCTGAGAGAAGACGTAATGTTAATATTAAGACTGGGGCTGGGGATTCGGCGAAGGAGAGTGCTAGATGGTTATTGGAGACTGCGGGGGTTATTGGTGATCATGGACAGTATTCGGGTGGCAGTACCTGAGCTGTTAAGTTAATGTGCTTGGGAATTTTTTCTAGGGATTGGTGTTTTGGGTAGTTAATTGAGTCATGTGAATGATAGCTTAATTTTATTATTTGTTGATCTTTCTTGTCCAGAGAACCCGAAAGGTTTTGTGGAAAGCCCTTGATGTCGTTAGTAACGTACGTGTCTGGTCATTTTTCTACGAATAGCAGCGGAACTGAAAAGATGGATAGTGATACATATTATACATGAAGATGTAGATTACAGTGAACCTAGCGATGTAGCATGGAATGACCAGCCCATGGAATCATCATCTCACACTCGCAAGGGCGGCATACCCATCGGCGCACCATAGAAATCCATCAAATCCTCTTCCTCCTCAAGGTCGACAACGTTGTTCTCAACCTCGGATTCTTCCTCGACCGGTTTCACCACTGTCTTAGGCGGACGACTACGCGAAGAAGCACCAGTCGCCACCGTAGAAGCCGGTGTACTTTCCGCCTCGAAAGTCTCGCGGGCATCTTCGTAAGGAAGCCGGAAAGCAGGGAACCCATCCGGTGCACGCTCAGCCCGATCCATAATCTCGTTCATGTACTTTCGAACTTCGTCAGCGGGCTTCACAACACGAGTCAGAGGTTCCAGGATCCGGGGGTTCGCCGCATGAATGCGGAAGGTGACTGGCTGCCAGTACTCTTTGAGATTTGCCTCGGTGGCTGGCTTTCCAGCAGGCGTGCCAGGTGTCTCTGGTTGACCCGGTTTGGCATCCGGCTTGGTATCAGAAGGTTCTTGCTTTGGAGGGACATCGGCAGGTGTCGGTGTATCCGCAGCTTTATCTGCCTTAGACCCCTTCTTTGATTTCGAGGAACCTTTGCCCTTTGCGCGCCCAGTGCCAGCATCGGGAGCGGTCTCAATTGGGAATGGCGTGTTTGGATCGACCTTTTTCACAATGAGGAAAGAGGCTAGAATGGTATTCTCGTTTGGAAGCCATTCAAGGATCGAGTGCTCAGGGAACAAGTAGCGATCGCCCGAGCCGGCGTGACCAGACGTACTACTTCCATATGGTGTCAATGGAGATGTGAATTCAAAGACGACAGACTTATAATTCAATGGGGTTGGCGTGGGTCTCGCCGGTGGCGCCTGGGGACGATAATAGGGCGTGGGAGATCCGTATTGCGGTGGACGTGACTGGGCAGGAGGCTGTGTTCCGTATGGCGCTTGCTGCTGGTATGGAGGATACGGGGGACCCGGTCGTGGCACCTGCTGTTGAACATTGCTGGCACTTTGAGGGGGTTGTACGGCAGGACTCTGCACCTGCGATGCAGTGTTGGGGGCAGGGGTGCTAGGAGGACCAGGAGTTGCAGATGGAGCTGAGACTGCCGGTTGTGCCGAGCTCGATGGGGTAGCCTGCGTGATAGTCCGGGCCGTTATCCCCGGTTCTTGCTTCACTGTTGGCGTGGCGGTAGAGCTCTGGGTTGAGCTGGGTGCTTGTGTTGAGGTTGCTGGGGCAGGTGCTGGGGTCTGAGGTTGAGGTGTAGGCTGAGGCGGCCCTCCAACTGGCGGCTTCTCTGGTGCCGTTGTGGGCGGTACCTTTGATTCTGATACTGGTTGCTGGGGCTCTTTAGATGGTGTTTGAGTAGAAGGTGCCTGGGGCTTAGTTCCCTGCCCTTGTGACGGGGTATTCGTAACCGAGCTAGGCTTTTGATGAATGACGACCTGTGGAGAGGCCGGTCTGCGCTGTGGCGGCGCAGGTGTTGCTGGCTGTGGAGCTGGCGGTGGTTGTGTAGATGCTGCAGCTGCAGCGGAATTCCGATGACGTTCTTGTTGCTCCCTTGCCTTGATGATCGCATTCAATTCGTCAATATGAGCCTGGAAGGCACGAAGCTGCTCTTGTGATGCTTGACTGGATGCGACCACTCTCATCAAAGCCTTTAATTCCGGATCCGCGGCAGCTCTGGTCGCAAGCATTTGAATGACTGGATCCGGGCTGGGCTTTGCGGGCTGTCCGGATGGACCACTTTGTGGTGGCCTCTGCCCCGGCTGAGGTTGCGCCTGGTTCGGTCCACGGTGTTGAGGTGGCGGTGCATGAGTACCTGGGTATCCATGCGGGGGGCGTCCTGGAGCTGCGGCAGGATAAGGAGGTCTCTTTTGATTGCCTGGGTATGGCTGGTACTGCTGGAAGTTGTTCGGATGGCCGTAGTGGACCATCTGTTTCGGCGGGGGAGCATATTGGATCGCCGGTGGTGCGTTAGGATCTTTCACAGTGTAAATCATCGCGTCGAAAAGATGAGGTCCAACGGTAACGTCGCAAGGACCAACCCTCGTCATCGAATCTTTGGGCGGGTTGTTCTTCTCGATTTGTTCACGCTTCGTCTTCTTCGGCTTCGTATAGTATCGAACGAGGATTCCATCGCTCAACCACTTCTTCTTCGATCGCTCCAGAGCCGCAAGTAGTACTGCACTGTAGATTAAAACAATAATTCGTTAGCGTCACCTCACACGCCGGGGGTCGTGGGGATCAAACCTTTCTGCATATGACTGATACTCCTTGTCCGACAGGGTAGCCGACTGTCGCTCGTGCAAGACTGGGACAGGCTCGCCATCTTTGATCGTTATCGGCAATGGAGCCTCGATGGGCTCAGGCGGCGGTGGTGGTGGCGGCGATGGTACACGAGGAGTTGGTGCCTTTTTCTTTTGAGAAGGAGTGGCCGCTTCTGAGACTCGCCGCTTGGCCGCAGGCTCGCGACCGGCGCGTGCAGGGAGCTTGCGCTTCTCAGCCATCACGGACTGGTGTGTACACGCGCAAAAGTCACCAAATTCCAGACAAGACTGATAGCCTGTCGCGTTCGAGGAGGAGGTCGAGATGAGGTGGGAAGGGGAAAAAGCGTGACGCGATAAGTGGCAGCTTATCGTCGCATCGACTCCGCCTCCGCCCTTCTCCGCCTCCGCGTTGGATGTTGACTCTGTAATCAACGATGGTCGGATTACAGCCCATCTTCAAAAAGGCCTACTGGACGCTAGCGGCCGGTGGGCTGGCTTATGTCCTTTTTGTAACGGCATTGACGTTTCCAACAGTCCAGCGCTTGTATGATATATCGATCTCGAGGCTTGATTGGCCTAACTAACTTAGGACAGCTTCCTTTATGCAAACAAGGTCAACCCTGCTTATTGGCAGGATGTCAATCAAGTCGAGCAATTTGGCTTTTTGAGTAAGCTTCTAGAAATTCAAGAAGGGGGCCATCATTGACAAAAACAGAGACTCAGGTCCAACCATTCCACTTGGTGACGCCCGACAATGAAACCCTCTATGGCTGGCACCTGTTGCCTCTCCACCTCTGCCACGAGCATGAGAAGGAATTGACTGAGAACCCTCCATCTGGACCAGCTGCAGACTACGAGCAGACCTCGGCCTTCAAGATCTTGGCCAACGATCCTAATGCTCGGGTTGTGGTGAGCTGTATGCCCTTGACTAAATCCTCTCCCCTTGTGAAAGCCGTATCTGATCTGAGAATATCACAGTCCATGGGAATGCGGCCCATCTTGGGTCTGCTCAGCGACCAGCTACTTACAATACACTGCTGGGCCTCTCAAATCCATCGCATCCCGTGCATGTCTTTGCTATTGACTATCGCGGGTTCGGTGTGTCGACTGGTAGCCCGACTGAAGAGGGCGTTATCACCGATGGCGTTTCACTTCTCAACTTCCTTACTGCTGGCCCGTTGAAGATACCTACTTCGCGGATTGTGATAATGGGCCAGAGCCTAGGTACAGCGGTCACTGCAGCAGTAGCGGAGCGATTTGCCTTTGGCCACCCTGACCCGAACGCTGTACAGCCGGCCATCAAGAATGCGGAGCCGTTCGCCGGAGTGATTCTGTTGGCTTCTTTCAGCAATTTGCCCAGCCTCATTCAATCCTACAGTGTCAAAGGCCTCACCCTCTCCCATGCTCTCTCCACTCATCGGGTATCCTCGTTTCCAGAAATGGATCATGAGTCATATCGTGGACTATTGGGATACAGCAGCAAGAGTGGCTCGACTGACTGGCGTCAATCCCTCGTCTGAATTCGATCACTTACACAAGGATCTTGATCTGACAATAGTGCATGCTCAAAACGATATCGAGATCCCGTGGCGCGAAGGTCGCCGTGTCTGGACGGCTGCAACGGGAGAGGACATCAAGGGTGCCCCCGGAGCGGTGGTTTATACCAAGTCGGAAGCCATCAGTCCTTCTCAGGTTGAGATTTGGGAGAACAAGATCACCGCCAAGGATGGGTCCCAGGTTGTGAAAAAGGTTCGCTGGGAGCGTGTTCGATACGGAGGTATGCCAGCTCTTTCAAATTATTTTCGAGTCTGATCGCATTCTCTCTTCGAGTTACTGATCGGTTGAAATTTACTAGGTCATAATCGTGTTGCATCATTTTCTGTCGCTGGTATTGCTGTTCTACGATCATTCGAAGAGTGATGTGACAGATGGCGTGGTCGGCCAGCCTGTATCTATACGATAGGGAACAGGATGCGGAATCTTTCTTTCTTCCCACATCGTCAGTATATATTCCATGAAACGAGAATGTTCAGTGCGAATGCAACTCCGGTTGATCAAGAGTTTGTTTAGAGACGTGAAGACTTAAGTAGATACAACCCTAAGACCAAACACCTCAATGTACTATATGTGTAAACGGCAATCATTTCCAGATCATAAATCTGGAAACAGAATTATCTCTCTATCCTATTTGCAGTACTCATTCTCAATGCCTCGACCGAGATCTATACTTGGACCCGGTCGTTCCCACCCTCGGCACATCACTCGCCCGATCCCAGGACCGGTATTCCGATCGCTGCCGACGTGAATGGCGAGCAGGTGCACCACGGCTTGTAACCTGAGAGTGGTCTGGCCTCTCGTTTGGATCCCGGCTTTTGTCTTCAGTGCGTAGATCGAGGATTGGGGTGAGGTTCTCGGCGGATCGGTATGGACTAGTGGATCGGGACGGCATGATAGTTGTTTCTGGGCTTTTAGTTGGCGTAGAAGCTTTTCAGAATGAACGGATAGCCTTGGTAATTATTGCAAAGTGGTAAGTAGAGATGGTTGCTCACTCTTGTATTTATTGACGTGGCGGATGGCAAATTATTGGGTAACTCATCATGAGCACATTTTGATGCAACTGAATCAACACATTTGTAGATGAGAACGAGCAGAACAGTATCAATTTCTACGAGCTCAATAACTTGGACCTTCCTAAACAAACATACATTCGATTTATTATTTGCTAAAGTCAAACTTCCGGAGTTGGCGGCGGCGGCCGAGGGCTATGGAAACAGAAAGTTTTCTCCCAGTTTCTACTTGGCTGAACCATTCCCATAACTCGTCCTGACTGGATGAAGATGTTACAAATCAAGAGAGATAAACTAAGAGATATTTCACTGAATTGTTAAGCTAAGTGGGTATCGTAAGTCATGCTAGATTGACATCATCCTATCTCATTATCCTACCCCAAGGTTTCACCTCCTCGATATTTCTCACACACCATGTACCCTTTCCGAACACCTTTCTCAAACCTCTTTTCAAACATTTTTTGAAACATGTTTTAACCCCGTTTCCACACACCTCTTTCAACGCCAGATCTGTGGTCCCCCCCATAGAACGTAGAGTGGCTTAAGTTCCACGAATCTTGCCGCACAGCCGCTTCACGCCCCCAATAATATCAAGTGATCGATGTTCCCCCTTGACAAGCTTTTTGCGTGGGTGCGGCTGTGAAGGAACTGAGTCTGGGCCAACCCAGCTAGCTTTGACTTCCAGTTTGGGGGTAGTCAATTTTTTCAGTGCTCGGCATGGGTTCTTTAGTAGAAGCTTTAGTCGCTTCATTCGGTCCTTGGGCTCGTATGCCGGATCATCTTCTCCAATAGGCCGGAACCTTTCACAGATCTTGTATGCTTCTTTAGATACAAAATTGTTCTGCCCTTTGGTGACCTGGTAATGCATCTCTCGGCTCACAGCAAAGCTTTGGATTCGCACTGGTGGTATGACACGGGCCCTATTTGACGGAGTGAGCAGCACTTTGTCGGGATTCCTTCGATAATCTCGACGCCGATCAAGGAAAGTAGCATAGTTCGCGGCAAGTGTGACCGCGCAAAGCGGAACGAATCCAAGTCCAACGACCTCGTTTGGAGCTCCTGGAATCCCACCGCCATGAGGTTTGGTAGTGGAAAACTCGAGACAAAGCGCCCACATATCACCGTAGATCTGTTGGACCATGTAAAGGGTGCCTTCTTTCAGTTCAAGTTGGTCATTTGGCTGTACACCTTCAGCCGGCACAATATAGGCGGGGTTTATGCCGATGACCAAAGACCCCTCTTGAATCGACCATCCTCCCTTGGCGTGGTCGTTATCTGGTTCAGCTCGGAAATCTCGACAGAACTTGAGGAAGTCGCAGTCAACAGGGTTGTTTCGGAGGGTGGTTCTGTACCAGCCCAGAGGGCTTGGTCTCTCATCTTTCTGATCGTCCGGTGCATTCTTTGGACTTGGGAGTACGAGGTCTGCTGTTTTATGCTGGGAGACCGTCAGCAAATGTAAACGTTCGTTCGTAGTTTGGGACTTACAGGAGGAGTGGATGCTACCAGGCGTTGCGGAATGCAGTCATCCTGTCCAGACGGGTGATTCTCAAATGCCGGAGCCTTTCCTTTCTGCTCAGAACTTCCGTCAGTCTGCCAAACCACAGTCAGCAAATGTAAACATTTGTTTGTAAATTGAGACTTACCATAATAGTTGATTGTGGCTGTTGTTGCAGAATGCCATCACCCTGTTTAGACGGGCGGCTGTCGAGCCCTGGTGCCTTTCCTTTCTGCTCGGAATTTCCATCAGGCTGCTAAACCAGCGTCAGAATATATCAGCAGTGTTTCATGGGTTGGAACTTACCGCGGAGGTGGGAGTAATTTGTGGACGAGGAACGATGCAATTATCCTGCCCGCAAGGGCAATGGTCAAAAGCATTAGGGTTTACTTCCTGCTCAATGGAGTCCATTGGCTCCTGAAATGGTGTCAGAAATGCCAAAAACTATTCGTATATTAGAACTCACCATCCTAGGTGTGTCAACGAGGGGGTATGGAACCATTGACTCGGGTTGTCTACGTCGTCCACCCCCGAAAACCATGCCCTTTCTGTTCTGCTCAGCATACTCATAAGACTGCTAAGCGAGTGTCAGAAAATCCCCAAAATCTTTCATGGATAGTGTCTTACCGTAGGACGAGTAGCCATTTTTGAGCTTGAAGCCATGCAGTCTTCTTCTCCACAGGGGCAAACACCGAACCCGGGAGGCACGAGGGGCACTCTTTTTCTTCCAATGGATTCAATAGCCTGGTGAGGGGACGTCAGTAGATGTCAAAAAACCGCCCTTAGATTGAAACTTATCATAGCCAAAGTGGTCATGAGAGGGTATGGATTCATTGACCCGGCCTGTGTATATGGCCAACCCTCCAATACCATGCCATTTCTGTTTTGTCCAGTAGATTCATATGGCTGCTAAATAAATGTCAGAATATGCCAGTGACTATCCAATAATGGAAACGTACCATGACACGCGTGGTGATGCGTGGGCTTAACATGGTGCAATCATCCTGTTCGCAAGGGCAAGGGCCCAAGGTAACGGACTTTCCTTTTTGCCCAACCTGCTCAACAGGCTGTTAAGAAAGTGTCAGATATTTCACAAAAATGTCTTGGATTAGAGCTTACCATAAATGGAGAGGTCATTGGAGAGTCACTGGCCTCACTCAAATGAACCTCGATCGAGGAGGAACGCTTCTTTGGGTTGTACACAAATGTGTTGTCGATAGAACCCTTGAGCACAGAGTTCGTAGGCGTGCCATTGGAATTGCTGCTATCATCGGCAGGAACAGCCATGACAGTCGATTTAATAGACTTATCATCAGTGGAAAGTTTCTGGGTGAGCTTTGGAGATGGTGAGGGGGTTGAGGGGTTAGATGATGTATCTGAGTGACCTGCATTTAGGCCAGTGGAGACTCGGGTATCACAATCTACCACCGCAGTCATCTTCTTTGAGTGACCTCCAGGTGAAGAAGCAGTAACTCGAGGAAAGTTTTCTCTGTGGCCGGAGACTTGCTGCATGGTCGAGTTCTTGTGGGAAGGAGTGATTTCGAGGATTCCAGCGGAATGGGTTGGGATACGGATGCTCGAGAGAACCATGCCGTCCGAAGTCCAAAAGGGGACCAGGGAGCTGTTGGGATCCCACTGCTTCCACTCGCCCACCATGATGAACAGGGCATGCAAGAAAGAGCTGCAGAAGCAAGCAAAGGGTCATACAGTAGTTTGACAAAGTGAATCAGGAAGGCCAAGAAGTTGAAGATCGAGGATCGAAGATCAAATCTCGGAGAAGATGGGGAGAGGAGAGGAGAAGAAGAGAAGACGAAAGAGGCAGGAAAGTAGGTCTATTTATATTGAGGGGGGATGGAAGTTGGAAAGTTCCGGCAATCTTGAGGGCAAACAAACAACGACGGCGTGGTCGTGACGAGTCATCAAGGCGTTGATTTATTTAGGTAATCGTTGAATAGCTTCATAACCGTTGCCATGGCCGTAGTCTACACTAATACACGTACGTGACTTGAGTAATCGAACTTGGGTAAGCAGAAGGATGGTAATATCTGGAGTTGAAACTACGCATACTGACGAGACGAACAGACAGACCTCGAAATGAGTAAACATTGGTTATCGTATGGCAAGCAACACATATTTCTATATCTCAATTTCTATACTCGAAACTATAGATAACCTTAATTAGACGTCCCAGCCTCGGCTTCACTTGACATACGCTGAGTCATCTTGAAGACGGCTTGCCGCGGTTGTAGTTGCGGGGGGGGTGAAGCTTAAATCAAGGACCATCCCCGCGGGACACCAGATCCTTGGAACATGTTCCAGCATCTACCTGCAAAGGAATCTCCAACTAACACAGTACACCATGGCATCCCCCAAGGTCACACTTTACTTTGACATCGTCAGCCCTTTCGCTTATATTGCCTTCTATGTGCTGAAGGTAAGTTCATCTACTTATAGCCGAGGCCATTGATAGCTACCAGCCTGGATGTTAACGTTCGATTCTAGAACTCACCAACCTTTGCCAAGTGCGAGGTCAACTACGTGCCTATTCTTTTGGGCGGCTTGTTCAACCAGTGCAACAATACACCGCCCATCAGTATCAAGAGTAAGAGCTCTTGCTAGACTGGCATGGCATACACTAACTTCGGCTCTAGACAAGGATAAATGGATCGACGTGGAGCGCAGAAGATGGGCAAAATATTTCTCCGTGCCCATTTGTGATAACACACCCGAGGGCTTCCCACCGCGGACTTTGGCGGTTCAGCGAGCTCTGTGCGTTGTCTCGCAGATGGCCCCCGCAAAGCTGCCCTCCGTCATTGAGGCACTGTACCATTCGTTCTGGGTCCAGTCAAACTCAAAGATTGGCGAGCCAGCAGGGTTCACTCCTATCTTTGAGAGTGTCCTTGGACGGGAGGTTACCAAGGAATTCTTGTCGGCTGTAAGTTACGTTTCCTCTCACGGTGTTAACTTTCTCGTCCTGACAAAGTGTATAGATGACACAGCCTGAGATGAAAGCAGTGCTGACCTCGAACACCGATCGAGCCTTCAAGACAGGTGCCTTTGGGATCCCGTGGTTTGAATGCACAAACAGGGAAGGTCAAACTGAAGGATTCTGGGGCATTGATCACTTGGGGCAGGTGGTTGACTTCCTGGGACTTGATCGCAGCCGTGATCCGGGCTTCAGGGCATTACTGTAACGGATGCGAAGCAGGTATCCCGAACATCAAGCCCGCGATGTGTGGGAAACACGTCCAATATGCATCAATCAGGACAGGGTGCATTTTTGGCGAGTGACATACTCAGGATCGTTTGAATGTTCACTAGAATTTGGAGAATCAATGTATCATATCGCCTCTCCTACAGTATTGAGCCTATTCATGAAATACCCCTTGCGATGACGCCATAAGACAGTAAATTCCGAGCGACGGTATACCGATTGAGAAATGGACTGAAAGCTTTATATTTACATCCATTATCATGACAACCCCGTTATATATATGATCAAATATCAAATCTCCGGTTCTGATATCTCAAAATGCAGTTATCTGAGCTGATATATCACTCCGCCCCCTGACCGCTGAAACAGCGCCGCAGACCATAATCCATGAACTGACTGATAAGATCCCCCATGTCTCAATGTCTCAATTCTTCGATGGAGGTGGCGCCGTGCTTCTATGCTTGTCTCTCAAGAAATCACAAATCTTCTCGTCATCCATCTGGTCGATAATTTGGTAGTCCGGGTGTGATGGATCCATTTCTATGTATATGCGTGCTTAGTGAGTAACTAGTACACAGACGACGCGTCAATGATATAGAAGAAACGTACCCTTTCCCCCTTGAGCTTCATGCCCTGTCATTACCTTCTCTGCAAGGGCACGAATGCTCTCTTGTGCAGATTGGAGCGCCTCGCCCGTTGCCGGTACAACATCGTTGATGACGGTCTCTTTCAAGGCATTGACCTTTTCTTCAGCGACTGTTGGGATATTTTGCTGGATCTCTGCAATTGCTGCCCCGCCCGTTACCGAATCGAGTTGATGCTTCACGCTAGCAAGGACACCCTCGTCTTTTGAATCGCGTGAGCTGTCCGTTGAAAGTGAAGTATTCGAATCACCCATGTCATGCGTATGGCGCTGGACTCGCCCGTGACAAAGAGAATTGAGGACGAGATTATACCGAGGTCAACTTCGAGATCGTGGTCAAGATCAATCCAAATCACAGAATGGAAGTTGAACAGGGATGACAGGAACCGTAGGGCTGACCCTGACGTAGGGCTGAGAAGACACGCAATAGGCCCGATATTTAGCGGCGTCGGGGGGGCTTATGACATCTTTCAGCGGGGACAGGGCCCCAAATGTCCGGGCCAGGCAGCAGAAATTCCAGCGGGTATCTGGTCGGCTTGGCTAAGATCATGGCGCGTTTGAGATGGACTCGGGTTGGCGTGAATGAGGGTGTATCCTACCTGGAACGGCCAATCTGTGCCAAGGTATGACGTCGTTGGACCCATCGGGCGTGCCCGGTATTGGGATGAGGTTGATTGTGGAACGGAACAAGAAGGGTCGTATTTTGTCGCAGGATGGGGTTTTAGTATTATTTGAAAGAATGAGTACTTTCTTCATGTGCTGATAATTTTGTTTTAACTGACGATCTTGAAGGTTAGCTTTGAGAAAGATGATCGGCGGAGGGTTGATCGGGGTATACATACTTCTCACTATACTTCCCACTCCTCTTGAAGGCATTAATACCAGTCCTATTTCGATATTTGATTCTGTCAATAATACAAAAACAATTCCGTCGAAGTCAAAGTTCTCAGAAACTCGGAACCAATCTTCATCCAGGATGAATCTTTCTTGTACATCGCTCACCAATAAGAACCAGCCAGTCCCTTGCCCCACCAACTCCCCCGCCAAAAAAAGTTATCAACGCCAACGCCGCATTACTTCCACGCTTATCTCCCCCTGCCAAACTCTCCTCTACAGAATTCCTCCAAACTCCTCCATTCTTTACTTCACAACAGCCTCCCACCACCCACCATGGCTCCCATCCCAATCACAATCGTCACCGGCTTCCTAGGCTCCGGCAAAACAACCCTCCTCCTAAACCTAATCCCCCAACTACCGCCAACCTACCGGCTCGCCCTCCTAAAAAACGAATTCGGTGACGTCGCAGTAGACTCCCAACTCGCCTCTACATCCTCCATCTCCGGCGTCCGCGAACTCCTGAACGGCTGCATCTGCTGCAACCTGGTCGGCCAACTGAGCGACGCCCTCGAACAACTCCGCACAACGGTCTCGCCGGACCGCATCGTCATCGAGACTTCTGGCAGTGCATTCCCCGCCACGCTGGCGATGGAGGTGAACCGGCTTGCGCGGGAGGGGGCGGAGTTTGTGCTTGATGGGGTGATTAGCGTGATTGATGTGGAGAATTGGGAAGGTTATGAGGATACGAGTTATACGGCGAAATTGCAGGCCAAGTATACGGATTTGATTGTGTTTAATAAGTGGGAGAGTGTTGGGGAGAGGAGGTTTGATGTTTGCTTGGATCGGGTGGGTGATTTGGAGGTTGAGACGCCGTGGGTTAAGAGTGAGAGGGGATTCGTGGATAAGAGTGTTTTGTTGGGGATTGATGGGGCGCTGTTTGCGAAGGAGGAGGGGTTGTTGGAGGCTGGGAATGGTCATGAGGAGGGTCATGAGCATAAGCATGATCATCAGTCTGAGGTGGAGGTTTTGTCCGTGTTGTTGAAGGGGGAGAATGTGGATGTTGATGCTTTGGAGCGTCTGTTGCAGTTGGCGCCTAGAGAGGAAGTGTACCGCATCAAGGGTTTTATTCGCTGCTCGGCTGCGACGCCTCCTATCGAGTCTTCGGATGATATGGAGTCGAGGAAGGTGGGCGATGCTTCGGAAACGAGGTATTATATCCTCAACTGGGCGTTTGGCCGATGGACATGTACCCCGTCGACGGTGGTTGCAGAGTCGGCTGACGAGTCTGTCGCGGCTCGATTGACCCTCATTTTGGCGCGGTATGAGTCCGGCAAGTGGAAGAAGAAGTTGGAGGCTGGTGGTTTTGTTCAGGTTGCTGGAGGAGAGACGACGGAGTTGACCGTGGAGCGATTGGTTTGAGATTGCGCGGACGCAATACAGACCGCCACGGGTTTTGATGGATACCCATGATTGATGTATAGATTCTCATGTCTGGGATGGGACTTGATTCCTTGATGATACCTACAGTTAGATTGGCTAGATTAGACCATAGACACGACCTACAGCCATGAAACCTGCATATACATAACTCTATAACGTTCGCGCCAGTAGTACAATTCTATATGACATGTCTACTTCAGGTAATGGGAAAGTGTTCAAGGCAAACGCAAGCAAGCTCTATTCAATGAAATGTCTAGAACAAAGCAAAACAGCATAACAATGTCAATGCAGCAAAAGTATCTACTATATTATCGTGTCCAAAGCGATGAACAAAGGCCAAAGAGTTTCAAGTAACGACAAAAAGAGCGAATCAAAAACAATAAACATCAACCAAGACCTCTCCCACCAGAAAAAAAACTAGTAGTTCAGCAGAGCCGAGGCACCAGTCTCGCTCGAGATGTAGATCACTTCGTGGTTGTCGGAGAAGCCATTGAAGCGAGTGGCACTGCACTTGGTGTACGCACCCATCTCCTCAAAGTACAGCCAATCCCCGGTGTTCAGGAGCCCCGGCAGATCGATGCGCTGAGTGATCACATCGATGCCGTCGCAGGTGGGGCCCCAGATCGAGTACGAGTTGGTCTCAGTCACCGCAGAGTTGGGCGTGCCGGGCTGAGAGTCATCGGCTGCGGACAGCAGCACCTGAGCAACCGGGTGCTGGTGGTCGAAGATGATGTTGGAGAAGTTACCATACACACCATCGTTCAGGTACAGCATGTAAGCATCACGCGAAGGGTCCAGCGGGTCGGGAACGTCACGACGGGCAATGACGTTGGCCGCGAGGGTGAAGGCACTGGCGACGTAGTACCGGCCGGGCTCGGCAATGATGCGGATATGCGGCGGGAAGTAAGTCTCCAGGGCATCGCTCAGAATACCCGAGAACTTCTCAAAGGTGTCCTGGCAGAAACCGCCACCGACATCGAGGGTGTGCAGCTCGTGGCCAATCTCAGCCGCCTGATCGAACACCAGACGGGCGTCTTGAACGGCCTTGAGGAAAGCACGCGGGTCTTCGGCACCGGAGCCGACGTGGAAGCTCACGCCAACAACCTTGAGCTCGAGCTGATGGGCAAGCTCCAGCAGTTGCTGGGCCACATCCAAAGAGGCACCAAACTTCATGCTGAGCCGGCACAGACTGGTCGAGTCGTCAGTCAGGATGCGGAGGTACAGCTCGGCATCCGGGAAATGAGTCTTGATCTTGTACAACTCATCGGCGTTGTCGAAAGTCATTTGCTTGACGCCAACCTGCGAGGCATAGCGCAGGTAAGACTTGGTCTTGCAGGGTTGAGCATAGATGATCCGACTGGGATCAATGCCAGTCTGCAGGGCGAGATCAATCTCCGCCTTGGAGGCACAATCGAAGCCATTGCCCAACTGGGCCATAAGACGCAGAACCTCGGGGTCCGGGTTACACTTGACAGCTGTTATAAAGAGTCAACGAGGGGGCCCCTGATAGCGAGAGATTATCTCCCATGGCCGACGGAACTCACCATAGAAAGGCTTGACTCGGCCCAGGTTCATCTTCCAGCGCATGTGCTGGCGGTACACCTCTCCCATATCCGCCACATAAAAAGGATCCTCCTCTCCAGGCTCACACCGATCAGTATCAACCTCCGCGGCACGCTTCTTCAACACATCCAACACCAATTCCTTGGCAGTCAACCCCGATTGCAACAGTTCGTCCCCATGCTTGCTGACTTGACCCAGAGGGTCACGACTGTTCAAGTCATTTTTGATGATGCATACATCAGCAGGCGATACACACGCAGTCGGTGCCATAATCATGCAGCTGCGATTCAGCACGAATGGATCTTTTTTAGAAAAAAAAAGAAGAAAAAAAGAAAGTAAAAAGTTAAGTCACAAAAAGTATGCGACTGCGTTAGGGAGGACGAAAAGTGTCGCAACCGTAGTTGACTGGACTAAGCCTCCTAGACCCTTCCTCCTTAAGAGGAAGAACCTTCAGAGAAGTCCTATGCGGCAGCTCAGAGGTTGAGGGAATATTCTGAGAGGGCGTCAACGGGGTGAAAAAAGGCGCACCGGACGGACTCTCAGAGGGCGATAGCAGCAGGTGGTGGAATGTTATTAAGAGTGTCGCGTTGACGGCGAGTGGAGACAATTTGGCTGAGCAGAATCGAGGCTACGTGAGCCGTGGTGACGTGGGGTTGCCTTTGGTGGTAGGAACCAAAGGCAAGGATTTGGAGGGGGGTTTCGCTAACGATTGAGCGAAGATCTGAAGAATGTGGGGGAAAAAAACCGGTCAGTCAACCCAAGTTCCAGGGGGGTGAGACCAGCAGTGATTATGAGAGAAAAAATTGGACGGTTGAGAGGGACGGAGGAGGAAGAGGGGGGGGGCCTCAGATTTTTAAATTTTGGGGAGTGTTCGGGGCGGTGTTTAGGGCACGGCGGCCACTGGTGGTAATGAAAAAAAACTGACGCACGGGTACGGAAATACCCTTGGGGATCGTGTGTGGCGGTGCGACTGGAGATAAGAGAAAGGCTACTCACCAAGATACAAAGACCGTACCCCTCAAAAAACAGGGTGGTCAGAAGATTTGAAGAGAAGGTGGTTGGAGAAGAGGAAAAGAGCTTTGGTTCTGGGGGAGGGAAAACTCGTGAGGTGGGCGATGCTTACGGCAGCAGCCAAAGAGGGTCTGGTTCTCTTGTTCGTAAGGTTATTCCGTACCGGGACCTTAAAGTCGGGTCTAGTCCCTCTGGTTATTGCCCCGGAATGGTTACTTTACAGTTTTACTTAACAGTACACTACTATAGCTTTTCACTACTCAACTCCACACGGGAAAACTGGGCAGCAACTGCTATTATTACTAGCGTATACATAATAGTCAATTGTAGCGACAAGGTTACGAATTTTCTAGTTTCCATTCCTTCTTTTTTCGGCCATGCCTGCGTCATTTTATTCTATGAGCGATTTCTCCTCCCCTTCGTTGGTCTGGCCCAATCCCCAAATTTTCGATTCCGTTGTTCTCCCAAGGTCTATCAAGGCATTATGCATGCTGCAGGAGGGGCATTTCGTGCCTGCGGATCATCCTTGTCGTTGGAATTGCTATTTTCGATCATGAAAAAAACATGCGGTGTGGCAAGTCCCGAGTGCGTAGCCCTCGGTCGTGTGCTCGTGCCGTTGGTGCTGGCGCACAGACTCATCAACAGCCATTGAAGAAACCACGAGCAAAACTGACTCATAGACTGACCGGCCGCCGTGGTCAGTAACAATGGAAAACCGGTGGACCAATGTGCCTTGAACCTGCAAGTCCCGCAGAAGCACAACAGGTAAAAGTACATGCAGCAATGTAGGGCTAGGCATCACGGATACCAATTCCGTACGGTATAGAATACCCGAAGATCGGTGGGGGAGCAGCTGGGAACGGGAAGAAAACGGTCAGGAAACGGGCCCCCCAATGACGCACGGTAGCACGGACCACCAACTACCGGTATTGGTATTTCTGTATACTTCTCGAAGACATCCGACATGGAAAATGTACCCTGATACACCTAAGCCTTCTCCACATCGGACTCCTGCTGGTAGCAATACATCTCAATCTGATCGACCTGCTCCCACTGTGCCGGCAATGGCACTTTCGCCTGTAACGATACAAATCCTGCAGCCCGCATCAGATCGAAGAAGACTGCCTCGCTCTCGTGCCGCCGCTTTAGGGCCACCAGCACCATCGCCCCCGGGGAACCCCGAACCAAGCGATTAAGGACTGATACCAGCGCAGGCAGACTATCTGCATTATATGTACAGTCTGACACGAGGATCAAGTCAATAGGCCCGCGAGTGAGATTGGGAGTTGGGTCGTCCCAGTCGAGTGTCTGAAATTTGATCGATGCTGATGATTTCGGCGAGGCCTCGTTGATATTACGAGTCACGATCTCGGAGACTTCTGGCAGGTCGGTGAGGAGCACTTCGCAGTTGGCGAGCATGGTCGCTAAAGCGATGCCTACGATGCCACAGCCAGCGCCGAGTTCGACGACTTGCAGGGTCGACTTGCCGGAGTTTAGGAGCTGGCTAAGCGGAGGCATGCTCTTCTCGGCGCCGGTAATGACTTTCTCGAGGAAGATGATGGCTGCGAGAGCTGCATCCCTGTAGTAAATAAGTTGAGATTAGAATACCTGCAAATAGCGGGGTCGAATGGGTAAGTGAACATATAGAAGCATGACTTACCAGATGTGCCGGGCAATGCTGTTGCCCGTTTCTTCCCAGATTCTCAAGGGCCGCACATTATCTGCAATGTTCAGATCTCGTCGGATCAATTGCTCAGCCGGTTCCCATTGTGGTCCAAAGGGCGCACTGCATCCCGAGATAACCAATGGTGTCGAATGCTCCCCTAATACATCTTTCTCAACATCGGGAAGTTGAATTTTTAACACCGCCGTTTGCCCGGCCGCATCATTGGGTGAGAAGGGACCCAGCAAGATAGGTACTTGGCGGGAACCAGCCTGCCATTGTAGAGCTGTCTGATATCGAATCTTGTGCGATGGATGTTGTACCCAGCTGGCCGTCAAGTCCACATCCTCGGCGAGGAAATCATCGCCTAGATCAGTGGTTATGCAGATCAAAGCGGATATAAACACGGACTTCTTCTGCTGCTGGAACCGAGGCGTCTTCAGAAATCGAATATAATATACCATGTTTAACCCCACTCCTCCAATCAAGAGTAAATTGACTCCACATTCAATTCTTCAATTTTTCACTATTTTAATCCGCCGCGGCGGTCTTTTACCCCAGACCAGGCCCCCACTCGTGTCCTCACGTGCCACCGCTGACTAACAGGACATGACATCGGTGATTCGGCACCAACGTACCTTCACTACGCAATCATCTAGCATTCCTATCCCCCCTCGTCTCGCCAATGATGGCCACGGCGCGCAGATGAAGCCAGAATATCACCCGACCCGTGCATCTACACGCTTCACCACAGCCCGCGCCTCAAAATGATGCGCCCGCGCGACCCGCGAATCCGTCAGCGGATCAATCAGATCTCGCATAACCTAGAGTCCGCCAACGAGTCCGCTCAGGAGGGTCTATACACCTTCTCCCAGAATTACCTCTCCCCGTGTCTGAGCAGTATTGGCAGCTGTGTGCAGGCCTGCACGGCACCTTGCCTGCCCAGTCGCGAGGACCAACTTCGGCGTCGTCGACGCGGTCGTGCGGAGGCTAACTTTGACTTTTACGATGATTGGGATAATGAGGAGGGGGAGGAGGGTATTCTTGGTTGGGGTACTGGCGAGCTTGATCGATTGCTGGCTGGTAGTGGGCTTGCTCGTGGGGGTAATGCGGAACAGCCGCGACGACAGAGGAAGATGAGCTACGGGACTCGTCAGACGAGAAGGCGGAGCACGGTGCATATCCCGGATAACCGCTCTGATCCTACGGTTATACCGAGCTCGTCACTGATTGGATTCCTCGAGCGCTTTCCGTGGCGGTTTGGTGCCAAGGGCGTTAAGTATCGGCCTTCTGCTGCGGATCTGCAAGAGCACCCGGGTAGTCACCGTCGTCATACGCAGGAGGATGAGCCATTGATGGAGGCCGCGGAAGAAGATGGGGATTACGTTTCTTATCAAAACCATGGGAGGGGGCGGAGTGGTACGCAGTCATCGCGGGGCACGTCGAACTCGCTGAGTTCTCGGGGTGATTTGTTCCCGAGCGACGAGGAAGAAGATGCGGTTCCGCTGGATGATGAGTTCGCGCTTGTCTTTGGACGGCGAAACACGGGCCTTGAATCGGATGATCAATCTGGCACGAAGACCGAGATGGTTAGATCGGCCTCGGGCACGTCGAGCCTGGGCGATGCATCATCCAAGAAGTCCAAGCGGAAGAAAAAGAAGCGCTCCTCGACCAAGACGGCCATGAGCATGGACCAGGATGTCGTTCAGAGCATTGAAACACCGTCAATTGCGGATCTCAAAATGGAAGAGGAGCAAGTGGCCCGGGAAGAAGAATCTACGGTCCAGAAAAAGCGACTCGCGGCACAACAATTGGCTTTCAAGCGCGGCCTGGAGCCGAGCAGTGCTGATATGGTGCGTTGTTCAATGGCTTTAATTTCCCTCGGCGGACTCGAAACTAACTCGACATCACAGTCTCCAAAAACCTCCATCTTCGGAAACCAAACGACCGGGGCCTCTCCAAACAACAGCCCCAAAATAGTAGCACGAAACCAATTCTCAGAGGGCCACACCAGGCCACCCAGTGGCTCTTCGGTTCGCCGATACTCAGGGGACCAAATCGAGCCATTCCCACCATTCCCGCTACCGGCATCTTCATTACCCACTCCGCCTCCCGGTGCCGCTTTGGCTTCCTCTCGACCTGGCTCACTGAACGCCGATAGCGGCACGGAAAATGACCCCGAAGACAATGGCGAAGAGCCCCATTAAACTCAGCTGTGCTACTCGAGTTGCGAAAAGCGCCTGGCGTGTCTGTGACCCAACCGCTGGCTTGTACGATATAATGACTTCCTTTTCTGATGTACCTTATACCCCCTTGATGACCACTTGAAAAATTTCTATTGAATGCAATTATTATTTGAAACGTGGGAGATTGGATATACCAGGCAATGAAGACGTATCTCGCTCTTTCGGCGTAAACGGCGTAAAGTTCGAGGATGCCTCCACCTCCATGTACGTCCCATCAACACGAGAGTTGCCTGACCGGGAAGGCGGATGATGAATACGAAGCTGCTCTCGGAGTTTCTTTAACCAAAATGATCTTCTCCGAACCTTTTCAGCTAACCTCAGCTTAGATCCGAGGGCCCGCCCCGCACGGGGCCCAGTCAACCTCTATCTATAAAGGCTCTCCCAAGGTACAAAGGGGTCTATAAATACTAACCACTACCGAGGGCTCTCTGATTTTGATCGAGTTGGTTCTCTTCTCCAGCCAACGACATTCACAATGACCAAAGCAATGACTGAAGCCGAACCTGGTCCCAACTATATGCTGAGCGAGGACTATGATCCGCACACACTCCCCTGGTATGAGCCTGAGCTTCAGGATGTTGAGCCCGAGGCAAGACAGCTTCTCGAGAAATATAGCAAGATCCCATCCGACGAGGTCGTACAACATGTGAATAACATGGTTTGTGACCTCTGCATTAGTTTAATTCCGAGTGGATCAGATACTGACTGGGTACGCAACTCTATGAATAGCGAGATCGAGCTTTTGCTGTAGTAAGTGGATACGAGCTATTACGCTCTAACCTCGGAATACTTACTTGCAACAAGACATGGATTCGATCCTGATATGCCTCAGTTTCCATACCCATGCGTCGGCGCATTCCGTTTCCTAGATATGAGTATCCCCCAACAACCGATCTATCCAGAGATCCTCGAGCGTCTCAAGTCAGGCCAGAAGCTATTAGACGTCGGATGCGCCCTTGGCCAAGAACTGCGTCGATTGGTATGCCCCGTAACAAATCCGTCCTCAATTCACCAATTCTAACATCCCATATAGGTCTTCGACGGCGTCCCCTCCGAGAACCTCTACGCCTCCGATCTCCGCCGCGACTTCTTCTCAATTAGCTTCGACCTCTTCAACGACCACACCACCCTAAAAACCCAATTCGTCGAATCAGACATCTTCGACCCAACCTCACAACTAGTCCAACAACTCACCGGCAAAATGGACATCGTCAACGCAGCCTCCTTCTTCCACCTGTTTGCCTGGGACCAGCAAGTCGCCGCCGTGAGGCAGGTGATTGCGTTGCTGCGCCCACGGCCGGGGTCTCTCGTTATTGGTCGCCAGGCGGCGCGTAAGGATCCTATCGATCCGGATAATAGGGAGAATGCCCCTAAGAGATATAGACATGATGTTGAGACGTGGAAGAGGCTTTGGAGGCAGGTTGAGGTGGAGACTGGGACTAGGTGGGAGGTTGAGGCTTGGTTGGAGGTTTGGGAGGGGGTTGATTCGGTTTTTAAGAGGTATCACCCTGGTGTGGAGACTTTTAAGATGAATTTTGTGTCGAGGAGGTTGTAAATGTGAGTGATGCTTGGTGGGGTGAAGCCTTGGGGGTCCGTCTGGTTAATTGAGGCTATCATGCTTGTATGGTTACAGGCAGTGGTGATAGTGGGGGTTTCCAAGAGTCCTGCTAGCCTTGCAAGGCTAGATTGTGTGACATTTCTTGTTTTCTGCGCTGAATCAGGTATTATTGATAATTTGTAGGGAATACATATCGAACCACATGTCGGATACTTCCATTTCCATTTCAGGCTCGGTGCAGCCATGGCATGGCACTTTCAATGCATACTGTCCCATCTAGTCCAGAATCATTATCTTTGCCCCGCAAAGAAACCCTCCGGCTATCATTGATATCGTGGAGGTTATCTCGGCATATTTGTTAGCTTGACACTGAGGGGTAGATACGCTATGCCTTAGTGCAAGCACGCCACGTCGAGGAATGCTCCGTCTATCTCACGCCATTTAAGGCCGTGATTTCAAGGCTGTCGCATTGAAACTTGATTATTTCCAGGAAACTGTGCCAGTCACATGAGGAATTGAAAATTTCTATATAATCCCACTTTCAGTCGAGTGCAAGACTTGTTGCTCTTCTCTGTCGGGCTTGAAAATACCTTGATCAACATGGCTGAAAAGATAGATGATAAGCTCCCTACAGCGACGTCCTCACCTGACATCTCTGGTGGTGAATCTGGATTTGAATCAACACTTCCTCAGCATGGAAAAGTGCATTATGTCGACCGTGATCAAAATGGTATTCTCCCGACATATGGGGCCGAACACATTCCAGGGTACGATGCCGATCTTATGGGTGCGAGAGCTACTTTAAGTAGCACTGAGGAGAAGAAGCTTCTTGGACGAATTGACTGGCATCTCATACCACTTTTGGCTATCATGTATATGCTCAAGAGTGTTGATTTTACCAATGTAGGCTCGTGCCTTGACCGGAACTTGACTATTGAAGCTAACATTGGTGGACCAGGTTTCCTATGCCAGGACCATGGATAAAGGCACACCCCATAACATTCTGACAGAGCTGAAAATGACATCGAATCAGTATAATCTCGTGACGACTATGTATTATGTACGTCTACCTCTTTGAGAAGTAAGCTGGTGCTGATTATTCCAGATCCCATATATTGTCGCCGAAGCGCCATCCAATCTTCTTTTGAAAGGTGTGCGACCGTCAGTATGGCAGGCCCGAATCATGGTGAGTGAACTGACCGAACAATATTAAAACGAGCCATTAATCGCACTGCAGGTTTCTTGGGGCATCGTCTTGTGCTGTCACGCCGCTGTAACAAATCGACAAGGTTTATATGCTGTTCGATTCTTCCTCGGTCTTTTTGAAGCTGGCCTTTGGCCGGGTATGCTAGTGCATATATGCTACTGGTATAGACCGGATGAGATCGCGCCACGAATTGTGCTTGTTACTCTCCTGGGAAACTTCAGCTCCGTTATTAGTGGACTTCTCGCTTTTGCGTTTAACGGGGTTGTCACGGGTGGATTATCGGGTTGGAAGTGGTGAGTATAGTTCACTGCAGACCATAGAGAGCGAATATGCTAATACTTTTGTACAGGCTGATATTAACGGAAGGCATTTTCACTGTTTTGCTTGGGATTTTTACATATTTCTTCTTGCCTGACTGTAAGTCGATCAACCGCCGATCATGATTCATACTAATGTCATTCAAGTCCCATCTACTGCCTCGTGGCTTTCTGATAGAGAAAAGGCATTCATTCAAGCACGTCTTCCGAGCAACTCTCCACGAGCAGCAGAAGCAAACTTCAACTTACCGGAGCTGATTACAACTTTGAAAAATAAGAGGATTTGGCTGTTCCTTCTGTGTTGGGCCTTTTTCACCATTGGCACTACTGGTCTTACCTTTTACCAGCCGACAGTCATTGCCAACCTCGGGTTTACGTGAGTGAATGATCCTCTATATCCCGTTGTCTCGTTCTAATGATTCCAAGTTCAATCGGCCAAGCACAACTTCTCAACATTCCCTCGGCTGCATTCGCAGTGATTTTGACGCTCGCCTTCGGAGTATTTGCAGACACCGGACGCATCCCTCAACCAGCCATTCCACTCTTTTTCATGATCGTCATCGAGGCCTGCTATGGTGTTCTGTATGCATTCCCCAGCAATAGCGGTGTCTACGCTGCCACAATCATAGCCGGTGGCTTTTCAACTGCATGGTAAGTACATCGAATATGCATCTCTCAACATAACAGAAGGACTAATTCAAATAGGTACACCATGATGTGGCCATGGCGAGTCCAAACTACCGAGGGCGCAACTGGCTCAGCATTTGCAATTGCCTTCGCCAATAGTTACGGTCAAATTGGAGGAGCAGTTGGGTCTCAACTGTTCAATTCTCGCTACGCACCGCATTACACTACTTCCTTCGGAATTGCAATGGGATTTATTGGCATGGCTATAGTAATGAACATTATTACTTGGGGCTTTACTTGGAGGGTTGATGTTGATACTAGGAAACTGAAGAGAATCAGGATGGCAGCGGCTAAGCAGAACCAAGCTGTTCTAGATGATGTTGATATTCATGCTGGAGAGAAGAAAAGGCAGTGACGTGTGGGGGAAAGGATGGAGGTAGTGAAGGATATGCGGGTGATTGGAATAGAACTTATGAAAGGCTCGGGTATATTAGAGAAGATGATGCGAATATAGCGTACTCTTTCGTATTTCCTCTTCAATTATTAATACCCTTCGTAAAACCTACTGGTTTGTCAATATCTTAGAATTTCGCATAGAACTCCGATGCACGCCATTGCGGGGAGCGATGTCCTTATCGGATCGACCTTCAGCTTCCCCTCATCATTCCCCCTTGCAGTATTTGCTTCTTTCTAGACAATCCTGTCAGTTCCGTCAAATTTAATATCTCTCTTTACTCAAAGCTGTCTCAGTTGCATCTGAAACCCAGCTTTCCGTAAGGTTACAATAAGCTCACAATATGAAGACAAATTACCTCTGGGGCGTCACTGCCCTGGCAAAAGTGGTACTCACCTCCAACCTCCAACAGCCATTAGGCGGGAACCTCCAACCTGGAACAGCGCATCTGTCCGAGCTTGACAGTATCGTCGCTTCATCACCTCTTCTGTCCTTTCATAGGGATATTGTGGAGATCCCATCTGTCACGGGCGATGAGAAAAACGTCGGAGAATTCGTCTTAGACTTTCTATCGTCACACAACTGGACAGTAGAAAAGCAAACCGTCATTCCCGAATCCGGTGAAGATAAAGAACGATTCAATATATATGCTTACATCGGCAATAATCGATACCCGGACGTGCTACTGACCAGCCATATCGACACCGTTCCACCTTTCATTCCTTATTCTCTTCGTCCGCCAGCGGCAGGAGGATCGTCATTCAGTCGAAAGGACCTGGTCATTGCAGGCCGTGGCACTGTAGATGCCAAAGCAAGTGTATCAGCAATAGTTTTTGCTGCTATCGAGACTCTTCGAGACAACCCTGATGCCTCAATCGCGCTATTATTCGACGTCGGCGAGGAACGATTCGGTACGGGAATGAAGCATTTCTCAAACTCAGATCTAAACACGAATCCACCTACATTCCATACAATCATCTTCGGAGAGCCTACCGAGCTCAGCCTCGTTGCCGGTCACAAAGGCTCGTTGGGATTGAAGGTGATCGCCAAAGGCAAAGCAGCCCACTCAGGATACCCCTGGCTGGGGAAAAGTGCGATCTCAGCTATCCTCCCTGTCTTGTCCCGTCTCGATAATCTTGAAAATATCCTCCCCGAGGATGGTGGACTTCTTCGAAGTGAGAAGCTGGGCAAGTCGACTTTGAATATCGGTCAGATTTATGGCGGTGTCGCTGGGAATGTCGTTCCAGCGTACGCTGAAGCATCAGTCTCGGTTCGCCTTGCAGAGGGAACACCGGAGGACACAAGAGAGATTCTCCAGCGAGCGGTCGATGAAGTAACTGGAGGAGATGGCAGTGTATTCTTAGCCTTTGGCGAACCGAAAGCCGGGGGTGCGCCGCCTCAATATTTCGATGCGGACGTGGAGGGATTTGAGGTTATTACTGTGAATTATGGGACAGATGCTGCGTCTCTGCATATCCATGATGAAGGGACTCGAAAAGTGCGCAGGTATCTCTATGGGCCTGGAACTATTCATGTCGCACACGGTGACGATGAAGCTATCACGGTAGGAGATCTGGAGGAAGCTGTAGACGGTTACAAAAGATTGATCTCGGCTGCGCTACGACGTTCGTGAGAGCTTCAAGCCAGTACTTTTCTAGTCCATGGTTATATTCGATACCGTCGACCGATATTTCAGACGCCATTTACGGCACAAATTCCTGAGTGGAGCTTCACAATTGCCTATGAGGATCACATTCTTGGAGACTTGGAAGTGCAATGACGACAATGCGCACGTCTGCAAGCCTTACCAAAAGTTGAGGACGGGCTGACAACTCATATGCTTGATGGCATCTGCAAGTTTGCTACGGGACGTGGCCTTTTCTGGATATATAGACGATGATTATGATCGCGGGTATATTGAAATTAAATCAATCTATTTCCATGATTCGCAACTTCATTTCCAAATATCCTGTTCAACGTAGATGGCAATGCGCCCTGCAATTGCTCTGAGCCACTCCACTGGTTATTCGCCGAGAATTGCTGTGCATTGTGAGCCAAAAGACCAGAGTCGTATGGCAAGCTGGCCTGGACATCCGGAACTGCGGAATTTGCAGATTTCTGTGTTGGCGGGAAAGGCGTCGGATCTTGGAACAGCCAAGGTGGATTAGCTAGGGACATGATTTCTTGATCGAAAATCGTCCATGAGTCGTCGACCATTGGGCCAGGAAATGCTAATGCTGAGCTTGTATCTGGGGGTGTATGCATTGCTTGCATACTTGATTCGAGGCGTTGGGATAGAACGGTGTGAATGCTGGCTGCTGATTGGTGACTTCGTTCTAGACTGCGAAGGTGTGCTTGGATAAGATGGAGGTCTGTGTGAGTGTTAGATGGAGCGAAGTTCTCGGGGTTGTAGTTTATGCGAACCGTCTTGATGTGTCATGCCATCTTCGACACCACGAAGGAGTAGCATGGCAGCCCATGTTATCATCTGCGTAGGACAGGAGTTAGAGAAAGTGAAATAACAACTGGCTGGGCCAAACTCACGATCAAGTCCCAATTGGACCAAATGCTAGCATCATCCTGCCGTAGTCTGAGCACTGCCCTTGCTGAGACAAGCAGCTCATGCCTCTCGACAGGAGTAATCTTTGCGGAGCTCAAATCGAATCCTCGAGCAGGGTGGTATATTGATAGCACAAACAGCTTGTGCAAATGATATTGTAACAGGATCAGGATCCCTTGTCGATCTGACGGACTGGGCTCTAGATGAACAATTCTCATTAGATAGGTTTCAACTAACAATCACCAAACCTGATAACTCACGGGAAGTTCCATTATATCGCACAAGCCAGTCATCCAGCTTGCGTGCCCAAAGTCGAATAACATCAGAATCATGTTCCGAGAATGAAGACTGGGGACCAGGGATATTGGCGGAGATGTCGGCATTTATTGTGCACCAGACAGTCGGCAAGCCTTTGCCTACGAAATGGCTCAACCCGTAGTGCATCATATCAGCGAGACCTTGGAAGGCGTTCCCATGATGGGTGTCCAACCGCTGGATACCTGATGTGGGAGGCTGGCGAGGTAGTAGGGGATGTGTCATATGCATAGACGCATGCTCAATATCAATGACCTGATAAATTGTTAGCAGGACGATTTTACGTGAACGGTATTAGCCTGACCTGGAGACCACAGAACAATCCCCGCCAATCGGAAATCGAAGGATCCATTTCCGAGGGACAATGATCTAGCCAGAGTCGATATGCGATTGCAATCCATGAGCCAGTTGCGTCGATATATGCTTCGGAGCTCAGACTCGCCATGATCAAGCCTAGGATATTATGAAAAACTTTATCCTTCTTGCTTTTTACAGGATCCATCGGCTCTTCGTCACTATACGAATCAGGTTGATCAATGGGGCCCCGCTTTAAGCACGGCGTCACCAGCTCGGTGATTGCACTGCAGGTGGCTGCAAAATAGCCTGATTCCATAGCTGCCAGTTCGGGTTGCTGGTGGTGAAGCGCGGAGATATAAAGGACAGAGCCAAGAAGCAATGGTGTAGGTGAAGCAAATACATCTCGGTCTTTCAAAAAGTGAAGAAGTGGCAGATTATTTAGAAATCTTTACCAGTGTCAGTGGTGTTCGATGCTAGTAGCGTATAACTTACGAGCTCCAAAGGCGTTTCACAATTGGCCTAGACCAGATGTTTTCATCGGGCGCCGGACGAGTTATAGACCTTAGGTGAGCTACTGATTTCCAGACATCCTGCAAGGGCACTGAATCTGGTTCCTCATCCAGGTCCAAACTCTCGGCTACCGAGACACTCGGCGGTGCATCCTGGCTGATTCCTAGTGCGGCCTCAATTCGATCTAGCCGGTCAAGAACAGACTGCTGGTCATATGTCGATGACCGAGACGCGAGAAGTTCAGTTTGAGCTTCTTCAACCAATTCATGCAACGCGGATGCCTTATCGGGTGTTAGTCAACTTGGCAAATCGGAAGCAATTTCGGCTTGGCACATACATTAGCCCGGGGTTTGAAGATACAGGGTGTCTGATTGTGTCGGCAACGACGACATGGAGGAGGCCCTGAGACCTCACATTTCATCTAAGGGTCGTCGGTCAATCGGCGATTTGATTTCTTGAAATATCCCTATTGATAGATACCTTGAGTCTCCGGCAGTTGACTACAAATAATTCCGTTAGACCTGCGCTAGCATTGAGAGTTCTCAGTAACACTTACCACATGCCTTGGTCGGCTTGGGTCCCAAAACCACGCTGCCCCGCTTCATCATGATGCCCTGAGATGGTTACATCGTATGAAGAAGCAGCCCCGACTTGGCGCCTCTCCACGGTTTCTTATCGACGCCCACGTGAGTCGGGGCTTAAAGGAACCCGCTTATCCGGGGAAGACGCTAACCTGATTGGGCACAACAACTTGGGCAAGTTAAATATTATTAATCTTTCTTTCATATGAATAATAAGGTGAGATTTATTGAGTTGGCCTAAATGTATCAATCTAAAATTTCTATATGTTCTCGCGTTTTTAGTCCGCCCTGCGTAGGCTGAAAGAGTATCCAGGGCGGTTCCGATAAACGGAGATGAGAAGCGTACCTCAAGGGTTCACATTCCCACTGTTCTTGCGCATGCATCCACCACCTAAAGTGATAGAATGCCACATCTTTCAATCAATGGGGATGACTGGTTGAAGACGCGAGGAAAGCTCTGGTGCTTGAAAGCACGTATAGATCTTGATAGCGCGGTGTGAAGAGGTATGGGACAGGAAGGAGGAAGGAAAAGAGATGGTGACCGGGGATTCATGCAGGTCATATAGTATACATGTATGTACAAGAAGATGCAAAAGAGTTGGGACAATGCAAGGGTGAGTAAAAATACAGGGGATAATGAGCAGGGTATATAATGAATCACTTCCCTCGGTAGATGCCATTCAGCACCGAATCAATACATCGTATCGACAAAGCAGCGAAGGCCTTCTAAGCAGCGGGAGCATCATCTTGCTGACCCATGGAAAGCTTGCGGACCTCCCATTCAGAGTCAGCCCAGTCCTTCTTCTCACCGAGGACGCAGGTTGTCTTGCGGGAGCCGTTCACCAGGAAGCGATCAGCAACTTCGTTCACATCCTTGGCAGTGACATCCAAGACTTGCTCTCTCCAGCGCTGATCCATCTCGTGGGTGACACCGCTCATGAAGTAGCGAGCACCCTCGTCGTCAACACTGACTGGAGCATCCAGGCCTTGGAAGATGCCAAGCTTGGCCTCCTCGATCTCACGCTCGGACCAAGCGCGATCCCTAGCGAAGATACCGCTGTTCTGGAAGACCTTCAACGAGTTCGTAGGATTGGGATCCCGGTAACTCATGAAGGTGAAGATGCCCTTGAGGGGACCGTTGCTAGCACCCGCTCCGTAAGCACCACCCTTCTCCCGAATTTCGGGGTGGAGGTAGTTGTGAGTGAGCATCTGCGATAGTACGGTAAGGGGTGCACTAGCCGGGTCGGTGAATGGCACAGTCTGAGTAGCCTGACCAGAGTAGTAGACCTTGTAGGGGAGATCATAGAAAGCCTTGTCAACAGACTTGAATGATGGCGCGGTTGATGCGCGCGGCGAAGAGACCTGTGGCAATCCAGACAGCCACTTCTGCAGGACTGCATCATTTCGGGAGGCACTCTCTGACTCGCAGACCATACGAACACGGAGGCCAGACGACCGCGAGATTGCAAATGACTGGATCAGCCGGAGCTTATCAATCAACTCCTGAAGACGATCAGGAGAGGTCTCCGCATCACGGAGAAGGTTTGCGGTAGCTTGCAACTGCTCCAGACCGGATTGTTGCTCCTGGATCCATAAGCTGCGGGATAGATTGGCCGCGGCGGCATTCACAGCGAAACGGTGACCGGTCGAGGCAACGGAATCCAAAGCTCCGTTAGTGGTCAAGCGCAGGAGTTCTTGAATCATAGCAGGGGCGGCGGGGCTTGAGAAATCAGTCTCCGTGACCAGAGTAGAGAGCATGTCCAACATCTCGGGGATGTTGTTATCGAGGGCAAAGCCAGAGAACTGCATTCCCTCCTTGAACTGGTCGACCTGAGTCGGAGAAGAAACGAGGAAGGACGAAGTGGAGATGCCCCCAGTCTTTAGCTTGATGAGATCCTCCCACTGTTCCATTGAGCGGGTTGCAGTACCCAAGCGCATAACACAGTCATTGAAAAGCGGCATCAACAGTCGCAGTTCATCAGGAAGATCCTGGAAAGCGTTGACGGCCTGGAAATAGGTCAAACCATTGGTGGGAGCCTCACGCCAGACGACTTCCGTATCGTCAATCTTCGACTCGCGGACGGGCTTACGCTCCTTCTCGCGGGAGATGTCCTTGACTCGCAGGGTGGGAAGGCAGCTCAAATCGGCGTTGTGAGCATCCTCTTGAACCTTCAACAGCTGAAGCTCTGCGGTGGTGAGATTAGCCACAGCGTTTTCAACTGAGCCATGCTCCTCAATGAGCTGAGCAAGCTTCTTGTCCTTGCGCACAACCTCCTTCTGATCAAGCTCCTTATTGAAGGTCGGAGATCCAACCATCGTGAACGTCATACAACGATCATTGAGAAGGTACTTCTCCACCAGAGACTCCAGATAACCGGGCTTCTCATACCTCCTCTTGAACTCCTCGATAACGTCATTCCAAGCCAGCTCCTTCATCGGGTTGGCGCCGTTGAACCAGGACGAAATGGTCTTCTCCATAACTCCAATGCCAAAGTTCGCTGTCTTGTGACGGAGAGAAAGCTCCAACTGGTGGAGGAAGCCACGGACCTTCTCTTCGCTGAATCCAGCCTGGACGGACTCCCGGAAAGCCTTCTGGATCACGTCTTTCACAGTGGGAGCCTCCGCTTCACTGACACCAGTGACACCGATGGAAAAGATCGGGACCTTGCCAGAGGAATCCAAGCCGGTGTTGGGGGTGAAGGAGGAGCCCAAGCCGCTTTCAATCAGAGCCCGATACATGGGCGAGCCATATCCATCGAGGAAGAGGGAGGAAATGATTCCGACGGAGAAGGTCTCAACGGTATCCGTTGAATCTCCCATGTACCAAGATGTGGATGTCTTGTGTTGCTTATCCTCGCTCGAAAAGGTGTCGATAGGTCCAGGTACTGTGATATTCAGGCCTTGGCTCAGATCAAGAGGCTGCTTCACTTCGGTGTCAGCTTCTCCTTTGTTGAAACCATCCAAGACAGCTCCAATCTGTTCCAAGTGACGGGTAAGAGGCATATCTCCATAGGTCAAAATCTTGGAGTTGCTTGGGTGGTAGTTGCGCTTCGAGAACTCCGTCAACTGCTGGTGGGTGAGGTCGGTGATATACTCTGGGTCACCGCCTGAGTTGTTGAGAGCCGGGATAATGCTCTCCTTGAAGCGAATGTAGTAGAGGTAGTTGGAATCCGAAATCTGGCCCTTCATCTCATTGTAAACAACACCCTTGAACACAATGTCTTCCAATTGGGCCTTCTTCTCCGGCTGTCCCTCTGCAGGGAGGAAAGCACGCGGGTCCTCGGGGCCCAACCGCCAGCCCTCCTGTCGGAAATCGTCTGCCTTGAGAAGGGGGTGAAGAGTCGCATCAAGGTATACCGATAGAAGGTTTTGGAAGTCTTGGGAGTTGGTAGTCGCGAAAGGGTATGTGGTGTGGTCAGAGGAGGTGAAGGCATTCATGAAGTTTGAGAGAGAACGAGGAAGCATCTTGAAGAAGGGATCGCGAATAGGGTACCTATAAGGTGAATGATCGAGGTTAGGTAGAGGTCAAGCCATAGGTTCTAGGGCTGAACGTACTTCTCACTTCCACAAAGGGTGGTGTGCTCCAGAATATGCGGTACACCCGTCGCATCAGGAGGATTGGTCTTGAAACCAATACCAAACACATTGTTCTTGTCATCCCGAGCCACATGAAGGTAGTCCGCATCGGTTTTGTCATGGGTGAGCCGCACTGCAGTCAGGTGGAGCTCCGGAACATGCTTCTTCTCCCGAACGGTAAATCCATGAAGCTTCTCACCGACGGCAGGGAAGCTTTCAAGGTCAGTGACTGTGGATGCCAGCCTCATTGCCCCAAATGGCCGTGGAACCACCGGGTTGAGCCTAGAGAAACGGCCAGGAACCGGTTGTCGCAAAGACGGGACCCGGGCTCTGCCCAGGCCCATAGTTGAGCGTAGCATAGTAAGGTGGTAGTTTCAGCGCACTCAGTAAGTGTTCATCGCAGTCGAAATCAAAAAAAAATATGCACAAGTATTTCCAAAATGCAATGTGCCTTTGCTGTTGAAAAGGTCGAACAAGCCAGAAGTTTGAAGATTGCAAATGCCGTAACAAGATGGATAGGTCGGACCGAGATCACCGGGGCTTATGTCATCCAATTGGCAATTCAATGTCGCCCTCGTGACTGCTACTACAACGTACACCAACAGAAAGGAACTTGCAAATTAGTAGGACTCTCCTACAATCGAATCCAACTACCCCTTGCACTACTAGCAGCGATATTTGTCCGTCCATTTTAAAGGTAAAGAAGTCCGTGGCTGGCCAGTCTGTTCGGTGCGGCTGGTTCGATGACTAAGGACCCCCTCGTCGAGTTCTGCGAGGACCGTTAGAAGGAACCATAAGTTGCAACTCCCCTCAAGTAGCGCTACGAGCCTCACACAGTTGACCCAGAGGTGATCTCTCGACCGAGCCCGCCTTTACCTCTGGGGTCACGCCTCGTTTGCCTTGCCCGCAATCCGATTGAACGCACCCCTCCCTCGTTCTAAACGTGTATCCCAATTGCGGCACTGCACAATTTTTCGGCTTCTTAACTGTCCACACGACCACCGCAAACCCATTTGAAGATCAAGTTAGACGTGCGAGACGTGTGGTATTCTCGGAGAATCGCCCACCATGTCCACCACCTCGATTGCGAAGAAGAACAAGGGGAAGAAAGTTGCCGATCCCAATGAGACGTCCAAGTTACTCGCAGCCAAGATCTCTCAACTGGAGCAAGATGCGGCTGGGGAAAAGGACCAGGAACAAGAGATTGGTGCGTGAACATTCTATACATACGTGGCTTTGTTGTTATGTCTGCTTCGGCACACCGCGGGTCCGCACCTACTCTAGGAAGGCAGGATGTAGCTAACTTATATCCACTATACAGAGCGCGAAGTGAAGAAGGCGACCCGTGACCTAAACCAACTCCTTAACAACATCGAATCCCCCATGACCCGTCTGGAAACCGTCCACAAAAAGTATACCGAGCTATTAGCAGACATGAAAAAGCTGGATCGGGATTATTCCAAGAGCAAAAAGCGCGCAGATCAATTGCAGAAGGATCAGGAAAAGGGAAAATCAGAGTTGAACAAAACCGTGACCATGAAGGACAAGCTGGAGAAACTCTGTCGCGAGTTGACTAAGGAAAACAAAAAAGTGAAGGTAAGGTGATGTTGACGTCCGCACCACCACCATCAACGTTTTGTCACCTGACACCACGCAGGACGAAAACAAGAAGCTTGACGACACGGAAAAGAAAGCTCGCCTGATTGTGAACGAACGACTTGACTCCCTCCTCTACGACATTCAAGACGTCATGGCTGCCAAGGGAAACCCTCGCAATGAGAAAGTGGATATTGATCTGGATGAAGCGTACGGCCCCGCGATTTAGATTATTCCCCGCGTCCCCACGTTTGCACGCTTGCTGATTTTTTTTTTCTCTAGCCTTCGTGCGAAGCTGAAGACCATCAGCGAGCAATTTGATACCCGCGAACTCCATTACAAATCCCTCCTCCGCAGTAAGGACGCCGAGATCCAGAGTCTTACTGCCAAGTATGAGGAGCAACGCCGAACCGCCGATAACGAGACTGCTCGGGGTCGTGCTCTGAGCGCCCAGGTCTCAACCTTCTCTCACACCGAAGCCGAGCTCCGCAGTCAGCTGAACATTTATGTTGAGAAGTTTAAGCAGGTACGGGACCCCCCGCTAAACTCTCTTCCCTCACGGTCCATGACTGACACCGCACAGGTTGAAGACACTCTGAACAACAGCAATGAACTCTTCTTGACCTTCCGCAAGGAGATGGAGGAGATGTCCAAGAAGACAAAACGACTCGAGAAGGAAAACCACACCCTCAATCGAAAGCACGAACAGACCAATCGCAACATCCTTGAGATGGCCGAGGAGCGTACTCGCAACCAAGAGGAACTTGAGAGATGGCGCCGCAAGTGCCAGCACCTTGAAGCCTTGTGCCGACGCATGCAGGCCCAAGGCCGCGGTGAAGGCTTGGCTGAGGGTGACGACCACCTGGATCACGATGATGAGGGCACTGAGAGCGAGTACGACGATGACTACGAAGATGAGGACGACTTGAGCGATGAAGGAGACCTCGACGGACATGATCATGATCGTGATATCCCCCGAGCCGGCGGCCCTACCGAGCGACCCGTCTTCGGGCCACCCCCACCACCCAATCTTCTGGAGGCCCGGGCTACCAAGAACGCCGTTCTCAACGGGTGCCACTAATCGAAGCTCGTGCTTTCGAAGATATCACGCTACCAAGTTCATGCATTTATCTGGGTCTTTTTTCTTGCGGTGATACAGAATCCCGCCTCTGTCGAATTCTCCTTTGCAGTTCAGATGTCCGATGAAACCCTCTGCATATGCAGAGCCACATTGATTACCCGGTGTTTGGAGAGGGGTTGATGCAATCGCAGGGTCTCCACAGCGATCATCAGTGAAGGGCCTCACTGTTGTTGCTTGGGATCGCCTACGGTGACAGCTATTGCTCTTCATCGGGGACTCGGGCATTTTCTTCTTTATTGCAGCAATCATCATCACCTCGGGTGCATTTAGATTCTTCCGCTGTTTCTGTACAAGTACATGCCATATTAACATTCAAAGGATATCCCTCTGTATCAATCTCTTCTACTAGTAGTAAAGATGTCCCCTTCCTATCTATAGTTTACTCGACTGGCCATTCCCTGTGATAAAAGCATTGCCCGTCCTCAAGACATCCACAGCCTGCTGCACCATCTCCCTCACAATGACACCAGCCGGCTTAATCTCCGTCACACTAGCTGAGACATCACCCATCAGGAAAGGCATGTCGATATCCTTCTCATTCTCCAAATCATGCATCATAGGCACGACACCCTTGGCAGTCAACGCCGCAATATCCGCAGGTCGACTCTCCCACTCCTTCACATAGTCATTCGGCAACATGCGCAATGGCCGCCCAGAAACAACCAGCGTCCGACGAGTCTCGCCATACTGAGCACCCACAACAGCCTCCTTATGCAAACGACTCGCACCACTCTCCTCGGACGCGACAAACCGCGTTCCAACCCAAACACCAGCCGCGCCCAGCATCAAAGACGCAGCCAGACTGCGACCATCATTGATACCACCAGCAGCCACAACAAGCGCCGGCTGTCCGGTCAACGGACTGCGATACTTGCGCGCCACGTCCACGACGGCGGGGACAAGGACGGAGAAGGGGATATCACCAGTGTGACCACCACCCTCACCACCCTGCGCACAAACAATATCCACACCCCGCTGGAACGCCTTCTCCGCATGCTTCGGCGCCCCAACCATATTCATCACCAGAATGCCCGCCTCATGCAGACGCTTGACAGTCTTCTCGGGCGGGACACCCACGGCGGAAACGAACAGCTTCGCGCCATGCGCGATCGTCACCTCGATCAGCTCGTCTAGCTGGCCGTGCGTGTAATCGTGGTTTGTGGCTCGCGCGCTCCCGCCAACTTGGGGGAGGGCCAGGTCCACGCCGAAGGGCAGGTTTGGGTCCCTGAGGAGGGACTTGAGCTCCGTGAGCATTTCGGAGAGCTGTTGCGGCGTGTAGCCGAGTCCGCCTACGGTGCCGAGGCCGCCGGCGTTGGAGACGGCTGCTGCGAGGGGGGCGCCGGAGGCGCGGGCCATGCCGGCGAGGAGGACGGGGTGTTGGATTTTAAGGAGGCTGCATAGGGGTGTTTGGAGAGACATTGTGGTCGTGTGGAAGGTCGTTTCCGTTTGGGGGGATGGGTGTAGGTGTATATGTAGGAATGTGGGTGACAGAAGAGTGGTCGTTGGTGTCTGAAGGAAGGGAGTATATTTCTGTTGAATTTGTTTCAGACAGTCTGCGTTACTGTAGCTTAGTCTGGGGTATCTATACTCCTGAGATTGTCGAACAATGCGGGGAAGCTGTTGGTAAGTCCGGCGGACCGAGGCATCCTCTCGACTGTAGTCTGGAGTTGTGATTCGTGAATGGCCTTATTGGACGCCTTTGATCGAGCGCATATTTTTGTGCATAAAATAGATCGGCTATATGCTATTCGTTATCAGCCTATCAGATCTGCTTAGCTTTAGGTGCGTGCAATCTGTCCATTTTCGTCCTACAGCTTGAGCACATGCATTGCTCGCTTAGCCGAAGCGAAGTCGAACGAGTTGTAGCGCAGTCAGCTATTTTCTAGATGTACCGAAAGGGTATCCTTTGAAAATTCCTAAATTCCTACATTTATCTGCAAAACAAATCTGTGAATCTTCTATGGGCTCTGTAAGTAGAGGATAGAGGAGCTCCATAGTTTTACTTCTTACGGCCGCCATCTATTTGATCGCCGACGCGTCTTCAATCAAGTCCAGGACAATCATGACGGAGCTATACAAGTAATCAAGAATAAAGAATATATCTTAAATCATTTTCGTTGGCTTCTTCATAATGCACTAGATAGTAAGTCGAAGATTGAGAATACTAGGGACCTGCAGTTGGTGGCGGTAAGGCGCCTGTCCCGAAGGGGGAATGTAATTAGACGCGCCAAATCGCGTGGGGCTCGCGTCAAAGTGCTTCTGTCCGCAACACCAACCAAACCCTTCCAACCAACTCCAGTAATCTCCGCTGCAACAGCTTCAAGATGGCCACAGCAGAGGATTATGGCTTCTTGCGGCCTCCCAGGTATGCTGTTTCCCCGTTTCCTTCGCTGCCATCCTCCAATCTGTTCAACTACCCGTTGCGAGAGCTCCGCGCGCTGACCATTGACCGTACTCGACTCGCATAGCAATGACGAATATGAGCCCGTATACCGCAAACCCTCTTCCTACAATCCTCTCCAGACTTTTACGTTACCTATGGGTAGTGTCCGACACTATCAACAGCAGTATGGTGACATGTACTTTTTGCGTCTCGCGAAGCTAAAGCCCGCGGTCGAAAAAGTTGCGATGGATGCATGGGGTGGACTTACGGTAAGGATATCATGCCGGAGGTGAGGAATTTTGAATCGTTAAGACTTGGAATCTGACAACGCTGGGGCTACGATTAGATCGCCGGAGAATCTGCACGACGCGTGGACCGAGTACTCGACGTGCGACAGGGCGAGCTCTGTTGGATGGCTGGCACAGTATACATGGACATGCCATTGAAGCCTAATATTTTGGAAGACCTGACAAAAGAGGTGCGTATTGCCGCATGGCTGCTAGTTTGAGAACCCTCTGACTCTAGTGCTAGAATTTCACATCCGCTCCTCCTCCCCGCCGTACCTATGCCGACCCGTCCGACCCGTCCGCGACTCAGATCATGATGGAGGATGAATCTGGCCGTATTCGCTTGACGGGCAATCTCCTATTATCTACGCAGCTGGCCACGGGTGTCATCATTGCTGCGCTGGGAACGGAGACCGTGAACGGAGAGTTTGAGGTCATCGATATCAAGGTTCCTGATCTGGCTCCGCAACCCGAACGATGGGCGCGAGGTGAAGCCGCAGCAGCGGATGCGAAGCAGGGTGGTAAAGAAGTATCAAAGGGCTCGGGGAAGATTGCCTTTGTGAGCGGGCTTGGCATTACGGGTACATCGAGCGATACACTCGCCTTGGAGCTTCTTACGGATTATCTTCTCGGTTACACTGGCGTTGATGGGAGTGAGGACGCATCGAGAATCACACGACTTATCATTGCGGGCAACTCACTGGGGGCCAGTGTGACCGCAGATGCTGCGTCAGCGGGTTCTGACAATGCAGCCAAGAAGAAGCTGGCACCCAAGAAATATGGCTACGATGCCTCTGCATACAACTCATCGCCCATCACTCAACTCGATAACTTCCTAGCAGAGATCCTGCCTAGTATCCCAGTCACCATGATGGCCGGTGAAAAGGACCCTGCCAACGTGTCTCTTCCCCAACAGGGGATTCATCGTGCAATGTTCCCGCAATCTCGGGCGTACTGCGCTCCTCCGCCATCTGATGATAAGAAGGAGGAAGTGGGATGGTTTGACAGCGTGTCGAATCCTTGGGAGGGTGATGTAGAAGGATGGCGACTCTGGGGATGCAGTGGCCAGAATGTGGATGACGTCCTGCGGTACTTGGACTTCCCAGCCGACGATATTGACCCTACTGTTCCACGAGATGATTCCGAGGCTCGACTACGGATCATGGAGGCCATGCTTCGATGGCGATGCGGTGTCCCCACGGCGCCGGACACACTCTGTATGTTTCTAGATTCTTTCTTCCATTGACGACCAACTACTGACAGCATATATAGGGTCATACCCGTTCCAAACAGTCGACCCATTCGTTCTAGAAACCTCACCTCACATCTTTTTCACGGGTAATCAGCCTTCCTTCAAGACCGCCGTGATCGAGGCCGATGTCCCCTTCCGACTGGATGGAGATACCGAAATGACCGATGCCGCTGGCGAAACATCCACGGGTCGTGTACGATTACTATCCATCCCCAAGTTCAAAGAGACTGGGGAGTTGGTCTTGGTGGATACCGAGAGCCTGGAGGTTGAAGTGATCAGATTCGGCACTTTTGCGGGCCAGGAGGAGAAAAAGTAAATCAATAGACATAGCATTTAGGAGGTTATTTGGGTAATGACATGATATCATATCTGAAATATTCTAATTCAACGGGATCGGGGCTTCAATATTGGTTTTCTTATGTTCGATATGGCATCTATGAGATTCGCCGGCGGCTCCCCAATTCGCCAATGTTGAAGCCCCACAATTGCAAGAATCGGCTCAAGGTGGATTTTTGTCTCGACAACTTCTCCACCAAGCGTCGATTTAACGTAGAAACTGGGAGGAATACCGTTAATCCCGACCTCGAAGATTCAATCCTTTCTCAGGGCTCGCATTACTCCATCCAAGGAGTGCCGTGACCATGTTGCTCAACGCTGAAATCGGTGTGCACTGTTCATCCCACTATTCCCTATATACTCCAACCCAATACTCCACATAAGATTCCCAGAGGAAGGTAACTAACAACATGCCTCCTTCGCCGAAATGAAACAGCCCTCTCAACTTCCAAAGTTCTCTTGGTCCCGTACTCGACATGGCACGTTCCCCGCTATCATGAGTGGATGCAGGACGAGGTAGGCAATGCCCAGTCACATTCAACCCGACATATCACGAGTTTACGTGAATATCTCTAACAATTTCACCAGGAAATCCAAGAAGCAACTGCCTCAGAACCACTATCCATCGAAGAGGAATATGCCATGCAGCGCAGCTGGCGACAAGACGCTGATAAGCTAACATTCATCGTCTGCCGGCCACTCACCTCATCCGAAGCAAAATCCATTGCACTATCTACTGAGAGTGACTCTTCCCAAAACATGGTTGGAGACATAAACCTCTTCCTCCGCATCGACGATGGCGACGAAGGAGACGCACCGCCCGAAATAGTCGGGGAAATCGAGCTTATGATCGCCGAAAAGGCGAACCAGGGGCAAGGCTTTGGGAAAACGTCTCTGCTTGCCTTCTTGCGGTATATTGTCGAGAGACAAGCCGCTATCATTGAAGAATTTGTCAATGCTGATGTCCAGCCGGAGACGGTGGATAAGTTGAGGGGTGCGCGGGCGAGTCTGGGGTTCGCGTGTTTGAGTGTTAAGATTGGACAGGCGAATTTGAGGAGTTTGGCGCTGTTTGAGAGCCTTGGGTTTAAGAAGGTTTCTGTCGAGCCAAATTTTTTTGGAGAGTTTGAGTTGAGAAGGGTGGAGCTGGGGATTGGGGCTATTGATGAGGCGCTTGCTGGGGCTGGTGTGAATGATTATCTGGAGATACCTTATACGCGCAAGGAATAGACTAGAGGGAGAAGATACTGTCCAATACAATGCATTGCTTTGGTGAGAAATCCGGTTTCTTTGTCAAAAGCACCTACCAAACACGAGACGAGAATTCGCTCTTCCAAGGGAAATAGAAGACATGAAAGACAATGCACACGCGAATACTATCCAGAATCAAGCCCGCTCATCCGTGATAGTCTTCAGCCAGACATTTAAGCACTGTACAGCGCCGGTCCGGGGATAGTATAGCTACTCAGCGCAGTATAAATGTTAACCAGAATACCCGGGTCAGTATCAGTATACAAAGCCTCTCCAAGAGTACCCTCCGGCACGGCACTACCACCCCCAGTAACCTCCAAGTTCAAGCATTGAGGATAATTCTGCGCCCCATCCTGGTTCCCAGCAGAGTGCAGAGCAATAATCTCATGACGCATCACATAGCTCCCCGACGCAATGCTACTAGGGATAGTAACCGTCCAGCGGTTCCCAGCAGCAATGAGCTGATCAGTAGCCCAGCTACCGGGGGGAGTAGTATCATCGATCAAACCGAGTTCATCGATCTTGAAGAACTCCAGCGTGGTCTTGTCGACTGTGCTGCAATCACCGTTGCATGAGGCGAGGTATGTGATGACCGGGCCGTGGTGGGAGTCTGGCCAGGTTGTCCATTGGATTTCAATATCCGAGCCTGCGGTTACGGGTGCTGAGAGGGCGGCGTTGGTGCCGTTGCGGTGGCAGATGATGTTTGGGTCTTGGTATTCGGTGCCGTCTTCGAAGCCGAGATCGGTGGCGGTTGTGGCCCAGCCAACGCTCTCTGGGGGGTCGCTCATGTATGGGTAAGAGTTGACGATGTAGCCGGTATAGCTGGAGTATAGGTTAGGGTTTGCGGGGAAGCCTTTGAATGATCTGTGTAGACATACTTTTGGCCGTCGGCTAGGATACTAGAGACGAAGCCATGACCTGCGACCAGAGAGGCAGAGGCCAGGAAGGTAGAAAGGGTAGCAATCTTTGACAAAACCATAATGATCTGCTCTTCTGTGAGAAGCCTTTTTGGAGTCTCTTTAGATTGAGAATCTGACTTGACAGAGAAAGGTTCTACGGAGATATTCAAGCGCACTTTATATGCCTGCACAGATGTTCAGAACATCTGCCGATCTCCACCTCATCTCCTGGATATTTGAAAACCCTCCGTTCTGATACTGGAATAGTCTCAAAGACATTAGCCGGAGCCATGACATGTCTCGTCAGGAAATGGGCCCTCGTTTCACCCATTCTGCAGCCAGCGGGACTTGGCCCACCAAAAGACAGCCACTTCTGCAGCACGTCCCTGCGGCTGATCCCGACATAATGGAAGAATCGAGAGACTTGCAAAAGGCTAAAGTGTATGAGGGCTGGCGAAATGCGGAGAAAGGGCGCTAAACGATAGATGCCGTCTGTGGTGGTAGTGGCTGTTGATGAAAATCCGGGGCTACGGGCCGATGGTATAAAATTGTTGCTGGAGAGTTGGTGTCAGCTGGACTGATTAGATTATGGCCAAGAGAGATGCGACGTGCCAAGCAATGCGGAGTTGTAGTATAACTATGTCGTCCGTGGCCTGAAGAGCAATGATCAACGGAGTTATGTTAGTGCGGCAGTTGATTCGAGGACTTTATACGTCTAATATCCAGCATCATCCTAGGATGTACCAGAGTCTAATGGGATTTTAATGGCGCGTCCTATGATTTTCTACTGACAGAAAAACATGGATAATAGATATAGTTAATCTTGCTTACAGATGACCTGACGATTGAAGTGGCAGGCTCTCGGCATTTGGAATGAGACAATAGTTGTTTCAAACATGTATTCTAGTTTCAATGGCAACGCTAGATTCTGCAGATTATGATGCCTACGGTGTGTCACCGAGGCATCTTCACGTAATAATTTTCGAAGAAAGTCTGTGATGGATTATCTACGGAAGCAAGTGTAAAACAGAGAAGTGCTGGTCTTATTTGATCTAATTCAAAAGGGGAAACAAAAAGAAAACAGAGCTTAGGCGTACCATTAAAGCTCCTCTGACCAAGGGTAGATCCATCGTGCCAGGTCCTCAAACTGAAGTAAGCCAGCACCAAGCCTTGCCTCTTTATGATGCTTGATAGTGAGTTCCGACTCAGCTACCGATTGTTGATTAGAACCAGCAAAAGAGGGGTCGTTCGCGGCAGACATGGCCAAAACAGACTTACACTTCTGAATTGCGATAGATTCACTCATCAGTCGCCAGAATTCGTAGTCCAGATCTTCCGCAGCCTGTTGCACTTCATTTTCCTCCGTCTGCAAGGAAACAACCATATGATGCAACAACTCAGCGGCGCAGAGTGAGCTGATATATGTACCGGGTTCGCTGGGAGAGAAGCTCTTCAACCATACATGTGCTGTCTCCCGAGTTTTGCTGCATTGCCAATGTAAGTTCGGTCACTTTACCGTATTCCTGTGACACTCGCGCAAGGCCATTCTTCTTGAACCATTTCACCACGTCGAGTCGGCCTTCGGATACTGCGAGGCCCAGCGGTGTGTGTCCATCCTCGTTGATCTCGAAGGGGCTGATGCGTGAAGTCATCTTCGTGTAGTCCAGGAATTCCTCACCGTTCAGAGCGGCACCATGCCAGGAAGTTGAATGAGTTTCTGGTTCGCGGGTGTCTGTAACAGAGACTCCCAGTGCCTGTAGGCGCTGTGCCTGATTCGGGGTTATATACGCGCACAGCCAAAGCAGGTCATCTGCAGTGAAAGCACCGGCGACAACACTAGGAAGTCTTAGGTTAGCGAGGCGGTCTCCAACCAGATCCAGGATTTGATCCAGATACTCTTTGTTTCCAAATTTGCCCAGAAGACCGAGGGGAGTGGGTCGAGGGAAGTTGATATTTGCGGAACCGAGAAGAAGAATTGGCAAAGTATGGGATGAACCGGGGTGATTGAGCATGTACTCCAAGATCTTAACAGATTTATGAATAATAGCGAGAGCAACAAAACTCCAGCCGGATTTAATGCAATTCCCAATGTCCACTTCGCAGTAGTTCAGAAGGTAAGCGAAACATGAAGGACAGTCCACTTGGAAGATACGGCCAAGGAAATCGTCAATATCGTTCCTGTGGAAGTCAGTCGCGTCTCCTGGGTACCAGGACTCACCATTGTCACCTTCGTTGTAAGGCAAAGTCTCGATTTCTCCCAGCTCGCGACGAAGGAAGTGCTGTGGTTTGCGACGGGCAGTGTATCCTTCAACATACTTGTTTGATCGGGGGTCAACCTGCGAGAGACTGAAAAGAGTGTGGAATTCCTCGTGCTGCAGAGTAAGATCTCCATTTCGGAAAAGGCATTCATCGAGCATGGTCCAGAAAATGTCAAGGGGCAAAACGCTCAACCTACCCACATGGTTTGTTTGGGCTGGAGATTGGCCATTCTTCGTGATCCAGGCGGATGGATTGTATGGGAATTGAACAGGCTTGTGATCCTCCATGGGACCGTATTTGAAGTCATATTCGCCGGGTGAATCGATATCCATGGGAGTGTGCTCCATTTTGGATGAAATTCCTGGCTGTTGCAGAAATAGTTTGTATATGACAATATATAGTAGATATAAGTTTGAGATGCTCGATAGGATGTTGGAGAGGCTTGCTTGAGGGAGGATTGCCCGAGTTTGTTGAGACTTGGATACTGAAGTATCAGGTCTGATTATATAGTTGAGCCTAGAGTCCTTAGACAAAAGGCTTGTTGAGGCCAGAATTTGAAAGTCATTGTTGTCGAACATAGCCTTGGTCAAGTCCTTTCACAGTCTTGAGCCTCATAAAGAACACAGTCTATCCGATTTTTTTCTACTATTAACACTTTCTATTTCGAATTCGAGACAATCCGACGCGGTTCACAATGGCATTCTCGGTGTCGAGAAGTAAATAGCAAAGGCTATAGCCCAATGTCAAAGAAAGTGAAACCACTGTGTCAAAGAAATCTCGACCACTCGATCGTCGAATAATAGGCCTAACCATCAAGACAATAACGTGGCTATGTTTGGCATCAAAGAAACTGAAAGGGCCCTTGAAGTGATCAGGGCCATTCATCGTGACGCAAAAATAGATCTAGACAATGGATGCAGCCGTAGCATAAATAGAACAATTGTGAGATAAAACTACATAAAGAGTCTTGTAGCACCTCTCGATCAGATTTAGCATCGTCACCACTACCTTACCACTTTCAAGTACCCCATTCTGGCTCTACTATACACCTACCAACACCAATATACTTCCAGACTACCTTCAAAATGGCACACCATCACTTCTCAAACTCCAATAAAACAAACACCACCACTCTAGGTACGTTTGAAACCCATCTCGCCATCCCCATCTACGCTCTCGCCTGGGTCATCATGTGGCTCGTCGGTCTTATACTCGAATACGTGATCTTTATATTCAACACCCTGTGTGAGGGACATTCGCTTCATCGAAAATATTTCGAACTTTCTTTGGCTATGCCCGTGTTTGCGTTGTTCTGCCTTGCCTTGTGGTTTTCGGTCAAGTGCATTGAATACTCATTCGTTTTTCTGTGTTCTCTGGCTAATGATGAGGGATCCGAGGAGGCTGTGATTCGTGATTACGAGGACCATGTCTTGAGGAGGAGACTAATGAGGGCTAGGAGGAATTACTGAATCCTCCCTGTTACCAATTCCATCTACAATTATACTTAGACCCATGCCCGGATTTTTAGATCGAGCAATTCAAGGAACCGTGATTATAGACGAATGAGATCCAGAGATCATAGAACCATGAAGAAGAATTTATGCTAGAATAATGAACAAGGGTGATTCTCGCAGAATGCCACAAGAAGCCCAACCCCAGTAAGGATATTTCAACTGTTTTTTTCATTGAAGTGTAAAGGGACTGAAAAGCTCCGACAAAAGCAATTCCTTCATTTTTCATCGAGTGTCCGGAAAATGCGAGTCGTCTGACCGGTGGAAAATATCACGGCCGTACAGACGCAAGGATAGGTCTGGCAAAAGAATAAAACAAAACCCCCTCCTCAGCACGGAAGCTCCGCGCCGTCGGAGCCATCCCCGTGTCGGCCCGCAGAGAGATCAAGCCCATGCCATGTGTCCCTCCAACAGTTGTTGTTGTAGCATTTCATCGACAACCAATCGCGCCGCACTCCGAGCCTGCATTCATTTCATTGTGACGACATTTACAGCTTCTTCTTGTCACCCTTGGCAACATCGACGACCTTCAGGGCTGTGGTGAGAGATTGAGGGTTAGCATGGGGTTCGAAATTGGTCCCAGTATGTTGCAAGGTAGTCCATGGTGCATCATAAATACACCAATCCTCCACATCAGATCACGGACAATAACCAAGCTGGTGTGGGGGTATAAGGTGACGTACAAGGAGGAAGAGACTGCTTCAGCTTCTCGGCCTTAGCGGAGTCGGTCAGGGCGAGGGTGTAGACGAAGCGCTCGCAGCGGACCTTGAACTTGGTCTGCTGGTTCTTGCGGTTGCGCTTGATCCGGGCGGCTAAAAATGAGGTTGAAAATGTCAGTTTTCCATGTCCCGAATTCTTCCCCGAGCTTTTTCTCGATCGTCCCTCCAGATCGGATTTCGACGGCACGTACAGGAGGCGTCCTTCCGGCGGCAGATCTCGATGAACTGCTTGATATCAGAGACTTCGCGAGGCATGGTGACGGTTTGATGCTGATGAGGTGCGATAAGAGAGAAAGGGTCGCTGTCCTTGCAGATGTTGTGTGGATCAATCGGATTAGGGTTTCTGCTCCGGAAAGCCCTGGGGGTCACGTGGGTTTGTGGCGGGTGCAAAGTGGCTGATGCTTCCGGGAGTTGCAGCACGTTCGAAAGGATCCTCGGGGATGGTCGCTGCTGTGAACGGAGTGAAGGTGTGGGTGATTGGGCTGACTTGTGGGCGAAGAGAGGGATTGTCCGATCTGGCTGGAGGATATGTTGGGAATCGCCGGGGATTCTGCAAACTTTCCAGGCGTGGATGAACGCATGGCGCCGGCGCTGGTATCATCTCTTGCTCGGCACTTTCCAGGTCCCGCTCTCGAATTCGTCCTCGCTCTTGAACTGGCTTGGATTTGTCGGTGATTTGGAATTGAATTCGGTGCTTTCTCCAGAATGTGATCCTAGACAGTTTGCATTTAATTAGCAGGCTTGTCTGGTCGCAATGTAATGGAGAGGAAGCCTTACACAGTCACTCCAGCCACGACAAGTGCAAGCAGGAACGTAAACGAGGCCAGAACAGTGATGGCCTCCATCTCGGAATATCAATGGACTTGAAGGAATGAGTTTGCAACGGGCTCGATTCGAGGGCTTTTCGAAATGCAAGGTATAAGAATAGGATAGGATGCGTCTGTAGGGACCGAATGATAGTGTTCATGGGGATGGGAGGAAGAGTACAGACTACAATTTTCCTTATGCAATACTATTGAAATCACCTAGTCTACACTCAACAAGAGACAATTGCTAGGAAGGTACTACCTGGCATATCGTATAGTTCGGGCTGGAAGGAAGCTGCCTGGTGTAGAGTGGCGTCGGTGGCGGTGCAGATGTCAATCGTCAAGCTGTCCAAAGTTACTTGGACAGATCGCATCTTAAATCTGGCTCTTGTCATTATCTTGCTGTTCTCATTATTTCTACTACCGAGGACTACCATAAAATATTCCTTTTGTCTTTGATATCCTACTTTATCATCTTCACCGCGCAACTTTCAAGGAGTGAGCTCGTTCCGTCATACCTCAAGATGCCGACTCCACTAGATCGGGCCCTCAAGTCCCAGGTACGCAGCCCCATATCCAAAGCTCTAAACAATCACTAAAAAATGTCTAGAATTTGTTCCTTGGTAAGCTTACAGGAAGCTCGGTGCAAATGACCCAACCATCAAACAGCTAACCAATATTCAGGCTTCGCAGGCATGGTGACTGCCGTGGCAGCCTGGTCAATCTGGGGAAGCGATGTGTTCCCTGCCGAGGCCGATCCCAAAGGCAGTAAGGATGCTCTTGATGATAACTCTTAGTGAAGCTGATGCTAACATTGGTAGATCCCGAATCCTGGACTGAAGATGAGATGAGAAGATGGCTGCGCGCAGTAAGTTGGCCTTCATTCTACTCTGATATGCTGCCGATATATACCTTCTTGTGACTATACTGATGAGCTTGCTCAGAGAGGCCTACTGCCTAGCGACAACGCAACACGAGAAGAATTGTTAGAAAGAGTCAAGGCAAATCTGCGTATACCGCGCAAGACGCAATCTTCAGCGTCGTCGTCTTGATGCTGCCGAAGATGTGGTTTCCGATCTCTCACTAAGAGATGAATTGTGATCGCTTTGAAAATGATTCCCCTGCTCATTATGCTACGACCTATCTCATATTTTTGAACGACCCATGTTTCTGAATCTTAAATGATCATTTCTTCTATTTGTACATGTCAACGGAGCAAGAAGTCTCCAATACCTCGTAATATCGTAACAGCTCATGATTATCATATTCACCCACGCCTGGGTGTTCCCCCCATCCCACCCTCTCCCAACCAAACAGAAAAACAGAAAAACTAAACAACTAGCCGGAAGTTCTGGCTCTGAATCAGCCAGTCCCGTCGGCGCTTGCGATCAGAACTCGGGTTTGGCACCAGCACAAACGTCTCGCTGAACCCGCGTGGCAACAGGTCGCGGTTCTCCCCGTACCGCACGTTTCCACTGGCCATGACGAGGATGGACATGTCCTTGACGGTCATCTCGGTGGTGGGCTTGAGACCTGTGGTGGTCGTGGTCGGGTATGCGCGGTTGATGATTTGGCAGTCAAAGGACTGCACTTCGTAGAATGCCTCGGGCATCTGGTTCAGGAAGATGTCCTGTACGGCGGCGCCATCGGCAACTGTGTTGCCGTTGAAGAGGATGCTCGTGGGTGTAGGTAGGTAGAAGGAGGCGATGGAGTTGCGGTCGTTCTTCAGCGCAGGGTAGAAGCTGTTGATCAGCTCGGTGGCAGCTGTATAACGAGAAAATTAGTATGCTTTCTTGGAATTGTGTTCAGAAGCAAAGCTTACCCTCAGTGGACACCTTGGTCAAGACATCTTCAGTAGCTGTGGCCATTGCGACAAGCACCGGTGCAGTCGGACAAAGAGAAGTTGAAAGAATGCGACAGAGACCCGAACAGGTTGAAGTTTTGGTGGAAAGTGTTGTTGGAAATCAAGGTCTGAAATCAAATTGTAGGAAGATGGAGGAGGCGAAGGAGCTGCGTTTCGTGGTGAATGAGTGGATGAGTAGACAAGTAGATGAATGAACGAGTAACGGTACTTGAAGGCGGAGCCTGCAGGAAAAAAAGATGCGCCGGGCGGAGCTTGGGCCATGTCGAATGGGCGTTGCGGAATAACATACGACCTCCGGGCCCTTGTCTTTCCTCCGCAACCAGACAATGGCAACCTCTCGAGCTTCATTTCGCTCCCTCTCGAGGGCTTCCCAATTCATCAGTGCGAGGCGACCGTGGACCTGCTCGACGTGCAGGAATGGCGTCGCTAGGCGCTTCCAGCGTGGACTTGCGACAACTCCAGAGGTTCCCAAGAAGCCGTACTATGTGACGACCCCAATTTTCTACGTCAATGCCGGTGAGTCTCTTAAAAAAGCCTACGGATGGATCCAGTCTTTCTGACAATTTCCTTGACAATGACTAGCCCCCCATGTCGGACACTTCTACACCATGGTCATCGCCGATATCATCAAACGATGGCAGGTTCTACTCGGCAACGATGCTCACTTATTGACCGGCACCGACGAACATGGGATGAAGGTAAATATTACAGTGTACACTCGGTTGGGATGTCTACTGACAGTCGCTCTAGATTCAGCAAGCTGCCCTGGCGGCTGGGATGGATACACAAGCCTTCTGCGACATGAACTGCAGGACATTCGAGGTATGCATACCGTCTTACCAAGCTGTGGAGAGGCAGCTCACTAACTCATCATATTTTATAGACCCTAGCCAAGGCTGCGAACATCAATAATGATCACTTCATTCGTACCACCGATTCCTCACACCGCGACGCTGTTCAATACTTCTGGGTACGCAGACCCGACCGTTGGCTAGTTCGGACACCAATTGACGGGATCATAGGAAATGCTGAACCACCGCGGTCACATCTACACCTCCAAGCATGAAGGATGGTATTCCGTTAGCGACGAGACATTCTATCCGCAGACACAAGTACAAAACTCGTTGGACCCAACAACGGGTAGGAAGCGCATGGTAAGTTTGTCGCACGCCTCGTACACATCCTTCACAGCGGCTCACCAGTCGGCAGGTCTCGATTGAAACGGGAAAAGAGGTGGAATGGTCGTCAGAAACCAACTATCACTTCCGTCTTTCTGCTTTCCAGGATCGATTGCTGGAGTTGTATAACCGACCGGATTCATTCATCACGCCATCAAAGTATGCAACGGCCGTCATCCAGTCGGTTTCTTCCGGGTTGACAGACCTGTCGATTTCTCGTCCAGCTGAGCGACTGACATGGGGTATTCCGGTTCCCGGCGACGATACGCAGACCATCTATGTTTGGCTGGATGCGCTCGTCAATTACCTGACCTATGCAGGATACCCTTTCCCACCTGGGCAGGAAAAATCATCGATCTGGCCTGCCAACGTTCACGTTGTTGGGAAGGACATCGTTCGGTAAGCGCCACGCTATGACCTATCTAGACCTGAGAAACCCGAACGTGCAGCTGATCATCATCCCCCCTAGCTTCCACTGCGTCTATTGGCCAGCCTTCCTCATGGCTCTGGACCTTCCTCTCCCTCGGAATGTTCTGGTGCACGGACATTGGACAATGAATCGCGAGAAGATGTCAAAGTCTACCGGCAATGTGGTCAATCCATTTTTCGCCATTGACCGATTTGGTGTGGATGGAATGCGATTCTTCCTCGCTTATCAAGGAGGCCTGTCAGATGACGCCGACTATGACAATTCCTTCATTATTCGCGATTATAAGAAATGGCTCCAGGGCGGTATTGGCAACCTCGCCTATCGCACGATTGGGTGTGCAAAGGGCAAGTTACACTCGTATATCCAGGATGCCACGTCCGATAAGCTCCCGACTGCATCCATCGCCGATGAGGAGCACCAGGCCATGCTGATTGCTACACCGCTGAAAGTTGCCGAGCATATGACCGGCCTCAATCCGCGTGCCGCGCTGCAGGAAATTATGAGCATAATCGAGAAGGTATGTAGAGGGGGAAGTAAAAACAATGGACCCCATCCCCGCACGACCGTCGGAGAAGTGGCTAACTTGCTTGACTTTTTTTTCGCCTCCAGACTAACAAATACTTCCATGCGGCGGAGCCGTGGAAAAGCGCCAACCCCCAATGGGTCCTTTACAACGTGGCTGAATCACTTCGCATCTCTACCATTCTGCTTCAGCCGTTCATGCCCGACAAGTCACAAGAGCTTCTCGATCTTCTACGCGTAGATACTTCCAACCCTGCAAAGCGGGCATTCTCGGCCACCGTCTACGGTTCAGACCCAGATTACGGTGAAGGCATCAGGAAAGGCATGCTTTTCCCTCCTTTACTCACTGAGGAGTAAAATGGCCGTGGGCGAGCTTTCGATTTGATAAGAAGAATGCACCAAAGACCAATCATGGCCCACCGCAAGACCCGTCCGAATAAAGCTTTACATCATCTCCGGCCAGGCGTTACAGCTCTATCGAGAGGATTTTCCGGTTCCCCTCCACACGGCGGACTATGAGTTGCCAGGTTTTCCAGTGTGACCCCAGGGGGGCGCACTGTATGCAAATGAGCGACTAGACCATGATTGGCGATATCCCGCAAGGTTATCGGCGGGAAAGAATGGGCCAGAACCGTGGGAGCGCGGCCTATCTCCAACTGACGGGCTGATCGGGTCGGGAAAGTCACCCGTTTCCCGTCGGAAAACCCCAAATGGGCTTTGTATATCAAAACATGTCACAATTATTTGTATACTAATGAGTCTTCTGGAAACACGAAGCATTTTATTTTTCCCTCTCTCTGATTTCTGCTATCTCTTTTATCGGGCGGATTTCATTACCATCTTCTCTATTTTTGTCGGATTTTATACTCCACCGCTGACTGTGTAACGACTTTCCATACATCCAAAACATATTCCTATTTTGGGTGGAATTGTCTCGTCATTTCGTTACTTGACTTGACACAGTTCCTTTTCTTCCGATCGACTGCCTTTGACTGAAGGCTTTTTTCCTTTCTTCCTCCCTTATCGACTTCAACATCGCCGTTATGGGGAGCTTCGTGCCTTCCGCCGAGGACTACAAGCCCAACTTCAAGACGCCATGGATTGAGACTCCTCTCGTCGAGTCGGCGGCTCTTTCTCGTGCCGCTGGATGCCGCATCTTCCTGAAGCTGGAAAATGTCCAGCCTAGTGGTTCTTTCAAGTCCCGTGCTATGGGCAACCAGATTCTTTCTCACCTCCGGAAACCCGAATACGCCAACCGCCGGGTTCACTTCTATGCCTCATCCGGAGGAAACGCCGGACTGGCCGCTGTGTGCGCTGCTCGCAGCCTGGGATACCCTTGCACCGTCGTGGTGCCCCTATCGACCAAGCCCTTGATGATCGAGAAGCTCAAGGCAGCCGGCGCTGCAGATGTTATCCGTCATGGAGAGACGTTCTTCGAAGCTGGCTCATACATGAAGGATGTCATTATGAAGACTAGCTCTGGTGACGATGAGGACGTGGCCAAGATTGCCCTTCACCCATTTGATAACCAGCCTATCTGGGAAGGAAACAGCACTATTATTGACGAACTGGAGAAGCAACTCCCTGCTCCTGCCAACTCCGACGAAGAGGAAGTTTACCGCGGGCGGGCGATCCCTCTGGATGCAGTCCTCTGCAGTGTCGGTGGCGGCGGTCTCCTCAACGGTATCGTGATGGGCCTTGAGAAGCGTCGATCCCAGAAGCAGGTCGTCCAGAGCGGTTCCTCTACCACCGGCCACGCATACATGGACATCTCTACCTCCGAAACCAACACTTCGCGCCCCGTGGCCACCGAGCCCAGCCCCATCCACCTCCTCGCCATCGAGACTGACGGCACAGACTCGCTAGCCGCTGCCATCGCCAACAACTCCCTCGTCTCCCTCCCCAAGATCACATCCCAGGCCACCTCTCTCGGTGCCATCCGTGTTTCGGAAACCACCTTCCAATACGCCGTTGCTCCTCCACCAGGCATCAAAGTCCACAGTGCCGTCCTCACGGACGCCGAAGCCGCCCGCGGTGTCCTCCGTCTCGCAGACGACGAGCGACTCCTAGTCGAGTTGGCCTGTGGTGTCTGCGTCGAGGCGGCCATCGGCGATACTGCCGCTGCCGCTGCTGAAGCCTCCGCATCGGCGAACGCCGTGGCCGAGGGTCAAAGCAACAAGAAGCGCAAGAGGGGTCCTAACGAGTCCGTCCCTGACCGGGATGAGGGCTACGGCGATGACCGATGGTCCACGACGGATGTTGATAACGAGACTGATCCTGAGATGGAGACAGAGGTCGGCGACTGCACCAAGTCGGCGCCTCCCATTCTCAACTCTAAGCTTAAGCAGTTGGTGCCGGACCTCAACGAGCAGAGCAGGGTTGTCATCGTCGTTTGCGGTGGAAGTAATGTTACTATCGACATGGCCAGCGAGTATAGACGGCTGTTGTCGGAGGGTTGGGTTTAAACCATCATGTCATGTTGATAAAGATTTTCCTTTCTCGATTTCTCTTGTTTGCCTTGCTCACTTATATACCTCTTATTGTCCTTTATCACGCATGAGTATTTGGCTCTGATGTCTTTGGATCTTGTTACGAATCTTGCATTTCTTTTTTGTCATTTGCATACAGGCTAGCTTATCCTTGTTAGAGAAAAGAAAGACTGGACTAATACGAATCATTTTGAAATTCAACGTACGGCTTGAATAATAAAGCATATTGCATCAAATGGTCCCATCCCAACTGTCGAATCACGCAACCTCCCCCAATTGCTGAATCCGATAATCCCAATAATTCTTGCGAATGGGATCATACTTCTCTTTCAACATAGTCAACATCTCAACAGCCTTCCCCTTCTCCCCCTCCCCATAAACATCCGCCAACCACTCCACCGCATGACTACTCTTAACAACATTCCCATCAACAAACCTCCCCACAAACTCCTCCCACTCTCCCAACCCCCTCCCAGCCGCCCGCAAAACCCCCCGCGCATACCACCACGAACTCCGATTCTCCGGCGCCCGCAGAATCTGCTCCTGCGCATACTTCAACTCCGCATCCACCGAATCCTCATCTACAACGGGCAACCGCCCCTTCTCCTCCGGACTGATATCTGCGTTACCCGCATTCACCATTCCCGCATCGGGGACGTCATCGCGGGGCCCGAACCGGAGCATGTACCGGTGGTTCCAGGCGGAGTTGTTGCGGACGTCGGCTTTGATGAGGGCCTCGACGTCTTCGAGTTCGCGGGGGGAGTCCCAGAGTTTGAAGTGGCGGACTAGCCAGTGGCGGTAGGTCCAGACGTGGTAGTTTTTGGAGTCTTGGGCGAACATTTCCATGAGGAAGTCTGGTTCTTTGGGGGGCATTGTTGGGAAGTGGGTTTTTGAGGAGATTAGGACTTGTCGGTGGTGCCTGGATGGTATTAGATGTTTTTTTTTGCTTTTTTCAGAAGAAGAAGAAGAAGAAGAAGAAGAAGAAGAAGAAGAAGAAGAAGAAGAAGAAGGGAGAATTATATAGGATGCTGGCTTACCAGATTTGGTAGTTTTTGAGGTATTTGAGAGACACTCCGTTTAGCCAGTTGAGTTCTTCGAGGATGTCTTTGTCCAAGGCCAGGAGAATCTTGGCCCGGTAGATCCTGGAGAAATGTAAGAATTTATTCTTTAAAGGATATAATGGCAGTTATTTCACTTACCACACAGTGTAATGTGCTGGGTTCATAGAAATCACATCTTTGGTCAATTTGAGTGCCCGTTCGGACATTTCATTCGCGGCCATCACGGCCCGCAGGTACGAGGTTGCTTCGAGGTACTCGGTTGGGTAGGCGATGGTAGCCAGGGGCATGGCACCGGACTCGGAGCCATCGTCGAGCTCGATGGGAGTGATGTTGGCCCACTCGGGGTCATTGGCATAGCTCTCGGCCATTTTCAGAGATTGGAGTGTCCGTGATATCAAATCTGCGGGGGGTGCGTTCGGGAGATGCAGATGCCAGTCGTGATACCTCGTCACAACTTGACAGTAACTAGTGAAGCAGATAGAGTCGCTCTTATGTTAAACTCGTCCTTTGACTCTGTCAATGGACACGAGAAGGTGAATTGTAGAGTCTTACCAGCTGGGAAGTTACTGAAATCCGTCGAGCTGGTCGAGAGGTGAAGGTGGGGCGATGTTGTGGCCTGAGGCGGAAACAAAGAAACGGAGAACAATCGGCTCGCTTGATATTCTTCTTCGTTTACTTTACACTGGTTTGGCTAGTCTCGATGAAATGTGCATTGTTATTGGACTCCAATGAATCACTCGGCATGGTTATACAGCCTTTTGGTTTCCCCAGCCCACCATTTGCCCACTTTCTCAGCTTCAGCCACCCACTGCCCGGCTTTGTCCCCATGGACACTCCGCACCCGCGATACCAAATCGTCCACCGACCATCCCCGCAAGAGATTTACCTCATCGGGGTCGGTCTCTATATTAGAAAAGACAAATTCAAACCCTTGTGTCAATGGTAAGATCAGTCGATACGGTACAGCGGCAGACCCGACACTGAGCATCTCGCCGCCTGCGGAAATGATACCGAAATTCCACGCTTGTCGTCCGTCGTCGGTGGCTTTGTATGGACGAATGAGCGATTGGCCCTCGTATTCATTCATCAGGTCCAATGCAATGCCCGAGTCCTTCTCGTTGAGTGATTTAGTCTGCACCAACAAGTCAAGAATGGTTGGGATGATGGATATCGATGTTGTGTTCGCTGTGATTTGGATCTTGGGTAGAAGTGGGTGTCTGAAAACGAGAGGGACACGGAAGTTGCTAATGTGACCATTTTCATAACAGCCTGTCACTGGTGAGTCTTCTTGGAATGCTTGACCACTGGATTTGTTGTTAGCATGTTGGACTTGTCGGGGATGGAGACAATGGTTTTGACTTACTGGTCTCCCACTAAGACCACCAGTGTCTCGTTGGCTATGCCCTTCTTGTCTAGTAGGCTCAGCATGTCGCCTAGCCAGGTATCCACGTAGCGGACGGAGTTCAGGTAACTGTTCATATCCTCGTGCTTCCCGATGAGACTTTCGTCAGAGAAATATTGTTCGCTCTGGACCCCCTTTGGTAGAGCCCACGGGTGATGTGTTGTGCTAGTGAAATGCGAAAGGAACAATCTTTCGTTGTTCTTAATCGCATCATCAATTGCATCTTCCATGTATGGATATACTTCGCGCTCCGAGTAACTATGGAGAGTTAGTATTCCAAGATCAAGGGCCTGAGCACGGTTATCAATGACTGACCCAAAGTAATTGATCTCTTCTATATCATCATGGTAGTGCTTTGCTCCTTTCTGGCCGATATCCTCACGATAGACGGTCTTTTTGAAGCCCATCTGGTCATTCAGAATATTCTGGTCGGCAAATACTCCAGTCACAGCCTGCATGAAGATGGATGTCCACTTGCGGTCTCGAAGATCCCTCGAAGATTCAGTGGTCGAGCTCTCTTTGAATTGATTGAACAAGTCCAGCACTTGCATGATGCATGGCTGGTAGATATCGGACTTGATCTCATCCATCCAGTCTACTGGAAGTGGCCAGACTCCACAGTGGTTCACAATCTCACTTTTGAAGGAGAGACTCCCACCGGTCAAGACACCATTGACGTTGAGCCCGCCCATACCAGCTGCAGCCGTATCTTCCCAAAGTGATGACTCTGCATCCCTTTTAGTCTTGGGGAAACCGCCAGATTCGCCGGTCAGTATCTCGGAGATAGGCGTTAGGTGAGATAGATTGGCACTCAATTGTTGGAGCAAGTCCGAATCCAAGGACTTGTAGGAGTTGAGAATCTCACGATGCAGATGAGAGCCTGACTTAAAGGGAAAGACATCTTTCCTTGTGCTTTCCATCATCACAAGTACCACGTGAGTGATGGGAACATCACGATCCTTGAGGGCCAGGGTTAATGGCTCCAGCAGTTTCTGGTCGAGATTCGTAATTCGCAACGGATCGTTGACTGGATTATAATAATTCTTGATGGTGGTCGCGTTTTGCTCTGTTCCATTTGCTTTGATTGTATTTGGGCCGACGACATGCTTGTTCTTTTGGCTCCAGCGTTCAAAGCCTGGTGGTAATTTTCCAGAAGCCCAATCTGGCGAGGTTGTAGTACCCATATCAAATTTCGGCGACCAGCCTTTGAACCGGCCATCCGGTGCCTTCCAATGTCCCTCGCTAATGAGTTCTGGTAATGGGAAAGCATTGTCCCCAGACTGATGCGCTTCTGCTGGACTTGCAACTAATGCCTCGAGGAAAGTAAAAGGGATAGCGCCTGACATGTGGCTATATGGCACTTTGGGGCGGATTATCCAAAGCCCAAGCGTGCCAATGACACCAAGGATAGTCCACAGCCGAACTGGACGTTTTCTTCGAGTGGCGGCTTTTGGGTTGTCGAGCATAGACTCCTCGTGCATATCCTCTGTAGGTTGAGTACTGAATAACGCAGATAGCCAGGGGTCAAAGACTGCGGAGCAAACTCTTGTGAAAATCCATGACATGATGAGTAGTATTGCTGCGCTACCCAGGAACGACTTGAGCCCGCTGAGCATCAATTTCCTGCCCTCGGCGTCATTTCCAACGCTTGTGACGGCATCCCAGCGGATTTCACTTCCGGTTACAAAGTAGAACCCTAATTGGGAGGAACAGAGGCAAAATGTCAAGGATCTGTCATTGGGGGTCAGTATAAAGCTAACATGATATACATACTCAGTGTTGACTTACGCCGTGGCAGGAACGAGTATTAATCCCACAATTGATCTTAGACTTGTAGATTTCTGCAAGAGGAACCACGTTGCCGCAGATAATAAAACTTCCTGTATAAAGAATGTTGGGAAGTAGAGCGCCAAGAGCGCAGTCGGTATTGAGCCCGCATGTTGGAAGAGATGGAGCAGTTTGGATGTCACTGTCGATACTACCAATATCGACAACAAGAATGGCCGAACGAATGGTTGACGGGATGTAAGCATGATGAATAGTAGATACTTCACAGGAGCAGAGCGCTCATTTTGCGATGAATAAAGCTTTTTTGCACTGTGACCACTTCCACACTGCGACGACGATAGGCGGTTACCCCCACAGAGATATGTGTGATCTGATCAGTTGACAAGCCGTACGTTCAGTAGTAAAGGGAATTATTGAAAAGTAAGTGGAAAATCATGATTGAGAAATCAATAGCTATATCTTTCTATTTGGATGAACAGATGCGGTAGGCATGTGTCAAGGACTCTGCATCCGGTTACTCATCCATCTAGTCTGGGGACTCCGCAGATTCAGTAGCCCGTGGATATGGATCCAGCTTTTCCCTAGAACTTATACGGTACATGGGTTCGAACCTGAGAATTAGCCACTATCTGTATCATTATACATTGAACTCCATGCTTACTCGGTTGGGCTATTCAGAACTAACTAAAGGAAATGACAGTCCTCTGCAAAGCTCTAGAGAACGCCAGTAAACCCGACATGCTCAGAAAACGTAAAAAGAGCTAAACAGGCATGCGGTTAGACCCCTCATTCCCTGCCGGATCAGGAAGGGGGTCAGGCGAGCTACGCTCTTTGACTCGTTATTCACAAGACCATGGCCATTCCCAATAGAGGTCCTCAAGCAAAGGTATTGAATAGGGAATAAGCAGTCAGAATAGTCCATTCTATGAGTCTATCATATAATCCTGATGTTGATGATGCCTTCATAGGCCTAGCGACTATTTCGCTGCGTCTCTCGAGGTCCTCTCAAACCCAACTCGTTAAACTAATGGAGAAATATTGTGACCAATTCCGTGTCGAGAACATCAGTAAACTAGATCATGAAGCTGAGAAGTAGAGTCCATCACGAGGCCCATCATATACTGAAAGCGCTCGTGTGCGTGATTTCTTGTTGAGTAATGGGAATGGTGGTAGGGCAGACGGGAATGCCTGCTTCAAGGGATGTCGTGTGCTCCCTTGCTGGATCAGGAAATGATCTGGTCCACATTCCAGAGCCTCAGAACCGTCCCCTTGGGGGGTTTTGCAATGGCAAGGTGTCCAAGGTGAAATTTAACCATGTCTAGGTCACTCTTCGTACTACGAGGATGTCATATACAGGCATATTGCTCCTTGAAGGACGGGCTCCGCAGAAATTTCGAATTATTCATTAATGTACAATCGATACTTAAAAAATATTAGACATAGAAAATCTTACAATCCCTTCAACCAAATGTCTCCCCACCATTCTTCAAATACTGAATCTCTTCCGCGGTCGGCACCCTGCCCAATGCTGCATTACGGTGAGGATACCGCCCAAACTGCTCAATAATCACCTTATGCCTCTGCTCAAAATCGAGTAGATTGCTTAGTAACGCGCTAAGGGCATCCTGTTTATTCGACAGAATCCCATAACATTTCCTCTCATCCTCAGTCAAAGTAGAGACATCCTTGAGCAGAAACCGGCCCATATCTTTGGCGGTCTCCTCGTGCTGCTTGACGGCTTGTTCGTGCACGGCAAGATTTTCAGAGTGCATCAGTGGCATGTGAAACCAGAATCGACGGGCTAGACGGTATCGCACTTCTGATGATTTTGTCGGGATGCCGGCGTCAATTGCACGCATGGCAACCTCTTCGGCGAGAGGGTCAAAGCGTCCGAATACAAGCTTTGACTCGTCTCCTCGATGGCAGTTTCGAGGGACCTGATCGAGAAGGAGGATAATACTCAGCCAGTTCAGAGGAGATGAAGTATCGATTGCATCTAGGATATCCGCTGCGGAAGCACCGGATTCAATGATGGTGTCGAGGGCAGCCTGGAATTGTGCACTGGTCGGCAAGTAAGAATCAATCGCGCAATGGTAAATTCGTTAATGACTGGTTAGAGGTGCACTTACACGCAGATCTTATCAAAGGTTTCGTCGCGGGTAAACCACCGCTGCATGTCACTCTGACCAGGGAGGATCAGAGCGTCCTCATCTTCCATATGCTCGAACCAGAATTCGCGAATTTCTTCAAGCAGATCGGGAGTCAAGGTCTCCTTCAATTCAGAAATGTCGCTAGCCATGACAGGCAGTGTTGAGTGGAAGCACCGACGGGCTAATCGAGACGGCTTGTAAACTTGCGTCTGCAGTCGGTACGTCAGAGGCGCGGCGCGGTTCGCGGCTTTGGATAAAAGGTGTGGCAGCGCGCTGAGTCTGCTAGTGGACAATTGACGCGAACAAAGTCTCGTCGTCCGAAGCTACTCTCCACATTAGTGACTTTGGTATATGTGAACAAGTGTGGACTCGTGCTTACCGTATTCCCGCGCACCAGGTGAGCCATGATCTTTTTTCGAGAGTCGAGCTTTCCCCAGATTCATCTCTCGTCCCGATCCGGGCGATCGGCACAATGGCTGAGTCAGCATCGGCATTTTCGGGCTCGAGGAGGATGTGCCGATGCCGATAGCCTCAAGTATGGTATGTTAATTATATTGTATCGTTAGAATCTATCAATATGTGTTGAAGGGAGTTGCAAAACTTGAGGAGAATGTTAGAGGTCATGCCCATTGATCGCCTAGCAACCTATACTCATACATACTCAAGTCTAGGATCTTTTTGAAACAAGCATGAGTCAATATAATGTCTCGGTCCATATCATCATGCCCAGATGAAATTTATGCGACTTATAAAAGCCTTAGTCCGTGGTTTATTGGTTATATACGGTCTGAATAGAAAAATCTCTCTTCATTTACGAAATTGAATACCAAACTCTGCAAATAATGTCGGAATCATTGAATTCATCTAAAACGCCAGGACTACTTACTATAAGCCATGAGAAATACTATCAACTCCTTCGAACACAGATACAAATGAGTCCCTATGTCAAACTATAACTTTACTGTTTACATCATTGTATACTTGGCAAAGCCAGTGCTGGTTGTATGACCCAAAGAGGGAAAAACATCCGGCCAACTCTAAGTAATAAAGTATGGTGACTGGTTAACTTATCAGCCCCAAGATAAGCCGCAGCCAACCAGTTGGTCTCCCCGCACTCGACCCCAATTCCCATCTTTCCCCCCCCTCAACTTTGCCCATCCACACCATGTCGGATCCTGCTCTTCACAATCCCCCATCGAGCAATCCGCGATGCGAAGAGTCAAAAAGTCCCGCAACGGCTGCGCCAGATGCAAAAGTAAACGGGTTAGTGGCTGTTTCCCCCGGATCTATCCGATTCCACCTTCGCTTCGTTTTCCTATCTGTATCTAACCGCCCCGGAAAAATAAACAGGTGAAATGCGGAGAGGAAAAACCTCATTGTAGCCGCTGTACTCGTCTAGGGGTTCGCTGTCCGGGTTATGTTCAGTCCTTACGCTGGGTCACTAAACATGAACAACCCAGTCCGGGCGCTTTATCAGATGGCAGAGTTGAGAGTCCAGAGGCGTCGGCGAAACCGGCCAGACAGCCGTCACAGCAGGCAGACAATGCATTGCCGCTAGATGACGCTAATGCTGGCCAGTCACAAAATCTGGATTCGTCAAACTTTGGTCTCGATGCACCGAATGGATTCTGTGATCATCTCTGGGATCTACCTGGTAATGGATCACTGCCCGAATTGACGGATCTATGCCCGCCTTCGCCGATGACGGCCTCGGTATCGGCCTTTTCACAGCATCGCGACTCAGTATATGACTTTGGGTCATCGGGTGATACTGCAGCTGATCTATCCCGTTTTCTATCCTTGATAGGACCACCACAACGCGAAGAGAACGGTGGCAACAATAACAGCAATGGCAATGGCAATGGCAGCGTATATCGAGACTTTTCGCCCTCGGCTATTGTCCGTAGCTATCCCCCTTCATCGCAGACACAACGGTCCTCATCGCGTGACTTTGCAACTATATCTCGATCCTTGAACAACCCTTCATGGACACTAATCGAGTACTACTTCAAAGAGGTCGCTGCCCTCTTTTCCAGCTATGACAGTCAAATGAATCCATTCCGCACGACAGTGTCCCGCCTATGGGGCTCATCACTAGCAATGTGCCGTACGATGCAAAGCATGGCCGCCGCAACACTAGTCAACGATTTCCCACAATTCGGTCCGATGGGTCGAAAAATGCGTGACGAAGCTGTTGAAATCATCACTCGCGAAGCAGTCATGGATGACAAGGCTCTGCTCGCATTACTCATGCTAGGCCAAACAGCCAGCTGGCACGACCCCAAGGATCTGGGGATATCTTTCTTCAACCTGCTTCGCAAACAGGTCAACTCGTTGGCCTCGTCATCGAACAGTCCCAACTTCGGCTTCGTCAAAAATGTCAGCAACAATTACCGCTTTTTCGAAGAAGCTCTGATATACTGGGAAATGCTCCTCTCCTTCGTCACGGATAACGATTCAATGGTCTTCTCTGACAACTCTCGCGCCTCGTCAATGGGCGAAGCACTCGTCCTCCAACGAATACCACACCCATGGACCGGCATCGCCCGAGATACGCAATTCACCGTCCACGAAGTAGGCCGATTAGTCCGTCGCGAACGTAAACGCATTCGCGCCCGACAATTCACCTCGCAGGATGAAATCGCCCGCGCACAGATGGCTATCAAAAAGGCGCAGGAACTGGAAGAACGACTCCTGGGTCTCGCTCATCCCTCCGAGTCCGAGATCGTCAGCCCCGGTGACGAAGAAACGCCCGTTTGGCATCTTCTCACTATGGCAGAGGTATACCGCTGCACGGGGCTGATGCAGTTATACCGCGTCTTCCCAGATCTTCTGCGCAATCGACTCCCGAATCCAGATGCAGCGCAGTATCCTGGTACGGGGTCGAGTGCTCGAGACCCGTTCTTCCCCATCGACCTGGACAGTATGAACATGTTCCCCGGGTTCGGCGAGAGCAATACAACTCCCACGGCGAATAATAACACCAATTCGTCAAATACACAATACACCCCGTCCTCCCCTTCCCACTCTCAACATCCTACATCCTCGGAACCCTCCAACCAAGATCTGCATGATAAATGGCTCACCGAATTCGCCGTAACAACTCTCTCCCGCCTAAAAACCATCCCCATCGAATCCCGTACCCGCTGTCTCCAACCTTTCCTCCTCGTCGCCGCATGCAGTGAACTCCGTCTTCCGCGACCATCGTCAGACTCCCTTCCCACCGGCAATGCACAGCAACAACACAACTCCAACGAGAACGCTGCCGCCGACGCCGATGCTGAAGGAACGGGCACTGAAACACCTAGTATCTCGATGGAAGCTATCGAAGTCTCGCGTACACGCCGCTTCATACTAGGCCGACTGACCTCGTTCTTGCATGTGTTGCCGCCGAAACCGATTAATGTTTGTGTCAGGCTTGTGAAGGAGGTTTGGAGGCGGATGGATGCGGGGCAGGCGGACACTTATTGGATTGATGTTATGATTGAGAAGGGGTGGGAGACAACGATGGGGTAGGGTTGTGTGTAGAGAAGGGGGTTCAACATTGTATAGAGTATGGAGAGAGTGGAGGCACACCTAGGTAGTGGTCTAGCATGTGTTATAGCCATTGCACATAGTGTACAGAGCAGTTGATAGGGGGTAACGATCTACAAAATGCATAACGCCATACCAACTCATACTATTCATACCAACAAGGAGTCATATTATTTATTGTATGGGATGCTCAAGCAGCCCTAGCTATTCGTCAGACACACACCCGCGCCAGACATGCTCATGCCAAAAAAGAGAAAACCGAGAGAGGAAATGCAAAACGTGAAACCAAAAGTAAAGTAATAAGAAGGAGGTAAAGCGGACCAGACTGCCCAAGACACAGAGACACTCACACGTAAACGAAACGTGATCCAACAACGCTCATTTCTCGAACAGAGTTCACAAAAAGGGGGGTGTATAATGCGTAGGGTTAATAATGTGTACAGAGAATGAAACATGAATAGTAAAAAAAGTGAGGAGGACTCATTAAGTTTCCAATCCTTTCATGGTAGTCCTGGAGAGGTTGGATGGGATAGTGAGGGGCGTAAGCAAAGACAAAGCCCAATAGAAAGCCAAGATGTAGTGAAAGTGGGCGACATCAACTAATTCATTGAGTAGCACGCTTCCAGAACTTCCATCCCTCACGCTTCTCGTGGTACCCAACGCCCACGAGTTGCTCAATGCCTTGGGTGCCCTCGGCATTCTCGAATTTCTGCTGATCAATCTCCACGCCGCCCTCCTCATCAGAGCCATTACGCAGCACAGCAGGCCACAGAACACCGACACCATCACCACCGAGGGTAGTCTCGTACTTGTTAAAGCCCTCAGTAGCAAGTTTCTGCTCCAGATCGCGAACGACCTCGGGCTTGGCGTCCGGTCGGAGGAGGGTAATGGCGCAGCCACCACCACCGGCACCAGTCAACTTAGTCCAGCCAATGTCGGCATAGTCGACGAGTTCACGAATACGTTCCAGACGCGGGTGTGACACGCCCAGGGAGACGAGGAAGCCATGGTTGATGCGGATCAGGGTGCCAAAGTGCTCGAGGGTCTCCTCGCAGTCGCCCACGAAATCGGGGTCCTGGAGAAGACGCTGCGCAGAGCCCGTGACCTGGTCAATAGCTTCGAGAATGGACTCGGTCACCACGGGATGAGCCTTCTTCAGCTCGCCCACCTTGGCAACCTCGGTCAGGGTTGAGCGCGATTGCCGCGTGTCGACCAGGAGGAGGGGCAATTCAGGGAAATTGGGGAGCGGGATGGCCGTTGGCGGCTTGGTGTAGTCTGCGCGTCTGAAGATCAAGGCCTTGCCGCCTGCGGACACCGTGTTGTCCACTCCACTGGGGTTTCCATGAATACAAAGCTCGCCGACAAAGGCCCAGCGATTGATGCGCTCAATCTGGGTCTCGGCCTCCTCGCTCGGCTGGTCTGGATGCGGGCCTGAAAGGGTACGAATCTGGAGGAGGAGCGCGGCGCTCAGACAGACGCACACGCTGGCGCTGCTGCCCAGGCCGGCCCCCGTGGGGATGGTGGAGCGGAGAGTGTAGATGGCGCCTGGGCTTTGCGGCGAGCCCAGGGAGAGGAAGAGGTAGAGGAAGGATGAGGCGGAGCGAATGTGGATTTTGCGCTGCTCTTCAGGTAGGTGTTTGGAGACGACTCCGACGTGGGGTTGAATTGCCTCGACCAGCTCGGGGTCGAGCTCGGTGACAAGGTCGTAGTAGAACTTCTTCTTGGACGGCTGCTGGAAGACATCCCAGGGGAGAGCATCGATATTCCAGGTATGACTGAGTCCCAGATCGCGGAAATTCAAGGTAACGGTGCGCTGGGATTTGGAGAGAGTCGTGACAAGGAGGTAGGAGCGGAGGGAGATGGCAGCGGCCAAGGCAGCCTTGCCGTGAACCACGGCGTGTTCTCCAAAGACAATGACTTTGCCAGGTGCCGACACCATAAAGGCCGGGGCCATTGGCGAGGAGGCCTTGCGAGACATGTTGGGTCGTCGTGATTTCGTGCCGTTTACAGTGTGGGAGGAAGAGGAGACGCTGCTGTCGGAGGAATGATCGAGAGAGTCGGGATCGAGACCGTTGCCATTCACCCGGGAGCGGTCTGGCAAGCCGTTTTGTATATCGAAATGAGCAACTGGGCGGCGTTGGCTCTGATTGTGATTGTTTGCGCCTCTCACACTGCCATTAGGTCGACGTGTGCTGGTACTGGCTGACATGGCCGAGTTGAAGATTCAGGGGTGGGGGGAGAAGCGGAGGTAGGGAAATATTGGGAGGGGGGAATGGAACGTAAGGGGGGGGAGGAGAATAACAAAGTCGCTATATGGACATGGTATGGACCAGAACAATTAGCAAGAGACAATGGATCTCAGTGGATGGAAGAAACAAGTGCTGCGATTTACAGAGTAGCGTCGAGAACACGCTCCCACCATCACAGCCACGCTAAACTTAACTCCAGGAATCATCAACCTGGATACCCTGGACCACGCTCCACTATGCCCAATCACAGTCCGTAGAATACCAATTGGTCATCAGCCCGCTTTTCCTTTGATGATTTTCAGCCTGCCACGATTTTCTAGATGGTCCAATTTCTTTTCTGCCTATCTGGCGTGTCGTGTGTCGTGTGGCGTAGGTTTTCGCTTAACGGCGGAATAGAGCGGGCTATGAATTATGAAATAGATGCTGTATTATTATTCGACAACTTCTTTAATGAAGTTAATGAAATGAACCGAGTTTACACTCTATGGTTATGTGAATAGGATATACAATAGTCATCGGCAGTTCTTCACGTTTTGACTTTCGGCTCTCAGACTCTGCTGGTGGCTAGTACTACTGCAGTAAGTCTTGTAGTTCATCCCCCACTCCGCCGATCTCCGTGTGTGGCGGCGCTGACTTGCAGAAGCGATGCGTTAGTACTGTAAAAGTACACTAAGGTAAACGTCAACAGTGATATCGTAGACTCTATAGTGTATATGCGGGGTTTTTGGTTTCAAATCCACCAAGTATGGCTAGAATAGATGCACACCGGGTATAGTTCATACCTCGTGTTACAGTTATCTCTCAAGATATATTTCTTCTGATGCATAGCTGCCCATCGATGCACACCCGTCGATCGATTAGGTACAATGCTGGGATCACCCATGCATTATACTTGGAAAAAGTAGAAGAAAAGTAAATACCACAATTGAATATATCCAAACATGATAGGTACACGCTCTAAAGGAATCTGCGCTATAGGAGGGGAAAAAACCATGTACAATCGTAATCTAGTTCACAGGTTCATCGTCACGGTCATACTGTTACTGTGCACCAACAGACACGGCGGTAATCCCTGCCACAGGACCTCCAAATCACTCAAATACGACCCACAATCCTGTTCACTCTGCGATGTACCATGTACCGGAGATGGCAAGGTTGTAAAAATCACCGCCGTCTCCCTACTTTGCTGTACCATCAACTCGTTCAAGATCAAATGCTGTGCCCGACTAGGTAGATCATTAAATGATAACGGGACGGATGCAGACCCCGGATAACCCGATGCGGGTTGGTTGGTTTGGACACTGGGAGAAGTTGGCGACACGGCAGATTGGCGCCGGGCGTAGATAGATTCGAGCTTTTGGGAGAATCGGGGAGGCGAGGCGTTTGCGGCGAACATGATGGATGGGCCTACCCCTTCGTCGGTGTTGACTTTTGCTTCTGGAATGGGCGAGGAGCTGAAGCGGTTGCTGGAGGCGGAGCGGCTGAGAGGTGGACGGGAAGCGGGGGATTTGCTCTTTGGAGAAGCATTGTCACTAGATGTGATGATTGAAGGTGTGGGCTCGCGGATTGTCGGTGTCAGACCAGCTGAAGTGCTTGATCGTGCTGGTGGGCGAGTAGATGGGCTTATTCCTGAGCGACTCGAACTACGGTCGTCGCTCTTGGTTCGACCACCGAGACCGACTCGTGATGGGCCAGGGGAAGGCTCATAACCTTTGGAACTGCTGGTCGTGTCTTCTTCTTCCTCGTGGTCTTCACGTTCGTCGTCAGCTTCGTCAATTTCCGGATCGCTGATGTAGGGATCCAAGTCGCTATCATCGCTGCTCTCACTAGACAAAGTGTTCCCGTCATAGTCGACAAACGCATCCAGCAAGCGATGGGTCTGCATTCCCAGATTCACATTTCCCAGAGTCCTGAAGCTAGACACTGATCTCCTGCGTCGCTGGATTAATCTTCTCAGGCCCGTCACTCGTTGATTCAAGAGCTTGTTTCCACTCTCTTGACTGGCTGAGCCTTGCCAAGTCGAGATTCGGTCCAGCCGAGGCATATCTTCGCCATCTTGGCCCTGCTCTGTCGAGCTTTGGGGGTTGTTGCGAGCTCGAACCAGTCCTTGCCACCAGTCCTCATCTTTCAGTACGGAGTGGACGGTATCTTGAGCGGCTGCCATCTCCGGAGAAGTATCCCCATTAACAATAATTCGATACGCTTCGACATCACCGCATGCAAGCCAGAAGACGAGGACTTCGGCTTGGATGCGAAGTTTCTCGAGAAGAGCCTCGACTCGCCCTCTCTCATCATCAACGTCCGTTTCATACTCGACGAACACAGCAACCCGCAATTTGTAGGTTTTCTTCCACGAGGGAACGGTGTTCAAGATGCAACCCAGCTGTAGAATTAGGGTGTAGGTATCGAAATTGGTTGTCAACACATTCTGTTTGCTCTCAATGTCCGCGCCGATTTCCGCGGACATTTGAATTGGCCACAGGTCGATGTACTTCTTCGTATGACGCCCGTGGGGATCAGGTAGCTCGAGATCTTCAAATCCTTTGGCGACGGCGACGTTGATCCGAAGATTGAACAAGAGATCCTCGAGAATGGTGACATAGCTTTGGCAAGTCATTCCCTTGTTTGGAGAATCTTCTTCATGTTGAGAGCCAAAAACAGACGAACGGCGTCTCGACTTTGAGGATTCCCTGCGATTGTTGCCAAGAGAGAGGGTCTCTACCAGCGATTGATTCTCACGGTACTGGTCGATCACGACGATATTTGGTCGCATGCCTCCCAATCCAGAATTGAGAACGATATTTCGCACACCCCATTCTGCAGCCGGAGAAACGGCCACATTGACAAATGCTTTGATCTTGGAATATTCAACCAGCTTTGTCCAGACAGTCTGCTGTCGACGGGCCTCTGGAACTGCCGTCGAAAAGTCATCCGTTACGAGAACATGGCCCAAGACGAACAATGCGCCTTTCTTGAGCGAGTTACAGAAAGAGACCATTTTGTACTGGCGATCAAGGTCACTAACAAAGAGCAGGATCTGTGGTCGCCAGAACTTGACATGCTCCTGCTTCAGACGGAGCAAGTACTTTCGTACTTGATGGTAGATCAGGCTTTGACTGACATCACCCCACGCTTTAGGCGGAGAAGAGTAGTGGATAAGCAGGAACAGCATGAGGAGAATTCCAACGCATCCCGCGGCATACAACCCGTCAACGAAGAACATGCTGATACCGCTGACAAGTGTACCTGCAGCTGCAGTCTGCCAGTTGAAGTAGTGGAAAGAAGGCCGGAAATTAGGGGCGGATCCTATCTTCAGCAGGAAACAGGCCAAATTTGTGACCAAGAACGTCATCAAGTAGGTCATGGTCACGAAAGAGGCAATTTGATTAATGTCGAAAAGCATGGTGAGCTGTGCGAAGATATAAGTGACGATAATAGCGTAAATGGGCTCGTCATTTTTCTTCGTGCCTTGACCGAAGATGTTGACGCCCGGAAGCAGGCTATCTCGGGCGATGGCCTGGAGGAGCTTGGCAGAGCCGATCACTCCCATGAGCGCCGAGAAGAAACAGGTTGCAAATTCTCCAACAAGAATAACGGTATCGGAGTAGTTGACCTGTCGGTAAATCAGAGACTGTTTTTGAAATCATGTCTAGCGCGGGCTTCTTACTATCTGAATAACGTTCACGTTGTTATAGAATGACTGTCGAGTAATAGAGGCAGCCATGGCCAAGATGACAAGCAGGTATGAAACGAAGGTCAGGGCAAGGCCGGCGAGAGTTCCCTTGGGGATAGATTTGCTGGGGTTCTTCAAGTCTCCCGACATACTCGCGCCGCTAAGTACGAGTTAGTGATTATCCAGTAATCCGTGGTAGTGCCACCTACGCAAAGATACCACCCGTGGCGGGGAACAAAATTCCAAAAAGATCTTGAAAAGTCTCTCGCCCTTTCAATTGGCTTCCAGCGGCTCCTCTTGTCAAATGGGGAGCAAGATTTTGCTTTAATGTATGCCAGCTAAGGCCGGTAAACTCGACATTATCCACTGGGGAACTGAACGGCTTCATCAGAAGGGCAGACAATGGAATACTAAAGGTCGAAATGAGAAGCAGGACCAAAAGGCCATTGCTAGCTCTGGCAAAAATCGAGCTTCCCGCCAAACAAATGGCCGTACAGAGAACGAGAATCACCGTTCCCCAGAGATACTGCCACCAAAAGCCCTCTTGGAGAAAATGGCCCATCGTGCCAGACATGGTTCCAAAGTTTTGAGTGAAACAGTCTACCAGACCGACTGCGTTCATACCGGTGTTGAATACGAGTCCTAAGTAGAAGACAACTCCGATAGAGCCGCCAAACTCTGGTCCTAGGGAACGAGAAATGAGGTAATATGCACCGCCGCCTCGAACAGTACCGTTGGTCGCAATCGCGGAGAGAGACATGGTAGTTACCAAGTTGATCAGATATGAAAGAGCAAGCAGTCCTAGGTCGATTGATCAGCCATGCGCCTAGCATTTAACCATCTTCCGCAGCAGAGAATCACCTAGTATGCCCAGCAATCCCGCTTGACCTAGAATAAACCCAAAACGAAGGAACATCAGAATACTTAGGACGTTCAAGCTCGTTGGTACGAACACGCCCGAGAAAGTGCCGAGCTTCTTCGTTTCCTCAAACGAACGAGGCCGATGCCCAAGTTTGTCCTTCCTATCTGCACTATTGTCTCGAAAGGGGCCAGCAGATGGGGGCATTCTTGCCTCTCCACTGTCCGCATGTCCTTCTCCATGGCCAGTCTTCTTGTTCCACCACTCAGATATCCCGTGGAACGGGTTCGCTGGTACCAAATGGCGATGGTGCTCCGTCGGCTCTGTAGAGGTCACCCCCTGGTGACGAGACCACAGAGTTGGTGGCCAGTGTAACAGCCCTGCCCGTTCTGCAGGAGCAGCATTCTCGGACTCGTTCGGGTCAAGGCGTGCGACATCTTCTTCGGGGGTTCGCGTCGAGAAATTCGGGCGTCGTCGAGACATTGCGGGATCTCCGTTGACCGTTGGGACTGGTGGAGCATGTGGACGACAACCACACCGCCGGTCCTCGATAACTATATCGCAAGACTATATCACAGCAAATTGTAAGGAGGTATCGCAATGAACAAGCAAAAGCTCAATTTGAAGAAAGGAAAAAAAAGAATTGCCAATCTATCGACCAGAAGCAAATGCACCACCTGCGTCACCTCGCGTCTCCAATAGCATCAACCGAATCCCAGCGAGAAAGCGGAGATGACGTGGGGAGGACAGACAAACAGTGCAAACCACAACTCCAAGAAGGGCAAAGCGGACACGCACCTGAGCCGCCGCCCACGACGCACTTGGCGCACTTGGCGCTTTTGACGACGATCAGGCTGTCTCCTCACCTCTTTCGTCTGTTTCAGCCACGTCCTGCCCCCCGTCTAAAGCTGCGTGTAGCTGCAACCCTTGCTCTATGCCCATAGGAAATCGTGCCGGATCTCCTATCCCATGCTCTTGCCCCTAACACCTCCCTAAACCGCGGAATACCCACCGGGACTACGCCAAAGATGGCAGATAACGGTGAGGGCTCGTCACTGTTCCCGCCCCGATCGGTGCCAATTGCGACCTCGTCCATTCGATCCTCGTCACCGGCCCCGGAGAGCAGACAGGCGTCGATAGCTCGTCTAGCCTCGCCAGTGCCTTCTGCATCCTTTGGGACCTCCCTATCGTCGCGACAAGGCATCCCCACTGGCCGACCCATCAGCACCGCCGCCGCCTCCAATGCCGAACAGAACTTCCGGGCTGTTGACAATATGGCCTCCCTGCCAGGCCCGGGCCAGTCCATGATCGCATCTCAGCTACAAGAAAGTCTCGGTCGGTCGCCTCCGAGATTCGGTACTCCTTCGCGACTTGCGGGGTCGCCTTCGATCCCGCCAACGCTCGACAGCCGACCCATGGCCTCCCAGTACGGCTCATTCGACACGAACAACAATAACAACTACGCCCCCGACACTAACGGTGCAGGCGCATATGAGGATCCGGAGGTCGTCAGGAGACATTTGGTCCTCCCGCAAAACGTTTCTGAGAGTCGGGAGACCGGCTCCGAGCTTGGAACTAGCCATGGCGACGAGGAATTCTCCAGTCTGCAACTGCAGGGTGGTGATATCACCCGTCAGGTCTACCGGTGGGCGGAGGACGCCGATACCGCGCGATTTGCTCGCAGCAAGAGTTTCAGCATCAGCCGACCCGCCCCCGAGGCCGAGACCGAAGATATCCACACAATCCAGGTGCCAGGTGGGTTCCGAAGAGACTTTCTGCGGAGAACTGCGGGGAGCCCACACCGTGGGAGTGTGCATGGGTCAAACGCCGGCGCTGCACCCGCACAACCTCAGCTGCCAACCTCGAGTTTCTTGGAGTTCTTGACGCTGTATGGTCACTTTGCTGGAGAAGAGTTGGAAGAAGATGATGAGGTTTTGGGGCCTGATGAGTACTTTTCATCTGACACCTGGGATGAGCCCGATGAGGCCAGAGAGTCTGGTGAGGATGCGGCGCTGCTTCGAGGAGGCGGTGCTGGCCGGAAAAAGCGAAAGCATAAGCAGCGTGCGCCGCCCGGAAACACGACCACCACTGGTGCTGTCATGCTGCTGCTCAAGTCTTTTGTCGGAACGGGAATTCTGTTCCTACCCCGTGCTTTCTTGAACGGTGGAATGTTGTTCAGCAGCATGGTCCTTCTAGGTGTCTCGATTCTGAGTTACTACGCCTTCATCCTGCTGGTCAACACCCGCATGCGGATTGAAGGCTCCTTTGGTGATATTGGTGGGATCTTGTATGGAAAACATATGAGGCGGATCATCCTTGGCTCAATTGTTCTGAGCCAATTGGGTTTCGTGTCTGCCTATATCGTGTTCGTGTCACAGAACCTCCAGGCCTTTGTGCTCGCGGTGAGCAAGTGCAAGAGCTTCATCGACATCAAGTACCTAGTGTTACTGCAGCTGGTCATCTTCCTGCCCCTCTCTCTGATTCGTGATATCGGCAAGCTTGGCTTTACTGCGCTGATTGCCGACGCCTTTATTCTCCTGGGGCTGCTGTATATCTACTACTATGATGCTCGCACTTTGATCGGCAATGGTGGTATCTCAGACATCAAGGCCTTCAACCCGTCGACTTGGTCCATGTTCATCGGCACGGCTATCTTCACCTACGAGGGTGTCGGTCTGATCATTCCCATTCAGGAGTCGATGAAGCAGCCACGACGCTTCCCCGGTGTCCTAGCTGGTGTCATGGTCGTCATCACTCTGATCTTCCTGTCCGCGGGTGCTCTGAGCTATGCCGCTTATGGATCCTCCACCAAGACCGTCATTCTCCTCAACCTCCCCCAGGACGACAAGTTCGTCAACGTGGTCCAGCTCCTTTACTCGCTCGCCATCCTGCTCAGCACACCACTCCAACTCTTCCCCGCCATTCGTATCTTGGAGAACGAGTTGTTCACTCGCAGCGGCAAGTACAACCCTTACATCAAGTGGAAGAAGAACGCTTTCCGTTTCTTCTTGGTGTTCGTCTGCGCTTTTGTCGCCTGGGGTGGTGCCGCCGATCTGGACAAATTTGTTGCTCTGGTGGGCAGCTTCGCCTGCGTCCCGCTGATCTACGTTTACCCGGTAAGTCATCTTGAAAGACACTCACCATTCTAGTGCTAATCAATGTTTCCATACAGCCCCTCCTGCATCTCCGTGCATGCGCCCAATCAAAACGCCAGGCTATTTCCGATATTACTCTCGCCACTCTTGGAGTAGTCTGTTGCATTTATACTACTGCACTGACTCTCCAAAACTGGGTTGGCGCCGATGTCCCTCAAAGCCCTGGATACTGCGATTCGCAATAAACAGCCTCGCAGAGAACTCCAGATGACATGACCGTTTATCATATTCCTTTCTTGTCTGGACCGTTGTGGTTCTAGATTGTGGCATAGCATTTGTGTTTTGACCTTTCATCTCTTTCCTTGTACGCATGATCGGGTTAGAGCAGTATGAGTTTCGATGTTGATGTGTCTTTTTGATAAATTGCCTGAGCTTTTGGGCGGGTTTCCCTTTCGTTTGCTCTCTCTTTGGGCCCGGCGTTGGCTCATGTTGTACACTTAGCTTTAAGATTTGTTTCTGAACTCTCGTTGGGTTGAATTCAACATTTCTCGGATCTCTTTGGGTTTCTGTGATTGGCACGATAAACTATGTCTTCTTAGAATAGCCCCTGCTCTGCTCTCTAAATTATTCCCTGACTAGATTTCAAAAGAGGACTGTTGATCATAACCCGAGAGATAGCCTGAGAGATAATCTTGAAGGTATCTAGGGAGACGTTTAAGGACTTTCAGAAAGATCTTTCCAGAGCGCGGTTGTTAAAGCGTATCTAATTAGACTCTTTTTCGGTTGCTAGTTTCAGCCAGTAACCGGATCCTATCTTGGTGTCAATCAGAGAAAAGTGACTTGGTTTCCAATTCGAGTCGAAGAACAAACAGTTCGATTTGATGTAGAGTCTATGTACAGTGACTAGAATGAGCTCGCCAGAAATTTTAGATCCTCCCGAACTCACTCCAGCCCAAAACATCCCCCCGTCTTCCCCCTCGCATTGTCATTCCCCCATTTCCTGCAAGTTTTACATGCCTCTATAGCATTCCCTTCTTTCCAAATAGATCGTCAAGACCAATCACCGAGCCACAAAATATTGAAATGTGATAGGGATATAGAGATACAATGCTGCGAAACGAGGTACAAAAAGATACGAGCTTTAAATGTTCAATGGAGATCCCAGTCCCGAGGGAACTTTTTATGCCTCCGCGGCCACGGCGCCCTGCTTAGCCTTCTCGGCTAGCTGAGCTTCCCGACCACCCCAGCTGTTGCGAAGAAGAAAGGGTTAGCGCAAATTGTTCCGTGAGTCATGGATAGAAAGTAGACGGGTGAGCCAAGCTTTCACGGGGGTACGGGGAGTCACGCACTTCCAGTATGACAGATAGCGGTAAGCCTGGGTCGTCTGGGCACCGAAGTTGGTCAGATGGCAGGCGAAGAGGAGGTAGTTCTTGGGGGTGACGGCGAGGGAGTAGCGCATGAAGGTGGCAGCGTAGACGACCAGGGCACCGGTCATAGGGCCGGAGATACTGTGTAGCGGAGAAGGTTAGAAGGCGGGTTCGCTTGCGGGTTGACTAGACGGAGAATTTATAGGATGATGGTGCTATCGAGCATGTTGAACGTACATTTCGGGGTCCTTCTGGGTGTCCATCACGGCCGCAATGGGGATACCGAAGTTGGAGACGGGGCCCCAGAAGTCTGCAGTGAAGCATTGTCAGCGAATCCAGTCGTGGTGTATATCTTCAACTCCCATTCCGGGATGTGTTCCTCCGCCCCAATTGAATTAAAACGTCATTCTTCTCTTCCTCTTTCTTCTTTGCTACATGAGCAACTCGTTTCCGCAGGCCGATCTCGGTCCGGGAAGCGCGGCGGGAAACTTGGGAACGGGTTCAATGTGCACGTACGAGTTGAGCAGACATAGTCCAGCACCTTGTTGGAGCGGATCTTAGCATTGATAGCCTTGATAGCAGCGGCCATGATGACGTTGCTGGAGGGAGAAACACGCGGGAAACTGAGGACTCGGTGAGGAGGTTGAGGTTGGGGTCTGCGGGTTGCGGAATTACCGCCTCGATTCAACCGGCGTTGACCGCAGGTCACGTGCTTCAGCAAGGGTATGGCATTGTTCTTATCTCCGTTATACCTTTAGGAGATTTGGAAAAGATCTTCAAGTATATAGGAGTTACATTGGAAATCCATACTTGTAAAGGTTATACTGCGTTTTATCAATGGTCTAAGCTATTGGTGGTTGCTTTGGTATGTGTTGCAGCTTGCCGATGGCGGAAGTGACCGTTAATTGGAGTATTATCTCCGTAATGCAGCGATTATCTACCAGAAAGCTTGGACGGAAAAATAAGCTGATAGTTTCGTTGAATTTATTCGGGTTTCCTTACTTTGGATATAGAGCAAATGGATGGAACAGCCTTCCTGGTCACATGAGTACAGGCTGGAGTCTTCTTAAAACAGCCAAGATGTATAGACGACCTGTCGCCCCCGATATATATATTGAGCAGCCAACAGCTTCAAGTACAAAACCGGATAAAAATTCAATCTGAAAAGAATCTAACCTAACAAATGACCTGGTCCCAAATTGAATTCAATATGTATTGCATGTTGCGACAAGGGGTCGTAGGAATGAGCTAGCATTATTTTTGGTACTAAATGCAAATCTGAAAGGGATTTTCGGCTTTTGTTTTCCTATCCTTGGAAACGACCTCCATCCGCATGCGCCGCAACGCCTTGCCCAGTGAGAGGGCTATCTAGCCTGTTCGCGATATATTCCCTTGCGCTGGAAGTGAGGACCGTATCTCGCCTGTTCTCGAACGGTTTATCTCTCTTTCGCCTTCCCACATGAAACATCACTCAAGTTATGAAGCATCAAAGGTCCTTCTCAAAATAATCTTATCCATTTACCGGCCTCCGAAGCCAGGAGGAGGGTAGCCACGGCCCTGGCCTTGGGGCTGGAAGCCAGGAGGGGGTGGAAAGAGCCGGCTGCGGAGAGAAATGTTAGCCTTGAAAAAGTACTGACAGATAGAATCCAGCGAGGCGGGGGAAAACTTACGAGGAGCACCCTGAGGAGCGAAACCAGGGGGAGGAGCGAACCCAGCTAGAAGCACAGATGGTTAGTATATAGGCAGACAATTCAGCAACTCTCATGTTTGAACTTACGAGGTCCACCAGGAGGTCCTCCACGACCAGCAAAACCAGGAGGCGGCGCACCAGGGAAACCACCAGTGGGGAAGCCTCCAAAGGAGCCAGGAGGAGGCGGGCCACCAACACCAGCAGCGGGGCCACCGAGTCCGACGGGCAGGCCACGACCAGCGGGCTTGCTGATACCGGGACCGGCAACGAGAGTGGCAGCAGCGCCAGGGCCAGCAGTACCGAGACGCGCAGAGGGATCGGCAGGAGGGGGTCCGTCAACGGAGCAAGAGACGACCTGAGTACCGCGAACGATGGTGAGACCGAGAGTACGCTTCTCCTCCGCTTCAACCAGTGGGGCGTTTGAGGGACCGGCGGCGGGCTTTGACTTTCGCTTGGTACGACGGAACTCTTCTGTGTCGGCAAGAACGAGGTTCATGTGCTATGAGAAGTTCGAGGGTTAGTGAATGGTATCGAATGGCTGGGAATGCGACGGACCTTATCAAAAGCCAGCATCTGGCCGGTCATCTGTCGACCATCGTTCAGGGTAACCCTCATCCGGTAGTTGATCTGGAAGACGTGTTAGATTGATGAATGGAGAGTGTTATGCCTTTCTTCAGGAACTCACGAGGTTTTGCTAGAGAGTTGAGGTTAGCGACAGCCATTGACCACCCGAGTCGGGGAAATTGACCAGAGGGACTGGGGGAGACTTACCATCTTGCCCTGCTTATTGGCGGCCATGGTGGGCAAGGGGGGAGCGCGCACGAATGCGACTTGAGAGATCCAAAAAAAGGGTTGAAAGACAGCAAGGATGCTCTCTTCACGGGTGTAGGGATCAAGCAAGACGCGGGATCCTTGAGGTCGAGCTTAGCTCTTCGATGCCGGGCTCAATTCTGGATATCAGATGACTCAGCAGGGAAATACCACGTGACTTTATCGATGTCCTGGTGGAGTAACCTAATTCCTGACATAAGCGCCAAGCTTCTGCGAGCCCTCTCGCTTCCCAATTCCCGTGACTCGGTTCCCGTGACCGCCGCCCACACAAACCGCTTTTGTGCTTTTCGAAGATTCTCTCCATCTCGTCGCCAACCCATATCCACGCCACACCAGTCGCCATGGTATGTTACCACCACAACAACCACACTCCTTTCTATCTCATCGCATAAACGACAATTCTAACGAAATATGCAGTCGGACGCCAAGGACAAGACCGCCAACCCCATGCGCGAGCTGCGCATCCAGAAGCTCGTGCTCAACATCTCCGTCGGCGAGTCTGGTGATAGACTTACCCGTGCCGCCAAGGTGCTCGAGCAGCTGTCCGGTCAGACTCCCGTCTACTCCAAGGCCCGCTACACCGTCCGTACCTTCGGTATCCGCCGTAACGAGAAGATCGCCGTCCACGTTACCGTCCGTGGCCCCAAGGCCGAGGAGATTCTCGAGCGTGGCCTCAAGGTCAAGGAGTACGAGCTCCGCAAGCGCAACTTCTCCGAGACCGGTAACTTCGGTTTCGGTATCTCCGAGCACATCGATCTGGGCATCAAGTACGACCCCGGCATTGGTATCTACGGCATGGACTTCTTCTGCTGCATGTGAGTGCTTTCCACACTGGGACGACAAGAAGTCCCCCCTCCTTTCCTACGAGTAATACTCGGAATGGGAAATATCAAATACTGACATTCATGTCCTCCTACTAGGACCCGCCCCGGTGAGCGTGTTGCCAAGCGCCGCCGCGCGAAGGCCTCCATCGGTTCCAGCCACAAGATCCACCAGAACGAGACCATGAAGTGGTTCAAGAACCGCTTCGACGGTATCATCCGGTAAATGTCTTAATTGACATGTTGAGGAAGCGGGGAAGGCCGGTTGGAAACTTGTGATTTACGATGCATCGAAGGGAGCCAAAAAATTTTCTCCGCCCGCAAACCCAAAAGAAACAAAAATCGGCCCAATGTCAGACCCCCTCGTCGATACAACCGGCCCGGGCCTCCTGATCTTTGCGTCGGATATGGTGTTCTGAAACTCTTTTTTATTCTCTCACGGCAACCAGGATTAGGCGTGTTAGAGACATGAATTTACTACCATGCAAAACTTTTTTGCGTTTCCCACCCCCCTTTTCACAATGAAGGCTGCACGAAAGGTGTTGTTCTCCGCATAACCATTGCTGAAAAGGCATGGCTGGCTCTTGAGACTTTGCTGTCTTGGGATGTCATGCCATGACTCGCTTGACTTGGTCGAATGATCTCGTCAAAGAGTCGGTCTCTTTGCCTCCGATGACCTGTCAAGGTTATGAAGATGTGCAAGAGTACCTCCTGGCCTCTCTCTCTTGTCTATTGCTGTCTACACCTGGTGCCGCTCTTCTGCGTAGTCGTAGGTCTCGTAGTCTGTCGTATGGTTCTGTAGGACTGGTAGTCTACCGCCATGCCCTTCGTCATCTTCACTAACACTCTTGGCTTTCTCAACGGCCACCATGCTAGGTATGGTTCTCTCGGCATGACCCACAAGTCTGGAACGAGGTTTGGACTTCCAGCCGCGCCACGCCCAGCCGAATACTAAGTAGTTCCCACTGGTTTGCATTAATCACGTTGCAGCAATCTGTGCACAAGGATGCTTGGATTCATGTCCACCTAGCATGTTCCTCGAATGGAAAGGCTGCTTGTTCAAGTTATCGTCTTCTCTGGTCATTCTGCCATATCGCACAGTTCTCATTCCTGTACCTTTCGAGTACTACAGTGGTTGCAAGCTAATCACGGATTTTTGATAGTGGCTCTGCATACAACAGGCCATGATTTGAATCATGTTCACGCAAGAAATACCCATGTGAGATTGACAAGGCGGAAGGCAATATCATAGTAGTCTGGTACTCGGTCTATCTCGTCTACGTCACATTGTCTCTAAACGAGGACTAAGGGGTATATACATCACTTATCTGACAAGACACGTCTCTTGACATAGAGTATAAGTAGCAGGAGATACAAGACGTCCTTGTCTGCTCCTGTCTGGGCCTTCCTGACATTCCATAGATCGAGGGAGATCCTCACAATATAGCACTTCGATCGCAATTGGAGCTTTATGTACTTGATCTTCCATAATTTATCACGTCTTTACTGTCTAGGTAGCTATCAACTTGCCAAGCAAAGAGGAACCTATGCTCAACCCACGGCAACAGCGAGAAGACTAACTCCTACGTATAAGTAATCCATAATAAAACTGTCATAGACAACACATTTTCATCTTATTTTCGTCAAAACAAATGATGAGTTATCAAAATACACCATATACAATAAACCAAACCCCAATCCCACAAAAACACAATTCACTCAAAAAAAAAAAAAGAAACATAATCATGAAAAAAGAACCCCCAATTACAATCTGATACCTATCCCTATCAATTACTCCCGTCCTTTAACTCTCACTTACTCCCCCGCGTATATCCCTCCCACAACTTCGAAAAGAAACCCCCCTGCTCCCGCTGCTCATTCCAACTCGCCCTCCGCGCCGCCATATTCGCATCCGCAGACTCCCGCTTCTGCGAACTCAGCGAGGAGAACAGGCCAGCGCCGGAACCAGAGCCTGCGCTTGAGCGGCGGCGGTCATGGACGGAGGGGGTTGTCGGGGAGCCGCTGTTGGCGGAGGAGGCGGAGCCGACGGATTCCTGGGATTGTTTAGATGGGTGCATACGGAAGGGATAAGTAGATAGGCGGGGTAGAGGGGCAAAGGATTAGGGGAGGTGGCAGACGTACTCGGCGTTTAGCTTCGGCAGCCTGCATTTCAGGCGTTAGAGCCCATGCGGCACGGCTGGCGGGACCCTTGGAGCCACCGTTTGTCCAGACGTTGAGGTGTTCGTAGCGATCGCCGGCGGTGCCGTGCCAGTGGCGCTTGAGGTTGTCTGCGATATTGTCGGACATGATGGATGGCTTTTTGACGATGGGAGATTTGAGATTGTAGATTTAGTGGATTGGTCTTGATATGTATTGGTTAGTGGGTGATTATGTAGAGTTAGGGTTTTAAGAATCAATGTGTGAGATGAAGATGAGAATGACGATGAATATGGAGAACAGCGGTAGAGGGGTGTTCAAATAAACTCTTTTATAAAGGAGTGAGGTTGGATCGAGATGGGTTGGAGTCAAAGACGTCATTGAAGGAAGTGCGGAATGCGGGTGGGGGATCCGTGGATAGGAGGGGTTTTGTATAAAGAGCAAGCGATGGAACACGAAGATAAGAGATGATAGGTTAGGAGGTGAATACGTACCTTATTTTTTACTCTATTCTCCTCAACGAGAATCTCTTTATTCTATTATCTTCAACGATAATAGTATTATCTTCAACGATAATAGATTCAGGGTATATGGTGATATAGGAGGAGGGGAAAGGAAGTCGAGAAAAAGAGGGGAAAGGCTGTATTTAAAACCATGTCGTGTGTAAATATGAACGAGTTATTTCCCCCCGGACTTTGGCCTGCTGGTTACTCCATTCGGGTCTCTACCGGGCACCGATCAGGATAATGATTGGCGATTGGTAATTGACATGTCTAGAATGGATGGAGGTGCGGATATACGATACTTTATGGAAGCTACTAAGCTGGAACTCGACCTGCTTGACTGGTTTGATCATGATACACTTCATCAAGCTCCTAATCGTATGATAATTAGTGCTTCAAAGGGGCCAACAAGTCTTTGCATATGAAGCTGAGGATACGAGAGTACTGTACAGCTTTACACGCAAGCTGAATGGTCGCAGCTTGACGTAAGAGAGAATGCGGGGGAAGCTCTTGAGAACGAATCAGACGTGCAGGTATAAAGTACTTTATTCAGTAGGGTTAACCTGGACTAGTACAAGTACTCTTGACCTAACCTTCTAGGACCCACTTGTCGATCGAGAACGGTCGATCGAGGACCATCGATCGAGAATTACTACTACCGTGATGAGGAACCAGAGATTTGACATACATGAGCCAGAGATGAAGATCTATACGATCTATGATAATCGATCGAGATCGGTGGATCAATGTCTGATCAAAACCAGGAACTAATTACGTCGACAACATGCGGATTGCACAATAACTATATCCGGGTATAGTACCTCAATTCCAGGTTCACTATCTATAACTCTTTTACCCATCGCCTAGACATAAATCTAAATGACCAAGATGATACTCTCACAACTTAGCCTTCTCACCCACATCCCTCAAAGCCTTCCACACCTTAACACCCTCCTCCCAAAGCTCATCCCCCCGAATCTCCACCTCCCCATCAGCCCTCAACACCCTAACCCCCTTCCCACTAGTGCCCCATCCAAACCCATCACTCCCCACCTGCACACCCTTCACAAACCGACCCAACGGCCCAATAAACGCCTTCTCAGTACTCCTCTTCTCATCCTCCGTCAAAACATCCCCATTGCCCCAGAACCACAACGGATAATCCGACGAGTGCGTGACTCCCCACTCCAACGGGATCCCCTTCTCAATACACTTGGCCCGGAACTCAATCCGATACCGGTAGATTAACCGCGACGCATCGACGCCAGCGGTGTTATCGGTAAGAGCGTGGATCAGGCCGCGCTGCATGTGGTACACCTGCATATCAGCATAGATCCGGCCCCAAGCATCGGGTGTCCAGTTCTGGCAATTCGGCGGCAGGGATTTCGTCGGGTAGTGCAAGGGCAAGACGGCATCGACGATTCGCTCGGGGTAATCGGCGATGAGTCTTGTGCGGAGAGCATCTAGGGTGTTTTCCTTTGGTGGATACCAGACGCTGTAGAGGAAGTGTTCGTCTGCGCATTCGCCGAGGAGGAGTCTGACGTTGCGGGAGAGGAGTTTCCGGGCAAAGTCGCCGTTGTCGAGGGAAGTGAAGAGATTGGGGAGGATGAAGCCGTTGTCGGTTGTCGGGCGGAATTGGTGGATTTCGATGGAATTGATTGCGTCAAGGAGTTGTCTTGGTGGGAGGGCGCGGAGACGGGCGAGTTTTTCGTTGCCGGAGAGTGTTAGGGGGATGTTTAGTGCGGAGAGGAGCTGGTCGAATTGGAGTTGTGTTTCTGCTGGGGATTTGGGTTGGACTGCTGGGGAGTTGGAGAAGATGCATGCCTGGCGGACGATGGCCTTGTCGTCTGGTTGACGGAGGTCGTAGGCCAATTGGTGGAAGACGGAGTTTGCACCTGAATTCATGGCGGTTAGTATATCGCCATTGAATGTTGGACATGCTTATGCACTCACCAGCAGAATACCCCGAGATGGTGATATTATCCGGATTGCCCCCGAACAAATGCACATTCTCCTTGGTCCACTCCATCGCCAACCGCTGATCCCAGAATCCATGGTTACCAACGGTCTCCCCCACGGCCGCAGCATCCTGCTCGAGTTCCGCCGAGTACAAGAATCCAAACAGATTCACCCGATACGCAGGCATAACAATCACACACTTGAAATCCGTCTCGCCCAGCAACGCCGCCGCATTGAAGCCATTGGGCGAGCCAAACTGCAACCAGCCTCCATCTACAACAGCCCACCAGTCAGCCTTTATACCAACCACAGTAAAAACAAGAAAATTGACCCGTCGGACCAATGGAAGAAGAAAGACATGGTATACTCACGAATAAACATAAAAACAGGCCATCCCCCCCCTCGGCACCTCCCCAACCGGCACCCAAACATTACACTGAAAACAATCCTCCGTCCAAGCATCCTCATTCACGGGCGAAAGATTCAAAAACCCCGGTTGCGGACACAACCCCGCACCAGTCTCACATCGACCGGGGGCATCTTTGCTGCCGTAGGTGAATGTAGAAGGGAGTCGGCGGGCACGACGCCAGCGCTGCAGTGGGGGCAGAGCATAGCGGACGCCGCCGAAGTAGTGGCACAGGTCGGTGGAGGATTGAGTGGATGTGATGGTGAGACCTTGGATTGTGCCGCGGTGGGCGAGGGTGTGGAGGTGTGGGCGGGTTGATGTTTGCATGATGGGAAGAGAGGAGAGTAGGTATGGTCAATCAAAGCTGCGAGAATATACATCGTTAGCAGGCAACTACTTCTTTCTGGTCCAAGTTTTAGTACATACCTTTCTTTCTACCTACCAGAAATCCAAGCAGAGGAGAGCAGAACAGAGTTCTCAACAGTGTCCCCCCATCACCCTTTTATCACGAACAATGCTCGGAGAACTCGGACTGCATTCCGCGGACCGCCTACAAAAGATAACGGTAGCCGAGATAAACAGTCCTATTTGGAGCACCGCGATTGGGTAGACGAGACGAGCGGACTTGGATCGGCAAATTTGGGGGTTGGAGACGTGCTGTGGATTGCGGGGAGGGCCCCGCTGGGTTCGGTGTCGGGGTCTACATCTGGGGGCCGATGAAGGCTGTTCTTTACTGGAGTATTGTTAGGGTTGGATGGTTAATTAACACTGGATAAATAAATGCTAGGCATGGTATGGGTTACAGTAAATTTCGAAATCAGTTGAACGCAATGAAACAGGTCTTCGGTAAATTCTCCAAGAAAATAGATTAAGGTTTGTCGATGAGAGGAATTGGGAAAACTTACATTGTCCAGATATGCAATATAACGGGACGTTTATGCAATGTGATGGGGATAAGAGTGGCTATCCTTATCTAGCATGTACTTGTACATATGATCCTCTTGTTTGTGACAACGCCAATTCTGATGGCGGAGGAACTGGAAGTTCAAGCAACAGTGGAACTTCTAACTCCACCGAAACCTCGAGTGGAGTCAAATCCTCGTGTTGTTTCCAGACAAAATATTGGAGCTTAGGGACTTTGTTCATTGGCTCCTGTCTATTTGTACTCGTGTAATGCTATGTGGGTGGACTTGCTAGCAACGTTTCAGAATGAAAAGGACGAATTTTTGTGTTCGTGATACTCCTCTACAACCTTCTGTGTTATGACTGGCGGGTACAGTACAGTAGAAAGGTTACGTTGGATACGGCAAGAATGAGGATTCGGAACGAATAACTAGGACAGGTAACAAGAAGATCATACTAGACAGTCCGTAGCCCCAAAAGAGTCTACGGGGTTCCATAGTATAGTACGGTATTATGACAGTGAACTCATCGATCATGTAAGGAGAGCGGTAAGCTCAAGAAAGTTAGCGTATCTCGGGCTTATTTTCCGGGAATGAAGTCGCCAGAGTGCGGAGGTATAACTGATTTCGAAAATTGCTGTAGGTCAATGATTGAATTTAGTGGAGGGTATCAGTGGGCTTTTGTAGAGTCAGTATGTACAGTGGGGCTGGGGCTCGTCAGGTCGGGATTATAGACTACGCTAGACCCTACCACCTACCAAAAGGAACAAGTCTACCCCAACTTGGCACCTCTTGATGGGGAGACAGAGGATACAAGAGAATACAGATAGAAAAAAGTACTAAAAAGCCATTCATCATTTCAATAAGAAATAACCAAAATAAGAAAAAAAATAACCAATCAAATCCAAACAAAAATCCTGTTGGACAAACATAAACCAACCAACGCTAGAAACCATCGTTCAAATCACATCACATCGCGTCTTTGCGCGTGTAGTTAATCGTGCGCATCTTATACACAATAAGAGATAAGAGATCCAAAGCCAAAAAAAGTTTAATCAAAAAAAGTTCGCACACTTTTCTAACCGGTCACACTCTATGCCTTGGTAATCCGGCAGATAAGGTCCTGGCCGTCGACGGAGTCACCCTCCTTGACGAGCAGACTGGAGACCTTACCACTGTGAGGAGCGGAGATGACCATTTCCTGTGATAATATTAGTACGAAGTGTAATAATTTGTGTAACGGGGGACATTTCTTACCATCTTCATGGCGCTCAGCACCGCAATAGGGTCACCCTTCTTCACCTCGTGGCCGTCGTGCACGCGGATCTCAACCACGACACCGGACATGGGGGCACCGACCTGGCTGCTGTCGGCAGCGTCGGCCTTAGGACGAGCGACGTTGTCCACGGAGGCCTTGTTGTCGTCAACAGAGACCTGGCGGACTTCACCGTTGACCTCGTAGAAGACCTCACGCTGACCGGTCTGCTCGGACAAGGGACCGATAGCCAGCAGCTTCAGGATAAGAACCTTACCCTTCTCGAGCTCAACGTGGAACTCCTCGCCAATCTCGGGACGAGCAAGGAAGTAGCGAGTGGGCAGAACGGAGAGATCACCGAACTTCTGCACGAACTTGCGGTAGTCCTCGAAGACCTTGGGGTACATGGCGTACGAGGCGACATCGCACTCGGTGGCGGCACCGAACTTCTCGCGGATCTGGTTCTTGATAGCAGCCAGATCCAGAGGCTCGAGGTACAGACCGGGACGCTTGTCGAGCTTGCGGCGGTCACGCAGAGCGCGGGAGCGCAGGGGCTCGGGGAAGCCACCGAAGGGCTGACCCATCAGACCCTCCAGGAACTCGAGGACGGAGCCGGGGAAGTCCAGCTCGGCAGCACGCTCAACGACGTCCTCCTCAGAGAGCTTGTTGGAGACCATGAACTGGGCCAGATCACCAACAACCTTGGAGGTAGGAGTGACCTTGACGATATCGCCAAGCAAGTCGTTGGCAGCCTCGTAGGCCTTCTTGGTCTCGGCCCACTGCTGGCCCAGACCCAGCTGGCTGGCCTGGAAGATCAGGTTGGTCAGCTGACCACCAGGGATCTCGTGCTCGTAGACCTCGGGGTCGGGGCCGGTGAGACCAGCCTCGAAGGGCGAGTAGAGCAGACGCAGCTGGGCCCAATAGGTGTCGAGGGCGCGGACCTGCGCGATGTCGAGCTGGGGATCCTGCTCGGTGCCAGCGAGCGAGGCCAGGAGGGCACCGATGCTGGGCTGGGAGGTCATACCGGACAGGGAGTCAGTGGCGGCATCGACGGCGTCAGCGCCAGCCTGGGCGCAGGCAATCATCGAGGCAACACCAGTACCGGCAGAGTCGTGGGTGTGCACGTGGATGGGGAGGTCGGGGTAACGCTCACGGAGGGCGCCGATCAGGATGCGGGCAGCCTGGGGCTTCAGAACACCGGCCATATCCTTGATACCCAGGACGTGAGTGCCGAGGGAGACAATCTTCTCAGCGAGAGCAAGGTAGTACTCCAGGTTGTACTTCTTGGTGGGGTTCAGCATGTCACCACTGTAGCAGATGGTAGCCTCGACCACACCGCCGGCCTGCTGGACGGCCTTGATACCGACCTCGAGCTGGTCGACGTCGTTGAGGGCATCGAAGACACGGAAGATGTCAACACCGTACTTCTTGGCCTGCTTACAGAAGTGGTAGATGGCGTTGTCAGGAAGGGAAGAGTAGGCAACACCGTTGGCGCCGCGCAGCAGCATCTGGAAGGGAATGTTGGGAACGGCCTTGCGGAGCTTGCGCAGACGGTCCCAGGGGTCCTCGTAGAGGAAGCGCATGGCGACGTCGAAGGTGGCGCCACCCCAGCACTCCAGACTGTAGGCGTTGTGCAGAGCGTGGCTGGTCTCGTGGGCAATGTTGAGCATATCGATGGTACGAACACGGGTGGCGAGCAGCGACTGGTGGGCATCACGCCAGGTGGTGTCCATGAGCAAGCAGCCCTTGTTGGCACGCACAGCCTTGGCGAAAGCAGCCGGGCCTTCGCTGTCAAGGATCTGCTTCCAACCCTTCTGGCAGGGGACGGAGACGTCGATGGGGTTACCAGAGGCATCCCGGAGGATGGGCTTGATGATCTCACCCTTGAACTTGGGCTCACCAATCTGGCCCTTGATGCTGCTGCCGTTGACGGCGACATCACCGAGGTATGCGAGCAGCTTCTGGGCACGGTTCTGGGAGCCGACCAGAGCGAAGAGCTCGGGGGTGTCATCGATAAAAGTAGTCCAGCAGGTGCCATCGATGAAGGTAGGGTGGCTCAGGAGGGAAGCCAGGAAGGGAATGTTGGTCTTGACACCACGGATACGGAACTCGACCAAGGCACGCAGCACCTTGCGGCGGGCAATCTCGTAGGTAGAACCACGGCATGTACACTTGACCAGCATGGAGTCGTAGTGAGGGGTGATGACGGCACCGGCGAAACCGTTACCACCGTCGAGACGGACACCGTTACCACCAGCGGAGCGGTAGACCTCGATCTTACCGGTGTCGGGAGAGAAGCCCTTGGCGGGGTCTTCAGTTGTGATACGGCACTGAATGGCGAAACCGCGAGTAGAGATGCGGTCCTGAGTCAGACCCAGCTGCTCAAGAGTGGCACCGGCAGCGATCTGAATCTGGGCAGCGACGATATCGATACCGGTGATCTCCTCGGTGATGGTGTGCTCGACCTGGATACGAGGGTTGATCTCGATGAAGTAGTAGCGGTTCTGCTGGTCCACCAGGAACTCGGCAGTACCGGCGTTGCGGTACTTGACAGACTTGGCGAGCTTCACGGCATCGGCCAGAATCTTGTCACGCACATCGATGGGGAGGTCCTTGGCCGGGGCAATCTCCACGACCTTCTGGTGACGACGCTGGACGGAGCAGTCACGCTCGAACAAGTGGACAACGTTGCCCTGGTTATCACCGAGCAGCTGGACCTCAATGTGCTTGGGCTTGTCGAGGAAGCGCTCGACGAAGACGGTGCCGTTACCAAAGGCGGAGCGGGCCTCGGAGGTGGCACGCTCGAAGGAGTCGCGCAGGTCAGCCTGGTCGCGGACGACACGCATACCACGGCCACCACCACCGAAGGCAGCCTTGATGATGATGGGGAAGCCATAGGTATCGGTGAAGGTCTTGACCTCCTCGTAGCGCTCGACGGGGCCCTCGGTACCGGGGACGACGGGGACACCACACTTGATGGCCAGGCGACGGGCAGAGACCTTGTCACCGAGGGCATCAATAGTGTCCGGGGTCGGACCCACGAAAACGATGCCGGCCTTTTCGACATTTCGGGCGAACTCGGCGTTCTCCGACAAGAAGCCGTAACCAGGGTGGATCAGGTGCACGCCGTGCTCCACGGCGATCTTAATGATCTCATCACCGGCCAAGTAAGCACCCACGGGGGTGTACTGACCGCGCTTACCGATCATGTAGGCCTCGTCAGCCTTTTGACGGTGCATACCCAGGCGGTCCTCATGGGAGAAGACGGCAACGGTCTGCAGGGACAGCTCGTGGGCGGTACGGAAGATACGGATGGGGATTTCACCACGGTTGGCCACCAGGATCTTTTGGAAGTGCATGATGGTGGAGTTGGCACGTAGACGACGGTGCACGGAATCCTGGTGGTGCTCCTCATGGTCCTCGATGAACTCGGAGTCATCGATAGCCTCCTCGGGCTGGCGGTGCGGGGCAGCCATGATGTGTGTAGGGGAGAATCAGGTGAAGAGGGTTTACAGAAGATAGCTAGAGATGGGAGAAAGGAAACCAGGTCAATTATTGCTTCTTCGTCTCGGAGGAAGCCAATTGAGCTGATTGACGGGGAAAACGACGACAGTTTTGCGCCGGGGGAAATAGTGACTCACGGTTATCTCAAATAGCTGGGGGAGGAAGAAGCTCCGGATAGAACCCCAGGGCCGATTTCGGCAGAACGCAGTGCAATTCGGTTTAGGCACTGGCTTAAGGGTCAGAAAAAAGGACAAAACCTCCCAGACCAGAAGAAGAAGATGGAAGTAGAAGGGAGGAAGAGATTCAAATAAAAAAAAAAAGGAAGAAGGAGAGGGGAGGAAAGGTTAAATGTCCGAGGAGGGGAGGGGCAGATAAAAGAGAGTCACGGGCCCAGAAGCTGGAAGTGGCCGATACCCAGCGAGCCCAGCCATTTCCCGGGGTTGACTCCATCGATGAGGTAACAATAAGAAATGGACCTTACCGCCTTCGGTCACGTTGCTCTGATCCCTGAGAGAGGAATTCGGTCAACCACTTCAATCCTCGACTTCTCCAAGAGGTTCACCGGTACACCGGACACATCAATCTCCTGTGATTTTTCTTACTGGATTCTATTTGCTTTGCTTTTTTTTTCTACTCTCTCTCTCTTTCTCTCCCTCTGACTCTTTTCTTTTAGGTCCCTCCGGCGGGGCGGGGCATTTTCCCTCTCCTTACTATTTTATTTTTTATTTAATTCAATTACCCTTTTCAACATACGGCTACATGCGCGAGGTCGGCAACGAGATCCTCCGATGAGATCATCCCCAGGACCCGCGATAACCAGCGATTCGCCATTATTCTTCTTCTCTCAAGGTTCAACTTCGATATCGGGTGGATTAGGCCCGTCAATCCAACCTCGGGTCCTCGGACATGGTTGAAACCTCCCCAGGTCTATTATTATTATTTCTCTCTCAGAAGACTCTAGATCGCCTACTCGCCCGCTTTCCCCCCCCCCCTGTTTGGTCCTGAGCAAAACGGATATTGACGGGAAACCTGGAGTGGTCCGGGGGAGACTCGGAGAACTCTCGACCTGACGAACCCACCTGGGGGCCAATCACGAGCCTTGCGTAGCCCATTTCTTTCCCTTCTTCCCACGCTTGGCCCAAGGGACCACCCCCTTCACCTCGGGGAAAGTCATTCCGAATCGTCCTCATCCTTGGGGGTACTCTGGACTTGGGCGACTTCTCCGATCGCGTTTGACTCATGAACCATTGAGGGGGGAAGAAAACGGGACCATGATTATTTCCTACTGTTCAACCCCCCCAATTGTTCTCCCCACGAGGGGGAAGTTCTTGCCCCCTCTAGGCTGACGGTCCCGCGAAATTTGTGTCGGGTCATGCGTGCTCAATCTCTAGAGGAAAGGATCTCCTATCCCTCCTCCGATGGCGCTGGTTCTTGTTCCTGATTTTGGAGATTCTGGATGGCTGATCGGTGATTCTTTCCGACCATGAGGACCGCCCTAGCCCTTGCGTGCTCGCTGCTTGTAGTTGTCCTGTAGTCCCTGTAGCTCATTTTTTGCCCCTCCTCCTCTCCCACTTGGCGCTACGGCTGATCTCCCGTCTGGGTATGACAGGATCTATGCCAAGATCTAAGCAAATAGTAATTGTTAATAGTTTCGTAGCACATTCCATGGCTTTTTCTTAAGATTTTCTTCTACTCTCCGTACTCCGCATACTGTTTCTATTCCGAGTCCGACCGACAGGGGGGTGTACATTGTGGAATCTGCAGCAAAAAGCCAAGCAGCCAAGGGACCAGCCAAGCTCCGCGGCATACCGAGGCGCAATCGATATTCCCACAAACTACTCAATGTCCATTGTTAAAGTAACTGGTTTCTACATGACTATTTCTACGATACCAAGACCGCACCACAAGACTATTGAATCCCCTCTCAAAACCGACCATGCCAAGGTCCCGCCAGTACACATACCAACACAATCTTAACCTGCGACCGCGGAAATGCAATTGACTTTTTAACACTGTACCAAGTACTTTCTGGAACAACCACAGTCGAACAGATCGCCATGTACCGATAGCAGGGTACTTGGCGCAATCCCCAACCAATCTCACCGTCTAAACCCTCACTTCCTGCACGATAAGCCAAACCGGCATCCAATTACTGTTCTCCTAATTTCATTCCAATCATCTTTCCCCCATTTCCACCCGGCATGCTTATCTTTCCCCCCTCCGTAACCCGCCGACGTCATTTGTTCCCCCAGATCTGCTCGGCTGGAGATCAGTGGACTCGCTCTGGAAGACTTGAATGCATGTGCGTTCGTGCTTTGTACTGGAGTTTGGTGCTCATGACTAGTAGAGAGGCACTGCACTACTACAGTAATTACATAGCGAATAATTCTGTAAAAAAAACCCTTGATGTTCATGAATTAGAGTACTGCACGATTCCTACAATAACCCTCCCCACAAAACCCTCCCATCAATGTTTAAACCCCCACACCCAAATCATCACCCGTTTGCTACGAATAGCTCACGAATCACGATAGAATGGTACCATTCCAATTCCATCGATACAGTAGCAACAAGCCTTGTACACTCCAACCCTCCCTCCGCGTCTAACCATTATTCCTCATCGAACGGAATAATTCACAGCCACGACCCCCCAATAATTCTTCCGTAGAAGCCCACACCCTCCACATGACACCTCCGCCTAGCCTCCTACGCGTCTCTCCACAGGGTAAAAGTCTTGCCCGCCGAACCTCGCCGCCTTCCTTCCAGCCGGGGGTGCCGAGTTTAGGACTCCCGTTCGCCGTGTAGATAATCAGGTTCTGGTATTGCGGGACTTTTTACTCCGTATCTCGGTATAATTGTCAGTGCGAGTGCGAGCCGATCGAATGGCGGGCCGAGGGGGGGTGGACTAATTGATCCCGTGACAGATCCAGCTTTGACAGTAGTCTGGTCATAGCTTCTGGCTGGACTAGACCGCAATCCACATCTACAGTTACTCTGTAAACTAGTTATCTAACATACCATCTAGAGTCGCCCAGACACGCCCAGACAAATAGATCCAATGCCTCCAAAATCTAGCAAAAAGCAAACACCTATCACCCTCCTCCTCTCGTCCCCCCTCCTTGCTAGGCCAAGAAACTCCATTGGGTATCAGGATCAGTATCAGTCCAAATGATCATCATCATCCGCCCGCCAAGCCCAGTAGTACTGTACATCCAGCACTCCGTAGTCCCATTAACTATGCGCACGACGCGGGGCAAGGGAGGGAAGGCAAGTGCCAAGATATATAATGTGCAACGTGCAACGTAGCGCGGTGGCGGAGTCGAGTCTCAAGCTGCTATAGTCAGCCAGCAGTTGTATTGCATGGCTCGGCTCTGCGGATGATCTGCACGGGGGGTGGTAGGTGCAGTTTGCAGATAGAGTGAGAACTGTCCGTGTACCTAACCTCTGTGGGGGTGGTAAGGTTACGGGGTCGGGCATAAGGAAAGGATTTCCATTGAAGGTTTGTGATATCTGGGGGTTATGGGCTTTTTATCCGGTGGGAATTACCTGTAGCCGAGATTGCATTTATTGCTTTTTGCCAGAGAGGGGAGATTCGTCTGTCGAAATAGGTATCGAGCTGCGTATATATGTCCATTGAACCTGCAATAGGTAGTAGAAACATATCGTGTCACAACCTTACCTCTCTAAGAAACCTTAACCAGAGCAAGCTTATTCAATGAAGACGCTCTCTAGGTACCACCCATCATTACACTCAGATGTAACTAGTTAGTTCGTAAATCAACCTCAACCCAAACCGGTAGTGAACTATTTAGCCTATACTCACTAGTGGCCAGGAGGCGTTCTCCGCGGCTGAACTACTAGATAGTATAGATCTAGGGGATGGAGTGAGAATTTCTGCAGGATGGCACTATTTCACTTCGGCAAGACATGCTACAAACTGGCATGGTATTGGGTATTGGGAGAGATGCTTGATGCAGAAGCGGGCCTGATGACTCCTTGGCGGACTTGGCGGAGTTTCACCGGGCGAACTGGATGGTCGGCGAGGCGGACCTTGGCAGGCTCAAAAATGAAACGACCGTGGCACAATAAGTCTAGTTGCTACGTTACAATATTTGGCCAAGAAATTACAGTCGACTGATCTCCGCATGTCCGCATGACCTGCAAGCCAAGATATCGATTTAACTAGGGAGAAAGGGATATCTATCAAAGGGTGAACGGAGTGCAATTACTGGAACACGGCCTAGACAGAAAAGGCTATGTCAAAATCAAGAATATGCCTATCAAAGTACATTGGGATAGTAAAAAACAGCAGGGAAAAAATGAAGTGAAGAAGAAAAGAAGAAACAGAATTAATGGGTCAGCCATGGGTAATTCCCCCCGGAATCCCATGATTGATTCCCGGCTGCTGCTGCATATCTGCCAGATCTCATGTCTTTTGCTCGCACCAAGAAGGTCATCACGTCGCTGTATGTTACACATAAGGGAAAAATCAAAAGGGCAAAAGAGTCAAGGGTCGAAAGCCTTGAGCATCTCTAGAACGCGCGATACCCGGTGGCCTGCGGGGTGAGCCCGTTGACTGGCTGACCACCATAAGGCATGGGGCTGGCCGGAGCAGCGGGACCCTGGGTCAGCATCAGTCGGGAGCCACCAAGAATAGGAGTGTTATCCTCTTCGGTCTGTTGGGTCTTCTCCCGAGACTTGCGCTCCTCATTGTCCTTCTTCAGCATCTCGATGGTACGGGTCTGCTCGCACAGGAAGTTAATCATGAACGGCATGGTGAAGTCGTGCAGGCCCTTGCGCCATGAGATCTCCATAATCACGTCGGGGCGGATCAGGTCGTAGCAGGCATACAACATGCCAACGTAGCACTCGCGGCTGCCAATGTCGACGAACTATTGAGAAGGTTAGCGGGTAGGCATTTCAACAAATATTCCAGTAGATAACTTACGTAGTGAAGGAGATCCTCAACCACCTCAGACTTGGCGGAGATGGCAGCAGTCTCGATAGCATCCTTGTAAAGCTTGTCCTGCTTCGACAGTGCAATCGACTTCTCCCACCGCTTGTTGTTGCGGTAGATGCTGGCCGCGATCTGGCGGAAGAAGATGAGATCGTGCTTCTCCAGACGCTGGGCCAACTCCACGGAATCGAAGTTGTCGTGGTTGTCAACAGAGTCGCGGAGAGTCTTGTGGTCTTCTTCCTCGATGAGCAGCTCGTTGATCGCATCGTTAACGGCCCGCTTGTTCTGGCTCTGGACGTTCAGCATGAACGGCTTGATCAGAGGGAGGTTGTCAGAGGTCTTGAAAAGGCGAACAACACGGCTGACGTCGATACGGGGAGTGAGGGCCTGGAGCAGATCGGTGATGAGAAGGGGCTGCTCCTGCAGGTAGAAGGTCAAGGAACGGTAGTAAATCTCCAAGTTGGCAACCTTGACGACGATGTCCTTGAAAGAGTGGTGCTCCCAGGCATCAGCAGCACGCTCCATCATGGCCAAAGCGGCGTTGTCCCACTCGTCGTAGTGGCAGTACAGGAAGACCAACTCAGGCCAGAGGTTAGCATCCTCGCAGGCACGGATCATCTTGGGAATGTTAATGCGAGACCAGAACAGCTTCAGGTGCTCCATCACACGGTCCGGGTGGTACTTGGACAGAGCAATACCCAGCTCGGTGAACATGCCCATGTGAGCACGCTCGAGACCGAGGCCAGCCTCGAGAACCGAGATGAGCTCATCGAAGTAACCGTTGCGCTCGTACTGGCGAACAAGAGCCTGCAGCTCCTCAGCGTGGACAATGAGGTTAAGACCGCAAATCTGGGCGAGACGGAACTCCTTCTTGTCAACACAGGCCTCGTTGACCTGCTTCCAGACCTTGACGCTGTTGGCCTTGCGGGCACACTCAACGGCGGCTTGGTATTCCGCCAGGTGGACGAGAGTGGTGGCAAGCTTGGCCCAGTTGGAGATGCTGGTGAAGAAGATCTTAGCAGCCTGGTGGAATCCCTCCTCGTAAGCCTTGTCACCGGAGGCCTCAATGTCAGCCACGTTGGTGGAGCGAAGGAAGTCCTCAAGCTCGGCAAGCTGGTCCAGACGGGCAAAGCAGAAGGCAAGAGCAGTATCGATAGCGGGCTCACGCAGAGTCTTGCGGGCCATGCGGAGGAACTTGACGAGATCCTCATCCTTGCCGGCATGCGTGGCGGTCTCGATCACCTCGCTGTAGTTGGAGGGGTCATTGGCGCGAATGTAGGACTCAATAGAGTCGGAGACACGGAGACCATCCAACTGAGCCTTGGCAACCTTGCTCCAAACCTCGGAAAGCTCAACACGCTCGGCGAACTCCTGAGCCCGGTCGATGCTAACGATGTTCTCAACGAGGACATTGACAGCGGCGAGCTGGTTGTTGACCTTCTTGTAGATCTCGAACGCCTCCTCGTACAGACCAACGCTGATACACATCTCGGCGATCTCATCAGCAGAGAACTCGTTGAGCTGGTGAATGTAGTCCATAAGACGGCTCTTGTCGGCCTTGGCGGCAGTCAGCATGAGCAGGTTCTGCAGGCTGGTGTTATCACTGAACGGCGAGGGCTCCAGGATAATCTTCTCGAGCAGCTCGATAAGCTCGCCGGGGAGATCGGCATCGAGGAAGCACTTGACGGCAACGGAAACCTTGTCGGGCTCGGTGGACTCGGGGACGGCAGTGGCGATGACCTGGTCGACGAGGGAGCGGCGGTGCAAGTTGTTCTCGCTTAGGACAAAGGTCCAAATCTCGGGATCGGCACGCTCAACCAAGTAGCGAGCCTGAGCACGGTACATGGAGTTCTCGTTGGTGATGTTGATAAGCTCTAGGTCATTCTGGCCCTTGCTGTATGCAATATACGCCAAGTTGGGGTCGCGCTTCTCGCAGTACTTTCCGACAATCAGGGTGTCGTACAAGTCGTTCTCCTTGAGGAACTTCTCGGGGTTATTGTTGCTATCGATGTAGATCTTGGCCAGCGCATTGTAAACAGCCTGCTGCTGGTTGCCGGTAGCAAGAGTGGCCTCGAGGAAGGCCAGGAGCAGCTTCAGGCGGTTGCGGCTCTCGACCTCAGAGACGAGCTCGTCAATGGGGATGACGGAGGGGTCCACGGTGGAGAGCAGGTTCTTGATAATGCTCTCGTCGCAGTCAACGTCGAGCAGACCACCCACAACGGCGGGAGCCCGGGAGGGGTTCACGCGCTGCACGTACACTTCGATGGACTTGAACTGCTGGTTCTGGTAAAGATAGAGAACCAAATCATGGATGAAGTTGAAACGGTCGCAGACAATAATCAGAGGCAGCTGCTCGGTCAAGTGGGCCTCCTTGAGGAAGTTCTTCACCTTCTCGGGATTGTAGTAGTTGCTCTCACGGCAAATACGCTCGACCTCGGTGAGCTGGTTCATAGCGGTGGCAGCCTCGATGTACTTGAAGTGCACCTCAGCGTCCTCACTCAAATTGACAATGCTACCAAGGTAGTAGTAGAGACCCTCGGCAGTGCGGTACTTCTCGAAGAGATCGATGAGGCGGTTGGCACCGAGCAGATCGGAGAACTTGGTAGCAATCTGAACAACAGCCTGCAGGTTCTGGCGAATGTTGGCCTCGAGCATAAAGTCCATGCACTCAAGGGTCTGCTCGACAGACAGACGGCCGAAGTAGTTCATCAACCACTCGGGGCTCAGCTTATCAGTCTTGACAATGTTACGCTTGATGACCGAGGCATCGTCAGAGTTCTCAAGAGCACGCTGAACAAGGCCGGCGTTCTCGCAAAGCTGCGCGATGCGGGGACGATCATAGTGAGTGAAGATCTCGTTGCCCAAGATGGCGTCAGCAACCTGGGGAGCATTGACAAGGTTCATCTCAAGCAGACGAGTCTGCAGGTGGCCATGCTCGGGCTTGTTGTCCTTGAGGGCATCAAGAAGGAAGGAGGTCGCCTGCTGAATCATGTTCTGAGACAGGAAGACATCCACGACGCGGTCAAGGTCAACAAGAGCACCGCCCTCCTCACTAGCGAGCTGAGTGGCAAACTCGGCACCCTTCTCAGGGTTGACGCGCACAATGTGCTGCAGGAGCTGAGTGTAATCAGGCTGGTAGCCCACCTTCTTGGAGTAGGCGAGGATTTGGTCGAATTGGCCAGTCTCGGCAAGCCCAGCAACGACCTTGTGGGGAACGTTGGACTCGAGGTAGACCTTGAGAGCAAGAGACACGTCGTATGGTCGGATGATGTCTCCGAGCTCCTCGGACGCTTCCAACTTCTTCTCGTTCATCCACTTCTCCAGCAGATGCTTGCGGTTCTGCTGCAGAACAGGTCGCACAAGCTCCACGCTCTCATAACGGTTCAAGGAGCCCTTATCGAGCAGCATGCCGAAGTACTGCAGAATGACCGACATCTGACCGGTTTGAGGAGCATTCTTGAAGCGGTTGATCGTCTCGGGGGTACGGAGGAAGCCACGGGGGGAGTTGGCTGCAACCTTGGCAGCTTCGGCGAAGTTGCCCGCGTTAACAAGAGTGTCAAACTGCTGTTGGTAAAGGTGATCGGCACCCGGGAGACCGGCCCGGGAAGCAAGCTTCACCGCAAGAGAGGACATTGCGGGGTTGTTCATCAAGTAGTCAATGACCGTGTTCTCGTCAACGCTAACGGACAAAACCTGACCCTTGCGGTTGACACCAACCAGGCCTGCGCCGTCGGTATCCGAGGCAGTGGTGAAGATGGTCTCGCTGGAGATGCGGTTCATGAAGATGCAAGTACCGGTCTCGAGGTCGTACAGGTGGATGAAGCCATACTTCGTAACTAGGTAAACGATGTCGTACTTGGTGGATACCTGCATCGCCACAGGGAAGTCATTAACTGCCTCCTGGGGGAAGTACACCTCCACGGCCTTCTTCTGGAATCGCGGGTTGGGTTCTTGGTGGTCGATCTCGGCAATCTGGAGCTTGGCGCCGGTCTGGGTTCGAACGGCAAAGGTGAAGAGGTGGTGGGGAAGAGGGGAGCCCTCCACGTTGATGTCGGCGAAAGCAGCAGCGTGTCCCTCGATGAATTGCGAGATGCCGCGCTCCTTGGAATAGAGCTGCATGGATCCAACAACTCGGCCCTGTTGTTGACTGATACCGACCACGACCATCCACTTCTCCTCGGCGTTAACGCGGTAGTTGATGATTTGGCATCCCTAAGAAAACAGCAGGAATCAGTATGACATTCCAATCCAGTCAGACACTCTCCAAATATTATATTTCACGCACCGAAAGGTTGGGAAGACGATCAAACATCTTGACCGGGTTCTCCTGGGTAGCGTCGTAGACGTCCCAGTGGTAGACGGCGGTCTCGGTAACCAGACCCAGGGCCTTTTCGCTGAACCACTTCCAGTAGACAATATCCTCGTTCATCACCGCGGACTTGAGCTTTTGCTTTACGGAAAGGTCGAAGATCTGGATTGTGCGGCCCTGAGCCTTGAGGGCGATAATGTTCTTGCTCCAGTGCATGATGGCACTGTCAGCGTTGATCGGCCGCCGCATGACCTCATTATTGTTCTTCAAGTCAACAATGATGACTTGCGGCTTGTCGTCCTCGTCGAGCTTCTGGCGAACACAGACATAGTGATCGGATTCGAGGGTCTGTTATGCGGTCACATCCATCGTTAGTCGCGGTTCCCACGCCTGTTGTTTCGGGGGGTGGCCGTGGGGGATACTTACACATGAAACAAAGCCAATGGATGGTTGCTGTAAGCGCAAAACAAGTCAGTATGGTCCGTCGATGGTGTAGGGGTGTCTGCCGGACGCGACCGGCGTTTCCGTCTCGCAATAGAAGCTGGTTGCGACACTGGCTCGATGGAAGCGCAGCTTAGGTGAGACATACCGCAATGCCAACATTGGTCAACTATAGAAAAGGCAGGATGTCAGTAATCTGCAAGCCAAACTCGGAGGGTGAATCTGAGAGGAGTCGCAACGTACGTTGACCAGTTCTGTGAACTTGATGGGAAGAGGTGCCATATTTACTTAGGCCGCAGCACGACCTTGAGCACCCAACTGAACGCCGCGCAAGGAAACCAGAATATGTGAAAGGAAAAGAGGGGTAGGGAGAGAAGTGAGATAGGAAAGAGAGTCAAGGAGATGAAGAAAAGGTAAGAGGGGGAATTGGGGGGGGAATCTGGAGAAGCGGAAGTGACCTCCTGAGGTCCGCTGTTGTCGTTGCTGAGGTGTCGCTTGTAGGAAGTCACGTGAAACAGGGGCAAGGCGGTGGGGAAAGGAAAGTAGAAAAGTGGAACGGTGGAAGTTGGAAGGAGGCGGTGCGCGTCATAGACGGAGATTATTATTAGCCTAGGCGGTCAGCCAGTTGACACCCACGTTCTTAGAAAGTATAGAGTAGGAGAGTGTGAGATACTACTTATATAGCCATGCCTTATCTCTCTGCTCTCTCAGGTTGTTTGAATTAATGCAAAATCTTTGTCTTTCCCTGGCATCTTCCAGAACTACTGAGTACCATCATCATGGTACAATACCTAAACAGCACTTATATTTATTTTCCAGGACTTCTATCTGCTTCCGTTTATTGGATATACATTGCGAATCCTTGAGTTGAGTCGCACCTCGGTATAACCCCATCCAATGAGCGAATCCTGGGCTTCAGCTGAGGGTAGCAAGACACAGTAAGTCATTTCGAAGCACCTTGCCAAGGATGGGACCTCAAGCCCCAAAGCAAAAATAAAAGCATGCCAATATGCGCCCACCCAGCCCATCTCTATATCAACACCACCGACTATCGGCGAACTTCCGGAGGCCTCGACACTCAAAGAGCCTCTGAAGCCAGTTCAAAGAAACCTTAAAATCCGCCACCGGGATGCATTTGGGCATATTTCCTTTGGAGACACCGTCCGACCCTTGCAATCATTGGCCCTATACCACCGAGCATCCGATCCCGCAATACCGGCTCTCTCTTCCCTATGCCAGCCAAGGGCCGAAAGGATCTCGGTAGGACTCTCCCCACGCTAAGCCGGCTCACGCGTGGTCAAATGCGGGATATTCACTGTGTTGCAACTTAGCATTGGAGGACACGGCTTGCCCAGATGCTTGGCAATATCTTGGCCGGCCAGCAGAGTGGTATCACCCCCGCGTGGTCATCTGTGATATCTCTGGGGTTTGCAGCATCCTGGGGCTCGACCACGAAGAAGATGCGGAAAAAAGTGCGGGGGTCGAGCACATGAGGGATGCATAAGTAGGGGGTGATATGGACTTTTCGCTTGGGAGAAATGTGATATATCCAAATTTGCGAATTATCTTGTTGATTATACTTCTGCTCAACTTCCTTTACTGATCGAACGTGTGGAATTCCTGGTCGACGTTTGCTATGGCGTCCAACAAGGCTGCCGATCCCATCGCAAAGGGAATCATTCCCACCGCTCGCCAGTGTTTCAAAGATCTGTTCATTTGGAAACAGCGTGTCGAGGTGACGAACGAGTATGGAGAAACACATGCAGAGTGGCATACTCCAGAACCAATCCTTAACCCCATCAGCTTGATGGCTCAGTTGTCTGCTCGAGACTGGGTCTTCTTTATTGTGGGACTTGCAGCGTGGACAGCTGATGCATTTGATTTCCATGCCCTGTCGATCCAGACTAAAAAGCTCTCCGATTACTACGGTCGCTCGAAGACAGATATCTCGACAGCTATTACGCTAACCTTACTGTTGAGAAGCGTCGGAGCAGCCTTCTTTGGGTTTGCTGGAGATAAGTATGGTCGGAAATGGCCTATGGTACTCAACATGATCGTGCTCGGCATTCTCCAGATTGCTACCATCTATAGTCATACATTCCAGCAGTTCCTGGCAGTTCGCAGTCTCTTCGGGCTGTTCATGGGCGGAGTGTACGGAAATGCCATTGCCATGGCACTGGAGCATTGCCCGTAAGTCTTCCTGATCGTCTATAATTCTTTCATGCTAATTCACTCCCTCCAAAGTGTGAATGCCAGAGGTCTCATGTCTGGAATTCTCCAGCAGGGATACTCCCTCGGATACGTTCTCGCTGCATGTGCCAATCTCGGAGTCGGCGGTGCTACTGATAGTTGGAAGACTGTTTTCTGGGCCGCAGGTAAGTAGGGGCCAATGTTGACTGGCATTAGAGGCTTACATTGACTTCTTCTTTTAGCGGGCATCTCCATCGGCGTCGGCATTATTCGAATTTTCTTCCCGGAGTCAAAACAATTCCTCGAGGCTAAGAAAGCAGGCAAGAGAAGTATGAGCGCAGGCGAGTTCTGGAAAGAGACGCAAATTATGCTGGCCAAGGAGTGGAAGATGTGCATTTACTGCATCATTCTCATGACCTGGGTAAGCTTCAGCTCACCATGCCCTCTCCCATCATCAAATCAGCAACTAATCCGGCATATTCAAGTTCAACTACTACTCCCACACGTCGCAAGACTCCTACACCACCTTCATGCTCACGCAGAAGCAACTCGATAATTCCGGTGCTTCGAGGGCATCGATTCTTATGAAGACTGGGGCCTGCGTGGGTGGAACAATTATCGGTTACCTGTCACAATTTGTGGGACGTCGTCGGGCCATCGTCGTTTCGGCACTGATGTCCGCCATCCTCATTCCAGCATGGATTCTGCCAACGGGAGAACCAGCACTCAGCGCCACCGGCTTCTTTATGCAATTCTTCGTTCAGGGTGCATGGGGTGTCATCCCAATCCACCTGAATGAGCTGTCTCCACCTGCCTTCCGATCATCGTTCCCTGGTATCACATACCAGGTTGGTAACATGATCAGCTCTCCTTCGGCTCAGATTGTCAATGCTATCGCCGAATCTACCTGGGTGACGACCCCAACTGGTAAGAAAGCGTCCGCCTATGGCCCGGTCATGGGTGTTGCGACTGCCATCATTGCCATCGGCATTATGGTCACCACTGCCTTTGGGCCTGAGAAACGTGGTCGTCGGTTTGAACTTGTCGTTGCTGCAGTGGAAGAGCATCATAATGTGAAGAATGCGGATGTGGAATTGGGCGATGAACGCAAGGCAAATGATGAAATGATTGAATTGGCAGATCAGAAGAAGTAGATGGATTCTGAGTTGGCGAATGCCCTATTTCCGGGCATACACACTGACCATGTCCGTCCCCTTCGCCACCTCATACGATCGTGCAGGTTTGACATACAAAGATCTGCGGAAATCTCCGATCTCTGCGGTAGCGGGCTTCTTTTCTTTCCCGTCTTCCCCAACTTCTCCAGTAATTACACCGTCGCCTCCTTCAGCTAGCAGATTCCAATGCACACCTTTCAACCCCCAAGGCGGCCCTGGTAGCTTCGGGTCCTTATACAATGGAAACTCTAGGCAAATAAGAAGGCCTCCTGACTTGGTTACCCGAGCCATGCTTGCCACCCACTTCTTTCTTTGCTCAGGATGTAGAGCACATAGAAACTACCCAAGAGATTAGCTACTCCAAATATTTCCAAGGACGTATGTGTGGCTCACCGTGTAGTCATAAACCACATCGAATTTAGTGGTCTCGTCAATGCCTCCTTTAAAGTCCCACTGGGAAGTAAAGAAGTCTCCCTGGAAGAATGTCACCGAGCCAGGGGTACTAGACGGACGCTGCTCGGTACCAAAGTGATATGCAGATGGCTTTGCTAACTCCGTAGATGCATATTTCTCTGCTTCCTTGACGGCTGTGTCTGAAATCTCCAATCCATAGGCCTCAAACCCGTGCAATGCTAGCATCACCACATCATAACCACGACCACAGCCCTGGAAAGTTTATCAGCAGATGAAACAAAAGATCACGGCTAATTGTGAGCGATATATGATAGCAACCGACCGGAACAAGTGCTTTCTTCCGTTTTCCATCCGCTGTAAAGGGGTTGAGGAGCTCTGTTTGTTGCTCGACGATGTCTACCAAAGCTGGTGAAGCTTTCCCCCGGTCCCACAAATCACTTTCCCCTAAATCCCATAGACTTGACCATCCCGATCCATGATCCTTTACGGGACTGTCCTAGTTAGACATAATTCGCACTATCTTCAATGCCGGCGAGTTCCGGGGGTATCACTCACCGATTGAGGAAGGTATTGAGCAAGCGACCACCCCCACTGGGTTGAGATGTATTCGATTGGGCCATTGTACTTCTGTTTACCGGGGGGCGACAGAATGTTTTTGACTGAAGGATTAGACTGGAAAGGAGGTTTGAATAAACTCGAGCCGTGGAGCGATTCATCCAACACGTGACGCTGACTCGAATGATGATCAATTTTGTTCTCAAGTCAATGCAAACCTAAAGGCTAGCCAGAAAGAGAGTATATGAGGTAAACCAGAGAAAACTAGAAACACCTGGATCGATTTGTGAGATATTTGAATCTAGATCTCCGAAAGGTGGTCTGCAATTTGTCACCTTTTCTGGTATCTCAATTGGACAACTTTAAAGGCACTTCCGAGGAACCCCACCAAACGCCAAACAAAGTGGGGGATGCAAGGAGTCATAAAAGCCCGAGAAGCCGAGAGCCAGGCAAGGAGTCACAAATTCTATGTACGTCATGGAAGAATTCTAAATATCCGTCGACTTGGCAAAGTCCTCCCACGCTTCCAATTCTCGGAGTGTTTGCTCGCATTTCTTGCGAATAGTACAGACTGCATCCGACCCCAACGGCAACGAACTCGGCCATGGCTTGCCCGTGGCTTCTTTCTCTCCTTTAACAACGTCGACAATGCGTTGGACACTTTTCACAGTATTGCCGGGCTGGTTTCCGTTGAAGTCGTCAAAATTCTTGGCTACAGCCTCTGAAATAACTCGGTAATCTTCAATCTTGGAGACGGCTCTGCTGCTTCCCGCCTGGTTCAGAAGCTCCGTGCGGAAGGCGCCTGGTTCAACGATGAGCGTTTTGATTCCGATCGGCTCCAGCTCCTTCGATAGAGACTCTGCAGCGTCTGAATGGAATGTCAGCTTCTATATGTTCATTAGGAAGCCATCACAACAACGTACAGTGAATTGCAGCCTTCGAAGCGCAGTAGGCCCCGACAGCTGGCAACCCGTCCCAAGCAACCATCGAACCAATGAATACTACTACACCAGCCTTGTTACTCCGCAGATGCGGCAGGAAAGCCCTGGTGGTGTTCAAAGTTCCGAAGACATTGGTGTTGAATTGAGTGAACCATTGGTCATGGCTGGTAGATGGTGGAGAAATTGTGTTAGCTTCGGGGCTTTCCTTTGATAAATTTCAGCCTTGGAAATACCTATTCTCTTCAATTATTCCAAACTGAGTATATCCAGCATTATTCACCAGTATGTCAACCCTTCCATAAATGGATATAGCCTCCTTGGCTTTGCGGTTGAGCTCATCCTGAGATGCAGTGACATCGAGTTGTAGAGTTGCGGCACCGAGATCTCTCATATGTGAGATTCGTTCCACATTCCGTGCAGTCGCAATTACCTTGTCCCCGCGTGCAATCACTTCTTTCACGAATTGCGAACCAAAGCCGGAAGAAGTACCGGTAATGAGCCAGACCTGGGGAGGCATGGCGTTGTAATTATAAGGTAATATTTGAGTAAAATATGAGATCCCGGTTGCTTTCTTTCAGATTTGGTCTTGATTTAACTGACTAATAGATGGGCTATTTCGACGGTTTATATATCTTCGAGAGCTTCCCACAGTATAGAGTTTTAGTCCTCTCAAGAGTATTCGAAGAGCTCCACCAAGTTGAAAAACCGACCATTTAGACTGAACTGGCAAAATGAAGCATCCATTTACACGGTGTTAACGCTGTTAAATCCTACGTTAAATCCTAAAATCCGCCAAATAAAATGAGGTCGTTCATACTATCGGAAGAAGGATGGGGTTAAGGGCATCAGGTGTGGCGTGGGGCGCTAAAACGGACGCCGAAGAGCTTCGGGACTACCGTCAGTCATCGGGATTGCCTAAAAAGGGGAATTTAATGGTCACTAAAGCATTTTAGAATAGTCCCGGCATTCTGAATATGATACAATATGTCATTTTCATTGGCCAGAGTATTAATATCTAAGATTCATGCCCTAATATGTCTCGGACGCTCGGGTGGACGTGAAACGCGCATATGCCGTCGGCCTGGCAAGCGGCTAAATGCATAGCACTTCATGAAAGGTAGAGTGCTTCAATTGAGGGAGTGACGAACCATGAATATACAAAAGTCTCGAAAATTATATCTGAACGGAGGCTTAGATTAAATACGTATTCCTAATTTGGGTTCACTACGCTTGCGACCGAGGGAACTACACATTAACCGGGGCGCTGGATCTTGATATGGGTTGGGCGATTGGAGCTAGGCATACAAATTTCTAATTTTTAGAAAAGGGTCAGAGAGTTGGAGGGAAAAATAAATAGAAATATGTACTAATACACCCCACCTATGTCCTAAAATCTGCTTGTTCTTTTTCGTTCGAAAGTGATGCCGAAACCTGGGACTGGCGCTCGACGTCATCACTCCTGACATGCGATCTGCGCACAAGGCCCGCAATTCAACCTTCTTGCGCGGTCGCGCACTATGCTAAATATGGCGATAGAAACTTGGAAAATTGTCAGAAGCAGTCGGTTATCACAACATAGTCATTGGGTAAACTGCCTCCCGAGTTGACGCAGCTAAACTTTCCAACGCGTTTCGGGCAACTTGATTTGCGCATGGCCGGGACCAAGGTCCGTGATGCTCTCTTGTGGAGAGGACCCTTTGGAAAAAGAGATTGACAGCGAATGAAAATTCGAGATCCGATCAAGTGCTCGAACAGGGGTCATAGCTGTCAATCTTAATTAGCCATGGCCCGGAAACCTCCAAGTGCTTAATTTCGCTGGTCGTCCGCCTGCCTTTCTTTAGACACTTCCCTGACACGTTATGAAGTCGGGAACAGCCGTCTACTCGAGCCTAGCTGCGGCGACTTGTATCGCTTTCGTGACTTGTCTTGCTGGAGCGTTAACTCATCACCACACTGGGAGTCCTGGCTCGGTGAGTCTGGCGGTCGGCAAGGATGGAGGGAATAAGTCGAGTCCGTTGCTATATGGAATGATGTTTGAGGTAAGAACAGATTTCGAGACTTTTGTCATAGCAAAATCACTCATTACCTCTCGTTACAGGAAATGAACCACTCAGGTAAGCTCCCAGGAATGGCAATGCCCCAATATGGTAATTGCAATGAACTCACATGGCTCAACAAGGCGATGGCGGTATTCATGGACAACTTCTTCAAAACAACGGGTTTCAAGGATCGACTCTGGGAATGACCTCTTATGCTCCGGTGGGAGATGCGAAAATATCTCAGGATATCTCGAAGCCCGTGAGCGCCGCAATCAAGTCGTCGCTCATTGTCTCAGTTCCGGAAGGTGTATCAGACTACGTTGGCTTCGCAAATACCGGTTACAATGGAGTGCCGGTCATGAATGCGACATACAATACCTCATTCTGGATGATGGGCGACTATTCTGGCATCATCAACATCCAGCTGATTGGATCGCATAGCGGTATAGTCTATGCGGATCATAATCTGACCGTCAAGAGCACGGCCTCGAATTTCACACAATTCAGTGCGAGCTTCAACTCGACTGAATCGCCAGATGGAGACAATGAGTGGCATTTGACCTTTGATGGATCGAAGGTTGCTGGCAGTTCATTGAATTTTGGCTATGTTCAACTATTTCCGCCCACCTACCATAATAGGGAGAATGGGTTACGCAAGGACATAGCTACAGTTTTGGAGGAGGTTAATTCGACGTTTCTTCGTTTCCCAGGTGGGAATAACCTTGAGGGGCTGCAGGTTGACAGTCGGTGGAAGTGGAACACAACTATTGGGCCACTTGTCGATCGGCCTGGCAGAGACAGCGACTGGTTCTATCCCAACACCGATGCGCTCGGCCTTGACGAATATCTATGGTGGTGTGAAGACATGAAGATGACCCCGCTCCTGGCTGTCTGGGCTGGTAAGTCCTATGGAGACATTTTATCAGGCCCTGACTTAGAGCCATACATTGACGATGTTATGAATGAGCTGGAATACATTCTCGGAAACTCGACAACACCTCAGGGTAAAATTCGTGCTCAGAATGGACGCAAGGATCCCTGGAAAGTCGACTACGTGGAAATTGGAAACGAAGATGATCTGACGCGTGGATGTGCTACCTACCCCGATCGTTTCAACCAAATCTACAAAGCGATACACGACAAATACCCCCACATTACGCTTATCGCCTCAAATGGGGACTACAACTGTCTCCTATCGCCTCTCCCCGAGGGTGTGATTATTGACTTACATTTATATCGCCAGCCGGACGACTTCGTTGCCTTATTCAACCAGTTTGACAATCAGCCACGGAATCAGTCTGTCATGATTGGTGAATACGGCTGTCGTAATACGACGGATGCTAAGGGCACTTATTGGTCATTTCTGCAGGGAAGCTGCAGTGAGGCCGTGTATATGATTGGCATGGAGCGAAACAGCGACATCGTGAAGATGGCAGCTTATGCACCCATGTTAGAGCATTTTGGATTCATTTCGTGGTCGGTAAGTATTCCTTTCCCTTCGAGGATACTATTGGCCCGTACAATTATAAACTTTGTGTCTTTCAGCCTACCCTTTACGGTTTCGACTCGAGTCCGGGGTCGATCACACCCTCGACATCCTACTTTGTGCAACAGATGTTTGCGTCCAACAAAGGGGACACGATTCTGCCAGTGAAGTCATCGTCAGCTTTCGGGCCTGTGTATTGGGTCGCCTCGAGGACGGATGCGCAGTACTTTGTCAAGCTGGCTAATTACGGCCCCGACGAGCAGAACGTTACTGTCAGCATTCCTGACACTCACTCCGGGAGGCTGGAGATGCTCGCAGGAACACAGTTTCAAGCCAATCAACCTCATAATGTTACGATCCGTACGGTGACAAGCAATGTTCAGGGCGACGGTGGGAAGTATACAGTGACGATGACACCATGGGCGATCGCCGCGTTGGCCGTTTCATGAATGTTGGGGGGGAACTCCAATTAGGTTTTACGTTCCTGGAGGGAGTTGTAATAGCCATACAACGGCTAGATACATAGACGAGACATCCGGAAATGGTAGATTTGACTTCCTTTTCCCAGCCATACCGGCCTTTTCTAGGGGTAGATCTACAATAAGAAGGCGGACCAGGATAAGGGCACGTGAGACGAAGTGAGGGGTCACAATTTGGCTTTTTGAGAACCAATGACTTGGTCAAGGAGTCGCCACCAGCTGCAAGAGGGACCCAGTATGACAACTGGTATGGGCCCCGGATGGCTCGGCTGCATTTTGAGTATGTCAAATTCCGGGGTTAGAGGCCCCAGTTGGCCCCAACTAGCCCCAAAATAGCCCACCCATGTACTACATACTACGTAGACTTGGTGAAACAACGACCGTCACTCTCTATTATCTGGAACCTGGGGTACATTCTAGGGAAATTGACCTTATTGAAGCTAATTCATGATGACCCCCCGCAATTCCGCGCGAGCCAAAATCAGGCTACTACCGTGGTTCGACTGGCCATTGGCCAATCGTGTGATGCGACCGTGCCCGGTATGACCACAACATCTCCAGATCGATTGCATGTACGAGTCATCACACGACCATCTTTGGTGGTGTGATGTACCCATGTACTTCCTTACCCCGCATTTTGGGCTCATATATAACCTCATAGCAGCGTCTCTGCCTACTTGCTTCTCTAATGGTATCTACACATTACTTTCACACACTACATTCACGATGAGCAACACAACTGGTCCCGAGGAGGAGTTGAACAACTACAACTCCCAGTGGGTCTCCTTCCACATTCGGGACCATCTTAAGGATGGAGAAATCACCGTCCAGAACACTGTCATCGAAGGGTACCGCAGCCTCTCCCAGGGTATTAGGCATCACCCTACTAACACCATCCCAACAGTGGCGAATTCCACAGCCCGACAGACCGTCGTAAGTCTCTCCACGAGGATGAGATCGACTACATGACCATCGAGTCCGATGGCATCGGCGAGATCTGTGCTCGCGGCCGTCGTGGTAGCGAGGGTCGTCTGGACCTATTCCATGGCGATACCAAGATTTGCGAGCTCCACTGGGAGAATCGTGGAGGGGAGTTCCACAATCTGGTCGAGGTGTTGGATGATAATTCCAAGTATAGAATCGAACATGGGGGATGGAGTCCACAGGCTGGTCCTCTGGGCCATGTCTTCGTGGACATTTCGGAGAAGAAGAAGAAGTAATTCTTCGCTTGGTGATGCATGAGGCAGAGGGGTTTATCCCTTCTCCCTCCGGTCGATACACTGCGTGTCTAGACCCTGTTCTCATTTATGTCCTAGTTTTATTTTAAATAGCCCGAAACTACTTGGCTTCAGAACCAAGTCAAATGATTATGATCGTTTTAATGATGAATTTGGAGCACCTCTGTAACTCTTGCCTCGCCCTTCAGCTAGTAGACTTTGACTTCATCGGCTTTGAGGGCTCATTGGACGTAGATACCGCTTGCAGTCAATCTTTCCCCAAATAGTCTCACTGACGCCACCACCCCCTCTCCCTCGTCTTCATGGATGAATCTGGTTCTGACGAGCGATCTCGGCTCGGACGGACGGCCTCGGATCGCACCTTTCCACAGCTCTCATTCCCAGAGGAGCCAAAGTTACCGGGTTTTTCTTGCATACTCCCGCAGTGGCATTCTAGTGCATCTTTCGCAATATGAATTCTTCTGATTACAACTGCTTTTGAGTTGGAGAACGCTGTAGAGTCCACTTTACATTGTATCAAGCTGAATGCTCCTCGTGAATTCCACCATCTCGCCCCACGCCCTTTGCTGCGCTTTCTGAGTCCTTCACTTGGCTTAGCGTCCAGAACGGACTGAGTCATCTTGCTGCTGTTTTGGGAAACCATGTTGACGGAATATTCTGGTGTTTGAAAGTGAATTTGAACGCACCCCCTCTCCATACACTAGTCACCAGGATGAACGAAGGAGGATACGCCTTTGATGACCTGGACGGAATGCCCCATTTCTACTCGATCTGTATGAGGTCACCCATCTCAGAAACCTCCCCAGCAGATAACGCATAATACAAACCACTCTTCCTCCTATCACAAATGCTCCATCGAAGCTAAGGTCATTCTCAAGGGACCACATCATGAGCGGTTCCGCATATCTCGTTCTAGCTACCGAGACAATACTGCTGTTCTTGCACTCCTTCACCATTCAGCAGTTCTTCTTCAAGCTTGAAGTCTCAAATAATGACGACGCCTGCTGTAATTTCCCGATGATAGGGATTGGGGTCTGGGTCGAACTGGCATGTTTCCCCTGAGTGGACGAATCCCCTCACTAGGCCAGGGTAAGGGTGAGACTCAGTTTCAGCTACTTCTTTAAGAGGCAGAGTTAACCAATAAATGCTATCTTCATACTATTCCGTTGCTCATTGACGCTTATTGGCCGAAAGGCATAAATAGCGTTATCCCAGCATTGATGTACTTGGATACTGAGGGCAATTTGGCGATGAACTCAGTATTCATGGAACCGTCTAGGTTCTGCAAAACCTCATTCTTCCAAGTCTTGGCCCGCTCTTCGCCCCATAATGCCTCTAGCCAGGCCAATGAAACATGGCCCATACGTATTCCTACTATGTCGAGGGGAGGGGGCGGGGGGCGGGTAAGGAGATGTAGAGATAACGAGGATGGAGGTGTGGGGAATAAGAGAAATGGAGAAACGGAGGATAGACCAGTCGGTGAGGCAGGGAGGCGACGGTAGTAGCTAGAGGCCAAACACGTTCCGCCCCATAGAAGTTCGCGTACTGACAACTAATTATATATCCTAGACGTGTGCAGTACGGAGATTTTGACTGTGTGACCAGATAGCTTATTTCTTCTGGCAGACCGAAACATGGTGATTCCAGTAGGTGTTGGGCAACCCTATCCGAACGAGAGGCCCGCTGCCACCTAGATTCTCACCTTTTCTATTCAGGACTCACCCCTTCTCAAACTGACGCTAAAGCAGCGCTGTTTGCATTGAAATTAGGAAGGTTGGAGGATATATTTTCTTTTTAGGTGGTTGATAGCACATACGACCATAGGGTGTGGAGAACAGGGCTTCCCGTCCGCTCAGCCGTACTTAAGCCACACGCCGGCCAGTTAGTAGTATGGTGGGTGACCACATGCGAATCCTGGCTGTTGTATGTTTTTATTTTTATTTTTCTACTTTGTGAGGACTTTCTCAACCTAGATATCGTCTGGATTGACCACTTTATGAAGATTGTTATGCTCATTTTTGCGTTTTCTTGGCTGGATTAATGAGCAACCTCTGTTATTAGCAGGACATTTCTAGCCCCTGTAACACTTGATGGAGTTATTAAAGATGCTTAAATGCCCAAAAAAAATATGCGCAAGTCCCATGGTCGCCAGACCGGTCAGGGCAAAGAGGAATCCGTCGCCCTCACTTGGCCTCTGATGGATGTTGTACTTGGTTGCGTACCCCAGGTCCCATCCTCTCCACTGGTACAGCTGTAAGATTATCATTACGAATTTTACAATCATCGCCAGATTTGACATACCCAGTGGATGCCGAATTCAGACTATTACTGGGCGATAATGCTGCGGCGGCAATCTACATCGGCAAAATGAACCTATATGGCCCCTTTAATATTAGCGACATATCTGCGAACTCCAGGGTCTTCTCTAAGTCGGGGGAAATTTTTCTGAGATCCAACAAAGTGAAATTCATACTATGAGACTATCAAATAAAGAAACACCCAGGGCCAGCTTCAGTAATATACCGGCGCATTCTCTCCGATCTTCTAGTAACCATCGGCCAAGGGGTTGTCCCCCTTGAAATTGAAAGAGAGTAGACCTAACTTTTTCTTAAATTCAAAAGCCACCTTGCCGAGCATCGGATTGAACAAATCAAGTCTGAAGGGGCGATATCATGGTATCGGACCTTATCGGACGACTTTTGATCTGTCCTTAGGCCAATCACCTAGTATCTGTAAGAACAGCCTCGCAGACTTTATGGATTCTAGCCATGTCAGATATAGTTGGGTCTTGAAAGTGAACAAACCACACGTAATTCGGGCTGAAGTGCTAGGTTCGGCGCCACTGGAGGCAAAAAAAATTGGCTGTCGAGACACGTCACTTTCAAATACTATGTTGAGAAGCAGACATAAACCTCGTGCTACCCACAAGTGGGCCGACAAGATCTGTGAACTATATCCCGAATATCTGGGCCTTGAGAGAGGGATCTCCGTATTTCTCTGTACCTGAAATCATGTTCCGTCGTGGTACTAAGACGGAACCTGGAAAATGGAGAATGAAAGAGGGGTTACTCATTCTGTGTAGGCGAGCATTTCCTGTTATCCATTCTAGAAAAGCACGATGAAAGACTGACCCAGGGAATTTGAGACCGGGACATGACAATCAACAGTATTTCCAAGTATTGGCAAGTGCCAATTCATAGTGAATAAACCTGAGCTTTGAATTAGACCGTATGATGCTCTTTCAAAGTAAAACACGGCCTGGAAAGTGACGTCGACGGGAATCAGGCCGCAAGCACCATATTGGAGGGGCTCTCTCCATAGTACGCATACACTTCTTCCCTTTCAACAAGAACGCATTGCGGAAATATAGCTCATCTTCTGACAAATCATCCCTCTCACCACCCTCTGCCATGCTACTCTCAAAACGTAGTCGAGGACTAGCAACCATGTCCTCGGCAGCCACCACACAGCTGTTTGAAATATCCACGTGGCATCTCCACATCAGGTCCCCGGGGCGTGATGTCAGGTCCAAAATCAATCCATCTGGTCAATATTAAACTCACTTCCTGTGTGCCAAAGCCTCGGACTTCAATGCGCCACTCCGTGTTGCATTTGGTGCATTTCCCCCATATTCAGCGGCCTTCGATGAGCCAGAGAGATAGGTCGAAACATGCGAATGAATGAGTCCCTCCTTAGAGGGTTTATCTAAAATGACATGCTCGCAGCCCGAGATGTGATCGTAGCGAGACACCAGCAGAGCCGCGTTATCAAGGCTGACCACTGACCAGGACTGGATGCGAAAGCACAGACTCGGTGCTGCTGGGAATATGCGTGCTTCAAACGACGCAAGGCAAGTCTTCATCGGGGAGCGAATGTTGTCCTCTGCACTTGATGCTGGGGTCTTATAGATTCGGACGAAAGGATCTTCGTCACATGGATGCATTGACGCCTCAATCTAAAACAGCGACTGGGCGGAGATGCCGTACTTTGGGCCGTGATAAAATCGCCTCATGACCAGCTGGAGATGGGTGAAATGTAATTGATACCTAGTCCATCCTGGCCATATTAGATATAATATCGAGAACCGAGCCCATGGGTATCGCTTGTCATCGTGTTCAAAGAAAAGCATTTTGTGAGTGCCGACGATGACGGTAAAGGAGAGCTTTCCCAGGGGTGAAGTCGTGAGCAGATCGAATAAAGAAAATATTCGGGATTGTCGAGCGAGAGCCTGTTCAAAAAGATAGCTCTCTCATTTGCCATGTCTCCAGGTTGACCTTCTGGCAGTCGGTGTTTCAGCGACTCGCCTGGCGCGAATAAAGCTATGAACAGGCGGCTGGATAGAGCGAGACACGCGACATCGGCCGGTGAAATAAACCTAGCAATCAAAAGTAGTATTTTAACCGGGAGACTAGTCAGGGTCAGGGACTATTGCACGCTGGTCATGGCTTCGGTAAGTCCTCGTGAAATGTATGGGGAATTTCAAGGGCGGCCCAGGTGAGGGGAGGCGGCGAGAAAGACAAAACCAGTAAGAGACTGGAAATCCACTTCGTTGAAAACCCCATGACTCCTGTTGAATATAGGAAAGCGAGGGGACGCGAGCTATGGAAAATCGCTATATGTCTACGTCTTATTGACGCCTTCACCGTCGCTCAACGCAGTCGGTCACAGCAGGCATAAAATGATGATAAGGTCACATGACCCGTTAATGACAACCATCATCATCGTCTGTAGCACACACCCTCGGGTCTACTATCGCGGTGGCTGTAGTGTGAGATTATTAGTACTTGGTTCTCACGAATATCTGAGCCTGTGAACGGACAATCAGACGCACTAATTTTGATTGGCTGTCTTTTGAATAAGGAGTGCACCTTTACCTAACTCGGTTAGCTCGAGTAAGCAACTTGCATTAGCGCAGATATGAATCCATGGGTTTTTATTGAGCAGCCAATTAGAGCGTGACTTGGCAAGGTCGCTAAATTCAGCCCCCTCGGGAATTTATAATCCGCTGACGTCCCCCGGCCATAAAACAACTTCCCGTTGTGATTACCTGAGGTAATCGTCTTGCAGAATTCATCAAACTATAACCCCAGCCATGTCATCCGACCCGGCGATCATTCCAATTGGGCAAATGCCGCAACAGACAGGCATCCATGCCCAGAAAGATGATTGGACCGGTATTATCAATCGAACGGAACGAAGAAAACTGCAGAATAGGCTAAATCAGCGAGCATTTCGTATGACAGAAATCCATGCTTACATCTATCAACCGAGCCCAGTATTTACTGACATGCAACAGGATTACGACGACAACTTAAACGACAGCAGCACCAGCAAAATGCGGAACCCACAGACTTAGCGACAGAAGACTCCTTATATCTCGCCCCCAGCGAGTTCCAAAACGGGTTCCAGTGTACTTTAGCCCCGCCCGAAATGCCGGAGCTTATGCTTCAGCTTGAGACTGCGGCATCCAACAGCTATAGAGAGAGCTCGCCAAATCTTGACCATCTCCTCTCGCTACCCAAGATCAATGTCCAGCGTGCTATTATTGACAATATTCGGTCAACTGGCATGACAATTGAATGGACAAAAGAAGACGATGCAGTCTCCATATTCAACCTACAAATCCCAGGCTTTTCAGATATCCATATTCCCCTCGACCTACAGCCAACTGAAGTCCAGAAGCGGGTTCCCCACCATCCATGGTTGGACTTTTTCCCTCCCCGACATTGAGAGATAATCTCATTGCGCTACAAGATGAAATCGATGATGAAGATTTATGCCATGATCTTATGGCATTTTGGGATACCCGCAACACACGTGCCGGTTTACTTGTTTGGGGCCCATCATGGGAAACGACGAGTTGGGAAGTAACGGAGTCTTTTTTAACAAAATGGGGGTTCTTACTTTACGGCTGCACTGCATTATTGAGAAGCACCAACTTTTGGAGAGTACAAAGAGGTGAAAGACCGCTGATATGGAAGGATTATTTTACCCCACAAGATCCTTTTCTTCAGAAATTGAAGGGAAGGAGAGAAATATGCTCAAGCCATCCTCAACTATAGTTTCGATACTCAAGCGAGAATGTATACTACTGTTGGAAATTTGAGGTTGCCACGTCTCTTTAAGCGTGATATAGAATTAGAAATGGCCAAAGCCTTGGCAGATGTTCATCATACCGGGGATAAGCCTTATATCCGGAGTATGATGACAAGAGGGTTCCACATAACTAGTATGTCTATGTGAAGGCAAGTACAAGTGAAGTTGAACTGTATTTCGTGATTCTGTTCTGGCGTCCGCAGTGCATATGAGCCGCATTTGAGAACCCCGCATTAATAGTGCAAACTAAGCAGCACCAAATGATTATGGTCATGCCGTATGTCAGTCCATCTGTCTTGCATATCATACAATTTTCATAACCTATGCATTTGCGCCTCCGTCCACATTCCAGGCATCTCCTGTCACAAAGCTACTTTCTTCACTAAGCAAGAAAGCAACGACATTGGCAACCTCTTGCGCATTACCATCCCGAGGAATTGGGGTTGCCGGAGTTGGGGTGAAATTCTTGACGCGCTCAAGATTTGCTCGATGCATGGGGGTGTCAATAACACCACTGATCATAATTTTAGTTTCGCAGATAATCGTGAGAGTAAGACACAGTCGACTCACGGTAACACACAATTGACCCTCACCCGGCTCCCAGTCTCTTTTGCTGCACTTCGAACCATTCCCAAAGCTGCATGCTTTGAGGCTGCAAAAACGGCCCCGTTCAAGAATCCTTTCTGGGAGAAGATGCTGCCGATATGAACCACACTTGCATGCTCCGCTAGAAAGCCAGGAACTAGTGCAGAGGAGAGCACGTTGAACAGTCCCTTAACGTTCAAGTTCATGATGAAGTTATATTCATCCTCGCTTGTCTGCCAGACAGCCTCTGTACCTAAGCCATGGCCGCCAGTACCGGCAAAATTGGCGATGCCGTTGATGCTCCCAAAACGCTCCTTGGCCTCGAGGAAGAAGCAGTCAATGGCAGAGCGATCTGTGACGTCGACAGTCTTGGTGAAGCACTTGGATGAATCCTTCATAGAGAGCCTAGCAAGTAACGCCTCCAGATTCTTTTCAGAGATATCGCATACAGCAACCTTAGCGCCTCGTGCGAGGAGTGTGTGAACTGTTGCGAGTCCCATGCCTGAGGCACCTCCAATAATGGCATAATTCATGTTCGCAATGGAAGAAGTCATATTGCAATGGAATCGAAGGAGATGCATTAGCGGACGCGTATCAGCTAGAAGAGTCAGAATTCAAGGCCTTTTAAGCATGATAGCCCATATAGGGTCCTCTAAGCCACAAACCGTAGAGTGTAAGCGTCTTGCATCAGTGGCACGCTATTCTAGATGACTCCACATGCTCTAGCGATTCCCTGAACGCCAAATGCTGACACCTGCCGCCCCACAGGCCGCGCATTATGGTGTCTGGGCATAGCTTAATGAGTTGAAACAAGCACCAGACAATTATTGTGTTGGACAGTTCACTAAGGGCCCAAGAAATGCATGCCGAGGGAGAAGGAAAAATATATGATACCATTCTCTAATAGCTTCTTCTCGTATCAGGATGAAGAACCTGGAGGAATCAGCCATTCCATATCCTCGCCTTGACCATCTAGCCAGGGCACACAAGCATCGTATAGAGCCGCAATTTCACCATCGCCAAGATCCAAGAACTTTCCAAACAAGTCTTTATCAAAACGTTCAATGAATGCCAATTGACAAGCCAAAAATAGATCCGCGTATCCGGGCTTACTTCCCTCGAAAAATGGACCCTTCTTTCCCTCCAAGCCCTTCAGCATAAAAATTAACGCGACTGATTCAGTCTCCACCAAGCTCCACAACTTGTCAATAGTATCTATGTCTGTTGGTCGAACCTCCGAGAGCGGCTTTCCGAGAGCAGCAGAACGCGTCTCGTGAAAGTATTTCTGCCCCCGAGCATCAAGATGCTCTGCAACTCTCGGTATGACGAATGGCCGAAACCCAGGCTCCAGGAGGCTCATGATCTTGCCTACAGCAATAAACAATGCGTAGCTGGCGTGACCGGATGGGAATAGTGGCGGAGACGGATATAATTGATCGAGATGAATCGCAATCTGTAGCGAATCCATCATGGCCCCACTTGGGTTCGAATCTACCGAGGACTTGTGAATTATTGCCGGCAGTGTGAAAGGTCTGCCTTGTTCGTTAGGTGACAGGCCCAAGCTGATGGCGAGGGGCTTGATGTCTGGGTATGAGATCCAGCTCTGGGTGTAGGGTATGCCTTTGAAGTTCAAAACGGCCCTGGTCTTCAATGTGTTGTGTGACCATGATTTGGAGGGTCCTAAGATATAGCGCGTCAGCTTTATGAGTTCGATCGGGGAATGGTGTTGATCATGGTAAGACTGCTGACCTGGGAGATCGGAGAACAGGTCGAAGAAGTGAATAGGCTCGGGATCGGTCATTTGGAGCTCGTGAAACGGGGTGGTGATTTTTGTTCAAGCATGCTATGGAGATCAAACGCTAAACAGAGCTTTGATATGGATGATTGCTAGGCCTGCGTAAGGGCGGGGGTAAGCGGGGTAAGGCTGGGTTCCCACTCGGGTGTATATCGAAGATGAGAATGATTGAAGTGGAAAGAGGAGTCTACGTTGACTATTTTGGTTCGTGGGTTATCTGGAGATGGAGTCCTTATAGCTTTTGCCTCGAAAAGTATTGGTCTACCACCAATTTGAAATATTCATAAGCGACGATCCCACCAACCCGCATGTTATACCGAGACGAGAAAGCGCCCCCCCCACATAATACGCTGGGCATAATACGCTGGGTAATAATCAAAGGCTCACTAATCAACTGATCATTTTTGGGTATAAGTATTTGTTACAATTTGTCCCTATTCTCATAATTTGTGGCTTATTCTTAGCCGTGCTTCCCAAAAGCGTCAACGGTGCATTCATAGATGCGTTTTCAAGGGAAGCAATTCTGCTGGCACTTCAACAACCTTATCGCGCACATAATCGGCAAAGCCTTTCCCAAAACCATCCAACCGACTAGAACTACTTACTCCCCTCCCCAAAATACCATATATCACGAAATGTACAGCATGAATCTTCTGAAACTCTACTCGCTCAACCAAGAAAGAGTCATCCCAGTCGTCATCGGTAGCAAGCATCTCTCTCATTTGTGTGCGGCTCATATATGACCGCAACCATGGCCAGTGCTGTGGATTTGGAACAAAAAGGCCGAAGTTGAGATTTGCACCTTTGTCACCAGATCTACCTTGTGCAATGACACCCAGACGGATGCGTCGACTGGGTGCTTTTAGTAAAGCTATCTCACTCAGTGATGGTGTGTGATCATAGCTGGCCCGGGGAGCCAGAGGTTCAAAATTTGGTGGATGGCCGGTAGAATATGAGACGACATTATCAGGTCCTTCAACAAAATTGATCTGCTCATCAATAAGATTCTGGCTGATGATTGCTGGGTAGTAAGCTAAGAACGGGCGTGGTATGGCACAACGTTGATCCAGAGAAGAATGTAAGCCTGTGTTTAATTGATCAGATTTTCCTCAGCATCCTTTATTTTGACAACTGCTCACCAGAGAAGTGTTTAAGTGAGATTTCCTTCATGGCCATCACCACAGAAAATACCGCCTGGGCCGATACTGCAGCAATGAAAACTCTTAAGTATGTGGTGCTACTCCGTTGTGAGGCTGGGTTGGCAGCTGGAACACCGATACTGAATGTCATATTAGATATCCTCGGTTTCTTCCCATCTTTCTTTTTCATGTTTGTTGCATCTACTCACCGCTGGAACTCAAGGGTGTCAACATTTTTCAAGGCTTGAACTGGTATGAAATGACGGATTTGCTTTTCGATCAAGTCCCATTTTGTATTTGTCCCATACCCCGTAGCGTTGAGAAGTAGCTGTGCCTCGAAGCCTCCAGGATAAAAAATAGCCAACTTCGTCGTCGGGGGAGGAGCATAGCCTCTTATTCCGCCAACGCGAACCCTTAGTTGATGAGTGAATAGATCTATGGAGTAGAGCGTTCAATACCAACATACCTATCGTGGCCTGCCTGTTCAACAATAATATCGTCCAATATGGCGCTGACATCGCTATTGAGATAGACATTTCCCTGAAGTTCGTACAAGAACTGGCTTCGAACCGTATCGACGTCGACCATCCCATCGGTATTGGAATGCTTTGTAATTGTACACGAACCGTCTGACTCGATCTCAGCAATGGGAAATCCGGGCTTTACGAATCTCTCGATGGGATATCGATCAAACCCGGAAAAGTTGCCGCCAGTGACGTAGGCAGAGCATTCGATTAAATGTCCAGCCACTAGTGCGCCTGCAAGCTGGTCGTAGTCTGCTTCGTTCCACGAGTGCCAGTACCAGGCAGCTGCAATGACTGGACTGGCATCAGCGACGCGACCGCATATGATGATATCGGCACCGCGTCTCAGGCCATCGACAATGCCTCGCGCTCCGAGATACGCGTGTGCAGAGACCATTGGTACAGGATTGGCGCTATTGAGGAAAGCGTATGTGAGTGGCCCGGGGCTTATGGACTGGTTATCTTCGTCGAGATGTCGAATTTCATCTTTCGACTTTGGCATATTGGGGCCAAACTTTGAATAAAGGTCGTCGCCAGACAGGTAGGCAACCTTGAGATCGAAGCCCTTTGACCGTACCTGTTCTTGATCAGTGCTTGTATTTGAAAGAGTTAAATGCCCACTTACCAACTCTTCTACCTTGAGTGCTAGACCTTTTGGATTGAGAGCTCCTCCGTTGATTATGACCTTGATCCTCTTGGCTGAGATCACCTCGATAGTCTGCTTAATTCCTTCCCAGGCTGTTTCCTCATAACCTGGATGTTCTCCTTTCTGATATGCCTGGGCATTATTGGCCATATTTACCTCTAGAAATCTGTAAGGTGAACTATTCCTAGAGGTGTGTTGGCTTCATGCGGGCCTTCTTACCTGCAAGATAATCACCCGTGATGAAGTCAACATTCCCAAGCGTTGCTTGACGATACATCTCATACGCAGGGTCGCCTAAATCATTTAGTGTTAATTACATTCAAAATGCAACCATTAACATCATACCATGGTATCCAGAGCAGTTTGCGACCTTTACCGGTCGCCTGCTAGTGTTAGCATTGTTATTTTCCGAGGGCATTCTGGACTCAAGAAGTCGTTCAAACCGGAGATCATTTTTACCAAGAATCTTCATCAACAGCCCTGTTTTATAACAGCTATGAATATTCCATCTTGTTGTTCCGGGTTGTACAAGTAACCCCTCAGCTGGAAACCTCGGGGAACGAGGTCCGAGGCAAGGGCGAACAACGGCTGTTGTGGATCTCATTTACGGGTCCCCATTTAATGCACAACACAAATTGGCCCACTTTTTTTGTTGTTTCTTGAAATGTATGCATAAGTTTGATGTTCTTGGTACATATCATCCATTTGAATAAAATGCAGTTTTAAGCTTATTTTCACCCCCAAGACCATGCTCCTGCTACTTGGTGGGAACATGCCAGGCCACGGCGGCTGCGGCTCTTTGCTCCAGGCCGAGGAAATCAATTACATTAATTATACGGGCAGCACGACGTAATGATCGTCGGCTGTTGAACAACCCGGCTACGCGGCAACTTGCGCGGCACAGCGGGTGGACATCATTCCACTGTGTAACTAGCACGGTGGATTTTAATTGACTCCCCCTCACGAGTCACGGTAGCGTTGTGGTGGCCTGCACGCCCTTCTCGTATAAAATCCATGTCAGCCACAGTATCACAAGAAGCTTTAGAATATCTTGGTTTCTGATCGGTTGAACTCAGCTTCCCTCATTTTCTTTTTCTCCAACGATGGCCTGCAAAGGACATGAGACTGTGCCCGGGGACGATGTCTATGGCCCCGGGACTTACATCGACAAAGACGTTCTTCCAGCCCCCGAGGACACAAGACGGATTTTTGAAGTGCTAGCATCAAGGACCCCAGGGTTCACCAAAGACTCTGGTCTATGGGATACCGTCAAATTCGAAGGGCGACCGGATCCCATGGTCCCCGGCCCCATGAAAGCTCCTCTCGTATCTGCTGCTTTGCATGCGATGTGCGGCTTGGTCGGAAACGAGTTGCTTGAAATTCGTGATGGAAAGCCGGCGAAGCAAAGCAGTGTGACAGTCAATACAGATCACGCTGGTATTTGGCTAGGGTCGACCTTTACCACGTACGTTGAAGGCTCGGATCTTTCCACTCTTGCCCGAAGTCGCTCCCTGTCAAAGATTTTCGCGAGAGACTTCGAACAAGGATTTGGCGTTGGTCCACTGGCTGGAAGAGCGACAGCGCTTTACCCTACTAATGATTCGCGGGTATGGTATCAGCTTCATGGGTCCCTCGATGCGAGCAAGACCCTCAAGTCGATGGCCATTGACATGGAAACTCCGCTGCAGTCCTTAGCAGAAGGGTACAACTATATCAAGGAACATGTTCAGAAATGGAGCGCAGATGAGTTGGAGATGCATAACGTGAGGCATGGATTGTGCGGGAGTATCTGTTATTCGCCCGAGGGATGGAGAGCGACTGAGATGGGCAAGCGTCTGGCTGCCCATCCCTTGGTGAATTATAATCATGAGTCTTATGCCCGTCCAACGCCTGCTATTCCTCTCACTCAAGGTCCTGATCGCCGCCCCTTGGCTGGAATCAAAGTTGTCGAGATGGTGCGCATCATCGCGGGTCCGACTATTGGTGTGACTCTTGCCTCTTTTGGTGCCGATGTGATTCGCGTCAACTGTAGCAAGCTGGTGGACTTGAATGTAAGCAAAGAACTCAAATTAAGCAACACATCTAAGATTCTAATTGAATTGACAGGTGCTCCAATTGACTCTAAACGCGGGGAAACGCACGGTCGACCTTGATATCAGCAAAGAGAACGATATGAGCGTCCTCAATGAACTTTTGAATGGCGCAGATGTCTTCATTCAAGGATTCCGCTACGGTTCTCTCGAGAGGAAGGGTCTTGGACTGCAAAGCTTGCTCGAAATGGCTGCGAAGCGCAACAAGGGTATCATCTATGTAGATGAGAACTGTTATGGAGCCGACGGACCGTTTGCGGAGAGACCCGGCTGGCAGCAAATTGGAGATGCTGCTTCTGGGGCATCGTATGTGATGGGTAAATTTTGGGGATACGATGAGGGGACCGGCGTTCTCCCACCTCTCCCAATCTCAGATATGATGACCGGCGTCGTCGGTGCCCTGGCAACGATGCTGGCTATTAGAGACCGCTCGCTGAATGGCGGGTCTTACCATGTTGTCAGCTCCCTGGTTGCTGGCGATACGATTTTGCTTGACCCGGAAGTTGGACTTTATCCAATGAATGTGGCGCAGAGTACCCTTGACCAGTTCAAGTTTGAGCGCTCATCCCCGGATCAGTTTGTGTCCGAAATTTTGCTGCAGGTAGTCGATGGTTGGAAACGGGTGTTTCCGGAGTACTTGGCCAGGGACTCCCCCTTCATGACTAGCTTCACGGATACACCATGGGGACAAATGGATCTACTCAAACCCGTTGCACAGTTGGCCGATGAGGAGGCGACCCCTCGATGGAGGACCGGACCGGTTCCTATATGCCAGAACAGCACTATTAGCTGGGCATAAATATGGTGGCGTAACAGCATATCATTTATATTTCCTTAAGTTCAAGCTTCAAGGGAAGAAACAATTATTATTCGGGATTCAAATTTGAGATAAAGTACATTGAGGCTCAAGAACAACGACAATCAAAAGATCCTAAACGAGTAACCGAAGTTCAAAAAATAGTTGCAACCAGCTTGGTCCCAGATACCTTCCCTTGGCGAAGCATATCAAGACCAGCAGTTAGATTCTCTAGACCCCCATCGATCCTCTTCAACGGAGGCGTCTTCAATCTCGGGGCAATCTCAGGCAATGAGGCGTAGAATCGGCGCAACGCTTCGTTATCTGATGGCACTTTTGGGAATTTAGGACCCAATGGTGGTAGCCACTGGAACTCAGCATTGAAAACCGTATACCCCAACATGAAATCGACTCTCACTCCGTCCAGGTCCCTTTTGCCCGAATCCAACAATGTCACAACCCACCCTCGGCTCCTGCGAACCACATCGGCGCAGAATTCCGTCGAAGACCCTTCTGAGAAACAATCCAATGCCCTGTCAATATTGGGATAAGCTCGAACAATATCTTCGACGGCGGTTGGCGACCGATAATCAAATACGTCATCCGCTCCATACTCCTTGACAAGGTCGTGAGATTTTGGCGATGCCGTTGTCACAACTTTGAGCCCTGCAAGCTTCGCAAGTTGAATGGAGTATAGTCCAGCAGCCGTCGAGCCTGAGTAGATGAAAATTGGGGTGTCTGTCCGTCCTTGGCTCTTGCCTGAGTCGAGCCATGGAACTCCTAAGCGAGCATTCAAGGCTAGCATGGCTGTGACAGCGGATACTCCAAATGTGGCAGCTTCCTCATCACTGACAGAGGGTGGAACCTTCCAGGCAAGATCACCAGGAATCTTGAGGTACTCAGCGAAAGAGCCCCGGTCGGTGTATAGTCCACCGTGAATGAAACCTGCTACTCTATCTCCAACCTGCCAATATCCGGCTGCCTTGGCACCTACTCTGGCAACAGTACCCGAGTAATCGCAGCCGATGATAGCTCCTCGAGGAGCGACAATATCGATATGTTTGAAGTCGGTTGGATTAAGAGCGACGGATCGTACGCGAACAAGGATTTCGTTGTCGAGAATTTCGGGCACAGGAATTGTTTGTATCTTGACTCCATCTCCAGATGAATGACCGCACGAATAATTTGAAAGTCGGGTGATAATAGACCGGTCTGCGACAAGGGCCTTCATTGTATTAGGGATTTGACCAGCCATGATTGTTGGCAAAGACTTGATCGATTGAATGGAGAATGAACGGAGAATAAAAGGGTGAATTTAGAGCAAGTACACGAAGTATATGATGTCCGCTGTCAGAAAATTCACTGTCTATTGCATGTGAATATTTTAGTTAGGTATTAAATACTTCGGGCCTGTACGGAGCAATCCATTGCGCCGATAATCACGTTGATCCCGACCTCGGCACGGAGAAGACTCGGGATGGTCGTGATGTTATCACCCCGTGCCGACGGGCTGTCAATTCTCCCGACTGACGAGTCCCGGTGCTGTAGCCTTAAGAATCTGGCGGTGAATAGGTCAACAATCCATCCAATCAGAGAGCAGATACTTGACCAATGAAAGAAGAGTCTGAACCCACTTACATTTCAAGGTTAGCCTCGTGGTGAGTTTCTTGGCTTTTTGAATGCGAACGGTTTTCCCCATAAATAAAGTTTGCCATTACGTCGTTCAATTCAAACTCCCTGTATCGATGCGGAAATGATATGTACTCTAGACCGGAATGACCCCATGGCGCTCAATAGTACCCTGGTTTGACCTGTTAATGTGCAGAGGTACTATTCGTTGTTGAGGGAATGCCGTGGTTACATATATGATGAGCGAGTGGTAGATGGTAGAAATACAAGCGACAAAGCCTTGGAGCATTTTTGAGACATGTGCTACGATTTTCTCCCATCTTCCTCTCCTTCACGTTCTCACTGCGATGGATGTGAGGATAGCTTTCCGCCTCGTCATTCTTTAGCAGGATGAATCGCACTATCCTGTCACTTCTCCTCCTCTGGCTATGCGTGCGACCGGCTATTGCGTCTGGGATTGTCGGTGTTTCAGGCTCTGACAGCTTACCACAATGTGTTGTGAGCCTCGAGTCTCTGTTCACAGCGCTGGGACCCAACATTGACTCTAAGATTTATAGGTCGAATGTGTATCACAGAGTCTCCTACTCGATGATTGCGACCTATCGGATATCAAGTGTCGGTGCACGAACAAGAATATCAACACTCACATTTCCCTTTGCTTATTGGCAAAATGCGACATCGCAGAGACCATCGGTCTGTACCTACACGCCAGACCCTTCCCGCATGGTACCTGGGACTGACAATCCATAGTGGCGGCGCGATCTTGGGCCCAAGAATGTGACCAGCCTCATGATAATCACCACGATTCTATGAGGGCCGCGATAGTGGCGAGTGGAGTTGCTGGTCTTCTCATCGTCATCCTTCGCATATTCTCAAGGGCATATACATTGCGCAGATTCTGGTGGGATGATTGGAGTCATATCATTGCTGGGGTATGATATAATGCTGCCAGACAACTCTCAGGCGCGATGGAATTACTGACCTTTTTCGTATAGGTGCTCATGATACCACTCCTTGTTTTCAGTAACCTTTGTGTGTCTACGAATATCCCAAACTAATTTATTGTACTAACTTGATGGCAAGGTGTGAATGAAGGAATGGGATACCATCTATACGACATCAATTTCTCGTCCGTATCTCAAGCCAGACATCTGGCTATCTGGTGTCAGTATCCCTATCATACTCAAGGCTCTCTCGACCGATACCTAACTTTCTGTCTAGATTATCTCTCACAGATTTTCTGGCTGGTCGTCATCTATTTCATTAAAATATCGATCCTTTTCCTTTACCTACGCATATTCCCCGAGATTCCACTCTTTCGAAATTGTGTGATAGCGACAATGGTGTTCACGACGGTAGCTGTTATTATTCTTGTTCCAATGGATATATGGCAATGCGTACCGGTACATGCAATATGGGACTTGAAACGGGAGGATGCGAGGTGCCTCAGTATCGCAGGAGTGGCTTATGCAAGTGCAGGGGTGAACATTGCTACGGAAATTGCAGTTTTCGTTCTGCCTCTGCCATTGCTCCGGACACTTCGCGCTACTATAGCGCAAAAGGTTGGGCTGTATGCTCTTTTTGGCTGTGGTATTCTGTAAGATTTTAACCGGACAGACATTGCGAGTAAAAGAGACTAACAAACCCTTCAGGGTTATTGGCATTGCATCCGCCCGAGTGCCAACCTTAAGGAACGTCGAGGCCATTCGTGATCCGACTTATCTGAATGCTGGCGTGTTTTACTGGACCTGCGCGGAAACCGCTGTGGCACATTTATGTGCAGCCGCGCCGGCTATTCGACCGTTATATGTGAAATTACGCGATATGGTCAGACGGAGGAGGAAAAGAACATCAGATTCGTCCGAGTCTGATGTTTTCAGCGGCAACTCTGTTTCGAACGCCCGCAATCGGTCCATCCCTGGCTTGAGTTGTCAGCAAGTGACATCTCGTATTGCGGGAGGACTTGATGATAGACATAATGATGAGATGGTTAACTTGCATGACCGTTCGCTTTCCTTGGAAAAGTCAGATAGCAGGCGGCTTGAGGTCACTGTCTGACTGGAAAGAATCACTCTAACTTCAGTGTTGGCAATGGAGATGTTGAAATTGACATAAAGCCGTTTACTCACGATCGTATTGCCTGTAGAGACAATGCTTTCCCCCTCTAAGTCCGGTCCTATATAGATACTGCGTAGGAATATTGAATCCAGAGATTCAGAATTTTGCTGATCCGTCGGAGGTCTGAGGATCGGGTCGGTCCATGCCTCGCTGGACTTGAGCCAATGTTATGGCAAATAATCACTTCGAGGATGAGAGGGTGAATGCACCTCGCAAGGGAGATGATGTCGATCATCGGCATACATTAGTTTTCATCGGCTTCATTCCGAACTTTGATCCACTTCTTACATGGTTGAAGGTCGGAAGATTTGTTGAAGTAAATTTATCCTTTGCCGAGGTTTTTCAAAGTCGGAGCAACAGTCCATCCGCACGTTAGTGATGAAAACCTACATTTCATACCGTCTCATTAGGCAGCACCAAATGCTGCGATGGAAGACAAAATTTGAGTTAGACCACATAAATCTGTGTTTATCTTTCATCTCATAAGTTGGGATGTTTTTTATCGCATTGCTTACCATGCCATCAGAACCTTGAATACCACGATGGCCTCCGGCTAAGATCGGCTCTTCTAATCGCAGATGTAAAATGTACTAAGTTGATAGTAAACCTTTACCCGGTCGCAAGTTCTCAAGAGAGAAAGAATCGGGGATTCTGTGGGTGTACCCGGAGCCTAAAATGGCTTGCTAGACCTTGATGCTAGCAACTTCTAATACGAAGACTACCTTCCGTTCCAACCCACGCGAAAGCGGAGATCTGATCAGAAAACAAATATCTGGCTCGGGAACCTTTCATCAAGATTTTCTGTACATTCTGACTCTTGGGCGACCGGGGAAAGTTACTTGGCCTGTCGAAGCTCGCAATCGCAAATGGTAGCTTTCATTAGGTAAGAGATTTTCGTTAGTTACAGACAGGCCTAGGTTTATCTGCCAGGGCATAGCAGATTTGGTACCTTCTAGTTTCTAAGTTGAGGTATAGAAGCTAACATTTCGCTCCTCCCCGGCTACTAACCAGTAAAGCATACGCAGTGCCGTAACTATAACACCTTTTATCGTTAATGATTACGCTAGCCAACACCGCATTTCGCTTCTAGTGGTATTCAGGTTATATCTCAGGCATTCTCGTGTGACCCTGCGTAACGGCCCGATCTCAGTACGGACTAGAAGGGCGATTACTGTCGTATCTACTTCTTCTGGATTCAATTCTGTGGTTGTACGTGATATTGTTACACGGCTAACTTCTTAAAGAGGGAGTAAGTTCTGCAGACACCCATCATCAACGAAGCTTTCTGGCAGATCGCCCTACCAAATAACCGCATCAACCCCCAGTAAAACGTAACAGTGTCTTTCATGAAGGTATCACTACTATTATCAACCAATGTAACAGTGACGGTGGCGAAGTGCACGATCTGCCAGAAAGGAGTTCAGCAAGCTATATCCATACGTGAACTTTATGGAACTTCCCATTGGTTGATTGTCCCTTTCGTCGATTTTGAGATCTGTTTGTTTCTTGGCAGGGGTTTTAGTCACGAAGAATATAGAAAGATAAGGTGGCAACGAATTTGTTAATTAAGCAGCAATCAGTACAACATGTTCTTGTCATGAAAGGCATAGAAAGGTAATTTGTGAGTCCTCCTTCAATGTCAACGCGGTGGATATGTCTAGAGGGTGGTCATACAAGACACTTGACTATGTTTTCCAGCAGCCGGATTGTTGCATAAGCTCAATGAGTGAATATTTCCTACCTGGAGACATAAATACCGATGGTTTACTCCAGTGGAAGTCGATCAAGATCCATTGTCAAAGTTACTTCCATTCACTAAGTTTGCATAAAGAGCAACTCGAGTCCTTCGTTTCAACACCAGCCAAATTATCTGATAGCTATGGCTTCATTTTGCACTCGTATTCTGTTCTGCACTTTGGGGCTTGCATCCTTGGGACTTTCCGCTGATGGGGAGACCTTGAGTCATGATATGGTAGTCGAGGAGACGCCTTATTGTATGTATTTTCCTCCAGCTCATGTCCAAAATGGATGACTCGGAGCAATTGTCGCTTACGAAATGAGGCAACATGCACTATACGGTTCAAGCGGGAGATACCTGCTGGGATATCATTTCTCAGTATGGGAGTGCCTTTACGATGAACCAGTTCCTATGCTGGAATCCGGATATCAACGCCTCATGCTCGAACCTTATCCCAGGACGCCCTGTTTGTGTTGGCGTGAGATGGCCCGGACCACGATGCTTTGACTAAACGCATTTTAAGTTGTCTGCGATGGGAGAATCTTGTCTCCATGTTGCTAATTTTCCCGATTTTGGCGGGGCCGTTTGCGATATTCGTCGTTTTAAGTACAGTTTCGGGGATGAAATTAGTTAGCTCTCCCTTTCCTAGCAGACCGACACGTATAATTGATACTTAATACTATGATTGCTTCTCTACCCAACACTTCGCCATAAAGTCCTTAAATTTAACAGGCCGTACTTCGGGGAATCGATCACTCATACGGTTATCTTTGGGCAAATCAAACACTCCAGCCACTGTGAGCCGACTGACCAATTCTGTAATTTCCTTCAGTTCCTCCGGCGATCCCATAGTGCTGGGCATAGGTGGGACAGTCACACTGCCCGCGTTGATTTGGTCGACACTGTCGTATGTCGTGTGGAACTTTTTGCCTACGTGGTGGTCTTTTAGCCAAAGCTTCTCTGAATGATTTTGCTTCAAGCTTACCTTTGATATCCTCTGCTATGGCCAGAATCTCGTTGTAGGTCACTTGATCCCCCACAAGCACACTGAACTCTGGCCAGTTCTCGAGTTCAAGTATCTTCACCATATAGTTCGCCAGGTCGTACGTATAAGTCATACAAATGACATCATCGCCATCACCGGGAATAGCGGCTATACCATTGGCGATATCGATGCCGAAGATATATGATTGAAGATTTGTTTTCGCATGTGGCATGCCCCAATAGTCCATGAAGAAGCCCGGAATGACGCGAGTGTACTTCAGAGAGCTAGATCTCAAACGATCTGCAGCATCAAGCCAATACTGGATACTCGGGTCCACGGACAACAGCCTTTGTTGGTGATGAAACGTTTAGTGAGCTCAAGTGATAGAGATAGCAAGCAAACTTACTCGGATGTCTGAATAAAGGAGAACTCGCTCGGAATGAAACGCTTCGTTGCGATTGACCTTTCCGCTGCTTCGATCAAGTTTAGCTGGGATTGGCTGGTCTCATCGGAGACAAGGCCGATCGCGGATATGATAGTGTGCACATTATGGCGTTCCAACTCCGTGGTCATGGAAGGGATGTCGCTGTAGTCGATCTGGACGTACTGAACATTTTCTCGCGGCGCGACTCCCTTTATCGGTACGCTGGGGTTAATATTCTCCTAGTATTCTGTCAATTTAGGAAACTCACACTACGCGTTAGGACAATGAGTTTAACGCTTGACTCTTGAGACAATCTTTCCACAAGCGTCTTCCCCACGCCACCGGTACCACCAGCGACAGCGATAACAATCATCGTAGATAATAGAACCCGAGGGCAAACCTTGTCTTCTCGTTGGCTTGAATTCCAGCAACACAAATTGCCGTTGTATTGCAGAAAAGAGGTCAGAGCTCAAATTCCGCTCTCACCCGCTCTGGGCCCCACTAAAGCACAATTTCGCTTGCTTATCGCGACTGGAGGAATGAAGCAACAGATCTGTTGAACCTATTCACAAAGACTTAAACAACACTTGACCCTGTCTTCAATCATAATTATTGCCTTTTATTGTAAAGTAATGCCTTAGTTCGATTTATAATGGACGAAATATAAACGCCGATAGTAGCTCGGGCTTTCGGGCTTCATTCATCGGCGTCTCCAGATGTCGGCTATGACTAAGGCAAATGGCAATGGAAAAGTGTATAAAGCCACCTCCCGCACGCCTCCCGCCATCTTGCCATTACCCAACACAAACAAGCAAAAAAGACCGTCATTATACACCTTGTCTATCATTCATAAGGCTTCCCCACAACAAGCTACTATCTATAAATTCGCCCAATATGTGTATGAAGGCTCATTGCTCTACCTGCAGTAAGTTTCGAGTCGTGTAAGGGGGGTTTAGGAGCAACGACTAACAGTGTGGCACAGACAAGGTCACCTGGTGGGGTTGCGGAAACCACATTCCCTCTGTGATGGACTCGATTCCGGAGAGCGAGCGCTGCGCTTGCACTCCTCAGGTGGAGAGGGAGGGAAAGAAGTACCCTCCCAAGGCTGCCAAGGCTGATTGACTGCAAGGTTGTGTGATTCTTTAAGCAGGTGTATAGAGTGGCTGTATGCGGCCCGAAAGTGGCGCCAGGGGATCAGAAGTCAATGAAATTGTTTATAATTGTTTATAATGAATTGACCCTTGTATTGGGAGTGCAGCCTTTTGCCTAAGGCTTTCATCAATTATATCCGTGTCTTTGAAGCAGACCGTTGTAGACTTTGTCACTCGCGGAATCTGATCATTCCTATAGTCTACAAGGGCCACTAGCTTAATAATTTTCTTTGATGATGATAGGGCTTGTTCTTCCTAGTAGTCATAGCATAGCGTACTTCTTAATGGGAGCAAAAAAGATTACAAGGCATGGAACGCTCTTATAGGGATCAAGTCCAAAGCTTCTGTTAAGAATTCAAGTCTATCAATCAACAAAATCTAAATCCAAAGTCAAGCAGAACAGAAACAAGCATATCAAAAACATTTCCATCACTTCCAAAATGTCACATTGCCAACAAGGGACAGCTGTGATTCGGACTACCCGCATGGATGCATCCTGCCAATGCGAAGGATCGAAAGCTCCCCTGACTGCTATCGAATCTAAGCTTGCCGCGAAGGCTTCTAATCCAATGCGTTTGCCCAAACTCATGAGGCATTCTCGGCATTCCATGCCCTGATAAGAAGACATCGGATGAGGTGCCCTTGTCTATCAGAAGGGGCGTCGAGAAGTCTCCGGATTTCTGACTCGAATTGCGCCGGGATCTATGAATTTCCATGCCGTGAGCATTATATAAAAGCTTATTTGTCTCATATAACTTACTTTGCGGCATTGGATTTCTTCTTGTAGGCACCGGCGGCATTCATCAAGATCTGAGTCTCGAAGACAGGAAAGATTGGGTGTCACTAGCATGGCCTCGAGACAAGGTAGACAAAGTTCTCCTCGAATTGTATGACCTTTCCGTGGAGCCTTCAAGATCGGCACTTTGGCTAGCAGCTCATAAAACTCATCGCCCGACTCCATGTCATCGAATTCATACATTTGAGAGGATTGAGACATTGGGATTGCAGGAGATCGTATACTAGTGGAGATTGGTTAGCAAGCGATGGCCTTTTTGAAGAATAAGCTTTCGGCCACGGCCAGGGTGATCTTCTTATAGAAGTTATCTTCCTGCTCGTGGATATTCATGCTGCCGGTCTGTCTTTTTCGTTTGGTCTCGGAAGTCCATCCAACAGAATTGTTTGAGGTGTCAGACATGTCCATGACCAGATCTGCTTTGTAGGGATAAGATAAAGAAAAGGTACAGCAAGTCTTAGTTTTATTGGATCATCCATTTATCAATGAGATGAATGAGATATTTTCCCTGGTTTTCCATTCATCTGTGAGGCCTGAGTGTCTTTCTCGAGTGGCTCAGTTTCAAACGTGGTCTGAGTCAAGAACGTGGTTGTTAAACCGACTAATTGTGGAGAGACATTGAGTTCAGTCAAAGGGAGCAGAGAGAGACTATTTTAATGTTGAGCTTTGATACCTAAGGTACATATATAAACTGAAAAATCTCACCACAGTACGGATATTGGATGTGCGATAGTTTAGAAAGGTGTAGAAATATATCGAGAAAATTGCAAGGTCGTACTTCGGTCTTGTGAAGGGAGAGAATCAACCACTTCTGAAAGATAGTCGGCTCAATTTTTGAGAGACGTGATTGCTAGAGCTCTGATATGTTTCCAAATAATTATCTATTTCCAGTAATGAAATTGGTAGGGTAGTACACGTCTTTCTCAGATTGGGACCGTAATACAGTCCAGACCTAGGGCCCCGGGGGAACCGGGCTTACATAAGAATCCATCAGCCACGGTGGCTGTGGATGGAGTGTGGCTGCGTCACCTCTTTCCGCGACTCCTTCGTCCTCAATGAAGCATTGCGACAAACGACGTTCTTGGCCAACGAAGATTGAGTCACTGGATAATAGATTGGTTACCATTCAAATTATTCAGTAGTCTTGCTTGGCCCCTCCAACCCCCCGCGGGCTGACGTTACAGACAGCCCAGCCGCTTGCCTCAAAACCCTCAAAACAGGCACTCAGCAGGCACATTGTTGACCAGGCTTCGCGCTGCTTAATCTGACTTTCCCCGGCCCCGAAAATCTTAAGCACAAGACATTTTCTAGAATCTGGGACTTTGAAATAACGGCCTGGCCGTGATCAGCGGAGCCTGTCCGGTGGCACCTCGGCCCCAATCACCAGCTTCAATCACCCTTAATGTCTACAGTACCTCCATCTGCTGCCTCCGCAGCACCTGTCGCAATGACTGGACCCACTACTATGAAGGTCGAGGATCAAATCCCCGGCATCCAAGACACGCCTAAACCCACCAACGGTGATGCCTCACCTGTCAACTGGGAGTCCGAGATCCAGCTAGTGTCCTCATTAGCAAAGCTCCAGGAACTTGAACGAAAAGTGAGTGTTGAGCCACATCATCGCGGCCCTATACATCTTGAAGCCATTTGGCTACGGTCATCCTCCATCCCGAGCAGCCAGCATGTCGAAACGTCGTACTGACTGAGATCCAGATTCATGAATTGCGCCACGTGGTGCCCAGCAAGCTCTTAGAACCACTAGCCACCCTCTCAGGCCAAAGTGGGCCATCAAGCATCACATATGCAGACTCCCCGGCTCATTTGCGCGACGGCCTGGACCAAGCCGCGCGCAGCCAGGTCGCCGAAATTGACAGTTTCAAGTCCACATGGCAGGGCCCAGAGCTGAAGCCTGTGTGGGATCATGTGGAATCCCGCATCAAGGAGTCTAATGGCCAAATTTTGCAACCAACGGGAATGTGGGAACGAGACTACGATGTTCTTCTCGAAGAACTTCTCCAAGCGGAGAAGAGCAAAGAACAGGAGCGTCTACATGAGGAAGAAGAGGCCGAGCGGACCAAGGTACAATCTTCAGAGGGTGGGTGGCAAGTAGTTGTCGAGAGCTTCATCCAACGGAATGTGCCTGGGGTTCGTGTGATCAAGGGACAAGGAGCGCCATCGCTGGCGATCGCGCTTTCAAAAGCGGGCATTATCTTCCATATCGAGGGCGTGAAGGAGAATGATGGTCCAGCGGTGGCTGAGTGGCACGTTTCGAGCAGAGCACCACCCGGTCGAGTCCCAACGAAGATGGAGAATTCAATCACAGAATGTCTCAACTCACGGTCACGAAAGTGGGATCTCGCTTTCCTGTTGGTATGTATTGGCTACATAGAGGATGAAGAAAAGCAGATGCTAATTTATTTTGCTAGGATATGATATCTTCATACGCAGATCTCAAACAGACTACATGTGTCAAGTGCAATAAGCTCACCAACAACTCCGCCCAACTACCGACAATTCGCAGAGCCCAGTCCACTCAACCTTCGCAGCAGGAGCCACGAGTTTTTGCATTCGATGCACTGCATTCCAGCTGTGCTTGAATATATCTTTAATTTCAATCAAGAACCTCTATCCAACATCTAAACTTCCAAACCAAAGCTCTGCTAAATAATGCAGACCAAAACGACAATTTCACCAAACACACCTCAAACTCAGAAGCATCCATCACATCCCACAAGCAGGACAATGGCTCCGAACAGGATACGCATACCCATCAACACATTCAAAGCTCCCCAACGCCGAATCATGCTCATGAAGCTCATAATCAAAATGACAATGACAATGATCTCCTCCATCCCGACAACACCCACCATCCCCACCCTCCCCCTGTCCACAACACCCCACAGATTCAGAAGACTCCGGACACCAATACACTCTCCCATCCCGATCCCAAAACCTAATCGGCGCCGTCTGGATAACCTTCTTCTTCCCCTTCCCCTTCCCACACTGGACCTCACAATCCGCATACTCCACCGCACTCCACGTCTTCTCACTGGGAACCCCGTACTTGCGAGTACTGTAATCATACTTTTCCTGCTTCCCGCGCCGTGCCCATGGGAACGGGGTGTCTTCTTCCTTGGGCTCGAGATCCCATCTTGCCCAATTGGTGCTTGAGACTGTTCGTCCGGGTGTATCTTTGTCTTTCCTTGCGGGGGGATGTTTCCCGATGGTTCCCACGTAGATGTCCGGGCCTTTGCCGGTTAGGACGTCGGAGAAGCGTTTGAGGCGGGACCAGCGGGTTGGGTTTCCTGGTCGTGGGTCTTTGGGCCAGATCCAGCCTGTTTGGGGTTTGGGGTTTGCTGGTTTTGTCGAGGTGGGTTGTTTTTTCTTGGGTTGGGGTTGAGACATGGTCCTTTGGTTTGGGATTGAGATGAGTTTCTTGGATGGATGAGGTGGTGGGTGTGATATGGTGCTCTGGACTGGATTGAACTGGATGGACTGGGCTGTGCAGACAATTGGATTGGGCTTTGGCTAGGGGGTGTTTAGGATAGATCTATGGAATTCTGATTGATGAGTTTCTCTGGTTATTCAATATATCACAGTAGCGTGTTTCGATTGTTGTTGACATCTCTACAGCTTCCTCCCTTTCAATGTACGTAGTTGATTGATGTTTTGCTCTACAGAGCCCCATTCTGTAATGCGATGCAAGCATAGTCTTTAGAATCGTTTGGTCGTGCATGAGAACCACATTGAAAACGCTCCTCGTGGCATGCCCTGCATCGAAAAGACTATGGGTATATGGCTTGGTTGCATTAGAGAGAGCTATGTCTCATGCCTGATTACACCTTGGACTCTGTTGTGCAGGAGAAACAATTCTAAACTCGACTACGAGTGTCTATGATTGTTTACGGAACGGACAGAGAGACATAGTTAGACTAGAGGGTAAGAAAATGAGACCAGGGGAGATAGAGAGCAAAACCCATTTCAAAAGGTCTAGCAACATCCCTGACGTAGAAGGTTCCATTATGTCTTTGTCCTGTGTATGCATCTTCCTGCTACTACTCCCGTGATAACCACCCGAGACAATCTAAGAAAGAAGTCAAGATATATGCCGATAAATGCAATCAATTAAAGCATGTGGGTAAGTCCCAATCCGAAAATACAATGAAGAAAGACCACGGCACGGCAATCCGCAGACTTGTCTCACAACCGTATGAGATGCACGCATATGGAGAGAGATGGAGAACAAAGACACAGCCCAGAAACCCAGAAACAAGAAACAAAACAAAGAAAAAAAAAGCAGATCCGTTCTTATGTCCGCAATATCAACAAACGCCGGTTTTCTTGCTATTATCGTAATCCCAAATTCGCTTTTCAAAACAATGAAACGCCCCGGTGTCAAAATATATCCATGAGAATGTCAGGTGCCACGCTCGTTGTGAGGGTGACTCGTCAAGAGAGAAGACCAGCCCCGCCGACAAACCAGGTGAAGGAGAGAATGGTGATGAGGGCCATGCCCACGGCGAATTTGAGGCCTTGGCGTTGGACATCGGAGATGGCACCGCTGCAGGTGGCACATTTGAATTCTAGGAAAAAGAAAGTGTTAGAGATGTTGACTTTGTTTAGCTGGGTGCTGGTAGACTTACCATTGAGAGGAGTGTAGGACTCCCTGCGGTACATTCCGAAGCTGTATCCAACCGATCCACTCAGGTAGCCTGCCTCGGCAGTGTCGTCGAGTGACTTGTCCGCATCGAACACGAATAGGGTGTAGGTGGCAGTCAGCAGGGAGATCGTCTGGGACGCCTGATACTTGTCGGTGTCCCAGATGTATGTGCCGGTAGGGTCCACACTCATGTTCTGGGTGAGGGTATAGGTCTGACTGTTCAAGCTGCAGGAGGCGACGACATCGATGGCAGAAGGGGTGACCGAGAGCGAGGTATAGTTCCATACGAAGGTTGCGTTGTATCCGACCTTGAAGTAGGTGGTAGAGGTAGCGGCCGGGGTAATCATCGAGATACCTCCAGCACCAGCGGCAGGGTCAATTGAGATGGAAGAGGTCGCAGTAGTCTTGGTCTTGGTATTGCTCTTGGTGTTGGTGCCAGTGCTGGTACCCGTTGAAGTTCCAGTTCCAGTTCCCGTGGTCGTGGCATCGGTGTTGGTTCCAGTGGAGGTTCCGGAGGCAGAAGAGTCGGAGGAGGTAGAGGCAGCGGTGGTTGCATCGGTGGTACCCGAACCGGTAGTGGCAGCGTCGGTGGTAGTTGAGTCTGAATCAGAATGTCAGTTTACGCCTTTTGAGGATGGGTTGCGTAAGATGTTAGTACCTGCTCGCCTGTCCAGGGTGTCACCCCGCTCGGCCAACAGCCCATCCCATGGCCAGGCCGAGGTAATCACGCCCAAAAACAACACGGCGTAGAGCACACTCAAGAAGAAAGACCGCATGATGAAGATTAGATCACGTCGATCGTGATGTTGTGGAGGAGAAGGAGTCGATCAAGGACAGCAAGGACGGAGAGAGAGAGAGATGGCCCCTAGTCGGAGAAAAAAGCCGAATCAACAAACCCCCTTGCCTGAGCCGGGTGGAGTCGCTGGCGGGTGTTGACAGAGGGTGTTTGGCGGTCAAGACGATAAACGAAGAGGCTCTTTCGACTTGCGTGAGGGTATTCAGCAAGCGTTGTCCAGAGGGAGAAGAGCGATCGACCCAACGTGGAGAGCCGAGAAAAACTGGCTGGCCTGTTGACCTGTCTGGACCCTGAGGTTGCAGATCAGCGGAATATGTGGGTTTTGTGGAGGGTAGCGGGTCCGAAATTCGCAACCACAATCGTGAACAGCGTGAGCGAGGGATGCTGCTAAACGAGTGACGATGAATGAAGCGAGAGAAGAGGGAAGATTTGCAAAACGTGGAGGAGTGGTTCGAAGTGGCAGGTCGGGTGGTCAGAGGCAAAGGGTGTTTGAGGTGTATTGGGGGGCTAAACCCAAAAGGGGCAAGGCACGGGTGAGACAAGCCCGCTATAAATAGGCGAGATCCTAGTCTTTTCACCAGTGCCAGAGGAGCTGAACTTTTGGTGATATGGACAAAGTATATGACTGTGGACGCCATATGATCAGAGGTATAGTTAGGCCATACACAATGTATTACAGAAGTATCTGAGGCTATCTAATATTTTACCATAACTCTACTATGGAGAGTCAATATTTACTCGTTCCTCGTTACTCGGGAGATCCGCCCTCGGATGAACCCTCCGCACGGACCAAGTCTTGGGGACCCTGATCAGGCATCTTTAGGCTATCAAGGATTCAATAGATAACTCACATTTATGATTTATGATTAAAACTCAAGAAGTAATAACCATGAGTAGTATCTTAACCTTATGATCGTTGACAGGCCTCCTACTTTGCTTTTACGGTGACCTAGGGTTGCTGAATGGCCAAGTCTAGCTGGAATGTTGGGACGATTAGGAACCTAACATTCTACCAATAGAAAACATACTCGGTCAAAGTTTAATCATAGTAGAACTATTGCTTATACTCAACACTTCGAATTCAATCTGATCTTCTAAATTCTAGTGAACGACCTCGCCACTGATTGATTGATCTCGCTTTGCCTATAGTATCGCTCCCACGGGATGCCTGGAAATTTACGAATATGGAGAACCTCGGATTCTACTCTACTGCCAACTTTGACCTTCTTGATATACTGTATCAAGCCAACTTCAATCACATCATAAACTCATGATGACCACCCTTCACAATCCGAACTTAATTTCGTGGACTGTTTACGGACAGCGTTACAGGCGTTCTTATTTCATGGCCAACAGAAGTATCAATTTGGGAGCCCAGATGATATGATCCTGTCACAAACCATCAGACGCTATGCTCACTACGAAGTCGACTCTTATAATTGATTTTATAGGCGTCACTTACGTTCAATCTTTTCTTGGGCGGCCTATGCTCTATCCTGGCTGATCTGCATTCAGCTACCTCTCACCTCTCACGAAGCCCTTGAGATAATCTATCACTGGGGATATTGAAAAATACAAGCTGCCCGGAAGAGAAGAACCCTTCTCGCCATACACAAACAATTCGACAGCAGGGCTCTCGGTGTACCTCTCACTAGTTCTTGAGCTGCTGACCTGCACTTACCTTACGCTCATCCTCGATACGCTTCCACGAACTCGAACTCTTTACCCTTCTCATTTACCACAACCCCCCCCCCCCCCCGGAACCTGGTGAGTTGTCTCCTACATCCATTGGTTTCCATCTTTTGTGAAATTTATATCTCACTGCGCTCTCATTCTCTGACAAACCTTAGAACCCAACACATGAAACGCGGCTACCTTTGAATGATGACGACTTCTCCTGGATCCAACCAACCCGTACGAGACCTCACCCTGGAGAAAGCCCTCTCAGTTGCGAACATGGTTCTAACCCGCTCGGTCTCTCACCAGATGAATACAGAGAGTGGTGGCCAAAGCACTCCACAAACAACAAACTCTAGTGGAGTACCAATGGATAACGAGCTTTTCGTCCCGCTTGCGGATCCTCTTCCGATACCTCACACTCAGGAAGAAGCCCAGAATCCATGCACGCCGGTCTTAGAAAAGCCTGACCCTCCCCAAAAGACCAAAATCCTCCAAAAACGCAAAAGGCAAGCTCCCACCAAGAAGCCTGAACCCGACCCAGCCAAGAAGAAGAAAGCTATAGTCTTGAAGCGCGGAATGGCGGAATCCGACGATCTGGACTTCACTGAGACCAAGCCAGACGCTGCAACGATGATGGACTTCCCGCTACCTAAGATCAACCACGGCGGTAACCGGCCCTCGAGGGTGCCAAGACACCTCTACTCGACCCCGCCTATTCCGGATTTAGACGATGTCAATGCGGTTGAGAGGGCATTTCGGGATCTCCTCAGCGTTCGGGAGATCGTGGACTGGGAAAGTCGGCGTCTCGGGTATAGACTGCGTCTACTGAAGAGGAAAATGTCGTTGGAGGAGCGGCGGGAGGATGCCCGGCTGGCAAAGTTGTGGGAGCAGGAAGATGGCAATTTACTTGAAGATATTAAGAGACTGGAGCAGGAGAACATGAAGTTTGACGACTAGGGGAGTTGTTCACGGTGGAGAGACGTGTGTTCCAAAAGCAAGTGGGACGGATTATTCTCTTCTGATGCTTTGAAATTTGCCTTTTTTTTGGAGTCGATTTTGATAATTATGATAGCTGGGCAGGCGACTTAGTATCAATATGGCAATTACAATATACCTAAGCTGCCCATCATAACTGAGAGCAGTGGCCTTACTCAGGCTTCCTTTGTTTGCTTGTTTCCATCATGAATGACTGGTTGAAGGCAATAGCGCCCAAATTATGCATAGCCTGACGCAGGATTATTGTCTTCTCCAGGTTACGCTTCATCTTCGTCCCAAAAGGGAAGTCAATAGGTAACAATCCCATTCTTCCGGCTTTCACCACCTCAAGGCAGCGAATAGCTCCATAGGCTGCCCTGGGTGTGTTTGCCGTTCCTCAGGTATAAATATTTCCTGCATCACCGTCCTTGCTCCGTTTATCCTCCTTTACAACTCCTCTACACTCAACACTCTTGCTTCTATCCCACTCCTACAATCTTGCTCTGACAATACCTTTCCAATCTCGACATACATACTCACACCTGGTCTCTCCAGCTGTCTTCCTTTCGACCTTTCAACCTCCAATGTCATCTTTCACCATGTACTATCCCACCGACACCTCTGGCAAGCAAGTCCAGCTCATCTTTTCTACTGGAATGACAACTCACTAATACTTCTCTCAGCCTGTATCCATACACCTCCTCTCTCCCCTTCAATATCAACCCCGACCCTGTTCTCTACTACGGGAACCCCCTCATCATGCCCGTCCTCGTCAACAACAATGAGCATGAGGGTGAACAGTCAATGCCTCGAGCTCCCTCTACCCAGTCCTACGCACCGGGTTGCTTCACCAACCTGCGGAATGAGAGCAATCAGCCTGTCGACCAGCAATCTCCCCTCCCAACTCACTCCATGCAACGTCTCCTCCCACGGCGTCGTCCATCTGAGTATCGTCCTTCCCTCAAGCTTCCTCCTGTCGATACTACATTCACTACATCCTCAGCCGACAAGCCTCTTCCCTCAATTGAGGCCATCTCTGGGATGACTCCGATGCCCTCGATGCCTGCCACAACTAGTATGGCTCCCCAGTGGTGCATGGGTCCCGCGCCGTCCATGGTCGCCATGCCTATTATGGCTCCAATGAATGGCCTACCTCCTCTACGGAGATGGAAAGCGCCAAACCCCATCACCACTGCTCCACCACCTGCGCCTTTCTCCGCGAGACCCAACACGAGAAAACGCATCATGATCAGCACTGGCCGGCCCACGACATCCCGTGGGCTGACCACAGCCAGCGTGGTGGACGGGCACCACCCCAAGTCCGAGGGAGCCTACTACCCTCCCACGAAGCGCATCAAGCGCGAGCCCACCGACGCCCCCAGCAAGCCATCCTGGGCAGTCCCCTCCGAAACCGACAACGCCTCCATTATCTCCCTGCCCCGTCCTCCGTTGCAAGAAGAGGTCAACCCTCGACCTCAACCTCCGGCAGAGGAGCGGGAGCAGACCAGCAGCACCTCCGGGGGCCACAAGAGCACCGACACCAGCCGCAGCAGCAGCTCCCCCTCTCACAGCACTGCCGGCATCTCTCGTGGCCCCCAGCCGCAACAGCAACCCCCCGCCATGCAGAACCCCCCCAGCACCCATCATCCCCGCCCCGCTGGAGCCCTTCCCCGAAGCGGGGACTATCATGAACTTCCCGCTTCCGCAAATCGACCACCAGGGACAGCGGCCCGCAGCGACAGCCGGTTACTACTCCTCTCTCGAGGATGATGCCCTGTACCAAACACAGGAGCCATCCGAGATTGAGGAGGCGTACCGTGCTGCGCTGCGGGTCCGCGAGAGGGTGGACTGGGACTGTAGGCGGTTGGGGCTGCGGCTGCGGTATCTGCGTCGGTGCCGGGCGAGGATGTCGGAGCGGAGTTGGCAGATGAGGGAGAGTGAGTGGGAGCGGGATGACTTTGTGGAGCAGGCTTACGGTCGCTGAGTGGATGGGGGAGGTGAAGGAGATGGTTAGGTCAGGGACTTGTGGATGAGAGGTTGATGTTGTTGATCTGAGATTGGTGATGAGAAGTGACGAGTGCGAGGGGGTTTCTAGGTCTTACTTTTTGCCCGCGGTTATGAATTTCTTTGTTTTTGGAGATAGGCATGTTTTTGCGGTGGTTATTCTTTTTTTTTCCTTGTTCATGTCGATGATACTGCTTTCCCTAGTAGATAAGTTTTTTTTTTCTTGATTTCAACTTTGTTTTTCTGGAGATGATATTTCTTTCTGGGTACCATTTTGTTTGCTGCAGCGGTGGTTTTCTTTTTTTATTCATTGATATTCCCAATTTATTTCTATGGCGATGAGCTTTCTTTCTTTTGAATAAACAGTTTTTTTGCTAGCGGAGTTATTTTAAGCATACATTTAAAGTTTATACCTACATTACGGATAACCTTATGTCTGGAGCAATGATGGCCTCTTCCATTCTACTAAATTTGCCCCTAGTCTACCGATCGTTCTCGTTGTAACCAGGATGTACCTAATGTAGTTGTGTACCTATCTGTATCCAAACCTCTCATTAGCTTATTCTCTCGTTTAATATACCTAGGTCACGACCGCTTCATATCCACATCATGAACACCTTGATGTCGCCAGAATTCGAACCATGGAATGGCTAGGTGATGCCTATTTTGAACTTGAAAATTACGAATAGGCAGATACTATGCTACTGCGAGCCGCCAAAGCTCTCAAAAACACACTTAGTCTAACACATGATGGCACCCTCTCGACCTTAGAAAGATATGCAGACGCTCTTGACAAACAAGAAATACAGCTTGGAAAAGCCTGTTCTGAGAGAGATAATACAAGGTCAGGGGCCGTAGCATCTGAATGCAGAAGTAATGAGCGAAAAACTGGAGGAATTGCTGTCGCGCCAACATGAACAATCGAGAGGTAGAGGTTCTCGGTATTTCAATCCCTCCTATTCGCCGCAACGGGACACCGATTCGATGTATTCGTCTCAATGGGGAGAGTCAACAATAAAGAGGAAGAAGCCGAGTTTATGGAAACGACTCAAGTATGGGATAAGGGACTAATTAGAATTCCGTTTTGTGACCATGTTCTTGACCTATTGCATGATACCTGTTTTATCGATCTTGAAGTTCTGTGCTATGTACGAAGCATGATTTGCTCAATAAATCGATTTTCTCTCTCGTTCCAATATGAGGTGGTTCAAATATGGAAACCGGGGAAAGAAACAAAGCTTGACCGCGGAGTAAAGACTAGCAGCTTGACCTCATTCTACTACGTATTCATCCATGTCACCTCAGATCGTGTGATACCCAAGGGGTAGCGCCCACCAAGATTTGACCCCAATAAGACACATACGACTCATAAGCTATGCGCCAGTCAGCAGTAAATTACTACAGTAGGTAACCAAATGTGGAATTCTCACTCCTCCATGTTCTTCTACTTCTACCTCTAACCTAGGATATCCGGTCCTGCAATGGGATGACTCTTTGCCACCCTTGACGTTCCTTGGGTATTTGGTCTATTTTTGAGATTAAATCGACTTCGAGGATTTACTACACAACACGGCATTAAATAAGTAGTTCAATCATATATAGAGATCATTTATTAGAAGTAAAACCCCCAGTCTATTACATGTGAGTGAATACACCTACTCCAGCCAGGCATTAACTCTTAAGGGAACGATAATAGTAGAAAAGCTGAAGTCTCCTCTATCGCAGAAAACTTGAGAAGAAAAGCCCATCACCAAATCCAAGTGCTCCCTACGAGCTCTTAAAAACAGCATTCAACTGAACCTGATCACACCCATCCGGCACCCCGTTCCCTGCAGTAGTGTCTTGATAAAATAACTCCAACAGCGACGTACCCTGGCCCGGACAAACTAAACAACAATGAAAAAAATTAGCCTAATTCACCACCAAAAAGTAAAGCACACTGTATGTCATAGACAAAGAAGTCCATAACTTACCTAACCACCCGCCCCATCTCTCACTATCCACCTCCAAAACCCCACCCTCCGCAATATTAAACCCCGTACTAACCGTAGCCCCCGCACTAGGGCTCACGCTAACCTCCACATTTCCCTGCACAGTATGCCCAGTTACCAACGCCAGCGCCCAGGGTGCCTTGTTAGGTGCCTCGTAGTGCACAGTCGTGTTGGAGAGGTCGAACGTTGCGGCATTTGCGGGGTCGCGGAAGACGGGGTTGCTATTTAGCGGGCCTGTGGATTGGGTGGAGAGATAGAGGTTGTTGCGGGCGGTGTTGGCGCTAGATGTCACTAGGTTGAAGGATTTGTTGACTGGGGCGGCGGTTGTTAAGGAGAGGGATTGGAGGAGGAATGGAAGGAGGTAGAGGAGGTTCATTGTGGGTTGGTTGGTCGGATGGTGTGATTATTTGAAGAGTGAAGGGGACGAGGAGTGGTAGACTGGAGTAGACGAAGGGTAGTTCGGGGAGAAAGTATAAAGACAAAGGATAAAGAAACAATGAAGATCTAAGTAGACGAAGATACCTGCTGAATGACGGGATCGTGACGCTCTTATTTATCCACCAGCCGGCTTATGGAGTAGTTATACCGGGCTTTCCGTAGGCGTAACCCTTATGAATATCGTGATTCAGCCCGCCTACAAGTCATTGATCTTCGTTGTGGCACCGCAAGTGGCAAATGGGGGGTAAATAGTGGCCTCGGGATCCTGCAGATCAGCGGAGCCAAGCCGGAAATCTCCCAACCTCCCTGTTATATGGTGGGTCGCTTCGGGAAGCGGTCGGTAGTCAAGGAAGAGTATGGAGTATAAAGGTAAGACATGGTGTTTTGTGTCTATGTGTATCCATGGGAAGGGTTTTGTTGGATGAGCTAGTTGTCTACTGTATTTAGAGACGGGCACGGTGGTGATTCGTTCTCCAAGTTGGAGCAGAATTTGGTTGTTTGGACGATCTCCACGGCTAAGCTCCGAGCCTCCGACCCAGTTACATCATGCAGCCCCACGGATAGATCCTATCGCAAGAGCCGCTCAGAGTTAGTTCACCATTTACTTTCAATTCTTTGTACTGAGATCTCTCGAATGACCAACGACCTAGTTCAGCTTGATAGGTCTACGTTGCTTGAAAGATACCTAGCGGGGAACCCTGGCGACTAAGCCCCCAACAGTTGGACCGACCGACTAGCATCTAAGAAGATTTCAAAAATTGTTGGATAACACGCCCATCGAGGTGTCTTATCCTTATTTTCAAAGGTATTAAGATCCCACGGTTAAGATCCTCCGTGGGCTGGCTCTAAAGCTCAGCTCGGAAGAGCCTCATTTGGGACACGATAATCTTTGCCTACGTGATTGATTCCCCGCTTTATCATGTACAGAAGTTACGTACTTTAATCCAACCAACACTTGGGCACGTATGCATATGAGTGTTGGCGTTGTGAGCTTGCTTCTGATGGTTCTGATTGCAGGGGTGTCGACCTATAGCATCTAGCTAGATCCCGCCTCAGTTCTTCTTATATACCTCTCTCCTACATCCCCCAAGTTCTGCTCTTCTCCATGACTTATTGATTCAAAACCTTGGCTGGAAATATCTTTGAATATTTCTTAGCATCTCATGTGCCTTACCTAAATTACATTCAACGCATTTCGAACCGAAACAAAACGAAGCGTAATGTCCACCTCCAAATTCATATGTACCAACTGGGACCCCGATCAGACAACTTGCACAAAAGAAGGCAGATACACGTGCAAAAACTGCTTTCTCGTAACCGTCAGTACATTTGAAAGTACCTCTAAAGTCGAGTGTCATATGTGTCCTGACAGGAATTTATAGTACTGTGGTCCAACATGCCAAAAGACCCACTGGCCTCGTCATAGGCTTGAATGTAGGTCAGCTTTGGGTAAGGCAATATGGCAACCGGCCTGGATTCTCGAGCATAGAAAACCTGCATTCATGGGTGATGGCATCGGGGTACAGTTTGGAGGCACGAAGTATCTCTGGGGTAACGTCCCTGCATTCGACATTCTTGAAATGGCATCGAATGAAGGAGAGACATATGCTGGAGATCTTCACCTCCTATTCGCAGGTCCGTCATGAGGCTCTAGTTATGTTCCAGGGGGTTCATGACTAAGATAACTTGAACAATAGCCTCAGGCGACCTTCGCAATGTCATCAAGACAATCGCTCACCTTCCGAGCAGTTATGACCATTCTCTCGAAATCACAATCAATGACCGAGATCTTGACATAGCTGCTCGTAACTTGATCTTCCTTCTCGTTGCACTGATTGTCGAGAATCGCGATGAAGCTATCGATTGCATCATTCATCTCTGGTACTCGGCTCTCGTCCGCGTCTCTGATATTGAAATTCTCAACAATCAAATTCGGCCCCTGATTCAAGATGTTTGTGAAAAGGTCAAAAGCAAGTCACCTAAAACCATTTTAGGGAAGACGTGGACATTTGGAAAGCGCAATTTGAGAATTGTTCTGCAGCAAACATCATGGAATCGTCTTTTATCCTTTTTTGACAAGCCAGTCGGCTTAACGGCCGAAATGGCATCTCAAATCCGAGCAGACAATACCCTAGCTCACTCGAGAAGGGACTATCGCGATCGATATATGACATACCTTACACCCCCCAACGAATCTCATTCCACAAGTTTCGCCAGGATGGGCTTTTGCTTCCGTTCGGATTTCCTCGTCATGATTTTACAGAGCCAAACCCGTACGTCACCGGAGCAAGTACAGGATTTGAAGTTATACTGACCTATAATAGGACTTTCTTTCAAACCATTGATATGTGGCCGATGAAAGACAACGCAGATCCTCACCATGGGTGGTCTTTAGAAGAGGTTTCCAATACATCAAGTGGAGCCGCAACTGCTGATACTTACGGCAAACTTTTCTTCTATATTCGCGGCGTTCTTGATTCCTTTCTAGATCGAGTTTCAGATCTGAGAGTTTCCTTCAAACTTCTCAATTTTGATGCCTTTGACCTCCCTGATCACCTGGATGCCGGTTCCTTTAGTCGAATTGATGTGAGTAGCGAATACCTGATTGTCTCCTATTTTTACCCAGTGTGCCGCTGCAAAAGGAGATAGATATTTCAGTGGGAGTCCTTACTTATGGCAAAAAACTAATCTCACTCTATAGGTATCAAACATCTCGGATATTGGCTGGTTGGGAATACACCGCACGCTGTATTTGATGGTGCCCTTACTTCAGACTCCTGCGCAAAACCCACACGCCACCTTGATCACCCTCTTTATGAACGCCGTGGATGAGACACTGACAGTTGAAGACCAAATGCAGGGTCTGACTCCAAACAGCCGAGCAACGAAGACTCTACTCCAATACCTTCCCCCGACAGGAAAGCCAAGTTCTACGCATGATCCTACGTTGATCAAATTTTCATATGGTCGGGAACTTGTCGGAACATATGACCATATATTTGAAAGGTATTTAGACACGATGTTATTGATAGATATCATCCAAATTGACAACGCTCCGTGCTAATACTGATAATAGATACATGAGAAAGTTTGAGATCCGCAAGGCCGGTGACCTTCTCGGCGCGATGATGAAGGAAAACCACACTATCATTGAGAAATGGCCGTATAGGTTGAAACTTCGACCAGGTCAACCTGGAGCTCAAGATGAGTTTGACCGGCGCATGAGAGATGGCGTTTCGGGGAAGGAGCGATATGTTGAGTGGAAGAGAGTCCATCAAGGTATCTTGTAAAGAGGACCAAGCCTATCTATGTTTTAGCTATCTCTTCTACTGATTCTCTAGTGCAAATACATCATTCCGATTCTCCAATCCCTGAATCCGGCATCCACCCACTATTTTTATATAGTCCCTAGGAATAGAACCGGTACCGCTTTGTCAATAAACTCAAGATAGAAATCGTCGCCGCGGGTATCATGACCGTCAATGGCTTTCATATTCATCTTTAGCGTATTGATCTTCAATTGATATACCAGAAAGCAATCCAACCTTACCTGGTAGCCTAGTAGTATATTATAATGACCACATGCGAATCCTAGTTGTTATATGTCCGTCTTCATCTGCTTTTGTGATTCGCTAGCCTGTTCGTACGTGGTAAGATGTAACTAGCCATTTCAGGCAGCATAAATAGGCTAAGACGTTCGGTTGGCTGAATCTAGCCTCTGCCGCCTATGTCTCGTATTTTGGTAGCTGTTAACGTGGCTCCTCAGATACTGCACCGAATAGAGGTACAAGGTGGACGCGGGGATCCCAGTCGATCTCGACCGAATTTCGTAGGATATGCGCACAGTTCGGTCATCTCAGCGCCACGGGTAGGATCACCATCTAAACCTGATAGCATATTGGTAATTCTAGAACCTCTCCAGTCGTGACACACATTATCCATGATCAGCGTTGATCTACTCAATAGTTCTATCAAATACTCCATCTTGTTTACTGTATATACCCCTCAAAGGCGGTTCCAATGATCATGCTCCTCAACCTCCACCGTGACATCCACTGTCTTTAGCACCGCACCCTTCCCTTGAGCATCCTGCGTCAAATGCCTCGTACTCTCCGTCCCCTCACTCGAACTAGACTGCCTAGCATCATCCTCATTCTGATTCAAATTCCGACCTGACGTAACCTCAGTGATAACCCCGGTCTGACCTCCCCACCCATCAAACATTGACCGCCCATTCTTTTTCGACCGCCCACGCGACCGTGACCGCGAGTGCGACTGGCTTGCTCCGGAGGAAGATTGATTGATATATCCGCTGACCTTGGTCTGTGGGAGCTCGAGCCCGATTGCGTCGGGAATTTGGGTGGTGGTTAGGCCTGAGTGTAGGCCGGCGAAGATGTGGTAGAGGGTTGGGACGCAGGCGATTACGACTGTTGTGAGCATCATTGCCTGGCCAATCACTTCCCAGTTGACGATATCCCCTATATGCTTGTCAGATAATTGGCGGGGTGGAAAGGGAATGGAGAGGTCACGAACAGGAGACGTCGGTTGAGTGGACGAATGAAGGTAGAAGAGCTAGATGGGCGATTCCGAGGCCGACGATACTGTGATTATTTAGTCAATTTTTTTGAAACCTCTCTGGAGTCAATGCTAACATACAGTAGGCGCGAAGAGAAGGAGGACAGGATCTTCACCCGTTTGGACAGGACCATCTGGACATTCCGCATCATAAGGAACGGTAGGACAACGATGCTAACCTCTGTGAGGATGTTGAGGACTGCGATCGGGTAGAATATGGCTCCCTGTTTGAGATTAGATGATTATTAGAGTCTATTTTGGCTCAGTTTCCTGGTGTATACTAACCTGTCCAGCACATCGCTTCGGGGAGTATAGCCACGGAGCGGGCATTTCACACTGAAAGGCTATACCAAATACTGCGAAGATCGCCCAACCGACAACTATACCAGCAGTGATAACACAGCTGCGACGCAGACTCTTGCTCGGCGTTAACTTCCAAACTAGCAGAATGGTCGACATTTTGGAAAGCGACAAGACAATGATGAGCAGAATGTGAGCAGCAAAAGCGAACTTGTTCCAGGCTTGGATATCGCCATCGCTAAGTCGTGCCTCGTGCTTCCCCAATCCATTATCAACTCCCTTTTGTAAGACAACGACTTGAATAATTGAAAGAACCAAAGCTGCCCAGATGGGAGTATTGACCGCTGTCCGTCGCTGCTTGAAATAAATGGCCGAACTGAACTTAGCCAGCACAAATATTATGGCCACAATCAAAAGGGACACCGAGGTCAAGGTGATGATAGTACCGCGATTATCGCTTGACAGGGCCTGAAAGGCGTTCGTTTGGTCGGCCATCGTACCATGACATCGTCTTCAAAGGGTTTGAAAACTTGCAGAGATGGGGCGCCAGCATATAATAATAAGAATCTACTTCTCGCATCCCTGACACCAATTCTTTCTGCTGAAAACTTTACAATCCTTGTTCTTTCTTCGAGTCCGGCTCTTAGTCCCTGCAAGTGCAGGGGGGCACACGAGGTGGCTGCTGGTTTGGCGTGGTGCCATAGCATTTCATCGGGTGCAAGGATACCAATCCTTCCAATACACTACGATATCGGTTAAATTGTACAATTGAGCAAAGGTACCACTGGTTTGTCCGATATGGCTCCGATAATGGAATTGTCCAAACATATGGCCCCAAACAGACCCGAGATCGTGGGGGTGGGGGCGTCGGAGTTCCATCCAAAAGGTTTATAAGGCCGCGTCAACTGCGCTAGAAAAGACCGGCTTCCTTTACTAGGCCCTAAAGAACATTAGCGGCCCACGAGAAAGCGCGGAGACCGGACCGTGCCATATTGATTATGTGGCCCAGTGGCCCCAATGATCTCCGGAGAGTCCAGATGCAGCACTAGATTGCACCGGTCTTGTTACTAGAAATGCCAACGACAAGGGTATGCGTCGAAGCGAAGAGCACTGTCTCAACGCGGCGTAACGACTCGCATCCAAAGTGCCGACTATTCGTTTCGAAATTATTTTGCAATCAAGATCCCTGTCTAGCCCCTGTTTCTGGAAATGAGGAGACAAAGATAGTCCCCAAATACTTCTTGCCTGCCTCGGGCCCTCGGGTCGACTCGCCAATTTTCTATCGACTTTTTTTTTCTTTTCTCTTCTTCTTCAACCTTCAACTACTAGTCTCTCCTTAACAGTATTTTAATATGCAGGAAGAGATGGAAATGAAGAGTGGGAGTGCTGTGCGATCAGGGCCAGTAAGAAGTGGAAATGGTGGCTATGAGAGCGTTACAGTGCGAGAGAAACAACAATTGGAGGTAAAATGACAAGCATTCTAATTGACCTTCACAAAGTCTAATCGTTCAAACAGAGATATCTCAACTTCTTCTCATCGGTCGCGTTCTCCGCTTGCCTGCTTGCCACTTGGGAATCGGCCGGTGGTAGTTTGCAAGCCGGACTGTACAATGGCGGTCCTGCAGCGATCGTTTATGGAATTATCTTGAGCACCTTGGGCAATCTGGCCATTGCATGCTCTTTAGCTGAGCTTGCCTCCTTGTAGGTGCCCAATTGATTTTTCTATGACAACCTCAGTGCTAACCTCGGGCTGAACAGACACCCAACTGCAGGTGCTCAATATCACTGGAGCTATTTCCTCGCCCCTCGTGGTCGTCGATTCATCAGTTTCTTCCAGGGTGAGCACGTGTTCTGCTATTTCTCTTCGTTTATAGCCGCATACTAAACATATCAGGCTGGGTCACCGTCTTCTCCTGGGCTGCTCTCGTCTGCATCGCCCCATACTTCATCGGAACCCAAATTCAGGGCCTGGTTGTTCTGGCGTACCCCGAATATGAGCTTGTGAGATGGCGCAGTACGCTGCTCATGTGGGCAGTTGCAATCATCCCGGTTGGTATCAATATATTTGCGCGTCGCATTCTGGGAGCAATCGAGGTTGCTGCGGGCATCATGCATGTCGTCTTCCTACCAGTTACCATCGCAGTCTTGGTTATCCTCGCCCCTCGAAACCCCAACGAATATGTCTGGGAAACCTTTGTCGGCGGCTTGAGTGGCTGGGAGAATTTTGGAGCTGTGTTCTCTGTCGGTCTTCTCGGTGTTATTACACCCTTGGCTGGTACGTTCCCTCCCTCCACTATCAGCATAGGTATTCATTCTAATCCACATACCAACAGGTGTTGACGGCGTAATCCACATGGCCGAAGAAGTCAAGAATGCCAAAGTAGTCGTCCCCCGATCCATGATCTACGGCACCCTGATCAACGGCGTCATGGCATTCGGCTACCTGATCGCCGTCCTCTACTGCATGGGTGACTACGTGGAAGCACTTACCAGTGCAACCGGCTACCCCATCATCACAATCGTCTACCAAGCAACCGGGTCCAAGCCAGCCACCTACGTCCTCATGGCATTGGGTATGCTCCCAGGCTGGATTGCCCTTTTCAACGGCCTCGCCTCCGTCACACGTCTCACCTGGGCGTTCGCTCGAGACAACGGACTCCCCTTCTCCGACTTCTTTGCCCGTGTCGACCCAACCTATAAGATCCCCCTCCGTGCCTTATTCCTAGTTGCATCATGCATCTTCGCACTCTCATTCATTGTGATCGGATCTACCGCTGCTTTCAACGCCATTCTCTCCCTCAGCACCCTCGGTCTCTATATTTCCTATCTTATCCCTCTCGTCCTCCTGGTCGTGAAGCGGCTCACCGCCCCCCAGGATATTCCTCAGGGAACCTTTAGTTTGGGCAAGCTCGGCCTGCCCATGAACCTTGTTGCCATTCTCTTTGCGACTTATTTCGCCATTTTCCTTCCTTTCCCGTCGACATTGCCCGTTACCGCGGAGAATATGAACTACGCTGGACCCGTGCTTGGATTTGTTATGTTGTTTGCTTGTGGAGATTGGATTGTTCGTGGACGGCATAAGTGGGAAGGCCCAACTATGAGGCCTTATGATCGCACCGAGTAAAACTCGGGAGGTGTGAATTGATGGAATAGGGCTGAAAAGTTGCTAATGTTGTGCCAGGGTAAAATCTGTCTGATTAACCAGTGCCAGCTGATCAGGTAGAGAGTTTAGTACCAAATGCATAGCTTAATAGACCCGAACTAGTTGTAACCCAAATTGACATGTACTTATACCACGGAATTGAAACTTCAAATATTCAGAGAAAACTTTAGAAGGGGGGTTTCAATCATGAGTTCAGCTCCCACCCAACGTCTCCGGATCATAGTGACCCATCTCTGACTCTATACTAAGTAAGCGGAGATAATAATTCAAACCGGCTCCTAGTTCCTAGTTGCTAGCACTAGGGCTCCTATTGCAAAAGCAATCTCCCTGTCCTAACCGTTTAACAAGACAGTCTCTATACTTCCATTCACAAGCAGCAAGCAACGGATCTTGAAAAGCCCTTTTCCTTAGAAAAGGAAGAAAAGTGACCCGATAAGTTCGAAATCGCGCTAATTAGTGAGGCTGGGAAGCTAGACAATGAGCACTGATAGACTCGCTTAGACACCCCCGAAGTGACTCGATCCAAGCTAAATCCTCCATACGTAAATGGCACCACGCCACGCCACAGATCCAGGGGCAAGATGGATAAGCTTCCGTGCTTTCCGGCATTCCCCCATTATAGACGTCGTTCAGGTTATCCCAGACAAAGGAAGCAAGGATTACAAAGCCGGAGCGCCTCATACTATACTCATTGCGGATTATGGATCGGTATCGGGTACCTTGCAGGATGCAATTGTGGCTTGCTGAGGTTCAGTACACCACAATCTAAGTTTGGATGGGTCTAGGTATGTAGACTGGGTTAGAAGTAGGAAGATGAGAATAAACATTTTGATCATATTTTGAGTGACTTGTCTGTCATAAGGTCATGTTCTCGTTTCGTCATAACCCCTGCTCTTATCGTACACGATGCCATCACCGCCACTGCTACCACACTATTGTAGCCGAGCTGAGTCTTCTAGAAGATCATCAAAGAATGGTGACAACTCTGAATAGCACAGACTCTCACGTCTGTTCAGCAGGTTTCTTGGCAAACTCCGGCTTCAACGTCCATCGACCCCGTCCTCCACGGTCTCGGTCCAGACGAGCTACCGTCTTCAACATTTCCTGGAACTCGGCCACACGTTGCGGGTTGGTGCAGTAGTGATTGAATTGATCGACAATTACTTGCGTGAACACTGGCCCGCGGCGAGAAAGCAAGAAGTCACGAATGAGCGGCAAGAAGTCCTTGCCACGAGGCATCCGGTTCGGACCTCCCGAACCTTGCGGGGTTGGGGTACGGGAGCTCGCTGCAGAGGCACCGGGGTTGAGGTTGGAGAGTAAACTTGAAGATGAAGGGCCACGAGCGGCTGGTCGTGCTGATGAGCTAGCGCCACCGAGGTCTGTGCGGCCGGTAATACCGAATGAGCCGGTCCAGGTAGGTAGGCCTATGGGCGTGTTGCGGGCGACTTCTTCAGCACGGCGCAGCTCTCGGGCAGCTTCAGCAGCCACGCGGCGTGCTTCTTCTTCAATCAATTTTGGGTCGGCCCGAACGGTGCGCTTGCCATTGACAATATGGTCATGCTCGAGGGCAGCATGCACACCGGAGCGGGCGAAGATGCCGTGCATGATGCGGTCCTCGGCAGTTTTGGGGTTGTTCTTCTCCCCGTCTTCAACTTCGTTGGTGAATTCTTCAACGTTGGCAACGCCTTGAACAGTGCTAATGTCTTCACCGTCGGGATTGGGGGTCTGCGACTTGGATTTGACTCCCTGGCCACGTTTCTTGAGAGGCGGGGTGGTGGTGTCTTCCTCCTGGTAGGTGACGTCTGCATTCTTGAAAAGCTTTGTAGTCTCCAGTTCCTTGTCGTTCTCTTCTGTCAGCGAGAACAGATCATAGAGGTCGCTCGCTTGGAATCCCTCGCGCTGCTGCGGGTCACGAGTGATCTTGTTTGTCAAAAACTGTTTGAAGATCTGGCGGTGATAGATCTTCTCTTCGATAGTACCCTTCATCATGAGCCGGAAGATCGTAACGTCACGCTTCTGACCCAGCCGCCATGCTCGCTCGCGAGCTTGCATATCAGTCGAGGGGTTCCAGTCAGGGTCGTAAATGATGACTCGGTCCGCGCCGGTCAAGTTCACTCCGATACCACCCACACGAGTGGTCAGCAAGAAGACATGAAGGTCTGGATTCTTGTTGAACTCGTCGACCATGGTTTGGCGGTCCTTGATCGGAGTATTACCGTCCATGCGACGAAAATTGAATCCGCCCAATGACCCGATGAATTTTTGAATAATGTCCAGCATCTGTCGAGTCTGGGCAAACAGCAGGGTCTTGTGTCCGGTGTCTTTCCACACCTCCAGCAGCCCCTTCAAAACCTGCATCTTGCCAGAACGGGAACTGTTGCCGTAGTCGGGTTCATGAGTGCGCAATTGGCGGTCCACCAAGTCTGGGTGGTTGCAGATCTTTCGAAGAATGTCAATACCGAACAAAGAATTTCTTCTTCCTCTGATGATTGAAACCATGTCGTCAGAGCCAAGGAACCGCTTGTAGACATTTCGCTGCTCCCGAGTAAGCTTGCAAAAGATGACTTGTTCGGTCTTTTGCGGCAGGTCGGATGTGACATCAGCCTTGTACCGTTGAAGAAGGTATGGACTGATGGCATCCTTCAAGGTCGCTGCACACTTGGCGGCAGTTTGGACCTGCAGATTGGTGGCCGACGCGTATCCACCTTGGCGGATGGGAATGTCGAATTGACTTTTAAAGGTGACGAGAGTGCCAAGGCGCATGGGGAAGACAAAGTCGAAGAGCGACCACAGATCAGTCAGACTGTTCTGCATAGGAGTTCCCGACAAGATGATGCGGTGAGGAGTTCGAAGCTCCTTGCAACTGAAGGTGATGCCAGCATCCGGGTTACGGATTTTGTGGCCTTCGTCAAGAACAGCACAACCCCACTCGACATCGACGAGAGCATCCGCGTAGGACTGCAGGCCGGAGTAAGTGGTCACCAGAACGTGACCTTCCTCTACGACACGCTTGATGATCTTCTTTGCAGCCTTTTGGCCGGCGGAGAGGTGTCGAGAGTGGGAGCTACCCATCAACTCGGACGTAAGGGCCATCTCACGACTGCTCTCCTTTCCCAGGTTCATCATACCACTGCCGGAAGAGTGCAGGATGGAAACCCGGAAGGGAGGCCACCAGCGGTGAAACTCGTTGACCCACTGCTTCATAAGAGTCGCAGGGCAGACAACGATCGCGGGCTTGGTGTACATGTTGCTGTGATGCAACGACGCAAGGTATGCGATGGCCTGGATCGTCTTACCGAGACCCATCTCATCACCAATGATGCCCCCAACAGACTGCTGATGCAGCTCCCAGAGCCACTGAACGCCGGTTCGCTGGTAGGAAAAGAGGTATTTGCCGATATCACCCGGCACGCGAAGGCCATTCTGGAGATCCAGATCTGGCTCTGTAGGATGCGGCTTCAGCCACTCATCCTCGACCTCTTCCTCTTCCTCTTCCTCCTTGATAGGAGTGTCCTGGGCACGCTTGCGAGCGGCACTGCGTCGACTGATCCACTTCTGAAGACGAGTCTGGTAGACCTTCTCGTTGCCGTCGTCCACGCCACTGAGATCCTCGAGTTCTGACTCGGCCTTGCCCTGCTTGCGCTTTCGCGACGTTGGCTCGGGCACGGTATCTGGCATGAACTCCTCATCCTCGGATGACACACTGGCCTCCGAGGCGACGTAGCTAGCCTCGGAGTCAACTTCAGGCGAGGTGGGTGAGCGGGCCCGCGGAGCCTTAGGACTCTTCTTGGCCGTAGGAGGGCTTTCCAGCTTCCTCCGTTTGCTGCCGCGGCTCCCCGCACTTTCACTCGCATCGTCGAAGTCGAGTTCGGGACGGAGGAGGTTTCGGTGAGAGGCGGTCGGGTCGTGGTGGGCCCTCTCGCGCTCTTCCTTCTCTTGCTGCTGATCTTCGGCGTTAACGAGGGCATCCTGAAGAGTTGAGAGTGAGCCATTTGGGCCAGCCTGGCTCATGAGCTCGAACGGGGTGATCTTTCCCGTTCGCAAAAGGTAATCGCGCCGTGTCTCGTTCGCCAGCCGGCCGGGTCCATGACTACCCTGCGCCTTCTCCTGGGCCTCACGCCGGTCATCGATCCGTTTCTGGATGTCCTTGATGTCGGTGACTAGTCCCGAGCGGCGGGCCTCAAGATTTCGGAGTTCGTTCTCGACCCGGTGGCGGCTGACGGCTCCGACGTGCTTGGTCAGGCGGTCTTTGGCCTGGAGAATCTGCCGATCGACCTTGCTGAGATTAAAATCAGCATTCTTGCTCTCACAGTAAGCAGCAAACAGAGATGGTGAAAGTTTACCTTTTGTCGTTCAGCGCCTTCTCAAGTCTCTTGGTATCATTTTCCTCGGCTTTTTCAGCGAGGAACTTGTCGGCCTATCCAAGCGTTAGTCAGGCTGAGACTGTATAGAACTGAAAAGATACTGTAAATGTACCTGGCGAGTGATGTCTCGTTCGAGGTCGTCTTGGTTGCGCACGTCTGCATTTAGCTCCTGCAGACGGCTTGCCTCCGCGGCAGCGTTGATCGAATTTGGCGAAGCCATTTTGCGAGTTGGAGGACTTGTGGGAAGGGAGGAAAGAGAGTGGATGAGGTCAGTTCAAATAAAAGCGACAAGACAGGGAATCAAGTCGGGGCCAAGGCAAACATGGTGACTACCTCGAGCGTGGGAGGTAGCTCTTGTGAGGACGATAGCAGCCTTGGATAAATAAATCCGTTATCGCGATTGAGGCAACCACCGGCAATTTGACTGACCGCCTGCAGGAGAACAGTATAGAGGCATCACTTTGCTAAGATAAACTTGGTGAGATACAAGTTCAAACGGGGGTTCGAATCCGAGAATTGGCATTTTTTAATATTTTCTATATTCTCAACCACTTAAAGGTGAGGTTATCATTAAATTACTAGACCTATTTTAGTCATTACCTTTAGTCGTTAGTTAATTACCCGGTTGATGTATACTATGAAAAAGTCAAGGTTATGAGATAATTCCCTAATGTATTGTCTCTATTGATGTTGAAAAGAGGAGTTATAATCAAGTCATCCGTCATAGGCATAGATAGGAGCGATGGGCCTTTGGATTAAATTGGGCCTCGACTGTCATCCACTCGGAGATATCCACATGCACATCCACCTCAATGCCAGCCGGAGTATAACGTAGCAATATGTCTCCCTGGAGTCACCACTTCTAGAACGTCCTGCACTTGCCACAAAAAGGAAATCTGCCAGCACCGAACAATAAAAATCCAGTCAGATTGACAGACGCGAGGGCTAGAGGGATCAGGCATTCATCTGAGTTCTGACCCGGTTGGGTATGCAATGACGCGACGATCGTTGGACCACACGTCGCCAAGGAGACGAGCATCCGGAGGCCGCTTGAAGTGGTGAGATCACCGAGCCCACTGGCAGTGCTTCAACCATAGGATACTATTAGCTATAGGATTTCTATTCTTCATACTTCATATCTTATTTTTCTGTATAATTCATCTTCAAAACCTGCCCGATGAGAGTACCCAGAGCCATACCCCAACCCTAAGGTTATATAGTCTATACTCCAGTGTTTGGCTGTACAGATCACATTGTACATTTAACAAGAGGCCCATTGGCCTAATGACGATCAAAGTTTCTGCTATACTTGGGTAGCTCTAGTATAGTTCATAATTCCATGTCTAGGGTTTGGTCAATTTCCATATTCATGGTGATCGTCGATCGTCGTCCATCAGGGCAAAGTTTCAACCCGCTGGATTAATTCCTTTTCTCTGTCCTCCCTTTCCCCCTACCTCATTCCTTCTTCTCCTCTCCGGCAATCTAAGACTCTCGTGGATGTAGTCCCCTCTTCATCCTCGTGTGTTTGGATTTCCCGTTCTCACCCCTTCTCGGGTTGCACCAATACCTCTCCCCCTCTCATCGTGACTCCGTTGGACTACGTCCGTGGCATCTCCATCGTCCTTTGCGACCGCCCTTCCCGATCGTCAACTGGCTTCCCCCCCCCCCCCCCCCACTACTTACTACGACCACCACCGAATTCACCTTCCTAGATGATGCAGTACCGCACAGCTCCCAACTAGCCGTCTTTTTCCTATCTCCTCGACAATCTCTCGAATTGCCGCAGGTTTCCTTCCCTACCCTCCCTCCTTCAGCCCGTCCTGCACTCGCGCTTCTCGCGTGTGTTGTTCTCCCCGCCCGCTGCCCACGCACGACCCCCCCAAGATCGCAAGCGTGCAGTGCACGGTGGACTCTATCGGTGACGAAGCTCAATTCTCTCTTTTCTTTTCCCCCTCGTTCGATTTTCGGGGTTTCTTCTCCGTCTTGAACGATGGACCCTTCCGGTTGGCAGCCTTACCAGGATCCCCTGCTGGGGCAGCCGGCGCAGTTCAATAGTGGGTTGGCGTCTCATCCCCAGCAGCTGGGCACCAAGTATGGTCAGCCGCCAGCCCAGACTCAGCCGCCCGTCGGATACACATACGAGCCCTTCCAAACTCCCGGCAACTCTTCGAAACCTCCCTCTGCCCACCCCAGCTCCAAACCCGTCTCCATGGCGTCGTCTCCAACTGCCACGCCACGTAGTCGGGATTATGTCACCGATGCGGATACCACCATGGAGGATGCGGATCCATACAATCGGGCCAAGTACCCGTCGAGGCCGACTCATCACAATCGCGCGTCTTCTCAATTCCTCAATCAGGCTGAGGAGTCGTCGGCAGCTCGCAGATATTCTCCGATGAATGTCCTGTCGCCGCCGATGTCATACCCTACCAGCCCCGGGAAACCTCAAGGCTCATTCGGCTCTCCTACGGCCCCCGGCCAGACTCGACGGTCGCCCGCCAGAGCTGCAGACTACTCCTCCCCTCCCCAGGGATACCAATCACCCCCATGTGAGTGATTACTTCCTTTGCCAATGCGACTGCGATCAAGCCAGACCATCTTATAACGGGCTTGCTAACAAACCTGCTCGTTCGTCTACAGCGTCCAACCGCCCCCCTCGTCTTCCCCCTCTTCAGGCAACCGACCTCAGCCCGGACCAGTACTATCCGCCCTCCGCTTCCGCACACATGAGCCCAACGTACGGAACAGGAACGCGATCGCCGCGAACGGGCCCGATGCCGTCGCAAGTCCCGGGCCGCGGTCCAGTCCCCAAGTTCCAGAAGATCAAGTCGGTTCAGGAGTTGCAGCCACGGGTTCATGCACAACCCGCATATCGGCGTGCTAATCCCGAAGGTGGCTTCATCAGCGTAAGGATTCATTGATTCTCAGTCCTTCAATTCGTAACTAAATAGTTCGTTCTCCGCAGCCCCTCCAAGCGCTGACGACCCACCTTCCCTCGACGTATCGCATCTGCAACCCGAACTTCAACTACGAGTCCTCGAGGAACCCACGTCGTGTGTTGACCAAACCAAGCAAGGGTGTGAAGAATGATGGATATGATAACGAGGATAGCGATTATATTCTATATGTCAACGACATTCTGGGTAGCGAGGAGGCCGGTCACAAGTATGTCTCTGCGGACGTCGCGGCGTATCACCTATCTTTCAATCTAACCTTCGTCATTCAGGAACCGCTATCTCATTCTCGATGTGTTGGGCCAAGGTACATTCGGTCAGGTGGTGAAATGCCAGAATCTAAAGACGCAAGAAGTGGTGGCTGTCAAGGTTATCAAGAACAAGACGGCGTATTTCAATCAGAGCATGATGGAAGTCTCTGTATTGGATCTGGTAAGTGCCATACGTTCGTATCCACCCTCGTCAGGATACCCCTACTCACCAGTTTCCTCTCTCCCTGCAGCTGAACAGCAAGTACGACAAGAACGATGACCATCACCTCCTTCGTCTGAAGGATACCTTTATCCATCGTCAACATCTGTGTCTCGCCTTCGAGCTTCTCAGCGTCAACCTTTACGAGCTCATCAAGCAAAACCAATTCCGGGGCTTGAGCACTACGCTTGTCCGTGTCTTTGCGCAACAGCTTTTGAATGCGTTGAGTCTTTTGAACAAGGCTCATCTAATTCATTGCGATTTGAAGCCGGAGAATATCCTTTTGAAAAAGTCAGTGCATCTCGATTCGATCGAGCCCTTTTGCGACCTCTTACTGACCCACTTCCCTATATAGTCTGGAGAGTCCCATCATCAAGGTTATCGATTTTGGTTCTGCGTGTGATGAACGCCAGACTGTTTATACATATATTCAATCACGCTTCTATCGTTCACCAGAAGTGTTACTCGGCTTGCCGTATGATATGAATCCCTTTCACCCGTCAAGAAATCATCTGACATCATTCTAGGTACTCATCCGCGATCGATATGTGGTCCCTGGGATGTATCGTCGTCGAACTTTTCCTCGGCCTGCCTCTCTTCCCCGGCTCCTCTGAGTACAATCAGGTTTGCCGTATCGTCGAAATGTTGGGTCTTCCCCCGACATGGATGTTGGAGATGGGCAAGCAATCGGGTGAGTTTTTCGAGAAGACTCAAGATGAGTATGGCCGCAAGACATACCGTCTCAAGAGCCTAGAGCAATATTCGCGGGAACACAACACGAAGGAGCAGCCCAGCAAGAAGTACTTCTCGGCATCTACCCTGGAGGAGATCATTCGCAGCTACCCCATGCCGAGGAAGAACATGAAGCAAGCTGAGATTGAACGAGGTAAGACCGAGCTCGAAACCGACTGATATAGAAAATCTCATCTAATCATCTTACCCTACAGAACTCAACAACCGGGTGGCATTTATCGACTTCGTCCGCGGTCTGCTGACGATTAACCCACTCGAGCGATGGTCGCCACAGCAAGCCAAGTTGCACCCATTCATTACTCAGCAAAAGTTCACTGGTCCTTTCATGCCGCCCATGAACTTGAAGTACTCGGCCCCCAATAAGACCGTTGCCCCTGGTGTTCAGCAGCAGCAGCAGGCTGAAGCTGCTAGCAAGCAGAGGGCCGCCCAAGCTGCCCATGCACAGACCGCATATAATATGCAAATGAACCAGTATCACACTCCGCCTGCCCACACCGCGCAACAGGCTCCGCCCATGTACAACGGCATGTACCAGCAGCAGGGTGCTCCGCCTCCATACCCGACTCAACCACCAGGCTATGGCCATCAAATGGGTCTTGTTCAAGGCCAGGTGCCTCAGCAAACCCAGTATACACCTCAACAGAGCCTCTATGCCCAGGCAACGACACGAGCCGGTCGTCAACGTGCATCGACGATGGACCCCCAGGGAGGCGGCGTCCCCACCACGATCCAGCGTGTTGCCAGCCATTTGGATCCCAACGCACCGATTCGGTTGCAGCCCAGCCCAGCGTACTACCCTCCGCCGCCTGATGGCTATGCGGATCCCAACAATGCCAACCAGCGGCGGCGTGGGAGCCGTGCTGCTGGACAAGGCAACGGCAACCAACGCAACCGGGACTTTATCCGCACTCTTGAGGATGGGGTTCTCGGCGAAGGTTATATGGGTCAGAACCAATGGCACTAGAGGAGGCCGGCGAAAAGCATCCGGGCCAGGGCACCTACCACGAACTGGTGCCTTGCTCTTACGGTGCTTTGGTATTCTGGTTTTTCTGGTCATGGTTTTGCTGCAGTCGAGTGCCGTCACGCCTGGTGCGTGTCTTTCCTCTGGAAGATCGTTCCGTTATTGTCTTGCGCTGTCTGGTTTATACCTGGAACTCTGCTCGGCCTGCCTGCTTCCCCCTTCCTCAACCCCCTTGTGCTTCCACCCATGTGCAATTCTGCTTAGCTGAATGCACGGTACCTTGGCGTGAGTCACATCATGCCTAGCTTGGCAGTTGATTTATAGCCCCCGGGTCCATCGGGTATTAGGCCCTGGATCGACAGGTGTCGTTCTGCACATAGGCCATCGTGGTTGTGAGGGGGTAAAATTCCGATACATGCTCTTGTAGCTTCGTGTCGCAAAATTCCCGCGCTGACTCACCAATAAGTGTGAGTGTGCGCTGACGGCTGGAAGGTGGCTGTCCCTTATTCGAGGCCTCTTGTATTGCCTCTTCATCTGAGTCTTCTTTCCCGTCTAGCTACTTTTTGTGCCTTTTACCCATGCCCTTTTTTTTGCAAATGACGTCTGTTCTTTCCACTTCTTTCTGTCCTGGGCGGTCGCTCTCCTATTTAAGCGGCTGCTGTGTCATGAGATTTCATTTTTTTTCTTTTCTCCATGTCTCTTTTTTTCCTTTCGGCATAGCCTGGAGTATGAAAGAACGATATCATCCCCGTTGCTTGTCTAAGTAAATCTTGATTCACCATTTTTTTGGCTTCGCATTAGGAGATATTCTGAGATCCATTTGCCATTTTTCTGCGTGAGTCTGTTATTGTATGTTGGATACATTTGTCTTTTGCTTGGTCAGGTTCATTGATAGGATTTGCCTTGTCCTGGAGGTGAATCACCATTGCTGCACGAGCGAGTGATAGGAGATATGTGAAATTAGTAGATAGTCATCAAATCCCACTGAACCTTGAAATGAGCCAAATCAATATTCATGGATGAGTTTGTCGAGTCGAACGAAAGTAGCATCTCCAATACAAAGAAACGCGTCAAAGAGATGTGATGGCGCTAGTCCAAATCGGGTTTAGTCAGCCCCTCGCTTAAATTTCGTGTGTGGCTCTCGCCCGCCATTCAACTCCAACTTTTGAGAAGGGACAACCTGCATTGCAGCACCGGATTCAACTCATCCGCAACCATGTCTCGATTCTTCTACCGCGGTGGTAGCGACAGCGAGTCCAGCTCTTCCGACGAGGAGGAGGATGTCTACGAGCGCTCCGAGGAGGAGGAGGAGAGCGACGAGGAGTCCTCCGACCAGTCCGACTCCGGTTCTGACGAGTCCGAATCTGACGACGAGGCCATCGCCAAGGGTGGTGCCGCCGCTTTCTTGAAGGATGATTCCGATAGCGAGGAGGAGGAGGAAGAAGAAAAAGTTACGGTCGTGAAGAGTGCCAAGGACAAGCGGTTGGAGGGTCTGGAGAACACTATCAAGTTGATCGAAAATGCCCAGAAGATCAACGACTGGTCTGTCATCTCGACTGGTGAGTGGCGTCCCCTTGGAATTTTCCTTTTGAGGTCGCCTGCCGAATACCTACGGAATCGTATGATGGAGCGCGGGGAAAATGGAGATATTACAAGAACCCACCGGATATGAGGCAAATGTGGGATGAAAAAAAGAGTCGGCACTAACCATGCGATCACTACAGAGTTCGACAACCTGAACCGCCAGATCGTCAAGATCACCCAGTCTGGCCCCGTCCCCAAGGTCTACGTCCAGGCCGTCGCCGATCTCGAGGACTTTGTCAACGAGGCCGTCTCCAAGCAGAAGTCCGCCAACAAGAAGATGAACGCCAGCCAGCAGAAGGGATTCAATGCCGTCAAGCAGCGTATCAAGAAGAACAACAAGGACTATGCCGCCCAGATCGAGAAGTACCGCGCCAACAAGGACGAGTACATGGAGAGCGACGAGGAGGTTGAGAAGCCTCTGCCCGCCGCCCCCAAGCCCACCAAGGTCGAGAGGATCGAGAACTTTGCTGCCGCTGCTGCTGCCGCTGCCGCCGAGGACGATGAATTCACCACTGTCGGCCGTGGTGGCAAGACCCTGCAGTACACCCCCGAGAGCATCCTCAAGCACCTCCGTGTAATTGTCGAGTCCCGCGGAAAGAAGAACACCGACCGTCTCGACCAGATCAAGACCATGGAGAAGCTCCTGGCCGTTGCTACTACTCCTTACCAGCGTATCCGTGTCTACCTGACCCTCATCTCTACCCGCTTCGACCTTACCTCCTCTTCCGCCAACTACATGAGCCCCGAGCAATGGAAGTCCGCCGACAAGGAGTTCGGTTCTCTGCTGTCCGTCCTGGAGGAGAACCGCAACCTGGTTGTCAGCGAGGGTGCTGATGAGTGGGAGGATGACGAGAAGCAGCCCCAGATTACCGAGGGCGAGACTTTCTACATTCCCGGCAGCATTGTCTCATATATCGAGCGTCTGGATGACGAGCTCACCCGCTCCCTTCAGCAAATCGACCCCCACACTGCCGAGTATATTGAGCGCCTGAGCGACGAGCAGCAGCTGTACAACAACCTTGTCCGTGCTCAGCTCTACGTTGAGAGCCAGAACGCTGGTGAGAAGAACGACTCTCGACAAGACAGCGTTAACCGTGTGATTATCCGCCGTCTGGAGCACGTCTACTTCAAGCCCTCCCAGGTTGTTTCCATCCTCGAGGATGCCACCTGGAAGGCTCTCCCCGAGCAGCTCGACTCCGCCATCACCACCCGCAAGAACGTTGGCGACGTCAACACCCTCATCCAGACCCTCTCCCACTACCTGTTCGCTAACAGCGATGGCATCATCCGTGCTCGCTCCATGCTGTGCCAGATCTACTTCCTCGCTCTGCACGACCAGTACTACCGCTCTCGCGATCTGATGCTCATGTCCCACTTGTCCGAGAACATCTCCAACTTCGACGTCAGCACCCAGATCCTCTTCAACCGCACCCTTGTCCAGATCGGTCTGTGCGCTTTCCGCGCCGGTCTCATCTACGAGGCCCAGAACACCCTCGGTGACATCTGCGGTTCCGGCCGGCAAAAGGAGCTGCTGGCTCAGGGTATCATCCTCCAGCGGTACTCGACCGTCTCCCCCGAGCAGGAGCGCCTCGAGCGCCAGCGCCAGCTGCCCTTCCACATGCACATCAACCTCGAGTTGCTCGAGTGCATCTACCTCACCTCCAGCATGTTCCTTGAGGTTCCCCTCATGGCTCAGACTTCCTCCGCACCCGAGATGCGCCGCCGTATGATCTCCAAGACCTTCCGCCGCATGCTCGACTACAATGAGCGCCAGGTGTTCACCGGTCCTCCCGAGAACACCCGTGACGGTGTCATCATGTCGGCCAAGTTCCTCGCCGCCGGTGACTGGAAGAAGGCTGCCTCCATGCTGTCCTCTATCAAGATTTGGGACCTCATGCCGCAGCCCGAGAAGGTCAAGGAGATGCTCGCTGCCCAAACGCAAGAAGAGGGTCTGCGCACATACCTGTTCACCTACGCTCCCTTCTACGACAGCCTCTCCATCTCCTCTTTGGCTGATATGTTCGAGCTCCCCGCCAAGAAGATCGCTGCTATCATCAGCCGCATGATCTCCCACGAGGAGCTCGCCGCTGCCCTTGACCAGGTCAACGACGCCATCGTCTTCCGCAAGGGTGTCGAGCTCTCCCGCCTGCAGTCCCAGATCGTCACTCTCGCCGACAAGTCCATGGGTCTGCTCGAGTCCAACGAGAAGACCCTCGAGCAGCGCACCCAGGGTATGGCTAATGCCTTCCAGCGCGAGCAGGGCCCCGGTGCCCGTGGTGGTCGCGGTGGTCGCGGCGGCGGTGGTCAGGGCCGTGGTGGTGCCCGGATTCCCGGTCAGCAGGGTCGGAGACCCGGTGGCCAGCAGTTCGGCGGCGGTGCATTGGGCGGTGCAATCAAGGCTTAAACGGGATTTCTTTGTCTTTTGATGTAATGGCATGCCTTGGTTTCTTCATCTCCTTTTTAACAAACCTTTTTCCTCTTTTTTATCTCTCTGTCATGGTCTCCTTTTCTTCTTTTTCTTTTTGCACTCTCTCCCCCTCCCTCCCTCCCGCCCCTTTCTCATGCCGTTTCTGATCACGAGTGAAATCCGCTCGTGACTGTCCCATGATCCAAAATGAATGAATACAAATGGTTAGAAAGTTAGTTGTTTTTTGTAGATGTGTGCTGTGTAGTGCTAAGGGGTGTATACCCTATGGTTGGGTGCCTTGGACACTTGGTTTACGGTTATAGGAATAACTAAAAAGCTGAGTGTTTTAACAGACGAGTAGAAAGAAGACCTCCAAGTGCCTGGTTGTCTAAGATCTAGGCAAGGACGGCTTCCACTTTTGACCTTTAGTGCTCTCGGTGATATCTATCGTGTCATGCTTTGCAAGTGTGGATTTATTTCCATTATTGCAGTGATGCAGAGCTACTAGAGATCAATATTTTGAAGAGTATTTAAGACTAGAGAATCAAAATTCACGACGATCTATAGCGTATACAAGAAACTTATATCCAATGAAATGTAACATTCACCAAAGAAATCAGCACCCCAAGACTGAACCCAACTCAATACCCAGGAGACGAATTGCACAGATGCTTCGGACTCTGAAACCCATCCATATTAGCAGCATGAATAAAGTCCTTCGTCTTCTGCAAATCACCCCCACAAATCGGCCCACACCAAACAGGCCGACTATCATGCCCATACGGTTGGAGAATATACTGCTTATCCTGATAATCCGCATTGACAGCAGCACCAACATCACAAACGGGGATCGTAAAAATACCCTCCCAAGCAGCACCCTTCGCACCAGGACTCGCCCACGCATTGGAAATAGCATCCTCAGCACGCGCCTTGGCCGTGTCAGCATTATAATTGTATCCAGCAACATTGTACGCATCAAGCGAGGAATTGATAATATCCTGCACCGAGACACCGCTGTACTCATTCGAGCCCAACTTGTCCGCGCCAGGTGGACTAGCAACCCACCCCCACTGATGGGATGTCGTTGAGATAACGTCGTTCTCTTGCCAATAGTACAAGTACCAGGCCTTCCCGTCGCGGCAGACGACGGCGTCCTGCGGCCCCGAGCCGATACCCTGGTTATCGTTGCAGGCGCCGCCGCCCATGACGAAGATCTTTTGTTGGCGGTAGAGGGTGTTTATGGCTGTGCCGACGAGCATGTTGGTCATTGAGTCTGTGACGGCGTTTTTGTCGACGCCGGGGAAGTCGAGGAAGGCCCCGTGTGAGATGTAGCTGCGGATGTCGGCGTTGCCGTAGGATTTACCGGCCATGAGCTCGTTGTTGGCTGTTGTGAAGGATTTGAGGGAGTCGACGACGATGGTTCCTAGGATGCCGCCTAGGTCGGCGGATTTTTGGAAGGTGTCGTCTTTACTGGGGGTTTGTTAGTAGGTGTGGATTGATATTGGGATGTTGATGTTTGGTGTAGGGTAGAGGGGGACGTACTGAGTACCGAGGACAATACTAGCAGCACCGTTGGCACCACCTGCAAGTGCAGCGCCAGCACCAGCGAATGCACCGACGACCTCGCCTCCTCCAAGACCTGCAAAGGAAGCACCGATACCGATGATAGTCACCACAGCGTTGAGCACCTCCTTAAGAACAGTAGCATCCTTGTCATCCTTATCCTTATAAAAGGTAGTAGCCCACTGATCCTTCGACAACGCAGCACCCAACGCCGCAGTCGAGAAAGCCTGGCCCACACCAGTGAAATACGAGTGCAACCGATTAACAGATTCAAGCACATAGTACGTCGGCCGGATATCATCACCACGATCATTCAGAACGCGATTATCACAAAGATTCAAATCACAGTCTGAGCTGGAACCGTCGTCTCGACAGGTCCAGTCGGGATTACCTATTGCCCATTGACCAAAGGCACCGGCGAAACCGGCGGTGTTCTTGCTCATTAGGTCGCCGTTGCTGTTCCACCAGTCGTTTAGCCAGTCGCCGGTCTTGTAGGTGTCCCAGTCTGTGGCTTGTTGGTTGTAGTATTGCGAGACGGTGCCGCAGCGCTTGTGTACGCTATTCGAAGAGGCTGAGGTGGCGGGGGCTCCTTGCACAGCTGGCAAGAGAGCCAGTGCTGCTATGGCAGCGATTTGGAGCATGTTGATGCTTCAAGTAGGGTGTATCAAGAATGGATCAAGAGAGGGACTGGATTGAAATAGAATGTAATCCTTCCCAGTAAGACAGATATCACTCAAAGCTCAATGCACTGAAAAGAATAAATCTCGTTTCAACGCGGACTATCAAGTCCTATTTATCCTCCAGCATGAACGACATCCATCTCCCATCCAGCATACAACATCCTCTTCAACCCCCAAAAACACCAGCATGAAACTAGCCTCATCTCACAGTCCACGCCCCACGTGTAATCCAATGCAAGCCTCAATCCCTCAGCATATATCAACATAATAAGCAGCCCATGAGATCCCATCCGCTGCAATGCAATCTATACGAAATGCATCGCTAAAATCCATACAAGACACGCTAAGCACGGTCCAAGCCCCAAGTCAGATGCTAAATCGGGCGTGATCGACAGGGTCTATATAGCCTTTAGGGCTTAGCGGGCCGCTGCTTAAGCGAATGCCGCTGCCAGTGATTTGGTTCAGGGACGGGGATCTTGGGGGCCGGTGTTTGTGGGGGCTATAGAACGCCCTGGTTGTGGTCAAAGAGACTGCAGCTGACTGGGGAGGGGGATATGGGGGCGAATCCTGGGGCTGAGTTCCGTTTGTCCCTTTTGATTTCTGGATTAGGAATTTGGTCTATTGGGTTTGATGGTGGGTGGGGGGTGGATGGTTTGGGGTTGAAAGGGGAGTGTTTGCAGATACGAAAAATTGTTGGTGGTGAACTAGGGTGTAGATCGGCGATACTTGGTTGACCAGGTTGAATCGAAAGGTGTGATGCCCGGTATAATTATGGCTTTCGGTATACTGACCAAGTGCTGTATGTAGAATGGTGTGTCTTACTTCGGAGTTGCTTATGGCTGTTTATAGTATGAAGCTCACTGAAAGGAGACAAGATTTCGGACGTAGATATGATCCAGTCGCTGACAGAACTTAGCAAGACTTTAATCATCATTACCAAATCATCCAGGGATTTGTCAGGAGCTACTCCATATTGTAACGGATTGCATGGTTGATAACACGTCCATTAAAGAAAGTAGGGCTATCACTCCCTCGCTATGAGGAGTAACCACCTAGTTCATATATAGAAGAGAAAAGAGGTTCATGTCAGTCGTCACGTCGTCCAGCAAACCAAGGCAATCAAGGCAATCCAGCCTCAAGAAAAAAGAAGACCACCAATGCAAGTCACAATTCTGTTTCCAGATCAACCCCCAAAGCGCCCCCGAATTCCAATTACCCAAATCCAAAAAAAGGGCGGTAAAGCAGCAAGCACAGCAAGAGGAACAGGTCAATGTCTCACACCTCCTCAATCACAATAACCCGCTCCACAATCCAATCAACCAAAGCCTGGCCCTCTAACTTCCACCGCCCCTCTGACCACACATCACTCACCCAATAAACCCACGGCTTCCCCGTCAGATGCAGGTCCCACAGGGTACTTGATGCGCGACGGCCGGTGGCATGGCCCTCAGCTCCGGCCGATAGATCATAGTTCACACTGTGCGATCCAACAGCCGAAGCTGAGCTATTGGGGCCAGACGGTCCTTGCCGAAGATGCCACTCTCGCTCGGCTTTTTCGCCTGCACGACGGGCAACGGCTTCTTCGTCTTCGGCTTGGTAGAGATCGCACTTGCTGCACTCGGTGCATCGGGATCCTGGGTTGATGCGGAAATGCTCGCAGAAATGTTTGTAGCCTTCTGGTTCTTCAAACTCGTCTTCCTCGGATTCGGCTTCTGGATCGTCTTCGAATGGGTTGTCGTCGGCTGGGCCATCGTGAGCGTCCAGATCCCGGGGTCGAGGTCTGTCAAATCCACGTCGAGCTCGGGCGGGTTGAATGCGAGGACCAAGTGCCTTGCGGCACAAGTAGCACATGGAGTACCCGCAGACGCAGGTCAGCTTGTTACAGCCTGAGGACTTGACGAACGAGAGACCGCATCGTGGACAAGTTCGCTTGACTGCTGCCGTTCGTGCAGCCTCAACGGTGGCTCGAAGGTCCAGCAGGAGCGGTTCGTGACAGATATGCGGGTCCCGCCAGGGTTTCTGACATGTTATGCAGCTCACACGCTGACAGGACGGATTGGCACAGGTAAATCGTTGAGGGCGGATCTTGAGGCAAAGGTGACGAATCGCGTTTTCAAAAAGGGCGAGGACGGAAGACGGGTCCACAAGGAGGAAGATTAGAAAAGGTATCACAAATAGAGGAATGAGGTCAAGTAGGAAAAGAGTCATTAGAATAGAAGGGATTAGGCCCCCGTCCCGACGGACCTGCCAGCGGATTCCGCGGGAAGAGGGATGATAGATTGGATCGGCTTCCGCGTAGGGGCAGAATGGACACCGGATGAGTTTCATCTGAGACTTGAGCAGCGTCTCCGAGGCTAATCGGTCCTCGAATTTGCGGAACGTTTCGGTGCCAGCAGTGTCAAGGAGGACAGCCTGTCTAACGATCTGGGGATGTAGACAGCCCTCACACGCGCCCACAGATAATGGAGCCAGACACTTTAATGTTGAACGCTCCAAGTCCACGGACTTGCCCCATCCCTGGCCGAATAGTGCCTCAGATATTGTCCGCTGGATGCAGAGGTAGCAAATTATATGCGCATTCGCCGAGCAGGTCGCAATCTGCTCAAAGGCGACGTCGGCAAAGCAGCACTCGCACTCATAAAGAGCATCAACCGACTTCGCCTCCTGTTCATTCATTGCCAATGCAAGGCGGTAATCGTCAGCCTCCTGGTTCTCACGCCGTTGGTCCAGCAGTGGTGCCAGGAGAATTGTATGAAGCTCGGCATCTAGCTCAGCTGACCCGGTTTCTTTCAACCGGGGTATAAGCTCACCATCCATGCGACGTTGCCATGTCATAAGCGGATGATCATCTCGATCCTTCTTGCGACGGAACGGCAAGATACTATTGAGCGTAGCCCGCCAGGTACGGCGCGAGAGATCTCGCAGCGTCGGACGCGCACGCCAATAAGTAAAGTTCGCCTCGGCCAATACAGCATCAACAGTGCTTTTGCTGAGACTGCTGAATTCCTTCGCTAGAATCATTTGCACCGCCGCCTTGTACTCATCTGACCGAAAGCGCTCTTCGACCGGGACTAGGTTCTCGCCCATAGGGCCATGCAGTCCTGCTCGGTCATTCAGGTCCTGGCCATCTGATGCGGTTTGACTCTCGGGAATATTCCACCGGCCCTCGACCCATTTCTCTTTATGTCGCAGTAACTGCTCCACGCAGACCTGCAGCCGGCTCTCGCCATCAAAGCGAACGAGTAACTCGCGGAAGACCTCGACGCGCACGTCCGGAAATGTCCCAGCCAGAGTCTCCAGCGCGGCATTCAACTCATCCTGCTCGCGCATCTGCTCCTCCGCCTGGTGGGAAGGTACATGCACCGAGCGGGCGCGCGATGTACTCCCGAAAGGGTTATTCCGGAGAGCCTCACTGAGTGTAATGGAGTGGTTGTTCGGGGAGGACGAGGTTGCAGAAGTGGAAGTGTCTAGACCGGAGGATTTCCAGACGTTCCGACTGGAGGAGGAGCCTGTTGAGGAGGCTGAGCCGCGGTGTCGGCGGGTTTGCGGTGCAGATGTGCCATCGGCGGGGCGTGGGGGGAAGTGGAGGATCTGGAGAAGCTGGGGACAGGTAGCGATAGCACCATATTGAGAGTGTGGTGGGCGCTGCTACATGGTCGGTCTGCGAGGGAAAGTAGCAGAGGACAGTCTTCTTGGAGGTGCGCTTCCAGGGGGAGTTATCGAGAAGTTGGTGGGATGTTTGGTGGCCTGATGAGAAGTGGGAAATGAAGAATGAAGGATCGTGAGTTGCGGTTTACATAAGACAGGGCCCGGCTCTGTTGCCTACTGGAGGAGAATTGACGAAGTTAATCGTTGAAAAGGACACGATCGCATTCTGTGCGACGCTAGGCATACTAATAATATCCTGGAATCTATGGAATCCCTAGTTATTTACAAATGGGGTTAATTGATCCGTGTAGGCTCATCTAGTCATTCTCTAGTCGATTCCCCTTGCGCCCGTGCCCCGTCGGCCACTGCCATGAAATCACACTAATGAACACCTGCAGAATGCGAGAGTGTGATTGATGCAGTGTGAAATGTGAAAAGTGAAATCTCCGAGAGAACTACTGTACACTAGTAATTAAGCTCAGGAATCTAAGAAAAAAGCAAAACAGGCTAAGATTCATTCAAAAGGTGTCATTTGATGAGCGGATACTAGATCATAAAAACCAACGAAACGTTAAAAAAAAGAGGCTATGTATATACAAAAAAGAAGCTACATTCTGACTGGAGTATTCCCAGCTCACATAGCCAGGGTATATCGCTTCAACCGAACATTTCCATATTTTACAGCTTAGCCTTCGCGCCCTCGAGCAGCTCGGCACCGGCACCGGTAATGGCAGGCTTGCCAGTCTCGACGACGGTGGTCTGGAAGAGGACGGTGTTGCCCTCCTTCCACATCTCAGTCTTGAGAGTCTGGCCGGGCAGAACAACACCGGCGAAGCGGACCTTCAGGTTCTTGAAGGCACCGTACTTGGCGAAGACGTGCTTGCCGGAGACACCGAGCGAGCACAGACCGTGCAGGATGGGGGTCTTGAAGCCACCGACCTTGCTGAACTCGGGGTCAATGTGCAGAGGGTTGCGGTCACCGTTCAGACGGTACAGAGCAGCCTGGTCCTCGGAGGTCTTCTCCTCAACGACGACATCGGGCGCACGCTTGGGGGGCTTGTAGGCCGCGGTGGCAGCCTTGGCGCGGGCGGCGGTGGGCTTGGGAGAGCCACCGAAGCCACCGCTACCACGGATGAAGACGGTGGACTCGTTGTAGAACAGGTCCTCGCCGGTCTTGGCGTCCTTGGTGGTGTAGCCAGCAACGACAATGGCGGCGTTGCCCTTGTCGACAACGTCGATGAGCTTGGGGTAGGTGAGGGTGTTGGCGGTAGTGGGGATAGGGAACTTGCGGACCTCCATGTACTGCTCACCGTGGAGCAGCATCATGGGCGAGAAGTTCTTGACAATGTCGTCCATGTTCCAGGGGGTAGCGGTGTTGAACCAGGGGACCACACCGAACGAGGGTAGAGCCTGGAAGTGCTCGTTGTTCTCGTACACCAGAGGCAGGTCAGTGCGCTTAGCACCCAGGCTGAGGTTGTACAGGATGATGTCGCGGTCGACATAATCGAAGGGAGTGCCCTCGGCAGTGAGAGACTTGGCCTTCTCGATGTTGGCGAGGGTCTCGTTCTCGCCATTGCCACCGGAACGGTTGGACATGTTGGCCATGATGCGCTCGGTACCGGCCTGACCATCCTCGGGGTGGTCGGCACGGCCGTCCTCGAAGTTGGTGATCTCCTTCCACTTGGACACAATAGCCTCAGGGGTCAGCTGGACGTCCACGGGGAAACCGTGGCCGCCGGAGCGCTGCCAGCGGGTGCGGCCGAACCAGCCGCTACCGCACTCGAAGAGACCCTTGGTAGCGGGCTCGGGGGCGGCATCAGAGCACAGCAGAACAACCAGGGGAGCAACGTAGTCGGGCTTGAAGGCCTGGACCATCTCCTCAGGCATGATGGTGCGGGTCATGTTGGTACCAGCGTTGGGGGCAATGGTGTTGACCTTGATGTTGTACTTGGCACCCTCCATGGCGAGAGTGCGGGAGAAGCCGAGGATTCCCAGCTTGGCGGCAGCGTAGTTGGCCTGGCCGAAGTTACCGTAGATACCACTGGTGGAGGCAGTGTTGACGACACGGCCGTACTTCTGCTTAAGGAAGTAGGGCCAAGCAGCCTTGGTGACCTTGTAGGTACCGCGGAGGTGAACGTCGATGACAGAGTTCCACAGCTTGTCATCCATATTGGTGAAAGCCTTGTCGCGCAGGATACCAGCGTTGTTGACGAGGATATCGATACGGCCATAGGCGTCGATGGCGGACTTGACGACGGCATCACCGTCCTCGCAGCTGGCCTTGTTGCCAACGGCCTCACCACCCATCTTCTTGATCTCCTGGACGACAGGCTCGGGGTCCATCAAGTCGTTGACGACGACCTTTGCACCGTGCTTGGCAAACAGCAAGCAGTAAGCGCGGCCGAGACCAGCACCACCACCAGTGACGACAGCAACACGGCCCTTGAAGTCGGGCTCCTCGGCATTGGGGGCGCTGGGGAGCTTCAAGCCGTCCTCGAGCAGGCCCATGAAGTCAGCGGGACCGTTAGGGTACTCGGGCTTGGAGAAGTCGTTGACCTCGTTCCACTTGGCGGCAATGGCGCCGGGAGTCAGAGACGAGTCGGTCTTGAGGAGAGCACCCTTGGCTCGCTCCCAGCGGAGCTTAGCGACGTGACCACCTCCAACCTCATAGATACCACCAGTCTCGGTGGTGTTGGAGGAGTGGACGAGAGCGGCAACGAGGGGAACAACCCAGTCGGGCTTGAGGTTCTCCAGAACATCAGGGGGCATCACGGTAGCAGTCATGCGGCTAGCAGCGATGGGAGCAATGACGTTGGCAATGATGTTGTACTTCGCACCCTCCTTGGCGAGGGTCTCGGTGAAACCGACCTGGCCGAGCTTGGCAGCCGAGTAGTTGGCCTGGCCGAAGCTGCCGAAAAGACCGGCGGCGGAGGCAGTGTTGATGACACGGCCGTACTTTTGCTTGCGGAAGTGAGGCCAGGCGGCGCGGGCGCACTGTGGGTTGCGGGGATGATGTTAGCCTTCTGCATTCTGACTGCCGAGGTTGCGGGGGATGGTATGGATGCGCCGCTTACCTTGTAAGCACCGTAGGTGTGAACGCGGTTGATCAGATCCCAGTCGGAATCCTTCATGTTCTTGAAGCTGATATCCCGGAGGATACCGGCGTTGTTGAGCAGAACATCGATACGGCCGAAGTTCTTGATGGCCGTCTCAATGATAGCCTCACCGTTCTCGACGCTGTCGTAGTTGGCAACCGCCTTGCCGCCGGCGGCGCGGATCTCCTCGACAACGATATCTGCGGCCTGGTAATGATGTGAGCGGACGATCCAAAAAGTAGTCCACGGTTTGTCATACCTTTGATGACTTGCCCTCGCCAGAGTGAGAGCCGCCGAGGTCGTTCACAACGACGTTAGCACCCCTTGAGGCGAAGAAAAGAGCATATGCCTTTCCCAGACCACCGCCGGCGCCGGTGACGACGACCGTCTGGTTATCAAATCGTAGTTCGGACATGTTTCAATATATGTGTAATGAAAGTAGCCCGACTAGTTCAGTCTACAGGATAGAACTAGAAGTTGGGGAAGGGGGAAGAAAAAGATGGAGAGAGAGAGGAGTTTAAAGACAAGCTCGGTCGGTCGAAGCTGGGGGACCTCGGCACGTTTGGGCTGTGGGCACGGCGGGTAAAATACCGTGTATCGTTACATGGCAGATGGGCTGGCTTCACATGCCGACGATCGGCCTAGATCGAGGGTACAGTATTTTGGTATAGTTGGTATCGTCGTGTGCATTATTTCTGTTCTTTGCAGTTATGATAAATCAATAAAACTTGTGTAATGTATTGATCTCAAGGATCACTCCAGCTATCTCCTAATATTTCAACTCTGGTTATGCTCGTTCCCTCTTACTGGCGGAATGGACCGAAGACCACATGCTGACTCAGACATGTGACAGACTGCAACGTCATCGCCATGTGCGTCTTTCTAGAAAGTAAAATTATTTACATGAATGATAGACTACTATATTACACCTGTCTACTATGGCAGGTCAACAAGAACTATATAGTAATCAATGTTAGCTCTTGTAGTCGTCAACTAGGCCGAGTAAAACGCAGTACTCGCCCGAGAAAGGCAAATGAAATCGCCTAAACGTACCCCGCGGGGCCTAGAAAACCCCAGATTCCCCCCGATCGGAGAACTTGCCGGCCACCGTAACCGATAGAACTGAAGAAACTCCATCATGCCAGAAATCGTGGACGACAAGTCGCAACATTGCATCCCATTTCTACTGGAGCGCTTGCGCATCCATACCGAACGGCACGCCAATGCCGACGGTAATACCCCGCCGTTCTTTCTGGGGCTCAATGGCGTGCAGGGCGCCGGCAAGACCGTGTTGGTAAGTTGCCCCGGCCTCGACTGGAATTCCTGCCTCGGGACGGATTCGGTCCCATTATTACTCCTCGGGTCAACATAGCTCAATTAATGTACCCCCCCAGGTCTCAACCTTGCAAAATACGCTCCGCTCCGAGCCGTACTCGCTCTCCGTGGTGACATTATCGTTGGACGACATCTATCTGACCCACGCCGATCAGGTTGCCCTAGCACAGGCGCATCCCACGAATCCTCTCCTACAGCACCGTGGTCAACCCTCGACTCATGATCTTGCGCTAGGTGAGCAGGTCTTTGCTTCGCTCGCGGCGGAGCGACCGACGGCTATTCCACAGTATGACAAGTCTGCCTTTGCCGGACAAGGCGACCGTGTCCCTCAATCGCAATGGGAGGTTGTGAATTCCGACGGCCAGAAGAAAGTCAAAGTGGTCATTTTTGAAGGATGGTGCGTCGGTTTCCGCGCCTGGGATGATGAGACTCTTCGCGCCAAGTGGGAGGATGCAGTGCGACAAAAGGAAACCGGCGACTACCAAGGGCGATTGGGACATGTCAAGTTTGAGGACGTAAAAACAGTGAACGACGCATTGAAGCAATATGATGCTTTGACAGAGTGAGTGGCCATGGATACTGACAAGTAATGAGAACCCGATGAGCTGACATTTTTCGCAGTAAACTCGATGCACTGATCCACATGTAAGGCTTCGTACATGGATCCATTTCAATCGCAACTCACTGACCCCATTATCTCCAGTGACGCCCAGAATCTCCGATTTGTCTACGAATGGCGACAGGAACAAGAACGTACCTTGCGCGCGGCCAAGGGCACCGGCATGACCGAAGAACAAGTCAATCATTTCGTGGATGGCTGTTCGTATCCCTCTCGACTCTATTTCTAATTATTCGGGCTAATCATTCTCCAATTACAGATTATCCTTCTTATGAACTCTTCACTGAAACTCTCCGCGAGGGGGTCTTCAAGCCGAACAATACATCTGCGGAAACATCGGACTGGCAGGGTAGACAGCTCCGCTTGGTGGTGAACCGTGATCGGAGGGTGCAGGAAGTCATTCAGATTTGAGATATAGCATACCGCAGTGCCGTTATGGGTTGAATAGACATAAATCGTTAGTAATCTCAATTACAACGAAAGTGATCTCGATTTAAATTCAAAAATCATGGTAAATTATGTGTGGTGCTGGTACTGCCTTCGTACATAAGATATATATTCTTGAGAGGCGTGGTGAGGTAGACCCACCACAGGGTTTCCGACGAAACTCAATTTCCTGACTTCTCTACCTAGGAATTTGAAGATATATATGTGATTGAAAGAGCCTCTAAGGTTATTTGATAATAAGTTGGAGCTGGAAGGACTCGTAATTTCATTTGCCGGAGATCAGCCACTGTTCTCCTTGGCTTGAAGACCCTCCATTTCCAGTTTGAAAGATCACGAGTTCATCAGGCACCGAATTGGACAGACGGCGATGCTAATTTAGTTGCAATTTCCGGAGATTCGAGATCGAGTTATCTGCAGCGCTGTACCACGAGGCACATTGAAGAGCCAAAGACTCGACGCGTCTGATATCGCAGTTGGGAAACGGGGTCCACACTGGGCCTTTCCTTGTCGGCGTTTTGTGGTCTCTCAATGGACCATCGTTTAGTGAATGTTTCATGCCTCGACAACGAGGTGTCATGAGTGATTCGCTCATCCACTATCATCCAGCAGGTTCTGGGGTGACCAATACTCCTTCTCTGGACCCTGCGCATCCAGCCAAACAAGGCCATCTGCGAGTAGATCATCGATGACAGTCTGCGCCCGGGCTTTCTCCCAGTTAAGGTTGAGCTGTAGCATTGACACGCTTACAAACCCAAGCATTTGTATCACTTCAAGTACGGTCGCCTGGTCGGTGTTCAGCTCCTTTGGAATCGACCGGATATATTGCTTGGACCCAACGTGGACGATAGAGAAGCCGGAACCGAGAGGTTCTAGAGACCGAACGGCGCGGAGGATATCATCTCTAAAAAAGCCGAAGTTTTGTTAGTGTTCGTCTGAAGTCCTCAGGCCCGCATCAAGGCTGCTCATACTCAGAAACCTCCAGTCCACTTCCAATAGCCTTTCCCTTGCGCACCCGCTTTCGACACTCTTCTACTCCGATCAACCCGCCATTCTCGTCCCTAGTATCCCGGCATAGTTCCACAACACGGACAGCAACCTCAAAGTAGAAGTCGTTCATATCACCGCCCATAATCTGTGTCCAAAAACTACCCCCTTCGCCAAGTCCGCGACGGCCATTCTTGCCTTTGACGTTACTCGCAGCAAGAGGGTCGACTCCTATCGTATTACACATGCGCGCGAACTCGGCTCGGAAGGTAGGATTGGATTTGATGGTGGAGCTATGCTCTAGGGCGAAGGTATGGAGTAAGGACTGGAAGACGGAGAGCTGGGTCTGGAGAGACGCCGTATGCGTGGACCGTAGGTTGGCGCCATGAGTGGCAAATGATTGTGTTGCTTGAGTACGGTTGGCAAAGGCCCCCAGGCCAACACCGCGACGAGACATGGCGATGATGATGCGGGATGTTGAAGTGACCCCCGCGCTGCTTAATAGTAGGCCTGCGACCGACCGAGGGAACGCCGAGGATGAAGTCATCTGACATGGTCGCAGCCCTAATCGCGAGAGATAAGGGCAAGCACAACCCAAGAAGGAATGGCGCAGAATTTATCCTGACCATTCCCAATCCAGTTAGCCTGGACCCATCGCCCACACAAGCGAAATCTGCCTTCTTCTTTTCTTCGAGCTTTTCTTCCTTCGAACTTTTCCACGACAACCTTCGACAATCGACCTTGCCGGATCTTCAAAATGGCCCCTACTCCTACGTATGCTATCCCTTGATTCCCTTCTGACTGATGCAATCCCTCGAGATTGTGAGGTTCCAGTATAGTCGTCCTTCTCTCGCTGGAAATGCTACGGTCGTCGTCGCCGGTCGATGATGGCCGCTGAGCACCAGCTCGATCCTTCCCGTGCCCTCTTCCTGCTCGAACGGCCTTGGAGATATGCGCTTGTGTTTCGAAAAGAACCAGCCGACAGAAGGAGGGCCATGGAGTCTTGAGGTTGAAAGCGTTCCGACGCCTTCTCTTCCAAAATCATTGTTGTCAGCTGTCGTCTCCGGTGCTCTCGATGCGGTAAAAGCAGTCATTGCCCATATGGAACGAAGAGCGTCAACACATATTTTCCTGAACTTTGGTTTGGGGTGTTGTCAGATGAGGGCAGACATGGCAAGGAAAATTTTTGCGGGTGGTCGGAAAATTTTTGCGAACGTTGTGCTGGAACATGCCAACTAGTACCAAGAAGACCATGAAGCCCTCTGTTCTTGCCATGGCCCTCACTGATTAAAGTCATTCGTCGAGTTTTTGTTTTTCTATTTGCCTTCCAGTTGAGAATGTGGCGCTCTATGCTGCAGTTCTTTACACTCGACGGATTGTTTCATGTCATACATGATCGCATGGACGCACTATACTAACCCCAACACCAGCTCCGTCCCCACCCAGGACCAGGTCCTCGTCCCCGAGACCCTCCTGAAGAAGCGCAAGAGCCAGGAGGCTGCCCGCGCTGAGCGCCGTGCCGAGACCGACGCCAAGAAGAAGGTCGGTTTATCCTCCCAAATGCAATTTCCCCTTGCATTTGCCCAATTCCCTCCACTTCCCTTCCAACAATATGATGAAAACACCAACCACGCGACTAGACCAATGGTCAATGCTGTCGCCTGTTAACCATCTTTCGGGGCTGATACTTTGTTGATGCTACCTATCCTTGTTACATTATCATTATCGTTGAGGAACCTCTTGCTGACTTGAGTTCCACACTAGGCCAACAAGGAGAAGCGTGGCGTTATCTTCAAGCGCGCTGAGTCCTACGTCAGGGAGTACCGCGATGCTGAGCGTGAGAAGATCCGCCTGGCCCGCGCTGCCCGCCAGGAGGGTAACTTCTATGTTGATGACGAGCCCAAGCTGGTCTTCGTTGTCCGTATCAAGGGGTATGTCAATATCTTATTCCTCATACTTGGACACAGCACTGACTTCTTCTCAACAGTATCAACAAGATTGCCCCCAAGCCCCGCAAGATCCTGCAGCTCCTCCGTCTGCTCCAGATCAACAGCGGTACCTTCATCCGCCTGACCAAGGCCACCCAGGAGATGCTGACCATTGTCAACCCCTACATCGCCTACGGTTACCCCAACCTGAAGTCCGTCCGTGAGCTCCTGTACAAGCGCGGTTACGGAAAGGTCGACAAGCAGCGTGTTGCCCTCACCGACAACCAGATCATCGAGGAGAACCTCGGCAAGTTCGGCATTGTCTGCATGGAGGATCTGATCCACGAGATCTACACCGTTGGCCCCAACTTCAAGCAGGCCAACAACTTCCTGTGGCCCTTCAAGCTGTCCAACCCCAACGGTGGCTTCCGCACTCGCAAGTTCAAGCACTACATCGAGGGTGGTGACACCGGTAACCGTGAGGAGAACATCAACGCTCTCATCCGCCAGATGAACTAGAGTGTTTCTCTCTCAACGGGGGTCCGAGTTGAGGATGCGTCATGTAATAATGAAGTGACTCAACTTACAAAAAATTATCTTAACGTTTTCTTTACGGGTTGTTTGTTTTGCACACGGGCTGTGTCTATCATCTGTCAATTAGCGATACCTATGGTCTGGGATTTCCGGTAATTCAATGCTTCAGACAACCCGCAATCGCCTTCATTCCTTGTAGTAAACTGTAACCTTGTAGTACTAGTGTGAAGAGACTATGCCGACATGCCAACTGCAAGCTATGCCAGCATTAGGTGGTCCGTGCACGTGACCTTGAAGTGACTGGGAGCACTTCGAAGAAATTCATGGAGCCGCTGCGCTAGATGCGCGACGAGGGCCCCATGGATCTGTTTGTGGGTGTTAGGACACTCTATCCCTATTGTCCGCCGCGAAAGATCTACGAATTCGCGAATGAAGCAGTCCTTGAAAGATACATCATTGGAAAAACATACAACAACCGCAAGAGAGAGCTTCGAGAGTCGATTCGCGGCGGTCATTGACACCATCGTGACCATCTTCTGATACAGTAGATGAACAGGCTCAATACTATTTTCAATTATTAAGATGTAGTATCCTCGTAGTCCCAATTATCGACAGAGAGGGTAAACTCTGCCACCACCTTGACTTTGAAGCTGTGCGCTAAACCAACAAGCTAGTTAGTTAAGTCCAAGCATGGACGAATTGACCGCACAATAATTGCCAATCATTGTAGAGATGGAGCCTCGGTAAAGGAGAGAGTCTCGTGCCATTATTGAATCATTACAGTGATGCCCACAGCCAAGATATAGCGGAATAATTGTGGACAACAACGTTTCTCCAATTCGGAGCATTGGGAATCTCCGATTTGGGGACTCCTCTCAATTAACATGATGGGAAATATCTACTACGTGCCTCGGAAGTTTAGATCCTCGGTCGACACATATCAGGTTTGGGAAATCAAATTTGCTTTTATACTCAGTGATGTCTCAATTATCTACTCTCATTCCTAAGGTCAGCCGTTCGAGCAACGCTATTCCGCCTCAACCCTCGGCTATCATGGAATTCGTAAAGAATCTCAAGGCACGTCGTCGACAAGACTACCGTTATCACCTTGATTATCGAACAAGATGGTGAGTTCACATTTGTTTCTAATTATGAATAGATTCACCCAAGGCGATATTTGGCTCTTATGAAATAATAACCTTGATGAAGAGCATGATGTGCTGATGAATGATACTCAGGTGCGATAACGACATGTTTGATCACATGAACAAATCTGTATATGGCTTCCTGTGAGGATCTTTTGTAAGTATGATATACCTCATTTAAGTCTAACCGAAATACTCAGAGCCGACTCCGTGATCTATGCCTACCTCATTGAAAAACGTGGCTTTCATCCGCCGACCGCCGAGATGTATGGAGTCGCCGTGGATGCGAATACCGAATTCTTCTCGTCAATTGCTTATCCAGCAGTTGCAGAGCTAGGTTTGCGAGTGAATAAGCTTGGGAAATCCAGTGTGACATATGAAGTTGGTATTTTTGAGCGGGGAGTGGAGGAAGTCAAGGCCGTGTCGCAATGTGTGCATGTCTTTGTTGAACGATCAACAGGAAGGCCATCACCTGACGGTATGAGTATAACTTTGAGAGGAGCACTTGAGAACCTGGTTGCGGAGAAGAGAGCAGTGAAATTGTGATACACATGTGTTGCAAGTATTGCCTTTCCTCAGTTCTCATTTCAAGCCATATGATGTTGGCAGGTCGGATGGCCAAGACTATAGCTGAGACAATACATCGTCAGCGTGGTACCCTGGCCAATGAATTGTTAGAGAATTCAATATTGGACATTGAAAGCTACAACTCAGATTTTGCCATTATATACACATCTATCGCAAAATTCGTAAGGATATTTTTGACTGTTTCAACTGCTCTTCTCCTCGTCAAGCTCTCCGTTGATCCGCTTCTTTCCTTCCTCCTTCAGTTTCTCGTCATCGTCACGCCGCAACCCAACCTGTGGCATGAGCCAGAACGCCAAAAAGAATGCCAATGCAGCTAATGAAGCCCCAATAATGAATATGATACGAAAGCCCTTTTTGTAAGCAGGAATCAACACGCTTCTGACATGTTTGGCATCATTATCCGAAAGCCCGGACAAGTAGGTCTGAGGGCTTGATAAAAGTGACCGGGACTCAGATTGATCGAGATCGAGATCCGAGATGGACGATGCAACGATGTTGTTACTGGAAAGTTAGCATGTGTATAACCGCAGGTTCTTGTGTGGTCTCACATAATGGTTCCAGCAATTGCAAGGCCTAACGTGCCGCCCAGGTTTCGGACAAAGCTGATTATTGTCAGAGCTTGGATCGAAAATCAAAAGGAGATCTACTTACTTTCGGAAGGAAGTGACAACAGCCATGTCTCGGCGCTCAACGCCTGCCTGAACTGCAATAAGAGACGGCTGCAAGGTATTTCCAACACCAACACCTGTCAGAAGACCGTATCCGATTTGCTTCCCAATTCCGGAGGACTCATCCAGTGTAGAGAAGAGCCCGAGGCCAACTGCCCAGATTATCCAGCCGAATAGAATACATTCGCGATAATGGCCGACCCAGTGGACAACAAGTCCAGAGAGTGTACTACTAACGGCTGAGAAAATAACCAAAGTCAGCACGAGGGCAGCGAAGCAGAGAGCAACGTGAAAATACTTTGCATCAACGTAATTGGAAGCAACATAGCTCCCGAGACGACTGTGGAATATCCAAAGACCAGCTGATAGAAGGTAGGGATATAGTACACCTGGACCAAGAAGTTCCATCCATTAACGAACATCGTCAAGCATGACCCGTTGACAATTCGGCTGCTGAATATGTGCATCGGTACCAACGGTACTTTTGCACCCTTCCATTGCCATGCAACAAATACACCTGAGATGACGAACCCCACGACTAAAGTCGCAATGACATGTGCCGAGTACCACTCGTACTCACCACCTCCCCAATTTAGTCCCAGGAGGAACACTGAAGTACCTCCCAGGGCTAGTAGCGCACCAAAGAAGTCTACTGCCTTCAGCTTAAGCCGCCAGTCACCCTCAACCTTCCTCAAAGGCATGAAGAAGAGTACACATAGCGTCGTCAATGCTGTCAATGGCAAGTTTAACCGGAAGATCCATCGCCATGAGTCCTCCGAGATTGATGCCAGTGCACCGCCGATAACGGGGCCAATGCCATTCGCAATGGCAACCACGGCGCCTAGGATGCCTTGATATTTACCTCGTTCACGCAGAGGAACGACGTCACTCACGATCATCTGCGCAACCGTCATCAGCCCACCACCACCAACGCCCGTCAATGCCCGGAAGACAATTAGCTGGGTGACTGTCTGGGAGAGTGAGGCCGCTAGCGAGCCGATGAAGAAGACGGCAAGACCGGCGAACAAGACTATCTTTCGCGACCAAATATCGGAAAGTTTGCCATAGAGGAGCTGGAAACAGGTTGATGTTCTGGTTCATGTGGTCCCTGATTAGCTTCATACTTATTTTAAGGAGCTGAACAATCATTTGTGTCAGGCAACTCACACAAAGTAACCACCAGAGATCCAAGATGTCTGATCACTGGCACCTAACGCATTCCCAATAATCGAAAGAGACGACGCTAGCATTGTCTGGTCCATCAGAGCGATCAGATCGACGCTGGAGCAGGCCAAAAATATCTAAGCGCGATTAGAGCTGAATTTCCCCCAAGGTTCCATTGCCACGTCGAGCTGTCGATAGTATTTTCCTCTATAGCCGCGAGAATGATTGATTTGACACAGACTTACGGTGATAATGGTGCGTTTGGGTACATAATTTGTTTGCTCGTTGAACAGCACATGGGTCCCATTCTTGTCTGCCACCTCCACCTCCGAGCTATCGGGGCTGGAGTGGCCTGATGTATTCTCAAGTACCCCAGTCATTTCGTATGAACTTGGTAACTGAAAATTCCACAGGTCAACTCTTCAACAGCAAGATCGCCCTGAAATAAAGAGGCGCCAGACTGTACCTCAAAAAATGAGTTGAAACCAAGGCTGAGCTGCAATGCAGGAATCACCCGGAGGACAGTCCATTATCAGAGTGAACAGCTAAGCGACTGACCGTATTTCCAAGTGGCACTTATTAGATACTCTTGGCATAGTATTGCTACAAAACCCACTCAATCACTGAATGTACCAAAGAAGACAAGGATCGCCGGGAACAACCTTGACAGCCGCCGATCTGCAGCCGAAGAAGTATGAAACTTGCTCAAACACTCTCAAGGTACCCGGGCCATCTGCGCTAACCCTAAAGGATACCACAACTATGTGCCTATGGTATAATACGATGAATGATGTCTCCGAATTTTTGTAGAGTTATTGGCAAGTTTTGTTAGAGTTCAAGGACCTTAAGGACCTTGAGTATTGTTAAAAGTCAAACCTTTTCCCCAGGGTCCTACGTAGAAATCTGACAGCCAAGACCGCGAGACGGCAGACTTGCATGAGAACACTATGGAGTACGAGTGCATTCACGAATATTTGAGGCCATTTTCTGGAAGAATGGACCCGTTGACAAACAGAGTATGCGACGGCGGGGCCGCTAATAATGCGGTCGTCGCCTGCCGTTTTCATAGTTCCTGATCCAAGATTCTTGACCCGACGCTGATGCTATCCACCGGCGAAAGCCGATCAGGGTCTCCGACGTGTATTCCTCGGACTCTGAGACATACAGCTTCTGAGTAGTAATCCTAATCGAGTTAGATGGACGATTTTGAGTTTGAAGTTCGGGCTGTATTCGTGATCGCGGCTTTTCCTGCTTCATTCATCGTAACCGAGGAGAGGCATTTTTGGCGGTTGCAGCGTTGTGTGGCTAGACTAGAATGACTGGCTCCCCACTTTCACAAACAGCTATCTGTAGACCTGTATACTTGCTCACGTTGCCCGAATATCTAGCTCGGTGGGTCTAATCTGGCAAATCTCGTGTCTCCCGCGTGGTTTCTACCTTCTGGGTGCCAAGCGGACGTAACGGGATGAAGAGCAGCCCTGACGTGATACTGCGAGAGAACTATATCTGCAAGTAAATTTCCGCATCTGATATCACCTACAGTCGAATATCAAGTGCTCTTATCTCGGTATATGCCTTCCAAGTATGGGTGTTGGATTCAGCAACACGATTGACCCTCTGCAAAGGAACACAATGGCCAACTCCAATGAGCGCAATGTATACTTCGGACCCGACTCGTTGAAGAAGTACTTTGATCCGGATTGTCAGCCTCCTTTACCCCTGGTCGAGCTGCCAGAGTATTTGAATCCATTTTACCAGGATGGCGTTCGAATTTACGCAAAGATGATGACCATGCACCCTGCCAACAATGTCAAGGCCATGCCAGGTGAGACATTATCATGGACAGATACAAATCGTTCAATACTAACACTGGAGCAGCATTGAATATGCTCGAATCAAGGGTTGTTCCCAACCAGACCAAAACTATCATCGAATACAGCTCTGGCTCAACGGTAATCTCGATGTCGATGATTGCTCGGGTCATGCATGGCGTGCAGGATACGCGGGCATTTTTGAGCAACAAGACCAGTGATGCCAAATTGAAGTTGATGCAGTTCTTCGGTCTGGATATCACACTCTTCGGTGGACCGTCACAACCAGAGCCTGTCGATGGCCGCGGCGGCATTCAAAGTGCCCGCCGCATGGCTAAGGAATCTGACGATATTGTCAATCCCAATCAATACGAAAATAATGATAACTGGCAGTCACACATGCGGTGGACTGGGCCTCAAATCTTCCAGCAATTACCCGAGATCAACGTTCTCTGTGCCGGCATGGGTACTTCTGGCACCATGACCGGCCTCGGGACATACTTCAAGGGTGTCAAGCCTTCCGTTATGAGACTCGGGGTCTGCACAGCCGCAGGTGATCGGGTGCCTGGTCCCCGATCCTATGCGCTCATGCGCCCTGTGGAGTTCCCCTGGAAGGAAGCAGTGGATGCGATTGAAGAAGTTGGCTCTTCCGACTCGTACGGTCTTTCCCTCAAGTTGTGCCGCGAGGGATTGGTATGTGGCCCATCGTCCGGATTCAACTTGCAAGGTTTGTTCCAGATGTTATCCAAGCGCAAGTCTGCGGGGACGCTGTCTGATCTGGCTGGCTCGGACGGGATTACGCACTGCGTCTTCATGTGCTGCGATCTGCCATACCAGTACATTGGCGAATACTTCCAGAAGCTTAGGGCCGAGGAATTCCCGCCCATTCGCAACGAGGTAAGCTTCCCCAAGTCGCTGACGCGTCGTAGAACCCACCCCCAAGATCCCCACATGATCGTGGATCCTCATTCCTTCTAGATCTCGCTAACAGTTCGTCACCGGAAAGCGTCTGACAAAGGTCGACCTGCACCGATATGATGAAGCCTGGGAGCGGGACGCCCTCGAAGTCCTCCCACAGGTCTACGGTTCTCCACGACCCCTTGATCAGACACCACTCAGCGAGATCGCCCTAAAGCCTTTGCATCGAGTCCTCGACCTTCGCCAACCCACAGACTTCCAGGCCTGGCATCTTCCAGAGTCAATCAACCTGCCACTCTCTAGCGTTAGCCCCCACACTAGATCGCCGTTTTCAGATCCAGCCGTACTCGAGGCGCAATGGGTGGAGCTGGAGCAGATCTTCGGGGACGAGCGCCTGGTCTCGGATCTCGGTTCATACCATGTTCTGGTAGTGTGCTATGATGGGGATACGGCACGCGTGGCTACCAGCGTGCTTCGGGCCAAGGGCCTTGATGCGGACAGTGTGCGTGGAGGCTACCGTGCGCTGCGGATGTATGACATTGGGAGCGAGACTGCAGGGTGCGGGGTGTCAGTATCGGCGGCATATTCCGCAGAAAAGATACCCATTGCAGCGACGGTGTCTGTTTCGGCGGTTCCCCCTTGATCGAAACCCTTGGATATCATATAGCGGGAAGATCTGTCGACGATCTGCGCAGATGAGGATCGTCATTGTTTTTGCAAGCAGGAATGTAGGGTTGGAGATGGCCATGAGAGGTGTCAAGACTGATACCAAATGACAGAGTAGTTGCTGGCCCTGGGCTTTGTAAATATTTACTGCATTTCGATGCTTTGAGACCTTCTTATTGCTGGGATTTGCTGTCTGTCTCTTGTTCGCCTGATTTCTGCCTGAGGCTTGATATAGGTTACTATAGGTCATGTTACTGGATACGCTCGCTGTATATTTGTCTCTTCCCATTAGGAGCTGTTTGATATAGGGAGCAAAGGCATATTTGATAGAAAAATCTTCCTTTCTAGTTTCAAGCTTGATTGATTTTGTAAGTGTAAAAATGAAGCTTGAGATACAGGAAATATCCAAAGCTGTCCAACACAGTTCACGTTGGATAGCTCACATAAGACGTGACACAGTTTTTCTTTGGCCTCGATTTGCTTTGCACTGGTGCATACAACCTTCTAGACTTTGACCCAAAGTTCGTGTACCTAGAAAACCCTTGGTCCCTCGTTGTAACCAGGGAACCGGCCACATCAAGCATCGACTCACGACAATGGCGCTCCTCGTTCACTAGCTTGCTACCACTATGGATCCCAGCTCCACTCCGGCACAAGATAGGTTCCATGACCTCATAGCATTGCATTCGCGGGGTATGGGGCATCATCTGTCAAGAAATTTCATCTAAACTACGGATGTAATTACCCGATGCGCCCGGAAGGATAGTTGAAGTCCGGTCCAGTATGTATAGGATTACCTACGATTACTAGCGCTGACGACGACCGAGGCAAGTGGGGAATCGCGCGCAAATCTGCTCAAGCCTCAGCATGCCCAGCAGCCATGGGATCAGCCCAGCTAGCGCGTTTTCAGCAAGTATGGCGTCTTTTGAATGATCATTCTTCAAGTCCAATCGCAGTGCTAGAATTGAAGTGAGTTGACTCGGCTCAATCGAATAGTAGGAGGAACTAACAGTACTGTACTAGAAATTATGATAGCTGCTGTTCGATTGCAGCTAAACCGGCGCAATTTCCCTCAGATCACCAAGTCTGATCGACGTGGAGAATTCCATCGGTATCGGGTTCATACCTTTCGGTTGCCCGGTTCCCTGGTTCGTCTGCCGTCTCCGTTGCGCCTGCTAGATTGCCGTTTTCGGCGCATCCTTCCTCCCTGTGATTGAATAATGGATGACATTACTTCAATAAAATTGCAACAACATGACTAAATGATTCAAAAGATGGGGAAGCGTGCCCTCCTCCGATACCCCCGGAGCCTCGACCCTGCCAAGCTTTAACCCGCCGATCGGCTCCATTTTCTATACTCCGTCATTCCACCCCTTGGTCATCACAACAACCTTGTGGCTTCCTCCGCTTGATTTGATTGTTCGCTTTGCTTCTTCGACATCAGCAATCGTCGAATCTAGGTGAGGCAGTCTAGGTAAGTTGTTTGATTGGTTCATCATGATGAACATGGACATGGACATGTCGGGCGGTAGTATTCCCTGGCTCGATCAGCCTGTGATGCTACATTCGTCTCGTCATGATATGTGCATGTTATCCGAAGCTCAGTGTGCTTATCGGAATAATCGCTGGAGATACTGGTATGCATTCCAAATAGCGCCACTTTCTCTATCTGGCGATGCTTACTACATAGATACTAATTGTATTTGGGTAACTGCAGGTATCAGGCCGACCATGTATATGCCTTGAACACAGTATATTTCTGCTGTGCAGTTATCGCTTTGTTTGCAATTTCCAATATCTTCGTCAAGATTTGTCCAGATCGGCTGAAGCGGACTCGATTATGGCGGACAACGACTTCAATTTCCCGGTACATGTCCTATCGGGGTTATGGATTCCCGATGCTGAAGTATTGGTCCCCACCTCTGGGTGTCGTCTTGCTCGGCGTTGTGGGCACAGTATTCTTCTTCGGTATGAAATAAGCTTCAACTTGAAAGGAGAGTCCAGAACCTAACACTCCATTGGCAGCCATGACCCTCGGCCCTAAGCCCTATTACTGGCCTAGCGATGCTAGTTACGGAAATAGTCCACCCATAGCCACAAGGGCTGGCTGGATGGCCCTTGCTCTACTACCATTTGTCCTGTAAGCATTTAGCTCCACCCTATTGAGAATATGAACGATGCTAATATACGATTAGGGGTCTGAGTGTCAAAGCCAACATGATCTCTGCCCTTACTGGCATCCCCCATGAGAAGCTTCAAGTCTTCCATCACTGGACTAGCTACGCCATGTTTGTTCTAGCTCTCGTCCATACTTTCCCTTTCATCATCTATCATGTCGACAAGGGTGATATGGTAAAGCAATGGAAGACTAGTCTAGTATACTGGACTGGTATCGGGGCAATTATCCCCCAGGCGTACCTGACTATCATGTCGCTTCCGTTCATTCGCAACCGGTTCTACGAGTTCTTCAAGGCGACCCATTTGATTGCTGCCATTCTATTCATTGTTTTCTTCTTTCTTCACTGCGACTTTCGTCTCTCCTCGTGGGACTACTTCATCGCCAGCGGTGTCATTTACTTCCTTTGTCTACTTTTCTCTCAGGTGCGCACCTATCTGATGCATGGCGTCCACACAGCCATCCTAGAGCTTCTTCCAAGTGGACTTGTCCGAGTCTCTGTTCCAACCTTCATCAAGTGGACGCCGGGCCAACATGTATTTGTGCGTTTCTTGACGTCAGATTTGCATCTGCTCACTGCGCATCCATTCACTATCTCCTCGGCTCATCGAGACCCGGATCAGGCAGGCAAAACTTCCGAGCTCATCTTCTACATCAAGCCTCGTCGTGGAGTAACCGCTCGTCTTGCTTCTCTGGCTGCCAAACAACCCGGTGTCATGAAGAAGATTCTCATCGAGGGGCCATATGGTGGCGTGAGTAACCATCATATGTCCCAATTTGACACCATACTCGTCATTGCCGGTGGTTCGGGTGGGGGCTTCTCTCTTGCGATGGTAGACGAAGCGCTACGACTGTCTGGCATTAACACAGGCGAAGACGAATCGGGACAAGAAAGCCGCCGCCAACTCCAAGTCGTCTTTTCAACCCGCGACGCTCCCGTGGCTGACTGGTACATCGATGAGATTGAAGGGCGTCTCTCGCACTCTACTACTCTTCCAGGCTCAGACAACGGGTTTGAGACTTCGGTTTCGGTGCATATTACCTCAAACCACGGCTTGACTCGCTCAACCTCGACACTAGACTCGGAGACGGGCACTAGGGACAAGTTACCTCCAACAGATATCACAACCACTGGATCGTTCAGTCTCAACATTCATCGAAACGCTCGACCTGATATTCCTGGTCTTGTCGCTCGGACGGTTGCCATGGCTCACGCAAACCCGATGCCGAACGGCAAGAAGCAGCGTATTGGTGTCCTTGTTTGTGGTCCAGCATCCATGCTTCACGATACTCGGAATGCTGCAGCGCTGGCGCAGAAGCGGACGTTTGGTGGTGAAGTCGAGGAGTTATATCTGCACTCAGAACCTTTTGCGTGAGTTCGATTTTTCTTGCTCGGCGTCTTAAATCCCTTGACTGACTGTCCCTTTACAGGTGGTGATCATTCCTCTGTTATTTATCCAGGGTGAATATTTGCTGGTCTGATATTCGCTCGAAATTTATCATTTCAGTGTATAGACACGGGAGTGTTTTGCAACGAATATAATATCTTGTTAACAAAGATGCTTTCATATACATTATCATGCGATATAATTCACTCTCGTGGGCACCATCTAACATGAATAGCTTCTGGCCGTTCTATGTGCAAGGTAAGAAGCGATCGACTATTTTGCAACTCCTGCAATGCCTCTGCTCGGGCTTCTTCAGGACTCAAACCCAGCCGTGGTACAATCTGCACCGATGCCCGGCGCAGGAGAGTGACAAGAACGGCAAATATCTCGAGTTGGGAGAATTTTCTCCCTGGGCATGCACGAGGACCTTCGGCCCATGCGAAAAGATGGTCCACCTTATCACTGTCAATGTTCTCGTTGTTCAACCATCGTCTGGGCTTCCACGACAAAGCGTCCGAGCCCCAGTAATCTGGATTTGTGTGTAATGCTGGCGTCAGAATATTGACTAGGGTATTTGCCGGGATTAAAACGCTTGATCCGTCGAAGCGGGTGACGGCTTGGTCTTCGTCTGGAGATGTCCTTCGGAGAAGGTCCACGACTGGGCCGTAGAGTCGGAGAGTTTCATACTGAAGATTCAGTGAGTGGCCCCTTCATGGATTGGATGTGACTGAAAATGGCTTACCATAATTGCTTTTAGGCGGGTGAGCCGATGAAATACGTCCTTGTATGATACCTCATTGTCCACTGGCAGAGCAGAGAATATCTCATCGATTTCCTGGACAACCCAGTCTTGCCATTCAGGAAAGATTGCCAGAAGGTAAATAATGTAGACAAGAGTATTTGCGGTTGTCTCGTGGCCGGCAAACATGAAAAGAAACAGATTGCTATCTATCTCCTCGTCCGATAGCAAATGGGCGTCATGTGAGCTTAGCATTGAAGAAAGAAGGTCTTTCTTTGATGACGGGTGGTGTCTTCGATATTTCACTAAGCTGCTCATGAATGATTTGACCCCTTGGTAGCTTGCATGAAAGGAGGCGAGAGGATTTTGTCCGCCTTTACGAGCCTCAGGATTTCTTGTAAGCACGTTGAAGAAAGATTCAAGATGATTATTCGCTGCATCAGTAATTGGACTGGCTACATCGGCGTTGTTCTTGTCATTGCCCATCCCCAGGCACGCTTTCAGGAGAACTGCGAAGCTTAGCCGTATCATGTTAGGATGTGTCTTTGAGATAGACTCTTGGGAAATGAAGTGTTTCAGTGCGCTGGATGCTTCAGAACACGATGTTGCCCACACTGCTTCGTGGATGGTCTCCGAAAATGCGACAGCGGTACATCGGCGATGACGGCTCCAGTCGGCTCCATCGACCTGTTTAAACATACGCGTTAGGGGGCTTCTCAAATGTAATGATAGAAGATGGATCTCCTGAAAGGAAGGGAAGTCATACAGTGGCCAAGCTTTTCCCAAACACTCCAAGTCTTCCTAGCAATCTTGTTAGTACCTCGAGATAACCGACAGGATTCACCGTTTGCCTACTTGTAAAGTCAAGGGGCTTAGGGAAGTCATTTTTTCGCATCAAAATCTGTCTGGCGGCTTTTGAGTCCGCAATGAATAGCTCGCAGCCGGCTGGAGTGACAATCGCAAACACATCACCATACTTTTCGAAAATGGCATGTTTTTCCAGAAATATCCAATTCGGCCGTAGAAGTCGAAGAAAAGGGAAGATCGTCCGCCAAGAAATAAGTAGTTTAGCTTTGAATAACGTCTCAAAGCGCCTCCACCTTGGCCCATGGCGTGATATAGGACAGACGATCACTGGGACTTTGAGTCGCTGCGCAGTGGACCAGTTGTGATAGAGAGGAAGCCACAGGGTGCTAACGCCCCAGGCAGCAACGATTAGGACGAGGAGAGATATGAGCATCGTTGCAGATGAGGAGAAATGAAAATTAAAGAAATTATCCTCACTACCAACGCCAAATAATAAATAGACAGGGGGCTGTAGAGACTCCGCTCCGTATCGTTCTACATCCATCAATCGATTTCTAGGCCGATTGGACCCACGAAAACCAACCAGATTTCCAATTCTCAAACTCTAAACAGAAAATAGTGGGGCTCGCGTTCGTGTTCGTGATTTTATCCCTATCCGGATCACCTTGCCGACGTACAACGTACAACCCCCAACATCACCTTACTTATGGCTCGGTCCCCGTCGGCAGTCTCGAAAATTGCCCCCTAGGCAGGAATTTTTCTGTGTCTCACACGAGTACGAACACTGGGTACACAGCCACTTTATCTCTGACACGACTACAGCAAGATATGGCCACGCGCCGCTCTCATCAAAAATCACGTCATGGGTGTAGCAATTGCAAGCGAAGGCGAGTGAAAGTATGTGACCATTTACGTTGATACAACCCGCATTGGATTTAGATTTACATGCTAATAACTCTATCAGTGTGACGAGAGGCGGCCATATTGTCAAAACTGCACTCAGCGTAATGACACATGCGTGTACATCGCGCCAGTCCCCTTCGTTTTTGCGGGCAAATCGGAGCGGTCGGGAAGATCGTCACCAAATATCACGCGTGATGTAAGATCTTCATCCGAGGCTAGCAGCTCCGTCAATAGCTATATTTCCGCCTCGGGGGCGACAACTGGGGCCCCGCCATTGAACTTGGCCCATTTGGAGCTTGAGCTCCAGTGGATCACGCATACACACAAGCTTTTCGCAAGAAATGAAGAAACAAGAAAAGTTTGGGAAATACCAGTGCTTCAAGAGGCACTACACAGTCCGTTCTTGATGCATGGAATACTGGCCATCTCCGCATTGCATCTTGCTTATCTTCGCCAGGATGAACGCCAAGCAGAGTGGATCAGTATTGCGATCGCACATAAGAGCACGGCACTATCTATTTTCTCAGAACAGTTGCATAACATCGACGAATCCAATGCAAGAGCAATGACGAGTTTTGCCGGAATTGCAGTCGTGTTCAGCTTTGCGAGCGCACTTCATTGCTCCGACTCTGACGACGGGCCTAGCCTGAATGCCTTGATTGATATTTTGATGTTGGCTCGTGGGGTTCAAACAGTCGGAAATCAAGCAATGGGGTTTCTTCGACACAGCAATTTTGCGCCTCTGTTCAATATCACTGACCCCGGGGCGACTGTCCCCGACGATGTTCTTACGGCACTCAATACTCTCGATGACTTGAATGTTCAGTATGGTCAGCAAACGGAGGGCCATAATGTAAAGTCTTACGAACGCGCGATCTGCACAATGAAAGAGTTGGCTCCATTTACCTATGCAGAGCCAACGTCATTGACAGTTGTGGGCGGGTGGGCTATTCGAGCACCTCCAGAATTTTTGGAAGGGCTCAAAAACCGCGAACCTTTTGCTTTGGTCGTCCTTGCACATTTTTGTGTGTTCTTGCACATCACTCGAGAGAACTGGTGTATCGGATCGTGGGGTCGGCGTATCCTTGGGGAAATAGTCCTGATTTTGGAAGCTGACTGGCAACGTCATATAAAATGGGCAGTGGTACAAGTATTGAGATAATGATTCATGTAACCAGCGATGAGCTTTTGGTATGATTGATTATTATTCAACAAAATTTACAAACGCATGCATTAATAGAAAAGACTCTTGTTCAACAGTAATAGACCATAAATCATCATTTAGATTCCCCAATTTTCATATCAAACAGTCTTCATCAAACTTCTCCCGACCGACCCATCTCGAGTGCGGAGGCTGGAACAAACTCACGGATCCAAATAACCTTCTCCGAGTACCTGTGGCCGCGGCCAATCAAGCAATTAACCTCGCTGGGGTGCTCATACTGGAGAACAAGCACAGTGATGAACATAAGGAGGGCGTCAAAGACGTAGATGAAGGCCTCGTGCTTCATCAGATATCCATCATAGCCTTCCAGGTATTCCACCACACGAATAACAGACCGAATCAGAATCAAAATACTGGCGATGTAGAGAGCGGTCATATGGCGGGTCCAAAGGCCCTTCAATTCGATCGAGCGGGTGGTCGGGGTCTTGTTGATGCGAGTTTGGAAGACAACAGCAGTGATAGTGAAAAGGCCGAAGAAGATGATTTGTACGAACAGACCGCCGATGATAATATGTTCGCCAGTTGAGGGGTCATTTGAGTTTGAGACCATAAGTCCAGCACCTTGAATTTAGTCAGTTCAGCATTCTTCATGAGGATGATCGGCAGATTCATGGGTTGGAAGAATCTACATACCTGAGGCCTGCATCAAGAAAGAAAGCACGTCGCCAGTGACGAAGAGCTTGGTGAGCCATCCTATCCTGATGACGGAGAGCTTCTCTGCTTCAAGCATATAGATAATGCGTCCGAGAGTCATGTAGATACTCGCGGCGAGGAAAGCGGGCGCAATCAGGATCAATGCACTTTGCATGATATAAGGGCCCTTGGTGAAGTCCGGTGCCTCAAATGATGCAAGCAAACGTCCGACATAACCAATAGTTTCCACTGAGAAGAGGCAATTTTGTCAGCATACTTTCTCAAAGTCAAGCAATTGTGTTCTGAACTTACAGATTGCACCGATCATGAAGGGAATCATGAACCATGTCCGTGTTCGCACAAGCTGGTAGAAATGCAGAACACTGCTCAGCCCGAACAAGACAGTGAAGATGGCTGCCGCCGCAGCAGACGGAGTGTAGTAGTAGAAAACGAAATCCATTGCTGTTTTGTACGTCTCTGTACGGCTTGGAAAGAAAAGAGCGGGCAATGAAGATGCTGGATGCTGTGAGATTTAGAATTGACACCAAGGCTGATCTAGCAGCAGTCTTTATATCTCACGATCAAGCGGAAGGATACCGAAAAGGTTAAAAAAACTCTACCATCTACCAGCCTCAAATTTCAAATCTATGGACGTTCAAAGTTAGGGGTACGCATATCCCTGTTCCTTAAGCTTATTTTGACTCGTACTCGTTCCGTGCTCCTTTGCAGGACGGCTGAAGTGGGGCGTCGGGTGTGCGCCACTATTTTTTGCGAGCGTTTGATCGTGTTCGTGATTTTGTCCCAATGTGGAAGGAATGGGGCTTCAAAAATAGTACTATTCGAAAATTTTTCTGCGCAACTGGGGTATCCCTTTAGGCAGACCCATTCTCGGTGGGCAAGTTTTATGATCTACTAAGGGACACCCTAGAAAACCCCCACGATCGACTGCCATCCAATAAAACCTCACAATAACCAAGGTGTTGAAGTGGCCCGAGACAGTAGTCACATCGATAGTGTCTGGAGGTCAGTATTCTTCGTATCATACGCCTTTTCTAGCCGATTCCCAGGGGCTCGCTGCCTATGGTGGATATGAAAGCTGAGTTGTTTCACGGTAGAATAATATTTAAGTATAGTGAACCTAGGAACTATTGAATGAAAATCGCTTTCGCCACTACACTCATTTTTCGTTGTTGTATTCTTGTTCTATTCTCTCATTTCTCTCCTTCAAAGTTATGGCCTACAAACTTTACAATTACGATCCTTCCGGCGGCGCAGCCATTCCAGTCGCAGCCCTTTTTGGGCTCGCAACGGTGATCCATATCGTCCAGATGATTCGTGCCCGGAGTTGGTTCATGATACCATTTACAATTGGGGGCGTCTGTAAGTTATAGATTATGATTTTTGAAAGCGCATGCAGTTAATAGCTCGATTTCTTCATCTCAGTCGAGGCAGTCGGTTATTTGTGCAGATACATCAATTCAACGGAAACGCCAGACTGGCAAACAACACCCTACATCGGACAGAGCCTCCTTATTCTTCTCGCCCCTGCCCTCTTCGCTGCCTCTATTTACATGATACTGGGACGGCTTATTGTGGCCTTGAACGCGAGTTCAAACTCGATCATTCGGCCGTCTTGGTTAACGAAAATTTTCGTGATTGGAGATGTTCTTTCCTTCTTCATGCAATGTGGAGGTATAGCCTCCATCAGGGCACAACCCGACTTGAGACATGAACTAATGCGATTTCAATAGGAGGAGGATTTCTTGCCAGCGCGAAGACTCAGGACAACGTGAACATGGGCGAGCACATGATCCTCGGTGGTCTCTTCGTCCAAATATTTTTCTTCGGATTCTTTATAATTGTTTCGGTCATCTTCCATCGACGAATGCTGGCTTCGCCTATGAATTATGTTGGGGGGACCGGTATCCCCTGGGCACGGTGTATGAAGGTCCTGTACACTGTCAGTTGCTTGATCATGATCCGTTCAATCTACCGAGTGATTGAATACGCGCAGGGAAGTGGTGGCTATCTGCAAAGTAAGGAAGTATTTGTCTATGTCTTTGATGCAGCTCTCATGCTTGGCTGTTGCGTTGTTCTCGTTGTCTTTCATCCTAGTAAAATGCTGCGCGAAAAGGGATATCAAACGACGGAAGATCTTGAGATGCTAGCCAATCATTATGAAACTGGACGGAATTATTAGATTAGATTTGGAGGGCGTCACATAGAATACTCTGTTTCTTTTCTCTCTCTATATATAGACTCGATACATATAGATTCTGCAAATCGAATAAGAAGGCTGATCTCCATCTATCTGCAATGTACGGGGGCGGATAAATGATCTTCGCCCATGCCCGAAGCTTTTTGGCGTGGCGATCCCAACCGGGATAACTATACGAACACGAGTCAAGTGTTTAAAATAATAACAGCGGGTGTAGCACGTTGTGGCGTTGATTGTTACAGTTGTTGCCTATGAGACGATTACCATAATAGGAAAAGGATACGGATTTTACATAGAGATTCTTCAACAGGTGCTAACTAGGCAGATAGATACTAGCTAAATAGATGCTTAAATACTCATCGATCTCTCATGGTTTTGATCAACAATTCGCTCAATCACTCAAAAGAAAACATAATTCAAAATGAGATTCACAATCCAAGCAACCCCAAGAAGCAAGCTGCGACTGGACATAGCGATATGTTCTCTGGTAGCTCTTACATTCATCCTCATCATTGCCCGAGTAGCCAACAAAGGCACACCTTCAACAAGAGCTAATACATGGGGAATTGCAGTGGTGAGTTATGTCGATCAATTTTAATAGTGGTCTGGATCAAATGCCACATCTTGTGAAGATATAGCTAACGCATCCTCCAACAGTGCCTCAAATCTGCAGTCTCACTAGCGTACCAAATGGTGACAGGGCACGTGGATCGCTTCAAACGATGGGGAAGCACGAAAGCCAACAAGATTCTCACCATAATCGACACGGTTTTCTGGTTTGCACTATTCATCATCAGTATTCTGGGTACTTCGTCGTCGCACAGTACGAGTAGTCGGGCTTTGGGTGTTATTGTCATCCTACTGGCATTGGTTCTATGGTAAGCGACTTTCTCGTTGAATGTTTCTTAAGACTCGAAGTTGATAGACTACTTCTTAGTGCTATTGATTGCGTTCAGAGCTATATTTGCATCCGTATTCGGAAGCATTTCAAGCAATATGGCGTGCTTCCGGAGGAAACCGCAATGAAGAGCTCAGGTTCCGTCTAGAGTTATCTCTTGCAAATGCTGGTTTCGATTATTGTACATATGCATTAGACGCTCTTGGATTTCTTGTACGGCTGGTCAATTATGGGATGAACACTTGCATGCCTGTCAGACGTGTCAAGCTGTCCGTCTATACAGTTTACGATCTCTTCTTGTTTCCTTCCTCGTGTTTACTGCGTTGCATTGTCTTCGGTATTCTTGACTCTATCAACTTTCTTTGTCCGAAAATTCAAATTCTACATCCTATCTCAGTGAATAAAGTTCGGCTTCTAATATACACAGCGTAACGGGCGACAGAATCTCTATGTCATTCCTCGCCATCTTAGACGATATCATCAATAAGCGGGCTCAATCCCTGCGCAGTTCCAATCTTATCCTCAAACACAAACCTTAACTGCTCAACACTTTCCCTATCCTCCATAAACTGATGGAAAGTCACATAATCCGTAGTCTCCGAATCCCAAATAGTACTATTTCCAATATCCTTCCGCACAGACGGAACGCCCCTGGTAAGCTGGAACTCTTCCGAGATCAAGTACGCCTGAAGAAGTTTCGCAGTCTCAGGGAGCTTCGTATCCTTGAAGATTGCACTTGTTTGTGTCCAGCTCATGTATCGGTCGGAGAGGGGTGAAACACTGACCCATCCTTCGGCGGGAGGGTAGGTGGTGAATGAGATTGTCTTGTCTGTATCGCGTAGCATTATCGCTGAGGGTGTATCGGTTCCGCGGACCCATTGGACGTCTTGCTCGAGGAGCTTGTCCAGCCATTCCCAGCCGTATTGCTGGATGATGAGTTTGAAGAGGTATAGCACGGCGTCGTCATCGTTTGGATAGGTCAGGACGATCTTTCCTTTCCATTTTGCGTCTAGGATATCTCCGTAGGACTTGGGGATGTCTGCTTCTGGGACTACTGAGGAATTGAAGATGAATGGGCCGAAGCTGGCTACATTTCGATGATACCAGTTAGCCTCAAACTTTTCAGACACCAACTGAGGATTGGATGCGTAAAGATTTTACCTGCAAATATTGGGAGGTAGGCGCCATTTGCATTGGTCAAGCTGGGCCACAGCTTGTCAAATGATGGGGGCTTGTAGTGCAACAGCACTCCCTTATCTTCCCAGGCATCATAGTCATGCTGCGTCTGGAGGATAGCCATATCGGCATATAACTCATTCTGCAGGAACGCTTGGTTGATTCTGCCATCGAGATACTTGGAGAGATCAACGCTATGTTTCATCTTGACATTCGGGAATTTTGCAGAGAATGCGTTGAATAACGCGTCAGCCTGGTTTTTCTCTGGGGGCTTGAATATCAGTATCGATACCATCTGTAAGGATATTGAGAAATATACCATCTCCACCGTGAACGACGCAGAGAACACCGCTCTCCTTCTGTGCAGCTGCGTAAATATCGGACAGGCTTCTTGAGTCAATAGGGATAGAAGAGAGTGCGGCAGCAAGAACGCTAGGCATAAATGCCAGGGCATTGACCACGCTAAGAGTCGTGAATTGCATGTCGGGATGATGAAATAGTACTAGAAATCTTTTGAAGTGACGATTGTTTGACAAAAGGGATTCAATTCACGACCTACTCATACTTATACTCCTTGCTGCCTATCGTCCACATAGGCAACTCTACACTCCCCTTGCCATGCATTACAAACACCCCAGAGATGAGCGCGGCACGATTCCGTCTCTTGATATTCGCTGACACACCTGTGGAGTCTGACGAAGCTGACAAAGTAGCAATGTTTCTAATCTAGAGTTTGGGTGGATCGTGGACCCCGTTCCAGGATAGCCTTTTAGGGTTGCTGTCTTGGCGCAGATCGCAATACGCCGATATAATTGTGGCGCTTAGTGGGATTTCCTTCACAGCAGGGCAATGTTCTACAAGAGAAGCCATGTTCTGAGTTTATTTTTCTTCAATGAATTGATTAGTTCAAAGATATCCCTTCTAATCAAATACGGACGACTGGGTTATCCTAGGACTATCTGGAAACTGCTGGAGTACCCTTGGGCGTTACCATGAAACGAGCAGGATCGTCGTGACTAAAGCCAAGCACCGAGATAAACAGACAAGGGAAAAGCCCCACGTCCTACCTACGGAATCGGTATATTAGGCTCATATACTTCCAGCAATGAACGGAGAACCTGAAGATTCCGAGAGCCCGGTCGAGGCTGTACTGAGACACGCCATGCCGAATAGGTCCGGTTGGGCAGAGAAATGGGCTCAGCCCCGGACCTTAGAATCATGCAACATCCGATAAACAGAGATTGGAGAAAAGTCCTAGATGATGCTTGGGGGGAATATTTTTGATAGTTGGCAAGTATCTTTAATAAGATCAGGTATAACCCTCAAGCCCTGAATTTATGGTGTATACCGGCCCGATGTGCCTTGGAGCGACGATCTCGCCCGTAAAAGAGCAGCGCTAGATTGTAAATCACGCTAAGTGACTAGCTTGAAAGTTCAAAACGTGCTGGTTAAAGCTAAATTCTATCTCTACTGGCGCCGCTTGATAATGGCACCATGTAGGGAACATAGCGAAATACCTATTGCGTGATCAAGGTTAATGCGCAGAGTTGATTCAACGAAGAACTAGATTATCAATACTGATATCGCCATTCATTAACAGGCAAGACAAGAAAACGACGATCTAAAGCCCCAGTCAATATACCTGACCCGAAATGAACACAGTCTAATGATGTAACTTAGAAACGAAATGAAAAGAAACAACCCAGTAAACGCCGCGGCCAGATGATGAGAAAAATGCAAGATGTCCCAAACAAAAGTATTAGACCCAGGCCGAACTCCAAAGATCTCAAAACTCCAAGAAAAATCCCGAACCAAAGTCCCAGTAACAAGTCTAGAGTGGAGAGGAGAGGAGTTTGACAACCCGGAAACAAAAGGAAACAAGAAACCATGCAGTCATCAGGTCATTAAACCCCGACAACTTCATGAAACCGAGCTCAGTCATATGTGCGATAATGCGTTGCTTCTCAGCATGTCATCATTCGATCTTCTTCTCAAGCCGCTCCATAAGAGTAGCTCTCATCCGAACATTGACAACACCACCAACACCATACGCAGGCACAATCTTACCCATGCGCGCAAAACTGCTGGAAATGTAGTCTCTGCGGATACGAGCCACACGATCCGTCCATGGCAGACCGCCGGGAGGCTGTCTGTTGTACAAATCCAGACCGAGCAGGTGCATCGGCGTGCTGAAGAATTGCATAAGGGCCGGGCAAGCGAATTGCGCCGTAGCAGCCTTCATACTAGGTGTAGACGCAATAAAGTCGGGTATTGAAGGTGCGATGAGTGCGGGAACGTTGAAGGAGGCGAAGATTGTGACGCTATCGCGGAGACAGAAGAGTGAATATGAGACTTTGGGGATTGTAGGCGCGGCAATCGGTTGTAAGGGCATCGGCGGGCGAAGCGAGGTGCGTGAGATCGACGGGGTAGAATGCGCTTTTGGTTGTGGTGAGGATTGTGTTGGAGGAGGTGAAGCACCGAAGATCTTTGCGAAGCGCGCATCCTTGTATACGCAGATGGCCATATTGACGGCTGTCGTGGAGATGAATTTGGCCGGGCCTGGAGTCACGGTGGAATAGGATTGATTGCGGAGAGTGGATGTAACAGTGTCGATTGCATTTGCGGTGAGATATGTGGAGGTGTACAGTGTGTAAATGAGGAGGAAGGGTGTGCTGAAGAAAAAGCCGGTTGGTTTTGCGATCATGGACTTGAGACAGTTGGTGATTGTTTGGCGGATGGGGAAGCCTTTGGATGCTTTTTCAATAATGGCACTGTATGCGTGAAGAATATTGTTAGAATCTCGACTCTGGTATGCTTTTTTTGCGCTATATCAGAAAAAATCTCACCGATCAATAATCGTAATAAGCGGACATGTCAGCGCGCCAGCCGAAGCTGCACTCACGACATCGACGCCGAGTCGCAAGCCCAGATCCCGAGTATTCCATGTGGGCGCTACCGCGGGAGCTGGAACTACCTTTGGGGATGGTGCAGGTGGTGTTGGGCGCGCGACAGGGCGTTCTGAGACCGTGGCCATGGCGAAAGAAGCATCCTGCGCGATGGCATCGCGAGTCATACTCATACGGAGAATGCGGGATCGGAGAGAGGCGAAGATACCGAGGCGTGGTGCATGAAAATGGGACAGCAATGTACAAACGCAGGAGAAAAGAAAAGAAAAGAAATCTAGTACAAAGCCGAATGAAAGAGGGTCAATTACAAAGACTCGCGATGTAATCTTTAAAGCCGGGGCAGATGCAAATGTAGCGGACGAGAATGGGCCGGCGCGGCTCTCCGATGCCGGCCCCGTGCCGGGCCCGATTCTCTGGTTGGTCGGATAAACGCTCATCAATGGAAAAGAAATGGTAAAGAGTATGCTCATGATATTTTATTAACCCCAGAAAAACGCCCGTATACACAATGATATGATTCCAGATCCCAATCCAAATAAAAAAAACCCCCCTACGAGGACTCGACTTGAGCCGCCTGGAAGCCATCCAATGTGACATTGACAGCGCCCGCTTCCACAAGCTATGAGAGATTGATGTTAGCCGGAGATGTTTCTCAATTTTGTGGTGCTATCCACGACATAAAACCAAGGGAGTCACTTACTGCTCGCTGCAGATCCTCAATCAAATCATCAACATCCTCAATACCCACACACAGACGGATCAAGTCCTCCGGCATCGCGCGTTCCGCCCGCGTCTTCGCGTCAATGCTGGCATGGCTCATACGGCAGGGCATACTGATCAGACTGTTCACACAGCCAAAGCTGACACTAATAGCCCAAATCTTAGCACTCTCAACAATACGCTCGCTGACGTTGACATCGCCCGTCTCGAAAGAGAGCACGGCACCAGCGCCCCGCGCCATCGAGTTATGCAGCTCGTACTGAGGGTGCGACCGCAAACCCGGGTACCGCACCTTGAAGCCGTGCGACTCAAGGAACTCGGCGATCCGCTGTGCGTTGCTCTGCTGCTGGTCCATGCGGACCTTTAGGGTCTTCACACCGCGCATCAGCAGCCACGAGTCGAATGGCGACAAGCCACAGCCCGATGCGTTAATGGGGAAGTAGAGGCGCTCGCCGAGCGCAAGATCGTTCACAGCGATGACACCGGCCATCAGGTCGTGGTGACCAGACAGGTACTTGGTGCCACTCTCGTAAACAATATCCGCGCCCAAGTCGAGGGGGTTCAACAGAAGAGGAGACATCATAGTGTTGTCGACGGAAACCAAGCAGTTAGGGTTGGCTTCGTGGGCGGCCGTAGCGATCTGACCGATGTCGACGATCTTGATGAGAGGGTTTGTGGGGGTCTCGAGCAGGACCATGGCCGTCTTCGAGTTCAGCACTTCCAAGACCTTCGCGGGGTTGGTGGTGTCGACGTGGTGCACGACGATGCCGCCGTTGGTGGAGAGGTACTTGAGCAGTCGGTGAGAACCGCCGTAGAGATCGTCTCCGGTCACGACCTCGTCGCCAGGACGGAGGAGACGACTAATCACATCCAATGCAGCCATACCCGATGATACGACGAGCGCACGCTGTGCGGACATGATCTTGGCCAGGTGTCGCTCGAGGTGAGTGCGAGTAGGGTTGCCGGACCGAGTGTAGTCATATTCTCCACCACCGCTGCCGGAGGTCTGCTTAAAGGTAGCACTCTGTGTGAAGACAAGATGTCAGTACTTGAATTCATTTCCAATCGAGGCCATCCAATTCATCTGGTGATAGCATTGCTCCCTTACCTGATAGATTGGCACACTGCTAGCATTGTACTGGTCACTGCCCTCAGTGAAGACCAACTCGGTGGCAATGTTATACCGACGACCGGCGTGCGGGCTGGAGGGAGCGGGCGAAGGGGGCAGGTCATTGCCCTGCAGATCAACATGAGGGAAAGGCTTCTTCGTGGAGCTCGCCGACCCCGAGGCACCGCTGGGTGCTCCGGATCCTGACGCCGACATCGCTATAGCGGGGCAGAGAGAGATATGAATAGAGAGAGGGGGGGGGGGAATGCAGGTGGATGCGTATGTGAAAGAGGTCGGACAATGAGTAAAAAAGGAGAAAATGTAGTCTCCCTAGATCAATGGATGAGAGAAATGGGGGAAAGCAAAGGAGGAATGAGTCGGGAAAATGTTCGAAGTAGGTCTTTCTTTTCCCCCGGACAGTCCAATTGCTATGACTCCGCTCTGGCGGTCCGTTGATTGGCGAATCGTAGCGCGCGGCGATTTCGTCATTCGCTAGTCTCTTTGTGGATGTATAGGGTCACATGATCGCATACTTGAATGTAGTCCAAGCAATCCTATTGAGTCACCGTGAATAAAGGGGTACATGTATGGGTCGCCTGTAAGCAAACAGGGTTACCGTTTAATCTAAATTGCAGAAAATTATTATTTCCAACGGAAATGCCAACCTCCAGGGCTACAACTATAGACATGATGCTTCATGAGCAAAATTGGACCTGATATATTCATGTCCCAAGAGGCAGTAATTGGAACAAGCCCATCAAGAAGTCTATATTAACAGTATTAGGCGAAAATAGCCGGAGTTAAAAGTACACGAAATCAATATCCATCACTCATTGCTGGGCCTTGCTGCCCTTGTCTCGGCTACGACTTTTCGAAGTCGTCGACTCATGGCCACACTCGGCAGACTCGCTCACAGCCTGTACAACAGCAGACCCGAGGGCTTGAGCAGTACCACCAAAGTCAACACCACTGACGAACTGCTCGCTGAGGAACTCTAGTCCAGCAACGAAAGTGCAGAGGGCACTAGCAATGCAGAAGTGGCTGATAGTCATACCAATGTCCAGCCAGGAGCCCTCATCGCGCACCATGTAGAAGAAGTTCAGGGTCATCACGTCCGAGATGGACATGACGACCATGAACAGAGCACTGGGCGCAACTTCGAGGCGACGGTTGAGAATACCCAAGTTGGCGCTGATGATGGCGAAGGGGATAAGGATTTGCAAGATCAAGAGGGCACCTTGGGCGAAGGGGTCGAAGATGGGGATGAGACGGCGAACACTATCGAGAGAAAAGGTGGAAATGGAGGCGACATTTCCAGTGCTGAAGAATCCTGATTGAAGTAGGAAGAAGAAGAACAGCGCGACACGGGTATCAGAGAGGGTGAGAGCACGGTAGCTATATGTCTGTCCATCGACGGTGGTAGTGCTGGTAGGGGCAGGTTTTGATTCAGTTGATGAACCATTCGTAGCTGGCTCTTGCGACTGGACAGTCTTTGAACCTGCAGTATGGACGTAGATAGCGTGTTCAAGACGGACCCATGTTACAAGGGTCATGCAGAACACGAAGTAGAATAGCCCTTCCCACGAGATCGTGAGAATGATGAATGTTGGCGAGAAGGTCAGGAAGATGACCATAAGGCGGTGGAGATAGTTGTTGTTTGGGTAGAATCGGTGGAAGAAGGGTAAAGAGAGCGAGGCCACTAACCATAATTAGTTATGCAAGACAACAAGGAAAGTCGGAAAATACCTACCAAGTACAAACCAGCCCACCGCTTGGTTGCCAATGGGCAAGCCCTCACGTGCTTGGAGTGATGTCACACTGGAGCGAGTCACAATCAATGCAAGAAGCACCATGCCGACCTAGACAGAATGTCAATTAGTGCATGTCAGTAGGTCTTTTAGATAAAGGATCGTACCTGCAACCCCACGATAACTCGTGATCCGACTGTGGTAGATTTGGAGCCCTTTGCGACACTGCCGCCGTGTTCAAGGATGGCATCCTCGAATAGGAGGTACAGAATGCCGGTGAAGAACATAATGAGACCACCGTAGGTGCTGTAGCAGAATTAGAGCTGGTCAAGTCTGTTGGCAAAAGATAGAAGCAAACTCACATAGTATCAAGGTTCTCCACTTTCAGGACGGGAAGAAGAGTGAAAGTACTCATTAGAGAACACCCAAGAGCCCATGTTGCGGTGAGGAAAGCATGGTTACGAATGAACCTAAAGCCATAAACCACAGGCCAGAGGGCGCCCAAGGCAAACCCGACGGTGAAGATTTCACGGTGGAAGTAAGATTGGACCTGCAAGGAGAGTCAGTCATATTCAATTAGTGAATGATATAATTCAGACATACCAGTGCCTCGAGTACACCAAGGAAAGCTAGCGTTTGCAGTCCAAAGGAAAGGTATCCAGAAAATGAGTGAACATGGCCGAGAATAATCTGACGGCCAGCAGCCAATGCCTTGCGGCGAGCAAAGACTTCCTCCCAGAAGTAGACTGGGAAGAAAGCGTAGAAGTAATACCGCCACGATGAGCCCTGGTACAGGAAAATGGAGAATAGGGCCACCAAGATTGATGAAAAGAATGAGATGCTCGCAGTCGTCCGGTGAGAGTCGGTCGTTCCGTGCAATACATGCAAATCGATGACTGTGGTCAACGCATAAGCAATCCAGCCCAAGTAGCCCAGAGAGACAATTGTCCGCAGGAACAGCCAGTCGTATGTTTGCAGGTAGCGCAGACCCTCGAGACCGAGCACCAGCAACTCTGAAGATAGGGCAATGGAATCCTCATAAGCCCCGTTAGAGATCAGGGTCTCCAGGTTTGCAAAGCGGCCTTCAATTGAAGTTTCCCCATCGCCAGAGAGGGGTTCAAATGGCACGTAGCGGAGCACCGCGTTTCGCTTCTGCTCTTCCTTGACTCGATACATTTCCAGCACGGCCCGGGTGTTTGCAAGCGCGGCCTGTGCCTTCTCCTTTGGAGTGGCATCAATATAATCCAATGGCAGCTGACCCACCGAGTTGACGGGATAGTCGACGCCAACCAGGTAAGCCATAAGAGCCGCGACATCGGCCTGTGCAACGTCATGTCGCTGGATCTGGTCAAATCCCCAATCCGACGAGAAGCCGTCCTCGTGGCCGGGGGCAATTCCATTCATAGTAATTTGGGGTTTAGCAACGCCAGAACCCCACACAACCAAGGGAGTGCGTGTGTTATCTGGATGACCGTCTCCGTGGCTGCCCATGTCATTCATGCCATGATCCGCAGTGAAAACGAATGCGGTCTGATCATCGCCGTAGAAATCCTCGACCAGCTTGGTGACCGATTGAATACCCCTGTCCACAATCTTAATGTTATTGAGGTATTCCTTGGAGTAAGGCCTGAACGCATGACCGGTGGTATCTAGTCCCAACAGGTGAAGGAAGAACACCAGTTTGTCCTCGCGCAGTTTTCGGTCAAGCTCCGGATCGGTCTTTGCAGACTCGAATAGCTCGTGAACTTTCGAAAACACCCAAGTATCCAGATGAGTAGCGTCCTGACTGAAATCCTCAGCTTCCTCCGCATACATCTCCGCATCAACACGGCCGGGCTCCGCTCCTTCCTTGAACATTGGCAGAATATCCGGGCTACCCCAACTCCATGTATGCCGACTGCGATTAAAGACACTGTCGAAATCAACGGGATTTAACTTCCAACCCGTTGTAACTGCCGAGACGTCCTCGTACAAGCCCGCAATGAGGGCAACATGACCGGGTCGCGATTCGGTGGGGACACGGGTATGAGAGACACCGAAGGTTCCATGCGTAAGAACTTTAGAGCGAATGAATGGTGCCAATCGAATCAAATCATCGGATGGCTCGGCGAGAGCATCGGGGGACGGATCGGGGAATGCTTGAAAGGCCTTGTCGGCGCGGAGGCCATCGGCGACAAAGAGGACGAGTCGTTGCGCGGGAGCATTGGTTCCAACTGGGCGGTCGACGCCAAATGAGCGCATACCACTCACAATTGGGCTCACAAAGTAGATATCGAAGATCGAATATGTATAGATCAGGTGGAAGACCACCGCGAGGGCGAGGAACCCAACGCGGCCGAGACGCGCCATGATCCTATCTTCTCACAGCAGGCCCAATTTGAAACAAGATGGGAACCAGGGAATGAATGCCAACGGACCCCTGCTGAGAAGGTAAACGAAGGTAAAGAAGACAATTAAAAGGAGGTCGACATCACCAACAACTTGACAACAGACAACACCACTTTGGGTGAAACGTATCGGGGAACTTGCGGACGGGGGGCGGTGAGGGGCCAATCACCGGCTTCGAATCGCGCACGGCAGAACCATAAACATGACCCACTTGCCAGCTATTGTATACCGTTCTGGTACTCGATATATGGGGTCGACTATAACGCAGTAGACAGTTTAATAGATGAGAATAAAGGAGTGCGGAAATTACATGGAATCAAAATTCTTAAAATTGACTGCCGGCTGTTTGCTCTAGTTAAGTCGAGTCAAAGTCATGTTGTATACCCTGAAGTAGTTGATCCACCCGCTCTGGGAATACCACACTCCGTGCTATATACTATCTACTGAACCAGAACTACACAGGAAAGCTATGTATGTTCCCACAAAGATATCCACAATAGATTGCCTATATAGCCTCCAAGTGCCATCTCAACTCCATTAGGTTATGATGTGCTAGTCCGCCGCTTAGTAAGGGCGTCAATCACCCGTGTATGGAACTTGGATGCCTGGTCACGTCTGAATGTAATATCGACCGTCAAGAAGTCTGGCAAGATATTGACAAGCTCCCGATCACGGCTGGCATCCAACAGGGGCAGATACTGGAATTCAGCCTGCTCATACTCAGAGCTGGCCACCTTGGGAATTGCCAATTTAAAGTGAAGAGCTACAAATTAGTTAGACATGAACGATTTGAGCATTTGGTTTTGAGGAACTTGAGATACTTACTTCCATTGACACCAGTCTGGATACAGTCGTAGAGATGATCCGTCTCGCGGTCCTTGACATCACGGATGATTAACCCAGTGAAATCAGTATAGAGATCCTCCTTCAGTTGCGCAAGATGGGCGACCTGCGCTGCCTCGGCAGTAGCAGCTGCAGTTGCCCGGTTAGCTGCGCCGCCCTTGATGGCACTTCCGGGAACCTTGTTTGCCTCTAGGCTAGCAGCGGTGTTTCGTGCGGCAGCCAGTTTCGTTTGTAGAGCCTTGATCTCGGATTGTGAGGAGGCGAGCTGAGAGCGCGCCTCGTCTGCTTGGGTCTTGAGCTTGGCCATTTCGGCGTCTCGCTCCTTCAATTGCTTCTGCAGATTGCGACTCTGTGAGCCCAAGGTTCGTTGCGCTTCCAGCTCTGACCTGAGCGAAGCAATAAGTTCGTTGGATGCTGTACGAAATTGATCAGTAAGCATGGTCCCCCTCTCGAGTACGGCTGCAACGGCGAGAACATACCTGTGGTGATACTATCGCATTGCTTACGTAGCTTCTCCATGTTCGTGTTGGCCTCTACGACCCCGATCTCACGGAGATTCCGATATTTGGACTCTAAAGCATCGTGTTTCTTGGTAATTTCACCAATCTTACGTCGTAAATCCGGATCTCCGCTTTGATCAATAGCCACGCCAGACTTGCGCTTACTAGGGGAGAGGTCGCGATTGTTCTTCAATATGGCTAGTCGCGCCCTAGCATTTTTCACCACTGACGATGGCATGTAGGGAGCAGATTGCTGGTCATTGCCGAAGACGGACTCGTCTACGACTTCATCGGCCGGTCCATCGGTCTGTTGCGTCTCGCTCACTTCGGATATCCTTTGTTGTGGGACGGCGCGGGTTGGTGTGTACTCGAACTCTCCGTCTGTTTGTACCGGCCTGGCGATACTTGCACGAACTTTGCCTCGTCCACGGGTTACTGTCGTTGTAGCCCTGCCTGTTCTCGTGTTCTTTGAAGTTGCTGCTTCCTTGGAGGCCAAAGGATCCTCATTTTCCTGTTCGTTGGGTTCTTCGTCCATGGGCTCTGATGTGCGATTGCTTGCGCGGGGTTGCCCACGCCGGGTAGACGCTTTTTTGGGTGCTGGTGCCTCTTCTTCTTGTGCTGCTTGAGCGGCTGCACGCCCTCTTGTCGGTGCGGAGGCTTTGGTCGCAGTCACGTCGTCCGCCGATGTACGCGGTCGGCCTCGACGTTTCTTCGCAGGAGGCTCCTCCTGAGGTTCGTTGGAGGGGACATTCTCGTTTTCAGTAAATTGCAGTACATCCTCATCATCTGAGCCAACAAGGCCAGAAAGCTTGGAGGGAGCCTTTCGTTTGGGCATGGTGTAATTAGGATTGGCGATTCATCCGATGTGAGCGGATCCGCACCATTGAGACGCGCCGCGACCATCAACAACCTCTCCGCCCGCCGGTAGACATGTGACATGTGACATTCCGAGCCACAGGGATCATCCGCGCCACAACTGCCCGATTGCCCGAGCCAGATCTCGGGACTCGCCTGCGACTGTTTCCACATTTTCGGAGTCGGGATCGCATTCCTCTTCTTTTATTTCACTGCCTGCGGATAGTCTATACTAGAGGGCTCGGCACTTCAAGTTCTCGCCCCTCTCATACCCCCTTAGTATCCACACCACTGTCGTCATGGCATCATCAGGCGGCCGCCGATGGCAGAGCTTCCTGCAAGAGCTGGTGATGGTTGCTGGCACGGTAAGTTTTCAAGGGTCTAGACTGGTTTGGAGTCTTCATGGTTCTGACCTGTTGTTCGGTAGTCGGCGTCCGCATACTTCCTCATTCGCTATCTCCTATCGCGCCTCGATTTCGACCCGGAGAGCCAGAAGAAGGAGGAACAACGACAAAAGTCGGCGGCTATTCTACGCCGACTTGATGGCGGAGACGATTCAGATGATGGAACAAGCCGAGGCGGTAGCACAAAGAAGGGTCGCCGCCAAAGAAAAGGCGAGCTGACGCTCAATCAATACGAACAAGCCGTCGCGATGGATGTGGTTGCGCCCGAAGATATCAATGTTTCGTTTGAAGATATTGGAGGTCTCGACCATATTATCGAAGAGTTGAAGGAATCCGTGATCTATCCGTTGACCATGCCCCATCTTTACTCGTCGACATCGTCCCTCCTGACCGCACCATCTGGTGTGCTGCTGTATGGCCCGCCTGGTTGCGGAAAGACCATGCTCGCAAAGGCATTGGCGTCCGAGAGTGGCGCTTGTTTCATCAACCTGCACATCTCGACATTGACGGAGAAGTGGTACGGCGATTCGAACAAATTGGTCAATGCGGTCTTTTCTCTCGCCCGCAAGCTTCAACCCGCGATTGTGTTCATCGATGAGATTGATGCAGTCTTGGGAACCCGGAGGAGCGGCGAACATGAGGCGAGCGGCATGGTGAAGGCAGAATTCATGACCCACTGGGATGGTCTCACCTCAGCCAATTCGACGGGTGAACCCCAGCGCATCGTTGTCCTCGGAGCCACCAACCGAATGCAGGATATCGACGAGGCCATTCTTCGGCGTATGCCCAAGAAATTCCCCGTCACGCTCCCTCCTGCACAGCAACGACTCCGAATCCTTAGCCTGATCCTCAAGGATACCAAGGTTGACCGGGACAACTTTGACCTCCACTATTTGGTCAAATCCATGGCTGGCATGTCCGGTAGCGATATCAAGGAGGCCTGCCGAGATGCCGCCATGGCCCCCGTACGAGAGTTGATCCGACAGAAGAAGGCTGATGGTCTGCAAATAACAGCTGTCGACCCTCAAGAAGTTCGCGGCCTTCGCACAGAAGACTTCTTTTCCCGTGCTGGTGGCGTTCGGGTAATCCCACAGCCTGCTCAAATGCCCACCACTCCAACTGGCAAGGTCATTGAGAAAGAAGATGGAGATTGGACCACCGAGGATGAGGCCGCCTCGGAGACTGACGGCCGCCCCTCTGAGATGGCTGAGCCCCCAGAGTAATTGTGAACTATTTTTTTTTCGACGGATGATCTAGATGCCCATTTGCTTCTTATTTCTTTCTTCTTCATGTCTTATTGAACCCCGCTGGAGTGTATTGGCCTTTGGACTCTTTGCAATATTGGATATCATTTGTTCCGAAAGATTTACGAGGCCATTTGGTCTCTTATCTTCTTTGTTATGGCAATGGATTATGCGGGTTCTGGCTGGGACCAGCTTCGGTTTGTTCATAGAATTTGGCCGACGGGTTTCTTGTACAATTGGTTGGAATCCGAAGTGCACTATAATATACATCTTCGCTTTCTATTCTTATGTGATACCAAGCTTATCTGATATATCCTACGTCGACCCTTCGCAAGTACTGGTACAGCCCCGCCCATATTAACCCACGGGCAACGTGACGTACTTCTACTTGGCCGGGCGGCGAAGTCACCTGCCGATCATCCAACAGCGCCTCCCGAAAACCCACCCACTCCCTACCGACGTCTATTTCTACATTCTCTCTCCTTCTTGTACAGAAATTCACTCCCTTACCTCCCCTCAGGTTGTGATTGCTGCCTTCTGGGTCTCTCCCCGTCTTCCCCGTATTCGTTGAGTTGGTGCCCGCCGCCGTCTTTCCTAGTGGGTCGTTATCGTCACCTACTACCTCCACGCTTTCCACTACTGCCTCCTATCGCATCATTGAGCAATCGCATTTACTCCGCGGTCTTAACCCCCCACTTTCTTCACGGAAAACGCATTCTATTTTATACCAAGTCCAGGCGATTGTGGACTCAGTTTCATGATCTGCCTTGTCTCGTCTCAGCGCTGAGGCCACGAATGCGACTCGGCCGGTGGATGACGAATGGGTCTCTCCTAGCAGACCACTGATGGCAATCAGTGCCTTGGCAACACCCACAACTCCGAAGGGAGCCTTTGACTTGTGTCTTTGGAAGAAAACTTCCACAAGACCGTACTGACAGGAATGAGTTCCCAAAATAGCTTCGTCAATGCTTCCCTGAGCTCCAACAACGTCAGCGCGGGCACCACCTCCACCTCCGCGGTCCGATCGCGCCCTCGCCGACTCGTCTCCTTTATCGACGAAGAAGACGACGATGCCGGCACCAAGAACAGCAACTATTCCTACCAGGATGCCCAGCCATTTATGTCGGGTCTTTCTACAACCCTCTCGGCCGATGTTGGAACTACACGATCTCGTGGTGCTACCCCCTCGCCGCTATCGTCCCGTGGAACCTCGCCGCTGCCCATGAAACACCCCTCCCGCGTCACGCAACCGAGTAGTCGCGGCCGCAGCGAAGCATCCTCCCTCAGTTGGAATGGGTCATCAAAGGCTTCTTCTTCACGCGGGGCTGCAGACTTTCTAGACTCGTCATGGTCCTCTCTTCAGAGCCTGGCGTCATCGGTGCTTGGTAGCGACACTGGGCGGAACACAGCAAATAATGCGGCAAAGGGACATGCGCGGAGGAAGCCGTCGCGATCAGACGTATATATTCGAAGTATCCCACGGTCCACTCCGGCAACATGGGGTCCATCGGCGCCGGACAATACAGAAATCGGAACTGGAACCAAGGAGGAGCGTCAAGCCTTGGTTCAGGCGAAGAAACGAGAGGCGCTCCTTCTTGCAGACTCTGACCCTATAATGAGCGGCGCTTTTCGCCATAAGCGACGCGACTCTGGGGATTATTACGATCAGCCACTCGATCCGGAGCAAGACGAGGATGCCCTCGCATACATTCATCCTGTCCAGGTAACGGACAGCATCACGGGGGTGACGATTAAATATGGATGCCAACCCGCGATTTTCCGAAAGGCGAACGGCTTCTGGCCCAATGATAATATCCAGAGCAGGAAGACGGTGCTCCTGCCAGTCGATGCATGCAGCGTGAAAGGCAGGCCAATACCACCTGCAGAAGTAGATCTTCTGACACTGGACTCTGAAGATGCGAGTGGCAGCTCTATCACACCGGCTCCACCCTCCACAAATGGCTCGCTCTCGAGTCAGAAAAGTCTTGTGACTGCCGACACCGACAGCAATCAGATCTGGAAACATGAGTCTTGGGTAAATATCGACGGATTTCCCTCCCCAGTCCAGATTGGCCGAGTCCCTCGCAGGGCATTAGGCTTTTTCCCGCGCACACGTCGAAAATCCGTGTCCTATAGCGATGCAGAGCCTCCTTATGATGACTCTTCTCGAGATCCAACCAGGACTTCATCACCAGTCAGTTCACCGCAAATCACCCCGACAGATGGGGTTCTTCCGCGGGCTAGGCCTCGTGCAGGCCAGCCGAAGTCCATCCGTCCCCAGCATCGCCGGCAGCGCAGCAGCCCTCCATCTGACTGGTACTGGCGTGGGCACTCTTGATCGAACTTCCACTGCACCCGGACCTGCCTTAGACGGCCTGAGCAAATTCTTCTCACAGCACATGCCCAATCTGGTTCCCCCTCCTGTACCAGAGAATCTTCGCAGGTCGTCCTTTGGATCCGAGTCCACAGCGGCGTCCAACGCGTCAACAGGTCTAGAGAATATTGGTGGAGCCGTCGAAGGATGGATCCGCAAGGTCGCAACCCGCACGAAAGCCGGAATCAGCGAGCTTCAACAAGGGTCCCCAAATCAACAGGCCACCAGCCGTGGCCGTGGTCTGTGGGGAATAGGCGATTTGATCGAGCTGGATGATACTTCTGAAGGTCGGCGGTCGCCCAGTGTCCTAAGAGGTTCCTCCCGACGGGAAACACAAGGCACAAGCTCTACTTCCTCTTCATATCGGGTTGCAGGAGCCTCTGCGTCCGCGACGAGCAGGTCTCGCGCGACAGGCCTTGGATCTGGGTCGAACGCATATGGCGAACGAGCGAAGGATGACTGATAAGTGTAATTGGCGGAGTCTGCAAAGGTACCGTACATAATAGAGCGTCTGTGCGATGTGGATTTCCTTTTTTCCCCTTCATTCCCGATTTGTGGGTGTCCAAATCTTTTTCTTTTCCTTCTCTCATGAGCGGATTGGTGTTCATCTCTTTTCTATGCACACAACCTTCTTCTTCCTCTTGCTGGGCCTGGTTAAGACAGAGCCGATTCTTGATCAACATGTATGGCAGAACAGGAGTGGATCAGATTATTACCCTACGTTATTGATTGGCATTGGCGTCGATCAGATGGTAAAATAGAACTAAACCGGAGCTTCTGTGTTTCTCGTATTCCCTGCGCGGTAGTATTGGCCGACATGTTAGACATCTTTCACTCTCTCACTGTTGCGGCGAGCTGACAAGGCCCTATAAGGGTTGTCTGGAGAGATGGCAGCTCCATTCAGCCAAGACCTTCGTCTAATACTGTCCGATTCACCTGTCTTGTCTGGTCCCCTGCAGTGAATTTCAGCAGATTAGCGTCTCTTTAGAAGTACACTATCAAGTACAATGATCGCTGGAAAAAAAAACACCTCATGATCCAGCACAACAAGACTTTGACAATCTCGGCTCTAAGTTTCCGATTTGGAGCACCTGCACCTTTGACCCCGAATTCCAATTTATTCATGCCTACTACAGTAATAACCCCCGCCATTTGCACCCCGGAATTACCCCAGCTTTATTTTCCCACCTATGAGCGTGTGCATCTCCGCAACTCTGCGAATGAAAGCCCTAAAGAAGTCTAAATGTAGCTTTGTAAAACTTTCTGGTCGAGATAATTTCCCCGGTCTAGCATGACTTTTGTTGGGTTCCTGACTATCTGACCTATCCCTTGAGTTTGATCATGCCTCGACTGAGGGGTTGGGGGAGATGATCTACTATATCAACTTTGCCTTGGCATACTTATTAACTGGATAATTCCTCCGTTACTCTAGCTTGTTCACACTAGGGGGAGTATATGTACACTTTACAGTCCAAGCTCGTCCTACTATAACGGTGTAACGTCTCCCATCGCCTAGTTCCCAAGGTTCTATTTGAGGGATTGACTGTCCACAAACAACTACAATGCGTCGCTCAGCGCTGTGGCTAACCCTAGCCACCGCAGTATCCTCAACTCCATTATCTCAGAGGGACTCGGCAGTTTCATCCCACCCACCAACAGCCACTCTCTCCGCAGGCAATGCAAACTCAAAAACCGTCTTCGTGGGCCGGACTCTCCCCGAGTTCAACCAAGATCTTTTCTTAGGTATCAAGTATGCCGACGAACCAACTCGTTTCACACCCGCAGAATTGAAGTCCGCCTACGAATCTAAAGATAGTAACTCTGGTGTCTACAATGTCTCCGCGGCGGGAGTGTCGTCCCACTCCAATGCAGTCTACTACAATGCTACTGAGTATGGGTATGATTGCCCGGGTTACGGGTCCGATACCACTAACTTGGTGAATATGGGATTGATCAAGCTGAATGAGGATTGTCTGAATCTTAATGTGATTAAGCCTCAGAATTCTGGGGAGAAGTTGCCGGTTATGTTGTGGATTTTTGGTGGTGGGTGGTCGCAGGGTGCTACTGCGGATCCTAGGTAAGGTGACTCCAAAAAGAAATACAATAACTTTAAGATAGGGGTGCTAATTCGAATTGATTGGTTGTACAGATATAACATGAGCTATGTTGTCCAGCAGAGTGCGTTGAACGGCAAGCCTGTGCTGGGCGTATCGATCAACTATCGTCTTTCGGCATTTGGATTCCTAGACTCAGAGGAAGTGAGGGTGTGTGAAATTGCACACTCTAATGATTTCGAATAATCCCTGACTTTGTAGTAGGCCGAGGGAAACACCAATCTCGCCCTTCGGGACCAGCGCACTGCCATGCGGTGGGTGAAAGAGCATATCAAGGCATTCGGTGGGGACCCGGATCGAATCACGATCTGGGGCGAGTCGGCGTGAGTGCATCATTGATCACAAAGCTGTCTCTAATGGTACTAATATCTCTGCGTTTTCAGGGGAGCTTATAGTGTGGGAGCGCACCTTGTCACCAACAACGGCGATAATGAGGGTCTCTTCCGAGCTGGTATGAAAACACCTTCCTTCCACATCTAGAGGAGTATCTCACATGAGATCCAGCAATTATGGAGTCCGGAAACGCAGTAGGACCACCCTACAATGGTACAGAATGGCACCAGCCAATGTACAATCGACTTGTCCAACGAACAGGGTCAGTCTCCCCACAGGAAAGCTATGACGATTACAGAGACTGATTGGCACCAGATGTACCAACTCAACAAACACCCTCCAATGCCTCCGAGACCTACCCTACGAAACTTTCTACAGCAACGCCTACGAAGGATTAGAGTGGTTCGCCACAGTCGACAACATCTTCATCTCAGAATATCCCCAGATAAGCTACCGTGAGGGCAAATTCGCCAAAGTCCCCATCCTACTCGGCACAAACACAGATGAAGGGACTAGTTTCGGGACAACCGGTACAAATACAGATGAAGATTGTGTCGCGCAGTTGATATGTATGTTATACATCTCCAAAATCTTTTCGTGAGAATATCTAACACTATCTGTACGATCCAGCCTCCAAACGCTGGGTCCTCACCCGCGACGAAGCCACCAAACTCCTCACCTACTATCCCAACGTCCCAGCCCTGGGCTGCCCCTACGGCTGGGGCAATGTGACCTGGCCAAGCAAAGGGCTACAATATAAACGCTACGAATCCATGGCTGGCGATATATGCATGGTAGCGCCCCGCCGGATGCTGACACAAGCCATGTCCCGTTTTGAAGACCATGTTTACTCTTATCGGTGGGATGTTGCTGCATTGAATACGTCGACTACAATTGGAGTGCAGCATTTTGCGGAGGTAGGGGATACACTTACCATTCTGTATCAGAACGACCAGGAAGGACGATGCTGACTGACTATCCTATCAACGTATAGATTCCGTTTGTGTTTTCAAATCCAGTCCAAAATATCACAGCTCTGGGATCTGATCCTGCGCGCTTGGAACTCGGACAGATGGCCGCTCGCATGTGGACGTCATTCGTGACCGATCTGAATCCTAATGGGCATGGAGGTGAGTTTATCCTTTCGCTTGGCTGTTGACCTATATTAGTATATCACAGCCTGCTCTATTAGCCGATTGTACTAACGATAGATGAAATGCAGTATCGCACATCCCCCAATGGCCTCGCTATTCTTCCAAAGCTACAAACTTTGTTTTCCGTCTTCCCCGGAATGAGAGCTATGTGGAAGCCGATACCTATCGTGCGTCGGGGATGGAGTATATCAACAGTATTGCGCGATAAGAATAAGTTAGCTAGTTTAGGTAGACTTGAGAAAGCGTCTGTTCTTGCGGCTATCTAGAAGGGTTGCATGTTTCCGATCATAAAGAATGATCTTCTCTGGCATTGGCTTTTCGTCGGATCTAGTGGGCTACTTCCGTGGGCTACAATATCACCGTACAAGGCATATAGGGCTCATATAGATACGTCGTTGTATGTCCAGATACTATTGAACCCCTCGAATGATAACTAATGTAGTTTTTCATTTAGCCGGCTACAACACTCTCCACTTGTAGACAGACTGTAATTGGCTGGAATGCGGGGTTGTATTCAACAGGGCGCGCGGGCTCCAGTTTCTCCCCGCGGACTAGTTTTGCGCGAGATTGCGACTATAACTATCTGACCCCTTGCTGGACCCTGATAAGACTATTCCTCCTGCTATATTCTTCCGCTCAAGTCAATTGCATGATTCAGGCCTAAACTCACCTTGAATCAACTACGCAATGCCACCTCCAACCCCCACCTATCTCGCCTACCAGCACGACGCAAAACTCCTACACCTAGAAACAACCATCCAATCCATCCAACCCTTCTCCGACCTCGACGAAGCAAACAAGACCCTCTTCAAATCCCCGGGCGAGAATGACTTGATCCTCGTAACAAAAGAAACCATCTTCCACCCACAAGGCGGCGGCCAACCCTCCGACGAAGGCTACATCTTCCCCGCAGGAACAGATCCCAGCACGAGCAACAATCCAGAAAAAGCCCTCCTCCAAGTCCTCGCCGCACGCATGGACGCTACAAACAACGGCCAAGTCCTGCACCTGGTCCGGCCCATGCCCAACACAACCACGCCCCTCCAATCCCTAACACCCACCACGCCCATCCTCCAATCCATCGACGCCCAAAAACGCCTCCTATACTCCCGCCTCCACACAGCCGGCCACGTCCTAGGCTCTGCAGTCCGCCACCTCCTCGAATCCTCAATCCCAAACTTCGACGAACTAAAAGCCTCGCATTTCCCTGATAGCGCATCCTGCGAGTTCCGCGGTAGTATACCCGGCGAACACAAGGCTGCGATCCAAGCGCGTGTGGATGAGTATATTGCGCGGGGGATGCCGGTGGAGATTGAGTTTTGGGGGGAAGAGGACTTTGAGAGGGAGGGTGTGCCGCATCTTCTTCCTGATAGGGGACTGTTGGCGCCTGGGGAGAGCAAGTTTCGGGTTGTGAGGATTGTTGGAGCGGAGGTTTATCCTTGTGGAGGGACGCATGTTGATACGACGGATTTGTGTGGGGGGACTGTTGTGAAGAAGATTTCCAGGAGTAAGGGGAATAGTCGGGTTAGTTATGCTGTTGTATAGAAGGGGGAGATGCATATAGATGGAAGGGAAGATTATACTATAGACCGTTGTGGTTTGGATCGAACGTCTACGAGGTTATTAGGGGCACGAGAGAAGAGAAGACTGGCAAAGCAAGCGACTCCTGGGCTGATTTCCCTTGGGTATTTGGGAAATCGCAACCAGAGCGTTTCCACCGAACTTTGTATTTGTTTTGTAGAGTCAAGGAATCTAAGCAGCGGACTTGTTGTTGATCTTGACGAGCTCGACCTCGCTGGAGAATATAGACAGTTAGTGTCAACGGTTCGATTGAGATAAGGGCGGATGTGTTTGGAACTTACAAGACCAGGCGGGAGTTGGCAGGGATCAGGCCGGGGAAGCCCCTGTAAAAGAATCATTGTTAGCATCTTGATCAGAGTCATCGATACCGCGTTGGGTTTGTGGAAGCTAGGCGCGATGTAAGGGCGGTGGTATCTTTCACATACTGGGCTCCGTAGCCGAAGTCACTGTCAAGACAACTGGTATTAGCATATGGCACTCGAAAGCTCCTGTAAGAGCTGGCTAAGCTGAAATGGAGGGAAAACTCACGAGCTGATATCGAGGATAGCCTTCTCGCCGAGGCTCATCTGGGGAACACCCTCGTCCCAGCCTATCAAGCACGATTGAGTCAGTAATGGTCATGTATATAAAGCTGCGTAGGATCGTGCAGTGCGAGGATCCTCGCGCGACCAGGATTCATCCACGTACCCTTGATGAGACGGCCAATACCAATAGGGCTAGCCAGAGGGGAGCCGCGGTCCCGAGAGCTGTCGAACCTGAGCAGTTGCAACGTGGTCAGTAGATAGCTCAACTAACAGGGGATACCAGGATATATAAGAGCAGGACACTTACTTCTTGCCCATGAAGTGGTTATCAGCAGCGTTGGCGTCGTACAAGCAGCCAGTGTAGTGCATAGCGACGTTGTCACCCTTCTTGGGGAAGTCAACGCCGTTACCGGCGGTCAGGATCTTCTTGTCAACACCCATTTTGAAAAAGGATAGCGATTGAATCGAAAAGAGAGATATATAGAGATATATGCTTGATTGAAGATGAGAGTTTGGAGAAAGGAAAGAAGGGAAGAGAACGGGAAGCTTTAAAAAAACGAGGGGCAAGCCCAAACTTCGGGTCCCACTTTTTCTCCAAGTGGGGGGTGGCCGCCGCGACGTAATGGACTGGTTGTTGAAACTCAGAACTTCCTTTGCTGAGGACCAGTTAGATTAACCTATCTAATCGGATTTTTCCGGTATGTTAGACCCAATTAACTTGAGGCAGGATAGGGGCTTTATTATCCGCCTCTCGTTGGATGACGCCTTCCGGTGGATGGCTTGCGAAGGAGCTCCGGAGGGGCGGGAGATGAGGGGCAGAGTGTAGACCCTGGGGAGGAGGTAAATTGAATTACTGTATGTTTGGCTAGCTGAATGGTACGAGGTCAATGCAAACAGGTTGTTGTAAGATCTATTCCAGAATCAGTATAATTACTGTGCCCATTCTTTTAGGGTTCCGTCTTCGGTCATCGTGGCGGCGTATAGTTGGTTGAATGGAATATCCATGGAGTACTAAGGTTGGGATTCAACTATTTTTGGACTGGTATGAATCAATCTGAAGAGGGTAGTAGTTATAAAGTATAGTCTAGCTCATCATTTGTCACTATTACTCCACAACTGAGCTACCTTGTGTCTCTCTAGAGCTGAACGTGGCAAATAACCCCGCGGGTAAGCCGTATTTTCCCGAGTCTCTCTAATAGCTAGGGATGGAGACATGGATGGAGGAGGTAGAGTGGTAAGTTAGGCATAAAGCAGCAGATCTCTCTTTTGATCATGCTAGATATGCATTTGGAACACATCTCAAAGACAGTTAGTATCCTTATATCTTGCTGCACCTTTAAACGCTATGGTTACTAGTTGTTCTATCATTAGGTCCTAGCTACTATAGCCAAAACTTCATAGTAGGTATCATAAGCCCTTGTGCATTTTATAGATGGATTGCGTGTAGCCCAGTAGAGGGAAGTTGATGAAGATACATAACTACTACCGTGCGAGCAAGAATCGCCCAGTGTTTCGCTGGCCCCTCCACATCAGTTCGTTCCTTTCACAATTAGCGGGCTACATCTCAGGAAGCAGCTCAAGAAAGCCTGGGATTCCCTCAGGGTGCACAATTAGGTATATACCAGATAGACCGCTTCCGTTGAGGGACCAGTATACCATAACCAGTACCTCTGCTCCAGCTATAGACCACATCACAGAGAAGTAGATATAGAAGGGAATACCAGAGCTGAAAGAAGTTAAAGTATCTTGGTTCTGGTAATTAGAAAGAAGATTTCTGGAATAATGAAAGAAGGAGAAGGGAGCAGGAAGAGGAGGAGAGGAGGGAAAAGGAACTCGATAGGGAAAAGAGGTGGAATTAGAGTCATGGCAGAAAATATCATTGTCTTAACACGAATCAACTATGTAAACATCCTAACCCGGTACACCAAAATGCTTCGCGTCTCTTAGCACTTTTTTGAACAAAGTCTCCTTTGGTGCGCCATTCTTCCGCAGAAGCTCAGCAATATCCTTATGACCGTAATTCTCCGCGTGGGTTAGCGCTGTTCGGCCGCGATCGTCCGTCGCCTTAACATTCGCATGCTTCTCCAACAGTAAGCCAACAACAACATCAATTTTCCCAAGCTGGGCAGCCCAGTGTTTCTACCCCCTCCGCTTCTACTCACGGCTTAGAGTAGGAGCTATTTATTTCCCGAGTATGATTAGCAGTCGCACTATTATTGTTCGAGGCTATATTTACCTACTAATCGTCGGTCACTGATAGGCTTCGATTTCTTTACATATGTCCAATGGACCAAGTGTACCGTTGTTTGATTCTCTAATTCGATAAATCCCCGCAATATATGCTTCATTATCATCATCAGAGACTGGAATGCTCACGCCTTCCAAAAAGCCATCTGCTTAACCTCCTCCATAGAAACAGCAGCAATCCTCGTTCGAGGGAACCGCTCATCTGGTGCAGGCGAAAGATCCCCACCCTCCTCCCCAACAAGCGACAAATAATGCAACGTCTGCACACCCACACGATCCAAAAACTCCAACACCCGGTGAAAGTTCAAACTAACCTGATCAACGCCATGACTATCATCCGAAAGACAAAAGCGTCCACCAAGCGCCAAAAGCTCCTATCAAGATAATCAGCCTCTCTCCAAACCCAAAGCAAAGGCCAACCCAGAATCCCTCATACATACCTCACAAATCTCCCCATTAGGATATGGCTCACTCATCCCCTTCCTCAACGCCGCCCCATTAACCTCCACCAACCCGCCATACCCAACCACAAACTCCAAATTCCGCACAACCTTCTCCCAGACACCAGGCCAACTCTTAATGCTCCGCTCGGGATCATCGCTCTTCAACCGAATCAGGTCAAAATGTCCCACGACGGGCGGCTTCAACGCCTTCAACATATCCAGCTGTGCATCGAAGTAATCCTCGAACAGACGCTCATCGGTGCCGCCGGCGATATTCCGGGCGCGGATGTACATGTCGTGGTCATAGTCGATGGGGACGGTGTGCATGTGGTGGACGGAGCCGATGAAGAATTCAAAGGGGAAGCGGGAGAGGGAGCGGGTTATTAGGGAGTGGGAAGAGGGGCGGATCCAGTCGCATTCGAAGCCGATTATGATGGAGATTTGGGAGGTGTATTTTTGGCGGAGGCGGAGGGCTTCGGTGAAGTAGGCTTCTTCGTTGGTGGAGTGCCAGGCTTCTGTTTGGCCAGCTTCGATCTGGACGGGTATTAGAGAGGGAATTGAGTATAGATTTGAAGGTTGTGGTGGTGGTGAGGTACCTCTTCGGGGTAAAAGTCCACGGCGTCGCGGGGCATGTGCTCTGTCAGACAGAAGACTTGCATCTTCTTGCTGATGGCGGTCTGGATGACCTCCTCGAGGGAGTCTTTGGCATGGCCAGGGCAGAATTGGCCCGAGTGACTGTGGTGGGAGAATGGCATTTCGTATTCTTTTTCCTGAGTCATGGTTAGCCTTGTTCATGAGGTTGATGATAAGTGGCTGGTCTGGCGGGGTGATAGACCAGTCAGAGATGACCGGACGGGACAAGCTGTACAGCTGTTAGTATCTTCTAACTTACTTCTAAGTCTATTATCTTCCCCAGGGCGATGTGATGTACAATATCTGAAGTTGGGGAAAGCCAAATTGGAGAGGAACAGAAAGTTGATATCAGCTCCGATAAGAATTCAGTCCCGCTTTTGTGGGGAATTACACGTCGGAAAGTGATACTACACAGTTGAGCACACGGGGTCGAATTGCTTGACCGGATTGGCTTCCGTCATGGCTATATGACACATATTTAATCAATTATAGCACACTATAGTTTCATTGGCATAGTACTTTCTTATTATCATGTGCGGTCATCGTGTGTTTGGCGAGGGGCTGCTCAAACCAAGCCTCGGCAGACACCTGCGCAATATTCATCAATTAATATACACAATTCTGGAATTAATCCATACTCATATCATACATAGATCACTCTCGAGTACTCCGAGCTCTGCAGTAGCACCCCAGGCGCCGGTAACCACCAGGCCATCGCCTGGCTCTCCGAAGACGGTCGTCGAGTATGGCAGTAAACACCATCGCAGCATTTAGATGCAATACTTGGTATACAACAGCATATTGATACCAGAAAATCTGGTCAAGATATCCCACATGTAAAATTGTAGCAGAACAATCCAGCTCCGGGATCAGGAACCTCTCCAAGGACACCACGAACTCGACCACAGTCGCAAAGCCCATATAACCACAAAATCATATACCCATCCACACAAAATCATTCAACCAGCCGCCAAAACAGTCGCAACAACATACTCACCATCATGCGAAATTGACAACCGTCCCAACCGATCCGGTCTACCCTCTCCACCCCCCAAAAACACAATCTCCGGCCTCCGACTCGTCCCCTCCTGTTGTACGAACCCCCCCCCCACACCACTCCTATCACCCTCCTTCCTCCCTTCCCCTTGATGATGATTATCACGCGGTACACGAACCTCGACATCCTTCCACCCCAACGAAGCAGCCCCGTCCGGCGCGGCTTTGCGCGCGGCTTCTTTGGCGGCGAAGCGGCCGGCTAGCCAGCGGGTCATGTCCGGTGTGACAATTGTCTGTGTTTGCGCGCGCGTGGGTGTTTGAGGGGAGGAAGGGTGGAGATGTGGTGGGAGGGTATCTTTGAAGCGGGTTTGGAAGTCGAGTTGTTCGTGCTCGCTGAGGATGCGGCGTGTGAAGCGGGTGAGGTAGTTGGGTCTTTGGAGGAGGCGGGTTATGCGGGGGAGGTGGACGATGTCGGTGCCGATGTTTAGGGCGAGGGGGAAGGGGAGGGGTTTCATTTTGGATGTGTGGTGTGTGTTGGGGAGGTTTGTATGGCGGGCGTAAGGTGTGTCGAGATTCTGGTGTTGTGTGGTTGGGAGTTGAGGAGGTGAAGCTGTGGTAGTTAGATGTCGGGAGAAAGTTGGAGACGAACGAGCTACATCAGGCGCTTGGTTTTGATGGGCGGGGATCCAATTCCTAACTCTGGGTAAGTAGTGGACCGGACTATAGCTTTATCGTAAATTTCCGAAGAGGAAGCTTTGTCCGACGAGTATAGTATCTAGATGCCTGGTATACTGCTACGATTGATTATCGATCTACTATCAAAGCTGCGCTACGAGGATATCCGCAGAGCGGGGCCAGCTACGAGGTTCGCTCAGTATCGGACAAGACACTCCAGCAGCTTTGACAAACGATGCAGAAGCTCCCGACCTTTTCATAAGCTTGTCGAGTATGAAACAGCCATGTCCGCGGTTGTTCAACACATCGGCAAACTCGTTGAAACATCACCACTCTCGAACTCAGATTAGAACTCGGACTCGGACCAGACCAATTTCAGAAGGAACATTTCTTCTATGCAGCGTACACGCCTCTTATGTACAGAACCACGAAAAACCTCCATCACCCGCCTTCCCATAGATCGGCCCGTCCAGCTCCGGAATAGTCGTAGCGACTAGAATATCGCAACATCCAATATATCTCGGAAGGGAAGCGACAAGAACGAAGAAGGGTGACTCGAGTCATGCATCACGCGGCGTCGTACTCAAGGCCGGACCGGGCCGTCGATATAAAATCCGTGTTTGGGGGAGGGTGGTTTAGTGTTTCTCGGACTTCTTGTCGCCTCCGTCCACTTCCTTGAGGAATTGTCTGTAGGGTGCAGAGTTAGCACGGATATTGAGCCATTGATGGTGCTCATGTGGTATTAAGAGCTTGAGAATTGTTTGGTATTGTCGGGGATATTCGGGTATAGCACATACTGGATGAAGTCGCCCTCTTCCTTGGACGAGGCGTTGATGGGGGGACCAGCGGCGGTCTTGGGCTTAGAGCCACCACCCATGGCGAGGTAAGAACCGGCGAACATTGTGCCGAGGACGGCCATGGAGAGCTGGAGTGATAGAAAAAGCGGTTAGCTTGCGCGGTAACATTTCCAGCTGTCGCCGGAGTGGAGAGTGGAGGTAAAAAGGGATACGTCGAGCGGGCAGGATTGTCGATCGGGGGGGTGGGGTGAAGAGCACTTACGACGTGAGAGCCGACCTTCTTGCCGGCGACCTGGTAGTAGACGACCATGTTGAGGGATTGGGGATGTGAGAATGGGGGAGGGAAGGTCTAGTGCAACGATGTGGAAAGCGGAATCCTCAGGCTTTGGATTCAGAGATGAGGTCGGGACTTTGAGACCGCTTTGCCTGATTAGGCTTAGTGTGGGAGGAAGATGAGTCAGCGGGAGGATGGGTGGTCAGGTCAGGTGATCTCCCGGGTGTGTCCGAGATCATGTGACTGGATCGGGAAGGATGTCACGAGCGAAAGAAGGCAACAATTAATATTGGAAGATTAAATTATATAGAATTCAATAAAATGGATAATTCTGAGACTGAAAATTGAAAACTTGACTATATTCAGCTCAATATCGTGATATATTCTATTTGTTTACACTGGACAAGTATACGGGAAACGGGAAGTAAACTATTCCATGGATTGTAGGCCGAGTATACCCCCGGCTATTAGCGACTTAGTCCTGATGCACTGCGCCTGCTTCGGCTGCCGTGGACGGTTATTATGATGGCTCTTGAGGCTTAGACCGCGGTTTCCGTTTCTCCCTCTTGTTTACTCTCATCTTCGTTCTCTTCTGCTTTTCCCAAGCATTTCAGCGTTTTCCTGCTAGCTTCACATCTACCTCACACAACCTTACCTCCACCACTCCCATTCAAAGCCAACGCTCTTTTTGAATCCCTTGAATATCCAATCCTAGCTTCCCACGATGGTCTGGGGTAGTCGCCAGCCAAAAGATTCCAATGGCTCTCCCCCGCCTGATGCCGATGCAGACAAGCCCGTTGCGCGGGAGAAGCTCCCCACAAAGTTGCAACAGCTAGTTGACCGGGAAGACGACTTTTATGATGATATCTACTCTCCATAGTACGTGTCTGCCCAATATTACTCCCTCCATGATCTTTCAAATCATGATGCAGGCCACTCTTATGAGCGATATGAGCGATCAGAGTCGAGAACCATCGAGAAGCCCGTGTCTTTCCCGTCGTGCTCCACTTTTCAGTGCACTTCCCGGCTGCCAATGACATAGCTCGTCATTACTGCAGTACTACACTGAACTGTTGAAAGACAACGCTCCTGCTCCTGCTCTAGCTTTAGCTCAACTGTTGCACCACCACAATACAAACACAGCTAACAATGAGCTCCTCCGAACCCCCCAGCTCCGTCGATTCCACAGACACCCCCTACCGCTATGCCGCATACGCCCAGCGCATCCGCACTATCCTCCTCTCCGCCCACCGCTACGTCGCCTACACCTCAGACATTGGCGAGTCCTTCCGTCCCGTCGCACACCCCTACCTCGTCCGCTCTGCCTACGGTATCTCCTGGGCCTACCTCCTCGGCGACGTCGGCCACGAGGGCTACAAAGCGTACCTGCGCAATCGCCGCGCCCTCGCCCCACCGGGCGACGCGCACAAGGATGCCAGCTCTATCACGTCCGAGCAGATCATCCGTGGCATGGCCACGGGGAATATTAGCATGCCCTTGACGAAAGAAGGGAGAGCTGCGCTAAAGGAGAAGGATTCGTTGACGCCCTGGCCGACGACGGAGATTTCGCTTGCCGAGGATTATCGGATGGTTATGGCCAAGCGGGCTGTTTTCCAGAGCATTGCTAGTATGGGACTGCCTGCTTTCACTATTCATAGCGTGGTGAAGTATTCGGGTCGTGCGGTTAAGGGCGTGAAGAATTCGCTTTTGCGGACTTGGTTGCCTATCGGGGTATGTACAGCTATTGCTTTGCTTCAGTTCTGGTTCAGACTGTATGCGTTACACTGGTGGAGCTTATGCTAATCTTTTTTTCCCGTTTCCAGCTCGGTCTCTCCGTCGTGCCTTTCCTCCCCTACCTCTTCGATCACCCTGTCGAAGAAGCCGTGGACTGGGCCTTTGGCACCGCCCTCCGTATTTACGGCGGCGAAGATGCTGTCCGTCCCTTGCCTACCCATGCGCTCCTCTCCAAACCCGCTACTGAGGAAAGTGGAAGTGTGACAGCTGCCGCAAAGCTCTCGTGGGAAGAGTACAAGAACGAGCGGGAAAAGGCTCGTGAGCTCCGTCGGGAGGAGGGCGGTAGTAAGCCGCTGTCTAGTTGGTTTGGAGGCTGGACCTCTGAATCTGAGAAGCCGAAGAAGGAGTAAAGTAGTTGAGCCTGGTGTGATGCTCTTCTTTGGCTGCATATGATATCTATTATCAATTCCCCTCTCTTGTGGATATACACATACATCTCCCCTGTTTCTTTTCGTTTCTTTTCTTGTACATAGGACATACATATCATTATCTAACTATTTTACCACCTGGGATATATCTACTTTTAAAGTTTAGTTTGACTTGTATTGTAGTGGTCCCATCTACGTCATTCGATCCGCCACAAAGCTTCATAAAACTTAGCTCGCGTACCTGAATACCTTCTCACGGAATGACCCGTATTGCTCATTGATGAATCGAACACCACCTGGTGTAAACAGGTTTACGTAAAGAAGCAGCTAAAGTTTGATTTCATCCCGTCTATCGGACTCTCAATCATGCCGTATAGTATATATCGACGATCTAGATATGAAGGTCTTATTAGATTCAGGCGGACAAACTCGGCACCACTTGGTAAGACCATCACAAATCCATATCCATCATGCTTGCAGATATCACTTATTGCCTGCGTACATAGAAGGTATGATGTCCTTTCCGCGTGTCTTCCGTGGTTCGGCAGATACCACTAAATTTCAGGGACCGGGACTTTATAGTAAATCTATCATCGTGGTAGACAACACGTCATTTCCCTAGTCAAAGCGGAAACTACGAAAATGACCTTGAGCGACAATTTGATGCATTTTTTGAATGGTAGTTTAATATGGTCAGGGCAAAAGGAGAGAATGCTAGAGCTAATGGGCACCTAGGCCGAAACATAGAGACTGGTGACACTGTAAACCCCTTCTGACCTATCTCAATCATTTATTTCATTAGTGTCAATCCTTTATTGGCTCTTAGGATCCAGTCCAAGTCCAAGTCCATCTTTTATGCTTCTACTTTGTTAACACTGATGGTACATGATGCCAGGATGCTGTGGCTGTCCATTTTTGCCCAATCACTGTCAACATTTGGTTGGTAATATTCCAGACGTATATCGCTTGCTCCGCCACCTCTTCCCCTCCAACCTGTACCATCCCACTACATTTCCCCCTCTCGGATTGTCCCTCGGTGGATGAAGTACTGCTCTTACCCTGCCCGTCTATGATGTTGCCCCCTGGTTCTGACCTGTATGTCATTTTGGGAGTCACCAAGGAAGCTACCATCGCCGAAATCCGAGCTGCCCATCGCGAACGAGTGCGCAAGTGTCGTCCGGACAGAATTCAAGATGAATCGCAGCGAAACGCCGCTCAGGAGGAGTTAGAGCAGGTGGAAGACGCCTATGAAATACTCTCCGATGATCATCGACGGGTTCGATATGACCAGTTAGTGAGGCTGAGAGAACTTAAGCGCGATCTGCTAGCACGTAGGCGAGAATCGCGGCAAGAACGTACCGTGGAAGAATCCATGCCCAAGAAGGACTTAGATGAAGGGATGCGCTTTACGGATGAGTCTCCACCTATGCCTTGCAAACATGACGACTTTCGCATACAGCCCAAGCCAAAGGAAACGGGCGATAAGGAAGAGACTCGGAAGCCCGAGTATAGCTACCGCTCCGCTAAGGAGCCTCTGCGCAGCGAGGGCACGGGTATTAACCAAGCAGACCTTTCCGATAATCAAAATCACGAACCCCGCTGGCAAGATTCAGTGAAGTCTGCGTATATGCCCTTTACGCAATCCGACCTAGATTCCGACTCCGTCTCTAATAGCTCTGAGCCTTATATAGTCTTGGATAAGGAGTACCCCGGCTGGTCTCGCAATAAGCACAATCTCTTGCTGAACTTGGCGGAAGAGCATATCCAACGCTGCAAGTATGGTACCCGAAGATCTCGGTCCACACAGCGACACTATGGTTACGTGTCGGCGAAGACAGAGACGTCTGCTTCGCGGCCGGTTTCTCCCCAAACTGTGATAAAAACGGAGGAATTCGTTGAGTTTGCTTTGAGCATTTTTAAAGAGGTATGCAGTACGAACGAGCTTGGATGCATAGTTGTTGAAGTTGTCGAAAATCTATCAGTGGCAAATTTGATTCCCATAGATGATGCAGGATTGACATCAATTTAAATCAACAGAGACCGAAATTTTGCTTCGTCCTTGGCTGAAGGACTCTACCCGTACGGTTCGATGGAGGAGCAGATAAAGCGACGAAATGGTGCAGTTGATGATGCGAAAGCAAGCGCGCCCCTTTGGCGAGAGCCTACAACAGAGAGGTTATTAAATAATCCGCCCAAGACAGAGAAGCTCCATATTGTCCCGCCTGAGCAACTTAACCTTTAAGTGATGTATTCAAAACATATCGTTGAGCGTGTCGACGTTGTTGCTGTCCATGGCCTGGGCGCAATACCGGACATCACTTGGACAGAAAAGAAATCAGGAGTCAACTGGCTCTCAGATGAAACGATGTTGCCCAGAGCTGTTCTCCGGAGGCACGGATTTTGCGTTTCGGTTACGATTCTCTCTGGATGGGAGAAACGCCGATCCGGACAACCTTGTCGACGATCTCTACTAAGCTCCTTCTTTGTCTCAACGTGATTAGAACGGCAAGTTATCCTATTCATACCAATATCTCGAGCTAATAAGAAAACTAGGAGGATCTGGAAATGTCACTTATTTTCATCGGACATTGCTTCGGTGGCCTTGTTATTGAGCGGGTATTGAGAAAAAGAAATCCCGTAGTATCAAAATGCCCTTCGCTAACGGCATTTATAGGCCTTGGTCCTCGCTAAAATGCAGCAAAACAAATTCCCCTGGTGTTTTTAACTCAACTAAAGGGGTTGTCTTCCTTAGAACTCCTCATCGTGGATTAAACTTATTTACCGAGGGGAGCACTCTTCTGACAGCGATAGCCGCGTCGTCCGACCTATATAAAAATCTTGAGACTGATGTTCTAAAGACCATAACGTCTAAGAACGGTACCCTCCTTGATGTTGTAGACGACTTTATTACTTTGTCCGTTTAAGGCGGGCCTGAGGTATCTTGCTTTTTTGAGTAGCGTTCGTCTAAACTGGGAAAGGTCATCGGGAGAGATGATATTGAGGTAAGTGATAGTTGGTAACAGGGAAATTCTGTTGGATATTAGGAACAGGAATTCATCGTTGATTCAAAGAGTGCGTCCTTTAACGGCTACCCGAAGTATGGACTTAAAGTAGACCATTTCAGTCTTAATAAGTTCGATAGTCCAAAGAACCCAAACTATATCTAGGTACAGTTAGTGATCGTAGAGTACTACGAGAAGGCTTTAAAAAGTGCTAGAAAGAATCATTCGAGCTAAGGCTAACCTTAATCTCCGATAGAACGCTAAGAGGAAGAGCTAAGGAGGGAGGTAATCAAAGCACTTCATGAAGAAGAGTCCCAAAAGCAAACCTCTTTGTGGGAGATGGAGTATCAAAAACGGTTTGCAGAAGAGAAGCGAGCTACCGAACAAGCATACCTCGAACGGCTTAAGAAGAATATAAGGAAGTACGGAATCGAGGAACCTAAGATGATACTCGCTGTAAATCCTTTACCCAGAGATGAGGAATTGAAGTCGACACAAGAAATAGAAGAAAAGAGTAGGTGGCATTGCAACCTTCTTAGGGGAGTATTGTCTGAGTAAGGCTTAGGTCGCGGCCAGATTAACGAAGTTCTGAATGACATGGGAGAAACTATGAATATCGACGGAATCGAGACCACCGTCACCAAGATGGCCAAGAAGTGGGTTTCGACGCGCACTTTGGACGCTCATGATATCCCCTGGTAATATGACAAGGTGGAAGCTGCCTATCTATCAACCCTTCAGATTGATCATTTTGTTGACACGAGTATATAGCACGACCGTTCTATAATCATTGTCAAGCGCTAGGTGCCAGATTATGAGCGGGAATTCTTGTGGGACCACTCATACGCTCTCCGCGGAGGGAGAGGACGAAGACGAAACCGCGATTGCGGTTAAGGCAAAATAACGACGAAAGGGAAGGTAGAGAGGAGCAACTGAAGGCTTGGGTAACACAAATGTGGGAGAGTTTTCATGCGACACATATGAGGAAGATGCAAACGAGGCAATCATCTTTCAGTAGATCTAATGCCATCACGCCGTCGCCAACAACCTCGAACTTTGACAGAACACGAAGACACAGTGTCAGGAGTGATAGTGCAGAAACCGTTCACTCGGCTCCTGGTCCAGAGGAAGTCTCTCGGCGAAGGCGAAATTCCCGTACGCTAACCTGCGAGGGATCACGAACGAGTCTTCTAGCGGGCATCAAGACTCGTCCCCACCATCGGGCTGATTCGACAGGGGATGAAAGGGCTCCATCGAGGCCTTTGAGGAGGATTCGACGTTTGAAAATCAGGTTGGATGGCATGCTGGCCAGCCATGATGATCGTACGCGCCAAGTACGACAATCTTCCTTGACGTCCATCGACACCTCCCGGCCATTGACTGTCACTCGCCACTACGGTAGTGGATACAGGCTGGCGGGGTCCTCATCATAGGTCCTTCCCACTTCCTAATTGTGCGACGGAAGAAATTGGAGAGGGTGTGGACTAGATTTACACTTGGGGTCGACAATGTTCTCAAGTACACAGGACGGGGATGGGCTCAAGGTGACAGCGCAGCGTAGGGGCTGACACAGTACCCAGGGGCTGGCAGGTAATCCGAGATGTGTTCCCGCGTCTCTTGTTCAACATGTTAAGATACCTAGTCGAAGTAATATGGGCCTATTCTGAAAAGTAATCAGGATCCTTGGAAAGTCCATGTTAGCTTGCGGGGTGAGCCATGTTAGATTCGAGACTAGCAACGATTAGACGTGCCACAGAGACAAAATCCATGGAGACTAAGTAAATACCATTCCCTACTAAGCGTTTCTAGGGGATTCCATGTATATCACAGATTTTCAATACATATCAGACGATGCGAATGGATAAAGTATGAGATTACTGGCCCCCTCTGGACCGTGTAAAATAAATCCACGAGTAGACGCCGTCTATATCTAAGATCTATAACAGAACTCCAAACTCCAATAATACTAGAAACACTTAGACAATCCGGGCTGTGAAGAGGGTATAAAACAATGACTCCGGAAGAAACGTAAACCAAGAATCAACAAATCCGCTTATACTGTCTCCATAAAGTCCTTCTATACACAGGTTAGCATACATTCAATCCAGATATCCAATACTACACAATAGGACTGAACATACCTTTTCACTCGTACTCCGATCAGAAGATATCCCATCGATATGCTGCCCCCGCTGGTGCCTCTGCCGTTGTTGTCGATTCCTCCTAAAACCCCACCCCAATCCTACCAAGAAAATAACCATGAAAAACGTACTAATCCCACAACACACCATGGACTCTCTCTGCTCAACTCGTAGAAACGTATGATCCATGCTCACACCAGCACCTGTACCAAGATGATTCGCCGCCCCCATAGATACAGCATCATGTTTACTCGGGTACATAATCGACCCATACCGCGAAACTCGCACGACAGCGCCATCATCATCGACATGGACATTCTCCGCATAACCATGCGAGACATTTATCTTCGTTTTTGCTTTTGTTTTGGTCGTGGTATCTTCTTCTCCGGGTGTAGTATCATCGATTTCATCGTCATCTCCGTTTTGCGTTGTACTCTCGACATCGGATGGATGGTATTGCGGTTTCCCCTCCGGTTGGTAATGGTCATCGTGATCTTTAAGCCACCGCTCATAGTCCGTTTCATGTCTGTCGGTGGTATGTTTTGGATTTGGGGGTTGACGTAAAGCCATGGTTTTGGTTGTTGAGGGTTTTCGGTTCACCTTGATCGGGATTTAGTTTAGGTCCGGTAAATGTTGGGTTTTGTCAAGAGAAAAAAACTCGAGTTTGTGGTGGTGAACCCCACGATCTTTTTTTTTTCGTATGAAGGGCTAATTTCAATTTCAGATTCAAAGTGAAAATGGTTGTTCAATCTCGTTTCGGGGCGGATACAGATAGTCATATAAGACCTTGTCATGAATGAGAAGGGAAGGAAGACGGGGCGGGGCCATATGCAATTCAGCAATTCGGCCCTCGGGGCTGAGTCGAATCCCACGAAAGAGGGTCCATTTTAGGATCACTTTACACTGCGACGGTAAATGTATAAACGGGGATCCACGAATGACGATCCACGGATGGGGGAGAAAAAGGGTCCAAGTACTCCGTACAGCATCCAGATTTACACGAGTCTTCAGCGTAGGTTCAGGGTCCAGCCGTGAAGAAGGAATGTGTGACATTCTCGTTCCTGATTGGGGGCGGATTGGGGTCCGTGGAGGGGGATGTAGCTGGCTATTGGTAGATCGTGTCGGCTATGGAGAGCTTTGTTTGTGAAACTGCCTCTAGACTAGGTGTCTAGTCTCTGCTGGTCACATTGACACGGGCATGATGTGACTTGATGTGGGCATGAATTAGCGAGCTTGACGTGAAGGTGTGGTGTTGCGTTGACTCGGAGATGGGTTACATCTTGCTTAGTTGATGCTTATTAGCAAGTGGGGATTAGAAAACCTAACACGAGTATCTGCTTACGGGTTCTATTCCTGACTCTAGAGTGACAATTATTGCGTGCTATAAAGCATAATTGAGCCATACAATTAGTCGGAGATGATCGACGGCTGTAAGCCTGTGCTAGTCGAGTGCTTCAAGTAAAGTACCGTTAACAAGCCTGCCAATGTAATCCAGAATCATCTTATCTCCTATGTCACGGTTTCTCGTGATCCATAAGCGTCCCCCTTTCAATAAGTGAGACACTCCCAGCTATATGATCCACCGTCAGCATCAGGAGTGAAGACCCCTATTTCCCTTGCAAGACACTCGAGGCATTTATGAGTGAACCAAAAAAGGCATAGGACAGAGGAACTCCATCGTTGCTAGGAATTACTCAAGTAGCCTTGGCAGTCTTAGCAATATTATACTTTAAGACATCATTACCTCCAGCTTGCAGGTTAGGGTAATTTTATGCGACATTAGATGAAGCTATCACACCCCCGACTACCACTACCTTACCACCTATACTCTACAAAGAACAGCAATTATAAAAAATCTACACCTCTCATTCTCTCTCAAAACTTTCTCTACACCATCTGTACAGAGAGACAAACAAGAACAAAAACAAATACCAATCCACCAGGTAGATTGTCGAGACAAGGAAAAAAAGGCAGGGAACTAGCGTCGGCTCATAAGGAATCCTGGCCACCCAACCCATTAAAGCTCTGGCAAGAGCGACGTGCAGTGCAAAGAGGGGGTAGAGAGACTGGAGACTCGGAACATGATAAAACTATGGCCAATAAAGATAGAGGGAAAAGGACATTTTCAGTGGCACGGAGAGAGGGGACAGGAACGGGATAGAATTAATGGAGGGAGGAAATCAGTTCGTCTCATTCAGGTTTGTCAGAGTGCCATAGAAAATAAAAAAAAGACAAGATATGGGAAAAAGGAAAAAGGTATTGGTAGAAACAAAAGGGGGAATATTCCGAAGAAAGAAAAAAGATGAGATGAGATAAGATACATGGGGCTGCGTTCTGGAGATTGAACACGGAGTGTATCTGATCAACCCAGAGAAAGGGAGGTTAATGGCCAATCAAAAAATTTCACAGAGAAAAAGATGCGTGATATATGTATGAGATATATATCCTGGATAATGGACAATGAAAGGAAGTTTTGTGCAGTTCTCTCCAATCAAATCCCTCCCGCCTCTTGTACTGGTCAACCATGGAGGACGAGTACAGACTCGACCTCGACGGGGGCAATATGGCGTGCCGTCAAGGAACACTCCGGAGGTCTGATTCTGCCGGAGGTAATTGGCAGGGAGTTGAGATTAAGAGAGATGGAAGAAAAAGAACAGAGGTGGATAAAACAAGGCCAAGTCTAGTCTCGTCTTGTTTTCGACAATTTCGAACATCTAGTTCCAGCCCAGGGAGTTCTCAGCCATGACCGGAGCGCTGATCACCTGTCCAGAACGGGCAGTGCGCTGACTACCGGACATGCGGCCACCGGCAGCGAAGAGAGAGCCGGCACCGGAGCCCTGGCTCATCTGCTCGGCAGTAGAGCTGGAGCGCTTGTGCAGTTGCTTTCTCTTGCGGTAACGGCGGGCAACCCAGAACATACCAGCACCGTAGGCCGCGGCACCGGCAACGACACCGACACCAATACCGACGGAGCTGGCCTTGGTCTTGGAGGAATTGGCAGAGCCATCATCGTTGTTGCCGCCATCGCTGCTACCGCCGTTGCTGCTCGAGCTACCACCAGTGCTGGAAGATGAAGAACCATCCGAGGTAGGGTAGTTGCCGGCGAACTCCAGAGGGATGGAGGGGTCGACCATGGACATCAGAGTCTTGACGGACTCATCGGACGATTGGTAAAGAGCGGAGATGGGGTTGCGCTTGAGATCCTTGAGGGCCTGGACCTTGTCACGGGGGAAGTAGAAGATAGCCAGGGTGGCGTTGTAACCAGTGGTCTGCCACGAGTAGTAAGGCTCAAGGGCCCACATGGTGGAAGAGGCCTTGGGCATGGCGTTCTTCAGGGCCATGGGGACGTACTCGAAGATCTGCGAAGAAGACAGAGGAGTAGTAGCGACGAAAGACCAGGGGAGGTGACCATCGAAACCAATCTGAAGCAGCACCGAGTCGGAGGGAGCCTCGGAGACACCACTGGAGGGAGTAATGGAACCAGGGAGAGTAGTAGGCTCGGAGCTAGCACTGTTGGTACCGGTGCTAGTAGTCTCGGAAGGAGTGGAAGTCGGCAGCACGAGAATGGAGGAGGGAATCCAGTTGTTGGTGTTGCTAGAGTTGGACTCCTCGGGGGTGTTGGTGGTGGAGGGCTCTGCGGTCGTAGTGGCGGGTTCCGCAGTGGTGGTGGGCACAGCAACGGAAGAGGTAGGGACCTTGGAGGTATCCTGGGTGGCAGTAGGAGTAGGAATGGCAGCAGAGCCAGATCCAGATCCAGGCAAGTGAGGAGTGGGAATGATTCCAATCGAGGTCGCGGTTCCAGTGGCGGTCGTTCCAGAAACGGTGAGAGGAATAGACTGGTGAGGAACACCGCTGGAAGCCGCACCCGGGGTAGGGATCAGACCGATACCAGTGCCAGTGCCAGTGCCAGTGCCAGTCTCGGTTGCATTGGGAAGAAGCGAAGCAATACCGCTCACAATCGAGCCAATGAGATCGCCACTGGTGCTGGTAGCAGTCGGGCTAGCCGTAGGGGACACGGCAGGGACGCTAACCGCGATGGTGGAAGATCCAGTGGGAGTAGTAGAGGTCTCAGCTGCGGGAATGGAAATACCGAGACTCTCAAGGAGGCTACCCTGGGAAGAGGTGGTGGCAGCAGCGGATGTCGATGTAGCGGTCGCGGCGGTGCTGGAGTTTGTAGCGGTAACTCCAAGCAGGTTGGAGATATCGGAACTAACTGCATCGACAAGGGAGTCGCTAGTCGTGGTGGCCGCAGCGGAGGTAGCCGTCGTGGAAGCCGCACTAGAGCCCTTGGCGGTGGAAGAAGAAGCGCTGGAACTTCCAAGACCAAGCAGGTTGGAAACGTCATCGATAAGAGAGTCGCTAGTGGTGGCCGCCGTGGAAGTGGCCGAGCTGGTAGTCGAAGCAGCGCTGGCAGCCGTGCTAGTAGTTGCTGCAGTCGAGCTAGTAGTTGCCGCAGCCGAAATGATTTCCGTAGAGGTCGTGAGAGTGTGAACATGGCCCTCGGCATCCGAGGAAATCACCACAATAACCTGCTTCGCTGCATCGGTAGAGGCGGACGTCGTAGCGGGAGGAGTGGTGGTGGGCTGAGCAGTCAAGCTATCCTCGATACTTTGCCAGATCGCACTCCACGAGTTATCAGTACTCCGAGTTGTCAATGTACCGTTCTTAACGATTCGCTTCACCTCGCGAGGAAGATAACGGGGGCGTTCAACGTGCTCGGCAGTGACCAGCTCGAAACCTCCAATGGCGAAGGCCGCGAGAAGGGAAAGGGTGTTGGCGCGCATCTTGTTCGGTCGTATGCGACGAAGAATTCAAACGATAGGGCGTCCGGGAGCTAGAGGGTACAGAACGAGTTCAAAAGATGTACTCGTCTGTCAACCCTTCAGGCAAGAAAAAAAAAGAGGGTTGGCGGAGTGGTGGAGGCAGTCGAAGTTGGAAATATTCCGATATATCGCGGCTTCGTCAAAAGGTCCAAAACTCGTCACGGGGTGGTTATCAAAGTACAGGGTGTTGGGACGCAGTCGCAACAACCTTCTTCTGTTCCTTTTTGTCCAACGGGGAGATTGTCCTATTCCTTCGCAGGTTGATGGACAAAGGGATCGATGGGCGTCTCGACGGGCAACCGAATGCAAGTGAAACACGAGGCGAATGAAGCACGATGAGCTAGAAGATAACGAGTGGAAGGGGGTTTCGATAGAAGATTCTGAAACGACCCGAGCGAGTTGCAAGCAGATACAAAAAGAGTGTGGGCTTATTGAAGCTGTAAGGGAGCGAACGGCAGCCTAATAAAGAGGCAGAGCGAGAGAGATGTCCGGGCAACGGTCGAAACGATCAAAGAAGAGGGAGGTGGGTTAGTTTAAACCAGCGCGACCGTGGGGAGAAGCAAGGGGAGTGAATTGGCAAGGTCCCAGGTCTCAAAGGCGCCAGGTCGGAGGACGAAGACGAAGCATACGAAGAAAAGGAGTGAATAAAGTGAATGAATGAGAGTAAGGATTAAAGTGAAGGTGGCTCGGTTTGGGTGTAGGGGCGAAGGGGGAGGGGGGGAGAGAGAAATGGGGGCGGGAGTGGAACACGTGTGGAAACACAACAAATTCCCGTAATCTGACGGTAAATTATGGGTAATTTATGATGGGCCAGGGGTAATTTTGGGCCTAGGAGGTAATTTCCAGGTTATGGCCACGCACTAGAGAGGAGGTCCACTTTTCATTTAACAGAGTCTGTGGCAATCTTAAGGGTAGAGTCGAGTGGTAGGGCAGAGACTGAAGATACTGTAAATTGAGAAAAGCTATAGATTGTAATATACCTTCTATCTTATCTTCATAGATTATAACTGTCATCCATATCTACTCCGTATAACTATAGTTATATGCTGTATACTGTACATACTACAGTACTCTACTTTTAAGTCTAGACACAATAGCCTATGTGACACGGCATCCCCCTATTCCTCCTTTTCTCCTATTTCCCGAGTCTAGCCAAGACGCAGGTACGGGAGACTAAAGGTGATGCAGGAATCCGTAATGGCCATGACATACATGTAGAATCACAAAAAGAAAGGAAACCACCCCAAGCCTCCCGCCCGCTTTTTCCCTCGGGGCTTACTCAAAGTATAATTTGGACCAGCAAGTGGCCAAGCAAAGCATGATATAGCGATCGACACATCTACCGGCCAAAGTTAGAGGTCCAGAACCCGTCCACAATGGTAGATGAGATTGATCAGGTATGGAAAGAGATATACGAGTGAAGAGCAGGCATGGCTTGTTATACTTGTTACACAAGATGTCGTAGTGAACTACAAGCCTGTCCAGTTTGAATTGCATTTCCATCTCGCCATTAATTAGGTTCAAGGACAGGGTCCGAGTCTGGAATTTCCCTCTTTATCTTGGCTTTTCCTCTCTGACCTCTGACTCGAAAAAGTCCGTGAGCTGTCCATCAACGGAGCAGCACGATCAGTTTTAGGAAAAGAGGCCTCGACCAGAGTGCACATCGTAATCAGCACGCAAAGTACTCCGTAGTTCCTCACGCCTGTCCATCCCAGACACAATTCATACTCTGTACGAGTACCGACCCCGATATCCAGTCCACACCGACATCCAGTCCCCATTAATATCTCTAATATCCCATCCCGGTCGCTGAACAAGCCCACCTACGCGTTCCGTTCCTGGCCGTGGTAACAAGATCCTCCCTGCGTGGCTACCAAAGCCCTAGACCACCATCAATACACGGGGATTACCAACATCACTACACTCAAACAAGATCTAATTCCGTCCTGCAGTAGCCGTACCTGCCAGGAGCCCCCGCTAATCCGTATCCAGGACTAGTGCCATCTCTAGCGGCGCGCCCAGGTCTCTCGCCTCGCTCAGCCAGGTAAGCGATCAACATCCACTTCGAATCAGCGATTCAGCGACCCCGTTGGAGACATGGGTCCAGTCCCGTCTAACCGCTTCCCTACGAGTCGACGGGTACAAAAGTTACCCAGGGCGCTTTGTGTTTTTTTCCTTCCTTTGCTGGCTTGTTGTTTTGAGGGGGTTCCCCCGGAAGTCATCGCCCCCCCCTCTTGTTGTACTACTGTACGTTGGTTCTGTCTGGTGCAGGTGGCGTGTATTGGGCTGGTTACCGTAAGCCACCCCGTTGGTAGTGCGCATTGCGTACGGAGAAAAAAAAAGTCAGGGAAAGCATAGTTTCTGTACGTCATGAATTCTGTTTCCTTCTCTCGTGGCAGTACCGGTATCGAATAGTCGTACCGGAGACTGGGCTGGAAAGGGGAGAGCGTTGGTGGTAGAGTGCTACACTACTGGGTATTTACCTTTATACTCCCGCGTCTGTCCCTGACTATCGCTACACTATTGATTCTAATTTTCATCACGACTCCATAGGAAGGGTCTCTCGACTCTCTACAAGACGGGATCCTGTTGCCATTGCTATTTTCCATGCGTAATCTCCGGTCGCAAGTCGAAAACTTCTGTCGATGCGATCGCACCCGCCACGTGTATGAAAAGGACGGTGAATCGTGACAGATCGGAATGAAGGGGGGTCATAGTGGCCCTGCCCCTCTCGAGTCTTTTTTCCTTTTCATACTTGACAGTTGCCTTTTCGTCATTTTGACATTCTTGACGTGTTTGAAGAGTGTTTGTGGAGAGATGTCTGCGCGTCGGATCGAGATTCGTCGCATGTTTGCCGATACGTCGTTTGCCTTGGATTCTCGGGTCGTCCCTTGTTTGAGATTGCCATCCTACATTTTATGTACTGTATGGTATACCATAGTACAAGTTGTCTGTATTAGTTGGGATGGCGTCGACAATGCTATCTTTACCAGACTAACAGTACACTGTTTATCTATTTTGGCTATGATCCAGAGCCATGGAAAAGGAATTATCCAACAAAGAAACTATCAGCGACGACCAAGTGTACTATGCACTAAGTACCGGCGTCACTTCTCCAGTCGGGCAAAGCCCGTGGTCAATGGTGTAATTATAGACTTTGGTATTTCTCCGGGGGATGAGCCCCATTCTTTGTTCGGCCCAGGCAGTGCAAAGGCTCGGCCCTATCGAGCCAATACCATCATCTTGAAAATGTCGAGTACAGTAATAACTAGTTAATCAATGCTGACCATTATCTTCAAAATATAGGCTACCTTAGCCTAGGGTCTGGCTACCTTTATACATTCCACGAACCCTCACGTAACCAGTTCTGCTGGAGTAAATACGATCATCATCGGTACCAAGGACGACTACGCAACGCTAGACCTGTTCCTGAGCTGTCGGCCCCACCCGTCCACCCGCGGGTTTCAGGGCGAGCCACACTTTTCCTAGGAGCTCTGGAAGTACTCCTCCTGGGTAACCGAGTTTCGCTGGTAACCGAGTTATGTAATCATAAGCTCCCGCCCGTGACTCGCTATGCCCTGGATCATGTGACTTGGTCTGGACAATGTACTGGTGGAGCCAACACACTGGTCTGGACCTACAAATGGACGAAGAATGCCGTGGAGGCTCTCTGCATTGCCGGTTATCGTGGAGTCAATTACCTACCAGATCCAGGTGCCTGCTTTTGAGTGGCACGTCATCAAAGTGTTGGGTCTAGAACCGGGAAGTGGCTAGATGAGTCGATTGAAGGGGGGCAGCCCTATGGAAAAATTGATTCTAGACTATCAAGGGAGACGTAACGTTCATTCGGGTTCAGGATTTACGCTTGCTATCCACAGTTGAGTTAATAGGTAATAGATTTAGTTGAATAGAATGACTTGAAATTTAAGATTGTAAGGAATATGGATATTTCTGCGGAATATATATTTAATGACGAAGATATCAGCCATTTTTGAGTAGGGCATTTCTTTCATCTGATCGTGTGGTTCCCATACTTTGACTTTCAGAATCTAGAACTATCAGCATTAGAATGTATGGATCTGTATGGTGTGAGCTTGAATTGGTGCGAAAAGGTCGCAGATTACCATAAATATATAAGCCTAGTGCTACTTATTGACTCATTTCTTGCACAAAGCATTAGATGCTCGATACCTTCCACTATATATTATCTGCACTTGATGAGCCTATACTTAGCCATAAATATATATTTCGTCATCGCTGGTATGATCATTTAATAAGAGTTTGGAAACAAGTCTCGGTGATATTTCTCCCTCAAATGGAAATGAAAGTTTTAGCTTGTGATTGCCACAGTACAATAGGCTCACTTTAATCTAGGGATTCTTTTTATTTCTAGGACAAGTCCTCATGCGGAGGTTGTAGAGTTGATGTCTGAAATACACACAAGACCACTCATGTCCCTGGTTTGCAGGCTGCCGTTCAAAGCGATCATCAAAGAATGAGGTAGCCTCTGATATCCTATTAGATGTCATGCTAATGTGGATATATGTGGTAGTCATTATGGCAGAGCCTTATGTGCTGCGAGGTGAGAATGAATCTATGGAGCTTCTGGCTGATAGACGGGTTGATGTGGCGACTAACTGTATATGGTGACCTTTGCAGCACTGCTAAAGGGTTGCAACCTTCTTTAAGGGAACAAGAAACTGTCTAGCTTTTGACGATGACACAGTAGACAGTCATCAGATTATCGGGACTTCCCGATGTATGATATTTCCACGATGTTTGCTTCCTGATATACACTACCGCCTCAGCTTCGGAGCCTGCCATCGCGCTCTTATCGAAGGGTCTCATCGTTATCGATCCAAAGGTTTACTCTTTCTTCTTGCATCTCGCATCACTTCTCTTTTTCTCTCTCAAATCCAACCACTCGCAATACTCTCCCCCGCCTCAAGGGTTCCATCTTCCGTCTTGAACACCCACGCCTTCCGCTTCAACCAGAGTAAGCTCAACACGATGTCAACTCTAGTTGACCCTGCTCAATCTCGCCATCCGTCCGGCATGGAGCCACTCCCGAGAGCAGATTCGATCAACCCATTCTCGCTGGGCACCGGATCCCTCGACGAGGAGGAGGGCCACGAGATTCCCGTGCATAGCCTCAAGGCCAAGTTCTTCTTCGACCGGCCTGCCGAAGACCTGATTCCAGCTCGCTATCTGCAGATGGCCCAGGATACGCGTAAGTTGCTCATCTCTCCATCCTCTACGTCCATGAATGAGTACAGAGAAAGTATCAGCTGACGTTTCTTCCATCAAAGCACTCGTTCATGACAAGCCCTGGATCTTCCGCAATCCCGTACAAGACTTCCGCCGTGTCAACCTCAAGGCCTGGTGCAAGACTGATACCCGATATCGAGGCGTTTTCAGGACCCTCCGTCGTGTTCCAAAAATCGAGACGGGCTTGTGGGATGGAGGTACTGAGGACTGCCAGGACGAGTTGGCTGAACACGACAGCCGTGCCCAGGCTCAGGTGGTCTACGCCCTGTTGAGTGAAATTGACAGTATGATGGATCTGAAGAAACTGATGGCGGATGGGCAAAGGGTTTTCTTCTTGAAGTGAGTGGTGCTCATCCCTTATAAAGAGCTGATAGACTGACATTCCTCTTCTTTTGAAAGGGTCCGGTTGTTGGTCTACCAGATGGAATATTGGACAGGATACCGTGAGAAGCACAAAGATGGACCGGGGACAGATGCAATCATCGCTCTCGAGTTCGACCCTGAACGTGACACCGTGATACCAATCCTGCCCATCGCGGCCGTTAGTTATCCCCTAACCCCGAATGTCACCCAGCATTAGTATACTAACAAACACATCTCCCAGACAAATTACCAAGAGCCTATGGAAGATGCCCTCGCCGACAGGTTTAAGCTGATCCTTTCGCAACTCCTCCAACATGTCAGACCACTCCCCGTCCCAGGCGACAAGATCCCGGATCAAGAGACCTTCCTAATCGGTCAACATGGCTCAAAACTTCATATCATGCGCGCCTTTTTCCCAGGACACAAACTTTCGAGTCTCTGGTGCCGCCGCGAACTACCCTACACAGCACGCCTGATCCCTCCCATGCCCCCTGCAAGCCCGCCAAGCTCATCTTTATCCCTACCAGATGGAACGGCCGCACACATTGAGAACCGCGACGAGAACGAGGCCTCGCACGTCGGGACAGCCAGCACTACCGATGCCACTCGCAGTCGCAGTAACAGCAACCGATCCTACGCAGCCGAGAACATCGAGCGCGTCCAGCAGCACATCGAATCCACCAGGCTCAGCATGCTGGATAATGAGCTCGACACCCGGACATTCCGGGTCCTCTGTACACGCGAGTACGACCTCTGGGTTGAAAAAGACTTTTCTGAAGCCGTGAACGCCCTCGTTGCGCTGCAGCTGTATCTACTCAGCGGCACCGCGCGCTGTGGACCCCTACAAGCCGTCTTCAACAAGCCCCCGTTCCCACCAGATGATTCCGGATCTGGCTATGCGGACGAGGAGAATGAGTTCGACGAAGAGGAAGACGGATTTAATCTCGAAACCGATGACGTTGAGACCCTGCGCGCTAAACTCGTGCACCAGCTAGATGCTCTTCGAAGTGCATGGCGGGAACGGAATGCCGAGTTGGCGCAGGAGGAGGAGGAATCTCGACGTGAGGAGATGGATAGTCGACGCGAGGACTATGGAATGATGGGTCATTCGGTGGTGGTACAAGAGCTGAGGGCTCTGCGCATGAGTGCTGTGCGGGAGTTGAGGCGGTCGTGGTGGGATTTTGTTTGGGAGGATTTGGATGGGGAGCGGTTGGAGATGATTGAAGGGCTGGAGGTTTCTGACGATGAAGATGAGGAGTGTGAGGGAGAAAGTGCTGAAAAGGGGGACGAGGAAGATGTTTCTAGGTCGGAGATGGACCTGTGCATTCGAGATTGAGTTAAGATAGGCTGAGGCCCAGCGAAATCAAAATCAAAATGTTTGAGTCTAATCACGTCCCGTTGTAGTGAGTGTAGAAGTCCTAAATGCAACAATGAGCTAGTCACCATGAAAGCAATTGGTGTGGTATCATCTTCATTCTAGTTCTCACTAACCAAAAACAACCCACATCATAGAATAGTATATCAACCAAACAAGGAGAGAAAGCAAATCAAAGAGCGGAGATACAAATAGGGTATAAATCGAAATAGTAGGATAGCCCGGAAACAAACAAGCAAAGAACGAACGATCCCTCTAAGGAGGGTGTTTCAAAAAGACCAAAACTGCCCTGCACTATCTACTCCCGATGTCTCCTGTCCGACTCAAAAGGCGTGAATCCATCCGCACCACGTCCATCTAGCCCACCCGTACGGAAATACTCAGTCACCACACCGATCGCATAGCATGATCCCGCGGTGATAGTGCCCGTGAGGACCATTCTGCGGATGACTTTTCGAAAAGTCGATTTCGACTTGGATTTGGATTTGGTCGTAGTCGACGAGGTTGGAGTGATGGCGGAACTAGATCCGGGGTCCGAATTGAAATTATCACTGGACGCTGTGTCTCCGAATGTCGAGGGCTAAGTCGACCAGTTAGGGATGGAGGACGGGTCGGAATAGACGGTTTTCACCTGTCACTGCCTACTCACCTTGATGGTGGAAGACGGGTCGTAGTGGCGTACGTAGCGGTGTGAATCGTAGGAGTCATCGCGCATGTATTGCGCAATATCGGCCTGGACATCCGGGGATACAGACTCCTGTTGTTGACTAGCAGTCGAAACGGGGTTGCGCTTTGCATTCTTGACGGAGCGCTTGAAGACCAGGATATCGCCGCCGCCAGTTGCGATTTCGTACCCGTCGGCCTGCATCTGTGCGAAGAATGGCACGAATTTGGCTGGGTTGTGGAGGCGGGTGAGTATCTCGTGGGGTTGGACGGTTTCGCTGGTACCGAAGAATGAGTTTGATTCGGTGGTTGTTACTGTTGATGTTGTGGTATCGTAGGCTAGGATGCGGTAGTCGGATTGGGACCACTGAGATGTAGCGGGGGCGTTCTGGCGTTGCAGGAAGTCGCCGACACGGTCCTCGAAGGAGTCAAATTTGATGTCCTTTGGTGCGGAGGACTTGATGCTGGTATCGCTTTCGCTCTCTAGTGGGGTATAGCGAGCTCGGATGTCACTGGCATGCAGGGTATTCAGATCCTCGCTCTCGCCGCGGGTCTCGGCGCTGGCAGCATCAGAGAGGAACTTGGCTTCTAGCTCATTGCCAGGTTCACAGTCAACAGTGATGCCATCTTTCTTGACGTTGGTATCAGCAGTGGTGGTTGACGGATAGTGTTTAGCTTGAACGGCAGCCGGGTTACTCGCGAACAGTGCCTCCAATTCACTGCCCGGAGCGCAGTCGACGGTCAGATCAGACATTTGAGCACGAGTGGTCTCTGCAACGATCCTTGCCTCAAGTTCGCTATCTGGGATGTAATCAACAGGCGATGCTTCCTTGGACTGTGAAGCGAGGTTGAGTTCAGAAGCGAACTTGGCCTCTAATTCACCACCGGGTGGGCAGTCCATAGTCTGCGATTTCAGCGTGTCAACTTTAGCCGTGGAGGCACTGCCTGGCTGGAACTGGCCATCCTCGACTATCGGAGCATTGGAGGCGAATTTAGCCTCGACTTCACTTCCCGGAGGACAATCGACACCCGAGTTCGAGTTCTGCATTGCACTTTCACTTGTGGGCTCTGGCTTTGGTGCTTTCGGAGCCATACGGCCACTGATAGGGTCATATTCAAGACATTCTCGGCTACTAGAAGTACTTGACTGAGCCGGAGACTGAGCAAAGTTGAAATCCTGGAGATGACCCTTCGACGGATGATCCGTCATGGGCTTCTCAGCCCCCAAGAAAGTCCGCAAGAAACCCGGCCACGCGGTAGCAGTATCAGATTGATCAATATAATGGGAAGATTCCACTCTGCGACCAAACAGCGCTTCGTAGGGGTCTCTGTCGAGCCGCCTCTTCAAGTGGGCGATACGATGATTCACCTGCTCAAGCTCGGCATCCCAATACGTCTTGTCTCGACCGGCGAGTTCGGAGAATCGAGAGCGGGGCCAGTGTGTGGCCCAGCCTTTGCTGCTACTGGGATCTCGGTGGGCTGTGGCGGGCCAGCCGTTGCAGGCTTCCGTCTTACGACGGAGGTTGGCTTGGGGGTGACGTTGGTATTTATCGATGGATCGAGCGATGCGTTCCATCTTATCGCGGATACTGTGGTAGTTGCGAGCAGAGTGCCAAGTATTGCGGCTTCGAGATGTGTTTGTGGCCACTAATTGTGACAGAGCTGGTCGGGTTGTACCTGGCCTCGCCATAGCGACGGAGGACATGGCAATGGAAGAGCTCATGGTGTATTCTTGAGAGAAGTATGTAGATTTGGAGTATAGATGACCCTTTCCAATGGGGAGCTAGCAGGGGCTTGGAAGCGGAGTTGTCACCGAAGGAAGACAGGTGCTGTGGAGAGTATGGATAGAGCGCGTGGGGATGAAAGCTCCAGGGCGCTGACGATCATATCCACCCGCGATCACACGAGTTTGGGGAAGCGGGTCTTGTGCTTATCTGGGGTGCAGATGGTCGGATGAGGACCGTTTAACTTGGGAAGAAGGGGCCTGGGGGAGGAGTGAAGGGGATAGGTGGAATAAAAGGAGATTGAGAAGACGAGATGAGATTGAAGAGGGGGTAAGAGGAGTAAAAGAAGGGTAATGTAGGATGCCAGTTGCTACATCGACAGGACCAGAGCACTCCGACGCGGGGACTGGGATCATCTGGGGAGTGTGACCAATCACATTCCCCGCCCACTCGTTCCCCCGCAAATCGAAGGGCTGACATCAGCGGGGTATGATGTCACTGGGCCTGGGTCTCACCCACAGAAAGAAACCCGACCTTCGTCATCACAGTCATCATAGCCCGAGGTATGATCCTGCTGAATCCGGAGCTGATGCTATCCCTTTCGCTCGACCTTCTCTTTTCGTTAAGCTGCAAACCTTTTCTCTCAGTCTATGCTACTATATGGTTACTCCAGAACCGCAGACCCTCTATCCCTTCCTCTCGACATAGCACCCCCCGGTCTTCTGCCATCTCTAGCTCTTCTGCAGCCACACCCACACTCCACTTGAATCGCTGGGCGGCTTCCTGTGCCGTCACGGCCCGACCAAAAACGGTCCAATCCCACGGAACCGATTCGTCTGGTGGGACTCGTCGCAATTCCTCCATCCATTCCTGTAACTGCCGGACCGTCTTCTCATCGCTCCAGTCATAACGCTGAACCACCAAGAGACCACTCTTGAACCGGCGTAGGCGCACAGGCAGTTTCAACTTCTCCCAGAGCTCGGCTGCTCGCTGGAAATCGGAGGGACTGACGAGTTCAACTCCATTACGAGACCGATTGAACACTGCCCAAAGGTCAATCAGGCTCATAATACCTCCTTCCCGATGTAGAATTCCCTTGCGATCATCTGTAAGGTACTCGGCCAGGTTGCGAGACAGCTCTGATAAATAGAGGTTCTCCGACCCAGAGCTCAGCATGTCCTTCGTAGTCACCATTCCTAGTGCTGCAGCCGACTCAGATAGTACTGCGTTGGTTTCTGCAGAAGCTCCTTCATTGGTAGTCATTCCCGACTCGCGGGCCAGGGTCTCGGCTAGAGCCACAATCTGCTTGGCCGAAGCCATCAAAGCCTCGAGATCTTCAAAGGCATTACCAATCACCAGTTGGTTGTTCATCCGCGTTTCTAGCCCTCGTTGCTCTAGACCCGCAATTCCCACAGCTGTAGCACGTGGTGCCGCAGGCTGCGGGCTCTCTAGAGCAGCAATGGCGGGCCCGCTGGTCGAGGCACCGGCCTGCGATGGTGGTGGCACCGGTGGTGCATTCTGGAGTAGCCATTTCCTTTGAATCAAAGCTCCCTTGAGTCTCTCATGAAAGGTCTTCTCCCCGCCATTTCGGAATGAAAGCTTGATGCTGTCGGTGACTTCTGAATTGGTGATGCGAGATTGTGCAAAGAATGGAGCAGGAGAGTCGGTGCGACTGGAATCATCTCCGGGTATAGAAAGCCCACCGGTTGCCAAGGGTGCCCCGCACATCTCACACTCCATGAGCGATGGATGATTCACGAATGTGCACCGGGAGCACGACACGGAGCCGGCGAGGCCCGCAGGGCCCGACAGACTACCATTCTCGTGGGCAGTATTATTCTCGGTCGGAAAAGCTGTCGTACTGGGCAATGGAGAATCGCGACTTGTTGCGGCGCTGATCGCAGCCTTGAGGACTGTTGTAAAGGGCGGCTTGATGCCGCACGCGAGACATGGCGGTAAATGAGTAGCTGCGGTGGCCGTGGCCGGGTCGAAGTTCGAGGGTACAGGATTGGAAAAGGAACAGATTGGACAGATCCAGGTCGCGTTAACTGGCTTTGGTGAGGCCGCCTGCTGTGGGACAACACTCTGTGGCCGAGGAGAGGATGGGTGAACGGGGAGTAGGCTAGACTGTTGCGAAACTGTAGGACTGGCAGTCGCGCTTCGGGATTTATCAGTCTTTCCCTTCTGGGGTTTGGGATATAGTGTGATCTTAGGTGATGACTTGAAGAAGCCGGCCTATAAATATATTCAACTGGTTAGCAAGCACCGCAAACGAACTGTAGATCGGACGGTCTGCTTCACTACCTGGTACTCGGCTCGGTCGACTTCCTTCAAATCGATGCCGACAGAGTATTTACGAGGTTCTTCGGCTGCAACATAGCACACCCTATGGGAGGTCAAGTAGGCATGGCCATTTTGGTAGTCAGGGATCTTGTATTTCCTGCTCATCCCCGTATCAGTACATATAGCATCAACTCTATTGTTCGGCGGGGGACTGTAGCTTACCCCTCATATAACCCCACCGCATCCTGGACAAAGAGAAGGGTCTCGTCAGGTAACAGCAAGGGTCGCAATGCAGTTGTCAGGTCCAGAGACTTGAAAAACATCTAGTAGAGGGTGCAGGCGACATATCACCCTTTCAAGAACGTCCAGAGCTGTCACCCGATAACAAGATAACCTGGGGGAGAGAGACCGGCCGGAGAAAGGATGTTCCGAGGGGAGAGAGTAAGCGAGTTGGGATTCTTTCGCCCTTGGGTTTCAACTTGTGTGCTTCACCACCAGCTTCTACAGACCTTCACCTCCACTATACCACCCCATCTCGTCGTTGATTTTACGGATTTCGAACAGTTACCGTTCTTTATTCCCTATCTACGCCAACGTCAACCCCTCCCCTCGTAGCCGTTTCTTTCCTCTTTCTTTGTTTCCTCCTTCCCGCCTTTTCATCTCTCTCTCTCTCTTTCCCTTTTTGCCTCACAACAATACACATTTATCCTTTTAGACACCGGGATGAACTCAAGCGTCCCACCGTGGCGTGTCAGTGCCTCGGCTCCGACCTCAAAGCCCGTTGCTTTTCAACCTTCTGGTAAGAGCACCCATCTGGATCCCGCCTCCCGTGCCCGGTCTTTCTTGCTAACCCTTCTCCAGCGACTCCTGCCTTTATTCCAGTACAAGCACGTCGTAGCCTCTCTTCTAATAAGCCTACCTACCCACCCTCCACCGGATCCTCTGCACAACCCACCATGCCCCCTGCGGTTGAACCTCCTCGATCACGTATGGAGTTCCCTCCCGCGGTTCGCCTCTACGTGCAACGATGCTTTGCTCCCGAAAACCAGGTTGCCAGCGTGAGCCACCCCGAAATGCAAGAGAAACTGCGACAGGTCATTACCGACGCCGCCGAGAACAACAAGCTTCACATTATGGACTGGGAGCGACTTGCCTTGCCACAGGTCATGATCCAAAATGAACGCAATAGGATCCTGTCCAACCCCAACGTCTCAAACTGGGGGATATCTAGCCAACCTTCTCCCCCCGGTGATGCCAGTCGCAAGAGAAAGTCGACAGACTCCAGCCAGCAACAGCAGTCCGGAAAAGATTCGCCGCCATGGAAAAAAGCTAACAATCGCAATCGGTTTGAAGACCGTGTCACTCACCCATCCACAGAAAAGAAATCACGAATGACACTGGATGATTCTAGTAAGTCAAAAGCTAATTTGGAGATGAGGAGGAAGCGCTTTGAAGGTGCTGGTGTCAGTTATGGAACCTCTGGTACCTCGTCCCCCGTGGATTCTCCCTCCTCGCGCAGCGTCGACCAGGACCAAGGACCCGTGGTTGGACGATGCCAAACCTTGGAGAAGAACTACTTCCGCCTGACCTCGGCTCCCAACCCGGATACTGTCCGCCCGTTGCCGGTGCTCCAGAAGGCCTTGGACTTGTTGAAAAAGAAATGGAAGCAAGAGGGCAACTACACCTACATCTGTGACCAGTTCAAGTCCCTGCGCCAGGACCTGACGGTGCAACACATCCGGAACGAGTTCACGGTCGTCGTCTATGAGATCCACGCGAGGATTGCCTTGGAGAAGGGGGACCTTGGTGAGTATAATCAGTGTCAGACTCAGCTTCGAGTTCTATACGGGCAGAAGCTGGGCGGGCATCCGACGGAATTCAAGGCGTATCGTATTCTCTATTTCATTTATACCCGGAATTGGACGGCCATGAACGATGCGCTAGCCGATGTGACTGCAGAGGACAAGAAGACCCTTGCCGTCAAGCATGCCTTGGAAGTTCGCTCTGCACTCGCACTTGGCAATTATCACCGCTTTTTCCAGTTGTATCTGGACACGCCCAACATGGGGGCATACCTCATGGACATGTTTGTCGATCGTGAGCGGTTAACTGCTCTTTCTTCCATTTGTAGAGCGTGAGTTTCCTCCATTCTCCAGTGTTCTATTTCCACTGCTAACTCATTCTCAGGTACAAACCGGATGTCAATATCCGGTTCATTACGGAAGAGCTTGGCTTCGAGTCCGATGAGCAGACCGCCCGTTTCATTCTAGACCACTCAGCCGAGGACACTCTGGAAGAGAAGAACGGGACTGTGAGGCTGTTGACCAGCAAAGCCGGCCCGCTGTTTGAGCAGGCTAAGGCCGAAGCTCACCGTGTCGTCGACATCAAGGGCCAGATCTAAGCCAGGGCCGGCCCCCCTTCTTCTCGACCCCTTCCGTTCTGGATCCTTTTCTCCCTCCTTCCCATTAATCACACCCCTTAGGCTGGCCGCCGATGGATTTCACACTCGTGGATCCGAAATTACCTCCATGCCGTTGAAGACAATCTTGGTCCATGCATTTCATTCGAAGCGACAGGCGTTTATACAATCATTCTCTCTGCGTTCTTGGTGTATTCAAACCCTGCCCGTCCGGATTCCACCCTTTAGGCGTTGTTGCAGTTTCCATGCTTCCTCCCCATCTTTTATTCTTCCGTTTCCTGGCACTAGTCTCCTGTGGAGTCCGGTGTCCGACCCGTGGAGTCGAGTCTATGTCGCGATCCTGCGGCGCACTCGGCCCCGCCACAAATACTAATACCCCCGCATATGTTCTTGTTGAGTTTCTTGGGTTAAGGTGTGATGGGGTATGCGCACTGTTGATTGATATGTGTTGGGTGTTGAGGCGTCCGAGTAGATATTGTTTTTCTTCTTGCCCATTTACCTCGTCCATCTACAGATCAATAAAAGTTTCTAAGCACTATGAACACGATAGTCTTGTACAGTCCATGTATCGATGCCAATTTCTGGCCGTTCCTCACAAATACCATGGCCAAAGGCACTCGGCTGTCACATTCAACACCCATTTCTCGAGGCCTACCTTCCAATCCCGGAAAGTCACGACTGACCACGATCGTCCCTCCACACTTCTTCCATCCCCCAAAGCCATATCCTATTCATCCACGACCTCCAACACCCACCACCGTCGACCTTCCATTTTCCATGTTCCAGAATGAAATCTGCCCACGGAACAACCCCTCGCTGCCCCGCCACGTGGGTCCCACACGTCGCCGCCCCATGGACGCCTCCCCGTCTGTATCGGCGGTGACTGGCGTAACCAAGCTTGGGGGGTGACTCCATCAGAGGGCTTCGAGAAGATTACCTAGGCGATGGGTGGATTTGAACCAGGCATTTACGGTGGAAGTGTAGGAATTGTAGTGTGTACCGTGCCCTAGGTCCTGATTGTGGATCGATGTGATACTGGAGATTGGTTACTGGGTAATGAGGTAAGTTTGTGGCCCCCTCATCGGTACCTGCCGATGAGGTTGGTGCTTTTTGTGTTCTGGAGTGTGGTTGTGGGTAGGTGGGGAGGTTATGTTCTTGGAGAGTGTAGGTACTGTAGGATACTCTATGGTAATGCAGTCGACATTGTACAGGGATAGGTATGCTATTCTACCACCCATTGTGGAAAAGCGATGAATCAGAACCTTGGTACCTATGTGGTACTACACTCGTGACGATAAAGTAGAAATCAGGATTCGGTATGTTGTCTGATCATAAGGTGCAGTACTACTTGAGTACGTATCATAGTAATGCAGTAAGTAGGTTTCACGATACGGCGGCTTGCAGCAGGATTGATGTCATTGCAGCGATCGGCGGTTGCTGCGAACTGCGGACTGTGGCTGAGAATTTCTTCAGCTGCGGTTGACACCAATGGGGTTGTGCGAACTACTGCAGTGTGCATTTTATATTTACGGGAGAGTTTATGGATATGCGTTGACGTCTGTATTTGGGGTAGTGCCCGGAGTAGGTTCAGCTGAATACTTGACAGGTTCAGGTTATGAGCAAATGCTTGGCTGCCGACCGATAAAGATGGTGTTTCCTGTATTAAGTTAAGCATCATATTGTGTGACTAGGGATCTAGTATCCGCCAAGGCTGTACTCCGTATGTATCAGCAGATTCAGCACTGATCAAATCTATGCAAAAGCAAGGTACAAGCCAAGCATAGAACTTAGTGCTGAGTGTGCTCAGTGCCCCCGTGCTCTCCGTCCAGGACCCATCGAAGGGCTGCAGGCCGCCCCGGAATTAATTTATGTTTAATTAACTTATTCCCAGCCCAACCACATCTAGACCGTTCGAGTAACCCGCATCGATATAGGTATGACGAATATATGAAACCATTTTTCTTTGTGCTTTGTCGCTGATCTCTATAGAATATGATGTCTCCATCTTTGTCTGTACTCAATTTCGGGTTACTGTAGAAAGAAAAGAAAAAGAACCCGCCGATCGAAGTGGGTTTTCGGATGAAACGTCGTCAGAGCCATGGGCCCGGTGGATGACGGACCACGGGTTGGTGGGGTGGAAAGAAAGAAAGAAGAATGATGGATCATTTTTTGTTCTTTTGTGATAGGGAACCGGCGTCTGGAGATGGCCGGGTTGCCGAGTATACAGTATGTGTGGACTGTATAATAGCAGGTTGTTATATCTTCTAGTCGTGATCAGTTCAGAAACAAAGAACCAGCCTGGAGGGGCCAGTAGCCGCCCCAAGCTGACGAGGTCGGTGCCCAACGGGGCGCTGTGGCCCCGGTGGAGATCGCGTGGTCGAATATTACGAGGAGAGGATAATAATGAATACAGTATGGTCAGAATCATATAATGAAGTGTGGTGATTATACTTCCAAGAGTATACTCAAGCCTCTCTAGGCTTTAGCTATATGCACCTAGATACGGGGATAGGTCACTAAACAAGAGCACGTTGCCACAGGCACAGCTCGTGCTGATCCACGGTCGTTGGTCCCAAACTCTCGGAGACCTTGTTTTCAGGTCTATAACGCCCCCTAGAACGGCGAACAGGAAGACGAATATTCGATAGACGCTGGGGTCCTCTACTACACGATCTATTCTTATCTAGAAGAACCGCCCTCGACATCGCAATCCAGCCTGTGGTTGGAACCGCAATACGCAGCCTCGCTCTTCTCTTTCGCCCTCGCTTTTCTTCTCTTTCTCACACACACTCTCTCTCGATCTTCATTCGATAGGTCGCCAGAGGTTCATGTGGTAGTTTGATCTAACACCATCTTTGACCTAGTTCTGCTACTACCTAAATGGCCTTGGGTATACTGCTGACTTGACCAAAGAACCCGTTTCCTTTTTTTCTCTTTCTCTCCTTTCCTCATCCTCCCTCTCTCTCTCTCTCTCTCCTCTTTCACATTTCTTCTTCCCTTCACCTAGAAATTCTGGTCCTTGAATTTCTCTATTCTTCTCCCTTCCGGTCGCGATGAAGGTAAGCATCCCGCCTCGCCCTCTGTGGACGTGTCGCAAACCCGAAAGATTACGTATCGTGTGTCGTTAAATTAACCCGGTCCCCGCCCAATATAGGCCATCCGGCGCTCCTTGAAGGGGGAGAAAGATCCCAAGCATCATCATCACCATATCTCTATCACTCCCAAGTCCGCCATTGCCATCCTGCCACCCAAGAAGGTGAGTTTGATTATGGTGTTTGCGCATTCCCCCCCTTCTCTCTCCCTCTCCCCTTGTCTCCTTCAGCCCTTGTCATTTTCCCTTTGGCCCCTCCCAGCCACCAACTCTCTCTCTCTTCCTCTCTCCCTACCCTACCGCCCCAGAAAAAAAAAAGAAAGACAAACGCCCCTCGGTTGCGACACCCACTACCGCCACTATCCAACTGGACGGTCTAACCCACTCTCTCCCCCTCCTACCCTTCCCCCCCCCCTCTTCTTATCAGCCCTCTTTCCTCCGGTTCCCTACACTTGAATTCCCCCGATCCACGGTTCCTTTTCTGTACGCCGGAAATTATACCAACACAAAACACTCAAAACAAAGACCCAATAACTGACCCAGTCGTGGACTGTGCGCACAGGTCATCAAAGCGCTCTACGACTACACCCCCGAACCCGGCACCACCCAGGAATTGGCCTTTAGCAAGGGCGACTTCTTCCACGTTATCAGCAGGGAGGACGATTCGGACTGGTACGAGGCCTGCAATCCGCTCATCCCTAGTGCCCGAGGGCTCGTTCCCGTCTCCTTCTTCGAGGTCATCGGTAAAAACGAAAGGGATAGTGGGGGGTCCGTGGATCTACATAAAAAGGAACACCACGATTCTGGCTTCTCCGACCGCAGTCCCACGTCCGATTCTTCCACCAACACCACCCGACACGGCGCGTTCAGAATGTCTGCTCTAGGAAAGGGCCAGGGCGCCATGGTCTACGGTATCGTCCAGTACGATTTCCAGGCTGAGCGACCCGATGAATTGGATGCGCGCGCTGGCGAGGCCATCATCGTTATCGCCCAGTCGAACCCGGAGTGGTTTGTCGCGAAGCCGATCGGTCGTCTCGGTGGCCCAGGCTTGATTCCCGTCTCGTTTATCGAATTGCGCGATATGCAGAGTGGTCAGGCTGTGACCGATCCGCTGGAGGCTGTGCGCCGCGCGGGTGTGCCCAAAGTCGAGGAGTGGAAGAAGATGACCGCGGAGTACAAGAACAGCAGTATTACACTGGGCAAACTTGAGCCCTCTGGCGGTGGCGTTGTTGCGGTGACCGCGGGCATGGACAAGATGTCCATGAGCGGATCGCACCAGAGCGCCAGCCACATGAGTCAGAATGGCAACACCTATGTAAGCCGGAACCATTGGGATGAGATTCACAATGTCGCAAGAGCGACTGGCCACGTTTTGCCAATACTAATCGCATTGTGATCTTTTAGGGATACCACCAACGCAATGCCAGCAAAGGCACTATAGCCGGCCAAGCCTCGCAAGGCTACCAGCCCCCCCTCCTCGCGCCAGTCGCCGCTTCGATCCCGCGCTACTGCTTCGATAACGACAAGTATTGGTACATTATCGAGGCCAAGATGGACGATGGTCGGTGCTGGGAATTGTCGCGTTACTACCACGATTTCTACGACTTCCAGATCGCCCTTCTCACCCAGTTCGAAGACGAGGCAGGCAACCGTGGCCGTCCTCGCACCCTGCCCTTCATGCCCGGTCCCGTCACCCACGTCACGGACGCCATTTCCAACGGCCGTCGTCAGAACCTCGACGAGTATATCAAGAAGCTCCTTTCCATGCCTCCACACATCGCCCGTTGCCAACTAGTACGGCAGCTATTTGCCCCGCGCCAGGGCGACTTTGAAATTGACCCGAGCGCTTTCGGTGAGGAGGCGCGCTACTCGGACCAATCGCACCACTCCTCCTCTGGTCTGGAGCCATCGCGCAGCGTGTCCCGTCAGTCTTCACAGGTGCCCATGAACGCCGGGCCCGACCGCGCATCGCAGCAGCGTGCCCAAGGTGCTGCCCCGGCTGCCTACGCTAACGGTGGCCCGCCCCCGATGAACCGTCAGCCCAGCTCCTTGACTCAAGTTTCTAGCACGTCCAACTCAAGTGCTATGAAGGTCAAGGTGTTCTTCCAGGATGACTTGATTGCCATCCGCATTCCTTCAGGCGTGAGTCTGCAGCACCTCAAGGACAAGCTGTGTGATCGACTCAAGATCCAGGAGGATATCATCGTGCAGTATCGCGATGAGTCCTCTGGGACTTATGTCGATCTGTTGTCAGATCAGGATCTGGAGAGCGCAATGCAGCGCAACACTAAGTTGACGTTGTTCGTCAACATTGCATAAACGGGTCGATCCTCTCCCGTGTGCTTCTCGACCCGAATGTTCTGCTATTCTCTGTTTGATCATTGTGATAGACCTCTTTTTCCCTCTCCCTCCCGTTTCCTTTCTCCATGTTCCTGGGTGCATCGGCGTTCCGGCATCTCTTCTTTCGGGAGGACTCCCATGGAGTCTCTCACCTGCCTTTTTCCAGCGATGAGCTTCATTTTCTGTTTTCCTTTGCAGGGGAGGATGATCATCGTGATGTTATGAGTATGATGTGTGATGTTTGGCATGTCTTCTTGGTTTTATATTTGCGATTTTCTTACGTTCTCAACATCTTTCAGTCATAACATTACCTATGCCCGGTCTTCACTGTTCTCTTTTTATCTTTACCTTCCCCTTGTTTGATCTTCTACCGGGCTTCCGATCATCACCATGTACTGCTCAGATCTGAGCTACCGATTTCCATTTCTTTCATGTTTCCTCTTTGACGTCCTCTGTGTTCTGGGTGACATACCCCCTGGGTGCTCTTTTTTCTTTTGTCTGCTCCAGTGACTTGTACATATGCTATCATTTCTTGTGCATATACAGGGAAGGGTTTCCGACTGATTTATATCCTAGCAGTCAGTGTTATACCAATATAATCAAATTGTATAACTAGTGAAGATTGGTCCTTGTACTGGTGAACTGTCTGTGGGAAATGTAGATCACGTGACTCGGCATATCGGCCGGCCCGCGTTTTTGCCTCAGGAACCGCCACTCATCGGGAGCCAGATCAATAGCCGGTTCCTCCAGTTTAGCGTTGGTTTTATTTTCGTGTCGGTTTGTAGATATCTTCTAAACATTTGTTCTAGCAGTCTTCCTCATTCCTTGGGATATCCTTGCTACGGTCGCTATACCTATCACCCGTCGAGAGCCCTGCTGTCTATCAGCCCTCTGTACTTCCTACACTTCGCCGCTTCCTCCGGAAGAAAACAATTCCTGCGGCGATACCTCGGCTACGACTTTCGCCCGCCATTCCTCAACACCTGCCCGACACTCCACGATCACTCTCCCCACTCCAACTGTACATACACGACTACACAAATGAGGCGACCTCCAGCGAAGCTTTGCGCAGACTGCGTCCCATGCGCGGTGCGGCGCACTCATGGCGCGCGGGTTGCGCCGTTGCCCCGAAACGTTGCGGAAACTTCGCTCGGTATGCGACCGATGGCATACTCGACTTTGACGAGGCTGCCCAGGAGGACTGAGTTGAACCCGTCTGTTTCTGCGAATTTGATCGCGGTGCCGGTCCTGCGGAAGCGGGGTCTGGCTACCGCTGCTGAGGGGGTTGTGCAGGAGGAGGTTGTCTCGGAGACGAAACCGTCGGGTCCGCCTGTGGATGGACCGATGAGGGAGTATGAGGTGCGAGTGCAGGAGGGTCGACTACGGGATGATCCGTATCAGCGAGGTGAGCACGGCAGTACTACGGCTTTGAAGCGACGCCGTTCGAGACTAACGCAGACTCAACGTAGGAATCATTCAGAACCTCCAGGATCTCTTCGAAGCACTGAAGCACTACAATGCACCCGCCGTCATCCACCCCAGCGTCGAATCGCTAGACCCACAACCGAAGAAGTCCTTCTTCGGCTCGTTGTTTGGCTCCGGCGCCAACAAGCCTGCCACCTCTACGACGCCTGAGGGTCTGCCCAAGGGTCTGTATATGTACGGTGATGTGGGCTGCGGCAAGACCATGTTGATGGACTTGTTCTTTGATACGTTGCCGCCGAATATCAAGACCAAGACTCGTATCCATTTCCATAATTTCATGCAGGATGTACATAAGCGCATGCATGTGGTTAAGATGAAGTTTGGTAATGACTTTGATGCGTTGCCGCTCGTTGCGGCTGATATTGCGGAGACGGCGAGTGTCTTGTGTTTTGATGAGTTTCAGTGTACGGACGTTGCGGATGCGATGATTTTGCGCAGGTGAGTTTTCTGGTCTCATGGCTCTGTGGTCGATAACTGACATTTATACCAGACTGCTTCAATTCCTCCAATCCCACGGCGTCGTCCTCGTCACGACATCTAACCGTCATCCGGACGATCTATACAAAAACGGCATTCAGCGCGAATCCTTCATTCCTTGCATCACACTTCTCAAAACTGCTCTGAACGTTATCAACCTCAACTCTCCAACCGACTATCGCAAGATCCCCCGTCCTCCAGCTGCTGTCTACCACCACCCTCTAGGCGCAGACGCCGATCAGCATGCCCGCAAGTGGTTCGATTTCCTGGGCGATCCTATCAACGACCCACCCCACGAGGCTACCCAGGTTGTCTGGGGCCGCAAGATACAAGTCCCACAAGCCAGCGGCAAGGCAGCGCTATTCACCTTTAACCAATTAATCGGCACGGCCACAGGCGCGGCGGATTACCTGGAACTAGTCCGCCACTACGATGCATTCATCGTTACAGACGTGCCGGGTATGAACCTGAACCAACGCGATCTCGCCAGACGCTTCATCACCTTCATCGACGCCGTATACGAAAGCAGGGTTCGTCATTTCCCCCCTCCCACACACTCCTATATATCTCATTCCTAACCCCTCTTCTACAGGCAAAACTAGTCCTCACAACCGAAGTCCCCCTAACAAACCTCTTCCTCTCCCAATCCGACGTGCGAGACTCCCTAGGCGAAGGCGACCACTCCGATCTCTCGGACGCAATGCGCAATCTCATGGACGACCTGGGTATGTCTGTGCAGGCGTTGAAGAATACGTCTATTTTTAGCGGTGACGAGGAGCGGTTCGCGTTTGCGCGGGCGTTGTCGAGACTTGCGGAGATGGGGAGTAGAGAGTGGGTTGAGAGGGGGTTGGGGGTTGGCAAGAGTGAAGTTGAGGGGTTGCAGGAGAGGGAGGCTTGGTTGAAGACTAGGAGTCATTGGAGTGAGGATAATATGTAGGTGGTGGGTTTGTGCTGGTGCTGTGGTTTTGGGGTATCTCTTCGTTGGGAGATGCTCAAGGGGAGTGCTTCTATACCGCGTGATATCCTGTGTAGATATATTTTTTACTTTTGATGAAAATGGTTTATGGTTATAGAATGGTTCTTGGTGAATTTTCATTGGTCTTTTTTGAATTTGTATCCACAATTCGAGATTGGACTGGATTTGTGCCTTGATTACGGTTCATCAAATGATGCTGCGATCATTACGAGATAGAGAATGGTTGGATCAAGGCGTAGACTGGGATAAACGGCCACCATTGTTTTCAACTTCCAAGAGCTGATTGACGAGTGGGACATAAGAAACCAGTTTCGGGTGATGTTGTTGATCTAGATTTGAGTAAAGTGGGAAGTCGGGGTTCCCGGTTAGTATCCTCGATATAGTAGATATTTGATGGATTTGAGCATGAAGAGGAGCTAGGAGGTGAGAAGTTAAGTAATTTTAAAAATTATTTTTTTTATACAGAGAAAACGGAGACGTTGGCGGGTGATGTCATGGCATACATCTTTCCATCACAGTTTTCCAAGCTGTTATCGACAATTGAAGGTTATGGGTTTCGTAGGGTTGACGTATCCAACAAGAAAGATAAACTGAAATACTAAACTACTTACTTTATTCGGGGGGTTCGCAGCCCGAAAGACTTAGAACCGTCGTTCTCGTTCTCCAACGAACCCTCCCATCAAGCTACGGTAATCTTCGCAGAAGCGAACCTGTTACCATGAAAGATGCACCAATAATATCGATAATGCGTCAGCAATCTGGTCAGCCAGCTGTGCTTTCAGATGGTTCCGTCCAGGCTCTGGTCGAGGCTAAATGCCTTGGTCATATACATGAGGAACCTAATTCATGCCCTCGAGTCACTGAAACCTCCACGACGGAGTATCACCAGGGGAAACCCGCCGGGCATGTAGTTGCCGATACAAAGATAGGCCAGCAAGATCAAGATCTCCCATCATATCTCGGTCTTGATGGATGGCGTTTGTTAGCGAGAATTGGACAGGGTGCTTTTAGCACTGTTTACCGTGCTCATGGCGTTGACTCTAATGCCGATCGTGGAGAAGTCGCTGTTAAAGTTATGAGGAAATTTGAAATGAATCAGCAACAGGTGTGCGCCCTCTTCGAATAACCTTTTTCAAATCTTGTTCCTCCACCTTGTGTGAGCTAGATTACTGTATATCTCGGTTTACTAACACTTTATAGCTGTCCAATTTGCAAAAAGAAATTGATATCATGCGTCGATTAGACCAGAAAAACACGACCCGGTTGATTGATGCTTTCGAGTCCCGACAATATTGCTATATAATCATGGAACTCTGTTCTGGTGGCGAGCTGTTTGCGCAAATTGTGAAATTGACGTATCTCAGCGAGGCACTGAGCAGACACGTAATAACCCAGGTAGCAGAGGCTGTCAAGTACCTCCATCTGGTGTTAGGCGTGGTCCATCGGTAAGCATTGAACAGTCGGGATGCAGGGCCTTGCATCTCCTCGGAGACAAAGAAGATTATGCTAACTATTCTTAGTGATATCAAGCCGGAGAATATCCTATTCGATGCTATTCCTCTCGTACCGAGTAAATTTTCAAAGCCAAGTTTACCTGGGGAAGAAGATAAACTCGACGAGGGCGACTTTATACCTGGGGTTGGTTTTGGTGGAATTGGACATGTCAAGCTGGCAGATTACGGCTTATCGAGAATCATTGATGGTAATTGGGCCACGACCCCGTGTGGAACTCTTGGGTATGCTGCGCCAGAAACTATGTGCAATGATAGATACTCTACGGGAGTTGACATGTGGGCCCTTGGATGTGTTTTATACGCAATGCTTGTTGGATACCCGCCATTCTACGATCCGGATATGCGTACGATGATCCAAAAGGTCTCGAATGGGAACTTTGAATTCCAAAGCCCTTGGTGGGATAACATCTCGAGTGACGCGAAAGATCTGATTCTAAATCTACTCACTGTTGACCCTGGAAAGAGACTCGATATCGAAGAGTTTCTGTCTCACCCATGGATCAAGAATGAATCAAGTTATCACCGCGAAGGTGTCAAGGCACAGATCGAGCATTCTGATGTTGCCGATATATCATCTACCACGATACAAGCTGAGAGTCAAACACCAGGTCCTCTAGCTGAATCCCGCATCGAAGCACGAACTCCCGATGCGATGAACGTACGGGAGATCTTCGGTGTTGCTTTCTCAGTCCATCAGCAGCAAGCGGACGATCACCATCATCAACCAGTACCCAAGAGGATTGAACAACGCGCACAGGCATTGCCAAGACCTACTTCAACTTGTGGTCTACCTCTGAATGGAATAGTGTCTAAAATGAATCGGTGCCCAATGCATGAGAAGGCCTTTTTGTCTGATCACTCGAAGCACAGGCACCTTCTACAACTCAGTGAGCTTCCTTCTGGCTTGAATATGAGCCAAAGTGTGCTTCTCAAGAGGAGGAGGATTCAACAAGAACAAACTCTGCAAACAGATATATGAATATGATGAATCCGTTCACGAGAACTAATAAATTTGCTCAAACTATGCGCCTATAATTCTATCTCTTCATCAAGGCCATTACCATAGAATGGCTTCTACTTCAGGTACTGATATTTAATAAATCTCTTCGAGGCCAATATACGAGTAAGTAAGCCGGATAATCCCGAAGTCGGCCATACTCTTACTATATTAGTTGAAGGTGAGTGGTACTGGAAGAGCTCGCACGGATTGAAATTCGTGCTAAGACTTATAGGCATCAATTGAAACCAACCTTAAGACTTCAATTTTTTCGATTTCAATTAACCCATATTAAATGCGTTACCGAGACAGATATCTGCTTCCCTAATCATCTCCGTATAGATAGATGGCGTTGCAATAAGCTCCACTCTCCAATCGGGGCTACTATATAATGACGTCACAACTACTTAAATCAAGTTCTAGAATCCACAGCTACTTCCATTTTCCTTCGCAGCACCTAATCCCCTAATCCTTTTAACAGCATTAGTAAGGTATCGAGAGGATCGTTTCAATGATCAAGTTTCATCGAGGTCTCGCAGTAGTCAAACGTCATCAACACTGCGATCGGAAGGTGGTCCACATCGCATCCCTCCTCCCTGAATGTACGGAGTAGACAGACTAGAACTAGAGTGAGGTATCGATTCGTTTAAAACTAGTGACAACGATCGACGGATCCAAAATCGTGAAAACAGGGCTATCCGTCCGAATATCTAGCTTTTTTTGCCCGGTGGCTCCTCGGGTATGTGGGTAGGCAAGAATCGTTAGCTGTGAGCCGTGATCGTTTTAGATAGTACAATGGGATAGGATCCACGAATCAGCGCGTAGAGATTCACAATGCCGTCTTGTTCAAGCTGGGGCAGGCAGGTTTCTGGATTCTACATTGCCGCGAGGCGTGACGGGTCATGGTTTGCTCATTTTTTTATCGTGTTGCTTGTGATTGGTTACGATTTTTGAATAGGCTGTTTCTTGTCTTGTCTTTCCAGTTTCTGAATCTACTCCAGTTTATTGTTATGAGCTGTTGGGGAAGAGTTCTAGAATGGCAAGCTCGGATAATCGGATTATGGAGCGATTGATTGCTTTTGTTGGTGATATGATTGGGTATTTGGCTCTGATGTGGAAATTACATCACTGGGGTATGATGCGTAATTCTTGGCTAGAAGCAGTCTTACAAATATAACAGGTGATATAAGGCTGAGTTCGATCGATTTTTTTTACAGTTCGAATCTCATCTTTTTCACTTTCGTGTCGCTTTACCGAAATTCAAGCAAATCGGCACAATGGCAGCAGCAGCAACGAAGAATGCTAAGTCTGCGGACGGCAAGTTCGCTGATATGCAGAGAGATACTGTCGAGCTAAATGACAAGCACCATATGACTACTGACTATGGCATCAAAATCTCCGATCCAGACCACTGGTTGCGTGTGGTTAATGATAAGAACACCGGGCCCATGCTCCTAGAGGATCAAATTGCCCGTGAGAAGGTCCGTCCGCTCCCCTGTAACCAACAAGATTGAACTACATGCTAATCCTCGCCTTCCAGATTATGCGCTTTGACCATGAACGTATCCCCGAGCGAGTCGTTCATGCCCGAGGTACCGGTGCCTTTGGCACATTCAAACTTTTCGAGAGCGCAGAGGACGTTACGACTGCCGGCGTCCTGACCGACACATCTCGCGAGACACCACTGTTCTTACGCTTCTCAACCGTTCAAGGCAGCAAAGGTAGTGCGGACACAGTTCGTGATGTGCGCGGCTTTGCCATTAAGATGTACACTGCGGAGGGAAATTGGGATATCGTCGGCAATAATATCCCCGTCTTCTTCATCCAGGACGCTGTCAAGTTCCCGGATGTTATTCACTCGGTTAAGCCTGAGCCTCATAATGAAGTGCCACAGGGCCAGAGTGCGCATAACAACTTTTGGGACTTTGTGTATATGCATTCGGAGACAACGCATATGAATTACTGGGTACGTTGTTTGTTTTTTGATGGGTTTAAGAGCAGCTGATAGATACTAACAAGGCTGGTACAGCAAATGTCTGACCGGGCTATTCCGAGGTCTTACCGTATGATGCAGGGCTTCGGTGTGAACACTTACTCCCTTATCAACAAGGAGGGAAAGCGTCACCTTGTCAAATTCCACTTCACCCCCGAGTTGGGTGTACACTCGCTGGTCTGGGATGAGGCCTTGAAGATCTGTGGTCAGGACCCGGACTTCCACCGCAAGGATCTCATGGATGCAATTGACGCTGGCCACTTCCCACGATGGAAGTTTGGTCTTCAGCTTATTCCCGAAGAGAAGGTTGATGATTTTGAATTCGACCCGTTGGATGCCACCAAGGTCTGGCCTGAGGAGCTCGTGCCTATTCGATACATTGGCCAACTGGAGCTTAACCGAAATATCGACGAGTTCCATCCCCAGACCGAGCAGGCCGCCTTCTGCACGAGCCATATCGTGCCTGGCATCGATTTCTCGAATGACCCATTGCTTCAGGGCCGCAATTTTTCCTACTTCGATACGCAAATTTCTCGTCTCGGACCGAACTGGGAGGAACTGCCTATCAACCGCCCAGTCTGCCCGTATATGAATCTAGTCAACCGTGATGGCTCGATGAAGCATCGCATCACAAAGGGCACGGTAAACTACTGGCCCAACCGCTTCCATGCAAACCCACCTGCCGAGCCATCCCAGGGAGGTTTCACCAGCTACCCGGAGAAACAGCAAGGTATCAAGGCGCGCGCTCTGTCAGAGAAATTCAAGGAGCATTATAACCAAGCGCAAACTTTCTACAACTCCCTCTCCGAGATTGAAAAGTTGCACGTCGCCAAGGCGTTCTCATTTGAACTGGATCACTGCGATGATCCCATCGTTTACAAGCGCATGACCGAACGAATTGCCGCTGTCAGCACCGAGCTCGCAGAAATGGTCGCCACAAATGTCGGCGGTGACCTACCATCCAAGTCTCCCAAGTCCAACCACGGCAAGAAGGCCAAGGGTCTCAGCCAGCTTGAGTACCTTCCCGAGAAGCCGGTGATTGATACTCGCCGCGTCGCAATCCTTCTCGCCGACGGCTTCGACTACAACGCCTATGTCACCATGAAGGACGCCCTGTCTGAGCGGGGCGCCTTCGTCTTCACGATCGGCGCACAGCGCAAGGGCGTCACCTCCGAGTCTGGCCAGAAGGTCGTACCAGATCATTTCTTCACGGGCATGCGGTCGACGCTGTTTGACGCTACATTTATTCCCGGCGGCAAACACGTTGCAGAGGGTCTAGCGAAGAACGGCGTTGCCAAGTTCTGGGTTACCGAGTCTTTTGCCCATCTCAAGCCCATTGCGGGTGTCAACGAAGCTGTGCCGTTTATTCAGAAGCAGATTGGTCTGGATGAGGTTGAGGTTGCGTCGCCCGGTACATCATTTGCGGAATCTTATGGTGTCGTGACTGGATATGGTGATGCGCCGTCAACCCTGAAGGTTGGCAGCGTTGGACCTGACTCGAAGGGGTTGGCAGAGAAGTTTATTTGGCATATCTCGCGTCATCGTAACTGGCAGCGGGAGCTGGATGGGTTGTCTGACCAGATTGCGGCTTAAAATATTGCAATTACTGGGACATGTGTACTGTATACGAATGCGCGTTGGTGGCGTCCGAGATTTGAGTATGTTGAACCCGGGTTATTATTAGCAATTAGCAAATTATGCAACTAATATTGAAATTGACAATTTCTTATTTCCCAAAAATTATCCAGGGCATACCGTCGTACTTGTTTCCTGGCCGTGGAATCTTGCATTCATGGCTGTTGTCATCGTGTCCGTTCGGGATCTGGGGACCTTGGGAGGATACTTGCATTCTTCGCGGGCCAGGATTTGCTGTAGTCCAGATTCTAATTTGGCAGAGTCCACACGTCAGTATAGGTCTGGGGATTTTACCCTCTTTGAACTGATCGCCCGCTAGGGCTACTCGTTTTCTTGGCTTCTTCTTCTCGGGGTATCCTACTGTACTCCTGGCATTGTACAACCAAACATTGACTTGCCCCACCGAGTTTAGTACATTATCAAAGAGATCAGAACATGAGCTATTAGAAAAGCAAACAAAGAAAAAAGTTTCCCCCATTTTGCCGTAAATTAGGCCTTTCTCAGGTAAGAATTCATTAAAGGAAGTGCGGGCACGGGTTTCGGCATGCCGCATCCTTGCATGCCACAACGAGGTCGGGAAGCTCCGTCAGCCACTCTACTTTAGTTACACCATCATCATAACCAACGCGCGCATCAAAGAGCCCATTTTGATGTCAACCAACTGCCAAGGTAAAAAATTCGGTGCCTGGAGCTGGAATACCTGATTGTTTGACAGATATTGCACGCCGATTTCTATTGGTAACAACCTCTCTCAGCCTTCGCTTTCTTTACACCTCTCAGCCAGTTCTCCTGAGAAGTGACTTTCTTAATTTACTTGCATCTCTCAAATCTGGTGGACTCTGCTGGTATCTCTCGCTCAAGGCTCTGACTTCGGTGACCGGTTTCGCAGGGTTGAGAAATTTGGTCTTGGATCATGCCTTTTCGCCTCTCGCGCTCCACGCGTCTGTCAGTGGTTATTGGCATTTCGACATGCTTCTTCCTCGGCGAGATCTCAGGTAGGTACCAGGTTACTTGCTCTAGATGTTCAGGTGATACTGACTCTGATACAGTGGGTTTCTATACCCATTCCCTCGCCTTGATAGCTGATGCTTTTCACTATGTATGTGTCCGGTGACTGCTGGTCGATGATATTCGGTACTAATTTACTTTCAAGTTGAACGATCTAGTGGGATTTGTGATCGCCCTGGTGGCTTTGAAGGTTTCTTCTTTCGATGTATACTTGATCAACACGAATGCTGACTGCGTTCAATCATCAGGTTTCAGAGAAGGGCCACTCTCCCCGAGATCTATCATTTGGCTGGCAGCGTGCGCAGTTGCTTGGTGCTTTCTTCAACGGAGTCCTTCTATTCGCACTGGGTCTCAGTATCCTTCTGCAGTCCGTCGAGCGCTTTATCTCCTTGCAGCGTGAGTTCTGATCGTTCTTGACTCGGTCATACGGTGTTAACTTGGATCTAGGTATCGAGAACCCGAAGATGGTCTTCATTGTGGGGTGCATCGGTTTGTGTCTGAATATCATCAGCGCGCTATTTCTCCATGGTATGTATTCGGCCTTGTGTTTCTGATTCGTTAAGCTGAACGGAGGTACTCCAGAGCATGGACATGGACACGTCCACGTCTCCCCGCCAGTACTTGAAGATAGACTGGCGCCCATTAGTGATTGTGAGGAGGACTCTATATCCAAGGTACTTATTTGTCGATGCCCTTGAATGCTATTTTCATGGCTTATTAATGTGATCTAGCATCTTGACCATAAACATCCACGATTCGAGACTGGAGTATCCGTACACTGTCATGATCATGGAGATGGCCAAGGCCATAGCCATAGCCATGGACACAACCATGGTGACCTGGGAATGATGGGTGTCCTTTTGCATGTCTTGTGCGACGCTGCCAACAACCTTGGGGTCATTGCCGCTGCATTGGTCATCTGGTTGGCAAAATATGACGGTCGCTACTACGCAGATCCTGGCGTGAGTATGGGGATTGCGATCATGATCATAATCTCGTCTTTTCCATTAGGTAAGTTACTCCCTTGAAAACAAACACATTCAGGTTATGATATATATTTCTGACTGACCCCGACATAGTCCGGACTACAGGCCTGATCTTACTGGAAAGTGCTCCAAATGGTGTAAACCTGGACGATGTGCAACACGATCTCGAGAAGGTAAGAAAATCCCGACCGATGCATGTCTGTCATAATTCTCATGGTTCCTAGGTCCCTGGCGTGCACTCGATTCATGAACTACACATTTGGCGACTCAACCAGCGCAAAACCATCGCATCCGTCCACATTGTGGTATCTGACCCCTCGGTATCTAGTTTCTTGAAGACAGCCAAGACAATCAACGAATGTTTCCATGCATATGGTATTCATTCTGCAACCCTGCAACCCGAAATTCTATCCGAGGATGACGCAACCTTCCTAGCCTCCGGCGAGAAAGGCCCGCGGTGCCAGGTCGTGTGTGGAACCCTCTGCGAAGCACTGACCTGTTGTGGATGAAGATAATGCAATAATTTGCCTCACCATACATCAACCAGCACCAAGTGGTCGAGCAGTAACTCGATCATCTCATCTTCCTTGGTCTAGTGGTCATGATTTCCGCTTGTCATTAACACCGATAAGCGCGGGAGACCGGGGTTCGATTCCCCGAGGGAGAGTTTCTTTTTGCCTTCTTTCACATATAGCATCAATCAGTCTTTAGACGTTTGCTATTCTTTTTTTATCATGAAAAAAAAATGTTGCTGTTTTTATTTGTACGATAAAGATTTTCTACCCAGTGACTACCCCGGTACATACCTAGCTCCCATGGCCATAAATAAGCTGCTTCGCCGTAGTAGTATCGGGACTAGCATCAGTCTCTTATTGGTCAAACACTCCATACAACTCCTGTTCAATCGGCTAGACAGCCAGCGGAATTTCCTCCGCCACAGATCGTTTCCCCTCTGGAGACGACTCCAACTGTATGATAAGGCGAACCAACAGCTGTCGCAGCTCAGCTCCACTTTTCAGACGCGGGGATGTCCACCCGAGCAGTGCCTATCAACAGCTTCCGATTCCGAGAAGAATGTCGTACAAACACCGTCAGCGGGGAATAAAAGCGAAGAGGGGAAACGGCGGTATAACTTAACTTCTCCCCCTTCTTCTCTTTCCTCCTGCTTGATCCTATACCAACCACTACTGTATCCACCACAGTTTCGTAACACCCCCTACCAAGATGTCTTTGAATAGCTGGGAACGCAAAGCGCAGAAGGGAAGGGATATTCTCGAGCAGTCAATTCCCAAACAATGGATGGTGCCGCAATCTCAACTTCCACTGGTTACGCAAAAGAATGTGATCGATTTTCCAAGACAGTCTGGCCTCCTGAGTGAGCGCGAACTGATGATCACTGGACTTTCTGCAACTGAGCTAGTTGGGGAAATGGGGAAGGGAATCTTAACGGCCGAGGAGGTTGTTATCGCTTTCATTAAGCGATCTGTCATCGGGCAGCAGCTGGTATAAGCAATCGCAAAATAAACCTGGAAAACGATCTAGTAACGACTAACCGAGTGGCCTCTGCAGTTGAATTTCGCAACGGAATTCCTTGCCGATGAGGCAATTGCGCGGGCGCGAGAGCTTGATCAACACTACAAGCGAACGGGGAAATTAGTTGGACCCTTGGTTAGTGGAAATTCTTCCATGATAAAAGAGTAACTTTTGATTGACAATTTCTACCAACAGCATGGTGTCCCAATCAGCGTCAAGGAGCATATTGGATTTAAGAATAAGACTTGCAACACTGGATATGTGGCTTGGTTGGTCGAGACTAATCCATTCTCAAGAGCCTATTGCTAATCAAACTAGGATTGACAATGTAACTACTGAAGATGCACACTTGCTCCGATTACTAGCGAATGCGGGCGCAGTATTTCACGTTCGAACGAACCAACCCCAATCACTCATGGTAGGCATCAAAGAAACCATTCACACAGCGTGATATCCTTGACTAACGCATCCTAGCACCTTTGCTGCAGCAACAACATCACAGGTACAACTCTCAACCCACACAACCGAACATTAACACCTGGTGGTTCATCCGGTGGCGAAGGAGCTTCGGTGGGCTTCAAATGTGCACCTCTCGGTATTGGCACTGACATTGGTGGTTCAATTCGATGTCCCGCTGCTTTCTGCGGTGGTTATGGCTTCCGTCCTACAGCAATGCGCAACCCCATGGCTGGAATTGAGGTTGCCTGCATTGGACAGGAGACTATTCACGGTGTTGTGGGTCCTATGGGTAGCAGTTCGATTGAGGATCTGGAGTTGTTCCAGAAGGCGGTGCTGGATCAGGAACCCTGGGAGGATGAGACTTCTCTGATGCCCGTGCCGTGGAAGAGTGTGACTGCGACGCGGGATATGACCGTTGCTATTATGTGGGATGATGGGTGAGTCAAGTATCAGGAATAGCCGGCGAGTCGTACTAATCTTGGAAACTAGATGTGTTCGTCCTCATCCACCCATCACCCGGGCTTTGCGAATGGCAAAGGAAAAGCTCCTTGCTGCTGGGATCAAGGTTGTTGACTGGGAACCGTATAAACACCAGCGTGGTTGGGAAATTATCGTGAGTCCAGCTAATCTCCTTCAACTGAATCATATACTGAGACCTATTTCTAGTCCTCTCTTTACTACCCCGACGGTGCCGCCCTGCAACGCCAAATGCTCCGAGAATCAGGCGAGCCCGCCCGTCCACTGACTGAATGGGCTTTCTCCTACAGCCGCCCCATACCACTCACTCACAGCGAAGCCTGGGTCCTCCAACACGAGCGTGACTTATACCGCGATGAGTATCAGGCCCTCCTTAAGCGCCGCGGCGTTGACTTCATTCTCTCCCCCGCCAATCCTGCTGCTGCCGCTGTCATGGGCGAATCCCATTATTGGAACTACACTGCGATCTGGAACATGACCGATATGCCAGCTGCTATTTTCCCGTCTGGACTTACCGTGGACCCTGACTTGGATGCACTCACGGCGCAGGATAAGAAGTATATCCCGCGGAACGAGGTTGATGAAAGGGAGTGGAATAAGTATCAGAGTCCGCAGAGGTATGAGAGTGCGCCGATTGCTTTGCAGATTGCGGGCAGGCATTTTAAGGATGAGGAGACTTTGGCTGCTGCTAAGCTTGTCGAGGAGATTATTAAGGGAGATACAAAGAGTTCTAAGCTTTGAGAGTGAATGCCGTGATGTAGCGATAATCTGTGCCAGCTGGTGAATCCAATTCCCAAGTAGATAAGCTGTGTTTATGAATGTCTTTACCACTTTTTACCGTGAAAATCTACGTCATTATTCGTCCGATAGGTTTCCCAGTATCATAGTGGCTGGTTTACCAAGATCTATTCACTAGCATAGTGCTGGGCATGTACCGATGAAATCCCATTCATGGAATACCTTCAAGGTAAGGCTTTTACTGCTTACGAAGAAGGGATTTACACAAGGAAGCAGTTTGAAACTTTTTTAATTTCGAGTTTCCCATTGCTTGTTGGGGAAGTGATGTACCCCTTCTTTTCTCGGATGACGGTTATCTCCCTACACAGGACAAGGCATGGAATATCCCTTTGCCTCTCAGTGACTCAAACACACAAGCGTTGTGCGTTCACAACTAGACATTGCGCTTCTTGCGCTTTGACTTGCCATTTGGACTGGTAAGTGGTTCCAGGAAATCGATCAACTCCTGGGACCGCGCGTTCTTTGCAAATCTCAGTGCAGTGTACCCATTCACACGCAGGTTCGGGTCAGCGCCAAGTTCCACCAGTGCCTTGACGACCTTGACAAAATTCAGCCTCGCTGCATCAAGCACATACCTGCTCTCATCCAACGTCTCGATTTGTGTCACGCGCTCGATCAGGAGCATTGCACAGTCTTCTTGGCCCCTTAGAACATTCGTTTTGCCAAGCGAGGCTTCCAAGTTCAGCAACTTCGGGTTTCTTTGCCACGAATATGCCGAGATTGCGAGTTCGAAGGGGGAAGGGTGGATGTAGCCAGGGCTCTTTTTCAGGCTGGCGTTTGCACCGTGCTCGAGTAGGAGTTTGACGATGTTGGTGTGGCCGCCGCATATTGCGCTGTGAAGAACAGATGCATCAACCGTTGCCCAGCTAAGCGTATTGGGCTCGAAGCCTCTCTCCAGGAAAATATTGACGATGGATGCGTGGCCTCCGTGCGCTGCGAGTTGAATTGGGAAGTATCCGTATGTGTCGATGGTCATCATATCGCCTCCGTGGTCGAGTAGGTATGTCACCACTGCTTCTTGGTTCCGCTCCGCAGCCCGATGTAAAGGAGTTTCACCACAGGTTGAAAAGTTCATTACAAGATTGCTCTGGCGCGTTGTTCGGGGGCTCCTGTTGGCTTGTCTGTTCCATGGCTGCAAGGAAGTAAGGCTTTGACGGATGAAAGTAGGACTCTCGGCTTTTGTTCGCACTTTAGCTCCGTGGGACATCATGCGTCGGATCGTTCCGATATTCCCTTTCGATGCTGCCCAAAACAGAGCCGAGCCATGGTTGCGGTTGACGTTGTTGACATAGAGAGTGTCGTTGAGAACAATGTAAAAGAGCCGGCAAGTCTGGATGAGGGCATTGAGGTCGGCCTGGTTCAGCAGATGAGCGATGATGAAGATCAACTCAGTTGCTAGAGTTTGAAAGGCCATGATTAGGCGAAGTCTGGGGATTTGACGGGAGATTTCAGGTATGAGAGATCAAGAAGGGTACAAGACGACAATTTGAATACCCGAGGCTCTCTCAGACTCCGAGAGAATGACAAGCAGAGATGGAGAATAGTGCTGGTCATCAAAGTAGAGGGAGTGTAAAAGAGTAGACGACGCGTGATGCGGAAAACAAGGAGGCGGAGAGAGCAAGAGAGAGGCAGAAGGGAAAACTGGCGCGGAATCTGCCGAAGAGATATACCCTTGGCACGTGCAAGATTCAAGGCATCAAAGATAGTCAGATATGTGATGAATTGATGTGACTATTCTTGAGAAGTAACACATTCGATAATCAACAGTCGATAGGTATATCCACCCATGCTAATCCTACCTGGAGGGAGGAGGTGCCATCACCAACAAGGTAGACAAGACTTGAATGGGGAGATGGAGCTGGTCATGTAGATCATTTTCTTTCATATTGATTGGTTGGAAACCATGAAACATATCATCAACCCAGTCTCACTCTTCTCCACGACCTCATACATTCAAGCATATCAGAAGACAAATTGCCATTTCCCGAATTTGCCTGCTGCACCACAGCGACCAGTGCGGAGGCATAGCAAAAAGCAATCTTGTTCTCCATCAACAAGGTGAGCTGAACCTTTTGCATCCCTCCAAACTGACACCATAACATCCATCTCTCAAGGATATCCGCAATCAGCTTCGCTTGACCTTCGTCAAGTATCATAAGATACAGCACAGCCTGCGCCAAATCATCGAGAGTATAATCGCTAGGAATGACGTCTTGGCCAACAAGATAGGCAAGGTTTGCCTGCGCGATAACCAGATTGTCCAGCCGTGGTGACTGGATGGCTTCAATAAGTCGTCGTTGCTGATACTCCTCCAGCGCATGCATTTTCTTGATGTGACTGTGGTGAAGCCGCTGCACATCGCGTTGCAGTCTAACCTGTCTTGCTTCTGCGGCTTGTGCTGGTGGCATGGCACCTTCCATTCGTCGAGCTAATATATCCTCTTGCAGTCGCTGTTGGATCTCAGCCTGAGATTCGCCTGGCGGTGGTGGCGGTGATGCCCATGGTGGGACATTCTCTTCACTCATATGACCAAGTACGACCATCACACCGCAGGGAACCGACTTTTGTCGGGCGAACTTGGTAATGTGGCCCGGTATGGCAAAGTTCCAAATCCGCGAGTATCCATCTTGGCTCAACGCGGATGCAACACAGGCAAACCAGATGTCGAAGGTATCACCAAAACGAGAGAGGTCTCGTTGTTCCCCAGTGGAACCACCGTTGCTCTCAAAGAATACCCGCTTGACATGCTCTTGCTCAATCTTGAATCGAACGCTGTCAGTGTCGGACTTTGTAGTCTGAGCTTTCAATCGCTCGAACTCGGCAATAAGCGATTCCGGCTTTGAGGAGCTAGGCTCTGCAATTGACTCAGGAACGAGCGTATTTTGGCGACTCAATGGCTTCTCCTGTGCTGTCTCCGGCCTGTCAATATCCTTTCCTTCGTGTACCGATGCAGGAGCGTTCTCTCCATCATTGTCCGTCTTGGCGAACCTCGGCTGTTCAAGTCTCATCCAGAAAGGAGGCAGACTGTCCGAGTTCCTCAAGTCCCATTGTGATTTCCAATTAACTTGCAGACTCAACACACCATCAGAGTCATCCGGAGGTGCAACGGTAAGCACCGCTCCAGACATGCCTTGCGGCGGGCGCAAAACGACAGTGCCAGGCGGTGCCCAGAGCCCGACAGTCCTCAGTATATGCCATCCATGGGCATCGGGAACAGCCCCACGATCAAGCAAGAACGCAACAAGATCCTCGAAATCAACATCCGCCTGTGGAATGGTCAATTCCTCTTTGAACTGGCAGCGATAAAGCACCCTGCCCGTGACCAAGCGGTTCCAGTGAAAGAGCGACCAGCTTCCACCTTTCAATGGCAAGTGGAGCGCGTTCAATTTCCAGTAATCGGCATCGGCCTCGCGAGAGAGCGGGGTGACGGTACATCGCGGGAGCTCCACCTCGACGAGACCCCCGATAAGACTGACGCGTGTAAACGCGGATTCTAGCAGTCCATGCTTTTTCAAAGTTGACTGGATCGATCGCTGTGTCCAGAGAGCTCGGAAGGATGTGTATATAATCGGGAGAACGCCGAGCACTGCCAGGGGAACGCCGATGTAGGTGATGATGTCGGTTGCCGAGGTTCCATTGTCCATGGCTTCGTTGTATGTGTCAGGATATCTTCTCCCTGAATTGGAGTCCTGAGGATTGTCGCTCAGGGGCCATGGTTGTTGGAAACCGAGGCTGAAAGCTGCTGGGTTGGTCTATCGCGCCTAGTTCGCCTCGTGTTCGAATCCCGTAAAAATAAGCGAATCAATAAGATCGCGCCGTGCCTGGCTGCACGTGATCAATGCGGGGAAGTATAAACTGTAGACAATGTTTTGAGACAAAACATATCAGTCAATCACAGTTCTAGGACCATAATACCACAGAATTGAAGCTATTACAAGTTCTGCAGAGACAAGGTAATAGGAATTTATTGTGCCCTGTCAAGAAGTCCATTAGGGGCTGTACACTCCCAAAAACTGAAAAGGATGTCAGCAAGGATGCTCGCACTTTGAATACAAATAAGATTGCAGATGGCCTCAATTTCTGATCTAAAAACGCTCAATGCCAAATACAAAAGATATAAGAGCGCAATAGCTGTTAGATGAAGCACCTTTTTTTGTGGGTGGCGTTGACCAGTCTCCATGGCCATGATTAATATACAAATCAACAAGAGGTCCACTGCTTAGCGTAAAATTCTGGAACGATAGCTACTCAGAAGATTCAAATGGTCTTCAATATCTAAGATACTTACCTTTTCTACATACAAGTGCGGGAGACAAAGGGACCAGAACCCTGTTGGTATTTCAAGCAACACGGTACTGTAAACTTGCTGCAGCTGTTTGAATTACGCAGGCTCATATCTCATATTCATCGTTGTCATCATTATCATTATTCTTATTACTATTACCATGTTTGTTCCCCATCAAATCCCCCACAGTATCACCATCCTTCACATTATCCTCCTATCCTCCCCTATTCACCCCAGTAGAGAGAAGGGGTCCTCTCCACTTTCGATCATTTCGGGACGTTGGAAGTCTTTCAATGCACAAAGTACATCGAAATTGACCTCATCGTCCCCCCAGCCCTCGAATTTCCACTGGGGCTTAGGTGCCGCCCTCCAGCTGGATGCTTCCGGGTACATTGCTTTGCCCATGACCCGCTTGACCTCGTAGTTGTCACAGCTCTCTGCCAGATCCACTGCGTTGTCAATCTTGGCAGGGAGCCGAGCCGTCGGGTCGATGCGATCCCAGGGAGATGCACCCATTTCGAGCAAGCGTTGAATGACTTTCACTTGCTCCGAATCGATTGCCAGGTGCAGGGGGGTTCGGCCTCGGCCCATTTGGCGTCGAACGTGAATATCCGCTCCATGCTCGAGGAGGACTATCGCCGTTTTGCCCTTTTGCGACCTTCTGTGGCTGATCTGCGCGTTCTTACGAAGCGAACGATATTGAGCGGGCATCAGCGAGAGGTGCAACGGGGTCTCCTGGAACCTGGATGTAGGGCGATTGACGTTGCATCCAGCTTGAAGCAGGAGACGGACTACTTCGGTGTGTCCATATTTCGCGGCGATATGTAGAGGGTTTTCGGGGACGTAATTATTGGTGTTCTCGTTCAGCGTGGCTCCATGTTTCAGGAGCAGCTCGACGACGGCTGCATGTCCGTATGTCGCAGCAAGGTGTAGTGGAGATTTGAACGAGTTATCGAAGCGGTTGATTCTGGCGCCGTGCTCTATCAGCAACTGGGCGACTTCGACTTTGCCATGCTTGGCAGCAAGGTGGAAAAGGCCATGCGTGATGGGGTTGGTAGACTTTGTAATGTCCACACCAGCCTTGATGAAGTGCTGGAACGTTGCGAGATGCCCATGAATTGTGGCCCAGGTCAGGCCGGAGCTGCCAGAGTACTTGACATTGCGGGCGTAAAGGCGTCTGTTGATGAGGGAATAGAAGAACCGATTCAGCTGAGCCATCGAGTTCATGTCTTTCTGCGGCGCCTCCTCCGCGATCATGAGGAGTACCTCATTTGGAAGCAAGAGTAAGCTCATCGTGATCGAGTAAGCTTAGACGGAAAGAGGGACGGAGAGGAAGGACGAGCGGAAAGAAGGCCGGAAAGAGAAGAGGGTGGATGAGCGGACAGATGAGAGGAAAGACGAGAGTTAGGACCGGAGGAGAGAATAGGCGGGAGCGAAGAAATGGTAGGAAGAGAGATGAGAGTTGGAAAAGGAGGAAAGAGGGCAGGAAAGAGGAGAGTTAGGAGAAGAAAAAAAGATAAGAGGAGAGATGGGAGGCTGGTCGAGAGGAAGGGCAGAGACGAAAGGCTGTGACTGAGTTCTGGAGAGAAGGCACAGAGCTTGAGGAAGAGAAAAATTTTGGAAGGGAGAGAGGTTGAGGAAGAAAAGAGTTGAGAAGGAGAGAGTCAAGAAGGAGAGGGTTGAGGAAGGATGAAGGATTGGGGACAAGGAGGGAGAAAAAAAAAGAGAGGGAGGGAGAGAGGGAGGGAGAGAGGGAGGGAGAGAGGGAGGGAGAGAGGGAGGGAGAGAGGGAGGGAGAGAGGGAGGGAGAGAGGGAGGGAGAGAGGGAGGGAGAGAGGGAGGGAGAGAGGGAGGAGAGCTTAAGCCCTAACAGACCTGGAACATGTGATATCCCAAATTGAGACTCACGAGAGGGCAACCTCCATGACAAACGAGCGAGTCAGATCCAGCCAGTCTCTCACGGGAGTTTGTGATTTCCTGAACTTTTGCTATGACAGCCTACTGTATCAATGATGGCTCCCCCTTCGAGCGAAGAAGCATGACAGATTCTCAGGAGCCATATCAAAAGCGTACTTTATACAACTTCTCTGGGCTCAGCCACGATATAGCCTCAAAGTCAGTGGAACAAGACTCATGTCCTTGATACCCTCCACTCATGGTCAGGGGGTGGGCAAAAGGCTGGTGGAGACTACATGATGTGTAGACTTGGATATAAGGGTGGTACGTTACGGAAGCATCAAGATGCAGAATGGAACAAGACTTCTTGACTATGGTGCTTCACAAAATAAGATGGGGGGTGTTCAGGCAAGTTTGAATTTCCCTGATATGTGGATCAATAGGCAGTCATGCAGCTCTGTCAGTAGGAGAATGGCTGACCTCCTATTGCTTTAGGTATTTGTGAATGCCCCCGAGGGATGCCGTGCACTGTTGCTCTTCGTCCGTCAAGAGATATCGTGCCTTGAATCAGCACATACCACATTTTTCGAGTCCAGCCTACTGGAAAAGCGTCAGGGCATGGCCGATAATGCCAAAAGTTGGATCTTAAAATTGACGAACGTATAATCAAACTGAAGCAATCAACCAAAAAACTAACTACACGTTCGCTGACAATGGTGCATCTGCGCAACGATCTTACTTGATCATGTCGCTAAGCTTGTAGGCCATTGCACCGATAGGAGCAGTTGGGTGGCCACTGATTTGTTCAGGGACCTGAACACACTCGTTTCCATAACTCACAGGCCTTTCACATTATGGACTCGACATTTTAGGTCGATAGCGCTCGTTCTTGGGTCTGAGCCCATGCGTACCGTCCCAACTGGGTGATAAAGCGTGAAGGCTTTCTCTTTCATGAAGCTAATAAGGTCTCCATCGGAGATGGATTCAATATTGCTGCTTGAGTAGGGCCACCAAGCCGAAGTTAGGTCACCATTAACAGGAACGGGCTCGAGGTGTTTTTGGAGGGCCGGGCTTCGCACTATTCTCAGACAGACCCGGGGACCGGTCAGCAGAATGTTTTGGGTCATTATTGCCCTCATCGGATACGTATTTGGGGTCAATGATAGCTGGATGATTCTCATTGGTCATTGACGCATAGAACCTTGATTCGGTCATTATGCTTACGTGGTTCCCATGGGTCCTTGCTTCGAAGGGTAATAGCGCCTCTGCTCTGGGGAAGAAGGCTGATAGGGATAATAGTAAACACGTTGCTTGCCTCCGGTGGACTCTCTTCTCCATGATGAATAAAAGCCAAGGGTGCCCCAAATATCTCCAAGTCCGGCGTAACACATCCAGAAGTGTAATCCATCGGCGAGCCAGCTGATTTTAGAAAAGTTATAATCGGCCGAGCGTAGAAAGGCGGCTGCTTCCCCGATATTGCTGGTTAGAGGCCCTCGTCCTAATGTCATCCATTGGACTAAAGCTGGTAAAGCTTTCAATGGGCTAGAAAGAAAGTCTGGAATCCAGTCGCTCCGAGACTACCGCCGGAGATGTTCACATCTGCACTCAAAGGGATTCCTACATCCTGGCAAGCCGGTAGGAACCCCCTGTCAACGATCTCGGAAATCCATGAGTAACCTATCTGCCAGTTGCCAGTAGAGCTGCGATGTTTCATATCAGTCGTAGGTCGCGTGAAATTTTCCGTCGGGTGAAAGAAAGGCAGTAAATCGTTGTCGCTCCAGCCATCACATCCGTAATCGGTAGCTCATTCATCGAAGTCTGATTTTGAGCAATGATGGTACATCATGGCATTAAGCGAAGTGGAGCCTCCGAGTATACGTCCACGAGGCCAATACAGCTTTCGAGATGAGAGATTCGGCTGTTCGATCGTGTAATAATCCCAATCATGCTCTGGGTGAAAGAGCTTTGGAAACATGAGAGGAACCTTAGTTTCAAAAATATTGGTGTTACATCCCCCCGCCTCAAGTAGCAGGACCGAGACATTTGGATCTTCTGAAAGCTTGCTAGGGAGAACACATCCAGCTGCACCAGCACCGACGATTACTACATCCTGGAATAAGCTATTAGAATTTTCAAATAAACGATCGTATCATCAGATATACCGTAGTCATATCCGCATAGAAGAGGAGAAGCTGAAGCATATGTTACAGACGGGCCGGTGGGAAGCTGCAGCGTTGCATAGTGGAGAGGATCGTGCAAAGGGTTTTGATGTCGACGATGCATGTTGAGAAAGTAACATACTATGAACCAGAAATTTAAGGAAACATTTTGTCCTGTTGCAACTTATTTATTCTACTGCCTCCTTGGCCACCACTTGGCTTACAAGATGATCGGCAGCTTCATGCCAGTACCCATAACATCTACCTCGCGTCTATATTCCCCAGATCCAGGTTTCTTGGTGGAGATAGCAAACAAAATAGTGCAAGGAGACAGGAACGGTGGAGCGGCTTCAGCCCCAACGGACAGTGCTCTAAGACTTTCGCGGCTCCGAACTCGAGCCACCCAGCTTCTCTGGCAGGTTGCATATCATCCTTTTGGCATTGGTAACAGCCCGGAGAAAAAAATTCTGGCAGGGTCTCTCGAGATATTGCGTGTTTTGTGGATGCGCAGTCTCGGGAGGAAAGCTGTGGAGGCTCATTGAAATAGAAGCCACTAGCGCAGGGGGGAAGTTGGATTCCCTTACGGATCTGGCCAGTAGTGCGAACGTGAACGAGACGCTAATTTTTTGGCCCACAATCACCGAGAAATCTGTAGTTTATAAATTGACTTTGGACCCTGCAGCACATGATAGGCTAGTTAGTGCCTTGTCCTTTCAGTCTTTTCCAGTCGCTTATGTTTCCTGGCGGAGTCTCTGAGCCTAAAAGCCAGAACCACGCCCATTACATTGAGTAGTAGAAATCTACCATCGCTGCGAAGGAGAAAGTGCACAATATCTATTACATTTGAAAGCTAATATGATGGTAAATTTTATCCTTCCACCCACCGGTTAGAACTAACAGAAAGTCGCGAGTTCATGTACTAAATGCCTCGTGGGGGTCTTCGGCCCTCTTAGCGCTGAGTGGGCCACTGGACAAGAACACAGTCAGCCGCTAAACCGAAGCCATTTTTACCGAAAGCTTACTCTCGCTCGATATCGTAGATTAGCCATCGTATTTTTGGCTATTTTAGTCCCAAATGTCTCACTTACTGGCCATGTTCATCAGCGCTCTCTTTCGTTCCGATGCCCTCTTGAGATTTTTTACACCGTGTCGGCAGTTGCCAGCTTATGAAGGTTTCACACTCTCTTGCAGACTTCTCGGCGCCAAGTCTGTTGCATGCACAGTATGATAATTTTGGGAGCTTTATCGCTATTTCTTTGCGGGGCATCGGCGTTCGAGTCTATTAGGGATGATGATCTGTTTACATACGTTACAGTAAGTGCGGGCGCTCAGACTGAGTTTGTAGTGCGTTACTCACACCTTTTGCCAGCTTCCCAACCACCGAGCAATAAAATGGAATATCACTTATCATGATCGGTCCTCTGTTGTTCCGGGGTACTGGTTTGTTGCCCCCTACTTTATCAACGAGGGCGAGCCAGCGACAAATCGGTGGATGCCTTATCAAATAGGGCCTCATATCTTTGACCAGGATGGAGTATGTGTATCAGACTATCATCGTTCTAGCAGCCTTTACCTAACTGTGGAAGGAACTTGTATGGACAGGATGTAGTGATTTCAACAACCGGAATATCTATGATTTCCGCATGGTTGACGCTATGGGCGATGATCCACATCTAGCTATGCTTCTTCCCCGCGCAGTCGGCAAGCAAGACGACAGGGGAACGGTCATCATCTACGACAACCAATACAATTCGTCTCAGGTCATTCTCGACCCAGTCGTGGACCTTGATATGCATGAAATCAACATCAAAGATTCACATACAGCCCTTGCGCTGGCCTTTCGACCAGAAATGATGAACATGGCTTCATTTGGATTACCAGATCTAAATATGCAGATATGGACCGGCGGGTTTATTGAATTCGACATGACCACTGGAAAAGTTGCTGTTCAATGGACGTCCGGAGATGCGATCTCTCCGGACGAATCTTTTATTTTCGACGCGCATCAAGAGTATCCGAACACTGACTTCATGCACGTCAACTCAATCGACAGGAATACGAATGGGGACTATTTGCTTTCTGCAAGGCATACAAGCACCGTCTATCTCATCTCTGGAGAAGACGGTCGCATCATATGGAGACTTGGAGGCAAAAGGAGCGATTTTGTGAAGGATTTTGACTTTTCCTGGCAGCATGATGCGAAATTTATGTCGGTCAATGATACACACATCACCCTATCGCTTTTGGATAATGGCGCCGAGGACGTCATTACAAATGAGCCGACCTCGTCTGCCATGTACATTGAGCTTGACCTGACGGCGATGAAAGCCACGCTCCTGACTCGATACACTCGACCCGACAACGAAAGCACCAGAAAAAGAGGGAACATGCAAACTCTACCAAACGGCAACGTTCTGGCCTCCTGGAGTGAGTTTGGGTATATGAGCGAGTTCACGCACGATGGAAGGCTCCTTATGGATGCCAAGTTTGCCTCTGAAAGGTTCAGTACCTACCGCGCGTACAAGTTCCCCTGGCGAAGTAATCCATCATACCCTCCCGCTCTTGCAGCATCATGTCATGGTGTAAACGGGACAGACCTATCGACAACCTTCCACGTCAGTTGGAACGGTGCCACAGAGGTAAAATACTGGCGTTTCTTCGCTCGTGCAAACCAGACCAGTTCGAGCCAGCAAATCGGAACGATCCCCAAAAAAGGCTTTGAGACCTCGTTCATTGCGCCGGGATACATGGACTTAGTCTCAGTTGAAGCACTGGATTTGAACTATCAAGTTCTGGGACAATCGGTGATTGTTCGGACGGAGCCTCCGGTCTACTGGCCCGAGGGCTTGGAATTGCCAACACCAGATGATCCTGCAGCTCCTGTCGTTGATTATTCGGTGTCAATGAGGAAGGCGATGACTTTTATCGGGCTTTTCGTTGCTGGGTTTCTCACTAGTATAACTGGATACTTTGTGCTTAGTTTGTATCATCCTGCATTCCGACGTTATATCCGGCGTACATATTCGAGGGTACGGTCAGAAGATCCAGACGAGGGGTTTGGCCTGCTCAAAGTGAAGGATTAACAATCGAGATCTGTTCTTTTATTCTTAATTCTTCTTACCGCGATGTCTTACTGTAAATTACTCAAGCCTGCACATATTCCAGCACAATTGTTTCGTCTTTTTGCCCGCTGTTTCCTAAGTTAAGGCAGTACTTGGACGAACCTCTGGTTTGGATACTCATATTGCGTCAAGAATTCGGCGACTGTGGCAACGACGACGAGTGCCGGCCCAACTCAGACCGGAATCGCCACAAACTGCGACGAATACCACACTGTTGTTAACGGAGACTCGTGTGTAGCCATTGAGGACGAATATATAATTGCCTTTGCGTAGCTTTATGAGTGGAATCCGGCTATAGGATCAGACTGCCAGTACCTCGATATTGATATACTGTCTGTGTTAGTGTTTCTTCATGATTCTAACCCGATTTAAGATATTTTACCTAGCGTGAAATATTATCTAGTAGCTTTAAAAACGAGGACTACTAAGGTAGTAGAATAAATCTATCTTATAACTACGAAAATAATTAAGTATCAAAACTATCTCTAGTATTAAATAAGAAAAAAGTCAGATCAGCAGTTGAAAGAAATTCCAGGAGGACGCCTATACTCTACCTCCTAGTCAAAACCATCGCGCATAAAAGCAGAGGCCACCACCTGAGCCCGACCATAGCAACTGATCGCTAAGGTTCTAATATATACGCTATGTGTATAGAAATCCCTACGCCTACTTCGTATACATCGATAGTCCCTACGAGGGCTGGCCCGAGAGGGTCGTAATATATTGATTCAGATCAAGCAAGTCATTTTGCCTTTGATGTTTCCAAGTAAGCTTAATTTATCATCCTGGGGCCTGATATCAAAATGAATGCACCCCGCTCTGCTATTCCCTCGGCAAACCTCATATCCCGCTATAGCCGCAATTCCCGATCAACATTCATCATCATCCAAACATCCAAGATCTTATCCACTTTCATACACTGAACAGAACGAAAGAACTTTGAACCAACACAGTTAGCCATTCTCTACCTCTTACGTCCCTGGGGCTTTTCAAACTACAACACAAGAGGCCATGTGTACTCGAAGACTCCCTTGGCGCCTGCCGGCCGGTCACAACCCGCCGCCGAGGCTACATCTTAAATTCCCAGAGGACTTGAACAGGGTTTTTACAGCATATATCGGCGTCCAGCTACATAGCGCATGCTTAGGTGATTCTCGGAGAAGTACGGGTTTACTGGGACCGCCTGCGGCACGAATCCAGAAATGGCTTGCGAATCCTGAATTTGCTCCGGTCTCAACGGAGCAGTTTCAGCTTCTCGATGATAGTACGACCCATGCACTTGCTCATGAGAATAATGTCTCCGGCAATGATAAACCAGTGAAGTCAAGCTCTGGGATAAAATCACTTATATGGGTCTGCTACTGGACCGATGAAACCAAATACAAGGCCAGCATTCAAACCCTCAATTTACCGGGGATCTACCGTGGTCTTGACACGGCATCAAAGACTCATATCGGGCTATGGCTTGAACACTTTGCGAGTGACACTTCACGGCTCGAGACAGTCTACTCGGCTACGGATTACCTACCCGGTTTAGCTCGTCTGCCGGGTACATCAACAGCACACCATGTGCATACCGGGTACTGGGGTGCTGCACGAGACCGAATCCCCGGCTCAGCAGAGGATTTATTTGAAGAAGATATATCCAAGAGCAATCCCGACTCAGATCTACCTGGCGATCCATCAACTCCAATGATCCACGCAAAGTCCCTGGGAACATACATTACCGGCACAAACACACATAACATAGTTCACATCCGCTCAGGACAATTCTGGGGCAACTGCAATGACGAAGAAGCAAACGCATACCTAAACACCCTAGAACCAAAACTCCGTTCCGGCCTCTCATATCTCTGGACGTCCCCCGAAGAAACCCGCTCAAGTGGCGTGAGATATCTACATAATATCAAACCTCTTTCCAACACTTCTACTTCTGGTGATGATTCCGTTTCGACGATTCACCAGACGAGGGAAGCTTGCGTGACGGCATTTTTCAATAACATGGTCGATATGGAAGGATGGGCTGCGCGACATCCGTCCCATTTAGCGATTTGGGCTGGTGCTATTAAGCATGGGAAGAGGTTTGGTGATGAGAGGATGTTTAGGACGTGGCATGAGGTGTCGATTCTGAAGGGTGGGGAGGCGAGGTTTGAGTATGTGAATTGCTTAGAGGGGACCGGCGTGTCGAAGGCGATGGCGCTGTTGGATGTGGGTGCTCTTTGATGGATGTAGGTACTTTATGTTAGGACCTAGGCGTTGCGCCCCTAAGCCTAACGTTGTGCGCTACTTATATCGGTCCCAGACATGCTAGAACATAGCGTTCTAGCATATTTAGTCTTTTAGCTTGTTTGGCTAGTGCGCCTGGGCACGTGCCGTAACACTTTAATCGTTGATACTATAATCGAAGTTTTGGTACTAAGTTTTCTAATTATAAGTCTTCTAGTAGACGAGTAGGCATATCACTGAGGTAGAGAGGCCTAATAGCATCATGCTCTAAGTATAAGGAACTCAATCGTCGAAAGAAAACTCATCAATCCAATTCAAGCGCATAAGTACATTCCATAATTCACATAGACACATCGCCCCCTCTCTCAGAGGGGCACGGCATTAACCATCAAAATCCAGTATCAAAGCCCATATCATAACAAATATTTCCATCATAAGAAAAAGAATCAATAACAAAACAAAAAAGAGCCCAGATATCATAAGAAAAAAAAACTCCGTAAATGAAAATCAAGCATCAAATGCCAGCAGCAAGGCAGGACAAAAGCAAGTAACAGAAGCAAATCTATTTTCGCCAGAACATAGCTTTGCCCAGAGTCCGACCAGCAGTCCATCTAGCCTCGGCAATACGGTCCTTGAAGCTAGGTCCACCACTGTACCGGATAGGCTTCGAAGGACCACTTCTCTCGGAGCTACTTCCACCAACACTGCTCCCGCCGAAGGAACTGGGTGCGAAGTTGGACATATTGCCAGCGTCGAATTTGGTCTTGCCTTCGACGATCTTGTGGACGAGGTTTAGTATAGCGTAGACTGTTGAGCCGATAGCGCGCACACCGGCCAAAACAGCGACAGACCACAGAATTATGGCGAGGTAGATGTTCGTACCGCCCGAGTCAACACCGTAGACCTCAGACACGGCCATACCGAGAATGACGTTGGCAACCATCCAGATAGAGACCATGTACGTGCGGACAGCGCGGTAATAGTCCTCTTGCATCTGGGCCTCGGAGACAGGGGTCTCGGGGACTTCGAGACGGTCACGGAGGTTGCGCAGTGCGGCATCGTACCCGCTATCAATATCCAGCTGCTCAGAGGGCATTTCGACAACCACAGTAGACCCGTTGATGACCTTAGCAGCACCGAGATCTGTGTTGATGACGTTGTCACCCTTAGTTCCCCATGTCACGTCGTGCGTGTTACAGAAGGCGTATACCTGCAACGTGCAGATATAACTGGGCATAAGCAAGAAGTATTGCGCAGACGAAGTGAACATGTGCCACGGGTCGAGGTACAAGAACGATGTGTAGAAGTACAAGCCGACAGTGGACAGCATGGACATGACAATGTTAAGCAAGAGCGAGTTGCTGACGTCCAGGTCAGACTTGCCAACACCAGCTCGCGACATGAGCTCCATAACGACGAGGTAGAGTGCGCAGAAGACGGTGTAGAACATGATGATGGCGTAGACGATGATACCAGAGAGGTAAAGATTTTTGGCACTGGAATATGGCGTTAGCAATAACTATTTGGATTGGAGGTGTGCTAGACATACCCTTGAGGACGATTACCCAGAGAGATGATAAACTGCAGACACATAACCAGAACACAGGCGTAGCGCAGCACAACAAAGATGTACTTGCCCATGTTGTGACCGAACGGATCAAGCGTTTCATCAGTGAGCGAGCCCGCGATGAAGTAAAAAGCAAGGTAGAAGTTCGCCTGTATGGAGGTTAGTCCAAATCCATAAGAAGATTCCACGACAGCAAAACACTCACCAAACCAAAGTAGGTAAACAACAGGTTGAAGAATTGATACACAAACTCAATGTGTAGCAAGATCTTTCTCGCCAGCGAATGATCCGTCTTCCAGATCTGCTTCGCATTGAAGATTGAGTACACAGCCGCGAAGAAAGCACCGTTCAGCCAACGACGACGCTGCGAGATAAACTCAGGTACCGAGTCAGGCACATCAGTCTCTCCAACGGCACTCTTGACGAACTTGAGAACCCATCTCTCTTCTCGCTTGGCGACAAGCTCCCAGCAAAGAATACGATCCTCAGCCAGGTACATGTTGGCAGTGAACACGTCTGCATCCTGGCCGTGCAGTGTCTCACCCTTGAAGTATTGGTTGAGTGGACCGTGACCGTCGGCGTCATTCTGTAGGGCGAAGAAGCGGTAGGCACTAAGCGCACCTGGAAGCACAGTAATGTAGCCGAATACAGATTCGAGGGGCTTGTCCAGAATGTTGGACATCTTGTACTCGAAGTTCTGACTGGCAATGAGCGGATTGAAGAGACCCAGCATGCCCTTACCCTTACCAGCCTTAATTTCACCAGCAGCACCAGCGACGTTGGAGTCCTGGTCAAACGCCTTCCACAGGTGGTACAAGGCAGTCGGCTCGGGCTTGGTACCAACGTCGAGCAGGATACAGATATTGGGCTGCAGGGCACGACCAAATGCATTGAAGAACCATCGGTGCGAGTTAAGCTTCTTCTGGTTGTGCTCCTTCAGACAGAAGATAACTTGGCAAGGCATGATACCCTTCTCGGCACCCTTGAACTTCAGATCCGAGTCAAGTGACACCTGGGTAGTGTACTCGTACACGTGGGCTTGCACCTCCTTCTGGTTGACAATGTTCTTCGCAATACCCTCCTGATACACACCCAAGGCGGCCAACGCATTCAAGGTTCGTGGGTGCACCTTCTTTCGACCATCGGAGATGATACAGACCACAATCTTCTTCCACCCATCCTTACCCCAAGTACGGGACTTGGTACGCGAACAGAAGTGGCTGATGTTGCGCATGATACCGTGCATGGTTCTGGTGAAGCCGATCTCATCTTCGTTGTACATTGTCACGCAAATAAACAACTCAGTCTCACGTGTAGTGCTACCAATCTGCTGGCGCAGCTTGTATCCCCGAGACGTGAATTCGTCTGGATCGGAGGTCACGGCCGTGTACCGCATGTGAGTAAACTCACGCTCGTCTCGACGGGGGAGGAAACTGTGCAGAATCGTAGGGATTTTACACTCCAAGATCAGCTCTCCGTTGATAAGCTGGACCTCTTTCTTCGCCATCTGAGTATCACGAACACCACGACGACCTTGCTTATCGGGCGCAGGTCCATAGTGCAAATTGGGATCAATCATGCTCGACTCGTCATCGTCGTCTTCTTCCAAGTCGACCTTGGCCATCTCGTCCTTTTCATCACCCATCACCGTCGACTCGCTCATGAATGATCGAACGCTGCCGCGAGATGTGTGGTTGATAGTCCGGCCACCTCCACCGAACGGGTCCGCTCCAGCCATGCCATCTCCAATATCGATGCTTGAGTCTATGCCTGAAGACGATGACGGGGCCGGACCAGAGAACAAGGGAGCCGGAGGCAGAGGCCGTCTGGGGCTTCCTCCATATCTTGAACTGGGTGTCCCGGGGCGTGGGCTACCATTGATATCGGCGCGCTCATATCCAACACTCGATACCGAGGGAGGGCGAACGTGACCAGGACTCCAAGGGCGGGTGGGTGATCCTGTTCGTGGGGGAATTGACGGGTATACTGATGTATCTGCCAGACTGGCGGTAGGTGCTGGGATGCTGGGGGCGTTTCCAATGCTGGAAGGTGGACGTGATGGTGAAGTTACGCTGGGGACATTGTAATAGCGGTTGTCATATGCAGGTGCTTGTCCAGTCCTATTTCGCGTTCGAATGTTAGTACGCGGCCGCTTAGGATACTCCATGCTGAAGCGAAAGTGATTGCTGGATCAGATTGGAGATGCAGCGTGCGACACGATATAGTAAAAAAGTACTACCGACTGGCAGTGTACCGCCCAGAGCCAATGCTCCACATCCAATGGAAAGGCTTATCCCTTGACAAAATATAAAACTCTAACGTGCATCTTGGCTCTTCTGTCAAGGGGGAAGCCTTGATGAACGCAGTGTGCATGTGGCCTCGTCGCAGTGGGCAACCGCAGGAATGTGTCTGGAAATAAAGTTCTTATGGTCGGGTTGAAAGAAAAGCTCTATACATACGGAGTAGAATCAGAATAGGCTGGTTGGTACTGCAATGGCGAAGACGCGCGAGGACCACCTCTCAGATCCCCATCGATGTCACCACTCGTTGGTAGCAGACGCATGGTCGCGCCATTTTGTCGCGGCGCACCGCTGGGAGACTCGTTATCGGAGAGGTATGAGGAAGCATCGTGGTCCAAGTACGCAGGCGGCTCATCGCCGTAATTGGATGGCGGATGACGGCTCATGGTGTGAACGTGGAATGTGTTCGTTTTTTGAGGAGGCTGGAGTGCTTTAGTTCCTCATATTAGGGCTTAACACGATTGGCGTAGATGGGAATGGTTGCGCAATGAGCGCTCCGGTCACAGCTTTCCTAGTGCTGCTGCTGGGACAAGACGAGTGGCAGGTCTGACAGGTTGATTGTCGCATTAGTGAATAGTTCGGAGGACTGCTGGATTGTGGAGTCCCGCGAAGGAATGCGGGTGATGTTGCTTACCAGGGAGATATGATGATGGCCTGGTAGAGGAGGAATAATAAGATGAGGGAGAGACAGAGCAATGGAAAAGCCTTGAGAATAAGAAGAGAGGACGGGCTAAGATGCAAGCGCGGTGGTCTGCAAACAAGTCCAGCCCGGGGCATCCGCCGGCGCAGTCAACAAAGTGGAGGTTGTTTTGTGGTTGTCGGGGCAACCCCGCAGGCTTCCAAGTTGCGCACTCGCAGATTTGCAAGGGGCCCTCGAGCTCGATGCTGCATGGGGTTTAAATCAATTCAATTGTGGTCTCAGATTACTTGATTTACCATGCGATCAAACTGCAAGTTGGAGATATCCATGCATATCCCACTTCTATAGATTTTACTCCGCTCGCCTACCGTGGTTGTTGATATGGATGTTATCGCCAACTCCGCGACTCCACTTTGGAGGTGGGTCCAGCCATCGAGATTACGCAAAGGCCCCCAGTTCATAACAAACATAATTTAATGAAGTTGATCATGGAGGCTAACGTAATCAAGACAATCTAATATGAAGAAACTATACCCATTTCAACATACACCGAGTGTCTATAGTAATCAATGACAAACGATACCGGGTATCAAGCGCAGATAAGCACTGTAGATGTTCCCATTGAATTCTCTGTGGAGTTGAAGGTTCGTCGATACAGAGTGAACCAATACTCTTCTCATGGCCATAACCAGGCTCCCGGAATAACCGCTTCAGTAGGACTCATCTACTTCCATGTTCCTATTCGTCCTAACTCGCGCTCTCGACATAGATCACTCATAAGGAATCATCTTGCATTTATATGATCACAGATCAATAACAGCCAGAAAAAAAATAACCAAACCAAAACCAAATACAAAGGGAATCATTCTTCGCGTATCCATTAATCCATCACGCATAAATTGGAGGGAAACCGTCCACAAATTTCATCAAGGCCACTCCATTAACAAACTGCCACCCGGGCCTTCCCCCTTCCATTCCACTCTCCCTCTTGATGACCAAGCTTCAACCAAGCCACGATCCTCATCCTACCAAACTTCCACAGATCCCATACACATCCACCGATTAAGTCTCCAGCCAAATCCCATTTCCCACCTTATGCCTCTGCATCATTAAGCAGAGGTTGGCGCTCACGGTCCGTTGACTCGGGATGGGCTACACTGCGGAACAAGCTGTCACGGCCGTAGTACTTGGTAGTTGAGATATAGACCGAGGTGACCAAGAAAACGGCGAAGATGACAAAGGCAAAGATCCACTGCAAGGCAATGATCTTGACGGCGACTTGGCGGAGTGCCAGCGCTGAAAAACACAAATTAGCACACGACATGGCTCCCCTCTCCACAGTCGAGAGGATATTATTCAGCAAGAATCAATGACTTACACAGCGTGAGGATACTCAGACAATACCCCAAGATATAATCCTGTCGCACAACAATATCAAATAAACCTACCAGCAGGATCACCCAGATAAAGATATTAGCAACGATCCGACCAGGCAGATTGTGGCTATTCACGGCGACGGCGCCGTTCCAGAAGAGCGCCGTCAGAGTCCAGGCATAGGGTCCGGCGACGGCGGGGAGGTGGACGAAGGCGGGCAGCCCGCGGTGACGCCAGTAGGTGATGGCCTGGTTGATGAAGTGTGCAATGAGAATGATCTCGGAGCCCCAGAAGTGGTTGCGGGTCCACAGGAGGATCCAGGCAAGGACGAATAGGTTGTTGAGGATGAAATGTGTGGCGACGTTGGCGGCGGCGGCGACTAGGGTGGATTCCTTGGAGAAGAGGTGCCAGACGTAGCTGAGTTGGGAGAGGAGGAGGAGGATCCTGTAGTGTATGGTTAGCTGCTGTGATCATGTTCGTGGGAGATAATAGGCTAAATGCTATATGGAGGCCAAGGATTGAAGGAATAGGGTTTGCTTAGTGCGAAAGAGGATTCTTACCAGTATACCTCGGTCACGGTCGTGTTCTGGCTGAAGGGCGTGTTATGCTTGTTGGCCTGCTTCCAGATCTTCTTGCTACCCTTGGTGTCATCGGGCGAGTGAACAGAATAGTAAATGCCGACGACGACAACCAGAGCCCAGGTGAGGGGCACAAAGACCCGGTACAGGTTCAAAGCATGGGCATTATGCGTCTCTCGACGGGCGAAGGGGTTATAGGGCGCCATGGATTGTGAATGACAGCGTAGGAGGTTCGAAAGGATTGAAACAGCAGCCGACGCAACGAGGGCAGGACACAAGAAAAAGAAAGGCGTCAGGAAGCGGGGTGGGGAATTGGATTATATACGGAGACACGGCGCGAATAAACCAAGTTTACAGTCGGAATGGTCTCTAACTAGCTCATTGCCTGAGATCCCCCGACTCAGTTACGTTGTACCTTGGTACTTTACTTCGGCTGGTCTCGTACGACTGGTGTCATTAGCTGCTGCAGTTGCCGCCCAGAAGTCCGGACGTGGTCTGATGACCGAGACAATAATGCCATCTTCCAAGGTGGCGCCAATCCGCAGCACCATGAGGTCAATCCCCTCGTTCTGGGATCTCCGCGAGATTATCATTGGTGATGTCAGGCCAGCTTAGGTTATCTTAGCGGCTCCACTCCCCGCTTGAAAAGCCGGTTCTCACCCGAGCCCGAACTACTTGCGACAAGGACCGACAAAACGAGGTCTGGACTTGTCGATGGGTGGCTGGGCAGAACCAAATGTCTACCTAAATTACGGATGACTGTCCCTGGGTAGAAGCCTTTCAATATATAGAGGGATGGATTGAAATAGAAAAAAATGAGTATGCTCGCGCAGGGGGTCGCACCTAACCTGTAATTTCAATGGCGCAACTGAATGTTGGGGATGTCGATCCAAGGGCACGGCCCCTGCAGGTAGATCAACCTGGAGAAAAAGGAATGTATCTGTACTCCGTTCTCCATACAGACAACTGTGCAAAGTAAAGTTCCTTTTCATGCGAGTTGCGACGCCATACAGATGCGAGGTTGGGGCCCCTGGATCAAAACGAGGGAGAAATACGGCACCTGGGAAAGAAACTCGACTAGCGACCGGGGTAATAAAGAAAAGCGAGGCAAATAGTAGCGGGGAATGCGAGCACGATTCGAGTCCTGTAGCGCAGGGCTGTCATTTAAGCGGGGAAATACCTGCGCCTCAAGAAAAATCGGGATAGATAGGTGATGTGCTACACTAATATATATTTATAGACATACACCCAGCGAGCAAGTACTCCAGAGGATGCGGGGGGGGGGGGGGGGCAAGGAGGCCAAATTGACCACATTTGTGGATATAACTACTAGAATAGCCCAAGAGTTGAACTTTATTGACTGCTAGAAAGGTGAGAGACATATATAACCGAGAACCTTCTGTCGCCAATTTATAGTTCAGTTCATGGTCCGACCCGACAGGAGTTGCAGGTTGACCGCCAATTTGGAGGTTGCCACCAAAATGGCTGTCTTATTCTATGTCTGTAAAAGAAAGAGAGATTTGAGAAATACTAAATCAATCTTCCTTTAAAAGAGGAGCTTTTATTGAGTCATTTAGCTGTGATAATAGAGGACGAATTTTCGTGGACCATAAAATGGTGTCATGTTGATGGACCACTATTAGTGACTAGGCTCATTATCCATAAATCTCGGCCATGTTACCATAACAAGCCTTCGTGGTCTAGTTGGTCATGACGTCGGTCTCATATGGATCTTATGACGACCCTGCCTCAACAGGGTGGTAATCCGAAGGTCTCCAGTTCGAACCTGGACGAGGGCATTTCTTTTTTGAACATTTTTTTGGTTGTGGAACTACCTGCCCTATTCAACCCCAACCAACCCCCTCTGTAGTGTACGTAACCGGTCAATTTATCTCTACCATTCCTTCCAAAATTATAACCATTCAATGAATTTTATGTTCTAACTGTATTTTATTTCATGTCTGCAAAGTAATGTATCCAACCGTACACCGTATAATCCTGTTCCCAGAAACATGCACCATAAAACATAAAACCATGCACTATACCTGCCGAGCAGCCCTCACAGCCTCCAAAACCCGACCATGTATCGAAGCCTGAGCCACAACCATTCCATAACATCCACCCAACGTCCTTCCAAGCCCACAATCAACTTCCTGTCCCTCCAAATCCGTAACCACACACCCCAGCTCCTGCACCAACAACATGCCGCCAGCATGATCCCAGATCTTCGACCGATAGCTCTCCCGGCGCGGTACCTTGACAAACGCATTGCAACCACCCTGCACCGCAATCGCAACATACCGCATCTGCGCCGACCACAAGTCCACGGTATTCGGCCACGGGCAGTCCAGCTGCGCCGCGACCCGCGCATGGATCTCAACATTATGCGACGACGCCTCTCGCGTATCCACGAATCGCACCGCGCTCGCCTCCTCAACAGCCGGTATCCTCTCCAGCGCCCGGCAAGCATGCAGCGCACCCGTGCCTAGCGGCGCAATGAACGCCCCATGTCCCGCGATAGCTGTCAAAAGTTGCCCATACCCGTCCCGATCAACCGTCTCCTCCGAGACAGGCCCCTCGCCAAGCTTCAGGTTCGGACACCCCAGTATACCGAGTCGCTGCACTCCGTCTTCCACCAGCGAGAGACACACCGCATACTGCTGGTTCTGTATGAACGTCGCCGTGCCGTCGACGGGGTCAAGCGTCCATACCCGCCCAGGTCCACAGGCGCCCTTTGCGCCGAGATCGATCAGCTCGAGGAGCTCGTCGCGCGTGCTAGGAGTGTGCAGGAGTGCTTCGCTAGCTGCGTCATCGAGGTGTACGGATGTAGCAAGCTCCCAGGTCCGTTCGAGGAGGGCGGGGTTCTCGCGCAGGGCGGTGGAGTCTTCTTCGCCGACAATTTGGTCCGTGGGGAAGGTGTGGTGGATGGCGGCGATGATGGAGGCTTGGGCGGCGAAGTCGGCGATTGTAACGGGGGTGTCGTCCTTTTTGTCGAAGGAGCCTTTGTCTACTTCGGAGAGGAGCTGTTTTGTGAGGAGGGCGGCTCGTTGGACGGCGAGGCTGGCTAGCTGTAGCTCTTTGGCGTAGGGGTGTGTGTCCATTTTGGTGGTGCTGTTGGTGGTGTAGAGGAATTGATGCTCGTGGTTGATTGAGGAGGGGTGGGATTGAGTGTCCCGGGCCGGCTGGGAGATATGGAATGACTCAATTGACTGCTCCACCGCTATCGTGAAATATAATTTGGATCCCGATCGTTTCACCGGGTGGATCACGTGGGGTAATTGGCACCTACGTCATGGAATCTGGGTGAGGTAAAGTAGGTCAGAAAGGGGAAGGTGAAAGAGTAGAAGCAATTTTGACTGAATTAATGATCAATATCTACACAGTATGTGCTGTGAGTAGCTGCTTGAAGAAGCTGATGTCTTTTAGGGCCTGGGGTTGTGTGCAGCACAGTGGAGGTATATCACCAGACGGCTTTTGTCGGATACATTTTCCGGTCACCATTCATGATGTGGAAATATCCGATCAGATAAAATAGATGATACCTAACTAGCAAATCTCAAACTTTTCATCTTCTACGTTGATTACTGAGGAAGTATATAGGTAAGTAGAGAAAAGGCGTACCAAATAGGTAGAAGAGAGAGCACTATAAATATCCTTAGACCAGAGTAATCATGGCCATACTACCAGCCAACCAGAGCCAGCGAGAAGCTTTGGTTCATTGCCATGGTTGAAATGTAGTTAAAATTCGAAGAAGTCCAAGCCCTTTTTAGCTACGCCATTGCTATTGACAAGTTATGGCACCAAAAAAGTCACCTTTCTGCAGATCACTATAAGTCATCAAAAGACAAGAGGTAGGGATGCCTCAACCCATTTTTGAGTCCGCTGGATCACTGACCATGAATAACCAGCGTGTTATGTGACACAGCTATCAAACGAAAGAGGGGTAGGTGGTTTACTTTGCAATTTTGGGAAAGTGATCAGATATCGGTCGCCTTAAATGATCGAAACAAAGAAACTGTGTCCGAATTTTCAACTTGCCCGCCCTTGTGCAGTTCCGTACTCCTCGAGGAAAGACCGAGATTAACGAGCGCGGTCTTGAATAGTGTGATATTGCCTTACTTACGCAGTACAAGGAGCATCGGCAGTCTCATATCACCGAGAAAACATTATCAGTTGAATTTCCATCAATCGAGGCTTCTCAACATGTCATCAATGGACAAAATCTTCGAAGGCTATGCCACTCGAACAACCGCTCGCAAAGCCAGCAGCAATACCTTCGCCAAGGGTATCGCCTGGGTTGAAGGGGAGCTAGTCCCTATATACGAAGCTCGAATCCCATTAATGGATCAGGGCTTCTTACACGGTGACCTCACCTACGACGTACCCTCGATCTGGGACGGGCGATTCTTCCGTCTAGACGATCATCTATCCAGACTCGAAGCTAGTTCCCATAAGCTACGCATGCGAATCCCTCTCCAAAAGGAAAAAATCAAGCGCATACTTAACGAGATGGCTGCGAAGTGCGATATCAAGGATGCATTCGTCGAGCTGGTCGTTACCCGTGGACTTACCGGCGTGCGTGGTTCTAACCCCGAACAACTTCGCAAGAATACTTTGTACATGTTTATCCTGCCTTATGTCTGGGTCATGGAGCCGCAGGTACAACGCACCGGAGGCTCTGATATTGTCGCCCGTACGGTCAGAAGAACTCCAGTGGGATCTATGGACCCGACCGTTAAGAATCTACAATGGGGCGATTTAACCCAGGGCATGTTGGAGGCTGCTGATCGAGGCGCTATGCACCCATTCTTGACAGACGGAGATGGAAATCTCACAGAAGGATCTGGATTCAATATCATACTTGTGAACGATGGGGTTTTGTTTACTCCCGAGCGCGGGGTTCTGGAGGGAGTGACCCGCAAAAGTGTGTTTGAAATAGCACGAGCCAATGGTATCGATGCCCGCGTGGAGTTTGTGCCTGTCGAGATGTTGTATCATTGCGATGAGCTGTTCATGTGTACTACTGCTGGGGGGATTATGCCTATTACCTCCTTGGATGGGAAGCCTGTCAAGGATGGAAAGATAGGCCGGATTACGAAGCGCATCTGGGATGATTATTGGGCGATGCATTATGATTCGAGATATAGCTATGCTATTGACTACGCTGGCTCTGGACTGCAGAGCTCGGGGACTGTGCGAGTCCAGAAGCTCTAGATGAGGTATGGGATTTCGTTCATTTCATATGGATAAATACGCGATTTGCAAGGAGCTTAAGAGCGGAACATGGAGAGGTGGATCCAGGCGGGGTTGTGTGGATCTGAAAAGCAAGTGATGATATCAGTGGCACGCGATCAGAGGACCTTGAATTTGCTAAGGACTTAAGTAAAAGAACACAGTTAGTCTTCAGAAGGGTATGATTACCAGAGGAGGGCTGTTGTAAGTACTTACTAGCGGCATGGGCCAACTCTGCTGGCTTAGATGCCTGCACATGCAGACTGATATCCTCGAGCGCCCGGTACAGATGATCCTTATTACTCGTGTAGTAAGACTTGTCGTGAATGCTCGCCGTCTCGGGAACCCTGTAGTGAGAATCAAGTATTTAGTGCCGGTTCATTTGACCAGCCACGCGTCCAGTAATCAGATCAGGCAACATACCACGTGATGAAGACTAGCTTGTGTCGTTTCTCATTACCGGTGGGAGAATCATATTCAAAGTCGACGACAGCGTAGCGAGGGGCATCACCCTTGAAGTGAGAGACAACCTCATCGTAGCTCTCGTACTTGCCAGACTTCAAGACAGAGATAGCCTTGTCATGTGCCGAAGCTTCGTAGATGACATAGTTGAGAGCATCGGTCTCTTTGACTGCATCAAAGGTTTCCTCGCACTCGGGCTTGATGGTAGCAAATCCTCGCGTCATGTTGGCGAAAGGGGTTTCTGTTGGGGAAGTCGTGGGATGTGAGGTTAAGCGGGGAAGGGGGATTGTGAAAGAAGGTTGTTGACGGCGATCTTACCCCGGCTTCTTGTATGCGGGGAAACCCGATTAGCTAAGGTTTGGTGGCTGAGGTTGCAAACAGTGTGCCTGAGACACCGATGGCCAGACTAGGGCTGGCCTCCTTTATGACGTATGTACTAGAGCAGTAGTATCTCTAGAGAGGAGTTGGGTTTCTGTCGATCATATAACCCAGGGCTGGACTGAGGGCCAGGCTCGTCAAAGAATTAGATGTGCGGATGGGTTTATAACAGAAAGTTTCAAAGAATGACCTACTTGTACCTTTCTCAAAGTCAGACTATACTTTCTATTTCCGGGTGGTATCACATGATCGGGGTATAATATAGGTCTTCTAGGACGAATGGTCTGTTCAAATCATATGATGCCACGATGCGAAAGGAACTAAACGGGTAGAAGGTGGGACGAGGCGAAAGCAGAAGATATTCTCTGCTGGGGTTAATCTTTTTGCAGAATGGTAAATTATCACAACTAGAATATGATAAATATTAAACAAGGAGGATGATGAGCCTGCTGTAATCCTTGCTCGGTGCTGAGGTCATATAGTGCTTTCAATTTGACCAATCAGGGGGGGGAGAACGCCGAATACGAGCTGTAGATATCTCGACAATGGCTTTAAAGCCGGATTTCATTCCTATTCCCCAGAATCTTTCTATTTTCTCTTCTCTACCGGCACTCATTATCAGAGAGAGTTACTTGAATAACAAAAGTATCCAGCAAGATGGCGGCATCACCGACCATCGACCTCGACCAAACCTTCGACCACTCTACTACTACTCATAGCTACCAAATCCGCTGGACATCCCTTGGTGATCCAGCAACACAACCTGTTATTTTCATACACGGCACGCCGTGGTCCTCACAAGTCTGGACCAACTACGCCCAATCCTTCTCAAAATACTTCCACGTCTACCTGTTCGACAACCCAGGCTTCGGGGCAAGTCCTCTCGGCAAGCCTCTCCCCGGCAAAGCAGATGCCATCAGCAAGGAGCTCGCTTTGGACGCAGGTCTCTCACAGCAGTCAGCAATATTTGCCACCCTGTTAGAGCACTGGGCAAAAGAGTGGCAGCAGAAACCACACGTTATTGCGCATGATCATGGCGGTCTGATGGCTCTACGGGCTCATATTATTCATGGCTGCGAGTACGCCAGTCTATGCTTGATCAATGTGGTTGCAATCGGGCCATTTGGTCAACCTCTATTTAAACTGGTTGCCGAGAATGAGAGCGTGTTCACTGCGCTGACAGGGCCGGTATTTGAAGGGGTTGTCGAGGCGTATATCCGTGATGCCTCGTATCGAGGGTTGGATAAGGAGACTATGGAGATGCTAAAGAGTCAATGGATTTCTACGGAGGAAGGGCGAATAGGGTTTGTGAGACAGATGGTGCAAGCGAATAGTCGCAGTACCGAAGAGGTTGAGTGTAGGTATTCGGAAGTGGGAAGAAAGATGCCTGTGCGGATTATCTGGGGACAGGAGGATGTATGGATTCCTGTGGAGACGGCGGCCAGATTGAAGGCGAAGCTGAATGCTCAGGACGTGGTGCTTATTGAAGGTGCGGGCCATCTAGTGATGTATGACCAGGAGGGCAAGCTGGGAGTGGAGCTGGGCTGGTGGCTGAGCCAGGTTTGCCACTTGTAAACGTGTGCATAGGCATGGATATAGAAATCTTGGGTGGCCAGCGGGCATCTTCTTAGTTAAACGCCGAGCCTCCGCGCTCATTAGCTAAGCCCGCTCCAACAGGGGCGGAACCTGGAAGCTTCTCCACATTAGTCACGGGTTGCCATCGCATTCTACTCTGGTCGATCTCCGATCTTCCTTTCATATATTTGTCTCCAGACTCACTCATTCTCTCGTGGAGGACTCTTTTCTCTTGTTAAATCCTTTCACTCGTTATTATGTCTCCCGTAAGCATGTCCAGAGGGGCAACCTCCTCACCCAGCGAATCCTACACCCAAATGGCCGACACAGATCTCGAATCAATCGGCCGCCACTGCCAATTCGAATACTGCGGCCAACTCGACTTCCTCCCCTTCCGCTGCGAATCTTGCCGAAGCACTTTCTGCCTCGACCACCGCTCCGAAACAGCCCACAAATGTCCCCACGCTGGAGAATGGGCCCGCCGGCGCAACGGCACAATAAACCAACAAGAGAACCGCACTGCGCCCGAAAGGCCCAACATCTACAACTCCGATCAGTGCGCCCACGTCTCTTGCAAAACCCTCATCAATACCCTGAAAGACCCCGGCGTGCGCTGCCCGAACTGTAATCACCAGTACTGCCTTAAGCACCGGCTTCGAGAGGAACACGAGTGCGCCAAGCTTACCCCGCTGGGCGCACGGCAAGGCAGCAGCGCGAATGAAACGATCAAGTCGATGTTTTCGCGCATGAGGACCTGGGGTAAAGAGAAACAAGTTGCGACTTCGAATCTCATTCCGAAGCCGAAGGTTAAGCCCAACAGTCCTGCGGCGCGCATCGCCAGTGTCAATGCCATGAAACGGTCTGCGAAGGGCGATGCAGGTGTTCCCGCCGATAAGCGGTTATACTTGCATACGGTTGGAACGGCGGATACTCAGGCTGCGGAGCCACCGGCTGGGGACTTTTATTTCGACTCGAGGTGGAAGGTTGGTCGAGTGCTGGACGATGCGGCGCGCAGGTTGAAGGTTGAGAACTTGAATAATCGTGGTGGAGGAGAGGAGGCGCGATTGAGAATCTTCCACGTCGAGTCTGGGGATTTCCTGGAGTTTTCGGATACGATTGGCGGTGGGAAACTCAAGTCTGGCGATACTATTGTGTTGCTGCGAGGCGCCGGGGTGGTTCTCGCGAATTCATGATGCATTTATACTCGCTGTCTTGCATATTTTGTCTGTTTATTTGCTTCATTTTGCTATCATTTACATCTGGAAGCGTTTCTCATCCTAATGATACCTCAAAGCGGTTTGCTTTATGGCGTGTACATGAAACATTGGACTATGGAATCATAGCTTATATATCGCTTGTGCATAGTCTGAAATCATGGCATTTATTTTCTCAAAACAAAAGAGACTGGTATCGTCTAAACATTATAACGTAGGAAAGATTCCAAATGTGGTACTGTACACTAAACACTCATCTTCATCTTGATGGTCTTGTGAGGCTTATATCCAATAACCTCAAACTCATCCTCCTTCCAACCGTCGATGACAGCGCTGCCCCGGTCATCACGCTTGATAAGCAACTCCGGGAACTCAGTCGGCTCGCGAGTCAACTGCTCGTTCAACGCATCGACGTGGTCAAGATAGACATGGGCATCGCCCATAGTGTGGATCAAAGTGCCGGGGTGGAGATCGGCAGCGTGAGCGAGGATATGCGTGAGAAGAGCGTACGAGGCAATGTTAAAGGGTACACCGAGACCCATATCACAAGAGCGCTGGTAAAGAAGGCAAGACAAGGTACCCTTCTCAGTAGGCTTTCCAGTCTTCTCATCGAGCTTCATTCCTGGCGGGAAAGACACGTAGAATTGCGCAAACATGTGGCAAGGCGGGAGCGCCATCTTCCGCAGGTCAGCCGGATTCCACGCACTCATGATGATACGGCGATCAAAAGGCGTGTTCATGATCTTGTTGACAATTTCCTTGAGTTGATCAACTCCCTGGCCCGTGTAATCCGCCTTTGCATCGACGTACTCGGCACCAAAGTGTCGCCATTGGAAGCCATAGACGGGGCCGAGGTCGCCTTCTTCCCGGTGTCCCAGTCCAACCTTATCAAGGAACTCCCGGCTGCCATTTCCATCCCAGATCTTGATCCCAGCCTCAGAGAGGGGCAGCGATGACGTGCAGCCGGAGATGAACCAGAGAAGCTCTGCGAGAACGGCGCGGAGGAAAACTCGTTTCGTGGTGAGAAGAGGTAGAACGGGGATCGGATCGCCTCCATTGGGGTTGGGCTTTGAGAGCGAGAAGCGAAGTTGGGGTGGCGCGAATAGCGATTGCGTTCCGGTGCCGGTTCTGTCGGGCCTGTGCTCTCCCTGAGCAAGGATTGTACGGATCAGGTTGAGGTATTGGTGCTCTTCGTGGGAGGGATTGTGTGCCGCGGGCGCGGGGTCTGCCGCGGGAGCAACTTGTTCTTGTGTCATGTTGAAGATGATGAGATCAGAAAATGACAAAAAGCCCCCTTTTTGATTGGGTCTTCTGAACAATTTAGGAAATAAGGTAGTCGCTGGTTTGCACCCTCTGAACTTGTGACAACCTCTGGCGGGGAGGAGCGGGAGAGGAGCGGTGGGATTTCAATGCGCGTCAACGCGACGCGTTATCACGTGACTTTTATCTTATCGTCGTCGTTGATGTATGCAGGGCATGTTGACTTGCAAACCTTAGAATTCGTGCAAAAAGTAAATGACACAGTAGTTTTCGAATTCAGTTTGACCCCACACTCTTTGGACTTGATTCCCGGAAAATAGGTCCTAAATACGAGAGTTGTGATTGGATGTTATTTTAAGACCTTTGATACAGACCGCTTTCTACAAGAATCCATGTATTTTACAGTACAACTTCAGTACCATGGGTGGTGTATTTTACACGAAATTAGCAGACACCGAGTACCTCCTCTCCGCTCTCTTCCTTTCGTGACAAGCTGCAACTACCTGCATAACGGTTCCCTGCTTACCGTTATTAGTACAGGCGACATGGCTCCTAGGCTCTCGCCTTCAAAGCTTGTTCTCATCCGTGACATGATAGAGAGCGAATCTTTCACCACATCTGAAATGGCTGGCCAGGCTGAATGCAGCAAGCAGACCATCATTAGCATCCGCAACAACTTGCGACAATTTGGAAGTATATACGCACCACAAACACGAGTAGGACGAAAACGAACTGTGAAGCCCCTAATGATCGAAGCTCTTTGTGATCACCTATATAAGAAACCCAGCCTCTACCTCGAGGAGATAGTTGTGTTCCTATGGGATGAGTTTCAGGCCATAGTTACAACGTCCAGCATCAGAAGAGACCTTATCGTAAAGGGTTGGTCTAAAAAGACTGCACGGAGACGTGCTAGAGAACAAAATGCCGATTTACGAGACTATTATCTATATAATCTCTCGGATTTTAAATCGTACTACCTTATCTATGTTAATGAATCTGGATATGATAAACGTGTTAGGTTCAGACGGACAGGCTAGGCACTACGTAGCACGTCCCCTTTATAAGTAACGCAGTTCCATCGTGATTAAAGATACCAGATATTACCTACGTATACTTAGGATAGGATCGTTCTGTCGCGTGTCTTCCGTGGTTCTACGGATGCCGCCGTATTTGAAGACTTTATAGCTTAATTACTCCAACATTACGGACGATAGCTAGAGCCTAAATCTGTCCTAGTCATAGACAACGCGTCATTTCACCGGTCGGAAGGACTTGAACAAATGTGCGCGGACGCAGGGGTGAAGCTAGTCTATTTGCTACCTTATTCGCCGGACCTGAACCCAATTAAAGAGTTTTTTGCTGAGCTCAAGGGGTTCATTAAGCGTAACTGGGACGACTACGAGAAAGACCCGGAGCGAGGATTTAATATTTTTCTTGAATAGTGTATTAATGTGGTCGGTGCGAAAGAAGAGAGTGCCAGAGGCCATTTTCGACATGCGGGCCTGAACATACAAGATTTTGATGCTTGAAACCCGTTTTGACCCTATCACAATTTTTCTTCCCTATGGCGTCCATCAATTATTGGCCTTAAAAGACTCCTCCAAGTCTACCTTCGCTTTTTCTGCGTCTACCTTGTTTGGATCGATGACGCATTTTGCACATATCCTGTGGCTGTCCTTTTGAGCGGATTTTTTCACGTGCACGTTTTCGGCATCCTTGTTTGCTTGAAGGATGAGCTCCTGTTGGGTGTCACTAATTGTTGCACCCTTGTCAATTCGGAAGTTTTTCTTTTTATCGAGTACGCCCCTCCGATTACTACACATGTGGAGAATGGAACGAATTGAATTGAGGCTCATTTGGAGGGATCTTCTAATACTAAAGCAGACTATCGATAACAACAGAAATACAGCATTCTGCGACTGCGAGTCGAATTCGAATATAATAGAGCTGGCGCATCCCATCTTCAAAAAGGTGATTTCAGTCGAACATAAAAGAGAGTTTGTTGAACTTCAGCCCTCGTCACTCGTGCAATGATGGTGCTCAGTGCTTAGGTCTTCGACCAGCGCAGAAGCACCGCAGCAGCAATGACTGGCAAGACACTCACCAACTCTCCCAGTCCCGCAAACTCTGGAGGAATTCTCGCATTGACAAAAGATCCCGCAGCGAGGAGGACTGCAAAGGTGTTGTACACGAGGCTCCACGTAAAGTTGAACTTAATGCGGTTGACAGATTTCCGACTGACGTGCATCATAGTGAGGATGCCACCCAGAGAGGCACGCATAAGAACCACATCCGCGGCGGATTGAGCGACATCTGTGCCTTCGTTTATGTGGACGCCGATCGTAGCCTGCGCGAGAGCAACAGCATCATTCGTGCCGTCACCGCAGAAAACAACGATCGGTTTCTTGCGATCTATGCCAGTACCGAGGAGCGTCTGAATGTAGTCCTTCTTATCGGCGGGCGAGCTTCGAGAACGCACATTGTCGTCAGGAATGCTAAGCTTGGACGCTAAAGTTCGAACAGCTCCCTCGTCGTCGCCAGAAACGACATGTACCGAAACGCCACGCTTCTGTAACTTCTCGATCGTCGCCGCAGTGTCAGGTCGAAGCTCATCTTCAAGACCGTAGACCGCGTGTAAAGCGTTATCGATAGTAAAGCAGAAGACAGTGTACCCTTGAGCAAGCATTGGTTGGACAAGTTCATGTTCCGATAAATTCAGCCAGCGAGAATTGCCTGCTCGAAGTCTCCGGCCATCTAACGTAGTTTCAACCCCTTTACCAGTAAGGCTCTTAGGCTCAGGAACAGTCGAAGCTATCACTGAAGCATCCTTGAGGTAAGTAGCCACAGAAACCGAGACTGGGTGGCGACTATTTTCGATGAGACCTAGAAGAAGCGGGAGCTTATCCACATCGATGCAGTCCTTCGCGACCACAGAAAGCTTTCCCCGAGTCAAGGTCCCAGTCTTGTCAAACACAACGTGCGACGTCTTATAAGCTATTTCAATGGCATCTGCCGACTTAAAGATAATACCTCTTTCCGCCGCAACTCCGCTAGCAATGACAATGACCATAGGAACAGCCAGTCCAATAGCGCAGGGGCAGGAGACGATGAGGACAGTAATAGCGTAGGTAATAGCCTGGATTGTAGCTTCAGGTCCATCATATCCACGGATAGTCATGCCAACTGCGACCCAGATGACGAACGTAAGGATTGTCAATGCCACTATAACCGGGACGAAGTAGGATGCTACCCGGTCTGCGAGATCCTGCAGCTTAGGTTTCGATAATTTAGCCTCATCGACCATCGCAGCAATAGCATGAATAGTGTTATCGCACGGCAACCGGTTCAGTCGAACAGTCATAGCTCCAGGTCCATTAATAGACCCAGCAATCACTATAGACTTAGGATATTTCTCCACCGGTCTAGATTCGCCAGTGAGCATAGACTCGTCAACCTCAGACGACCCATTAATCACAGTGCCGTCGGTCGGGATTCTGCTATCAGGAAGAACTTTGAAGGTATCGCCATATTGAAGAAGTCTAGCGTCAATCTCACGTTCCGTTCCGCTCTCTTTATCGACAAGGATAGCTGTTAATGCTTGAAGTGACTGGATAGAAATAGATTCCACAGCTCTCTGACGAGCGAGAGCGGTAACCCATCGACCGACCATAATTAATGTGACCAAAAGAGTGCTCGTCTCAAAGAATTGACCAGTTGAAAGCGGCTTCTCTGCAATAAGGTACCCAAAGGAGACCACCGAGAAAATATAGGCAGCACTAGTGCTTAAGACGATCAAGAGGTCCATCTCGATAACCCTCGAGAAAACGAGAGCTTTTAGGGCCTTAGGATAGAAAGGCCCCGCTATAACAACTTGAACAATCGTGGCTAACGTGAGTGAAGCCGAGGAGTATGCCACCTCCCTCTCAGGAAGCGGAGCCCATGCCATAACCAGCACAGGAATCGTCAAGACAGCGGAGAGAAGCGTTATATATCCGACATAACGAATATGCTTATTGCCAGCCTCCAGCGAAGGGTCACCGCGTAGAGGAGCAAGTTCAATTGGCGGACCCCAAGTCGTTTCGATAAGGTCTCGAGCCCCCACGATCTTCGGATCAAACGTAACTCGCACGGTCTGCTGATCCACTAGTGCCATTTCAAGAACTCCGTCTGGCCACGTCTGATTAATGAAGTTCGAGAGCTCATTGGGGATGATAAGATCTAGGCTAGATCCCTGGTTCTGGACTCTTTCGCACTTAAATTCAGTCGTTCGCTCCAGATGTTTCATGACTTCCTCCACTGAGCCAAGGCGAAGATCAATGTTGAACTCGGCTCGTGAGAGAACTAAACTGGTTTTCAAGTCTTTGACAGCGGGGACAGTAACAAGAGTTCGTTTGAGCTTTGTCTCGCAACCGGTACAAGTCATGCCAGAAATGCTAAGAACAACATGTTCCTTGCCAATACCCTGATTCTCTATGTCCGTGATAGCCTGAAGCGGGGCTTCCTCAATCTCCAAATCGGGATTGGGCGCAGGCGACGTGCAGCAAGCATTAGTCCAAGAGTCTTGAGGGCCAAAAGGCCCCTTTTCTGCGTAGCAAGAGTTCGCGCATTTGTCCTTCGGAGTCTTCACAATATCGTGCTTCAGTGGCTTACAGCAAGAGCTAGAACATGCGGGATTGGAGGGCTTTTTGATGATCGTATTCTTAGCTGTTCTGCAACAAGATCCTGCACATCCACTAGTTGAAAGTTCAACAACGGACTTGGCCTTCGAACAGCACGAGTCCGCATAAGTGCTCTTAGTGTCGTTGTCTTTGGCATGCCGGTCTCCAGGACGGCAGGATCCGGAGCAGCCGACATTGGGAGAGGGTTCTTTGACACGGCAAATTTGCGAGTAGGAAAAATCAAGGCGTCCAGTTTGGGCGGCAGGTTCCTTTGCGGGCTTACCAAGGGAGTGGCAAGAGTTGTCCTTGACGGACGGAGCCGTGGCGTGTGGGGCCACAGGGCAGCAAGAACAGGAGGGCCTGTTTTGTGTTTGGGCGTCCTTGATAGCCTTGTCGCCCGTGCAGTAAGAGCCGGCACAGTTGCTGTTGGGGGGAGGTTCCTTGATAGGTCTGCCCTCAGAGCAGCAAGGCTTCGAGCACTTGCTTTTGATGGGAGGCCATTCGGCGGGCTTGTCCTTTGAACAAAAAGAGACAACGCAGGCATCCGCGGACGGCTTCTTTACAGGCCTGACGCTTTCACGAGAACCCCTTCGCAGGTGGAGACGGTTCTGCGGGGCCTGGTCCTTGGTGACGGAGCCGTTGCTGCTGCAGAAATCCAGCGAAGTGCGAAGAAGGGAGCAAGCAGATGACTTCTTAGAGCACTGCTTCCCGTCCAGTGAATGGCGCTCACGGATTTCGCAGCAGGTTTCCTGGCCAAGAGCAATGAGAGCGCGGCAGATACATCCCAAGGCTTGTAAAATGGCGCCGTAGCGGTCGAGGGTAGAGAGACTATGCTGGCTGCATGCCTTGCGGTCGGAAGCTCCACCGCAAGCTGAGGGGAGTTAGCAATCTTTGAATGCCATTCTCAAAGGTCGGCGACAGTACTCACCGGTTAGCTGACCATATGGCCCGGGGGCAGCCGCAACACTCATCTCGCATTCCCGCATAGCTAAGCGGTCAAGGCAAGACGTGTCGCAACATGGGCTGACTTTGCCACGGCAGCAGTCAGGCGCGTCGGTATCATTCTTAATTTTGTTGTCCGTGCATTTGCCGGGAGAGCAACAATCATCCAGGTTCTCCTGGGTGGGCTCTGCCTGACCTGGGGCCGTGGTGTGGAGAGGCTTACCGCGGTCCCGATCGCAGCAAGAATCCTGGTAACCGCTCGTCTCGTCAGTGGGAGCCGCGATGGGCGTAGCATCAGGCTCAGGGGCTGGAGCCGATGGGCCGCAACAGGAGTAACCCATTGTTGAAGTGAGCCTTGCTTTGGAACTAATTTGTGCGAGTTTGAGGTGTTGTTGAAGTCGAGGTTTTGGAAACCCGAGTCACCTGTGGGTTTTCGGATAAGTTGCACGCCAGCACTCGTATGGCTCGATTGCCCGCAGCCAATCGCATTCACAATGGAACTTTAGGAAGTGACGACGCCGGCCTCATTTAACTGTTTGTCTTTGGGCCATGGGCCTAATCGGCCACCTGTAAATCTTTTCATGCGCATTGAAAAACTGAGCTTTTTCGGATGCTGCTAAAAATGGTATCGATGGTGCTGCCAGAGTGGGCTCCGCACAAATTATCTCTCTACAGAGATCGTGGGAATGGGTTTCAATTTTGGAGATGTAGCAGTAGATGTGAGCATGGCTTACTCAGGATTTTACCTAAATCTGCAACTAACTACCATTTGATCCCGAAACAATTCAGCAGTGCAGCCACTATTTGCCGGCAGAATAATTAACGCGATACTTCGGGTGGTCTCAGACTTCTTATGGTGCCAACTGACAGTGCTTAGTCCGGAAAATGCCAATGTGGACTGATGTCTTTTGGCGCTAGGCACAGACAATCAGTGGTTGTCGCAGCAGTTTCGGGACACACTGTATCCTGAACATGTATATTAAAAGCAACTCTCCAGTGCTGTGTTCAAATAATGTCATAACATTCAAAGCGCGCAGTCTAATTGATTGGTGATTCATCATGTTCACCCAAATAACGCCGTGACGCCTGACAACTTCCCCGTCCAGTCTAGAGTATTTCATATATAGGAATCGCTGTCTTGACTTGCTCAGCCCACTTTCCGATGTCCTCGACATAGGATGATTTTTTTCCATAGAATAACCAGTCCATTAACGCAGGAAAGTTCCCGGTCGTTTTGACTGGCCGATAGACGTCGGTGTAGGGGCGAGCACTTTCGCGTACGACTCTCTCAACATCATGCTCGGCCTGGATTGTCTCTTTTCAGGGGCTTGGCATTGAATTCATTCCATTCTTTTGGAACAACCTCGGACTTGCTATTTGCTAGCTATATTGACACTTTTTACATCCGTTCGCCAACCTTTGGCTAGGTGATACGATTATCCTCATATTGGACTGGTGGCGGCGCTGTTAACAGATGCGAAGTTTTGCTCCCTGAAATTGATACTTATTCCACCCTCAATTCTCTGCTGCCTAAAGGTGACTTGGATTCGTGGACCTCGAGTGCAATAGAGGTGATCAATGTTAGAGACATCCTATTGTCAGGACCGCCCACTATATCCCGACCGGCTTTCCTCATTTGGACCCTGGCCCACCCTCCTTTCCCCATTTTCCGATATACGCGTACATCATCTTGTTATTTAGATCACGGGGTAGCTTCCCCGCACACTGTTGTCCGGGGAAGTGGAGAAGTACCCTGTGAAGCCCCACCCACTTTTATTGTCTTGATATCGTGGCCGCTTGTCCACCTTCGTGAGGAACCGAGTGGGGGTGGAGGTGGACTTTTTAGCGATCATACGCCCAATTTGAGGCTAATTGGCAGCTGACTCCAGAAACTGAGAATTAACTGCAAATATGTGATATTTATTGCCCCCGAAAAAGAATTAGCATTCTACTCTCAACGCCATCACTAAACCACATTCTGACTTCTGCTTTTCCGTTCCTAACCTTATACTTTGATAACATGTCTTCTACCGAGACCAAGGTTACTCCACCCGATAGCAAGAATTGGCTTCCCCATGGGGGCAGCCATGACTTGGTTACCTTTGAGCCACGCAACTACGGTGACTGGCGTGATGAGTTTCACAAGAATGGTTGCGTGGTTATCAAGAACGTGATCAGCCCTGAGCGGGCCCAATACTATCGCGAGAAGCAGATCCAGTGGCTGAAGAATTTTGAACTTGGCTTTGATGAGAATGATGAAAGTACTTGGACCGAGGCGCATTTGCCTGTCAGTTTCAAGGGAGGGTAAGGATTCTCATATCGAGAGGCTTGGACAATTGCTGATAGGGTTAAAGCATGTACTTTGCGTATGGCTCTCCCCATGAGAAGATGGCCTGGGAGGCACGCACTGAGCCCGCAGTTATCAACATTTTTGAGACACTTTGGGAAACAAAGGAGTTGATCAGCTCATTTGACGGAATGAACATCTCTATGCCGCGACGCAAGGATCTTCGTTGGAGTCCGTGGCCGCACTGTGACCAGAATCAGAGGCGTAAAGGGTGGGAGATCCTTTTGAGCGCTATTGAATAATTGACTACTGACAAAACAATAGAATGCAAGCTGTCCAGGGCCTACTCAACTACGCCCCCAACGGCCCTAAAGACGGAGGCCTTATGTTGATGAAAGGCTCCTCTAAGCTTTTCGATGAATTCTTCGCCCAAAAGCGCGAGTCATACAACCACGAGGACGCACCACCCCCGGAGATGGAATTTATGGACCTTTTCTTGTTCAATGACAAGGATGTCGAGTGGTTCAAGGAACGTGGCTGTGAGCTAATCAAGGTGAATATGGAACCTGGCGATTTCGTCCTATGGGACTCTCGCACCATGCACTACGCCTGTCTACCCGAGGGCGATCAAATTCGCCACGTCCAGTATATCTGCATGACACCTAAGCGCTTTGCGTCGCCTGAGGCGTTGGAGCTAAAGAAGCAATGCTTTGAGAACTACATTGGAACTACCCACTGGCCCCACTGGTACGTAATCTATCGATGAAGCGTTTTCACTGGACTTTTACTAACCCCGAGTTAGCAATATTCGGCCGACCAAGGAGAAGCCTATGCGTGGTGATGTTGTTTGCCCAAAGGATCGCAGTGAGCCATTCGAGAAGCCCGAGTTGACGGATACGGTCTTGAAATTGGCTGGTGTGAAGGCGTACTGAGTGTGGAGCACTGGAAATGTTTAGAATACAGCTCGCAACAAATTGAATCCCGGTTCCTATGTTCTAAATATTTTTACTTGCAGTAGCAATTTCCTCAAAGAATGTCACTCATAGGAGGGCTAAATAGGACTACGTCGCTCACAAGTATGCATCGTCTCTTGAGCGAAAAATGGCCCTCGACCTGTCGAGGACAGATAATGCTTGGTTCATTTTGGCGAAATGAAAATCAAGCCCAGGCCGTTCGATCACTCCCAGCCGCTTTTCCCGCCCGAGAGAATGTTGATCCAAAAGCCATCTCCCACTCCCCCGCTCGGAAGTCCACTTAAGAAACATTGGCCAACCCCCACATCCCCCCTCGTGGATACAGTCCGGGGAGCCGGGGTAACTCCGTGGTCAAAAAACTGGAGGATCGGCTAGAGCTAGTCTTACTTTTAGTGAAGCATGACTGGCTGATGCTATCACGGCAAGAGCGCAATTACCTCTTTCTACTTGCCGTTGGGGCGTTGTGGCTGAATCTCATGGCTCGGCGGGAGTGGGAAGCTACGGCAGAGCCGAAGAGGGCTTGGGCCTTATCCTGGGGAGAACAAGGATTCCGTCGCCTATTAAATCAACAGGATTCCTTTGAGAGGCGTCTCTGAGGGGCATCCTACAACCTTAAATGGTACTGCGCTGCTCCTGATTAAGGTGCTATAGCAATTGACTTTTTCATCTGTGTTCTGATCAAGCTGGTCTTGTCAACACGAGCAAAATGAAGGACGCTGAGAAGGCTTCCGAGGAGCAGATTGAGGTCATGTATGATGATAAATTGAAACAGAATGGCCTTGATGCTGCGAACAAGGTGATGGGAACGGTCAAGTTGACCGAGGGTTCCATTGTCTATATTCCCACTCCTACTGCGGATCCACAGGGTACATGGCAGTCTACACCAAGACTCTTGTTCAATGCTAAGCGATGAAACAGATCCCATGAACATGCCAATGTGGCAGAAGACAGTCGTTCTCGTCGTTATCTCTACATGTACGTGCTCGAACTTATTATGCCTTATCCAGATATGACCTGAATTGACTCGTCACTTTAGTCTCCACTCTCAGCATTTCTCTTGTGTCTGGATTTGGCGGCGTGATCACTTTCTATGTCCCCGAATACAGTGCAGCCGGCTACGACTATGCGGCTATCTCCCAGTTGATGACATACCCAACGCTTTTCATGTAAGTGCCTCATTCTCTAGGCCTTTGATAAATGAATAGCTGAAGGCTGACTTTTCTTTCATTAGGGGTATTGGCAACCTTATTGGCATGCCTATGGCAATCGCCGTCGGCCGTCGAATCGTTCTTTTGATGTTCACCCTTATCCTTATACTCGCCGCCGTCTTATGTGTCAAGGCGGAAAACTATGAATGGCATCTCGGTGCTCGAATGGTGCTAGGACTTTGCGCAGGGCAAAGTGAGGCACTGGTGCCCATGATTACCCAGGTATGATTGAGCAGAACAAAATATTGATGCGCGAGAATGGAATTAACAGATGCACTCAACAGGAAATCTTCTTCCTACACGAGAGAGGCAAATATCTCATGCTTCAACAAGCCATTCAAGTTGTTTTAACTACTATCTGGACCCTCTTTGCCAGTCCAATTGCTGGAGCTATTACACCCCAAGGCTGGTATGGTCTTGGCGCAGGTCTAGCTGGACTCCAGTTCCTGGTGGCTGTGGTGCTTCTCCCAGAAACGAAATATGATCGTGGTTTGAATGCGTACCAAGAGACGGTCTCGGATGATAACTCGGCGACACAAATGGATCTTGAAGCTGATGGAATCACCAAACCCGCTGTCATGGTTTGCAAGGAGAGGCCGCCACTTGACTTTGTCAAGTACGCACCAAGGACCTGGAAATCGGATATGCGACTCTGGGTTGGAAAGCCTGAATGGTACAAGGCTATTGATGTTCTGAAGGTATGAATAACTAATTCTCATTCCCTAGTTAAACGTCTAACACATACATTTTAGCAAACATTTCAACTCCTGCTCTTCCCCAACGTTTTTTGGGCCTTGTGTATCAATGGCCTCACTATCGGTGTCAACATTGCCATTGGTACAACCTACGGCACGATCCTGACCAGCGCTCCTTACCACTGGCCAGACTCGAGCACAAGTTACGTGAACTGCGGACAGATTTTAGTCGCCCTGATTGCCCTCCCACTACTCGGAACAGGCTCTGATGCACTCATCAAGTGGTTTGCCAAGCGTAATGGAGGTATGCATGAGCCGGAAATCAGACTCCTGCCTCTGATATTCCCCGTCATCGTTGGTGTTTTTACCGCTGTCCTTTACGGCCAGGGTGCTGCCCATCCGCAGCATTACCACTGGATGGTGTATGTATGGGCAGTAGCAGCCTACTACTTCTGCTTCGTGGGCGCAAATATAGTTGCGATCACGTACTTACTGGACAGTTATCCCGCACGGGCTGGTCCCCTGCTCGTTATTATCTGTGCGTTCCGAGGATTTATCTCGTTCGGAACGAGTTATGGCACTACCTTCTTTGTGGATAACAGTGGCTATGACGGTGCATTTGGTACCTTTGGTGCTTTGACTGGTGTACTTGGTTTACTGGGAATACCGATTTATTTCTGGGGCAAAAATATCCGAAAGTTTACTGGAAGATTTGCTAAGAGCAAGGCGGACTAGGGACCGGATGTTCATGTTAATATTCTGACGTGGCTGTAGCAATTGATTCTCGCTGGGGATATGGGATGAATCTAATAAGCCAATTCCAACACCGCTCAAATGCAAACGCTTTCTTTGGATGCAAATCATCGTAATAGTCTCGCGCCGAGCAACCAGGCGTAAATGCAGGTAGTCGGCCCATATACCATTTAACCTTCCAGAAGATCCATTCCAACACCACGAAGAGCACCGACAGCCCACTCGGGATACTTTGTCTTGTCTCCGGCATATATATTAGAGAAGAATTGGCGAAGGAAAGCCGGGTACCGGTCTTCAATAATGGCCTGCCGTATATGTCCCATCAATTTCAGCATGTAATGCACATTGTGCTGAGTGAGCCTATATTTTAGGATTAGAATCGCAATGATAGGATATATGGAAAAGTTGTGAGCTTACAGATGAGCGCCGACGGTCTCCTTTGCGGTGACATGGTGTATATATGCCTTTGTGACGCCGAGGCCACCTTTATCAGTTGGGCGACAGCAAACGCAGTCACAGCCTTCATCGATAGGCGAGAAGTCGTTTGCGTATTTTTGGTGTCGAAGGTTTAGGGTGCCTGCATCGACGATGGCATTACCGAAACGCTATCTGATGTCAATATGGATCTCGAGGTTCGTTGATTGTAGAGACTCACCGCCGTACGTGTGGGCCACACGCAGTCGAACATGTCTGCACCAAGAGCGACTGCTACAACGATATCCTCGGGGTATCCCTGAAGGGGTTAGAAAAAGTAGTTGAAACCATTCGATGAGAAGTACATACCACTCCCATCACATATCGGGGTTTATTCTCAGGTAGTAGCCCTGTGCATGTATCGACCCTTCGAAAGATTAGTAGAGGAAACGGCGAAGATGAATCGGTCCACTTACACCTTGCAGAACTCCTCTTTAGCTTCACCCCCAGACAACCCTCCAATCGCAATTCCAGGAGTATCTCGAGCCACCATTTCCTCACAGCATTGCTTGCGAAGCTCCAGGTCAAGACCACCTTGAATAATGCAAAACAAGTTCTGCCTCTCAGGGTATTTATGCGCCTCAATGCATCGATCTAACCAACGCACTGAACGATCCATGGCTTCCTTGATTCGGGCATGATCTGGGGAAGTAGTCGCGATCACATCGTCTAGTTGCATGATAATATCTGAGCCGATCGAGTTTTGGAGGGAAATAGAGTGTTCAGGAGTAAGCAGCCTGAAGAATTGTTAGCGCTTCAATTTCACCATGCCGCGAGGAACCATAAAAGCAATGGTTGGGGGGGGGGGTCATACATAGGGGATCCATCATGAGGACTAAGGAAGCGCACGCCTTCCTCGGTGACCGTAGCAAGCTTAAGAAGCGAGACCATCTGGAAACTAAAAGTCCCGAAATTACGGTGTCAGCTACGCCAATTTCTTCATGAATGATGCGCCGCTTCTTACCCGCCACTATCGGTCAAAAGATTACGATCCCATCCTTGGAACTTATGCGCGCCACCCACAGCGTCCAGCACCTCTTGACCCGGTTTCAAGCCAAGATGATATGTATTGTTCAAGCAGAGCATACACCCCGTTTCGCGCAACTGGTCATATGTCAAGCCTTTGAGGGACGCTTGCGTTGCGACAGGCATAAAAATCGGCAGAGGGACGGAGCCGTGGGGAAGATGGAGGGTACTCGCGCGGGCTTTCGTAGTCTAAGCAAAGCATGCATGATCTGCGTCAGTCATAGTTCTTTTGCGACCTAAATGTCTTTAGCGAAGACTTACCGAACATTTCGCGTGACGATCAAAAGTCAATGCAGAAGGCATGGCCTTTCGGACAGGCTCAGTGGCGGTTGACATGGCTGCGGTAGATACAAGGAATGTCTTGGGTATCAATCTAGGTCGGAGTCGGGCCAGCGCAGCAGAGCATTGCATGGAGAGCGAGCGTGGGGTGTGGTGGTGGCAGCATTTGCGATGCGCTCAGGCACAATCTAACTGATAAGGTGTTTGTTTGGTTTGCATCCGCTGCCATCGTGGGCGACACAGTTCACGAGTTGCCTTTGACATTATACCCTTTTTTCTATTAGAAAATACATAACCTAGAGTGGCTTTAGTCTGAAACAAATGAATCTAGTCTTTTTGAAAATATGTAATTTTAAGACATTTAGCAATCAAAGGCTCTCTCCATACGTAGCGAAAAGCTTCGTGAAAGAACATTTTTCATACTCCAAAGGTTCGAGTTGAACAACACTAATCACCTTTACATACTAGTTGGTCGCAATAGATTTAGATTATTGGGCTGCTTGGTATTATCACTTTAATGTGAATTTGAGCAGGAAAGCTTCCCGGTGGAAAGAAGCTTAGTACAGAGGAAAGCTAATCGAAGCCACTCCCGCAGGTGCAATGTATGGAATGCGGTCAATTCGAAGGATAATATGCTATACTTGACATATCTTTCCATAGGAAGTAATAATCTTGTAACATTGTACAAGCTCACTGAATAGGCTACGCTCGCATAAATAATCCAATTCTACATAGGTTCCTCCCAGCCCCGCGTATCCAGTCCCAAGACGGCTGGGATCTACAATGGCGTTGAACGCCCAGCTGAGCGTGAACTCCTTATCTACTCGAAGGTTCAAAATTACCTATAGATTTACAACCTCAATCCATCAATTTTTGCCTCCCTCGGCTCCATATTGAACATGACTCATCTTAATATACCAATCCAAACACCCCATTGCGGGAAAACCCGCCCGTGGGGGTTCGGCCCTCGGAGAATGACCGACCTGGCCAGTGCGGAAGGGCCAAAATGCGGGGGCGCATTTCCTGTCCCCGGGCAAGGTGCAGCTAGCTCGATGCCGAGAGAGAGAAAAAAGAAAAGCAAAAAAGGGGGGCACTAGTGCCTGTCACGGCGCAAATCCTTCTCTCTTAGCACCCAAGTCAGAAAATTGTACTTTGCCATACGCTCTCGGATCGAGAGCTCCCCTGCACCATGGCCGAAAAGGTGGCTACTCGAGATGTCGAGAACGCGGTAGACGTATGTGACTCTCCCACGATCGGCGAGGTTCGTTGTGTGGAAGGGGACTGAAATCTAACGAGGGCAGTACTCCGAGTCCGATGTTGTTGACCCAGCTCGCGAGGCGCGCGAGAAGGCTTTGGTTTGGAAGCAGGATCGCAGGATTGTGCCTCTTTGTGCGGCTATATATCTTTTGTGTTATTTGGATCGGTCTAATATTGGTGAGTTTGGCTGAGGTCAAGAGGCTGGGCGGGTCTTTAAACTGATATCGTGCAGGAAATGCCAAGATCCTCAATCAGAATACCCATAATGATCTTCTTTCGGAGACGAATATGACTTCATATCAGTATACGTGAGTCCTACGTCTGTGTTCTACGAGCAAAGTCATTGGATTCTGGACTGACGAGCTAACCAATTTCAAGGATTGCATTGATGGTATTCTTGATTGCGTACGCACTGTTCGAAGTTCCATCAAATTACTTCTTGAAGAAACTCCGCCCAAGTGTAGGTCTCTCGCAATCAAAAAAGCACAAAATCAAGGCTAACCATATCCACAGCGATGGATAGCTTTTCTCATGCTTTCCTGGGGCGCCACGACAATGGGTCTCGGTGGCGTGCACAACTATGCCCAAGTCACAGGACTGCGCTTCCTGCTCGGTGTCATGGAAGCCGGCCTTTTCCCAGGGTTCGTCTACTATCTGACATTCTGGTACCGAAACTCCGAGCGATCCATGAGAGTAGCCTTGATCCTAGCATCTGCAACTCTGGCCGGTGCTTTTGGCGGTGCAATTGCATTTGGCGTTGGCCATATGAACGGTGCACAGGGACTTTCCGCATGGCGATGGCTGTTCATTATCGAGGGTGCACCGTCTTGCGCTTCGGCTGTTCTGGTTTGGTTCTTCTTACCAGACTACCCAGAGACTGCAAATTGGCTATCTGCCGAAGAGAAAGAATTGGCGGCAGATCGGTTGAGATTGGAAGGATCGAAGGGCTCGGCGAGTGCTATGTCTTGGGCGGATGCGAAAGCAGTGTTGACCGATTGGCGGCTGTATGCCCACTACGCTGTATGTTATCGCGCTCTCGCATGGTAGGCATTAACTTGGCTAACTTTTTTGCAGGTTTACTTTGGTATCTCTACGCCTTTCTCAAGCCTTTCTCTCTTCACACCGGCAATCACAGCTGGCCTGGGTTATTCGAACCTGCGTGCCCAGCTCATGACTGTGCCTCCGTATGCCGTTGCATATGTCGTGACAGTTACTGTAGCATGGTCTGCCGACCACTTTAACAGGTTAGTCAACCCTATCAAAGTAACTATTGGTAGCTATTCCCTGGTTTAACCTATTCTAGTCGTGGCCTCCACTCCGCTATCTTCTCATTCATCGGAGCAATGGGCTTCCTAGCCTCCGCCGTCCTCCCCGCCGATGCATACCTAGTAAGCAAGCCCTATCAACCATCCATATCCTCAAATCCTAAACTAACATTTCCAACTTCAGCACCGTTACGGCTGCCTCATAGTCGCCGCCAGCGGCGCATTCGCCTGTATTCCCCCTCTCCTGGGCTGGCTCTCCTCGAACCTCCGCTCCACAGCCGGCGCCGGTCTTGCCATCGCCCTGAACGTATCCTTCGGTGCCCCTGGCCAAATCGTCGGCGTCTGGATCTATAAAAGCAACGAGGCGAAAAAGGGGTATCCAACGGGTCATTGGACAAATGCAGCACTATTGCTATTCGTCGCAGTTGGATGTGTACTACTGAGGTTGTATTATGGGTGGAGAAATAATCGGGGCTTCGGTGATGGAACGGGTAAGAAGTTTGCATATTAGATACCTCGATTTAGATGGGTAGGATGGTGGGGGTTGACTCGATTTGGAAAAATTGGGGGTTTCGGGTATGATGTATGAGGCGCTCAGCCCTGCAGGGGATATGCCGTTGCCCGCTGTGGAATGGATGATATTAAGGGTCATGACTGATTTTCGTTAGTGTGATGATAAGTCGAATGATAATGACAAATGTAGAGAATTTATAATGTGGTATGACAATAATGCGTCAGTACGGGTATATAATGTGAAGAGTTACCACGCTGTAGAACGACCCGCTTCCTTCGTCTCATCATAGACTCTCAGGTGATCCATCTCAACTGCGAGGTCGAATTCTAACCGAAGACGATACCCATAGCACACATTCCACTCCTCATGCTAGAACAAAAAGTATTATCCATAAATTTCCCTCCTTGGATTTTCCTCAGCATCCACCCCCACCCCCTCCACTTGCCCCAGCAGCGACAGCAGCCACAGCGACCCGACGGGATCTTCGTGCCGCTTTCTTCCTATCATGTTCAAGACCCTGAGCATATGATTTCTGATACTTGTCATAATCTCGAATATATCGATTATAGTCTTTGCCGTAGTCAATGCGTCGAGGGGGTGGGTATTTTTCTTTCGACGAGGAGCCGAAACACATGTTGATAAGATGTTTTGAGGGTTTAACTTGATTGGTTGGTATTTGATTGAGGACTTTTTGAGCATAGATGAACATTCAAGTCAATCAAGACAAAAGAGTAACCTTATATTTACAGAAAATAGCATATCATTCATGTGTAGGCATCAATCTTTTATTTTTGGTGAAGAGCGCCCGTTATAAGGCGTTCCACCAAGCCCCAGATTACATAGCCACCGCCCAGCACGATCGGGTTTCGTCATTGTCATTAGGTTCAGTCGGAACCAGTAATATCATCTGAACTCTGGAGCAGCTCATTACCATATTTAGTAATTAGACGGGCGATCAGCTACTGGAATGGATCTAAATTTGGCGACAGGGTTCAAGGCAGCCGAGTTGAATTTGATGGTCGAGATAGAGCAGTTGCGATATGATTATACCTTCTTAGTTAGTTAGTATACGCTGACATAAATGCCTACTATGGCTAGAAGCTGCATTTAATATGAATCACTTAGAATAGTACGTTTTGAACATAGGCTTAAAACCGGTATTATTCGTGGAAAGCGTGCATAGAATAATGTGGCGCGTACAAAGGTACAGAGTAACGGCTACATCAACGCAAACTTGTTGATGGGTACGAGGTAGACTTAGAATCGATTCTAAATAGACGATGGAATGCTCGTTTAGATGTTAGATTGGAATATTTCAATTTGAGCCAACTGGAGCCAAGAGAGCGTTCGTTGTGGACATGGGAGCTTCAATGCTACAGCGACACTGCGGATTTGATGCAATTGCTTTCTTGGTCTCCTAAGCAGTACGAATACCCGTAACTAAACCGTCTTTACGACTGGCAAATACGCCTTTGGCCTATTCAAAATCTTTATGATAGAATAACGCTTGTTAGATATCCAACAAAGTGCAACTTCCTACACAATGGCAAATTCCTGCCATTCCCCATCCACGCCCGCTTTGCTACAAGCAAATTCGCCCTCCATTATGCCGTGTATGTCTAAGAGTGGTAGTTAGTACTATTAATTGCAGGCAGATTGTTGTATGAAACGCACAGGAATCTGAAATGAAGTGGTAAAGACCATCCCTCCTCTGTCTAAGGATATACGGAAGGCTACCCCCCTTGAGGATACACACGCAGTCCCCTTCTCTGACAGCGTACCCACCGAAGCCAAGATAGCCCGAATCTAGCGATATGAGTTGGAATCTTTCCTCAACAATCGCTTCTTCTTCTTCTTCTTCTTCTTCTTCTTCTTCTTCTTCTTCTTCTTCTTCTTCTTCTGTGCGGTTAAGCCTGTGGGGCTTAAGGATGACCTTGATTCCATCCCAACTGGAGGGCTCGGGAGACCCGTAATGGTATATTCCTGCGTCGTCTTCGGGAAGCTCCTGAAGCCTAGGACCCAAGAAGTCCATAATCCGAAAATTATCTTCGGGAGTTTCAGACGGAGGATAAAGTACTCTTTTTTTAGATTGCCCGGAGTATGTTGCCCGGTCCATGATCTCACATGTCCGGATCCAAGCCTGTGCCCAAGAGTCCCCCGAAACGTACTGTTCTTTACCTCCTGGGGATATGAGATGTATTTGACCCCAGTCACAGTCAGCATTTTGCAGTTGGCCACCCACGTCATCAGAGTCGGGGGCTTTTTTTACTCGGAACACTTCTTTGATTCTTCCGACCTGCACACCAGCAGCGTGAAGTATTTTGAAGGCATCCGAGAACTTGAATTGCCCAGTGAGACCGCCGCATGCATTGAAAGCAAGTTCTGGAGATATCGTGATATCTCCAAGATCATATGTCAAAGCTCCTAGACCCCATTGAGCAAGGCGCCAATCAGGAACCCAACTAGGCCAATAGTACGGGGGCTCAATTGGGACATCCGAGTCGAATTTCCTTGATTCATGGCGTCTGCGGGAGAAAAATGTATGGGACAGCAATTTTAGGTCCCTGTAATAGGTAATGATTGCGACAGCAGTGTCGTGATAGACCTCTCTTGTCTCTTTCTCATAACTAAGGTGAAGGCTAGGTGCGTTTCGTCGAGCGAGCATGCTGGCAAAGTAAATGATATCACGTGGGTCATCATATTCGCGAGACTGAAAGGGATATTTCAGGCAATACAGCAAATAGTCCTTCGCCCCAGATATTGCAAGTGACGACTGATTGTCAAACCCGTGACATTCAAACTTCTGCAGCATAGAAATATCTTGCACATTCCGAATGAGAGGCAAAAGGAGTTGGGATGCAGTAGTTTCTCGAATCTCGTAGTCTGCGGGAGCCAGAGAGATGTACGCATCAAGCACTTTGATCGCTTTGTCAAACACCTCCCATTCAATCATGGATGTCCCAGAGTGGAGCTGCACGGATGTTGCTATGACGAATGACGGTATCATCCAGACCTTCTTCCACCATTTTGGTTTGAGAAAGCCTTTCAGGCTCTCTGTCACCCCGTCGATTTCGAGTAGAGTCTTGATGATTTCAACATGCTGCCTGGGCAACTCTGTAGCCACCGAAGAAATATATATGCGACTGAGAGCCTTGAGTATGCGAATAATGTCGCCCTTTATCTCTCCAAGCCACACGAATACATGGTCAGCTGCGCCGTAAATCCAAGGTAACAAGCTTGTCTGAGAAGCTCGTTCTTCGAGATCTAGCTGGTCAACGCTTAGCCAGTCTACCCAAACATAGCTATTCTTGGAGATGCATCGTAATTTCTTCAGAGCGGACTCTAGCTCGTTGGATATTGTGAAATTTTGCCCTTCAACTCTGATCGCTCCCAGTGTGCCTCTGGTTTCCCAGTCATGTGAAACAGCGATGAATTTGGGCGCACCCTCAATGGCTGTGGTGATAATCTCCGCCTGCAACGGAGAGTCGAAACTCTGGCAGTTTTCCAATAGAAGCAATCGTATCTGATGTCTCTCTTTTTTGATAGAGCTGCAATCAAGAATGCTGTAAAAGCTGTCGGGATGATTGAGCCTCCGAAGCGAGAAGCAGTTGCCAGGGGTCAGAGTATGCATAAAAATTGTTGCCCGATCACGAATCCTGGAATCCAGAGGCAATGCACGACTCAGTTCATCATTGTCTGCTTGATTGACGCAGATGAAGTGCAGGAAGAAGTAGAATTTAGCAACTCCTTCACTTGAAACATGTACATTTGTTTCATTTGCCAGGCGCCTGATAGCAGACATTACGGGCACAGGTATTGGTGTCTTCCTGCCATTCAGGTGAACAATCTCACATTTGGGTTCTCCGTCTAGGAAATGAGAAGTAAAATCATCGATATAGCTGAAATGAGGCAATTCTTCAGATTCCAAATCGGCGTGGAAAAACCTCCAATTTGTTGGCTCGTCAAATTCTCCAGGAATTTCAGCCTCGATGAGCCGAATCTCGGTGGAGTTCTCGGACATGTCAAGTTCATCGTAGTGCAGAAATGCGTACGCTTGAATATGAAGTTTGAGCAAGCTTTTTGGATTGAGATGTTTGATGTGCAGGAGCTCTAATCGTTTGTTATTTGGATGAGCCTCCAGGGAATCGATATCCTCTTCGGGATCCAACCATTGCACAGCCCACATGGGATACGAGTTTTTGTACTTGAGAGTATCCGACATATCAGTGTTCCATATACATTCATCTCTCAGATATGAACGCAATAGTGAGGTGTACACATATTGTACTTTGTGGAATCGCAATACTCTGAAGGCGGACACTGCATGAGGGAGGAGAGTGGGATCTGGCCTTCCCGCAATGAAAAGCTGCATCGAGTTGTCTAGAGCAGGACTGAGCGCCAGAGGGTCAACTTTCGGAGTAGGAAGACCGTCCAAAGTGTCTTCCTCTTCAGAAGAGTCCTCTGTGGTCCCCATACTGATTTCCTCAGAATCGTCCTGTATCGTGAAACATTCATCTTTCGGCGGAGCGGAAAGCATACACATGACTGGTAACTCTTCACGTTTGAAGAAGACGATATTTGCATCAATTTTATCCCAGACTTCCTGCGATGACCGAATGAAAAAAAGTGGAATATCGTATCTTTTAAGATCCTGAACCGAGTCCTTGATTGGGCCCGGTACCACCTTTAAGTAACCCTGTCTGCCAGTGCCCTGCCATTGCGCAGCATACTCGCATTTACCCGCCAGTAGCTGGATGTCTTCAGCAGAGAGTTCCTTGGACCCTCCGGAAACTCTCGCTGCAGGCCATATCAAGTACCTCGGTTCATCTAGATATCGCAGCTGCTTGAATGTCAAATTGATGACGCGAAAATGACTCTGGCTATGCTCATCAGATTCGAAGACTTCCTCATCGGACTCTGAGCCTTCTTCGTCAACCGAACCGGGTTGATCCCTAGAGCAGATAGGACATTGCCAATCAAGTATAAGTGTGAACAAAGGCAGTGAATCGGAGGTTCTTAAGATTGTTGTCGGTTCACTCGTTCCTCCAGGGTCCCGATCTAGAATTGGAGGTATAACAATCAATGAATAGAGGATGAAATCAGATTGGGCCATCTTTCAAATGGCGTTGCGTTATTGTCAGTTGCGGCGATTTGTGTTGGGCCAGGGTTACTGGGAAACAACGATGAGGGGCATTGGGTGTTTACGGTCAAATTGAGAGTTCTCCCCCACTAGTACTGCAAAAAGTGGCTGACTATACCTGATATGGTAAAGGTGGATGTGTTTTCAAATCTACCCCTCTTCTCCGGAGCTACCAGTATCCCGCCTACTTTGTTTTCCACTTGGGTATTCCACATGGAAGGTGCTGTATCGAATCGGGAATCTTAATCGGAGTTGCTCCCTTTTATGAGATTGACTGCAATTTGTCGATCTCCAAGCTGTAAACGCTCAATAAGATATTTTCTTTTACCACAAACGTGACAGCTTGGTCTTGTTCTTGCCTTTCACAGTGATGAAACAACCCAAGGAACTCGAAGATGGCACTGCTCATGCGAAAACCGTTCAGGTTGCGCAGGATAACACTGAAGATATTTACACTGTTCTCCCTCCGCATCACATCAGAGTCTTAGACTTGCTTCCAGGCTCAGAACTTGATCTGATTGAAGTTCAACTCTCCGTTGTCCAAGCCGCAGCCCCTGGAGCCTACAAAGCACTTTCCTATGTCTGTGGAAGTACAACAGAGGACCTTTACCTGATACTCTGCAATGGTTCTGAGTTTATGATCACGTCAAACCTCTATGCTGCATTGATTCGTTTCCGCCATCCAACAGAGACCCAGCGATTATGGGTTGACGCAATATGCATTCACCAAGGATCCATCAGTGAACGAAGTCAGCAGGTACGGATGATGAGCCAGATTTACCACAGGGCTGAAGAGGTTTTGCTGTGGCTTGGGAACGACGACCCAGACATTAATGTCAAGCGAGCATTCGAGTTAGTCCATACAAGAGAAGACTATGTGATTCAATGCACTAGTCTTGATCGGCCACCAGGATCTACTGTTGTGCTACTGCATATTCCGGATCCTGATCTTTTTGATATCATCGCGGAGGTACAGCAGCGCTTCGGACCACCGACCTTCCCCAGCGACCACCATCTATCCCTTCCACAAGTGATAGAGGGTCTTCTGAGTCAATCGTGGATAGACTATCCCGAATCTCCGCTCCTCATGCATATAGGGTGCAGGCATATTGAGGAAATTGATACCTCAAACGTTCAAGTTCCAATACTAGGACTGGCCCCTGACTGGGATATTGATCACGTCCGACGTGTAGCCAGCGAAAGCTTTGCCACTTTTGTTGATTTCTTAAAAGAGGCAACAAAACCAGCAGAGTTGAGACTATCGGACAAGGAAGCCGCAGAGGTATTTTCCGCGGTGGACTATTTGCTGGGAAAACCATACTTCCAGCGCGCTTGGATCGTGCAGGAGATAATTCTTGCTCGGAAGGCTACGCTTGTTTGCGGAAAACATGAGGCGGATTTCCAGGGCTTCAAGGATGTGTTTGGCTTCGATCAACATCAATCTGAATACATGCAGAATTTTTCGCTGGATGATTTCAAATACTTTGACGTGCAGGGGAACTGGCAGAAATTAGAAGCAACGATCCCTTTAATGACCCATCCCCAGGGACAAGTCTTCCCACTATCTTATCTGGCTGAACCACATCACGTCTTTAATCAAATGGCCTATCTTCGATACAAAGCCCAAGAGGAAAAGCTTGGGCTTTTCGATATTGGAGCTTTACTGGAAGACTTCCCCCAGCAAAAGTCGACAGACCCGCGGGACCTGATATTCAGTCTCGTAGGGATCTTGCAAAAGTTCTCAAAGCGGCCTAATGTGCTAGAATGGGCCGAAAGCTGCGTGGATTACAGTCTTGATGTGCGAGAGGTTTACCTGAGAACTGCTAAGCACCTCGTGGAACTTGCACATGACCTCCGCCTGAACGGATATACATATGCGGAACAGCCAAGAGATGGCGGGTCTTTGTCGGTCAGCCATCACATCCTCGATTTTTTCGCAAAAACAACGGAACCACTGTCGGAACAGTTTAATCTACCTACATGGGTCCCTAACTGGTCAGCAAGCACAGAAACTACTGTATTTGACACAAGAAGAATCCGGGAGACTGAGGGTCTGATCCCGTTCGATGGAAAAGTACAAGGAGATTCACTTTTGATATCTGGCTGCATTGTGGATGAAGTTACGTTTTGCTCGGAAATCCTCCCCTCCGAGATATCCAAAAGACACAACGGGCATATGTTTCAGGAGGTAGATCTGTGCGACATGTTAGTCGAGAAAGAACACGAAAAGAGGACGCGCAGCGTCTATGGTGGATTTGATGCCCAGTTTGAGGGTTTTTGGCGGACTATCATTGCCGACAATCCGATTGGCATCAAGCCATTCAGTGACCACACCTACCATTTTAAGGAACACGACGAAGTGAACGAATGGTTAGCTCAGTGCCAAGTCAATTATAGGCGAGTTCGCCAGACATGGGGAAATGAGCTGAAGTATCGTCCAATGCTTGGCCCGGCCCTCGCCCGTGTCCAGTGTGACTACACGCGGCCCAGAAACGTGCCACCTGCACCAGTTGACGATGACAAGATACAAAATATTCTTGGCAGTATAGATAAGATTCGATTGTTGGAGCTCCTAGAGCAAGATGAGCCACAGTGGAGGTCCCAAGAGGCGCGGTGTGAATTGAGCACGCACGTTCTTATCAAAACAAAGCAGGGCTACTTTGGATTAGCACCTCCTAGTATCCAGCGTGGGGATATTGTTGCTCATTTAGCTGCCTGTGTCAATCCATGGTACCTTCGTCGCCAGGGACAGCATTATACCCTCGTTGGCAAAGGCTGGGTACATGGGTTGATGTATAAAGCAGACGCTTTCTATCGGTCCGAGGCTTTTCGAGATAACTGCGGACGAATTGAGTTACGATAGTCACAATAATAGACTTGGTGGACGATTTTAGGTCCCTTCCAACGGTGAATCGATCCAGTGAGACCCTCTGTATTATCACTACACTGTGGTAGCCACGAAACATCTACGTGGGGCCAGTGTACCAAGATTCGTGTGTTTCAAGCCCAAGTATGCAGATCCACTCACGAAACCACGCATCCGGGCCAACTTTCTTAAATCAGAAGAGCTCAGACTCATAGAATATCTCAAAACCTAACGGACTTTCCCCCCAAGCATATTGGCCAGTGCCTTAGCCTAAGCAGAGTAAGTAAGGAGTGATCAATACGTATCGGCTACAATACATACGTAGTTATACCTATATACTGGCGCCATGGTGCCTGGGATAATTCAACGGCTTCCTGGGATTAGCCAAGCTACTGGCCATGCTAGTGGCCAAGTAGGTACTTTCTTATCCTAGCGGCCACCCAGCCAGCTACACACTTCGAAATTGGAAAGATACGGGAAAATCTTGCATTTAAGGGTCAATGAGCATCGATGCGGGTGACGCTCTGAGGTGCGGGTGGAGGGACCATATTGGTACGATAGGATTGGAGCACTTGACAATAGATGAAGATAGTAAATTGGAAATGGGCGAGGAAGCCTACCTAAGCTATCAAACAGGGTCACCTAACTGCGTGGAACCTTCCATCAACAGACCAGACCTTGGAACCTGGGGTGGGTGAGTGGCAGGTCTAGTCTAGCATCTAACAGATGGACCTTTCCTAATTGTGCAATTGACGGCTACAACCGGATAATACAAATAACAGAACATGAAGATATCCCTGACTACCTCCCCTGAGTACCCCGAGTGAACGAACGGTGAGCAGATCCCTGGGCAACTCCAAGTCATCATGAGTGCTCAGGGAGCATACGGAAATGGTGGGCAGACACAGATTACGTGGGAGCTTGATAACTTAGATTATAGTAAAAGTGACGCTTAAAGTGGCGTCAAGAGTAGCCGTTTTCTGCGTGTCGAATTTACCCTCATCTAGCGTTGTGGTGTAAAAGGCGATTCAATTCTCTGAAGAAACGTCCTGTCGATATTTTTGTAGTCCAACACAAGGAAAACTTCCAGCCAATCTGATAAGACTCAATCATCACAAGTCCAATTACCCATGAAAAAGAAAAGGGGAAAAAAGAAAAACAAAAGAAATACACAGGGCTGAAGAACCCAGTCCGGTCCCATCCAATCCAATTCCAGTCCAGCCCAGCTCCAATTTCCCCAGCCGGCACACATGCAGTGAGGTCCATACAAAGTCAAAAAGCAAAACTCCCATATCAAACCTCATCCCTAATCCTGTGAAAACAATCATCCTGAAAAATCCAAGATCGAACAGATCTAAGCTGATTAATCCAGAAAAAAAAGCGAAGGGAAAAAGAATCCACCTTTCCAACTTGCCCGGTCTGTTTCCTGTTGTCTCCTTGCGCGGAATCGGATTCACTGCTCCTCAAATGTTATTAGTATCCTCGCCAATCCTTCTCCCTCCCCTTGTAGCCGTATCGTCACAGCCTGGTCACTTGAAATTCAGCCAACTTCCCGTCCCACAGGTAACACAGGGATCCGAGATTAAGAGTCTTCAGAGCAAGGCAATCATAATGCACGATGCCGCAGCAAGTCGGACTGGCTCTTTCGAACACGGGTGTAGCAGTACTGCAGAATACCACCTCCGGGCGTAGGCACAACCGAAAAGGTGCCATTTTGGAGCGCACGACAAGGTTGACCCGGCACCCGCAACAGAGTTTTCCGTATCCGCGGTTCGAGGCGGGTATCTCGACGGCAGAGCCCCACAAACACACTCCACTAATTCATTTTGGCAGGGGGGAGTTCCAAAGACAGGGATCTCGATATATTGAAAGAACCATTGTGGTAATAGTGACCGGGATGTCTTCGTAAAAAATTCCAGTCGTCAGGAGCCGAAAATTGGTGGTATCAGGCGTGAATGCATATCGAGGGGCCCCGACCACATGGAGTGTGCCCAAAACCCACCAAAATTCGCCGGGACTGCAAGCCTTCGCCGGAGAATTAGGACAGCGCTGTTCCTGGCCCCATTAGGACTGAGTGGGTAGCACAGTTCCGCTGGCAAGTTGCACAGACATTGAACCGAGTGCAAGGCAGTGACTTCTGGCCATAGTCTAGTCTCGATGTGATCCAGGACCTCTGCAGATAGCTTGTAGCAGTTGAGGACGTAGGTAGCCCCAATGGCGAGCCCGGCCAAGTCCAGCCCAGTCGTTCAAACTCTTATCCTCGGCCACGGGGGATCAATCTCCCCCACTCAGTCTTTCGGATCACAACTCGGTGAGCAGCCATCGCTGCACCTGTATTGCAGGTCGCCAGCTGTCTTGATTCACACCGGCCGGGGAATTCATCGCGCATCCGAGATTCGAGGAGAGAAAGGCGATTCTATCGACGCAGGATGAGGCGGAGGGGGACGGTACGTGGGAAATGACCCTATTGCCTTTTTTTTTCTCTCTTTCCATCCGATTCCCTCTTGCGCATCAAGAGAACAAATGAGAAGCAACTGCAATGCGTGAGTGTTGCTGTGGGCCCGCGCAGCAAGCAAGAAAAAAAAAATTCAAACCCACACAATTGCTGCGTAGCAGGGAAACCTCGGGTAATCCAAAATAGAGTAAAAACACAAGGAATGAAGCAGAGATAACCACCCAAAACAAAAGAAAAAAAGAAGTTCGAACAGTGTCAAAAAGGAGAGAAAAGAAAAATGGGAGGAGGATTCTCAGAACCCACCAGCACCCCGGCCGTAACCGGCAGTTTGCTAAAACGAGATTTGACCGGAATAGACGGTGGACGAACCGGCTGGGTCATTGGGGACGAAGCTCTTGTAAGCGACTTCGGCGGCATCCTCTTTGGCATTGTTGATGTACTGGCCATCGTACCAGTAGCGAGCGGACATAAATTTGTTTCCAACGGTGACGTTACTAGACCAGGCGGTTCGACCTCCTGCATTTTCCGACGCAAGGGCAATTAGCATCCGCTGTCAAGCTCGGAACTAAAAGTCGGTGTACAGTGTGTGGTTTTCTGCAAGCTCCACACTGCTCTTTTTTTGCAATGGTAAGGCACGCTGAGGGGCAAGGGAGGGGGGATCGTATGAAGAGACAGAAGCGACAAGGAGAAGATAGGTATACAGGGATGAGAAGGAACATGGAAAGAGGCATCTTCCTTCTCTCGGAAGCAAAAATACGGTGGGAGATGTATGGGGTTAAGGAGAGTAAAAATGGAAACGGGGAAGGTACCTCGCCGATCGGAGACGATGTTGAAGATAGGGGGAGGCACTTTGTTTAGTCTGCAGTATTCTTCCAAGAAGTTAGTCAAAGTCAATGGTTCTTCAGGGCCATTCGTGGCGTTTTTTGAAGTGGCTCGGGGATAGATTCGTCTTCCAATGGCTTACCCTGAAGCTTGTCCTGCCAGGGCTGTCGTACTGCAGTACTGTTTCCTTGAGGGCTATTTGGAAGAGACATTGTGGGCTGTAAATATGATAGCGGGGTTCAATTGGCGAGAAGGATAACCTTTGATGGAGGGCGCGGGTGGTCGATAGGGTGTTGTTTGGGGAGAGAGGGTGGTGGGGGAAGAGGAGGAGGGCGAGTTAGAAGAACGAAGTAGTTCCAAAAAGTTCTGAAGTTCCAAGTCCTTGTCGGAATCCACCCACGGACGATGTCAAAGTAGGATAGTAAGAATAGCCTCAAGAACGAATGATGATGGATAAACTCCAAGCTTAATAGACCCGGAACTCTCGCACGACCTTTTTAAATCTCGAACGGTAATCGACATGGGAAGCGGGGAGGTCATATAAACGGTGGGCCTATCTTCAATTCTGTAAAATTAGGAATAGGAAATAAGAATAAAATAGAGAAAAAGAAAAAAAAGATAAATAAATAAAATTCAAAATTGATTAAAATAAAATGCGCCTCACAAAAAAATACCCGTTCTTGGGAGGGGGGGCAAGAAGTATGATGAAATATTTTTCCTTTTTTTTTTACCTTTTCGATTTTTTTCTCCAATTCAGAATTTTCCTCCTTTTCATCTGTGACAAACATGGAGCCTAAACCCGTCAAACTTAGCGTAGCGGACTTATGCAGGATGATTTGGGACACAGTGTCAGCCAGATACCATTCTCCGTTCCAGAGTGATCCACCAGTCAAGGACCGGGGCGGGATGGGACATGCGGATCATTAGTTATGAGGCTGCACACTGGAACGGCCCGGCGCACGGCGACCAGACCAGTCCTTGAAGAAACAACTAGATGGGGTAAGGGGGGGGGGAAGGCCAACGGTCAAGCAGTTGCAGAGAGAATGGATCTACTTGCTAATACAGGTAGAGAAGAGGGGCTACTAGTCTTGCCCTTTGGTTCTTTTGTTTAGATCCATTAACTAGTAGATTTAGCCCAAAATGTGACGGACATATTCTATCCACTATATCCACAATGTCGCATTCAATTCGTGATAATCTATTTTTTCTTGAATCTCGGCAAGGGGAATTGCCAATTTAGACTAGTACTGGTAGAGTTCTTACCATCTTACCAGAAGTAGAAGGAAGACTGGAGAAATAAAATGAAATAAACGGGATATACACAAAAACTCAGTTCCAAAATCAAACCCTAAATGGCCAGATCTACTAAATCCAATTCGTCCGGGGGAGAAGGGAAGATGGCCATTGGATAGAAAAAAAAAGAAAGTGAACAACTCACCACATCCACTCCACATTGACATTTCCCAAATCCAGACCTACGAACGAACTTGCCAATGAACAAAAAGGAGTAAAAAGATAATAAAATCTCAATGGTATAGATCTGGATGCCCCATTCATGCCTCATCGGCCAGGCGCCATCGGTTAGGCAAGGGTTGCTTGGATCCTCGGGAAACACAAAGTACCTAACCTGATGACATGCCTAATGAGCTGCGCCGTCGTTCGAAATGAGTGGCTAGATTTATTGCTAAGGTACCTTCAATTTAGAACTGCCTCTAGTGCAGAGCATGGATAACCAAATCGGCGGAAAAGCCTTCTGGAAGAAACCCTGCGGTAATGCGAGTGCATGGATTGCAGGGTTGCGGGCATGTGTGTCGTTGTCTTATCCGCCTAAGCTCTTTTTGGGTAAGTGGACGGCTGATCAGTGCCCAAGGTCGTGGTATCCTGGGAGTAGAGTTTGTCCCCAGTCATAGACTGCTGGCCTTTATTGTTTCCTGGGTCATTGTAGTATGTTTGGAGGATCGATATTTAGTATAGATTGCAGTGTACACTACTGTATTTTGTGCATGGAATGGTTCTATACTTAATAGCCTCAACTTTACTTACAACTTTACCACGATAAATCCAATGCTAAACGGAGTAATTAACACTTTCTCTACAAGTACGGAGACAATTGAACCATCGGGCTGCTATTTCCCTCGTTAGACTCGCTCAGATTCCGTTACTAGTATTGCCAGCGCATCATGGACCCTACTGATGAGATCATAGTCCATCATCTGTCATTCCTTTTCTTTTTTGTCTCGTGTCGCAAAACCCGCCCCAGGATCTGTCAGAGCTCTTCACATTCTCCCCGAGGTTCCTTACAAACTGCCCCCCCCCTCCCCTCCACTCCTAATCTTCTTTCTACCCCAATTCTAGTCCCAGCCCTAGCCAGGTGTTGGGTCGCATTGCATGAACAATTCCCTAGAAGCAGCATGAACAGCTGTTGACAAAGCTGGACGAAGCTGAATGTCAACGATCAATCAGAACCAGTCAACCCAGACAATGAATGGGATTTCAATCCGAAGTATGCTGGTTCAAAAGAACCCCGGTTCGCAGCCTCCCCCGACATGACATTCTCTTTCTCCCTGCTAGTAGCTTCGCCTCACGACTGCCACCTTCTTGGGGGAGGTGGGGGTGGCTAACCCGCCCCGGTCGCGCATTGTCCAACGACCACCAACCGCCCACCCCCCTATTGCCAATGGCCCCAGGGACAACATACCTACCTCTAGTGCCCCTCCCCTTCCCCGGCCCTCCTAGAGAGAGTGAAGCAATAGTGCATAGTGAGCATCACCATCGCCAATGGCCCCGGAGTTGGGCCTCTGAGTAACTCATTTTCGCCTCCATTTCGCCTCCATCGTTGGGCATTACGGCATTAGTATCTGCAAAGTGTAAGGCCGACATGCAGCCACGTAGATGGTGCATAGTGTTTTAGAGGGGCAAGTCTGGTAGTAGTAGGTTAAAAAAAAAGCAGATAGAAGAAGTTGTCAAGTTTTTCTCTAACGGCGGACGTGATGGTTCCATGGTTCACGAGTATGCGGCTAAAAAGATGGGACTCGTAGGTGACAAGAGGGGGAATTGCGGAAAAGACTAAAGAAAGAGCCGAGCCGGAGCCGGTTCGGGGGCTGGGCCGCTTCAGCTCCGGGCAAGCGCCCCCGCATCAAGCTTAACCAGCCTTAACTAGCTACTCGGTAGAATGGGCCCGAACACCACCCGCTAAGGGTCCTCTCAGGCATCGAACCGGGGCCTGACGTGGTTGACTTGCATACATACATGCATACATCCGGGGGTATAGGGCAGAGATCGAGTCATGCCCTGATGCCTTGCCCTGTCCTGTCCTGTTCGGGTAGGTTCTTCTGTGCCGACGCACTTACAGCACACTACTGTAGATAACTTCGGTATCACATACTCTAGTGCCAACCTCGAACCATGGTTCCGAACTCTACCCTAAACCCAACTAACTTTCCCTCCTCCACAATCAACCCATCCATTCCCACTTAGCTTACCGTTGGCGCCGCGATAAAAATATGTCAAACAAAATAAAAAGATTCATCCATAGCCAATCGATTCCCCAGCTCCGCGAGTGTTCCGTAGAAAAACCCACGAACCTAGGACTTTAGTACTGTAGATCGGGATCTAATCACCCCCCATCACCGCGTACAGCTCACTAGAGCTAGATTACAGGACCTTAGATCACCGACATGTGCTTCTTCAATACGTGCACTAGCGTCGACTGTTCGCCTCATCTGCTACCCTCCACTATACCCAAGTATCCAACTATAGTATCTACCGACGCGACCAACCCTGGCTGCTGTATGCGCCTCACCACACCACGAACCATTGCTTCCCTCCCCCACCCCTGACCGAATTCATTCTCACCACGATACTCCACCTCGACGATGTTGTCGGTGACCGGTCACACAAAGCAAAGAAAATCCCTGATTCAATTCAACCAAAGCAGCGGTCAGACACTCGATTCGACTCGAATCAAGTAATCTGCATCGCCAACGGAGAAGCGCAGCAAGAAGTGTCCCCGAAAAAGAGACTTACATATGAAGATGGTGTGAATGATCCAATTTTTTTCAGTGACGGTGACAATATCGTCCACTCAAGTGTGTACGGTATACAGATTGCTTGCATTATGCTGGTCTATTCAGCCAGCCATCTACCTTACCCCTGTACCAACCACGTCGGCGTGAACAATCCTGGATAGGAACTGGAACCTCACGGATGGAAAGAGTATATCGTAGTTCATCAGGTACGAACATGTGGAGCTATCTCCCACGATCACCCAGTCCATTTTCAAATCTCAACGCCTAAGCCTGAACTCCCTCTTCCCCGAAGCCACCATGCAAATACAATATGCAAATGTAAATGTAAAATGAAGTAAATCGCATCTACCAAACCGCAACCTAACAAAACCCCTTCCTTCTCATCCTAGCATACCTACCCAATCAAAAATAAAACAGGCCAGACCAGTCCAGTCAGTCCCATTCCGCCCCCCCGAAATCCCGGCTCCTCAAAAGCTCAAGCTCACACTTAGTCCAATCAATTACGCCAGGACAGGGGTTGGTGATCGACCGCTACATACAAAAGCCGGGCTCCGAGCTAGGGACCTTGGCACAAGACCAGGAAAGGGGGTGTTATGGAAACATGAAATGCTAAACCTGATTCGGGCATGAGCCTAATCTTGGGTTTCGACATTCGGGTCAGGGTCAGGGTCAGGGTCGGGGTCTTGGTCTGGAACGTGGGATGGGAATGGCGACGTGGTCGTGGACATGACTCGCAGATGCATTCGGCCGCAAAGTTAAAGGCTAAGTCCAAGCACTGAGCACGAGTAAGTAGGAGACACTTGGTGTTTCTTTTTGAAAGTCCGAGGGGTGGATAGTGCAGTTAGAATACCTAAGCAAGTAGAGGAAAGAGGAGCTAGAACTAGAACTAGAAGCAGGAAGACTAACAAAAATAATAGCGTCGTCGTTGCCGAGTCATTATCGTTAAATGTCATACGTTCAGAATAAAAACCCCCTGCAATCAATGCACCGCACCGCGATATCCAAATCAAGAAAAGAGATCGTAATAGAAGAAAAAAGAACCTGCAATATACAAGAAATAATTCCATGATCCACATTTTCATTCGCATCCAAGTCCACATCCAAGTTGACCAGGGGAAAAGAATGCCAGCTCATCTACCTCGTGATGACCACCTCATCTTGTTTGCACAGTAGTAAAGAACCATCATGTCGCGACACGACAACCCCTTCCTCGAAACTATCAGCTATCCCTGCTGATACTGTGATATGAAATCTGTTGCATGCATATTCTGTCGTTCTCATAATCGTGGCCTTCCCAGAGCGCAGAGCCAATTCACGACCAACCCAAAAAAGAAGGTGAGAAACAGCTTTCGTGAATCGAGTCATGACACTACCCTAGCTCAGCTTAGCCTAGCCATGAATCCATCCTACGCAGATCCACGACGCTGCAAGACTTCACCGATTAAACGGCGTGGACCCATCCGTTCCAGACTCCGCGATAGCGCGGACCCACTTGGTAGGATCCATGACCCGCGGCGCTCGTTGTGCCAGCGTCGTCGGATGCAGTCGTCTACGAGGGTGATCAGGCCCGTTGCGACGATGACGCTAGAGAGGGGGGTGTTAGTGTGCTCGGACGTAGAGGTGGGGTTGAGATGTGGGAATTAGTGCGAGGGGGGGAGCGAGTCTTGTAACTGGGCAGCAACGGCAAGACAAAAGGGCCCGAGTTGTAGCCAACGAAAAAGAGAAGACGTATCACACGAGCGCTCTTCCCAAGAGGAAAAGGAAAAGAAAGAAACAGAAATAGAAGAGAGGGGCAGCGTCAAAGGAAGTCGCAGGTCAGGCCAGGTCAGGTCAGTCCCACTTACTCGGCAATATCAGGCATCCGCTCATAAACGGCGGGGTCACTTATCCACAAACTCGACGGCGGCACCCAACCACCTTTACTCTCCTCCTCGACCGCCTCCAACGGCGTCAGTATATCCGGAACCATATGTGCGATTGTCTTGGATGACCGCATGTCAACCAGATAATACGAGACTTCACGCAGATCCCCCTCGCGCCGACACTCGCAGCGCCACTGGTACCGGGTACTCCAGTACTCGTACTCATAGCGCTTAGCGCCGGGTCCGCCGCGGCGCTTGAGTTCGACGTGTGCGTAGTTGGAGAATTCGAGGAGAATCGTGTCCGCGAGGTGTTTGTCGTGTGGGGCAGATGTTGAGGAGGAGGATGAAGGTTCTTGGTTGGCGAGGTCGTTGGCGAGGGCGTGTAGGTCGTGTTTCTTTCCGGGTCCGTAGCCTGAATCTTGACGTTTGAGGTGGTCTATCATCGGTGCGTGGCCGTGATGACTATTACTACCGCTGGAACTGGGTCGGAAGCTGGCTAGCATGCTGTTCCAGGAACGGCGGAAGACGGGGCGGCGGTCGTGTGGGGGGTTCACTTCTTTGCGGAGGGAGTGACATACTTCGCGGCCGGAGTCGCGGCAGTATCGGCGGAAAGAGCACTTTCGTGAGAAGAGGTCGTACATGCGGAGATGGAAGAGGATGACGTCTTGTTGGTAGCCGTCGCGACAGGGTACGACGGTGTCGACGCGGAGATTCATGTTTCCGTCGATCGTGGCGTCGTCGTGGCGGATGAGGAGACGGCGGGTTGAAGGGAAGAGATTTGCAAAGGAAGATGGTGTTGAAGCGAGGGCGTCTGATGGGAAAGATTCTTCTCTGTCGTCGACTTCAAAGATGGGTTCTTCGGGGTCGACGTGGGCTTTGGAATGAGTGGTGGAGGCGTATGTTGAGACGGAGTCTCGAGGATCATGATCGTCGTAGTACTCATCTTCCTCGTCTTCTTCTTCGACGGAGACTGAGATTGGAATTTCATCGAGGTATTCGTATTCCGGCCACTTTTGATATTTAGGACCGAACATGGCCCGCTCACTGAGGAGAGTTGGAGCGGTGCTCTTTGATCGATCCGAAGCAGCTGTATCGGTTGAGCTGCAACTGCCACCGCTGCCAGAGCGACCTTGACAGGATTTGTAAGAGCCCATGTTGGTTGATGAAGATGTGAGTGTATGTGTGGGTGATTAAAAAGTATAACCTCAGTGACAATATGTCCGAGTGTGCGTGAGTAAAGACCTGGATATAACAGCCAAGTAGTCCAGCTGAGCGACTGTCGAAAATAGGTACAAGTCAAAATAAGATGGAAGGAGAATTCAAATTTGGACGAAGCAAGGGGAGACAGTGATCCGACAATATCAAATCTTAATCTTCCCTTAAATGAGAAATAGATCAATCGTGTTTCAGACGATCGGGGGTTCGCAGGATTGTGATATCCGGTCGAAAAAAGCGGGATATTACGGTTAAGTACAGGAGCACAGGCACCTGAGAATAATAATGGCGAGGCGAGAGAGGCAAAAAGGAACTATGGTTCAAATTCCCATGACGCAGTTGGTGGCATTGAAAGAAGTGACTGGCATGGAGAGCCGGAAGGGGCCGACAGGGCGAACGGGCAGATGCTGAACCCTCTGCTTTGTTTTGGGGTGATCAAGGCGTAGTTATCTCACCACACCAGGGGATCGGGAATAGTAGGCAGCGAGGCACGGCACACGGAGAAGATTTCACCGGAGAAGAGGAAGAATAAGGGGCCCTAGCCTGGTGGAAAGGGAAAAAAAATCATATGATGGTTGCTTTGTCGCGTGGTAAATAATGTTCTCGGGAACCCGAGGAGAAGGATCGAAGAGTCGCGGGAATTGAGGGAAAGAGCAGCGCTAGCAGGGGGTGTTTGTGGTAAGCGAGAGGATTCTCCCAAAACAGGTGGTGAGATTTGAGAAGTAGAAACGGCTCAGGAATGGATGCCTCGTTTAATTTTTGGGGGGCTGTGAGGATTGAAGGATTTGGAGGGAGAGTCGTGGATAGAGTGTGATGGTGGAAAGGAGGGGCGAGAGGGCTTTTGCCGAAAAAGCAAAGGAGGGACAGACCTTAAACCAATGTATGATGGAAGAAATGGGTACAGCCTTGAGAATGGGTTGAGAACGGGGCGAGTTGGTACGACCAGTGGTAGGCTGGAACAAGGAGGAAGAAGAATGTGGTGGTCAGGAAGTCATTCAAAGTAGTTGGACAAGTAGACGAGTCTTGTGTGTTTGCTTTTGGGTTGGCCAGCGAACAAATAAACAATTAAACCTCGAGAGGGGCCTGACCTGCTTCCAGCAGCTGGTGGATCGAGATATGAGGAGTGCATTTGATGGCGTCGTACATGTCTATTCCCTCTACTTCGGAGTTACTATGGTTACTCAAGTACAACTACAAACTATACGAGACTCAGTATACTTTCTAAACTCTCCCCTCTTTACCTAAACATCAACACATATAACACATATTAACACCTCCCTGCACACCCTGATATTATCATCATTATAATAACAGTCAATTCCCCTCAATCGACAATCTACAACTTTCATACCCACCCTCTCACCTCCAATTCGCCTTGCGTCACACAAAAGGGACCCAATTCAGGCCGCGACACTTGAGATCCCAACCCAACCCAACTTACCCGATCAATCCCGCAACATCTGAAAGCCAGCCTTGCTAACGAACTATTGTTCACCCCATTCCTTCTTGCCTCACCGCGGCGAAAAGAAAAAAAATACCTCGGGAGTGTTAAACCAACACATAACATGACCTATAGGATAAAACAACCCGAAATCCCGCGGCGCCGGCGGTGAATACGCCTATAATAAAGGGCAAGGCAGATAGGATAACGTGTATACGACCTGCAAATAACACACAATCCAAGCCGCGGTCCAAGGCTCCCTTCACGCCTTGAATCTAGCAGCGTAGCTGGTTGGCTCCCTCGTCTCAGGCGGATCACACTTCGCTGGCACACTCCAGCGTGTGTCGACCCTTCATTCGCGGGACCTCCTCACCCCCCAACCACAGTCTACAGTGTCTACAGTAGTAATACCCCATGTACTCCAGAAGAACAGGGGAAATCAATCAGGAGTGGTGCATGACACTGGCATTGGCACCACGCCTTTCTCCCCTCAGACGAGTCGCAGCGCTAGATACCCCTCCACAAACACACCGGAGTGCGATTGAGGGGGGGAGGGGCAGCCAGTGAGCGGGAGGGGGACGAGCGTGGAACGGGGTCTAGACACGAGGTTTGTGGGCATTCTGGAAGGCTATAGCAGGGATCGCTGCTTTCTCGGTGCGGATTTGGTTGTATTATGCTCATGGTGTCATGAGTTTGGTTCGGGACTGGATCACGGAGAATTTTGGGGGCTTGAGACAGGGTCTGATCGGTGGGTCAGCAGTAGCCAGCCGTAGCTGGGTGGTGGGAGGCCTGGTAGGTAGGTTGGTTAGGTAGAGGTTGTCCCCCGATGTTCTTCGATGTGTTCTCGATGATGTACTAGCTACATGCCTGCGGTATTAACTCTCAAAAATGGGATGGTATGTTATCGGTGGGAATGTGGGACGTCATCGATGGATAGCTCTGTAGGAGTCCTGGATACTGTACTCCAGTTGCAGGATACAGTCTCTACTGTAGTTCAGGTGGGGGCTCGCGGTCCGATCCGGTTCCGATTGTGATGTTGAACTGGATGAACTACAATGAGAGGGTAAAGACCTGATACTGTCAATAGGTCGATATGACGAACTGAATGAGCACTGTAGTCACGATGCACTCTGCGACGGGTGGTAGCACACGAACAGCCACAGGAGGAGTAATCCATATTCTACCACATGATATCGCCAGAACCTCATGGTGTTTACCCAAGTTTCCAAACAAAATACCTCTCCCTTTCCATGATTAGTTAGTTCATTAGTTCTCGGTCGCAAGAACACAAACCAGCTAGTAAACCCGATGACGGAGCTGCAGACAACTACGCCTGCAGTATCCTCTTGGCTTCTACTCTCCCTCCCTTGACATCGTCATTTCGATGTGATAACCCGGAATCCGAGTATTCAGTGCATGCACTCCTGCTGAACATGACATGACGACACCAGCCCGATCATCAGTGCACGGACACGAACTTTGTGGGGAAATCGTCTGGCCTTCTCCGATCAAGGTGTTCGTTCGTGAAGACTTTTGACGATCGTTACGTCTAAGATCAGTACCATATTTGGATACTGTGACCAGCCAGGCGCGATCCAAGTTTGGGTCCTTGACCGCTACTTTTTGATCTGAAGTCTTAGATCTTGGATCTTGGGACTGTCCTTTGCGTAAATCATGCCAAGCAGAACTCGTCCGGACATTGACCAGGTCTATATGATTTCTCTTGCAATACGCAAGAAACCATCCAATGAAAATCACATATATAAAGGAAAAAAAAAACTAAAACAAGAAAGCCCTAACAAGTCCAGTCCCAAACTGGGGGTTCTAGCCCGCGCCCCTATAACAAACCCATATTGAATAATTGTACTTGGTAACCAGAGAAGTGGAGATGGATATCGCGGGTGCAGAAAATGAAGGACACCGAGAACGGGTCAGCTCCGAGACGCAACGTTAGACCTGCGCATAGAGGGGCTGCGGGAGCTCCTCGCCCGGCTTGATCAGCTCCTCCGCACGACAGGTCGGATGCGTAACGAGTCCAGCTCGACTGCCCGGGACAGGGGGACGGAAACCCACGTACGCCTCTCGGCGAGCGGGTTCGCCCACGGTGACGGACCAGGTATGCAGGCCGTAGTAGGAGGCGATGGAGTGAACTAGCCAGCGACTAGTAGAGGACCTCGTCAGTACTGGGAATCCACGACAAAGTACAGGCAAGTCCACATCGAAAGAACTCACCCAAAACCAGCAGCCCGGTCCTCGACCAAACTCTCAAACACCATCTTCTCCCCATCCCGTTCATGATGCAGGTTCATCTCCTCCCGCATCTGCTGCAATCTCTGCTGCCGCTCCGGCGCATCATGCATCTGACCATTCCGACCAACAAAGACAATCTCATCCTCCGAGTCCTCCTCGGCCTCCGGCGCATCTGCCAACCCCTCACTAGCTAGGAACACCTGTTTGTCATTCCACTGACGGATGAAAAGACGAATATCATCTTCCAGATCCTGGAGCATCCCGCGCGCGGCGCGCGCATGCTTCAGCTTCAGCCGCAGGTCCTTGGGGACGCGGTGCTTTGCGGGAGTCTGCGCGTTCTTGCGGGCGGAGTGGTGGTCGGCCATCTTTGCGTAGTGCACGTCCCAGAGTGGTGCGAGGTAGTAGGGCATCGGGTCGTGGCGAGGATATGTAGGCTGGATGGACCAGTCATGCGGGGACGGGGGTTCGGCCCACGGGTTGTGTAGCAGGCGGTCTTGGGGAGGGAGGGGAAGGTCAGCTTTTCCTTTATCCTTCGAGTAGAGATCTCATCCTCGTGTCCATGTATAACACCGTTGTATGACACTGCCGAGGAGGATGGGATAGGTCATGGGGTCATGGTTCTCCAGGTCATGGGGTTCCAAGGCATCACGGTCGAGATCAACTCGTGGGCTTCCGGGATAAGGCGTGCATACCATTTTCCCAGCGCTGTCGCCGCCGACTTCCATCCTTTCCCTTGAGAAGGGCCTCGCGCCGCTTTAAGCTATCCCGACGCAGGGGTTCGCGCCGCCGGAAGCTAACCGTCGGAGGGCGAGACTCGCCCGAGGCGACGATTTTGACTTGCGACGAGGGAGCTGGAGTGTGGTCATCGATAGGGATGGTAAGTGACACGGTAGTGCCGCGCAGGCTGGAACGGGAGGGTGTGGAAGTCGGATCTGCTCTGCTGGTGGTAGACTCGGAAAGGGTCAAATCCTGCAATGAAGCCGCGGCCTGCTCGGTCCACGCGGAGATGGCCATAGTCTGCTGTGGCGATAAGCTGCCCTGGGAAGCTTCGGGCCGAAGCCTGGGATGTATAGCCATGCTTGTGTTTGTTAGGGGGTGATATAAATAAGTTCAAATGATCAATGCAAAGGGGATAATGGGATAAGAATAAGAATAGAGGGGGGTATAAGAGGACCCTGGAGTACAAAGGACGAGGGGAAGAGATAACGAGATAAAGGCGCGTCTTCGCTGCACGGGACACACGCCGCGCGCTGATTCGCGGGAAGTGGGCCAGGGATGACTCAGTCGATATGACTGTTCGTGACTGTGATGGGAAGCCCTTGCCCTAGTTTCCCGTTTGGGTGGTATTGCTGGTCTTGGCAGTTGAAACTTGGTCCAGAGGATAGAGTCTGGCTAGGAATCTTGTCTGTAGTTGGGAGAAGCCTGAAATGGTGTTTGTAGTACCACGGTAATACTATCTCTCTGCTTCACAGCTTCGAAGCTGGTATTATAGGTCAGATAGGATAATTCAAGGCTATCTCCGTGAGTCACGGGCTTCCCGAGCAGCCGTATAAAGTGGAGTAATCCACTCTCCAATCCCCGCGCAGGGCGATCCGATCCCCTGCCTGCCGAGGATAAGCAATTGAATCAATTAACGATGAGTAGGACTTGTTCGGCCTGTGGAATTTTTTGATCCGATAGAATAGATCTGGATAATATTAGCATTTAACCAGTAGAGTAACTATTATAATTGCAAGGCACAGCTATCTCGAATTAGCGCGGGGCTCCCAAAGGGGCTTGGCCGGAATCGATAGTCTGCTGCAAAATGCCAAGGGCGCGTGATACCTCCTCTCCTCTCGCCCCCAATCACTCCTCCCGGTACCTGACGAGGCTGAGTCGGACCTACAAAACCTGCCCTGCATCCTCGTAGTCATTTTTACTCTTTCTCGTATTATTCCACTCATCATTATCTCCCAGTTATGAAGTTCTTAACCTCCTTCGCGCTGAGCGCGACCGCCTCGACCGCCCTCGCCGCGGTCATTCCCCAACAGGCACCCCTCGGCCCATCCATCGTCCAGAACTCCCAGCAGACCAAGTGGTTGATTGAATTGGCTCCTTACCAAACACGATGGGTTACCGAAGAGGAGAAGTGGGCGCTGAAATTGGTGAGTCTGAAAAACTAGCAGTTGCCCTTTCATCGAGAGGGAACTGCATGTTACTGCCCGAAGCCCTCGCTGACCAATGCGACCTTCCAGGATGGCGTCAACTTCATCGATGTCACCGATGAATTCCAATCCGGCTCCTACGGTGCCCTCCACTCCACCCGCATTGTCCGCTACCCCGGTCAAATGTATCACGAGCAAGAGATCGGCCCGCTTGCTGCGGACCTGTCCAAGGCCAATATGAAGAAGAATCTGGAGCACTTTACCTCCTTCCACACCCGCTACTACAAGTCCGACTACGGCATTCAATCTGCCGAGTGGCTCTACTCTCAAGTCAACGCCGTCGTCCACGAGTCTGGTGCGACCGAGTACGGCGCGTCGGTCGAGCGCTTCGCTCACCCGTGGGGCCAGTTCAGTATTATCGCCCGTATCCCGGGTCAGACTAACAACACGGTTGTGCTGGGTGCGCACCAGGATAGCATTAACCTGTTCTTGCCGTCTATTCTGGCTGCTCCGGGCGCTGATGATGATGGCAGTGGAACTGTGACTATTCTTGAGACGCTCCGGACTCTGCTGCAGTCCGAGACCATTGTCAAGGGTCAGGCAGCGAACACCGTCGAGTTCCATTGGTATTCCGCTGAAGAGGGTGGTCTGCTCGGTTCTCAGGCCGTTTACTCCAAGTACAAGAAGGAGCTGCGTGAGGTCAAGGCCATGCTGCAGCAGGATATGACCGGTTACGTGCAAGGCACTCTCGACGCTGGTCAGAAGGAGTCTGTCGGCGTGATTGTCGATTACGTCGACCAGGGTCTTACTGCTTTTATCAAGCAGGTCATTACCACCGTGAGTACTCCGATCGGATTCATTCTTCTCGGTTACTCCGTTACTAACCCACTCTCTGCAGTACTGCGACGTCCCCTACGTCGAGACCAAGTGCGGCTACGCCTGCTCCGACCACGCCTCTGCCAGCCGCTTCGGCTATCCCTCCGCCTTCGTCATCGAGTCTCAATTCGAAAACTCGGACAAGAAGATTCACAGCACCGACGATCTGATCAAGTACCTCAGCTTCGATCACATGCTGCAGCACGCAAAGATGAGCCTGGCCTTTGCCTATGAATTGGCCTTTGCTCCCTTCTAATTACGGCTCTGTGATGACTTGACGCTTGTTCTACTTCGCTTTGGATTAATGTTTATTTTCGGATTGGGCGTTGTGTGAGATATACCTTGGGCATTCATGATACGAGCGAGAGAGTTCAATGTGTAGTCCTGGCTGCATGGGTAATATTGCGCCGGCTTTGAACTTATGGGATTGGACCCGTTGATAGTTCAATTGATTCTCTTCGCTTGCTTCCGTATTACCTTTGGTCACTGTAGCGGCGAGTCGTAGTATCAGACCAGCTCTAGCTTCACTCCGAACCTACAAAACAAACAGATTCAACATAATCTAGTCCATCGACTCCAATTCCCTAAATCTCGAAACGACAAGATCCCCATACCCCAAGGGCCCTTTCGAAGTACGAATCGTACCCGCAAATACTCCAGACTCCAACCTCAAAGCTATGGTAACATCCCCCAACCCCCCACGAGGTCTGGCTGATCAAAATATGGGTCTATGGGGACATCCCACTCTAACTGCGCGGGGGCGTACCACTTCTTCTACGGGTAATCCACCCAACGCGCGAATCAGCGGAAGACGACCGAGGGGTAAAGGTGGGAATTTACCACCTGGATACAACATAAGAGACATTGACGCTGCCGATCGCTCGAATGTGCATGTTACCATACGGGTGCCGGGCCCCCTTGCATCCACATTATAAATTGGCGGAGGGGCGCTGCTAATCCCCGCGTTGAGTGATTCTTTTTCACAGGCCAGGCGAAACCAGAGCAGACTATTTTTCGCTTCGCAAGTGACGTTCACCTCTACAACTGGAGTCAACTCGAATTTCTATTCGCAATCTCACAATGGAGAATCCAAAGGTCGGCGATAAAATCGCGGATATCGATACACCCTCTATGATCGTTGATCTCGACCTTATGGAGGGGAATATTAAGAAACTCATGGACAAGCTCTTGCCAACTGGTCTCGACATCCGTCCACACCTGAAGACGACAAAAAGCGCTATTCTCGCCAAGAAACTTGCCAAAGCCGGTGCCAGGGGCGGCTGCGTTACGAAAGTCAGCGAGGCAGAGGTCATTGCTGCTGCTGGCTTTGACGATCTACACATTACCTGTCCGATCGTCGGTCCCGCCAAGGTGAAGAGACTGGTGGAATTGTTCCGGAAGTATCGACGAGTCCGGATCGTGGTTGATTCTGAGGTCGGCGCTGCGGCTATCAATGATGCGCTGGAGAAGGCGGGGATTGAGGAGCCTATTCTTACGTTGATTGATCTGGACGTTGGTCTTCATCGTACGGGTGTGAAACCTGGACTGCCGGCGATGAATTTGATTAAGTTTGTTGGGGGGTTGAAGCAGCTTAAGATTATCGGTGTGCAGGGGTACGAGGGTCATCTACAACATCTGCATGACTTTAATGATCGCAAGACTCAATGCCTCGAGTCTATGCGTATCCTCACCAGCACCGCTGAATCTTTCCGCCTGGCTGGCTTCAATATTGACGTCGTTACAACTGGAGGAACAGGCACAGCCGAGTTCTGCGCGTCTGTCCCAGGTGTCACTGAACTCCAGCCTGGCTCGTTTATCTTCATGGATACCGATTACCGCAACGCCGTTGGCACGTTTTACTCCAACAGTCTGACGATATTGTCCACCGTCGTCAGCAAACAGGGTCCTCGGGCTGTGACCATTGATGCTGGGTTGAAGTCCTTGACGACGGATAGCGGGATGGCAGAGTGCAGTGATTCGAGATACAAGTATAATGAGTTTGGTGATGAGCAGGGCTCGCTTATGTGGGAGGAGGGTACGCCGGACCTTGCGGTTGGGGATCGGGTCGAGATTATCCCGAGTCATATTGATCCGACTATTAATCTGCATGATCTTTATTATGCTTATCGTGGTGAGGTTATTGAGGAGATTTGGCCGGTTGATTCCAGGGGGAAGGTGCAGTGAGGTTGTTGATGGGTGTATAGCGGGTGTTTCCTATAAACGCGAGAAAGGTAGACAATAATATCTGGGAACTTCCGAGCGGATATTTCCATCACAGTTGATAAAATGTACCTCCATCATTCTACTTCTCATGAAAACAACCTTTTCTCTTGCATCGTTTTCATCACCCTGGATACGAGCCCTTTGCATTTCTCGAATAGCCTTCCATCTTCATCGGTGCAAAATTACCTATTGAACAAAGAGCCGTAGTAGAATTGAAATCTCACCCTCCTAAAGGTCCACAACCAAAGCGAGTCAAGCGAGACCACAAAACAACAATGGATGCAATTTTGAAGAAGTCAGTTCCCCCATATATATCCTTTCTGCTTCCTAATACAAGATTGCTAACCTCTGGTCAGCCTACACCTCAGTGAAAATTACAGTGACCTCACAATAATTTGTGGAGACAAGGAGTTCAATGCACATAAACTGGTTGTCTGCTCTCAGTCTGCGTATTTCCAAAGAGCCTGTTATGGTAGCTTCAAGGTACTGCCTTCATCTACAATGTTTTTGGACTGTCACTGGAGTCTATGACTTAATACTGATCAGTGCACATTAGGATGCTCACGAGCCAATCCGTTTCCCCGACAAAGAGCCAGTTCTCATGGAGAAATTCCTGGAGTTTCTCTACAATGGTGATTACACTCTTCAGCCACAGACATCAAGCGAGAAGAAGGGAAGCGCCAGCAAACCTCCGACTACTTGCATCACAGAAAACCCAGCCTACTTCCATGCCCGAATGTTCGCAGAAGACGACTACTTCTTAGTCGACAATCTCAAAGCCAGAGCAGAGGACTACTTTTTCACTGCTTTCTCAACAAGTCTTGAAATGAAGAACCGCCGGAAGGAAACCCTCAAGCAAACAGTGGAAGAGGTCTATTCAAACAGAGCCAGCTATGACCCTCTGAGGGAATCGAAGATCCATCTAATTATGAAGATGCTGTGCGGGTGTAGTGCCAAGCAAAACCCCTATCTTCGCGATTGTATGAGGTCTACCCCCGATTTCACGTTCGATGTGTGCAGGGCGCTCCTCGACAAGAAAATGACCTCGTTGTCCAACTCGAAAATCAAAAATCGCTATCCATTCTACAGGGCTAATAAGCCGGTAGACCGGAGATCATCGTTCGCGAGGCGGGGTGAAGAGCAACTAACTGCGAGGGCAAAGCGACGAATTGCGAGGAGCGCTCGAAAGCTCCAGGCGGCGAGGACAATGTCTACGGGAGAGGATAATCTTGAGGTGATGTGACAGGAAATGAAGCGCTTCTACGGATATGTATGCATCAAGTTTCCAATGTTGTATTTGAGCCATTAGGCCAAACCCCTGTCGATTCCAATCTTCTTATTTGCATTTGCTCGGAAATAGGCTTAATACCATATGGCCATTTCCCGTTTCTCCATTAAATTAGTCCAAGAAAGTTGGCCTTGAGGAGGTAAAGCCGAGCAGGAGAACCATAGTGTAGGCATATTGGTTAGATATGCTCCATGTGACACCTTGACCATTCCTTTTGTCGTCTGCTTTTCAAGTCATTTTCAAAGTGACAATAAAGAGTCCCTGTTGACTGTCTGGGGGCAACAAGTCGAACTGATATCAGCTCATCACATGAGCGCGACCACCTTCGTCTTCCAAAGAGCCCACAAAGAGTATTCCTCCATCCTCCACCTTCACGATTTCCTTCCCCCTGGATTCACCTTGAGCCTCCCCCCACTCTGGAACCCACTCGCCCTCTTCCCATCAACGCCTTGATCATTTTTTCACATTCCTCACCTACAACGCCTACCCGGTACTTGACAAGACTGATCAGTTCCAGTCTCTTGGGGCTCTCCAAAAATGTCGAAGAGGAAGCTTGAAGAAGACAGTCCCGGATTCGACAACTTTCCTCCTCTCCTGTCTGTGACGCCAAGCCCAGATCCGAAGTACGTGAATGATGCCGTGAATCAAATCGCAAAATTGTCAGTGGATACCAATCCTCAAACCCAAAGCTTTGCAATCTGTCAATGCTGACCTTTTTCCAGGGCGTTTCTCAGCGCACGTTACAGTGACATGAAGCTCATCTGCGGAGACGAGGTCCTTCACGCCCATAAACTGATAGTCTGCCCTCAGTCAAAATACTTCTACAGAGCTTGTTCCAGTGGATTCAAGGTATAATCCCAGATTCATATTTGAGTTGATATTTATTTCATGGTATCTTGCTAACGCGTGATGGATCGAGATAGGAGGCGACTGAACCATTCCAATTCCCGGACAAAGAGCCAGCCCTGATGAAGAAAGTCTTGGAATACCTCTACACTGGCACATACACCGTTTATTTTAAACAGTCGAATGCGCATCACAAAGTGTATGCTTCGAGTCTCGGCAGCTCGGTAATGGGTCAGTCTAACGCGGTGCGTCCCTCGGAATCAAGCGCGGGACCAAGCAAGCCTTCCTCTACGACTACTACTACTACTATGTCGGAGGTTGAGATGAGGAGGCACCTTTTTGAGCCTTTTCCAATCTCAACTCAATGGGCTGCCGCTACCTCGGTCAATGTTGATGCCGGCCAAGGACCCAACGATGGAGGTTCGGACAACGACTTTACAGCGTCCTGCCTCAGAAACGCAGCATATTTTCACGCTCGCATGTTTGCTGAAGCCGATTATTTCTTGATCGGTGATCTGAGGCAGAAAGCAAAGAACCTGTTCAGTAACCTTTTTGCGTTCAATATGAGGAAGGAGATCATCCAGGAGGCAGTCGAAGAGCTCTATTCGCATCGTGGCAACTACCAAGAACTGAAAGAAATTGCAATCGGCAAGCTGGTGAAGCTCTTGAGAGATCCTAATATCAAGAATGACTCACTCTTGTCCCTCGACTTTATGAAATCTGTCCCCGAATTCGAGCATGATCTGTGTGCGGCGCTGATCCAGCTTGCTGACCAACCTCTTGACGTCCTGGAAACGCTAAGGCGCAGCAGGGGGTTCTAAGCATTAGCGATCAGACGATCGTCTCTAGGGTCCGTGACTTGCTTCAACTGCACGGATGAGAACCCACGAAGCACGAAGCGAGGACTGGTTTTCTTCCCAAATATCGTGATTACAGAGAGTATTCTTCTAGACGGGACATCATGTAACCCTTTAGTTTTTGTTGCCTGGTCTATTTTAAGAAATCCAAATATTTCCTTTACGAAAGGCAGCTCAAACTAGCTTCTGTCCCTGTCATTGCACACATTAAAACTCGTATTGATTTAGCCAGAGGCGTTCCCGTATTCAATCGATAAACCTCGGTCTCTGAGTTTGAATTTCCAGAGGTCGTAGTCAAAATCCATATTCGTATGGAACTCTGAATCATGGAACCTTCAGCTGGTCCGTCTAGCCCACTATACATCAGGAAGCGTAGATTCATATCCCACCACCGCAGGATGCTTGACACCTCCAACCACCAGCTTACTCCAATCTCTCTGAACCCCCTCTTCCACATCAGGGAAAGGTCCCATCGGAGTAATCGCCTTGGGATTGATATCGTAATGACTCTTCGTATACTGCAAATCATCAGCTTCGTCCCAACACATCCATCAAACCCGACACTCACATTCTCCTTGATATGTTTAAAATCCGTCGACGCCCTTGCAGCATCAACATCCCAATACATCCCCTTCAACCAATTATTAAGCACGGGATAATCATGTCGAATAGTCCCCAGATTACACTTGAAATGCTGCACGTAAACGGTATCAAAGCGGATCAAGGTCGCATACAACCGGATATCGAGCTCTGTCATCGTCGAGCCGAGGATAAAGGGTCCACCGTGCTGCACAATGATGTGCTCGAGTTTGTTCAGGGCTCCAAAGACTGGGATGACGTTTTTATCGTATACCTCTTGTGAGGGGGCAAACCCGGCTTTGTAGACGCCGATGTTGAGGTCTGATTGCATCCATAGGGTAATTGTGTCGATTTTGGCTCGAAGATCAGCAGGGTAGAGATCTATTTCCGCAAGGGATGGGGGTAGCAGTTCATTGAATGCCGTTGGAAGCCAGCGTAGTAGCTCCGCGCTTTCCTACAGGTCATCCTCGATTAGCGCTCTCCCTTGTCGCCGTCACTGTAGACCCCAAGAGCCTGGAAGTATCAATTTACATTACAAACCGCAGTCCCAGTCTTCTTATCCCACAACAACGGAACAGAGTATCTCCCCTTATACTCCGCATCAGCCCGAAAATATATTTTATGCAGATAATCCTCTCCGAAGAGGTGATCGACTGTCGCGCCTGGGTATTCGTCATCGGATTTGGGGAAACACCATCCCGGCCAGCCCTTCTCGTCGCCCTTGGGATAGGGTTTCACGATACTGACGTCGATGAATTCGGTTAGGCCTTTGAGATGGCGGATGAAATTTGCGCGGTGGGCGAAGGGGCAGAATAGGCCGATGTAGAGGTGGTAGCGGCCTTTTTCGGCGGGGAATTGGGCGCTGGGGATGACGCCGTGCCAGCCGTCGGTTGTTGCGGGGTTGTGGATTTCAGGTTGGGTGGACATAATGGGGAGAGTAGAGTTGTGTGGTGGGTTAGTAGTGGGTTGAGGGTTTATGGATTGTTTAATTTGGGAGAGTCTTTCAAGGTGACTGGAATGCATGGATAGGTTAGGTGTACTCCGTAAAGGATGATGACGAGGGGAGATGATGTTCTTGTCTGGCTTATTGATGAGTGGCGGAATCTTCCCGCTAGCCAGTTTCTTGTCTCCTTACAATGCAAGCTTCCAGTATGATCTTTCCAAACTTCTAGCAAGTAAAATATTCCTAATAATGATAAGCTTTAACTATCAAGGTCAATCCCCTGACATGTTGCGGCTCAATGAAGATCCCCGTTCAAGTCAAGTCGATCACCAACGGCCTTGTACCTGGCGGGGAACCGTTATAGTAAAGTCGCCAATCCTAATAATTTCAGGGGTACAACCTCGAACTGCACAGCCTCCCAATAGTCTACTAAGACTGATCCGTACGCATTGATTAAAAACGCCCCAAGCTTCGCCTTAGCCATGGAAACACTCGGCCAAACAGTCAAAATTCCCAAATCCCCTGAGCGCCCCCAAACCCAATACAGTGAATACAACCCACACTAACCCCCTCTAGTGCCGCGCACCGACCCAATAACCACAGCCCGCCCCCTCGCTCGTGCTAACGGGGCTTGATCAGATCATAATAAGCACGAATTCCCCCCTCCAAAACTGCAGCTCCAGCGTTATCGCCCACGGGCCGAAATCTGGGTCTCACGCGAGTATGGCTGAGTTTTTATGGTCCCAGCCATTGGAGCGATGAGGGAGACGCTAGTCTCAGGCAGACAAATTAGACTGTACAAAAAGAAAAGCTCGATCACGCTGGATTTAAGTTGAGCTTGGCGGAGACCCTGATTTTGTATTTCTAAATTTGATCTGCACTCTTTTTTTTTCTTGAACCCCCCCCTTACGTCCGGCGGGTCGTTTTGTCTTTCGTGGTCATCGCCATGTGGCATTCGACGCCCGTACATTGGGTTGTCCATTTTTGCCTCGCATGGCTGGTACTGCTGTGTGGACTTGTGGTCGCTGAACCTGTGCCTGTCTCTGTTGATGTGGTTTCCAGGTCAACGGGGTCTGTTTTGGGGATTGAGGAGAGCAGTTCTTCGCTGCAGAAACGCGACAATGGTACTTTCTTGTTAAGGATTATGCCGCTCGGAGCTTCGATTACCCTGGGTTATAGGTCGACGGATCATAATGGGTATCGGAAGGCGCTGAGGCAGCAGCTTCGGTATGAGGGGTGGCAGGTTAATATGATTGGGAGTTTGAGGAATGGGACTATGCATGATAATGTGAGTTATATGAACCTATTATAAGGGATTGAGATACTAATATTTGCTAATAGCATCACGAAGGCCATTACGGATACAGAATCGACCAACTAGAATCCAAAATCCAACAAACAATCCTCCAAAAACCAAACCTGATTCTAATCAAGTACGTCCCCCTAACCCTCCCCAGAACCTTCACATCGAGGTATCTAGGTCCAGTCCAAGTCCAGTCCTAATCCCATGTTAGCGCCGGCACAAACGACGCCGTCCAAAATCACCAAATAACAACCGCAGGCCTACGCATGAACACCCTCCTAACAACCCTCTACACCTCCATCCCAAACACAACAATAATCCTATCAACCCTCCTCCCCAACAAAAAGCACCAAGACCGCGTCGACCAAATCAGCGCTCAATATCGAAACTTAGTCGCCCTGCGCAGAGAACAGAATGACCGCATCGTTCTGGCCGATATGAGCTCGTTTATCAAAGCGTCCCAGCTCGTTGATGGCACGCATCCGGATGATCAGGGGTATAGGGAGATGGCGGCGGTTTGGTGGGCTGCTGTCAAGGTTGCGGAGACCGAGGGGTTGATGCAGTTTGCCGAGGGGACGGGGGAGGATGGGAGGATTAGTGATGCTGCGGAGGGGAAGTTGGATGGGGGGATAGTATTGGGGATCCTGGGTTGCCGGCTTATACGGCGCCGGCGCAGCCGAGTTATGTTAGTATGGGGAGGGATGTAATGATTGATAGGAGAGGGATTGTTGGAGGGTTGGTTGTTGGTAAGTTGTGATGGTGGTTCCTATATCGAGCTGGTCTTGATGCTAATTTGGGTTATAGTTGCCATTGGTCTTGTGTTTGCGGGGTGATCATCATGATAGATCCTTTTGCGGGTATATGAATCGTGCATCTGTACTTAAGAGGCGTTGGGCGTTTTCTGGAATATGCATCTTGTCCTGTAGATATGGCAATGTACATAACACATCTGATACCATTGATAGAGTCTCGATTAAGAGCGAATTGAGTGTACTACCACTTCACTCCTCCCCATCATATTATTCACATCCTACATGAAAGATGAAAGATAATCAAGAGAAAGGTCAGGTAGATACCTGACAGACATGAACTCATACACACGTTTCTACATAGAATCTCGAAAAAAAAATCTAGAACAAAAGCTCGAAAAACCGAGCCACCGAAGACTCCGAACCCGGCACCGACGAACGCCCAAACCATAAACTCCCACCCAGGAAGCCCCAAGAAAATCACGGCAGGGGTATATGGCGCAAAATCAAGAAACCCATTAACGCCATATATATTTTTTGGGAGAAAGACGAACGTGCCATCTACTGCCACCCAAAGTCCTGCATGGTCACGTCCTCCATGCTGGAATCTTCGGGCTCCCCCAGAAGAGAGGCAGCTTGCGCCTCGGGCAGTTCTTGCTCATGTGAACTACCCGAAGGAACGAAGGGGCGGCCAGCCGATGCCTTGCCACGGGGCGTCCGAGTACTGCCGGCCTTTCGGCCAGGAGACTTCGGAGCCTTGGACTTGGCCGTGGCAAGCTTGCGCGTCTCGGCCGCCTTCTTCTCGCGAGCTGCCTGCTCTTCTGGGGTTGGCAGCTTAAGCTTGATCCTTTGAAGACCAACGGAGATGTTCTGGACTTCACGGACAGGTTCTGTAACCGTGGCATCATCCGAAGGCTTCGCCAGATAAGCCGATGGCACCTTGGGCACTGGGGGTTCCTTTCCGGGACTTGCGGAACGTCTCGGGGTATCCCCTCGCCCAATCATCTTTCTCCCGCCCACAACCTTCCTAGGTGTCGCCGTGGGTGCAGAGGCCAGCAGGAGTCCACCTTGTGCACTACTCAAATCCCCCATAGTGATGGGCTCAGTTGAGATCGTGCTTGTATTGGTGGTGTTTTTCCTGCGGCTTGCACCCACAGATGGAGACACCTCTCCCGACGTCCCTGGCAAATCGCCGCCATCAAGCGTCTGGCGACGATTCTTGCGCAGGGTCTGTTTCGGCGTCGGCCCTCTCGGTGAAAACGGAGCAGGAGACTTGGCCTTTCGCATGCGCAGCTGACGTCTTTCCTCATGAGGAGGAGCGGGAGTTGGAAGGGCCGCGATTTTCATTCCTTCCAGGGTTAACTGGCGCTCACGGCGCCGACGAGAGGCCTCGGCATTTAGATCCTCAAATCTATAGCTCATTGTCTGGCGGCCCTCGTCGGGGGTGAGAATCTTGGACAGCTCGTGTGCTGCCGTCGCCCAGTTAACCTCTGGAAGAGGGGTCGTGCCTGGAGTGTAGGGACCGAATGGTTTGCGATCCCGAGCTGTGGAGAGAACTTTGGCATCGAATGCCTTTGTTGATGCGAGGAAGGTGGGTGATGTCTTCTCTCGCTTGATCTGTGGGGATGTGAGAGTCTCTAGCTCAGTGAGGTGATCTGCGGACCACCACTTGCTCTCATATTCCATCTCAGTCGAAACAGACACGTCCAGCGATGGATTCGCATCGCCAAGTCCGGCAAGGTGGCTGAGGACACCGCTTGTCAAAGCTCGGTCACTGTAACCGCCTTCCAACACGCTGATCACGCGTCCATCCACTCCAAGGCCCTCCTCCTGGGACATGCGCACAACATCAGCTGTGAACCGAGCATAGAACTCGGTTGGAACGTTGACTTTGTGTCGCTGCATGCCAACGCCTTCCCATTCGCTGGCATCGAAACCGGCCGAAATGAAGATGGCGGCCTTGGGAGTAGGTCCGCCGGGATTGTGGGCGAGTCGCTGAGATTGAGCTCGCAGGAAGTTGCGTGCTTTGTTGATCAGGGTAATGTACTTGGTCCGGTACAATTCCCAAAATTCGGCTTCGGTCTCCCATGTCTCCAGGTGGACATTCCAGACAGACTGGCCGTGCGAACTGTCAACGCAGACGCTTGCGTTGCGCACTTTGTCCGGTTCGCCGTTCTCGCAGGGGTAGGAGTTGATGTCATGGAGGCTGTAGTATCCAATCACGGTTTTCTTGTAGGCTGGCGCATTCTTCGCAGCCATCGATGCCTGGTAGTTGCGGTTCCACACGATATCCTGAGACCCATCACCATGGTGGAGATCGAAATCCAGAATAGCAGCATGAGTCAGTCCGTGATTGATTGCCGCGTAAGAGGTTCCAACAAGAACATTGTTGATCCAGCAAAAGCCAGAAGGGTAGTCGGCGGAGCAGTGGTGACCCGGTGGTCGAATGCAAACAAAGGCCCGCGTAGTCGGACCTTGGCCAAAAACAGCATCGATCCCGTCGCATACACCACCCAAAGCACCCTGGAATGCATCCAGAGATTCAGAGCAGAGGTAGAGATCACCAGAGTGGAGTTCTGGCCCTTTAACGGTACCATCGATGCCCTCAGTGCGCGGGCGATCGAGTTCCTTAGAACCCAGCGCGAGGCGTGACTCCGCGGTATCACACATACTCTTCAAATCAGCCATCCACTGAGTACCATGGACATTCGTAACAGCAAGATCGTGAAGTGGCAGTGAGCGCGATGTCTTGCGAATCTGGAAAGGCGGGGGAGGAAGCAGAGATAGATCTAGATCAGGCCGGAGCGCAAAGCGTTCTCCTTCGTGTCGACGGCCCATAAGCACGTATGCCGCGGAAATTCCCTGTACACAGGCACGAATGCGCTCAGGTCTCTCCACGATTGAAGAAAGAACAGCCTTGGAGGCGCGGGGGCGTGAGAATCGGTGTCCGTAGCAGGCATCATGAACCACCACAACAGTGTTGGACTTGAGATCCACAATCTGGTGCAGCTCTATTTCTTTCTGGAAGTGCTCTGCAGCCACTGAAGCAGCTGTTGGGGCTTGCGCCTCCGGTGGGGGGGGTGCCAGGCGTGAAGCCATCGCAGGCGAAGTAGAGGGTGTTGGTGAAGCAGGGTAGTTGGTAGAAGAGCGACGAGAGGAGACTGGGATTGGGGAAGGAGGAGCAGTTGATCTCAGAGACGTTGTAGATGTGCGTTTCTGAAGGGTGGGAATCGATTTGCGACGCTCGTCACGTAGAGAAGTGAAGCTGGGGGTTCGTTTTGGTTCAGGCACGTTGGCACTTGTGATTTTGGGAGCTGCAGGCTGGGATACAGATCGCAAAGATGTAGCAGAAGGTCGCTTCTGAAGGACTGGGACCGTTCTACCGTGTTCGTCTCGCAGTGAAGTTGAACTGGAGCTGGAGGCGCGAATCGGGGTTGGCGCGCGATCAACTGCGATTGCGATGGGGAGACTTGGTCGCAACGAGACATCGTGAGGAGGTGATCTCGACGGCGATGGAGGTAAGGGAATGGCCGCTGCGTTTGCCAGAGTCAGGCGATTCAAAGAGTCCGCCAAATCATATTGGGAAGGGGTCGTCGTCGTCGCCGTATTGTCACGATCGTTATCGTGGACCCGCGCGAGCGTATCAGCCCGAGGGGCCTCCTTGGAGGGGTCCATGATGCAGGATCATAGAGCGGCGGGTACCACCGTGATGAACGCGAATGGAATAGATGGATAGATTTGGAAGATCTCGAGCCGTGAAACTGCCGTGGAGATGGAACTTGTCGGTGGGTAAAAAGTAGGGGAGAGAAATGAGAGTCGCGCGGGATGAGCACATGCTTTTAGTCCAACGAAGTTTCCCCTTCTTGGGGTGGCAGCCTCTTCGGGCAAGGGGTCAGTCGATCGCGACCATACCAAACACAAGACATTCTTGTGCCCTTTCTTAGCTACTTGTTTCACTTGAATAATTACGGTGTCCAAGTCTAGATGTACATAGAAATATTTAGGGAACCAAAACAAGTTTTCCGTGCCCTGATTAATCTTGGGGTTCGACCAAAGTTTATTTACAAGCCTATCCTGTTATCTATACAATTGTGATCTACAATAAAGTTTATTGTCTTGCAAAATCAACTGAATGAGTGTGATCTAAGAATCTAATCAGGATTTTTCTATCTATCTTTTAATCTTTTCTAGAGTCTTCTGTAGATAACAAAATAAAAAGAAAGTGCCATGAATCCATAACCCGTAAAAGCAGAACCAAACCACCTCGCAACGCCCATGAACACCTCCAAGCCCAGTATCCATGTCCAAAATCAAAATATCCAAATCACCCGAAACACCAAAGCTGAAAACATAAAACATGAAAAGAAGAAACTCCAACGATAATAGGAGTCAAAAAAGAGAGCATTCAAGAAGTATTCAATGCAATCACCGCGATCGCAAACCTCTCCATTGATACCATTGGTACCACCGCCGACCTAGCGAAGCCTTCTCCTCAAAAGAATCTTGAGACCGGCGTCGAATCTTCTTCTCCTCCTTCTTAGTCTCCTTCTCAGTCTTGAACCCCCGTGTAGCATGGGAATTGCAGAAGCAGTGCATGTGGACGGTTTCAATGCTAACGCCGGGACAGCTATTGCGACGGTGACCCGAGCAGACGCTGTGGCCGGCGTCTTCCTCGCAATGGCACCATTCGTAGAGGGTGTAGTATTGACGACACATTGTGGAGAATTGAATTGGTGAGTGATTTGCACTGGGTATTGGAATTGCTTTTTGGGGTCTTTGTGCTTTTGTCGGTCTTCAGGAGTAGATGCGGGTTTCTTTCAGGGTCCACTTGGATATCACTAGTAGTGATGGATGGTGGGGTGTGCGTGGTGTGGAGAGGGAGCTTGAAAATGCGCAATGGAAAGCCGAGATGATCCGGGACTTTAGGGGATATGATTTTCCCCCTGATGAGAGTGTGGAGAGGTCAATTAATGAAATTGACTGTGAATATGACTGGTAGGAAATGGTTGATAGTGTTCGTAGTGAGAAGCTGGCAGCGTGGTTCACAAGCTGAGTAGGTGTGGAGACAAATGTAGAGAGTCAAGTAGAGGAAGGTCTTCCAGTTCAAGAAAGTCAATAAGATAGTGACAGAAGAAAAAGAATCAGTCCAGCTGAGAGAGAGAGAAGTGTGGGGATGTAGAGAAAAGATAGCAAAAAAAAAGATCGAGGGAATGGCAGATGCAGCCCTTCCACTTTATGTTCTAGATGGAGAGTGTAGAAGAGCGAAAGAAAGAGAAGGGAAAAGTAGGTACTCCGGGTTTAGTAGAGCATCAGCCTACAGTAATAATGAATAAAGAGTGAATTGGGCAATGGAGTCATGGAAGAACCATGGTCAATGGTTAGTCTGACGTCAAAGAAAAAAAAATAGGCTGTGTAATTTCTATGGGGAAGGGAAGAAAAGATATTAATACGGGGGAAGAATAGGAATAGGCTACCGGGGCTGTCAAAAATTGTAGTTCGTCTGCCTGAGCCAGTCTAATCCTGCGGACTGTACTGGGGCCTTACTCCATCCGTCTGGCGCGTTGAGGGGGAAAGTTACATCTTTTTGCCTAGTGAACCAGTCAATCAGTGCAGCAGGTGACAGGGGGTGGTATTGAGAGCCTGGGCAAAGGCCGAGAATAGACCGGGGACTGCCTCGTACAGTGGGAGCAAGACTGGTCAGGTACCAATCATCAAATGCGATGAGTACCGGGCCACGTAGCTTGGCGAGCGCCTTGTAGGGTATGGACTATGGAGTATGGCATGGTGGCTGATGTGAGGTAACGAAAAAGAAATCCGATGACTATTGTCTTGGCTTAGCCTAAAACACAAATACAATGGAAGGACAGAAGTACCAAAAAAAGAACCAGGCTACACACGACAATCCCCCGGTGAAAGAAAAGAAAACCAAGACGATTACGATGCATAGACAATAGGCGCTTCGCAAGAGTTAAAATTAGGCCGTAGACGAGCTTGGCTGGTTGAATCGTAAATCCTACGGCATTAAAACCCAGGTTCTAGTCTAGCCCGGAACTAAACGGCGACTATTGGACTAATCTGATCGACGGACTACTCAGACCATTCAGGGCACACGAACGGGGGGATCCGCAGAGCCCCGAAGCGTCTCGCCCAGGGTCTCGATATCCGACGCGATTGGTGAGTGATTGGATGGCCCGCTGTCAGGGCTGCCGCCAGGAGCCGGAGTGGGTTGCTGGGCCAGTGTCAGTTGGCGCCAGCTGCGAGGAGTCATTCGCGAGTCATGGATCGGTAATTGGCTGGGAAGATTTGGGTCCTGGTGGATTCATGTCACAACGGCATTCCTAGCGTCACATGGACCGAATCTCGGAAGAGAAGATGATGAGACGACAAGGTGAGATCTGGACGCAAACGGCCCTGAAGAAACCTGGAGAATCGGGGCTAACCTGTGGCTGATGCTAGATGCGGCTGGTGAAATGGGAAAAGGAATCCCGGGGATCTGTGGCGCAGTCACCTAGATCAGGTGATCAACCTTCTCCGCGGCGAAGGCTGCCTCAGGCCGTTATCAGCGGAGTTATCGCCCGGTTTGCTCGGTTTGCCTCACGAGCTCCATGGATTTCTCCAACTTGCAATTCCTCGGCTGTAGAAGGAACTCTTCCACACGTCAACTGCCCTCCACCACACTATCTCTCTCTCACAACGTCTACATCTATATCTCTCCTCTTCAGTTCTAGCATTGCCATGACAACCCCATCCACAACGACACCCAACATGGCCGCCACCCCCGCGCGCACTTCAACCCTCCTCTCCAACCTCGCCGCCGTAGCAAAAAGCATCGCAACCGCAACAACCCACTCCCCAACACCAACAAAACCAGTCCGGCTAGTGGCCGTCTCAAAACTCAAGCCGGCCTCCGACGTCCTAGCCCTGCACAAATCCCCCGTCGCGCAATCCCACTTTGGCGAAAACTACCTGCAAGAACTCCTCGAGAAATCGCGCCTGCTCCCGCCAACCATTAAATGGCATTTCATCGGCGGATTGCAATCTAATAAATGCGTCACGCTCGCACGCGATGTACGCGGGCTATGGGCCGTCGAGAGCGTCGATACCGAGAAGAAGGCTACCTTGTTGGATAAAGGGCGTGGCGAGCGGAAGCCCGATGCTGAGGAAATGGAAGCCGAAATTCAAGCCATGGAGACGGATAAAGATTCCGATTCACGACTGCGTATTTACGTGCAGGTCAACACTTCTGGCGAGGAGAACAAAGCGGGTATCGAACCCGCTGCTGCACCGGCTTTGGCGAGACATATCCGGGAGAAATGTCCCCGGCTTAAATTGCAGGGTGTCATGACTATCGGTGCTATTGCGCGGTCAAAGGCTACGACTCCCGAGAACCAGAATGAGGATTTCGTTTGTTTGCGCGAGACCCGGGATCGGATCGTTTCTGAGTTGGGGTTGACTGGGGCGGATGCCGAGTTGGAGTTGAGTATGGGGATGAGTTCGGATTTTGAGGGGGCGATTGCGCTGGGGAGTGATCAGGTTCGTGTTGGGACCACTATCTTTGGAGAGAGGCCTCCCAAGGCTGAGGCTAGGGTTATTTGATCACCCGGGGAAATTTTGAGAATGGTGGATTGGGAGTTGTATAGGTGGATTACGAGTCATGAATTGTTGCATCTGAAGCGAGGAATATATCGTTGTGTTGTCGTCTGTAGAGCTCCATGAGACGTTTGTCAATGGGGTGGGAAAGAAAGTTATTCTAGATAGATGTAATTTACAATCCGATATACCGCTATCACTCTTCCGGTTGAGACTATACAAAAATACATACGAGGCATCCAAATGAACGCTCGCTGATATTTGGCTGGGAAGCTACTCAAAAGATATACATGCATGCCCCCAATCACCATCGCTTACATTATGCACCTCATCCTTCAGCGGGTTGAACCCTCTTCCACTCGCAATCCTAATCTGCTCATAGAGATCCCCTTTAGTCATAGGCATCTCTCGTAGTTCCCTGAGATAGTTTCTGCTCCATCTGTCGCGCCAATCCCTGCGGCACACCTTCTTTCGTGGCGCGGATGGTAACTCGGTACATCTATCACAAGGTTAGTGTTTATACTCGAACAATTCATCACCATAGCAGGATGTATACATACCGACTTCTCATAGTTGGGCTCCAGTCGCAACAAACAGCCCGTCTTTCCCCCTTCAAACTGGAACACACCACAACCGACAATGTTCTTCGGGTTCGGATCGACACCATCCAGGATCTTCCACGCAAATCCTTCCACCATCTGTCGAGTATACGCCTCGTTGGTCACCTTGTTCTTGCCGCTGAGGCCAAAGGTCTTCTGCGCCTCCAGAGGGCCACCACCAATCTGGCGCCAACGCTTGAAGAAGTCCTCTGCGGACAGCGACGACGGCTCCATGTATCGGTGCATCAGAACTGGCAGCTGCAGGGTATATGCCTGCAGAGCACCGGCCAGGTAGGAGATACGGATGGTGGGGGCATCCGAGAAGGGGCCGTGCGACGCGCAGAAGATAGTCTGCTGGGTCTGCCCAGCTGCAGGAACGCTTGAATCGGGGAGGTTCTTGGTGTCGATCTTCAGGTTTGGTGCAGCTGGGTTTTCGAGGGTCGTGGTCAGGGAATTGATGGCGTAGGCGGATTTGTTTGAAATGTACATCTTCACGACACCCATGTGACCACGGTACTCTGACCGTAGTCCAACCTGGATCTGTGCATCTTCAAAGAGCACACCCTCGTGCGAGAAGTAGAGTCGGTTGTAGCCAATGTCCCAATCTGGGGTCAAATGTGCGGCACTGGCTAGGTTAGGAGGAGGGGCCGAGGGACCGCTAAAGTCCAGACCGGCCAGATCACCCGAAGCACTGGTGGCGCTGGTGGGAGTAGTTCCTCCATTGGATGCTTTGCGTGTACCGTTGACGATGGTAGTGAACGTGCGCTTGAGGCCGGTGTTCTGTGCCATGAGAACTTCTTGCTTGTCCGCATTGGCGTCCTTGCCACCAACGACCCAGGTCTTCTTCTCGCTGGTACCCGCCGTCTTCTGATGCAGCCGAGACAAAAGAATGGACGTCCTCTCGGAGAATGGCGGCATTTCATCACAAACTGTCCGAAGAAGATCATCCGTGGGGAGTGTTGCCAGCGAGAGATACTCGAATGCTCGTTGCTGCAACTCGGAATCGGGGGAGTGGCTGTAAAGGCGGAAGATCTGCAACAGTTGCGGTTTGATCTCAGGGAACAAGTTGACAAACTTGACAAAGGAAGACAAGATCATGGCTCGAGCATTATCAGATCCAGTGAACATCTTGGCCTGTAGGGCGAGGAACTGCTCAATAGGACTTGATCCAGGATTATCCGCGATTAGATGGCCAAACTCGCCAAGTACATAGCAGCCGATCTTCACTAAGCTTTCGTGGCAATCGGTCTTGAGATACCCGAGTAGCGTGTGAGCGGCATAAGCCTGCAGCTCTTCATTATTCGTCACGATCTGAATGACTCGCTGCCAAACTTCCTCGTTGACGTGGTCACCAGCTAGCGACAGCAGCTTCAGGGTCATATCGATGTACCATTGTGCGTCAGTGGCGTACTTTTCAGTCAGAATAGCGACCTTCAGCACCATCTCTTCACGAATGGCATAGTCAGCGGTCTGCAGATAGCGCAGTAGCTCGTTGACAATTGGGCCCGCATTGGTGGTATCGCACATGCTGTACAGTAGATCCAGACCCTTACGACGGACACTAATATCTCGGTCTCGAAGAGAACCCAGGATAATGTTTTGATGCTTTTTGATGGGATCGAGTGTTTCCGCTCGAGCAGCGAAATGGGTCAAGGCATCCAAACCCAGGTACCGGACGTTGGTCTCGCGAGACTGGATGTATTTGCCCAGACGAGAGGAGATTTGCATCATAAGTGTGTGCTCAGAGTCAAGGTGGATGAGGAGGTTGATGGCTTCGAAGAGAATGGCATTTTGAGCATTGTTCTGCTGGACGTTTTTGGGCGTTTCCATGGCGGCCTGCATGATCTGCGCCAAGGACTCTCGGATAATCTCGCGGACATGGCTGTCCTGCGAGGGGGGATAGTATTGCAGTAGGCGCAGTAGTTTGACCTGAATCCATGGGCATGGAACTCGGTAGTAAAGATAGTCGGGTGCGATATCGTTGTCCACCACGATTCGCTTCAGCCTCTGGGCCGCTTTCACGTAGCTGCCCTTGTATTCTTCGGGCATGTCCTGCGCGAGCGCCATAACGAGCGAGGTGACGGATAGCGTGACTCCCATGTCGGGGTCATCCATGATCGAGATGATACGTTCGGCCCATTCGTTCCGCACGATTCCTGGGTACTTGCGGTACAGTCGGAGCAATGTGAGGGCGGCCTTTTTCTTGACGAACGCCTTAGAGGTCCTTTTAAACGGTTAGCTTTATCAATAATCCCCCATATCCGAATATCCGAGGTCATGAACTCACGGTGAGATCAGGAGTCGGTGGACCTCGGTCGCCAATGCTTCTCCGAGTTCCCGACCACCCACATTGGCCACAGCATGCAGCGCCAGACAATTGAACAATTCATTGTTGTCCAACAGGTCTTTCCGAATGCTGTTCACGACCAGATGAAGCAGCTCGTGCTCCTCGTGCAAGAACAAGGTCACGGCCAGATAGCCGATCTGCTTCTCGGAGTATTTATTCGAAGAGATGAGATTGACTGCCTCCAGGTGACCAAAGTCGACATCGTAGCCCTGGATGTAGACGTAAAGCAGCTTGCAGACATATTTCTTCTTCTGATAGCCGTTCAAATTGCCAGCTTTGAATTTCTGTCGGATGTTGGCCAGCTCCTTATTGACGCGCTTCTCCTCCAATTCGCGCGCCCGCGCATTGCGCAGGTCTGCGATGAACTGGACGAGTCCTCGCATAGAAGACATGGTGTCGGTTTATGTTTTCGATGTAGGCCGTAGGCCTTGGGGGAAATGCTCAGGCGATTTCACAGCGAATGATTCGGTATTTTGGGGGGTGGGGTTCGAGGTACAGTCTCGCATGCCACGATGTCACCTCAGGGGTTCGCGATCGGACTGACCACGTCACACAACCATGTCCCTGTTGTATTGTGTCGTCGATGGGGCATTGGCTATCGGGGTGTTCGGCGACAGGTTTATCGGATGCGCAGGCCGGGGGAAGGAGAGCTTCGAAACAGGGGGTTGTGCGGGTCGCAGGCTATCTTAGGGGATTGTCAGCAATGACGACGGGCGCCGAATCAACGCACACAGGAGAGAACAATCATCATACCAGGACACGATATGTCAAATTAAATGGGTTTCAAAATAAAGACCACAAACTTGAAGTCAAGTTGAGAGCCACCTCCATATAACACGTCCCGCGTGGTCTTTCACTTGGCTACTTCCGCCGTCGATCGCCGGGGCTCCGCTGTGGCACGGCGGAATAATGATGATACGCTGTGGCGGTGCGTCCGAAGTAGAGGACCATGGTTATGCTACATTGACTCAACGTTGCTTCTGAAATTTATGACCTGAGAATTCCTCTTTCGTAAAATATGCCCAGAATGTGCAAAGAATGGCACTCTCTCTGCTGAGCCTACCTTTTGAAATTCGACGCATCATATGGGAATTTCTCCTTCTCTCAAACCAAGCCGTTGATGTGGACCAAAGTATATCATCAACTAATTTCGGATATGTCGGGAAGTCGAATGGCCTCTGTTCAACCATCCTACGCCTGAATCGCCAAATATACCATGAGACTGTCGATATGCTCTACTCGAAAAATCAATTTCGTGCATCAGCTTCGCATCTTTTCCCACCCCGTTGTCCTGCTTCATTACTGGTCTTGTTCGACCAAATTGGGGTGACCAATGCAGCTCGGATTCAAAGCATCTGCATCTATGATTTGAGCGATCTTTCCCAGTCTTTTCCAGGAGACATTCTGGATACTGAAGATTATCCGAACGTTTCCAAGACTATCCGGTCCCGTTTCCCTGGCCTTTCCAGGCTTGGGGTACATCATCCCGATTTCCACTATCTGCTAAACCCGGACTCCCACGAACAGGCAAATGAAATTCCATGTACTTGTCACGGCTGGGATACTCGGAAATCTGGCTTGGCTTCAAGGCCAAACTTTCGTACTATTGTTTGCTGAGTCTGTACATCACTTTTGCACATGTCTTCACCATGGCTACGGTCCGTCGAGCGCTGACATATGATCTGACCGAGCCAAGTAGAATTGGAATTTGTACATTATTTTGAGGAACGATCATCGTTGAGATGCCGGTAAATGTATGATTAGGATCGAGAACGTTACATCAAGGTCTACGTATACTACAGTCCGATGGATGAGAGTTCAACGAACGTGTATAGGTTGCCGTTGCTGAGGGTACCGTAAAAGTAGCACGAAACCTGGTGGATCTGGTGAAAAAGTGTGGAGAATATGACGTGGGAACTTTTGCAAAGGAAACACGAGCATAATGGCAGCTCGAGAGGTACACCATCAGTGACGCTCATTCATTTATTTCTGGGACAATACAGAAGCGTGCTCTCGCTCTCTGTGATATATCTCTACCCTAACTTACTTGTAACTTCTCTAGTGCGGTATGTAGAATTCCAATGTTTCAGTGGAAGCATGATAATATTTCATGGCTCGTAATGGATTACATATGAATGATATGGATCAAACTATTGTATAGTAGTGCAAAGTAACCCCGGAATAGTCCCACAAAAACGCCAGCCTTCCCAAAACCAGAAAGATAATGCACATTAAGCAAAACCCCGAAATGCATGGATCATCAATCAGCAACACCAATCAGCGAGGTGATTCATGCGCGGGTGGTGAAGTCCTGCTCCAGAGCGGACTCAACACCCTCAGCCTTCTCACAGGTGCAGGAAGCTAAAGGAGAGATATTAGAATGTCTCGTCGTTTTGATTTCATCATGTTGGAATTCGAAACTTACCAGAAGGACGGCTGCCGCAGGCACAAGTCTCGCCCTGGACGGGCTTGTTCTCGGAGACAGCGCGCTCACAGGTGCACTGGCCAGCGGGGCGAGAGCCTAAAGATAATATTAGTATCAAATGATCTGATAAGCATCTTGATAATTAGGAAGATTCAAAACTTACGGCAAGAGCAGCGGGGGCCCGAGATCTCGTTCTCAGAGGAAGCCTTGTTGCAAGTGCAGTGGAGGGCAGACTCCTTGCCGCAGGAGCACTTGGCCTGAGCAGCGCAGACGCAGCCTGCGCCCTGGGTAGTCTTGCAGCAAGTAGAAGCGACCATTTTGACGGTGTTTGTTGGTAGATTGAGTTGAGGTAAAGTGGGTCTTGGTAGATAAGCTTGCAGCTTGAAGGTGGTCAACGGAAGTTGCTGGTGTAAAGGTTGAAAGTACGGAAGAAGATGTTCTTTGAGATTGAAATAGCAGTGAAGATGAAGATGGAATAGAGGAATTAAAGAAGCAGGGAAGTAGTGACTTTATACTCGTCTGAATGCGTCACAGCGATGTGGCCTGATTATTATTGTCTGTGCGCTGATTGGCTTATGGAGGGTGGTCACGTGGAATGGAGGTCATATTAATCGGTCGCTGATTGGCGGATGTCCCTGGGTGACTCTCTTGCTGGCAAATGGACGTCTTATGACTGGTTTATTCCTCGTTGATGACCATTGCCCTTCTTCTGATTCGATGAATAGCTCACATGTAGGTCATTATAAGCTCTTATCCAAGCAGAGTGCAGATAATTACACAGGAGGCGCAGACGTGGCAGGAAACTGCCAGAAGTTGCCGATCTTCTATGATCAGGCAGATTGGAAATCGGGGCACGGGAAGTGGGGACTGGAGCATCGAAGGAACAAGGACATTACAGTAGCGGCCCGAGCATGGATGTCAATGCTCAGGACTTTTGAACCAGTATCTAGTTTGGTTGAAATCCATGAAAACATAGTAATCGGTGCCCAGATGCTGTTTGCTTACTGTTATGTCTACGACAGTGTCCCATGCGGTTGTCAGGTCGAATAAGTATATCGATGCTGCCACTGCGGAGCTTATATCAATTGACGCCAGCTTTTTCCGCAGCAGCTTGCTCTTCCGAAGTAGCACCACTTGCCAACGGGCCGTCATCCAAAATCGTAGACCGACGCACATCTCTTGCCGTCATATCTTCCGTGTAAGGATTAGCACGATGCATGGATTGTCTGGAGATACCGTCAGCAATGCTTTAATCCATGCGAAACATTTGCAGGCTTACCGATTATCCCACCACACCATGTCGCCGCCAGACAGCCACTCCATACTAAAAACATACTTCCACGACAGACCAGTTAGCAGCGCCCAACGACAAGGCGGAATTGGGCAATGTACCTTGGACTGTGTGCAATGGCCAATAAGCTCCCAGATCAGCTTCTGACTCTTCTCCAAATCCATGCCCAGGACTCTCTTGGCATGGGCTGCGAGGTACAGTGTTTTGCGACCATCGGGGGCTACTTGTACAAGCCGGTGGAATGCCGGTGGCTTTGCTGCCAGTTCATGAGGCAGGGGGTTGCCAAATACAGCCGGAGATGCTAGTTTTCGAGAGTGCCAAAGGCTAAATAGTCCAGTTAGTGCGAATTCCAGATAGCCAGCCTGGGTCGGGAGAATACACACTCATGCTCAATCACGAGGTCTTCAATCTGATCTTTCTTGGCCTGGGAAAGATCACTGTAGGCCCGGCGCATGTCCGCAAAGTGAGTCCAAGATCCACCCTCCACAGGACTCCCATGGGAAAGAAGAATTGAATATTTTGAGCGTTGTTGATGATATGACGAATCCTGGAAGACTAGTTAGACTTATTTAACCCCCTGATGAGTTTTCGCACTCACTGTATGCCACAATGCATTTCCCAGACTGTGATGATAGCGACGGCTGTTCAATTTTACCAACGAGCCATCCAACTCGATACTATAGTTGTATTAGGACGTATATTCGTGTGGTGCTCAACTCGTGACTTACTTGGCCACATCGAACAATAATGGCTCCCCCAGACGGTCATTCTCACGTCCATAAAAGAAAGGATTGATTTCAAGCTTGTCACCGAGTTTTTGTGAAAATGCAATGTGGCGAGCATTGTTCAAGCCTGTTTTCCGAAAGATCAATACTCCATACTTGTCTTGCAAAGCGACCAGCTGATGTCTTGTTAGTCGAGTTGTTCTGCAATAATCCGGATCTATGACTGACCTGGGCCACAATAGTGTCCGGAATAGGTTTGCTCCAATCAACTCCAAACACCTCAGCGCCGAAAGAGCTATCTTCCGATTGGAAGACTGGCTTGATGCTGAGCGGGCCTTCTTCGATAACGTCGGCGCAACCCGTCCGAGGAGGGCAGGTATTCTCGTATTGGCGAATGTACATGTGATCTAAAGACATGGCTGATTCGTTCCCAATCGATGTTATCGAGAGTGCAAGCACTATCATTTTAAGTTTCCCTTTGAAGCTCGGGCTCAGTAGGGCAGTGATAAGATTGCCAATGCGCGGCAGGACAGCCGTGCGGCCCGCAGCCGATGACCCCGATCGCCGCGCCCGAGTAGATAACGGCGTCAGTCATGTCATAACGAGGTGCGATATCTACAACGCCCCAATTGCACTCAACTTCTCTGTAGACGACAATGACAACCGCAAACACCGTCCGCATCACTGCCGGCCCGTTCCAATTCCTCGCTAATTTCGAGTCGGCTGCGCCCAAAACGGTCGAGCTCTTCCGTTCGCTCCTCCCATATCGCCAGAAACTCATCCATGTCCGATGGAGCGGCGAGGCAATGTGGATTCCATTGGGCGAGACCGACTTCGGGATTCCCTTTGAAAACCATACAGCCCATCCAGCTTCCGGGCAGATTCTCTTATACCCGGGAGGTATTTCCGAAACCGAGTTTCTCTTCTGCTACGGTGGCGTCTCTTTTGCAAGCAAGATGGGCTCACTAGCTGCAAATCACTTCTTGACGATCATTGAAGGGAATGAGAACCTTCGTGCGCTCGGGGAATTGGTTCTTTGGAAGGGTGCACAGGATGTGTTGTTTGAGTTGATCGATGACGAGAAGTAAATGAAGATCTGAAAAGAACGTGATATTAAAGAGGCAAGTGGGAACTAATGACAAGTATAATATACAGAAATCCTCGGTCGGTCAAGCTATAAGCATTTTACCCGGCAAGCATTCCGTTCATGTTCCAGTCGGTGAAGTCGCCTGTTTCGCCGAGAAGGCTTCCTGCCCAGTCCACGCCGGAATCATTCATGAATTCCAGAAGAGACTGGAATGCCAAATCGTTTTCTTCTTCGGTAGTTTGGGTATTGTCGTGGTCAGAGGCAATGACAAGAGAAGTGGCGTAGCGAACAATGCCTTGAAAGTCACGAGCGAAATGGAAAGCCGCGGTCGGACAGACACCATCAAATATTTTGAGCACAAGATTGAGGAGTCTGGCCAAAATAGCACTGGACGATGGGGCAAGGCGCGTGGTACTTGTGTGGAGGCTTTCGGTTTTGGGGCATATCTGAAGATTTTCTTTTTATGGAATTGGTGTTAAACATAGAGCATTACCCAAAGAATAACGTCGACGGGGGACCCTACCATTGATAATGCCTCTCATGTAGCAAATGACTAAGAATGTCGCTGCAAATGTATATGAAATCCAGGTCGAGTCCACCGCATAGTAAAGTCGGCCGATAGATCCCGGATCGGCATGGAAAGGGCCGTCCGGGAAGCTCGAGGAAATCTGTGAATCCAGTCGCCAGACAAAGTCTGCCCCGTAGGCTGATAAGGAAAGTATCATTTGTGCAGCCGCTGTCAGACTAATTTCGAGTGGCTGATGGGGCGTTGCCTGTATTGAGTCTGCCGGCGGTTGTGATGCGGCAGAGAGTAAGGGCGCAAGAGAGGCGCTGTTTAAGGAAAGTCGATACCACTGTGGCAGTCGTTAGTTGGAGAGAAATTCTTTCTATTCACAAGGGTTTGACGTACTCGAAGAGAGTTGAAGGGAAGTTGGTTATGTTGAGATTCGGTGTTTCCTGGCGGTGGTCAGTAATAGAAAACGATATCCGAACACTAACATACGTAAAATAGGGAACCAAGTTCTAGCCAGGCCTGTTAGCAACGCTTTGTGTCTTAAAGTATAGAAAGACAACGGTTACCTCTCCCATGAATCCAATTCCTTGTTCAAGTTCTGGAGACTATGTGCCTGCAAACGACGCCCCGAAATATCGCCACAGCTGCACATCGCTCGATAAACAAACCCCACGAGCTCTACAAGTGCTGTCACCCGAATGTCCCCTGGGTACTGCGTCTTGCTGTGTGAGCTGAAGGTCCGGGCTACCTGTACCGACAAAGCCGGATCCACCGACGCAGGAAGACCCGAGGTGAGCATTAAATTGAAGTTGCAGGTAAGCAGGTTGTACCATACTCGGAGCCGGCTAACGTCATATTTGGAAGGATCCTTGGAGTGCTCTCGAAATGGTGCTATAGCAGACCGCTCGAGACCCAACAGAGTGGCATATCGTAACGCTAGCCCCAGGACAGCCCAGGCACTGATCTCGTTATATCGACTACTGGGCGGGCGAGACAAATTCTCGCCACTGTCAAGCTCATCTCCATCCTCCCGAGTGGAAGGCATCCACTGAGCATAGAGAAGAAGCACCCTGATGGAATCCAAGGTCACATCTGACGGGGTAGGCCGGAGAAGCAGCCTGGAGACTGCCTTATCGAGCAAACTTGTGAGTTTGTTGAAGCTTGGATGAACAGCATCCCTTGAGGCTCTTCTTTAGGTGATAAGTGTCAGTCTACTCGGGTATTTGGATGAGGTCGGCTTACTGTCGAATGCCATTATTCCAAAATCGGGTTCCAACCGAGCATATCGCCAAAATCAAGGTCGGGGAGTGGCGACCCAGATCATGCCACGAGTAACAAATGTCCTCGTCAAGCACAGGGGCTGAAGGATGACAGTGTTGGAAGAATCTGGATGTGGGAATCAGTCCAAGTTCGTTTTCTCGAAATAGGGTGGGGAAATACGCACATATCGATCGCACGCTGCGACTCGTGCACTGAAAGCAGACCCTGAGATATGGGGTCAAAGGTATTTGCAAATATTGGCTTCGCAAACGAAGTCGGCTCATATTCCGTTTTTGATTCGTCTGTTGCCAGCGCGCCTAGTGATCGAAGCGTGGCAATGGGTGCGCCCAAGTCAATGCCATCAACTGCTGATCCAGGAGTGCGAGACGCGCTAGTTTGGCTTGGTGAGATTGATTGTTGGGGGCTCTCGGGGATCAGGCTGTTCTTTTCTGCTTTGGTATTTCCATTCTTCACGTTGTCTGGCAAACTCGGCTCGCCTAGCAAAGAAGCTCTTTCTAGTTCGCGAATTCGGGCTTCATGATGGTTGACTCTGTTGAATATCTCAGCTTCTGCTTGCTCGATACCAATACGATTGACTTTACTGCGCTTGAAGCTCTACAACCAATTGCGCCAAACGGGAGGGACTTTGTGTCACATCTGAAATTGGCGGTCGGTCGGTTTCAAAGGAACAAGTAATGGACAATTTTTGGCATCGCTTGCATGGAGCCTGCAAATCAGCTGCCAGAGATGGTGGTAAGCACCTCTGCTTCCTAGCGCGACACTAAATTTCAAGGACTTGTCATTGGTTGATCACAGATGGGACTATTCCAGGGACAATACCCTACCTGTAGGCAGGCACGAGAGATGCGGCGCACCTTGGCTGGGCGCTCATCATCTGAGCTAGGATTGTCGGTTGATAATCTGGTCGGAACCTGAGCCGACATACTGAATCGAGTGCACAAGGCGACAGTGGAGAGGAAACATTCGAAACCCTGTCAACGTTGGAGGGATATTCCAACGCTGCCTAGGCTGCTTATCAGGCTTTATCTTCTCGTGGCTGATAAGCGTTTAGAACAATGATTGGCTGCTCACCTGATCTATACTTCTATCTCCTAGACTGCAGTGACTTCGTTTGGCTGGATCAACGATATAGGAAATGCCCCTAAGTCTTGAATTCGATTGTAAAATAGGGAGAATTGAAAACTTAAAGTGCTTTCAATAGCTATTCATCCAATGCTCGCAAGTCCCCCGGGCAAAGAATTACTGAGTTAGCGACCAAACACCAACATTATGCGCTACCACATTCCTCCTTTCCACGTTGTAGGCCATGTTGGCGCTATTCATATAGCCAGTTCGCCACACGGTAGGGATCTTGATCAGTACGGGGCGATTTATGGCTTAATTGGCTTGGCCCACGCTTTACATATTGTCCGTCCCGTACCTTGCCCACTACCTTGCCGTTTGCCCACATCACCTTACCCCGAAGAATCGTATACCGAGGCCAGTTGACAAGCTCTATTCCTTCATAAGGAGTGTCTACGGGGAATTTTGTTAGGTTGACCACACAGCAAGGCTTAGATCAATGCCACTTACAGTCGACATTATGATGCAGCATGGAGTTATGTAGACGGAAAGGTGTAAAAGCTTTTTCCGGGTGCCACTAGAGTTGCAATGAATGGTTAGAAAACTTCCATATTGCTTACATGCATGGTCACTTACAATCACAAAATCTGCGTCGGATCCTGGCATCAACGCCCCTTTCTTGGGATATAGTCCGTACTGTACACGGGTCAATTATGCAATACAACTCAGATTGCTTCAACCTTATTCTTACCAATTTTGCAGGGTTGGTGGATGTCAACTCCACAAATCTCTGGGGAGTGATGCGGCCCGTTGCTAGCGCCCCGGTATAGAGCAAGGGCAGTCTTGTCTCCACGCCAGGAATCCCATTTGGAATGAAGCGGAATGCGCCCTGCTTCCGCTCCAATAAATTCCTCAGGTCATGACCTTCGCTAATTGTCTCACCCTCCATACTCTCAGGATGTTCAAGGACACCCGAGGGTTTTCCGTGGGGGTGGTCGTAACGGAATGGGCAATGATCAGAGGAGTAGATGGTGAATGTACCATTTGAGAGGCCGCTTTTGGTTAGTCAGTATTGTCTCCTTCAGCTCGAGAGGATTATGTCTTTACACAAAAAGTTCTTCATGATCTGAAGTACTCGGTGGCGGGGGCGGAGAGCAAATCATCTTGCTGTTTTCAAAACAGGTGGGTGAATGAAAGCGCTTCTACAAAACAGCTTGGTAAGTAGGCCGCCGAGTTTCAATTTTGCTTATGGACATGGATACTTACTAGATCGTTCCAGGTCAAATGGAAATACTGAGGGCATGTTTCGGCATAAACAGGCAGGCCCATTGTTTGTGCTCGGCGAACGTTGGCTGCACCAAGCTACTTCCGTTAGAAACGGATTTCCATTTTGATAATCGGTGTCAACATACCACTGATCCAACATGGACAAACAAAATGGGGTTCTGAATCAACTGTGCGAGAGCGATGGCTCGCGTTGTAGCTTCCCCCTCGACAATTGGGGGTCGTGATAAAGCGTGGTAGTAAGGGGCTGGTTGGTTTTAGCAAGGGAAGGTAAGTGCAAATAGTTTTTTCTTTTTCTTTTTTTCCTCGAGCTTTCCTATACCTCTATTAGTCTCATTCTGATTATCATTGGGCCTCAACCGTGTTTTCTTTACCTGTGAGCCACTGAATCATATCGCCATTCTCAGCATGTATCATCTACAAGATTAGCATGGCTCATATTTAAGGCTTTAAAAGAACACACCGTAGTGATGGCGTTCTTCCTAGCTTCAAACATCACGTCAAGCAGTTGCGAGTCGGTCAGCCGCTGAGTATCGTAAGTCAGGAAGAGCTTGCAACTGCTGATCCCCCAGTCTTTGACCAGAACAGGAAGCTCATTTTCGAGAATATCCTGATCATTCCGAACGATGATAATATGGAACCCATAATCCGCATATGAACCTGTCTCTTCAGCCCGAGCATTATATGTTTCGACTACCTTGAGCAAACTGCGATCCTCTTCCGCACGAGTTTGAGTTGCAAAGGTAATAATAGTCGTGGTTCCACCAGCAATAGCACTTAGGGACCCTGTTTCAAAATTGTCGGCGCACTCTCCTCCAAGGCCGTGGGGTCCTGTTAAAGATAATGTCAAACCGGAAGTTGCACACGTTGCGATGGATATGACTTTATAACATACCGGTCTTTAAATCTTGGCATAGGTGGACATGGGCATCAATGCCTCCAGGCATTACGTAGGCCCCTCTGCACACAAAGAATGGGTTAAATTGTCCTCATGATGCTCCAAATACGACATACTCAGCATCTATGACCTCCACCCCAGATAACTCGTCTTCAGCGAACGAGTCAACAAGAGCGCGTATCTTTCCATTCTTAACGCCTATACAACATGCACTTTATTGGATCAGCCTCTTTGTACTACCTCAAATATGGAGAAGCTGGATACCTAATGTCACTGGCAGTTACGATGACTGCATTGATGATAATTAGATCAAACATCCTGGCCATTTCAGGTGATGCGGATATAGAGGACGGTTGGTCAGTGCGATGAGTTATAGCGCTACTGAATTTACGGCCCATGCGGCCTGCCAACCGATCGGGCTGTTACCGCGTCTTATCATGGCCGTGCACGATAAGGATCGTTATCATGGCTCTCGAGATAAGGGGGATGGATACATTGGCGTAATCAAGGATCCGCCCATGACCCTTATCTGCTGGCTGTTTTGAATTGGTCACGGTTTTGGCTAAAGATCTGGTTAACTGTATCTTGCACACATGTTTATCGCATGGCAACGAGGATGCCCATAGCCTTGTAGCCGAACATTGGGAATGTAGTTATCCACATTTGAAAATTCCCAACCCCGAAGGGACGATCCAAGCCTCTTTTACGATACACTTTTGTAATTTTATTCATGGTACCGTTAACTAAATGGAGCGACTATGACTTTCCAAAGGTTGACCACGAGAAGCTGCCAATTGATGAAACTTGCATACTATCTGCTGAAAAGATTCTAGTTACAAATGCCGCTGTACATGTCCCTCCCACTATTACCAAACACTTGATGTTTCTCAGATATTCTCAGAGATCTTTTTCCAGGTGCTCTTGGGCGGTTCCTAAGCCCGCGGGTATTAGTTACATAACTTGCAGCGCCAATGAGAGTGCATCACTTACGTCGTCGGGTATGGCAACCGAAGAACCAGTCACAAAATCCATCTCAGTATAGCCAATCATCTTCGATTTATTCCAGAACTTGTAGCCAAAGTAAAGCACGGCGAAGAAGGGGAGAGGGAAGTATGTGGTGATGAACGAAGAGACATCAAAGGAATGGACTTGATTGAAAGTTAGTAACACCGATCAGACAAATGTAGATGCACACTCACTGAAAGCACTGAAGCCACCAAAAATCATAACCATGGTGGTAATTGAGATTCCATCTGAGAGTATCATTAGTGAGAAGGATTCTAAATGCCCAATGTCCTTGGGACAACTTACAATAAGACAGATACGGTTGCAAAGGGGCCCTATATGGCAAAGTCTTGCGGTCAATACCCTGCACCTTCAGACCTTTGTGCCAGCGAATGCTGGTCCACAGAATACCGGTCCACGAAATCATGCCACACATGGCGGTCATATTCGAAACTTTTGCAGAGTTAGCTTAAAACCTGACCTAGCTCTTGATGGAAAGGTGTTGCCCTCACAGTATCCGAAGACTGTGCCCGCTTCTCCCGAGGCAGCGGCCATGAAGGAGAGCAAAGCGAAGACTGCACAGAATAGGAAGCAAACCCAAGGGAAGCCATCTTTACGGGTCTTCAAAAAGATCCTGGGGACATGTCCTTTCACAGCGAGTCCGTACAGTGTACGTGTAGACACAAAGAGATCAGCAATTCCAGCAGACCATGCACTGATAAGGAGAGCAGCGTTGATTATAGATGGCAGAACGGAGATGCCGGCATTCTTTCCCCAATTCATCAGCCAATAATTGCAGTTGAGAGGAAATTGTTATGACTCACAGCGATTGCGATGACAAAGGGGCTTTTGGCCGCCGTCGAAGAGAGGTCAAGGGACGGGTCTGATGGGGAGACGAGCAGTCCAATCTAATGTCGTCAGTTGACAGTCTATACACGTTTAATACAGGCGATCCTACCAAAAAAGCACTGCAAACATAAACTGCGGGTTGCGAAAATAAGTATGAGTATTATTAAATGGGAGAAAGAAAACTCACAAAGAACAAGTCTTATCCAGACGCTCTTGATAGCCCGGGGAACGTTCTTTTGGGGCTATGGAAATTACCAAGGTCAGATCTACTCGAAAGATGTTACATTGTATAGGGCACGTACATTAGAGGTTTCAGCTGCAGCGATTGCTGTGATTTCAGATCCAATGAACGCAAATGCCGCATTAATTAGTACTGCGAAGTTGTCAGTAAAGTGACAGATTGGGGTGTACTCATGCTCTCGTACCGCTGAAAAAGCCGAGGAATCGCCCCTTGGCACCACCTGCCACGAAAAGTTGTTAGGTATTGCATGGATCTCCCAATTTCGAAGATGTGGCTCACCAATATCTTTATATTGTTGGAAGCCACCAGTTTCATTCCAGAACTTGAACCCAATAGCTTTGTGATTCGGGCCACCACCAGCACTGATAATAATACCAGAGATAATGAGACCGATAATTGTCAAGACCTGTGTTTTTTGTCAGTTGCCTGGTGTAGGTCGGATTAAAGAGCCGAAGATAATACTTTTATCGAACAGAACCAAAACTCCATCTCGCCGAACACACGGGTTCCAGCATAATTGACAAGGAACTGCTGGAAGTCAACACCACGAAGCGCTTCAGATGAACCAGGACCACATACGACAACAATCAGCATAAGTCCTACCCACATAGCATTGTTGCAGATACAGGTGGTGCAAGTGGAATCTGTCTGTCCTGCCGGGGTCCAGTAGGTGATAAGCACAGCGGCAGCAGAAATCTCAGCCGGCAAAACAACTAGAAGAATCATAAATAGTAGGCCAATTCAGGGGACTCGATGTTCGTACTGATGTAGCTAAAGGTTTTTGTTAGCGCCTAGGAGGGGATGGAGTTTCGTCTCTGCTTACTTATACCAAAACAAAATACCCATGGCAAATCCCAGCTCTGGAGAGTTGAAACGACTAGCGAGAGCAAACTGGCCTCCCGGCATGGGAAATTGGGACACCATTTCACCAAGAGCGACCTAACAACGCCTGTCAGGCTAGTTGAACACGCGGCTGCGAGGAGGCTACTGTAAATCTTACCATTACCGAGAACAAAAGTGAAGCCATGATGCAGTAGCCAAGAAGTAGACCTGCAGGACCACCATGTTGCAAATCACTGCCTGTTCCCAAGAAGAGACCAGTGCCCTGACTAGTGTAAGAATGGGTTAAATCAGGTGGTAGCTTGAATCACTCACAATGACACCTCCTATTGCAATCATTTGTCTGGTATTATCAGATATTGGACAAGCCGTCGGTCGAAACAATTTAACACTCACAGATGACGCGGCTAAATGCGATCAGTTAGCTTCACGAATACCGAGGACTGGGGCTTAAGTGGTACCTTGAGCTTCCGCTGGAGACCATGATTGAGGTCTTGGTTCTCTGCTGTTCCATTCTCAACGGAGACTTCATTGGCAGCGAAGCCCATATCCTGCTTTTTCTACAAAGTTGTGGCTTGATTAGTACAAAAAGTTGTCGCCGTACTCACCCTGATTGACAGTTCGCTTGCAGTTTGGTACATACCTCGTCCTGGATCATGTCGGTATCGATGTAATCGAATGACAAAGTGAGCGTTGAATCGAGGAAAAAAGAGGCATCCATGGGTTTATTATTTAGCTCTCGAGCCATTCAATATCCCTAAAGCTTAAGCTTTCTCCAATCGCTTCTCCTGTAGGCCGACTGATAACGGCGCGGGTCCATCGGAGCCTTCCCGCAATTGCTTATCAGGCTCCATCGGGCTGGATGCCGATGGGGCCGACTGATAAGTAGAGGAGATATTCCTATGCGAGCAGAGGCAAATCCACAGAAAGGCTAAGGTGGGATACAATATCATTCACGAAGAAACCCTGTTGTCTTTCGACGATAATTTGTGACCATGGCCGATTCGTTCCAGACACGGGTGCTGCAACCCGGAGTCTATGCGCCGCTACCCACATTTTTTGACGACAACCAGGAAGTCGACTATGATTGCTACAAGAAACATCTTCTCAGTATGCTCCACCATAAATCTTAACACTGAACAAAATCATCTAATGGCGATGTTCGCAGACTTGGCCACCAAGGGCATGGGTAAGTTGTCGCAGGTGGAATGCAAAGCCAACTACTAATAAATCTCCACTCCCAAAAAGTCCCAGTATGTGCCGGTTCGCTGGGAGAGGCAGTCCACTTGGTAAGCCATCTTATCAACTAGCTAGCATTGCAGCGCTTAATGGAAATAGAGCTTCACTGAGCGAACGGCTCTCATTCGTTTCATTCGGGATACCTTAGATGAAGCTGGGCTCCGGTCAACACCAATAGTGGCCGGAGTGGGTGGCTCGAGCACGAGAGAGACAATTCAACTGGCACGGGCAGCAGCAGAAGCTGGAGCGTAAGTCTTACTAAGGCTGAATTGTGTTGAATCTCATTCTAACTCAGTACAGAGATGCCGGGATGGTGATACTACCTGCTTATTACGCCGCAAGTCTTAATACCGACCAAGAACAAGTCCTTCAATACTTTATTGATATCTGTCAAGGCTCACCAGTGAGTTATCAAGCGAAAAAAAAATACGGCATCCCTCACAGTATCATTGACTTAGTCGCAGATACCAATTTTGCTGTATAATTTCCCAGCGAATGCTGGGGGCCAGGATATCTCGTCCGAAGTTATTCGTGCAGTTATGAACCAGGCGCCCAATCTGTGTGGCGTCAAACTAACGTGAGTAAAACTGGGGTGGTTTGGTTGACCTTTTTCTGCTCTTCGCTAACTTGCAGACAGATGCGGTGGCAGCATTGCCAAGTTGCTTCGTCTAAATGCCGCCATTTCCGAGGACCCGTCTATCTCAAGCAATAGAAAGTTTCCCTTCCTTATGCTTGACGGACTCATTGCAGATCTTACGCCGTGGATGAAATGTGGAGGCCATGGGACTGTGAGTGGCATACCGAATTTTGCTCCCGTGGCCTCCATGAGACTTTGGGCGTTGCTCAACACTCCTTCTCCGACCAAGGAGGAGACCAGAGAAGCCAAAGAGATACAGGCAATCCTCTCTCGGGCTGATGTAGCTGCTGTACCTGGCGGCATCCGCGCGATGAGTCAGTTACTTCTCCAGGCTGTTTGTGATAATCTACTGACCCTGTGCTCAGAATACGCTTTAAATAAAATGCATGGATATGGGATTGCGCCACGAAGACCTCTTCTTCCACTGAAGAACGCCGAGGGAGAGCAGTTCATGACTGCTTTAGAAGAAATGCTTCAGCTCGAGCGAAAGTTGATGGAAGCGTAGATGATTCACAAAAGGTGTACTGTCTTTGATCGCTACTTTACGACCGTGGAGAATCCATGGCATATTAGTATGCTGAATACGAGATCAAGGCTCCAAAAACCTTTGGCACCGGCCACATAAAATACTCTGAACATGACCTTATCTATGGCACTCAAATCAATTACCCCTGCTCTGGTTCTGCATATTTTGGTGCGGTTACAAAGCACAGTACGAATAAATAACGCCTTCGGTGGGCTCTTCTGTCTAATCACTGGCAAATATGGAGAAACTGATATGCCTGGTAGGTTGGGCATGAAGCTACGACCAATCCTCGATTTTCGCTTTCAATATTCTCCACCTCCATCTTTTCACATGTGATTCCGTATGTCTAACTCTAATTTATCCCTCGCTGTTGGCGACTGGACGCCGATTCTTTGAAATGAGCTTCACCGGGAAAGGAAGAGACACCAAAAGACCCAAAAGGAACTTTCTCGGTAAAGAGAAATGCATATTTTAGGCTACAAGATCTGCTACATGCAGCCAGATTGCCGGGTGATGATTATATGTGGGCACACGGTCTTCAAGCTATGCGCAGAAAATCTTGGAACAACGAAGAGGTGTCCAATATACCGAGCACCAATTACGGGACTTTGGGGATGGTACCCCTTCGCAGGATAAAGCATGAGGACCCTGAAAGGGCTGAAGATTAAAGCGGCAAGGGCAAACGGTCCAATGACTGGTAAAAAGAGAAGAAAAAAAACATATAAAAGCTAAAATTATGGCCGACCTTAAGATAGCACATCATCCAATATCTTCAGTCCATGGATCGCCATGCTGCGAATATCCTAGAATCGGAGAATACGAATAGCCTCGAGACTCTTATGCCCGGGATGCCATACACGATAGGGGTATTATTTGTACTTATAATATATAGCGCTAAATGCTCCGCAGAGAACGCCTAGGAAAATGAATCCAAACTAATCCATAGTTTGAAAAGAATTACCGAATTCCCCGCCGCTCAACTCGTTCTTCGTCGTCATGTCCAAACCTATCCCGCAGATAATCCTTGAATTCCACCGAAACAGAAATGACGTTCATCAGATGTTCGTATCGTAGCTGTTGCTCATCATATTGAGCCAAAAGAGTCGCTGTTTGGATCGTATTTCGGATCTCGCGGCCGTTGAGCTCAATTTCACTGAGAGCCTCGGCGCGCTCTTCAAGCTCCTCGACATTGGCATTAACTTGAGTGCCACGCAGGCTTCTGATAAATTTATCCCATATACGCCGTCTTTCTCCCTTTCCAAGCCTTGGGTAGTGAACAATGAGTTGTACCCGTGACTTGAACGCCTCATCGAATGTGCCAATCCGATTAGACGTCAGCACCAGAATCCCGTCATAGTACTCGATGACACGAAGGAAAACAGAGACCAGCGCATTCCGTCGAAGATCCTGATGCGTACGTTCTTCTAAAAAGACGTCTGCTTCATCAAGAAGAACGACGCACCGCCAGACTTTGCCTAGATGTAGTACGGACTCAAGGTATTCCTCAACTTCGTCAGCATTTGTTCCTACATCTCCGCATGTCACGCGATAAAGCGGTCGATTGGTTACTTCTGCAACTGACTCTGCCGTCAAGGTCTTTCCTGTGCCTGGACCGCCGTGTAAGAGAAGTATGAGTCCATTTCCCTTGCCCTCAACGACGTCCGTCGATTCGTTTGTGAAGTTGTGCTTCTTGACAAGGGCTCGGATAAGCTTTTTCTTCGTCAAGTTGAGCACAAGATGGTCAAATGCTTGCTCGTTCCACTTGATCGGCCTGATTTGTGAGATAAAAAGCAAGCCTAATCCCAAATGTCCGTCTCAGCAAATGTTCGACATGGTTGGTATCACAAATTCACTTACGCCATTTTTTATCTTGGAAACCAAATCCATGCACGGTCACAGGTAATACCAAAAGAAAATCTCCAGCAGGCGGTTCGTCGGACTCCATTTGCTCATCGCTAATATATTCACGTGTCTCTAGTGCATCTTCCTCCGGATGAAGTTCACGGTATGTGACCATATCAACCATGTACCGAGGTTGAATCTAGAATGACACTTTAGCTGAGTTCAATCCGTGGACAATGTGGATTGAGACTCACAGTTTGCACATCTCTCTGTGTGGCGGTAGGAAGGTAAGACACATATTTCCCTTTTCGCAATGACCAAAATTCCCGCCCAGAACCCTCAAGTGAGCTTCGGACATCTGGCCCGGCGTATGCGAGGGGAAAGATGGACAGATCGGTGATTGGGATCTTATCTGATAGTCCCGGCCATTTGATGCTAATTCCCGTTTTGTATCTCCAGAATCGACCATCGAATCTCCACGCCCAGCAGGATAGTGTCAAAGTTGACTCAAGGAAGCTGTCAAGAATATAGGCACATGGATGGCCCTGTTCTGTCCTCAAAAGAACATCTTGTGGGGCGAACAGCTTTGGTAGATGGTGATTGTTCACGAATCCTGCCTTGAAGAGTGCGTCGGCTTCGCTGTATTCCTCCCAGAAAGTTTCCTTCATGAATTCGACAAAAGCGACAGCAATATCAAAGTACTCGTCATCCAAGTTGCCCGTCAAGACTGATCCCTCGCCAATCCCGCGATAGTGATATACCTGTGTGACCAGCTCCCGCATGCGACTGGGATTCCCGAGGTCGGTAATAATGCTAGGATCCAGCCCAGTAAGTTGGATTAGAGTATCTTGAAGTTCGTCGGAAGCAATAAGCATTGCTTCTGCATGTGAACTGGCAGGCATCCCATCATTGTCGAGTCGATAAAAGTATGGCAGCAGCGACTTGTCGAACGGGTCGTTTGGCCTTTCCAGAGCGCGGAACTCGGGCTCTATTGCTCGATGGTATGTTTCGCAAGAGTAGTCCCGATACAGGATGAGCGCAATCTCGGAGTTTGACTCGATGAAATCAGCGACGTCGGCGATCGAACGCTTGCCACGAAGAGCACTCGCTTTGCTGTCACCGGCGAAAAGTCGTGGCGCATCTTGGAAGTATGCAATGTTCAAGTGGTTTTGATGATCCTTAGCTCCAGTACAGTGGACGCGGTAAATTGTACAGGCTTCGAAAATGGGAGTATGGTACAAGGGAGTTCTTCGTTTCGGTGGAGAGTCAGGCTGCGAGTTGCTATCCGAATCTCCGTCGCTCAGTAGTTCTTTTCGCTTCCGCGTGTTTGAAGCTCCCATACCGCTCGCGTTGGGTGCCGAAAATGGGAAATAAGGAGTGTTCCGAGGCATGGCGCGGATGGGTTGCGACAGATGCAACACAAATGAGGCCGCGCAGGTTTGAAGAGGAGTTGGCCAGCTGAACTGGGCTCAACCAAGCTGACTGACCTTGAGCTGGCCCCCGCAGTCTGCAGGCGCCGAGGCCACCAATGATATCAACCCATGCAGACTAGCCGGACGATCGCTCAAATTCAGCCCCTTAACCAATAGAGAGATCTTACAAAGGCTAATCAACAATTCTATATTGATCTTACGAGAAATCAAACGCCAAGGATAAACTTTTGCTCTGTGGTTATTGAAGTTTGCAATACCGGCGTCTCTCAGTTTTGCTATTTAAATCGCGGTTTTAACCGATCCCAGCAGGGATCCCACCCCGGTTGAGATCCTCGCAATTTAATGGATGGCATGATAGCGCTCGGTGTTGTTCTTCCATGGGAATCCTTCCAAAATGCATCATAACAGATGATAATGGCCTTGAAGTTTGCCCCTGGTTCATCAATGACGCGTTGGAGAACATCTCGAAACCTCTCTGCTAACGGTGCATGCTTCATCTCAATCACGATAAAGCATTCAGGGAGGACGCATAGTATATGAGCTAAAATTTCAAATAGCTTCTCTTCATCTGGCTCTTCATCCAGCGGTTGTGTTAATCCAAATTTCCCCGGCGACGGGATGTCGTCAACTATTTCTAGGGCTTGGGAAATGAAGGCCTTCAGCCCATCTCTTGCACTATGGTTTTCTCTTGAGGTGGAGAAGATCCAAATGATGGGAAATAAGGTCGTCTTTCTCAGGAAATGAATTGCGTGGCAGGCAAAATTGTCAGGTGCAGGTAGTTCAAAAGATGAGCGAGCGTATGTTCCTCGAATTGTTAACATTGGATAGCTTGGATCTATAAGCCAACGACCCAGGCTCTGAAATAATCGATCTGAGCCTCTATCGCTGGGCCACGGATTCCATGATGGATCTCGCTTCGCAAATGAGAGAACCTTTTGAAGAACCTGTTCCGGATCCTGGGCAGGTTGCAGGGGGCGAAGGAAAGCAGGCTGCTCGAATACAGCTTTATTGGAACCATCCCTAACAGGCTCACTATTGGTAAAATTCAGCGACTCTGTTGAATGAGGAAAGGCTTCCAGAGTCTCCAGGTTACGTCTGGCAGATCCTAGGGCTCTCTCTCTCGGAGCACTTGTCATTGGTGTGCATGAAATTTTCTGGTCCTTATTGGTGTCAATGTAGCTTCTCATAACCGAGAGCAACAGCCTTGCATATGCGGCCGCTGTAGCGGCAGCATATTGTTGCCAGGCTTTATTTTTATGAGAGTCGGCATAGTCGCAAATCCCTCGTATAACCAAGCAGGGTGCCAAATTCATCACGCCAGCCGCTTCCATTTCGAAACAAAGCATTCCATAATTCTTTCCTAGAATATCTCTTTGTTTTGCACTCCTCATAACCTGATTTCCGGAGCCAATGGGGCCGTAGAATATATGGGGTTGATCCGAAGATCGCTCAAGTCGATTGGTAATCTGGCCCCCGCAGCAATGGCAGTTGTCACCAATCGTCGTATGTAGAGAGTCTGCGGCGAACAAAATGTCCTTGTTTCGACCTGGAAATCGAAACTCGGGTCTTCGGTTTTCAGTAGTTTTCAAGTATTGTTGCAGTGAGTTGGCTTCTGAATCAGGGTTGGAGCTCAAGCTGCTGATTGCCGTCATAAGCAGCCGGGGTGGCTGCTGAAGTATACCCGTACTTTGAAACATGCCATTTTCAAGGGTTCTCCCCATATCGTACTGCTTAACGGCGGGATGTGACCCATGCGGGTGACTGACAACGACATCACCGAGGCGGATATCATTTTCAGATGAAGGCACACCTCCACCAATGCCCACCAGCAAGATACATTCCACTTGTGGGAAGCTTCGCTGCATGTTTACCATTACTGCACTAGCAGCATTTGTACCGTATTCCCCAGATGGAAGACAAGTTGCAACCACATAATGCTCTCCCATACGGCCTAATGAATAGTGATTTGTGTCTTGTTGAACCGTTTTCAACTGATGATGTTCTTCCTCAAATAACGTTCGTACGGCAAGAAGTTCCGTACGGAGCGCACATAGGATCGCGACATCATAGTTTTGGTGTGTCAGAGTTAAGGATGGACGCTCCATGGTAGAATGTGAATTGCGGGCTACCGAGTTGGAACAGCGTCAGGGGTGAACATCAGAAATCATTCTCCTCAGTCTCACGGCTTGGCCAAGTCAACCCGGGCGCTTAATAGATGGCTTCTATTGGACGCTCTCAATGAGAATATCTCCACACACTGCCAGCTGTATGAAAACGCACGGGCCTTTGGTTGGTCAACCTGCCTCGGTGCCCAACAGTCCCGCTTCAACCCAGTGGCCTTACATCATTAACAAACATGCCACCTCTTGTACTATGAGAAATATGGAGTCAGTTTAAGATTTTTCTTTCACTAACCTGCATTTTCTTTCCGAAAAACTTCAGAGCTTAATGTGAAATAATGCGATAATGGCATTTTATATCTTTCGAAGTGTGTTTTTCGATCATAAGTGCTTCAGTGCAGGAAATAGCCCGTCGTCAAATCATTTCTGAATATTTAATCATCCTATCAACCGAGTATGATGAAATATAGGTTGTCAAACTAATCATATCAGCTCTGAAGTCGATGACTAGCCTCTAAACTATTGTTTCGTTTTTGAATCTCTATGGTCACTAGCTAATATAGACGGGATTCTCCTAGTTCAACACAGCCACTTTCATAGTCTAATCACCTGACAAAGTACTCGTTCACTAACTAGCTAGTGAGTACGTACCAGGTACCTAGGTACCTAACTAACGCTATGGCGTTACATAATGCTTGCTTGCCACTTCACCGCCGAGCCCCCTCACGCGCATTATCACACTGAGTGTGATTCGGGGTCTAATACTTTTTTCCCTGGCCAGACTCTCGATGACTTCATTCGATAACTCTCCTCCTACCTCTTTACTTCAATTCTCTTCAAGCTTAGAATCTGCTATCCACTATGTCCATTCCCCGACGCTCGATGGGCCCTCGGCTCGGGGGCTCTTTGGGGAAACCCGACACCAGCTCGAAGCCTGCAACCTCTCGCACAGTGAATTCGAGGCCTCTCCAGACGTCCTCCCTGGAGTCCTTCGGAAGGCCTATCCTTGGCCTTGACCGCCCACACTCTTCAGAAATGCCGTGGGTGGTTCATGCCAAGGATACCGTTTCTCTCCACTATAGCCCGGCTAATGCCCAGACAGCGAATCGATTGAAACTACTGACGCGACAACCTCACGCCGCACAGCCCCAGATGGAACCCAGGCCGCCGGGCAAGTGCCAAACTAGGCCTCACCGAATGAATATGTCCATCACCGCCAGAAAGACGATCAAGACGATCTCAGACGATATTTCATGTGAAAGGACACAGAAGAAACGGAAGCTGAATGCGCTATTGGTGGATCAACGCAGGCAAGAGAAGATCTCTCGGAGCTATGGCAAACCAAGGGAAACAACGGCAAGGCATGGGGATATCCAAGACCTTAGACCTATTTTGCCAAGCCTGATTGACCGATCGGGGGTCGGGGCCTGGGCCGTAGACCACTCTGGGGTCCGTGTAGGAAGGAAAAAGGTCTCGCCACATCGCTCTCCTTCTCCGTACGGGGCGAACAACCAACAAAATCCATCTGCAGGGCCATTATTTTTCGACCCGAGCAACCCGACACTCTTCAATTTTGGCCTCTCCAACACGAATTTCAAGAAATCTACGACAGACTATGACAAAATGAATAAATTCGGAGATTATTACACTCGACAACTACATGACCTCCCCGCATCCTCATCTAAGGTCTTTCGAGGGACCAAGGGAACGGATGGGATTTCTCGAGCGGTCCATTATACCTCTAAGACTCATGATAGCCATCCCAGCCTCCTCGAAATTGACCCCGTGGAAAACGAACATTCAGAATGGGGCCTGCAGCAATGTCCATACCCAAACTGTGGTCGCTATTTCCGGGACATCAAGGCACACATGCTCACCCACCAAACTGAAAGGCCAGAAAAGTGCCCGATCGAGACCTGTGAGTATCATATCAAGGGCTTCGCTCGTAAATATGATAAGAACCGCCACGCTTTGACCCATTTCAAAGGGACTTTGGTGTGCGGTTTCTGTCGGGGCGCGGGCTCCGCAGCGGAAAAGAGCTTCAATCGTGCCGATGTCTTCAAGCGCCATCTGACCTCGGTTCACGGAGTGGATCAGAGTTTGCCACGCAACCGTAAGCGCAAGATTTCGGGGTCCACCATCATTAACCCGGGGAAATGCTCGGTTTGCACGAGAAGATTCGGCAGTGCTCAATCCTTCTACGACCATTTAGACGACTGTGTTCTGGAAAGAGTACTTCAACAACAATATTCAAAAGTGGGCGAGAGGGCTTCATGGAGAGTTGGCATGCGATCCACGTAATACAAATATATATGCACGCTACCCAGCTGTTGCAAGACCTTCGTCCAGAAAAACCCACTTCGAAATACACACTCGGGCACATTCAGAGACTGATCACTACACCACATGTAGGCACTTGAAGGCTGATCGTGCCAACAGGGCAAGGAATAACCAAGGCCCCCTCTCACCCTACTACGCTATGTCACAATTTCTGGTGAAAGGGGCGTGGTAGATGACTTTGCACCGACCTTTCGGGGTCCAGTCTTGCGCAACCTTTGCCGAAGCGATCCCTGGTTCTTTAAGCACTGGTCTCCTGCTCTGCGGATGGATTTTACTCTCAACTAAAGCACTGCCCTCTGAGAGTTATTGTCTCCAGAGTAAAGATCAAACTGCAATGTGGATATATGCCGGCTAGGGGTACTGTCTCCTTCTCGGATCTACCAATACCATGTACATAGTGAGCGGAACGGCACACATAAGCTAAGGGGCTACATACGGCCCAAGATGACGAAAGCCCAAGGACTGTATCTGTTCTAAGGGAGGAAAGTAAGAACAAATCAGGTTGGTTAGGAGAGAAACTACGAGGCAGATGAAGATAGGAAATTCAAGATAATCCAGGCCATGCTCTACGTGCCTCTCTAACGACACCAAATCAAATTAAAATTCAAAGTCAAAGTCAAATCTGGGCCATGTTAGGCAAAGACTGGCCATCATAAAGTGTTGGCTGTGCAACTTTCGTAAGTATATTCGGGCTCATTAACGCCGTTAGGCGAAAGACACCCATAACCTGATAAATCCCCAGAAGGAGTATACTCCCCGGAATCACTCTTGTCATACCAACTCTGGAAATCTTCCATGCAGTCACCATCTGTCGGGACAACGTAGCACCATCCGACTGAGCCTCTCTCATACGGAGTGTCGGTAATTGTCCCAGATAAGCAGGCATTGTAATTGTTCAATTGCCACTTGCCCTGGTAACAACTGGGCCACATGTACGGACATTTCTGGCTCGTGATGATATCCACGTCGGTTTCCTTGCTCATAGTACACCCTGAAACATTGCCCTTAGTTGGGTCATCCTCTCTTTCCCGAGAAGAGTGACCGCCGCCTGGATGAGATCACCTTACCTAGGACCGACAAGCACTTAATAATAAGTACAGGGTCTGCCAGCCTATAATTGATTGAATACCAGCAAATCAATATTTTCCAGATCTCCGTAGAGGACAACGAGGACCCAGGACCCAATAGGCCCGAGAGCATGGATCCTTCCCCGGATATGGAGCCCTAAGTTGTTCGCAGTGATGGTCTATTCGGGAGAATAAGAAAGGCCACCGATTCAACTTAGTTTAAATAGTGAGATACTCTATGTGTTCAGCCAGGCAAAGCTCTTCGAATGCATTTATTTCCATGGGAGCGAGCCATTCGATTCTGCACCTCTTCTCTGGTCAGAATCTTCACTGTATCCTTGAAGAGATAACCAAGACTAGACCAGACGGTTATAATGGCCACAGTGAATATATTTTCCGTGGTCAACTCCAGCCAGGATCAATTCAGGCCACCAGAGATGTAAAGATACAGCCGGTTCGCGGGCCGAAGGGAGGGATAGGAGGGGAGGAAAATTTAGCCGGTTGGCCATGTCAGTGCTTCAAGGGTATTCAGGTCGCTCGGGTGAGGAATAGAGGGGCTTCAGGGCATTCAGTAAAGCGGCAAAAAAATTTATACGAAAATGAAAAAACATACAACAGCCAGGATTCGCATGTGGTCACCCACCATACTACTAACTGGCCGGCGTGTGGCTTAAGTACGGCTGAGCGGACGGGAAGCCCTGTTCTCCACACCCTATGGTCGTATGTACTTGAATAACCATTAACAAAACCTATATGGTTTCACAATTTTTAATGTAATACATTATACATTAGAACGACGCTAAAGCGTCGCGCGACAGGGGTGTGTACAATACATAGTGTCATGTGACGGTGCTCCAATGGCCCGCTAGGGTCACGTGTCATCGGTCTATCCGCCCGCTTATAGCCCGCTATACCTTTTGATCCAACTTGATTAGCTCCTCTGTGTGGAACTTTGATGTTAGAGGCTACTAACAGGCAAATCAACCATCAAATTAAAACACCACTGAGCAGTAATCCTTTTTTAGCTCAAAACAGGCCGTCCGAGTTTTGAGATCTCAAAGAGTATGGAACACATCACGCTACAGACGCCCCGCCCGCCCATGAACGCATGTCTTACATGCACACGCGGTAAGAGGAGGTGTGATAGAGCCATACCAAGCTGTTCTTACTGTACACGGTAATTGAAGACCAGATATCCTCCCAACACTTCATACTTTGGTAGATAAGCTCTAATGAACCTCAGACTAAAGCGGATTTGCACTTATGATGAAGGCACCTTCGCTTTCCCGACGCTACCGGATTTTGCTTCCGTTAACTCCCTGGTACTCTCAGTATTCCTGCCATTCTTGCTAGGTCAACTTACTTATCTGATCATACTCTTACCAGGAACCGTGGGCGGCTGCAATAATCAATCACTTTCGGGCGAATGCTCTCAGCGTCCTCGGCTCCGTGGACGAGATACGAAAGATGTCTCGAGCGTACTTTAATACGACTCACTATAAGCTGGCAATTCTATCTCAAAAGAAATTCTACGAGCGCCTTCCTAGCCTTTTCACGTCCACGGATCCAGGCTTCATCACGCTATGCCTATGCATGCATTTATTGCAACAACCCCCTTCGCCTTCGGCAGGCAGCATGATATCGTCCCTTTATGCCCTTACTAAGACCGGCATTAATCATCTAGAAACGTTGCATTGCTATTCTATGGACATAATACAAAGCATGCTATTGATAGCGCTTTATGAAGTGGGTCATGGCATATACCCGGCAGCCTCGATATCGATGGCGTCTTGTGCGAGAGCAGCCCGTAATCTCGGTCTGCACAAAATCAGATCTGAGCCACTTTCTGAAAGTGAGGATGACATTGGCGAGAAAAGAAGGACATGGTGGGCAATCCACAATCTCGATAGGTCCGTATAATAGCGAGTCATTATTACCACAATGCTACGATTTTGTGGCCGCGGTAGTTGGAGGATCGCTGGGAATGAGCTAATGAAGTCGAGAAGATTCGTCAATTTGTTCAACGGGGATGCCATTTTCAATAGTGAAGATGCTGGTAGGGAGGACCCCTTGCCTCCTGATGATGGATCTCCTTCGCCAATGGTCAGCATTACTCTTGAGTTGCCTGCGAGAAATTCGGAGACGAATAGATCCTCTTAACTGACACGATGAGACAGCCTGTATTCGCCCAACTCAAGCCAACCATTGCCACACCTGCGCCATTCAGGCTTGGCCAATTTGCCCGGGAGTGTCAGGTGTCACATCTTGTTGGAAGGGTTATCCGTCATGTCTTCAGTCCTATTTCTGACCCACACTTCCATGAAGAGGAGGCAACACAGCTAGAACGGACATTGTTATCCTTTCTTCCTCTCTTGATCGAAGAAGAAGTTCAATTCAGTAACTATTGCGGAGCTCTGTCGACTTGCGTCAGGTGAGTTTTTGCCCGTTCTATCATTTTGCACCATTCATTAAGTGTTCTAACAGGCTCTATTCGTATGCATAGCTCCCTATTTACCCTATACGCGGCTCCCCTGCTTCGCTGTCAGTACCAAAGTCTTGATGAAAATGCTGCGTTGCTCGCTATGGAACAGCTTTCTGCGCGCATGGCCGAACTTTCCGGTTATATCTTAGGCATTGCTGAGGACGAAAACAAGCGCTTCATGTTGTCGCCTTTCGTGCCATATGCCTTATACCAGACCGCAGTAATAGAATTGCAACTGTGGGATTCGAAGGGTGAATTGCGATACAAGGAAAGCGCAGACAAGATGGTCCAATTACTCCAACATTTTAGCAAACGTTGGTATATAGCCGGTATGTAAGCTATTTGGCAGCCCTTGAAATCTTGCAGCTGAGAACTGATATAGTAGCTGGGTGATTCAGAAAAGTACCTAGCCGCATTGAAGTCCCCTCACCCTCCGGTGACCCTACCAGCCCAGGATTTCTACATCAGCGAGGGATCCCATGTGAATGAGTCTTAAGATAGGCACAGGAGACAAATTCGGGGACTTTGCCCATGGGCTCTGATGTCATATTACAATGTCTGTCGGCAACTTGAAACTGTACAAGTTGCTCAGGGCTTTGCCTTTTGACCCGAGCCCGCTTCACTCAACCTGTATTCACGCCCGAGCAACAGCGCCTCTACCCAAAGACATAAATTCCTGCTTGAGACGAGCAAATCTTAAGCCGCCCGATTAAGACCAATTTTGCAGAATACTACTGTTCAACTTCGAACGCTTACAGCTACTCTTGTTAAATACTTGGTCTCCTCTGTTTTTCGAATACCTCAGAATACTCGACAACTTAATCATAAATTTCGATCTTGTTCTTCGCGGGTAGAGATAATTACAGTATAGTGATCAATCCAAGAAGTAAATTTGAAGTCATAACTTAGAACGCAGGTTCGAACTTTGCTCTTGTAAGCCTCACACGAGGACCATAGCCAAAAGTCTTTCACTTGCCCATCTAGGGTCAACCTTCAAGCTACCCTAAGAAAGCAATAATCTCGTCGGCAATCTCCTCAGCATGAGTCTCCGATGCAAAATGGCCAGCGTCGAGAAACTTGACTTGGGAGTGGGGAAGATCTTTCTTAAATGCTTCAGCCCCAGGGGGAATAAAAAAAACATCGTTCTTCCCCCAAACAGCCAGTAGTGGCACTTGAGAAGACCTGAAGTATTCTTGGAATTTCTCGTAGAGCGCAACATTGTTCTGGTAATCCATGAAAAGATCAAGTTGAATATCCTTGTTTCCAGGGCGTTCCATCAGGGCGTAATCTAACGTATAAGATTCCGGTGCGACTCTGCTAGCGTCGGGTGTCCCATTGAGGTATTGAAACTTTGTAATATCGTATGTCAACATTGCATCTGCCACTTTGGCTCGATCTTCGGCAGAATTCTTGCTTGTCCAGAAGGCTTGTATAGGACCCCACACGTCGCCGAATCCCTCTTTATACGCATTTCCATTTTGAGTGACGACGGCCTCAATAGCGTCCGCGCGCTGGAGCGCCAGACGAAGACCAACTGGAGCACCGTAATCGAAGATGTAGATAGAGAACGTCGAAAGGGAGATGACATCTAAAAACTCCGCGAGTGTGTCGGTGAGCGTCTCGAATGAATATTTAAACCCCTCTGGTACTTCTGTGAAGCCGAAACCTGGAAGATCCGGCGCCACAACTCGGTACTTGGCAGCAAGCAGAGGAATCAATTTTCTATATTGATGGGATGATGAAGGAAAGCCATGAAGAAGGAGAATTGTTTTGCTGTGAGACTTTCCACCCATCTCCCGATAGAACATGCGTACCCGGGTCTTTGGTAAATCGATTGTATGAATTTGGGCAGACATCGTAAAAGTAATTCGAAAATAGCTTCAGAAATTGTGTTTCACAGTGAACCAAGAGGCTCGTAAAGGGTATGAGAACTCTATTGGGAGGAATTCCGTGACAAGAGGATGGAGTAAGTGTTGTTTCCAAGACTCGGCGGACACAATGCTAGTTTATATAGTTGCATCTTGAGAAATCTATCCACGCCCTTCACCATTCTTTTTACCATTTAAGAATCGAAGTAGGCCTGTACTGCCAGAGGAAATTGACGTCATCACACTAGTCCGCGCTCTAGTCCGCGCACTAGTCCGCATAGTTATTATGCAATGTATGGTACTTACTAATCTGCACGCTAACCCGCACGCTAACCCGTCCCAGCACCCAAACTATTGTATCATCGGCCGTGGTCGTAGGTAACCTTACCCATTTCTTCCAAGGAAGCATAATACTAACAAATAGAATTCCAAATTATGTCCCAGCCCGCACCAGACTCACGGAGGAACGGCTAGAACGGCATATTTCGATTTAAAATCAAGCTGTCGGAGGAGCGTATACGGTAAGCAACAACATACTAAGTAAAAGACCATCTCCGCCATTATAAATATGAGGCCAGACTGCGATGCGCTTCTAGTTTGAACAAACCCAAGACAACCCATTTCTCTATATCTTCTTCCAAATTTCTGACTTGATCTCTCTTTTCGCTGTTGTAGTGGAAAGTTCACGATGAAGGCCATTGTGATTGAACAATTTGGGGGACCCGAGTCTCTTGTTATTAAGGATGTTCCCCAACCTGAACCCGCTATGGGTTATGTGGTGATTCGCGTGAAAGCTTTTGGAGTCAACCATGCTGAAATGCATATGCGGAAAGGCGAGTGGGCGGAGTGGATGCCCATTAGCGGCATTGAGTGCGTCGGTACAGTAGCAGCATGCCCTAGTGGCGAGTTCGCGGAGGGAACTCTAGTGGCCAGTGTCATGGGCGGCCTTGGACGTACTGTCAACGGTAGCTATGCCGAGTTCACCAAGGCCAAGGTCTCCAATGTCGTTGCACTTGGCCCCGCAGCTTTGAAGCTTCCTTGGGACCAACTTGGTGCCATTCCAGAATCCTATGCCACGGCATGGACTTGCCTATTCCGAAATCTTGATCTCTCTAAAGGACAAAAGCTCCTGATCCGTGGCGGGACGTCTGCTTTTGGTAGAGCTGCTATCAATCTCGCCGTCAACGCTGGGGTTCATGTTGTTGCAACAACACGAAATGAAAGCCGGGCCGTTCAGTTGACAGTACTTGGAGTGGAGAAAGTGGTGACAGAAGGACCGAACTTGTCTGAACGCCTTCCCGAAAAGTTTGACGCGATTCTCGAGCTCGTGGGCAACAGCACCATCCTTGACTCTCTGAAAATGGTGCACCGTGGTGGAAGAGTTTGCCTAGCAGGCTTTCTGGGCGGCCTAGCTCCGATTCCCGATTTCAATCCCCTCCTGCAGATGGCAAGCGGTGTTCATTTCAGTTTCTTTGGCAGTTTTGCTTTTGGAATGCCCGAATTTCCACTGTCAGATGTGCCCCTCCAAGAAGTCGTCAAGATGGTTGCAGATGGAAAATTGAACGCCAAGCCATGGAAGGTTTTCAAGTTCGAGGATATTAGCGAAGCTCACCGTTTGATGGAGAAAAGTGAGGCCCAGGGTAAAATGGTTGTGCTTGTGGACTAGGAGGAAACCCCTTGAATCCACCCAAACTCCTTACTCTTTTGATCTTGGCGTTACCTAACCGTCTCCCCCCACAATACTCTGTTTTCGCATATGTATTAAAGACTTGATACAAAGTTGGAATATCTCAACAACCACAATCTGAAGAACGCTAGGAACTATGATCTATAATTAAAATAGCTATTTAAATTGTATATTAGAACTTTAGTATAAACTTTTATTGACATCTTTCAATGGGCTTCGTGGGTGAGAATAGCCTGGTGACTCACTTTTTAAGGTCAGCACAAAGAGCAAATAGCATAATAAGACGGTTCCAGGATTTGGGCATCTTTGATAAATATTTTAGCTACGTACATCATCCTGTCCCTTCCAATTCTGTGGTTGTTGACCTCCATCGATAATGCCCGACCCCTAGTACACGTAACTCTAACACCCTATAATTCCCACGTCAAATCCCGATGTGATTCTACCACAATCATCGCAGTCGAGGTCACCAATTGCTTCCAGAATTTCTGTGGAACAGTGGAGCGTGTGATTTAAGCTAACACGTGATATAACTTTAGTATCATCATCTAGAAAGCGATGCAATCCACGCATGAGGAATGTGCAATGTCCGAAGTGATTTTCCGTAGTTATGTACAGTCGCTGGCCAATCATTTTAGACATCTCATCTTCCTATGAAAACTTATGCTCGCCCTTGCCATCATGGTAATATGGCCACGACTGGCGAATTCGAGCATTGCTGGTCACCCAGTCACGAACTTCCTTCGTTGTATCAGAATCGGCGCATTGCTTTTAGGGTCCAGTTATTGGAAACGAGGTCAAGTTCGCAGACCAATGACTTGGCTTCAGATGCCGGAGTACCACAGTGTATGTTGGAGGTACCACGAGAGCCTATCCCATTTCGGGGGCGGTACATGCTACTTATATGGTATCCAATTGTAGAAAAGACGGCGAGTGAAAGCAGACTGCAGGTTGTGGTTACCAGAATCAGAGACTTCCACCACGTTTTGAACATCGCTGATCTTCTTATCATGGACTCCTTCCCTCCATCATGTTCATCCTACGAATCTTCCGGCCCAATCTCCCCTTCTAAGATAAGAAAGCCCTGCATGACATAGGAAATGTGTTACGTATATTGTCCTAGGTCCTCGTGATATGGATAACGGCACATCAAGTTGAAACTTGGCGGAGGAACTCTGAACAATGTCACTCAAAAAACCACTAGTTGGATAGAATCCGGGTTAACCTCTGTTTTTCAATTTTTTTTCTTCGCTGTTGCTCATTTTCTAGACCCATAGATGATCGTCTTGAGGCTTGAGCACTGATGCCGGATCGACACTCATCCACTTTCCTAGTAGTGGGGCAGATAAGTTTCCCGCTTATCGGCTCGTTAGGGCGCGGGGTCATGGCACTCCAGTACAAACAGTTTGCGCTATCCATTGTAATCCTAACCCTAGGGTAGAAGATCCTAGTTGAAGGCCAGAAATTAGTATCCACTTGATGAGATCGCCCGTAGGGGTAACAAAACATCAATGCTACTGAAGCTTACATTACAGGAACCTTAATGAGTTCAGCCTACAGGGAGCGAAGCAATTCGCATTGGAGATATATATTGCCTATCAGACCTCATTTATGCAGCATATACATCACGACCATACATCTCGTAGGAGAACAAACGTATTGACGACAACGATTAACATTAGACCAGCTTTCGCTAATGCGAGAAGTGAATCAACGCTAAAGTTCAAAAGGGTAAAATGGAGGTACTAAGCCTCCAAAATGAACCCGTAAATAAAACACAGAAAAAGCAGAACAGAAGTGAAGAAACAGACTTGCTTGCAATCTGAGGTAACCCGCCCAAGAAAAAAAAATGCAATAAGAACCCAACGCAATGATAGATGAAAAGGTCAGACAATAATGGAAAGAATGAAAAAAATGATAGGTAAACAACAAGGATGAGAAGAGAACAAGATAGGAAATTGGCTGTAGAAGCATTAGGATTAAAACACACTGTTATACTTGTATGCCGTACCAAACGGCTTGAGAAAAAGAAACCCGGAGAATAGGAAATGAAAATCAAAAGACAGAAAAGGGAAAGGGAAAGAAGAGTGGGGATACCCAGACCAGCTTGAAGAGAAAACTTCCAGAGTATGTTGCTTTTATATGGTCCTGCCGCGCGATGCATCTATTGTTGAATATAGCTCGCGTAGTTGAAGGGGTGGTTGCCGAACTTGGTTCGGAGAGACTCCAGGCCTTGCTGATTCTGCGGCATCTGGTCCTGCGAGGCCGAGGTGGACTCGGTCGGGGCAAAGGAAGGAGGGAGGCTTATGGTGGAGGCGTTTGATTGAGTGTAGGGCATGGTACCCATAGGCGCTGAAGGGTTGCCGTACGAGTAGGGTCTATATTCTTGCGGAGCGGAGACAGGCACAGACTGCAGAGTCGATAGGGGTCTTCCGTGCGAGGAGAGCTGAGCGCCCATACCCAGAGCGCTGTAGTCTTTTGAAGTGGACATTGCAAGCTGCGGCTGATAACTTTGCGGTTGCGAGCCTAGTTTCAAGATAAGGTTAGGATTATTGTCTGCAGAATTGAGGCAGACGGTGGGAACCAACTGATATTGCTCATTTCATAAGTCATTGGCGCACCCTGGGATTCAGTTGGGGACACGGAGCCCTCAAATGGCTGGTGCTGATCGTAAGGGGCTACCATTGCACCTGGGTGACGAGGAACACCGTATTCCATGTGTGGTTGCCGCATATATGGCAGACCAGAAGGATTCGAGGACGGGGCGAATCGGTTGTGCATTTGCATACTATGATGGAAGGATGGAGGGTGAGACGACGCATCTGACAGGCTGCTAGACCTGGTAATGGAGTAGTCGTTCCGAATCGTTCTATGCAGATCGGACATGGAAGCAGATGCTGCTGGTCGGCCAAACATCATCCCAGAGCTGGGTAGTCCGTCACTCCGTCCAGCAGAAGACATGTACGTTCCTGCGGTAGACGCAGAACTGAGGGGTGAGACGAGGTAGTCGTCCTCATTTGGCCGCTGGAAGCAATCCGTGCGAAGTGCTCTGAGAGACGCGAAATCCGGGTTCGGCGCTCCGTAATCATGCGGCGATGCCACTGGCGTCGGACCTGTAGATTTGCTTTCAAACGGCGTACGCAGGACTTTCGTCGTATCGAAGTCGTCCGGGAGGGCTCGCGACTTCAGCATTCTTTCACGATCATTTGTAGTCAAACGCTTGAGCTTAGCTCTCCTACAGTGAGTAGCAGATGGTTAGGAAATGTGCCGTGGGCCTGGAATGATACAGTTGAGAGCCCTACCTGTTCTGGAACCACACTTGAACCTGACGTGGCGTCAAGCCGGGGATTTCTCTCGACAAACGCTCCCGATGAGCAGCGTCTGGGTGCGCTTGACGAGTGAACTCACTCATCAAAAAGCGAGTCTGATTGTGCGTAAGCCTGGAGAATGAAGGTTAATGTTCTGTTGATGTACCTGGCTTGATCAGGTCTGTCTCGACCGTCCTTACCGAAACCTCTTCATCTTTTTCTTCTCTAACGAAGGCGATCGATTGCTTTCATCATCTCCAATAACCTCGCCCCTTTCATCGGAAGGGCTAATCGTCGACTCCCTGTCGTGATCGTCATTTGCATCAATAACCGACTGGGAGGTGCCCGTCGTCTCGCCAGAGCGACCGTATCCAACCAGCGGCTGCGACATCGCATAGTTTGTATTGCCTCCGCCAGGAATTTCCAGCTTCATTCGGGGCAACAAGTCTTCTCTTCCCCCTCCCGGTCTTTGGTTGACTGCCTCTCGCGATGGGATTTCTCCCTCACGATACGATCCGGTCCCCGCCATGGTCCCCGGAATTGACACCGGAGTGGGCAAGGCATTCTCAGCCGTAACGCCAGTCCGTTGCATCTCAACCGACGACGATGTACTCCGAGATGTAATCTCTCGATCTTTAGGCAGAATCAACAGCGGGGAGGCTATCCGTGGCGTCGAAGAAACCCGCTCTCCGTGACGAGCTACTGCGGATAGGTGGGATGTGACAGCAGACAGTGGCGAGGCGACTGGCGAGGACAAAGAAGGAGCCCAGAGACAAGGGCCACCGATGGACATGGTAAGGTAGTTCAATAGGTCCTCCTCGACCGGATGGAATCTGGTTCTGAAGTCTCACAGCAAGACAACTCAAGACAAGATAAGATCCAAGCCCACGGTTCTTGATGATATGGCTAGACGAAAGAGAACCCAAACACGCCCAAACCACCACGACGCGAAACAGACAAGAGAAGAACGGAAGAAAAAAAAAGGGACAACAATACTAAAGCGCTCTTTTCCCCGAGATGAGACGGCGGTGGGTCTGATCAAAGTGCCGGGGGCGCTTGCGCAACAGGCTCAGGGTTCCTGGTGCAATAAAAGCAATTAAACGGAATAAAGGGTGAAGTCAAATCAAACGTAAAGCCGCTCTTTTGAAGAGAGGGGGTATTTAGTCCAGTAGGGACCTCGGAGATCCACGATAGGAGAAATCAAGCCAGAAGAGAACTCGATGTTGCAGTAGGCGCCAGATCACTGATCACTTGAACGTGTCGAGGATTGCAGTTGCAGTAGTTGCAGTAGTCAAGTGCACCAGGCTAACAAGTCGAAGCGTAGTCAGTTCGCCAGCACTCAAAAACTCTCCGTCTCGAGTAGCAACCGTCGAGGCCCAAGTGGAAGAAAGCGGGACACAACCGCCACACAAGCTCTTTAATCCCTTTAAGCCCTCTGGGTTGACTTTCTGGGCTTGGATCTTAGATCGTTCTCACCACCTTTACACCTTATTGCTGATGCTGATCGTTACGCAGCTCGGCAATAGCCAGACACGAGGGAACCCACCCACAATTATGGAGACAGCCCAGTGGGATGTACCTGGGTCAAGAGCTGGTAACTGGGTCACCAGGATCGGCCGGAGATCTCCTAGGACAGATACTGGAACCTTTAGACACGGATGGACCACTCGGAGGGGCACGATGGAATGTAAATGGGAGACCAGATGAGACCAGACAAGACCAAACACGGCCAAGCAATGACGAGGCCAAAGCAGAAGGAAAAGGAAGTCCCTCCCAAGCGAGGTCACCACGGTGGTAGTGGAAATAGCAAAATGCTGTCGGTTGAGATATTAAACGGACGCCCGCAAGTAACTGCCCCAAAGGGTCCACTAGGGAATCAAAGTTGGCCACCGAAAAGACGGGATGGGTCCAATTGGGAAGTCTACAGAACGGAGACAGCGTATAAAAGTAAATAATAATCTTGTGGTATATGACCGTTGAATACAACAAAAACGAAACTACGATAAGGACAAGTAGTCAAAGTATTGTCCTATCTACGAGTTGCATATTCTTCCATGAAGAAAATCTCTATCTCTGGTTCTGAAACTTCCATATAGTCTTTTCATCCAGCTGGAACTAGCCTGTGCCGAGCAAGTATTGCGTAAATTATGTGCCCGGCGATCTCTAACGGTCAAGACGATCGTAGAAGGGGTGAAACTTTGGAAATGCAAAAGTTTGAACGTTAAAAAGTCAAATCTTAGCAAGGACTGTTCCCGACAAGGCTAGTGAACGGACCACCCCAAAGATCGGATTTCATAAACTTTGTTATACAGATGCAAAGAAGATAAGTAGGCTGGCCAGACGCCCAAAAGGCGTATAAGAAGAAAGCTTCCCTTCAAATTGTGCAGGCCACCTCTCCAAAATCGGCGTGAGAAGCAGGAAAACTTGCTGCATGTATGACGAGGCTCACTGGACGCGCTGGGCTGGACATGGCATCAGCACACGACCATCTGCTTGGCAATGATCAGCATTGAAGTGATCTATGAAGGCAAAGGATTCTCTTTCTGGTGGAGTGCAGGCGGGCATCACCCCGGGTCCGACAGTAAAACATTCTCCAGTCAGAGGATAGGATCAGAAGCGAGATCCGAATTGCTCATTTCGAATTCCTCCGAGTATAATCAGAAACAGCCTAGAGACTGTCCCAGAATATGCTAAACTGTGATGTTGAACATCTCAGGAAGGATTTGCAGCCCCGAGATCTCGGTGTTCCACATCTGGGCATCGGGTCCGCGATGCAAGGCTGCACGTACCTAACCTTGAAGACTATGTTAGTCAGTATGAGTTGACTGGAGATTGATTGGACTCTTGGCTCCTGAGAGAAAAAAAAAACACGGGGTAGCCACAGAAGCCACGATTAGACAGAAAAAAGAGCAATGTATGGCGTGCACAGAATACAGGGCTTCTCATCGGAGTATAACCACGCTCTGGCCAGGACTGGTCTCTAACGATGGAAAGGAAGACGGGTCTGTGGCGAATCGCGGTTCAACCCGAGCTGAAAAAAATAAGATAAAAAAAATAAAAACAAAAGGAGTAATCCACGCTTGAAGGCACTGTGGAAACCGGAGCCAGAGAACTGGACTTGAATCCATAACAAGCTCTGGAAATCAACCCAGCCGGGGGTGACACACTGTGAGCCATGAGACGGGCCTCCGGTATCAGGTACCCACATAGTGGGCCTACCTCTAGTAAAAGGGAAAAAAAAAAAAAGAAGCCGGAGAGAAGTCCAGGAGCTAAGACTTCAAGACAATGCGTTCACAGCCCGGAGGGTCAAGGGTCATTCATTAAAAAAATTCTCCGAACGTGGAGCGCCTGGCGGATCTGGCGGACCAGTTGAAGTGTGGCCAAAACGCCAGATATCGATTGCTGCATGGGCCAACTAGTCCGCCAGCCAACCGCCAGAGCCGGAGGGCTTTGGATTTTGGGATCAGGAGGGGGGGGGGCAAGAAGAGGAAGGGGACGTATCAGGGCGTCCAGAAAAGACCCTGGTTCTCTACACTTATGCGCAATTTGCTGTGCGTTGGGCCGTTGGTCAACAGTCGGCCACCATGTGGAAGACCTGTCGGGTTTGCTAGCGTGCTGGGCTCCATAAGCGGCCGGCCTAAAGCCGCCGGACCCCTCGGGGGCCAACGATCAATATAATTGATTAGCCACTCAGCACGCTGCCCGCCACGAGTCCACAATATGAAATCGGTGGCCTTTTCGCAGTGCTGTACCTGAGGGTGGTGCATTGGAACCGCAGGATTCATGTGGAGTCTCGATACCAACGGAGTGGTTGGACTAGGGAGAGAAAAAAACCCCCTCTATGAAAAATTTGAATAAAAATTTAAACAATAGAAAATGCGATTAGAAGGTTGAGATTGAGGCAGGAACATTCCGGATCATCAAACCCCGCGATCCCATCAATGTAGTCTCCAATCAGATTAGTAAAAGTCCCAATTAGTGTTAGCCGATGAGCCCTGAAACTGGCGACGGGGGGCTAGGGCGGCTGAAAGGACCACCAAATCTACTGAACCATGCGAACAATTGGACCTTGAAGAGGAATAAGGATGGGAAAAAAATGAAAAGGAAAAAAATCCAAAATAAAACAAGAAAACTTCTATGAATCAACGAATAATTGAATAATGGACTTGGTACTGAGAGAATATCAAATACAGAGCAGGAGATTGGCCGTAGAGAGAGAACGGAGAAATACAATCCGTCAAGAGCCTCCTACGGCGACCATATCCGTTCTTGTATAAAGTACGATAAGCATGATCATATTCAGCATAGCTACCTATAATAATCAATTCTTCAATCCTCTCTCCCCTGAAGCAGGGGAACAAGATGCCTAGCCCTGATCGGGAAAATAGTCTAGACCATGGCCACACGGCGGACCATGCGCGATCAAGGGAACAATCCCAACGACAAATTGTAGAAAAATCCCAATAGAAAAATTGAAGGATGGGCCCGTCAACCAGACTTGTCACGACACACATTTCATACTTTCACGAGGCTTGAGAAGAGTTAACCATCCGTAGCCGTCTCAAGGGCGATTGGAATTCCCCACCAGGAGGAGGAAAGCCAGAGCTCCTGGAAATCTCCACATGGCAATCTATGAAACAACCCAGGTCGCAGCCTGGAAATGAAGCAGTCCTGCTCAGGCGTCCTTGTGATCAATTGCAATTTGCAAACACCGAGGTTATGCATTATTTTTTAGCAGTTATGATAAATTATTTACGTTATGGATCAATTGGCGGTTCTCGCGGTGGTGGTTCAGGTTTAGCATTGAATCTCTCCGTGGACACTGTATAGGGCCCGCTAGGTGCAAAAATGTGAAATGGGAAAAAAATTGACTGAAAAATGCGACGAGTCTAAAAGTTGAAGAATAAGGTGGGCCTATAGAGTCACTTTCTGGGCCTTTTACGCCTTTCCTTTCTCCTACATAAACACGTTCTGTTGGTTGCAGGAACAGTCTTTGCTCAACACTGATTTGTGCGGCGATACTGCGGTAAAAGGTGAAGTGGAGCAGCGGTTGTTAGGTTTGGATAAACCCAGGCTTTTTGTCCCTTTCTTATTACACCATAGGCTGTTGATCGCCATGACCAAATATTTGGACTATGTGTTCAGAATTCCCGCGGGGAGAACCAAAATTGAACTTATGGATTGCATACACTACTCCGTGAATCTGTGGTGGTTCTGAAGAAAGGTAGAAATCTCTCCTCGGGCGGACCATAGATGAGGTCACGGCAGTGCCACAGCTCAGCTACTCTTAACCGCGGACTATGGCCGTTGATTTAGTTATTTTTCTTAATTCTTCTAGAAAGAGTAGAGTACTCCATAATGTAGCGAATAAACAGTAAATTAATATCTACTTAATATGTATGTATCCTGAATTTGAAGAAATATTTGATTGTAAGGTAAGCAATATATTTTTCTCGCCTATAGCCCCGCAAAGCACTAGTTAATGCTGTAAGACAACTACATAATAAGACTAAAAGTAAAATGACATTCATGGGGTTTTAGCTTGCCCCTTTCTTCATCTATGAACCATGACCAACCGAGCTCAGTGGGGGACGACCTCGATATACCAGCCTCATTGGTGTTTTAGAATGTGAAGTATGTACGACTACGGATACGAACGACACAGGACATAATGATTCGAAGCCTTGATCGAAAGTCCTCCAATGTGTCAGTAGCGTGGGGACCAGGTCTCCAGTCTTAGTCTCCAGTCTCCAGTCATCCCCCTAAACTCCATCGAGGGCTAGACTGGGGGGCCACAATATCCACCAGGGGGCCTCAGCGTTGGATCCTCTTCCTCGCACGGGTTTCGGACAGGGGAGAAAACTCGGAACCGTTAAGCTACGATCCCGAATCATATCACGCAGAGCTCAAACCTACGGCCGAAAAGATGGGCGATCGCTGAGACTAACGTTAGTGTCGGGCCTTGCGCGTGTCCGATCGGTTTGCTCCTATCGGGGGCATGACGTGGGCACCGTTACAAGTCTTGGCTCTGGGGGCGAGAAAACTGGGCATTGGAAACTCATTGGAAACTCGGTTATGTTGAGGCTGACGAATCGTTTTAAGCGTTGATCGCCTAAACAGCCTTGTCCCTGCAGGAGTTGGTTTTTTGTTGTTCAGTGTTTAAAGGAGGCCAGCGCAAAAGGCACTCGGACGCTGAGTTTGGCAATTAGGAACTAAGTAGCAGGGCGTCAACTATGGCGCATTTGCCTTCAGCCAAATCCACTATTCACTTATCGAAGAGTCCCTCCGTGCTCTATGCTACCGTGAACACTAGGATAGTGGTGCCTGGGCGTATTATTCTGGAACGACCGTTGCGGGGAACCCGATCGCGAGCTTCGATCGCGTTCTAATCCGCGCGGACAAGTCCGTTCGGTGGCTAGCTAAGGTGGTTGTTCATTTACTGCAAGTGTACTCCGTATAGCAGTACTTACATCCAGTAGTATGTATGCGGTTAGCATGGTACTAGTTAACTAGTAGCTAACGACGTTAGGTCATCTTGAATCGCGTGCAACTTTAATCTCGGCTTCGCGCGCTGCCAAGGCCGCACTGGGGCCCTCCTTCATTTCGTGATGCCACTAATGGAACCACGATCCCACTGATCATGCACGTCGTCATCGTCACAGGGGAGCGGGAGGTGACGCAAGCCGATCGCTTGGCTGGGGATTCTTTATCCTTTGGCACGTCCCCTCCTTGGTGTGTGGAGGTTCTCCAAAGCCTGAAGGAACAGAGAAAAAAAAAAGAAAAGAAAAAGAACTGGCTGGCTCAGGCTGGCGGGTACCAATGCGCCCCTCCTTTGTGCACGTTTCGGCAAAATGGGCCGATGAGAAAAAGGCCCTGCAGATCGAATACCTCGACTTGCATAGAATGATGAATGGGCTTTCCTCCGTACTCGTAGCGATGTTCCATGTGTAGTGTTGTTTGCTTAGTGAACGAACCTCGATCAAAAATTTAAGATTACAGTCAGGACGTTGCATTCTGCTAAAGAGCTAAGTTAGCGGCCGCTCCTTCGGTATGGGATTACAGTACGCAGAAATATATACCTAAATGGTACTTCGCAATCCGCCTTGTTTCTCGAAACAAATCAGGTATGGACGGAGTATATTTCCGAAATCTGAAGTATATCCTTCTACAATACACATGTGCCTGTCCCTGACTTTCTGTATCTATGGGACCTATGGGACTTATGGAGCCTATTGCAGACGGCATACAAAGTCAGCAAGTTCCAATTCTCTGGTGCCGTTTCGGGGCGGGGCGGCTTTTCATCAATTGAAACTCGGTTGACACCCTCGCTTTCCACGGCTCGGGTCGCCCGTACATCTTAACTGGGAATTCGTTGCGAGGAAGACCTGCAAAAACTAAACATTCGGATTCACCGGGTTGATTTGATCAATATGACTGAATCATGTGCGGTTGTTAGCGACGGAGAGCCCGTTCTTCGCATCGCATTACTGAATCATTGATTTCCTTCAGAGAACGTTCGTTCGCGTATAGTTCCAAGACACACTTACACTTGGCCAGTGCTTCGCGCTTCCCAGATCGGGGAGAGCGTGGGAAGAAACAAGAAAAAGAACCCAAAAAGAAACGGAACAATGATTAGCATCCGCTAGTTGATTAGTTAATTAGTTAGTTAGTTAGCTCAGAAAAGCCGAGTCAACGAGTCCTTATCAATAATGGAGCATGGAAACTATCCTAGGTATGGAGTATAACCCATAGCTCCTTGCCCGCACTGACATGACTGCGAAGAACCATCCTGTCGCTGAAGGAAAGTCAATTTTACGGGGGTTACGCCTCAGGGGATATGCACTTCCATTCTTTCCTTCCTCTCTCCCTTTCTTCAACACCAATAACCACCAATGAGTCTCCTTCCATCTCCTGGATAGCGCCGACCTTTATCTCCACTAGTGGAGCTCGCAACTCTCCGACCCAGCGACTGGGAGCTATCTGATGCCCCTATGTGATCAGTGCGTCCTTTTTTTTTCGAGAACAATCCAAAGCTGCGAACACCCGCCGCATGGCCCGGCTCGCACGGAAGACGGAGGCTGATAGTCTTCCTATGTACTCCGTATGTACTGTACTCTGTACTGTATATACTCCGTAGTAGTGAAACCTCATCCAGTCCACGTAGATAACGTGGTCTCGGACCTCGTATTGGTTCCTACACGAAGACTCTACTCCGTAGTACTTTATTCCTTACTCCCGACGGAGAAATTCCTTCTAGCCTCCGTGACTATGTCTCTCCCCTGATGCTATAATCCTCGAAGCTTTTCTGACCTGCGGGGGCAAAAAATACAATCAAAACAACGGCGAGTCCACTTCACTATCCCGCTAATCTCTGCACAGGTCCTCAAATCCTCTAACGCTGCTGCCGTCGAATCTTATTCCTGGCCCTGGCGAGGATGTGAAACATGGCTGGGACGGTGCGAGCGCCCTAATATTGTCATCTGATTGTTTCTTCGTGACATGAACCTCTATCGTACTTTGGGTTTGTACCCCTTTTGATTTTATTTTTCTCTTTCCAGGGGTAAACTGTTGAAGTTACCGAGGCACAAGAAGTTTCTAGAGTAGAGACACGGGGGTGTAGTTAGCGAAGTCGAGGGAAGACAGAGCAAGTGGAGGCGGTGGAATCAGGGGGTATAGGGATCCTTTGAAGGGTCAAGAATAATACGGTCAAAAGGGATAATTCGAGGGAAAATGCTTTCTTCCTTCATTACGACCGCTACGTGGATTTTAGTCATGTTTGATGACTGCATGTCATGCAGGAACCTCTCATTCAAGTGTAATAGAGTTGCCGATCAGTTAGAGAATTTCCCTAGTCCCCCACGTTGGTACAGTAGCGAGTAGAACATCAGAAGCGCCCCATCGCAAACCAACCACTACTGCTGCTGGCTAGGGTGAAATCCCATGGATGACTACCAGGGGTTTCCTTGTCCCACAAGGCAACAACGTGGCCTTCCTCCGTTTCGGTAGATCAACGTCAATTACCCGAGCCCAACGGTCCTTCACTGCCTTGCTAGGGCTCCAAATCAGAGACATTCTCCCGGCAGTGCTGAATCGGACTCATGCAGGTACAGCCACGCAGAGTTCGCCGGATTGGCTTCTGATCGACGCACCCACAAATCATCCGTTAAGCCAAGAGTTAGCCTTGACTTTGAGCCACTTCGGTCTCTGGACCTCATGATGTAAGTTGCGCGATATAGAAGAAAAAGCCGATCTTTCACCGCAAAAGGTTTCCGCGATGGATAAGATCGCCGCGGTGTTTTTCAGTCTTGTATGCAAGAGGGTCCCTTCTTCGAAGTTTTCAATGAATCAAAGAATCCTGCGGAGGACAATAGGCGACAAATGACGCGGACATGCTCACTAGGCTCCGTACTAAGCATGTGCTATTGGAAAAAAATGAGATACGAAGGAGCGATCATCGTGCAGGTTGCAAAAGCCGCCCTCTGTGGTTCCACGATGCGGTCGCAAGTCTTGCATTTTCGTTGTGATATTGATGCATAAGAGGCTTGTCCATAAGCGACCCGGATAGGTGGATGTGGCTGATCGGAGGCTAGCCAGACGCCGCAAAGCGATACCTGTTGCAGGTATCGCTCCGCAGTAGCAATGTAGGGGGAGGTCAAAGCAGAAAAGCGTCCAGCCCCAGGCCTTCGCGTCCGCAGAATAACGCGCCAGCTTCTCAGGTTGCCGCTGTCTCCTCTGTGAGATTATCTCGGGAAGCTGCGCTAGAAGCCAATGGGTTTGGCGCATCATTCGTATTTTCCTCCGGGGGTGCAAGTGATCCCGGTTCGGGCTTTGCTTCTGGTTGGGACACGTCTGGTTGAGAGTTGTCGGTGACGTCTTGGCTCTCGTTGGCGACAGGGATGTCCTTGATCACTTCGTCTTGTGCACCGTCGCCAACGAAAGAGGTCTGCTTTGTAGTGGTGTCTTGGCCAGCCCCGTCCTCGGGTGGCTGACTAGTGCTCTCCGTGCCTTCAGTGGGCTGAGGGGTCCCCGTCGGTGCATCCGGGCTCTCGAATAGAGCGTTGACGTTTTCCCCATCTTTGAATTTGTCGAACCTGGCAAGCTTTGTCTTTACTGACAAGCGGAGGAGGCGCCAAATCTTGCTTGACTTGGCCTTTTCTGCAATATCTTTGTCGTCCGTGGTCTGGGCAATACCCAAATCCATCTCGTCGTCCATGATACCCATCATCAGAGATTCCCCGGAGGGTACAGCAACCCTGCCTGATTCCTTCAGCCGCTCGATGTTGGCCAATGCTTCGCTATCGGACAAGAACTTGAGATCCAAAGATCCCATTGGAGAGGGACGAAGTCGCTTGTTGGCGTAGGCTTTGGTTGCATGCTCTCGTGCCTGCATGTAATCTGGCACTGAGACTGCCGCCCGCTCGATCGGTGGGCATCCTTCAGCCTTCCAGCGCACCCAATTCTTATCCCTGGACAATACGGTATCGACCATCCGGAAGTAGAAATTCCCACCATCACCCTGACGTAAGTATCCCTCAATGCTCTTTCTCATATCAGTAGCCCATTTAGCATGCTCTTCATTGAGGACAAAGCCGTACAGGACAGACTTGTTTGTTGCGTCGGCCAATCGAGCCTTGGCGTTTGGCGCGAGAGACAACATGAAATCGATGAGAATGAGAGCTTGTACTAGAACGTGTCGTCTAAAGGCTGTGTCACTCACTTCGAGATCAAACAGGTCCCTGCTGGTGAGGTATTTCGGGTTGAAACTCGTTCCAATTTCAGCATCATCAGTAACACGCTTGCGCTTGTGGGTCTTTCGGGCTTCATCAGACGAGCGCGAGCCGCTCGGATTCTCGAGTTCAGTGTTGATATTTTTGAATGCAGAGAGCGTCGCGTCAAGGCCAGCCTTGAAGTCGGCGAATCGCGGCGAGTCGAACATCTTGCTTGGGGCGGAGAAGTAGGCTTGTAAACTCCAAAACACTGGATAAAGAGCGTCCAGGTCAACATTTTCCTTCTTGTTGTCGCCTTTCCGTCCTTTCGTCGTTTTATCTGCCGTGACAACCACCTTTGGAACCTGTGACGATCCCTCAGGCTGCATTGTACCGTCTGTTGGAACCTCGGTGGGAGAATCTCCCTCGTTGCCATCGGCCATGATTGTGTCTTCGTCATTTTGAGCAGATGCCCTGGAGACATCGTCGTAGGTAGTAACATTTTCGGTGTGGAATTCGCCCCGGAGGTTGACAGAACTCTTGTCCCCAAGTGGGAAGCTCTGGAATAGGAAGATGAAGACTCGACCGCAGAACACCGTATCTTCGGCCCGGGATAGTCGGCGGAGAAGTTCGTTACAAGATCTTAAGATGACGAGGCTCTTCTGTTTGAAATGTTTCTAGGTAAAGATAAGTCACTGGTCGACCCGCATCTAGGTCGAGGAACCAGGAGCATACCTTGATATTGCGCTCGCGGCGCGACTCCAAGTAATCAAAGACCTTTCGACAGCCATCAATTGTTTGGCTGTCCAGAAGCTCTTCAATCAGCCAAAATATCAGACCGGGTTCACATTGTTCTGCGAGGCGTGTTAGGAAGGCTGCTTGTAGACTCTCGCGTAGCCGGAGGCGACTAACCGTTGTCGGAAAAGATAGAGACGATATCAAGTAGGTTCCAGATATGAATGAAAGAAGGGTCTTGGATCGAGGTTGATGCCTGTGGATTTGAAGGAATAATTAGTATTCATGTCAACCATGTGCGAGGCTTTTGTGTACTGCGGGCGCTCCTACCAGGATGCGATAGAATTTCTCGCGAAATGCAATCTCCACAGCGGCGAATTGAGTCTGTAAGTTGAGTCCCTTGATAATATCCTGCTTTTCGACAGGGACTTGCCAGATTGGCTCGCCTAGGGTCCCTTCGGTCAATGGTGGTTCGATGTGAGAATCAGGCTTGACTTCAGCTGCGCGTTCCAGAAGCCGGTCGACGACCTCCTTGTAGAGGCGCACCGCCTCAAGTTCGGTGGCCGCCATCTTTCAGAGGCGAAAGGAGAGAGATGAGCAACAATTGAGGTTGCAAGGAGCTGTGAGGAGATAAAAGGAAAACAGAAGAAATCACGGGGTGACGGTTGGTTTGCGGCTCGGCGGAGAGGAGTGCCAAGACTTTGGGAAAAAGCTCCCCCGAGGCAGCTGCGGCATGTGGCTTAGTAAGTGGACAGGTAGGTCAGGTGCGGGTGGCAGAAAATGAACTTGGACAGAACTATGCTTTCCACCATAATTGAGTGAGGATGTGTCATGACGGCCTTATGCTACTCTCAGGCATTATAAAATATAAAATTAATTACCAGATATTTTATCAGCAGAAAGATATTCAAAAGCCAAGTTTCTCAATCTGAGTATCTGATCTGAGTATCTGATGATCTTTCTCAGGCATCGAGGCGGTGAGTTAAGCGGTGATCCGGTTGTATGGCTGACTAAGTTTTTGGCAGGATGATCTCAATTGACCAGCCAGCCCAAGCTTCACTTGGAAGTTCCCGACGTGCGCAGATCCACACCACGCCCTCGACCAACCCCAGTCTTTCAGGATTAGGGGCAAGTGCTGTGATGGCGCAGAGTCTGGAGTCTCGGCCAACTGTGGTGGATTTCCGCGAGGACAACCCTTGGGTGAAGCTAGCCCAGGCGCACTGGTCGGACGCAAAGAAGGTGCGCAAGGTCAAGCCCGAGGTGATCAAACAGCAATTATGGGATCCGTTGGAAGCGGAGGGCTTTACCAATCGCTCGCTCTTGATATTGGAGAACTTGAATGTCCTGGAAAAGTTCGTTTCTCCCCAAGTGTCATTGTTTCTGCATTTCCGCAGGGTTAATTAGTCTCGCTTGCAGATTCCTATGGCCGACGTACACCGAAGATGCCTCGAATCATCACGTTCTCTTGATTTCCTTGGTTGTCAGCGTCAAGTATCGCGAACATCTTCCGATATGGGGTGAGTCAACGCGACAACTATCGGGGTTAGAGTCATGGGTCGTGTTGGGTAACTAAAGTATGCAGACATTTTCTCTGATCGCGCCGATGATTTCTCGAGCCTATTCCATCGAATCCTGTCCATGAGCATTGACCCCTCACTGCCTACCCAGTCTCGCATGTCAATTGTCTCATTTATAATCGGTGCCTTCCAATCTCTCGAAAACGTCCTGATCCGAAAAGAATGCGCCCCGCTCATTTCAATCTCGATATGGCACAATCTAGCCAGCGATGAGGCCAGGGAGCACGTAATCTCCAAGTCGCCAACATTGAAGAAGGCTTGGAGGGCCGCGGGTAAGCGATACGACGCGGGAGACGATGCTGTCAAGGCCAGGATGCGGTTCGAGCGGTCATGGCTGTATACCATGCTGCTTGTTTTCTTGCAGAAGCTGAGCGGACCCGAGAAGGAGCAAGCAGAGAACTTGCTCTACTGCGAGCGCTTCATGGAATTGCTGGTCGACCTTCTAAGCCAGTTGCCGACTCGGCGGTACGTGAACACGCTACTGAAGGACTTGAACCTCTTGCCCGTCATTCGCTTGTCGCAGCTCTACCGCATTCCTGAAAATACGCTTTTCCGTGACCTTTACAATCTTCTCAAACATTTCATTTACTTTGCAATTGATGATTATTCTGGCGAAGCACTTTCCCCCCAGGCAGTTTATGATCTGCACTGCCAGGAGCTGGCGCGACTGCAAAGAACTGCCATGAAATTCTTCAAGGAGAAGCTGATGATTCTTGCTCTCTCAAATTTGGGCGCGATTGAACAGCGATCCGAGTTGGAAGGTCAGCTGTCCTCTTTAGACGAGTCAGAGCTCCAGCAGCTATGCTCGCATCTAGGGTTCCGCACAAGCTATCCCAAGTCATCAAACATCACTCCCGGTAGGCAGCTCTACCTGGAAGCCCTATCTTCCTTCTATGAGCGCAAGTCTTCTTTCCAAGAAGTGGCCGCTCAGCTAAGCGTCATCCCCACGGAAGACAGCCTCTACGACCCCGCCTTATTGAGAAGTGAGTCCTATGACGGATCGAGACCCCTCGCAATTCCAAAATTGAACCTCCAATATTTGAGCATCGGGGATTTCCTTTGGCGCTCATTCCTTCTCTACCGGTCGGAGGCCTTCTTCCAGGTTCGCAAGGATATGGAATCGGTTATCAAGCGCATGCAGCCCAAAGCAACCCGAGATGGAAATGTGAAATTCGACGGTTTCTCTCGAATGGCTATTCCGATCTCCAAACCTGCCATCGTTGAAGTTGCCCCGGCTAAGGTTGGCTCTCCCAACCCTGCCTTCGTTCGGGCTGAGATCGCAATCGAGGTTGGACGCCTCGCAGATAACGTCCGCAAAGAATGGGATGCTCTTCGCCCTGACGATGTGATTTATCTGTTAGCCGTTCAGACCCCCTCTCCTGCACAGATGGGAATCCGGGACCAAATTCCAGATACTCCGTGCATGACCTACCTTCGCACAGCGGAGGTCGTACAGGTTCTCGATGAGCAGGGCCGTCCATTGCGCCAGCCAACTGCTGGTCAGACAAATGGATATAATTCTCGCCCGAGAGTACGGAAGCTGCTTGTCAATCTGGATGCTGCCGCATTCAAGGCCGACAAGGATCGTCAAGTGCACGGCAAGCCTGACATCTACCCTCTAATCAACGTCGTTGCACGGAGGAAGGCTAGGGAGAATAATTTCAAGTCGATTCTTGAAACCATGCAGAAACTCATTGTTTCAGACATGACTCTTCCATCTTGGCTCCAGGATGTTTTCCTCGGATACGGGGACCCTGGGGGAGCGCAATACTCGCAACTGCCAAACAAACTCCAATCCGTGGATTTCCTAGATACCTTCCTGGACTGGCCTCATCTCGTTGAGAGCTTCCCTGGCAGGACCATTGAGCCATCTGGAACCGAAACATCCAGTTTCGGTCCTCCCTACGTTCTCGAGTGGGTTGAGAGCGAGGCAAGTGCCGCTTCTACTGCTCCTCAGAAGAAGCGCCGCCGAGAGCAAGCCGAACAGACCGAGCAAGAACCCACCACCATGCGGGTGTCCACGTATAAGCCGCCTAATCCAGGTCCTTACCCTGTTGATGCACCCAAGCTCAATAAGGTCCGCTTTACGCCTGCTCAAGTAGAAGCAATTGCATCCGGTACACAGCCAGGTCTTACAGTGATCGTGGGACCTCCCGGAACCGGCAAGACCGATGTTGCAACCCAAATCATCAACAACCTTTACCATAACTTCCCCAATGAGCGCACCCTCCTCATCGCCCACAGCAATCAAGCGCTTAACCAGCTCTTCCAGAAGATCACTGTGCTAGACATCGATGAACGCCATCTGCTTCGTCTAGGCCACGGCGAGGAAGAGTTAGATACGGACTCTAACTATAGCAAGTCTGGCCGGGTCGAATCATTCCTGGACAACCGTAACCATTACCTTTCGGAAGTCATGCGTCTTGCAGCATCGATTCAGGCCGAAGGTGCCCATGGTAACTCTTGCGAGACGGCGGGCTACTTCAACACCGTCCATGTTCAACCGGCGTGGGCGAAATTTTGGGATCATGCCCGTGTTGAAGAGGTCTCAAATGAGGGCATTATATCCTCGTTCCCCTTCCATGCGTTTTTCTCGGATGCTCCCCAACCCCTGTTTGCCGAAGGAGCTTCTAAGGAAGCTATTTTGGACGTTGCCTCGGGTTGCCAGAGGCATATTGAGCGAATCTTCTCTGAGCTTGAGGATATTCGACCATTTGAGATTCTGCGCCAGCCACGAGACAAGGCTAACTACCTGCTGATCAAGGAAGCGCGAATCATTGCGATGACCTCGACGCATGCGGCAATGCGCAGACAGGAGATCGCGGATTTGGGCTTCCACTACGACAACGTGGTTATGGAAGAAGCCGCGCAGATCACTGAAATAGAGAGCTTCGTTCCTACTGCTCTTCAGAACATGAAGAATGGCGAGCTTCCACTCAAGCGAGTTGTGCTTTGTGGAGACCACTTCCAAAACTCCCCCATCATCCAGAACATTGCTTTCCGTCAATATGCACACTTCGAGCAGAGTCTTTTCCTGCGATTGGCGCGACTAGGAGTTCCGGTGATCACATTGGACAAGCAAGGGCGTTCCAGGCCAGGCATCGCCGAGCTGTTCCGGTGGCGCTACCATGAGCTGGGAGATCTCGCAGCCGTGGAGACCGTGGAGGAATTCAATCAAGCCAATGCTGGATTCCAATTCGACTACCAGTTTATCAATGTTCCTGATTATCAGGGTACCGGTGAGCGCGAGCCAACACCACACTTCATTCAGAACTTGGGTGAGGCAGAGTATGCTGTGGCGCTTTACCAATATATGCGCCTTTTGGGATACCCGGCCGGGAAAATCTCGATCTTGGCGACGTATGCTGGTCAGACGGCTTTGATTCGTGATGTGTTGAGCCACCGTTGCGCGAAGAACCCCTTGTTCGGGATGCCTAAGATTGTAACGACCGTGGATAGATACCAAGGAGAGCAGAATGACTGTAAGTTTATGACGAACAACGAGAAAATTAGTGTTCATACTAACCATGATCACCCTAGACGTGATTCTCTCTTTGACTCGCACTCGCACTGTGGGCTACCTTCGTGACGTCCGCCGTCTTACCGTCGCATTATCCCGCGCCCGCCTGGGTCTGTACATCCTTGGTCGTCGTGAAGTCTTCGAGTCGTGCTATGAACTTAAGCCCGCATTCGACCGCCTCTTGCAGCGTCCGGATAAGCTGATGCTTGCACCGGGCGAGATGTTCCCTGCCACCCGAGCGCTGGACGCTCCGGTCGAGGGCACCCCTATGGAAAGCGTTGAGCATCTTGGCCAATATGTCTTTGAGATGACCCAGGCCAAGGTCAAGGCTATGGGTGATGGTGAGATGGCTGTCGATGGCTCCACAGCAAATGGCGAAGAACTACCTCCTGACGAAGACGAGGAGATGCTTGGTGTTGATGAGGATCAGGATGAAAATATTGTATGAACAAGCGTTTTCCAAGATATTGCCCTTGAAAGGTTCGGGGCCTGCAAAAATTTCAACTAAATTTTCTCAATGATATCGTCAGAATTCTGACCCCAACTTCTTGCCTGAAACTCTATCCATATGGTAGATCCCACCAGCAGTAACACCAACACGACTCCATCTTAGACAGCTGGAGTTATTCATATGCATAACCGTAGTGTCACATGATCTGTAACAGCAATGTAAAATGTTTTTAGCTTCAGAATGCCGGGCCTCGGTGCGACTGTGCTCCCTTGAGCCTGCTGAAAGATGACATCGAAAATTTTCTTTTATGGGACTTCTGGCAAGCAGCAACAGTGAAAAGGTACCATTACTACATGGTCTTGCTAATTACATCCAAGGTGCCAGACGAGTCGTAAACGGTCTGCTCAACACCCTCGATTCTCTATTCTGCGGTCCTTCGTCTATCCTACTCCTTACTGGCGCTTGTTGATCTCCTCGACAATGTTCTGAGGGTCCTTCCAAGCAAAGCTCACATATCTGTAAGGAGGATCCGGTTAGTCAGAGCGCTTGTAGCATTTGGGGTTGAACCGAGGAACTTACTTTGTGTGGCTTCCTCGAGCGACGACCTCGCCCTTCTCGTTGGTGAACTTGATGTTGGTATAAGCGAGAGTTTTGCCGACTATGAATCATTAGCAGGAATCCAACACGGAAAGCCATTATGAAGCCATACACTTGTCGCAGGTTACCTCCTATATTTACGTTAGTATATTGTGTTTCGAATAGAGTGTCTTTGATGAGACCTACCGCCATGATCTTGTCACCGACCTTGCCACCAGAGCTGAGATAAGTAACTATGTAGGAAATTTTGTAAGCTATTTGCATGTAGACCCCGAGGCTCTTGCTCAACATAAGGACATAGCCAACTTACCATTCAGGTCAGTGGACACACCAGTCGCGAACAGTCCACGCGAAGCAACGGCCAAGGAACCTCCAAGGTCAACTAGAGAGAAACTTCAGTCAGATACAATGTTTTTAAGGTATAGGAGCTTCGGCTAAGTACCCATGCTTGCGATAGTACCGCCATGAAGGATATTGAGGCGGTTCTGAGATGAAAGAAAATTAGCTGATGAACTCGTATAATCAAAGCATTGGCTAATATAAAGCAAAATGAAAAGAGTACGCTAAATATCCACCATGAATGAGGCCAAGGTACTTACTGTGTGTTCCTTCTGGATGTCCAATTCAAAGTTGACAGTTCCGGGTCTGGCCGCAGTAACACGCAGCTAGATGCAGTGATCAGCGCAATTCTGGTATTATTCACGGGTGCAAACTTTCTAGCAACTCACATTATTCAACAGCCTACACCAAGATACGTGTTAGTTCGATCAATGCTTGTGTCTTCTTAAAGGACTGATACAGCTTACCGAGGCTCTAGACCCGAGGTAGCCCGAAAGGACTCCCAAACCTACGCGGAAATTCATGTTAGCAATGGGCCTATGATGAGATATATCCAATATTTATCACTCACAGACTTGACAAATCTAAGAGCAGTCATTTTGGCAGAGTTGTGAGGACTTCAAGGTTAAGAAGCAAGAGCCGAAGGTCGGTAGATCGCGAGAGCATCCATCCCGGAAACTGCGCGAAGTGGCCGCTTCGACTACCGTACTAAGCACCCATTCATCACCCATGACTTCACCGCGGACTTCTCTTTTCCCAGAGCGACAGAGACTCCAGGTCTCTCAGGTCACCACCATGGCGGCATCTACGTCTCGTCCCCTCGAGTACCTGGAAAGCCTGCCTGGAATGACCTTCAATAAGCTGTATCAACAGCCATCCACTGCTCTCGCTATTTTTCGGCGAATGCTGCCTGACCTGGGTATCTAGAGCTCCCCACACGTCGATCGCAGCTTCGAGACTGACAGCGAGAACAGCAAAATGCTTCGTTATGGCACTTCTTTATCTGAAGGATCCCTTGCCTACTCAGGACCTTGAGCTTTGGGTGAAAGCCGAGAGCAAGAAGTGAGCTCGCATCATACCCATTCTTCTTTGTTACGATCGGCGTTGCTAACATTGGAAATTCGACTGAAAGGCAACGCGATAATGCACTCTCGATTTTGGGTCGGCTTCACATTCTATCCAAGACACTCACCGCCGATAATGTCAGCGCTTACATGGTCACTAATCCGTTCGCATCCTCTCTCCGAAAAGCTCTCATGGGCTCCGAAGATTCCCAGTCCTTCGGCGTCTTCTCCCAAGTCCCTGGCGGACACCCCGTATCGATCACCGACCTCGATGAGTATGCACGACGACAGTGGGAAGGTGTGCTTGGCTACATGGTCGGAACCAGTGCTCTTAGCGGACAACGAGATGTGAACCTCAGCAAGGGTGTGAAGCAACTGCTTCAAGCCGGTCACCTCGTCGAGATTCGCGATCGCCGTGTGGACATTACGAAAGATGGCTTTGGTTTCGTGCTTCAGGATGTCAACACCCAAGTCTGGAATATTCTGATTCTCTACGTCGAGAGCGCCGAGGCCATCGGTATGGATAGCGTCGAGGTTCTCTCATTCTTGTTCCTGCTCAGTAGTTTGGAGCTCGGTCAATCTTACGAGAAGAAATATCTTTCGTCTGTCCAGCTTCGGACCCTCGCCGACCTAGCCGACTTTGGCATTGTCTATCAAGAGTCGCCCGAAGCTACCCGTTTCTATCCTACCCGACTGGCAACCACACTGACCTCGGACTCGAGTGCCCTAGGCAGTACCGTTGGCAGCTCCCTAACCGGGCCCGCAGGCCAGCCCGGCGCGTCAGGTACAGGCTCAGGGTTCATTGTCATCGAAACCAACTACCGCCTCTACGCATACACCTCCTCACCGCTCCAAATTTCTCTCATCTCCCTCTTCACGACCCTCAAGTACCGCTTCCCAAACCTGGTCACCGGAAAAGTCACCCGGCAATCAGTGCGCCGCGCCATCGATATGGGCATTACTGCCGACCAGATCATCTCATACCTACACACCCACGCTCACCCCCAACTACGCAAGCATAATGCCGGCCATTCGACCTCCAATACATCGGGCATTCCGCCCTCGGTCCTTCCGCCTACCGTGACGGATCAGATCCGACTTTGGCAGTTGGAGCGTGACAGACTCCGAGCCACTGCTGGCTTCCTGTTCAAGGACTTCACTACATTGCAGGAGTACCAGGCTCCATGCCAGTACGCTGCCGAGATTGGCGTGCTGGTCTGGAAGTCGGACCGGAAGCGTATGTTCTTCGTGACGCGTCACGAGCAGGTCGCCGCATTCCTTCGGAGCAAGAAATAATGGATGGGCCTTGGTCGCCGGGGGCATAATTCACGGCATATTGCGTATCCTGCATTCGATTGGTTAGGGGCATTTGACACAAAAGCATGGTTCATCGTCATTTGGTACACGGCTGGCGTTATGAGAGGTCTCGATGGGAGGGAATTTAACGAGATCATGATGCTATTCTAGTTGATACCATTCTTTCCTGTCAGATTGTACAATACTAACAAGTTTCCCATTCCTTTCCTTTCATCATATCCCGCACGAGTTTTGCTTGACTGTGGATCAACGGCCACGCAACCTACGGCTGAAGAGTAGCAGCTAGGGCCAAGTACATGGCAAAAAGAATAGAAAAACCAAAAAAAAATACAACGGCCAGGATTCGCATGAGGGCACCCACCACACTACTAACTGGCTGGCGTGTGGCTTGTGTGCGGAGAATAGTCGGGTGGGTGTGACGTCAAGAAATTCTAAGATTCCAAGATAGGTGATTCCCACAAAAACAGTCGTCTTAAAGCCTTACTACTATGCACTTCTTCCGACTGACCCATTCTCAGAGAGTGGATAGACTTATCATTCAACGTCAAAATGAGGTTCTAGGGGGAAATCTGTTTTCGAAATCCCCTATACCGCTCATCTTGGTATTGGCATATAATATTCCGAATTGATACGAGGCTACGACCAACCTTAAGTTAACACATGATTCGAGTCGACAGTTCAATCAATGACTAAAATTGTAATTGTCACCACTAATGGTGATATTCTCAGCAAAAAGAACATCGTATTGTCGGAAAGCAGCGCCGTTCTATTAATTGGACGATACTATACTAGCAACCATGAGAAGTCTGTCTTGTGCATTTTAGGATATAGCTCTCCCAATGGTACAGTATGAGTCACAGGAAAGCTTCTGTAACTCGTTTAGTGACGAAATTGATATGCTCTTTGATCAATATTGTCAATTTGGCTGATCTGAACTGAGATTGTCGGCTTTTGTTTCGTCTTCGCTCGACTTCGGTACTGTTTTTGAACACCTCGACTTCTAGGAGTCTCGCTCCGTCAGTAAGCTGGGTGGTGGAAGGGGTGAGCCCTAATATATTAACCTTTGCGACCCTTATGAAAAGCTAGGTACTTACCATTTTTGAGGAAAGAAATGTCCAAGGCCCGGCAGTATCTGCTGCTAGCCAAAAATATTTGCCTTCGAGGAAGAATATTCGCCCCGTTCCCCGAAGGCGGATGCCAAGCCATGAATCCGCATTGTATATCTTGCTGTATTCACAGGCCTTCTTCATCAAATTTGATTTTCGGCGGCATTGTTTCTAACGATACAGTCGTCTCTCAGTAGCAGAGCTCCTCAATCGGGAACCACGCGCAGTTGCCATTTATGAGAATGAAAGAATTTATGCCTATGGAGATCCTACACTTTCCTAAATGCCAAGAATCTTATAACTAAACAGAAGTCTGGTTAAGTAGGGTAGTCTTTACTAAAAACCGACCCCTCACATCACAGCATTAGTTACAATTTCCCAATTCCGGCACTGGCCTTCACAGATGCAGCAACGCCAGACACCGCCGTGACAGCGACGATGCGACTAGCGCCAACCGCCGCCAACTGCGTCAGCGCCTCTGTGTTCTCCACACCAGTCAGAGCCCCCGAGCCACTCAAAAGTGAATTAGCCACGCACGCACGTCCGAGGATCGAGGTACAGGCTGACTCGGTACCTGAGGGTACGTCGAAGATGGCGTTCGACTTTGTGGTTGAAGGGGCGGTCATGGGCGTGGTCACATTACTGAAGACATTGCCCTCGATAAGTGACCAGGTATTCGCCTCAATATCAAAGGCATGTCCACTCATGTTTTCGAAGTAATTATTGACCGCATGGAATATATTCGTGGCGCCGCTGGTACTGATGCCGTAGTGTGGGGCACGGCCTGATAGATGATGTAGGTAGTTACCTGAGAACGTATAGAAATCCTTCGATCCGATGAGCAACAGCGTCCAGTAATGTTGGCTATTGCAGGTTGCGGACCAGTAAGTTCGACCATCAAACTCGCAGTTGGAGATAGTGACGTGTCCTGCAGGAGCATAGCCAGATACGATCATCTGACGACCAATTAGGCTGAATTTGCAATGGTCAATCCAGACCATATCCGCGTCTTGGATGGTGATCGCATCGCCGCCCCATACGTACTGTGGGTTGATATTGTAGACGTGGACGTTCTGGATGATGAAATTGGAGGCGCTGTAAATGCGTAGGCCCCGACCCTGGATGATCCCTGCGCTGCCGACACCAACGATGGACTTATTGCTGTTCACAAGAAGTGGGCTGGCGCCTGCCGCATTGTATGTAATTGAGGAAACTGCGGTCATTGTGCTACCGGAGCACGACAGTGTGCCGATGTAGTCCTGACCGCCATTGTAGACGTCGCAAACTTGGTAGCAGCCGGCTGAAGTAGTGGTACCCAGGCTTGAAGTAAAGTCGAAGGTTTTGTCGATCAGAATGACCCGAGCCGTATCATCGGATAGCCACGTTTCGAGCCTGAGATTCGTTTTCAGCATACCTTCTCAAGGTTCGCAAACACAATGAGGTTACATACAGTGCGAGGTCCGAGGGAGCGGCTGGAGTTGCGTCGCCTCCTCCAGTAGTGCCCGTTGCCATACCAAAGGCTGTGCCGGTAACTCCTGCAGCGATAACAGCACTCGCTAAAAATACTGTAGCAAGAAAGATGGCCTTCATGACTGAAGATTCAAAACCGAGAAGTTAAGTGATGGCAAAACTGTATACTGATTATAGCTGGACAGAACCCCGGTATAAAGTATCGCTTCGTAGTCCTAAACCATGGCTTCGGCTTTCTTAAAGAGCATCAGTTGGCTAGCCAAATTCCGTGATCATGTCCGTTCACATGCTTCAGTAAGTCTAAAAACGGCTAAAGAAACAGCTTGGTCAACAGGGGTTTGTTCCATGACAGGATAATTTTAAAACTTGAGGAAGGGTTTCCCCCAACAGACCTTGATAAAACCAAACCTTTACTATGTTAGGTTACAAGCTCCGCAGTAGTGCCAGTCTTAGTCTCCGTCGATGTTTCCTTTACTAGCCTAGAAATATAGCCGAAGGGTCCCGTGGGCGGCGATCCATCAAGTATTTCACATACAGTTAATTCTCAACAGTATATCGCTCTTCTAGCTTCCTTGGCTCAAAACACGTACAGTCACTGTAATTTGTAGGAAGACAAAACAATAGAGGATCACAAATCCAATAGCTCTTCAACCTAGTTCTTATATTAATCTTGAAATAAGAATAGACTTCGTGCGAAGATTTATATCGTTCTAATTCTGAGACAACCGACTCACGCGTAATTGAAGCGCTTTGACTGCAAAAGTTGAAGTTTATGCCACTCAGAGACTCATTTCGTCGCCGCCAAGAGTCTAATAAGTCAAGATTTAAGCACCTCGACCCATAATTTGTCTCAGTCCCCTAGCACTAAATGTACTTCCACGCCGCCCCCGCACAAATTCTGTTGATCCCGTGTCCTCTTAGAAACGGTGTCGACTCCCCTTTTGTTTCAGCGTGGTATTTTTACATCAGCCACACCTCAGTTTTTAGAGGCTAAAGGCAATTCCTAGGTATATATAGGCTCCTTTTATTCATGTCGAGTTGAAAGTACCTTACGTGAAACTCATAGAGCACTTGACCTCGAAATATGGCTAGCGACATTAACCCCCATATACCGAAGTTTCATCCCGGTAAAGCCCATAAGCTCTTTGGAAAGTCTTTGGTCTATGTTAAATTCCATTATTTCAAGTTATTTAAGTAATACTGACTCGCTATCATAATGACATATCCTTACACTAAAGATAGTCGGGAGTTGGGCCAAACAGGCGGGGAGGGGGTGGGGTACACGATTTTAAGGGTTTAAATCATGCAACCCCTCCCCCCTTTAAATACCTAAAATCTTGATATTTTCCGATCGTCTCTTCGAGATCTTTTAATACAATAGTCTGATCCAGCTACCCAACCGCGGACATAACCCAGGTCCCGATATATATAGTAAGGCAAGATGTTAGGAAACGCCATAACAATATAAATCAAAAAGAGTATATATGTCCCCTATTCTTATTTCTATAAGGCCTTTCGCGATAACTCTCTACATTAATAATTAAATCAACGAAATAGTATAAAATAGAAAAGTAATCCATATAATAGACTAATTCTAGAGAAATCAGTAAGACCAAAGTAGTCAGTAGAGATTAGTTAGCGAATCCCCCAATTAGATAATACTTCAAAATCTGTCAGTAGTTCTCCCACTATAATAGGTAGTGGGTTATATGATTATCGTGGTTGAATTAAATAGTGTAATGGAGGTGCTGCTGGTGGATTTTTATGTGTTGCTTGATTGGACGATTTGCCAATTTCTGCTTGTTCCTTTGGTCTTGTTGATTTCTCTGCCCATGGTTAGAAGTTGTTTCGCTTTTTCTCGGCCATGACTTTGGCCCCTGAATCGAAGTCACGATGATCGTCAGATCGTCATGGCTCAAAAGATACCATTGAAGGGATAGACAGACGGGCCAAGGAACCGTTTCTTCGGTCTTGGCCTGTGGCTAGGCGATCGCACGGGATGGAATCGGTTGCTTCACTATGAAATTGTCATTCTTGGAGATATAATCTGATAGTGATCATGATATTCGATAGCGCGATCGGGAAATAGCATCCCTGACCTGCATCATTCGACCAAACTTTATAAGCTCATAACCCAATCTTAATCTTATCAAACCATTAGCTGAGACAGGAACGTGATCCTGAGAGCAACACAAAAGGCAGCCCCACTGTGGCTTAGCCTGCCAAGGGGATCAAACGAAACGGCCAAACAAAAAAAGAAACCCAGCCCCTCTCCAATTGGTAAAACTCCAATTGCTAAAAATCAGCCCCATTTTGTCTCCAAATCGCCCCGCGAAAAGTCAATTGCCTGTTTTTTTTTTCTCTTGGACCTTGCACTCGCGTGCTTTTCCTTTCTTCGCCAAATACTTTCTTTTCCTCGCCATTGGATCTTCTCCTCTGTACACCGTCCTGGACGATGTCCTCGTCCAGCGAAGCCAGTCCTGGTAACTGGATCGTTGGCAGCTATACCGGTAATAGCGATGGGGTGCGCATCACGATTGCGACCTTTGTGGGCGTCGCATGGTATAATGTGATCGAGCTGATCGTGCTCATCTTCCTCACCTTTAAACGCTACCAAGGTCCCTACTTCTGGAGTATGCTCGTCTCCTCCATCGGTATCCTTCCGTACTCGGTCGGATACTTGATCAAATTCTTCGGCCTCACCACCGCCACATGGGTCCCCGTCACGCTATTGACCGTGGGTTGGTGGACCATGGTCACCGGTCAGTCCTTTGTGCTATACTCGCGCCTGCACTTGGTCCAAGAGAATAAGCGCATTTTGCGCATGGTCAAGGGCATGATTATCATGAATATCTTCCTGCTTCATGTCCCGACTACCGTCCTCACATTCGCCGCAAACTTTTCCGAATCCCCCGCCTCCGTTGCGGGGTATGATATCATGGAGAAAATCCAACTCACCGGATTCTTCGTCCAGGAGGTCATCCTCTCCAGCTTTTACATGTGGGAAACCAACCGAATGTTAAAAGATAATTCGGATCCCGGTAGTCGCAAGACTATCTTGCAATTACTTGCTGTCAATGTTTCTTGTATCCTGATGGATATTGCGTTGATGGTCATTGAGTTTATGAATTTTTATATCTATCAGACCACTCTGAAAGCCACGCTTTACAGCGTTAAGTTGAAGTTGGAAATTGCTGTTTTGGGTAAATTGGTCAAAATTGCTCATCAAAATGTTTATGTGTCGCCGTTCAATCCGGGCCATGGCCACTATCCTTCTTACGTTGATCCCGCCCTTCGCGCTGGTGACTATAGCCATGCGGATTCCATGGAGGCAAGTCGGGCCTCCAAGGGTCGGGAAACTGGACATGAAGCGATTGGGTTTGATGATGACGTCCGATGAGCCAGGACAGGATGATTTGTTTGCCCAAACTTTCAGCCAGGATTCAGCAATCCCACCCCCTCAGATCAGACGATATACCCCCTCCCACTGTCTCTTGAATCATCTCGTCCTCACTCACACATCGTGAGCGAGCCGCGCGATCTCTAACGCGCCATGCGGCCGGAGACTGAATGTCTACTGTTACAGACTCATCCGGGGGCGTGCCAAATGTCCACCGGTAGACATGTCGTTCAAAATTCCCGGAAAGGAACAAGGATCGAGCATCCTGGGGTTAATACAACTCGGGATTGCATACTATCCCGGATCGTCGGACCGACGCGAGTTCAGACAGCAGCGTTGGGTTTGTTTACTGTGCATAGAGATCACGATATTATGACCATGTAGATATAATAGAAACTATATAATTTCCGGGTTTGCTAAATGGCTGACACCTTAGCAACACATCTCATTCCCTTCTTCTACCTAGAACTTCTTCACCTTCTATATACACTCAGCCCATCCATTATGCCCTCAGACATTATAGATCTAGGTCATCATCATCAGGCACCGGCATGTAGTTGTCGCAAGTGGTGAGTTCCATTGAATAAATGCTACGCATCTCAGTCGACAAAGACCAACCATTAACCTCCTTCAGCTCTCTCATATCATGCAGCAGATCATCCCCTAAATCCCCCATCGGCGCCCGAAGCCCCTGCACCAGGTCCCACGTCCACGTATCTTCCTCCCACTGATGTAAAATATGTAACGGCAAGCGTTTGGTATGCTACATATCAAGAACAACATCTGCACTCTGCATCCCCTTTCTGAGTGCTTCCGTGACCCTCTCCCCGTGATATGAAATATCTGGATCCGATTTGAGTGAGCACAACTCATCCACAAAACTGTCGTACCAAGACCACAATACTCTAAAATAAAAGTAGTCCGACGAGGTCTCGGAGCTATTAACAACGATGTCGTAGAGCATATTCATTCGTAGTCCCCCAAAGACCTGCAGCGGAACCTCCCAGCGGTGCAAGTCCACCATATCCGAGATTGCGATGCCGCGCTCTACCCACCCGAGAGTTAGGATGGGTGGTTGCTGGACAAGCATTCGGCGCCAGTTGGCTTCTGGGCGTCGATATGTATCGCTGCTTTCTAGGAAATCTTGCATGTCGCCGGCGCCGAAGGAGATAGTGCATGACTTGTAGTCATCGGCCGGAAACCAGTAGGGGAATTTGGATGCTAGAAATGGGTTTTGTTTGCGGGGTGTTGCTGTTGGTGCTGGTTGGAAGAATAGGATCTGCTGGAGTTTGGGGGATTCTTGGGTGCAGTTGGCCCATCAGCGATTGACTCGTTGGGCGAGGAGGAGGGTGTGAATGTCCACGAGAGAGAGGATGCCTTCGAGGAGCTCGGTTGGTAAGGATTGGAGGTTCATCTTGTTCTTTGGTGCGGGTCGAGGTATGCGATTCTGGAGGCACTCAAAAGGGTCGCTTAGGTCGCTATAGGTGGTGATCAACTGGAATACGTTGATGCACAGCGGCTTCGTCGGTCACAAACATGCCCCTTTGGTTGCTCTTCACTAGTTAGCGGGGTTGACAGCCGTGGTCGAAGCCGCCCCCACATTTTCGGGTCCTTTCCATCTCTGCTAGATTGGAGGAGGATAATTGACAGCCGGTTTTAGCATATTTTTAGAGTAAAAAGTACATTTCATAATCTAATCATTGCTATCCGATCAACTATATCCATACGTGCGAACAATATACATAGAGACACTATATTGACAGAAACCATAAACTTAATCCCCCACATATTACTTAGACGCAGTTATAGTGGCAACTGGCTTAATGTCCTCCGGCTGGTAGCTCGGATCTTCAGAGTAGCTCCAGGCTGGCATGAAGTTGATCGAGCCACAGCCGCCTGACTTGGGCATGCCGAAAATATCCGTCTGGTCGGGGAGCTTCTCGTACCAGCAAGTGCAGGTATTCTTGAAGGTGTCACCGAGGATTGAAGTGTCGGTGTCTTTGCACTTAACTTCGCCGTGATCGCCACTGGATCCGACACCGGTTGGATCAGACTCGCCGCTGCCAACTGCCATCAGTTGGTATACCTGTTGGTATTATCAGTATGTGAATGATGGCAGAGGCTAGATGATGTATATCAGCCACTTACCAGGCACACTTCTTGGAGACTTCCGCCATATTTCTGGTCCGTCGTCGAGGTATCGCACTGTTGAAAGCAGTGTGGTTAGTATTGTATATCAAGTCAAAAGCGGCAGAAATAGACATACCCCGTTCATGATAGTACGCAATCGGTCCATGCAAATGTCAGTGTCGCGGAGACCCTCACCCTTGGGCGGCCATGTAGTCATTCCCATGCAGCTACCAGAGGCAAAGTAGGCACCAATCCATAGCTTGTCCTTACCACCATTGATGCTGTAACTCCCGCTTACACCGAGAGCCTTTCCCTTCCCGTCCTTTGTCTGTCCAGTACCCTGATCAATGGGTGGAGTGAAAACATGATTATAAAGTTTCGTATCACTGCAGAAATCTTTGATCTTTGCATCGGCTTCAGAGACACTGAATGCCGACCGGCCCGAGGGGTTGCTACCGCCTGACTTGGCGCACTTGGCGTCGGGAGTATTGACATAAGAGCTAAATTCTCGCATCTGGTTTCTATACGTCTCAGGGAAGTCTGTATCCGGCGCGAGTGTGTCGGTATCGGCCTGATCAGAGAGTGTGATAATGTTGCTGTCATCGAGGTCGTTGGCAATATAGCTTCCGTCGTCGTTAGTGGTGAAGCCATCTGCTGAAAGCTCGCCTCCGTTGACGCCGAATGTTCCGTTGCCTTCTGTCAAGAACATGGCGCTGGTCTTGGGCTCCCAATCGAGAGCTTCACGATCGGCAAGGGGGAGCCAGGGGTACTGATTGCCGTCTAGTTTAGACTGTACGTATTTGGCTTTGTGATGGGTTAGCCTATATTTTAGTGGAACAACCTTGTTGGTTGAGAGAGAGAATCAACATACCTAAGGCATATTGTGCATAGTTGTCCGCTGTCAAAGATAAGATGGAACGTAAGTAACAGAAGTAGATGAGCGGCTACATAGAACGTACCGTTCATGGTAATCCCGTCTTGGGCAATGTATTGTCTGGAAGTGCGTGCCAGAATCTTGCAAGGCAGCGGCTGATAAACATCCCACTTGACCTTCTTCCGATCATATCCACGATCAGAATCACGCCGCTTGTATTCGTATACATACATGCTGAGATCTTTGATTCGACGATTTTTGTTCTGTGAGTAGGTCATGACTGTAGCATGCATGAATTCGTGCAGAATAATGTATGCTGGTGAAAAGCAGCGGTTAGCTATATAGAGCGCAGAGCATTCATGGATGGGAATATAGCGTACCTTGGTTCTTGTACTTCGTCACATCATATCTCCACTTGAAGTTGTCGTTATCCTTCACATCATTAACAGCGTCATCCAGCTTCTTGTAATAGAAGAACTGCTCGCAGAAATGCATGTTGGAAACAGCATCCGCCTTATCATAGCTAGGCGCAGTGTTCGGATCCGCGGCATCTGTCTTGGTATTCCACTGATAGGCAATGACACCCTGCTTTTTGCAGCGGTTCTGATACTTCGCATCGTTCGCTGAGCCACAGCGAGCATTCATTCTGTAGCCAGGCCAGACGCCACTGAGTCGGAAAGTCGAAATATGCTCGAACACGGACTGAATGTTGCTCTGCCAGTCCTTGTTCAGGGCGCTTGGGCCGAGGTAGTCAAGAGCGCCAGGATCATTGCCAAAGTCAATGGTCTTGACATGCTCAGCCATTGTAACTGCATCTTCATGCGCCTGTTTGATCGCCTTCTGTTGATCAGAAGAACAATCCTGGAAGTGTAGCCATGTCCACAGAGCACTGGCATCATCATCGCGTTTTTCGATGGGGCCCTCGTGGGTAGGTGCAGCTTTTGTGGAAGAAATTAAAAGTAATGCCGAGCCAAGAAGAATTGGTAGCCGCCGTAAATTAATCATTTTGACTGGCACCGACTCAAAACACCCGCAATGTTGGAGAAAGACAAATTCGAAACTGCTTGTGAGATACTGACTTCATTTTCTCATGGCCGACATCAGCCTTATATACACGAAGGCATACAGGGCATAGAGTTAATATCAATAAGCCGCACAGACTCGAGCATCCTTCAATATAACCAAGCTAAGCTCATTTCCCGTGTGCATAGCCAGGCTGATATTCCATCATTGGCTGAATCGTTTGGTTCCTGGACGCCAAGAGAGAGCCTATGTGCAGTTTGAAACTCTTATTCGTAAAGTAGATGCAGGAGAAAAGACAAAACTAAAAACAGTACCCGCCCCCAAAAAGCTCACCTGACTTGCCGAATCATTCTTCCTTTTCTGCAAGACCCTCAGCGCCACAAGAGACCCTGCTGGTCCCTGGTCCCTGTGGGCATGTGCAATAATCCTGCGCCAGAAAATGGACCTGTCAGACTCCTACAATATCAGTATAACCTCCCAGTCACTAATTTCAAGGTAGCCTTCAGTATAGTCATTCAAGGACTAAGGTCATACTCGCCTCAGCCACAGTATATCTTGAATGCCGTATAATCTCCGATTTGGTAGAGTATGAAATTTCTCTGGCATAGTATATCATTCTCCAAATCACTATGATACTGATAGAGCTAGAAGTTTGTATAAACGGAAATAGCCCGTAAGCAGGGTCTCGCTGACTGAGGCTGAGTCTTACCTAGGTAATTTGGGGTCGACAGTGTGCTTGGCGGGGGTGCCAAGACTCCTCTCACCCTTCAAAACCGGCCACGAATTCGCTCATCTTCAACTCAACCCCCAAAAACATACTTCTGCCCCCAACTGCGTGGACTTTTTACCTAGTTTCAAACTGATATCCTAACCTCCCGTGAATTTTCAGGGTACTTCCAGGGCCCCTCATTTCAAAGTTCAGTCGATCGGCAACCATCAATATGTCAGAAAACAGCTTGAACAAGAAGGCAGATGAGGCTCAACAGCTACCAAGAGCTCAAAGAACACGCTTCTCAACTACTTCTCTTGTCAAGATCCTATTCGTTTTACTCTCCTTCGCTATTCTTATTTGGACCTTTCAGGGACACCTTTCCCGTCGCCTGAGCAGCTATACACGAACCGCTGAGGAGCCAGACTTGGTCACCGAACTTCCTCAGAGGGACCAAACCCCTGACATCAGATGCTACTTCTCCACCAAACGCTATGACATCCAGAGTGGCATGACTGCATGCTACCCTACCTCCGGCGGCATATGGCTCGCAGAGCTCGGCCCTGTCGAGCTACAATATCTAGGCATCAACCGATTTGATTCCACTGAGCGGTCCTGGAATGAAGCTGAAGAAGATCAGTTCTGCCATGAGCTTCGAAAGTTTGGCGGTTGTTGGCACAACCCAAAGTCGCCTTATGATCTGTGGATCGGCGGATTGTGCAGTGATCTTTATGAATTGGAGCCGGTCTTCTCGATTGACCGCAGGGTCGCATTTCCTGCGAAGGGAGGTGTATGGGTTCTTAGTAGAGATGAGGAGACTAGAAGGTTTCCGCGTGGAATAGTCGGTGTCAATAATGCATTGACAATGGAGGAGCGCTCGATGGTTTTAGAAAGACTGGGAGCGGTTTACTGCGATGACGTTGCCGAATGCCATCTACTCGATGACCTCAAGAAGGAACCACGAGACCTTGCTGGCAATCAAGACCTTTGAGTATGATAACGAAATGCAACTTGCTTAAAGCAATATTACTTCAGATTTCAGTTTCTTATTATGTATCAGTTCCCAATGACTTTCCTGTAACAGAATACAGCATTCGATCACTTACATATTTCGACCTGCAATCAGTAGCGCGTCGGAGTGTTATGGGGGCTAGAGAAATAGTTTCCCATTAGGTCCCCGTAGGTGAGGCAACCCGTTTACAATGAACTGTGCAGAAATTAGCTCTGCAATAGTGGGATACTGGCAAGGAAATGATGAACCAAGGACACCATATTTTCTGGGAAAGAAAAGAAATGGGAGGAGCAGTGGGTGAAGAAGGGTACATGGCCGCTGCAAGGAACATGTCACACCAAGACGCGGTCAATCTTGGCTGCCAAGTTGGTGATTCATCCGTGCGTAGCCAAGATAAGCGGTATGCAAATATGACTCGGGCGAGCAAGCAGCCGAATTTATCAAACGAACAGCTGGAGGAAAACCGGTCCATGTGCCGTAAGAAGTCCCCTCCAGCGCCCGTCTTGCATGTATGTGTCACATACAAACAGGTTCATCAAGCATACGAGTAACAGCTCCTGACAAAAGGGAGCTTCGGCAGTGGAGCACCAACACCCTACGAGCCCTGGCTCTTCCGGACGGTGCCGTGATTCGCCAAAGTGGGAAATCAGCCCTGTTTCCAAGCCAATAAGAAGGACATTAGAACCCCCCTATCTCCCCACTTAGTGCTCAAGTCCCCATATGGTGCCGAACTTCATGGAAAATTCTTGAGACTTGCGCTGGTTATGTGCTGCCCGATTTTACATACAAACCAATAGTAGCGGCCCTGTGGCCCAAGATCTTGTCGTGAACCACTCTTTCCTGAAAGTTCCAAGCAAGTGCTAAGAATAGGCGTTTATCTATTGGAGCTAAAATGTCTTGGTTGATTTCCGCATATCCTCTACCAGTAAAACGTAGTTAACTAGTAGCCCCTCTGGCTTGCCCAGGAAATCAGGAGTCCTTGGCTAGTACGGAGTAGAAAAATATTTTACGTATATCCCTCCCCCCCTTCCCGGAGCTCGAGTCGCCCAGTATGCAGAAACCACGCCTATTGTTCTGGCTTACTCCGAGGAGGGCCATAGTTGGAAGTATACTTCTGGTTGTGCTTCAAATATCCTATTTCCTACATCGGAGTAATCTATTTCCTTGGCAGGGTATTGACGACCCCCGCGGAGCTTACCGAGCCTGGAACACTTTTCTAATGATCGCCAGGAACAGCCGGGGCAGTTCTTCGGCATGATGTCGTCCACCAACTTGTCGGTCTGACCAACTCTTACGCCTCAAAATCTGCAAATGCCAGCGTTGGCCTTGTCCTCGCATCGATTCATACCGATGACTTGACCTGGCTGCTGGATTATTGTACGGAAAGGTAACTTGGTTCTACCGGCTATTCGAACCCCGGAGGCTTACGCCCCATGTTTAGCGGCAGTGTACCATTCGTTTATACGACCGAGCGATCTCCCGAGTTTGGCCTCTTAGTTCCTCCCACGCTCCGTGGACGTGAGGCTTCCGCGTATCTTTCCTACGTGATTGACTTCTACGATCATCTCCCGGAATATTCCATCTTCGTGCACGCATTCCCCGAACAGTGGCACAATGACCTTTTCGGACCTTATACATTGAACACTTTAAGGAATATCCGACTCGAGTCAATCGAGGCCTATGGATATGTGAACCTTCGATGCCAGCACAATCCAGGATGCCCAACAAGCATATACCCGCTCACTCCCAGCCAGGCCGACATTGACAATCACGATATCCGCGCTTATTTCTCGGACGCCTATCAGCAAATCTTTAACGTTACCTTGGACAAGGTTCCCGGCGCCATAGGAAATGTCTGCTGTGGTCAATTCGCAGTTAGCAAGGACAGAATTAGAGTACGACCCAAGGAGGACTATCAACGGATTCTAGACTGGGCCGCGACAACTGACCTGACAAACGATTTTGGTGTTGGCTGGGTCCTTGAAAAGCTATGGCATATTATATTCGGCATGGATGCAGTCTAGTGAGTCTCTTCTTCTTCCGGTTTGATTGCCGCCATTGAAAGTGACGGTTTATTGATCACGTCCCTCGCAGCTGCCCTCGATTCGAGCAATGTCGCTGCGATGTTTACGGTTGGTGTGGGCCTCTACCATCAGGAGAGTCACTGCAAGCAGTAATAAGGCCAGGTCCCGGGGACGGCTCTCCTACATAGGAAATCAAGATAAAAAGATCAAAATAATGCATAGAGCATTGACATAAATCTCCCAATCTCCTAGCCTGCCAGGCCGAGAAGCACTAGCGAAGTTTGCGGTTTATTGTTCTTTATCCTTCCTCCCGCCAAGGTACAGCGAGATTATAGAAAATACGGCATTCGACGTTTAATATCCCGCCGCGTTCGGTAGGGTCTCTGGAGTATCGGCTCGGAATTTATTGGTGATCAAGTTACCGAAGGAGGGCGACCACCCAACCCGTGGGGTAAGACTTTCCAACCCCCAAAGCTCAGACACGAATTTGAGAATCGAGGTGTGAGTAAAGTCATTATCGCCAGAGCTCGGCTTATTCTGCACTAAGCCCTTCTCAACCCAAGGGGAGATCAACAGCGTCGGTACACGCACGCCGAGACGGTCAAAATGGAAAGTATAATTCTGCCCATCACTTGCCTTCTCCGTGTAAGTGAGGCTATCCCCAGGAGGAACACCAGTAGGCGGGGGTACATGGTCGGCGAAACCTCCATGTTCATCCCAGGTGATAATGAGCAAGGTTTGATTCCACTGTGGGGAACTTCGTAACGCCTCGTAGATACCCTTCATAAAATTCTCGCCCATGTTGATAGGAGACTTGGGGTGCATCGACATGTAATCACAGCATTCTGGGTTGATCCAGGTGAATTGAGGCAGCTTTCCAGCCTTGGCATCCGTATAGAAGCGGTCGATTGGAAGGACATTGGTTTTGTCTTTCCCAGACTTGGCAGTCCATTGATAGAACATCGCATCGGGCGGGAAGCTTGAGGGCCCGATATCGGTTGTATTCTGGTAGTTGATCCAAGTGATATTCTTCTCAGACAGCTGCTGGAAGATCGATTTTTGGGGCATTCCAGCGTTGTAAAACACCTCTCCGTTGTCACCGTGACCGTAAGACGTACCAGATGTCAGATATGCGCGATTGGGGTCTGTTGGTCCAGGAATAGCCGCAAACCAACGATCGAATAGTACATAGTTCTCTGCCATAGCATTCGTGACAGGGACAAGCTCGGGTTTGTAGTAATTGATCACCTCGGCCGCTTCCATCATATTGTCTTGCAAGCTATACATATAACTTTGCTCAGTGACGAAACCGCTCATGGCTGACTTGGAGTTTACTCCTGGGTGATAAGTGCCAAAGACTTGCATGTTACCACCAGTGATGGTATGATCAGGGTCGTCCGACGCGACGTTTTTCGCGATGTCAGCCGCGCACACATCTTCCGAATTCGGCTCCGAAACATTGGCTGGATTGCAATACTTCTTGTTGACCAATCCATCGATGGCGGAGTTGTAAGTAAGGCCACCGACGAGAGTGTCAAACGACCGATTCTCTTGAACAAGCACAACAACATTCTCAATGTTTTTCATACCCGAGGCATGTGGTCGAGCCGCGGCACCAAGGCCAAGACCAAGTATCGTGAATGGAAGAGAAAGTCTCATCACTGAAGTGTGCGGAGTGGTTGACTTTTTTGCTTTGGGAGTCCCATCGCTATTTATAAATTGCCCACATTGTCAATCTGCTGCCAGGAACCGACTCAGATCAATGTCGCATCGTGGTGAGTGCATTCCGACGTGTCTCCACATAAACATCGCGCCGATCCACTGAGAGTGCCCCAATCTTTCAGATGTTTGTCGATCACTCTCTCCCCTGAGACCCCCGCATCGCTAAACGCGAGTTCATATCATTCTGGATACATATTTCATCGCTCTAACTGGTCCTTTTGCAACCTTTTATCCCGGATCGTCCCTCGACGTTGCAGAACTTTTGGCCCTAAGGCTTGACCCGCCGGCCATTGAAAGATGTGTCGTACTCCCCTCGAGCTTCTCAAAGTCGATAGACAAGATCGGATAATAGTTATGGAGGAGGGACTGTCCGCTTCAATTGAAAACGATGCTAATAATAACGGTAGGCTTGACCATAAAGGCAAATCGATTTGTCGGAGTACAGATTGAGTGTTTTGAATAACAACCACCCCCCTTGAATCGCGACTGTTTCTTTGATCAATCCATCGGTCGAGGTTGGCCCCACTCAATTTATGATTTGGCTAATCCTGATGATTCTCGGACCAAGAAATCTTTGTTGACCTGCGTTGGAACGTTGCAACGATCGCCGCTAATCTGACCGAAGCCACGCTTGGACTTGCCGGTTTTCCGTTGGGTCAGGAAGATCAGATCGAGGTACACGGCGCCTCAATTAACCTGCAAAATTTTTTTTCTCTCTCCAAGACTTCCCTAAGCGAAAAGGCTATCTAGGAAAAAGTCATCGAACAATCTGCGACCGATCAGCGTGGCTGTGAAAAGGCAGCAATGCTGTTCGGGTCGATGAAAGAACCACGTAACTCTCAAAATAAAACCAAGTTGGAGCCTAATGTAGGTACTCTGCATACTGTTGAGGCAGAACTGGGCTCGCAGCATAATCTAAGACCATTAAGATGGAGATGCAATTTAACAACAACTGGAATTCCTGTAGCCGAGAACAACGATATATTCCAGACCTACCCTGAAACCCCTGTGAGCCCGAGTCTCCTTGCACATTAGGTACCTACAACTCTAACCCAAAAAATCGATGAAATATCGCCATAAGATTAATTTATCCATCTTCTTCTTCTTTTATGGCTGATATAGAATTTGGAGCCCTCGATTATGCCAACCAAGCATCTTTCTGCACTTATGGCATCTGGTGAAGGAATCACTTCACAGGCTAATCCAATTGAATGCCCGCGGAAGATTGTAATTAGCCAATTCTCAATTAGCCGATACTGGAATAATATCTTTGCGATTCATTGGTGCATGATTTACCTCCGATGTGAATCACCAGAAGGTTATCCAAGAGTTCGGCAGATGCTTCACCGATGACAGCCTGTCGACGTCAAGGATAGAGAGGTATTCTATATTGGATCAAAACCTGAGAACATCGAGGAGACATGAACTTCAAAACTTTCTGAAAACACATCTTTCATTCGCTCTTAGGTTCTTTCTGTTCGACCAACTCGGTGAAGCAGAGGCCGAAAATCACCCAAATCTTTCCCCGCTGCCGATCGCGCTCGGGCATGCGGGGAAATTTTGGACCTCTGAGACTCGAGCCACGCCGAATTATTTTGGTTGTATCTAGTATAAAAGCCGGCGAGGTTCCTCTAAGAAAATAGAGTTTCTTATCAATCGAGTGAGAGAGAAGCAGAGAGCAGCGCGTCCTCAAGAACCAATTGAGAACATCTATAGTGACGGATGATGCAGAAAGTTCTCAGCTTGTACTTGCTGCTAATAATAAGCACCTCACATGCAGCGGTAACATGTGACCGAAGATCGCAGATTATCAAATCGTTGAATGTCAGAAGAAATGCCAGTTCAGATTCGACGCCGTTGCAAGTTGGCAATGGGAACTTTGCATTCGGTGCCGATGTCACCGGTCTCCAGACCTTCGCCCCTTTCGCCATCATGTCCACCTGGGGATGGCATAACTTCAGCTTACCAACTACGGCAGGGCAAACTTCGCCTGATGGTAGGATACATGTTTACTTCATACGTGCTCTGGAAACGCACTGACACCATGCAGACTTCACAGGACTTGACTGGTGGACCCACGGGAGACTTGTCAACTATGACATGCCCAATCCGGCTGAAAATGACATCTCGAACTGGTTAATCAAGAATCCTCAGCGTCTCAACTTAGCGAGGACTGGATTCTCTTTCGGTGATGCCACTGTCACTGAGGCAGATCTTCAACAAAAGACCCAGGATTTAGACTTGTGGTCTGGCAAGATCAGTTCATCCTTCATCTACAATGGTAGCTCTGTTGCCGTCGAGACAGTTGCGGATCCAGCCTCTGATACCGTCGCAATTAGCGTGGAATCGAAACTCCTCCAAGATGGCATGGGGATATTTTTTGACTTTCCGTATTCTGATCTCAACAAATTTGACGCCCCATTCGTCGGTGTTTGGAATGCGACTTCCAATCATTCCACAAAATTGACCACAATCAACTCTCACTCTGCTGAGATAAAGCACACGTTGGATGAGAATAGCTACTATGTGACGATCAACTGGGAGACCCCAGGAGCTATCTTCGGCCCAACGGATGGGACGCATCGCTACAACTTCTATTCGAAGAGTGGCCGTGTGCGCATGACTATCGGCTTTTCTCTTGAGCCAAGCAAGAAGAGTAAAGAGCTGAAGTTCGCAGAATTGAAGAGCTCATCTGCGTCTTGGTGGCAATCCTATTGGTGCAAAGGGGCATTCATTGATCTGTCAGCAGCAGCGGCTGTCAATAGCAGCGCTGCTGAGCTACAGCGACGGACAATACTCTCTCAGTACCTCGTTGCCGTGAATGAAGCATCATCAAACCCGCCCCAGGAGTCCGGTTTAGTCAACAATGGCTGGTATGGCAAGTTCCATCTCGAAATGAGTCTGTGGCACCTGGCCCAGTTCGCCCGCTGGAATCACTTCGACCTGTTGGAGCGCAGCATCCCCTCAATTTACGAGAGGCTTCTCCCTTCAAGCATCCAGCGTGCCAAGGACCAAGGGTATAATGGAGCACGATGGGGGAAGATGACGGATCCAACTGGCCGATCTGCTCCTGGTGAGATCAACGCCCTCCTCATATGGCAACAGCCGCACCCGATGTACTTTGCCGAGTTGGAGTATCGAGCGTATCCGGTTCACGCAACACTCGTTAAGTGGGACGCTATTCTGACCGAGTCTGCTGATTTCATGGCTTCATTTGCATGGTGGAACAGCACAACTGCCGTTTATGATTTGGGACCGCCCATGTACCCTGTCTCCGAAAACACTTCTCCCAATGTAACCGTCAACCCGACCTTTGAGCTGGCATATTGGCGCTTTGGATTGGATATTGCAGTTCGTTGGAAAGAACGACAGGGCCAGTCAGCCCCGCAATTGTGGACCAAGGTTCTTGAGAACCTGGCGCCACTTCCCATTGATGATGATGCCTATGCCGTGTACGAAGGCATCCCCAAAATGTGGACTAGCAATGACACGACAAACGACCATCCGGCAATGACTGGCATCTACGGTCTTTTGCCGCCCCCATCAACCGGCCCGCCAATCAATTTGACGATCGTGCAGAACACAGCAGAGAAGGTCAAGGAGCTGTGGGCACTGGAGGACTCATACGGCTGGGATTTCTCCATGTTAGCACTGAACTCCTTACGTCTGGGTAACATTGACCAGGCAATCGCGTACTTGATCGACCCGATATTCCAATTTGACGATGCTGGATATCCCGAGGGAGGTAGTCGGGTTGCGACACCTTACATGCCAGATGCCGCTTCTCTGCTGCTCGCGATGGCCATGATGGCTGGGGGCTGGGATGGAGCCGAAGGAGCGCACTTTCCACCAGACTGGACAGTAGAAGTCGACGGGTTCAGTCCTGCGATGTGATGTATCGAATTAGTAATTTGGGGTGTCGATCTAGCAATAAATTCCCGTGCTGATCAATGACCTCTCACCCTGACAAATAATTCGAGAGCTACTGGCTGATAAGAAGTCTTGGTAAATTCAGGCCAGGGGAATGGAATCGAGATCTGCCCCCAAGTTTGATAAAGTGGATGGTTCCATTTCCAGGTTAGCGGCAAACGCCCAACGTTTCAGGAGTATTCCGAGTCCCCACATGCGAGATCGCGCGTTTGCACATTCTTGAGAGTAAGACAGTAGACACTTCTGCATATGAATTCCCTTCCCCCCACAAGCCAGGCAATTTAAACCTCTCTCCTTTCCCGACCATGTCTTCCTAATACATACCTCGCTCAAGCCTTGAACTCGACAACCAAGAATCCAAAGTGCGGGTAAGCTTGGATACCAAAAGGATTAACGCAAAAGAGATTCTCCTATGTCTAATTAGATACGGTCCTACAGTGTATCCAAACTCCACACGCGCCAAAGACAAGTGGTGAAGCCTATCGATCGCACGGAATTTTGCATGTCACTTGATCATCGCCTTTCAATTGTCGACATTATTAGATCTCACCATCATGGTCTATATCATGGTAATCTACACCGATGGTGGTTGTAGAGGCAACGGACGACCAGGAGCAATAGGAGCTGCCGCAGCTGTTTTCAAGACAAAATATGGAAAATATCGTGCCTGGACCAGGTGCTTGCCTTCATACCCTACACCTACAAACCAGCGCGCCGAAATCACAGCTATCATCGTGGCGCTAGAGCAAGCCCTGGAGAAGCATGTCGCGCTAGACAACAACCCACGGCTAAATGTCCGGATCTATTCAGATTCTAGATACGCGGTTGAGTGTATGAAGAAATGGATTTACAAGTGGACCAAGAACGGGTGGATCAATGCTGCGGGTAACAGCGTTGCGAACCGAGATCTTCTGGAGGAGGCTTCTGATCTTCATGATAGATTGAAAGAGGAGGGAAAAGTCAAGTTCATCTGGATTCCGAGGGAAAAAATGAGATTGCTGATAGGTTCTGCAACCAAGCATTGGATAGGCCAAAGGACACGAGGGAGTCACCATTCTGGACTATACCTGGCTACTAGCATTAAAGTTTGCCGATGGAATTTGTAACAAGGGCATGGTTAGACAAAGAAACCAAAGGCTGCCCTTTCACAACGATCACGGTCGGTCATATGACCAGGGCCGTTTGTCATCGACATTGCTACCTACCTAGGTTATAGATATTCTTCTTCTCGCCAGACATCTTTCTCTTCCAGAGAATCTAGGTTGCTCGATTTAATTTGATTCTTTTGTAATTATATGCCTCTGAGGCACCGGCTTTTTATACTATCACAGGATTGCCTGTCTCTTAGCAATTAATTATCCAAAGCAGACCATGACCATATATGAGGTTGTGGCCGCCACCAAACTTATGAAAGGTTATTAAGAGACAGCGGTTAGCTCTTTGGGCCCTCTCATACCAAAATAACACGCCCCAAGCGAGAGTTACAGCTATGTATGCGGGGCTGTGTTGGGGTCATCATCTCCGCGGTCAGGACGGCTCCACCCACAACCTTTCAGACCCTCGAATTGCGCATTTAGGCAGGCATTAGGAACCCAAGCTACGGGAAAGATTTTTCCAGCATGCTGACGAATCTGAAGGCTTTCGCGATATATAGGTATGTCTTCCATTCAAGTTTCGAACGATTCCTGTCAACGGCGCCCCGTATCATTTGTTGTGTTTCTAACTTAAACCTCTAGCTTTATATTTCAAGATCTCATATCATACCTCTATGATATAAATTTCTGCTTAGTCCGAAAATTTGAGATATTCGGTTCTTCTATATTCCATCCCCATCTCCACCTTTGGATTCGTGACGTCTCATTGACACAAGCATGGACTCGCGGATGCTCGAAGCTCCAGACTAGTAAATGATCACGGCGTTTCTAGCGCACCATATATTTGGTCTATTGGTGCCGGACCTCGAATTTTCATATGCCTATAAAAGCCTGTCATAATTTTTTTATTGTCAATAGAGCTATCTTATAAATCTCGTTCTGCCAACTCTCCCCTTCTGCCAACTCTCGTTCTAACAACGCTCAGCTCTTTCTCTCTATCCAGCTTGAAGTGAGCTTAGCATAAATCCAATCCGGGACACAACTCACGGCCGCATTCTGAGTGTGCTATCAGTCCAACACGATTGCAGAGCTCTCACAAAGCTTACCCAAGATGTCCGCAACAAAACCTGGAACTTTCAACATATGCACGAGAGCCGTGAGCAAGGACGCATCGGTTACAAGAGTTTCGACCATCTCTCCGCTTGAGGAATCGCTGCAAGAGATGAGCTTGGACGGCGGGAAGACCGTCAACTTTATCGATACGGAAGAAGGGTTGATTCAACTCATCGAGAGGATGGAGAACATTCCAACAAATCCCCCGTCACTCTACGTTGACCTTGAGGGTGTGGACCTCTCGCGGCGCGGGACCATTTCAATTCTGCAGGTCTTCATCTACCCACTCGGAGAAATCTACCTGGTCGATATTTACACGCTTCAGACGAAGGCATTCACAGTGTGCAGTTCGAAAAGGGGGCAGACTCTTTTGGCTATTCTCGAGTCGCCAAACATTCCAAAAGTGTTCTTTGATGTTCGCAATGACTCTGATGCGCTTTTCAGCCACTTTGGTGTTGAGCTTGCTGGTGTTATTGATCTCCAACTTATGGAGCTTGCCACCCGATATTTCTCCAAAAGATGTGTCAATGGATTAGCGAAGTGTATTGAGAGGGATGCCCCAATCAACGGGGAGCAACGGCGTATTTGGAGAGAGTTCAAGGAGAAGGGCCGGCAGCTTTTCGCTCCAGAGTTGGGAGGAAGCTTCGAGATCTTTAATGTTCGCCCACTTCCCGACAGCATCCTGAAATATTGTGCGCAGGATGTGCATATTCTGCCTCTTTTGTGGGTTCACTATGACTCTAAGATGTCACTAGACTGGAGAAAGAAGGTTGCGGCAGAGGCCATCAAGCGGGTCAAGGAGTCCCAAAGTCCCAATTATATTGGAACTGGGCGGCACATGGCCTTGGAGCCCTCGGGCTGGTGGTGAGCCGGTCTTGTGAGTGATCATGACTTGTCGATCTAGATCATGAAGCATTCATTCCAAAACAGCTTGCTCCTGACTTGTTCGCTCACACATTGCTTGATCCAATTCCCGTTATGGAAATCTTTTTTGGCATTCAGCACTTACATGACAAATCTCACGTCGAGATCCGATTTGCTTCGTCACTCAAGACTGGTTGAATAAATCACTGCTTACAATTGGATGATAATTGACACTAATGCGTGATTTATTCCGCAGCAGAAATACATCAGAATTGAAAACTTCTCAAAATCCATCGTAGTCCTAGCTTCCAACTAATGTCCAAATATCTCATGAATCAAAGGAAGTTAGAAATTGGTGAAGAAGAGATTCAGCATCAAAGTGCCGTCATCATACCAATACCCACTTCTCACATAGCCATTGTAGAAACATCGGGGAATTTGGCCGTTATTAGTAGTAGCGGTCGTGTCAACTTGGCCATTACCATTCAGATAGCAATCGATCAGCGACACATAGTATGCCTATTTAACGATCAGTATGACTAGTACCCAAACTCCAATGCCTTGTGTTCTGGAATCCCACCTCGAGGTCGAAGCCATATGTATTGGTCAGTTTAGTGTATACACCTGTGTCCATTTTGTTGTTGGCCCCATAGGGCTGTTGCCAGGCATCGGAAACACACTGAATTTAGGTGAGCAAAAATTCGTTGGAAGGAAGGTGGGTATTCATACAGTCTTAGGATCGCTGTTGCCACAGTCGTGAGAGTCACTGGGGCGTGTGAGGTAGAAGCAACGATACTCGCCGCTCTTAGCCTCAAGCCAGTAGGCACCTGTCATGGTGCAGTCTTTTTCTTTCGTATTCTCCTCGCCCACAAGGACATACCATGCTGTCTTCATGGCAGCATCGACGAGCTTTTTCTCCTGCCTCATCATTAGCACGGCCAAATTGCGGGGGTAATGGCGTAGACATACGACGTTGTCAGCAAACGCCTTGTAGGCTGCGACAAAGGAGGAATTGTCCTTGTTCTCGTCAAGGAGAATAGTGTTATCGGCAAAGAATCGGGATGTGCCATGCTCGAGGGTCGTATAGGTGTAGATGGGAAGAGTGGTCGATTCACCCCCACCAGTCGCATTGGTCAAGATACTGGCAACATAGTTGCCTGCGGCACCAACGATGTTTCTCAGAGTGTTTTCCACCGATGTTGTATCGACTGCATCCGAACCCCCCTTTGTGAGGGACACGTCCGTGAGACCTGCAGCCGCAAACCCGATCATACCACGAAGAGGCTTGCTCAGATCAATACCAGTGGCAATTCCACCAGCCATACTAAATGCAGCAGATATCCACTTTGCCCACTCCTGGTCCGGTGAGACTGTAGAGAAATCCTTGCTAATCTGGTCGATCGAGAGGCCATCCAGCCACCCGGTCCAAAGCAACTGGTCATGGACGGCGTTGATCTTGCTATGCAGAATGCCAACAGAGCGCATAACCCAATATCCCATCACAGACTGGTAGTCGGAGCACATGTCGTCGGGGTTGCAGTCCCCTCCAATATCACCACAGCCAGTTAGAGGAGAGGTACCCTCGTTGGGGAAGATGACCTTCCAGATGTTGTTGACCCAATCCTTTTCACCATTTGGCATTGTGTCGAACATGATATCCAACCAGTCAATGGCACCGGTCGAGTCCAATATAGCCTGAACTCCAGCAGTAGTCGAAGTATCACCTGCTGTGCACTTCGAGGAGGCGGATGTGGTGGTCGAAGCAGCAGCTCTTTGCTCGAGGGTAGCTGGGCTGCCACGACTATCATTGTCGTGCGGAAATGCGGCAGCAGTTGCTACTAGCCCAAATGTGGCAAAGAACTTGATTCTCATCGTGATAACCGTTGAGATAAACAAGTCAAGATATAGCGATAGAATTTAGAAGATGATATGTGTCTACCGATTGCATCTGTGAGGAGGGATGATTCCACAGGTATTTATACAGATGAATCTATACGTACTATTCCTTACTTTAAACTATTATTGATACCATCGTACGTGAACGACCCCCAAGGGGCTCAGACGTTGATCCTTCTCTTGAATCCTGTCAGCTTACCGATCGTACATCCTTATTTGCGTGGGATGATTGGTTCTGGAGGTCCAGTTCGGAACGTCTAACTCTTTGCGCTTCAAGTTGATCATTATGAGTTTTGCTTTCAGTACTTTGAATTCTCTATAAAGGAAATTCGCCGCAATCACTACTATATAGATGGATGCTCTGTGACGTAATCTATGGTTGTTATTGTGTATAGTTCCAACCCCTAAACATCAAACGATGATTCTCGGCATAAAGAGCTCTTAGAGTACACTACAAAGAGGTAAATACGATTGGATCTATAATTTGAGGTTATCATTAATTTGTGGCTCATGATAGATGGCATATCGGGCGTAGGAGCCGGCGCCTCGAGCGTCAACTACAACAGGCTCAGATAATAAGCACTAGAGCAAGGGGCAGGGAATGCAAGTATACCACAGAATCAAGCCAGTAATATGTAGAGTATAGAGCACGTTCAACTCAAGCATCTTAAGCAAGTCCTGAAGGATGCAATGCAAGAACGTCGAAGAGCCCTAAGATTTGAGCCCCCAAACTCCGAAGACTAGCCGCGCGGGGGCGGTTAGATCCTGATCCAATCGACTTTGCACGAGAGGGCCAAAATAGGACACGAAAAAATCTGACCTTGTGGAAACTGTTTGTTTCATGACAGTCGAATCCTTCAATTCCAATCTATTTTATCATGATATACAATTTTGAAAATGCCGAGCCGCAGGCATCGGCTGTAAGCCAAGGTAGACAAGCCTTGTGCCCAGAACCAATTTTGCCTCTAGACATGAGTTTCCGCCCCACCGATATTTTCAATCTCGACGCCGATCGGCTTCTCAATCCGGTCAGTGTTGAGAGTGCGGTGGTGGCCAGGTTGGACCGGGTGACCTCTAGACTCGAAGACACCACCGGTGATGCCACCGTTCTCGAAAAGATGGTCGACATCTTCCAATTCGAGTCCTTTTGTCTCCGGGAAGAAGAAATATATCATGGGAATCTATTTTGGTAAGTATTTAGCATAGTAGAGATCAACCGGATTTGGACAGCTTACCCATGCAAAACAAAAGCAAGCAAAAATAATGAAGGTTCTCCACTCGATGTTGTGAATTGCCGTTGGCGTAATTTGGACAACGATGACTATCATTGTCAGTAAGGGCCTCCGTTTGGAATCAGGATCACCGTAACACATACAGACACACATCCAGTTGACAAAGCCAGCAAAAGCCTGACCTCGAGCACGAATACGGGTAGTTGTGATTTCGCTTGGGTAAAACCTACAATGCCAGTTAGTGATAGCTCAGAAGCTGGAACATTTGTTGACTTGCCATGGCACAGGTAGATATCCAATGCCCAAGAACAGCTGGAAGATAAATACGAAAACGGTTGCAGCGTATGCACATGGCTTAGTACCCACGGATAAGAGGGCGGCTGCCATTACAAAGCACACACAGAGCCCAGCAGCGGAGATCATGAGAGATGTTCGGCGACCCAACCGATCCATGCTCCAGAGAGGAATTATCGATCCTACCAGATAAACAAGCGAAGTGCATCCTCCCAGAATCAGGGACAGGTTACGAGACAACTTCATGGCGTTCTGGTAGACACTGGGTGCATAGTAGTTGATCATATTGGATCCTAATAGGGTCAGGTATACATCACTGCATGGAGATTGACATAGATCTCTTACCCGTGAACTGTTGCTGAACGTTCACTAGACCTGCAAGGATCATGCGTCGCAAATTCTGCATCTTGCCACCCTGTAGAAGCTCTCTGTATTTGAATGGCCCGCCAGCAGATTCGATTCCGATGGCAGTTTCAATCTGCCGACGCAGCAGAACGACTTCAGGAGTTGATTCATCGGCGGGCTGCTCAAGTTGAAGACGAGCTAGGACGGAAGCTGCCTCGTCACTGCGATCTTGTTCGCAGAGCCAGCGAGGCGTGTCTGGTAGTGCAGTCATCTGTAATACGAGACACACAGCGAAGAAGGCCTGGAAGCTAATGGGGAAACGCCACTGTACTGGCGAGTCGACGAAGCTCAACCCATAATCCAACCAGTATGCGATGCAAAGGCCGACGATGGTCACTGTGCCCTGTGCCGAGAGAAGTCTACCACGACGCTCGGGTCGGGCCATCTCTAATAGAAGGGGTTAGCCACTGTTCCTGACAGCCTTTTGACAATCATTCATCGATCTGTGCCTCACATACCACTCTGATATGTGGGAACGGTACTGCTGTTGATGCCGTTACCGAACCCAGTCACGATTCTCCCAACCAGGAATTGTGCTCTGCCGTATGAGGACCCAAGTATTATTGTCCCGATGACCATGATAGCTCCGCCTGCCATGATCATCTTCTTCCGACCGATCTTGTGGCCCACCACAAAAGCCAGAAGGCAGCCGACTGCACAGCCAATATCATAGATGGATGTCACTGCCAATATAAGGTCAACCCAAAATAAAAAAAGCAATTCAAACTGACCAGGACTTACAAATTCCTTGCATGTTCTCGTCTGGGTGACCGAATTGCTTTCCGAACTGGTTATCTGCTCCGACTAATCCGCTCATAACGCCCTGGTCATAGCCAAGAAGAAGGAAGGCCTGGCAGCTTGCAGCTTCATACAAAGCGTGTTAGCGAAATGAGTCTCCTAGGAGGTGTCCTGTATGAAACTCACCAGTCACAGCCCAATGCAGCCATTTCCCACGCAGTTGACCCATATTGACTGTTGCTCTTGTTTGTCTATCTCAGTCCAAAGAACGAAAATGGCCAGCCCGTGGAATTCGGGGCTCTCCAAGAATTTTCCACCATTTGAGCAGGTTGTTGAACCGGTGGTCTCGCGTTGACATTCACCCGAAGCCAATGTCTTTCGGTAGAATCGGGGGAGCTCAGTCCGGGGTGATCGGCGGATTGTTGCAGTCGCTTTGGTCAGTGACGGTGCAGCCGACACCAAATAGGCAAAATCTGGGGTCTTTCAGTGGAGCCATTGCTTCACCGGGGATGGCTCCCCGCACAGCATTGCACGCCACGGCAGATACGACCGGCTGTGGCAGGTTTTCCGGCACTGCTTGTGGACTCCAACAAGACACTAGTCTCGGGCAAATCGGAAGAGGCGTTTTAGCCTGAAGATTTGGAAACGCCACCGACCTTGTTTCATTGACCCTGGATTTCAGACAGCCATGACCACGAAAATAATCAACCCTTCATTCCGATCTCGCTGGGGTAACCCCCTTCAATACGCTGAAGCCGGAAGGCCTAAGCAAGGTGGCAAGTATGCCCTCAAGCCTCTATTGGGAAGTTTTGTCTCGTCAAAAGGGACGAGTAGGATCTTAAACTCAATCAAATGCTAAAAGTGGACTGTCACGTGCAACTTCTTGCTATGAATACAACCGAACCAAGACGGTGCTACGCATTCAAATAGAACGCAGGTTGCATCAGTAGTCGGCACAGATTAAATCACCAACATGCCTGCCCAATATATGTCCGGATCAAAGGTAGTACCCGGAGGCCGATGGAACTGCCATTGTCAAAAAGATGGGTCATGCATATAATTGGATTGCTCTGGGGTTGAAAATTAGAAAAGAGAAATGAGGTTCATTCGAGCTTGATCCAACGTAGCGTGTCATGTTTGTTTGACACGTGCGCGCTCAGTATACGTGACTTCCCAATTTGGCAACTCTCATTGACAACACGATACAGATATTTTTCTCCCTCCTCTCCTCCTTTCTCTTCTTTCCCTTCTCTCACCACCACCCGGATCGATTTTCGCCCACCCGTCTCCTCGGTGACCCATGGAAACTTTCACCACCGCTATCCCCAAGGACTGTGGGCTTTACCGAGGGAATCATGGGCCTCGTTCTGAGGATTCCATCTTTTGCGCTTCTGAGGGTTTGACTGTGCTTTTGAGTTCAAGGATAAAATCCTTGTTCAGGGCTAGCCTGCTCGGGGTACCAATGGTCTGGGACATCCAGTTGACCCCGACTACGTTGGGAGAAAGGCTCGATGAACCCAGCCTCTGGTTGTGGGATCTGGGGGAGAAGCACTGTCTTATCGCTCAGTGATGAAAGCCATCTGGATGGTGAGTGGATGTGGCAAACCAGACAGGGTGCGGCTTCGGCAGTAACCTGGAGGGGGCGCCAGCCGCGGGAAGATTCATCTTCGCTGGAGCGGAAGAGTTACGGAGCCACCAGATGAAGGAGATGACCCTCCTGAGGGCCCAAAAAGCCGGACGGACTGGCTCTCACCTTGGGCAAATCTGAGAGCGAGCTAACCCACCTTTTTTCTTTTAAAGAGGGAGCACATGATATTCACTGCTAACTGCATCATTCTATCTGACCGATATTCCATAGTCTACTTCAAAGCGCCATACCCGTGATCAAGACCCAGTGTTCTGAAGGGATCTGTTCAGCTATAAATAGGAAATTTATCTATCAATTGCTTTCTGCTAACTCCTTCTAAACAGCAACAGGGCAACCGCACTACCGGTGACTGCGACCGGGTTCTCATGTCTTGCTCTCCCCGTCGCTGCGTGAATTCCCGTCATGGTTTTGACAATGCAATCCTGGTCCGTCCCTACCAGGTTTGGATGCACCTCCCTCCATTGAGTCACCATGCTAGCCGTTCCTAGTCCTTTCTCCAATTTATCAGGTGTGGTTTGCGTTGCATTTAGAAAATTGTCCTCATGTCCCAGATTACCATTGCGATTTCATTCTACCCTCTTGAATACGGATTTGGGAAACGTCTTGGCAGGCTCCTCGTCATTCAACTCCCATGGATGTATCAGGCCCTCATCCAGGTTGTCAGAAATCCGATTTGATGGAAGGGAATATGTCGACAGAAAATCTCGCTCAAGAGGAAATGAAGTCGCTTGAACTCTGTTCGCATTGACAGTTGAGGGATCTGGATCTAGAAATTAGCGCTTATTCAAGCAGGCCGATCACGCCCTTGAAGCGTCTCATACGGCAGTAGGGCGAGGCCCATGTCCACAGAGCGACTGTTCCTTTCCGAGAAGCTTCTTCCCAAAATTCAGCCATACCAAACCAATGGGCCTAGAAAGTCACAAAAGTTCGTGAGAAACCGTGTACCAGGTATCGATTAGGAGAAGGTTGGGATTAAACTGCCATCGCAGCCGTCAACGGGTTCACACCTCCATTCTCCTTGAGGGCCGGTAAGATACTTATGCTGTTCTCAACAAGTTCTTTGGCCGTGGGGACTGCCAATTCAACGACACTCCGGATTTTGTGAGGCCGCCTGATTGACCCTCAATCTTTATCATCTCTGCACTAGGATCGACGCCAATGACATGATGAAATGAAGGGCCAAGTCGCGCGTCGCGTTGCCAGGGTCACAACCGACATCGGCAAGAACATGTGTTCGGTCTTTCTACTGTGTATGGAAGTTGATTATGGTGTCATAAAGTAGAGCTGGATATGACAGTCAAGATTCTGCATCCGTTTGGGCTCGCTTGGGATCGTAGTTGCGGAACGTCGGGTCGGATGGAGGTAACAGATGTTGATTAACCCTTGTCAGAGCCGATTACTTTGGACTATCGAGTTTGGGTTGTGCCGAATTATCAGGAGCATGATAAAATCAAAATGGCAACACGTTTGCCACTATAACAAGTCTTGTTTACTTCGTGACTCGTCTTTGAAGTGGCCAATGATAGGGGAGGCAAAACCGCGACTCAAATTGCCCTTAAAGTCGGGCAAGAATATAGAACATGGCCAGTGTATTCCCGTGCTTTTTCAATCAAGTCCAATTTACCGCCATAGCTATCCAAAAACTTTTTAGAAGATGAAAGGGTAACAGCATGCTTAAATAATTTCCATCTAGAATTAATGTATACCTCTAAGCAGCTCAAAGAATAGGAGATCAGTCCTCCTCTCCGATCTTGACATACCCCACCAACACCTTCAGTTCAGTCAGTACACGCAGAAAGTCTGCATCGTTTGGACTGCTAAACTTCACTAAATCCGAATGGTTACGATTCAGAGGATGCGTATTAATGTGACCTGGGCCCCAAACTTCACCATCTGTGGCGGAGTCGCGATCGACAAGCATCTTTTTCGGTGTACCTGTCATCTTCCACTGTCCATCCTCATTCTATCACACTGTGAGAAATATTTCACAACATCGAGGTCAATGAGAGGGTTCCGTACCTTTTCTGGTGAGAAAGAAGGCTCCATCTCGTAAAAGTATATGATCCTCGGCTTCTTTTTTTCGAATTTCGATTTGAACCTTCGGCTGAGATCTTGTAAAGTTGTAGATTGATACATGATGGACTTGACAAGAAACTCATTGGGTTGACCTCGGATCATGCCTTCTAGAACTTTGACATGCATGCCGTGGCTAGGTACACCGAAGAAGAGGGCTCCCTGGAAGTTGTCGATGAAACTCTCAGGTTCTTCATTCTTCTTTTCCTGCAATAGGGCCTGATCGATAGTTTAGCTGTGGCTGAATCAAGCTTTTGCACTCGCGGTATTTACCTCTTTCACAGTCAACCCTCCAAGACTGTGGGCGATGAAGTACGAAGGAACGGCAAAGGCCGTCCCAAGGTGAGATGATGTAGAGCTTAAAACCGACTGGGATCGACGCCTTGTGACACTGCGCATCTCATCCCGTAAAAGTTTGCCCAAATCTTCCAATGTTTGTGTTGACTCATTCCCATCAAGCCTTGTTTTAGACCCGTAGGTCATCAACCGGGCGTTCGGAAGATTGTCTCGGAGGCCGTCCAGCACCCACATGAAAGACTGAGATACACCCTTGTATTTGAATGATCCCCAAGCATGACCTCCAAGGCCGGCAATGGCGCATATACTAGACCCACAATTAGCGTGGGGTTTCTTGCTTCGAGGGCAATATCAAAATACTTACTCGATCGTGTGAGGCACATCCGGAGGCGGAGAGTAAAGAATCGTTACTCCACGAAAATGTGTATCGACGGTGATGTGTAAATCGTCGTCGTCAGAGGTGGGTCCAAAATCCCATTCATCCTTTCCAGGCGTCGACAAGCACGCTGGTTGTGGCCTCCACGCTACCACTGCCACCTTGTCACCGGTCTGACTTGTGGCCAGGGCTTTCACGCGTCCCTCGACGGTCGGCTCAATACCAAGTTTTCGACTGAGATACACGAGTAAATCAGGACCCACGTATTCAAGCTTAATTCCTCGCACCCGGTAGTCCAAGTCTTTGGTAATGTTTGGTAAAGGTGGATTTAGTGGATCTAACGGGCTTTTCAAAGACTTCCTTTTGGGTTTTACATCAGGGTGAGGATCAGGATCAGGCTCAGGAACAACCACGATCGACGGTGATCTGCCGCCTTCTGAATTCTCTCGCGAAATCGACGGAGGTTGGCCAAAAGATGGCTCTGTCTCACGGGTCTCTGAGAAAAAACTCTCCAATGTTTCCTGAAATATACCTCCATCTATGAAGGTTAATTAGCACACATATACTCTTACCGAGGTATTATTGCAAGGGCCAATCTTACCCTCGAGGGTGGAAAACTCAAATCGTAGGTGGCCCAGGGAAAGTAAGAATTGGGTATCTTGTGTTGACACGTCATCTGCGGCAATGGTATCCGTCATGTCCTGCCTTGAGTCTCTTCTTGCAAATCCTGGCTCTGTATCAGGTGGTGAGTGACGAAGCAAGTCACTGAACCGCCTTAAAAGACCGGTCTTGCTCGTTGAGTTTCTTCCTTTCTTAGGTTTCTGAGAAGCAAAGTCAACTCGAATCTTCCTCCCTGCTTCGCTTGTGTGGATTGAACTATCCAGGAGCAGCAGAGGGACATCTATGTGATAGTATGGTTTGCTCTTTTGAACCAAGAAGGAAATTGATTTGTTTCTGCCGTCAAGATCAGACCAAAGTTTCAGTGGCTGAGCGGTACTCTCTGAGCCCCTTTCGGAAGTAATGTCCTCGACATGGAACGTATGCACCAAAACCTTGCCTCGGAGTGCACATTGGAAAGCAATCGCATCAGACTTGGACTCAAAGTTATATGACGGTTTGCGTCCTTTGTGTCGCCATAACTCAGCATCATCAACTTCCTCAACATTGCAGGCTTCATACAGGCGAATTTGAGGCGCCCGGAAACGTTCGTGCTTCGTATAGGGGTGGATCTCACTGATCGGTGGAACTTTTTGAATTCGTAAGCGTACCGTCCTTGAATATGCTTAGGAGGAAAGCCTCACGATGCTGCACAAGTCCCCATCCTGTGTCGATTCTGGTACTCACTATGCACCGATTTCCCAAGTAAGTGACAACGTCTACTGTATGGAGGAACTCTTCTTCTTCAAGAGAGTCAGGTTGTCTAGGCGGGGTGGTAAGTGACACTTTTCTCGGCTGTCTAGGAGTGCCCGATCTTACAGGGTTGCCAAGGGCCCATCCTCTTCATGAGTATAAACACGTCGTCGTAGGTATGGAGAGGGTTTCTGGGTACGGTAACTGGACTGCCGTTGTTTCAAGGTTTGTTGTGAATACTCGCGCAACATTTTCCTATCGCTCAGCTTGAAGTCTCTGGAGAACATCAACTGCGATCCTTGGAAAGGTAACTCGTGGTCTCGAAATCTTGCTACCACGAGGATCCACAGCTTCTCACAGTGCACTGAGCTCAGAGGGGGCGCTCTTGTTCTTTTGAGAGCCTCACGGAGCTCAACGAGATGTCGGAAAAGAGGCCACGTATTTTTCTCGACGGGTGTGAGGGCCGATGGTAAGGTGACTTCATATTGAGGAGCAGCCTCGGTGCTTATCATTTGAGGCATACGATGCATGTCGGATTGTCGAAGGATAACTAAAAACAGATTTCTTTGATTCGCGCGCATATTAGCGACGATTTCAGAGTAACTGTGAGTAGAACTATATTGACTACGGTTACAGACTTACAAAATAATGTCATCCAGTTTTGCATTCATGATATGCAGCTGTAAATCAAGACGCCTCTCAAGGAGGTCCAGATCGGAGGAGTTGTAGACATAGCAGGCATTTTCGTGCAGCAAGTTCGTCTGAGGCGTTGTGTCTTGGCGACACAATCCTGGATTATGATGAAGAAAGTCATTGCATTCGTCCCAGGTTTGTTGATATTCATGGTACGACTCGAGAGTCGTGTGCTGATACCGTAGGACCCTGCGGAAGCACCTAAATGCTCGGTAGAAGGCATGAAAACGCTGAGCGATTCCTTGGATCCTTCCTGGGGGTAGCCCGGCAAGTGGGCCTGCTTCAGCACAGGCAACCCAAAGCTGTGACATGGTGGAAATAGCAAAGATCGGAGCATTTTGGGGAAGAAATTGATATTAATAACATCTACCCCGAGGTCCCTTTTTCGTCGCTATGTCCACGTCCCAATAATATTGGATGTGGAAAGAGGCTCTTAAAGTTAACAGAGCACGTTCCTCAATGCTTAGCGTTGAGTGGTCAAGTATTCTGATGAATTGTGATGCGCTCGTAGCGCTAGTGGCGTTAGGCACGGACATTAGTTCAATCAGCTCCGCGTGGTCCGCATGATACCTCGTGTCCGTCAAAAGTATAACATTTGCAGATGTTGAGTTGCCCAACATGTTTTGATGGTTTGCTGCAGTGCCCCTGAGATATCCGTTTGGCTATGGCGACAGCTCATCCGATCGACGATGAACGAGCCGTATCAACGTGGCAGAGGATAAACAATTGGCTACCGTTTCCTTTTGGTGACCATCCGTGGTGGATCGACGGTACTACCCGCGCCCCTGACGAGAAGGACGAGAACCCACGGCTTTGGCGGGAAGGAGTGATTAACATTTTCGATCATAATGGCTTCGATTTTCAAGTCTTCATTGTCGCAGCATCTGGCTTTTTGACAGATTCATATTCACTCTTTGCGACCAATGTGATATTGCCTCTGTTGGCATTCTTGTATTGGCCAAATCGGAATGACAGACTGCCCGAGCTCTATATCAATGTTGCGACCTTGGCCGGATCTGTTGTTGGGCAGCTACTCTTTGGCTGGTTGACTGATAGACTCGGACGAAGAAAGCTGTACGGTCTTGAGCTTGTGCTGGTCATATTTGCAACGCTAGGAATGTCCCAGGCGTCAAACGGCATGTACAACAACATGGACATATTGAGCTGGATGATATTCTATCGCTTCTTTCTTGGGATGGGTATTGGAGCGGAATATCCCCTTAGTGCTGTTATCACTGCAGAATTTGCTAGCACCAAGTATCGGGCGAGGATGATGGCTGCCGTATTTCTGATGCAGCCGTTGGGGCAAGTCCTGGCAGCTGCAATCGGATGGGGAGTTTTGACAGGTTTGATGCAATCGCGCGGCCTGCAGAATCTACCAGACCGTGGAACGGGGTTCAATCAACTCCCAGTGGAGCAACAGCATCAGATCCTGTCAACACTAGATAGTGTTTGGCGCTGGGTTGTTGGCGTGGGTTGTATCCCCGCGTTGCTTGCCATTCTATGGAGATTCTCCATTCCAGAGTCACCTCGCTATACCATGGATGTTGCTCATGACCCCAAACAAGCACTCGTGGCTACCAAGCGTCAGTTTCGACGCACTGCCCGAATTCTGGAATCGATCAATGTGTCCTCCGACGAGGCCGATACTCTTGCTCCTTCAAATCCTCGGAGTTTCCCAACATCTCCTACACTTGCTGCTTCTCCTGACCCAGCAGGGGACGAATCGACCTTTTGGGATTTCTTCTTTGTTGAGGGCAACATCAGATACCTTGCAGCAACTGCTATTTGCTGGTTTCTGCTTGACTTTTGCTTCTACGCCCTTGGAATTAACTCCCCTCGGCCACTTGCAGCTCTATGGGCCTCTGAAATACCAAACGTCACGGTAACCTCTGTCCTTCCGGTTGCAACTACTAGCATGACAATTCCCTTTACCCACGCGGTGACGCTCAATGGAAACATCTACAATGTGACGACTTCGATTATTGCAAATATCCCACCCCCAACGACCACGGTTACCAGCCTGATAGCAGCCACTGGCTCGAGTCTCCATATTCCCGACTATCAAAATATCTGGGATCCAACACGCAACATGTTCGAGGAGTTATCTCACAACGCAAAATTCTATATCCTCACCATATCTATCACCTCCTTGGTCGGCAGTGGAGTACTGATCTGGATCATCGACTACATTCCGCGCAAGACTTGGTTGGTCTCGTCATTTCTACTTCTGAGTATCTGGTTCGCTGTATTGGGAGGGGTCTTGATGGCGACCGAGTTTACCGAGGGGCATGTAGCCAATGTGGTTCTATACGCATTCTGTCAATTTTTATTTAATTTGGGTGAGTCCATCGCTCCTGTTTTAACTTCTTCCTCTAATAACGCCCTGAAATTCACAGGTCCAAATACTTTGACTTATATCGTGAGCACCTCAATGTCCTAGTTATGGTAAAAACCGACACTCATTTCCCCTAGATTCCCGCAGAAATATTTCCAACCCGGTTTCGTGCTACCTGCCATGGTATTTCAGCCGCCTGTGGAAAGCTTGGCGCCATCGTCATTCTCATCCTCACAGAGAAGACTGTCTTGAACGCTAATCCTCGGGCGTTGGACAAACTTCTCGGCGCGTTTTCGGTTCCACTTGCTGCCGGGGCGTTCTTTGCCTGGATATGGATTCCTGAGCTCCAAACACTCCCAACTGGCGATGCACGGGCGCTTCGTCTACCTCGACTACCCAACAAGAGTCTGGAATGGCTAGCAAAAGGATGGAAGTTTGCTAATGGCACTGATCAAACTCAGGATCCGCGCACTCGCCTTCCAAGGGGCGAAAATCAAAGGTTGGGATTTTTCAACAAGCTTCAAGATGCATGGATTTTCCTTCGATACAGAGGCAGGAGGAGGGTCTTGGGTACAACCGGCGCCTCTGCTGGCAGAGAAGGAACGACTGATGATCCTATACGGATGGGAAATATTGCCGCTGCATCACCGACACAAGATAGTCTCGAGATGTATTCTTAATTACGGGTAGTTGACCCCTACTCTAACGTGGTACATGAATATATTGACTTCATTTATGCATAATCGCTGTGCGCTCTCTTTAAACACTGTTTCGGCTGTTTTGCCTATCAATTCTTCTCTTCCGTACAATCTTCAAGTTCTCCTTCGCCCGTAGGATGTGATATACAGTCAGGAACCCCCAAACCAAGCTCACCAGCAACACACTTGCAATAGCTCCGATCAAGCTGGCCACCGTGAAACCGACCGAGGCGTTCTGGAACTTTCCATTGTCATGTAACGAGTCGGTTCCCAAACCAACTTGCATTGATCCCGCAACAATAGTGACAAAACCGAATACGGAGAATAGCCAGGCAAAGTTTCGCTCCAAGAATGCTTTTGTCCACAGAGGCTCCGACATAAACCCTCGCATAAAGTTTTGCCCGGAGAATATACCAGGGGCAAATCGATAGATAAGATTCAGGCGGGAAAGGCGCAGCTCTCCGAAATGATAACGCTTTGAGACTGTGTCAAGGGTTTCCGGGTCGATATTCGTGAGTAGATCTGTGACAAATAGAGCCCACGCTTCCCAGGTGATGGATGATGGAATCAGCCGCACATCTTGAGCAATGGCAAGATCGGACTTAGTACATATCAGCCAACAATATGATAGGAGAAACCCGCATGCAGATTGATATAGTGATCGATCTTGAATTAGAGAACTCCCTTCTGCTGTCCAAAAGTCGTGAGAAAGAAGATACTCTGGTAAAGGCTTAATGAATATCCGAGTAGCATTCCAGACGAGATGCTCGTTGGGGTTTTCTGTGATGACAATAATTCGGCCTAGGAGAACTTGGCGATGAACTGGACGAGCTGCCTTGGGGAGCCCAGCTAGCCAAAGATGCGAATAGACTTTGTCGAGAGCAGGGGTTCGAAGATCTTGATCTAGTATAGCTGATACTGAACATTGAGGATTGAATCCGCTGCTTGAATGAAAAGGCGGGAAACTTGGTCGTTTTTCTTGCAATTCATGGTTCTTTCTGAACGGCGGATTGAAAAGAACCTATTTTACGTGTCAAATACCAGGAATCCTACACTAAAGACTTGACTTACAGGCTTCTCCGAGGAGGCTTTGCTGTTATCTGTACTCTCCATTCCGTTCAGAGGAGCACTGCCTTCCATGCTGCTCATATTCCGGGTCAGAATAACGACTAGACCGCCCCTGATTCACAGTAGCTACGGTATCCTCGGTTGAATTTACCTGTTATCGACGTCTTATTTCTGGCCAAGCAGTCATATAATACCATCGGTAGCTCCTGACTACCTCACAACCCGGGTGAGAATGTCTGCATAATGCAGCTGGAGGAAGTCAGGGTCAAATATTCCGCGGGGCTGATTTGACTTGCAGGCACTGGGGTCTTCGGACGTGACGTGGCAATAAGCTGGGCAATAATAGTGGACTTGCTTCGCCACGTTGGATAAAAGGACCGAAGTCAGCAGCCCAAGGCAGCTAGAACGAATCTTATTTTTCCCTCATTCCCGCCGACAAAGAAAATAATCCAGTTGCGCCCGATAGGGCGTAGTGCCGCTGGTGCTTTGAATTTCGACGGCAATGCGCATAAACAATTACGGGCGCTTCTGCTGGGAATGGGGATCATGTACATGATAATCCGGTTTCAATTTATTCTACCTGGTCCAGCCCTGTATACACTAAATAACAATGTAAATCCTTCAATAAATAGTTGCTGGGACTCTAGACGGTCGTCTCGACGGCAGCACGTCTCGTAGCGTACATGGCCTCCGCAACGAGGTCCCTCTCCTCTTGTCCGCTGGTATCTCCAAACACCTCGTCAAGCTCCTCTAGCGTTTTTCCACTTGTCTCGGGGACCAAAAAGTATGCCCAGATGCCAGCTAGGAAACACATCACAGCAAAGAATATATACGTGCCATAAGTGATGCTGTCCATCATACTCGGAACTGAGATGCCAATGATAAAGTCGCAAAGCCAGATAACGCACGTTGAGAGCGCAACACCTTTTGATCGAGTGGCAGTGGAGTAAACTTCAGAAGGGAGAGCCCATCCAAGTGGTGAGTACGAGACACCGTATATAAGGATGAAAAGGAACGCCATCGCTACACAGGCCCAGCCTGCGCTCTAGTGAGATTGCCAGTCCTTTTCGTACACCCCAGATAACATCGCAATGATGCTGTATGTCACAGCCGTTCCGAATCCACCAAATATAGCCAAGGGTCGACGACCGACTTTTTCGATGATGAGGAAACATACAACTGCCGCGACCATCTGGAGGATATTGAATACACCCGACAAGATCAACGACATTTCATTCGTTTGTCCCAGCTGTTTAGCATCGTTAGCATGTGTCCAATTGATCTGGCTAAATAAGGCAGACTCACCGAAGTAAACAAAGTAGGCGCATAATAAATGAACGCGTTAATACCAGAGAATTGTTGGAAAAAGGCCACGCCAACTCCAACGGCTGTTCGTCTCCAAGACTTGCGCTTGAAAAGATCCGCCCACAGCGCAAGCTCAAGCTTGATGCCGCCAATACCCGGGTGTCGCTTCTGCTGGGCGAGTTTCTGGAAGCTAACTTCGGCCATAATACCGTGGAACTCTGCTTGCACTCTCTCATCGTGGCTAGGCAACCCGCGTAGTTTCTCTAGACTTTTGAGGCAGTCATCCGAGCGATTCACAAGTGCAAGCCAGCGAGGAGAATAGGGGAAGAAGTGAATGCCTGCACCCAGAAGAGTCGCCGTAACCATTTGTAGCCCGAATGGCAATCGGAACGCGCCTTCTCCGGCAATGCTCCTACATCCAAAGGTAATCCAGTATGCTATCACCACGCCAGAGGTGATGGAAATTGATTCGAGAACGAGCAGCGTTCCACGGATATTTGGAGGTGAGATCTCTGAGATGTAAAGAGGTGCGCCCTATTCCCATATTTTTCATTAGCCAATGGTGTCAGTATGGTTGAGAGGAATCAGTGTTTACCATTGCCAACGTTCCAACACCTATCCCTCCGATAAGTCTTCCGGCGACCGATGCTCCATAGTTCGGTGCTGCAGTTTGAATAATTGCTCCAATATCAAAAATCACCACCACGGCGGTCAACGCCCATTTTCGAGAGTATCGGTCTGCCGCGTATGGCATGAAGATGCAGCCCAGAAAGGCACCTAACAACAGCATTGCTGTCATAAATTCTTTACCAAAGGATGTTGCTGCGAATGGATACGTCGTATGAAACTGATCCATCACATTTATGAGTGAAATCACACCCATGTCGTATCCCATTGAGAACCCGCCCAGTGATGCAAGGACAGCCGCACCGGAGACATAAGGGGAGCTGACGAGACCTGAGATGCCACCAGGGCCATAGGAAACGGATTGAAGAAAGCTGGGCTCCGCGTATATTGTCTCATCATGTTCTGTCTCTGCCTTACCAGTGGGCTGTAGCTTGGTGGCGAGAGAGTCTGCTTGCTTGTCGGTAGCCATGATCGATTTACCCCACCAGAGTTCAGTTAGATAGACAGCTAAATGAACAGCTGATCTGGAGTGAATATAGCTTCGAACCACGCTTCTTTTATAGTCTCTTGACTTGCTTGCACTAGTTTTCGTCATCTGCGAATAGGATCCCCCATATTGTTGGGCGTTTGCGGGGTAGTCTGGGGAAGGCTCGCCGGAAGAGACCCACACCCCAGGTTTTAGTGTTTTTCGGCGAGGATTTCCCCAACAAAGCCTGATTGTAGGGCAAAAGGAAACGGGGAAGCTTCCCCGTAGAGACGAATGATGAAATACCTCAATGATGAAACTCTCAATGCGCCCGAGTCGGGCCGTCCTCGACAAGCCGGTCTCTGTTCAGTTGCCGATATCCTATAACAAGGATTACATATGAGATCTACCCCCTATCATATCTGTAGTTCTCACATCAGCCCGTATGAAAGTGTCTTGGGTATGCTTCATCAGCTCCGACGGCTATTGCAAAAGGCCAGAATCTGAGGATCATTACTCTGCAGGGATAAGAATCTTCGGCGGCCGTCCGAGCGACTGTTGCCCAGTCTAACTTAATATCCAGTCTTGGTCTTTCTTAGATACTGTCTTTATGGCAAGCTATGTCGGTAGGAGCGGGTGAGCGAATAGCCGGAGTATTCCCATCTGGTCAAAGTTGGAATTTTACCCCGAGAGGTAAAACGAGTTCGTGAGGATTTAGGCGTCTTGACGTCATTACGGAGTACGTAGCTGCCATTTAAGGCCCTATCTAGTATTCAATAGGTCAATCGGCCATGCCTTATATCCAAACGAGCTGCCGGGAAGTTACACATTGGCGCTTAGGGAGACGTGGATTGTTTGTTTCTTATCATTTTTGTGGCTTCATTTCAGGGGGGCCGACCGCGATACAGATCTTCGCTGGCGGATGTCATCCGAGTGATGAACACAGTTCTCTGGTAAAGGATGGATGTCTACTGGGAGACAAGTGTATCATAAGACTTTTGCTGCTCCCTGACTTAACATCGACTGTAAAGGAATGGAAGAGCAAGAAATCGACGCCAAAGTGATTTCCCATGTAGAGGCTGAGCATGATCACCTGATTTTGGGCAACTTACAAGGCAGAATGCACGTGACATAAACGAATGTGGCGATGCAGATGCCTAACCTTATTTTCCTATCACAAGCTGAATGAATGAACATGAAGTCTAACAAAAGACTACACATGGATCTATTCTGATATCTTAAGACATAAGTTTCCCTGGGGATTCTTTCAAAAAAACCATGTCTTCAGAACATACACCCTCCGACGATACTTCCTCGACATCAGTGGAAGTAGGCACCAACGATGCCAAAAGGCTACAGAACGTCTTTCGAGTAACCCTGCAGTCCAACAAACAGAGCTCCGGGTTTCATTCTCGAAGGTCTCACAAGAAATCCCGAGCTGGCTGCTTAACTTGTAAAAAGCGAAGAGTTAAGGTACGTGTAGTACTCGAGATCTAATATTAGTCTCAGGCACTAAAGTCATTTCAGTGTGACGAACAAAAGCCAGAATGCTCGAAGTGCGAGAAAAAGGGTCTTACATGTTGCTACACTTCGGAAGAAGTTGTTCGAAGGGATTCAGATTCCTCCAGCAGGAGGCTGTCCAAAGAAAGCCCGAATTCGACTTTGTTCTCCTTTACGCTTGACAATATCACCAGAGACATCCAGGAGATCTTGAATTTGGGTGTTAGGTGCAATTTGGTTCCATTATGGAATCAAAATGCCACTCATCCCATGAGCACAGTGGCATTTCACAATTTTGTGAAATGTTCAACGGAGACAATAGCCAGCCCTGCCATTCGGAACGTCATGAGAACTGATATGATTCAGGTTTCCTTTACAGTAAGTCACATCTAATAACCGTCAGTATGTTTCGCAACGGTCATCTGATACAGGAAGAAAATAGAGCTCCCACTTGATGTACACCATTCTCGCAGTCGGCATGCTACATCTGAATCGCGTCTCGCCTAGCAAAGAGCGATCTGTCGCAGAATCATATTTCTGGCAACACGCCCTTCAAAATTACCAAAAGGCTCTATCATCAAATGTCAGCAAGGACAATGTTGACTCCCTTCTGTCTAGCTGCATGCTCATGAGCGTCATGACCGTCTGCCCTGAGAATTTCCAGCCAACGGATTCCTGGGTTCTCACAAATAGGCCAGAGGCGATGAATTGGCTTTGCCTACAAAGCGGACTCCGGTGTATCTTATCCCTTGCCTCGCGCTATATACCATCCAGTATCTGGGGCACCGCATTTTCAGAAATCGGCAAAGAAGAAGATAAGATTTTCGACGACATCCAGCAAGGTCGTGAAGGTCTTGATCCAGATCTAGCGGATCTTTGCGGGATTGACGACTGGACAACGGATAATAATAGCATTTATTACAGTCCACTTCGCATCCTCACTCCACTTTTGAAATTGGAGCGGGACGCTCCGAACTCTGCACATTGTACTTCATTCATGGGCCGGTTAGATTGTGACTTTGTCAATCTTTTGAGGGAGAGGGATCCGCCCGCTCTGATCATTCTGGCGCACTGGATGGGCCTGATGTGTTGTCTGTCACAATGGCAGCCATGGGTAGAAGGGAGGATTAGGGGCGAGTGTATTGCAATTTGCATGTTTCTGGAACATAGTACTGACCCCCTGGTTTTACGACTTTTACGATTCCCTGCGGAGGCATGTGGATATAAACTCCATAATGATTCATGAGTATCTGATAATACAATCTGGAATTAGACATTCCCATAACCAACACTTGAAATATTTTGGATATCAGACGTATAAACGCTATCAGAGTTCACGACAAAGGAGATGGCTGAAGGTCGTTGAAAATGCCATTAAACCAGATATCAAAGTCAATCTCGTCTTGATTCCAGGAGAACTGCATCTCATTGGACTCCACGCTCCGGAAGTCGTCCGGGCTGTTACCGGTGAACTTGCCAAACGCCATGTCGTCATCGGGGTTGAGAATGACTCGGCTCAATGTTGAATAGTTGGCAAAGATCCGGTTAAAGTCAATGTGGGCGCCACGTTTCCTTTCTCTAGCTCCAAAGTGGGCCTCTTCAGCAATCAAAATCGCGTCGATAAGAGCGACTCCACGCTGGGCGAGCAAATCATGATTTCTTAAAGCGAGGCGTTCACGTGCAGATAGAACGGCCTCTCTGTACATCTCTACTTTCCCATCAGAGGGGTTTTCCACGGTAGCATTTACCTCAAAGCATAGAATGACGGCAGCAGTAATAGCAAATGCAGTGTGTGTCCAGATTGACAGATCTTCCTCCTTGGCGATTGTTTCATGTTCACGCAGGATTGTCATCGCAGCTGCAATGCAGGTACGCCTTGAGTGGCCATAGTTTGGATCGTGGAATGAGCGGAATAGAAACGGCCGGTGTATCATGATAATCTTTTCAGCCGCCGTAATGGCAAGACTTCGACGGACAATGCTAAGCCAGGGGATCTTTGACTCTTTGGCCTTGTCGGGTCGCAAAAGGAAAGATGGTATATCTTTAACAACGGCTCTCATCTTCTGGTCAACTTGCAGTATATGTTCGTATTGCTCGCGACGAGACTTGCGCTTGCTCATCGGGCCAAGACCATCGACTAGATCCGGCATCAGAGCGGCTAGCTCAACGAGCACCCGCACATAGGTGCTGATGGTGGGGATATTGGTGGGCAATTCGCTGAGATTCTGCTCATCTGCATTAAGAGGGCGGCCGGTGGAGTAATGCAAAGGAGAAATGCTATAAGTGTCCGTAAAGGGGATAGCGAAATGGTCCTGGATGATCATTTGACACCACACTCGCCGTCCAACTTCTCGCTCCACGCGTTCTTCCCATTGATCTCGGGTCTGTGTCAATGATGATGGATGGTCTTTGATTTTGTGAAGCCCTAAACACTCAGCGATTCGAACGGCAGCATTGAACATCGTTGCGTTGAGTTGGCTGAGACCGAGATTATGCGCAACCTCCGTTGATATGACGATAGCTTGCACAGAGCAGATGGAAAGGTTATTTAGGAAATGCGAATGATACAACGTTTGAACCATGGCTGAGAAAAGCTGCTGTGCGGTTTGCATACTGTCGAGGTCAATGTCAAGCAGGGTTTTAAGCTTTCTGCTATTTTGGATTGAGTTGACCGTACAACTCAAGACAGAGAGGTAGAGTGCAATCCAAAGAGGATTGTCACATCTTCCTGTACTCCAGAACAAATCACATTGTTCTAGGAATGTCTCTCCATGGAAGCAATTGTGATGCCAGGTCAAATGGCCAATATGAAATTTGATGAGTTTTTTAGCGTCGTTTGACATAGGCACGAATACTAAGGACTCTAAGGCGGATCCATGTATTTGGAAAGATCCGCTATTCATCGATAGCATATCCGGATTATCTCGACGATATTGGCAGGCGCATCGCCTGTGGGGGAAACATCCTGCAGAATTCCGACCCCAAGCAAGATGCTCTATTGCTGTAAGGATTGGTGGATCTGTATTCTCCGTCGGGGCTTCAGCCAGTCGATGTAGTGCCTGCCTTTCATCAAACTGGTCCGGTTGCTTGATATCCTCTTGCAGCAACCCTGCGGGATTCTCATCGGTCGGCGACGATGATAGCCCGGTCTGTAACTGGGAGATTCTATCTTTTAATCTTTGAGCAATATGGGGTAGCTTTTGTGTAGAGCCAGTATCCAGGTCCGCCAATATTGAGCCTAGGAATTGGATCTCAGATGCATGTTGCACAGTATTCCGCCGGAGTCGCACTGTCTCCACCGAGCACTCCAGATTGAGGCGTCGACATCTAGAACAAGGGATTTGCTTGTCGCACTTTCTTTTCCGCTTGGTGCATTCTAGGCCACGTCAGTTTCATGTACATAACTCCACTTAGGACGGGAATAGATGATCTACCTCGACACGCGAGGGGCCGCCGCTGTGAGACGCGGAGTGGGCCAGCGACATCGGCTGACCCGGCCATGGCATGAGTGGATGTTGTTTGTTGTTTTTTTGAGAGAGAAAGTGGTCTCGTTTCGATGATGGCCCCCCCTTTTCTGCTCCTCACCGTTGTCGATATCGCGTGTAAGAGGAAGTCCCCTTTGCGGACGAGTGTGGCCACTCGACCGCCCCCGCGATGCCAATCAGCCAATCAGAAGCCGGCGATATCGGGGGTCGGACTTTATCGGGCGCCGGCTGATTCGTCCTTGTCCGTTCTGGTGCTGACATCCAGAGAGATATCTCCTGCTGGGATAAGTTGTCAAAAGCAATTTGAAGAACCTGATCAATTGGTGTAAACAGTTTTCTCCGAGATTCGTATCGATCTCCTCTATATATCACGAAAACAAGCCATTTGTCTCCTCTAATGTCCGGCCAGCAGTCTCGGGGAGCAGAACCCAAGCCCAACCGAGACCAAAGAAGGTCATAGTCGAGAAAAACCAAAACGTTCCTTTCGGTTTAAGAGTGTCTTCAAGCAGCATGGATGGAACAGCCTTTCAGCGTTATGTTAGTGGAAGAATTCTCCGTCAAAGGGGCCAAACAAACCTTTGATAAGCCATATCGGTTGGCATAGTGAAAGCACATCAAAAGACTCGATCCGGTGGCGCGCACATGCAGGGGGAAAATCTCCGCATTGATGAGATACTGGATCGAATTCCACCCGATTGCCCAGCCAATTCCAACGAAATACATAAAAACAATTGCTACAATTGCGGCCCGATTGGTAGATACAGACTCGCCATCGGATGCTGACTTGACTGTGAGGAAGATTGCGATATACAGCATGGCGACCAGCTGGATTAGAACACCAGACACTAATGATCCTTTTCGCCCGACATGGTCAATTAACACAATAGCACAGAGCAGCGATGCAAGAAATTTCACGGCGCCGAATATTGCCGTGACAAAGAGCTTCTCTGACTGCCCTGTCAATCCTAGCAAAGAAAACAGCTCGGGCGCATATGCTTGGGGTAGTCAGCAATATTCTGAGAATACTTAAACTCTAGGGAAATACACACTGGTTGTTGAGTTGGCACCAGACCACTGGCTGAGAAGCTGCTCGGAGACGACAAAAAGCACCCTTTTCTGGTTGGTTCTGACTGCCAGCAACTGCTTGAGCGAGGTCATCCAAGACTTGTACATGCTAGTGCCCTGGCAAACCTCCAACTGGCTTTGAATGCTCTCTATCTCAATGGAGATGTCTTCGTGCTCCAATGGCAGACCCCACAACCTCCCCAGAGCTCGCCTAGCTTGGTCCAATTTTCCCGCTTTGCACAAACGTCGAGGACTCTCTTCACACAAGAACGAAGACAGACCCAATCCTCCAGCCACGATGATTTGTACACTTTGTGGTATAATCCATTGCCGAGCAGTACTGTCGGAAACGTGCAACGCAGCTCCCCAGGCCGAGAAATACTGCGACAGTCAGCTCAGCAACAAATTAGCAACGCACCCTCCAACTTACCCCAACCATGATCCCGATATACTCCGACATCCCAAAAAGCGACACCAGCATACCCCTAGCATGAGCCGGCGCAATCTCAGCCAGATATGTCGGCGCAATAACACCAGCTTGTCCAATTCCAAGCCCCATGATAAATCGACCTGCATATATTTGTCCGATACTGGTGGAAGTGATGACAATGACAACACCAATTAACCAAAGTAGACATAATTGTCGCATTGACCAGAGCATGCCGATGTGTTCGCAAAGGAGAAAGGCGATCAGTGCGCCCGGAATGCTGCCGATGTGAACCATCGATGTGATATTCGAGAGACGGTTTGCCTGCTGAGAGGCATCGAGGTAGGTGGCTTGAAGACCGAATTCATAGATAAACGATTCTTGTGCGACTGTGGTGGAAATGAGGCCTTCGTCAAGCCCTACATCGGGAAATGGTTAGCATTGTCTACTCAATTCTGCTCCATTATCTTTCCTACCCCTTGACATTCCGGATAGTCCGAAACAAAGTGCTGCGCAGGCTAGTGGAAAAGTGAAGCATCTTAATGAGGAACGGATATTTCTTGGTTTCTTCATCGTGGGAGTGAGATTGGGTGGGAAAAGTCGAGCATTTTCTCGACTACACTCAAGTCGCATCGATGTGTACAACTCGCTAGACAGGCTCTAAATGGCTTTGGTAATAATCTGCGCAGGGCGACTAACACTTTTTACCTTGCAGCAACGCGGGCAGCGTAATGAACAACATTTTATTGGATAAGGAAATAGAAGTTTGGGGGCCAGACTCCACTCAGCCTCGTAGGGCTGAGGAGAACAAGCTTTCTTCAGGTACATTGTTCTGAGCATGAGTATTCCAGCTAGCAAACTCGAGTCCACTATAAATGGGGACAATTCCCGCCGATTCATGGATTACCTTGGTGGTTATTCTGCTGCCTGGTATTTGGTGGGTCACAGGTGCCATATCCACATGTGCCTTTAAGGAGTACAAATCATTACTTAATGCTAGGCTAGATAAATTGAATATTTACCTTTAGAGTAGCGCTTAAAACTGACGTACTTTTTACTGGGAATCCTTCGTTGGCAGTTGGGTTAGCTAAGAATAGCGATGTGCGGACTTAGGCAAATCACCTCTTCAGATTCGCTTGGTCTAAGATGCGACAAATATTTATCGTACAGAAAACCTATGGTCTATGACATACAGTATCACGCTTTGCAATGTATTTTCAAAGAATAACGCTCTCAAATAGCCGCGCTAGCCTGCTCCTTCGCAACCTTGGCCCTCCTTTCCTTCCGTTCGCTGAAACGATCACCAAAAAGGTCCAGATGCGGCCGCATCAGGATGGTATATTTGACAAACTCCTCCATGCAATCTACCAGCCGATCGCGATTCCCACTAGGCTTGATTCTTTGATCTCCCGGCTGACCTTCATCCGGGAAGTGGGTGTAGGCTTGGGGGATGGATGATTGGTTGGGGATGGTAAACATGCGCATCCAGCGGCCGAGGATACGCAAAGAGTTGACGGCATTGAATGATTGGGACCCACCGCAGACTTGAGCGATGGCAAGGGTCCGGCCTTGAGTCGGACGGACACTGCCAGTGCTTAGGGGGATCCAATCAATCTGGTTCTTGAACACTGCGGTCTAGTCGGGACGAAACAGTCGTTAATAGCTGATATTGAACTCTAGAATCAGGCTAGGTGGTACTTACCAAGTTTCCATGCTGTTCCGGGGAGACCCAAAGATGTCCGTCGCTCCAAGCACTGAGTTCTCTAAGCTCCTGGACTTTAGCATGGTTATGATCCCGGTCGTTCTTGACCGGAAGACCTTCGGGATCGAAGACGCGCACATCACAGCCAAGGCGGAAAAGGATTCGTGAAGCTTCAAAGGCCACGAGGCGGGAATATGACCTTGACCGAAGACTTCCATAGAGTACAAGCACTTTCAACCTCTGGTTGGTGAGTCGGAGGTTATTCTCAGCCATTTGAAGAGCAGTAGTCAACTCAAGGCTCTCCACCCAATCCTCGGCACCATCTTCGGAAAGAATAAACGGCCGATATTTCTCGCGAACCTCAGCATTATCCTCTTTAGGACTTAACGCGAGAGTTTGCAGACTAGGCAATTGTCGTACATCACTTGTGCCATCGAGTTGAACCGCAGTTGCCGTTGATTGTTGGGGAAGAGCGTGAACAGCCATTCTGGAAAAGCCGCGTTGAGTGAATGATGGCCTAGAATGAAAGACTTGTCTCGATGATACCCCCAAGAAAGGTCTGGGGCATGTGAGCTTTAAACTATGAGCAAGCCGCATATCTGCACTAACAACAATCGGAATGGAAACGACCCTCGCCATCTTATTTTGTGCAAGGCATAAGTCGACAGTCTGTCATTGGCAGATGATGATTGGCTGGTGATTATTGAAATACCTGCCGTATTGATAATACGGATGTCGCGATATCAGGCCGAGTCGGGAGTCAAAACCATGGCTTCTTACTGAAACAACCTGTAATGTGGTTACACATCCCTGTATTATGACCGAAGTGGCAGCCACATTCTTGAAAGTAATCCAACATTTGAATCTACAATATTCCGAAGCTTTCTGTGGCCACTTTGCTTTAATTTGCAATCTCGTTGGCACTGGAAAAATATGAAGAAGAAGGTCAACAATACAACCACGGAGAAAGAAAGTGGCTCCGCCACATTGACTCGTGTCCGCGACAATCAACGGCGATCGCGTGCCCGCCGGAAAGAGTACATTCAGCACCTTGAGGAACGGTTACGATCTTTCGAAAGTCTTGGAGTGGCAGCATCGCAAGAAGTCCAACAAGCGGGGAGAAAGGTTGCGAAAGAAAATGCTCTTCTTCGATCACTGCTCGTGCTTCGCGGCGTGACTCAGGATGAAATCGAAGTCTTTCTCAAGTCCCACGAAGAGTATACTCCTGGAGGAATGACCAGATCAGCGTCAGCAATAAGTTATCCAGTGACGCCACAGATTAGGCCGTCTATGGTTCTTGGGGTTTCACAAGGGACTCCCTGTGAGAGCCCAAACACTTTGCCGTGGAGAGAGGTCATCGATAAACGAATTGTCCCAGCCTATGGCCGATCTGTGGAATTTCAGACGTATGCCAATCAACAAGAATTGACAACGGGTCGACCGCCAACGATACTTCCGGTCGACATACCTGATACTGCATCTACACTTCAGCAGTTCAACGGAGATCATCGGGAGAAAGGTCACTTTACATCGTGCGAGAGTGCAGCCAGAATCATTGCCGATTTGCGAGGCTATAGTGATACCCATGAGCTACGATCAGAGCTTGGTTGTGGCGCAGAAGCAGATTGTATGGTCAAGAACTTGAATCTCTTTGAGATGTTTGATAAATAACATATCACTCGGCTTGTGAGCTCAACCAAAATCCAACCAAGATTAATTGTTGTCTCTTCTCGTTCATGAAAAAAGGATCCGCCACAGTAGCCGGGAAACTGCGAATCACCGAGGGTGGCAGGGTTCAATCTCATACTTCTATCGCGTTTTCCTCTGGGCAGGTCATTAATCATGTACACCAGCGAGGGATATCGCGTAAAGTCTCTAATATGGTTTCGGTACAGGAATCTTGTAGGCCCTGGCTAGTGATATAGATGCTCTGAACCTGAACGGTAAGGATTAAGGCCAGACTGTACACATACTATTGACAAATAATTCCAGCCAAGTCAATACACACTTCAAGGAGCGATTCTCATTATTAACAGTTTGTACTCTGGCGGGGAAAACTCCGCTGACAGAATAGATTCCCCGGAATCTGGGCACTCGATCCTGTTCATCGACTGCCGTGATTATTCGCCCAGGCTGCAGGCTTTAGCCCTCGTTTAATGTCCCGAATGCCCGCGATTGGACGATTTTCCATGCGAAGCTTTGACGTAACAACTATGAGATTCACCCGGTCGAGCCTATTTTGTGTTGTCACTGACTCACTGCCCAACTTGTAGGCAAGACCAGAAGCAACCCCACTCCGTCTAGTCCAGTCGGTGAGGAATAGTCGTTGTCAACTGGTTCCAAGCGGAGCACCCAACAGCCCCTGTAACCATCGCTAAGCATTGTAAACTTGAATCTTGTTATCGTCGGAAAAGAACGAAAATCGGGGGAACGCGGGGAACAATCACGACATCATTCCTCTTAGGGCAATCCCACGCGTCCAGCACAAGCCAACTTGTCAAGTTGTTCACTCTTTTTCGCATAAGCTCACCGTTCTTCTAGAACGCCTTTGTGTTCCTGGAATCTCAGGGCGATCATTACGGGAGTCTGGACCAATTAAAGGCCCCGCTATATCACCGGCTAGAGCCGGTCAGGTTTGATTGGTTACAACCGCCGACGAGGGGTCGCGATCTATAAAAATCACCCCAAAATGCAGATGGCCTTGATATGCGCTTGTTGGGCGATAAGATGGTTGGCATTACATGATTTCCGTCGGGTGCGAAACTATATCTGTGCGATTCATATTGTTCATATACTCTTCCCTCTTCCCAACCTCCTTCGCCAACTTTTTTCCCCATTCATTTGGAACTTCTTTTCGCCTGTCCCCCCCCCCCTTCACCGGCTAGCAGAATAGGGCCTCTGTGCCTGGACTGATCCACAGTACTCCGTAAGTGATTTCCATGCTACAGGGCCGGCTTTATTTGCCCCGCGTTGGATTTGTTTTATCTAATCAGGACTATGTTTTATTTCCAGATTGAAATCGAATCCGGGAGGGGGAGACAATTTCCTATCTCTACAACTCGGGCGAATCGAAATTCACCTGCTTTTATTACTTTCTATACTTATATCCAACTTCTACCTGCCTATCCGGCCTCGCCAATAGAGCCTGACAGTTGTTGTCGGCTTGATTTGAGCATTACACTATGAATCACAATATGAAAGACCAGGCGCTGCCGCTGAGCATCCACCGAACGGGAAGTCGACTTGGAGAACTTCTCGTGGCCGACACTCTGGTAGCGGCAGGCTCATCAGCCCTCATCACCCCGGCGGTGATGATCTTTGACAGGTATGTCCCTGCCTCCATGTAAACATTCACAAGGAACGTAGTCATCTAACAAATCCCAGACTCGTCGTTGAAAAGTCCTTTTACAACCAGCCCATGTTCCCAGCTTTCCGTCGACACTTGTGGTTCTCTATTACACAGCCAGCAACCTTTTTAACATCCAGACCTAGCCTATTGGTCTGGTCTCTTTATACCGCCACGTTTGCAACCGCCAATATATCCGAGACCCTGCTGAGCAAGGTCTATCCCAAGATCGACCATGCTATTGCGGGCATGACCACTTTTGCCGCGACATTCGTCGTCAACTCTTCCGTCGGAATCTGGAAAGACGTGAAATTCGCCCAGCTATTCGGTCATAAGAATAATGCTCCTCCCCCTCCTTCTCCTCCATCAATGATGGCAACACCAACACCATCTCCCTCCCAGTCACCATCTGCATCTACATCTACATCAGCGTCAGCGTCAGCATCAACTTCAACCTCACCATCTCCATCCACCACACCAAAACCAGACACCTCTCTCCCCAAAACCGCCCGTTCAATCGGCCGCACTCGCATCCCCCTAGCCACATACTCCGCCTTCCTCCTCCGCGACGGCCTCACAATCTTCGGCTCCTTCAGCCTCCCCGCCATGCTCTCAACAGCAATCCCAGACTCCATCGCCTCGCAAGAATACCTAAAGATCCTCATCGCCCAACTCGCCATCCCAGCATCCATCCAACTCATCAGTACGCCAATCCACCTCTTCGGTCTGGACTTGTACAACCGGCCCCAGGCCATGCCGACCAAAGAGCGCGTTAGCCGGATTAGCCGTGATTGGATTGGCGCTTCGCTGCTACGCATGTGTCGTATTATTCCTGCCTTTGGGATTGGCGGGTTTTTGAATACGGAGGGCAGACTTTATTTGCATGATCAGTTGGATGAGAGGAGGATGCCGGCTTGAGGGTGGTGGTTGAGTATAGGACACTCTTTTTTTGCATATAACATGAGACAGAACATAACATAGCATTTTCATAGAAATTATAGATCAATATACCCTTTTCTTATCCTGTCCCGTCCTTGCTCTCTTTTACCAGTTCTGTCTCCCTTTTTCGCGTTGTATCGCAGGCATTCGGGCAATGGTGGGGTGGACACTCGAACACTTTCTTATCGGTTCGTTTATCGTGTGAAGAACCCCACATGCCGAGGTGTGCCCGGCCCGGAGCCCGCTTGTAACCGGACAGCGCACAGCAGGGTTGACCTTTCTACTTGTTGATGGGAGAAGGATCTGGGATCTCGTGGGTAATGTCGTTGTGGATTTTTATTGGCTTGACATAGGGCTTAGGTCTTTCCCCGCGTCTTCAGGCAGCGGATCGGGAACCCGGTCAAACCGCCAAAGAGTAGCCGGCTGGTGGCCGAGAGATTTCCGATGTCAGGCCGAAGATAGACTCGTGAAGAAGTATTCTACTTGGAGGTCTGTGGTATGGGGCTGGTGTAGATCTTTCGATTTGTTGAGTGCATCTATGTATTGATTCCATTATTGGCTTTTCATTATCCAGGGTACAATCTTAGTTTCGGAATATTAGATCCCAGGTCGATTGTGCATAATTGCCCTCGGGCTCCTTTGCCAGCCCGATTTGAACGGGCATATAGGTATGGAGTGATCAATTAATGCATCATTCATTTCTTCATTTTGAGAAATGTAGCGAATACCTACCTCTTAGTAGCCTTAAATTACGATGACCACATGACGCAGCTTAGATTTCGAGATCCTATTCCCAGAAAACATAAATATAGTCTCTTACGCAACTCCTGTCTTTCTTCGAGTCTCGTAGTTTAATCGAGATGTAACCATTCAGGTTGAGATAGACTGTTCTTACAGACGCTAACCTTCCCACGTGGAGGGTAGCATCGGCTTGATAGTCAAATTACAATTCAAGCGTCACTATAACCTCTAGCGAGAGTCGACAGTCTATCTAACAGGCGTGACGAGCCAAAATCTTATCATGCTGAAAATTTCCATAGATTAGACTAACTCTCGAGATATTTAGAATATATTCGTCCCCATTTGTATTTTCCTTCTCGTGGGGGATGGGATGAGTTCGTGTCATAATTATTGTAATATTTTGACCTGTGATTCACTTGATGTGGTTAGTTTTGCCGTTCCCGGACTAGCGCCCCAATGCACCGTTTTATCACCTCTCCCCTGCATATATAGCTTCACAAATCGTTGATAGGAGATCAATTGTCTTATGTGAGTTGCATTTTGTTTGCCGTGAGAGAATAAAAAAGTCTGAAATTGTTTCGATTTACAAGATTGATATTCCCGGGCGACCAGCAAACATGAGTCTAGAGTATTGGTCACGCGGGACTAAGTATTCCCTTCTCCAACAGCAGAAAATCGGCGTGGGTATTCTTCCCTCTACTTCAGCTCATATATTCGGTCGGTCAAGTTTATTGGTTATGCTGAGCTCTGTGGTCTGACATTGTGCACTTTTCTACCCATGTTTTGAATCGAAGATATGAATATAAAATATTTCGAGTATCGAGTTAAAACATGAATTGCTTTTTCGTTTCGAGGACTACACATTGGACCTCATTAATCCCGAAGACGCGAAAATCAGAAAATTAGCTACGAACAGAAACGAGGGGACAAGTACTAGTTAGTTAAGAATTCACTTGCAAAACACCCAATATCGTGATACCATTAATCGATCATACTACCTGCAAAGCTTGCAGATCCTTTCCATGAGAAGAGTAGAGAGACGTCACTCATCAACGTCGCGAGGATTGGCCTCCCAGTATTCACCCAATTCCGCGTCAGTCATTCCAGGGACAGCGTCATAACGGGTGAGAGGAGCCAAATCGATATTGTGCTGCTCGAATTGCGACAACTTCAACTGAGTGAGCGTTCGTGTTTTGTTGACACTGTACACCTTGATACGATGGGCCGAAGACGTGACGTGAAGCCCCCAGTTCCATGCCGCTCGCACATTCAATGGCTGTGTGTTGAGAGAATTATCCCAACATCTGCAAACGATCTCAATCCACCCTTCCACGTCGCAGGGAAGATCAATTTCCCACGTTCGCCAGGTCCATTTACCCTTTTTGGATAACTGGTCTTCCGGTACGGCGTACCAATTGAAACCTCCGTCAGCAGAGAGCTCGACACGTTCCGGCCATCTTCCGCCACCGGAATACGCCCAGCCCTTGCAATGGATTTTGCCATCATGCATAATCACTTGCTTTGTCCAGGGAGACATGATCGCTGAACTGACAGGCATCTCCTGAATTTGGATACCGTCTATAGGACGCAGGTTGTACTTGCCCACCTGCTGGTTGAAGTAGAGGTATTCCCTGGATTGGACAGGCGCGAGGGTTGGACTTTTGATGGCTTTGATACGGTATAGCCACTTCACACTCCGAGCCCCGATATACCCCATCACAATAACTCGCAGCGGATAACCATGGATCTTAGGGAGCACCTCGCCATTCATTTCCCAAGCAAGGATAACCTCGTTAGCCTTAACCTTAGACCAAGGTACGCTAACAACATAATTACCCACTTCGAGGTCCTTAATGTAGGTCTCGACGCCATAGAGTTCGAGGTGCTTCGCATGATCGATCAGACCGCCACAATCTTTAATCACCTTTTTCAGGCTAATGCCCTTATACCGTGCGGTACCAATAGCTCCCTCGGCCCAAGGAGCTTGCGGTACTTCGTCACCCTGGCCAGCATATAACGCAATTTGTTCGATACGGCGGGTTCCCGAACATTGCATAGTAATTGTCTTTTCCATGCGTGGGAACTTAGTCTCATCCATCAAATCCTCCATTGTATATGATTTAGGCGATTTCACGAGTCCGTCTAGCTTCAACTCAAATTTGTCCGCATCGATGATCGGAATACCGCCATGGTTGCGCACGAAATGAAGAGAGTTTGGAGTTATTGCCTTTGCGGCCACCAGTCGCTTTGGTGGCTCCCCATTGTAAGGGAACTGCAATAAGTGAAGCATCTCAGGATGTTTCTCTTCCAGCACCGTCTTCCAAGAATCATCCGCAACAGGGGCAAGCTCTCCACCTAGGGCTGCATGCCAGGCTTTGAAATCATCGCCGGCGAGAACGGGATTGGTCCCGGGGATTGGTCCCCATTGATAATCGGGACAAGGTGCAAATGTTTGCGAAGTCAAGATTTTGTGGGCTTGAGCCTTCTTTTTAGGGTAATTCTCCCATTCGACGTAGCTTCAGTTTAGTTGAACGACATATCAGCTTTACTGTTCTGATTTCAAAAAACCAATTGATTACGGGACACATACCCGACCCAGCCTTCTCTTTCACGGGCAAAAAGCTTCTTACGATTACCCACTGCTTGGATAGCCTTCTTATTTTGCACTATTTCGGACGGTTTCGGGGGAAACACTTTGACGACCGTCTTTCCGGCTTGGTCAAGGATAGGCAGCACATGGCCTGCCATGCCCTGCTCGATCATCCATTGATCAGGTCTGTCCAGAGCCGTTAAGCTTGATCTTCTTCTGGATTCCATGTTGTATGAAAGGTTTAACAAATTTCTCGGAGTAGGCAGCTTAAAGGATACATTAACTAGTTAGTTAACTATCGGAAGTGTCGTAGTTATATAATTCGCGGCGCACGGCCCCGCTCGGCGTCATTGTCATGATCTCAACCATGTCTAAACTAGGCAATACTTCTAAGCCAATCGTAAATAAGCTCTTCTCTTTCCTTATTTGCTAGAATTCGTACTGCAGTACGATGTATCACATTTACGAGGTGCTGTGATTTTGGATCCACCGTACGGGGACCGATAGCGACCGGTAGCGACCATCCTTAGCAACGTTCGTTTCGCCTGCTACACCGTCTGCTTCATCCCTTACTGATCGGGCATAAATATATCCGAATGAGGTAATATTCTATCAAGACAGTTACTTAAATCGAATCAAACCTCCACTGCATTGTTGTGAGCAAGGTTATGCGATTATGAAGAGGAATAGATTATTAGGCAGTGTGTAGTCATTGAGTTGCTTGTACGGAGTATAAATTAAATAGATAGAAAACTATAGAGTATTTATGTCTGGGTTCATGCTGTTTTTTAAGCGGAAAATCGGTTGATTATATGGATTCTGATTGATTTGGATAGTATCCCATATATGGTTATAAGATAAATTATATGAGCGATTTAAGTTGTTCATTACTGATTGGTCCTTCGGTCCAATCGGTTTCTTTCAATTTTTAATATGATACGATATCGCGTGGCTATTGGCTATGTTTGGTTATGGGTCGCTAATAAGGTTTCCCAATAATCCTGGGAGCCATCTTTTAGCCACATACCGTCAATTGTCGGATAGGTTGATTAACTAATCTTGTGATTAAAAGAATATCTCATAATATGACTTCATTGACTTGATATTATCATGATTTCAAGGCACTGCCATTCCCTAAACGAAATTGAATTTATCGTACGCATCGTTACAAATGGATACGGAGCCTTTAGGCTAACGATGTGGACTTCCGTAGTTATCTAAGGCAGACTATTTTGGAGCGGCCATTATTGCGGTTAGTTCTGTCTAAAATCGGTCTCTGCTCACTGTAAGACTCCTGGCGATGGTAATGATATCACTGCCACTAGCCAAATTTGACCCAATAGCAACGCAGTTCTTTATGTCTGCATAACCTGCCGGGCCTTATGAAATTTACTATTTTTGGACCTGTTTAACTCCGGTTTCACCTATCCTTTCTAATGCGGTCCCAACTTTTTCGGGAATCTGGACTATAAAGACCTTCTATTCAGCAAGTAGCTGATTTGATCCGATATTCGGTAGATATTAATAATTAGATCCAGGCATAGTGGTTGATGGGAAACGTGTGTCAAAAACTGACCGCTAGGTATCTAAACATGAGGTACGGTTTAGCTGGCAGGCAGAAACTCGCCCCGCAAGGGGTCCGTAACAATCGTAATTTCTGTAAGGGGCCGCTTACAGTGACTACGCAAAAGTATTTGGACCCCCCGGGCCCCACTTTGCTGACCGCCCATGCTAATTTCCTACCGCCTACTAGAAACGCTTAGTAAGAGAACACGCTCAATCTATGCCTGATAGGGTACTGGCAATCATGGAATCAGAAGGATGGTATACGCCTTACTAGGTAGACTTCTATGTGTATTTAGTAGTTAATATGCAATTCATGGAGTTTTGACGGAGGTTTTGCGACCGGCAATATATTATGTAATATAGGGGTGTGGGGCGGGGGTCCAAATACTTTTGCGTAGTCACTGTATGTATTGATCCTAGTTTAGTCTATAACTTGCAACAAACTATCAAAGGTAGCAAGATACAGACCCTACCTTACAGAAAGGGCTAATGCGTTCTCAATCACTCCCTTACATACGCACGTCCTCCATCTTCCAATCATCGCTATACATTGCATCTCGCTATGTAATCTCACTCGAATTGTCATTACTTAGCACGCATCTACTTTCACTAGTTTTGGTTCGATAATGCGCAGGCATGTTTTTCTTCGTTATACGTCCTTAATATATGTAAGACGATTATAATATATGGCATATTAACTAGTTGTTCTGTTAAAGCTACCGCAGCAAGAAATCCTGACTTCTGGATTATATATTATGTCTCTAAGTGCAACTTTATGTTTTCTGAAGAGTAGAAACAGGCTCTCTAGTTTTACTTCCAAGATAAGAAGTCAATTTAGGATAAATAAGGATAGTGATAGTCGGGTATTAGGGTATACGAGAGTTCCGGCGGTCTGGACCGTCAACTCACACCGACTCCTTCGTGATGCCTAAGTACTTCGCAACAAGGCGATATTATCTCATAAAACATTGACTATACTTCTGGAAAACATACCTATTAAGGGGAAAGTGAATTTCAAAGCCAATTTTATGATTCACGGTGGCACCACTTACTGTACCGGGTTTGATACTTTCAGAGAATCCTTGGGTCCGGCTAACTAAAAGGGGGATAAATGGCCAGAACGACGCTTTCATATTCAATCCAAAGAACTATCTGTGCCCGCCAGGAATCCGCCCTCCGGCGCTTATACCCAGAGCACTTCGTCCTATGGGTGCGCCCCACCGAATTCGCCAATTTCACCGGAATCGCCAAGTACCTTTTATATACGTATCGCATATAAAAGATACATAGTACTGTTGTCTGATATCTTTATAATTATTTATGATTAGTACTAATGAATAAGGAAATATATAATAAAAAGGATTAAATTTTTTAAGCTAAAAGTCTCTTTTAATCTCAGTGTTAAGTTAGTGAAATTGAAAATTAGCTATCGGTCGCTCTATGATATTTTCTAGCTATTCTAAGAAGATATATTTACCACGAATATTTCTCCTTTTAAAGTTATTAAGAGTAATAATTAAGACTAGATAGTAATATCTACAGTAAAATATCTTTAGGTCACTTCACAAAATTTAGACCTAGATCGAGTCTGATATATGTACCTTTTATATATAACCTACATACAAAAGGTACTTGGCGATTCCAGTGAAATTGGCGAGTTCGGTGGGGCGCACCCATAGGACGAAGTGCTCTGGGTATAAGCGCCGGAGGGAGGATTCCTGGCGGGCACAGATGTGCGCTTATCCAATTCGTGAACATCCAAGAGGCCGATCCGCAATACACGCCGCTATCTCTCCAAGAGCACACAGTGGCCACGAGTTGGACAGAGGAACGTTATTTGGGTCACTGGCTAGACCCAGAGTTAGAAATCGATCACCAGCGCGAAAAGGCAATCGCAAATGCAGAAGTCTCTCCAAGCATTTTGGAGTCGGAGGTATTTCTACAGTTATTGATAGGTATGACTGTAGACCAGGAAGTAACTAGATCGTCGCACTAGATCTACAGTCCTAGTCCTTATTTTTCTGACGATGCGTTTGTTCAGGCAGGTAGGGGGAGGCAGGTACTCTGAGGTCAAAGTTTATGCGCTATGCAAGTTTTTACGCCCCCAAGCTTCTAAGAAAGCAATTTGGTTGGTGTTTTATTGCTGTCGATTCTCCTTTTATAGGTATAGTGCCACAATAGAAGCATTTAAGACAGCCTAGTGCATTGAAAGTGCGTTGAAAAGCCCTACCTGTCTCCTTCATCGCCTAATTTATCAAAGCCTACGTGTCTAGTTCTATCGAGAATTGCCTATCTATATATATACTTACACCCACACCTATAGTCAGGTAGTTAACAGAACGAAGGCGGATAAAAGTCCTGGTTGGATGCGGAATGGGGGGAGCGTGCAGTTAAACGGCTCGGTGCCTAAAGTTAGGAGTGGAAAGGAGGCCGTTTCTGGCGCCAGAGATTGTCATGTTCGGCGTCGATTTCACAGGTCCCTATATTCTAGTTGTAATCCGTCGCGGTATGAGGCTTCCGTTGATCAGGAAAAGACCACAATCTCTTACTCGCGCTTAAACATGCCCTACAAGCGAACAACACTTGAAGTTATTCGGACGAGTGTTTTCATTCAAAATAGAGATTATCAAATCGTTATCGGCACTCTCCGGTATGCAAACCCCTGAATAAATGAGTCATGTGAATCGAGATATTTTCGAGGTTCCGAGCGATCGGGCTAGTGCGGAGTTTTTACGAGCTTCACACTGCTTTCACTGGACAATTAGGATTTTTATGCAGATTGCCAACGTTAACTATACTCTTTGTAGATTAGGATTCTGTTAGCTAGTAAAGGACTGAAGAATGTCATTTCAAAAGTGGTTTCCTCGCCCGATAAGATCCCCAGCTAATTTTATTTACGCCAAGCTTTAGGATGAGTACATTCAAGATTGAGTCATCGGTATATTTAAAGTCGTGACCCAACCAGTTTAAAAAGTTCTACACTTCCTTCCAAACCATCTACATTGATCTCTACAGAACATCTACAATGTCCCTCCCCAAAGAACCCCGCTCCTGGCAAAAACCAGGCTTCCTCGTATCAACCGATAAAACCCTCCTCTCAATCCCATCAATCAACCACGCCTTCAGCCTAGACATTATCTACTGGACTCAACCTGTTCCAGACACCATCCTGCAAACTATAATCGACAATTCCTTCTGTTTCGGCCTCTACGAAATCATCACCACTGCCAATGGCACCGACTCCACAAATGAACAGCCACCACAACAGCTACAACTACCCTTCCAAGCAAAAGACCTGAAACAAATCGGATTTGCCCGCGTCGTCGGCGACATGACTACTTTTGCATATTTCACGGATCTCTACGTTTTACCCGAATATCAGGGTCTGGGCGTTGGAGGGTGGATTATTGATTGTTTGGCGGAATTGTTGGACGAGATGCCTTATTTGCGGTGGGCGATGTTGAGAACTTCTATGGAGAAGAGTCGGGATGCGTATGTGAAGAGGCTTGGTATGGCTGTTTTGAAGTCTGGGGATATTAAGGAAGGGCCTGTTATGATGGGGAGAAAGGGGGAGGGTTGGGGGGCCGTAGAGATGAAGGGGAGAGAGTAATACATAGTTGGGTCTACTAGGCACTGGCAAGTCAGTCATGATTAGAGCCGCAAGTGGGGGCTGATTTAACGGTGAGGGCATGGCGAATAGCAGGCTGGCTTAGTCCACGACTCCGTTCTTGTTGACTCCCCATGCTGACAGCCGGTGCCTGGATCCTTCAAGTCCACCATTATAAATAACAAGCACAATCCTGGCAAAATTTACTACTTTTTCTATCGCAAACCCCTCTCCACAGATCTACACAATGTCCACCCCAGATATTCCTCCCTCGTTCCTCCAAAACCCCCCTCCAAACGCAACCATCCACCCCCTCGACTTTACAAAAACCACACCCCCAATCCCCGCCTACAAAGACCACTTTGCCGCCGTCATCGACAATTTCATGACCCCCACCGAATGCACAGAACTCCTCCGATTAGCCGGTGAATCCGCCCACCCCCCGCCAACAACAACCACTCCTTCTCCAAACGATCCACCCCCCGAACCAACCTGGCAACGCGCCCTCGTCAACGCCGGCTCAGGAACCGAAGTAGCCTCCTCCAGCCGCAAAAGCGGCCGGTACATATGGGACTCTCCCGAACTCGCATCCCGGCTCTTATCCCGTCTAACACCCTTCCTGACATCCTTCGGCCTGCACCGAATCGAGAATCAGCCGCTTGTTACGGGGTTAGGACCCGCGAAGCGCGGGGAGGTATTCGTGTTGGCGGGGTTGAATGAGCGAATTCGGTTTTTGAGATATGAAGGTGGTGATTATTTCAGGCCGCATTGGGATGGATGTTATGTTGATGATGGGAAAGGGACGGCGGTTAGTAGGAGGAGTCTTTTTACGGTGCATTTGTATTTGAATGGGGAGGGGGAACAGGATTGGGAGGTTTTGGGACCGGAGGTTGAGAGGGTTAGTAGGGGGATGTATCTTTTTGAAGGGGAGGATGGGTTTGTGGATTTGAGGGAGGTTGGTAAAGAAGATGGGAAGGAGGGTGAAGAGTCAAGAGGTGGTGATGGAAATGATCGGTCGCAAGAGACGTTACTCGGTGGTGCAACCTCGTTTGGAGATGACTATCGAATGCGAGACTCAGTGCGAGTCTTTCCCAAGACGGGCTCGCTGTTGATTTTTCAACAGAGGAATCTGATGCATAGTGGAGACGATGTCTTTCGGGGGGTCAAGTATACGGTTCGGACGGATGTGATGTATACCCTTGAGAAAGAGAGCGAAAGAGAAGTGTCCTAGTTTTGTTAATTCTAGTCAGCAGTTCAAAATCCCCCGATGATGAGCAATCCGAGTTTCGGAGTCAAAATCAATCATCAAAGATAACCTTAACTAATTTCGGCCTGGCTAAAGGCCGAGCTCGTAAGCCTCCGGGAAATTACCCCACCTTCGGACTTTTTAGTGCTTACAATCCTTACCCAGTCAACGTCATCTTCTTATCCTCTATAAAAACTCCCTGGACCATACCTCTCGGCTGGTCACAGAGCATTCAATCAGATACTCAACCACGATACCAGTCTATCAAACTACCATACCATCCACATCAACCACATCCTCCAATTAATCTTGAACCCTCCTTCATCTACAATCACCACCACAATGCCAACAAACAACCTCGCCTTTACATCCCCCGTCAACCCCCCGAACACACCCACCCCCTAACCGCCTCCCAAATCTGGAAGGGCCTCCTCCTAAAATCCCGCTCCGCCGAGACCTTCGTGTCCGCCGCAATCCAATCCACCACCGTGCTGAGCGACAGCATCGACCCGGCCACAGGCAACCAAGTCATCATCCGCGACGTGCTCTTCCGCGAGTCGCAGAAACTGGTCAAAGAAGTGGTGACCGCGTTCGAGCCTACTCGGGTGGAATTTGAGCAGCCGGATGGGAGTCGGGTTAGTAATGTTATTAGTGTGGGTGCGGAGGGGGAGTTGTATTTGACGTATATTTTTGAGTGGAGACATCCTGAGTTTGATGGGGAGGGTAAAGAGAAGAGCGAAGAGTGGGAGAGGGTGAAGGAGAAGGAGAGGGGAATGGGTCAGTCCGCTGTTGAAGGGAGTATAAAGGTGTTGAGGAGGCTTGCTGAGGAGGGTGCGATTTAAGAATAGCGGTACAGGATGGAAATGATCTCTTAAGTGCTTAATCTGATAATGACTATTTTACCTCGAACACACTCTATACTCCACCTAATCCTAAACCTCCGGCACAGCAATAACACCCTCCGACACCCTCACAGCCGACCCCGTCAACTCAACCTCCCCAATCTTCCCCTCCGAATCAACCTTAACATTAACCCCAATATCACTCCTCCTCCCCATTTCAACCCCCTGCACAAAATGATACCGATACTCACCCCCAGCCTCCCCCTCCGTCAACGCCAAATAAGCTGCAAGTCCACTGGCCGAACTACCCGTCGCAGGATCCTCCAATCCACCCAGCATCATCCGTGTACGAATCACCTTCTGCCCCGTAGCTTCATCGTCCACGTCCCGTACGAAAAAGTACACGCAGATCAACCCAGATTGCCAACCCGCATCCAGGTGGTCGGACGTCGAGACCAGATCGCCCGCTGTGGCGCGGCTTACGGCCGAAAGGGCTGATAGGGTGGGGAGTTCGATGAAAGTCTGGCTCATGCCGTTGACAATCGAGAAGAGGGGGAAAATAGTCTCTAGCCCCTCAGCCGGGAAATACGGCTTCAGTGTTGGATGCAGATATAGCAGATCTGCCAGCTGATAGCGCTTTGCGTGGATACGCGTGTTATGCGCGATCTTCGCGGCGACAGTCCCGCTCTGCGCATCCTGGATGGTAATCGGGATTTCACCAGATTTGGTAATTAGACTGGTCACTGGGACTGCATTTTTGTCTGCGGATTGACAGAGGAACCAATTCGCGGCACCGATGGTTGGATGGCCCGCAAAAGGGATTTCGCATTCGATGGTGAAGATGTCGATGGTGCGCTTGGAAGGGTCGGTGACTGGGTGGACGAAGATGGTTTCGGAGAGATTGAATTCCAGAGTTAAGATGTGCTTTTGGCGTTGGGTGAGTTGTTGGTCTGTGGGGAGGAAGACTACGGCGAGGGGGTTGCCGCTGAAGGGTTTGGTGGTGAAGACGTCGAGGGTGACGAATTTGAGAGACATTTTGAGGTAGAGTCAAACGAAAAAGACGAATGTATTTTCAAATTCTGAGGAAATGACAGGAAGATATACTTCGCCCTTGACTCATTCCGGTGGGTCTCTAGACTGCCGAAGCTCCCGCTTAAACTCGGAAGTTTGAGCTCCACATCTTCATAGAATGAATCATGATAACTAATCAAGGACATGTACAATTGATTCAATAAACTATCAATCTCAATTCGAGGCAGTTATGGCACCACAAACTCCTCAGGATGCCCCCTCTCCTTCCCCCACCTCTTCATCCCCTCCATCAACGCCCTCGTAAACCCCTCATGATACCTTAATCCATTCTCCGGCCAACCCAATCGTCCAGCCCTCCAAATGGCCCATTTCTCCGCCATAACCCCCTCCGGCGCACGCAACAGTCCCGTCGCAACATCCACAATCTCCGGCCTCTCCTTACACCAGTAAAACACCGTCGCTCCGCACGTCCCGCAGAACGTCCGTGCCACGTCCTCCGTAGAATGATACGCCTTGGACGTGCCAACTAGTAAGTTTGATGGCAGCGCTGGAGAAATGTGGTCTGTTGGCACGAACATCCACCCGATCACGTTCGTTCCTGTCGTTAGGCGGCAGTCGTCGCAGACGTCGAGACTGGCGAGCCACCGGGTTTTGTCGAGGGGGAAAAGCCAGTTTTGACTCGCGGGGCTGTTGATGAAGGATTCGCGGGGGCGGGAGATGTGGAAGGATACGCCGCCACAGTGGCATTGGGCGAGTAATTTGTCTTCAGGGTCGGGTTTGGTATTGAGCTTGTCTTCATGAGACTCTTCCGCAGGAATAGCAGTCGCAATCCTAGTACCAGCATCATCTCTGCCAGCAGTCGCAGTCGCAGTCGAAGTCGCAGGCAAATCAACATCCCACATCCCCAATTTAACACCCTCCACCTCCCCAAAAACCCCAGACAACCCCCCATCCCCCGTAGACCCAGGACACATATGACTATTAAACCTCCAAACACCCTTCTCCCCAGCATTCGCATCATAAACCGCCGTCGAAATCGTCCACGACACATCCCCCGTCAACGAACTATCCCCAATGTGACACCCACACGTCTTGCAGAACCATTTCCGCGATTGGAACGACGGGTGCGTGTACGAGGTCAGACTTTCTTTGCTGGAGGGCGCGATGAAGTCTAAATCCACGCCTGGTGGGAGCGGGCTGTGGAAGCAGCAGGGGGCGCCGTGGACGTAGCGGCAGATTGTGCAGTGGCAGAGGTGGATTTTTAGGGGAAGAGAGGTGACGGGGAGGGTTATTGTGAATTGGGTGGCGTGGCAGTGGCAGGATGCTTTGAGGGTTTTTGTGGATGTGGACATTGTGGATAGCGATAGCGTTGTGTTGTGGTTGTTTCAAGGGAGAAAATGGAATGGAGAGTGATAGGCTTTTTGTATTATTCTTCCTCTCAGGTCTACTAACTCTTTAAAGAGCTGTGACGTGACGCACGCCCTCGTATCCCACCATCCTGCAAAACTCGTATTCAGAGTCATACAGGACTGAATGTAACGGATAAAGTTGGCAGTAGATTAGGTAGAGATATCTTATTCGTTAGTTCGGGATTCTAGCTATATTCATCTTAGTTGGATTGGTTGATCTTTACCCCGCAAAGACTTTTGCGCAGACGCTGCCTAAAGTTAGAGGGGCTTGTTTTGCTTATTTTGTGAGAATTGATTATTAATCGAGGAGCAGAACAGGGATGAAATCAAGGTTGATTCATGTAGTTGCAGGTAATTGGTGTATGGTGATATACTCGCCGTTGGTTAGTATACTAGGACTAGTATGCTATTAGACTGGTACTAGACAAGTTAGGTGGGGCATCCAGGTCAGTGTGCTCAAGAGAATATCTCCGAGTACTTTCTCTGACATTCTCGGGCTTTCGATAGACCTGTGCTACGGACACTCGTCATTCGTACTACGTCAACTTTCGAACAACTACAAGACAGTGGAATTGGTGATGTACAAGAATGACGCTCCAGCACTAGCTGGTCAATTCAGATATCGTCGATCCTCCCAGGCAATCGATTAAATCAATATCTAACATTCCATAAAATGTACTAACCATGTATGCATACATGACCCAAATGCCCGAACTAGGTATCCTCCATTCCCGACACGATCACAATCCCTCCCAATGCAAAGCAAAACGCCTCATAAAGTCATCATAAAACATAACATCCACCGAATACACCAATCCCCTTACTCGGAATCACTCTCAATCACAAACCCGCCTCGCATGCGGCGACTAGAAGGTGCTACGAGCATCTCTTCTTCATCGTCACTGTCAACGGCTGCCTCGGCAGTGGCAGGTTTCGATGGACGAGTCCGATCCCGACTAAAGACTAGATCGTCATCAAAGTCCATTTCATCTTCAGTGGATGTAAGTGGCGTGTCTTCATCTTGGGCTCCGTGGCTGGTAGAGACTTCCTGCTGAGAGACAGGAGATAATTCATCCGGATCTGCCATGAGGATATCATCTTCATCGTCACCGGCACTACCCGTAGAGCCTGATCCGCGACGGCGACGCTTGGAATCGGCGGCTGTTGTGTCACTCTTGCGCTTTCGCACACTCGCTTTTTTACCCTTGCCCTTGCTCTCCGACAGCAATGGCTCGGTGTCACCCATGAGAATGGCGTTCTCAACATTCCGCGCTTGTTCCTTGCGCCGTTCTTCTTCGAGGCGGAAGAATTCCCGGTCTGCTTCTTCGTCGGTTTCGTCATCGCTAGCATGAATGAATAGATCACTTTTAATCTTCCTTTGGCGGGCTAACGCATTTGCAAGACGGGCCTGGCGACGTTCCTCTAGAATGGCGTCATCTAGAGGTTCTTGTTCGGCGTCGTCACTAATCCGCGACTTCTTCTTGCGCTTCTTCTTGAGCTCGTCCAGCGCATTAGACTTTGATCTCGGGTTTGGCGGGAACAAAGGTCCCTCTGGAATATCTTCGCCTTCAGAGTCTGATCCAAAGTTCACGTCGAGCGTGCCCTGCGCTAGGCTTTCCCGCGCACTGCGTGTCTCCTTACGACGGAGCAGTTGGCGAGGATCTTCGTCGCTGCCTTCGGGCATGGGATTCAAGACGGACTTGTTGATGGTGGAAATGATTTCGTTCAGGTCAGTCGACGACATGGACGCTGGAACGACCCATTGAGCACCACGCACATCCTCCTGGCCAAGTCGTTCCAGTCCGATAGACTCCATGAGAAGACGGAGCTTGGCATTGGAGAACATGGAATTTTCAATGAACTCGTCACCTGGTTGAACATCTGCATGGGGTTAGCGCAAGATTTCTCGAAGATATTAGATACGTCAACACATACGAATCAAGGGGTTGGGTGTGCTAGTAGCCTCAGGGTTCTCTGCACGGCGAGCTTCGTCTCCTGCTTCCCAGGCTTCACGTTCAGAGGCGGCCGATTTCAACACATCTACAATCCACTTCACAAGATCCGCCCGCCCATCAAGAACCAAGGCGCCCACCACCACTCCCTGTTTGGCTTCTTTGGTGAGAGTCTCCTTCGAGATGAATTGAAGCTCTACCGGTGGTCGCTTGGCAGTAGACATAGTTTGCCGTTCATGTCCGAACTCAAGATAGTAAACTGTAGAGTTCATCTTGCTGAATAGCAACTCCGTAATCAAAGCTGGCCGCTGATCAATTCTCTTCACCAATCGACGAAGAATCTGCCGCACAAACTCTTCCCATTCTTTGAAAATGGGTTTGGTAGAGTCCAGACCCCCAGGGCCCTTGATCATTCGGTGGAAGAGGTGGATGATGTCCAACCGGAAGAGGAGGGTAGTCATCTCCTGTTTGAATGCAACACGGTAGAAGTAGCGGTGGGCTCGCTTCAATTGCTCCGAATTCAACTCGCGATAGAATTCAGTGAAGGCGACGAACGTGTTCACACAGCTTTGATTGCAGAACTTGGCAGCAAATCGCTTAAAGTCAAAAGCACGCTCTTTGGTCACCTGTGCAGAATCAACCAAATCCTCGTCTTCAGAATTGACATCTTCCTCGTCCTCTACACCTTCCTGCGGTTCAGCCGGAGCGGCGTCCTTCTTGCGTTTCCTAGCTTGTCGCTTCGATCGAATTTGCAGGTCAACGTTGATCTTGGAGTAACGCTCCAGCATGCGTAAGAAGACATGAGCAAGCTCAGTTGCAGCATCCAGATAGCCGAATCCTTGATCCTTGTACCCTCGCACGATAGAAATGATTCGGTCATGGGTAGTCTCTTCGTAGAAGATTCGGTTCTGAATATTATCGGCGATTTCTTGATCTTCCTCAATCGGAGAGAAGGCCATCTCCTGCACGGTCAACAGGATTTGCGTAAAGCATCGCATCTGCGCGGTCAAGTCGTCCCATTCCTTATTATCCAGGCTACTTTGCATACCCCTGTTCAAGGAGATGAATGTTTCCTGGTTCAACACGCCAGCAACCAAACCGTAGCTGTCCGGCTCCACGTCCTTTGCGGGTTTCCCGTTTTGCGCATGCTGGATAACCCGTCGGGCACGTCGAGCACGCTCTGCTTCGAGGAACCAGCCAACTGTGTAAAAGAACTGCCGAGCATTGATACTGGTAACCCGTTCCGTCTCTCGCTCGATCGCCTTTCGCACATGGGTGAAGAGAGGATTGAATCCAGAGTCCAGGAACTCTTCCACGAACGTCCTGAAATTTTTCGTCGCTAGTAAGGAGAGATGGGCAGGAACGTTAAAGTCGTTATACTGGACAACATCCTCCTTCTTTCGGCGAGGTTGGGGCTTTTTCCACTTCTTGCTCTCGTCCATTTTTTGCAGACTGGCTTGGTCGTCTCGCAGAATACCTTGTCCAGAGACTGTAGACACCTTGTTCTCGTCTCGTTTCACCCAAATCATGGTGCCGAATCTACCATGGCGAGTAGGCGCATTCCTGGCGTATTCTCGCTTGACCTGGCTTTCCTTACGGAGAAGGTCGCCAAGCTCATCGGATCGCTTCGCCTTTCGCTCCTCGTCGTTCAGGAACAGCTTGTCGACATTGACACCCTTGACAAGATGGAAGAGAATCTCCAGCAAAACCACGTCCTGCTGGTTGAAGTCATCCGCGACATTCGAACACATGGTCAGAATGAGCGCGAACGCATCTTGATCTTGGAATGCATTGATCGTAGATGATCGTGATGTCTCCTCCTCGTCACCTTCGGCCGCAAGTCGATCATTTGTGGTAATAATCGCAATGTTCCGTAGGAAGTAGAGCATCAACTTTAGGATACCCTCGTCTCGGGACTCGCGCTCGGATCGGGGGATAGCCATGCTCGGGAGGGCAACGCGGATGACGGCGCGCAAGAGGTTGGATCCGCCATACTTGAGAATACTGCGCTTGTACTGGACTTGAATTTGCTGAATGTACGGGGTGTGGCGATGGTGGTTGGCGGTCATCTGGCTATGATACTCGGCAGGCCAAGTCAAAGGCACCAACAATTCCACTGCTCCGGGTTAGCCTTTCAATTTTCCGCAATCTCTCAGATTCGGGGTCCACCACGTACGGCATGCTAAAGCAACTCGGGTCAGATGCTTGCTGTTCTGTCCATTGGCCCACCAGATCGAGAGAATGGGCAGTAGATCGCCAATGACCAAGTTGGCTTCTCCAAGACATCGCACCACATCCATACGATTATTCCTTTGGTCGTAAAGCTTCAGCCATCTTCTGATATCACGGAGACAGGAGAGAGCGTCGTCTCCAAGCATGTAACGGTCTGCATCTTCGCCATTGAAACCTCCCAGCTAATGAAAAGTCGCGTCAGCACTTTGTCGAGTCCGTAATCAGGAGAAAAGGTCACATACCGCGGTCACCAAGCTGTAAACATGCATGCGCACATCCGGGTCAATGACCTGGACGTCATGGCCCACGGAGGTCACCTCCTGCTCCATGGTGGGATGCTTTTGTTGAATATGGAACCACTTGGAGTGCACTGTAACTCGAATAGGATAACGCGTCTCGGACGCGTTTGCCTCGGCGATTCGGAGAAACTGACAGCGCCGCCCGCTGCCGAAGATAGCCGATGACGTCGGATTAACTTGTCGGTCGGGGACCCCCAGCACGTGAAGATCTATACGACTGGCCGTAATCTTCCTCCTTCTTTTGTTACTCCGCAACCTAAGTGATTTTCTGCGAATTGCAAATATGTTCGCTGCTTCTCTTCGTTCCGTCACTCGCAATGGCCCTTCGGCGGCCCGCAGCTTCAGCTCGACCGCTGCTACGAGCGCTGCCGAGGTTAAATCGCTGGGTGTGATCGGTGCTGGCCAGATGGTTAGTAGCGGACTTGGACAAGAGGTTTTTCGTCGCTAATGAAAAAAAAGGGTCTGGGAATTGCTCTCGTTGCTGCACAGAAGGCTGGAGTGCCCGTTACTCTGGTCGATACGTCACAAGCCTCGTTGGACAAGGGTCTCAAGTTCGCTGGTAAATACACCCTTTCGTCCTGCTGTCCTCGGCTACTGCAATAGCACTCTGCAAAGATGCCAAGCGCCATTTTCGAACTTTTAGCTAAATTGTATACTCTCCTATAGACAAGCTTCTCGAGAAGGATGTCGCCAAGCAGCGCATCACCCGAGAAGCCGCCGATGCAGCTCGTGCCCTGCTTACCCCCACCGTGAAGATGGAGGACCTTTCCTCGGTAGACTTTGTCATTGAGGCCGTCCCCGAGATCCCCGATCTCAAGCAATCCATCTTCAAGAACCTTGCTCAGATTGCGCCCAAGCACGCTATTCTGGCCACTAACACCTCGTCTATCCCCATCACCAAGATTGCCGCGGCCACCACTACAGACCCAACGGACCTGCAGGCTCCATCTCGGGTGATCTCGACCCACTTCATGAACCCCGTCCCCATTCAAAAGGGTGTGGAGATTATCCGTGGTCTGCAGACCTCGCAAGAGACCATGGATACTGCCATTGCTTTTGTCGAGCGCATGGGCAAGGTGGCCTCGGTGTCTGCCGACTCTCCTGGCTTCCTGGCCAACCGCATTCTCATGCCGTATATCAACGAGGCTGTCATTTGCCTTGAGACTGGTGTCGGTGGCCGTGAGGATATTGACAATATCATGAAGAATGGTACCAATGTCCCCATGGGTCCCTTGACCCTGGCGGATTTCATTGGCCTCGATACTTGCCTGGCTATCATGAATGTACTCCACCAGGAGACTGGTGACAGCAAGTACAGACCCGCCGGTCTTCTCCGTCGCATGGTGGATGCTGGCTGGATGGGCAAGAAGACCGGCAAGGGCTTCTACGATTATTGATTCTGTGTCTGCCTGAATTGACGGTATGATTTCTTGACGACGTAAAATCGATTCTTTTTGTTCTACTACAAGATACCTTCTGTATGCTACGATTCTTGGAGTCGTTTTTGAACGTGATCACTACATAAAATACAAAAGGACATATTCTTCAAAATACGCTCCAGAATGCAAAACGAACTGAGATTGCTATTGGTTTTATTGTGCACACCCATCACTTGGGTGATGCAATCTCAGAGCCCAGTCACGGTAATCACCGCCTGGGTATCCCCAAAACCACCTCCCCTGCCTCCCGCCTCCCTTCTTCCCTTCTTCCCTCCGCCCTCGCCCTATGGCCAGTCCTCGACCTAGACAGTGGCGTGGACGGCCTCCGCAGCATTCTCTTCATCGGCCTGCTGCATCGCCGCCACGACCACTGCAGGGTCGAGACCGCCCTCTTCTCCCCACGCGGGGTCGTTCAGGGCATCGTCGTCTCTTGGCCGGCAACTGCAGGTTGCCCATTGTCGGCCACACATGTAGCTATTTCTCACAAGTCAGCGTGAACCTTGATCAAACCTGATAGAACGTGGACATGAGTTTCATCTCAGAGACTTACCAGAATTCTGCTCCACATTTGCACACGATGTGCGGGCACCCACGGTTCCTCTCGACCAAGCTATGGCAGTTGTAACAGCGCTGCCAGTGCCGACGGCGGGCCATGTCCAGGATCTCTCCCAGGCCAGGGTCATGCGTGCATTGCCGTTGTCCATGTGCCAGATCCCGGCATTGCGGGCAGATCGTGGCGCGGCAATATGGGCACTTTTGTGACTTGGCCCCTGACCTGATGTACCGGGGAGAGATCCAGGCCCTGCAGTTGGCTGACGGGCAGTACCATCGCTCGGCCTGGGGGGTGGCGTGCTCGAACGCCCGCGCAATGTACACTCGTCGACCCCGGGGGTTCAGTGCCGGGGCTACCTGCTTGGCGGGGATCTCTTGGCCACAGCAGCGAAGGGGGAACATGCTCCTGTCCTTGAAGGCGACGTTGACAATTTCCCGGGTGCAGGGCCGGCAGTACTGATGCCCACACGGGGCGACAACCAGCTTGGATGGCTTGACTGGCTCATCGCAAGCAACACATCGACTATAAAGTGCAGTGTTAGTAAGTTTTTCATTCTCTTATAGTAAGAATTATTGATACTAACGGTTTGTTGGCCCCTCCACTCTTCAAGACAAGTTTCAGTCTGTCTTTAAGCCTCATGGGCTTCTTGTCTTGAACTTCTTCTGGGGGTTTACCACCTGATGTGGTTGCTGGATGGCCAGGTGCTACTGCACCCTGAGCGCCTCCTCCTGTTGTTGCTGCTGGTCCCGCATCTCCAGGGTGAGGTGCACCGCGAGGTCTGACAGGCTGCAAAGCCTGGTTTGATGTGCCACCTCGGCGTGCGACGTCCTCAGCCCATGGAGAGCGGCGAGACCGCAGAGCCTCCGAAAGCTGAACAAAACGCCTGCCAGTTACCGTTGCGAAAGCCCCCAATCGATCAAAATCAAGATCGATGGGAGGGATGTAGAACTGGAACTGAAACAGACCGATGGACATTTTCAAAGGCGAAGAAAGACGGTTTGATGATGTGATATGAGGAAGAGAGTGTGGTGTGGATGGGTGGTCGTTGTTGCGTGAGTGTTGGTCTGTCGTGATATGAAGATGTGGATGAAGGTGAGGATGCGTGTCAACGTTTACCACGACGAGATAGATGTCAAAAGAAGGACCCGGACAGAGGTATTTATGTGTTTCCTCTCTGAGGCAGCGACTACGACGACTAAGCGATTGCTAACGACTCATCAGGTCAGTCTCGAAGATGATTCGCCGTGAATATAGATACAGGCACCGCCCATGAGAACTACAATGAGGCATCCACGAGGTCCAATTCTTCCGGGATCCATGCAAGGCAACGGAGGGTGACTACGATATGACCATTCTTGAGAGATTCGGTACTAGGTAGCGTATCTCGAATGAATAGGCATCATAGATCGTAGTATGGTAGCATGGTTATTGGTACACTTTGACTCTTTACTATCCGTGTCCGGGGGTTGCACACAGAGCATGGAGAGGAGAGCGTGTAAAATGAGCGTAATGCTATATCAAAATTCATTCGCCAATGAGATCGAGAAGAGAGACTTTCAGGGCATATCCATTTACGTTGCGGAGGCCTACTATGACCAAGGATAAATCCGCAGAGTACCATGGAACAACACGAGAGGAGCCGCCGATACATTTGGTAAGGGTAAAAATCATCAATTAGACAAATACAAGGGTATCATGATGCATAGCTAAGGCCTAGAGCTTATACTGTTCCCAGAACTCCGAAAATGACAATCATTTAAACAAGTGAACCTCCTAACCCGCAATCATATCATGCCGGCGAACCGGCGGCCAGCCCATCCAGATCCATATTCTTGATATTCCTGGCGGGTAATGGCCAGCTTGCCAACTTCTTCGCGGTTGCTTGCGAAACGAGAGCCGCCGAGCCAGGTAGAGAGGAAGGGACTGAAAAAAGATGGTCAGTGATGCTGTAGAACGGGGACGCGTCCGTTGAAATAACTTACTCCTCAGCACATCTCACACGAACAACACATTCCGAAGAGGCAATACCACGGAGGTCATTCTCCCTGAAAATAAGTTAGCACATGTCTATGTTGATCGCAAGTCAAATGGTTAAAATGGCAACTTACAGCCTTTCCATGAATCCCGGAATCTGCGAATTACCACCCACAACCAACACATTGGCTAGGAAGGCAGCGTGCAATCCAGGCGGCAGTACCGACAAGCTCTGCAAAATCATGTCTGGAATACCGGCTTGTTGCATGCCAATATCACTGGGCGTAAATAGAAGCTCAGGGACTGTAAACCTTTCATTGCCAAGAACCAACACGTCCTCGGAGAGAATCTCTGCACTGAGGCCAGATTGTGCACCCTTCTTTTTCTTTGCATGTAAAAGTGGATCATGTGGGCGCATGAAACCTTTCTTGTGTGCGTTCGGATCGGGAAGCACATAGTCCACTACGACAGATTGAGCTTCTTCACGCTTGCGATTCGCCTTCCAGGTTCGTTCCATATCGGCCTTGAAATCATTGCTGACGAAGCAAACTGCCTCTTTAACTTCGTTCATGATGTATGTCTCATCCACCATGTTGTATTGCCGCATGGAGACGATCTCTTTCAGGTAGTTTGTGAGGAGCTTGCCACCGACATCAAGCCGTCGGATAGCTCTTTGAAGGGGCTGGCCTTTGTATACGGGCGTCACTGTTGTATGCGAGTATCCCGAATCAACAACCAGCAGACAGTCCTTTGGCAGGATATCAGAGTCGGACTTGGTGAGAGGGTCACCGAATAGCGAATTGACCTCATTCCAGGCATTGAGGGTTGGTCCTTTAGAAATGAAATAAAAATTAGAATCAGCATGGCTTGGATTGTAGGGTTGGCAAGTCTATTCTTACCCAAACACCTAACATAACCTCCGAATCCCCACTCCTCCATAACCATCTCATCCGTATTCCGCTGCAAGACCGGCATATTATTCGGAGCCTCGGTAAGAATCAAAGTCGTTTCCTCCGGGTGAGCAATACGAAGCAGTTTATTCCGCGCCGTCGCCTTCTCCTCAAAGAACGTCTGATCCCAAATCTCCCTCTCCGCTTCCCAGTTCACGATATATCCCTTCTCCACCGGGCGGCGAAACACCGCCTCGTTCCAGTCCGTCACATGGGTTGCAAGCTGTGCACCGGTGAAGATCCGGTTTTCTCGAGTCTTTACGATCGCATTTGGTATTGAAACGCAGTTGGATAGGGCTTCTTCGGATGAGGAGGAGGGATCACAGGCATAGCCCGCTTTCATTGTATAGGCGCCATTGTCGAGGACGAAGGTTTTCGCGGGCAGATGGCGAGTTGATACATCTGGTGAGTTCTTTGCAGCCTTCGCAGAGGTGCGCGATTTCGTTGTCACCATTTTTGTTGATTGTCGAGTGTCTTGAGAGACGGCGAGAGTTGAAGCTCTTGAGATGCTCCGTCGCGTGTTTGTCGTGTTTGAAAGGTAACTTTTTGTGGTGCCTGAGGATTCAGGTTCAATATTGCTGCTCGTACGGGCCGCTAATGCTAATCGTATTGTCTATAAGTAGAGTACTTTGAAATTAAAATGGATGGAATTTGCATTCTATGGACTTGATCAAAGTAAATTAGGTGTTTGTAAGTACTTACACCGTCAATGACAAGTTGTATTGCTACATGGCCCTAGATGTATATATCCGCGACGTACTGCCCAGGTATGAGCGTGGGCATACATTTTTGACCACGCAAAGGAAGGAAAATACAAAAATCCAATGCATTATGAGCATTTTTGAGCATATATACAGTAACAAAGAATACGACTGCAAATTTCAATTAAATCCGCGAACAAAAGAATAGGAACATCCCACTCTCATACAAAAGCCCTACAAAGTAGCCCCGCCGAGCCCCGCGGCCAATCTTTCAATCAAAATCTCCGCCCAAAATTTCTCTCCAGCTTCAAACAACCACCCAAACCCTACAACACAGTGGTTCAAGTGGTCCAACCACACCTCTCCAAAATGGCCCAACAATTCTCGGTCATTATTTCAACTACACTCTCCCTCCTCGACCAATTCCAAGCTACCCTCGCCTCCCCCACAACCGCAAATGCGCAGTCCACTCAACCACAAACGCCAACCAAAGATGCCGACGCAGACGCAGCCGCAAACGCCCTGCCCCTCCTCTCAAACTCCGCCGCGGCTCTCAAGGCCCAAGTAACCAAGCTCTCGCTGCTGGCTATTACCGCGCCCTTTACGCATTCTGCCGTTAACACGGTGTTGCGCGCTTGCAATGAGTCGGTCCTCCCGTCGCTGGTAACGGCTGCGCTGCTCGTGACGCCTGCTGGGTATACGAAGGCTTTCCACTCAGAGGTTCTTGTGTTGGTTAAGACTGCTTTGGTGGAATTTGCTACGCTGGTGAGGGATGTGAAGGGGATTGCTGAGAAGAAGGATTCGGCGAGGAAGGAGGATCCGAAGAAGAAAGAGGGGGAGATTTCTAAGACGGAGAAGGATGGTATTACCGTTGCTGTGGGTCGTGTGTGGGATGCTTGTGATACTGTTTCCGAGGTTGCGAATAAGGGTGTTGTAGGATTTGTTATGCGTCGTGTTGAGCAGTGGCGCGATCTTGTCAAGGATGCTGTTCAGGAACTTGAGGATTGGGATCCCGAGGAAGATGATGACTTCTTTGATGAATTGATGGGTGAGGAGAAGGGTGCTGGATCGGATGATGGTTCTGATGAGGACGACGAGGACGAGGAGGATGTTGCTGCGCTGCAGGAGCAGAAGAAGTCGACCCTGCGCTTCATCAAGCCTATTGCCCAGGTCTATCCTGCGATTCTCACCTACCGGCTCAAGAATGCTGGTGATAAGCCTTTGGCTTCGACGGCTGGCATTGCAAAGCTCGAGTCATTGATGCTCAACTTGCAGAATGTGCCTGATCAGGTCGATGAAGTTGCTGGGGCTTTGTATGAGAGCAACTGGGCCAAGGCGGTAGATTACCTCAAAAAGGCAAAGAAGAATGCTGCGCAGGCTGTGAGCTCGGTTGCTTCTCCGTGGAATGCAGACGGCGAGCAACAACCGGGCGACAAGTTCACTGCTTGGTCTAAGACGTGGCTCAAGGTCATGGACGAAGTCAGCAAGCCGGTTGATGCTGCTGCGAGCGAATAGACGCTCGGCTACAAGCTTGATGCTGTAAATAGCAAGAACAAAAAGCTGCTAGCGTGATGAAACACCGCTAGTCATGTCAGGACAGCATTCATGATTAGAACATAGATGGGATACACAGCCACTAAAATTATATATGTACACTGGAGGAAATGAAGGTGAAGATATAATACAAATGGTAGATGAATATGAACTGGTAAAGTCTCATCAGTAAATGCAAAGAGAGAGAGCACAGCTGCCACCATTAGAAAGTGTCCACTCGAGCCGCTGCATCCTCATGCTCCCACTCGGGCAGATCCTGTGTTGGAATATGATCCTTCAGGAACTCCAGAACAGCGTCAGTGCCCTTGGCGACAACCTGCCACCGGGGAACCCGGAATCGATTGCCAGCAACCTCAAACCTTCTCAGAGCTGACCCCGTGCCCCAGTTCTGGGGGGAGCGTTCTGCGCCGAGCAGACCAATCTTTGGTGGTAGAGAATCAATATCGTTATTGCTGATGTCCAAAACTTGCAAGCCCTGGACCGCTTCGAATTCAACGGTGGAAAATTGATTGTCCGAAGCCAGGAAAGTCCTGACCTCTAAGAATGTCCGTCGAATGTGCGGAAGGGATCCGGTGAGACGGTTGTTGGACACGTCGAGGAAGTTCATCGACGGGGCTTGCAGATGTTTCAACAAAGGCTCTAGGGTCGTGAGACCAGCGGCACTCAGATTAAGACTTTGCAGCTTCGGCAGCTCAAGAGAAGAAGACATGAGCTCTGCGCCGTTGAGTGGGTTGTGCGAGAGGTCAAGCTCAACCAGTCCCTGTGCAAGCATCGTCAACGCTGGTACAGGGAAGAAGCACAGTTCATTATGCTGCAAGTAAACGCAGCGAATGTCATCCGATTTGATCAGCTCGATCTTGTCTGACTCCAAATCAGTCAGGTCAGAGTATGATCGGTCAAGAACACCACCAGGCTTGACCCGCCAGCCATTCTCCAGCTCTGGGGTTTCCGGCGCCAATGTAAACTGAGTCGCAACTGATCCCTCATCATCCGTATCTTGATGTTCGGGTTCGCATCGATTCCGCAGATCTTGAATGATTTCATCCGAGCTCATGCTGAGCAGTTTCCGCTCACGAAGTGGGTTATTGGCAATCTTAAATGTCGACAGGCTTTCAATCAACCCAATCTTCTCATCCACCAGAGTGATGTTATTGCCAGTAAAGTCAACCGTCTTGACGTTCTTGAGGTCCACGAAGCCGGCCGGAATCTCCGTCAGACGGTTCTCTTCGGCAGCGAGAACTGATAGAGATTGCCATGTAGAAATACAAGGAAGGGCCTTGATGCGATTTACATTGACAATGAGGCTGTGAAGATTGGGTAAAGAGATCATATCGTTGGCAGCGAGAACGTCCAACCCATTGTTTGCAACATTCAGAGACTGCAGATCCTCAAGCCGGTCCACGCTCTCTGGGATCAAAGTCCCCGCCAGATTGTTCTTAGGGGCATTCAAGGTCCTGAGAGGAAGCTTGCTCAAGGCTTCGAATGGTAAAGCGGTCAACTCATTCTCACCAACATCCAGGAATTTCAGATTGGTCAGCTCGGAAACCTGATTTGGTAGTCTCGTGATAGCATTATTCCGCAGATCCAAAGTCTCCAATTGACGGAGACGACCGATTTCTGAAGGGAATGCTCCCTCCAACTTGTTTGCTGCCAATTTCAAGTCTACCAAGGATGGAATTTCCATGATAATTTCAAGCTTATCCGTGGTTAAATCATTATTCGACAAATTGAGGACGCGGAGCTGGTGAAGTCGCCGGATACCCATTGGAAGAGAGAGGAGCTTGTTCCCATGGAGGTCCAATGTCTCCAATCCACCAAATTGAGGGCCTCGCTCATTACTGTCAGGGTCAAAGTCCGCTGGGTCGATATCTGGGAAAGTGGCATCCGCGATCTCGGTCAATTCGTTATCTGCAGCAATAAACTTGACCAAGTCCACGTTCTCAAACCAGTTGGATGAGTTCTCAGAGTCGAATTCGTACATGTTGAGCACCTCTTTTGGAATCTCCGTTAAGGACATTGCAGCAATATTCAATGTACCTGACATACGAGCACCCTCCACGCGTTTCTTAAGGACAGCCGTGTTGGAACCCTTAGGAAGCTGGTTGAAGGGATCCTCAAAATCGATACTTTCCCACGTATTGATAGACGGATTGACGGCTTCTGGTTTCGGCATGTCTTTGCTTGCCGCCGTTGCTGCCGCTTTCTTAGCGGCCTTTGCCTTTGCAATACTCTCTCGCAGGGCACTGGATGACTTGGAAGCTTTCCTTGCCTCGCTCTGCGCCTGCTGCTCCGGCGTAAGTTCATCCTGCATGGTGGATGCAGCAGAGACGTATCGTGAAGTGGTCGAGGGCGACCTCATAGAAGATGGAGAATCAGTCTGAGGTTTTCTCGTCTTCCGTACTTGAAGTGGCCGTTCAGGAGGACCCATGTCTGACAGAACAGGCTTTGAAGGTTTCTTCGCCAGAGAAGGGCGAGCAGGCGACGCCTTGGCAGGCAACCCTCCCAGGACACTGGATTTCCCAGGCGCGGTCTTCTTGGGTTCGGCAATGTTACTTCCAGGTCCAATACTTTGTCTCGCGGATGGCAATCGCATTTTCGAAGGGCTATCGCTGGTCTCTGAAACCTTGCCAGATGCCAAAGATGAGGTCAAAGGCACGGACGTGCGAGGACGGGAAGGCAATCGGAGCTTGGAGACGGGCTGGGACAGAAGGTCACTGCCGTTTGCTTGGCCCGAGGATGATCGTGACGGTGACCTTGAATAGGTGGACACGTTGGATGGCGTCCGAGATGGAGACCGTATCGGGCTGGCTCCGTTGAAAAAGCTCGATTGTCTTTTCACAGAAGCTGGCGATGGTGGGATATGCGCAATTGTCTCTATGGTCCGTTCCGAGAGGGACGGACGCTCCTCTCGTAGACGACCGCGAGGCTCATGCGTAAGTCCATCTTCGACGCCCCCACCTAATAAGCTCGCACTCTCCGATGTTTGTGTTGCGTCCGTTTCCGTTTGAGGCTCATCCCGTTTGGGAGAAAGTCGGACGATTGGCTTTGCTGACAAGGAATAACGTGGGGTTGTTGGTGGTTTCCGCAGCGATTCATGGGACGGTCTTCGGAGACGACTATGGTCCAGTCCAGGGTCGGCTTGCAATCGATCGCGGGAGGGGGAGGGGCGAATGGTTTTCGATGCTGTGGACGTTGGCAGGGGCAATCTGGACGCCGCTAGCCGTGGAATACCACTTGCTGGGCGGGTAGTGGTTCTCGGTTGGCTCTCCATCTTTGACGTGATGGGAGACTTGAAGCTCGGGATTCAAGGTGATGAAGCTGTCAGGAAAAAAAAATAGGGACGCTTGACGCCTCAGCCGGGCCAGCAATGTGACAGGTGTGGGGGAAGTTAGTTAAGGGCGGGGGGTTATGAAATGGCTTTTCGTTGGTTCCCCCTCATGGCAAAACACAAAAAAGTGATTAGGAACCCCTGGGGCGCCGTCAATTTAGGAGGGGAGATCGATCGAAGCTAAAAAAGGTTGATTTGTTTACATTTACATGTCATCCGAGATCTCCAGCGATAGCGGCCTGAGGCAGCGACCTCAACTATGAGGTGGATCAGACAAAACATATCTAGCAGGTTTTAAGTTAGCTTTTTGTAAAAGTTGGATATTCTCATGCAGGCCTTACGGGTAGTAACAGATGCCATTTTGCTATCATGGCAAACAAAATTGGCTTTTCTCACGAAAGTCAGCATGGAATGGGCGGGTAGCTGCCAGACCAGGGACCAATCTAGCCTCGTGGCACGCATGGCAAAAGTGATTGCTGTTGATTCAAGAGCTACTCATTAAGGATTGATACTGGGAGCATCTTTGACCTTAACAGTAGGAAGGTATCCCTTAAGGCTATATGGTACGAGTGATTCTAACGCTCTGGTCAGCACTGCTTCCTCTAGCTACTAAGACTCACACAGCATATTTCCTATAGCAGTACAGTAGAGTGTCGCTGCTTTGCTGGATGGGAAGAGCCATTGATCTATACCCCTTCTTGCCTGTCAGCAGCTTCTAGCTTAATATTGTATTTCAATTACTTATTTTTATTCCACGCAGTAAGTATATTAGCAATAGATCCAGTCAATCGCTGACATTAGTGCGCTAGGTAATGGTTTAGCAAACTTGATTAACATTGATCCCTTCATGCTTTGTTTCTACTAGATTAGAAGTCATCTTAAACAGTTCCACTTAGTTCAATTGCTCTGTAGGTACCCATTTTATCAGGTACAGTGACACCATCTCGTACTACGTCATGCAGGCATTGAGAGGATGGAGTCCAGTTGATTGCTACGGTAACAAAGAATAGAATTATTTTTATCATCTCGCTACACCCAGATCAATTTTTCCCCAATAATCTGACTATCGTTTATTCCCACGTTGTAATAGCCCTAGCGCTTCTATATATCTATTTCAGATACCTAACTAAATTAACGAGGCTGAATCAAGCTAGGGACGTGGACGATGATGATATACAGATAAAGTGAAACGATAAAGATGAGCTGAAACCAAGCTCTAGCTCCAGTTATTCTATCCTAGATCATCGGTTGCCAGCCCAACCCCTGGCTGGATCCCGCTGTTCGCGGGTGTTTACTTGCCCTGAGCGTCCCGTGATCCACACGCTAATCTGTATTGAGCGCGGTGGAGTCACATGTGGGTCACATGATTGGCCCAGATTCCCAGCGGAGGCTGGTGTAAAGGCCCCAAAGGTCCCAACTGGTCCCCCCAGCCGCACTTCGCAATGGCCGTTCCCAGCCTCCCAGCCCCCCTCCTCCACGATATCAACCCAAAACCGTCCCACTACCACTTCCGATTTCCCACAACCCTGCTATCCTCCCTTCCCTCCCTTTATCCGCTCTCCCCTCCCCCTGCTATTGTTCCATACACCCCCCCCTCATTCTCAATCCATTCTTGACATCTGGTCGGCCATTCATCCCAGTGATTTTCTGACGGCGCTTCGTGTTCTCGAATCCTTCCAACCTCCGGTATGTGATCAGCCACCATCCATATCGCTATCGATAGCGGCTTGATAAACTGACCGTATCTCCAGTGCGAGGATTACTTTCCCCACGGTTGAACTATTGACCCAGAGTCGTCATACCACTTCTATATTGGCGACATACCCATCGGTCATGTCTCAAAACACCTTTCGATCTCAAAGTCCCCTCGCAGCACCGGCGGAGATTCTTGCCCCGGCAACCCCAGTCCGCCGCAACACTCTTTCTCCTTCGCCAGACCTCAGTGCCGCCGTCAAAGGTCGCTCTTCTCAGTCAGACAAGAAGTTCATGTCTCCACCCGCTCTCTCATCATCTGATATGACCCCGCCTCCTTCAACCCAAATTCCCGGAGCGCCTCTCCGCCGGTCTCACTCGCGCTCTCTGAGCCCTGCCATTGTCACACCCGCCAACCTGGACAAGTCACTATGTGACGCCTATGGGGCGTCTGAGAACCTCCCAACGATCGAGGAGATTGACAATGCCAGTGAAACCCGCCTGCGACAAATCGCCAAGGATCTTCTCGCCGTGGCCCAAGAGGCCCGCATGTCTGCGCTGCACTTCAAGCTCCAAAACAGTTTGGTCTCATTTGCCAGCAATGAGGCAGTCAAGCGTGCCGAAGTCGAACAGCAGCTCGCAAAGCGAGAGGTTGAGATCCTTCAGAGCGCCGAGTATCGCAGTCGCTCGCGCCCTGCCGAGCCCTTGACTCCCAAGCAATCTTTCTCCATCCCCACCGACGACTACTTGGCTGTTCTCCACCGTTCGCAAGAACTCGAGAATGCCAATCTCGTTTTGGATCGCCGCCTTCGCAACGCGAAGCGTGCCATTGATGACGCCACTGCCCGCTCAGTGGAGCTGACTGAACAAAATGAGATGCTCAAGCGCCGCATCCAGGACAACCGTCAACACTTCTCTCAAATCTACAACTACGGGAGCATGTCTCCGGGCATGCAGAATGAGCTCCACACCATCTGCCGCGGCGAACACACCGATGGCCTGGCAGCACTTCTGTTTGCCGACAAATTTACCAACCGTCTCCACGAACCTCAAGGCTCCTATGGCGCCCACTCTTCCGTCCCCGTGACTCCCAACCAGCCGCGCTCCGCTCGCCAGAATCATCACTACCTGACACCAGGCCGGAATGCCCGCGATCAATATGACAGTGACAGCACTGTTTCCCTGTCCGCTCCCGAGTCCGAAGACGAGGTTGTGGAGGCGAGGCATCAGCACGTGCGGACTACCGCCCCGAAGACCAGCTCTCTTCTTCAGACGAAGCTATTTGGTCAAGTGAAGAAGCCTGGCGTGGAACGTATTCAATCTTCCAAGCGCACGGCCGGTTCCGGCGAGAGCAGCCCAGCCACGAAGAGATCCAGGACCAATGCTGGAGTGGGTCTGGGCATCGAGACCTAAGAGCCCAATTTCCCCCCACTCCTCGGCAGTACGAGTGTCCGCACTGACGCTCGTGCATGCCCACTCTGGATACGATTCATGAACTAGCGCTGCTTCTTTGCCTTTGGCATTCACTTGTGACGACTTACTTTTCCTTCGGGAAATATGAATGATGAACAACACTCGCCGTTTTTACGGCATGCAGTATACTTGGATAGCGATTGGAATTTTTGGCTTTTTATGTTTCATGTTTGTGTCGATTGGTTTTTCTTGATTTGCAAGGCCTGAGTGGCTTACCGCAGACAACGGCGTTTAATAAGGGGCATCATGGTTTTTGTTTTTATTTGTCTTGACGTTTGCCCTGACTTGGATTCTCATTTTGGTGTGAGATGGCCATACTGGACCTGTCCGCCCCTCTTGATTGGGTTGGTCGGGTTCGGTAGATTGGGAATTTGTTTCAGACTGCATTACTTTGCATGGCTGTACTATAGGAATAGAATTGAATTCAATCATTGAAAAGTGTTTTACATTCTAGTAAGCCTTAGGCATGGATATCTTCATTCCAATTTCCTTGTGAAGTGTATGCATTTCATCCAAGCTTCGGGGGTGAAACATACTGGTCTATCTTCATGTAGTAGCAAGTTGTCGGTCATGGGATCTTACACTATCAATTGGCGAGGGATTAGGATATGGATGAATCAAGAGACGAGTTCGTATGTCGATTCTTAAAGATCATCTTATCCCATCCATGGTAACCATCGGAGCGATCATTGACTGGCCTAAGGCATGAGCAGTCGTTCTATTGATTGTCGAAACTCTTGAATTATGATCCAGAACCATGCTTGAGGGCTATCAACAGAGTAATAAGATTGGCATGAGCAAATCATTTTGCTAGTGATATGCTATACTCGGAATCTGGTTTCATACTTCAAGATCACAGGGATATGGGCATCCCAAGACTGGTTATACTCTTAATCGCTATGCTTCATTTAAAGTTCGATATAATATTATAGTACTATATTAAGTAAAAATGGAGCAAAAAGTGTCAGGCTAACATTATTTCTAAAATATTTGCAATAGCTTGATCGATTGTAGGGTGAATATGTACTTCGATATTCTGTGGTTGGATCTCTTGGCGGAAATGCGGGAGGGGAAACCTGCTGAGTCAGCTAGTTCTGGCAAATTACCCGAACGGGCTTAGTTAGGGCTCGCTAAGCGAAGCGGTGAGAGGTGAAAGCGGCCACACGAAAAATGGCAACTTCAGTTTCTGCCGTGAAGGGAGACTTGACCAGCAACCCTCCGACGACCACCACCCGGCTCGATCCCCATCCGTCACCATGGTGCGTTCCCCTCGAATCCTTTACGAAAGATGAATATATGAATGGACGAAATGCTCCGCGATTACTCTGCTCGATTTTCCGACACAGTGATGGGGCTGGTGGAATGTTGAAGGTTCATGGGCTGATTCAATTGTGTGGGATTTATAGGCGATCAAGCACAACAACCAAATCCAGAAGAACCGTGAGTGGCCCCGGGACAACCTTGCAATTCGGCGCTCGCTTTTCCTCGAGATTTCGAGCGTCGGATTGATTCAAGGTTTCAATTTCAATATTGAAGATTCTGGTGTGCTAACAGATTTTCAATAGACTTCCGCAAGGATTGGCAGCGTCGTGTGCGTGTGCACTTCGACCAGGTACGACTTTCCGATTCCATCCCCCGAAAAATCTTTCTTTTTCTCTCGCCGAACGATTCTTCCTCGACCGACCGGCATTGAATGGGAAAACTTTTTGCTCAACAGAACTTGGGTCGACTAACATGCGCTTTTCTCGAATTTTTAGCCCGGCCGCAAGCACCGCCGTCGTGAGGCCCGTATCGCCAAGGCCGCCGCCGTTGCTCCTCGCCCCGTCGACAAGCTGCGTCCCGTTGTCCGGTGCCCTACCATCAAGTACAACCGCCGTGTTCGTGCTGGCCGTGGTTTCACCCTCGCTGAGCTGAAGGTAAATCAAACCTCTACTACAATTGGGACTAGCGACCCCCCCCCCCCCCCCCCCCTTCCAACTCGCAAATGAAATCGCAAGAAACATATGGCTCACCACTTTCTTTTTCACCTGAATTTAGGAGGCCGGTATCCCCAAGAAGCTCGCTTCCACCGTCGGTATCTCGGTCGACCACCGCCGCACCAACTACTCCCTGGAGTCCAAGGTCGAGAACGTCGCCCGCCTGAAGGACTACAAGGCCCGCCTGATCCTCTTCCCCCGCAAGAGCGGTCAGTTCAAGAAGCTCGACTCTTCCGCCGAGGACGTCAAGGCCGCCAAGGCTGGTGAGGGTCTCACCAAGAAGGTCGGCGCTTCCTTCCCCATCGTCAACCCTGCTCTCGAGGCCGCCGTCACCGAGGTCAGCCGTGCCTCCCTCCCCGAGGGTGAGAAGGCCGCTTACCGCCGTCTCCGTGACGCCCGCGCCGAGGCCCGCCACCGCGGCCAGCGCGAGAAGCGTGCCCGCGTCAAGGCTGAGGAGGAGCAGGCCGCCAAGAAATAAATGTGTTAATTTTCTGCTCGTGCTGATGATGATGATCGGGTCGGTTTTCGGATCGGGGATGAGTGTACTGTGGCATGGCGTGGCGCCTCTTCCTTTTCTCCTTTCAAACTGAATCCCTCTCTTAACCCTCTTCCTCCTCCAACCCCCTCTTCTTACCACCCCATCCTTTTTTTGTCTCTAAAAAGAAAGAACTCGGAAGATCCTCTCGAAATGCAAAACCGCCCAATTTTTCTTCAAAAAAAATCCTTTTGGCTTCTCTTCCTATCGGCTGTCTGGTTCTTCGGTGTTGGTGTTTGGGCTGGGCACTCTGGTTCGGGTCAACACTGAAAACTAAGGTCGTTTTACTTTCTGTATTTGGGGTTGTTTTTCTTCCGGCAAGGCTTTAGGGGCGACCTGGAGGAGGTATGAAAGCACTCGAGGTGTAAGGGGAATATGAATGATGAGGTGGAGGGTCATGCCATGGGCTCATTTAGAGCATTTCAGATAGTCCTCGCAATGATAAGAGGCTTCAAAAGTTCCAAGTGGTTCGTCTGTAGAGATTTGTAGATTGGGTCATTTGCGGATATCAATTGGTTTGCTTTGTCGAGGTATATATTCAAGTCTGGATAGCAAGTATCCTGCATCATTTTTAGATTTTGTATCATAGGTAGTTTGGGTGCCAAACGGATCACTTCTGACATCGTCACAAATATGTTGTTTGGTGGATGGTGATATATATCGAGATAAGCCTAGATCTACTGTTCAGATAGACGAGCCAGTATCTATAAATATGTTTACAATTGGAACAGAGTTGAACAACTTGGAAACATCCATCACTCAATTTTCCGATATATTTCCTATCCCATCAAAGTAAAACATGGTATCTTAATCGCACTCCATACACACTCCTTACGCCGACGCTTCCCAAAACAAACTAGAATAGAACATAACACCATACATGTCAAGCACTTCGTAGCAAAGCACCGAGGGCACCCTCAGTTGCCCTTAAAATCGCATCCGCATGCACGCCCCCCGTCACGTTTCCACCAGTAGCAGAGATCCCTTCCTCGCGTAGCAGAACATGGAATAATTTCCTAGTCTCCTGGTCGATCTTCTTGCTCGATCCAGTCCCACCACCGGAGACTGACACGCTAAGCTCAGGTTGGAGCTGTGGTTCTCCAGTCCACTCGTCCATGACTAATGCATTCGAGAGAAGCACTCGAGGGGCGTTGCTGCTAGAAGACCCAGCCTTGACAACCATCGTGCTGCGCTCAAGATGCGGGACTAGACGTCGAAGCTCAGAGACTGTGATGATGCCGTCTTGAGATTCCGGGAAAGCCTCCTTGGCGCGTTTAGCAGAGCCGTTGCCGTGGTTGTTGTCAATTCGCGCCCAGAGCTGTGCCCGCGCTACCGATGCTTCCCAATACCGATTGATGCCCCAGCATAGAGTTGCCACGTCAAGCGCGAGAAGGGGGTTCTCGAGCCGGGAGTCGATCCATTGTCGGAGTGCCTCTGGAACTCTTCGTTTTTTGCTTTCATTGCCCGTTGGTACTGAGACGGAAGTCACGGTCTGTGTTTCCGGGTTGGTTTCGTATACAACGGAGACATTGTATAATGATGCTGGGAATGGGGATGGTGCAGAGAATGTCAAGGTGTGTGTCTCCAGTAAGGAAGCCGATTTCGAAGCTGTGCGACTTGAATTTGTTCGAAGTGTTAAGGGAGAAAACACGGTTAGATAGGATGGTGCCTTTGATGTCTCCTTCAGCGCGAATGGGTTTGTGGGCATCGGAGATGCTTGAGGCGCTGGGCGAGGGAGGTTTGCTGAGAATGGGAGGAGGGTGGAGAGTAGCGCTGACATGGACACGGGAGCTCGTGGTGGCACTGGTTCATTGATGTGCGCCGACTCTTCGACAAGAAGATTCAAGAATCTATTGAACTCTTTCGTGTCACTTGACAGATTCATGCCCGAGTCGACCTTCTCGGCCCATTTGCTTAGATCGGCCACGTCGTTTTTCAATCGGCGTAGCTCTTCTTCTAGGCTCTTGCGAGAGTTCATTTTCTCGAGTACAGCTGCAGAAACATTCTCTTGTGTAAAAGCCGTATCGTCGTATGGGAGTTCTTCCACCGGTGATTGGAACTTCAAAGTTTTCAATGGGCTTCCTTGAAGCACATCTGTCGCTTGCCGTTTCATTCGTTTCTCATGTCGTGCGCTCGGGCTGCTGCTAAGCAGTCCCCTTGGTCGATCGGGTGCTTTGACCAGACCTAATTGCGTTGGTGTTGGGGGTAGATCTGGCTCCAGAGAATCATCGTCGTCATCCCCCAGCCCACCACCAGGCTCATTGGTATCCATATCAACATCCATGTTTGGTTCGTGTGCCGCGGTTCCCAGCTCTAGAGCTAGTTGGTCCTCTGGGGTATTGGAGAGGTTGTCTTGTTTCGGTTGTGGTTGTTTGCGGACGGGCGAGCCAAAGATAAAGTCCGTCGCCGAGATTCTCTTAGATAGTCGGCGAGGTGGCTTTGAAAATGCTTGAATGCCACTGGGACGTCTGCTGGGCGAAAATAGCATTGGCGATCCGGACGTTCTCGGTGCTTTGAGAGGACTCGAAGGATTCAATGAGGGCCGAAGAGCTTTACGATCACGGAGACCAACACTTCTGGCGTCATCTTTTTGAGGGCTTTTGTTTTGATTGTCCCGACTTGGTGATTGTCTGCTGGGAGACCTGCTGAGTGCGCGTTCGAGAACTTCTGGATGCGACCTGGCTAGGCTTGCCCTCGTGGGTGATTGAAAGGATGCGCGACTTGGTGAACGCGACTCCCTGCTAAGTTCGGGGCCCTGCGACGCGCCAATAGTGACACCCACACCCTCGCCGGTCCTACGGCGCTTTGGAGGTGAATTCATCGTTGGGATATATAAATTGTTTCAATGTTTAATTGTCTGAACTGCGCGCCGACCTTGCGGAGTGCATAAACAACGATGTTTGCAGTGTTTGCACCTATGACTTAATCTCGCAGTAGCCCGAGGATGTTCTTCCTTTCCTCCGACCGCACACGATGGAGTGTCTTGTTGCGGGCAGACAGTCTCTCCAGAGGACAAGAATTTGTACTAGATCATATCAGTATCGATTTGTACCTACCATCTCTTCATATCGTCAATATGCCTTGATTCCGACACCCCGGCGCATGCGCGCCTATGACCCGTCTACCTCCGCACGTGATAACGATGGTTCCTTGCTCGAAGCTGCATCATTCTCGCAGGCTCAGCCATTGTCAGGCTTCTATTCGTTGCTTTTGGCCTCTCCTTTGCCAAAAAGTGCCCGTATAACGACAGAACAATCGAGACCCGCTACGACCGAGGACCAACCAACCTCGGCGCAAGCAACTGCATCTAAGCCTATGACCCCTCAAGAAAAGATGGCCATTGTCTTTGGCAGTCCCCTTACAGGGCCAGGCCGCCAATCTCGATACAATCCCGGCGAGACACCGCCAGAATCAACATGGAGAACGATTAATGGCGTACCTATCCCGCCTCGCCCCGAGGAACCAGACAACTGCTGCATGAGCGGCTGTGTGCATTGCGTCTGGGACGACTTCCGCGACGAAATGGAAGAGTGGGCTGGTAGGATCGCCAAGGCCAAGGCCAAGGGTGGACCTGAGAAAGGCACCCCAGATATGCGTACTGAGCCCCGAGCCGAGGTCGACTCGGCCAGTCATAGTATGGACGATGATGGCGGCGGCAGTGAGACCAATTGGGCTGTACCAAACCAAGAGGATGATCTCTTTGCCAGTATTCCGGTTGGCATTCGAGAGTTTATGAAGACGGAGAAAAAGTTACGGGTGAAGCACGAAAAGGAAGCTTCGGCTTGAAGATCTATAGGTGGATGTTTTTTTGTATTAGTGAACTTTTTATACCCTGCTGTACATATACTGGGGGATTTGATAGGAGATGGCGGATAGACCATCAGAGTTAGATGGGATGTAGACTGTATATAGAAACAAAAATATTCATGAGGCGAAGGATTCTAGCGCTCTCCCTTATTTTGAATTACATTCATAGAGGAATGAATTTGAGAACATCTACTTAGGATGCTGGTCTTATCAAGCGCCGCCCCGGACTTTGCACGCCGCCGAGTCCGTGCGTCGCGCCGCAGGTTTCCCTTTCACCTTCTTTTTTCCCACGAGGCGAACTACCTAAGCTTGCCCACTGCCAATACTTTCGAGAGCAATGGGTTGATGCTTACAACTAGAGACCCTATTAATATCCAGGGAATCGCCGAACGAGCGCAGATGGATCCGTCATCCCTCCTCGAATTGCCCACGCGTTGGTTCGTTAGCCCACCGTGAACCTCCCCTTCCTTCCGCAAGATGGCGCCGCGAACGAAAGTATGCAATTGCATTCTACATCTCAAACGAGCAATTTCTTATCGCCAAAACTATCTGCACATATATACCCCCTGCTGGGACTTTAGTCAACACAATGCGACCCCGCGCCTTCGCCGAGACCTACATGCGACAACACGAACACTAGAATCGTCGAGAAATTCGGTCACAACGACAGCACTGCCTAGACGTCAATGGGGGTTAGGCCGGCATAGAATACATACATTTTGGGTCCGAAAATCACCTTCGCTCCCACGCGGTGCTCGGAGTTTCGCCAACACTCGCGCATTGACATCCAATGTCACTGAACCTTCGGTGGAAACCCCGCAAGTCGAGGCTGGAGACGCAGATATTTCACATGGAGATAGCACGGGCTCTGTACATGGGAATGATACCGACGAATCGAATCTATCACCGGAGGCACAAAATGATATCAAGATCTTCAGAACTGTATGGAAGCGAGGAATCATCAACGTATCCAGAGACTTCAAGGTGCTTGAGGACAAAGGCCACTCGAAATTCAGTATAAAGCTGCGCATCCCGAAAAGGAGGCATGATGAAGAAGAAAGGAAACTGCGAGTTCGGGGTGAATTGAAGTCCACTAATAAGGTCCGTACTTATCGCCCGCGAATTGCGCGTATGGTATTGGTTTCTTCTGACGACAGAATAAACAGGATGAATTGAAAAACACGGCTTTTTTACGCATGATTTCGGAATTGAGGGAAGAGGGATTATGGGATTCTTTGGTTTCCGAAGCAGAGCTGGACCCAGTCTCCTCTACTGCTGCGCGGCCCTCGCCCGTGACGATAGAGCCTTCAGATTCTACTGAGGAGCATGCTGTCGCTGAAGAGTCCTCTCAAACTGAGGAGACTATTGCTGAAGAGCTTGCCTCTCTTTCACCCGAGCCGAGCAAGGATGATTTCCAAACTATCAACACGCTGGAGCAGAAGAAGTACATTCAGCTGGACATTGAATTCTCGGGCAATGAATTTGAGGGCATGATGTGTTTTGTGATGTGCTCGATACGTAATATAAAGCAGGATTTGCAGGCTGTTGGCTACGGGATGTCAAAGGTACAGTCTGATAGCGCCCTTGGCTCAGCAGTCTACTTTTGCATATACTGACGAGCAACGGCAAACAGCGAGATGCAAAAGAGGAAGCTTTCGGAGAGTTAGCTTCGAAGCTACAAGAGATGGGAATCTGGGAAGAGCTGTTACAACAGGACCATACTAAGCTTACCGTGAATGACGACCTGCTTTACATGATGCGCTTTGGGACGCAGAGTCTAATCGAAGCGAATGATAATCTTCGGTCGTTCATGACAATCAAGGAAAAGCGAAATCACCGATCGCAGAGGGATACAGACGCACAAAATGTGTACAGGACAAAGCGATCTGAGCAACTAGCCCAAGCGCTTCGCAAGTTTCGCCAATCCAAGGATCCAAAGGTAGTGGCTATTCGATCTGCAACGAACAGTCTACCAGTGAACGAACACAAGGAAACGGTCCTAGATCTTGTCAAGAACAACACCTACAGCATCATTGTTGCGGAGACCGGGTCTGGAAAGTCAACGCAAGTCCCTCAGATGATCTTGAACGATGCAATCGAGGAGAGCTCTGGAGGCTTCTGCAATGTGCTTTGCATTCAACCACGACGTATCGCAGCCCGTATGCTGGCTCAGCGGGTTGCTCATGAACGACTTGAACAGATTGGCAATACAGTGGGCTATATGATTCGATTTGGGATCAAGCGGCCAGCCAAAGGTGGTAGCATCACCTACTGTACCACCGGTCTTGCTTTGAATCTGTTACAAGATGATCCCAATCTACTCAACTCGTTCTCTCACATTATCCTCGATGAAGTTCATGTTCGCGATATTGACATTGATTTTGTGATGCTGCTCTTGAAGAACCACATCAACAAGTGTCGAGCCTCAGGTACCCCGACGCCTAAGATTGTGGTGATGAGTGCGACAGTCGATGTTGATCTTTTTGCTTCTTACTTTCAAAATACGGGACCCGACGGGGAGCTCTTGCCTGCTCCACACATCTCCATCCCTGGGCGTCAATTCCACGTGAATTCACATTACCTGGATGAGATTATCGATGACATTACCTCCAAACTCAAGGATGACGTTCTTCAGTGGTGTTTGAAAGAGCCGTCGACACTCAAGTTCTTGCAAAATCATTACCGGAACTACGCTGCAGAAGACCCAGCCGACGAAGTCAATGATGATCAGGATACACCTTCACCCCCAGAAGAATCAGATTCGGCAATCTCTTTGTCAAGCCCCACGGGCGTCAAGCGTGTGGACGATGCCCCTTTTGTCCCAGCTGGGCTGATTGCCGCCGTCACCCATCACCTTCTCAACACAACGGAGACAGGTTCTGTCTTGGTCTTCCTGCCTGGCCTAAGTCAAATAATTGCTGCTGAATCCCAGATCATGCAAGCCGCGGAAATGTTGAAACTGGACTTTTCGAATGAAGACAAGTTCAGAATTCTGAAGCTGCACAGCAGTCTCCCCGAAGAGCTCGCTAAACTGGACCTTGAAGTTCCCAAAGGTTGTCGAAGGATTTTGCTCGCAACGGATATTGCAGAGGCGTCCCTCACAATCCCAGACGTGAGACATGTGATTGACTCGGGAAAGGTGAATCAACTGATGTACGACCCTCGGACCCGATCTCACCAGATGACTTGCTGCTGGGCGAGCCAGTCAAGTACCGTCCAACGAGCTGGGCGGGCAGGTAGAGTGCAGGATGGGGAGTACTTCTTCCTTGGTAGTAAGGAGTGCTTCGACTCGCTCCGTATCACCAAGTCTCCCGAAATTCTTCGAAGCGACCTTCAGTCGGTCTGTCTGCGAGCCAAATTGTCCAATCCTTCTACTCCCATCACCGAATTCCTCGAACAGGCCATCGAGTCCCCAGAAGCGGATGACGTTGACATGGCCATTGATTCCTTGAAACAATTACAAGCACTAGATGACAAGGAGAGTCTCACCAATTTGGGCTCTTTAGTCGGTCATATGCCTATACTACCTCCTCACCTCGCCAAGATGGTCGCCCTGGGCGCTATTTTCCGGTGCCTAGATCCTCTTTTGATTTTGGCAACATTGGGGCGAGAATCAAACTTCTTCTACCGAGGCAGTGATGACAAGCAGCGTCAAAAGGCCTGGAATGACCAAGCTGCATTTGCGGGACAGAGTTCTAGTGATCATTTCAGCATCATCAATGCTTTCAAGGCTGTTCGCTCTGTCTGGAACGATCAAGGGCCGCGAGCTGCTCAAAGATTCGCATTCTCGAAGAACGTCTACGTCCCCGTGTATCGAGAGGCCTTTCTCACAGCCAACCAAATCCTGCATCAGCTGGAACAAGCCCGAATTATCAACAAATGGCTGTCATTTGGAAAAGACCCCGAAGGCCGATTTGGCGGGCCGGACCTGAATGTCAACTCGAATCATGTCCCTCTCATCAAAGCATTGCTGCTTCACTGTCTATACCCCCGGCTCGCTGCGCCCAAAACAGACTCCAACACTGTATTTATCACTCAGACTGATAAACAGGCAGTTCTGCATTCGGGGAGCATGACTAAGAATGGCAAAAAGCCGCCGCGAGCTCTGCTCGTTTTCAATCAGAAATTCTTGTGGGGAACGCCGCCGAGTATCAAAGCGTTGAAGGAGGCCTCCATCGTGACTCCGCTGGCAGCGTGTCTGTTCGGTGGTAAATTGGCGGTGCAGCGCTCGTCCATCGTTATGGACTCGTGGATGCGAACGGGAATTCAAGTGATCGACAGTCCAGCCACGCCAAATGAAGTGATCAAGGATGTAATTAAGTTGAATGATATCCTGAACAAGGTAAGCATCAACTTCAGACCCGTAATTAGTCGATTCGACAAGATCATTGTTCTAACTCTTTTCGGTTATCTAGGCTTTGACCACGACATTCGATTCCTACCCCAGCGATTTCCAAACTCTGCAAATAAAGAAGAAAAAGGGAAACTTCTTCAAGGCTCGTAACCAATTCGTTGCAACTTTGCAACAAACCATCAAAGACATCCTGGACCGCGACTGCAACCCAGCTCGAGTATCCGCGCCTGCTGCATGGAATGCGCACGACGTTAGTAAATACTCGGATCGAGCATAGCACGTCTGCCATGTACAATAGATTCTCTACTTTCATACATACAATTTAAAAGAAATATGAACAGAATCATCAATTCATACCTAATTTGCATACCTTGATTCCGACTTCCAACTTCTGACCATGTTATCCACTCACCGCCTAGATAATCCTTATCGCCCAAAAAAAGTTTCAAGCAACACATCCAACACCAACGCTCAACAAACAAAACTAACCACCACAAAAAGACAAAAAAGGAATGGCTCTCTCCAAGAGCGAATCCGACATCATCCTAAACCGGGCAAATGTCGCGCTCGCCCGAAGCCAACGCCTCGTCGCATCATGGCTCCCCGAGAGAACCACCGACGAACTCACAAACGCCAAATCAGAAGAGGAACTACAACGCGAGGAAGATGAGATTTTCACAGCTGTCCCTGAGACGTAAGACCCTCCCTCTATCCCTCTCTCGTTTTCTTGCTCTTTCTCTTTATATTTCTTCATTGAAATATCCGGAATGTCTTTGTCTGCTTGATACTAACTCGAGAGCGCATCACAGTCTCGGCGTCGGCGCCCCTCTCCCCGAAAAAGCAGCAGACGGAAGCTGGAATCGCACGGAATTAAGCTCAAACGATCAATTACGCAAACAACTCCTCGGAAGGAACTATGATAAATTTATGAAAGCCAATGCTGCGGCGAAACAAGCTTCCGCTGCTGCTAAGACCGCTGCGTCGGCTGCTGCGGCGGGGAAGACAGCTTCTGCGGCGAATGAGGAGGATGATCAGGATGATGATGAGGATGGGAGGGTTTCTATGGTTGGGAAGCAGAAGAGGAGGAGGGTTGGGCAGGGTCGTGCTGCACAGATTGGATCTGGATCTGGGTCTGGTGTTACCCCTGTCTCTACGGGCGATGTTGAGGATGCGGGTGAGAAGGCGGATAATGGGACAGTCCAGACTGAAGGGATTGTTAAACAGGCTCCCTCGAAGGGGAGGAAGAAGGCTACGAGTTATCTGGATGAATTGTTGGCTGAGAGGTCGAAGAAGAGGAAGAAGCGGTGAAATATTGGTTGCACTGCATAAGATTTCTTCCCCTTTTTGTCTTCCTCGAGTATCCGAGCGGGTCTTCTGGGATCTTTACCAGAGTCCAGACTGGAAGTCTGTTGGTCTAGACTGGCTGTACGTCTGCTATTGCTAGGGCCAGCTTGAGCATCAACCCGGTCACACGGTATAGCCGTGTTTGACGGGTTGGCTAGAGTCGATCTACAGGCTTGTTGGTCGCCTTTGCACTGCAGGCATTTAATTGCGCTACAGTAATCCTAACCAAGAAGCCTTTGGTCGAAGAGGCTTTTACTAGCAGAGCCTCCTCCTCCTTACCTCGAAAGTTCCACAAACTTTCTCAATTCAGAATGAAAAGTGGGCACAGATATAGAATACAAAATTCCATTCCAGACAGTTCTAGATGCCACCATGATGTTTTTCTTTGCTCCGTCCGACACCAGGGTATATAAAATATGCTGCGAGAATGAAGTATAAAACCCAGAAGCCAATTTCATCACTTGACACCAACAGCATGAAGATTTCCAAAAGAAAAAGGAAAGGATGATTATGAGAGAGAGAGAGAGAGAAAGAGAGGGAGAGAAAAAGAGAAACAGTTAAATGAAAATAGAGAGAAAAGAAGGGAAATGGAAATGGGAGAATGTGACACATCTACAGTCCCAAGATATAGGAAATCGGATAAGTGAGGAGAGGATGGGATGCTGTCGAGCTTTTGGAATCCAAGGAGCTGGAGATGAGGTGGCTGTGAGGGTGTTTTCAGGTATACAGATGCTGTCCAAGAAAAAAGAGGCGGATTGCCGGGGAGTATGGTTGGGTATATGAGTTGATTTGACCTGAAATGGGTTCGAGATAGTCCAATCGTATGATTTGGTGTACGATGGTGGCCTCCGCCAGGAGGGTGAGGAGAAGGCTGATGATGGTATTGGGTCGGCTGGCAATGATACCGCCAATTGTGCATTTCATGCTGCTGGAATCTACTCCAACCGTTTTCGTTTCCGGTCCTCTTGTTGATCTTCGTCCGGCCGTTCAGCGGTATCGGCGGGATTCAGTAGAGAATGCACATTGCTGGCCATACTCGAACGGCGAGTGGCAGGCAGAGAAGACTCTTGACGGGGGAACCTCGAGCCTCCCAGAGTCCAGCCATTGTCAACACTTAGCATTGACGGGGATGGCTCGGCCCCAGTCGGAGGTGTCGCATGACGGGATTGATCTTGGAGGCGTCGAGGCGCACCCATCTCATACTGAGCTAGTACATCCCGGACTTGTTGCTCGCTGCTCGTGGGTACACGATGAGGGGATGAGGGCCAAGGTCCACTGCTTCCACCACCTCCGCCGGTGCTTCCAGGAGGGAAAGGAGAAGTACCAGTGGGAGGCCAGTCGGCTTGTCGAATATCCGCAAATGTGTGGCGGCGGCCTAGATTCGGGCCTCCGGGAGGAGTAGATATGGAAAGTGGATGAGGCGTAGGTTGTTGTGGTTGTTGTTGCGGCGGTGGCGGAGCAGCACCACCAGCACCACCACTAGGAGGCTGTAGTCGATTATAATTAGGAATAGGCGCATTGGCACCTCCAATGGAGCCGTAGCGACGAGGGGACACGGCAAGGTGAGGAGGGACGGGTGGCCGAATCATAGATTGGCGCCGGCTGTCGTCCTGGGGTAGTTGGCGAGGGGACAAGGGAGGACCAGATTCTACTGGCAAGTTTCCGAAAAATGGTTGGCGTGGTGGCATGAGAGTATCGTGGGAAGCGTCCATGGCACGAACTGATTCGAGATGCTTCTCTACCTCCCTTTGCATGTTCAAAACTGGGAGGCTCGTTAGTAAAGCCGAGACATCGGGGGTATAGATAGGACTGCTCGTACTGTCGCGATATAAAGGACTCTCCTGGTTGGGCACGACACCTTGGAGAAAGCGCGAGATTGAATGAGTCCACTGAAGACAAGAGGTTAGTAACAGCGAAACTCCCCAGATCAAGGTCAACATACTTGGTAGCATTTGGCGAGACCTTCGGCCATACTCTGGCATTTCGAACTCAATGCCACGTTCCCTTCCTCCGCACGAGATAGGCGCGCATGCATGTCATGAAGACTGTATTCAAGGTTCATAAGCCTGGCTTCCGTCGCATCGGGAACGGGTTCAGCGGGGGTGCCCGGTTGCGATGCAGTAGCCTTGTGGCCTGGGAATGAGTCGCGATGAATCAAAGCATGGCGAGAGGCACGACGCTTGATCTCGCGCAGGCCGATCAAATCACCCCGTTTGAAGTTGCCATTTCCGTGTTTAAATTCCCAAAGCGCAGAGTCCGGGGAGCCCGTATGAAAGACGTCGCTCACTGCCAGATTAGATTAGCGAATTGTCTAATTGTCTTGGTCGATTTTCCGGGTCAACGAACCTTTGTGAAACCCGTACATATTCAACTGACGGACAAAGGATGAAATGTTGGTGTGCTTGAAATACTGGCTAGTGGGATATTAGCAACCAGAACCACCCCGGAAATAACTGAGAGAACGATCGAAACTGACGCGAGGACTTTGGAGAATTCAGAAGTCGGTGACATGACAAAACTGTCGTTGGTATTGGACCAAGATATCAAATGTTGGATGCTGGAGTCCTCGAGCATGCTGTTCGAAAGTCAAGCCATGTCAGTACCCTGTGGCAAATTTCGAACTCGCGACCAAAAACTCGTCGACGTACTTGTAAAGCTTGTGGATAAATGCGGTTTGTACCACTTTGGGTTGCTGGGCTGCAGCAGCAGCCCCAACGGCCGAGTTTTGGGGATTACTCGTAATTCCGACTTCGGCACCATTGGTGTTGATTGCGCCGGTGCGGTCGCTATCGGGACTGCTGTGAATAGGCATTCCACCCGCGGCGACAGAGGATGGCGGAGTGATCTCCATGGCTGCAGGGGAGTGTTGGGCGGATTGCGAGAGAACGGGGAGGTTTCGCGTTTTGCCGGGACCATCTGCAGGTCCGGCGAAGGTGGCCCTGGAGGACGGGGGATCGGCGAGACTACTCATGTCGGGCGAAAAGGGGAGACCAGAGGGAGACAGAAAAAGGGCGGCGATGGGTGGCGAAGGCGACGGCTGACGGGCCCACGATCGTCGCCGGTATATATAGGGTTCTGTGAGGAGGATGATAAGGGAACCGGGCTGAAGGTGTTGGTGAGAAGGTAAATCGAACGCGATCGATTCGACCGTTGGAAACCCGCTCGTGGCGGGAGAACGTGCGATAGGGAAGACGGGGGTCTCGTGAAGGCCAGCTAGGCGCAGATCAACGAAGTTGTGAGAACTGGTATATCATTGCGCCCACGAATTGAAGTTCGGAGAGGATTGTCGAGAGGGAGTTTTCGGGACTGAGAGAGAGGCTTTGCGCTGAGGATTCTGGAAAGCTGCGGGGAAGGGGGAAGAGGGGAGCAACCGGAGCGCGTCGGTCGGGATCTGCAGCGCTTGAAGCTCAAGGGATCGGGGGCGTTGCAGGAAGGTTGACACGATCAAGTACTCAGACGACTCGGTCGAGGTGGAGGTCGATATTTGGGGGGAAGAAGAGATGCGATGGAAGGTGGCAGAGAATGAAAAGGAGAGAGGAATGAGACTGAGACTTGGTGATGCTCCACCTGCAGATTATACTGGTCTCGCCTCCTCTCGTCTTCTTGGCCCACCCTCTTTCTTGGCTGGGAACTTCAAATCTTCAATACAGCCAACACAACCACATTCTCTCGTGATTTACTCATATATACCTCCCTTTAACTTTCATGAATATACCTTTTGCTCAGTTATGAATCCCGATTCCCAGGGTCCAGTCTTGTTGAGGAATTACTAGAATCCGCCCAAGTCAAGTCGCCAAGTCGTGTATGTATCCAGCAATATTGTTTTACCCTATCACCTAGACAAAGTATAAAAGCTAAAAAAAAAGAAATCTATAGCTTGCGCGACATCTTGAACCAGCTAGGCCCATATGAATTGCGCGAAGTCAAGGCACAAGTTGATGTTCATACGTTCCAGTATGATATCCTAGGGAACCTCCCCCTAGAGATCGTCTGTTTTGTCGCGGAGAACCTATCTCTCTTCGATATCATTCGCCTTCGAAGAGTACGCTGGAATGATCTATACTCCGAAGAAAAGAAAGTATTATATTCATTGAGAGACTAACAGGCTACTCAAAAAGGTCTCACGACGATGGCAAAAAAACTCCTATCATCACCATCGCTGTGTCGTGCTGCGGCCCGAGCAACTTTGGGCAGAACCCTGGGCACAAGATTCATCTACTGCAGTCACCTTTCCTGGCGCTTTATCTGATTCTCCTGCCTGTACGCCCCGCTCAGCCCTTAGCTTCAGGTCTTTCTCTGCCGCTTCCTTTACGAATATTGTTAAAAGAAGACGATCCCATCTCCAACGCACGGTCGAACCCGTGAGGCCATCGACGGCAGGAACCTGATCGCCTATTCGGATGGCAGTTATGCCTGGTTGGATATGTGGTTTGCAGCCAACGTGTATGTGATGTGACCAATATACGGACTCATGATTGGGAGAGTTCACGGAATGATAGTTGGAAGAGCTTCACCACCGACAACGGAGATAAGCTCATCGATATCGAATTTTCTAAACCTTTGCTTGCTGCGGTGTCGCACACAGGGCTTTGCCACATTTGGAACATCGACGCCTCTCAGTCACCACCTTTCCCGTTGAAGTTTCCGGGTCAGCACCAGCGCATCCTGATCAAATGGACCAAGGTTGTGATCCAATATGGTGAACACATCCAGCACTGGTGCTATGACACGAAGATTGTTCGGGAGATAGAAACTACATTGTTCGTTGCCGCCGTGGATCCTCACCCTTCAGAGGACCAGGTGACTATAGTCAACCTCTGTGAAAATGCACCACTTAATTCCGGAAATCTATTACCATTGAGGAGTGCAATTTGCGCATAACAAAATAGGGGTTGAATAGCATTAATGGGTGGTGCCAACGTTCTTCGCACAACCAGCCCATGCCGAAATCTATTTTCGCCGGGCGAGTGATCGATCTCGATTATCTGGACACTTGTGGGATACACTATACGGGCCATGGTAGCATGATGCTGATCCATGGGCGTTACCACCCGGAAGGTGGCACCTGGGATGATGGCGTATGCTGCGTCTCCCTTGAACCCGACGGACGAGTCGCTTTCCACACAATGCCGCGAGACTGCGCCGAGGACGTCGAGCCCGAGCAAGGTATACTCTATGCCTCTGGGATCAAAGACTCCCCCAAACAGTTTGCAATTCTCAAGTCCAGAACCATGACGGACGCTTCTAGCTCGTTTGTGTGGTATGACTGGTATGTCCATCGCACGCATCTAGTTGAGCGGCATCAATGGATCAAGGGTGACGCTGAATTCATGATCCTTTTGACCACAAGAAATTGGAGTCTGGAATATGGGTAACCACTAACGAGAGATAACTCACCTTTATGAGAAGATGGGGCTGGCGAGAAATGGCTGAATGGCACAGTAACACGCCAGGACTTTGGATCTAGAGACCAGGAAGATAGACCTACAAGATATAATTTCAATTTTCTCCTGTTTATAGCCTTCCTAGTTATATCTCCAATCATCTTCTTGACGGCTGCAAAATGTCTCTTGGTTCATAGTTTAACATAGGATATGTGACAAGGATCTATAAGAAGATTTTGAAAGTCTACTGTAGTACTTCTGTGCCAGATTTCCTTACTCCTCATTACAGACCTTCTACACCACGGGCTTTGTAGCTCCGCTGACAGTTTCATTTAGTACTCTAAATATACAATCAACATACATATGAGTCTTTTGTCTAATTTTTGTTCCAAGGATAGAAAGTACTACTTAAGAATGTTTCATAACAGGGCGGCTCTGCAAAGTGGTTAATCATGCATCAGACATCCAGTCCAGTACTTTCCCGTCGCGCTCCCTCCGCAACTCTTCGCCAACACCCACACCCACAACCTCGCACTCGCCGACTCACTTCCTCAGCTTGAACTCTCTCATTCTCATACCTTCATTCTCCCACATAGATAACCAGGACCTGCACACCTCCCCAACGCACACTTGATGGAGATCGACCCGGAGGATGAAGCCTTTTTGAGGCGTTTCGAGACCCTGCCCAAGTCTCGTCGCCAAGCCATGTACATTGTCACCCTGCCACCCAAGGAAAGTATCTGTGCTAAGACAACTTACAGTTACCGCGGCCTTCTGGAGCGACTACGACTAGACGAATGGCGAGAAGTCAAGGCACATGCTGAGGTTCACACTCTTCAGTGTGATATCCTAGGCAAGCTGCCGCCGGAAATCACTTCTCTTGTGGCACGGCACTTGCCGCTAATTGACATAATTCGCCTTCGAAGAGTACGCTAGAATAACCCATATGGCATTAATGATGACTGTGTGGCTAATCTCTGAGAAACAGGTCTCCAGACGTTGGCAGTCCATCCTCTCATCACAATCCGTGTGTCGTGCTGCCGTGCGGAAAACGTTGGGGAGAGACCCCTGGGTGAATTCTATTCCCATTCCGAATACCCAGGGCTCTGCGAGTACCACTGACTCAAGTCATGACTTCGACGCCTCTTTTGCCAGCTTTGTCAAAAGACGATACCGCCTAGAGCGGGGAAAACCACACAAAGTCTTCACAATGCGCAGCCCAGTGGCATTTGAAGATGACGACCGCTTTATTCCCGATTCCAAGGTAATCAGCTATTCCAACGGCATATGTACCTGGATTGGTCAAGACGAAGATAAATCCTCTGTGATCGCCCTGAACCTCTCGACTGGCGAAAAGAAAAGGTTCACTACTCCCAATAGAGAAGGACTTTTGTATCTCCAAATTTCGGGGTCTACAATCGCCGCGCTCTCGCTTCGAGGCTACTGCCATGTGTGGAACTATGACGATATATCTCAATTTTCATCTTTCAGGGTTCCATCGTTGAGATGCAACCTTATCCTAATAAATGGAAAACATATTGTCCTGGAATATCGCAATTATCTTGTCCACTGGAGCTGGGATACAAGGATCGCCCGGACAATCGCTACCGGAGACTCAGTCATAACTGTAGCTCCCCATCCCTCAGAGGACCAGATTACCATGATCCATTGTTGTCTAGACGAGGAGCGCCATTCGGGGCCGGAGAGAACTCTCGGCGAAGATGGAGATGAAGTCCTAACCTCTAACAAAATGCCGACGCACCATTTACAAACGATAAAATACACATTAAACGATGAGAACGAATGGTACGCATCCTCTTCTCACCCCGCATCGATTTCAATGGACTTTTCCCCCATGAGCTGGCAATGGGGCGCTTGGCAGGGGAGAAGGAAGGAGATACAACCCGGTCAGAGTAGCATATTTGGCCAGATGGAAAATACATATGAGGAAGATGAAGAGGGCCAAATGCATACAATTCCGGTCTATCTCTCGGTCGAACCGAACGGCTTAGCCGCCATGCACACATTTCCCCGCGAGCTTGACAATGGCACCCAATTCGTCTATCCCGAGGAAGGTATTATCTATATCTCTATTGTGAGTGAGGGTGATTGGGAATACCAGCGGTATGGGATTGCGAAATCCACGGACGTGACAGGCCCTTCGGATACATACGTCTCGCTGGACTACTCGGTCCAGCGTGTGCAAGGTGTGAAGGAGCCGCTGCGCATTTTCGGGGACACCAAGTTTCTGGTGTTTCTAGGGAAGAACACGATGGATATCTGGGTTATGGATGAGAATGCTATGGACGAGAAAGTCATGGAAGAGATGAGAACTGCGGGATTACCCAAGTTGGTCACAGTCGAGACGGTTTGAATGAGACCTCCCATAGCCCAGACAATGAGACTCGATTAAACAACCCATGCACGCAACTGTAAGATCTAAATGCCAACATTTGGACAACTACAAGCTTATCACATCACCACCGCACTGGAACCACAAATCCATCATCTCACTTCTTCCAATTAGGAAATGATATAAAAATCATAGAAACACTCAAGAATACAGTGACAAAAAGAAATGTAAATGACACAGGAACAGGGCGCCGCAGCCAAGCACAGGGTGGTGTTCTCTAGAATTTAAACCAAAAACAAAGACGTCAAGTATGTCCCCTATGAAGCCGGCTCGCAGGCCCCCAATGCATGGCCCTCTCTTCCCCAAGCATATTCGGCACAAAACTTAGACAGACGCAAATATTTTAGGGTCTGTTGTTTAGATGCCGAGGGTGAACTCGACGCCGACGTCGATCTCGCGGGCCATCTTGACGACCTTGGAGAACTGGACGGACTTCTCGGCGGCGTTCTGGAGGTCCTCGATGGAGAAGATCTTCAGGCCGGACTCGTTGATCTGAGAGAGTGTGTTAGTAAGGGGTGTTGTTAAAGTGAAATGAAGTAGGGGTGGAACATACCAGCTTGTGAGCCTGCTCCATGTTGGTACCCTGGAGACGGGCAACGATGGGAGTGCGGAGACCCATCTCCTGCACAACGTTGATCAGACCCTGGGCGATGGCGTCGCAGCGGACGATACCACCGAAGATGTTGACGAAGATGGCAGACACCTTGGGGTCGCTGGTGATGAGCTCGAAAGCGCTCTTGATAGCAGCGGGGGTAGCACCACCACCGACGTCAAGGAAGTTAGCGGGGCTACCGCCGTTCAACTTGATGATATCCATGGTGGCCATGGCAAGACCGGCACCGTTGACCAGGCAGCCAATATCACCGTCCAGCTTGATGAAGTTCAGGCCGAACTCGGCAGCCTTGACCTCATCGGCATCCTCCTGGGAAACGTCGCGCCACGAGAAGACATCCTTCTGGCGGAACTCGGCGTTGTCATCGAAGCCGAGCTTGGCGTCCATGGCGAGGACCTGGTGGTCGGAGGTCTCGGACAGGGGGTTGATCTCGATCTGAGTGGCGTCCTTGTCCATGAAGACCTTGTACAGGTTCTGGATGGTGGTCTTAGCATCCTCGATGCACTGCTCGGAGAAGCCGAGGTCGGTAGCGATGGTGCGGGCAATCTCGTCGGTGACACCAGTGTGGATGTCGATGGGGGTGGTGATGATCGCATCGGGGTTCTCCTTGGCGACGGTCTCAATGTCCATACCACCCTGGGAAGAGGCGACGATGACGGGGCTCTGGGTGCCACGGTCCATGAGGATGGCGAGGTAGAACTCGCGGCGGGCGAACTTGCGCTCGCAAATGTAGACGGAGTTGCAGAGACGGCCAGCGGCACCGGTCTGCTTGGTGACGAGCTTGTGGCCGATCATCTCGTTGGCGAAGATCTTGGCCTCGGCAGGGCTGTACAGAACGATATAGGTTAGCCTACTAGTCCGCTTATCCCAGTTTCCGACAGAACCGGATATACCGAGGGATATCGCGTCCCCTGCGATAGGCGGGAAAAAAACTTACGAGTAGATCACCCGGACACCACCCTTGAGACCGTTGTCGAAAGTACCCTTACCACGGCCACCAGCGAGGACCTGGGCCTTGATAACCATGTCATCGTTACCTAGTTGCGTTGAGTGTTAGGCAAGATAGCGCAAAGAAGGGGGCCAGGAAGGCCTGGAGATAGGATGATATACCGATAGACTTGGCGACCTTCTCAGCCTCCTCAGCGGTAGTAGCAACCTCGCCCTTGGGAACACCGACACCGTACTAATCCTCAATTATCAGCCAAAACATCCCCCCAAATAGTATATCAATAACAAGCGATCCCTTCCGCGACCGCAGGATCTGAACGCGCTGGACATACCTGCTTCAGGAGACGGGCGGACAGGTACTCGTGGATGGACAGGTTACGCTTCTGCTGCTGAGCGAGACGGGAAGAGACGGAGGACTCCTAGAGCGATGGGAAAAGCATCATCAGTTTGCAGTTCGAGAAGAAAAACCGGGTACGGCCCGATAGCACGGCATTGGAGGCAGATCTCACCGTCGCAGCCCTGAGAGCCGCGGCAATTGGGCGACCGCGGGCGAGCTTGAACATTGTGAATAAAAAGGATAGGGAAGGAAGAGAGGAGAGGGGAAAGGGTTCGGGGGAGGAGGAAGAGTATAGAATTAAAAGAGGAGGATGTTTAGAAACCCTTCAGGGAGAATGGAGGTTTAGTCGGACCGGGAGAACAGCTTTCTTTTTCTCGGGATGGCATTGCGTCGCGGTAAAATCGGGTGTCGCAGCCAACCAGCGCCCGGTCCCTGGCTGACTCAGCCGTACCTCGGGCGCAGACGCGAATATCACGGAACTGGATTCGGTTCATACTGAAGAAGTGTATACCATGGAGTATACCATGATATTATACAAAAGAAGGTGATTATTGTGTTACATCTCAATCGACTGCATTGTTATACAAGGAATATCACAGAATATAGCGAGAACTCATCTCAACCAGCAGAACTACTGCCATCTTTCATCCACCATACACTATTCTTCTACTTCTTCAACGCCGCCTTAATCTTCCACAACTTGAACATATTGGTCATGACTCGGGTAAAGAGCCCATTCCAGGCAAATCCACCCACCAACAGCCAAATAACCCAGCTACGGTGACCCTCCCAGATCGTGGTCTTGCGACCCTGTGCCCAGGGCCAGAGCCAGCGCCACGGTGCTGATCCATACAGTACCTGGTTCACCACGCTGCGTGCATACTTCTCATTGGGCATGGCATTGTGTTGGCTATGCACCACACGACGGTTGTACTCCTCCTCGATGGGCATGTACAGAGAGTTTGGCTTCAAGGTGCGCTCCGTACGAGCAATGCGAGACTGTACGCCGCCGGTCACGACGGTTATCACCTTGACACTGTTGGACGTTAGTTCAGATAGCTTCTAGAAGAGATGAGATTTAGTTCTGGGAATACATACCCATACGGAGCCAACTCGACACGGAGGGTATCGCTGAATGAGTGTAGAGCAGCCTTGGAGGCATTGTAGACTGAGCCAAACACGTAGGGGATGATCTATGCAGTGTTAGCATATAGCCCCCTCTATCTTCGATGATGACCAAGAAATAATTGAGACATACTCCAGCAATAGAGCCAATCTGTACAATGGTACCCTTGGCTTTGATCAGCAGCGGCAGGAAAGTTTGGCACATGCTGATGACGGAGAAGAGATTGGTCTCAAAGGTCAGACGAGCCTCTTCCAACTCCACCTCCATGGCGGGAACAGTATAGTCTAGCATCGATATGTTAGCTAGTTGCAATATGCCTTCTCAAACATAGTGATAAACATACTTCGGCCGCTATATACATATTAATTAGTTCAAGCCGTTCATAAGAAACCAAAACTCCCATTTCGGCATGGTCAACTCACGCATTATTTACGAGATAATCAAGACCCTTATCACCCAGTCTGGTCTCAACGTCGGAAAAGCATGCCTTGACACTCTCCTGGTCATCGACGACCAGACTCAATGTCTCGATACCTAGCCCGGCCAAATCAGCGATGGTAGCGGCCTGTCGAGCCGTAGCAAACACGCGCAATCCATTGCGGTGGAACTCGCGAGCAAGAGAGTTTCCAATACCACCGGGCGAGCACCTATATATATTGTTAGTGGTTTGTCTCGCCAGTAGCATCTTGAGGCGCGTCTTGCGCGAGTTGCGCTACTTACCCTGTGATCAGCACGGACTTGCGGGTATCCGTGACTCCTGGCATGGTCGCGCGTCGATTTGAGTACAATGTAAGGTTAAGGAATCGATTATGATCTCAAACCATCCGTTTTGATACTTTTATTCCAAGAGGAGAAGCGAAGAGATTCAGGGTCTCCTTAGCTTATCAGTAGGGGTGAGCTCTTATGGACCTCGGCTTGTCACAGGGAGCTTGATTAGAGAGAGCCCTAAACCCTATTGCTGTTTTTGGATGCTGTTGTACCTGATTGTCTAGAACGGGGATGACAGGGCTAAGCAACAAACCAATGGGATTTTTACCATAAGATCTTTATTCAAGTTGAGTAATTATTAAAAGAAAATAGTTCTTGGATGTCCATCACTGGGATCTGCCAAGCTTGAGGAGGGTCCTGTGGCTGCGGATCCAGTCCATACTTCTGCTACAATATATAACCGTACATCTACACATAGTTCCAGTTCCCATACTAGTTTAATTAATCCCTAAAATATCCTTCTCCTCGTGGGTCTGCAATACATGTACATTTCCAGTATATCTCTCCGAAAATGACGGAAATCCCCGCCCAAAACTTGCGGTCCAAGTGCCGATTCCCGAGGAGAACCCAACTTGGCCAATGAATCAATCGGAAAAGGCCCCTAAAGTTCAATCAACGACAAGTGCCCGGCCCATCACGACGATCCTTCAAGTCTTTGACTTCGGCTACCTCCACCTGTTGGGAAAAAAGAGGCCAAAGATTTAAGATGCCGTCCGTTTCCCATAATTATCCATGTTCTAAAACTTCGACCTCCCCCGCGCCCGCATCTCACGATCCCGGTTCACTCGCTCCACGTCATCGCCCGCTCGTTATTATTCGTCGCCAACCAGGGCTGAAGGATCGTGGTGTCCGAGTTCCGATTTCTCCACTTTAAATGGCCCTACGCCTTGACGCACGAGGTCTGCGTTTTCGGTTGGTTGTCGTTGTATTAGTCGTCTTCGCCAGTGAGACGTCATATTAGCCTTCTTGGTGGCTGCTTCGGGTTGATTTTGCTTCTTTCTCAAAAATTTTTTGTCCATCGGAAGATAAGTAGTACACTTTTCTCATCCCCTGACTTGATCCATGGTCCTATTCCTATCAGGAGGGCGGTTCATATACCAAGGTTGTTGGTAGCAGGGAAACGGGTTATCTCCGCTTGAATTCGGCTTGGTACCCGAGCACTTCGCTAGCTGTACATCGCCATGTCCTCAGACCTCCTTCGAGTTCCCAGGTACTTGAGGAGTCCCGGCGACGATGGCTATCGAACGCCAACTATCGAAGATGCGCAGCGGACTCTCGCCGTCCTGGGCGTAAGGGATGCTCCTAGCCTGGGCAACAGTGCCAGCGAAGTTCATACTTCTGCCTTGGAAGCTGCCTTGCACAAGGTTGCCTCTCGAGCGACCGACCAAACGGCCAGTAACAAAGAATTCAGCCATTGTGTGGATCGTGATGGTGCAGAACTTACCCGGAAAGTGACGGATGCATCGGCGTCCAAGCTCAGTTGGAAGAAGCGTATTCGTCATGTTACTTGGGCATATTTCACATTGACTATGGCTACGGGGGTTTGGCAAATGTCCTATATGAAGGTATACATACCTAAGCTCTTTGATCTCTACATCTGTGCTAATGTGAACAAAGTTCCCTACCGTTTCCACGGATTGGATACAATTGGAACGGTCGTCTTTCTGATCAACATTGCCCTGTATCTGTTCATATGGGGACTTTTATTGGCCAGATTCTACCATTACCCGTATACCTTCAAAGCATCATTTCTGCATCCCACCGAGTCCTTATTCGTTCCTGCCTGTGTCGTCTCTTTCGGTACCATCCTGATCAACATCTCTCAATATGGTCCCGAGAATACAGGCCCATGGTTAATGGAAGCTGTGGGGATACTATTCTGGATTGACGCCGTTCTTGCTGTATTATTTTCTGCGGGCATCTATCTCGTCCTGTAAGTCCTAATGTTTGCTCTAGCTTTTTAATATACTGATGAGCACCTCAGTTGGTCCACCCAGACATTCACCATCGCCCAGATGACCCCAATATGGATCTTTCCCGCCTATCCCATGCTCATTATCGGTCCTCACGCCGGTATTCTAAGTGCAAAGCTGGAGCAAGCTCGCTGCCTGCGCATTATCATCGGAGGAACGACGATTCAAGGTGTTGGATTTTTGGTCTCGCTGATGGTCTACTCGGCCTTTATCTATCGACTCATGACGCAAAAGCTACCCAAGGAAAACATCCGACCGGGAATGTTTGTCTCCGTGGGACCCAGCGGGTTCACTGTCGCAGGCATTGTCAACATGGCAGCTTCCGCAAAGCGTTCATTCCCGTCGGATTTTATGGGAAATGGAGAACTGGCTGCTGATGTATTGAGGGTGGTTGTTGACTTTGCCGCATTATGGCTGTGGGGGTAAGTTCATCCTATACCCTTTTTTTCTTTCTCTTTGAGGTTACAAACACTAACCGTTCGTCAGTTTGGCAATTTTCTTTTTCATTATTGCCAGTGCAGCCCACTGGTCTGCAATTGGCTCAGGTCGAATGATCTTTTCAATGACCTGGTTCTCGTTTGTGTTCCCCAATACCGCCCTAATAACCGCCACCTTTGCCATCGGAAAGGCATTCTCTTGCAAGGCGATCAACATTGTTGGATGTGTGGCGATCCTCCCTCTAATACTCATGTACTTCTTTGTATGTTACATGATGATTCGAGCTATCCTCACACATCAGATTTTATGGCCACAGAAGGGCGAAGATAGGGATGAAGGTGGGTTTGAGATTCATCGGGTCAAGGCTGATGCAGAGATCTCCGATGAGATTAATGGAACGGCTGTCTGAGGGATATGTCAGACTTTGAGGCTAGTATCTTAAAATATCGCTTTTGCTTTTGCATTGTCATGTCACTATACCCATATTCTGTTTTGCATTGCCTAAAATATCGATTTTCAACCATATCATGGGCAGCTGACTTACAAATCGACTATAACATAAGCCCCTATACTGGTTTACTTGCACGTGCTTTCTGGCTGAACTTGGAATTGTCATTAACATTGTTTGTACAGGCTTGACTCTGCCATATAAGGCATTGGATGTCAAGTTGATCCAGTCAACGCTTTTGAGAAAAAAAGATAACGATGGAAAAGACAAGAAAAAAACAAAGCCAACAAAATAACCGACCTAGGTATCCCGAAAACTTACATACTCGTCACATCTGATATCGACATCCACCTCAATCCTCGTCCTCCATCGACTCCTCCACAGACTGGGCGTATATCGCCATCTCCCCCACGAGCTTGCAGTTACGCTCGAGGCCACGCTCGTCCTCCGGGATCAGCTGGTAGAGGATCCGCTTGACCCTGTACATGGTGGCATTCACATTTTCTTTGTGCTCCACCGCAGCTGCGCTGGAATCCTCATCCCAGACGTATTCCCACGCCTTAACCTCTCCGACTTGCTCCAGTTCGTTCTGCATATCGACAAACTGGCGGGCATTGACCAAGTCGGAGATGCCAAAGTTGGAGGCAAGCATGTCGAGGTAACCGGCGAGAAAGATCTTCTGTACAGTCGCCAACTCCCACTCGCGACGCTCCATGCGCCAGATTCTTGCCTGATGCGCAAAGGTTGAGAATTGGAGGTCGAGTGCTGCGTCCCAATCCTCCAGAAGCGTTGCCATGATCTCGAGACGCTTCACTTCGTCGTCCGCGTCTGAGTTGATCTCGACATCATCTATGTTGATGATGATGTCTTCGTCGGTGACGAAGTCGTAGTAAGGCGCTGTGGCCTTTGGGAGGAGAAAGACGTCTCTTCCAGCGGTGGGGGTGGGTGGGTCGACCACCAAGAGGATGACTGGGGTGGACTCAGCAGCCTGCGACTGACTGCTGGTCTCTGAAAACCGCCCGAGCTGCTCGGTCCGTCTGCCCAAGTTGCCGTCGCGGTACTGGGCGGCAGTGAAGGTGGCCTTCACTTTGCCGACGAGATGAGTCGGCATCGGGAGTGTCTGCCACCGCGGCCGATTCCAGTAGAAACCCTCGAGGAATAGGTTTCCACCGCCAACGGGGACTCGATTTCCGGCGTCGAGTCTGATCCCGCAGCTCGCGGGGAGGAGCTGGATCGTTCCATCTGGAATAAACCAGGCTGGCGGCTGTTGGGCTCGGCGGCGCAGAGCACCCAGGAGGGCCTCATTGCGGGACACTGCGGTCTCAAGTTCCTTGCGGAACTCGTCAAGCTGGTCCATATCAGCTGCTGCAGGAGGGGCGGACTTGAGCTCGCGGTCCCTGTCCATCAAGTTGTTGGACATGATTCTTTGCTTCTGATGTGATCAGTCAATAAGATCAGTTATAGATCTCAATATGGGAGCTGAGATGATGAATAATGAGATGACTTACCGTGAGAACAGATGATTGTTGTTAGAAATTTGATAAAAATGGTGAAGGCGAAGTCAAAGCTAGGGTGGGAGCGTAGACGAGAAGAAAGATGATAGGAGAGAAGCGTGAATTCGTTTACAAACGTTTGACGTGTCGTATTCTATTGAAAAATTGAAGTTTAAGTGGTTCTCATTACTTAACCGTCTCAAGGCGAAGCCGTATTGCTCAACAATAGCCTAATACGACCGTATTTGATGGGCGTATCTAGGCATTACCATACGGCGACGAGCTTGTTCCTACATTAGGCAAGCGCAAAGCGTATAGAAACTCGAGGATATATATCAGAGCTACTAATACAGACTTAAAAGAGTGTAGTAATGATATTCTGCAACTTTATAGCACTCATGAACATGAAGTTGATATAGAAGACGGTGGGTAGCACAAGATCGAAAAGTTGATGCTAGATTTTCCGAGGGGCTGGAGTGATTGGAAAGCCTCTAGCTCATACCATCGTAATGTTTTATTTTATCTAGAGAAATGATATGAAGTAGAATGATAATTCTCGAAGAAATTATGGCCTTCCTAGCAGGTTATTCATTCGAAAGTGGCCTATGATTTGACAAACCATAGATTTTATGGATGGCATCGCGGAATATGACCGAGCACAGGAACCCTAACCCCCTAATGTGTTTACCTTAATATTCTAATATATCATTGCTTTTATCTGATATCTCAGTGTCCCTAGACTAGACTGTTTCATCTACGTAGAGGGTATAGTTCTCGTGACAAACTAGGGCCAGAGTGTGCACGTGACTGTGACTTTTCTGTAGCAGCCAATGGAATTTCCTACAGACGCTGGCACAAAACCATTTCTATTAGAAATATTTGTAAATATGTACGTGTATAATCTGTGATCTGAGTAAACCAAAAAGTCGGCTTCAACCCTTCACGAGTGCAGTACGTTGAACAGCACGGGCCAATGCATGACGCTTTTAGACTCTTGATAGAATGATTTTACGGCATGGAATATCCTGGATATTGTAGAGAACTATGATACTGACTGCATTTCTAAGATTGCACCCTGTATTTCATGCCACCACCCGTCGTGACTAAGGGCCAAAGCTTTATCGAAGTGTGGTCATACATCAGATCGGAGCTGATTGACCTTAATGACTCTTTGACCTTAGTGACTCTCGAGGCTGTAGCACGGCCAGCGCGAGTATTGTGAGAGGGAGGAGGGGGGGGGGGGGGTAATTGCCCTTTAAGATTTCATCAGAGGCTTATAAAGAGTCCATGGGTCTCTTGAGGCTGGAGACAACATAATACAGAGATGGGGAAATCCTTTATTCAAAAGTCTCATTAATCATGCCTTTGTAAATGTATAGACAAAGGAAACTTCAGGTCTAGGGGTAATAATATTGGAGTACTTATTCAATTTCACAGGTCAGCATTTCCCGGGGCCATAACCTATTTAATGGAAAACCCATGTCTTTCTGGCTATATACCATATACTCCTTTTTCCAAAGCCGCCCTTATGTTATAGACTCCACTCAACCCGAATGTTTAGTCAGAGTTGAACCTTATTTCCTCTGTGGAGCAATAGAGCAATTAGGCTCATGCATTAATCGGCCGAGAGAATATGCATGATCTCGCCTTAATGCACGATATAAGAGCATATTGCGTAGGGCAAGCGTTGAATCTGCGCGTTAGATTGGCCCGCTGGTTCCTCATTCGGAAGTGGATGAGCACATCATATGGGGCCCGATTGTGCGATGCGGGATCTCCACTCGATCTGGCCGCAAAGAGATATACGCAGGCCATCCTAGACTAGGATGTTTGAAAATGATACTGGTTTCATTTTTGAGGCAATTCGGAGGAGGGTCAGTTCAGTGACTGATTATGTAGATCCCTTGAAAAAGCCGTCGCGCAGTACGCTTGGAACTATTCTCGCCATGTCGACTTCTGATGATGTGATTATACTTTGAAAAAACTTATATGATGAGCAATTTTTAGTTAGAACTCGTATCTAATGTGGTGCCATACACAGCTCTGCTTTGCGACGTCGAGCGAATCTAGCCCTGGAATTGAATAATGCCATCTAGTCACTACCAAGATGCTGTGAACGGCAGCAAGAACATTGAGAATCTTATAGATGTCGAGCGACAAGGGACGCCTATTCCACAGGAAATAGAAAAGCCAAAAAGCCTTGGTGCAGGAGTACGTCGCCCTTTCGTAGTGAAAAAAAGCCATCACTGATATCAAATACAGTCCGCACTGGCGCTGGGCGCATTCGGAACAACCTTGACAACCCTCTCGTTGAGTCTCATGGAATGGCGCGGTGTCACAACAAATAATGTCTTCGTCGCAAACTTCTTTTTCATCGCAGCCTTTGGCTTGGTGATTACTGCGCAGTGGGAGCTTTCTATTGGCAATGGCTTCGCTTATACAGTCTTTAGTGCTTTCGGTGGGTACTCTCTCTTCGAACTACAACAACGTCAGGGCAGTATAGCTAATTTTCGCTCCGAATATGAACAGGTCTTTTCTACGCGGGCTATGGTGCTTTATTGACACCAGCATTCGGTATTGCTGCTGCATACGGCGATGACACGGCGCAGTACAACAATGCGGTGGGATTCTTCATGATATTGTGGACTGTCTTCGTGTTCACTTTTCTTATCGCTTCACTCCCGAGTAACATCGCTTATATACTAGTTTTCTTTTTGGTGGATCTTGGATTTCTTACTGTCGCGGCGAGTTACTTTGCTAAAGCTGATGGCCACGCTGCATCTGCCATTGCGTTACAGAAATCGGGTGGGGTGTTTTGTTTCCTTGCCGGATTGATTGGGTGGTATATCGTGTTTCATCTCTTGTTGCAGGACTCGCTTTTGGATTTGCCGTTGGGTGATACTTCGAGGTATTTTGGGAAGAAAAAGAAGGCACAGTAGAATTGGATATTGTATGGATTGGCAATATGTGACAAGATATGAAGGTAGTTAGGACGATAATGCGATGGGAGAGACATTGCTTGGTGCGCAATAATACTTTCATTCGTAATTCTCGCTTGGTTTTTCCTCTTGTCACATTTACCAAGTCACATTATTTGTAGAAAGTACCTCCAGATTTCCCCCCAGCTCTGCTAGTCGAGTAAGGTTTCCACTCAGCCGTAGCGGTGGGGCATGAGCGGTTAGGTGATCTTCTCTCCCCTCCACCGAATCCCGATAACGACATATTCCACAGCATTGACGAGCATGAATGAATCCCGAATCCTCAATTTTGGACTCAGAATGGCGAGCAATATATTGCATCATTTGATGCAAGCAGCATGTCATATCTGCGAGATGCGTGCGGAGCAGGAACTAGATATACGGGCATCGCCCCTGCATTGAATCGACAAAACCCAACTTTCGATCAGCTTGATCTACTTCTTGGAATATAATTGAGATACTTGGAAATGACACAGGACAAGGTCCCCGCGACAGACCCGGCTGTCTATGCCGAGTATCAGACCAAGTGGTCTACCCTTCCTGACAATGCGGACGCCTGGTTGGTCAGAGCACGTGAAGTCGCTGAGGTCCTGGCCCAAGATGCGGCGCAACGAGATCAGGAGAACAAGTCTCCCCGTGCCGAAGTGGTGCTACTCAAGCACTCGGGCTTGCTGAAGCTACTTGGGCCTAAGAAGTATGGCGGTGGCGAGCAGCCCTGGAGTGTTGGATATAAGGCAATTCGTGAAGTTGCGAAAGCAGATGGGTAAGTGAAAGTCATAGATTGAACATGCTTCAAGAAGAAAATGTCCTAACAATCTACAGATCTATCGGTATGCTGCTAGGTTACCATCTCCTTTGGTCTACCACCGCAAGCATCGTCGGCACCCCCGAACAAGCAGAGCGAACTCACGAGTTGATCCTCTCGAACAACTACTTTGTCGGCGGTGCTGTGAACCCTCGCGACAACGATCTCAAGATTACTTCCGATGGTGACCATCTCGTATTCAACGGTTCCAAGCACTTCAATACTGGAGGTGTGGTATCCGATCTCACCGTTCTAGAGGGTGTACTCGAAGGCACCGAGGGCCACATCTTCGCTCTAGTTCCTACTGAGCAGCCCGGTATCCAGTTTGCCTACAATTGGCACAATATTGGCTTGCGCTTGACAGAGTCCGGCGGTGTCAAGATTGAAAATGTTCGCGTGCCATGGGCTGATGCGCTGGGTTGGGATGAGTCTAGCAAGAAACCTCGTGAGGATATCTTGCTCATTCCTTTTGCCAGCTTGCTGCTGCCAACGTAAGTCGATATCTCTTTTCCTGTTTGATTTGTGCCATGTGGCTAACCAATCTCCTCTTCACCACCGCTTAGAATCCAACTCGTCTTCAGTAACTTCTACCTGGGCATTGCCATCGGCGCATTGGAGTTTGCTGCAAAGTATACTACAACCTCGACTCGAGCTTGGCCCTTTGGAGGCGACAACAAGGACTCTCCGACAGACGAGTTCTACATCCTGGAGCGCTACGGAAACTTCTTCGCGCATCTGCGAGCCACTGAGGCTCTAGCTGATCGTGCTGGCGACCAGCTCACCGCGCTCTATGATCGATACTCGACCGACCGATCGGGTCTCACTGCGGACGAGCGAGGTGAGGTTGCGGAATGGATTGCTAGCGTCAAGGTGGTCACCACGGACGTTGGGCTTCGAGTTACGTCGGGGATCTTCGAGGTGACCGGGGCACGGGCTACTGCATTGAAGGTCGGCTTGGATCGATTCTGGCGCGACATCCGCACTCATACTCTCCATGATCCGGTGGCGTATAAGAACCGAGAACTTGGGCGGTTCGTGCTCCTGCAGGAATACCCCGCCCCAACGTGGTATACGTAGTGGGGGAGTGATAACAGTGACGATGAAGATATGAGATAGGGTCATATAATGAGAATAGTACATATATTATTGATTTGATACTATATCGTGTCGAGTAGACCCTGGAAAGAAAGGGTCAAATGTCAAAATGTCGAGTACAAAGTCTTGCGGGTGAGGTTATTGAACCCCGCCGGAGATAAGCGCCTCCCCGCGATAAAAAAGAAAAAAAAAGATGCCGATCCGAAAATTTTCTGCCTGTGGGCCTCGACTTTCTCGGCTTCGTGACTTACTTTTCTTCTCGGACTCCTCTTTGTACCCCGTCTACTTCGGCTTGCCTTTGCTGTATCTTTGAATTTATCGCCTATAAACTGAAAAACTTCTTCGAGTTCCTCGTTCTTCATTTCACAACCACCAAAATGACCCAGAAGTTCTACGTCACCTACAACCAGGTGCACAAGCTGTGCCAGAAGTCCGCCGATGCCATCCTCAAGGAATTCCACCCCAACCTGATGATCGCCATTGGTGGTGGTGGCTACGTCCCTGCTCGCATTCTCCGGTATGTTTCGATCTACTTGAGTTGCGACATGCGCGCATGTGATTTGTGCGCAAAGGTTGCAGCAAAGATCCAGTGCTGATCTAAATCCTCTCGGTCTATAGATCCTTCCTCAAGAGCCCCGGTGACCCCAACATCCCCATCCAGGCCATCGGTCTGTCCCTCTATGAGGATCTCGGCCGTGGTGATGCCGAGGAGGTCCCCGGTACCAAGGTGACCCGCACTCAGTGGCTCGACCTGAGCTCCCTCGAGATGGCCAACCTGATTGGCAAGAACATCCTGATCGTTGATGAAGTCGATGACACCCGGACAACTCTCGAGTATGCCGTGCGCGAGCTGGAGAAGGATGTTCAGGAGGCTCAGAAGCAGCTTGGCCGTGAGGGCGAGAAGACTAACTTCTTCGTCTACGTTCTCCACGTACGTTGTCTCAGCTACTACCCCCACTATTATGGAGTCTTTGAATTTGCTTGCTAATTTTGGGATTTTTTACCTACTATAGAACAAGAACAAGCCCAAGAAGGGTGTTTTGCCCGCTGATATGATGGAGGGTGGCCGTTACCACGCCTCCGTCACCACCGACGATGTCTGGATCTGCTACCCCTGGGAGGCTAAGTATGTATCCCTCGGACCTCCATAGTCATATCTATTCCGAAGCTTTATTGATGCTAACCATCTACTTCTACAGGGACATTGATGAGCACGATGCTCTGGCCAAGGAGAACCCGCTCATTTAAGCAGCTCATTATTGCATTGGCGAACTGCATTCCATTCTGCGAGGCGCTGTGATACTGTTGGTGGCTTTTTTGGTACCTCAGTTTGACTTCGATTGGCCCCCCCCCTCCTTCCCGGCGTGGAAGTTGATCCCGGGCATGTCCATTTTACGATATCCTTATGAATTTAGAAAAAGTTATCACCCCCCTATAACTCATACATACCGATCACCATATCCGAGACTACCAGTCTACCGCTTCTAGGGGTCCAAGTGAATGTGCACTACACTGGCCGACCCCTCGCGCAGGAGACATATTCGAGAAAGGTTGAAGGGTATCAAACGGGATGTTTATTGTTGGCAAAAAGACGAACAGCAATTAAGAAAGAACCGTGTTTTATAATGCCCCGGTGCAGGTCCTGACCCCCTTCCTGGGCCTGGGTTGGAGTCAAGCTCCTGCATCCAAGCTTGAGGCGAGACCAGCCCCGGTAGCCGGCCATGCCAGATAATCCAACTCCACGGAATATGATTCGTATTTCAAAATTTAGTCCACCTCGACATTGCCCTTGCGCAGCTCAACCTTGGCCAATTCAATCTCCTTCTGCAACTCAGCGTGAGCCTCGGGGACGTCGTTGAAAGTGAAGATCGCGACACCGAGGCGGCCGAGGAGGTAACAGCCGAAAACAATGAGCGCATAGAAGGGCAACTGTACAGTTTAAGCAAAGGGAGTGGGTTAGTCTTGATTGTTTGCGCGAGCGGTGATAAGGGCCGATTGCGTTGTCGCGACGTACCACGGGAATGATCTCGGTCTGGACGGTCTCGTTCAGGGGGACCAGGCCGAGGTAGAGGGAGAGGTAGAGCTAAGAAGAATATTAGCAGCGCATTCGGGTACGTTTCCGTATGAGTTTGGGAGTGAATGTGTCGGGCTTTCGACATACGGAGGAGACGAGGAGGAGGATGGAGACAGTCTGCTGAGCGCGTGTCATGATGAAGGTAGGGAGGGAGAGGGGTTGATAGAAATTGGATATTGAAAGAGAGCAAGGAAATAGGCGGATCGATAAGCGAATCAATACCAGATCCAATTGACCGAGAATGAAGGAGAGACGGGGTCGGGTAGTTGAGGTGTTGTGTTCGAGTCTCGAGTTGACGGGGGAAAGCCAGCTTGAGGTGATGCTTGGCAAGGCGGAAGTCCCGCCGTTAAGGTGTCGATGTTGATGGCCTGGGCTGTGGAGGGTCCAAAGTACAACTATACCTGGATAATTAATATCATGAATTAATTATAATAAATATTTCATTATTCTACTCTGTCTTACCTCTTCTACACATCTTCCAATCAATACTATCCCTCCAAACTACCAATCTGTCCTTGTCCCGCCAACTTGTCCACACCTTACCTAAACAGGGCGGGTGCCTGAATCCACCTCAGGCAGCCTCCGCGCGATTGGATCGCTTTCCGATCCAAAAGGTTTAGTGTCTCTCACCTCGAAGCCCTTCAGTTCACTCAAGTCCCTCGTGAACATATTCCAGGCTCCACCAGCACCGGTGTATGACTCAATTGTCACATTAGTGTACTCTTTTTGGCCCCTGGTTCTTTCATCTAGGCTCCTCGTCGTCTCGGAGGGTCTATATACCCGTCTGAGAAAGGAGCCTCAACACTCCACATCTGGTCAAAGCAATCGAAGGCAGCCATCACCACTCGCGGCTCAAAATCTAATCCAAACCAGGCACAGTATGGCTTCTTCGGACAGTATATCTAGGCCCATTGGTGCCGGGACAGAGGCTGCTCGTCAGCCCTCTGTCCCACCTACCGGCTTTGATTTGCCTTCCGTGCAACAAGTCTTCTCAGAATTGCCTGAATCTTCTTCGTCTTTGTCAGGCCGAGGTGCGGAGACGCTGGGCCTGGAAGAGCAAGAGAAGATGTTCCGTGCTCTCAGTGCGGTAATTGAGAATGCCGAGGCTGCAGAGGCGGGAAATGCCTTTGACCTCAAGGAATTGCATGCTTCGTTGGAACAGGCTGATGCTGATGCACGACGTGGCCGAAGAGATTCAGAGTCTTTGCAAAGTGTGCTGAAAATGCTTAACCAGCTTTGGGCTAGTGATTCCGAGTTTTTAGCACAGGCAGCTGAGGTTTTGGCTAACGGAAGTCGTGAACGTGAGTTTATCTTGCTTGTTTCTTAACTGGAATACGAACTGACAGACCTTTAGTATCATGGCGGGGCCCGATTGGGCAATCCGGGATTTTGAAATTCTTCCTAGAGGTCATCTCATCAAAGAAGGATGTGGACGTCAAATTGCTGCTCCATTCTTTGCGTTTGGTTGGCAATTCTTGCGCGGATACCAGTATGTTGATGTGACATGCATTTCCATCATTGGGGCTGTGTTAACGGAAATGTGGCAATGTAGATGAGAACAGGCAGATTGTCGTAGGGGGCTCCTACACTCTCGCTATTATCAGGCATTTCCTCAACCCTGAGTTGGTCCATGTCGCGATTCCAGTTATCTACAATATCTGCATGGACTATGGTGAGAACTTCTCTCAAGTTTCTTATAATCACAGCGGTCACTGACAAGCAAAAAGAGCCCGCACATGCCCAAATGGCTGAGAACCGAACGGCTTACATCATCCTGAAACTCCTTAAAGATGGTGTTATCAAGGACAACAGTGCTTTGCTCAGCTTCTCTTATGACCTCGTGGAGCTGGCTTCGGAACAAGGTAAGACATAAAAACTCAAGTTTACAGATAAAAGCTTACGCAAACTTGTAAAGCGCAAGGCATCGAAAACTCCCCTGATGGAACAATCTGGCTCCTCGCACAGCTGGCTCTGGAAGAAAGCGAGTTCGAGCACTTTTCATCGCTTGTGAACAGTCTCTCTGCTTACTTGGAAAAAGAGCGGTTCCAGGACGCCTGTATTTCAAACGGCATGGTTGAGGACGTACTGTCCGTTCTTCGCCGGTCCTTTTCCATTGAGATCGATGAGACCTCAAAAGACGAGGTTTCAGGTCTCGCCCAGATCAAACTTAAGATCAACCAGGCCCTAGCTGAGGTTTCAGCTTCTTCGTTATTCGCGGAACACTATCCGCTTGACTCGGCCCTGGCGCAGACATTAAAGTCATGGATTGTTGCAGATGAAGACCAGCTTCAGGTCTGTGCATGTGTCATGCTCGGAAACCTGGCTCGATCTGATGAGGTCTGCCAAGTGATGGTGCGGGACTTGAAGATCCACGAAGAATTGATCTCCGTCCTTGAGAGCGGCTCTCGCGGTGCGGTTCTTCACTCTGCACTTGGTTTCTTGAAGAACCTTGCGATCGCCGGTGACAACCGCATCAGCCTTGCGGAAGCTGGAATCATCCCGGCTGTATCCCGGCTGTGGGCCTTTGAGTCCGTTCCACAGGTTCAATTCTCTGCCGCGACTATCGCCCGCCAGGTTACTATCGCTTCTGTGGAGAATATCTCATGTCTATTGGCTCCACTGTCAGAAGACCCGGATTCTCCTGCTCACAAGCGGACCTATCTTTCCCTGCTCTTGTCTCTCTTTGAGAAGACCGACTCTGCACCTATCAAGACGGAAATCGGCCGCACCGTGGCTTCTATCTGCCGAACAGTCTCTCCCAAAGCTCGCGATGGAGATGAAGCCGCGAAATCGCTGCTGGAGAAACTATACACCCTTCACGAAGGCGTCGCTCGACCTATTGGTGCGATGATTACTCAAACTCAATGGCCCGTTGTCCGAAGTGAGGCCTGGTTCGCTTTGGCATTGATGGCAAACAGCCAATCGGGCTGTCTGGCTGTGATTGACTGCCTGCACAACGAAGAGGTTGCGATGCTACTCAAGAAGACTCTCAGTGGGGAGGCTTCTACTTCAGATGCTTCGGATGACTCTAGCGAGCCGAATGTCACCCAAGTGACCAAAGATCGCGATAACGCTTTTGTTCTCGTGCAGGAATTATTGAAGAACGAGGTAAGGCCTCCATTCTCCGGGTTTAGTTGGGTTTATACTAATTACATGACAGGCTGGCGCACTTCCAAAGAGCTATCGTGAGGCTATAGAAGATCTAGCAAAGAACAGCTCATTACGACAGCTGAAGGGTACGCAGGATGCTTGAGGATTCGGCTCGATTGAGTACATAATGACTATGACATGATGTGACTTTCAATTCAAATTTCCTGGGGGACTTTCGAAAGCAACATAGAGAGTGATTCATAGAATGCTGCAAGAAGCAATTTTATTATCACCAATAGCAAGAAGATTATGTCTCAAAAGCAAGCGAAGATATCTCCCCCGTTTGTTCGGGGTATTAGCCATGTATCAGGGTGAGTTTGAAGCTTCGGAATCTCAGATAGACGTGCAAGCCAAGTTAAGTGTCTTTGCGAAAGACTCGTCTCCAGCTGGATACGAATCCGTTTCGAGGTATACCATTGCTACCATCTGACGGTGCGGAATATGGCGGAGGAGAATCCCTGGGCGTTGCCTCTTCGAACTTGGCCTCCTTAGACGTGACCCCGTCGAAAGTATCCTCGTTGGACGTAGCCTCCTCGGAAGTAGCCTCTGATGCAGAGCCATTCAGCTCAGTATCTTCAGATGCTACTACGCCCTGAGGTCCTGGAATCTTCGGCCGGTCCAAAAAATACCCTCTTGCCAGTTCCAAGGCATAGAATGGGCTTCGGCCCCAAAGTATTTCCTCGAAATCCCGCCTATTTTGCTCCTTTTCTTTCCCTGTCAGCTCAAATCCTCGATATTGAATGCAACATTCGCATTCAACTATACAGTGTCCGATACCCTTCTTTCTTTGCGAAGATGCAGAACGTTTCCTGCAACAACCGCATCCACGGCCGCAGCAACACCCTCGACTCTCACAATCCTCCACTAACGGAGAGACCATATACCACTCTGGATCTTTTTTTTGAAGAGCTGTCTTTCTCTCAGTTTAGTGTCTATTGAATTTTCAGCTCGATGAAGCTCCTGTTCTTGATGCCACCATTTCCTCTGCAGAGCTTTGATTTCTTCTTTCAGATGTTGGACTTGTGCTTTGGCTTTTTCATCTTTGCGATTAATAATTATCCGCTCTCTTTGGACCCGTAACTTTTCTTTCAGACTGTCCTCTCGTTGAGTAATCTCTTGAAGCCTGGCGCGGGCGATTATAATGTTAATCAATTTGGAAGACTCATAAATCCCGACTTGCTTGTTTTCTGTATCGTAATAGGTGAACCGCCTTGTGAGCTCTGGCTTTCTCGACATCTTGTGGGTCGACTTTCTCGTACTCCCATACTTAGACTTGGAAGGACATTCTGAACTGCTATAGTGAGTAGGCTGAGGAGTGCAGACAATGGTGTAAAGTGAGAAAGACCAGAATATCTTATGACCAGAAAGAATTACGTCTTGATTTACAAAATTCCTTGTTGCCACTCACTTCGGATGCTCAAGTTTGTCGACCGCCATCATAGAGAGCAGCCGACCAGAACTGCTTGGAGCTACTATACTTCTTTTGCATTATTTGGTGCCTCTCTAGTGGCCGCTACTATTTTTGGTTGGATCTTTACCCTATCCATATACTCTATTATCTGTTATGTCAATCTACTATGCCCGCTATTTATTCAGCCAAGTTGAAACCAAGCTTCTAGCTTGAATCTAAATCTTGATACGGAGATAAATGATTATTACATCTTCCCCCCATCTCATCTTCTGATTAGGCACATGGAAAAATGACGTGAATATTACGTTCCTATATGTTCAAAATTTCTATATATGCATACAATCGTCACATAATCTCCACAACCAAAATCCCTTTCAAACATGCTTTTTCAAGTCAGATCACATAGTCTGTCGGCAAACCCTCTCCTGTGCATAGGCACGATACCGCTCCAGAAGATCCGTCGCATCCAAGCCATCCGCACCCAATCGAGCCGAGTAATGCGATACCAGACCCTTGCCGTCGATCGTGACGTTCGGACGAGAGCCGTCGGCCGCAGTCCATGACTTCGATAATTCTTCATTGGATTTATGACCGAAAATCTCCCCCAAAGCCTCGGCGTCTTTGCCCCAGAAACACCCAAAACTGCTACTGACAGGCTCGGTCGGGTTCACCCACATCGGGAATTTGTATCGGCTCAGAGTATCCGATTCCAGGTGATCGAGGAACGAGTAGTGCTGCTGAGCACTAACTGTCCAATCTTGCAGAGTCGGGCCCGTTTCTGTGTAAACGGAAGATGCGATGGGGTCTCGGTCTGAGCTTGCACCAGCTGGTAGTAGCCATCGATGGCCCTGGAATGGTGGTTGGAATCCTTTTTGAACTCTGAAGCTAGCGGGCCCTTCCCATTGTGGAAGACTCGATGCCCTCCAGTCGCTGCTGAGTTGGGATTTTGACCGAGAGGGCTGCTCAACGTGGTGCAGTTCTGGAAGATATGGTAGAGCAACTCCTGGATGACTATGAAGAGAAGAGAGGGCGCCTTCGTTCACGACATTTGCAGAAACCATCATCGCGTCGGGGTTATCCAGTTTCGTTTTGACAATCGTGGGGATAGTGTGGTCTTCTAAGAAGACGACATCTCCGTCAATGCGAATATACATGACATTTTCTTGCGCGAACTTCCAGTCCATATCACGACCAGATAGAGAGATGGCGTATTCTGGGGTTTGCCGCACTAAAGAATTGAGCCATTGTCGGCTGACCGCGTCTTCTGTCTGAGGAATGAAAATAACCTGATCCAGGAAACCATGATTGTGGACCAAATTTTGCTACATATTGGTTAGTTCGAGGGTCGCTCATCCAGTCGACAAGGGTAAACTCACCTGTAGGTAACAGTCTAGAATAGCAGTGCGCTCGTGGTAATCGAAAGGAACCAGAGCGACTATCTTGAATCCGTGTGGCTTTGGGAAATGGCCCGAGCCACGCGAAAATGCAAAGAATGGAGAAATGTCCTTATTGAAAAACAAAGATGTCGGGTCGAATGGCAGTAGAGACGGATTGTAATAGCCGAGAACCGTCAAGATGATGCATAGGTAGCCCAGCAGACTCCATGATAACACGACCATCCAGTCACGCCACGTACAAAGCTCCTCGTCATCGTGGTTAGCCTCGAGATCGTCCAAATTCTGTGAGCGGCCCATAGTGAAGGAACCGGACACAAGCCCACTAGCTAGTAGTCTTGAGGAATATTGAGAAGTAAAACTCCATCATGAAGTGTAGGGTCACCTTCGCCCATTTAATTACTACGCAAGATTTTGGCCCGTTTCATCGATCTATAGCTTCTTTGTCCCGTTTTCGGGGGTAGCAGGACCCTCGAAGGGACATGAAACCGCTGCAAAGAACCCATGATCGACGGATGAACACTGGCCTTCCCTTTGGCTGAATGATTGGTAGGGTTAATCCGGAAATGGAAAGGCTTCGATAGGTGGAAAACGGACAAAGCGACAGTCGAAGAATGCGCCCTGGAATGTGGAGACCCTGGGCTTTGCGACCGCCGGTCCCTACAGCAAAACCCTCGAAAATATCATTGTCTTTGAGGCTGTGTAGATCTGAGATATATCGAGTCTATTGGATGTGTTTAAATTTAATTACTTAATCCGTAGGACTTGAGGGTTGTATCGTTCACGACAAAGGCCGTGGTGGCGTTTGTATAGTTCAAAATGGGTAGATAATGATTTTCCCCTCATTTTATGATTATCACCCTCTAATTTCTGAGATAATTGAATCATTATGACCTGATTTTGAAGACAATTTCTTGTTTACCACTTGAGACTAGATCATCTCGATTTAAAATGGCTATTGTAAAACATACACAATAAGCTTATGCATCCTCGGCCCACGGAACCTGTTTCGATGACGTCGCAACACGTGCCAGTTATCGGACCTGTTATCGCTCGCCGCTCACCTTCTTCCTCCATGAACCACGATTGACCATGAGGGCCGTCCTCCTAGGCCGGCTCTGTCTAAGGCGCGGCTTTACACAATTACCGCGACGTACATTTACACAATCATGGCGTGCACCCGCCAAGCGCATTCCCAGAAGGGCGCCGGTCGTCGGCGGGCTGGTCATGGCCGCGCTCGCGCCGAGCGCATTCCTCAAGCTCGCGGAGGACTCGGATGGTGATGAGAAGACGGGCGAGATGCAGATGCTGGAGGCTTCTCGTGAGGAGATTCGAAAGACTGTTTCGAAAGATGCGAGGGGCCTTGCGCGGCTTTGCCAGTCACTCCGTGTGTTCTGGTACTACTTTGTCTATGATCCCATTGCGACTGGGTTCCGGTTCCTTCATCTTGCTGTCATTTTCATACCCGTGGTTGTCACAGTGCCAGTTATCTGGATTGGTCGGAGAGTTGAGGGAAGCAATAATGCGCAGACCGGCACGATATGGTGGTATCGATTTTTAGTCAATGCTATGGAGCGTGCAGGCCCTGCGTTTATCAAGGTAGGTTATTCGGCATTGATTCGTCCCCAGCACCATTCAATGGCAGATCTCTGACTTTGTATTCTTTCCTGAATAGCTCGGACAATGGGCCGCTTCCCGCACCGATATATTCCCACCGGAGATGTGTAACATCATGTCCTCACTCCACTCAAATGCCCCCGCCCACTCACTCGAAGATACAAAACGCATCATCCGAAAAGCTTTCAACGGCATGCCTTTCGAAGACATCTTCGAAGAGTTTCATGAAGAACCTCTCGGGGTTGGCGCCATTGCCCAAGTGTACAAGGCCAAGCTCAAGCCAAGCTTGGCTACTAGCGCCCAGGAACTGGGACAAGAACCCATCACATTAGGAGAGAAGGTGCGGAAGAACATGGATGTGCTGGTGAAGAGCTCACCACAACGAGTCCCGTCGTCATATGTCGCTATCAAAGTCCTGCACCCCAAGGTCGAGAAGATGATTCATCGGGACTTGCGAATTATGGGCTTCTTCGCCTCTTTGATCAATGCTATCCCAACCATGCATTGGCTTTCTTTCCCCGATGAGGTACAACAGTTTGGTGAAATGATGAAACTCCAACTGGACATGCGCATTGAAGCAACCAATCTGGTCATTTTCCGCGATAAATTCAAAACTCGCACAACGGCCTGGTTCCCGTATCCGTACATGGATTACACCACCCGGGAGGTGCTGATTGAAGAATTCGCTCAAGGTGTCCCATTGGCAACTTTCTTGGATATCGGCGGAGGTATATTCCAACATGAAATTGCCAACGAAGGACTTGATGCATTTTTGCATATGCTTTTGATCGACAACTTTGTGCATGCCGATCTGCATCCAGGGAATATCATGGTTCGCTTCTACAAACCTAGCGAACTCGACCTGTCACTTCGAAAGCACTCTCGCGCCACTGAAGCTCCTACTCGCGCAGAAGTAGACGTGACTGAGGCTGTTCTGGCGCGCTTACGCCCGCATATGGGCGACAAAGCCGCCTGGGAGTCTGCGCTGGCCAAACTCAACGACGAGGGATACCGTCCCCAGTTAATTTTTATCGATACGGGCCTCGTCACTCAACTCAATGATACTAATCGACGGAACTTCCTGGATCTCTTCAGGGCCATTGCCGAGTTTGATGGTTACCAGGCTGGGCATCTGATGGTTGAACGGTGTCGTACACCCGAGGAAGTCATCGAACCAGAGATCTTTGCATTAAAGATGCAGCATTTGGTACTAAGTATTAAATCTCGCACATTTGCCCTTGGCAATATCAAGATTGGCGACGTCCTGAGTGAAGTCCTCACAATGGTCCGTGGCCACCACGTTCGATTCGAAGGTGACTTTGTCAACGTCGTCATTTCTTGCCTCCTTCTTGAAGGAATTGGCCGAAGCCTTAATCCTAATCTAGATCTTTTCCAGAGGTGAGTACTTCTTTGCTGTCCCGGTGTCCTTCTCGTCGGGTTCTGGAGCTAATTTTCATTGCTAGTGCCCTTCCAATTCTTCGACAACTTGGTACTGGCCAAACGTTCTTGCAGACGGTGCGTTCGGGCGACACATCGATGCTTCGGGTCTGGGTTGGCTTAGAAGCTCGTGGGTTGCTGCAGGCCAGCATTGAAAGCGTGGAACGGTGTGTCAAGTATGATTTGCTGTCACCGAATATCTGAGAATAGACCATTCTTGTTTTATACTATAGAAACCTTCTTGCACACGAGAACTCAATGGCATGATACCTTTTAGAGTAATATCGTTTGGGTAAGACTACTACCACCCCCTAGATTTGCCGCTCGCACCCCTTTAGATCCTGCTAAGCCCATCATAAGTATAAGTATTTTTCAGAAGGTGGTCATCTGGGTCTTCAGCCGGTGTGATTAATTTCAGAAAATAAGGACCAAGGAGGCGACATGTATGATGGACCTCGCCTGGTGACGAGTTTTACAAGACTAATGCTTAGAGCCCGTGTCCTTAGAGCCTAGATGACCTAGGTACCATCCCGGAACTAGCCGCCATATTATCAGGAACAAGCATCTCAGTTGCGTCTCGCACACGATCAGCTAAATCGGCAGCAACCAGGCGCAAAGTTTGATACACCCTTTCCCTAAGTTCCGCCCGAGTCTGAGCCAGGGACTTGGACATATTGACCACAATACTGTTCTGAAACTCTGCACTTCGTAGTTTAGGCAGAACATTCCAGAAATCTCTCGGGTACTTATAGTCTAGCTCGTTTGGCTGAGACCAAGCCTGAGAAGAAGTTTGGGCTAGCCATGTGTCAAGCTCGGTAGTTGGGGTTGTTTTCGCATCAGCTGCACTAGGGCTGGGCTGGTTATCTGATAATTGCTGGAGGTTCGCCCCTAGCCGGTACCGTTGGGCATCGGGGTATGCGAATAAACGCGCTTGCAGAATTGGATCCTCCGATGGTTCGACCCCAGGAACGAGATTCGAAGGGGAGAACGCTAGTTGTTCGATTTCCGTGAAAAACGACTTGGGGTTTTGTGTCAAGGTCAACTTCCCAAACGGACGAGGAGGGATAACCGGGATATCCTGTGGATAACTCGCCAAGTTCCAATGCTTAGTTGAATCGAGAATATTGAATGCCAACTCAGGGGCGTCCTTGGGATCCACAACCTGTACATGCGCTGTCCAACTAGGATATTCACCCCGTTCAATAGCGTTGGATAGATCCCTAGTCGCCGAGTCCATATCTCCAACAGTGGCGTCGACCTTTTGGCCACTCGTGAAGTCAGGCCCCTGATCAGAGGTGAAGAAGAAGTGAACATATTTCCAAGATCCATCTCGCTTTACCCATTTGAACGCGTGGCCTACATACCCGCTCATGCCACGATAATTGAACATATCACCAAAATCGCTGTACTGGAACACCACCATATGTAAGGCCTCGTGGTTGTTGCATACCCAGTCCCACCAGAGATTCGGGTCCACAAGGTTTGTCTGCGGATCTCGTCTTTGTGCGTGCATCATGCCCGGGAACTTCATAGGATCCCGGATAAAGAAAAAGGGAATGTTAAGGCACACCCAGTCCCAATTGCCTTGCTCTGTGAAGAATTTCACAGCCATTCCCTTGGGATCGCGAATTGCGTCTGCTGAACCACGCTCAAAGGTCGTTGTAGAGAATCGAGCGGTGCAAGCCGTTTTCTTTCCCACACCGAGGAGCATGTCGATGTCACATATGTCCGAGATGTCGTGTGTTATCTAAAAAGAAGTTTCACCCTCGTTAGAATTTTGGATATTGCTTGGTTGGTGAAAGTGGAGATATACCTCGAAGACTCCGTGCGCGCCTGCGCCCTTTGCATGAACTACTCGCTCTAGGGTTTTCTCCCTGTTGAAGGATGATAAAGCGTCGAAAAGTCGGGAGTCGGTATACGGAGGATCCTTCTTTTCCTTCTGCGACCACTCTGGTTGCATTGAGGGGCTGAGTTTACAACCGGGGGTAATCTTAGTTTCCATAGCTAAGAGGTTCCAGAGCTTGATTTCCAAGAATGAAGATGGGATTCATGAAATGTATATAGTCAGCTTTGAATCCTCGTCCAGTGGGCGGCGACCCGGAGATATATACCTGTTTAAAGGAACGGTGGAATGATGAAATGCGAAGGTACTTTCAATCACATACGCCTTAAGCTAATGCATCAACTAACGGTTATTCTCTATACTGTCGCAGTAATTAATTTACTGCCTGAAGTCGGCGGTGTTCATAAATACATTATCTTTAAATTTGTAGTGCGACTCTATCTGATTGTCCCGTAGGTGACACACACCGCTTCGTCTTTCACGGGGATAACTAGGTGTATTTTAGCTCAAACCCCGCTGATTTTGGACGTGACAAGATGGGATACACACTAGTCCAAATTTTACTAGGCGCCATCCGATTGTTTGCTCATAGTAAGGCAGTGAAACCTCAATGGGTCCATGCACTGTGGCCTACCAACATATTCTGTGCTGAATCATTTCTGGGCTGCATAACTAGGTGGCTAGGCTATTCCATGGTTGATTCTTCCTGCTAAAGCTTTAGGCCCCGCTTGCTGATGTACACTCCCTGGGCACATATTAGCCGATAAAAATCAATAGTGCCGGTTTAGCTCATTCATACAACGCCTAGGTTATTAGGCCAAAAATACAAGGAGTTGAAACTAACTCCTACCCTACTCATTAATAGCTAATTATCTCAGCGTAAACGGGAACCAACCAAAAGAAATCATTGAATCGCTAGCTAGACCTAAGCTCGCCGCTAATTCATAGCTTAGAACGTATATAGCCACTTGGTGTGTAATGAAGCTGTGCCGCTTCATCTAACGCATGAACAACATCCTTAATATCCTCATCTGTTGTCTCCGGGTTAATTGTACACATACGCAGACTGACCACACCAGTTAACCGACTAGTAAGAATGACGGCAATGTTTTTATCAATCAGATCCTTCGATATTCGGCCATTCACAATATCCATGTAAGGAGCTGGCTCGCCTTCCGGCATAAATCGAAAATTGACAATACCCATAGTAGCAGGCGATATGATTTTCCACCCCAGGAGTTTACTGAGCTCCCTCTCAGCCAGCTTTGATAGATGAAACCCCCGAGAAATCATCTGGTCGATCCGTTCCATGCCCAAGGCCTGTAGAGAAAACCACAACCTCATGTGTCGTGCCGGCCGGGTTAACTCGATTCCATAATTCCATAGATCTGGTAGGTCCTCTCCCTTGTCGAGATCTACCAGAAAATGTGCTGTGGGTGTTTTAAAGCTTGAGAGTGCGGTTGTTGCATCGCGAAAGACCACAGCGCCGCATCCATGAGTCTGGAATAACCACTTGTGCGCATCCCACGCGATACTATCCGCGTTACTAAGCCCACTTACAAGCGAGCAATGCGTGGATGAGAACGCGACAGATCCACCATACGCCGCATCGACATGTAACCAGATATTATGGAGGCGTGTAGTCTTCCCGATCTCATATAGGGGGTCAATGGCACCGCTCCCTGTTGTTCCACACGTTCCAACCACAAGGAACGGTCGTCTTCCATCTCGTATATCCTCCAGGATTGTCTCGCTAAGCTTATCGGGATTCATTCGGAACCCTGCGTCAGACGGGATGACACGGACATTGCCTAGCGGTATGCCAATGATTCGAAGCGCTTTGCGAACGGAGAAATGGGTTTGGTCGGAGATGTATGCAATTCCCTTCGAGCGTCTTGCTTCGCACTCGCCGAGAATTTGGTCCCGCGCTACAATTATAGCCGTGAGAGTTGCCATTGATGCCCCGGAGACAAAGTGTCCACCAGCGGAAGTTGGGAGACCGAATCTCTGTGCAATCCACTCTATCAATGACGACTCCACTGTACAGACGCCTGTCCCAGCCTCCAAACTTCCTCCGAACGGATTGAATGCGGATGTCATTGCGTCTCCGAGCCAGGAGACTTTGGATGCTGGGGAGGGAACACATGAGAAGAACCGAGAATGGCCGACGTTGAACCCGTAGGAGAATATATCCTGAGCGTCTTTCATCACGTTTTCAATTGGCCTCGGATGGTGTGGAGGGAGGGCACTTTTTTTGAGCCACGAGAGCTGCTCCGGACAGGGCCGTCGAGTGATTACGCTCTTTGAGGGTGGCGGCCGAGGGGGAACTGACCCCATGTATGAATTGTGATGCATTATGTTGCCGGGAAGACAGATGGTCCTAGGTGAAGGGGCGTATGGAGTAGGCACTGTGGATATAGATCTCTAGATAGCCCTAGAAAGAAAGGGTCATATATAGCAATCAATACGCCTAGGCAAGCATTACCTATTGAGCGTACACGTCGTCCTCACATACACTCTCTGGTCACAGATTTACCCGATAAAATCAATAGTGCACTTTTATCTCATCTGTGTCTGAGCTACCAGATCAATCTTACCTAATAAAAGCCCTATAAAACACTGTTACATTTCAAAGATTTCAGTTATGCAGCGCTAATGCACTGGTAGAGTATCGAGTAATCTGTGGCCAGAGTCGGGAGTATAGAATCGACCAGCTTAACGTTTTGCATAAGGATGGCTGATTAAATGCGCACTAGGCAACTAGGATCTCCTAATCACAGGGTAACATCTTACACTCTCTGGCCACAGATTCGCCGATAAAAATCAATATGCACTTTCAGCTTATTTGTATCTTAGTTACCAGATCAATCTTACCTCTCTATAACCCATAATAAAAGTCTTGTAAAGTACTGTTAACTTTCAAGATTTCCAGTTATGCAGCGCTAATGCACTGGTGGAGAATTAGCAAATTTGTGGCCAGAGTGTGTTCATATATTGGTAAACATCCCTTGAGGTTGCCTTAGCCGCCAAGATTGTCTGTACCCTTGTCTCGTACATGAAGCTACTGCGGTATTCTCTTTCTCGAAATTATTTCCAGCCGACATAGGGCCTTGGCAAAAGTACAGTCATTCGCTAGACGATCGGTGATAGATATGGAAGTACTCAGCTGCTCATGCAGGCCCCTCTCTCACGTAAGATTCGTGCTCCTCTTCCTTTCTTTGTTACACAAGACATGATGTCCCCGCATTTCAGTTTAGGCTATACTTAATTCCTCTGATCAGGATATGGTCGATTTGGATGGGAGAGTGTGAGATATATTGAATGTTTCGACATTGATTTTTGAGGTTTCCTCAATAAACAGTTCTGCCACGATTTTTTACCAGCCCTATACCCTGCATAGTAGATACCTTTGCAGAAGACCCTCCTGGACAGCAATATAGCATTTAAGCTGGGGATTGATCTTTGAGGAAATCAATCTGGCCACTCTAACGCCGCCACTACCGTCAAAAGAAAAAAGAATGACAGACTGTGTTCAAAAACCAAGCGTAACTATTTCCTTCCATCTCCTTTGAAGACAAATCATATTTATCATCTCTGACTATAATAACATACTAGGGGTTGCCAGACGCTGGAGCAGACTGCCTGTGGGAGAGGCTAACCCGTTGGCATAAAAGTCAAGGACCAAATGAAGACTTCTGGGGGCAACTAACCGGGCCACCGTTAGCATTACTGCTGAGGGAAGCAGGATATCCTATTCAGCAGCAAGCCGAAATTCTACAATTCCATCGCCAATGGGTTGTAGGTGGTCTCCCTGTGTAGAGAATAGCAGCGATAACAAATAAATACACCGCTGACCCTCAGACGTTCTAGGTGCCGACCCTTGGCCCTGCGCCAGATTCCAATGGCAACTTCGAATGGCAGACAATTCTCAACCCGAACGGGATTCCCCTCGAGTACGCATGGAATTGGAATACCCCAACCGACAAACCCCAAGTCCGTACTTCCTGGGAGCCTATTGGTCCTCAGGCTGGAACCGAGTTTGATCCACTAAACCAGTGCTTGCATGGAGAATACCTCGATCGTCTTGCGAAAGTCATCCCGAACACGGACTTGAGCTGGACCGCTCCCCTGCTGTCCTCTCTGTTTATCCCGGACAAGGATGCTTATGTACAAGCCAGAGGACCAAATGAACGGCCGTCGACCTCGCTCGTCGCCGGTATGGAATTCACCCATCCCGGCGCCTTTCGTGCAAAAAGCTACTTTGTGCCTAGGCTGCCCGGTCAACAACCGCCACTGCCTCTCTCCCATTGGACTGGGGCTCTTGATACTCTGATGCCGAATAATAAGATGGCGGTTCTCAAAGACTTTCTCACCACAAACCCAGAGGGAAAGCAACTGCGGCCATATATGGTCGCGATAGATCATCATGCGGGTCCCTCCGGCTCGAGGCTCAAATGGTACATGAAGACCGCCAGTACCAGCTTTTGCTCTGTACGAGAAATCATGACACTAGGCGGGCGAACCTCGAACCTCGATCGCGAACTCGATAGCCTCTATGGTCTAATCAAGAAACTTGGCCACCTACTAGCCGATCATCCTGAGGAGAGCGAAACGGTAACTCCAACTAGCGAAAAGAAGAACTTCTTGGGCCTCCCATCGACCGCACACTACTTTTACTATTTCGATATTGCTTCTTACTCCGAGCTCCCATGCGTTAAGATTTACCTTCCCCTGCAGAACTACCGCAGTAATGATCTTGAATTGGCACACACGATTATCGATTGGTTGGAGACCCAGGGAAGGGGCTTTTACGGTGAGAATTATCTGCGCATGTTGCAGGGCCTGGCCGAAGGCAAGCTGGATGAGTGTCGGGGTTACCATACCTTCTTCAGTTTCGCAGTCAAAGGAAATGGGAAGATAGACGTTACCTCATACCTCGCGCCATCTCTAGGCCTTGGTGCGAGTGGATCTTGAATCTAGATCCCTCGCTCCATTCCTGTTTTATCTCCTCTTGCTATTGATTCGGGACTTTGCTTCAAAATTTCTGATGCCAAATTCTTATGTTACCCTCGCTAGTCCTTAGTATACTATCAATTGGTACGATACGCCATAAGGCTAGGTTCAAGTAAAGATAAACCACACAGAACCTCTAGTAGTTGAGGGGTAGATCTGTACACGGGTAGACCGTGCTAAGGATAATCTAGATACCTACTATACCATCAAGATGACTGGATGGATATATAAGGTTACTCATTTAACTCACATGTATTTAGTTCTTCGCCTATAAGTCGTACTGTTACCAATCTAAAACAGGATCGCTAAACCTGACATTAACACTCAGATCGATGATAGTCGTGATGGTTATGATTATCAGAGTCACGATTTATAAGCGCATTCCTAGCGGGGCTTCTTAGGAGGAGATTATTAGTTCTGGCTAAACTACCAATACGCGAGCAAGTTATCCTAGTCAAATTAAACTCTATAGGAGCGTCGACGACCCGGTAGTTCTGAATAAAAGAGGTAATAAACCTTTTGCACTGGTTTTAGACGAGGTAGTCGAATATAGGAAATACCCACGCAACTCCGAGGCTAGCTATTGAAGAATACAGGCGAAAGTGAACCCGGTATGGGCAAGGAAGACAACATATACTCCCATGGTGTATAGAACCCGGGGGAAGAAGAATAAAGAAATATCGAAGGTCATCAAAACAGCCCCCAGAACGCCTGTGCCATGTCTATAGAATTTTACAAAGGGTGAGTGGAGAAGCATCGAACTTCAACGCAGACTTGAGAGACTTTTAGTGGCCATGACTCTGGCCAGGTTCACGGACAGCACCGCCACTGGCTCTCCACCAGACATCACCACCCCATCGCATCAGACGCTCAACGGCAGCGGTGGGGGAGTCCAGAGCAGGACGAATGTCAAGGAAGAAGACGGGCTCGCCGTTGGGCTCAGGGTCGCCGGAGTAGTAGTCGATCACGTAACGGACCTCCTTAGGACCCGAGGGAGTTTGACGCTGAACGAACCAGTCGTGGCGGTCAAAGGGTGGAGGGGAACTAAAAATCAAATGAGCATATGTTTCCAAAGACCTGCAAAGTCAATACATACTCGAATTTGGTAGGGTACACCCATCCAAGAGCCTGGAAGATGCGGGCCTTGGGAGTCAACTCCTTGGGCCGGCCTTGGAATCTGATCAGACGAGGCTCAGTCGCCTGGTCAATGTTGCCCGTCATCTCATCTCTCATCAGCTGGTAGTTCAGGTTCTCCTCGCCGCGGCGGCACCGCTCCCAACCAGCCCCGAGACCCTTGGCGAACGTACGCTCCCACCCAATGATCTCGTTCCAAGCACCCTCGTTCAGGAAGTTGTGAACAGCAACCATAGACTCCACCGCATCCTGAGGTGTATCCGTGTATCCTTTGCGCAGCATTGCGTTGTACATCTGCTGCGCAGAAGGGTATTCCCAGTTACCCTGGGAGTCACCCCGAGGGATCGAGGACGTCTCACGGTCAATGGAGAGGTCAACGGTCTGCTGGGGTGCGCGCTCCTGGGAGATCGAGGAGAACATGTAGTTCAGAGGGTTCAGCTTGGACAGGGTCGATTGCTGGGGAGCGGGAGCGGGAGCGGCGGGCGCTGGAGGAGCTTGCGAATCCGAGGATTTCGGTGCTGCGTAGAAGGGCGAGTCCTTAGCTTTGGACATTGGGCAGTTACTGGGAGGCTCGGCAGCCTGGGGGGCTGCGGCAGGAGCAGCAGCTGGCGCTGAACCCGACTCGTGCATCGGGCATCCGGGCTGTCGATAAGGGTCAGTCGCGAAACAATCATTTCTCTTGGGAAAGGATCATACAGGGATAGCAGCGCCAGGTGTTGTTGGGTGTGGCGCAACAGGCGCCTTTGACTGCGTATCGGCCCAGAACCAACCCATTTTGGAATAAAATTAGAAAATTGTAGAATGTCAGACGTGTACAGGATAAAATCGCAGTTCGCGATAAAAGATCGGGGAGAAAATCGCGGAGATGACATAATGTGCACGTGATCTCTGTCGGCTTCCCGATGCCGAAGTATACTCCCCGATCTTCGCGATACATCGAGATGCATGTACAGTTCACTTAAACTCTTCGTTGTTTTTCACTTGCTATATTGCCAGCTCCCACTTTTTGAAAAATAACCTTGCAAGATGATCCACATTTACAAACCCCAACGAGACATTCCGAGCCTGCTTCGCCTATGCAAAACGTACCGAAGACTAAAGAGCCAAATTCTTGATTCAGTCCGCCCATTATCAATACAGTTACATTCAACCGTTTGAGTTGTACATGGGTTGACAAGAGAGAGTTCATATAACACAAGTGGCCTAACGCCAACCCTTCATGATTCATCCGCCGAGACCACGTATCCTGCCATCGCCTCATCCCAGATAAACCTCCATTCCATGCGATGGAGAGCGGGAAGATAAAAGTAATCAGACATGATCCTCGAGACTTGGTCCCAGCTCTGCCACTCGCAGATCATTGCAACGCGGGCCAGCCGCTCCACGAACCACGGTCTATCGGCTCGACCGGCCGATCCTTGTGCCCCAACAAATAAGGCCCAAGCGAATAATCCGAAGTTTTCCTTTGGCATGGTGAGAAGAAGGGAGAGTTTGCAGTTCTCTACGGCAGAGACGATGTGGCTTGTGAGTGCCCGGCCGAGACCGGATGAAGGGGGTGAGACGATAAGAAAGTTGTTTAGGAAGCCGATTGCAGCCACTCGTGTGACTGCCTCGACGGGGTGGATGTCTATAGTGAGTTGAGAGGTGCTTGTTGTTTCCTGATTTTCAGGATAGATATAACTCAGCAGCTGATGTTCTGCTTCGCAATTTAGCACTCGGAAGAAATGGTTATCAGCCGGCTGAAGTGCTTCGGGTTTCGTTTGCACAGCGATGCTGTAGTAGATAATATCCCGTATCACGTGTAGAATGCGGATGAGTTGGGAGCTTAGGAGAATGTTCGAAAAGAATCCAGAGCCAAGTTGGTGGGCTGGCGAGGAATCTGGAGGTTGTATTCGCTGCTGAATATCCTGGGGTACGGGCTGCGCGTCCCAAGTGAGGGGAAAGACTGGCTTGACCAGTAGGCCAGAAGCGGCTTTTACATCGGTGCTGGAGACTGGTGTTAGCCGAGTTATATCAGATAGCAGTTGGTAAGGACATACGTGATGATTGCAGACAACATTGAAGCAGAACGTATGCTTTCATCTGTGATACCGCCACGCAGCTCTACCATACGCTTGAGACCGGTCAAGTGGATTCGAGCTTCGTCAAACAGCCCAGCAATTAACTGTGCAATATTAGCAGAAATCCAATATCGAATTCAAAACTCGCAGGCGGAGACGTACCGAGCCCGTGAGCAAATTTACAATCGTATCGAATGCCTCATCACTTAGTGCGCGTTTAGGATCTCGCATCTTGGCGTTCATTTCTCGAATTGATTTCGCTTTCATGATACAGAAATCGGGATCGTCCACAATCGAATTTGAGCGAGCAGATCTTGATGCATCAAATCGATCAACTGAAAGAATGGCCCGATGCGCCGCACACATGGTCATCAGGCCGAAGAAGCTCCCGGGATCTGAAAACGAGGATCGAACCATCAATTCTACCTCACGAGACTCTTGGCCATTGAGCTCACTAGGGAACGTCATCGGTACAAAGACAGATTTCCCTGGGCAATGTGTTAGCTCCTATATAGATCAATCGGAAGCGATGAATATCACGAGCGAAGCTACTACTGACAGTAGTAAACCAGATGCGCAACCATAGAAGGTAGCTCACTGGTCCCTGGGAGTGAGCAAAAGGGATCAAAGAACCACGAGTTTGGTAATAACCGCGGATTGGGGTTCCATTGCGGCGTCAATGGGTAACCAGCACTCCATCTTGCCGGTCGACCTCGTCGAGGCTTGGAAGAGACATAGGTGTTGTCGTTCTCGGCGTCAATCAGGGATGAAGAAGCTGACGAGGCAGATGCCGATCTTAGGGTGAGTCTTTGCTCCTTGGGCTCATCGCCCGACTTGCCCTGCGATTTCGCCGCAGCTTGCTGGCTCCGGCTATCGCGTTTAGAAGTTCGTTTAAGCCCAGCCAGTCTCTCACGACGGCGCACATCTCGCATGACATGGGAGCGGATGGCCTTGCGGGCATTGACATCTTTGATTCTCTTTGATGTCAAGTCATCGTCGTGATCAATAAAAGTAAAAGATGGCCGATCCAGCGGCGCAGCGGGGTTCGAGGATTTATCTGGAGTCGAGGATTAGCACAAAAGATTTGATGAATAGAACTGCATGGTGAACTGTTCTTGTTGTATCATCAATGGTACTTGGGGACCAGCCATCTACATGGTATGTAGATTAATGATGCCCTCGCAAGGTCTTTCGGAGGATGAACGAGATTCGCCACCGTACTAGCAGACGAAGGCTCGTTCCAAGCTCCCACCGGAGGATTCCCCCATACGAGCATCACCGCAGACCAGAGGCATCGAGCACAGATCTTTAATCAAGGCGCCCAAGCCTCCAAAGCAATAGTGGTGGGTCTTAGCCCGAACAATGCATAAGAGAAGTACGGGGAGGAGTGAGCACAAACCTGAATGGGAAGGCCGAGAACCCGCCGCGAAGCTGTAAGGCTGCAGCTGATCCATCGTGGGCCCGAAGGCCAGGGGGGTTAACGTTCGGAGCTGAAGATAAATCAAGCAGACTAGCAAACTGACAAGACCATCAACAAACCAATAAAGAAGAGAAGTGTGGGGGAAGGCGCATTTAGAAGGGGAAAAAAGGAGTAGTTACGATGACAATAATTGCGGGGGGTGGAACGAGCGCCAGCCCGATTGAGCGCTTCTCCCAGCAGATCCGGTGATGTCCGGTGTAACGGCCAGCTTAACTTGGGTGTACTCGTAGTCTAAAAGTAACTTAATGTTGAAGTAGTTCATATACAGCAGAGCTAGAAATAAATACAAATTGAAATAATTTCCATTGCAAGCCAGAAGTAAAGCAAGTCGTACCCCCAAGATCTCTAATGCGCCGCAGGATGCCCAAGAAATAACCGCTAATGACAGGGCCGAAGAAAAAAAGAAAAGACAAAAAAAAATACAATAAAAGATGTCTAGTGACCAGCCCAGCATCCTCAGCTTATATATCTCTCTCATCCTTGTACATCACTGACCAGTCGTGATAGGAGCGCATAACCAAACAGTACGGCTAAGCCGATCCACATTCGGTTCCGGCGAGCCCAACTTTGTCCGGCTTCCCGAGCCACATGTCCCCCTTCCATGACGGCACCGATCCCGGGCGCACTACCGTTAGGTCGGCGACGGAGAGCGCTAGTCTCTGGAGAGCACTTGGTAGGGGCGTTGGGGTCCGGGAGGATCTGGCCGGTCGTAGTGTCAATGCGATGCTCTTTCATCCAAGCCCAATTCTCTTGATCCAGTTCGGGCCATTCAGTGCGGAACTTTAAGCCACCATCCCCGGCCTTAACATTATTGATTCCTTTGGTTGTCTTCGTCACACCGGGGGTAGCGCTGGAATGCGAGCCGCCACCGGTCGAGTTCCACCACCGTGATCGCGCAGCCAGCACTCGGCGCTCACTCTCGGTAGCGCTCACACTGCCCGTAGTCATCTCTTCACTAGTCATGAATGAAAGTAGTCCGATCAGGATTGTCGAGACCTCCCAGGCGGGGTTGAAGGACTTGGGGTGAAAGTCGCTAATGCTCAGGCAGAGTCGCGTCGACGGTTGGAATCGTCCACTTGGGGTGTGCATTCGGATAGCAGGAGGCGCAAACGGATACTCGGGAGGGAACATCAGGGTGCCCCAGTACTGCCCATTCTCATACGGGGTTCCAGGGGGACCGGTCAGGATATAGTGCCATCTAGGCAGACGTCAGTGTCAAGAAACCGGGGTAAATAGACAAGACGAATGGACTGACTCGAGAATATTTGTCTCAGATGGGTGGGCAATAATGAAAGGTGGTGGGTTCTTTTGAATGTTTTGGTACTCGCGAGTGAGCTGTATAAATCGTTAGAAGGGTTTGGCAGTTGGCCAGCGCATGAGATAATGTCCGGCCACTCACCCGCTTGAAAGCTGCCTTTGTCGCCATTTTCCTAGGTTGTTGATTCGAGGTATATGATTTGCGAGAACAATAGAACCAGATTAAATTAGAAGCGCCGCAGAGAAACAGCAACCGCGCGCAAAACCGATCGTTGAGTGTTGAGTGTCGGAGTGATGAACAAGATGTGGCCGTTGCGCCGCACTTGCCCCGGAGGTCACGTGCGGCTCCGTTTTCCCACGCGATCAAATGCTCTCAGAAACCAAAGGTTCTGGCCATTGCAGCCGTCACAATGTCCTCCTCCCTCTCTGCTGATGATGAAGACGTATGGAATACTCCAATACAGCTTATGCGTTGCCCCTATCTCGCGGTACTAACTATTGCGGCAGATCTTCGAACGCCTTCAACAGCGCAAGGACCCGAAGGTGTTGGAAGAGCAGCAGCAGGCTGTGAACGAGCGTACGCAAGCCATTCTCCAAAAGGCTCAAGCTCGTCTTTCAGAACTGGTATGGAAATCGCTATTTCTACTATTGGCCCCAATGGCAGAACGGAATTGCCGGCGCGAAAGAAGTTCGGAGCTTTCGGCTAACCATGACTTTGTTATTAGCTTGACCAAAACTCGACCTTGCCATGCGCGATCTCGTCCGTTCAGGTGCTTAGTGCTCCTCACACCCGCCGCGGCTTCCTTGAGAAGGTTCTCAGCCCCCTTCTCAGCGAGAACAAGGACCGACCCTATACCCTGTCCGAGGCATTGCGGGAGATTTCGGCAACGACAGACAAGTTGGGACGATTTGGTTCGTGAACCGGGCACGATACGGAGGAATATTATTGTCTTGATATTCTAACTCGGGATATAGACCTGTTCCAGCAGCCAATTGCAGTTCACCTGGATGAGTCGAACCAGGACCCCTCCGGACCGCGAACTATCGATGTTCTTCTGGCAACCCGCGAGAAGTCTCGGGTGCTCTTGAAGACTGGTACCGATCTTGGAAACGCTGAGGGTTCGGCCTACGGAAACCTCTTGTGGCGTAATGTGTTCGGTGGTGCCGAGACTCTCAACTTGAATGCCTCGCTGGGCACACGCACGCGGTCCGCTTACCAGGCCGCCTTCGAGACCCCGATCCTGTGTGACCCCGACTTCCGCCTGGAGGTAGGCAGTATCGCCAGTTCCACCCAGAAGTCCTGGTCAAGCCACGAGGAGGTGCTCAAGGGTGGTTGGAGTAAGCTCCGCTGGCTGTCGCAGTCAGGACACCGTCATGAATTGGGTTACAATGGTTTCTGGAGGCAAGTTACCGGTCTGGCTGAGAATGCCTCTCCTACTGTTCGCGCCGATGCCGGCGACAGTGTGAAGAGCAGCATCTTCCACAGCTGGGTCAATGACCAGCGTGATAATGCTATGCTGCCTTCTCGCGGCTACTATGCCAAGATCTTCAACGAGGTGGCTGGCTGGGGCCCGTTGAAGGGTGACGTTTCTTTCTGGAAGTCCGAGATCGAAACTCAGGGTGCTCTCCCCATTCCCATCCCTGGTATCAAGGGCGACAGCGGTATCAGCCTCACCACCGGCTTCCGTGCCGGTCTTCTCTTCCCTCTGGGCTTGGACTCTGATCCCCGCCCCCAGCTTTCCCGCATCAATGACCGCTTCTTCCTCGGCGGTCCTACCAATGTCCGTGGATTCCGTCTGTGCGGCCTTGGCCCTCGTGAGGGCGTCGATTCTGTCGGCGGCGACATCTACGCCGCCGGTAGCGCCAACCTTCTCTTCCCCCTCCCCCGCGTGGGCGCTGACAAGCCCCTGCGGTTGCAACTCTTCCTGAACGGTGGTCGCCTTTTGCCTCTTCGCACATCGCAGAAGGCTGCTCCTACCACCAGCGGCGAGGTGCAGGATGCCGTATTCTCGACCGTCAAGGACCTGCAAACTGGCCTGCCTAGCATCGCTGCCGGTGTGGGTATTGTGTATGCCCACCCTGTGGCACGCTTCGAGCTAAACTTCTCCCTGCCGTTGGTCTTGCGGAAGGGTGAGGAGGGCCGCAAGGGCCTGCAGTTGGGAATTGGCATCAACTTCCTGTAGAAATACGTTTCTTTTATTAGAGCTTAGCGGCGTTGAATTATACCTCACTTCTCCTGTGTCAAAGCCACATACTCTATTATGATTTTCAGTTCTGTATTCGTCCTTCAATAATGTTTAGGCTCGTATACTTCACTTGGCGGTGGCGTCCCCACACGCGGGGCTGAGTCAGCAGGCATCAGGGCAACCGCCAGCTGGCTGGAGCATCTCAAGCTCTCCCAGGTATCTCATTCCCAACTTCAATCCCCGCGCCAGCCCTCCAACTCTCTCGCAACAAGAGGAAAACGAATACATCAGTCTCGACCCCTCACCATAATAGCCGCAATGGCTCAGTACTACCCCAATCAGCAACAGCAGCAGGGCTACGCGCCCCAAGGCAACGCACAGAATCTCCAGTTCTTCCCCTCGTCCTACTCATCAGTATCCGGCCACACAACTCCCTCACAAGCCTCCTATGGCGCTGGCTTTGGTGGCGCACCGAACCCCTCTGCGCAAGCTTATCCCGTTGGTGGCGGCTATGGGGGCTTCGGGTCTCCCGCGGCCGGTGTGAGTGGGAGGATGGGAGAACAGAGTGGTTTGCGGACGGGTTGGTTGGCTGCGTTTGGGACGGAGGGGTATGATGGGGAACCGCCTTTGTTGGAGGAGTTGGGTGTTAATTTTGAACATATTCGGACGAAGGTTAGTTGAACAGAAAGAGTGGTCCTTCGATTTCAGGGAGACATGCGATGCGCTGGGTCTAGTGGAAGTACATACCTCGATGGTCTTCCAGGGCTCCCTATGCGACGTGATGCACTGCTTCTCAACTCGAGATCTACTGAATCAGTCCGTATAAGAAAAGGCAAAACTAACTTCAATCCAGACCCTTACCGTTCTCAACCCGTTTGCCTCAATCGACAACCACCTCATGGACGATAGCGACCTCTACGGCGCCCTCCTTTACATCGTCCTATACGGCACATTCCTCCTCCTCTCCGGCAAAGTCTTCTACGGCTACATCTACGGCGTCGCTGTCTTCGGCACCGTCGCCCTCCACCTCATCCTCAGCCTAATGTCCCCCGTCCTCGACACAGCACCACCCGCCAACACCGCCGACCCGGCAAACTACAACCCCCACCACAAGCCCTCTCTCTCCGGCGCTTCTGCCGCTGGCCACTTCTCTGCTACACTGACTTTCCCCCGCTCCGCCAGTGTCTTGGGTTATTGCTTCTTGCCGCTTGTCTTGACTGCGCTCATCGGTATCCTGATTCCTATGGATACATTGTTCGGATATCTCTTGACTACTGCGGCGGTTGGGTGGTGCACGTATAGTTCGTCCGGTATGTTCTGTGCCGTGGCGCGTATGAGTGGAATGCGCGGTCTGGTGGCGTATCCGCTGGCGCTGTTCTACGTTGTGTTTGGTATTATGGGTATTTTCTCGTCTCGGGGGACGGGCTCGCTCGCTGCGAAGACGGGTGCTGCGTAAGGCAGTACCATGAACCTATCAGTGTCTTTGCAAAAGCGTCTTTCTTTTTCTTAGTGTATGGCGAAATACATGGATGGGTTGGGCTAGACTGGGGTTTTGGCTGGTTCTGGCTGTGTACTTGGATTCCTGCGATGGTTGGCACGCCCAAGGCACCCCCCCTTTTGCTCTTGCATTTAATCATGAATATTACGAGACTCGCATCCCTGGGTTATATATATCATTATACATTTCATTTTTCATTAGAACTCGTGGGCGCTTCTTCTATTTAATATTCCAAACACAACTCCGGTAATATGTCCATCCTGTATAATGCAACGCAATCATGATCTAGATCATATCAAATCCAAATATCTGACTGGATATCTCCAAGTCAGACAATATAACAAAGCAAATCCCTGTCTACCAAAAACAGTATGCTCACGACGCAGTCTCCCCCTTAACAGGCGCCCATTTCCCCAACCACTCTCTCATCTTCTCCAAATCACCACCCGCAGCCTCAGCACCGGCCACACACCACGCCAAATCATACGCCTTCCCTACACCAGCAACACCCTCTGCAGCAATCATCTCCGCCAAATTCCGACGATGCTGACCAGTCTCGTCCGTGCAGAAATAGAACGGTGCGGTATTAGCTATGTCGGGATTGACATTAACAGGCTCGACGAGCGGACGTGTAACTTTAGTTATATCAACCACGCTCATCGGCGCCACGGGATCAGTTTGAGTCTTCTGTTTGCCGGTCTTGCAGTATCCATTCTGACACCATGGTTTTCCACAGCCGGTCATTAATTGTGAGAGGTATCGTCTTTCGATTCGGCGGCGGAGCGCTTTGCCTTCTGGATCGTAGGTGTCCACGTATAAAGGTCCGAAGCAGATATTGCAGAGACCGAGGGATTTGTTTCCCGCGCTGGTGAGTGTGCGGCCGCAGTTCTGGTTTAGACAGACACGTGGTGGTGGACGGGATACGCGTTCTAGATCGTGGTGCCGGAGGTGGGTGTTCATATCTCGCAGGCGAATGATTTTGGTGCAGAGATGACATTCTGTGGTTCGTCCACCGTCGACGAGTTCGTGGGGTGTTAGGCCTGAGAGCATTACCTCGGGGTCGTGGATATCTGGATCAGAGTCTCCTTTTTGGGGCACGAGGAGGTGGCAGAATTGGCAGAGGATTAGTTTTCCTGGGCATTCGGTGGTTCGGTGTTGTGCGAGCGTTGGGAGACCCTCGAATTGAGCTGGACAGTCGGGGCAGTCGTATGGTTTGTGGTATATTGAGTCGTGGCTTTCTTTGCTTGTGACATCGTTGCCATGTGAGGAGTCGTGTGGGCAGTGCCAGTGATTTTCCCATTCGGTAGACCGTTTTTGGAAGACGTTGCCACATTGTTGGCAGAGGATGTTGTTGCGCAGGCAAAAGTTTTCGTGGAGGACGAGGGTTCGCTCTGGGACCCATTGTTGACAGTTCTTGCATTGTACATCGCCGGGTGCGTGAGACTCCTCAGCGTGCTCGTCGATATCTGCCGTCTCGTCTACTCTGTCCGCAGCATTCGTCGTTATGCGCAGGTTATACTTGAAAGGCACCTGCCGTTGTGCCGGCGTCGAAGACTCAACCTCAGGGCCTGGAGGGCTGGCATACGCAGAGACATAAATAGCCTCCGCTCCTTCAAGAGCCACATTCGTAGGCCGAATCCTGAACCTCTTAGAAGACTGCGTCGAAAAGTCTCCCCAAACATGCATATCCGTCCGAGGTCGACCTTGTTGACGCGAACCAAGCGGACTAGCAAACAAAAAGACATTCGGTTCATCCGTCGTAAGCTCAATCTCAAGCTCATCCCCACGATTCCACTCGCGAAGTTCGTAATCCACGTATTCACCAGCCAACACTTGAGCAGCCACCTCTTCCCCGATAGCAAGCACACCTCCTACCGAACTGCCACTCGTCGTGCCGGGAGCTCGCGCTGCACGCTCCAATCGTTTTTGCAGCGTCTCGCGGGCTTGTTCCTCCGACAGCGCCACGATATCTACCTCCAGATCGGTATCCACGACGCAAATACCGTCTCCCTCGGGAAACACCTTGTCCAGCAAGAACCGGAAAGACTCGTTGCGTGTCCCGGGTACAGTCAAGATTTCGCCCGTCGTCAACGTCGTGAAGTTATCCCGCAGGTGGCGCTCCAACAGCGCTTTCCAATCTTCGGGATCATATCCAGCTTCAAGCGGGCGAAGTCGTACATACGTGCCCTTCGGCAGTTGCTTCGCATGTACAGTTACGACCGCAGGTTCAGCTCGAACTCGTACCGGTTGTCCGTCCACATCCTCTCCTTCTCCTTCCATTGACACGTCCTGCGCATCGTCGCCATTGACACCGACATCTCCCTGAACCACACCCTCGATCTGGTCATCCGATATCCCCAGTGACTCGCGCAGAATAGCGCTTAGCGCAACTTCATTCTCCGCAGCGGAGAACTCGCGGATCCCCGCGTACACGAACCGATTATTCTGCGGGTTCACGATTCGGAACGTCAACGGGTGGGGTAGTTGTTGCTGGCGTTCTTCAATTTGCTGACGCGCTCGCGATTCAGCGGCGAATGTGTGTGGGTTAAATGGGTCGAAGGTGGACGTGTGTACGCGAGAGTTGTTCGGCGCGGGCGTGACGGGTTGGAGAGGTGCGGCGGCGAGGAGCTGTTCCAGTGCGGATTGTGGTAGTGTGATCTTGTCGCCTGGTAAGCGGGGCGCGTGCTGGGGGGCAGTCACGGCCAGTTGGGCGGACCAGTTTAGTGTGGGGATATTGTCCGCCATTGTTGAGGTTTGGGATGGGTGGAGGGTGGCATGGAGGAGCTTGAAATTGTTGGAGATTATAAACGCGGAGCCCGGGAAGCTCGAGGGACGTTCTGGAAGACTCTCCCCGCGCCCCCACTCTAATTAGTGAGCTAAGATGATCAGATCTAAACAAATCCAATTTCGGTTTTAAGTTGAAGATTATGATGAGATATCGGGCTTATAAATCCATAAAAATTATTTAATAAGTTAAAAGAATAAAATTAACATCCCCTCGTCTGATCTCTGGTTTATCGGAAACTCCGCATTCGGTGGCGAGAGCTGGTGTTGCACCAGTCGCACTAGATTCACGTTAGGTCCTCTCCCAGATTGGGTATAAATTAGTTTCATCCCAGACTTACCATCGTCGCCGAGCATCCCTCGTTATGCTCGATACAATAATCACCTCCACAGCTCCGGCAGGTGTGCTGGGTGTTCCGCTTGCAGGAACCACACTAGATACATGTTAGAATCAACTATGATGTCCCATACTGTTTGTTAGAAACTCACAGTCGGGCCACACTCCCAGCAATCTTTGCTCACACCACGCTCGAGTCTCTGTTTAGCAAGTTAGTAAAAGCTCAATTTTGAAAATAAGATCATTGTTACGTACCTCTCGCCCAGCATGAGGAGATCCAGTCCCGTGAGGATGCTGACCCGGTGGTCGAATCGCAGTCTGGTGCGGCGTAAGACTAGCCTGGACGTGTCGCGGGTGCGGCAGACAGTTCGAGCAGAACCACTTGTTGCACTGGTGACACCAGCGGTCGGTCAAACAGTCTGTACACCGCGCAATCAAGACGGGATGCTCGCCGGGGATCAACTCCGGCCGCTTGGCTGCAGCAACACTGGACACGTGCAAGGGTACGGGGCTCAACAGTGGGAACTGAGTATCTGGGGACTGACCCCAGATTGCCGGGCCCTCGGGCGAACTATGGCATCCATCACATCCGCGTGGGCCCAGGGCCACGGTGGCAACGGCGGGGCCGAGTAAGCGGCCCTCGGGGGCGGGGTTCTCCTCATCTGCGTTGCTGTAGAGATTGACATCATGGCGTGGCCCGCGGCACAGGACTGCGTCGAAGGCGATGACTCCCTCACATTTCTGAAGGGTCTGCGCCCAGCCTTCGTCCAAGCTGCGCTTGAACACTTTGCCTGTAGGGCTGTACCATTCGTTTCGCTGGTATCGTCGAGTCACGACTTCTGTCTCTTCTTCTTCGTTGTCTGACGAGCTGTTCGACGGGCTCTGGCTTGAACTTCGTGAGCTACCCACGCGGGATCCCCACCAGTCACGGTATCGACGCCGCACTGCGGCGCGAGGTGGAGTATGCATTGGAGAGAAATGATAGATTCCCTTCACCTTGGGGGTTCCCTCTGGACGAGTGGGCCGCACGGCATGTTGAATGATTTGGATCAACTTTCGTTCGTTGAGGTGTTGGCATTCGCGAATGGACAGAATGTTGACGTTGAATCGATCACTCGTGATAATGTCTCCGATCAGGTCGGCCGGCACAGAAAGACCGTCCAAGACTAGTGTGCGCACATCTTGTAGGATAGACCGCTTTTCAAGACTGCCGAAGATGTGCCGCAATGGAGCCGAGTATACTTCATCCTCCGTCTCCATTTCATCCTCCTTGGCCGGTTTGGTAGGAAGCTGCGCGCCTCGGCAGCGGGTCAAGTCCAAATGCCTAAACACATAGGGAGTACCCGTAATCATATTATAGAGGAGTCGCGAGGTCGAAGCCAAGGCCATCAGCGATGGGGCGGCGAGATACGGCGCCATATTATCAAGGATCAGGCTGTTGGTGAGCATATCCTCCAGCGGGGCTCGTCGTTTGGGTGCAGGCTTGCGTTGCGGAATAGGCTCTGCAGGAGCAATCTTCTCTACCTGGATCTCTCGTACGACCGGCTCGAGGCCTAATTCTTTCATCGTCAATCGACGAGTACCGTAGAAATCTGGAGCACGGCTGATTAAATTCTGGCGATAGGCGGCCATGGCGCCGACGGCGACCTCGTCGCCAATGCGCAAGAGCGGCGCATGAGGATGAATTTCCTGGAGTGCAGCGCGAGCCTTGACCAGCTCGGACTCGAGGAGGTGGATTGTAGATTGAAGAACGGCGGGCATGGTGTCGGAGTTGGGAGTGGGATGAATCGCAGAGACCAGAGAAACCCAAAGATCGTCGGACATAGTCCGGTCCTTTATAGTTCCAAGTTCACGAAAGGTTGAGTGTGAACAAAGGGTGGATCCACAAGTACCATGGGTGGGGGGAACGGAGAAATGGTCAAGTGTTCAGAGTCAGGACGGATAAAATGATAAATAGCAGCGGTTGAAATCGAACGGATCGGGTCACCGTTTTGAGTCAGAACGACGAATGCGCGGAGACGTTCAGACTGGACCGAATGGATGGGGATGGGGGTATTGTATGGGAGTGGGCCAGGACCAATAAAGCTCCGGTGGAGACGGAAACTGAGATCCGGGGTGGAGTTCGAGAGGGGGGGAGAGAAAGGGTTTTTAAGAATTGGATTATTCGATTGAGTAATGATAAGGGTGCCCGAATAGGAACGGAGGGTACAAAACGATTAAATCTGGGAGTAATCTGGCAATGTAACCGGATCTGATGCGAGAGTCGGTCAGTGGGAAGTGGGAAGTTTAAAAAGGTCGGGAGGCCCGAATGCAGCAAGTCCGGGGATATCGGATGGGTTCTTATACTTGATCCAAGGCCAGATAAACTACATAAACATTTTGATAATTTATACGGCCCGATTATTGTAAGACAGCAGCAAAAGAAAAAGAAAAAATAAAATAAAATAAGGATCCAATTAGAAAGGGAGTGGGCCCATCAAGATCGTGGCATGTTCAAAGAGATTCTCCTATCTCCCGCGCTTCCGGAGATTCAATAGTACACAGTAATAATAGCTAAAATAATCCATGATGCCACAGTGGAAATGTAGCAAGGGGAAGATGTACTCGATACACAAGAATACTTGGCAGCGGGTCCAAGGGGTACTTTGCTTAAGGCTATCGTCTCCTTTCTACAAGTATACTCAAGTCATGCTACCTACGGATGAATGACTCTACACGACTATACTCTGAATATGGGGGGACAACCTTAACTTTCATAACGTTTCACGACCCGTTTCTCAAGTATACATATAAATCTAGGAGTAGTAAATACCACAATCGCTCTGTCACTAAGGTATCTCGCCATATCATTACCCAAATCCCGCCTTTCCTTCTCTTTTCTTTTTTTTGCGCCTGTCAATCGGTCTCCACTGATCCGCCAGTCACGCGGACATCCTTCTCGGCCGCGTCAGTGCAACCGATCCACTTGCTTCTTTTTCTTCTCGAATTTATGATTTGGTACTTGTCATCACCACTGCAAGTCGAACACTGTGGCAATTGACCAGGGGCCCGCTGTCGTGGTCCAATGGCTTGGGCGCGTGGGGGGAGAACCCTTTTCTACCCACTCGGCCATCTGTATTGAGGCCTGGTCGACAGTCGACACACATACTGTTATGCAGGATTTACACTGGCTGACTGAAGTCTAAGTAGTCATATTTGTATATCCCTGGAATCTCTACCGTCATCGGCGGTGACCTATCTATGGAATCGTGGACTCGATGCCCACCATACCCTATCGAACCACGTACTTCCTACCTATACCTGAACTATCCTCAACTGTGCGACCGTCTACCCCCTAGAAACACCTACAGCCCCAAGAATCTTGGATACTTGGCATTGGATACTCACCATGCTGTGAAGGACTACAGTCATCTCGCCAAGACAATAGCTGGGCAGGATGCACTGCCGCCGACGCTGGGGAGATCTTCGCCAAGCAATTGATGGCATTTTTTCCGCCGTCGATCATCTGGAAAGAGATGATCGGATCTCTCTGTCTTATCAGGGCAGTGAAGATATGTGCCTGATGAGTATAGGTTGTGTACTATTGCCTAGCATTATTATACTCTTGGAGGAGGGCTAGTCAACTGTATAGTTTGCTTATAGTTCCACGCCAAGGATCTCGGGGTAAGTGTCCTCCGTACGACCTCAACTGCTCCGTACAGTTACAATATATGCCTAAATAATAGTAGAATAAGTCCAGATATCTCATCCATCCTCAACAATCAACACAAACTAACACGGATCATACACCCCGTGCTGACCGATTCCCCATCCCCATTATTGCACCATCGTTAACCGATCCAACTTAGCCGACTGGCCAAGACGGAAGGGATGACGAGCCAAGCCAATTGGCCCCAGGCATTTACCCTGGCCTTTTTGACCCCCTTCTAACTGAACTCGGGTGCGCAGGGTTGCCGGTGGCTTAACTTTGCGTCCGCCATCGAATGCCCCGTTCGACAGGATCTCCCGCCCCTAGTCCCACTTCAGCCGCCCGGTGAGCGTTTGTTCTTGATGGTGAAGTGTGGAGGTGAAGGTCTACGGGCGTCCATCCTCCGGGGAAACTATGCAGTTAATACGCTATGGACGGAAAAATTGTTGGTAATGACTACAATCTGTGAGTAATGATATTATTACAGTAGTTAACTTAGTTGACTATGGGGTACGTGACATGATAGTAGTAGTAATACTATACTGTATGTAGAAGTGCTACTGTAGCTATTCCCCCCAGCAGTCCTACTTGAGTAGTTCCAAGCGCCCCAACGGTCAAGGTCAATATCTCTGATTTTCATCATTTCCCAGAAACACGGCACGATTCGTCCCATCACATTCTCCGTGCCAAGTTATGCAGTAGCACTTGGTATCCCATATCCCCAGTACATACCCTTGTCTCTATCCCATTTACTCCTTAGTACTACATCCCGTTTCATGCCAACACACGCCGTAACACCACTATGCAATGCATTTCAGATTCGGAGGGAAATGGTAGAATTAAAAACTAGTGGTACAGGTCCGTCGATCATCCCCCCCCCAGACTCTAGGTCTTCACTAGGATGAACGTTGCACGCCCTTCGCTTGGCGCCTCGAGATGTTGCACCTTCTCGGCCTCTTCAAGATGATTCCGGTTTTACTTCCACAACTTCGACACCGCAACCTCCTTATCATCGTGCTTGTTGAGAATCTTGGCGGTCGCCAAGTCAAAGTCCTCCTGCGTGACGTGCACTCTCCGCTCGCGCAGTGCGTACATGCCAGCCTCCGTGCAGACACCCTTCAGCTCGGCACCGGAGCACCCGTTCATCTTCTCCGCAATCTTGGTCAAGTTGATTCCGCGCGTCAGGTTCATCGACCGCGAGTGGATTCGTAGAATATCGGCACGGGCCTCGACACTGCAGTAGAACAAGAAATTGCGTTAGTATATATCACACGTGAAAATCAAGGGTGGAAAGCAAAAAGGAATCGGGGAAACACTCACGATGGAGGAGGGAACTCGATCTTCCGGTCAATACGCCCTGGTCGCAGCAAGGCAGGGTCCAGAATGTCCAGTCGATTCGTGGCCATAATAATCTTGATGTTCTTGGTAGGCTCGAAACCATCCAGCTGGTTGAGCAGTTCCAGCATGGTTCGTTGCACCTCCGAGTCACCACCGCCCGCCGAGTCTATCCGGCTAGAGCCAATGCTATCAATCTCATCCATGAAGATGATACTGGGCGCGTGCTCTCGGGCCATGACGAACAACTCTCGCACCATGCGGCTACCCTCACCAATGTACTTCTGCACCAGCTCCGATCCACTGACACGAATGAAGCGGCAGTCTGTGTGATGGGCCACGGCTCGGGCAAGCAGCGTCTTACCGGTACCGGGAGGACCGTACAGCAGGACACCCTTCGGTTGTGCGATACCCAGGGACTCGAACAGCTCCGGGTGCTTCAGACCAAGCTCAATCACTTCCTTGATCTCCTTGATCTGCTGGTCCAATCCACCGATCATGTCATATGTACTGTCCGGAACCTTCTCCACCATCATCAGTGATACGAGCGGGTCGACTGAGGATGGCAGCATCTTCTCCAACTTGTAGGAATCTGAAAGCAGAGCCACCCGCTTGCCGACGGTGAGCTTGGCAATGTCCACGCCGTCTGCGATATCAACCACTGTAGAATCAAAAGAACCTTCATTAGAAAACACGTCCGAAAGGAAGCTAGTCGATCACCATTGAATCTCGTACCGTATTTGCCTTCTGGGTGTACCTTCACCAGCACCTTCTTCGTGCTCATCACCTTCACCACCTCGCCGACATAGGAGCCGGGTTGTTGGAGCAAGCCGAGCTCCTCCCGTAGCAGACGCACTCGCGAGTTGTAATCATTGCGCTGTGCCTCTAAACGTCGAAGAACTGCCTGGCCCTGAATAATCTCGAGCTTCATGCCCTCGATCTTGTTCCGATAGTAGTTGTCCAGCGCCATGGCGGATAGAGGGATGACGCTATCGGGCGAACGTAGTCAAAAGGGAATGCCGTGGGCGAGTCGAAAGGATGGATCCGTTGTACAGAGCCTCCACAGTTTGGCCCAGACAGAGGTATAGGAGGCGGAGGATACGTAAAGGAGATAGGTGGTGAGAAGGCGATGACGATGTTTGGGATGAGATCTGGAGCTGGACCAGCTTGAAGCTGCGGGCACCGTGGACACGGATGACTAATGTTAATGCCTTAGAGATCGGGACTGAAAAGACAAACAGCACAAACAAAGCAGCTTGTCAGCTCCCCACTGTGGATGAGTCATCACTCACATGATTGGCCCAACCATCGAATGGTCATCTGGAAGCTCTCCACGCGGCCGTGTGCTACCCTGCGGTCTGCATCGTCCTTTGTACAATTCTCAGCTGATGGGCAGATGATCCAAGGATCCGGGGTTGTCATATCTTTCTCCTCGTTGAACCCCGCAATGTGAAGTGGGAGTCGCCGAGCACCACTTTGCCTTGTACTTAAAAACCCCCCTCTCTGCGAGCTTGGACGTTTTGCCGTTTTTTGTGTTTTAGACCGACGCGGATCATCGAAGAAACATGGCGGGCGATAAGAAAGACCCCGACCAGCCCGAGCCCTCTCGAGTATCGGGTACACCAGGCAGCGACTATGCCTCTGCATCGCCAATACCTCCTATGCGATCAACGGTTTCCGTTCGGAGAGGTTACGGTAAGCTTGACGATTTCGTGTAACCCCAAAGCCAAAAAGGAACGTTTCGTGCTGACCTGGGTCTGGGGAAAATCAGGAACCCTGGATGCGCAGTCCGTCGATTCGTCGTCTGAGATACGTCACGACGAAACCATCCAGGACGATAACTCGAGCCGCGCGTTTACCTCCTCGTCTGCCGTACCTGATCGGCCTCGAAAGCCTTCGGTCACCCGTCGCATGTCTTCGAAACGACAAGTGCCCCACAAGGGCCAGGAATTCTCCACTGACGATGATGTCAAAGAAGTTGAGGAGGACTTTGCCCTACACAAGGCTTCGTCCACCCAGCAGCTGTCTCCAAGGATTCGTCCTATGCGGGGTCCGAGCTCCACGTTGCGCCGCCATGTCAGTGCTCGTGCCGTCCCGTTGATCAGAGGCGAATCAGACAATCTGAGTGTGGATGATACCGTCTTGCCAAAGGTCAACTTGGACGTAGTGGAAGACGCCTCATCGATCAGACAGTCTGACGGCGGCAGTGACATTGGAAGTGAAGATGAAACCCCTGTATCCGAGGAGGATGAAGAGGTGACCAGTGATGCCGAGAGCTTTACGCTCAAGGATCGCCAGCAAGCGATCAACGAGACTCATCCTTTCGGTATTAGGATCTGGAAGCCCGCTCTGTACAAGAAGAGTCGCTCGGTAGAGAAGACTGCCGAGGGCGATATTCACTCGTCTCCTGGGGGTCGCGTTAGCCCCATGCTCTTTTTGACAAACTTGCTATGGTCAGTACTTTTTGGATGGTGGTTGGCTTTGGCTGCCTTGCTGGCTGCGATCGCATGTTTCTTCTGTGCTTTCTCGTCCAGCGCCGTCGCGTATGGAAGGGTCTTTGCAGGACTCTCACGCTACTTGCTCTATCCGTTCGGCTCCTTTGTTCTTCTAAGAACCGATGATAATTATGCGGAAGAAGATGAGGGTGAAGGCCGCAGCATCAGCGAGTATGAACAATGGCAGAACGGTGACTTGGAACATGGCCGGCTCTTCTTCGGACCTCGCAGAGACCGATCTCTCGTCGGACGGCGGCGCAACAGCGTTGATTCTGCTGGAGAGCAGGACAGTCTCCTCGGTCGGCCCCAGCGTGGACAAGGCGAGGATTCACAATTCAGCCCTTCCAAACGTCGACTATTCGGTCGTGGTGAATGGACCCTTGGCCGAGTTGTGTTCTTTGTGTTTTTCTACTTCCTGGTGGGACCCTTGATGCTCATGGTCTCCCTGATCTGCTGGTTGCTTGTCTTCTGGATCCCAATGGGCCGAGTTACCACCATCTTAGTGAGCCATCTGCGACGCCATCCTCTAGCCTTGTCATTCCACTCCGATACCTCCTATTCCCGACTTGCTACGGGTTCTTCATCGTCGTCCATCCTTTTGTGCACCTATCGCGCGGCTGGAACGAGATACTGGAAATACACCATCGATGGTACCAACATCTTCTTCATCAACTTGCTAGCTCTCGTCGCCTTCGTCATTTTCGACTACTTCGTGCTGGACACGTTCCTTGGTATTGAGTCCTGGCTGACTCACCCTGGGCTGATCTTTACCCTCTCCCTATTCTCCATCATTCCTCTGGCCTACTTCATCGGCCAAGCTGTGGCATCCATCTCGGCCCAGTCGTCGATGGGTTTGGGTGCCGCAATCAATGCCTTCTTCTCCACCATTGTAGAAGTCTATCTCTATTGTGTTGCCTTGACCGAAGGCAAAGCCCAGCTTGTGGAAGGAAGTATCATTGGTAGTATCTTCGCAGGTATCCTGTTCTTGCCCGGTCTGTCCATGTGCTTCGGTGCTATCAAGCGCAAGACACAGCGATTCAATGTGAAGTCCGCTGGTGTGACCTCGACCATGCTGTTGTTTGCCGTCATCGCAGCTTTTGGCCCTACTCTTTTCTATCAGGTCTATGGCAGTGTAAGTTTATTGTTCAGTGAAACACCCTTATTATGATTGGGAAAATAAAAAAAACTAACCAGTCACTTAGCACGAGCTCAACTGTCATGCATGCGTTCGAGAGTATGACCCAGAAAGCCGAGACTGCCGTCGATGCTACTTCTCCCAGAGCGCCGCTGTCCATGATGCATTCTTTGAAAAGGCAGTCCAACCATACGCATGGTTCTGTGCCGTTTTCCTGTTCTTGTCATACATCATCGGTCTCTGGTTCACCCTGCGCACCCACGCTGCCTTGATCTGGGCCACTGAGAACGAGGAGAAGGAGAAGAAGGCGGCCCAGCAGCCGATCTCTGATTCATTTACTTTCGAGCCACGGCACCTGCTCTTCCCGCCTGGTGCCGCCGAGGCATCGGGTGCGATCACTAGCCACAAAGACTCCATTCGCGAATCTCAACTCTACAAGCGTATCCTTGGTCAATCACTGAGACAAGTTGGCTTGGAGGATACCAGCGGCGCCAACTGGGACCAGGTGGAAAGTGGCTCTCCGTCGGACAAAAAAGCTAACATCCCTCACCTGGTGCCTCCACGTTTTGGCGGGGATGAAAATTGTAGCGTGTCAAAGGCTATCCATGGTCTATCTGGAGAGGATAATGAGCGGCTTGTGCGTCAAGTCACCGAAGTGGCGGCCACCGCTGCTGCAGTAGCTGCTCGTGATGCGGCCCGTAGTCGCAAGTACTCAACCCAGCAGGGTTCTTCCTCCACCCGCCAAGCTGGTCGTCCTCCGGCAGATCAGCCAAAGCCTCATCCTCCTGGTGAGGACAACGAGGATATTGGCATCGTTGCGGAGCCTGCGCACAGCGGCGGTGGTCACGATGCTCCAAACTGGAGCAAGGCAAAGAGTTCCATCATTTTGCTAGGTGCTACAGTTCTCTATGCCATTATTGCAGAGATTCTGGTCAACACGGTGGATGTGGTGTTGGAAAGTGTGGATATCGATGAAAAGTTCCTCGGTATTACGCTGTTTGCCCTGGTGCCAAACACAACTGAGTTCCTGGTATGAAATTCCTGCTCCTGTCAACACATTACCTGCAGATTGGAGGAGGGGTCACTAACATACTGATAGAACGCCATCTCATTCGCCATGAACGGTAATATCGCTCTGTCCATGGAAATTGGTTCCGCCTATGCCCTTCAGGTGTGCCTGTTGCAAGTACCAGCCGTGGTCCTCTTCAGTGCCCTGTACACCCAATCCATTGATCCCGCCGAGCTCGCCAGCCACTCTTTTAAGTAAGTTTGTCTCAGAATCTCAAACCCCTCCTGCGAATACTGATCCCTAACTCACTCGATAGTCTAATTTTCCCTCAATGGGATATGATCACCGTTATCCTTTGCGTTTTCCTGCTTTCCTACGTCTACGGCGAAGGCAAGAGTAACTACTTCAAAGGATCCGTCCTCGTGCTGACCTATCTGGTCGTCGTGATTGGTTTCTACCTCTCGGGCTACAGCAACATGGACACTCTGGGCGTGGACCGCTTCGACACGCTCGCCCTGGGTGTAAGCCAATCCGAAAAATTCTACACCGTCGGTCGCTCGCGTTCCGGCGCGGCGTTCTAACTTGAACATAAATCGTCCAAACTATCACCCTCGCACTAATGGCTATGGCAATGTCTTGTTTTCTTCAGAAAAGTTCAGCTCAGGACAGCCCGGCTGAACTTATTCTTGCGTATCATAATCTTCTTTGCATAGCGGATTTGAAGTTTGCATTCATGACCTCCCCAATGGCTTTGTTTTCTTTTTCCCCGACTCGTTTTGTTTCTTGGATTTTCTTGTGATTATTGTGTCTTCCCTTTTTGACTTTACTCCTTGCTGGACGGGAGAGAAAATATGGAACTTTTTGCATCGTTTCTATTGCTGCTGATATCGAAAGATTGCCCATTTTTATGGTTTGTTGTTACTTGCTACTTTTGAAATGAACATACACATTCGCTAGACTTGATACTACTTTTTGTCGTTCTTGGTCGTAATGTGAGTCAATGCGCGGTAATGACCGTAGTATTTTGGAACGCTCTTCTTGTAGTCATTATGTAGTTCGTGTACTTTTTTCAACTCTTTGAATGATCGTCGCGGAGCGTTAGTCGTAATCCGAACGCAGTATAGCCTTTCCCTGCTTAGGCAGATCCCCAGTCGCCAACGGCCTCATCGACCATCTGGCGGTACTTCTGCTGCCCAAAGCACTGTTCCAGGAACACCTTATATTTGGCCTCCAGCAGTGCCTTCTCCTTGGGATCATCCGTTGGCATCACCTTCTTACCAGGTTTGCTCATACGGTCCATAATATCCCAGAGATTCTCCGTGCGGCCCTCCGAGTCCGAGCTCGCAGCTTTGGCACCGAGCATAGCAGCACCATGGCACACGGCCGCATGGATGTATCTCGGAATGACGACGGGCATATCGCACGCCGAGGCAATAAGCCGTACCAGAATATCATTCTGACACTGCGAGCCAGACATGAAGATCGAGGTGATATTGTGTCCGGCCTTGTTCATCGTTTCCACGATTTGCTTCGTCTGCAGTGCGATAAACTCCAGTGTGCCGTAGTAGTACGTTGCCAGTCCGTCGACGCTCTTGTCGCTGGTTAACCCGAAGATGGAACCTGTCATGTTCGGGTCTGCAATGGGTGATCTGTTGCCCCAGAGATCACCGTAGAAGAAAAAGTGGCGGCCGAGATAGGACACGCACGGTGCTTGTTGGTCCTGTGCCATCTCCTTGAGATGCTCATTTAGATATTCGTAGATGTTGGTGTGGTACGACTCTGCGATGGAGTGGGCTTGGTTGAATGCTGGGTGTGTTTCGATTACGTGCTTGAGTAGTTCGCCCGTTGCGGACTGCCCGCCCTCTGCCATCCAGAAGCCCGGTAGGATGGTGTCCTTGTACGGACCCCAGACGCCGTTCACAAATACTGGGCCTGGCGACATTGCGAGGTGGCAGGTTGACGTTCCAGCTACCGCCGCTAGTCGAGAGAATGCTTGTGCCTTGTCGTTCTTGGCCACTTCATCACTCAGCTGGCCTGCACCCAGGTTGACCTTGGCTCCAACGGTGCCAATCCAGCCGGCATATGCGTCGATCACACCACTGCCAATGGCGATACCTGCTGGCAAGCCTAGCTCGGCAGCGGCCTTTTCACAAAGAGTACCGACCAGTTCTCCGGCACTCAGATAATCACCGTTCTAGAGAAAATAAGAGTCAGCGAATGGGTACATACTTATTTTTCTGGTATTAGGCTCACCACCCCGTTGACGCCGCCCATGCGCTTAAAGTTATCCTCCGTCAAATCACTCAATCCAATCTCGTTCAAGAAATCTTCCTGCCATCCCTTGACACTACCGTCCACACCGACAGGAACGTAGCCCTGCTTGCAGACGACACTGCAGAAGCTCCGCTTCTCATTGCCCGTAGCAATGTGTGTCAGGGCGTCGCTCAAGTCGTAGAATTTACATTTGTCGAAGAGCTCCTTGGGCATGTTGTTCTTCAACCAGAGTACTTTGGGGATTTCCATCTCGATGGACATCTTCCCGCCGACATAGCGGAGTAGATTATGGTTAGTCGCGTTGATCTTGGCCGCCTCCTCGACGGGACGGTGGTCCAACCACAGGATCACATTGCGGTCTGAGTCGAAGTTTGGCCCGGTCACCGAGACGGGCTCATCGGTCTCATTGTCAAAGACTGATAGCGAGCAAGTAGCATCGAATCCAATACCGCGGACGGTCTCGGGACTGATGTTATGCTGGCTGATGGCCCGTTGCACGGCAATGCAAATGCATCGCCAGATGTCGGAGGTGGATTGTTCCTGGGCTCGCGAGTCAGTCGATTGTTGTTTAGGCCTGGTCGTCGAGAGTCTGGAGATGTCCTACGTAGTAACCATGCTCCGGCTGCCAGAGCCCGATATTCTCAGAGGCCAGGCCCACGATGTCGCCCTTGGCATCAATGATACAGGCTCGGGCACTGCCAGTTCCGACGTCAATGCCGATGAAATGGTCCAAATGCACCTGGAGATCCTCGCGGGGGTCGCTCGAAGCTTGGCGGGAGCTCTGGCGAGAGGGACGACGGTAGGGCAGCGAGGCCATGGTGTCGTCAAAGGTGGGTCAGGGTATACTTCGGATGATGAGGGGCGGTGGAGAGTAGAAGTGTATGCTCTGTAGTATGCGATCAGAGATCAGATCGACACCGGATTTCTGGGGGTGAGAAGATGCCTACTGTATTGATCGTGCGAGAAGAGGCGAAGTGAAGAGAATTGAGGAGAAAGAAAATGGGCGGGAGGAGGTTTTGTTTCTTTTTTTGTAATGAGGGGAATAATCAGTTGAATTTGTTAGTCACTGCGTCAGTCCAGTCCAGTTTGGTCCCCGTCTCGAGTCCACAGCTTGGCCCTCTATACTGCACTCAATCTCTAAACTGTACCTCTCTATTATCCGAAACTTGATTGTTGCGGTACTAAGGAGAATAATGGGCTACATACATTACCATGTCTAGATACTCCTTATCATCTCTTAAATATAATTCCAGTGTACTATAGGCAGGGCCCAGGTTCAGAATATGTCTGCACTTGTGGTACCTTTCGCCGTACAGTCCATATATACACCCGTATCAATGTACAAGCTTGATCATTCTATCTATCCTATTATAGGATCTAAGGGCTAAATTATGGTATTATGGTGTATTATAATTCTCTGATATGTTTACTACAATACATCAGATAATTAGGTAAGTTGAGAACTATGAGCTAAAGTCGGGTTATTGTCTGTAATAGACACTGAGTAATAGTAAATAATTTTGTAGAAGCTAGGCACTAAAGAGCTGTTCTTACAAAACCCTGCCTCTAACTACACACTGTAAATACCGTAAAGAATGACCACGAGGCCCTAGCTCTATAGGATAATGAGATCGAATCAAAATAGGCGGAGCAGAGCTGGCCGGGTAAGGTTCACGCATGACGAGAGGCGAAAACAAGTAGAGGTGCATAAAAGTGGCAAAGTAGCATGCAAGGATGAGAGATACATATCATATTTAGCAATTGACCTACTGAAAGCATCCAGGAGCTATCAATTAATACATACTTTGTATAGTAGCTAGGATAGAATACCTATCGGTACAGTTAAGATAGCTGCTCGTCGGTATTTAACCGGCGATGGAGCTAACCTCGACAAGCTGTCTACCTAATTACCCGTGTACGTGGACATGGCACCCCAATGAAACTTGTAAATATATTGGATTACTTATCATATACATATACATAGATTATATATGTATGTATATACTACTCGATTAGTCCAAAATACTTCGTTGTACTCCGCAGTTAACAATGACGGAGCAAAGCACGGGCCGAGAACGAACCTCCAAAAAACACGGAGATCACCTTCCCATCTCCACCTCCACTCCTCCTCATCCGCCACCTCCCTCAACCACAACCCTCCAAACAATGCATCTCCCCTCCCTCCTCGGAGCAATCACGCTCCTAATCGCCTCAACCTGGGCCGACTCCCTCCCCTCCTCAACAGAAATCTTCTACTGGCCCGTCGGCGCCACTCAACCCTCCGTCCTCGCCCGCGTCGCCTACGATCCAACCTCCCTAAAATCCAACGTCCTAGCCTACAACCCACCCAAACCCAATCAAGCCGATGACCTCGTCCGTCTAGGACTCTACACCGCGACCCCGACGAACCCGAAACAATGGACGGGAAGCTTGGTCTCGCTTTCGTCGCTGGCGGGCGCGGAGCATCCGCCCACGTTGCGCCTTCATTTGGGTCCGGCGAGTGAGGTTTATCATGTGTCGCTGGCGGCATTCGAGCCTGTTTCTGCGAAGACTGGTGAGCCGAGTGTGGAGCTTGTTGCGAGTGAGACTGGGGCGCAGCCGCATTTGAATCGGCCGGTCGTCGTGGGTCCTGATGGTGGGAATGCGGAGGAGGTTCCTGAGAAGACTCTGTTTCAAAAGTAAGTGATATACCGTGGTCAATTTCAGGGATTATGATTTGGGTTACATTGGCTAACTTCTTGCTCGCTTTAGGTACTGGTGGGTGCTTCTGATCATGGTGTTCTTGACGATGTCGGGTGGTGGTGGAGAGGGACAATAGACGCGATTATAGTCTACGATTAATCAATGACCCATTTCGATTTCAATCTCAAATTCCTCAATGCAATTGCTTGGGGGAGGCAATTGCTTACATCCCTTCCAATGAGCTAACTATCAATAAAACCAAGCCAAATGAAAACGCTATGCATGTGGTATCGGGCAAACTAGGTTACGCTCCCCAAATTCAGCCTGCAAATCCCAGGCTCAAATGCAAAAGAAAAGCAAAAGAAAAGACGCCCTGATTCCATGCATTGCGTATAAGGACCATATCGATTCTTCCTATGGTGGTGAGCTCCTGCTCACAAAGTTCGACGCTCGACGACCTTTACACCTCCGCCGGAGGGCCGGATGTCGAGGAGTATCAGTCCACAATCAGTTATTACAGCGAGTTCATGCTCATTCTCCGTGAACTTCATCTGCAAGCAGACCGCATTCAGCTGGATTGCCGCAGGTCGTAGCTCTGTTAATCCGGCAGAGTTAGTCCACGACTCAGGGTAATAACCATCTTCCTCGTCAACCAGTACTCGCGGCTCTAGCGCCCAAACAGTCACTGTCTTCCAACTAGCAATTGCAATTCGAGTGCCTAGTGGAGAGGCTGCGATAAGAGAGCCTTCGCTAGTGTTAGACTCTTCATACCCGCCTAGCTGAGCCACCGCGGTCCAGTGGTCGAAGCGCCGTCCTCGATCGAGGTTCATGACGTGGTCGCATCGGAAAGCCTGGGGGTTAGACTCGGATTTCAAGAGACAGGCCACTGTCCAGTGCTCAACCCGGTGTGTGGCAATGCCTACTGTCAGGTACTGCCAGTGGCAAGTGCCGGGCACGGGGCTGTCAGTGCCATTGCGGTGCGTTGCGAAGAAGGGAATGCCAATTGCGAACTGCAGCATCAACAAGGGAGAGTATGGTACCAGGCAGCTATTATTTCGCACTGCTGGTTCGGGTATTCCAGGGATTGAATGGAGCTTTTGAAACGAGCTGAACAGAGTGTGCGCTCTGTAGTGGTGCAACATTTGGAATCCCCGGTCATTGAAGACCAGTTTGGCGGTTGGGCCCTTTCCTATGAGAGCAGCATCGCTAGATCTACCGTCGTTCATCTCAGTGAGAGCGTAGCAGTCGTACGAGGAGCCTAATGTATGTCAGGAAGGATCGCTTCTGTCAAGGCCAAGGGGTTGAACTATACAGATGATATTGGACACCGTCTGTGGTTGGCCCGAAGCCTCATGTTCACCGTTATTCTCTTCCTCCTGCTCGATTTCTTCGTCCTCGTCGTCCACCTCTTCGTCTTCATCATCGTCCTCGTCCTCATTCTCATCATCATCCTCATCGTCCTCGTCCTCGTCCTCGTCTTCATCAGGATCCTCCATCAGGTAGATAAGGACATGATGATCTTGAGCTCGTTGACGATGTTGCCAAGAAATTGCAAACTTCTCGTCACGGTGGGCAGCAATGGCAATTGGATCATATTCCTGTTCGTCGTGGAAGTCATAGAGTCTCACGGCGTCCGTGGGGGAATCAAAGCTATAGTAGGCCAAGAAGACACTACCCTGCGGGTATGACTGCATTGCCTGCTGGACGAATGGGTGCGTGGTATCCAGCTGCTTATCCGCGAATGGCTGGAAACGATGCAACACGTACGCTCCACTGCTGTTGAAGGCAGTGCGAAGCACTTGGATGGTTCCGAACTGTTTGGCGGGGGACTCCAGGCGGCGTCGAAGACTGACGGTTCCAGCTCGGATATCCACAAAGTAGACTGTCTCATCACCCTGGAAAGCGAGAAGAGCTCTGTTTCGCAGCACTGGAGCTTCCAGAGAGGAAGCTCTGGTGTCGAGCTTTTTCCCTTGGAAATCGATGAGTTTCCGGTTTGTGAAATGCTCGGAACCAAAGAGCTCTTGGTGAGAGTGTTTCTTCAATAGCTTGACGAGGTCTTGGATTGGGAGCGTGTCGATGTCGTCTGTGCAGCCTGGGGTTTGGTGTAATTGGTGAAGAACGAGCTCGCGGCTCTTGGTGGCCATCTCGTAAATACTGCGACAAGAGAGCGCTAGCTGTAGATACGTGGGGGTGTCACAGCTCCGGAGAATGAGCTGGACCAGCTCGGTCGGTAGATTGAGGAGCATCTTGTTGGGTTTGAGATGGTGCCCAAGCGATGGGGATTAGTAGAGGAGATGCTGAAGGGAAGAAAGAAATCAGCGAAAGATGGGTGGATGTGTGGAGGAGGATTTATAGAGTCGGGAAGCCGCACGAGCCGCCTTGTTGCCTGGTCCCGCGCAAGCTGAGAAGCTAAACTGAAAGAAAGCCCGCGATCAGAGTTTAGGCAGAGAGAGCCGCAGTGGAGCCGGAGATTCCCTCGTTGGGCCTCGTTTGGGCAGTTTGAGCCTGTTGAGTGAGTTGGAGATTTTCGGTTTTCCTGATCATTGTTTATTTCACTTGCATTTAACTAAAGAGTGGCTGTTTGTCAATGCCCCACTTCAATATATATTCAGGTACGGGAAGGAAAGTTCGTGCTGCCTATATAGCCTACGGTATCTTCCATCTATATTTGATCTCTCTTTGCAGAGTACAAGTTAGTCCCAACTGCACTACAAAGAAAGACATTGACTACGAGAGTATCGAGTACCAAATCGTCACCGAGAAAAAAAAGTCAAAATTCGTTGCTTTGATGCATGTATCCAGCAAATCCTCTTTTCCAGGCCAAACGCCCACAATGCAAATACATAAAAAAAATCAATTGAGCTTCAGAAATAAGAAGAATGGGTATCCGCTATCATCAAGGGGAAAGAGGAGAAGGGAGAGAGGGGGGTCTTTCATCACGTTGGCATTCAATCATCCTCGTCGTCCATCCGGGAGACGAGCCACTCGAGTACACTTTCATAGCAGAGCACGAACTGACTCAGGTTTTGAACCATGCTGGGTCGCTGGGTTCGGAAGTCTTCCACGGTCTTGACGATCAGGTCCAGACTCGGGTTTTCTAAAGCCCCGATGTTAGAAGCCGGGTTGTTCATGCGCTGTCGCTTCAGCATATCAAGGACGCTGTCCACTGTGCAAAAGGTTCCTGTGCGCCCACAGCCTGCGCTACAGTGGACCAGAATCGGCCGCTGGCCCTTCGGCTCGGCATCTTGGTTTCCAAATTTGGAGGTGCTGGTGGCCCGGATGACCTTGTTACATTGTTCAATCAGATTCAACAAATGGGCCGGCTGGGATGTCGTTCCAAAGTCTGGCCAGTAGGGATACTGGAGTTGAGTGATATCTCGTAGAGGTTGGAACGGGAATGCAGTATGGTAGAGACTGAAGTGTCGTACAATGATGACGGGGTTCTCGTTCGACGCGTCCGAACTCTGTGCTTGCTGGCCAGACCGGACAGGGGATTTCACCGTGGGATCAATGGGCCGGTCCTTGGCATTCACATTGACAAATCTCTCTGAGTAGGCCTTGACCTTGAAAGGCCCATAGTCTCCCGACTTCCAGTAGGGATGGCACTTGACCTGGCCTCGCTCGACCTCGGCAGTCAAAGACACGAGCAGCCGGACATCTTGTTCCCACACAACGCGCCAAAAGTCCTGTACACGAGTGTCAGTATTCATCAGAAAGTGAGTAAACGAAGTGCGAAACGACTACTTACATTGAAGGTATCGGGCACTGGAGCCTGCGTGGCGATGTACCGTCGGTTACTGAGCTCAGCCTGGATGTGATTTGCATTCACATAGTCACAGGCCCCCGACGGGATGCCCTCAAGACGGACCCGAGAGTGATCGAATGGATAGATATCGTTATAGCGATTCTTCGTGCCTTTCTCAATCCCTGCAACGCGATACTTCTTGGTAGCACCACCAGTAGACGCCGAATTTCCGTCGTACGTCAACGCCTGCTTCATCCGTTCTAGTTCCTTCTTCTCTAGATCCAAGAACTTTTCAGAGACAAGCTGCCCTTGATCCTTGACCTCCGATGCATCTCGTAACCATGAGGGGAGCTCCCGTCGTTGCGTTTCCGTCATGCCATCTGGTAGCTTCAAAGGTATTTGTCCGACTCCTCCCATGAGATCCATATTCTGTCGAATGTTGCCAAAGAAAGGATTGACGGCGGACGAGGAATCGGGCAGAGCACAACCCCCGACGACCGGAGCGATAGACTGTAGATCGATGCTCATCGGTGAGCGCTTCTTCCTCGGAGACGGCCCTGCCGTCTGTGCCTGTGGTCGGTGAACGAATTGCGGAAACTGGCTCGAGAGTGCCTTGAACCCTCCCTGCAAGATCAAGCCCTCCCCTTCCCAGTTTTCGGCCTGAAATTTGGTAATGACATGCATCAAGGGAACGGTATCCTTGACTTCCGATGTGGCAGAGTCGTAGACGATAATCATGGCACACTCTCGCCATCGAGCAAAGTTGCGTTTATCATTATCACTAGTGAAAGTATTCTCGAGTTTCTGGGTGTCGAACGAGCGACGTTTGAGAAGAGTGGTAGGGATGCATAGGTTCAAAGAGCCAGTGATGTTGGACTGCGAGAAATGGGCATATGGTCGAACGTCTAAAAGCAGCACTTTCTGTGCCTTGGACTTGATTAGCTCAGCGCAACGCTCAGTCGTGATCCAACGAGATGATATGGATGCTCCGTCATCTAAGGGTAAAAAGGTTAGCAAGTCAAGGTCTGTTGTGAGGAGATCAGCATGGACTGTCGAAAGGGGACTTGCCTCGTGAAGGAGCCCCTGGATTCTGTCCAGGCTTGATGCAATTGCCACTCTGGGGTCCCTGCATCCGGTTGTTTGCGTGCCCACTCATCGTTGGTGGATGTGACGTTCTCGTCCATGTTCGGGTAACTTGTGAGTCTCCGTTTGAAGAGACATTCTGTAGAGCCGACTCGCGCCGACCTTTATCAACTTCCGATTCGGTTCTCAAGAGGTTGGACAGACCCTCTGATACCGACTCCTGTGAGAGCAGTTGAAGTTTGGGGCTTGGTAACGAGGACTGGAATGATGTCCAGTTCTTTTGCGTGTGCGGTCCAGGATTCGACGTAGGAGGATTACTGGAGTTTTCCACCATAATCCCAAAGTAGTTGGGGCTGGGTCGTTCTGAGCTCGAGTGCATGTTCGCCTGTGACGGTGACAAGCTAGGATGAAAAGGTTGGCTGGCTCTGCCTTGAGCACTCTGCACCCACGGCGAGGAGGGCGATCGCCCTGGACCGGTCATGATGATGACGGTCTGTTTGACTCCCGCCGAGTTGGATGAAGGTGGTGGTATCGGAAAAAAAGCAACGATCTTTTTCACAATACCATGAACTCGACTCTTATGCAATGCAATTGTGTTGAATAGATCGCCAGGAATTCAGGGATCTTCGACTTGAGACCTGTCACCAAGATCTGGCAATCTTGAGGTCTAGAGAGACGAGAGACAGCACATCGACTGTAGAGTTCCCCAAAGTGACTGACGTAGAAGGAATCCAACAGTCAGAGGGGGGGCAGAGGCGAAAAGGGGGATGGTCCAGCCCAAGGGTAGAGTGTAACAAACCAATGAAAAGGTCGAGCTTCACCTGGAGGAGGGGAGTGCATCAGAAGGATCGGTGTTCATTCCATGATTAATAAGATTATTAAGGCGGGCTTCCAGCCTTCCAGAAGAAAAAAAGGGCTATGACGTTATTGTGTGGGGATCACGGGTTTGGGCCCTCGGTTCGGCCTAGACCCATCTTGGATCAACTACGTAGTGCCTCTGATCGATGAGGATCTATGTTAGGCAAGTCAAATGTGATCAACGGAATAAATACAATATGACACCATTCAACAAGACAATATCTATCCTCAAAGAGTCTCTCTCCTTCCAACTCGGATCAACAAAAAGAAAAGTCTCGCATCGCATGCCTCTGCCGAATCCGGCCACCTGAACGCCTCCTTGTCATAGCAGTGCCCATCGAACCCTCTAGACCCGTCCAGTGCAGAGACCATATACGATGTACCCGACAGTATGGATATTCCAAACTATCTGCTATGTATTATTATCTAGACCTCCGATACTCGCCTTTACCCTTTACCATCCTCGGCAACCGGAGAGGCAGGTGGTCTCCGCAAAATGCTCCATACCCACTGGGAGACCTCCACATGATCTCATCTTGAGGGAATCACCGAATATCCAACCAGGCTAAGTTCCCAGGACCTAATGCAGCTGTCTCCACTCCCCTCCCTGATAAGCATCATCCCTCAAGACACGTCAACAAATACATGACATCTTCAAGGAACAGGACCGGACAGGATCGTGATAAATCCCCTCTTTGCATTCCGGTCGGGTATTGGCCACAGTTTCCGGAGATGCAGACGCAGGTCTTCTTGTCGATGATGCCAAGTGGAGCGTTCATTGTTAAAAGCAGTTTGAACAATGAACGGCTGAGTAGCACTCGTAGCGGTACGCTCTACAGACTGTACCTATATAGGTAGACAGTCCTCTTCGTTAAGAGCGAAAGGGTGACAGGAACACCCCTTCATCGGACCGTGTGAAGAGACAATCGGGTACCAAGTGACGCCAGTATATCAAACGCTCTTCTAGAATTCGGGTTCTTGATTCATCTCATATCCTTCCGTCGGGCTCGCCATCGAATCGCTTCACTCGTTTCTGTTCCCAGTTGTCCAAGTCCTTCGCCATAAGTCTCTGTGAATGCGATCAGCATGCCGTCCAATCGTTGGGCAATCGAACGGACTCGGGTCATCGGAGCTCGTACATAGTATTCCTCGCGTTCGTCACCAATAATTCTGCGACGAGGGTTCCGCTTGATTCCCTCTTCTCCATCTGGACCTTTCAGCCCCAATTCAAAAGCTTCCTCTTTGCTGACTTGTTGAACTTTGCGATCGTATCGTTCGTACCGAAGGGCTGCAGCTGGAGTCAGAGCGAAAGATCCAGCTACAATCACGGCCATGAAAGGAAGGCCGAAGAGAAGAAAAGGGTGTCGAGTAAGCCGGGCCCGGTAGAATGCACCAAGACGCTCTCCGAAGGAGGAGGATGCAGTGGTCGCTCGACGAAACGTTTTTGATTGGAAAGTAGGCATTGCGAAACAGTAAACCCTGTACAAAAAGAGTAGCAAAGAACGAAAGGGGTGCAGTCAAGCAAAAAAGAAAAAGGTTCAAACTAGAAGTGGTGCCATTCCAAGCCGGGGAAAGATGAAGACTAATTTGGACGGAAAATTGATTGTCCGGGATACCGGGATTGAATTGTTTGGCCCGCGCATCGCAAATGAGCATGAGCTTCTTCAGAGCTGACCTTCTTTACGTTCATACTGGGTCGTATTGGCGCTGAGGCAGAAGTGATTCTAGGTCTGCCTGAAATAGACTCTGAAGGCAGCAGTCTGTCCACATTGGACCCATTTGGTCTTTTTGTCTAGCTCCCTAGGCATTCGCGACTTCGGTTTTTTCTCTTCCCCTCAGCAAACGCCAGCCAGAAAATCACCCTCGTCAAATCCAGACTAGAGCTTACCGGTGGCCACACCTGAACGATGACTTCAAACACGGGCTCTTTATTTGGAGGAGCCGGGTTCGGGTCTACAGCAAACAAACCCGGAAGCATGTTCGGCTCAACCACCAACGCGACCAGTGCCTTTGGAAACACCTCAACTGCGCCGGCGCCGAGTGCACCAACTTCTTCCTTGTTCGGTCAAAGCCAGGCCCAGCCCCAGCAACCAGCGCAACCCTCTCTACTCGGTCAGCCTCAGCCGCAGGCCAGCAGCGGACAAGCCCCAGTACAACCTTCGACTCAAGGAACCCAGCCTGCCTTCTTCAACAGTCTCCTGGAACGTGGGAAGAAGCGACCACTCTCTGCGACTGTGCAGAGCGGCAACTTTGAAGACGTTCCCAGTCTGCAATTGGGCCTCGATGACATCCGGAGAAAGGCGAGGGAACTAGGTACACCTGGAACGAAGGATACCCTTCAGAATGGCACAGCTACCAAGGCGTAAGTTGATTATTTATTTTTCAAGTTTTCTATATCTTGCTAGGCATTGTGGTCTGACTTGGATACATACCCAATAGTCATTATCTCCTCGCCTCCTCCGGCGTTTCCCCTGGGCGGGCGTTGCGCGACCTCAGGTCTCTCGACCCTCAAGCTTCTATGGCCCCGGTGCGAGAAATCGACAGCTTCGACCCTGATAACCAGCGGTTTTTAAGAAACATCCAGCAGCGTGGGCGGCAGGTGATGATCAACGAGAGTCTTTCTCGCGCGCAAAGAGACTTTGACACGTTCTTGGAAGAGAAGGTGGACATGGACTGGGAAGAACAGCGCCAGAAGATTTTCCAGCACTTTGGACTGTCACAGAAAGATGCATCTGGTGCTGGTGATCTGAAGTCGACCATGCGTGGTGCCTTTGGCCGATCCGCCAGACAATCCAAGCAAGCCGGCGGCCCTGCGGCTGCATCCCGCCGAAGTGTCTTTGGCCGTTCTGGTCTGGACAAGTCTGTCATCGGAACGCCTGGCACCGGCCTTGCTAGTCGCCAGCTTTTCGAAGACCCCGCGGAACGAAGCGAAGGACCTGCCACTTCCTCGCCTGATCTCCGCTTCTTGCGGGAGAAGATGGGTCACTACGCTGAGAAGGTTCAAGATTTGAATCTTGCTCGGCTCCAGGGCAAGACATATCCCATTCTGCACCACTTTTCGGAAGTCGAAATGCATGCCGGCGGCGATGTAAGACTAGCCCTACTACCTCATGGGTTTCCCCTTTCAATATCGCTAATTCTCATTTAGGTCCCTCAGCAGCTTTTGGCTGCGTACCGGGCTTTGACGACTATTGTCAAAGAGAACCCCAGCATCACTGACAAGACTGACCCCGGCGCGGTGAGAGAACGACAGTTTGCGGTTGACTACCTAGAGGAGTCAGTCAAGTCCCGCAACTCGGCCAACCTGAAGAACAAGATCCTTGAAGGCTCAAGAAATTTCCTCGAGAAGTCATTCTACAGCGAAGTGGAAAACGCCATCGCCAAAAATCCACGTGAAGCTCAATTGGGTGGTATTCCGAGCACTATCAACAAGATTCGAGCATACATTCGCCTCCGCGCCGCGAGGAAAGACTTGGCCCCCGATGGAACCGAACTCCAAATGGTTGGCGATGATTATTGCTGGATTCTAATCTTCTACCTGCTTCGTTGTGGCTTTGTTGAGGAGGCAGCTGCCTATGCAACCACTGATCATGGCTTCCGGTCTCTGGATCACAAGTTCGTGACATATCTGACGACTTACGTGCAAGATCGGCGACTTCAGCGAGATATGCAGCAAAGAATCAATGGCGAGTACCAGCAACGACTGCGGAATGCGCCAGAGGGCTCAATCGACCCCTATCGAATGGCTTGCTATAAGATTATTGGCCGCTGTGACCTGTCCCGCCGTCGTCTGGAGGGTATCAACCAGAGTGTCGAAGACTGGATGTGGCTGCAGTTCACTCTCGCTCGTGAAGATGACCGTGCCGAGGAGGTAGCAGGCGACGTCTTTGGTCTGGAGGATATCCAGACGGATATCGCTGAGATTGGACAGAGAGTCTTCACAAAGGGCCAGGGCCAGGATGCCCCCGGCGGCTATGGAACGTTCTTCCTCCTCCAGATCCTGGGAGGCATGTTCGAGCAGGCCGTGGCTTATCTCGGCACTTACGCTCCAGTGACTGCCGTTCACTTTGCCATCGCGTTGGCTTACTATGGCTTGCTGCGCGTGTCCGACTTTTACACTTCAGGGGAAGAGATCCGTAAGTCTTTCCCTTCATTGCCGATGAGAAGTTTACGACAACTGTTCTCTTTTGACTTCGCGCCATTCGTGTCTCGACTAACCAAGATTTCTCGGCTCTACAGTGTCCTTCACCGTGAAGCAATACCCCCAGATCAATTTCGGATACCTCATCACCCAGTACACTCGGGAATTCCGAACTGGATACGTTGAAGCTGCCATTGATTACTTCACCCTGATCTGCCTCAATGCAGACCTTGGGGGTGCTCTCGGCAAGTCTCAGTCGTCAGTGTGCCACGAAGCTCTTCGTGAGTTCATCCTTGAGACCAGAGACTTTGCCAAGTTGCTAGGTGATATTCGCGATGATGGCACCCGAATCAAGGGTATCATTGAGCAACGCCTGGGTTTGATCAATCTAGCCGACCAGGAGGATTTCCTGAAGAACATCACGATCCAAGCTGCCGGCGTAGCAGACGACAAGGGCCTGATCACCGATGCGGTCCTTTTGTATCACTTGGCAGAGAACTACGATCGTGTCATTGATATCATCAACCGTGCCCTGTCGGACGCGATCTCGATTGAGTTGGGAGGAACCATGCCCAAGTTGCAGCCCCTCCGCCCACGACTTCAGGAGGGCCAGCCCGGTCCCATCGACCCGGGCAGCAGCCTCAGCTTGACATCTGTTGACGACCCGGTCGAGCTTGGCAAGACCATGATCAGCCTTTACGATGGGAAGCCGATGTACTATGAACAGATCCGTCCTATTAACCGCGATTCCTGTGGCCTTCTTCTCCGCATGTTGACAGCCAAGCATGAAGTTGAGGCCGGCCGATGGGCACCCGCACTCGATGTAAGTCTATCCTTTCTCTCTGCCCAACACAGCGTGTGTACTTTCTTGATGCTAATCTCGTCATGTAGTGCATCAACGCATTGGGCATTCTACCTCTGCAGGCCCAGGGCGTCATGCAAAAGGTCCGCAGCGCTGCTCAGGCTTTCTCGTCCTTGCCGGAGATCATTTCGCGCAACATTGGACATGTCATCATGTGGAGCATTGCGTGTATCGGAAATGAGCGACGCCGTCAGACTAGCGGTCCGTACGAGACGGAGATGCACCAAGGATTTGCGGACCAGCTGTTGGTCATGGCCAAGGATCTGATGATCTTCTCTGGTATGGTCAAGTATAAGCTGCCCCCCAAGGTTTACGAGGCTCTTGCTCGTGCTGGAGCAGACATTGGCGCGTACTAGGGAATCAGCGAGCTTGCTTCATGTACTCTTCCATTTATTAAGTAATACAGGTGCCAGTTCGGTGACAAACAGTACTTTGTTTTCTTTAACACTTCTTTTTGTATCTCTGAAATCTGAGGTCGGTATCGATCTATGGACTCATCCTCTAGTAGATAAAAATAAAATTCCCAACGGCTAGGAGTAAATATGTATCTGTCCTGACGCGAAGATTAGAAATTAGCGTTAGGCGTACAATGAGAGCAGACATCTTAGCCATGTTATCCTAGTCGCTATATTTAAGGAATTCTCAAACCAATAATGATGTAGACATATACAAAAGTCAAAGTGCCGCGGTTCCCACGGATCATTTCCGCTAAGAGCGCCAAGCCTCTGGGGGGCAGTTCTGCAACATGACATCCGCTTCGCGCTACAAAAGTCCCCGTTGACCGCTGCTGGAGCCGCCTTTTCGATCGCGCCTAACCATGCCCCAGCCGCACTCGACCTCAACCGGCCACTGATTGACCTCTACAGACGTCGCTGTCGGGCCTCAGCCCACCATGAACGATGTTCCTCCCCGCGCATCGGACTCGAGCGCGTCGGCGGATACATTGAGAAGCGCCTCGGTCTCCCCGCACGAAGACGCACGCGCCGGTGATGTCGTGGAAAATGCCGACCAAGAGACTCAGCCACTACCAGATATCATGCGAGATGATGCAATGGACGAAGATGCTCCAACCGAGCCTGTCACAGCACCGATAAACCTGTCCAGCGCGTTAGCAAAACAAGCACAACAAGGAAATGCTTATGATTCCCTGTCGCAAAATGTCACGACTGAGCCTAGTGGATCTCAACCAAGAGCCCCGGGTATGCAAGCAGCTCAGAGCATGTTCGAAAACCCGCCAAACCTTGCACGAATTCGCCGGGTTTTGTTCGAGTGCAAGGATCCAATCGAGATTAGTTTGGAGGAGTTCGAGACATATTGGCCATTCATCGACAATGTATGGGTCAAGCAGAGAACAAATGCCAGTAAGGAGGGTCACTGTACCACGGACTACTATATGTGTCGGCTACGACGCCCAACCCATCGCACATCTGAGACTCGTCCGTTGCCGGAAGGGAAACGTCCCCGCAAGAAGCGCGTGCGCGAAGGGGGCCTTTGCAACTTCCAGATCAAGGTGGTCCGGTTTGACGGCGCATATACCACAGTGACTATTGCAAGAACCCCTGGAAGTGGCAGCATTCATTCTCATGACTTGGACTACATCGACCGAGTCAAGCGCAACTCGGGATTGATGGAATTCGCGCGCAGGGAGTCTGCAAAGGGATATCTGCCTTCTTCCATATACACCAAATTCCAGGAGGAACCAGACAAGTTGAATGAGGCTGGAGGGCGCTTTCTCACTGTGACGGACGTGCGCAACGTCTCTGCCAAGTGGCGCATCCAAAACCCTGAAGTCAAGCTTATTCCCCATGATGGGTATCAGCTGGTCAAGGGCCACGGCATTGTAAAATCCGTGGGCCCGGTCAGTGCCAGCGAAACTGTACAGACTCAGCCTATTCCATCAGCCTCGTCACCACATCTGCCCCCAGACACGTTATCCTTCCCCAACTTCTCCCTAGACTTCTTACAGCCCTATTTACCCAACCACTCCGAGAAACGCGAGCTACCTCACGTCACCCTGTCCTATGCATCATCCATGGACTCCAAAATCTCCCTTCTGCCAGGAATGCAGACGGTCCTATCAGGGCCCGAGGCCAAGCTCATGACTCATTACCTTCGGTCTCGCCACGATGCGATCCTCATTGGCGTTGGCACCGTCCTCGCCGATAACCCAGGGTTGAACTGCCGCCTCGAAGGAGCCGGTGGCTTTGGTGGACTGGGCCGGATGTGGCAGCCTCGCCCCGTAGTCATTGATCCCATGGGACGCTGGCCCATTCACCCAGATTGCCGTATGCTCCGAACGGCCGTGGAGGGCAAAGGTAAAGCGCCATGGGTTGTTGTCTCACCGGGAGCCCAGATCAACCCCCAAAGGCTGATGATGCTCAAGGGCTACGGTGGTGACTTTCTACGAATCGTAGAGTACAATCAGAACTGGCGATTACGATGGGAAGCTGTCCTCCGGGCTCTGGCGTCCGAGGGAATCAAGAGTGTCATGATCGAAGGCGGTGCGACGGTGTTGAGTGAGCTCCTGAACCCGGAGTATACCAACTTCATTGACTCGATTATCGTGACGGTGGCGCCCACCTATCTTGGTCGTGGGGGTGTGAGTGTCAGCCCAGATTCTAAGCTGGATCAAGAGGGCAAGCCCAATGCGGCGCTAAACCCTCGAGACGTCAAATGGACGCCGCTAGGTCAGAATGTTATTATGTGTGGCAACATTCGACAGCGTGAGCCTGAGCGACCAGAAGAGCCTGTATGAGAACGTGAGGCTCGTGCCTGAGATGGTATGATAATCTGATAGTGTGATAATTTCCTGTAATTACGATAGCCATGACACCGATGAGATAATGAAACATGACACAAACCAGAGTCAACCAGTAATCAGGCTGCGAACTGGGTTACTATGAGGAAGAATAGACTACAAGACCTCCAAAGTAGTCAACTCGAGGAAGTACAATCAACAATGCGATCAAAGAAAAGCGAAGTATGGCCTGATTGGTGCCTGAATTATCAGGTGTGCCGTGGTTGTGATTGTAAACATTGCATGTTTTTCAGGCATTGAATGGCAATTACGTAGAGGTTGGCTATCTCAAGGCCAAGGCAGCTTTGAGTTGAGCTGCTTCCGTTCAGGCAACTATTGTAGACTATAAAACAATAGTAGGCTGGAGTCGAAACAATTACCTTTGAGATCTTGTCTGGTAAACAATAGCGGGTTAGTGCCTAAACTTTTTTTTTTCTGCCTGCGGGCTACGGGAGGCCGGGGGGAATGCCGCATATTTATTGACTCCCACGTTCCCCGGCATCACTTTTCTCCCTCCTCTCTGTCGCGTCTTTTCTTTCTCTCTCACACTACTCATTTCTCAACTTCCACTCTCCCACTTTCACTTCAACATACGTACATTCCACAACCACAATGCCTCCCAAGAAGAAGAATGTGGAGACCGCCCCGGCCAAGCCTGTAATGGCTTCGGCCAAAACCTCAACCAAACCTACGGCCAAAGCCGCATCCAAGCCTGCTGCGACTGGCCCTGGTCGCTCCAAGAAGACCGACGCCGCCCCGGCCCCTAAGCCCACTACCACCAAGACCACCAAGGCCTCGGTGAAGAAGGTCACCAAGACGGTGACGAAGAAGGAGCCCGTCGCTGCCGCCGCCGGCGCGTCAAAGAAGAAGACGCAGCCCGCCGAGAAGGCCACCACGGCCAAGGGCAAGGCCACGACCAAGGCCTCGACCATGTCGACCTCCGGGTCGAAGAAGCGCAAGGCCGAGGAGGCCGAGGAGGAGAAGCCCCGCGCGCCCAAGAAGCCTCGCGTCATCCGCGAGCCCAAGTCCAAGGTCGTGAAGCCAAAGGCCGTTCCCCCCAAGGTCGTCATCAACGAGGTCCCCAAGACTCGTCTGAACGTGTTTGTCTGTGGTGAGGGAAGCTCCGGTGAGTTGGGACTGGGTGCAGCCAAGGCTGCCATCGACGTGAAGCGACCCCGACTCAACAAGTTCCTGGACGCCCAGGAAGTTGGTGTCGTGCAAGTCGCAGTCGGAGGCATGCACTGCCTGGCCCTAACCCACGATAACAAGATCTTCACCTGGGGTGTGAACGACCAAGGCGCGCTCGGACGCGACACGACCTGGGACGGTGGCTACAAGGAGATCAAGGAGGACGCCGGTAGTGGCTCGGATTCGGAAGACGAGGACGACGACAGCGGTCTGAACCCGCGGGAGTCCACTCCCACCGCCATCCCTTCCACCGAATTCCCCGAGGGAACTGTCTTCGTTGCCGTTGCTGCCGCCGATAGCGCGAGCTTTGCTCTGACCGACGATGGTCAGGTTTACGGCTGGGGAACCTTCCGAGTAAGTTGACCCATTCTTCTTCTAGCTTGGTCCCATCATACTAATCATCAATCTTTCTGAACTTATTAGAGCAACGACGGAGTCTTGGGCTTTGATCCCGAGCACCACATTCAGACCACCCCCTCCTCATCCCCGCCCTCAAGAAGATCAAGCAGCTCGCCTGTGGTGCTAACCATGTCCTCGCCCTCAACGACCGCGGAAGCGTCTTCTCCTGGGGTTCTGGCCAGCAGAACCAGCTCGGTCGCCGCATCGTCGAGCGCAACAAGCTCCACGGTCTGCAGCCTCGCGAGTTCGGCCTGCGCAAGAACATTGTCCACGTCGGCTCCGGTTCCTACCACTCCTTCGCCGTGCACGCCAACGGCACGGTCTACGCCTGGGGTCTGAACTCTTTCGGTGCCACCGGTATCCGTGACAACGCTGGTGACGATGAAGCCGCCATCTCTCACCCTCTCCCCGTCGAGTCGCTCTCCAAGCAGGACATCACCCAGCTCTGTGGTGGCGCTCACCACTCGATTGCCCGCACTGCCGATGGCAAGTGCCTGGTTTGGGGTCGTGTCGATGGTCACCAGAGCGGCATCAAGGTCGACTCCCTCCCCGACGATTCGGTCATCAAGGACTCGCGCGGCCGTCCCCGCATTCTGATTGAGCCCACTCAAGTTCCCGGTATCAACGCTGTCGCCGTTGCCGCCGCTTCGGACCACTCGCTTGCCATTGACGCTGATGGTCGTGCTTGGTCTTGGGGTTTCTCTGCCACCTACCAGACTGGACAGGGCACCCAGGATGACATTGAGGTGGCCACCAAGATCGACAACACTGCCACCCGTGACCGCAAGCTGAACTGGGCTGGCGCCGGTGGCCAGTTCTCCGTCTTCACTGATGCCGCGTGAAGCTGATCTTTCCCTCCTCTCCCTTTCCCATGTATCGCCCCGATCTCCTTGTTCGGCCTCCCTGTGATACAGTATGGGATATCATGTTTCATTAGTTTCCATCTCTTTGTTTCTCTGATGCCAATGACCTCGTTCTTTCTGATTAATATTTCCTGGGGGTTCCGCTTTGCTATTTTCTATCATTCTGATTCGTGTTTTCTCTGGACCTTCTCTGTTTTTCTGGATGTTTCTGGTTCTCATTATCTTTTCTTCGGCGCATCCATGTGAACTTGACTCCACTCCTGAGGAATTGGTCAGGCATGTTAGAGTAATATCCCAGGACCCGTTTTCTGCTACACTCAATGATTCAATGTTCTACACGATATCCGTGTGACTAAACCATATTTTTCTTTTTTTTTTTTTTTTGCATGGAAGAAGATGTTGGGTACATTATGGTATTCATTCTCATCATTAATACAAGTACAAGAACAGTGGCTCAATGGTTACCACTACATGCCCAAGTCATTCATAGCTTCGTATTCGGCGTCAAAGTCATCCATGCCTTCATCGGGAGCTTTCGAGGCTGGCTCTGGCATCCCGGACATGACCTCGTCTTGCTCTCGGAGAAGATCTTCAAGGTCGTCATCATCGGGCTCGGGGTGACTGACTGGAGGCCTAGTCTCTGCCTCGGGATCTGGCATGAACAAGTCTTGATCGGCCGTGTCTGATACCACCTGTCCAGACGGAGCGGAAGCTCGCGATGCTGATGTGTCTGCACCATTTTGATCGGTGGAAAGATCACGGGTGTCGGGCAGGTCGATCGTATCACCGAACAATTTCGGTTTCTCCTCATCGATCCACTCTTTTCTCATAGTCTGTATGCGCTTGGTGTGGCCCAGTTTCTCGATAATGGTCAGACCGTCTGCGAATTTGGCGCGTGGGTAGAGGTCATCGAGCCATAGTTGATAGAAGTTTAATAGTCGCTCGGCGTCTTGGAACTATAGCATGGAACAGTTGAGTCAGTTTCAATTGCATGGTTATTGCATACCTGGCGAGCCGACTTACCTCGTAGCCTTTGCCCTTGAATCTAAGCTTACGGTTGGCTGTGCGGCGTAACTTGGGGATTCCTGGCTGTGATAGTAGGCTGTAAAGAACTCGTTAGTCCCAAATCCTCGTTCATGCCGGGCGGATAAGTGCGTGGAGGGCGTACCGTGCTTCGTCGAGCTTTGGTGCAGGCTGTCTTTTCTTAGTGACTTTGACTTCCTCGTCAAGTCCGAGACCTAACGCAGTGGGATCGCCCGTGGCCGGTTTGGAGGCATCGGCGTTAGACGCAGTAGTTGGGTTGTCTTTGAAGATCTCATCGAGGCCGGCGTCGTAGTCGAACAGATCATCCACATTGCCGGGAGACGGAGCGCGGTCCAAAGTATTATCCATTGCATGAGTAGTAGGTCTTTCCACAATTCAGTACTCTCAATGCTTCAGTGCTTCAGCTCGTGGTTCACGATCACCAGAGAACGCGTCCAAGGACCACTGGACGCGCCGAGTAATCACCAATTGCGATTGGCTGCGGTGGTGCTGCCCGCCCGGCGTGCGCTAAACCCAAACCGGACTAGTAGACTCCTCCCTCCAACTTCCGAACTTCGAACTTCGACTCTGCACAACAATCCCCACCAACTGCATCATGGCTTCCGACCACAGCACGGCCATTGTGCCCCCTAAGCGGGCTGTTACTGATTACCCGGTATGAATTGATCCCTCAGGATTCGCCGAGCACCATCTAGCTAATCACCTTCTCTCCCCGCAGCTGATTGACTCCGACCCGTACGATATCCGATCCTCCCCCCGGGCTTTCCCTTGAATCGAGACTCACCAACTTTATCTAGGCATTTGCGCCGGGTTTTCGGATATGCCCGCTCCTCTGACTATGCCGTTGCCGGTGCGGCCGCTTCAGTCTCCCCCATTGCCTTCTGGGTTATGGAGCGAGTGAGCCCGTCGCATGTTGGCCGTGGTGGCTTTTCCCCAGTGATGCGCCTGGCCACTGCTGTCGGTCTCCTCGGTGGTCTTCACGTCCTGTACCAGCGCTCTTGCCGTACGTTGACTTTGCTATCTCTTTCGATTGTTGAATTGGGTGACTAACAATCGCTATAGAGCGTTTCTACGGATTCACTGAGAACACCAGGGAAGTCGAGATGGATATGCGGGAGATGGTTGACAAGGTGAAGAAGGGCGAGCCCCTGTACGGCACATCCCAGGTTTCTTCCTATCTCCAGGGTGTGGCTGCTCGTAACTCGCGGTACTCCCAGCTGTTCATCCACGTCCTGCCGTGGATCAACGTTGTCAACCACGACCAGGTTAGTTTCTATGCTTTCCTACCCCGTTAATTTTAATCATTATTGATGCTGACCGTTCCAATTAGCACGGCGTGGACACTGCCAAATACTATCAGCAAGCGGAGCGTGAATTGGAAGCAGAGCGTTTGAGCAAGGCCTGATTTTTTACGCCTACGAGATCTCTACGGTACCACCCGTGAAGGTGGACTTGGAGTTGCACAAGTTTTGTACACATATCCTTTTGTGTTTGTTTTCATTTCCCTTCCAGGCGCAATTTTCAATTAAAACAATTATCTGTTCTTGTCCGATATTTCTCGCGGTGGGAAGGGTTGTAAGCCTGGGCCATTTCCTAACTCCTCGTGGTGTGGACTCGAGATCATCCACATCAAAAGCACGCATAAGCTTTCTACGAGCTTGGCAACTCATCGCCTTCGTTGATGGCAGTCCCGATTTCGGGCACGCTGTCAAATGCAGTATTGAGCTCGCGGTTCCTCTTGGGTCGGGGTTTCGGTGCTGGCGAAGGATATTAGCACTACAAGAGATGTTTATGTTCAGACTCTGAGCTCGACTAACCCTTGTCATTCTCCTGGATGTAGAAGCGGCGCAGGAGCATAATGGCTTCCTTCTGGAACAGGCCTCCATACACTGGGTAAGGCGGGTCGATGGAGTGACTGTTGAAATGGTTAGCAAGCAGTTACAAGCTTCAGAGTAAGAGGCGCATTATCACTTACTCGGAATGAATGTTCAGAACACCACCAGTTCCTCCAAAGCGGTCATTGGCACAGCCAAAGTACACACTTCGGATTCGGTACTGCCGGAGGGCCGAGGCACACATGATGCAAGGCTCGACGGTCACGTAGAGGTCGGTGGAGTTGAGGGCAGACTTGGGGTAGCTCAGGAGCATTTCTGCAATTGCCAGGAACTCGGCATGGCGGGTTCCCTGTTGAGCGTTCAGCATTCGAACATTTCTTTGTTTTCTTCGTTTATATTGCATTGTAGGGAGGTCGAGGAGGGGGTCTGGGATTATAGAGGGAGGGGATCACTTACATTCATCGAGCGGTTGGTGTCATTCATGCCCCGTCCCACGATCTTGTCCTCGTAGACTAGGATACATCCCACTGGAGTCTCTCCGTGCTCCAAGGCTGTCTCAGCCTGATAGTGGCCGTCAGTGCTCCGAACCCGGTCAGGAAGAAGTATAGAATATAGCTTACCATCTTCAGGGCCTCCTTCATCCAGTAGGCATGCTTGGAGTTCTCGGAAACAGCAGGGGTGATCTCACGCTCCGCAATAGGCTCGTCCATGATGGCGGTGTATTCTTGTCTGGAGGCAGGATGAGTATGGGGAGAAAAGAGAGAGCAACAAGACGTCAAGAGCGACAACGTGCATCCCATTTTTATTATGTATCAAGGCGGACGCACGTGTCAGAAATCCGATGAGGGTGAGGGCGAGGAGTCGGGGTGAAGGGAAATACCCATAGATGAAGCACGCAGGTAAAGGCCCAAAGCGTAGGCAGAATGTGAACAAGTCTTTCACTTACTTGGATTTAAATCAATTGTGTCGTGCCTCTTCTATAGACTTTTTCTCAGAAAGATAGTAATGATTCATGTCACCATGAATGGTCATTTTTCCCGGTTGTGACCATCTATAAGCACTTTGTACATTTTTCTACTGACGATTTCAACCGAAGAGGCAAAAGTGGTGGGGTTTGTGGCCTGAGGTGTCCGCGACCTCTTATCGTTATCGGGCGCGTATTGGCGGCTCTTCTCCAACTCGCGTTCCATCTTGATTCGTCTGATCCTGGGGATAAACCAGCAACTTCCTATGGCTATGTACGCTGGTGATGGCAGCTGAAGGGGATTATGCTCAAGGCTCTGCCTTTCGAGATGAGAGACCCGCCGAGCCAGCCTCGTCCATCTTGGCCACGCATTTCGCTCCCCGGCTGGCAACCCAAGGGCATGAGCCGCAGCGACTGTCTCGAGAGGCATTTTCGCAGCTCCGGCAGGAGCTGCTCGGTGAAAAAATAATACCCAATTTCGCATGGATGAGGGTATCACTGATATCAATAAGCTAATATGCATCATTCTCAAGGCCGGGTTGGAAGTTAGCCCCACTAGCAGCAGCCCAGAGGAGGACTTGGAGGGCCAAGTCTTAGATTGTTTGGAGATTATCCAACTCAGCATCGACAAAGCTCCCCAAGCTCTATGGGATGTCTCGGACCCCCTCATTTTGGGTGAAGATGTCCAAGCACCCTTGTTCTCATGGTTGATCCTGCGGTTGATCAGACTGGCATGTATGTGGCACGTTGAGGCCGTCCAGGACAGGCTCCACTCCATTCTCACCAGCATGGCTTGTCTGCAATACAAACAAGTCCGGTCGTCCCCGTCATGTTATGGGATATCGGCATTCCTTCGAGCTTGTGCACTGGGTATGTGTCGATGTTCCCTCTTTCCGTATTATACCTCCCTCGAGTAACTAACATGTTACAGACACCTTGAGCTCACTGGAAGGGTTCTTGGATATAGACCTGCGAAGTTTTCGCCCTGTCAAGCTATCAATGCCATCGAAGAGTGGATCACTAATGGGAGATCTGGACAACCTGGGCCTTCCTCGTGGCCTGTTGAAGCGTAGTCTGACCCTAGGGACATTTCCCCAGGCTGCTGCACTTGCCACTGCTTTGTTGGACGCTCTTAGTCCCGAGGCATCAGCTCAAGGTGTTTCTAAGCGGCGAAACTGCACACTACGACAGAATCTTCCATGGGCAATGAATGGATACCATCGCCTTCGAAGGGTGCTTGTCAGATGGCTACAAACTCCGGGTTTAAAGGTCACGCCAGCGGACGAGCAGATCATCTCACAGTTCCTGGTATACACCCGCCGTCTCTGCGTGTCCGAGTCATCTATGGCTACCCTCTTGTCCGACATGAGCCTGGCTTCCACGTGGACTCAATGTCTAGCTGAGTTCCTTCCTCTCAGCGTTGGTCTCCCAATGCCTGCAATACAACTCGACTTGAGCCATTTCGTGGACGAAGTGACTGTAGCTATCAAACAATCTAAGCTCAATGTGCCACAACTGAGAGACATCCTCCTGCCCGTTCTGACGAACATTCGGGCCCAGGACTCTAATCCTCAAATAGTCGAACAGTGTCTCGGGGTAATTACTGGCTTATGTTCAGCTCCATGGTCACATTGGCTAATCAATTTCTTAGACTTCCATTTCTAGCCTGTACACTCAATTGCTCGATAATACCACGCTTACAATGCTCTCAGTTGGTGCGTCGTCGACCTCTCCTGATGCTGATTCATCTGGCGTAAACCAAAAGCCACGGACCACAGACCAAGAGACGGAACAAGGTGAGGACGGAATGCGGGCACCGAAGCGACTGTGTCTGTCTGCAGAGTCGTCCGATGCGGACCTAGTCCAAATGCTGTTGGAGGAACTTTCAACGTTATTGGGCTGTGCATGTGCGACAAGTCTGTCAGATCTGTGTGCTGCTGTGCAGTAAGTCCCGTATGCCCCATACTTGACTTGAACCCCCCAATACTCAGCATGTTTCAACATAGGAATCTATACGAAGGAGCTTCCGAGCCCCAAAGGACTCAATTCCTACAAGTCCTCGGCAAACTTTCATGTGCAGTGGTGGGAACTTTGGAGCGGAAGTCATCAGACCTTATCACGAGCGACACACTTTCCTGTCAAAGATGTGATAGTGACCAGCATGAAATGGACAACATCCCGGAGAAAGAGATCGCTGGTTACGAAGACCTATGGAAAATCTTAAATTTCGTCTTGCCTCGACTCTCACGTACACCCGGTCCGCGAATCGCTGCCATGGTCGCCTTGAGGCGCATCCTGATGCATTCTCCAAATCTAACTCATATGCATCTTTCCTCGTCTGCGTCAGGGGAGTTCTGCCTACACTCTCTTCGGAGCTCCATTCGCGAGCTTCGAGTGGCAACCGGGTATGTTCCTCAAATGGCACTCTAGCAATGGCATACACTAACATGCCTCCTCAGACACTCGGTTATGGCATTTGTGCGACCAACTCTCCAACCGGATGTTCGTCGAGCCAACTTTGTGATCGTTCTAGAATGGCTGAGAAATCTATCCGAAAAGAACGACATGCCTTTACAAGAGGCGTGCGTCTTGACGTTATGCCGTCTTGCAAGGTTTGTCTATAAGCTCCAACTTCTATCGTCTATACATTGAGCTCATCATGTCACCTTTTCACTTATAGGGTCTCGGAAGATGACGAGAAAAATATCATTCTCTTACGTCTAGTGGAGTACCTCGGCCATCCCAACCCCTACGTCTGCTCCGTGGCCTACAATGAAGTAAGTAATATAGTGGATTCGATTGACAAGTTCTGGCCTGTTGGACCTATTTTATCTACTTATGCATCTCTCCTAAGAATAATACCAAGACTGACCCGCTTGCTATATTAGCTATCCAAACTTGCACAGCAATTTTCCTTGACACCCGCCGGCTTGTTCCGGCCGTACTGGCGAACACTCTCGGTGGCAGTTGTCAAAAATCTTCAGACTCGCCCATACATGGCTGAACAACTCTGTGAACTACTGGGCATGAAAGTTGACGGCTTTCTTCGACTAACCGAGGTCCACGTGCTTCCCTATCTGGTTTTGACAAGAAAGCGAGACATCATTTGCAGAATTGGAGCAAGCCGCAATGAAGGCGAATCGCCCTTCGATGTTTGTTCGGAAAAGAACAACCTTGCTGCGATTCTAGCCTATCTTCTGGCTCAGCAATCCGACAACCCAGAAGCCATGATTATGTCGCTTCTTGCGGAAATAGATCCTGCATTCAAGGGTCGATCCTTGGCTGAATTGGTGCGAATTGAACCCATTCTCATCGCATGTGACTTGCTGAAGAGCCTTGGAGATGCCGGAGAACAAAACAAAGAAAGGGTAAGTGTAACAATTTGAATTTTCTAGGTCCCATGGTTCTTGCTGTAAAGAGAATGATATAACGGCAGACATTTAACTAATAGAACATGACAGTTCCTTCAAGCCCTTCGTCGCCTTGCCACTTTCGTCCCTCGAAAATTCCTGCACGCGAATTCTTCCAAAAAGGCTGACCTTTTAAGTCACTTCATCGAGGAGCATGTTCTGGGGATCATCACTCAATTTGCAAATGCAATCAACGATTTTCAAGTGAGGCAAACCCTGGCTGAGAAACGGCGGAACCTCAAGGCCATCGAGGAGATGATCAATATTGCCCAAGGACATGTTAGCAACGCACTGCCTCAGGTCTGCGCCTGCCTTCGATCCGCGCTTGAGATTGACGAATTGTGCGACCATGCATTTTCAGCTTGGAGAACATTGATTCGTTCTCTGGGTGAGGAGGATATAGAGCCCCTGATCGACCAGACCTGGGCAATTGTGATTAGATATTGGGAAAGGCTCACCGATGACAGCAGAAAGCAAGCCCATCAGCTCATTGACCATATCTTGACGAACCAACCCAATCTTGTGCGGGATACTTTTAACACCATGCCCTCGCTTGCCTCTATCCCCGAATTGGCCGCTTTCGAGACCAAGATCAATGAGCTGCGAGCGGAAATGGATGTGAGAAGCAAATTCCTAGCCCTCATTCGCCGCTGTCAGAGTGAAAATTCAACTGTTGTTGAGCAAGCTCTGAGGGAATTGATGCCTTTTCTCTCCGACAATGAGGAATTTCTACATGTATCTGTTCTCAGCGAGCAGCCCGATCCCGTTGTTGCACATTTAACGCGAGCATTGCTCGATTGCTGTGTGAAGTTCAACACCAGCTCCGACTCCATTACTTTGCTATCGTCGCAATGCCTGGGCCTGGTCGGATGCCTGGATCCAAATCGGGTGGAGACAATCAAGGAGAAAAAGGACATTCTTGTGCTGTCCAACTTTGACAGAATGGAAGAAACCGTGGAATTCATTCTCTTTTTCCTTCAGCATGTTTTGGTTGAAGCTTTCTTATCCGCGTCCAATACGCGAGCGCAGGGATTCCTGGCCTATGCTATGCAAGGTCTCCTCAAGATCTGCAATCTGAATGCGGCTGTCACCCAAAGATCTCGCGATCTTCAAGGAGATGAAAAGTATCAGCGGTGGATGGAGCTTCCAGAAAGTGTTCGGAATACGCTTACTCCGTTCCTTACATCCACCTACACAGTCACTGTTGTTGCAACAAATTCAAAGGCCGCATACCCCTTGCTGTCACCTAAAATAACACACAGTGAATGGCTTCGGGCTCTGGTGCAGGATCTGCTTCAAACGGGAAATGGAGACAACGCCAAGCTCATATTTGCAGTATGTAGCCGTGTTGTCAAGGGTCAAGACATCTCTATCTCCTCTTTCCTCTTTCCATTCGCCGCCCTAAATCGCATCGTTGGGGGTACCGAGCAGGAGCAGCAAGATCTTCAGCTCGAGCTTTTGAATGTCCTTTCCCATCCCCTCCCGGAGGCCAACAACAACTTCCGTGAAACGATTATCAGCAGCAGCCAGGTAAGTCTTCTTGTGCTGGTGTTGCGGTATCTTGTACTGATATGCGTAACGTACAGAGTGTCTTTGAAGTTCTTGATTACTTGTCAAGATGGCTTCAAGGCAAGAAAAAACAGCTGAATGCCCTTAATGTTCAGTCGTATCAATCAAGTCGATCTCATAGAGATGTCAGTCGGGACGCACTGCTCGAAAAATATGCTTCACAGATCAAATCTGTCGAAGTTCTACTTGCTTCAATCCCACCAGAGATCATCTCGAAGAGAGCCGTTGAATGCAAATCGTTCTCTAGAGCTCTTTTCCACTGGGAACAGTACATCCGCAAGTGCAAATCACAAACGGAACCGCCAGAAATGACTAGCTCTGAACAGCTGTATGAGAGGCTACAAGATATCTACAGCCAGATTGACGAGCCGGATGGAATAGAAGGCATATCGAGCCATTTATCAGCTCTCAGTATTGATCAACAGGTCTTGGAACATCGGAAAGCAGGTAGATGGGCCACCGCACAGAGCTGGTACGAACTGGAACTGGAGAAGGAACCCGAAAATGTTGATGCTCAGTGGAACCTCGTCACCTGTCTCAAGGAATCTGGCCAGCAAGGTAATGTCCAAAATTTACGCCCCCTTTACTTTGGTCGGTATTTGTTAGTATCTTGCTGATTTTCTCAGATGCAATTCTCACCCGGTTTGAGGTTCTCAAGCAGTACGAATCCGCTGTTTCTCGACTTCTACCATTCGCAGTCGAAGCCTCATGGATCACCGGCAGGTGGGACAAACTACAAGGCTATCTGAAATTATGTGCCAGCAAGGAAACCGGGGAATTCAACGTTGGAATTGGGGCAGCTCTCGATGCTCTTCGCCAGAAGGGGACCTCCGCTTTCATGGAAATCGTCAACGACCTTAGACTCAGTGTGGCAAAGTCATTGACCGCTAATTCCGTGGGGTCGTTACAATCCTGCCATGATGACATGCTTCGATTACATGCCTTGGCTGATATGGAAGCAATAGTCCAGGCAGGGCCTGAGGATTCAAATCCTTCCAAGGACTTCTTGCTTCGTACACTGAATCGGCGGTTGAATGTGCTTGGGGGTTGTCTTGCTGATAAGCAGTATCTATTAGGCTTAAGGCGAGCGGCAATGGAGCTAGCGTACGTTTGCGTCAACGCTGTGGAGTTTGTGTTTATTGACTAGTTTTTCTAGGGGCGGCTTTGGCAACTCTGACATATCGGCTGCTTGGCTCACCAGTGCCCATCTCTCGAGGAAAGGTAATTTCACTGGGCAAGCATACCACTCAATGCTGCATGCCGCGCGCTTAAAGGACCGATCAGCCACGATTGAGCACGCCAGGCTGCTTTGGAAAGATGGACACCACCGAAAAGCAATTCAGACATTGGAAGGTGCTATAGCGTCGAATGACACCAACACGACAACCTCATCTGTTGATTCCCAGACTGCCTCTTTCCTTTCGGGTCGCGGGAAGCATCAGAATGAGACTGCTGCTGTGGTATGTTTCCGTTGTGCCGGTGATTTAGTGTTGGCCGACCGCTAACTGGAAATGCTTAGGCACATCTTATGCTAGCGAAGTGGACAGACAGGGCCGGACAAACACATTCGCATGCCATCATTGAGCGGTATCGGACAGCCATCAGGTTATACCCCAAGTATGTTATGGAATCGGCCTCCGTTGTTGGAACGATTTAACAATGAAAACTAGATGGGAAAAGGCGCATTACTACTTGGGGAAGCATTACAACAAAATCCTCGAGCTGGAAAAGCTTAAGCCCATGGGGAAAGAGGCGCAGATTTAGTATGTGCTTACCTTAATTGATACACGGTTCATGACTGACGCAAATTTGTTTAGCCTGAGTGGAGAAGCCACAAAATTGGTGATTGACAATTACCTTCGCTCGCTGACCTATGGATGCAAATACGTGTTCCAGACACTGCCGAAGATCTTAACACTATGGCTAGAACATGCCTTAGTCACCGATCAGCCAATAGACCCGAAAAGAGGCGATAATGAGTAAGTAGCCACCGATTTCAATAGTGATGTTGCTCCTGTTAACCTCCGGGGCCAAATCGATCAGGTCTTTCCGGCAACATGCACATACCCAGCGGCTCAGGAGTCTGGATGAGATCCATAGCCAGCTGAAAAAGTACATCTTGAATCGTCTTCAGGCCTTCTTGGTGAGTTACTTACGTTCTTCGTGATCGTCACTGCCCTTGGGATCCGTACTGACAATTGCAGCTGTTCACGATTCTGCACCAGATGGTGGCTCGTATCTGTCATCGCAATAACACTGTCTACGACCTTCTATCGCGAATGGTGACAAAGGCTGTTCAAAGCTATCCACAGCAAGGCTTGTGGACTGTGCTAGCAGTAGTCAAATCCTCGAACAAGGACCGGGCTCTCAAAGGGCAAGCCTGCCTCGCCAAGATTCAAGACTATAACAGCAAAGTGAAGAAGGATACTTCTGAAATCCGCCGCATGATACAGCAAGGCCAAAGGTTCTCTGACGAGTTGCTCCAACTCTGTCTCGCTCGCGTGGAAGACAGAGCCACCAAGGTCACTCTTGCTCGAAACCTCGGATTCAACCACAAAGTCGCTCCTTGTCGACTGGTGGTGCCTTTCCAGGCGATGTTGATTCCTAGTCTCCCTGTGATTCAAGATTCTGAGCACTTGAAAGGATTCCGGCCCTTCCCTCGAGATCCAACGACGATAGAGGGTATGTCAAAGCGCACAGTCTGATTGTTCTTCTCAAATATGTACTGACCAGCCTCAGCCGTTCTCGACGAAGCCCAAATTCTGAACTCCCTTCAAAAACCACGCAAAATCAGCATACGAGGCTCCGACGGAAAAATCTACAATGCGCTTTGCAAACCCAAAGATGATTTGCGCAAGGACCAACGCCTCATGGAATTCAACAACATGATCAATCGCTTCTTGAAACGAGATGTCGAGTCAAGCAAACGACGAATGTGTACGTAACGCTTGGTCGGACATTGGCCTTGTTTCAAACTAACTCATAGCCAGACATCAAAACGTACGCCGTGACACCGTTGAATGAGGAATGCGGTATCATCGAATGGGTCGACAATCTTCGGACTTTGAGAGACATTATCGTCAAGCTTTTGCGCGAACGAAGAATCCAACCGAATGCAAGTCTACCATGCCCCTGCTGGGCCTGTATGTCTCACTGGGTTAGCTAACTTTTGCGTTGCAACAAACAGTACACCGAGATCAGACATTACCTCGATGAAATCTGCGCAGACCGAACGTTTTCGAAGCTCTCTCTCTTCAACACGAAGATCCTAGCTAAGTATGGTCACCTTTTATGCATGGCTCAAACGCAATCCGTACTGACCTAAACAGGCTTCCTTGCGTGCTTCACGAATGGTTCATCGAAATGTTCCCCGAAACCGAGTCGTGGTTCACGGCAAGACTGAGGTATGCGCGATCCGCGGCTGTAATGTCAATGGTTGGATACGTTCTAGGGTATGTCACGCTCGGCCTAGGAGGCAACTGAAATTTACCCCAATGCTTCGGACTCGAAGCATATCGGTTTTATCATACTCATCAGTTCTCTAACAGACTCGGCGATCGACATGGTGAGAATTTGCTGTTCGAAGAAGGAACAGGCGGCATTCTTCATGTGGACTTCAACTGTCTCTTCGACAAGGTAAGAGGACCCGAGTTCTACCATCCTGCTCTCATCTAACTCATTTTAACAGGGCCAAACGTTCGAAAAACCCGAGGTGGTTCCATTCCGCCTTACTCATAACATGATAGATGCCTTCGGTGCTTACGGATACAACGGTGAGTAGTTCACAAGTGCAGTTCAATTGTCTGTCTGCTAACATCTACCATTAGGCCCGTTCCGTAGAACCTGCGAGATCACCCTCGGTCTCCTACGACAAAATGAGGACGCACTAATGACTATTCTTGAGACTTTTCTGCACGACCCAACAACGGATTTCATTGGGAAAAGAGTGAGTGCTGTCTACTTAACGCAGTGAGAGAGTTTGTTGGTTAACCTTTTCCCTATCGCCATAGCGACGCACTCATGCCAACGTTCCCGATACACCGGCCGGCGTCTTGGAGGATGTTCGCAACAAACTTCGGGGCTTCATGTCTAAACAGCCCATCCCTCTGTCTGTCGACGGGCAAGTTGATGAGCTAATCATGCAGGCAACTGACAAGAAGAACCTTGCATCGATGTATGTCGGATGGTGTGCATTTTTCTGAGCTCCCTTGGCCTGGCCCGATCACTCCGCTGTCTGAGATGATATTTTTTTGAGAAATCCCCCTTGATCGGCCAGTTTCCTATGACAGTAATATTTCCAAATTCAATACAGCCACAGTACGATGCTCGATATATTCACCGGTAATCGGTACTTGTTTATTTTCTTCGTAGATATCGGCACATTTTGAATTGGATGCGACGATGCAATTTACTTGTTCAGGATACTCGGTGAATATTTTCAAAGGGGCGTCTCTTGAATTTGGTTTTGGTCATTTAACGATTGTCATCAAATAGGTGGTGCGAGGATTCTGATAAGTGAAGTAGCGCTCGAGGGTTACTCAAGGAGTTCGTTCGCCCACATGTGTAACCCAGCAAGTGGACTAGTGTCGGTTCCGGCTCCGACTCCTCACTGGACTCCGACTTCTGTCACTACGACTGCTGTATCCATAGCTGCTGTAACTAGGGCTCCGTCGGCGACGCTGTCGGGGACTTTCGGGACGGCGACTACCACGTCGAGGGGGCGAGCGAGATCGAGAATAAGACCGCGATCGCACTGGGGATCTCGACCGTGACAGAGACGGGGGTCGATATGTGTCGCGCCTTTCTCCTGCCCGTTGGCGTCCCTGTCTCCTCGGAGGTGATTCTCCATATGACTTTTTGCCAAAGCGAGAGCGCCCACCACCTCCTCTGTTGGATACTGGCGGTGGTGATCGTGAGAATTTTCGGCGAGGAAGTACAATTGAAACGTTCAGGATAGCGCCATCGAGTTGAGCTTCATGCATGTGAGCAATGGCTGCTTCTGCGTCGGCAGGGTCATAGTACAGGATGTAGGCGGTGCCGCGGTTGGTCATAACTAGATGGAAACAGATGGAAATCAGTACACCTGCATAGTATCGACGACGTCAATCCAGGATGTTCGTACAGGATCTGTTCATGGGCAGGTCGAGGTATTCGATATCTCCAAAGCTGCCGAATATTTCGCGAAGGTGTTTCTCCGTGACATTTTTGGTCAATTTCTCAACCACGATCTATCAGGGCAACTTCCATTAGCGAAATCTGACACATCAAGCCTCAACACCGGCATTAGACTACCGTACCTTTGCGCTTTGTGGAGGACTCTGATTTGGGCTGGGAGAGCGACTGTAACTCGCGCTCCTGTAACGTCTGCCACCTCTGCCGGGACTGCGAGAACGCGAAGGGGATCGGCCTCGCGATACGGATCGACTTCTGCTCTTGGTGCGGCGTTGACGGTCTGGCGATGGGCTTCGTGTCACACTTCGTGGTCGGTGGTCTACCCGAGGTGATTTTGCTTGGTTGCGATCTGGGGAACGCATGGGCGATTGGCCCCGAGGGGATCGCGTGGACATGGCTGCGTCTTTGGGGGTGATTGCGGGACGAGGAATGGGCAAAGTGAGAGAGGGTCAAGAAAGAGTGAAGTTGAAAGAAAGGTAGATGGGGGGGAACAAAGCTGTACCTGCATGCTGCACGTCAAGTCACGAGGTCGCGAGGTTTAAATCAAGGGCGCAGCTGGGGGAGGCTGCGCTAGCCGCATCGGGTAATCACCTTGGTGGAAGTGAATACAGTAATTAACTAGCTAAAGATCTTGTATCCAGGTGCAGAATCAACTATTGCAGCTATTACAATGCGAAATTTGCCTCGTGAGAATCGTCTCACGCCACCATCTATTGAGAGGCTAATAGAGATGGAGGGTATCACCAATCTAACAATCGTCTTCTATATCTATTTTTGTGCATCTCGCCACTGTTCATACTCTTGGATGACGGCATCGGTAATTTGACGGCGCACCTGAGTCAACGCGTATTCGAAGTGCTTCAGCTTCACATCTTGTTCCTGTTGCGTCTCCTCTTCTTCATCCAGTGCCGCGTCACCTGCAGTCTCGCAGATACTGACCATTTCGGCGCCCGAGTAGCCCTCGGTGCAAGATGCCAATTCATCCAGATCAACTTCCGGGCTAATGACCGATTTACTAGCCCAGATCCGTAGGATTTCTCGTCGAGCCTCAAAGTCTGGAGGGCCAATATAAAGGATATTATCCAGGCGACCAGGTCGCATGAGAGCAGGGTCAAGAACATCAGGTTTGTTTGTAGCAGCAATGACCAACACATTGCGCAATTCCTCAATACCATCCATCTCATTGAGAAGAGTGGTTAGAACATTGACGCCTCCCTGGGAGCTGCTGCTGCGACGAGCAGCAATGGCATCAATCTCATCAAAGAAGATGATGCTTGGGCGTGCCGCGCGGGCCTTGCGGAAAATTTCTCGTAGCGAGCGCTCGGATTCGCCAACGTACATACTCAATATCTCTGCTCCCTTGACAGCCAGGAAGTTCAAGCCAGCTTCCGTAGCCAGTGCCTTGACGGTAAGGGTTTTGGAACAACCTGGAGGTCCGTACAGAAGAATTCCTTTCTTACTCTTCACATTGAGTCGGCGCATTCGTTCCGGATGCTAAGACGAATCATTAGTCTTGGTCAAGGAAGAAACAATGTGGAAAATGTAAAGTAACAGTGCTTACCTTGAGAGGCCTTTCCACGGCTTGTTGAAGGCGTTTCTTGATCTCATGCTGCCCTCCAATGTCAGACCACCTAACTTTTGGCGTCTCTAGGAAGACCTCCCGCATAGCCGTTGGCCGGACCTCTTGCAGGGACGCAAGAATGTCCGCTTCCCTAATATCCAAGTCGATGCGAACCTCTCCATTGCCAGCATCATCGACATCATTCGACGAGTCTACTTCTTGACTAGGTAGCTTAACCGGTAGGATGGTAGAGCCTTGTTCAATCAGCTGTCGTTGCCGGGCTTTCCGGCAAATGAGCAGAAGGAGAGCGTAGAGATCTGCGCCCACGTATCCGTGAGTCTTCTCGGCGATCAAATCAATCAAGTCATCGCCAAGTCCCGCAAATGCGGGGCCGCGAATGGCACGAAGAATCTCGGCCCGATCCTGGGCTGTAGGAACTTGAAGTTCGATCTCGGTTCCAAGTCGATGAGGGGTTCGAAGAGCATCATCGACATTATTGGGATGCCTTGTGGCCGCCACAACGAGAACCGATCCACTTTGAATCGCATCGAGATTTTCACACAGAACAGACACCAAGGATGATGATTCGAGGGAGGTTCGCTTTGGTGCAATGAAGTCCAACTGGTCGATCAGGATCACACTGGGCTTAGCACGGGCAGCTTCTTGGAATATATTGCGAAGCTTCGTCTCGCTTTCGCTGGTACTGCGGCCAAGGGAAGATGAGCCAATTCGGAATACTTGCTTCCAGCCAGCCGACTCGATCTGCCGCAGAAGGGCCGTCTTACCCGTTCCCTTGGGACCGTATAAAAGAATTCCTCGGTTATGCTCGTAGAATGATGGCATAGCTGGGCTCCGTGGGTCAAGGTTGAAGTCAGACAGACTCTCGTTGATGTCCTCTATTTGACGCGAGAGACCACCCAGGCCTACGGGCTGAACAGCAATACTCGATCGCGAGTCATCCCTCGTTGGCACTTCTGTTCCAATGGAGACCTTGGAGTTCTTCGTGAATCGGAAAATAGTACGGTTCGGGCTCGCGCCAGGAGCGTGTATGTTAATCACCCGGAAGCTGCGGCGCTGGCCCTTGAGCTCCTGCTCGAAGACCAAGCCAGTTGTCAGAACCTCGCCTCTTAGAAGCGGGAATTCCAAGGTCCATTCCCAGTGGCACCGTTCGTCGTCGGCAATCGGGCCATGTCTTTCAATCTTCTCGGGGTCGGAGCAGTCCACCAAAATGATCGATTCGATCTCGTCAAGAGTCCCGTCAATTTTGGTGATGTTCACTTTCTCTCCAATCTTGATCCCGTAGCAATCCTGAAGGGTCCTTGACGTTTGCACCACCGTACTTTGTATATTCTCCACGGCCGTCCAAGCAATTGCAGTCTTCGGGGATCCCTCGGCCGACGACAAGGTACAGAGGTCATCGGCGCGAAGCCTCAAAGCAGCCAGGGAGGACGAAGAGAGATAAACACGGAATGCATCCTTGAGGTCACTTCGCGCCTGCTTCGACAGCGGTCGAGCAGTGAAACTGCGGATGTCGGCCATATGTGGGGTCACTCAAAGGACCATGAAGTGAACAAAGCCGTAGAGCGGAGTAGGGAATGAGCGACTCTGTGCCACCGTTTTATCTCAATCGCAGAATTGTAGGAAAGGAGCAAAGCGTAGAACGGGCAAGGTTGTCGATTATTGAACTCGGTGCCTGAGCTGTTAAGTTAGCAAGTCTATTCACGAGATCGCTTAGGATGGACAAGCGCACCCGTTTGCATGTATTTCCTGATTCTACCGGCCGTCCAGGATATAGTAAGTAGTGGTCCTCCAAGGTGTTGTGACCTCTTCAATATCACGACCTTCACGAGTCGCAGACCGTAGAAATTTAAAGTGGGGGTGAAGCTGGAGGGGATCTTATCGGGCGGCCGATAGGAACAAGAAAAGTGGGTCGGCCTCGTGCGAAGTTGAGCATACTCTGGACAGTTACAGTACATTCTCTAGGGCGATAGAAAAGAGAAATACTACAAAAACCGTCTATTCATATATCACATGCTATCGTATGGGTAGGGTATTGAACACTTTGGTATCATGAATGATATAGTGTGGGTTATCTCTAGAAAAGGCTTTCCTTTTCTACAAGACTCGTCCTATACATACCCCACATGAGAAAAGGGGCTTTAGAAAGAAAGAAAAAGCTTACTCAATTGAAAGGAGAAATAAGAAAGGAAACGATAGACTCGTCCTCCACAGACATGGTAAGGGACATGGACGATTTAACCAACTACTCGGCAAAGTACTACTCGGCCTCAACAAGCATCAAAAAAAAGGAAAACGAGTTGCCATGGGCTATGGACAGATATGTATGATACTCGAGTGTAACGGGCGCCAGGTCTCCAAATAGAAGGACAGGAGTTTCAAATCTTAGCACATGAAATTGCAGGCAAAAGGATATGGGGGACAGCTGCGCAGAAAATCACACCAAGTGCGGCACGAGAAACACATCAAAAACGCGCGCACGTAGGGCAAAAGATAAGAGACACGGGTGAGAAAAAGAGATTAGGAAAAAGGAGAAGTAGAGGAAGTGGTCATGGCGGTGGTGGTGGTACAGGGAATTCTAGCAGCACTTTCCTCCAGTGCTACCACTCTGACCCGATCCCTGGTCTATATGGAGCCCGGGCGCAGCATGGTCGCTCTTGGAGGTATCCATGCCCTTCTTGATATCCGATGCAAGGCTGTAGAAGGCCTTCTCAATGTTGATGTTGTTCTTTGCGGACACCTCCAAAAAGGGGATGCCAAGCTCATCAGCCAGCTGCTGGCCTTGCTCGGTGGACACGGCCCTCTTCTCCTCCCAGTCACACTTGTTTCCGATCAAGATCTTGTGAACTCCCTCGCTGGCGTGTTGCTCGACGTTTGAAAACCAAGTTCGGATGTCTAATGAAGATCGTTAGAATAGTTGACTTTGGGTGGGAGAGAACAGCAACAAGAGAACAGGAAAGGAAACCATAGAATAGGAACATATTATGGTACTTACTCTGGAAAGACCGCTCGTCGGTCACATCGTAGACCAGGAGAATGCCCATCGCGCCACGGTAGTAGGCAGTGGTGATGGTTCGGAAACGTTCTTGGCCAGCCGTGTCCCAAATCTGCAGTTTCACTCGCTTTCCGTCCAACTCGATCGTACGGATCTTGAAGTCAATACCGATGGTTGTAATGAAGGATGGAGTGAACGAGTCCTCGCTAAAGCGCAACAGGCAGCACGACTTGCCCACACCGGAATCTCCGATCAACAGCAACTTGATCTATGAGACATCTCTTGTAAGAAAAGGGTGACTGAAGAAACCCAGTAGCTCCTTGAAGAGAAGAGACTCACCAGGAAATCATAATTCCGTGTACCAGCCATGATGGAGTGGTTTGTTGGTGGGTCGGCGTTACGGGGTCGTTGTTCTCAGATAGGAGGCAGTCGAGACTGTGAGCAGATCCACGAGTGGAAAAGGGAGCGTGGTAGGTTCGTTTGGTAGATCCTGCAAGGATGCTGAGAGGAGATGTCGTTAAAGAGCAATCGCAAAGTGAGTCGCAGCTCTCAAAGATTAGGGTGACCAGGTCCTGGTGCCTCCAGGGACTTTATCAGGAGCGCCGGGTCAGCGGTTTCAAAATCACCCGCCCGTGAAAAAAAGAACAGGGGACCAAGGGGAGGCTGTTGGATATTTGAGAGACTTGAGACCAGCCCCAAAATATTTCAGAATAGAAGCAAGTAGGAAGAAGGTACGGAGGAGGGTGGAAGGGCAAGAGTGGTTAATACCAAGCGGAGTGATGACGGTACTGCGTTGCTACGATCGATGACCGGGTTATGTAAGCGGGCTCGATTCAGGTCCGTCCTGGACGTTAAACAACCCAGTCTGACCTAAAAGAACACTCTAGATTGAACTTGTAGTTGGGAGTAATTTGCAACTTCAGAGGCTTAGTTAGACTGAATGGGAGGAGACATGGTGGCACCATCTCGGTATCCAACGCTATGTGGAAGTATTGCGGTTTAATTTCTTCATAGGTGGTCACTTGAAGCCGCTATCTCCACTTCACGGAACGAATAAACTACACATATAGTACAAGACAACAGACATCTGGGCAAATGAGGGCATTGATGATACCTCAAAGTACTCATAAGTACTGATTTTGGATTTATTTCCATATTTCCATTATTTCACGGGAATCTTATCATACCAACCCTATTACTGGAAGTACACCCATCGCATCCTCTCTACGACCCGTAGCTGCTTGTCAACACCGCTCTGGACGTCAAGCAGGTCTTGAATGTCCTCTCGGAATTCCTGGTATTGAACACCTCCCAGGACCAGCTTGATCTTCTGGAGAAGAGCCTCGGCTTCACAAATGAGTCGACCCGATTCCTTATAGGACACTCTCCCGTCGGACGGCCGAGCAGATGTGAGAACACGAGTAACGTTACTAATTCGTCAGTTCACTGCAAGTCTCTCAATTTGTAAGATTCAATATGTGCTTACCGTAGCCCCCGACGAAGCTCATGTTGTTTCTTCCCCCTCTGCAGACCTCGACGGTTGCCGAAAAGCCCAATCAACCAGCGTACAGTGGAATAGGAGACCAGAATTCCAGGTGTGAGACCAACGAAACTATAGGGAATACGTTAGATCATCTGTACTGAGGCATCCTTGTAAAGAAATCAAAGAGGGTGGGAGGGCAAGGCTACGTACCCAAAGACGAGTTCTTGACTCTTCAGGAGAGCATCAATGCCGCTGATGGCGATTTCAACATCGACCTTAGTCTTCTGAATCTGGATCAAAAGAGCGCGCACCAAATCTCCACGAACGGTACCAACGAAGGGTGTTCGGAGATCTCGTTCATACGCCTTGAGAACCGGAGTCAAATCGCCTTCCTTTACCGCATTGGCAATGGCCGTCGTGTCTTCCACGGGCAGTTGCCCCTGGCTGGTGTCGGGACGATCACGGACAAAATCAATCACCATTCGTTCCAGACTCGCCCGATCAGCGACTAAGCTGTTCTTGCTCATGATGGCAATCTCACTTTTCTCGTCGTGTCGAATAGTTCCGATGAGTTTGCGAATGGGGTCCACCACCCAGTTGCCGGCAAAGTCAATGACGGTAGCACCGAAATCCATGATCCATTGTAGGATCTGGTCTTGCCGACGAGCTAGAAATTTCAGAGAGGCGCTGCTCGACAAGACTGCTAGCGACACTGGGATCCAATACCGAGTCACTCTCGAGGGTCGCCCGTGCAAAGCGACAAATGTTGACATCGAAGACCTGTGAGCTGGCAATTGGTCACGGAGGACAGAAACCAGACGCTGAATTAAATCCGCCGGGGTTTGTGTGGAGAATAAGCCACTGTCTAGCATGTGTATACCGGCCTGGTCCTCCTCGAGGGTGGTGAACACCCGCTCCTCAAAGCCCGCCACACTTGACTGATTGATTGCCTGGCGAAGAATAGCCTCTGTGAGGATTACAACCCGGGTGACTGTCTCTTGCCACTTGGTCCGAGGCAATTGAGCGCCATCCACAGCTATATCGTCGGTTTGGAAGGCATGCCAACTTTCCATGAGCAGACCCAGGCTACTAGTATGAATGTCCGTCATAGCCAGCAGTCGGTCTCTTTTTTGGCGGATCTCCGAGCGACAAGATCGGATGGGAGATGACCAATTGAGACGGAGGGGGTACTCCGACATACTCTGTCGAGCAATTTGGTAGAATTGCGCCCATCGAGCTGCCAAGGACCTTGAGAGCGATGTAGAGGAGGCGTTTCGAAGAGAGGAGAGACCCTTGGACCAATGCCAGAGACGTGCAGGTGTTGTCTGAGCCGTATAGAGACCGCTATTCCAGACCGACCCGAGCACATCATTCCAGTAGTAGGTCTCTTCCTGGAGCTGAAGCGTATGGTCCAAAAGGGAGTGCATCACCAACCCTGATGCCTGGACCGAGGCTTTGGCCGCAACCAACCACAGATAGTCCGACACATGCTCCTCGGCCTGGGATTCTGTCTCGACTTGGGCCTCTGCGGATACGGGCAATTGACGCGTCAGGGTAGGGTCCGCAAGCAAGTCTGCAAGACGGGTAGCAGGAAGGAAGGGCTGGGTCTTGGAAGTCACCGAGATGGAACCGATGACATTTTGGAGACGGCGAACGTGTAGAGGCGGAGCATCTTCAGTGTATAGGAGCTTCTCAGGACGGGTAATCTGCTGTTGCAGTCGGTCGAGTTGGGTATTGACGCCGCAGGCCGTTCTAGATGCATAGGACGAATCGAATCAGCTGGGGAACAGCGAATGGGAAGGATCAGATCATCTCCGAAGGATGTCAAGATAGGGGAGAGGGTGGGGTGGGAAATCAGGCGACATACTCCTGGACAATCGACATGGCGCCTGGCAGAGCGTCGACACTACAGGTTCGACTAGTAGGTCGGCGTCGGCGTCGGCATTAGATTTAGCATTGAGCTATTGACATTTTTGGGGTATGGGCGTGGGAGCATAATCGTATGGCGTCATGGTGCAAACCAAGCAAACAGGAAGAGGTTAGGTAATTCCACCTGGGAACCGGATTCTAGGTTATGTAAGCTCCTCAACCGGTACAAACAGTGCAAACAAGAATAGGAATTATTCTTCGCGTCGTACTCGAAAGTACACGGTACTCTGCGGTCCAATCCGAGATCCGCAAATCCGGGTGGGATGATCAAATTTGCAGTATTGTACAAAAGTACTTAAATTGTAGTATACATCGTTACTTGGGAGAAGTCTGATGATGGACGGAACACGTCGAACCGGCGTTGAATGATGATCATGATATTACCCTCTAGATTAAGCTAGCTATAACGAGGGAGACCACGGATATCCGGAGGACCGCGGGGTATAGTATATTCTTTCGTACTGTACAGAATACTGTCATAAAACTACTACTAGTACTAGTAGTCGATCAATGAAGATAGATAAAGAATATAGAGACACTAATGTAGGTAGCTAGTATTGGTTATACTAGTTAGTATCTACTACAGTACTTCTGGAACCCTCGTTCTCAGAGGCATCGGAGCCGTGGATGCTCCGCATGGGCTGAGCAAGACGATCTCAGCGCGGGGGCCTACAAGCGCAATCCTACATGGCCTGACCAGGCAGAGAGACCAACCAAAGACCCGGAATTTGCGTATGATTTTCATTCTTCGCTGGGGTGGAGCTCGGATAGTGATCGGCTCGCCAGTGGCCTTACCCATTAGCAGGCCGATGATTGGTTGAAGGATCAAGTTTAGTTATCGCCATTGCAAACTAGACAAACCTGATATTCAGGGGAATTTATTACTTGGTACTTCGTCCTCCAAACGGGTCTCGCCACTTCGGGAATGGCCCGTCCTGTTCGCCGAACAAATAATTAATTATCTGCACCTTTTCCCTCCCCTTTCTCCTTCTCCTTCTCCAACAGTTGCTTTTAATTGCCTCCTCCCACTTTCCCTTTCGCCTTCGTTTGAAAGGCATCTTAATCCCCTTTTTCCTCTTTCCTCTTTTTTTTCTTTTCCTTCTCTCTGTCTTCCCAACTCCGCCTGGTGAACAAACACAATGTATGTGAAATCCATCCCCCATCCTCCTAAAGCCTTCATTCAACCTAATCTGCTTCCCCGAGTCATTCCGCTAATCTTCTCTTCGGAACGTATACAGGAACTCCACCGTGCTATCTTCGGCCACCTACTGGGGTCAATTTGAGGAGATTGGCAAATACAATGCCAACTTGAACGTTGCCGAGCGACTCTGGGCCGCCTGGTACGCGTGGATGCAGAATGATGTCCTGGCCACCGGTATCATGTCCTTCATGATGCACGAGCTGGTCTACTTCGGCCGCTCGTTGCCATGGATCTTTATCGATAGCCTGGGCCTCTTCAAGGGCTACAAGATTCAGAGCGTGAGTGAATATCGGCAATCCAGCATTGTGCCAGGTCAAGTGTCACCAGAAGGAATTCATTGGCTAATTCCTGGATAGAGCAAGATTCCTTCCCTGCGCGAACAGTGGGATTGCGCCAAGTTTGTGCTCCTGAGTCACTTCACCGTAGAACTGCCTCAGATCTGGTAAGTCCACTCTCATTTCTTCGGATAATTCATGGCGACCCTCGCGAGAAGCTAATGGCCCTTTTTTGTCGACAGGCTCTTCCATCCTATGGCTCAATTCTTCGGCCTTACCACTTCCATTCCTTTCCCCTCCCTGTGGACCATGGCGTATCAGATCGCGATTTTCTTTGTGATGGAAGACACCTGGCACTACTTTTCCCACCGCGCCCTGCACTGGGGTCCTCTCTACAAGGCCATTCATAAGATCCATCATCAATACTCGGCACCCTTCGGTCTGGCCGCGGAATATGCTTCCCCCATCGAGGTCATGATCCTTGGTTTCGGCACCGTCGGCTGCCCAATTGTCTGGTGTGCTTTCACCGGTGACTTGCATATTCTCACCATGTATATCTGGATTGTCCTGCGCTTGTTCCAGGCAATCGATGCGCACAGCGGCTACGAATTCCCCTGGAGCCTCCACCACTTCCTGCCTTTCTGGGCTGGTGCTGATCACCATGACCTCCACCACGAGAAGTTCATTGGCAACTACTCCAGCAGCTTCCGGTGGTGGGACTACGTCCTGGACACTGAGTATACTCCCGATGCTCTGAAGCGCCGGAGGGAGAACCAGGTCTCCTCAAAGAAGGCTCAATGAGCCGGTTCGGGCACCCCTTCATCCCTGAGAAAGCCGACCTACCTAATTAAATGCCAGTAGTTAGCGGAGGCCGGTACTTTTCCTCTCTTTCTTTTTCTTCCTTCCCTCTGGTCTGGCTTTTCTTTTTGAGACCATGAGGGTCTTGGGGTGCGATATCAGGTCCCTCGTCTGGAAACAACCTATCCACTTGTTGGAAGTATTCAGAGCGATGGTATGACGTGATACTACTCGCGCATCGTCGGGCAGCCCCCCAGTTACCAAAGCTTATTGGTATGGCATGACTTCGTGCAATGCGGCTCCGCAACCCCCTGTAATGTTCTAATGTATCTACTTAATTTTTGTGATGAATTCCTGGTACCCAAATCTGGGTGGGTCAATATGTTCGAATCCTAGAAATCTGACGTGCATAACTTTCAAGTTTCAATGACGTACCTTTTATAGGGGACCTTTTGTATAGCTATTTCTGTATGGAGTCCAAGACAGATGGTTGAAGAACCCTTGTCTCTTCAAATGTAGTTCGAAATGTTCAATGTTGAATAATAAGGGAATCAATTACATTCGAAGAGGGACAGTTCCCTATCATATCGGAGATCGTACCTTTCAACTGGCACAGGTCGATCTACAGTTACAGGACTAGTTGCTCGCGCTACAAAATAGGCCTCATTGGTAGCTCCTCCTCCACCCTTTGCAGTCTTGGACTACCCATAACTACATATTAGTCTATTCACTCACTATATTACAGAAGGACTTAGTTAATCATAACCTAAAAGATACCGGAGAGAGATAATTCAAAAGACCCCTAGAAAAGACCATTCGAGAGAGCGGGATTTACAGCAGCGTATCTAGCTAGATTTTTCATCTGGTCAATACGGGAAACCAACCGAGTTTGGTTTACGAGGTTGGTTTAGTTTATCGTGCCAGTCGTCGGTTCTTATTTCTAAGGTATCTATGGTACTTAAAGAGATAAATACTAAATATAAGTGAAGTCATTATCAGGTGGGCTCCTGCCTACTACTATATAGTCTTGCTAGATGAAATCCTGTGTGCCCTCGAGTCAGAAATCACTAATACTACTTCCAAGGTTATAATTACTAATTCTGAAACCAAAGGATAAATAAATGAGAGGATAGAAACTGTGGAGTGATATATACAAAGAGACAGAAAAGGTAGGTAGAAAAAAAAAAGAAATAAAGCAATGTTCCCTCGAACCGGAATCGAGCCGGTGACCTTTCGGTTATATGATGATCCATTACAGCCGAACGTGATATCCAACTACACCATCGAGGGTTTGATTGTGAAGTCACAGACACTTCATAGCTTTATGATCTAAAACTCTATGCGCCTAAAAAATTACTTTTCAAAAATTTAGTTAACGCAACAATATCATCATAAATAGTGATATTTATCTCATCTTCGCGGTACCTATTATAAAGATATAGCAAAAAAATTATTTACTCCCTCGAACCGGAATCGAGCCGGTGACCTTTCGGTTATATGTTATCCATTACAGCCGAACGTGATATCCAACTACACCATCGAGGGTTTGATTGTGGGTGGGGCGTGTAACTTTCGCACTATTAACATTATCAAATTCATCCATAAGGAGGCCTTTCGCGCTGTACGTATCTTTATCTTTTCTCTCGGAGGCACCGTATGCACGAATCATAGTTTCCCTATGACCAGTAATATCATATGTAAAATCATTTCCTACGTTTCTAGAAAAAGGCTGTTCTCTTACCTATCTTCTAAGACTCAATCGATGCGTCTGTTATGGCTAAGGACTCTATCGTGGACCTCATCTAACACTTGGACTAGCCCTACACGCATCCTAAGCATAAGTAAAGCGCTATTGCGCTATCCTAAGCTACCTAGGTAACCGCTCTCTAATAGTCTGAGTTCAATCAGTGTATTTGCCATCGTACTCACGGGGCTCTAACACGACTGATGAGTTTCTTTTAAGCTGGAGAGGATTTCATCAAATATAACCGTAGCTTGTTTAGATAAGCCCACTCTTCGCGCCTTGGTGCTTCCAACTTATTCCTCTACTGGCGCATTGATGTATTTTGAGTCTCCGGGTACTGTATGGCATAATACATGGTTTGAGTGTGTCGGAATATGGGGACTTGCTTAGGTTATACGGAAAAGAAACCACATATCAAGCTTTTGAAAGTTACATAGGTTGCCTTCATAGCTCTCTGTTCCTCCCGTGACATCCAGTACTTGATCAAAACAATGCACACTTCACATCATGTCTCAATGGACAAAGGACCCAAATATAATAACCCAATTCTTCTCAGTTGGTGGGAATGGAGCCTTAGTCCCTTTTGATCTCGAGCTTCCCTAGACCTTTTAACCCCCAGAAGCTGATAACCATAGAGAGGAAGCTCAATGCGCAATTATACCACCAGCCGCCTCGATAACCAAGTAACAGCGCCTCCTTTGAGCCAATCCCATCTGCATGTGTTGTTATCTGCCGAGCAATTAACGCAGAGGTCGTGATACCGACACTCTTCCCAATCTGAGCAAGCATATTGAAGACGCTGCCCGCTAGGGCTTGTGTCTTGTTTGGGAACGCAGCTGTCATCACCAGGTTCGCAATAGTATACATTAGATCCGCGCCCAGTGGATTAAGAGCCATGGCTTGAAAGATACCATGCCAATACCCGGGCCCGTCAAGATGACATAGGGTAGCCAGAAGTAATGGTGCAATACCGCTAACAAGACAACCCGCAGGTACAGCAAATGAAGGCCTTAAATAAGGGAGGAGGCCGCCGATAGCAATGTTCGTCAAGAGGCCACAAACTGGTGCGGGCAAAAAGTACAAGGATGAGGTAAGAGCGGAGGTGCCACGGATGTCTTGTAGGTATAAGGCAGTTAGCTGTTCGCTGGCATTCAGGGTCCCCCATACCAAGAAAACAGTAATACAGGTAGCTGTAAATGGCAAGTTGGCCCACATGGAATTCGGAATCAGTGTTGGGCGACCGAGGCGAGCCTGTCGGCGCATCCACAGACCGAAAATGGGTAAGAGGATCACTGCCGCGCGCAGAATGGCGATGTGTAATGGTTGATGTATACTTCTCTCTGCGTTTGATCCAGTAGCCACAGCCAGCTCATATGAGAGAAGGGTGAGGCAGGTGCTGATGAGCAACGCACCAATCCAGTCAACCTCATGAGCGAGGCGTGAGAACGATCCTTGATCTACGGGACCACCATCGACACTTTGTGGCAACGCCCACAGCGCGAGCGTCAAAACCGCACCGTTGAGAATTGCGGTGACATAGAAGCCCCATCGCCAACCGATGGTGTCTGAGAACATGCCCCCTAAAACCAATCCCAGCCCAAACCCTACAGCTTGGCCGCCTCCCATGGCTGCAAAGGCGATGCTGCGACGGCGAGGGCTACTGGCGATAGGAAATACATGTGAAGCGACTCCAACAGCACCCGGTAGACAGAAAGATGCAGCGAGACCTGCCGTAGCTCGTAGCGAAATAAGCTGTACTGGGGTAGCGGCTAGGCCAGCGCCCAGAGCGCTAGCAGTCTGAAGCAGCCCACCAAGTAGACTAACACGACGAGAGCCAAGTATATCAGCAACAGCACCACATGGCAGTAGCGTGCAGCCACATGCAAGAGCAAATGCAGCGGTCGGCCAAAGTTGCTGTGCCGGGGGGATGCCTAAGTCGGGTGCGATCACCGGAATCCCTACGGTCAAGAGTCCCGCCAGTAAGTTTCCAATGCCTGTGATACAGGTGATACAAGCAATGATGCCAGCCGCTCGACTTCTGGAGACATGTGATAATACTTCGGCTTGCTCAGTCATAATTGATAAAGTATCTCGTGGAACTGACCATTCTGATGACGAGCCAGGGTGTGGCACAGTTTCAATTTCAGCAGTGTTTGTTGTGTTCGAACAATTCAAGACGTGTGGATGATCATTGGTCATGGTTTAGATGAGGACTTTCAGTAGAATTTTTGTGCTTTGTGACTCAGTGAGCAATATTGAAGATCAAACAGCTTGTGGGGGTTCTCTCATCACTATTTAGCATCATATGTTGTGTCAGATCTAATGGACACGTGGCAGGCAATACATAGAATGATCTCCTCAGTGCCCCTAACCGCTACGAGCCACCTATGGCTCTCAGGCTCAATAGCTAATAAATAATCAATCAATCATCAACCCATCACTCGTGATTCATGGGCCCCATATCGCTTCCTTATACGGGTATTGGGTGGGCTATCTTGCCTAACCACCAGCATACCGGCGGTGCCGTCAGCAGTCTGAGGCCGCATATTCGAGCAAAACAATGATATTAATAATAACAATAATAATAATAATGGAACATCATAACTGATGGTTTATCAGTCTTAGTGTGGAGATATTATCAGCCATAGAAGACCACCCTTTGTAGATAACTTAGTCTTTGGCAACGAACTATTAGGTAGTAACTAGTCTCCCTTGTCGTTCGGGCTGACGTATAATTTACTGTGGAAAGACTACAAATCAACCTCGATTACTATTGTAAACATCACCTTTTATCCTCTTAACCCAGTCACGCCTATATGTATAATACCTTTGCCTAGTTCTAGGGTAATTCACCCCGTTTTGTAACCGTCAGCTTAAAGATGTTGTAGTATAGTATAACGGGGACGGTAAACCTACTCTATCGTCATGCTTATCTATATCTTAGGCTAACTGGGTTCTATCTCCGACTAAAAATACTTAACCTATATTTGCCGGTTATATATGGTTCCATTAGAATTTCACTAGCTTAACGGGGATTACCCGTTCGGCATCTAGCCCGTTATAGTAGTACTAAGTGGCCCCCTCTCGGTCAGAAAAGCGTTAAGCCGGTACTTTACTAAGTAAATATAGGGGCAGGCTATTATACGTTACATGCAGCGTTGGCATATTACTCTTTAAATATATCAAAGGGCGTGTGAGGTTCCTCAATTTTACAGCCCCTAAACGTACCACCCATGGTCAATGTACAGCCCTCTCTACCTTGGACGAAACTTGTCCATGAGTTCGTGAATTTGTCGTTCTTCTTGGCCGTTATTTCTTCATCTTAGATGTTACCGTGCGGCCGAAAAATTAGCACGGTAATAACTTCCGGCTTATATATTAATACAAATAATAAGTGGAGAAAAGATGAGAACAGAGCGTAATACTTGACCGCTGAGGAGTGGCCGATCTAGCGTCCACCAACACATATTTTGTATGCTAAATCGAGTCAGTTCGGAATACCCGCCTTGTAACAGGTCAATACTACCCTCCCAGGCTATAGAAACTCTTTCAACACAGATCACACCCATGTATCTGTCAGGTCACGATGTATACTAATAACTTTTAGAGTTACACGGCTAAGTAACTTTCTACACTCTAATATGTCGGGTTTTTCTCCCCAAAAGTCCACGAATTCACGGTGAAAGGTCGTTTCTCTTTAGTTTATGCCGTAAATTCGTAAGTTGTATGTAGGGTAGCATAATTTAATATGCTCACGGTTTAATTTCACCTTACGTGTCACTGAGGCAACTCCGTCTATAATAGGTCGGTAATTAAGAAGGATCATACCGGAGGAAACCCTAGTTAAATTCGGCAAGTATCAGAAACACACCGGGAAACATATAACACACTAGCTAGAATAATTTATATTCGCAATAGCTATGACTTATTTATCTATTTTCTCGGCAGAAGGGTGCCCCGGCTGCTTCGTTTTTCCATAGAAGGCATAATTATGATTATCCGCATCTGGCAGGCCATTTGGCTGCTTGTTGGGGGGGTAAATAAGATTTGTCCCAGAGAGATATATAAGAGCTTTAACAAGTAAATAGTTTCTTCTCCATCGCCTTTGTCTAGTTATCTATCGGGTCTTCCTCCACCCACTGCGCGCGTTCCCCGGCCCTAAGCTTTATGCGGCCTCATACCTTCCCTACCTATATCAGAACAAGATTGCCGGAACTTTCGTCAAATATATACTTAGGATCCACGAAATCTATGGCCCGGTCATTCGCATCTCCCCTAACCATCTCGCCATTGACGGATCTATCGGATGGTCCGAGGTCTTCGCTCGTCATTCTAACGTTCCCGAATTTGAGAAGACACCAACCTTCTATGGTCCAAGAAACGGAATCGGCATATTACCTGCTCGCCAAGAGGACCACCAGCGTCAGCGCCGCCTTATAGCATATGCTTTTTCCCCAGCCGCCTTAGCCGAGCAAGAGTCGTACCTTAAATATTATATCGATCTCCTAATGAAACGCTTAAGAGAGCGCATGCTAACGGGGGACCCAGTCGACATGGCTAGATGGTACAATTATTTAACCTTCGATATTATCGCGGAATTGGCGTTTGCTGACCCGTTCAATTGCCTCGAAAAATCCGATTGCCATCCCTTGGTCTCTATGATCTTCAGCGGCATCCGGGGTAATGCCCATATATCCTTCTTCGAGCAGTACCCCGTTTTACGCCCGTTGGTCAATTTCATGGCGACAAAAGACGACATGGAAAAACGACGACAGTATTACGCGATGGCTCGTGCTAAGACAGAAAAGAGGATCACACTTGGGGCCGACACCCGTAAGGATTTCATGACCTACATCCTCCGTAATAATAAGGACGGAACAGGCATGACTCATGAAGAAATTCTTGCCAATACGCGCACACTGATCGGCGCAGGCAGTCATACCACGGCATCCGCTTTGGCAGGACTGACATTCTACTTGACCAAATCTCCTGAGGTATATAGTAGGCTTACAGGGGAGATTCGCTCGACTTTCTCATCCGAAGATGATATCAACATGAAGTCTACTGCTGCTCTTCCATATCTCCATGCCTGTCTTGAGGAAGCATTACGTATCTACCCACCCTTGGCAGAGACACCTCCGAGGGTCTCACCAGGTGCTTTTGTGAATGGCCAATACATTCCTAAAGGAGTTCGGTTCTTCGGTTCCTCTAGTTTTAAAAATGAAGAAAATATACTAACGACTTCGACAGACCTCCGTATCGGTTTACCAATGGGCCACGCATCACTCGCCGCGTAATTTCTCTGATCCAGATTGTTTCGCTCCGCAGCGCTGGCTTTCCGCCACGCATCCCTACTATGATTCACGATATGCATCAGATAATAAAGATGCCTCTAAACCATTTGCCGCGGGGCCTCGCGATTGCCTTGGAAAGTATCTTGCTTACGCAGAGATGAGAATGGTTATGGCTCGGCTACTGTGGAGCTTCGATTTTGAGTTGCAGGATGAAAAACTAGATTGGGTGACTCACCAGCGGGTATATATGGTTTATGAAAAGGGCCCGCTGATGATTCGGTTGAAACCGAGAGCTAAGCTCGAATGATGGATAGGGAGTTAGTTAGGTAGCCTAGAGTGGATTTCAGGATAAATCTATTATTGCGGAGCGCGGAGTAATATACTACGAAACTTGAGGCTTGGTGCGATCTGATTGGTCGATCCGTTATGGCATCACGTGTCTATATGGGTCATGTGACATATGGTGTTTTGTCGGAGCAGAACCAGTAGTGGGTACTCCGAGGAAGGAATTACTCTAGACCCGCATGTATTAGTCACGTTTTGCCTACTAGTTAACTAAATTGCTAGATAGGGGCTTCTTTGCAATTCAGACCTGTTGAAATCGGATTGGTGTACCTAGATAAGCTTAGCGACCCGATTCCGATAGTTATGAGCCCGATTCGTCCATAAGAAGGGTAGATTCGTTAATCTCGAGACTATACGCCGACGATTACGGTAGTCTATTGTTATGATATCCTGATATTGAGGTTATTCGCAGACTGATGCCCCAGGCCGCACGAGGCCCGGGCGTTCTGCCAAGAGGGTGCCGACCCGGCGGTCAGTCGACAGCTCCTCGGTGGCGTATCTAAAGGGCTACCCTGTCGGTAGGCCACGTTGGCTGGTTACACAACCTTTCAGCTCATGCACGCTCATACCGTGGTTACCCCTCTTCTAGTTCCCTGTTTTGTATGAGAGACTGTATATAAATTTGGGACCTTGAGGAGTAGGTTCAGACTCCTCAAGAAACAGTCTTGCCACGAATTTCACTAGGTGCTTCCAACCTTACCTGATCAACAGGTTTTCTACCCTGCAAGTAGTTATCTTTACAATTCTGTTTCTTCCTCTTTGATCACCTAAGGAAGGATGTCACCTCGAACTCGTTCGACGCCCGCCGGCGAAACAGAGCCGAATCTCCCACGGACTATCGAAGATTCGCAGACTGTTATCGAGGGAACCCCTTCTAACGAGGACGTTGACGCAGCGCTCGCGGCGATTCAGGAACGCGTTAGAAAGCTCCAAAAAATCAAGGAGCTTAACGAGCAAGCTACGAACCTCATGTCAGCCCTCGGCGAATCTATGCCGGATACCCACCGAGGACAAAGCGAATCTCCTGATTGGCACAAGGAAATCAAATTCGAAAACGTGCCAACCTTCGAACTCGAATACAACCTTCAGAAGCGGCATGAGTGGCTCCTCGACCTACAACAGATGTTCGCAGGAGCCCCAAAGAAATACTATAGCGACGAAAGAAAGATCATCGGCGCTGTATGCCATATGTGCCAAACCTATAGGCAGAGGTGGTACCGAACCTGTACCGAAAAAAGGGAGGTTGAACGCCGAAACGTCACCAATGACTGGCTCTTCTTCCAGGAGTGGACCCTAAGCCTTATCAAAAACGCGTCTAGTCTCATAATGGCTATCGCAAAGGAAAAGGAAAATATCCACCAGAGAAAGGACGAGGACCCTAGAGAGTTCCACGCCCGTCTCGATACCCTTGAGTAGTACTTTGAGAGAGCGAGTGAGAAAGAAAGGGCCCGATCCTTCTTCGTTAAACTACAACACTCCCTTCAGCTTCGAATCCAGGACCATATACGAGAACTTCCCGAGACACGTGAGGAAGTTGTCAACACGGCAAACCATTACTAGGACCTCATGAAAACAAATTCGGACCGGGGAAACACAAACGAAACCAAGCCGAATCATCTCCGAAAGCGTAAGGCTCCTCCGGATGAACCCCAGGGACCGGAAAAGAAAACCTACAAGAACCGTCAAAACAATCGGAGACGTCAAGAGTCCTCAACGAACAACAACCTAAACCCTATCGGAAGGGATGGAAAACGCAATGTGTGCCACATCTGCGGAAGCGATACGCATTACTCTCCTGACTGCCCCGACCGAAAGGACCCTAAGGAAAAGCCAAAGGTCCAGATAGCAATAACCGCGGGAAACGACAGCGAGACGGAGTAGATCCCCATTCTTCGTCTCAAAAGCCTACCGTGGGGACCAGAACTCGTTTCTATATACCGATTACCATCCGAAACACTCTCGAAACCCATGCGGATCTTGACAGTGGAGCTGAAGTTGACCTCGTTAGCTTCGAATTCGTCAGGAAGTATAGGCTCCAGCCAGCAAAGCTTACCGAACCGATAATCCGCGCAATTAACCGACGAAACACTCCGACATATGGTGTGTGGTCAGTCCCCCTGAAGGCTACCGATTCTCGAGGGATTACCCGCCGATTCACACGCCCTTGTGTCGCTATTGATCGCGACCCCCGCCTTACTGGTAGTCCAGTACTCCTCTTAATGACGACAATACACGACGAGGATATATATCTCGCGGGCCGCCTTAGGCGATGGTGGTTCGGGAACGGATCCTTTGAAGTTTTAACACCGAAACGCTTCGCGAGGGCCGCATAAAGGCATGCGTACGTCTTCGCCGTGGTAAAAATGCCTGAGGAAATATGGCTGCCAGTCGATGGAAACGATACCGAACCTCCGTCGAAACCTTATCTATAATATCCCGAACTAGAACCCTTCCACGAATTCTTCTCCTCTGAAAACGCACAAGCACTACCCCCTTTAAGTGCACACGACCACGCCATCGACCTACTCTCCGACACCTAGGTGCCCTTTGGACCAATCTACCCACTTTCTCAGAAAGAACTTACTGAACTACGCCGTTACCTCGACGAAAACCTTAAGAATGGTCGTATCCGCGAATCAAAGAGTCCCGCCGGAGCCCTAATCCTCTTCGTTCCAAAATCGGACGGAAGTCTACGCCTTTGTGTTGACTACCGGGGACTCAACAAGGTTTCGGTGAAGAACCGGTACCCTTTACCCTTGATTTCGGAGATCCTTGACCGTCTCTCGGGTGCAAAATATTTCAGCAAGATCGATATCAAAGATGCTTACTACCGCATCCGCATAAAGGAGGGCGATGAGTGGAAGACTGCCTTCCGAACCCGATACGGCCACTACGAATACACCGTTATGCCCTTCGGCCTAACTAATGCACCCGCAACTTTCCAAAATTACATTCATACCGCCCTTCACGACGTTCTCGATATCTTTGCGGTAGCGTATCTTGACGATGTCCTTATCTTTTCGACCGACCGCCAATCCCATACAGAACACCTACACCAGGTTATCTCCCGTCTCCAAAAGGCTGGACTGTATACAAAACCTAGCAAGTGCCTCTTCTACCAGGACGAGGTCGAATTCCTTAGATTTATCATCTCTACCCAAGGCGTTTCGATAGACCCTCAGCGGGTATCCGATATCGTTTCGTGGGAGCTTCCACGAACATACCGAGATATCCAGGTCTTCCTAGGATTTTGCAACTTCTACCGGCGCTTCATCCGTAACTACTCCGAGATTGCACTTCCCCTAACGGCCTTGCTAAAGGGAAGTAAGAACGGCCGAAAACCAGGGAGTGTGAAGCTAGACCTTCGCGAAAAGCTAGCGTTCCGCCGCCTAATCGCTACCTTCCAGTCAGCTCCCCTTCTTCGCCATTTCGACCCTTCGAGGCAAATTCGGATCGAGACCGATACGTCAAACGGTGCGATGGCTGGGATCCTCTCCCAACCAGATGATAATGAAGTCTGGCACCCAGTGGCCTTCTGGTCGAGGAAATTCACCGAGGCAGAGGTCAACTATAGAACGCCGGATCAGGAGCTATTCGCTATCGTATACTCGTTTAAACACTGGCGACACTACCTTGAGGGAAGTACACATCCAATCGAGGTCTTTTCAGATCACTCAAACCTCCAATCCTTTATGAAGCAGCCAAAGCTAAATGGTAGACAGGCGAGATGGTGCCTATCTCTTACACCTTTTGATTTTATTATCAAACATCGCGCTAGGAAGACCAACCCTGCGGATGGACCATCTAGGCGTTGGCTGCCTGAAGCCCCCAAGGTTGACCTGATTACGCCGTTGTGCCAACGAATGGCCGGCGAATCGCAGGCGACTGATCACCGCTCTGTCAGGGTCCAGTCGCTGACTGTGAGAGATCTCACTTTGGGCATCCCCTGTTTCGAAGAAAACGAGCAGGGTGATGAATCGATTGGAAGAATCGATTGGGAGGAGCTAGGCCGTTCGCGGTTAGTCCTCCCTACGCAAGTGCAGACCGCTTGTGCTTCCGAGAAGGCCTACTCCGCTGAAGCGTGTGAGGACCTAAAGGAATTGATCGGGCGTCTTCAAGACGAAGACCTCGAGACCCAGCGCCGAAAAGCTGCCGTAGAGCAGGCGAAACGCGGTTTCATGGGCTGGAAGATCGGACACGATAAGCTCCTCCGATATAAAGACCGAGTGTATGTCCCTGCGGGGAGTAACCTACGGCAAGAGTTAGTGAGCATTCACCACGACGACCCTATTGCAGGCCATTTCGGCCGAACCAGGACCCTTGAACTGGTTAAACGTAAATATCACTGGCCGAATCTGCACCGAGACGTTGTCGAATACGTGCAGAATTGCCAGGTATGTCAAGGAGTAGTAGCACGAAGGCATAAGCCCTACGGCGAATTGCAACCACTCCCTATCCCGTCTAGACCCTTCGTGGAAATTTCAATGGACTTTGTGACTGGCCTGCCACCGGTGACCCTTAACGAAAAGACTGTGGATGCAATCCTTGTTATCGTCGATAGGTTCACGAAATGGTCGCTATTCCTCCCCGTATCTACCACGATCACGGCGGGAGAACTCGCAGAACTAGTCCATAACGAGGTCGAATTACGTTTCGGCCCTCCCGACGGGATTGTTTCCGATCGAGGATCAGTTTTCACAAGCAAGTTCTGGTCAAAGCTATGTTACATTACCCAAGTGCGCCTAAGGCTTTCAACGGCGTTTCACCCCCAAACCGATGGCCAAACGGAACGCGTTAACCAAACACTTAAGCACTACCTACGATGTTTCATCGGTGACGAACAGCCTAGCTGGCCAAAGCTGCTCAAATCTGCCGAATTTGCGTGTAATAACGCTGTCAATGCCACAACCGGTGTCTCACCCTTTCAAGCACTTCTTGGTTACTCACCAGACTTCCGTCAACGAATCGAGGACGATCCGGCATTGAGGGAGGTACCCGCGGTATCCGCACGAGTAGAGAAGCTTGAAAATCTCCGCATAAAGCTGAAGACCCACTAGCGAAATGCAGTCGAAACTATAGCGAAACACTATAATAAGAATCACAAACCCCTAACACTGAAGAAAGGATCGCTCGTCGGCCTCTCAACAAAGAACTTAAAGCTAAAGGGAAGCAAGAAGTTAACCCCGCGCTTCATCGGGCCCTTCCGGGTTATTGAGACGATTGGTCAGCAGGCCTACCGCCTAAGTCTACCCGAACAATACAGCCGAATCCACAACGTCTTTCATATATCCCTTCTTGAACCATGGCAGAAGACCCACATTACTACTACCGAATCAATGCCGTTACCACAGCTCGAGGATAGCGAAGAATACGAGGTAGAGGAGGTCCGCGATAAACGAAAGATCTCTAACGAAACCCACTTCCTCGTGAAATAGAAAGGATGGCCCTCTGAATACAACCAATGGGTATCCCACGAAGATATGGAGAACGCTACAGAAGTAATACAATCCTATAGGAAGCGATAAAAGGGGAAACGCTCTGAATTCAATACCGGAAGAAACCAGCGAAAACCCCTCGAACCGCAGACTAAAACAAGAAGATTTCCTCGCAATAAGAAACTGTAAGGTCAGCCACGAAGCTAGGTTCCACCGGAAACAAGACGCGAGCGTCAAACATCAGCACCCACAGCAACAAAGCCGCCACCAAGGAACGCAACGAACCACCAGCGAAACCATAACGAAACTACCTAGCCTCGCTAGGTAAAGGAAGGGCAAAAGGCAACTCTAGATCCGCTCCAGGGACAGAGGGAAATCAATCATTGTCCGCTCCTCCAACTCATCTCCGCCGATGGAGGCATTATCATCCGCATCCGAATCAAGGTCATCCTGGGCCTCGCGAACCGCCTCCGAAATGCCATCGAAAAAGGCCCGTTTTCCGATTATCTAAGTGATGTATCCCTCGTCGCCGGGAAGCAGGCGAAGGAGTCGCTTAGAGAAGCGCTCTGCCTTCTCCCTAGCAGTATCAAAGGGACCAGGGGGCAGGACAACAGGAAGCCCAGTCCGACGGACCGCGAGAAGCGCATCGTATTCGTCTTGGGTTTGCTACCGAAACACTAGTTAGAACGCGCCGAAACCCGCGACCTATGGATCCTACCTTGATATTGGTCTTAGTCCCGGTTAACTTGTACTGCTTGCGGTGAGCCTGCTCCGAAACGTCGAAGCAATACGCCAGATCCCTCATCAATTCGGCGACCTTTCGGCGGAGCTCCGAGGGATAGGGCCAGTCCAGGAAATTATCCGGGTCGTCCGGGTCTATCTGCGATGTCCAGAACAGGTCCCGGGCCCATGCAAACGCGGTACTCATATCCTGACAATCCCCCAACATAGCGGTTGCAGCCTGTGGAATCATTAGCCTATACCCTCAAGGAAACTTGGCGAAACCCACAGGAATACACGTCGAAGCGCGAGAGGAACACTGGCTACACGCAACCGAAGCCTTGGCGTCCTAGACACATTCGATGGAAAAGGGCCAGTCTTCACGGGGATCCCAGTCGATAATCGCGGTGCGGACACAGTGCATACACTAGAGGATTATTAGGTAGACCGGGTTGTCCGCAAGGGGACGAGTCCCGGCGCGGGGTCGTCGAGGCATCGTGGGGGTTTCCAAACTAAATCGAGGGGTATTCGTTGGCGAAAAGGCGCGTGGTTATGAGGTCTTGGAAAGGGGGAGAAAGTTAGTAGAGGTGTGAAAGAGGAAGGGGAACGAGAAGGAGAGGGGGTCTCTTTGTAAACAAAGAAACGCGATATCTTTGTTTGCCCTATCCCACCAGTTACCCTTTCTGCCTATCCACCTCTGATTGGCTACTCCGCTACGTGGTTGGT